TCGCGGGAGTCGATGATTCATGATCCACATGCATTCAGCTCTCTCCACCCCACAGCGTCATCGCGATGCCCCTCTGATCATGTTGAATTAATTATTTAAAGTGCCTTGTGTGTCCAGGTCGCTCTTTCATCCACAAGGTCCTCACAATTCATACTATTTATTCATAATGGGTTTCGATTTCACCGTCTACAAGGGATCCTCCGACGGATCTATCAAAAAAGCCACCACCCATCGCGATGCCCTCTCTCGCGATCAGGTCCTCGTCCGCGTCACCCACTCGGGTCTCTGTGGCACCGACATCCACTACAAAACTACCGACATGGCTCTCGGCCATGAAGGCGCCGGAGTTGTCGAGTCTATTGGACCAGACGTTCTGGATTTGAAGAAAGGCGACCGCGTGGGATGGGGATATGAACATGACTGCTGCGGTCGGTGCAACCAGTGTCTGACTGGATGGGAGACGTTTTGTCCCGATCGCAAGATGTACGCTGCTGCCGATACGGATCAAGGTTCTTTCGCCTCGCATGCCGTCTGGCGCGAAGCATTCCTCTTCCGTATTCCTGACGGCCTCAGCAATGAAGACTCGGCGCCCTTGATGTGCGGCGGAGCGACCGTGTTCAGTGCTCTGCATGTCGCAGAGGTCAAGCCCACTTCGCGTGTGGGAATTGTCGGCATCGGTGGATTGGGCCATCTGGCAATTCAATTCGCAGCCAAGATGGGCTGTCAAGTCGTCGTCTTTTCCGGCACAGACAGCAAGAAAGACGAAGCCCTGAAACTGGGGGCTCACGAATTCTACGCGACCAAGGGCGTCAAAGAACTCCAGATCCCCAAGAAACTTGACAATCTCGTCGTCTCGACCAGCGCACAGCCTGACTGGAATCTGTACATCCCTGTCCTCTCTCCCGGAGCTGTCATCTCACCGTTGAGTGTCACTATGGAGGACTTCCGCTTCCCCTACATGGCCATCCTATCCAATGGATTGCGCGTTCAGGGCTCGCTCGTGGCGGCCAGAAAGGTCCACCGGGACATGCTTGAGTTTGCAGCTTTTCACGGCATCAAGCCAGTCAAAATGACGTATCCGTTGACTCTAGAGGGTATTCAAGATTGTTTCAAGACGTTGGAAGACGGCAAGATACGGTACCGTGGTGTTTTGGTGGCGCAATAAGCTGTGTGGAGCTGAGTATATAGCATGACGATCGACGAACTGTATAGAGTAATCATAGTATATGATTGGTTGCTGTTGTATCTCGCTGTTTTTCATTCAAGTGAATGTTGAACTAATTCGGAATTAGCCGGGCTTTCTAGCGATGCCCACGCGGCGGTCTCGTCCAACCCCATCAACGATGAGGCTGAGCTACCGGGATTATTGGAATTATAAGCACCATATCACTCACGAGGGCATTTAAACAAATTAGTTGGCTTGTTCTCCCCCTTCGTTCGCATCGACATCTTCAGGCATGGATGACAATACTTCAGCGCCGCCATTCCCGAATGTGCTTTCAAACAAGTCCAACCTTGATCTCTCAGATCTGGCCACTGAAGGCATTTGAAGATCGAATGTTTGTGTCGGGGAATCGCGAGCATGTGACTATCAGCACGTGAGAGCTCTTATCGCGAATCCAATCACATGAGACTCGAGCCACAGCCAATCATTCCCCTCAATTTCCCTGCATCCATCCAGTCGGTGTATTCTGCCGGGCGGTGGGATCTAATGTTTGAACAGCGCCATTCCTCTCTTTCCTGTTCTCTTTCAACCTCCCTTTTCCATGGCTCTCTCAGGAACCAGGTTATCATGTGGCGCCCCAATAGCCCCATAGAGCTTCGAAGCGGTCGTCTTGTTTGCGCCTCTCACCATCTTGCCGTATGCCCGATATGCTGTGTCGATTACAGCTTCATGGATGAAGTCCTAGGTCTCGACTCGATGGATGAGGAAGATGGTGAACCCATCTCGGATGGCTCCGGTGAATCGCTCCCAGATCTTATTCCTGTTGAGGGCAGCGAAGTCCACGGCCGCATAACAGCCATTAATTTCACGTCGTTCCCCTTCCCATACACTGGCAGGAACCTGAGGGAGGGAACTGGTCGGGTAATGCTCGAGAGGTTCAAACCGCCCAGAAACACGGATACCCCCCAGCTGTTTTTTCCTTCTGGGGTTAGTGTCAACTCAAGCCCTCGCGTTAACTGATTTATCCGCCGGGACAATTGTGTGGAGTTCCTTATCTATACCAGCAGCGCCTGTCTAGACAATAGAACAGTACGATCAAGAGCCGGCTATGCCTTTACATTCAAACCAGCTTCCCCAAACAATCCAGGCCACTACAGTTTTAGTTTAAGAGAATAAAGGGCTAACAGGCCAGATGTATCAGCATACAAGTAATTGAGCAGAGCTGCGGGCTGTCATTGCGGCTTTATGGTTCTGCCACTAGCCAGGTGAAGGATTTAATTCAATGGTCATTGCAACTGATTTGAATATGTTGTTGAGGGAGCCATTCGGTGGGTTAGAACCTGGTTGTGAAATAGCTGGCAAACAAGGTCTAGGGCACCAGTTACAAATCGCGATCTTTGGGAGGCTCTGCTAGGGGCCGAGCGGTGGTCGGAGAATGGCATGCGGATCAGGCTCTGGCAAATTCTAAGAGAGCAGAATACAGAGGCATATCAGTGGGCGAAGGATGGTGCGAATTTAGAGAGTGTTCCAGACGCATTCGCTGACTGCCTTGGTGCACTCGTGTAGCTGTGGATATGGGAATATATTCTTCGCCTGATGCTTTCATGAAGCGGCGTATGTTGTGGCTAAGGTATTCAGGCCGCGACACGACTAACATGCCTAAAAATGTAAATGACAGGATGCTCTATGCAGCCTCTGTAGTTTATTTTGCGTATTTATCAGCCGAGTTGAACACTATATACCACCTCTTTCTGAAGCTATATCCTATGAGCTACATTCGCAGTGTTATCCGTGCATAATAGATTCTGCGTTTTCGCTGCTCTCTGTGCAAGAAAATAGACTATTTTGGATGAGCCTGGTTTGGATAATACCTATTCCTTTGGTAGCTAGATAAGGTACCAGTACCTTATGGTCCATCGATGATCAGTCGTTATTTATCATTCGTCATCTTCTGTCTTCCTCTTCAATTGATCCCTTTCCCACACCAATTTCTCACTATCCATCATGCCTACAACCGTGCAAGGTCCTCCCAACGGTATTCCCGATAATTCTGTGGGAATCATCAATCCACTTCTCGAGCAGCCAGGTTTTTCTCGCGATAAAGGGCCTACCGTAGGAACCGGCCAGGTCATAGCCACCAAATTCGCGCCTCCTACGGGGACAGAGACTCTTCAATCCCCCTTTCCGCCTCGGACGAGCTATAATGCTCATCGCTCCAACATGCACAGTTTCTCATCTACACTGACGACGTCTATTTGAACAATGGCAGCGAGAACCCCCGCAGTGGTTGTGCCTTCATCTTTAAACTTTCTCCCACCAATGGCAACGGACATTATTTCTTTCGTCTTGAAAATGAGCGTCCCACTGCTGAACAGCCCGAGTCTGTCAAGTTCATTGATACTAAGGGGGTTCTGGTTTGATATGGATGTGCTATGTTCATACGGGGTTCCTGCGCTGTCTGTCTTGTTTCTTTGAAGATGTGCACTTCAAAAGCTTACAGCAACTGGGTCTGGATCATGTTGTCAAATACTTGAGTCGGAATGAGAAAAGAACAAAGTGACGCCTGTTGATGGCTCATACATCATGGCCAGAAAAGAAACCCCTCTAGGTGCTTCAAAACAGATTAGGCCCAAAGAATCGTGTGGACATCAAGTTATCGTCTGCCTCAGCGGTTTGCTATGTTGCTTCTAACTGCAGTATGTCTCGTCATCAATCAATGTCTCTTCGCGATATCAGTTCTTCATTATGTCGCCATCCGTGTCTCCTTCTAGGCTTTTGAGCAAAAGGAACACTCTGCTCTCGATCCGAACTATCAATATCTCTCATTTCAAATTCTGCAAGCTTTGAAGAGCTAGGTGCTTGAACTGCCAGTTGTGCGCGTGACGTTGACATTCTAGAAATTCCAAAAATTTGCTGCTCCACTCGGTCTCCACGGACCTCAAGTTCGGCGTGGCTGACGACTGAAACAAATAACAACCGAGTCATCCGGTTTCATTAGTGCTTTAAACGAACAGAAAGAAAAAGAGGGTAAATACTAGAAGGTGCCAATGGCTAGAGTCCAGACTGACAGGATGTCTCGGGTACGTTTCGACAGTTCCACTTGGTTGAATACAGCACAGAACTATTTACTCTGCATATTAATTCTCAATTAATTATGAAGTATTCATTATTCTGGTTTAATGATATTGATATTAGAATATTGAAGTAATAGCAACAAAGCGCTATGTGGTTGGCATAGTAGTACTTCGATTATATATTTTTATAGACGTCAACACCAACAATACTCTGGCCAATCACTTTATAAAGCATCATCATACTATTATTCCTCTCTAAAGTCAATCGTCTGCTGATGATATTAGAAATGTCACATAAACTATAGAAACCCTTGACTATACCCTTACCCTCACATCTTGTTGTACAATGACGTCGTATAGTTATCGACATGGATCATCGATCAGGCGATCTAATAATCTGACGACCTGACCATCTCCTGATGCCTCATCGCCATAGCCATGAGGGATAAACGTGATATCTGTCTGTATGGCTTCACCGGACAGTGGTCTACGAAATCTCTACGAGCATTCTTTCATCACACCACACACCGTTCGGTAATCAGCCACGCTACGTATATTCCTACGTCAATGTCGTTCAATTGCCGGAATGGTCAATTGGGCGACAAAAGATGCGTGAATATCGATGTTTGAGGCCTGATTCAGTACAGGGATAGGTTGTTTCAAAGAGTTCTCTCGGACGACAGTGTGGTAGAGATCGCCAGTGTGCAGTTTGGATGGAGTATGTACTCCGTACCACGGCATTGCTGCAGAGGATGAAGTGGCAACCCGAATCGAACGGGTCAACCACTCGATTGATGGATGGATGGAAGATCCCTGTCGAGCTATAATAAAACAATGTTGGAGTACTCCGGATATACGCATTCCCCTCATTTCTCCCCAGTTGTGGATGTGAACTACGGGGGACTACGGAGAAGTACGCATCTAGTATTCTAGTGCCAGTCGGACTAAGGGGTATCATGTTGTCTATTCGGACTTGTCTCTCCCATACCGTGTAGTTATTCTACTCTGTATACTCGATAGACAAACTGCTCCAAATTTTTAAAAACATCTGACTTCAACTTGTCCTGTGCATCCGACCTGTTCCTGTTCGTTCCTGTCCTGAGCATCTCGTGTGGCAAACAGTAACAAAGTTTTCATGAGATACAGCACCGAGGTTGCTGGGTGGCTCCAGACAAGCATTTCTCCACTGCTAAATATACTCGATCTGATTGACGGAATAGTCCCGAGGTCCCTCCGAAGATCTACCACCTTAAACGCTAAATGCACTAAACCTCCTTTTCGGTCACCGGATCCGGTAAGGCATCCGGATGCACATTTTTGCAGCTGTCGGCTGCTGAGGACATGGCAGGCGATTTTGATGGTATTCATCGATGGCATCCTCTAAGCGATGCTCAAATATTGCTGAGTAGATGTATAAAGATATCCTTTGAAGCAGCCGAATATCTTCGGAATCGCAGAAATGGTGGCAATCGGCATCCCGGCATGCGCCCGAGCCTCGGGGAAACCCCGAACCGGCTCGGCCTGCGCCCAGACGGAGAACTCTCAATACGGGATACGGCATATACGGGATCAGTTGTACAGCATCAGCAGCATCATAGTTAATATACCGCACAGTCGGGATGCCGTCGGGTCATCTTCGGTATAGGCCTCGTGATTAGGCTTTCACACGGACCCCGGCCGAGATTATGTAGAGAATACAGGATACAGGCTGTGCTATACAGACCACTATTTCGCTAAATCAGTTAATAAAGGGTCGAGTCTAGATTCTACAGCCAAGGAGGACGAGAGACCAAGATCTAGGCATAATATCATGGCGATGAGAATGGCAATGGGCGCAATATCAAGAAGATCTGGGCAGAGGAAGTAACATCTGGGCATTTCCTTGTCTGGAGATGCAGTCTCAACGTCTCGTCGCACAAGCCGAGATCGTCCGTTGCATTCCGTTGCTCCACAAAATATGATACTGGCGTGGGGGATTAATACAGAGTCTGATGCTCCTTGTCGTTGTAGTATGATGGATATATGGAGGATTGAGACTGTCGCTTATATAGAGTAGAGTGATTTGGATGTTTAGATATACAACACTACGTAGAAGGGTATCCTGTAGAGGAGAGACTGAGAGAGAAGTGAGCGAGATCAGATCTGAACGGAATAATAGACGATGACAGCGACTATCACTGGCATTGTCAGTGGAATTTTCCCGAAGTTGGTCGGTATTACCGTGACGCTCCACCTTCTCCAACTTGCCCGATTCGGTAGTGTGTACGGCCTCCAAACTTAGTATTGTTGAGCGTTGGCAGAGAGCAGCCCATATCCATCCCCACTGTTTCTCTGCTGTTCTCGTGGTCCCATGGGGCATCAAATCCTGGAGTCTGTCCGGCCGATGATGACATAAATCTCGCAGTCTTTTTTTTATGATTTTTTTGCTCTCAACTTATATATGCCCCGGACCTTCGCTGTTCGTTCCATCTGTCCACTCTTCTCTTTCTTCCTCCCCCATCCACCACCACACTCTATAACCCTTTCACAATGGAGAAGAAATCTGAAACCAAGCCTCAGAGCTCCTCTCTGTCTTCTCACACTGAGAATGCCCCCACACAACAATACCAACGCACCCAAAAAGGCCGTATAATCGGAGGCAAATACCGTCAAGAACTCTACGATGACTCCTCGCAACATTCCGACGGCGGGCCTCTGCAAGAGGTTGATATCGACTTGCCCTTGACCGTCACCAAGCACAGGGAACACAATGGAAGCAGCTACATCGTGCTCGACTTCGCCGAGGGCGACAAGGAGAACCCCTTCAACTGGAGTCACGCCTACAGGGCCTTCATCAGTCTGCTGCTGTGCTGCATGACGCTCTTCATCGGTCTCGCCACAACCGCCTACAGCTCCGGATTGGACAAGATGACGGCGGAATTCGGTGTCTCGTCTGAACTCGGACAGCTGGGTCTGTTCACCTTCAACTTCACCTGCGCCCTCGCTCCCCTTTTCCTGGCCCCCTTCTGTGAACTGGCTGGTCGCCGCATCATCTACACTGGAGGTTACGTCTGCTTCGCCCTCATGTTCATCGGTCTTTCGCTCGGTAAGAACATCGCCACCATCCTCGTCTGCCGTGCTCTGCTGGGTCTCTTTGGTTGCATTGGTACCATTCTGGTCGGTGGTACCTTTGGTGACATGTACCGCCCCGATGAGCGTGCCATCCCCATGGCCTCGTTCTCCTTCGTCGCCATCTTCGGTACTGTCGGAGCCCCCATCTACGCCGGATTCATCGACCAGGCTCTCGGATGGCGCTGGGTTGAGGGTATCCAGGGTCTGGCCAACATTCCCCTGGTCATCCTCGTCGCTGTCTTCCTCAAGGAAACCCGTGGCAGCGTTGCCCTGGCCAAGAGAGCCAAGATGCTCCGTGATGCCACTGGTGATGAGCGCTTCGTCACTCTCAAGGACCTCGAAGCTCCCGGTGTCAAGGAGATGTTGCACAACTCGTCCGTCAAGGCCATCCACATGCTCTTCACCGAGCCCGTCGTCTTCGCCTTTGGTATCTGGATCAGTTTCGCCTGGTTCCTGACCTTCCTCTTCCTTTCCGTCATCCCCATCACCTTCTCCGAGAAGAAGGGCTGGGGTGAGGGTGTCTCGGGTCTGCCCTACATCTCCCTCTGCATCGGTACCACCATGGGCTTCGGCTTGAACATGCTGCAGATCCGCAAGTACGAGTCGATTGTCCGCGACCCCAGCAAGCAGGTCACCCCCGAGGCTCGTCTCTACGGTGCCATGTGCGGTGCTGTCTGGCTCCCCATCGGTCTCTTCATCTACAGTTTCACCCAGTACGCCTACCTGACCTGGGTCGCCCCCGTCATCGCCCTGGCTCTCATCGCCATCGGTATCTTCTTCATCTTCGAGTCCTGCTACAGTTTCACCTCCGACTGCTACGGTGAGAACTCTTCCTCTGCCATCGCCGGTCAGGGTTTCATGCGAAACACCCTCGGTGCCGTTTCGCCTCTGTTCGCCTCGCAGTTCTTCCACAACGTCGGCAGCCAGTACGCTGGATTGATTCTGGCTCTCATTGCCACCGTCCTTACCTTCATCCCCTTCATCCTCTTCAAGTTCGGACCCCAGCTGCGCGCACGGTCGAAGCTGGCCAGTTCCGTGCTCAGCGATGGCTCGGATGACGACGAGTAAGTGGTGGATCAGAGTTGAATATCATGGCATTGTTCGCTGGATGAACTGCATGAAACGTGGAATGATTTGCATGCATAAATAGATCGAATGTAATCATAGAATAGCATAAATTGCATAAACTGTACATACAGAAAAATTTTCATTCTTCATTCATATTTCATAAAAAACTCGTCTTAGTAATTATACACGTGCATAAATGTCGCCATCATCCCCGCTTCACTTCTGATTCTCCGCAAACACACGCGACGCGGCACCATGGAGTTCTCCTACATTCTCCTCTTCACTGCCATCTACATCGGTAAGAACGTCTGCATTCTCACATTGTACTTGGTTGCTAATCATCATCAGTTTTCCGCATCGTCAAGAGTCGCATCTCCGATCCTGCAGCCACCATGCCTCACGGAAAAGTCATCGAGGTTGACAAGTACGTCTCCTACATTCTCCGACCAGATACCAAACTAATGATCCTACAGCCCTGTCATCTTCAAAGCTCTTGTCTCTTCCGGTCCCGTCGTCATCGACTTCTTCGCAACCTGGTGCGGTCCTTGCAAGGCCATCGCTCCCGTGGTCGGAAAGCTCAGCGAACAATACACCAATGTGCGATTTATCCAGGTCGATGTCGACAAGATGCAGCAGACCTCGCGCGAGTTTGGAGTGACTGCCATGCCCACTTTTGTTGTGCTCAAGGATGGCAAACCGGTTGGACAGCAAATCCGTGGAGGAAACATGAAGGCTTTGGAGGATGGGATCAAGGCGGCTACCGCGTAGATTATGTGGAGGAGAAGGATATAGAGGCTTCATGTTGATGAATGATAGATCAATACCCGGATCATAACCAATATTTCGTTTTGCCCATGGATACGAATGATAGAGTAGCAATGCTGCAAGATAATCCTTGCTTCTAGAATTTAGAAAGCGTTATTATTCATGTGCACGTGATTTCGTGACTCCCGCCATTCACTCGAATCCGAAGGGCCTCTTCTTCGTCTTTAGGATTAACCATTTGACAATGGCAGAGAAACCTGGCGATGAACACGTCCACTTCACGCAGTGGGCGTTATCCAAGGGGATTGAGATTGATGGCGTCGCGCCCGCCAAATTCCCTGGTCGCGGTCTAGGAATGGTGGCTACGAGAACAATCCAAGTGAGGGCATCCCCAAGCCGATGCAGGGACTGTGACTGACTGGCCAGGAAAATGAGCACATCATCGTGGTTCCTGTGAGGGTGATGTTGACCATTGACTCCGTCCCTGAGCAATTCGTCAAGCAATTCCCAAATGGCACATCTATCCATGCAATTCTAGCCGCATTTCTCACTCATGGAGATGCTGAAGAGCTTCAAAAATGGGACGTATGGCGCAAGGTCTGGCCGTCGCGGGAGAGCTTCGCGGATAGCATGCCTGTCCTGTGGCCTGAACATCTCCAAGCATCCAGCTTCAAGACAGAACATCCTGTTCTTTTACCACCCGCTGCTTCTGGAGTGTGGAATTCAATTCCCAACTCAGATTTCGAATATGATGCAACTTATCAGAAGATTCTCCCAGACCAACAAAAACGACTACATGGAGCCTGGGAGAGTGTCCTTTGTGTGTTTCCCGACACAGACTGGGATGCTTTCTCCTACCACTGGCTCATTATCAATTCGAGGAGTTTCTTCTATGTGACGCCTGGGAAACCACATCCTGAAGATTGGAATGATGCAGTGGGATTGGTTCCTTTTGCAGATTATTTCAATCATGCTGATGATCCGGTTGGTAGTATCCAGTTGGTACTTTGAACATCACTGACACAACAAAGCAAGGCGAGGTCAGCTACGACCAAGATCAGTATACGATCAAGATAAATCGACAAATTGGTAATATTGAATTGTATGCTACCTTGTTCAAAGTTAAGCTGACATTATTTAGAAAAGGGCGAGGAGGTATATCTTAGCTACGGATCGCATTCGAATGATTTCCTTTTCATTGAATGTCAGTTTGCTTAATTGTGCCTGTTGGACAACACTGATTTTAAACAGATGGCTTTTTCCTCGATGATAACCCGTCAGATTCCATATATCTCGACGACATCATCTTCCACGACCTCACCAAAGCCGATCAACATGAGTTAAAGCTTCGGGACTGCTACGGGTATGTGTCCGCCCATTGACTTCCCACCATTGTACACACAGCTAATATGGAGACACAATAGGGACTATCAAATCACACCTTCTGGCGCCAATTCCCGCCTCGAGTCCGTTGCCTGCATGAAATACATGGATCGCAGAGACTGGCAGAAGTACATCCAGGGCCGATCAAAGAAGGGCATAAATGCTCAACAAACGGCAGAGATTATCTGTGGCTGGATTGAAGTTTACCTGGAAGAGAGCAATGTGGCCATCGAGAAGATTGAAGCTATGCTGCCTCAAAACCAGGATGGAAAGGTGTCTATGATACTGAGCAGATGGATCCAGATTAAACGTTTGTGTGAGGATGCATTGAGTGGTATTTGCTCACATAATGATGATACCAATTGAGCTTGTTACGTCTGTATGATTAAATGTATAGAGTCAAGGAATGAACATGTTATACTGATGTCTTGAATTGTGGGTTCTTGTTAATCTGGTGACCGAGGAAAGACAACCCATGGTTCAGCTCATCGCTAGATATTTCCGATACTGCAGCTGTAAGAATGACGTTGATCTCTGCTGTAAATAATTCTACCTAATTAATGAAAGATTTCTGCTTGCATGTCTTCAAAGTTGAATATTCTCAACCTGCTTAGTAAAGCTGCCCCTCGATCTCCAACGCGGGGAAAAATCCTACTCGACTTCTCCATCAAACTCTTCAAAGCTCAGCCATGTCTTCCACTACGCCTGCCGGCTCGTCCGACGAGACATACGTCCCTCCCGATGCCCATATTAACCACGATGCCTCGATAAAATACTGGAATGAAGTCAGCGCCAGTTCCAGCGGCATGCTGGGCATGCTCGGCGAGTATCCCTGGTACACGCGCATTGATCTTCGAGGCTCCAAGACCTTTCTGACCAAGGCGCGTCGATTGATTCCGGCCTGTTCGACACAAGAAAAATTCAAGCTAGGCGTGGACTGCGGCGCAGGAGTTGGTCGGATAACAGAGGGATTCCTCAGGGAGGTCTGCGAAGTGGTGGACGCTGTCGAGCCGGTGGAAAAGTTCACCAAGGTGCTACACGAAGGACATCTGAAGGATAAGGGCATCATTGGGGATATTTACACAATGGGAATTGAGAGCTGGAATCCGGAGAAGAAATACGACTTGATCTGGACGCAGTTCTGCGTGGGACATCTCACAGACGTCCAGTTAGTCGAGTACTTTGCGCGATGTCGCGATGCTTTGACGGAGACCGGCGTTATGGTCGTCAAGGAGAACATGTCGACTGATTTGCGAGGAGAGGATATGTACGATGACGAAGACAGCAGTGTGACCAGGACGGATGAAAAGTTCCGCAAGCTTTTCAAAGATGCTGGGATGAATGTCATCCTGTCTGAGATCCAGACTGGATTCCCAAAGAGCTTCAAGCTTCTTCCTGTCAGGTCGTATGCCTTGCGACCGAACAGCTGAATTGTCAGCCTCTACACGTACGGAACGTTGCCATGGTATTCGAAAATCAGTGCTCCAGATTTTAGCCAGCTTCATGACATTCTTCGACCTGGTCCATGTTAGCTGTCTTTGTTCCTTGATCTTACCGATTGATTGCTTGCTACAGTCCGACGATTCATCAACTTTATTTAGATCCTGGTAGACCTTGTCCCGGATCTTGACGCAACTGGGCGACAGCGACGAATCACCGCGACCCTAGCGGCCTCACTCCATGAAGGATCTGCGCGAGTTGAGATCTCATGACAATTCAGCTAAAGGTGAATTTCGGCGGAAACAGTCGATTGGTATTGATCTGGACACCGACCATCTCAAATGATATCAACTTTGCCAGACAATACAATTGTTCAACTATACCATAGGCTCGTACATCTGGCACTGAATGTAGACCTCACATTGGTGATGTTCTTATATCTAATTATGGTTTCAAATGGCTTGTTACGCCAATTTTCTTTTCCACAGCCCTACTTCAGCCTCTGTTCCCGTTTCACCTAGGCTGACTGTGATCTACGAGGTACACGTCCAATCCGCTCGGTTCTGGTTTCCCCATCACCATTACATCATTTTCTTGGGTATGATGAGAAGGCAATTCCAGGCCGACAGAATCTTATTCTACAATAATGGCACTATGATCAGAATGACGGACGGTTCCTTCTGGGCGGCAGAGATGCCCTTTTTCCTGGTCTTGCAATAGAGATCTGTAGGAACTGAAGGAATTGAGAGGGTTATCTTATGATAGGCAATTGATGGTTTGGTTCAGTTGAAGTAGCATGATGTGATAAAGTCATCATGATGAATCATTTCTATAGGAACAATATTCAAGCCAGGAAGTTGTTCTTGTTCTACTCTTCTAAGGTACTCTTCTGCTCCCATTCCCACAAGATGGCTTCATTGACTGTACACAATCTTGTTCAAAACCAAAGACATGTAGAGCAGGCATGGGAGAGATTCGAGGAGAAACAAGCAGCGCGCGAGGCAGAGATTCGACGATCAGGAAGGAAAGTCACTGTGATGAGTGACAAAGAGTGGGATAGAATCGAAGAAGCAAGGAAAACGCTCGACGGGTATACCCGGGAATTCGAGGAAGAAACCTCATTGCGAGACCAGGAGATTCAACGTCAGATCAAGGACTTTTTCTCCACAAATAAAAAGGCAGATGCATGCGACGAAGCCGTTTCCAAGGTGTCTGAGAGCCTGGGCCTGTCCCTGAGGATGTACCTTCAAGCCATATGTGATCCTCATTTCTCCCGGATGGAAATCAACAAAGCCGGCAAGGCGATCAGTAACCCGTTCGACCCGGTGTTTATTCCTGGGTATATGACCGATCCTAACCTGTTAGATCCCCACACGGTGCTACTTCGAAGCTTCCAAAATGCATTTTCGCCAGGCCACGAACATCTAGGTTTCTGCAAAGGCCGGAAGGCATTTACTGCTGCCCACGGGAGCATGGAAATGTACAGTAAGGCTAAGGAGAGTGAGGACCCAAGCTCTGTTACCGATACCGAGAAAAGGGTACGAGAATATCCATTTTGTCCCTGGAGGGGATGCTGATCAAGAAACAGAAAGCGCCCGAATTCATGCTGTCTGTGCTTGACGAAGAAGAGTTTGACACCGAGACCGAGAGGATGGTAGTCAGGGCAACATTGGAGAACGAGCAGACCAAAACGGCGTTTCTCACTCTCGTCAAGGGCCTTTGTATGGCGTGGAGTCCCGTTGTGCTGGCTTTGGGGGGCGCCATGGCAGAAGCTGCGCCCTTTACATACGAAGGAGCAGATGGCCTGCCCCCGGACTACGGACCAGAGGTTGAAAAGGCCCGGAAGGCGCAGGTCGAAGCCATGGAACTCATGGAAACCAAGTGAGATGTAGTTATCTACTTGTTTACTTGATGGCAGTAGGAATATACTACTCCACGTGGTGTGTCATGTGACTGTAGACCGATAAATAAAAGCGGCTGAAATAACTGAAGCTGAATGTTTCGACCAACAGTCAAGATGCAGCGACCCAGGCATCATCTTGATCCTCAGCGAGAGGGCCTTTTAGTGAGAGAGCATGATGATGATGATTCGAGTGATGGTGATGATGCCCCTGGCAATACCCACCGCCATCTGGGCCTCTTCTCAACAACATTCCTAATGTGAACCTCCCCACATCGAAACCAAGGATAATATCTAATTTGACAGAACAAATCGCATGATTGGAACGGCCATCTTCTCCGTCCCCTCGTCCATTTCGGCCAGTGTTGGCAGTGCCGGTGCTGCTCTGTGTCTCTGGGCTGTCGGCTTCATTCTATCCCTTTCCGGTCTGATGATCTGGCTGGAATTGGGCTGTCTTCTGCCTCGCAGTGGAGGTGAAAAGGTCTATCTTGAAACTGCCTATCGTCGTCCGCCGTTGCTGGCGACGACTATTTATGCGACGCATGTTATTTTCCTGGGATTTACCGGTATGTACTTCATATAGTACCCTGTCTATGATGCTAATTCCGTAGGAAATGGGAGTATCGCAGTGGCAGAGAATCTCCTGCTGGCCGTCAGTGGCACTGCCAATGACTGGACCAAACGATGCATTGCCATTGCAGTGCTGGTGCTCATTTCCTTTCTACATATTAAAGCAAAGACCTTCACTGTCAAACTCATGGTGTGTCTTCTTCCTCAACCAACTCCATAGATAATTCTGACTCTGTAGAACGTCCTCGCATCTGTCAAAATCCTCATTCTGGTTATCATCATCCTCGCCGGTCTTTGGGTTCTTGGAACAGATCAATCCAATCCCAGAGTCCCTCATCCGGGGGCCAGCTTCAACCAGCCATTCGCTGGGTCATCATCCAGCGTATACGACTATTCTAATGCCCTGTTCAAGATCATCGCCACTTACCAAGGGTGGACCAACGCAGGCTATGTCTTGGATGAAGTTAAAAATCCCCGGCGAACTCTGAAGATGGCCGGAGTCCTAGGCGTTGGCTCGGTCGGAATCTTGTATATCCTCGTCAACATGGCCTACTATGCTGTCTGTACACCAGAGGAACTCAGCCAGACTGGCGTTACGGTCGTGGCGCTGTTTATCGGCAAGGTTTTTGGTGAGACCATGCAGTGGTGCACTGCTCTTCTCGCTGCAACTTCGACATTTGCGACCCTCTTGACGGGCTCATTTACTATGTCTCGTGTTATCCAGTCTTTGGCTAAAGAAGGCGTGTTGCCATTTACCTCTTTTTTCGCAGGGAGTGCGCCATCCGGGTCTCCCAACGGTGCCTTTTTGGCCCTCTTCGCCACGTCCGCCGCGATGATCATTTTGATGCCGTTTGGAGAGGCATACAACTTCACCGTGGATGTCGGACAATACGCTATGGCGATTATCTACTTTGCCGTCGTGGTTGGGCTATTCATCATCCGGAAACGCACCGTGTATCCGCACCGGACGTTCCGCGTGTGGACCAGCGTTGCGTGCTTATTCATGGCGATGCAGACATTCCTGGTTCTATCGCCATTCCTGCATAATAGTGCATCCACCTCGAGCAGCATTCCGTTTTGGCTGATGCCGATAGTGGCCATTCTGGCGTTGTCGGGGGGGATTGCGTATTGGTATGGATGGTTTATTCTGCTTCCGCGGATAAAGGGATTTGTATGGGAGAAGAAGAGCTCGACGTTGGCTGATGGGACGGAAGTTGTTGTCTGGACCAAGGACCATCAGGATTGATCTTGTCTTGTATATCTATACTTGTTTTCTTCATAAAATGCGGGGATAAATATATTCCCATCATGCAGCATCATTGGCCAATGATACCCCACGTCTCCATACTCCATCCCCTCTTCCCCGCGTGGGATGCAATTCTTTCTTCTTTCATTCTCTTCTTCCCTTGTCAATATTCATTCAATTCATATACACATTCAGCATGGGCAAAAGAATCATCGTCACCGGTGGCTCCGGCAAGACCGGCACTCTCGTCATCCAACATCTCCTCGCCCAAGGCCATACTGTCCTCAACCTCGATCTCGCTCCTCTTCCTTCCCCTCTATCTTCGCAAGTCCACACCATCAAGACCGACCTCACCAACCCCGGCCAGGTCTTCTCAGCATGTCTATCTCACTTCCACCTCACGGAGCCCTTCAATTCCTCCAAACATGACCCTCTCAACACCCCCGCAGACGGCATCATCCATCTCGCCGCCCTCCCCCAACCTCTCCTCGTTCCAGACACCGAAACCTATCGCGTCAACACTCTATCCACGTATAACATTCTCGAAGCAGGCTGCAAATTAGGCATCCCCAAGATCATCCTCGCTAGTTCCGTGTGCGTGTACGGAATCGCCTACGCAGAAGGCGATGTCCCCTACCCCAGTTTCCCCATCGACGAAACAATCGACGTCGACCCAATGGACGCATACGGGATTTCGAAAGTCTGCGCCGAACGCACCGCCCGTGGCTTCGCACGCCGTTTCGCAGGAAAGGTCGACATCTACGCCATGCGTCTAGGCCGCGTCGTGGCACCGGAAGAATACGAACAGGCGATGTGGAAGAGCTACGTCCAGGAGCCTGAGAAGTGGAAGGTGCACGGGTGGAGTTACATTGACGCACGGGATTTCGGGCGCATGTGTGAATTGTGCGTGTTGCGAGAGACTGGAAAGGATGGATTTCAAGTGTTTAATGCGACGAACGATGAGATTACGAATAGAGAAGAGACGGCGGCGTTTTTGAAGCGAGTGTGTCCTGGGGTGGAGTTTACGCGGGAGATGGGACAGACCGAAGCACCGTTTAGCAATCGCAAGATTAAAGAGGTGTTGGGGTTCAAGGAAGAGCATAACTGGAGGAAGTATTATAAAGATTGATCCATCTAGATGCATGAGGTGCATGCATGCATGTATGCGTTGTATGTATGCGTTGTATAGCAAAACAGGATATCAGCCATGATGCCATGGTCCTTTCTCCCTATTTAAACAACACAGCCTCCCTGTCTATTCCATCAATTCATCCACTACAAAATGAAGTTTATCGTCGGAGATCGAATCCGCATGCACGGACGAGCAGTTGGTATGGTTGAATCTATACAGAAGAACAAAGAGTAACTGGATAGGCTATCCGGAGAAGATTGCTGAAATCATCGAAGTCCTCGAGTCAGAAGGACTCTTTCGTTATCGAGTAAGTGTTCCTTTCTGATGAAGAACTAGCTAACGATAGCAGGTCAAGTTTGACGATGGAACAGAAATGGTGGTGATGCCTGGACCGGAGAGTGTCAAGGTGTAGATGGAATGTGAGGGTCAACTGGACGTCAATCAATCAGAACCATTCAATATAAATATCATCTATCATCATCTATCTCATATCATCTTCGTTCTTTATATCTAAACCATGCGAAAACACCCTCGCGAGTGCAACTTTCCCAACGGGACCTTTTTCAAAAAGAAAGAGGGGACGGTCTTTACCGTCAACGAAAAGGCATTCCATCTGAGCAGAATTATCAAAGAGATATTTCAGCGCGACTGAATGCTATAATGTCTTCTTTGAAGCCACCGACACTGACAGCAAAGTCGTCTTGAGATTTTACTACGAGTATGTGTGCTTGGTATTATTGAATCTGCAATTAACAATGCTCAGAATGCACCCTCAAATCCACTTGGAAACTACTGTCATTGGTAATAATATCAACTGCCATGTACATTGCCATCTGCCCGACTAGGCAGATGCTGCTGCGATGAATTCCCCCACTCCTCATCCATCGTCTGCATCGAAACAAGTAGATCACTCTTGCCTTTCTTCCTCGCAGGACCACCTCCAGAAGCCTCCGCCTGATTCATCCGATTTAGAGGATAAGCACCCCCACTGTGTTCGTCCAGACGCTCAAAAGCCTGTGGATCGGAGATGGCGTATTTGCGCTGGGACGAGAAGATCGTCGGCATGGCTCGCGAGAGAATGACTTTCATCAGAGGCATGTTGGCGCAGATGATGGCCAGTTCGGGCTCGAGGACAGTCCACATGACGCCCAGCTGGACGGAATGGGTGATGTCGTTGAAGTCGATGTCCATGAGGGCTTTGAGGCGGATGATGCTGATGACGGATACCCTAGATGGTCAGTATCATAGTATACCAATATGGGTGGAGGACATACAGCAATCCCATGCAGAACACAGAGCATAACGCAATCTTCTTGGCTATATTCAACTGCAGTTTCCAAATATGCGGCAGTGGCAGCGCCATCACCATCAAGTCCGTGATGAGGTTCAGAATGCCTGCCACCACATACGCTGCATTGCGATTCCCACACTTTCCCGGCACCGTCATATCCCAGTTCAATGCCAGCGGGCGACAAAGTAGAAAAGTTTCGAGAATAACGCTGATGGCCCACATCCAGACAATGGCCATGGTGACAGCGACGCTGATCTTGAAGTTGCGTTTGGTGCCGAAGATGCGGGTGACGAAGAGCATGATGGAGGTTTTGATGAGACCCATGACGATGCCGTACAGGGCTTCGAGGGGGAGGATGGTCTTCAAGGTGATGACGACCGAGGATGGATCGATCGTGCTGGCGTGTCGACCAGCGCCGCCGACAATAGTCACTGTTATTAGATGAGGATGAGGATGAGGCTATACAGAAGATGGAAAACATACAAACATATTCAATGGCAATATCGCAGTACACGATGAACTGATCCATTAACAACCTTATATCCCATCTCAGCTGAAATACTCACCAACGCAGCAATAATCAACCATTCTGGCGCACCAGGCTTGGTCTGTCGCAGACGCAGCGCATACAGCCTCAGCCCGGTCATCAATGTCGCCAAAGCGCCAAAGAAAGTCACGGCAATGACTGGATTCCGGGCCAGCGGAACATCCAGCGAGTATGTCTTCATCTTCAAGATCCTATATGTCTGAAAACATTCAAAATGGGGGTTAGGGGTGGAATAAAAATAATGAAAATAATCTGATCTGTCGCGTGAAACGAGATCGGCACGAGCCACTGATTTTATGGCTTCCCCGGCAATAGCTTCATCTGCCATTTGATCCCATTGGCCTGGGAGAGAGGAATGGGGCTTGCTAACTGCTTTGATGTCGCTATAAAAACGGCGGTTTTAGCTCGTTTCCGGCAAGTTTCGTCCGACACTAACGATCCTTTGTTGGGGGCGAATCCTGCAGAATCCTGAAGACAATGTCTGTCTGATGCGATGCAACGTCAAAGTATATCAGATGAAAAGCGAGATAAGGTTTATAAGTAGATACATGGATGTATTGGATCTTCATTCTACACACACGGCAAATACAACCACACTACAACTGCATGGACAATGAACGCCTGGTCACCCCGACGATCATCGCCAATGCTTCATTTAGTCCATTTAGCTCTGACAGCTCCGGCTTCCGCCCGTTGCCCCGCCTCGTGTTGCTGTGGATCAAGCGTTGGTTGTCTCCTTGATTGAGATGGATTGATGAAGAAGCATCTTCAGGGATGTATTATCCTGCAGATAAAAGGATTCCTTCCCTGCTCCTTCCCTGCTCATTTCATTCTCATCCTCAGCATCTCCATCATGACCATCGACACTTCCATCCCCACCAACCTCCATGAATCCTACGACTATATCGTCGTAGGAGGAGGCACTTCTGGCCTCGTTGTTGCCAACCGCCTCACTGAAGATCCTTCGGTCAATGTCCTCGTTCTCGAGGCTGGCAGCAACCGCGTCGATGATCCTCGCATTGCTGCTCCTGGTCTTGCCGTGGCCACCTACGATGACCCCGACTTTGACTGGTGCTTGACCAGTGTGCCTCAAGTATGTCTTCTACCTTTTATTGCCACCTATCTAACAATTTAGGAACACCTCAATGGCCGTCGTCTGGCTGAACCCCGTGGTCGAACCCTCGGAGGATCCTCCGCCATCAACCTGGGCATGGTCATCTATCCCAGCAAGACCGACCTGAACGCATGGGAGCAGCTGGGCAACGACGGCTGGAACTGGGAGTCAATCTCGCCATACATGCGCAAGTCGCAGACCTTCACTCCCCCTTCCGCTGAAGTCCGCGAACAGCTCTCGCTCAACTACCTGGATGAGTCGATCCAGGGCACCGACGGTCCGTTGCAGGTATCCTTCGGTGAAGGCCCCTTTCTTCCGTTCAACAGTGCCTGGCCAAAGGTGTTCGAGGCGTTGAATCATAGCATCACGGGTGATCCCATGTCTGGCGTGGCGCAGGGGGCCTTTTGCAATCCCGGTTCTATTCATCCGACAACAAGACATAGGAGCCACGCGGGCGTGTCTTACTATAACGCCGAGGTGGCGCAACGGGCAAACCTGCGTGTCGTGACAGACGCACTGGTAGAGAAGATCATCTTGAAGAAACAAGGCGAAGATGTCATCGCGACAGGCGTGCAATTCACCGGGAAAGACGGCGTCCAGCAGACCATCTCAGCAGGCGCAGAAGTCATCCTCGCAGCTGGCGCCATCAAAACCCCTCACGTCCTCGAACTGTCTGGAATTGGCGATGCCAAACTGCTTCAGTCTCACGGGATTGAAACTGTGATTGACAACCCTGCCGTCGGTGAGAATCTGCAGGAACACGGCTTCGTCCCGTTCAGCTGGCAGATGGCAGACGGTTTCATGGGAGGTGAAGCCCTGCGGGAGCCTGAAATCGCGAAGATGGCGATGGAGGGATGGCAGACAGCCGGTGCTGGCCCGCTGGGTCTCTGCGCGATTCACTCTGCATACATGACGCCTCCCGATCTGCGCGATGGCGAGATGAATCGCCTCATCCAGGAGTATCTCACGACGCCTGCCACCCCAGGCTTGGAGGCACAATATGACGTCCTCCGTCAGCTTCTCGAAGACACCAACGAGCCAAGTGGACAATACACCATCGCGCCATTCGAGGCAACGCCTGAAAAGGGGCCCGCCATGAAAGGCATTTTCTCCATGGCCGAGCCAGGCAGCTTCCTCAGCATCGTCGCCGTCTTGAACCGACCTTTCTCGCGAGGATTCGTGCACACCCAGTCCAACAATCCCAAAGATCTCCCTCTCTTCGACCCCAAGTTCCTTTCTCACCCATTGGATATGGAGCTTCACGCACGACACACCAACTGGCTGGAGACACTGGCAGGCACAGAGCCCATGGCCTCGCTCCTGAAACCCAACGGACGCAGACTGCACCATCACGAACGCGTCTCTAGTCTCGAGACAGCGCGCGAGTTGACGCGTGACCGTATCGTCGCGCATTACCACGTCGCCGGTTCGTGCGCCATGATGCCGAAAGAGAAAGGAGGTGTCGTCGATTCCAAGCTGAAGGTGTATGGGACGAAGAATCTGCGAATCGTGGACGCCAGTGTCCTTCCTGTGATTCCGAGAGGAAATATCCAGACGACGGTGTATGCCGTGGCGGAGAAGGTGGCGGATATCATCAAGCAGGAGAGGAAGCTGTAGAGTAACATTATGTACATATTCATATACTATTTTATCTTCATCTATTGAGTAATAGTACACCACCACCGCAGCCGATTCGCCTGAAATATAGCATCCAACTCCAGTGACACCCCTTTCGTCTCGGGGCCAAGAAAGCACAATCATCAATTCAATGGCCGTAGATCTTTACATAGCAAAATATTACCTTTTTGGTAAACCTGGATGTAATGCGGGGAATAATGCGGGGAAGAGGTATACATGGAATCTAATAAGGGTAACCAGAGCCACGAAAAGCTTCATTTCATCCCAAAACACTCGGCAGAGCCCAGATTAAACTCCATCCCGCCATTAATATCCCCATCAGGCGTGCTTGGCCGCTGATTTGAGGACGGATTCAAAGTCAAAAATATGATTTCCGTATAGTGTCATGCAGTCCCAAATAGGTAATCCGAGCCACGGCTGCCACTCTTTACCCTTAGATATATTTACTAATAAATACCAATGAATTCCATCCATTCGACTATACAGTCTCTAGCACCTGTTATCCTTGACAATGTTTCATCCTTGGATAATATTCCTCCTCGCCCTCTTCGGCACCCTCATCGAAGCCTCCCGGTGTAATATCACCTCAACTCACCAACATCAACATCGTCTATTCATCCTCAGCGACATCGCCAATGAACCAGACGACGCACAGTCTCTCGTCCGACTCCTGGTCTACTCCAACGAATTCCACATCAAAGGACTAGTAGCCACAACCAGCTTCTGGCAAAACGACACCACGCGTCCTGACCAAATGCACAACATCGTAGACGCATATGCCCAAGTTCTGCCCAATCTGAAGAAACACGCCGCTGGATATCCAAATGCGAGCCATCTACATTCGCTGATCAAATCAGGCTCAACACGCTACGGCCAAGCAGGCGTGGGAGAAGCACAGGACAGCGACGGATCAAATCTGCTCATCCAGGCCGTCGACGCATCAGATAAACCACTCTGGGTTCTCGCATGGGGAGGCGCGAATACCCTCGCCCAGGCACTCTGGTACGTCCAGAACACCCGAACCACCCGTGAAACCGACAACTTCGTCTCCAAGTTACGCGCCTACGCCATCTCCGATCAGGATAACAGTGGGCCGTGGATTCGACGGACCTGGCCGGCGCTGTTCTACATTGCCAGTGTGCATCATTTCAACCGATATGCCCATGCGGCCTGGGGAGGGATATCAGGGGACAAGTATTACCATTTCCCCAGTGCTGCAGATGAAGATGTTATTTCCGCCGCCTGGCTCAAGGAGAATATCCAAATCGGTCCGTTGGGTGCGAAATACCCAGATGCCGACTTTATCGTCGAGGGTATGTCGTCTCTTCCACTAATAGCTACAAGACTAATGTCACAGGCGATACCCCCTCCCTCCTCTACATGATCCCGAACGGTCTTTCAGACCCCCAGCAACCTGAATGGGGATCGTGGGGAGGAAGATACGGACCCGTCGCATGGGGCGAAGGCCACTTCGCAGATAGCATCGACACGATCCTCGACGGCGAACGAACCATAATGAGTTCACAGGGAACAATCTGGCGATGGCGACGAGCGTTTCAGAACGACTTCAAAGCCCGAATGCAATGGACGATCCAGTCTGAATACAAAAACGCAAATCACGCACCGCTCGCGGTGGTGAATGGTGACTCGACCCGTGATGTCTTGGAATATGTCGTGCAGGCGGACCAAGAAGTCATCCTCGATGCATCTACTTCGTGTGATCCAGATGGCGATGGTGTCTCTTTTAAATGGTGGCAGTACCTAGAGCCGAGTTCGAATTTGAATTCGCCACGACGGGATGTTCCGGTGTTGGAATTGGGCGAGACGAATTCTACTAGATTGGTTGTGAGGATGCCATCTGCTGATGTTCTGGGCAGGTCAGGGCGAGGAGTCGATCCGGCTGCAGACAAGCATTTGCATGTTATTTTGGAGGTCTCGGATGGGGAATTGGTTGCGTATCGCCGCGTGATTCTCACCACTAAGGGATTTGCATGAGGACGTGATGAATATATTACAGTCAACTTCAATTTAAATCAGCTTAATCTAGCTTCTATTATCTGCAAATCTGAATGCTATATGCCATAATCCGTAATGTAACTACTTAACTCATGGTTGAGTATTTCCAGTTACTCACCATACGTTCAATGCTATATATGAATCTACATCTGCAAAGCGTGGCCGTGGTATTTGCTGGGCGTAGCGTCGAATGCCTGGCTTTTGACGCCAGTTCGCTCAGGGAAGCCATCAAAAGACACGGCGTAGGTGGCGACGGAGTGGGAAATAAGCTGCAACAGTCAGTATGGTTCATAACTATAACTAGAAGGTCATACCTTTGTGCTCCATTCCCAGGCAGTCAGGTTGACATTGCCCACGTCGTCACACAGCTGGTGGTAGCACGGGTCAAACGCAACGCCAGCCTTGCCGCCAAACATTTCCTCCTCCTCCTTGGTCTTGATCACCTCGGCACCGGTTGCGATGCCACCACCGGGGATACCGTTCTTGATGAATCCATCGTAGTCGCTTCGTCCGTCAAAGGGAATGAAAGTGTAGTTCAGTCCGTTGGACTCGTAGAAATCAATGTACAAGTCACGCAACTCCTCCGATCCAACAGGGTTGGCAGCATTGGTGGCATTGTAGATTTGGTACGCGAAGTTGGGGCCAGCCATCATGTCATAGTCCATGAAGAGACGGATCTTCAGGTTCTCATCCTCGGGGAGGACAGAAACGTAGTAGTCCGAACCGAGGAGACCTTCTTCTTCACCCGCCCACCAGGCGAAACGCACGCAGTTGTTGACACGGTAGTTGGTCAGTTGGGTAGCAACCTCCAGCAGACTGAGGGAACCGGATCCGTCGTCGTTGATACCAGGGCCAGCCTCGACACTGTCACTGTGACCACCCAGCATCACGCAGTTTTCGGGGTCACCTTCGGTGGTTTGGGCGATGACGTTGGTAGTGGTGATGGACTCGACGGTCGCGTCCATAAAGGCAATAGCATCGACCTTGTCTCCGTTCTTGAGCTGCTTGAGGTACGGCGCGGCATCAGCCTTGGAAATACCAAAGCTAGCCACATGGTACGGAGAGGGTGTACCCAGGGTACCGCCAAAGTCACCTTCCTCGTTATTGTAGATGACAGCAGCGAGGGCGCCGGCTCGTCCAGCCAACTCAGACTTGGTACCGAACGGACAGGTACCACGGCTGATGAATGCAATCTGCCCGGTGAGATCGGTCGGGTAGTCTGATTTCTCGCATCCAAAGTTGGACACGAGGGCAAGAGGACCGTACACAGGCTCGTGGTCTTTGGTCGGGGGCGTCAAAGCCATGGGCTGAGCAGACTCGGGCACATCACGGCCGATGACGAGACGGGATTCTTTCACGTTGCCTGTGACGGCGGGGAAATCCTGCGTCGACAGATTGTAGTAATCGCCCAGAGCGTCGATTGTGTCGTAGATGTACTTGAGGGTTCCGCGGTGGCCTGGATGTATTAGCGGTCAACAGAGTAGCTGTTGATGTAGCCATACCTGGACTGCCGATGACTCGTGTAGGATGGCCGAATTCATCGATACTCGACTCGGCAATGTGGTAGAGCTCTTTGGCTCTGCTGAGCAGGTTGTCTGCGTGAATCGTCTTTTGCAGCGATGCGGAGTCAACCAGTTCCCGTCCAGCTACACCGACAGGAGCCTGGTGCTGCGGCTGGTGCCCAAGGGGCAATTGGAGGGCCGAAGCCTCTCCGAAAAGCAAGAGAGCAGCAGTAAGTTTGGCAAGAGCCATGATGAAGCTCTCTGATACAAGAAGATGGATAGAGAAGAGAAAGAGTCACAGGTTGAGAGCTCCGGAGCTGATCAGCTGCTCTGGCGTCACTTCAGCTGACCGGCGATCATTGGCGGGAAGATTGTTGTTCCCAAAGGAGGGCAGCCAATGATCGGGCGTGTTGATATCGTGTGGATCTGGGATCTGCCCGCTGATAGGCTAGAATGCAGCTCCTTGCATCGGGTTATCTGAGGGTGCATTCTGGTCTCTGATTGGTTAGAGCAGTCCGAGAGAGTCACGAGATGTCGCCATCATCTGGTTATTTTGCTCATTTTCTGTATATTTATGTTACATTAGGATGAGAAGAGATGGTCAATAAATCAGGGGGTTGAAGGAGTGGTGGATGAACGTGAATGGTACCTGGCATATATATCTCCGCATGTTCATCAGGCACAAACACCATAGCTCGACTATCTTGATTACCAGATGCATAAACAAACCGAGTACAACTCAGATAGTTATAAGTATGTGAGTAGCATTCCAACAAAAGTCAAAAAAGAAAGAGAACCAGTCGTTTTTATAATGAGAAGAAAAAAATGCAAAAAAATGGACTCGCGGGGAATCGAACCCCGGACCACTCCCATGCTAAGGGAGTATTATACCACTAAACCACAAGCCCATTGGATGAAGGACACGTGAGTTAAGTGTTATACCACCCAATTCACATCACAGGAAATAAAGTCAATCCATATCGAATTGGCCAATCAGATTAGCAGCTGGAACCATGCCTTGGTTCATTCATGCCCTCGTGGAAACTGGATTGTGTTTCCATATATCTCTTGGTATTCTCATTCTCAGTATAGATGCGATTAGAGAATCAGACGCAATTGGATCACTGATGCTAGGATAGATTCCTTATCGCCAGTTGACCGCAATTCTGATCCACAGTGGCGTTCGTGAATCTGATCTGCTTATACAGACATCGCAGTGGGTCTGAATTTTCATTCCATTTTTCATCCCGTGTGTCTCCCTCGGAATCGCCCGTAAGTCAGCTGTAGACACTCACAATGGCAGTCGGCGCAGTCACCGCCATCCTCAAGCCCAGAGCAACAGTGAAAGATGGCTCTCTTAACCAGCCCTGGGTGCATCCCCATGTTTCCCAAAGTCAAGATCCCGTCAAAGGCCGGCAGCTCCACGTTACGGCGCCCATTGCAACTGGAGAGATCCTCATGGCCGACACTCCGTATGCTGTGATTCCAGTAGTGGACGATCCCATCAGCAGCACCGAGATCTTATGCAGTAATTCCACCTGCCATCGCAAGGTGTCGAATAGAGTCACCTGTCCGAACCATTGTGTGCCAGAAGTCCTCTGGTGCAGTGATATCTGCCGGGAAGCCGACAGAGCCCGTCATGGCTTCGAATGCGCCTGGCTCAAGACAAAGGGTGCGGTGCTACGCTCCAACGAGGGCGAATACTACTTTGGTGTGCTTTGGCTGATTGTGCGAGTTCTGGCCGCACGATCTGTCGAGTCCAAGTCTGTGCGAATAGGCAGAGAAAAAGAACGATTCTCCAGCGGCTGGACCGCGATGAAAGAGCTCTGCGATAACCGCGGATTATGGCCTGAAGCTGAACTGGTGCAATGGAGGATGCTGGTGGAGAAATATCTCTGCGATCAGTCCTTACAGACCAGCTTCAGTGCAGAAGAGATGTTGACTTTGATCTGCCAACAAGAATCAAATTCATTCGGTTTATATCCCCGTGCGACTGGGCTGTCTGATGGCATCGATCGAGGGGAACAATATGCAGCAGCCATCTATCCGAGATCATCCATAGCAAATCACTCCTGCTGTCCGAATGTAAGTCTAATGTATGATATTTATTGAATGTATATACTAACAACAGCAGATCACGCACAAACCAGATGAACAAGGACGGATGGTCTTCACGGCATCCAAAGACATCGCAGCGGGCGAGGAATGCTGCATTTCCTACTTTGACCTGTCGAAATGCGTCGATGTCAGCATGCGACAGAAAAACCTCAAAGAATTATTCTCTTTTGGCTGCCAGTGCCAGCGATGCGTGGCTGAACTGCCGTCCGAAGAAGAGATCTGGGGTGCTCTTCCTTTTTGTTGAGATATGACGACGATATAGACTATATATGATGAATGCTTGGATCATCGCTGCCTATTTTTTTCACCTCACATCACCACATTTAATCTAGATAATCTATCCCATCTCATCTATTATCAAACTCTCAAAATGGAAAAACTCCTCTCTATCCTGCTTCTCCTGGTCCTCCCTGTTCTCCCAGGCATCCTCCTCTATCTCCAAACCCCCAAACCCTCCTGCCATCCTCCCCTCTGCACAACATGCCAGAAGAAAATCTCCCGATCTGCTCGCACTGCTCGCTATCCCCAAGACCAAGATGCCCTCATCTGCCGTATGCCCATCGAGGTCATCTTGCACATCGCCCAGATGCTCCCACCCGACTCGACGGCCGCGATGGCCCTCACCTGCCGATCCATGCTGGATATCCTCTGGGAATACTCGCTGGAAGCGAATAAGAAACACGGCTGCAGTTTCTGACTCTCGTGCAGCCAGAGATGAACGAGCATGTTCTGTGCCACTCCTGCGCGGTCTTTCACGACAAAAGCTCCATCGACACGTGCTATAATGAATCTTCCCTTAGAACCATCGACGTCAGACATGGTTTCCCGTTTACATGGGCTTTGCAGATTCGAAACTTCCACCGCTACGGAAAGAGTCACGCTGTGAACCCTCATATCCTGCATCGCAGCCATCTCGAGACACATTATACCGGGGCGGCCTTACGGTTCTCGCGGAGACGGAAGTGGGAGTATCGAACTACAGCAGATGGGATCATGATGAAGCAGCGTATTTCGGTTAGCTTCGACAGCGACGACAGGCAGATCCAAGAGGAAGAAGCCTTTGGGTCGGACTATTTCATCTGCCCTCATCTCGAATGGGAGGAAGTGTTTAGCAAAGACCGTCTGTCAGAGAAACAAGAGACGGGAGTCAAGTGTACTGTCTGTCGGGCAGAGCTTATATACAGACTCGACCAACAGACCGAGGGACAGGACTTTCACGTCACCACCTACCACCTGCTTGGCTATTGTCGTGATCCGTTTGAAAGCCAGTGGTGTCCGGTTACTGAGAGACACGCTGAACCTAGCCGTCCTTTGTATTTGAAGAGTGTTGGACCACTACGAGCCTCCTTTGACGCGAGTCCAGCATTGCCAACGCCCTGCTATGCAGAATGCATGGACAGTTGTTGAAGCGAGAAATGCTCGAATCAGTCGTGTAGTTAGATTTCACATTGCATGCACTGTATCACCGCATATGTAAGGACGACTATATAAATGGCATGGCTATTGGCTATGGGAGAAAAGTACTCCATACTGTCTGATAATAACTCGCTTTCCAGGTCAATAGGATTGGACTGATAGATAGAATATAAATATTGCTCTCCCAATAATTGACAGTTGTGGCAACTGGCCGGGATCCTCATGCAATAAGCCTTTGATCTGCGTTCTATTGAAGCATTGACCCTATCGAGTGTTAGCAAAGATTACCGAGGCTGATCCACCACAATGTGGCAGTTCGAATACCGGGAAGACAGGAATTTGACAGCAGAGAACCAGGGAACTAGTCAGTCTATTGTCGATCCTATCCGGATTGAATGCCACCTGTCACATTGCACGGCCGTCTCCCCCTTGCAGCCAAATCAATTGACTTTCGCTTTCCGTAGCGTGTGGCGATGATATGATCGATGATATGATCGATGATCCGGGGCATCCTCTAGATCAAGCTGAGTGTAACTAAGCGAATGAAATCCCGGATGCTATCCGCAGGGGCTACCAGGACTGTAAGTGGAGTCTGCAGAGACAATACGGGGTAGTCTGCATGATGCATCAGATTCTAATCCTGCATGCTGACCTATTGGCACCCCTTTTTACTTTATACTGCGTTTATACTGCTATTTAACTATATCGTCTTCTATGGCAGTCCACGGGCGTGGAGCTGACAGACAGACACTGCCATCATGGAAGCTGGTGATGACGGATACCTGCGACACAACCTGAAGCATGTGGTCATCACAGCGACGTGTTTTGCTTTTGTCTTGTCGACGGTGTCAGTGGGGCTGCGCATTCTGTCGAGACGGATGGTGAGGAGTGGTTTGTTTATGGATGACTTTCTGATCATGTTGGCTTTGGTGAGTATCAACCTGTATAAGATAGACGAGTCTGACTGTGTAGGTCTTTGAATTTGGCATTTGCGCTGCTGGTGTTGTCTGTAAGTGGTCTGTCTATCTATACTGATCGATACTGACTTGATAGTGTTGTACAATGGCCTCGGAGTGCACATTTCTGAAGTCCCTCCCAACCAACTCACCATCTATCTCAAGGTATCTCCATCATCCCCTATACACTTGTATATCGCTAATTAGTAGACCCTCGCCTCCGGCTCTTTCCTCTACACCCTCTGCGTCGCCTGCATCAAACTCTCCATCCTGGCCCTCTACAAACGCCTCTTCCCCATCAAATTCATGGTCAACTCGGTGAACTTCGTCGCCGCCCTCCTCGTCCTCTGGGCCTTTGGCGTCTGTCTCATCGGCGCCGTCACCTGCATCCCGTTTGAGAAATTATGGAATCCCATGATTCCCGGTGGCTGCATCGATCTGCCCAAGTTCTACTACGGCTCGCAGGTGCCGAATATTGTTTCTGACGCCGTCATTCTCGTCATGCCCATGCGGGTCGTGTGGTTGCTGCCGATATCGAACAAACAGAAGACGCTGTTGTCGGGGATTTTCGTGCTGGGGTTTTTGTGCGTCTTCCATCACTGTTGAAAAGATATCTGCTAATGCGTATAGAACCCTCATCTTCGATATCGTCCGTCTGGTTACGCTCATCCAGCTATCTGAAAAAGGAAACGATGTGACATGTACGTTCCTCCACCATCTCTCATCTACACCCACTCACAGTATATACAGACAACCAAGTCCCATCCAGTGTGTGGACATGCATCGAGCCAGCCGTCGGCATCACCGCAGCCTGTCTATCGAACATGCGCCCTCTCTGGGCCCTGTTCACCAAGAAGTACTGGACAGCGCCGGATTCGACGTCGCGAGGAAGCGCCGTCAAGGAGACGCTGGCTGAGTATCAGGGGAGGTGATATTTGTAATGTTTATGTATATATGATATGTAATTTAATTGAACTGTTCTATCTGTCAATCTTGAAGCTTATTCCACCGTCGAATGCTGACATCACTGCCAACTGTTCCCTATCGTTTCCGACCAAATGACGTAAGGCTGTGTTGATCTGTTGATCGCATCTTGGTTCGCGCAACCGTCTTTATGGATTGATACTTTGGCTATGAAAGATGGATGATGCTCTTTCAATAGATTCATGTTAATCATGACCGTATAATTTATCATTCTGTATTAAAGTGGATAAAGAAAGTCGTGCAGATGTCGCATACCTAATCTTAATTTGTAGATTACCCGCCTCCTAGTCTATATTCTAGAACAATAATCTCCAGTCAACAGACCATCGACCGTATCTGACTTCTGAGTTGATCTCCGACATCGCAGCATCTATCTGTCAGATTATACAAGGTTTATCTTAGTTTTTACACAGTCTGTCCGATGAGGGGCAATGTCTCGCATGTTGCAATCGCGCAATCTCCGAAGTGAGGGGTTGAGAGGGGCGAGAGGGGTAAAGTGGATTTCCGTCCATGTCGTTAACGTGCGTCTATTGATCGTGAATCATTCTATCTGCCTATTCTTCATTATTCTGCATGTGCCATTCAACCGTCCTCTTTAATCCATCTTGTAGAAGAACAACTGGTGCCCATCCCAGAACCTCCTTGGCCAGTGTAATCTGAGGCCGTCGGACGGCCGGGTCGTCCGTGGGACGGGGGTGATAGGTGATCTTCACCTTGGGCTTGCCGGTCATCTCGGCCACCAGATCCGCCGTTATCTCCGCCAGCTGCTGGATGGTGAATTCGCCATCGTTGCCGATGTTGACGGCCCCAGCGGCATAGTCGCTGTTCATCAAGCGATACAGCCCCTCCATGCAGTCGGTGACATATTGAAACGATCGCGTCGCCGATCCATCGCCCGTGATGCGGATATCCTCGCCAGCCAGCGCAGCCGTGATGAAGCTGGAAACCACTCGTCCGTCGCTGCCATTCATGCGGGGGCCGTAGGTGTTGAAGATGCGCGCAATGCGGATTTGTGCGTGGTGCTTTTCGCGGTACGCATAGCACAGGGCTTCGGCTACTCGCTTGCCTTCGTCGTAGCAGGACCGAGGACCGAAGGGGTTGACATTTCCCCAGTACGATTCGGGTTGAGGGTGGACATGAGGATCACCGTAGACCTCTGTTATTATCAATTATCAATTATCAGTTAGTTGTGCTTGTTCAGTGCTCGTATTGCATTTTTATTGTGGGTGGAGGGGTAACCCACCGGACGTGCTGGTGTGGAGAATGCGGATGTTTCGGGCCACAGCCAGATCGAGCAGATTCTGTGTGCCGATAAAGCAGGTCCTCAACGTTGAGACGGGGTCTTTTTGGTATTGGATAGGACTGGCAGGGCAGGCGAGGTTGTAAATCTGGTCGATCTGGAGGTCCTCCAGGGGGGTTTGGATGTCGAGACTGGAATACGTCAATATACGTCAGTGTGGGATCCCCACCGATCGCTTCGATCATACCTGATGAACTTGAATTTGGGATTGTTCTCCAAATGCTTCAGCTTCTGAGGGGAGCCGGTCTGGAAACTATCGAGTCCGATAACCTCATGGCCTCGTTCGAGGAGGAAATCGACCAGGTTGGATCCGAGGAACCCCGCGGCCTTCAGATTCGATCAGCAATTGTCTTCAGGATTATTGCTTGGGACACTCACGCCGGTAACAAGGATCGTGAGGTGTTCTGACATGTTGGAATGCAGGAATATGCAGCAGTCAATCAATCGTAATCACGAGCGTTGTCTTTTTAACCTGGTTGGGGACGGCTACATATGTGTGTGGGAATTTTGCCAATGGCAGCGATGATCGGCCCAACACGCGACAACCCATGGATTCACCATCCGTAGACCTGAAAGATCCAGCTGCATTTAATTTCCTGTGCAGCCCAATGAGACAGAAATTTCGTGTGCGACCCAGCGGAGAGTGGCTCAACCTCAGCCGCACCCAGTGATTTCAGCTCCCCCACGGCTGATCTCTCAGCGATCGGCGCGTTTTGTGCGATTTCCTTATGGCTGAAGACCAACAGCTGAGCGCACCGCGGTTCGCATGATGCAATCTAAATATTGCGTCTGCAAATAGCGGGACTTGGAGAGCTGAGGAGTGGAGAGTCGGCAGTGCCATCTGGTGCAATTGGTTCGACTCTGGGGTTCGGTTCGTCCGACGGGGGGGCAGTGATAGGGATTTCGCATATATAATAGCCGCCCCGACGGCAGAATACGGATTTGTTTTTCATCAAAATAGTTGGAAGTTTCCGAGTTCATCATGATCCGCAAGGTTGTATGCATCGGTGCTGGCTTCGTCGGTAGGTGCCCTGACATTCCCATAATTTTACTATGGATAAATACTGACCTTTCAGGCGGCCCTCTGGGATCCGTCATTGCCTACAAATGCCCTGATGTTCAAGTCACAATCGTGGACAAAAACAAAGCCCGAGTCGATGCGTGGAACTCCGACTGCCTGCCCATGTTTGAACCAGGGCTCGAAGATCTCATTTCCAGCATCCGTCGACGACCACAAGAACCCCTCGGCAACGATGCAAACGCCTGCAACCTCACCTTCTCGATTGATGTCGAAAATGCCATTGAAGAGGCAGACTTGATCATGTTGTGCATCGACACTCCCACGAAGCGATTTGGTATTGGACAGGGCAAGGCGCTCGATCTGACTAACATCCAGGCGGCTGTGAGAACCATCGCCCGCGTGTCTAAAACAGACAAGATTGTAGTGGAAAAGTCTACTGTTCCATGCGGGACAGCAGACAAGATTCGCGATCTGGTATGCTTTTTCCGTTAGTCCGCTGCATGAATTTGATCTTGGTACTGACATGTATAGCTCTACTCCACATCCCAGAATGACTGTCGCTTTGAAGTCCTCTCAAACCCCGAATTCCTATCCGAAGGAACAACGATCAAGGACCTACTTCATCCATCGCGAGTTTTGATCGGACATCAACAGACGCCCTCCGCAACCAAGGCGGCTGAAGAACTCGCCTCGATTTACGAACGATGGACACCGTCCAATCTCATCGTCACGATGGACCAGTGGTCTTCGGAATTATCGAAACTAGGCGCAAACGCCATGCTAGCACAGCGACTGAGCAGTATCAACTCTCTGAGCGCCATCTGCGAAGCTGTCGGAGCCGATATCAACAGTGTATCCGAAAGCTGTGGACTGGATCCTCGCATCGGCAATCAAATGCTGAGAAGCACACTCGGATGGGGTGGAGGATGCTTCGAAAAAGACGTCTTGTGTCTGGTATACCTAGCCGAGAGCCTGGGACTGACAGAAGTCGCCAACTACTGGGCTGCCGTCGTCGAGATGAACAACTACCAGAAATCGCGGTTTTTCATGCGCATCGTCGACTGCATGCACGGATGTGTCGGTGCTAAATCCATCGCTATCCTGGGATTTTCATTCAAGAAGAACACCTCCGACAGCAAATGCTCAGCGGCTATTCCCCTCGCTCAGAACCTGATCACTGAAGGTGCCACTGTCTCGGTCTACGACCCTATGGTTCAGGCTGACCGCGTGGTGGCGGACGTGAATCCTTCTAACCCCTCGGCTCTTCGAGTATGCACGACAGCCTATGAAGCATGCGAAGGAGCGGATGCCATTGTGATTGCAACCGACTGGGACGAGTTCCAGACACCCATGTCAAATGGTGATATCCAAATGTCCGACACAAAGCGCAACACAGAGGATTTCCAGTCTCCCCCACCAACGCCCGACGGCGAAAAGCATCTTGACTGGAGCCGCATTATGAGTGGCATGCAGGAGCCCAAGTTCATTTTTGATGGAAGAAACATGCTGGATGGGCACTACCTGAAGAGATTGGGGGCTCGCTATCACCGGATTGGCAGCCGATCGACAAGCAGTTGACGACATTCACATTTTATCTGTTTTTAGCGTTTCTATACCAGCGATGATTTTGATTATATCCTGTTTTATGCTAGTTTATCAGACTCGACAATAGAACTAGACTCATGATCAATGTTCAAGTCAAGTTATCTTTTGATCGGGCTGTTCCTATCAACGTCCACAGCGTGTCGTGCATTGCCGATAGGTCCATGCGGAGATGCCCGACCGCAATATTTTGTGATTAAAAGGTCGAGAGTGTGGGGTAGTGATCTGGAGAATAGATAAATTCACCTCTTGATCACTGATTAATGTCAAGGCCATCCGTATACCCATCCACCATGCAAACTCGATACGTCGACCGCCCGATTCCCCAAATCTCGCTGCGGGATTTCGACCATCGCATCGACGAGATAACAGCAGAGCTAATCCATGCCGCTGAAAATGTTGGCTTCTTCACACTGATCGACCATGGCATCCTCGTCCAAGATATCGAAGCCATTTCCGCGACGGCAGAATGTTTCTTCAATCTCCCCGACAACGTCAAGGCCACTGTGCCCTGGAACCCGAATAATGTTGGATGGGAGAAGAACTCACAAGTGCGTCCGTCGACAGGCCAGCCCGATACAAAGGAGTCGTACCAGCTGCAATTTGGCGAGAACATGACCGACCTATGGATGGGTGATGAGCACCTCCCGGGGTTCAAAGAGCAGTCGTTGGACTTTATGCATCATGTTCAGGAAGTTTCCGAGCGACTAATGAGATGCTTTGCACGGGGCCTTGGATGTCCAGAAGACCTCTTCATCAAATGTCACGACATCAAACGGCCTAATGCGCAGACGACGATGCGCTTACTGCATTACTTTGCCCTGCCCGAAAAACCCGACGGCAAAACCTACCACCGTGCAGGTGCACATGCCGACTGGGACTTCCTGACCCTGCTATTCCAAAGAACCGGGCAGAGTGGTCTGGAGATCTGCCCCGGCCGCGAAGTAGTGACCGAATTTGGCATCGGTGACGAATGGACCAAGGTTGAGGCAAGAACGGGGGACATTGTCTGTAACATTGGAGATTTGCTCATGTCGTGGTCAGATGATCGCTTTAAGTCAACTTTCCATCGGGTCAAGGCTCCTTCGGAGGAGGGAGATTACTATGGTCATCGGTTCAGTATTGCATATTTCAACCAGCCGTGCAAGGATTCGCTCATCCAGGGACCGTTGAAGAAGTATCCGTTGGTGACAGGGGAGGAGTTCACGGCCAATGCGATGAAGAGGAACTTTGCAGCGTTGCAGGAGAAGCTGAAAGAATCGGCCTAGTTTATCCTTTTGTATAACCCATAGTCAGTTCCAAGTTGGTGAAAGGAGAGACAGCGTCGAGAGATACGTGTTCCAAGAAATACTATAGCCACTCTGATCCTGATTCATGTTCCATTCTCAGTTTGTGATTTTTCAAAAGCAGCAATTCCATGGCTGTGCCATATTTCCCAAATGTCAAACGGGAAAGGTGGATAAGAAACCCGCGATATTGCAAGGTACAGTGGATAATATATCCGCTGCGTCAACGGAGATATCAATCGATCGCCGGACATCCCCACCTTTTGATGGAACCAGGAATGGCACAACGCAAGATCGCCCTGATATGTTTGGCCATGACCGGTGCTTTGAGACCCGAGCTGGTCCATCCTAGGAGTTAACGGGGAAAGCCTAGCTGGAGCCTTTCGGTTCAGGGTCAAGGGCAACACAAGGGAACCGCGGGATATCCAAATCGACTGATAGGAGGTGTAGATCCGTTTGGCGGCCATGGAGTGCTCTAGTTCTGTAGTATTTTTCAAGCGTCAGCTGATAAGGGATCGTTAATAGATGATTCTTGACCTAAACTCAGCTGAAGATACGTAGCGTAGTTGCGTATAGGACTCTGAACGGCTCCGTGACTTATCACATCCTATATTTGTCAATAAGGAAACAAATAAAAGAAGGGAATATTCCAGAAGTGGGAGAGCAGAGTGTTTGTTGTGGGAGGAGCAGAGGCTCGCTTGTCTGCATTCACTGCTTCGTTTGCCCCAATGTTTTCATTCCACTCACCACTCATCTTCGAGGTTCCAACACCTCGTCGTCTTATCCAGATACTCTCATTCCACTGAAAAGCCTATTCTCTATCAAACACCATGGCGGCAATACCGGACGAAACGATAACCATCGGAACCCCTAGCGATTTGACTGTCAAGATAATCGAGTATGAGGTCAAAAGGGAATTTCGGACTGACCCAGAAACAAATGAAGATCGTGTCATCACGGAGCGAACCCCCAAGAAGAGCGCCCTTATTCAGGTCTCAAGGGCTAAGTTAATCCAAAACAGCGAATATTTCAGAAGGATGCTTAGCAGTCGCTGGTCAGGATCGGACAACACCATCTCCCTCGAGGAGGATACGATAAAGAGTATGGAAGTCTGGTTTCGCCTTTTCCACGGTAATCTGTCCGCTATGCCATGCGGATCTGTTTCTGTCCCTGAAATGTGGCACATTATCATGGCGGCCGACAAGTACGAATTTGATCGCACACGCCTCGAGAGTTGGTTTGACGACTGGTTCTTCACCCAGCAGAACAAGGCTATGACCAAGCTTAGTCTCAACCAACAGCTGCTTTTTCCTTGTCACTACTTCAACTGTGCCTGGGGATTCAAGATTCTCACAAAGGAGCTTGTCTACAAGTATCCTCATCATATCACTGAGATCAATCCGACAAGCCACCACCAGATGCATCTTCCCCACCGAGTTATTCGTAAGTCGTCCCATCATTTTCTTTGGTATGATATATGTCCAAGCTGTGCTAACATTCCCAAAGAGCAGTTGAACGCTGCAAAGGGCAGACTTCGCACCATTCTCCAGCGCGGACTTTTCTCACAGGTCTCAAGCATCGTCAACTACGCCATTTGTGATTGCAAGGAAAAGACGGTCTTCAACTATTTGAAGGAGATACAGAACATCAATGTGAGACCACTGGATGAGACGCTTTCTAGGACCAGTGTTCAGAGGAATCTTGATCGCTTGGGACAGTTCAATGAAAGCAATATGCGGCCGAAGAAAGACTCGAATGTCATTTACAAGTCTGTGGAAGAAGAATGGGGCGAGAAACCATCCGCTAAAGACTGTATGGACTGTGACAGGTCTTGGGGGGAGGTGGTGAGAAGGGCACGCAAAGAAACGGCCGAGTACTTCGATGGGCTTTGTCTGGATTGTATGAACACCACCAAGAATATCCGGCTCCGCGGCGACGAAGACGATGACTATTGGCTCCATAACGAAGGGCGGGACAGGTATGATGACGGTTGCAGAATCAGCCACGGCCAACCAACCTGGTATTTCAGCTTCATGGGAAGACGAGAGAAGCGCGGTCAGTTTGTCTGATGCAGATGCACAATAGCAGATCAAGCCATAGTCATAGTTTCAATCTGGGTAGTCTAGTTGAATAAATTCTTGCATCATCTCTACATGAAGATTACAAACGTACGATTAGTATTGCAGCAGTGATATTCAAAGCCATAGAACCCGAGACAAATATGATACATAGTCATCGTTCAGTAGATCAGCTTATCCTCTAGTCCTGACCTATATTATCAGAGCAGAAAGATTAGAAATGCCATTTCTGGAAGTCGTATAGACCTTGTTTGCATCCATGTTCTACATTGGCGAAGGGATACGTGCAGCGAGAGCTGGGACTGAAAAGAAGACATATAAGTCAAAATAAAGAAGAGCTGGCACCGACGACAGAGGGTACTGGTGGCTCAGTGCGAGTACACTCGGGCTTTAACCCTTTGGCGTTAAAACTCCTCAAAGGCGCTATTGAGTCGAGTTGTTAGGTATGCAAAATCCCTTCGTTCGTCGTCTCCAGCCTGCGGTTCAACACCTGGGTTGGAGTGTCTGACGTTTCATGGACCAAGACAAGTGTAGGGGTTTTCTGATCTCCTGATCCCAATCACGTGGAGGAGAGATGTTTTTGCCATATGAAATAGTATATCTACTTTCCTTTTGACTTGATTTCTCTTGATTATGGTGGTTTTTTCATGTCTATCAGAGTTGACGCTGGACGGCCATCCCCAACTGGATATCAACAGAAAACATGAATGTGATGCCAGTACATCGCTCGCCCTCTAACTGAAAACTACGCTAATTTGGCTGCCGGGCGTTCGATTCTCGCCTTCATCCTTTTGTTTTTTTCTTTTCTTTTCACAATATTTTTCTACCATGCCTCCGATCTGCCACGGATTGAAGAATCGAAACGTCTTTATATAGGAAAGTACCCCTTTACTTCTCTGACAGCAGAGCTGCTGATATTTAATATTTTGGCCATTTGATGGGAGAGTAATAGGGCGTTGCTATATCAGAGTACGAAACAAGCCCCTTGCTGATATCAAATCGAGGCCCTTTGGAGTCGTACCAAATCGCAGAAACTTTACGACGCTGCGAGCTTATTTAAAATTTGAGAGGACTAGACTTACTGCCAGAAATCTATCTATCAAGAACAGACAACAAAAGCAAACCGTGGTAGCCCACGCTTGGAAGGGAGATCTGCCAGCAGAGTGGGTGCCTCAGTCACCAAGGCCCTTTGTTGACAGTCCGTCTCTCTTTTGCTCGTCCCTCTTGACCTCTTTCTCTCCACTCCCCCTCTCCAGAGACTAGCCATAAACCAGATTGTTGACAGTATGCTGGTACATGAACCGATTCGGTGTTATCATGTTGTGGAACCGTATTCTCGACAGCTTGTTATCTAGACGACAGACTACCAGGGAAAAGGTAAACAAGCTTCTGCCCATATCGAAAGGGAATCATCGAAAGGCTGACATACCCCACAAAAGACAGGAGACCAGTGCTATCTGAATTCATCGCCCTCTTCGAAGCCCTTTGGCATATATCACCTCGATGTACACTGTTTGTGCCGCGAAGACCACGGGAATGCGTGTCCTCGACTCGACTACCCTGAAAGGTTACGACAGGAATAGCCTTAAAGAAATCTTGCTGGAGGGACAATAGAATAGAGAACTACAGGCGATCTTGACGACATGGATTGAAAGAAGCTTGAATAAGTGTACTCCCTTAAAGCACTTACTCTATCTTGCACGAGGCATCCGTGCCAACAGAACAATACCTACGAAACTGCACGACTTTCTTTCCTACATAATGTCCTGCATTCTTTCTCTTCATCGCATTGATTGGTCAATTACTCGCAATATTCAGGCAGCTATAAAGCTGGGTGGAACCAAGGAAAGAGAGGGATTCGACAAAATCGATGACAAAATGTTGGATGTTGCAGCCACAGCATCTATGATGCTGAAACCACGTCGATCTCCGCCTGTCAAAAATATAATTTAATTATTGATTTCAAATCGGTTGAGATCCACCGAAAATGCCGAGTGAGTAGTGCTTACAAGCTGCTAAACGTCAGGGTTGTATCTCCGCTACATCCGAGATGCGCGATGATCATCCTTTTACTTCCACAACCACTGCTTTCGAATCGAATTAATGCGACACCCCTTTCAAATAAGATTATGGAAAGATTAAAGCTCCTATCGATGTGAATGACCAGCAATGAGCGGCTGCCACCTGCACTGGGCAGGTCTACAGGTAGTAGTGATGTAAAGTGCTTACACCCAATCCTTGGTAGCGCTCTTGGCCATGCAACCTGCTTACAGCAAGGCAGATGAATCTAACACTTCATAAATCCTTATCTTTCCTCTTAAATAGAAATGATTTCTCTCATCGATATAAAGCCATGCAACACATCATGAATTCCATTCAAAACAGCGTGGCAGGAAATTATAGTCAACCTCTACGCTTCACAGAAAACGGATCCTTTCAAATCTCGATATTCTCCGATCTCCACTATGGAGAATGTATGACAGTCATCTCCACAGCGCGCATCACATTATATTAACTGCTGCAACAGCCGAATCCTCCGTGGGCCCTGAGAATGACGCCCGAACGACCAATCTCATGCAAAATATCGTCACCACCGAAAAGCCACAATTAATCGTCATCAACGGCGACCTGGTATCCGGCGAAGCGACCGATCGGTCGAATTCTACCTCCTACGTGGATCGCGTGCTGGGGCCGTTGGTGGATTTGGATATCCCATGGGCGTCTACGTACGGGAATCATGATAGTGATAGGAATCTGTGCCCGGCGGATGTGTTTGAGCGGGATACATCGTATGCGAACAGTTTGACGCAGAGCATGGTGGATGATTCTGGGGCGGGATTCACGAATTACTATCTCCCGGTGTTTCCGCATAATTCGTCTATCGATGTCCCGGAGATGATATTGTGGTTTTTCGACTCGCAAGGCGGAAATACCTGCGTTCAAGATGACGATGACACTTCCAAGTCGCGACAAAACTGGATCCATCAATCGGTGAGTGATTCATCAATTCAAACAAACCAGACTAACAGCCCAGGTAATCGACTGGTTCATCCACACCAACGCAAATATCTCGACACAATACAACACGACCATCCCATCCCTTGCATTCGTCCATATACCGGCCTACGCAATGCGCGCATATCAACAGACCGGTATCGACAATCGCATCAAACCCCGCATTAACGGCGAACGCGTCAATCAGCAAGGGTACCTTAGCAGTGACGACGACTACACGGGGCAGGATTTTGAGTTTATGAAAGCATTGCTGGAGACGAAGGGGTTAATCGCGACATTTAGCGGTCATGACCATGGGAATGATTGGTAGGTTTTATCTTTAAACCTTGATGAGCGGGTATTGACCGAGTCAGGTGTTTTAACTGGAATACTCAACTCCCCACGATGAACTTGACCGGAAATGGGTTGAATATGTGCTATGGTCGACACACTGGGTACGGAGGATATGGCGATTGGAGTCGAGGTGGACGACAGGTTTTACTCCAGCAGGAGCAGAATGCCACATCGTCTGTGCAAACCTGGATTCGACTAGAAGATCAAACGGTCACTGGTCGGATGGGGTTGAATTCGAAGTCTAATCTGAATCCGACGGAGAATTTGACCAGCACAGCTAGCTCGATGGAGGTGCCTTTGCTATCTTTGGTTTATTTATGGGTGGTGTTGGCTTGGCTGATATAGATTAGATTATAGATGCAATAATGGATACATTAATCCTGACGATGCCATCGTAAAGCACTGTTAAAAGCAGCATCGACATCAGATCGTCGAAAACCCGGTGCTCGACCCAGGATGACCATTCCACGGACCAGCACTATTCTGTCAGTTGGATATATCAATAAGTGCAAGAAAACTTACAGTCAAAAAAGCACTGCACATCCAGAATCCCCCCATTGCTGATCCCCGGAAACAACGATGAATGCCCATCCAGACTCACTCCCCTCTCTTCCAGATAGCCCTGGACATCATGACAATCAAACCACTCACCATGCAACTGAAGCATTTCCAATCGCGCCTGAATATCCACCGACTTCTTACACTCGTCCGCAGACGAAATCCCCAGAATCCGATTCGGATAGCGCATATTCTGCGGATAAACAGCCTTTCCATCCCCATCCGCACGGGGATAATGCGTCGCCGCACCGCCGATGCAGTAGAAGGGAAGGGTAGAAACCTCGAGTCGCTCCGCCTTTCCAGCACGCACGAGACGGCGGAAGTATGGCTCCATTTTGGTCTTGTCGCGGATGCACGGGACGAGACGGAAGACACGATAAATGAGCTGAGGGTTGGTGCTGGTGTTGGTGAAGAGACGGTATGCGTGCTCGACGCAGTATCGCTGGAGACGGCGGGAGAAGTCGGGTTCGTGGAAGCTGTATGTGTAGACTGTTGTTCCTGGGAGGGGGGTGTTGAGGGAATATTTGTTTGCGAGGTCGATATCATCGTCAACATCAGCATGAGAATCAGCCTCCATAACTACCTGCTCCGGATGATATCCGAATATCGCAGCATCAGGATCTGCAATAGAACGAGAAACAGGAGAATCCAAATCCCTCTCATTCGACTCGGTCGAGCCCCTCGACGGCTCTTCAATATTCCCAGTCTCACTCTGCAACTGCCCAGTAATCAAATGCAGCTCTTTAAACAGCCCAGGATGCGTAACATGCAAATCCGACTCGACAGCCATTTGACAAAAGCCAGAAAGAGAGTCGGAAATCCTCCGCATGGATGACTCGAGCTCGACGACGCGCGAGCTCATATCGCGGAACATGGCTTCTTTTTTGAGTCGGTATGTGCGCTGCGCTGAGCGGATTTGCATACGGCGGTCCTATATTGGTTAGATCATCTATTTTGATTCTTGTTTTAAGGTTAAAGAGCCTACTTGAGATGGAGCAGTGTTGCTCGGAGGTAATCTCGGCCTCCCGCGTTTTCGGACTCGATCAGAAGCAGCCATCGGTGCCATGTTGGATAGATCGTGATCGGGAGATAGATCGGGAATATGTTCGTTGTCGTTAGTTGCACTATGATGGTTTAAGGTGGGGTGGTAGGAACGCGCCGAGAGCGTTTGGAGGAGTTGGCGATTTGCCGACATGTCGGTTTTATCCATCGATATTCATCGATGTTCTTGATGAATGTGATGGTGATTAGAATATCTCGGATAGGAGTTAAAATGTCAATCAATTAATTGGGTTGTTGGGAATCCGGGGAATTGTTGAATCCTCGGCAGAAATTGTGATATTGTAATCTCGGCAGTGGCGATTTTCCATCCATATTGACTTGAGTGCGAAACAGTACAACAGACAATGTTTTGCTGCCAACTTCAACTTCATAAAATACATGATACCCTTAATCTAGACCATTCAAGTCCACACTGATCCGATGAGTCTGCTGCTGCAAGGTATTTAATGCAGCCAGAACGAATTGTGTTAGCAGCTCATTCTGATTCGCAGCTGACTAACACATCTGCATTTCAGACACAGTAATAAATACCTTACCATCTTTCTATATATGTTGTAAATGGGCTTTGATCCATTTGCTCCAGTATTCATCTATCTGCGTGGAGGATCGTCCCTTTTGGGCCGCAACCCACAGGAGAGTGTGAGATGAAGCAGTGATACTACTTGGCACAATTGTTGTCATTGTTGAAGCACTACTTCCAAAGCAAATGTACATGATTCATTTCCACAATCCCATTAGCCATTAATAGGATGAAGATCCGCCATGGCACCTGCATTGGCACTCCTTGTCACATCCGTGTAGAACTCCACCAGCCCTGATAGAGCCAGCTGGCCGACTCCCCGATAGCTCTCCCAGGGATTCTGTCTTGATGGATCCCAGAAGCCATCCACAACAGTGATGGTCTTGTTTTTAAAAACCTGCAAAAACTCTAGAAGATTATCTGGGATATTGCTAATACCAGCCAGCATGTCAATGGCAGCCTCATCCAGTATAAAACAAGCCAGGTTGCGGGCGGGCGGGAGAAAAGCAGATATAGGATTCTCTTGATCTTCATCATCACCGTTCTTTTCGCGCAGGCATAGGCCCCTGATCTGCGCCCGGAATTCAGCGCGTACTCGATCTATAGATGCGCCATCTAGAGTATCCTGGTCCTGAATAAGATTGAATTTGAAACGACGAAGTGCCTCGGCTGTATAGATGGGGAGTGTTTCAATAGTAAGGCACCTCTCAACCACTTTAACCCAGTTAGCCATTGCCTGGAATAATTTAGTCCGTGCATTGTCAGAGTACGCTATAACAAAGACATAGTAGCCCCAGGTAGGATCATTTTCAATAGATTGCCATGCTTCAGTTTCTTTTAAAAGGTTTAGGATGACATCCATTGTGACGCTATACAAATCCACATCCCCAGGAAAAGTTGCATAGTCTGCTTGACGCTCAAGCTCTTGTATAGGTGTCACTGGGGCGTCTCCAGTAGCGGCTGGGCCAAATGATGTGAAGGCATAATGTCGCATCTCAGGGACTGGCCTTGTTGCCAGGCTGGGGTCAGGAGGATTGATCGGGCGGGCTGTCTGATTTGAACGTCCTCGACCGGTCATTTTGTTTTGCAAGAGTTGTTCGAAAGAAGGCGAAGAGGTTGAAGTCTAGGATAAGAAAGATTCAGGAGAAGCAAAACGGTCATCTCTTGTATGATCACATGCCACGTGACTGGATCAAGCACTAAACGCCTGTTTCAGATCATAGTAGTACCCGCTTCAGTCCGTGACCATTGGTATTATTACTTCCATAAAATCGATTTTTTTTATCGACTACTGTGTAAAAGAATATGAAATAAAGATATCGAGGCTGTTGTGTGATGAGATTGTGTAAATCATTGATTGTAAAGTTTGAGTTGGATATATATTTCAATGACAGACGCCTTTGCAACGTTTTTTCAAACGTAAAAAAATAAAATAAAAAAATAAAAAAATTATATATCACCATATCATCTTTATTACTGTAAATTCAAAGCATATAATGCTAAGCTATCCAACTATCTGATAGTACACAATCATAAACCAAACCATGAAGCCCCACCCTTTTGGCGTCCCCAACGAGAATCCCGAGCAATATTTCGATTATTCTATCAACGTTGACTAAAGAGTATCAAAATATCTCCCCAACGCCTTCTTGATGTCACCCTCAAACACATCATGCACTGCATCCCAGCCTGTATTCAACTGAGCAGCAGGCAGATCTCGTCGTCTCCGTGTTTCAATCGCATCCCACATAGACATATCTGCATCTTCACCCGTAGACTTCGGCAAAAGACCACAATCCATCAACATCTTCTCCGGCGGATAAGTAAGGCGACCCTTTTTAAACACATATCGGGAAACCGAAGAGGCGAATATCTTTCCTTTCGGGTTATACTTCTTCTTCGACCTCCCTCCCTGCAACACATACTCCTCGGGAGAAAACGCCCCCCTTTCCACAAAATGCGAAACCAAGTATATCCACTTCTCATCCCAGCTGAGTACCCTCGACCAGATCTCAAACGGCTGGTATGGTTTAATTTCCCGCTTGAACAAACACTGCACGCCGCCCAGGATCATCCGGACCGAGTGGGGACGGAGGATGCCCGAGGGATGGTGGCTGAAGAGGAGCAGACTGAGATTGCCGCGGGACATATCGAGATCGGTGAAATAGGTGGAATTGGACTTGTGGATGTTGTAGTCGCATTCACTCAGCGGGTTTCTGGTGGTGCTGATGGCCGGTAGGAAGAGACATTCCGGGGTGAGAGAGGTTGGGGATGGAGGGGAGATAAGCAGACGCATGGAAAGCGTGCGGAAGAAGCGGATCTGATGGTCAGTGAAGCCTTAGAATGAAGCAGATGATACGTACATGCCATATCCATGGGAGGTTCTTGTATGCTGCGAGGAGCACGATGGCACAGATGAAGAGATACATGGTGTGATGATTTGATATTCAAGAAACAGAGCAGTTAAATACTCAACTAGTTAAATACTCAACTATACCGAGATTATTAATCTGACATATCTAGAGCCGAGAAAATATTGAATAATCCACATCTGTTGGGATATCCACTATATCTAACCTAGATAGAAACATCTTCCTTTCTCCTCCTCACTCTGATTCTGGCCGTTGGAGACGCAATCCGAGTCACGGCTTGCTCGAAAAACTGTGGCTGACAGCCTGGTGCCAACTTCAGGTCGTACTTCAGCAGAATCTGGCACAGGGCAATCTTGACCTCGTGGATCGCAAAGAAGCGTCCGGGACAGGCATGGTTCCCAAAGCTGAATCCCAGATGCTCTGGAGATGGCGACACGGCCAGGGAAGATGTCTCATAGCCCGGGATCTGCCGTCGCTTGAGGAATCGGTAGGGATCGAATGTTTCTGGATCGGGATAGACGGTTGGATCCCACATTCGTTGCCCGGAGACGAGAACGCTGGTGCCCTTGGAGAGGACGGTTCCATTGGAAAGCTGGACATCCTCCGTGACGAGGCGTGCCATGGTGGCTGGTGACCTTAGTTAGACAGGGATTCAGACCGCGGAGAGGGGATCTCACCGATCAGCAAGGGCTTCAGCCGTTGGCTCTCCTTGAGCACACTGTCCATGAGGTTCAGATGGTCCATGGCTGCTTTGGTCCATCCTTCCTGCTGCACGACGGTGATGATCTCCTGCCGGAGCGCCGCAACAGTCTCGGGGCGGTTGCAGAGATCCAGAAGAACTTGGGTTAGCATGTCCGTGGTGGTGCCGATCGCAGCAAAGGCGAAGCCGAGTTGTGCAATCGCCGGGTCGTACGGACGGCCGTTGGCACATTCTTCCATCCACTGCATCGCATCATCGTACTGCTCTGGCTCCTGGCCTGCCTGGATGGCTGCCTCCGTGGCCATCCGTCTCTCCCGATAGATGGGGGTGATGATCTCTCTGGCTGTGCGGATCAACTGTCGGGTCGTCCGGCACGAGGGCAGGAAGCGAGCCACCCACGGACGGACGAACGCAGGCCACAGATTGAGATCCCAAGTGGCACGGAACACGTGAGCCCCATACGACGTGGTGATGCGAAGCCAGTCTGGGTTACCACACAGCTTCTCACCCATTAAGATTCTGGCCGACAACTGAGAAATCAAGCTCAGGATGCTTGGCCTGAGGGTGAACTCGTGCCAATCTAGAAGCGTCAATAATGGATGGTATACCTGGCTAAATGGATATACGAACCAGGATCGTCTGTCCATTCTCTCTGTAGCGTGCTGGATGCTTGATCAACTAACCGCTGCGTCATAGCCGCTGAAGATCTCCATTAGCCATGCTCTGCCAACGGCGAAAGGAGGAATCCCAGTGGCTCACCAAGATTATGCGTCAGCTGTTTATATACAGGAGTGATAACGAAACGATGCTCGTTCGTGATTTGCTGAAATGGTTCAAATGCCGGGATATGAGTGTGGAAATCCTTTTCTATCTGGCCAGTAGTACTCAAGGCAGGGTGGCTGCGGATCTCGGTGGCATACTCAGACGCCAGGACCGTCCTGGGGCCGTTGTCGGTGATAATGGCAAAGACCGGGCTCTGGTGGAGTTAGAGGATATCTTGATAGATGAATGGGGGATATACCTTGGCTAGGCCGGCTTGGATCAGCCTGCATGCGTCCTTCGCATATCGCTTTCCGGCCTGGGTGTATCCAACCTCGAACCATTTTCTCCGATTGATCAGAGGGAGAGTCGTCTTTGGGGATGGAGACAGAAGGGAAAGAAACACGGTAACCAGAATCAAAGCACCAGTCGTGCTGATCGCTTCTGATCTGGACAGGTAGGATGCTATCTCCGCGAGCATGGTCTAGGATGGTGAAGCAGAGTAGAGTAGTTGACGGACCAGATGAGAAGTTGCCGTCCATGTTTATAACTGCTCGATCTATGAGATGACTTTCATCCTGCGGTCAATACATTGGAATACTGCATATCGCCATGGCATCATGCATGCTGACGTGGAAGTGAAGTGGCCCACTGTTCCCAAGATATAAACCTTCGATAGACTCATGTCCGTAGTGTTGAACCATCTCTCTTGCTACTTTCATACCGCTGCAATGGCATCATCCGAGTTGACTCCAGAGTATACCACCTTCGAGGCCTATCTCGACAAGGCCGTCGCGCTCTTGGTCGTTGTTGGCTGGAACTCGTGTTTTCTTCAGATGATCTACCAGTCCTTCCGGCATCGAACGTACAACATCCCCTTTCTCCCACTCTTCTGCAATGTCACCTGGGACTTTATCTACGCTTTCATGTATCCTTCCCCAACACCCATCATCCACTACACCGGTCTGCTTTGGTTCGTCTTCGACTCGATCCTTACCTATGGGGCAATGAAATTCGCGTCCAACGAGTGGTCACACGCCCCTCTGATCCAGCGAAACATCCCCCTCATCTTTGCCCTCGGCATTGCAGGAGCAGCATCCGGCCATCTCGCTTTTGTGGCCCAATTCGGACCGGTAGTCGGTTTCCGTGCTGGTGGATTGCTCTGCCAGCTGCTGCACAGTGGGGGCGCCCTCTGCCAGCTTCTTTGCCGTGGCAGCACCCGTGGCACCTCGAGCACGATATGGTGAGTTACAGCACACAGATTGCTATTTATATAGAGAAAATCAAATTTGGTGCTAATTAAAGCAGGCTGGGTCGGGCTTTGGGATCTGGTTCGCTCGCCGTTCGAACCGTCTACCGCTTCTTTTATAGACCGAATATGGCGAATATGGGCATTGAGGGAAATGGTCCACTTTACATGTGGTTCTATCTCGCCTACGTTTTTCTTGATGGTATCTATGGAATCGTGTTCTTTTTGATCAAGAGGAGTGAGTCGAGCAGCGTCAAGAAGGGCAAGGTTTACTAGGCTGCTGGATGTGGAGAATGACGATCGTATACGCATATGGTTGTTGTTTGTCACACTTCGAGGACGGAGCACGGTGAGATGTATCAGTCTTATCACTTTACTCTATTTGACAAAGTATATTCAACTACATGGCATGACCTGCAATATACTGTGCATAATGTGATATCAACTGTAGTGTACACCGCCGGTACAGCCAACGTGTTGAGATAAATATAGTATACTCGCTACATTTCGCTTTATTAGCAGTATTAGAAACACCTCGTGTAATAGTAGATGACCATCCCAGCATTATGGAGAAAAGTCAGTTCAAAGTGATTATTGTCGGTGGCTCCATCGCCGGATTGACGCTGGCGCATTGTCTGAGGCAGGCCAACATCAGCCACATTGTCATTGAGAAACGAGGGAATATCTCGCCCCAGGAAGGTGCTTCAGTCGGTCTCTGGCCGAATGGATTGCAAATATTGCAGCAGCTGGGGCTGTATGAGGATCTGGAACGATTGACGGAGCCCCTGCAAACGCTGCATGTTTCTTACCCGGATGGCTTCTCGTTCACCAGTCCTTTCCCTAGATCAATCCATGAACGGTATACTCTTTATATTGGATTTTTGAGCCTCGATGCTGATATAGTAGATTCGGTTATCCTATCGTTTTCCTGGACCGACAAAAGATCCTCCAAGTCTTGCATGAACGATACCCAGACAAGTCCAATATTCATGTCAACACAAAGGCAACGGAGATTCGACCGTCAGATAATGGCATCTCTGTTGTGACAGACGATGGAACGGTCTACCACGGCGACCTCGTTGTCGGCGCTGACGGCGTCCATAGTAAGGTCCGGTCCGAGATGTGGCGACTCTCAGATGAAAGTTCCCCGGGCTCTATCAGCCAAGATGAAAAAAAGAGTGAGCTTATTCTGGCCTTGTCTATAACTATATTGCTAATGAGTAGATATGACGGTTGTATTCGCCTGTGTCTTTGGCATCTCATCGCAGATCGACGGCCTCGTAAGCGGAGAACATACCGTCAACAACCTGGATGGGCTGACCATTCTCACATTCCATGGAAAGAGTGGGCGTGTCTTCTGGTTTGTGATCAAGAAGCTGGATCAAACGTATACCTATCCAAATGCTCCTCGGTTCTCAACCGACGATGCAGCACTTCTCTGCGGCCAGCTGGGAAATGTTCGTGTCTGGAAGGATGTCTGCATCAAGGATATATGGAAGAATAGGGAGGTCGTCTCCATGACGGCCTTAGAAGAGGGTTTCTTCCAAACGTGGCACTGTGATCGAATTGTTCTGATGGGGGATAGTGTTCACAAAGTACGTCTCATCTACCTTTTTGATATACATCTAACCATAACAGATGACCGTCAACATCGGCCAAGGGGCAAACACCGCCATCGAAGACGCTGCTGTTCTATCCTCACTGATAAACCGACTCATAAACAGCCACAGTGTGAAGAAGCCCTCCAATGAGCAGATCACCCGCCTCCTTCGTGAGTATCAAACAGCGCGATATACCCGCGTAAAACAAATATACGACCGATCACGACTGGCCGTTCGATTTCAAGCACGGGATGGCTTCCTCAAGGCTGCCTTTGGCCGGTATATTGTCCCATATATAGGCAACCTGGCAGATCGGCCTTCTCAGCTAGTGGCGGATGGGGAGGTTATTGACTTTCTCCCTCGACCTGAGCGATCTGGGCCTGGGTGGGTGGATTTTAGCAGTAGAGGAAGGTCGGGGTTGAGGATCATGGTGTATTCTGTTGTTGTATTATTGCTGTATGTCGTGTTTTGGATGGATCTACCATCTTATATGCATAATGTTTAAGAGAGTATTGAAGGATCCTAATGTCTATACCAGATTAACTAACTAGTAGCGATATACTATAGATATAACAATTCCACTAATATTTCACAGAAATGAATGATTAGGTAGTACTGATTCTATAGTACAAAGGGCCTTTTTGACAATAGAGTAATAATAGATGCCCTTTTTTTTTTATATATATATGTCTAAACATTGATTCCATGATAAATATTAAAAGGTTCCGATTTTTGAAAACGCCTGGCGCCCCTCTGGAAAGTAGGCAGGACAGGCTATAAAGTGAATGTACTGAAAGAACCAATGTATCACAACTTATGTGCACAGGGCTGTATGAAAGTAATACAAAATATAATTATAATATGCAGTGAGTCAATATATGCTGCAGACACAATACTATGCAATAAATGTGAAAGACATGCCGCAATGCGTTGGCATGCTGCACCAACATATTACAACAATCCAGCCCCAATATAGAACATGCCAAATGAAATGTCCCAACAAAGCATGATTAGACATAGGAGCGCATGCAACACTCGACTGCCAATCCAGAGAGGAGAAGCCAAGTACCAACCTTACAGGCGGATCTTGCATACCGTTCCGAAGACGAAGACGGCTGCTTGACCACCTTGAGAACAAAGAAAGACCTGCACAAGTGGCCACCGACAGAAAGGGTGAAGAATGGCAGGCCCATACCGGCAATGAGACCAGCCACAAGGAGCGCAATAGTGGACGCGTAAAAGAGAGACGATAGGAGGAGGTTCAACGACTTCCTGAACCGCACGGCCATGCTTTTCACCCCCACCTGCATGTCCTCCTTCATATCCTGGATGGCGTAGATGGTATCCAGCATGACGATCAAAAGGGCAAAATAGGCAACCATGGATAATGCGGCCTGGAAATGCACGAGTGGATCGACGTCCAAGCTGTGCATCGCCATGGGGATCGCCCATCCACTAAACCCCAATATCAGCTGCGGGTAGTAGGTGAATCGTTTCCCAAATGGGTAAACGAGAGCCCAGAACACCATGAAAAGAGCATCGACAGTGCATGACCGCGGTAGGAAGGTCAACACGGAGAACCCCAATAGGTAAATGGCTGCGGTGAAGATCACAGCGGTCGAGGTCGACACCGCACCGCGTATCAGGGGCCGTGTTTTTGTTCGAGCGATTTGCTGGTCGAGATCCAGGTCGATGATATCGTTCCATACACAGCTTGCGCTGCGGAAGAGGACAGACCAGATGGATAGGAGAAGAAACCGATTGAGCAGGAGGGCAGTCGGCACTTGGGATGGAGCAATCAAAGCAGTGTAGGCGACGCCGGCGACGAATGGAGTAGAAATGAGATAGTAACCGAGGGGCTGGTGGATGCGGACTAATTCAGCATACGGCACCAGCCAAAGAGGCAGACAGGCGAGGATGGGTTCTTTGGGTTTGTATTCTTGGTTGCTTTTCGAAACCATGTTGGCGGTGATGGAGGATATGGCAGTGGCTTGGTACAGAATGATACTGTTGAATGGAATAGACCGGGGCTATATAGATACCCAGATGCCACTATATTCCAAGGAATATACTATTCTACAGGGATGATCGCCGATATTCCCCCATAGTGAGATTAACCGAGTCGCAATTAAGAAGATTCCAATAATTCAAAGTCTGCTTTAAATAGACACTGTTCTTCAATAACCATGTACCAGATATCAATAAAGGTTGTTCTACATCTACACCATGCATATGGATATAGTAATAAATCTCAAGTTATATTCACCGCATGTGGCCATGTCATATTATATGCACGTGGTCCCATTGCACATACCCACCTTGCTCACATATGGCAATGCATTTGCGCAGAGCTGAAGAGAAATAAATATCATGCCATATAGTCCTTTGATGCTGTATCGACTGTATCTCTGTTTCATTTATAATCCATTCCATGTATAATACCAATGGCGAACAATCACTGCAATACCTCCAGCCCTCAGGCCACTTGTATTTTATTTGGTCCTCAGGCCATACAGACAAACCAGGCACTCCTCGACATCCGCACTTCCCTGCAAGAAACTCGCGGCCTGAATTTTCTGGCAACAGCCATCACGGCCCTCCCGGCAGTATGGCACGTGATACAGGACGCCCTGCCTGAACTGCGTCAACTTCCTCACGCCAACCTCGACCAACTCTGCCACTTCTTCCAAGGAGGCCCTGCTCCCATCATCACCGACACGGCAAATATTATCCTCACTCCACTCACGGTGATCTCGCACTTGATCGAGTTTTGGAAGCTCCAACATGGGAATTCTGACCAGCCTCCCGTTTCTCTCCCGCTGGTCCAGGATGTCCAGGGATTCTGTGTCGGCTTCCTAGCTGCAATCGTCGTAGCTTGCTCCCAGACCCATGAAGACTTTCAGATCCTAGCCTTTAGGACTGTGTGCCTGGCTGTGTGCGTCGGGGCTCTGGTCGATTGGGATGAACACCAGAGATCCAATCCGCAGGACAGAGCCGTGTCGGTTGCCGTCAGATGGAAAGGGACTGCGCAGTACGATGAAATTGAAGATGCAATAGGATCACAAGACGGGGTAGGTCCAATCCATTCCCATGCTCTCTTTCAACTACTGACCAAATTATAGGCATATGTTTCATGTATCACTGGCCCAACCTCGTTGACAGTCACCATTCCCCAAAAATATGCAGCATCTTTCGTGTCGACGCTCTCTGATCTCGGCATATCAGCAAAAGGCATATCACTTCGCGGCCGATTCCACCATCAAGATCATACTAATGCTGTTTCGCGGGTATTGAGGCTTGTTGAGCGTGACGAGCGATTCCAACTACCATTTGCCAACAGCTTGACCCTTCCACTAAGATCCAGTGTGGATGGGCAACGTATCATAAACGGTGCACTACATCGGATTGCTCTTGAATCGATTCTTCTAAAACCCTCTCAGTGGTTCCAAACTGTACAGGAGACATCTTCTGCCTGGGAAATGTGTAACAAGCGCGTTGGTTTCATTACTATTGGCAGTGAAATGCCTATACCCCCATCTCTTATCAGACACCATCTCCTGCCAGAAGCTCCCTCTATATTAAACGCTAATACTAATTCCACAGAACAAATACCGATCACAGGAACCCCACTAACAGATGAGACTAACGCTGACGAGTCTGGAATAGCTGTCATTGGTATGGCCTGTCGATACCCAGAAGCAGACTCAATTGATGAGCTCTGGGAAATAATAGTACGAGGAAGACCTGCTGTCCCTAGAACCCCTGAAGATCGATTTAAAGAATTTGACACATGCCGCGAGTCCAAGGAAGGCCCTCTCTGGAGTAACTTCATCCGACAGCCGGACGTATTTGACCATCGTTTTTTCGGTATCTCCGGTCGTGAAGCAAAGTCCATGGACCCTCAGCAGAGATTAATGCTTCAGGTGGCATACGAAGCAGTAGAATCGACAGGGTATCGTGGTTTGAAGGACAATAAGCTCCCCGATGACGTTGGATGTTATGTTGGCGTGGCCACTGACGACTACGATGAACATGTCGCCTCCCATCCTCCGAGCGCCTTTTCGGGTCCAGGAACATTGAGAGCATTTATCAGTGGAAGGATAAGCCATTACTTTGGATGGAGTGGCCCTTCACTCACGCTCGACACGGCATGTTCATCTTCAGCCCTTGCAATCCACTCTGCCTGCCGGGTATGTATGATCGTAAACTCCACGTACTTGATGCTGGATGCTAATTTGGCTCGTAATTAAAAGGCCCTTCAAGCGAGAGACTGCTCTGTTGCAATTGCAGGAGGTGTTAACACAATTACCCGCCCAACAATGTCCCAGAATCTTAAAGCTGCGTCTTTCCTGAGCCCCACCGGGCCTTCCAAAGCATTTGACGCCGATGCCGATGGGTACAGTCGGGCCGAAGGAGCTGGTGCTGTAGTGCTACGTCCTCTTCGAGATGCAGTCAAAAATGGAGATTTTATTCTGGCCGTCATTCGTGGCTCTTCGGTTAATCAGGGGTCGAATTCTTCACCTATCACGGTGCCCGACTCTAATTCTCAGGTTTCGCTTTATCGCAAGACACTGTCGGAGTCACTAATTGACCCCGAAGACGTAACTTACGTGGAAGCCCATGGGACAGGTAGGCCGTGCAGAAAAATCCTTATCGATCTTTCACTGACCCTCTACAGGAACCCAGGTCGGAGACCCGATCGAGTTTGATAGTATCCGAAAGGTCTTTGGTGGTCAAGGCCGACCCAGTCAAGTCTTTGTCGGATCCATCAAAGACAATATCGGCCACGCGGAAGCTGCGTCGGGCGTTGCAGGTTTGCTAAAAACGATTCTGATGATCCAACACAGAACGATTCCCAAACTCGCTAGTTTCAAACTTCTCAATCCGAAGATCCCGCCACTTGGCAGCGACCAAGTCGTGATACCAACGCAAACTCAGGGTTGGGAATCTGCGACACGTACGGCACTCATCAACAACTACGGTGCGGCGGGAAGCAATGTTGCCATTGTTGTACAAGAACATATACTCAATGCTCCACCGATTGAGAATAGCAGTACGGACCATCGATTATCTGGGTTAGTAAGTTTTCCTATTCTAATTTCAGGGCAATCGAGTGATGCCGTTGGCTCGTACGTGGAATGTCTTAAGTCATCTTTGTCGAGGAGCAAGTCCATACTCGCTGATCTCGCTTATAACTTGGCGATTAAGCAAAAAAGAGACTTGGAATACCAATTAGTCGTGCCTCAATCAAGTAGACAGGATGATATTTTCTTTCTTGAATCTCCTGCTGCGAACCCGAAAGTTCAGAAGCTATCACGAGAGCCACTTTCTGTTGTGCTCTGTTTCGGTGGGCAAAATGGTAGGACTGCCAGTATTTCAAAAGATCTCTTGGATAATTGTATCGTCTTAAGAGACTATCTGGTGAGTTAATCCTATCCATGAGTTACCGTCAAGTATAGGACTTACAATGTTACCAGATGGATTGCAATGCCGTGTGTGAAGAACTGTCCCTTCCAAGTCTGTTCCCAACAATCTTCCACCGGGAACTCATTCATGACGTTGTTGCATTGCATTGCGCTCTTTTTTCGATCCAGTACTCTTGTGCTAAATCATGGCTAGCATGCGGACTCAAGGTTGATCGACTGATCGGACATAGCTTCGGCCAGCTCACTGCCCTATGTGTGGCCGATGCGGTCCCTCTCTTAGATGGACTTCGCCTGGTTGCGGAGCGTGCTCGTTTGATACAGACCTACTGTGGTCAAGAAAACGGCATCATGGTTTCCATCGAAGCGCCCCTCGAAGAGGTACATCGTCTCCTTCATGTTGCCGAGCGGCAATGCATACAGCCTTTTTTTGCGGAAATCGCATGCTACAACGGACCAAAGAACCATGTTGTAGCTGGGGATGAGATGTCCATTCAAGCCGTTGAGAAAGCTTTGGAGGTTATGCCAGTTAGGGCCAAATTGCAGCGACTAAATAACACCCATGCGTTTCATACTAGACTCATTGACGAAATCGTTCCCAGCTTCACCCATGTCGCCAGCACGTTTTGCTACCAGAAGCCTACCATTACAATTGAGGCTTGCTCCCTGGATGATAGATGGTCTGATTACATCACCCCCGAGAAGATTGTCGATCACAGCCGAATGCCGGTTTACTTCTCAGAGGCTGTTGGGAGGATAGAGCAGCAACTCCCTGGGCGCATCGTGTGGCTTGAAGCCGGGTCAGGGTCGCCAATTATTCCCATGGTCCGGCGAGTGGCCTCTGCTTCGCGGGGTCATCTCTATCATCCTGTTTTCCTGGGAGGCCCTGAACCACAAAGAAATCTCACAAAGACCACCTGTGACTTATGGTCAAATGGTGTCAAAGTGCAGTTCTGGCCCTTTCACCAGTCCCAGGCGACATGGTATAAATGGGTCAATATTCCTCCTTACCAATTTGCTAAAACGCGACATTGGCTGGATTATAAACCAAGGGCACCCCCATCGACAGGCCCAACAAATTCAAAGGAGTTGTTAGAGCTTTTAAGTCATCAGCAAAATCCATCCCGGGCTGTCTTCGAGATCTTTCCCAGGAATCAGGTCTACCAGCTGTGTACAGGCGGTCATTTGGTAGTCGATCATGGCCTTTGCCCAGCAGGGCTCTATATTGAGTTGATTCTCCGGGCATGTTCTTTTTTGTTCAAGGACCAAGCAAGTGGAATCCCGCAAATTGAAGGATTGACCATGTCATCGCCTCTTGTGCTTGAACCGTCTGGACGAGTGTTTCTGCAAATGTCGGAAATTCATCCGCAAATTGGAAGCTGGGATTTCTCCCTATTCAGTGATGGCAACCCAGAAGCAAGCAGTCCAACAGTCCATTCCACGGGAAGAGTTACAATTTCACAGCCAAACACTCTGTCAGTGGCGACACGCTTACAGTCGTTGAATCGTCTCGTGTCTCCATCACGGTGCTCTGACATCGAAGCTTCCCCGATGTCGACGGGTTTCAAGGGCCCTATTGTCTACCAGACTTTGGAGAAAATCGTTCATTACGCTGAATATTACCATGGTGTGCAAAAGATCTTTGCCAGTGGAGATGAAGCAACGGGCCAAATCGTTCTACCGTCGTCCCGGCCTGATGTTCTGAGATCCGGTGTCTGCGATTTAGTCCTATTGGACAATTTGACTCTGATGGCGGGTATACACGTGAATTGCCTATCGGACCGCAAGACAAACGAAGTTTGGATATGCAGTTCAATTGGGGAAGTCGTAATCGGCAAGGAGTTTCTCGAAAAACAGCATAAACTTCCGTCATGGACAGTTTACTGCACTCGAGAAAGATCCTCTGAAAAATCGTTTGTCTGTGATGTGTTAGCTCTCGATCCAGACTCTGGGAGTCTTACCGTGGCCCTCATCTCCCTTGAGTTTCATACAGTACCCATCAAGTCTTTGGCAAGAGTTCTGGAGAGGCAGAATACGGCTGTAGCGAAGCCTTCGCGAGTTACAGAACCAACCCCTGTTTCAAAGCATGCGCTTAATGGTATCAAGCGACCTTGGGTGACACAACATGAGGAGCAGCAATGTAAACGAAAAAGAATCAATGCGACCGTCCCTCAATCATCATTTGACCCAGACTATGGTATTCCAACGCCTGTTACTGACATCTCCACTGAGGCCTCTTTTGGGAGTGAACCTACTGGGACCAGCTCCCCTGGATGGGACCAGATCAGGGGAATCCTTGGTGAGGTTCTGGAAATCCCTTTGCACGAGATCACGCCGTCATCAACTCTTGCCCATCTTGGTGTTGACTCACTGGTGGCAACTGAGGTTACCGCAGAAATGAAAAAAAGATACAACGCAACAATGAAAGCCGAGAGCTTCCAGGGCACGGCCACAGTGGGATCTATATGTGATCAGTTTCAAGGGTCGTCGACTGGAAACCAAAATTTAGACATACCCAATGACAATAGCTCTTCACAGAGCAATACAAGCTGTGAGACTATGGGTCAAGACTTTCAGAACTTGCATCAGTTGAACCTCCGCGATGATGCCGAGGCTCTCGATGGGAACCGAGAAACGGTTGCGTTTGGGGAGAGAGATGGAATTCAGCTTCTTGCCGATATTTACTATCCTGAGAAAATTTCAAGCTCGCAGAATCCCCTCCCAGTAGGTAAGATCAAGGAAATTATTTCAAGTCTCGACAACAGACTAACTCATTTCAAATAGCTCTCATGATCCACGGGGGAGGTCATATAATGCTGTCCCGGAAGGATGTTCGCCCGAAACAGACCCGGATGCTTTTAGACGCGGGATTCCTTCCCGTGAGTATCGACTATCGCTTGTGTCCGGAGGTAACGCTACAGGAAGGGCCGATGCAAGATGTTTGTGATGCTCTCACATGGGCACGGACAACACTGCCGAGTATCATACTCAAACGGCCCGATATACGGGTAAATGGCGAAAAGGTGGTAGCTGTCGGTTGGTCAACAGGAGGACACCTCGCCATGAGCCTTGGGTGGACACCACACGCAATGGGTATGAGGCCTCCAGAAGCTATATTGGCATTTTACTGTCCATATGACTATGAGGATCCCTGCTGGTCTGAGTCTAATCTTCCTTTTGGAATGCAAGTTCCCGATACAGCTACTTCGGCCCATGATCTTTCCGAGTCGATTTATGATGAGCCCATCACGGGTTACAATCCGACGATAGATCGATGTGCTCTCGGTGGATGGATGGCTCCCAGCGACCCACGTTCTCGGATACCATTGTACATGAATTGGAAGGGAAAGACGGTGGAAGTTATACTCAACGGACTGAGACGGTCAGAGGTCTGCACAGGTCAGATCCCGGAGCTGCCAGTCCCGCCGCTTGAACAGATCCAGAGTGTGAGTCCGCTTGCGCAGATCCGTAATGGAAGCTATAAGACGCCTACATTTATTATTCATGGCATGTTGGATGATTTGATTCCCTGGGAGCAGGCCCAACGGACGTACGATGGTCTGGTGGCGAACGGTGTGGAGGCGGGATTCCGTCTGTTGAAAGACACGTTGCATCTGTATGATATTTACCGTGGGTGCGAGAAGAACAGGGATGGTATGCAGGCGATTGTGGATGGGTATCAATTTCTTCGTTCCCATGTCTGAAGGAGTGATGCAACTATGCCTAATAGGACTTGGCAATATGTCCATTAATGACAGAGATGAACGTGTACGGGGTGAATGGAAAGTGGAAGGCTGCAGTATGAATGTCCATTCTCGTCTGTATAGATTAGCGATGTACCAACACTCATCATCTGGGTGAGCCATTTACTCTGCATGATCAACACATAACTGACGAATCCTATCCTATGCCCAGTAGCACATGCATGAGATAGGTCTAAAGCCACTGGCTAATCAGAACCCTACTTGGGAGAGTAAAAATAGGTATACATGGACTTAACCATGCTGACTGCACGCTACCTGCAATAGTTAATATCATATATCGAATCAATACACCCATTTTTTCATGCTCCTGCAGTGGTATAAAGCCTCTGGACAACTTGAACAACTCATACATGAACCTTAACCCACATAGGACATGATCGGGTAGAAAGACTTGATTTGTTCAAGTTGATGATGTGACCTAGCTGCACGAGCCCCTTTACCGTCATATCACGCGCCGAGTATCATGCATGGCGCTTCTATTTTAGTGGGTGACAAGGCTCAGGTCAAATAAATAATAACAGCGTTCCCACATGATGGAGGAAGTTACTTTTATTTTCCATCTCTTTCTGTATATAGTTATATATTTAACATAATGGTCAACCTCACCGAACAATGCCCTGATCCCGTCGCCTGGGATCCCAATTTGGATGTCTCGCACTATTTGAATGGCGATGCGGGGGCACTCCTCGAGAACTACTCCCATGTGGCGCCGAGTGAGCAAGAAGCCCATGTCAAGCTTATTGTACGATGCGTTCTATCTATTCTTCCTCTCGATACTAACAATGACCAGGCCGAGACAGCATGGCGGGTGATCAACTACCCCTGTTTCCGGATGCTGTGGTTTCTCCGCTTCGAAGTAGCCCAGTACCCCATCTACGGGGAGATCGTGCAGCGAGTCAAAGACGGGGGTTTGTTCCTTGATTTGGGCTGTGGTCTTGCACAGGATGTCCGACGGCTGGTGTATGACGGGGCTCCATCCGAGAATACCATTGCGCTGGACAACAGAGCCGAGTTCATCAATCTCGGCTACGCCTTATTCCAAGATAAAGAGACCCTCAAGACCGAGTTCGTGGTACAGAACTTCCTCGACGACAGCCTGTTCGAACACCCATGGGCAGGCAAAATCAGTGTTGCCAATGCCGGCTACTTCATCCACATCTGGAGCTGGAACGGGCAGGTGAAAGCCATCAAACGCATCCTGCGACTACTCTCGATGAAGGACGGGGATACAGTGACTGGACTGAACTTTGGGAAGCACAATCCAGGGCCCGCGGAGGGATTTCTTGCTGTTGATGGCGAGCCCGTCTTCAGGCATAATCCAACGACAATCTCACGCCTCTGGGAGCAGGTGGGAGAAGAAACGGGGACAAAGTGGGTGGTGGAGGCAAGGATGGAAGAGGATGAAGGCCATAGGAATGTGATGTCTGATGGTGATCGCCTTGTGTGGTATGCAAAGCTGCAGAAGTAGAAAGCAAGAGTTATTGTAGTATTGATGAAACGTATCATTTTTCATATCTGACTGTCTAACCGAATAACAATAAATCTCACTCGGATGCTCTCAAGGTCAAGACTGTCTGGACATGGCTATAGTCAAGCCCACAGCCATCCTCTTGCGCCAGGAGATGGGCAGTCCTGAGCACATTCTTGATCTGTCTACCGTTCAGTTCCAGCTTGCATACTTCATCAAGCTTCTCCTCTGAGAGCTGTCCCATCTTCGTTTCGGAAAGGAATTGAGTCCATATCTGGCGTCTGGATGTCGTGTTGAGGTCTGGATAGCGAATAGACACATGAATACGTGATTCAAAAGCAGGATCGATATTCTCGGCACGATTGGTGGTTAGAAACAAGATTCCCTGATGAAGTGTTAGTCTGTTATCTCATAGCTGTATCGATGCATACCTCGTAATACTCCAACAGCCTCAAGAAGATAGACACGAGCTCATTCCGTTCAAGGTCGGTTTTATCGCGCGCCTCCATGAAAACATCCGCTTCGTCGAGTAACAAAACAGCTCCCCATCTGGGAACCATGCAGAGAATGTCTTTGAGGCTATCTTCAACTCGCGATGAATTCGTTCCCAGATCGCCTGCGCTGAGGACATACAGAGGTACCTTCATCACCTCTGCAACACTTTCTGCCGTCAGGGTTTTGCCTACGCCAGGAGGACCTCGCAGAAGCATGATAACTCCCCGACCTTTGCCCTGAATCACATCATCAAAAGCATCTTGACGTCTAGACTGGGACTGGGCAAATGCGAGAATCAACTTCTTCAGGTCCTGCTGTGTATTAGGAAGCACCAATGAATCAAATGCCCGTGAATCCCAGACAATATCCTTGACACCATCAAGATCGAATTCGAGCCACTTTTTGTCTTTGAGGGCATACCCACGGAGGGTTGGAGTTGCAATCAGCCGGTGGGCATCAGACAGATTGCCAGAGATATGACCAGATACGGAAACTGCCTCGTCTGCATTGAAAGTGTTGTATGCTTCCGTGTCGATCACGATCCGGCTTTTGATGCTGAATTTCATCGGCCGCCCGAGGAAATATCCTTTGGCAATGCCCTCGTATTGCTTATAGTGATAGCCCTTGTGCTCTTCCCAGAGCCTTCCACGAGCGATAAGATCTTCTCGAATGGTAGTCTTCTCGCTGTGATAGGCAAGAGGAAAGACAGGTAGTTCCATAATGGGTAATGTCCCTTCATAAAAGGGCACCTTGAAAGCGTGCGTCTGATGACCGAACTTCTCCCCGTCAAAGTCGATATACTTTGATGCGATATCGAAATTCCCAGTCCGGCAATTGACGTCGCCTGCTTCGAAATTGAAGGCATGTTGGCGGCCATCGATGATGCTGAAGACATGGTCGCCTGGTTCGAAGATGGTCCACAGCAAGTCGTGAGTGATGACGCTGTTTTTCACCAGGTCGTTCTTCTGGGATATCATATCGCCCAGTTCGCTTTCCAGAGTGTGGTACAACAGGTCAACGTGAGTCTTGGTAATGGCATCGACCTCCTCCTCTCTGGCTCTAGAGAACTGCTCCCATCGATGAACAAACGGTTTGAACGGCCTGGCAAACTCGATCCGGTCCAGAGCCAATGTCAAACCCGGATATCCAGCCATGGCGGTGGCAAGAAACTTCTTGAGCCGGTCACTCTGCACGACAATCGAATGGATAGTGAGGTTCTTGCGGCCATCGTAGCACTTGATATTGCGAATGATTAACGCGTACTTGCTGGATTCCGAGTTCTCCGCAGGCTTGACGAGATTGCCAGGAATATCGCTTGTCCATGAAGTGCGGCCTCTTTCGTCGGGTTTGGATTGGTAGAGGTGGTGGGCTTCGCAGATGGAGCCTGGCACATCATAGTCGGTGGTAGGCATATTGACTAGATATTGTCAGTCTATTTTGATATGGGCCATAACGAGGCTTCTCATACCTGCAGAAACCTCGCCCATTTTGTCAAAATGAAACTGAAGTATCTCGTTTGAGTTAACAATGACAATGGAGATAGATTCTGATGTAGAAATGGCCGACGTTATCCTGCTTCTTATATAACTGTTTACCAGAGGCAGCCTTGTATTCCATGCTGTATCATCTGCCAATAATGTCAATCAGAATGGCCAGCCACAGCCTTGTACACCCGGGCAAGCAAGGCAACCGGACAACTCCTTAGAGTCTTACTTCGCAGCCTGTTAGATATAACTGTGCAGCCTCATTGATTTAAAACTTGTCCAAGCCAGCCTCGTACCGACACGTCTAGTCTAGACCTCCAGTATTATGCGTTGGATGTATACACCATCACATAAACCCCACTGTGATCCATTATCCTACGGCAGTGCAACCGCTCTTATCAAGATGAGGGGCTTGCATCGAGGCTCCGTCAGGACACGACTGAAGGCCCTCTGTCTCTATCTAAATCTCGCATAGCGATGTTCGGAACGTTTACGCCCACGGTTAACTTCTGCTTTTTTCCTTTCTGTGATGAACTTCGCTCTGGAACTCATCAATACAGGCAAACCATTATGCGGCTCATGACAAATCCATCCTTATGGAATAGTTCTGATTGAATAGCCATGATATCTTCGGTTATGCAAATCTGCCCATGATGATCTACTATCGGAGTCACCCCGCCTCCGCTCATTCAAGTGGGAGAACTCCGATGATACCATGTATATGAACACTGCTTAGGACAGAAGACAACTTTCATTCTAATATCTTCATACTTAATGCAATATGGGATCTACACCCAAACCATTGGCACTCCCTCCAAACACCAGTCTAGATGCATTCTCCCGCTTCATCACCGCCAGCCAAGCCATCGTCGGCCATGAAAACATCCACATCGTCGAAACAAAAGATGAACTGAATGACGGGTCCTACTATGAACCACCCAAAACACACGATCCCCATCATGTCCTAGACCAAGACTACTTTGTTGCATCAGCAGTGATCAATCCACGATCGGTCGTCGAGGTACAGAGTCTAGTCCAACTGGTCAACGAATACCGCATTCCTCTATGGCCGACGTCTATTGGACGGAATTCTGGATATGGAGGTTCTGCGCCCCGACTTCGGGGAAGTATTGTGCTGGATCTGGGAAAATATATGAACCGTGTTCTCGAGGTGAATGTCGATGGGGCGTATGCGGTTGTTGAGCCGGGAGTGACATTCTCTGACCTGCATGCGTACTTGGTCAAGCATGGTCTGCGACATAAGCTGTGGATTGATGTATGTTTTCTATCTGATAGTATAACCTCACTGACGATCAAAGGTACCTGATCTCGGCGGTGGTTCCGTCCTGGGAAATACCCTCGAGCGAGGAGTTGGATATACTCCATACGGTGGTGAGTGATATCCTCCTCAAGAAGATACAAACTAACAGATCAGACCACTGGATGATGCACTGCGGTCTCGAGGTAATCCTCCCATCGGGAGAGCTCCTTCGCACCGGAATGGGTGCATTGCCAGATAAACCCAACAAGTCAGGCACCACGATGGACCAAGACCCCGGGAATAAATGCTGGCAGTTGTTTCCATACGGATTCGGTCCGTATAATGATGGGCTCTTCTCGCATAGTAATCTGGGAATTGTCACTAAGATGGGGATCTGGGTATGAATCCCTTCATCCTTTTTTGGGGAATGAAACTGATGTGGCTAGTTGATGCCGAATCCGGGTGGTTATCAAGCATATATGATTACGCTACCGAGGGATGAGGATTTACATGCTGCAGTTGATATCATTCGACCTTTGAGACTGGTAAGTCTATTTATTAGGGATGAATATCAAGCTAAAGATCATAGCAAATGGTTCTTCAAAATGTTCCCACACTCCGACACATTCTCCTCGATGCTGCTGTCCTCGCCTCCAAAGATAGATACACTTCAGACCCAACAAAGCCACTGAGTGAAACCGAACTAGACGCAATTGCAAAGAAGCTCAATCTTGGCCGCTGGAACTTTTATGGTGCCCTCTACGTGAGCCCTTTCCATACGTCCTATCATATCTGTTCTGACAATATCCAGGGACCAGAGGAAATTCGCAATACACACTGGACACTTATCAAAAAAGCCTTTTCAGCCATAAAAGGAGCCAAGTTCTTCTTCCCAGAAGATATCAAAGAGTATTCCGTCCTCCACACCCGCGAAAAGACACTCCAAGGCATCCCAACATACGACGAACTAAAATGGATCGACTGGGTGCCCAACGGCGCTCACCTGTTCTTCTCGCCCATCAGTAAGATATCAGGAGACGATGCAATGCTGCAGTATTCAGTCACCAAGAAGCGATGCCACGAGGCCGGTTTTGACTTTATTGGTACTTTCACCGTTGGAATGCGAGAGATGCGTATGTCTTCCTTCTCACTTAACCAGATCAAGGTAGCTGATTCTGCATACAGACCACATCGTGTGCATCGTCTTTAATCGCAAAGACCCCGCCTCGAAGCAGAAAGCGCACTGGCTCATCAAAACCCTCATCGCGGACTGTGCTGAGCACGGCTGGGGTGAATACCGCACGCATCTCGCGCTGATGGACCAGATTGCTGAGACATACAACTGGAACAACAATGCGCTGATGCGATTCAATGAGACGGTTAAGAATGCCCTCGATCCCCGCGGGATTCTGGCGCCGGGGAAGAATGGAGTGTGGCCGTCTACTTATGATCGAAGGAAGTACAAGCTTTGAATGTAGCACAAGTGTTAATCTATCCTGTATTAGGAATAATCCTCCAGTACGGGAAAAGTCCTCGCAGCAAACGGATATGCCCGTTGGTGGGAAGAGGATGGACATGATCCTTTTCTGTTAGACCCAATCGTTTGTCTTCAGACATAGTCCAGTTAAACCATAAATCCCGTCTATAATATTCTCAAATAGGTGAGGCGAAGGCCGACTAATGCCTCGTTTTGGTAAAATGCATCGATTGATATGATTTGATCAGTATAGTGGTCATCAGTATGGTCTAATAGCCGGCATCATGAACGTATCAAATGGGATGCATTCATGTGTATTAAGAGGTCCAGGGCTGTTGGGATATTATCACAAGTGAGTTTTTGAATGGCTGGGGAAGATGACGCCTCTGATGGCATCGTAAGAAGTGTTGAATATCCATGAAATGCCCCCCTTGTCAAGTCAGCAGCTGAATGTGAACAAATAGTGTCAAATACTTACAAGGACTTCCTTTGACGTTGCTTGGAATTTCCGTTTTGTACATTCTTGTAGTGCGGGATGGGAGCCAAACATCTTGCTTTGGGCATGGGTTGTTTCCACAAGAACCGCAACGACCTGCCCTCGCATGTACATAGGATCGACTCCGCTCTCTTTGCTGAGCCAGAATGTGATGGCCTGGACATCCTCACCCTCGCTAAGCTCCATTGCATCACCCTCTTCCATATGCTGCCCTACAATCTCTGGGCTTCTTCCATTATGATAGTCGAATACCATACCTGAGATACGAGAAGAACCACGACATTTCTCAGGCCCACCTGTTGATACTTGAATTTGGTTTACCGCGTGGAAAGAAGCGTAGCTGTCATATTCTTTCAATCCCTCATCGTGTATCAGAGCCGCCATACGTCTGAAAAGGCACTTGTCTTTATGGGGCATGTAGCGGATGGGCTGATCCCTGCAGACTGCCGGCGGAGTATCGCTATCAGAACCCAGCTGAACCTGAACTCCAATCTTGGAAAGGTGCGCATCATTTGACTGTTTTATATTAGCTCAAAGACCGAAATACCAAGAGGCTGACACTCACGTGTTTCGTGGTCACAAAGCCGGTGATAATACTGCCACGCATATTTTGTAGGCGTTTACTATGCAGCTCGCTGAAATGCCATAGTTGAACTGTTCCAAAGTCCATTTTACGCCCGTAATTCGTAAAAACCTAGACGAGTCAGCTAGTCACTGGATAGCCGAAAGGCCAACAAACCCTCAAGCCGTGGATATAATCGGCGAATAAGTTATCAGTAGCAGCGACAGCCTGTGTGATGCGTTCTCCCCCAGGGCCATCAATTAGAAATGCCAAATGAACTCCACTATGGCGACCAGGCGAGTGAGCCGCCATGACTCTATCTGTGTCATAGAAAGTCATTCCAATAATGCGACCGTCAGAAGACATGTGCACCACCATTTCTGTGAGGCGTTCGAGCTTTTCGCCGTTCTTCCCGCCAAAGTCTATATCAAACAGTGGCTGAAATGTCATTTTAGCAGAAGAAGGCTGTAAATCACCCAGGAAGAGGTGTTCATGAGCAGGTTGCTCAGTTGCCCATAGATGAGACTCGGGGCGATACATGTGAGGTCCGCGCATTTGGCGACGAAGCGTTTCAACGTCGGTTTGGACTTGAGGATTCCTGTTGGTTTCATCAATTATGTCTTCGGCTTTCTCTGCCCAGGCGGTTCCAATAACGTTCAGTTTGTATTTCTTAATTCTGTCAGTGTTTCTTCTGTAACAAAGGTGTTCGGGCATACATCAGAGCCAGCAATGAGGTTGTATCTATTACTTGGAGACATTGGAATGGCAAGGCTTCCATGAGCCATGTCCTCGTCATCGTGATCTCCAATAAAGTCGGACGAAAATTCACCAGAGAAATGGAATCGAATCCCACGCAGCCCTTCTGGACAGAGTGCGACCTTAATCCACTGGGTTTTACCACCTGGTGGGACCTTGATTGATTCTTCATGCATCGGTTTGCCATATCCCACAGCCGGTCCGGCCTTTAGATCCCCAGCCAGATGATGGCTGATTCCCGAAATGAAGGTTCGTGCGCCTATGCGAACAGTCGAAACCCTGATCTCTCCACCATTCGGCATGAAGGAAGGAACGGTGCATGATCGATATCTGGGTACACGGCATCCTTCGTCGAAGGAGTCAAAGGGGGAGGAAGGCAGTTCGGCTCTGTGTATACTCACGACGTCCACGTCTATATTATTTGAACTCAAGGACCATTCCCCGTTGAACTCAAAGCAAGTGGTTCTTCTACCACGGGGCTCCTTTCCAGATCTCTGTTGATCAATCTCCACAATCGACGCGATCGGTTCCAACAAATGGCGGATTCGCTTTCGGTTGATAAAAGACAGACTGAATTCGGATTGATCGTTGGCTTTAAGATAGGCCATTGCACCGCGACAGAGACGATACCAATCACGACTCTGTTCGATATCCACGAAGACAAAGTCCATCGCGTATCCTAGTCTGAACTGTCTCTTCCAGAAAGACTGTGGAAGACAATGGAATGCAATTCTCTGCGCGAGATCTCGACAGGTGAGTCTCAGATTGATCACTTGTTCCAGTGGCAGATATGTTATGATATCGTGGATCACATCCAAGGACAGCTTTCCAAGGGACGAGTTATACCCTGGGTTAGCAACCGTAGAAGGGCCAAGGAGGCTACCATTCCTCCACTGGACAGGTACATCGGGCGCATTCTCTTCAATCTTCTCTGGCGCTGGAATCATATATGGATCTGCATAAAAGGGCGACAACAGATCGACAGGTTCAGGTTCACCAAACGGCTTGTGTGTTTCTGCAGCGCCTCCATAATCATGCCCCAGTCGAAATGTAGACAGATCGGGGTGTGGCGTGCAATAAAACAAATCATGCAATGACTCTGCAATTTCATCCGGCTCAATAATATCCCAAAGTCGGTCCTGAAGCAACATCCAGCACGAATCATGGAAGGCGTAGCCCGAAAGGTCGGCCCGCGCCCGGGGAGCCAAAGAGACCTCGTCAAACGTATCAGCTTTGGTGTAATCGTCCTCATCGCCCATGGGAATAAACAGTGTATCACACGTGGGAAGAATACCCGTGTTTGACAAGAAATAGTTCTGGTCTGTTGGGAAATTGTGGTCTTTGACGGCGGCGCGCGCTTCTTCATACCAGGGGCGTCGCGATTCGGGGACATCCTCAAACTCTTCGTGCAGCAGGATGACACCGCATAAGACACAATATTTATTAGAGGCCTCGGGCTCTGAATTCCATTCCGCATCTAGATCCATTTCGTGGCATGGATGGATAGGCCAGATGTGGGTTTTGATGAAAAGCAGATTGTGGGAAAAAGCCGGAGGTTGTTGTGGAGACGGTGGCCCGATTAGGAAAGTAAGATATGTACACGGAGTGAATGCCTTTGCCTACATTTTAAATGAGTGTAGTTATTTATTATTATTATGCTGAAGACTTTCAACAGAATATCTGTCTATTTTCACTATGCCCGTGGCATATCAGGATATGTCAAATACCACTTGGCATGAGCATGTTCTGTTCAGTATAGCCAATTGATCAGCAGATGAACGCCTTAATGGAAATACCATCAACAAAAGCATTATGACTAGATATGTGCGATAAACACCCTGTTGAGATATGCTATTAAGCTAGAAAGTGTACATGTATCCCGTGTTAATTTTACTGGCGTTATAATCAACACGTTTATAATTATATATATGCAACTATACGAACCGAGGTAGAATGGCAGATCACTTTGCCATATTAATCTGCCCGGCATCAACTGCCGACAACTCTGCATTACTTTGGCTTGTTTTAATTGGCTTTACGATAAACAAGATTTAATTCCACCTATTGACAAGCATTACAAGATAGGGAAATCGCGGGGTAAAATGCAGTTAATTTGGCAAACCGTTTACCCGGTCTTTCCCCGTGGGGATGTGCATCTATAAATTATCTATGCATTCCCCTGAGTTGCTCCATTATTATATCCATAGAGAGCCTCTTCATTATGCGCTTCAATTCCCTACTCCTCCTCTGCCACCTCGCGGCAACTGCCACATCATCTCCAGTCAAGAATGGCCTGACCATCCAAACAACCAGCGGCCAAGTCCACGGCTTCATCAACCAAACAGCCCCTCTCGTCCGCCAATTTCTGGGAATTCCATATGCAGAACCTCCAACTGGGGAGCGAAGATTTCTTCCCCCGGTAGAAAGAGAAGATCGCGGATCCATCAAAGCGACGGCATTCGCACCATCATGCATGCAGCAAGAAAGTAACAGCTCTACCATCTATACAGAACAGGTATCCCAGTTTTTGATCAACGGGGGACAGTCTGAGGATTGTCTGTACTTGAATATCTGGGCTCCGGCTACATCGTCTAAGAAGTTGCCAGTGTTTGTGTATATCCCTGGCGGTGGATTTACAAGTGGAGGGGCAGATTCGCTGTATAAAATTCCGGACAAGTGGATTCAGAGAACGCAGTCTCATATTGTGGTTGCTTTGAAGTATGTATCATTCCCTCTATATCAGTTGCAGACCCGATCTAATGTATGTGCAGCTACCGCGTCAACATCTTCGGCTTCCCCAACGCAAAAGGGCTGGACAATCGCAATGTAGGCCTACTCGATCAACGCATGGCGTATGTCCATCTCATCCCATTTGAGCATACCAGTCTAATAAAACAGCGTTGAATGGACAAGAAACAACATCGAAGCGTTCGGTGGTGATCCATCCCGAATCACACTCTGGGGCCAATCCGCTGGAGGAGCAAGCACTGATCTCTTCGGATATGCCTATCCCGACGACCCCATTGTGACCGGCTTAATCTGTGATTCCGGGTCTGCAACAATCGCAGGATCCAGTGACTATACGCAAAAGAACTTTACATTTATCGCTGAAAAGGTGGGATGTGCTGGCAATGACGATGCAGTTCTCGAGTGTATGCGTGGTGTTCCTGCAACTCGTTTGCGGGATGTTGTCTCTACGTATGGAAATGTGAAGTCGATGGGACTGTCATTCACTCCTATTCCGGATAATATCACGGCCTTTTCGAATACTACGGATAGAGCGTTAAGGGGGTTGGTTGCTGATATTGTAAGTCTTCTTCGCCATCCCATATATCTACTAACATGATATGCAGCCCGCTATATTCGGAAGCAACGCAAATGAAGGGGCCGGATTCGTGTCATTAACAGGGACACAACCACCTGAAGAAACGATGCATGCTCTTACGCAAAGCATCATTGCCTGTCCATCAGCTCGAGAAGTGCAGTGCGTATTCTTGATCAACAAAGGATATAACTAACACTTCTAGCATCCGTGAACTAGCCGGGTTGACCACATACCGATACTACTATACCGGCAACTTTTCGAACATATCTCCCTGGGACTGGATGGGTGCTTATCATAGCTGTAAGTCCATTGCAACAGCTCATTTCAAGTGATATCAGACTAATGAAATAGCCGAGCTTCCTCTGCTGTTTGGGACCCATGATGAGTATCGCACTCCTTCGACTGAGTTTGAGTATCAACTCAGCTATGCAATGGAAGGTACGTCGAGACACTATAGGCGAATAAATGAATACTAACAACTATAGCTCTCTGGCTCTCATTCGCCTCGAACCCACAGTCAGCCCCGAGCTATCAAAACTGGTCGTGGCCGGAATACAAAGCAGACGTACCCTCGATGGTGCAATTTCCCTCTGGAGATAATATTGTGGGAATCGTCAGTGGCAATGTGATTGATGGAAACTGCACTGGTGTATAGAAGATAATTATTCAATTGAGGTGCGGAGAGACAGCTAGTCTCTGTAGTATTGTTATTTTCTGTATCCCGAAATAATGCCCCGTAGGGAATGCAAGCAGTTCTATATGCAGACCAAATAACTCGAAAAGACCAAACCATGCAGTAATCCATATATCCAATGTCCAATTTATATCCAATCCAAAGTGTCGTGTTATTTATAAAGCGGTCCAGCGCTCTCAATCACACACGGCTTCATGCCAAATTGAAGTCCAACCAGTTCCTGTCCACTCCGTGGATCAGGACAGGACATGATCTCTCCATACCTATCGTCGTCCATGCCATTATATCCGATGCTCCACTTCCGGCCTAAACTAGTCACAAACTGAGGGGTGTTAGCACTGAATGAAACACACCAGGCGACGGTGGACAAACCTCAATCCCCTGTAAACCGGCCATGCCAAATCGGACAGGACTGCTTTCGGAATGAAACCGAACACCCACGATGCTTTCCTTCTCGGCCACCTTGAAGTGGAACGTCATCGGGGGGTAGTTCACTGCTGTATCCCTCCTTCGTTCCATCTCGGACTTATACGTCGAGTCATCTGAGGCCGGCGTGTGATCAGGATATACTAACGCCTTGGCCCAGCTCGATTTGTGCTTATAGCCGATCATTTCCTGTTGACCGTCGGCAAAGGAGAATGAGAAGCCACATATCACATCCGGTGCCCAATCATCGGCTGCCTCTGTGAAGTTGGCTTGGATGGACTCAACCTGCCGCCCGACCAGATCGAGGAAATACACCGGGGTAGCCAGCACCGGCGGATCAGCATCCATAGATTCGGTAAAGTCGACACCATGCCGATCCCCAACGATATAATCGCGTGGAGGACAGCGTCCAATCCAGCGTGTAAGGTATCCAAAATTCATCCTCTGTTCGATGTGTCCCGTAGTATGCCGCTGCAGGTCTCCCATAATCACACCGAATTTAGTGATATGCTGGGTGGGATACTCGCTATCCCGACACGGTTCCACCCTGAAATCAAAGCCCATCAAATCTTCGGCATCGAACATGCCCGTGACGCCGATAATCTCAGTCCCAGTCTCAGCATAAAAGGCGTGCATCAACTCATTGTCTGTCCAGATACCGGCTTTGTACTTTGGCTCAGTGGTTGAGTCGCTGGTGAGGAGCCCAATACCGTAGATGCAGGCGTTCTCTGGTCTTTCTTTGGCGACCAAGTCTTGAAAGGGGCCTAAAGATACCACCATCCCCGTAATAACAGTTTCCTGTGGGATGGTGACGGTGTCGGGAAATTCGGTCCTATACCCAAATAAGCGCGAGGTGTCTTCATCGTAAAGACCAAATTCAACACCAACAATCCACCGATGACCGGGAAATCCAGAATCTCCAAGTCTATGGTACACAGTAACGGACTGAAGCTGTCGTCCGCGCTGCAGACTGGGGACGAAGTACACTTCTGAGAACACGTCACAGAAATCAGGATGCACATCCAGTGCGATAGTTGCCCGTCGACGACTAGCAAGGCGTCTCACATCCGGATCGACACTGCCGGCGTTGGCGCGGACTTCTGAAAAGCGACCATCGATTTTTTGAATAATACCCCTGCAATTGATGTAGATGCGCAGTCTATTCTGCAGACCTATGTATTCCACCCTAGAAGGAATAGACGCCTCTCGGAGGTTGTAGAAAAGCTGCCTGTAGTGGATTGTTTTGGATTGGTGGTGAATGTCTGAGAATAAAGAGGTGTTGTTGAGCCAGGGCGCTGCGCATGGGAGCCTGCTCTTCCAGAATCTCCGTGGAAGGGACGATGCCATGTCTCTGAATGAGGAACTTGCCAAGAGGAGGTTGAAGGCGGATGAAGATTGGAGAAGTTCAAAGACCATCAAACGGATATCCATAGGAAGATGGTCGAAGCAGTCTGGAGAGGGATAGCTTTTTGAGGCTATTCGCATACCCTTGGGAATGACGTCAAAAGTGTCTGGGTGTGCTGGATCGGTTGACTCGGAGATGACCTGTGATATGTTCAGGTCTTTACAAGGATCCGCGACGAGCCACTGTGATGGTTAGAATGAACATGAAGAGGATAAGAGACAAACCTCGTTATCAGCACACGGCTCCCAGGTCTCAGCTTGATATTCCTCCGTGCCGCCATAGCCATCTCCACCCCAGTTGATCGCATGGGCGTAGGCTTCACTCCACGTGAGCATGATGAAGTGCAACTCGCGAATGTCAAGAGGACCAGCCTCGGGATGCATGACTTTGTGAGTTTGTTCCATGATGTTCAAGCAGTTATCATGCACAAGAAAGCCATCCTCATTGCGGAGAAGACCTTGGGTGAGGGTATCATCAACCTGATCCAATGGCACGCCTGGATAGAACAGATTGTCTGTTGAGTTCAAAGAGCCCTGCATCTATAAGCGACTGTCCTGTCTACGGATGGATGACCTACCTTTTGTGTGACCATGACCAGTTCTGCGGAACCATCATCCAGATTCTCGATGCCGGGAACCTTTAAACTCAACATCCGGGCATCATCCAGCCACTATACAGATTAACACACGATCTGCATAACAAACGAGGCAAACATACCCGCAACTGATCTCGAGATATATGACCCGCATCGTACCCCTTTAACGACCGACAGTAATCGCGATGTGCAGTCCTATAATGACCATCGTGACCGGCAGGAAGCATCTCATCCCCCTCCCCTACATCCGCATCCTGATCACAGTCGCAGTAGTCATCCCAGAAGTCGGTAGTATCACCCGCCACAGTAGACCGCTTTAGGAAGTTGGCGGATTCAAAGGGGCCGCCGCAGATGTTGCAATAGGGGCGAATGTTCATTTTGCCAGCATGAGTGGGACATACATTCCCAGTGTCAGTGCAACAATATCAATATGAATACTAATATAGCCTAGGATAATGGGGAATGTCACCTTGTATTGCAGACCCCCTGGCATGACGTTTTTTGACTGTTGTGGGCCTCGGCTATCCACACGCGTTGGGCCGCCACCTTACCGCTTTGGGGCACTGCCCTCGCTATCAGCCAATCAGAGAGCGGAACGTGGGGACAGCATCGCCTTTGTACAGATATCAGGAGAAATCGTGCTGGACTCCACTTGTTTCGATCATATTGGGCTGTCTGTTGTGCTGTTTGTCTGCTCTGTTCCATGACTTTCTCTCGATTGTCTATCATTCTACTGAGCGGACTGGCTATAGACCAGAGAACAAGTCTCAAACCAAGACCGGAATGAATCAGCTAACTGATATAAGTAGGACATTGGCAAGATGAGCATAACCTCAATCAATAGATAATGGAGACAGGTATCTTACTAGTAACTTACTATATATATACTGAAAAATGATAAAGCGTGCAATTGCTGTCCATGAAGTCAACTCCCATGGCTTCTCCGACTTCCCGACCCAATACAGGTATCCTGGGCTTCTGCCATTCTGCCTGACTATGGGTTTTTATTGGGTTCATATTCTGGGAATATTCACTATATGCAAACTGGATATTGGTCTGGATACTTTCTATAGTACATTGATGCAGTCATTTCAAGCAAAAGAATATCCCCTCTGCTCTTTTGCTATTATGTCCCTTTCATGAACCGGCAAATCTGTTCCTCAACTTCCTCATTGATGACTTCCCTCATCATCCTTTCGGTGATTACACTGATAAATCCAGATATACCACCAGATTTAGTCTCCTGTTTCGCAAAGTCCACCATCCTGGTGTTGTTGAGTACCTGGCAATGCGAATCATATCTCAACCATTCATCCAACAAATCCCAATCTGAACGACCCCCATCATCTTCAGGAAAGTTGTACAGGATCCTATGATCCTTATAGGCGATAAAGTATCTCCCTTCATCAAAAATACTCATGCTGACATATAAAATATTTTCGGCCGCACCCGGCGTACTCAAATGCATGTCGAGCTCATCGTACGCCCCGCATAGATTCCATGCCATTCTCCCATTCTCATAAAGTACCACAAAAGCACCTTTGATTCCCAGTGCCACATGGGTGACCTTCCCACCGGGTTGGATATCCTGCAGACAGGAGGTGACATTTGCCGGCAGGAACGCATACGTACTGTTGAGGCCCCAGGAGCAAGCCCACCAGCCTCCTCGATTATCCGCGAGCACTTGTGTTCCCTGAATAATCAGCCAGGTAGCCTTGAATGAGGGAAAGTAAGGAAGACTAACAGCAGTTCCCCAACGGCAACTTGTCCATTGTTCTAGCCCATGATAATCCTTTCTAATTGCATCTGTGAAATGAAATGCGTCATCCCCCAGGAACCCTTTCATTTCATGTGCAAAGAAGGGATCCGGGAGCGGTTCGGAATCATCGATAATGGGAGGATATGCAACGCAGGTCACCTTCTTGCTCTGGTTGAAGATGGTTTGAACGCGATTGGACACGGGCAATGTGGATATCGGTTGGAGGCCTGGTGTCTGAACCAAATATGAACGGCGGGGGCCAAAGTAGACAAAGAAGTCGGAGTGTTGCATGGTTCCAATTGACTGGAGTGGTAATTCGAATGAGGGAGTCAGATGTATATATACAATTTGTCGACCAAGCCGTTTCAATATCACCGAGTTAGCCCTGGATGACAGGTCTGTTCCGGACTAATATACGTCAACAAGGTAAACCAAAAATTTGAAAATTCGGAGTTGAATATATCAGTTAATCGTCAAAGGGGCTGACTAGACATGTTGCATGTCTTGTCTTTACTTGGATAGGGCATCCATAGATTACTGTCAATAGCCTATTGTCCTGCTACAGTTTTGCAAAGCACCTCACATCAAACATGTCAACATAGTATCTTTCACGTCATTTATTTGTTCCACATTCAATATCACCTTCAATAATGTGTTCTGTTCTGATGTCGGGGTCCGACACTCGGCCTTTGCTTCCACATTTCAATATTCCAAATAGCCTCGTACTGTTCTGTGGCCGACTCGATATGAATTCCCGAGAGATACGTCAGATGATTCAAGCCCATCAAAGGCCAATCCCCTGGAATCAATTGAAAAGCGATGTGGAAAATGCATTTCCGTGTGGGAGATTGATAAGTCATATCCCCGAACAAGGCCGCAGGACACTCCAAACGGCCGTGCAGATCACCGAACGAGGCCATTCTAATATCTCACTTGTTTGAATATCTTGAGACCACACCATATTTACCTTGCATATTGCTCCATGGCCATCCCCGCGGCTCTGTCAATATTTGGCCTTTTACCCAGTTTGGTCTTGCCCGTTGGGCGTATGGGTGAAAATCCATTGTCAAAAAAGGAGACAATTGCGAACCACAAATCTGAAAACCATTCTCCAGATATATTGGGACATTTCATAGTCACGGAATCAAAAAGGCAGGTACAATGTCTCCTAAACGATGTGAATCAGGGCTTTAGTGCAGACAGTTGGCAAACTCGGCGATAGCCGGCTGGGCTGCTTATCATTCGACCATGAATACTTACCGAAGGATTCATTGTTTATACCAAACTACCGCATGGGAAGACAAGAATATTGTCGGCCTACTATGTATGCAGCACCTGCCTCAGTTGATTGCAGTCACGTGGCCATCTCGCTATGGAAAATAGCTTTTTCTCATACTTGGTATCTCAACCACAGAGATATTCAACGAATCAAGTCAATTAGTCTTGTTTGAGATTAGATGGACGCAATGGCCAGCTATCCATCGCCTGATCAGCACCGGTGCTCTAAGTTCTAGTTCCTGATGATTTGCCGGCATTGAGGCATCCCAATCGGCCGACACGGCTACGTGAGGTGGGACTAACCGGAGTACCGGATGCGTTATTATCGATTGTTATTATTGTTATGAGTTAGCAGACGGAGAATCAGGGATGGCCATGTCCACAGGGATATTTGAAATCATGTCTTCTCTGTGAGTGGATGGTTTACACCCCAACGATCATAATTTGATGATTCCCAGCAACCATGACTGCATTCCAGATTCAGAGAAACCAACAGCTCTTAGCGACCAAATAACCGGCAGCACAGACGGAAACAACTGAATTTCCGACTCTGATGATTCTGGCCACAATTTTGGGCTGTTTCTGGGCCAATCACACTTCGTGTTTCCGTGCGGGGATAACGAGCTAAGAGTGATATGGAGTCTAGTCGGGGCAGATCCCTGAGTCTTTTCGCCCTACACGAGTCGTTCCTGCAGTTGATTTTTCTCTTTCGCTCGTCATAAACCGCTGCTGCCCCTTTCTGCTGGGAATTATGATCTTATCCATGTGATGGCCGCCACGTGTTGTCCGTTGATGGATATCTCTTGCTACGATCGATCGATTGCTTTGTCTGAGACGGAAAATGACCCTCAATGGTTCAGCCTGTCCTGCGCCGTTTCTGCTAGAGGCGTTGTATCCGCGTGAGGGTGGCTGTAGGTATCTCTTGGTCTCATTATGATCGCTCACTGAGTCTCTAAAGATATCCCCGGTCGCTATTGCAAGGCATTTGACAGCGCATCGTGTTGTCTCCCCTGCCCAGTCACCAACTGGCGATACCCTGATGGTTGCTTTTCCATCCATCTAGCCTTTGACTCAGCTGACGAATGCAGAATATCAGAACGAACTCGACATCCCCGGCTGGATCGCGGTCGTCGTTCTCGTCCTCGTCGTCTGGTTACTCCTCACCTTTCTCCTGCTCCATCCAGACGATACATGGCGTCATTATCTCTCCACAACCCCATTGCTGGGCTTTGTCCTTGTCTCACTGGCGTTTATCATCCCGTTGAACCAAGAGGTCAATCATTGTTACGATGCGATCACGCCAAATGACTGGCGGTCGGATACCAGATGTGCTTTTACGGGTATTCTGCTGATGCTCGGGGTGTGGATTGTCGTCATCAGTTGTTAGTTTATCCTTCCTCGTCGACTCATCTTGGCTAATCATATAGGCTTCTTCCGATCGGTCTCGCTATACCTCCATCTCTGCTGGGAAGTCGATCTCGGTCAGATATTCATGTATACCTCTCTCACCACCACGATTGTCGGCTCCATCGCCCTCGTGATCCTCCTTGTGGGAGTGTCTGGAATATCCTACCAAGTTGGCAAAACCTGCTACATTAGCATTCCGCACAGCAAGGCGACCTTTTGGGGCCCCATGATGGCAGTCGCGGCGTTATCCATAATCCTTCAGACGATGATCATCGCCTTTTGCGTTTATACAGTGGTCCGACCGGTGTACGATAGCTGGATAGCATCGCGATACTCGAGTGACGAAGAGTCCATAATCTCGTATACCGCTTTCAGCGCGCGCCAGGCGTCTCGAAGAGTGTTGCGTATTCTGCGGATGCAGTGGAGAGCCATTGCCATTGTGGTTTTGGTGCTCATCCATGTTGTTTTTATGGCGATTGCGTTTCAAACGCTGCATTTGCCGGAGCATTACTCTCTGGCCGAGGTGAGGCCATGGTTTCAATGTCTCATCAATTCAAATGGGGATAAGAATGAATGTCTGTCGTATGCGAAGCATCTGGGCCCAAGTCGCGTGATGTGTATTGTTGCATTGTCCATTGTCTCGGTGAGTTCTTCATTCATCTCTCACCACAATTGCTGACTCGATAGTCCTGCGGCATCTGGGGTCCTGTATGCTGCGTCCGATCGACCATGGCGATAGGATGGATTGAACTCTTCCGAGGCCAGCAACCCACCGAACAAACTCCGAGTCCAGGTCATTCTGAAAATCCGGACATCGAGACCCTCATTGACAGCGACTCTCATCAACTCGCCGTCGTTTCGCCCGGTGGAAAAATCGAACTACGATGACATTCATCCTGATGCAGCGATGCGCTGTACGATATAATGATTCATGACACTATAATATTCTGCTATATCTATTCTAGATGAAATTCCAGAGTCCAAGTAAGACTTGGCCCGTGCTCCTACCAGAACATGGGACCCACCATGGCTGGCTGAGCATGACGTACTATTATTTTGGCGACTATCAAAAGAATTAATCTGAGAAGAACTTACTCACATTCTACATTATTTGAGAGATCAGCCACAGATCATGGACAGGATGGGCTAACCTGACATCCCCTCATTGCCACCTGTCAGTTGCCTTCAGCTATGCGAACCACTTTTCTTCATACCTTATTATCTCTCCACATATTGATACCGGCCAACTAAAATGCTCTGAGGAATCTCAGCTCTGTTTGCGGATTTTGACCCCGCGTAATGGCGGCATACCCGCAATTCAGATGCAGTACTGGCAACCTTGACATTGCAGCTGACAGACATTAGTGTACAAGTTCCAAGGTTCTGAATCGACTGCAGAGAAATTCAGATTGACAATCCCAGTCTGCTGAGGCTCCGACGATCCGTGACGAATGGTCTTCAAGGTTTGACATCACACATGTTCCCAATAGGATCTAGAGTGCTGTTTGGAATGATATCATCCATGACAGCTGTGTGAATCTGATCTCGAACATGGGAGCTGAAGATATGCATGTTGCTTGGAAAGGGAACGGATTGCATAATGTTACCCACTCTCGCTGGAGATATAAGACACCGTACTTGTTCTGTCTGAGAGGAAGTAACATCTATCATCTATTTTTGTTTATTTTCATTCAGAATTCCTTCAACCAACCACAAGTTATACTCCTTTTTCTTCTGCTACAATGACATTTGAGCCATCCCCTCGTGCCAAGTTTGCCAGTCTCTTTGGTGGATTGTCCAAAGGCTCCATCCTCTTCCCTGGCACAAAAAGCTACGAAGAGGCCGTGTTTGTGGGCAACCTCCTCTACCGACTCAAGACCCCAGCCGTGGTGGTCCAGGCAGTCGACGAAGAAGACGTCCGGGCCACCATTCAGTTTGCACACCAGCAAGGAATGCAACTGACCGTCCGCAGCGGGGGCCACTCTAACGCTGCCTACTGTATGAACCAGGGTGGTATTGTTCTGGACATGCGCTCTATGAACTCCGTCTCGGTTAATAAAGAAGATATGGAGATCTCAATTGCAGGCGGGGCAATCTGGCGCGATGTTTACAATCCACTGCACAGTCAAAGCAAGCGCCTCATGGTGATGGGCGGCCAATGCCCAACAGTGGGAGTGCCTGGGTTTTTGATGGGTGGGGGTCTCAGCCCGCTCTCGCGAAGCCATGGACTAGGCATTGACAGCCTGCTGGAAGCCACAGTCATCACAGCAACGGGTGAAAAGTTGACGGTGTCTCATCGGGATACCGATGACAGAGGCGACCTCTTCTGGGCCCTTCGTGGTGGTGGAGGGGGCAATTTTGGTGTTGTAACCCACTTCAGGCTCAAGCTGCACAAACTCAATGATGCTGAAGGCAAAGTGGTATGCGGGAGTCTCGGCTGGAAGATTCCCCAGAAAGAGGACAAGTTTAGGGATATGATGGAAAAGTTCAATACCATTAGTTGGCCCGCGGAGGTATGCGCCGATGCACTCTGGCGGTACGACGAGCACAACCAGCTGTGGGGGGAGTTGACCATTATCTACAACGGTCGATTTCCGGCATTCAAGCAGGACATTGCGCCATTGATGCAGTTCGACGCGGACAAGAACGATTTCAACGAGATGCATCTGTACGAATGGGAAGTCCAGGATGAAGCGTTCAGCGTGTTCTCCAAGATCTACAACCACCATGCATCCTTCATTTTCCCGGAAGGTGCCATCACCCCCGAGGTGTCAGATTACATGACGCACTGGATGAAGCGTGTCAGAGCCGAAGAACCAGACAAGAACAAATGCGGCTGTCACATCCCCTGGGATCACATTGGAGCCAAGACGACCCACGCCAGATCAGACGAGACAGCCTTCCCCTGGCGGGATGGCGCCTATGTGTGTTCCTTCAAAGTCAGCTGGACAAACACCGACCTCCATAAAACCATGTTCAACTTTATCGAAGAGGCCAAGATACGAATGGCCCCTCACGCCGTTGGTGGCGTGGCGGCGTATGTCAACTACATCGACAGCACCCTGGACACCTGGCGGGAGTCGTACTACGGAGACAACTATACTCGCCTCCAAAGCATCAAGTCACGATGGGATCCAAACAACTTCTTTACCTTTGACCAGGGAATTGAGCCAGTCGGTTTCCATCGTCAGCGTGACCCGAACTGGAAGCCTTGGGGAGTGTTTACTGTGCCCTCGCCGGCCATGTTGGGCAATCCCAAGACCCCAGGCGAGGTGTTTACGGTGGATGCTAGGATCCGTGCTGAATGCGCACCGCGGTACTGAACAAAAGTGTTTATTCCATATAATCCTGGATGATTCCCTGATATCGTTCAGACATGTTCAAATATATTCTCAACGTGTGCTGGACTCAATTAGTTGATTACTTACTATGCTATAGTAAACCCTGTGACCTGCAATTTTAATGGAAATTAATGTTCATGAAAGAACAGTCAGATATCAATAATACCACCACATACGCCAGAAAATAAGAGTCAGCTAACTGATATAGGCAGGACGGCAAGATGAGCATGATAATTACCTAACCGTAAACACCGGTTCCTGGCCATCCGAGATGGGGATGACGGGCATACACTAGCCTACTCCATTGCCGCTGGAGACCTATGGATAGCTTCCTACTTGGCGAAAACAAGCATCGAGTGGAACGACCAAGTGGGTGCACTGGGGCGTGCGGGCCCTCCAGCCGAACAAAGTGCCAAACCACCAGGGTTGTGACTTGCTAACCGATCGCTTTCCTCTTTTGAATGCATTTGCGAGGGTGGGAAGAGGAGATTCCACACATGGCAGGAAATGATTCCAATTCGTTGTGTCGAGAATGTGTCGATCGCATTCCTATAGCCGGAGCCTTAATCACCATGCTGTCTGTCCATACTATTGATGGTTATCTGCAATAAGCATTGACCCTGGAATACACTTCGGCATGTGCGATCAACACACATAGACCAATCAATTGAAGAAGAGTTATCAGGATGAAAGTTTCCAACAAAGGTAATCTGCGTCTAATTGATGCTGCAGTACAATGCACATTCAGGTGGGGTAGAAGGACTCGAGGTCCTTCATCGTGAAATGTTGGGGAAACCCGATCAGAGTTTTCCATGCTAGTGATTTAGCAGCCATACCATATTTGAGACATGCATTTCTCACCGACCGTCGCAATTTCCAAGCATGAACCGTGCATAAGGCTGGGGTATCTCTATGTGCAGACTTCTGCGGAGAAAGAGAGATCAAGCAGATAAGAAGAAGAATAAGAAAGTCAACTGTAGATGGCGATAAATATTCAGTGTTGCATCTCCGCGGAATCCGTTATCGCAGTGTGATTGCGGTGATAGGATGACGGTTCGACTCGACCGAGAAATGATCGTCCCTCCACCATCTTTTCTGGCCTATCGGGGAGGCACTATTTGGCTGTAGTTCATGCAGCTTATCTAGTCGATTTTCATTTCTCCAGTCAGCCCAGTGTGATAGCCATCACTGATAAGGTATCAATGACTTATACATATATTTCCCTTGTCCATCTTCCATTTTCTATTCCTCTTCTTCCTCTTCCCCATCATCATCAACAGACAATGGCCAACATGGGTATCGACGCGTACTCACCCGCAGAGGTGGTCGAGATGGTCTCTCGCACCGGTGTCATCAAGGGAAACATGCGTCTGGATAAAGTCTTCTTCAGCGCCGTTTCGGCTGGCTGTCTGCTCGCCTTTGCCTGCGGTACGGTCCTCAGCACCAACACGACTCCGTGGTTCCAGACGAATGCGCCTGGTTTGATCCGGACCATCAGTGCATTCTTCTTCCCCTACGGCTTGTGTATGATTATTCTTACTGGAGCGGATCTGTGTACTGGTTCTTTCATGGTGTGTATACATCCATCCTATATCGACAGATACTAACCAGTCAGTACACCACCATTGCTGCCCTCCAACGAAAGCTGCCCTGGTATAAGATGCTCATCCACTGGGTCGTCACCTTCTTCGGCAACCTCGCTGGTTCCCTCTTTGTCGTCGCCATCATCTTCGGCTGTATGTCCATCCTTCTATCCAATTGACACTATACTAACAAACCAGACGGCGAGGTCTTCACAGCCGACCCCTTCAAATCCGCAGTCATCAGCTTCGCCACAAAGAAACAAGTCACCCCGACCTTCCACGAGATCTTCCTCCGCGGCATCGGCTGCAACTGGCTCGTCTGTCTGGCCTGTTTCTTCGGCATCCAGGGCCGCGATCTCGCATCCAAGGTCATCGGCATCTGGTGGCCGATTTTTGGCTTCGTCTCGCTGGGTCTTGATCACGTTGTCGCCAATATGGCCTTTATCCCGATGGCGATTTGGGTGGGTGCGCCGGATATCACTGTGGGGTTGTATATCTGGAAGGGGATTATTCCTACCCTGATTGGGAATATTATCGGGGGTGGGCTGTTTGCTGGTATGTTTTCTCTCCCTGTGTAGTAGTTGGACTATACTAATGATGCAGGCGCATACTACTGGTACATGTACCTGGTCGACACGCCGTCTATCCCCATGTACGGAATTCGCAAGAATGGCGAAAAGTCAGCGGATGGCAGTGAAGTTTTCCCTAAAGATGATGTGGAAGGCTCTGCTGGTGTGACAGGACGTGCTGCTTAAATGGATTATTGATACATTCATGGATATGGATGCATGGATAGATGAGTTTGGTATATCTGGTATATGTCAAGTAATGGTAATATGTCTACATAATATTTTTCATTCAAAGCATTTGCTTGTGGTAGTATATCGCTACAAGTATTAATATATAGTCAGTTAATGCTATTTTATACACAGGCGACCTACCAAACACCTGCCTGATATAACTAAACATACCGCAATATCTGCAGAATAGAAAAGCCACAACAGGAGAATGATTTCCGAGTCCACTTTAATCTCTGTACAGCCACAGTATACACAACCAACGAGTCACAAACGCCCAATCAGACACGATACAGCGGTGATCTGCATTGTGGCGCAGCCCATCTGTTAAATAGTTTCTACAAAACACTTAATACGAACTTTGAGACAGTTCGAATCGGATTCTTCATCTTCCTTTCGTATTCCACCATCACATCATGGATCTCCTAGACCTCCCCGCCGAAATCCTCCTGAAAATAGCAGACCACACACCCCAGGCTGCTCTAAACGCCCTCATCCAAACAAACCCTGGCGTATTCAATCTTCTCGAAGATAGATTATATCGCAAGAATGTCCAAGAGCACGACGGCAATGCTCTCCTCTGGGCCTCTCTCCACGGAAGAGAAAACACAGTCCGCAAACTCCTCAACGCCAACGCCGATGTAAACGTCAACACCCAGCCCATCAAAGAAGACCTATCCCGGCACTACATGGCCACCGAGAAATACACGAAATGGATCGGCCAGATCATGCGTGAAGTCGCCGGCAGGACGAGAAATATCGACTACGCATTCCCCATTATGTACGCAGTCGTAGGGGGAAACGCGTCTATCGTGGAACTGCTGATTGAGAACGGCGCAGATATCCACTTCAAGGGTAAAGGGGAGCGAAACCCACTCATCGTGGCTGCGGATAGAGGGCGTATTGATGTGATAGAAGTGCTGCTGAAGCACGGGGCTGACATCGAGACGAGTGGTGAGGGATACACGACGCCGATGAACACGGCCACGCTATACGGCAACAAAGAGGCAGTGCTATATCTCCTCAGCAAAGGCGCTGATCCGCAGAGAGCATGCCACTCAGGCTGGACGCCCTTTGACAATGCCATCCGACGCCAGAAGGTGGAACTAGTCAAGGCGATGCTGGCAGCTGGTGCGTGGAGCCGCTCTGTCGCCGGCAGGGCCTCTCGGGCGATGGTGTTGGCGGCCTCGACCAGAACCCCCGAGATCTTGGAGCTTCTTTTAGACTATGGGGAAGACATCGAAGTACGAGATGACAACGGCGCCACGCCACTCATGAGGGCGGCTGCAATGGACCGTGTCGCCTTGGTCGAGTTTCTCATCCAGCGCGGAGCGAACATCCATGCCAGAGACCGCGTTGGTCGCACGGCTCTGACGTACGCAGCCCTCGGGGAGTACACGGGGAACTCGCTGCGGCTGCTTCTCGACCACGGGGCTGATATCGAGAGCTGCGATAGTTCGTCCGTGACGCCTCTGAGGGTGGCCGTGCAGGGGGGGCGTGTTACATCCACCAAGATCCTCCTGTATGATAGAGGCGCGAATCCCAACTGCGTCGTGGGCAACGGCATCACGCCTCTGTGGTGGGTTGTCGAGCAGCCTCCCACGCGTGCATACCTGTCAGTCATGGCGGATTTACTGGAAAATGGGGCCGATGCGAATGTCGTATGTGAAGGAACCAAACCATTGCAGCGGGCTGTCGAAAGGGGATTCAGAGTATCGGTGGAGTTGCTGCTTCGGTATGGAGCAGATCCAAATAACCAAAAGGATGGCGTTTCATTGCTATCGTGGGCGATTCAGACACAGCATGACGAGATAGCAGATCTTCTTCGCGAGTATGGGGCACATGAATAACATATATGTACATCCCCAGTATACTATCCATGACATCTATACAACTGAATAAGCTATGCTACTTTAGCCTCATTATAACATCTTCTACCCGATAATCCCCTGCATGTTACACTGCGGGCAAACAATGCAATATCACCTCAATCCTTGCTTTACATACAGGAAATCCCTACACTCAGCCTCATCCCTTGAGATAAATAACTGCAACGCTCACCTACTATCTGGGACGGGGAATTGTTCGGCTTTCATCAGAGCCGCTGGTTTCAAGATCGACTATGAGAGAGAAGCTCATGCTCAAGACTTTGGAAGTGTGTATACCATTGCTGTGAACGGCAAACCGATGGGGTCAGACTATACCGGTCCGGTGAATGGCATGCAGGACGCAAATAGAGTCATGTTCTCAACCAACTTCTCGTTTGGAATGCGGGGCATGCCGTCGAGTATTGGTTTCACGGCCATGTGGAAAGATCAGACAGCGTGCAAGAGTCGGATTCAGGTGAATCAGTGTCGGTTCCATCTTGCAACAGTCAACTACCCAGTGCATATCGTCAACGGGATCGTGGAGTAGCATGAGCCCGATTGAGATTGCCAAGGCGTTCAACACGCCAGTCCTACAGCAGATGGGCCCTGTATAGCGATCTGAACAAGTTCCTGCCGATAGTCGGCCATCGCAATATCCGGTACGGGAAGGTCAAGTATCGCGATGGGAGGTTCATCTTCCCCGACGAAGAAGTGCAAGGCGAAGACCTTCAACGACGGCTGGAACTGAATCATACACACTGGACGAGTACGCCTCGGTCTGGGACTCAATATGTATAGTCTAATTATGATTATATTCATAACACATGGGCTATTTAATATGGTATGGTAATATACATCAATAAAACTTAGCCAGGAAACTCCCTCTCTTCGACACGCGCCGGAATTCATCCACAGCCGGACTAACCGGTTTGATGGGGACACTCTGCATTTCTATCTCCTGGCCGTGTCCCAAGTAGGGCGTGCTGGGGAGGTGTTCTTCTGCCTTTGCGCGGATGTAGTAATGCTCGTCGTCTTCCTCCATGCCGACGAACCAGCGCTCGTTGAGCTGTTTGCCCACCGGGCCGCCGCCACACGCGCCTTGCAATCTGGACGTCGCGGGACTGTTGACGGCCAGCGCGAAGAGGTTCTGCGGTTCGGTAAAGTCTGTGATTTGCTTGCCGCGGACTTCGACGATCATGAACACAAGCACGATGCCGGAGGTGATGAATGCAAAGACGAGAATGGGGTAGAAGACGCCTTGCCAGCGTTCTGTGCCGCCCGAGGCATACCCGACTGCTTGGAGCATGGAAGGGAAGGATTGGTAGACGGGTTCGTCGAGGACCCTGTCCTTGCTGTAGTTCCAGTATGGGACGAAGGGGGCGTTTTGGGTGCTGAGGATTAAGGTGCTGCCGCACATGACGGCGAGGGCTTCACTGATAGAAGGGAGACTCGTGCTGAGGGAGTACGTGTTGTCGTCTTTGTTGTATGTCGGCAGCATCTGCATGAGGAGACGGGCGTTGGCGGCTTGTCCGTCTGTGATTCCGGAGCCCAGACTGACAGAGTTGGCCCACTCCGAGGCGATGTTCTTCCAGTCCGCCTCCCAGATGCCTTCGGGGGTATCCTTGACGCGGTGATTGTATTGCAATGGGTTGGTGGAGTTTTCGCAGTTGGTGTAGAGATTTGCGCCGGAGGACGCAGCCTCGTAGCGAGTCGAGCAGACGCCTGTTTGCTTTGCTCGCAGCGAGCAGAGAACATAGGGGGGATTCGTATCGGCGGATGGGGCAGCACCCAGGATGTAGATGGCGTTTGCCGGCCAGTATCCGGTCGTGTTGGTGATGGTGTTGTATGGCTTGGGGTATTTGCCGAAGATAGGAGGACGCTGACCGTTTTTCTCGCCAAACTCGAAGAGATCGTCGACAACGGTGCGGTTCAGCCAGGAGGGATATCGTGGGATGTCCGACGGAGGCGAGACACTCCAGTTGGTGGGACTGAATTTCTGCGAGTCCGGCCATTCGGTATAGATGAGAGGCGAGAGTTCTTCCTTGGTCATGCCGACGCAGAGGACATTCACGGCCGGGGAAATGACCGACGCGTCGATGTTGTATTTGCCCTGTCCGGATGCTTCCTGGGGCTGTTTGATGCCGTTGCGCGGATCGATGGAGGCCCCGAGGACGCCGCCGTGAGGCATCGCCATGGTGATGTTGTTCACCATTCGCCCGTGTTTGCTCGACAGCTCCGTCATGTCGTCGATCTCAATCCAGCTGCCCGTCACGGTGGTGTTGTCGTAGATCGACCCGGTCGGTTGCGGCCGAAACTCGAGCTGGTCAGACGTGACATTGCCGCCGGCGACCTTGTCGGCCCATGTCTGGATCCACTGCTGGTAGTTGTGGTATGCGTGGCCGACGTGTTCGATCTCGAGACAGGTGAGGTTGCGGTTCACCGGGTCTGCAGCGACGGTGACGGGCGTTTTGCAGTGCGCCGAGATCCAGTCGGTGTTGCCGAAGCTGGTGGACACCTTGCCCCAGACGACTGTTTCCTCCAGCGGGCCCATGAGCAGTTTGGGCGAGACTGTCTGGTTAGTATCAACTATACTAGACTATACTCGACGTGGTGATATGTACTCACCCAGTGCTTCGGCGGCGGTGGTATACAACATCGCCACCAACGTCGCCGTCAGCGTGATCGCACCCAAGAAGGTCAATCCGGAATATCGCAGCGTCTCCCAATGCACAATCAGCGAGCCCGGCTGCATGATCCACGCCCGCATGCTCATGTCGGAAATGGTGATGCCCTGCGATCCCTGGGTGAGCGCCCGGCGACTGAGCACCTGGCCCAGAAACGCCACACACACCGTGACATACGACAGTTCAATCGTCTTGGCAAACAAGGCACTCAGCAGGTTGGCCGTCGACGGTGCTAATCCTCCATCCCCGCCTACGTGTTTCCCCCAGCGCGGCTTCAACAGCGCAATCACCAGATATATGCCCGCAAAGATGGTGGCGTAGATGGCCAGCACCAGAATGGTGATGGGCACCCACGAGAAGCGGCGGTGGAAGATGTTCGACTGCGTCGGACACTTGACGCCTCCATCTTTCAGGAGATGCTGCGAGCTGTGCAAATTGGGCGACGGATTCAACAGCCCCGGCGTAGTGTTCGCACTGGGGCCGTTGATGCTATCCTCCGATAACTTCCTTTTATGTGCGGGAATTGACTCCTCGGAGCCCGACAGATGGGAAATCCCCAGCCCAGCATCGCGGGAGATATCGTTGAAGTCGTCGTCGGCGGTGGGATGGTAGGCAGCCTGGTCGGGCGATGAGCGACCTAGCGGATTCCATGATCGCGGGGGATTCAGCGGCGTGGGCGGGTCGGAGTCGTATGGAGGGAGGAGATGGTGTTGAGGGTCCGGCGCCATTCTGGAATGTCTCAGAGGAAGAAGTTCACAGCCTCTGGACACCCTGGCAGCCAGGCTGGGGAGTTATAAGAGACTGACTGGACTGGACTGCGGCAGCGGAGAAATAAAAATAGCAGGATTAGTGTTGGACAGCCTGACTTTGGTTCTTTGTTAGGGGCGAAAATCATGCCAGATTAGGAAATCAGGGTTTTATCGTGCAGATCGTGGCCAGAGTCAAAGAGGACTCTTAATTATTATATTTAATAGAACAGTAGTTCTTTATGCCAGTTGAATAATAACAGTCATATAAATAATCACATAACTAATCATACGAATAATCATAAATAAAAATTAAGATCAATGATAATTAAATGGTGATTGCAACGTGGCTCATCTCGTAACAGCCTGGCAGCCTCGCAGCCTCGCATTGCCGATCTTCTAGTGCTTATATCAAAGCGGACAGTCAGATGCTAAGATTCCAGCGGTCCAATCCTATTCCTCTTTGTTTAATTAAAATACTGACAGCTCATCCTGCTGTCAGCCTCAATACTCGACTTGAAATGGATGGCTGGATTACTGTTGTGATGGTCATTCCAGCGTACAATCTTGGCATTCATTCGGAATATATAGATATCATAGATGTATTCTACCATCTCCAACTCTCCAATTTCTCCAATGTTTGATCAATTCAGCCATTTATCAACATCTATTAATCATTAATATCTATTACATTGGTTCAACATAAATGTATTTCATGTTTATATTCTTTAAAATAATAATGATCGTGTTGTTGTACTGAGGTTAGGAATAACATCATGGCATAAGAACTTAAGAACTCAAGAATGCAGATCCAAAATTAAAGCAAACATTAAATAAGCATGAATCAGATTAGATTAATTAAATTCCAAGTCAATAAATCCCCGATTAGAGCCCCCTTGATTGGCTGACAGCATCTGCCGTCATCCCATCTCCAACTCCTTCCTCCCCATCTCATCTCATCTCCATCCTCCTTTTCTTCTCCTTCGTACAGCCTCATCTCCACCATGTCCACCACGCCAGTCTCTGCTCGCGACACTCGATCTTTAACCTACGATGTTTGCGACCGTAGTTTTGCCCGCCATGAACAACTGCAGCGCCACTCGAGAACTCGTGCGTAACTCCTTACTTCCAGGCAAAGCTAACACCAGCAGACACCAAAGAAAAACCGTACATCTGCCATTGCGCTCATTTGCTCGAAAAGATCTGCTTACTCGTCATGAGCGATTGAATCACAGGCGCAGTAAACGCCATCACATTAGTCATTTACCTGACAATGCAACAGCTCCATCGCAGAATGAACCCCCCATGCTGGACTCATTGCCTGTCCCAGATACGCAGATCACAGACTTATCTTAACCATGGCTATAGACCATTTGACATGGTTAATGCGTGACACTAAACAGTCGTTGATGTGCAAGCTGCTGTTCTGTTCTTTATTCTTCCTGGAGATAATTACACTATAGCTAGCTATGATTATGCGTACCTATATCCAAGCAATTGACAGATGGAGATCTGCGTCTCTTCGGCATCAATACGAGAAACAGTGGAGCATCGATCGATAGTGTCTGTACAATCCGAGTGGCTAGACTCCCTTTGAATACAATTTGCGAGGTGTTCGTTTATATCAACACAACATCCATCTCCAGATTGCCGATCACAGACAAACAATGTCCCACACGGCTCTAATGTTGCATTCTATACGAAGTCATCATTTCCGGTGCCATCATATTGACATATAAATACAGCTATGCAAACCACTGTTAGTAAATCCATCCTCTTCCTCATCTCAACCATCTCCAACCTTGTACACCACCACGAGAAACAACATGAAGATCTCCTCCATCTGTGCTCTCCTGAGCTGCGCTCTATCCGCCCAAGCATTCAGCATCTACTACGACGGAGACACCGTCATCAAAGACGCCCGACGCATCGAATACCCCTGCGTAAAGGCGGACTTCAGAAAGGGCAACAACCTCGCCTTTTTCAACGACAGGGTTGATCAGGCAGATGATTGCCATCTCTCGCTTTGGAAGGACTCGAAGTGCAACCATCTTGCTGGATCCTCGCATGGCGAGTGGAGGAAGAAGCTGAGCGAGAATGTTGATGCGTGGAGCTTTACGTGCTGAGTGGGTTTCTTCGTGTTGCTTGTGTCCTGGTGGTTTTGCTGATATTTATCAGTGTGTGCTTTCGGTTTAGGACTCTTGTATAAGATTGTTTTTGATGGTGAGGAGATTCAGGCTTTGCTGCCTGACAGATGGGAATATCTTGACTATCAATGGGCTATCCAGTACTGTGTTTAATTATTTTGTAAACAATAAAAGTGTATAGTATAGGTTAATTTTTCCCTGCTTATTCCTTTTGATATTCTCTACATCCAGGATTTCTTATCATTAAATACTCCTATTCCATATAGTCTGTTTATTATATACTCCATGCCAAATCACTAGGCGGCGGAAAAATATCTTTCAACATAATAACATCAACATCAACACCTTCCTCTGCCACGACTATGTCAAGAGCTGTCTGATAAGAAGGCAACATCTCCGAGACCCCAAGCTGAAACTTTTTCCATTCTCGACTCCTCGCCAGCTCAATCAACGGCGGAAACCATTTCGCTTCTTCTGCATCCACGCGATACGTAGCACGAGTATGCCACGATGGCGTGATGAAGATTTCCAGCCGGAGAGAATCCAGTCCGATGAACGATTGCTTCAACGAGCGGAGCATGGCGTTGTACTCTTTCCAGCTGGAGTCGAGAATGAAGAGCGTGTCTCCGGTGTCTGGGGTTTCCGCAATGAAGGAGACAGATAGAGATCGTATCAGATGGATATGAGATGGCGGGAGTAGTTTGGGCATTCGAGCTAGATTCCTGGGCGATTCGAACAGGAATGTATTTGTTTGGTAGAGAATGGGGAGCGCTTCCCAGTATCTGGTCTGATTAGACTCTTCAATTGTAGATGTGTGTAAATGTGCTCACCCCAGACGACATGTTTGCAACCATTCAAACACCCCTTGTAGTTTATATTTCGACGCCTCTTCTTTCTTGAGCTTTCGATCCTCACGATGACAAATATCCACCCAGGCCACAATCGGCCTCGACCCATCTGGATAAGGATCGACTCGTTGGCGACTATCCCCATCTATCGAGAGATACGGACAGATCCGATGCCACCAATGCCAATACGGCTCCTGTTTCTTCTTCCCATTCCCATGATAATAACTAAGCGGCCAGTAATTCATGAACTCGAGATGAATAAAATGTTCACTCCAGAGACACCGATAGATGGATCCACGGACATGCCATGGGAGCCGAAAGAACAGGCTCTTAGTTTGCGGATTCGGCAGCAAGTCATCTGCTGTTTGGTCTCTGCGCTGGTCGAATTCAATCGGCGTTACTGGGCGTCGTGGGGGTGGCAGAGGGAGGAATCTGGGATCGTAGAGGCCTGTTTCTGTGGCTGGTTTGCAGGTGTTGTAGTCGAGTCCTGTTGTTTTTAGGGCTTGACTGCGCTCATTCTGGTTGAGTGCGTTTTTGCGACGGAAGCGATCGATAAATGGCATGTTTTGATGAAATGGATGGAAGAAAGTCGAGGTTGGACAAAGGGCGGCCCAGATATATATACCAGACACTGCTTATTGCCACGGATCGTTTACTTTATGTACATACTACGAATATCGACATTGCACCACAACACAAGTAAATAATAAAATAAATATCTAGGAACATCCTCCACTCGATGGCCCCCCTGCCCCCCTTTGCACTTTATTATTATTATAACACCGCGCTTTGGTCCAAATCGGCGAATTGAACTTGGCCAGCCATTCATATCCATTCTTGTCCGGCTCATCGAAATACTCAAAATACCAGCCTGTCAGCCCCTTTCCAAAGCAGTGCGTCGAGTTCGGCTTCAGCGAGTCCTTTCCAAAGTCCCACGACGCCCATCCAGCTCCACGGATGTTATATCGATCGAGCACAAACTTGTAGCTCCCCGTGCAGGAGGAGGTGGGCTTTTTCGGCACGGGAAAAGGGCGTTTTTTTCTATTCGGTGTGATCTTATATGTGTAGCCGCCGTTCTTGTATGTGCCACCAAACTTCCAGTTCATGGGGTTGTTCTTGTCATTGCCATCGCAGCCGTCCAGGATTTGGTTGACGGCGCGATTGCACGCCTTTTCGTCGCTGGCACTGGCGGTCTGTTCCAGTTCCAGGCTGAATGTGGCTTCGTCGGGCGTATCTTTGTTGTATGTCTTGGAATACGACCAGCCATACTTGCCTGACGGGGCGTTTTTCTTCATGCTGCTGCAGAACTCTTCCGTGTGGAGGTAGAGCGAATATGCACTGGCATATTGCTTCGATCCGCTGTCTTGGGAGCACTTGAGGTCATTGACTGGCTCGCAGAGCGGATCGTCAATGCCCAGTATCGATGACCGTGCCTGGGTGACGGCAAACGAAACAAAGGATGCCATGGCTTCGTGACCAAGCTTACTGGGATGGAAGATCTTTCCAATCTTATCGGGCAGGGCTCCTGATAGAAGGCCCTTTCCACACGCTGGCTGCTTCACATCTGCTTCTCTCGTGTCCAAGGCGAGGGCGGAGAGATAGTCTGCAGTATCTTTTTCCTCCATGGCACTCGTGACATTGGACGTCGTCTCCAAACCGCTGAATCCGAATTCATCTCGCATGACCAATCCCGGATTGAGCACCTTGTACGTCGGCAGTTTGAAGAACAACACCCGATCATTGCTTTTATCAAAGGGGTCAGGAGATGCGCCCTGTTCACAGAATCGTCCTTTTGCGGATTCACCCCACGGATCCCAATCCGCAAAGACAATCTTGGCTTTCGAGTTCTTCGCAGCGGCCGTGACGGCCGCTTGCAGCTTTTTGTTTGTATTTTCGACGAGCGTGTTGAACTTGGATCGTCGGTCTTTGGTGAGTAGCAGACTGGTAGACCCGGCCTGTCCTGGAAAGACCCAGTCTTGCTGGTTTGTGCATTCGTCATTGCTCGTGTCAAAGTATTGCGCGTAGGAGGCCAGGACGATGATTCCATCCTTGTTCATCTTCTTGTCCAATGAGGTCAGGAGATCTTGCACGTTGGACTGCAGCAGGTTGTCGATTGCATCTTGGGCTGTGGTGATGGCTTTGTTGCAGTTTGACTCGGAGGTGACGGATTGCAGGATGCACTTCATGATAATCGAGGTCTGATCATTAGCATCACTTCAGCTGTAGTATAAGCAATCATACCAGACATAGATCATTTCCACCGGCCGTCAACACAGCCAAGTCCAAGTCACTAGGAAGCCCTTTAATCTGACCGGAGATATCTTCAGATGTCGCCCCCGAACATGCCGAGTATTTGAACTGCGTCACACTGGGCCCAAAGTACTGATTCAAAATGACCGGATACGAGTAATCGTATCGCGAACAGGAAACATCACCGCGATCATTGCTGTAGACATTGCCAGACCCAATGCCAGCCGTGAACGAGTCACCGACTGCTGCCCATCGTTTTATCCACGAGAAATCCGTCGGGTCTTTATCAGGGCTTCGCTTTAGTTGCAACGCAGAGGTGTTTGTGGCAGAGGAGGGAAAAACAAAAGGCAACAGAGCGCAAAGGGAAAGACTGGCCCATGGCTTCATCGTTGCTTCATTTGGTGCTGATCAGAAAGCAAAAGACTCTTTCAATGCACATTAATGTAGTGTACTCGGCTGTGCGTGGCAGTAAGTGCATCTGACTCGGTTGAGGCATTTTCGCCATTCCAAATTTTAGTCCGTCAGCCTCACAGGGATCTGTTCCTTCTTCCTGTGGACCTGCAGATTGTCTGTTTAATTTGTTTCATAAATGCTTGATTCTGCGAGTGGGGGCTGCTTTCACAGGAAGTGGGCTGTGCTTATCTTCATGGTGTGATATCTACACAGCCGGAAGTAAATCTGCGATGTAACCTGATCATACTGGAGGTATTATGTTATGCTTCAGGCCGACAATTAATTAGATTGAAACCAATCACAATTCCAGCGACGTTGTATTTCGTATAATCTGACGCTATCTAATTCTGCGTAACCAACCCCCATGCCAGATCCGAATCGCCAGGTCCACTCGTAGCATTGAGAATGACCGACTTCTTCCTACTCAAATCCGATCCCAGCTGGTTGATTGTCGTCCCATTCTTATCGTCCAAATCAATCGCCCAAGCAAAGGTCCTGCACCGTCAGAATTATCTCAGATCTGTAGATGGATAGAACTCACCCGCCTAGACAGTGTTTGTTGACAAAGTCGATGCGCATCTTCATCGTCTGTGCATCGTCATACGATACCCACTGCGTATTATTCCAGGTCACAATCTTCACTGCGGCTTCCGAGTCCAGCGTGACCTTGGCTCCACTTGCGATGATTTCTCGTATCTCGACGTCAGACAGGATTCCTGCTGTATTGGTGCAGCGGCCTGGAGTCCCGCTTCCCGTGAACGGGCAGCCGGCTTTCATGCAGGATGAGTCTTTCATCGTAAAGCCTATGTTCATATAAGCATGGTAAAATGATGATATAGGTGGTGTAGAGCATACTCCGCCCATAAAACCCTAGACCCAAATTCACTCGGGCCGGGTCAATGTTGTTTCGCCAGAGCAGATCCAGCGTCTGTTCGATTTCCGTCAGGTTGGTATGGGCCAGGGCATTGGAGCCGATGAAGCGATCGTGAGCATCCCAGGTCCCATGCAGATCGTAGGTCATCACGTTGAACCAGTCGATGTAGGGGTCTATCTTGACGATGTCGAAATGCTGCATGTACCAGTAGGAGGAGGGCTGTATCGTTAGCCAGAAAAGTCCCAAACTGCGGATGTCAACTCACAATCGTAATCGACAGCCCAAAGGAGGTGCTGCTTTCATCCAGTGCCTTGCGCAGATTCGAAAGCCATTTGGGAAAGTTTTTAAAGTCGCTGGCTTTCCCGTTTCGCTCTTCTGCGACGGGATATTCCCTGGATGGGTCAGTAACGAACTTGCCAAAGTGATGTAGACTGACCAGTCAATATCGACACCGTCGAAATTGTTATTTTCCATAAACGTAATCAAGGAAGCAGCAAACTCCTTTTGTGCAGACTCCGAGCCAGCCAAATCTGAAAATGTCGACGCGGTCGGTTTATCACTGTCGCTAAAGTCCCAACCGCCGATGGAAATCCACACCTGGAGATCAGACTGTCTGGCTTTCAGCTGCGTGATGTTTTGATAGAGTGCCGCGACATCAGATGCCATGGGGGCGATCCGGAAGGTCTTGGGGTCGATGTAGGCGAACGCGTAGTTAATATGGGTATAGTAGCCCAGTGGGATGTCGGATGGCTTCATCTCTTTGATACATTAGATGTCGCACATAGAACGAAGATGAGACATACGACCGCATTTTCTCTCCCCATTCCAGCCTTCAAAGTAGCCCATTGTGCGCTTGTCCGATGATCTTCCACTGCAGGATGGGGATGGCACTGTCTTGTCTCCGCAGAACTCGGCGGTTGTCCCTGATTAGAATATTAGCCCTGCATATCAAGTCCAGTAGAGCAACTCACCGCAAAAACCAAATGAACTACAGCACACTTTCAGCGGACAGGTCGACTCATTCGACCACTTCATACCCCATCCTGGGTCGCATTCACTCTTGTAATCGCAATTCGACACGCAATTATCCGGTGAGCAGAAGTCGGGACCTAGAAATCTCAGTTATCATGCAGATCAGAGAGTATCTGTTGGGAATACCTGTTCCGCAAACACCGCTGGTACATCGTTAGCTAAATCCAATACTATATGGTATGGTTCGCACCTCTTGGAACAACATCCTCTTGGGCATGCCTTGGACTTGCTGCATTTCAATGTACCACTGGTTATGCTGCTGATGTCGCTAATAGCGCTGATATCGCCGGTTGCAAGAGTATCATAGACGGCCGTGAACAATAACAACAGAGTAGGCAAATGCATCTTGTGAGTGCTTGGAATTGCAATTGCAGTAGACTGCCGGTCCGATTGTATTGATATGCGACGGCCAACAGTCGATCTAGTATGACGGTGGGTATGAGGGCGTGGTCCATCCTGCATTAGTCGTATCATTGTTTCAGCCTTCCACGGACAACCTTCCTATTCTATCTTTTGCCGATCTCTGCTTATGCTGTTGAGGTTGCATATGGGAACTCGATAAGTGATATACATGCGTCTGGACAGACTGGTTCCCATGGCATGCTGGACTATCACCATGTTTCCACACGCATCTTTTCTTCTCCTTTGCTGTCTCTTTACATCTACAGTATCTGCCTGCTTCGACTATCATGTCCCTCATAATCACACCCACCAGCCATCTCGTCGTTGGAATGTGATATACGGCGACCCATATTCGCAGAAATGGCCCGATGGCAAGATCAAATACTGCTTCAAGGACAAGATATCCAGAGACAAATTAAAGAAGCCGGTTGAGCAAGCCTGGAACCTCTGGGTGACCGCTGGAGTCCGCAGAGACATTCAAATGGTCTGGGACAAGAAGTATTGTACCGAAGACGACGCAGACGACTATCTCGAGATTTCATACAACGACCAGTACATACTGAGCACGTCGCCTGGAAAATGGAACTATCTATTGTCTCATCCGACCATGGCGCTCGATCCTCGCGACGACTTTGGCTCGGGCAGTGGGATCTCCAACATTGCGCACGAGATTGGCCACGCCTGGGGGTTTTTCCACGAGCATTCCCGGAAGGACCTGTGGTCGCGAGACTATGGAGGCACAGCGGAGCACAACACGTTCACCTGGAACTGCCAGAACCTCAAAGACTACCCGGACAAAGCGAAGGAGCACCCGAATTTGATTGACAAAATGTGTCACTACAACACCTTTGCGAGGACGTACAAATTCTCGGCGTTTAACTTTCTGCCGGAGCCGGATTCAAGGCACGCAGAAGGCGCGTTCGATGAAGACTCGATCATGATGTACGGCTCGACGGCGGGTGCGGTGGCTGGGAAAACCGTCTACACCAAGACCGATGGATCACTGCTTCATTACAATCGAGCCCCCAGTCCACTGGATGTCGCCAAGCTGAATTCCATGTATGATCCGCCGGATTCAACCGGGCAGCGGAGTGGCCTTTTCTGGTCGAAATCCAATCCGAACTCGAATTTGTTCCGTCGTATCGTCGGCAAGAAGGACTGTAAATGACCAGACCGTATTCTTGAGTGTGAGATAGACTTGGCTAGTGATAGGAGTCATATTCGCATGAACACCATTTTTAAAATACCGCTAGACTGAAAGAACCAGACATTCCTAGTAGCCTGTCCTAGTCATCTCATTCAGGATTCAGAGTCGACACATCCGAAATAACCAGATGTATCTCACATCAATTGTTGGTTGCATCAAGAGGTGGCAAAAAGTATTTCATCATTCCAATAAAACTGATACTTCCATGCAGGTACAGCCTGATGCTCGCCCGACCTTCCTATCGAGTCATGAATCCCACATGGGGGCCGAAGCTTGACTTGTTTTTGGCCCCAAGTAAGATCCTATGGTCATTCAAATAACTGGCTAGATGGCGTGCTATCATCACACACGATATCACACCCTCCTTAATTAACTCAATTTTATGTCCACAAGGCTGTGATTCTTACTCAGACATCTATATATTGGGGGCCTGACAGCCTCGGGTCTCTGATTGGCCGATAACAAGCACCCACACACGAACGGGCCGATGGAGGCTTGTTTGTATCATGAACTATCAGTCTATCGCCAGACTCGATGGTGAGCCTCAACTCCGAGATTAAGGGTTTCGTAGGGTTGCATAGGGTCCACTGTTTATCATAATGGATGCCTGATGTGACAGGAAGCTTGTGTGCACACGTACCCGTTGGAGCGACGCACTTGCCGTATTGCAAGGATAGATAGTAGATTACTATGAAGTCTGCCTAGGAGAAACTTCTCTTGGACGGAGTCTATCCCTCAATATCATCATGCTGTTTCTATACTTTACGTTGCTTGCATCGGTGGTGATTGCGCAGAGCAGTTCGCAATCCATCCATCGCTCTTCTACACTGCCAGCATCGCCACCAGTCTCGTCAACACCATCAGTCTCGCAAAGCTACTCTATTCTTCCAGGATATACATACACTCCAGCAAACTCAAATACCAGTACTGCCTGGCCACCGAGTAAAACACAGGCAGGCCAGCCATCATACTGTTAGTATATACTGCCAATCCTCAACCCATGCTAACCATCCAGGCAATAAATGGCACCAGGCATCCCGCGGCGATACTTGCCAGTCCATTGTGAATCGATTTTCGACATGGATGAGTCTAGCTGATTTGTATGTCTCTTTACAAACCTTAAGATCACGTATACTAACAATTGCAGCCATGCTTGGAACCCCGCCCTCGGAAAAGACTGCTCTGGCCTCTACAATGGATGGTGGTACTGTGTTGGAGCGCAGCCTCAATCAACAATGACCGCAAACACCACTGCTACGTATCAATGGTATCCGCCATGGACTCAATCAGCGTTGCCAACGATTGATTCAGTCTTCAATCCTTCTCCGACACAGTCTGGTCTTCCAAATGATTGCCAGGAGTATTATCAAGCGCAGAAGGTGAGTAGTTATCTATTTTTCAGGAGTACGCTAACAATGATACATAGAACGACACGTGCATGACCATTACATCTACCCTCCGCATCACCGACAAAGATTTCAAAAACTGGAATCCAGCATTGGGAGACGACTGCTCTGGCCTCAAACCCGGATACTGGTATTGTGTCATGAACTGGAAGGCGCCTCCAATGCCATCCACCACCACTGCACTTCCATCAGCAGCAGCTACACAGACAGGAACCACCTCCAACTGCACATCGTGGTATCAGGCCGAGGACGGAGATGACTGCGAACTCATCCCGCTGATGTTTGGAACCTTCTCACAGACTGATTTTCAGAAATGGAATCCGGCATTGGGGTCGAACTGTACAGAGATCAAAGATGGGGACTGGTACTGCGTTGGAATTCCTGGCACTCCGTCGACGAGAACGCAGATGCCCAGTTCGTGGATGTTGACGCCTCCTCCGTTGGGATCGTCGGTGGTGCTGCCGTCGAGTTTGCTGACATCCACTGTGTCATCTACGACAAGCACGTCAAGTGCTACGACTGGGGTAGGTTAGATAGGTTATCGCTGTTATTCTTCGCTAACCGGTATAGACCGCACCGCCCTCAACATGTAGTCGATATTACACCATCCAGAAAAACGACTACTGTGACACCATTGCCCGAGACGCAAATATCCCCTTATCAACATTCTACGACTGGAATCCTAGTCTTAACTGTTCGGCGCTCGAACCAGGCAAGAATGTCTGCATTGCATTATCAGGTCCAGCCACCACAATCACTACTGGGACTCCTATCCCACTGACACCGAGTCCAACTCAGGTATGTCTTGTTCTGATATACACGAACATGGCTAATTCATGAAAGAGCGGAATGGTTACCGGATGTCGACGATTCTACGAAGCGCAGAGCAACGATAGCTGCGAGGATCTTGCTCATGATGCGGGTGTTGAAGTCAGGTTGGTATCTATGATATGAATTTACAAATATATACTGATATATTACTTTAGTGACTTTTATTCGTGGAATCCTGCTGTGAGCACAGACTGTGGAGGCTTGCAAGTATCGACGTTTGTCTGTGTTGGAACGAGTGGTCCATATACGACCATCACCAGTGGGACTCCAGTGCCTGCGACAACTTGGTGATATTAATCTGTTGAATGAGGATTAAGTATAGGCAGAATAAATGTCTCGATATGCTTTGCTTTATAGTTTACCGGGTGATATACTTTGCACGTCCTTGGCACTGTAGGTGACAAATTTAGTATAGAATGAACCATATCACTCGGAGTACATAACGAGTTAGCTTTATTGATTTAGTAAGAAATATCGCTAATATTATATAATAGGATAATTCTATTATGTCAAAGCACGAATGAATCCGTTCGGGTAATTTAGTGGGGCCTGAAGATTTTTCGCCCATTCACTGTAACCGAACTCGCTGGGCGGTCCTGGCCGATATTAGTATTAATTACTCTTCGATCGGATGATGGCATTGCCCTGTTGAAAACCGGTATCCAACAAGGCTGCCGTGGGCCAACTGTGTTCCACCGCGGATTCTGACAGGATAAAAGACTCACGGCGCCTCAGCTTGGACGTCTTTTTTTCTTCCCCGCTGTTTCTCCATCTCCTCTTTACCTCTTCTCCCTCCTGTCACTGTACTACTACAGTGACATATCCGCTTCTCCCCACTCTCTCTCTTTTACCCGCAGCTTCAACGATCAAATTATTACTGATCTAGGCTTCTCATTGTCGATTTCCAGCGAGCTGCATTCAAAATTCCAAAAAAAAACTTGATATGCTTTCAGCAGGCAGAATTCGATATTTCCGAAAGTAGCTGCAAATAGTTGTGTTCTTCACATCCCATTGCGCTATCATTCGACTGTCCCTCCTGGCCATCGCAAACCCTCTGCAGCTTCATATCGCCAACCCTTTGCGACTTCGGATCGATTCCAAAGCGACTGCACTTTGACTGCGAAAGCGATTATATCGACTCTTCCATCGCGGCATTTACTTGCATACGAACTCCAAAAGCGATTAATCGATCCACGGAACTCCCGAGCAACATTGATACTACTCCAGTGCACCAACCGCTTCCTCTGCCACGCGCCTTGACCTTTAGCTACTCCACGCGCCTTGACTTCCCTTGCGACTAGCACTCACCATGCCCAACTGGAAAGATCTCCTCGCCAATCGAGACCGGCGTCAATTTCCCGAGGTCGTAGTGCCCCTCGCCCGTGCCCCTGCAACTGCACCACCCGCATACGAACCCAATGCAGAAAAAAACGAAAAGAATGTCGACAGCGAATCCAACGCAAGCCACGACCGGGCTTCTCTCCAGGAAAAGGGCGCTGGCTCTGTGCCCGCCTGTAGCACGCTGACTGTGGAAGGTCTCCGAGCCCAGGTTGAAGCGGAAGTTGCTGCTTCGGGTCACGACACTGTCTACGACCGTATTTCACCCTAACCTGGCCCTTTCCCTGGATATGAATGTCGAGTACTTACTGTGAATCAGGAAAAGCAAGAATCATCAACAAGGCGATCCAAGACATCGGTATGGGCCGTTATCAATGGAACCTGTTTATTCTGTGTGGATTTGGCTGGATCGCAGACAAGTGAGCGCTGCCATAGTACTTGGAGACGCAGGTCGTGCTAATACATTGTCCAGCCTCTGGTTGCAGGGCGTCGCCCTGACACTAACCCCGCTGTCGATGGAATTCGGCATCTCCGAGAATGAATCCCGATTTGCGACAGTCTCCCTGTTCGTGGGCTTGATCATCGGTGCCTCCTTCTGGGGCATTGCGTCCGATGCTATTGGACGACGCCCCGCGTTCAACATGACGCTGTTTCTCTGTGGCTCGTTTGGTCTCGCTGCTGGCGGTGGGCCCAACTGGGTCGGAACGTGTGCCTTGTATGCCTGTCTGGGCCTGGGTGTTGGTGGGAACCTGCCTGTCGATGCGGCTGTCTTCTTGGAATGTCTGCCTCCCAATTCGGCGAATATTCTGAGTGGACTGGCGACGTGGTGGTCTGTCGGTACTCTGATTGCCAGGTATATACATTCTGCTTATTACGATTATGTTTGTTTTCGCAGTGCTGATAATCTACAGTATGCTGGCTTGGGCGTACATTCCCAACTTTTCCTGTGAAAGTGCCGCCGGCTGCGTCAAGGCCGACAACTGGGGCTGGAGATACCTGGTCTTGACATTGGGCGCCATCACCTTTGTCATGTTCCTCTGCCGTTTCCTGCTCTTCACCCTCTATGAATCGCCCAAGTTTCTCGTCTCTCGGGGTCGCCAGGATGAGGCCGTGGGTGCTGTCCAAGGAATCGCGCACAAGAACAAGACCACCACCTGGCTGACGGAAGAGATTCTCAACGAGATTGGCGGATACCCAGAGGAAAACGTCGACCAGGGACTGTCAACTACAGAGATCATCAGCAGATCGTTTGAGAGATTCTCCGTTCAACAGGTGGCACCGTTGTTTGCCAACAAGCGACTCGGGTTTTCCAGTATGTCTTCCTGATTCTTCATGTCATACCTATCTAACAACGTCTAGCCGTCCTTCTCTGGTTCTGCTGGACAACCATCGGAATGGGCTACACCCTCTTCAACGCCTTCCTGCCTCAATATCTCGGCGCCAACTCCTCCTCCACCTACGTCACCTACCGCAACTACGCCATCACCGCCGTCTGCGGCATCCCCGGCCCCCTCCTCGCCTGGGTCATGGTCGACATCCCCTACATCGGCCGCAAGGGCACAATGGCCGGCTCGACCCTCATCACCGGCGTCCTGCTCTTCTGCTTCACAGCCTCCAAGGACCCCAACGTGCAGCTCGTCTGTTCGGCGCTCGAATCCTTCTTCCAAATGGCCATGTATGGTGTGCTGTACGCATACACGCCGGAAGTCTTCCCCGCGCCGAATCGCGGCACGGGAACGGGTATCGCCAGCTGCTTGAATAGAATTGCGGGTCTGATGGCGCCGATTATTGGTATCTATGCGAGTACGAATCCGTCGGCGCCGATCTATGCGTCGGGTGCGTTGTTGCTGGCGGCGTTTTTGGCGATGTGTTTGTTGCCGATTGAGACGCGGGGGAAGCAGGCTATGTAGACTGGAGGTTTGAATGTGTTGATGTTAGATTATAGATGGTTTAGAGTAGATGAACTGCATGCACATAGTTCTTATAATTTCACCCAGCTCAAACAATTCTCAATACTTTCTGCAGACGTAGTTCATGCTTCAATGACAGTCAAACCAATGGGACTTCGTCTTCAGCTGGATATCTTGTCGATTTAGTACGTACGTTCTGTTCAATCCATGAAAGAGAAAGTCTTGTCAAGTGCAAATCAAGTTCATTCAAGCCGATGCATTCTATCAATGAATCCGTTTATCCTGACCATATCTATAATCTATCCTCTAGTCAATAGCCGACGAATCAGCGTTGGTGGTGGGATTGATATTCGCATCCCACTTGAACTTAAAGTCCTTGCCAACCTCCTTCTGGATCGCACTCTTCACAGCACCGAGGACATTATCAAATACACCAAAGTTGGCCGGGTTCTGCTCATCGTTCTCGCCGCCCTGGAAGACACCCGTGCGGACGAGACAAGTGTTCCAGCCATACAAGTTGCCGCCGATAATGTCCGACATGGGATTATCGCCGATCATGTAGATGTTCTCCGGCAGACGCTTCTCCCCGTGGATCTCCTGCATCCACTCGGATAGCACCTCGTCGGCGTAGACGTATGTCGCACGCTCAGGCTTGCCGTACAGCACACGCTCCAGGTCTCTGCCGGAGGTAGCCTTGTACTGGGCTTCGATGGCGAGACGGATCGCGCCGAGATGCAGACGCGGCGGACCCTTGTGCTCAGTGGGCGACAGCAGATCGCCCTGCGAGAAGTAAATGGGGATATGTCCGTCGCCCTTTTTGGCACGGGTAAGCAGCTTGCCATTATCCGACATGAGGAGGTCATTGATGATCTGGTAGTCGGTCATGAGATCCCACGACTCAGCAAAGACGAGGATGGCGTCGAATCGGACCTGTGAGAAATCACGCGGTCTGGCGTTGGCCTTGTCTTCCTCGGAGAAGCGGCGGCAGGGGGAAATGGTCGGGTCCCAGGCGAGAATGTCCTTGGGGTGGATGACGTTCTTGAAGCCGTATTGCTCGGCGACGTCGCGGATCTTGTAGTCTTCGCCGCCGAGAACCAGGACGGTCTCGTAGTATTCTGATAGAGCCTGCATGGGGGTGTGCGATTGGATGAACTGGTTGATGGAGATGGGCTGCTCCAGGATCTCGGAGAGCTGTTTGCAGCGAGCTTCTTCGGTCTTGCCGCCGCCGTTGGTGAGGAGGATGTAGGGGAATTGGATGCCTGGGGGTATCAGCATCTGTACTGGTGAGTTGGGATAACTTGTAGACATACCCAGCTCGTTATCGCCATTCAGCATTCTCAAGACAGCCTTGCCCTCCTCGATAGCCTCACTACCGTAGACAAACACACCATCGATGTCAAACACAAACGCCATATTCTTGACGGCAGCCACCTTATCCTTGGCGAGTTCCTGCACCTGCGAGGCGATAATCTCCCGTCCAAGCCCACGTGGCTTCAAGGAAGTGGGTCGTGATACTCTCGGCGAGCGAGGAATGGGCAGAGAAGTACTGAACGAGTTGCGCGAGCTTCGACGCTCCTTCATAGACGGATCCAGGCTGAGATGGTGCATGAAGGCGGCGGCTTCGCTCATGCCGTTACGCATGGCGGGGACTTCAATCACCTTGTCCGCATCGCGGGGAATGGAGGGGCGCCCGTTTCTGTCACGGATAGGGAAAGGGATGGGCTCATCGAGGGGGGTGTCGTCGACTGCATTGTCGGCGCCAGACATGATGTAGATGTATAAGGTTCAGGAAGAATAGAAGGACGAAAACTGGGAAAGGACACGGCAACTTATACTCCAGCGGTCAGCGAAGATCACTTTCTCTAACAAGCAGTCCCGGGTATTGAACCCAGGGTCACCATTGTCTCAGGCGTATCACCAGTTGGTATTCTACGGAGATCATCTTTTAACCGGGCTGTCTTCCGGTGTTTCCCGAGAGCCACAGTGCATTCGCCCAATTACTCGCTGCATAATGTGCGTCTGGTGTTTGAGGATTCAACCATGTGAAGGGCATTACTATTGTGTCTTTGATTTCCGGCTGCCGATCCCACCTGCAGAGTCTTCGTACCCCTCATTGTGCTGCGATTCCCGACGCGGATGGGCAACGGGCTTACCCCGCGGACTGCCCGCATCTGGTTATCCGAGGGGCGGAGATCTTTCATGCGGGGTTGTTGAATCTACCCGGCTGTGGTTTAATGCCTCATGGCTGTTACTCAAAGACGCCACATGCAGGGAGTTTACTTGGATATCTGGGATGGTGTGATTCTTGGAGTGTTCTGTCTAGAGATTCCATCATTAAAGAACATGAGACATTGGGGGCTTCCGCTTGAATGGTGGGGGACACGGGAAGCACGACCATATGGTTTGATGGAGTCAGTAGATCCTCAAGTCAAGACAGGATGATCATCGAGTGGCTGAAACGAGGAGGGGAGAACTCTTTAGGACGGTTAGGATACGTGCATATCTTGCCTAATATTCTTTCAGAGTCAAAATCCAGGACTTAAAATTAAGCTCTCTCGAACAAGCCAGTGTTCCCATGATACGAATAAATCTATGGCATCGAAATATTAAACAAAGCCATTCATTGTCATTGGGGCAGACATTAAAAATAAAAACGCCATCCGAACCAGTCAATCGCCAATTCGACACCATCCAATACCATACACACCATAGCCGCTAGGGTCCAGTCAATCGGCTTGCATCGATACCACTCAGCAAAATCCTTGATCCCCTGCACATTCTTCGTGCGAAAGTCAGAGCTTAGTCGACTGCAAGATGGGATGATGGTCCTCAAAGTATGCCTCGATCACCCGTGCTTGCTGCGGGCCCATGAGGGAAAAAAGCACAACACCGGCGCGGTCGTGTGGTGGAGCAAGCGACGCTTTCTGAGCTGTCCCAACATCAAACGGAGGATGATCAACAGCTCGCCGCGAAGTAGTTTAGACTCGTTTCCATTGAGGTTGTTGTACACCATTGCTTTTGAGTGTCGACATTCCTTGCCAGATGCTTGTTTGACGGGTCATCCAGGCCCACACCGGATCCCAACCATTTGGATGGTCTTTTCAATGCCAAATGTATGGCTCTGGTTGGCTCAACAATGACTTTCCACGGCGTGAATGCGCACAGATTCTACACATATGCCCAGCAGCAGAACCAAAACTATCTACGCAGCTTTCCATCTGTCAATGGCGCCTCGACCCATCAGGGTGTGTTATTTCTAATATTTACATTGACCGCGGCTGATACAGTCTAGGAGATATAAGCTACGCCCCGCCCAGTCTCCATCCGGGCTTTTAAATCGATGTCGAAGACGCGAGTATTAGGCCACGCCACCCAAAGTGACAGCATGCCGCTGGCATTCGGTCAAGATTCGAATCTTGCCTTCGATTTGCCAATAGATCCGGAGCGGAATAGGATAGAGAGGCTCAGATGGCTTGAAGCTTCTTCATTCTAATGAGTATTTGCCTTTTGTGCCCAACTTATCCTTGGCTCAATGTGCTTCAAGCAATGTCTTTGGTCGACGGTGAGAAGAAAACTCAGAAACAGTAACCACGCCACGACGGAGAAAGACATATTGAGATCCAATGACAAGTGGAGATGCTAAGTCGGGTATCTGTTCGCAAGCAATACCTACCAGTGGGATTAAAAATATGAGATAGTATCAGGCAGTGAGGAATATAAACAATGATTGATATGCCTTATTGAATAAAATATGGTCTTAGTAGTTGCTTCTACGTTATAACATCTTGAGCATGATCATATCGAATCTATCTCTATAGACGCAAGATCATTATATTATGTGTTGATAATTTGAATTGCTTTTTGTAAGACATTGCGATCACCCTGAAAGTTTAGCTTCTGAACTGCTTCCTCCAAGGGCAAGAATTCAGGTGGGAACTGTTCCTCTCCAGTACCACCACATTCAGGAAGTACTCCGTCATCAAGCGCAGCAATAAACCACCAGATGATCTTGACATCCTTCACTCCTTCATTCCCAAGCTGTCACACAGTAACCATAAAAGGCTCGATAAGATCCGAGTATGAGCGAGGTACGTCATCAATTGCGGGGCATGAGTATGCATTGTAACTGGGTGAAGGTGGGCCTGATAGCCTGTTCTTCGCGGGCTTCACGCAGTGCAGCCTCCTGTCGACATTCACCACAGTTCCGGCGTCCCTTGGCGAGCATCCATTCGTTTTTGGCGTTGTAATGGATCAAGCAGACTTTGTTGTTGTTGTTGTCGGAGAGGTCGAATAGGATGGCCCCGCAGCTCTCGACGAACTGCTCCGAGGTATATTGGAACGTAGCATCCGGTGAAGCTGCCGTGGTCTACTAGATGTCTGTTAGAAGAAAATATTTGCTTTCAGAGAACAAGACTTACCAGATGTGTATGATCCTGAGCTATGGGATTCCTGAGAGTACATAGAATAAGTAAAATCAGATCATGATTAAATGATTGAATGATTGAATGATTGATTGATTACTCTGTTGTGGCATGCTTAGCTATCTTCCCTAGTCTGACACGGGTACAATTTTATTTAATCAACCGTATCATTGAAACAAATGCCACGAAAAGAAAGTATATAAAGTTGATGGTTGAGAAAATCCTAGCAACCTGACTTTAATACAACAATCAATCAAAGCCATGTCCGTAGAAGCCGTACCCAAACATTCAGCCTAGAGAGATACAATTCAGAACTGCCGAGCCTTAAAAGATGCTTCATCGACAACTAACCCTCATAAAACGGACATTGACGCACGAAAGACGGTTTAAGAAGTTCCTGGACCCCCAGCACAGAAATGACGGTTGGATCCCTGGTGGAAGCAGTAGTATTCGGCGCAGCAATCATCATCGGTTTCGCAATTTTCCAGCCCGGTTGCACAACGCTGAAATCACTCTTAGCAAACGCCAGAATCTTATTAAATCTTTTCCCAAGGACGTAGCCATACCTTCTGATTCTCATGGAGTGCAGCAGCAGCGGAGTAGCCCACCAGAGTGAGCATAAAGAGGGTAGAAAACTTCATCGTTGTGGATGAATTGCAGTAAGCTTGAAGCTGATATAAATATGTGGCTATGGAAGAGTCAAAGCTGTGTTTGAATTGCTTTGAGAACTGCGGAAAGTGCTGATGAAAAATATTGATTCGAAAGCGTGATGGAGGGGGTATTTATATCTCTTCATCTTCGCAAATTCGGATCGAATATAATATTAAACGAGCCACGACAAGAATAGACGGCCCTACCAACAAGAGCCATGAGTCATGGTTGGCCATGGCACGTTCTGTGGTGATGTGTACAGTAACATCAGGATTCCTTCCTGGTGCTTACTGCATAATTAGTAGTTAGCTTGTGGTTTTGTGGCAACTACTGTACCTGATAGGTGATGAGCAAGAAATATTCCGGGTGAGAGGCAGGAACAGACGAGTATAGTACAACCAAAAGACCGATTCTGACCCCGGCTTTCTCATCATGATCACATTCCACCCATTCATCCTACATACCTAGTGCTTATCTAGGTGCCTGATGCTTTGTCTAGAAGTAGAAGATTCGCAAGCTCAATAGTTACATTATATAAATTGACAGGGGCATGTCCCAGATTTTGGATATTATAGGCTCGGAACTGATCCTGTTTCCCTAGATAGTATTACAACGGAATGGATATTGTATATCCAGCGTTTGATAGTGTAGATCTATGTGCTTGTCGTGGTTTTGAATTTCTATCATTCAGAATCAAAGGAAAAATTCATATATACTTTCGAAACTGGTATACCGGGGCTTCACTATTGAGTTAGTTTACTGTGCTTAACAGAGATACTCTCATCTTGGGTATGAATACAAAAAAGTAACAAGATAAAATAAGCCGGATTTATTCGGGTACATACGCACAGCGTCGCATCAGTGAACCTTGAATAAAAAGGTAATCCTCTTCTATATCCATGATCCGCTATGTGGAGTCGGGTTTCAATGCCAGATTAAGTATTCTGTGCGAAACATCAGGTGGGGAGCTTGAAAAAGTAGATTGATCCTTCCAAAAATTCAGTTATATTTAGTAATGATCTGCACATCTTTCCAGTCTTGTCATTGCCTTATACCAGGTAGGGTAAGCGTTGCCCAGATTAATGCGGCTCTGAGTATTCTAATTGGGTTCGTCTTCCTCCGCGGATGGAGTCCCGCGTCTGACACCGACAGCCAATGTGCGTCGATTACCCCTCCTGCTACGTAATATCGCCAGAAAGAGCAACAATGCGCGCTAAGACTGAAAGCTACAGTATTTCATATGTTTCAAAATTCCTGCAGGATTAGGATGCTTAGTGGCTTGAGCCAAGGCTGTTCCAACGGAATCTCTGAAGGGGTGAGATTGCTCGATATTGATGATGTAGGTTTTTCTGTACTAATATCTCTCCGTGCTTGTCTGTTGGTTTGGATACATGCTGTTGACACACTCTTTCTACTTGCTTTATTCGCCTCATTGCTATATTTATCTTGAGTCTGATCCATCCGTTGTATGGCCTGTTCTGCCCCCAAGTATTCACCACCAATCGGCTTGACTGGTGACTGTTACGTACCAGGCAGGATCAGGCGGTCAAGGGGAATGGATATTCTTATTGTGGAGAATTACGAATTGCTTATGAGACGCTCTTTACGGCCACCATCTGGCAATCTACCCTGCACGATCTTGTCGACCCTGACAGCTCGCAAGACGAGTGCTCCTGTGCATTGCCAACGCGTTACAGTGCGGTCGATAGAGCAAGCACCAGATGCAGAAAGCTTTTTAGCCATACTCAAGCGCTGCTGCTCACCCCAGACGATCTCCGGTGGGGTCTGCTGGACGTGAAAATCGGCGAGCCAGGAAGGATAGTCGTTCCCATCGACGTCCCGTTTCCTTGGGCCCAGAAGGAAGCTGGCGTCGCCAGACTCAAAGAGACAGTGGTAGACTGTCTGTGTGATGGCCTTGCGTGCGGGTAGCTTATCGTTCGGCTTCAAAGGCCCCCTTGAACCCTATTTGGTGACCATTCCCAGAAGGCCATAAAACAAGTCCGGCTTCATCGGAGCTCCGGAAGTTGGGAATTTCCTTTGCAGCTCTGACAAAGTGAGGTCGGGCTTCGAGTTTCCCTGAAATTCATTGTGGACACCATCGACTTGACAATCCCTTCAAGCATCATGAACTGGTTGAAAGGGGGCTCGATGAGACGGGATCTGCACTCCTAGCTAACCTCGTTATAATTTTCAATTTTTTCGATTGCAGTCCTCAATAGATCCACATCGAATGTCTCCTCGCCGTAGTAAAACTTGATCTCTGAGGGCAACCCCATTTCCTGGATCACCCTGACCCTACCCCACCAGCGACATTCCAGGAGGATCTTCAGCGCTTCAAAGTGCTTCTCATGATCTGGAGCTGGTATGGTTCGATAGCCCTTGCGCTAGACTCTGGTGCAGACAGTGTCTTAGTCTCCTTCACAGTGTCTATTACACGGTCTTCTATCTTAATACGTTTTCATTGTCCTTTGAATCATCGTCGCCAGAAGCAAAGTTGAGGCTGATCTTGTCGAGGTTCGATGTTGGTCTTCGAAAAGTCCTTCGACAGTTTGGCGACATCACCAAACGCGGTAAAGTGAGATTCGACAAAGATGTTGCTCTTGTAGATGAGCTGGGGGCTTTATAAGCTTACGCACGAGTCTTTCCTTAAGAACGACTATGCCACGGGTATTCTTCATTATGCAACGTTAATTCTGGTTGGTAAGCAAATGCTCGATTCAGCTGATATATATTCAGCCCATACATCATGTTCAGCAAACCGCTGCTAGAGCCACATCACAGACACTAAAGATCTAGTGCTGCATTGCTCTCTCAGCGCTCCTTCTACTATGTATACTATCTGACACTGATCCTGCTAAGACGATGTCAAGAACCCCTCATTCACTTCGCATGTTCAGCCAGCCACATTCATTGCATAACATGCAGGCATTCCCCCATTATCAGATGATTGGGTATCAGACTATAAGCGGGGCTCCCGCGGACAATCCATGAAACTTAGCAGCCAACAAGGATCTATATTGACGTCGAGGAAGATCCCTCAGCCAGCCACCGTCTCCTACCCCTCATTGGCCTTGTATCTAGATTCATGTCAAATTTAACCAATGAATGTGGCGATAAGGAGCAGCTACCTAGTTGTCATCAAACATTAAAAGCCGACGATCGAGATCTTCCACGCTGGACGCATCGGACGAAGTATGATTCCAGATAGGCTTCACTGTTCCCTTTTCTGCCGAGCTATTCAACCAACTCAAGTACGATTGCCAAAAGACGGCAAAGACGGACGTAGCCACCGAGCGGGACTGCGGTTTGATATAGGTGAAATTGAACGCCGTGACAAAGGGCCAGTATAAAAAGCTCCTCGGTATACTGGTCGGCACGGTGTTCTTTACTCGTTCAACGGCGCCCGTTACTCCCTCCCCGGAGAGGATCTCATGAAATGCAAAGAAATACACGTTGAACAGCGGGGTATAGAGGAGCTGATTGACAGCCACCTTCATGCCAAGGGACAGAGACGAGGAAGTATAGTTGAATCGTTGCCCCAGAAATAGGAACCATTGGCGGCTAGGAATCGCGATGACGAGGCCGACGACGATACTTCGTAAGGAGCGGCGATAATCGAAACCGTCATCCCCGATCATCTGCGCTGAGAAATCGCCAACACAATATATTAGAGGTGTGAGGCATAACTGGGTGACATATGGTCGACGGGTCTGCGAGTGGGAATACCAATCGAAGAATGCTAGAACTGGTTCCCACGGTGTTTTCGGTCTCGACTTTCGGATAGGTTCCGGGTGTGAAGGTTTCCGTTTTGTACAGAAAGTCATGGTTTGTTTGCGGTGCAGGTGATATGGTTTTTGACTAAAAAGCCTGAGTCGTGCCGACTGAACACATTGGCGCTGTCTGGCTTCATGTTGCAGTCCTGGATGCCAGCGGGGACGAGGGAATTGGACGACTCGCATTGATGTGGCAAGGTGCAAAGGAGATAGCTTTAGAATTAGCTAAAAGATCTGGATTCCAGCAAGGTAGATGAAGAGTTTGAAACATAATTGCAACTTCTTTCTTGTTTAAAGGGACCGGATATTGGATGTCCGAAGTACTCTCAAAGGCGCGGCACCCCAAAGGTCCGATATACATTGAGACGTCGGAACTCTGAATGTCCGAACATATGGGAGAGTGGCAAGGTTCAAAAGATGAAAATGAGCAAACAATATAAATATCGACTATCCAAACATGCTAAAACCCCAAAAAGTCTTTGAATCCGTTTTAAATTCAGACACAGTTCAACATCAGCGCATCTATGGTTTTTATAGCCAAGAAATGACGAATTCACCGTTGGGGTCGAGCTGTTTGGCCCACAATGTTGTAATTCCTGCTGTATAGAGCGTAGAGCACCTTTCTTCTCTTCCATATCTTTACGCTTGATGTTTTAGGTCACTACTTCTAGTTGAATTCCATCAAGTTTTCATCACTGTCTGGATCATCATAAGGCAAGATTACATAATTGCCGGAATTCCCCACTGCGCCCCCTTCTTGATTCACAGAGCCATGCATTCATGTGTGATAACTTCTATTATGACTTGCCCCTTCATGCGATTGAAGTGCCAGAATCAAGCGGTCTCATGTCAGGACATACAAGTCTAAAGATATGGAACCACAAGGCTCCCAACGGCAAACCCGAGCTGGAGTCCGAGCCGCCTGCCGTACATGCAAGAGATGCCGCCAAAGAAAGGTGAGATATCATCTCATGCAAAATAGCTCTTTCTCCGGGTGTCTGACAATATTCAAGGTAAAATGCGATGGTCAGCATCCAAAGTGCGGCGCATGTCGTCTGAAGAATCAAGACTGCGAATATCCATCGGATGGGAGAAGAACAGTTTTGCGGGCTAAGAAGGAAGACATAAGATCGCTTCAAGGGCAGATTGAAGAGTTAAAGGGCCGAATTCACGAGCAGATCAGCACAGACGACGCTTTGATCACGGATGGTACCCATCTCCAGGAGACTTCAGATCACTTTGATCCCGGGTGTAGGTGTCCTAGGGGCTACAGACCGGCGCCGTCCCCATTGAGCCCTACAACGACCGATAAAGGACTACAGGAACGACTCACTCGTCGAGACAGTGAGAAGAGGACATGCGCTACTCAAGACTCTTTGGAGAGCCATCAAATACAGGCCTATGGTGCTACAAGTCTGCTACATGGTCATGTGGAACCGCCTTTGGCCGAAAGCCAGTTAACAGAAAAGAAAGAAGACCCATTCGTGAGAAGAATTACACGGGATCGACTCATTGCCTTCTCCGCAGTCGTTAGACAGAAGGAGAGCATGATTTACTCGACACCTAGTGTTGCAGCGAACATCGACTTTGACGGTGTTCCCATGGACATGGCAATGCATCTGCTGGACTTGCATTGGAATCGGCTACATTTGATGTATCTTCTTACATACCGCCCGGCTATAATGGACAGCCTCTTGAACAATGGGCCTTATGTGAATAAGCTGCTTCTAAACGCTATATATTTACAGAGCAGTCTATACAGTGATCGAACATCTCTACGCTCAGGCCCTGAAATCTCGCAAACAAGCGGTATAACATTCTACCACCGATTCAAGGCCCTACTCACCCACTATATTGATACGCCCAGTCTGCCCACCGCTGTCGCGCTACTCACATGTGGTGCTTGTCTGATACAATACGGCAAACAGAGCGCTAGTTGGCTATACTGTGGTATGGCGTATAGGATGATCATTGACCTCGGATATCATTTGGATGATCCCAAGTCCCCTCATAGTGGTGAAGAACTGACCCTCTCAGCCTTGGATAAGGAGTTCAGGAGGAGAGTCTATTGGGGAGCATACGCGACTGACAAATCCCAATCCCTTTACCTGGGCCGTCCTCCAGCACTGCACCAATCTGATAGCAACGTATCCCTTGAGTTCCTCGACTCATATGAAGAGTTGGAAGAATGGAAACCGTACATCGATCCCCAATCTCAACTTTATGACACGAGTGTCCCAATCTACCGAGGCCGTCCGTCATACGCTGTTAGCACATTCCAGTGCTTGCTGCAGCTCTCGCTTATTACGGAAACAATTATAAACGCGCTTTACTCGACTAGGAGCGCCCAGTCATCGGAGCATGTCCTCTTAGAAAGTAGGAAAAGCGTCAAAGCACAACTGGAACATTGGAGAGAGAGCATTCCAGTACACCTCCTGTTTGACCCGAACACAGATGAGACCCCTCCACCTCACCAGATGACACTACAGTATGTGCTCTCATGTTTTGATCATTGATTTGTATCACTGAATGTCTAATCCACAGCACAACATACTGGACCTTAGTCATCCTGACTGAGCAACCGTTTCTCTCTCGGGGACGCTTCAAGTCCACTCTATGTCCGGAATCCCAAAACGAAACAAGGAGGGTGTGTATTGAAGCTTCATTCAAGATTCAAGCCCTCATTGAAGCGTATAAAAAGGCATTTACGCTTAGACGCGCCCAGTACGGCATTTCATATGCGATGTACAGTGCCGTCCTTATTCTGCTCCAGCACGCAGATCAAGACTGTGACGAATATATTGAAGGTATACGGTTCTTCTGGTTTGCATTACTGGAATACCAAAAGGGATGCGGCCATGGATTGAAAGGCCCGCTGAGGTTGCTCAAATCACTCATGCGTCGGGTTGAAAAGGTGGCGCAGCGCATTGATATCGATCACCCAGGTACTACTGGCTTGCCGGCTTCTAGTGGTCAGTAACCCCCTACATTCCTTGTAAGGTCAAACTAATAGTAGTGTAGATATCCCGTCTGGGATCGAGACCGTTCCTTGGACTGGGACTTTCGGGCAAGGGGAGTCTTGGAGCGGATCCTGGCTCAACACAGAGACTGACGATTTGCTCTTTGCCGATGACACTATATTTGGTTTCTTCACACAAGAAAAATGAACATGCTCCCTCGTATGTCGAGCTTACTGAAGACGCCAGTTCCAGGGATACATATGGGCGCACACCACTATCATGGGCAGCACAAAACGGGCACAACGCAACCATCAAAACTCTGCTGGAAAACGGGGCAGATCCTGACTCTCATGGCGATGATGGCCGGACCCCGCTGTCATGGGCCGCAAGCAAAAGGCAGGAAGATCTAGCTCGTCTTCTTTTTCATGGGGCTGATCCAGACTCCAGAGACACAAAGTAGGCCAAACAGCACTATCATGGGCAGTAGCAAGAGGTTCGAGGGTAGTTTTAGAACCTATTAAGGCATACAGTCGGGAAATTGACGTTGTCGACAACTTCAACCGAGCACCGCTGTTCTACGCTGTATGGAATGGAAATGCGGATGCAGTCGCGGCCCTTTTAGCCAATGGCAACCAAACAGCCCTATGCTCAACATCCGCTGGCCGTGCGCCATTATCAGTAGCCAAAGAAAACCCAGAGACTACAATACTGGATATTCTAATGGCTAGGCGTAAGATACATGCTGTGAGCGAGAAATGCCACTAAAGGCTTCACTACCAGCTCCCCAGACGTTATGTGATCATTGTTCTTTGGTTACCCCTTTAACGGACTATTTCTTCCATTGTCGGATCTGTATGGATGACGATTCCGATCTCTGTCAGAAATGCTTTGCTGGTGGGGTGCCTTGGATGGATGAGTCTCAAGTCCTCTTTAACAAAGGGTATATCAACTGCCAGTTTGGGAGATTCGAACTCTTAATCTCCATCGTTGTCCGGTGGTTCTACAATTGATTCTATTGAAGTAATGCATGTGATAAGAGGGCCAGGAAGACTCACTGAGAGTAAAATCACGTGGTTTATATACTCCTAAGTCAGTATCCATTGAATCTATGCTGGTCTATTGAAGTTCTATATATCACGCAATATAAACATCTATGCCTCTAGAAGGTTCAGCGCACCACCGACCAACCGCAAACTCCCTGTCACCAAGGTCTGCATGCCCTTTTCACCACCCAGTCTTCTGGCGAGATTAAGAGCTTTCTCGATTGTTGGCTCAGTCGACACCGTTGCTTGCCGGTCAACCTTCTTCCATATCGAAACGTATCCGGCTATAACGTCCGAGAAGCGCTTTTCCGACGATTTAAGTGTTTGGTCTGTTATGTATTAGCTGGCTGTATGTGATGGACATCATTGATACTTGCCTATTCTGGTGGACCCGTTTTCTGTTTCATCGTACGTGGTGAAGATAACATGATCGGGCCTCAGATTGTGTTCTTCAAGAAGAGCATTTACGAGAGTTTCAGCCATTTCTTCGCCATCACGTTGGTCTGAGATATGAGCGTAGATGAGAATACGGCATCTGGAAGGTGTTAATCAGGATACTTTCGGGGGATGAGTTGACGTACTTTTCCGGGGAGCTATTCACGGCAAACCACTGCGCAGCCTGTACAATACTCAATGTGTTATGAGCACCATCCAAGAACCACTGCGAGTTTCTTTCCTCGATAACCTGGAATCGTCCAGCCCAGGAAAAATTCTCAACGCCTCGGGCGATATCCTCCGCAGTCAGCTCCTGGCCAGGAGCTGTCGCCCGCAAAAAGTTCTTGGAAAGTGCCAGTGCAATGGAGCAGTTCAGACGCTGCACTGGAACACTCAGTACTTTCTTATTATCCGGAAGGGTCTCATCGACCGGGACGAATTCCAAACTGGTCCCTTTCTCCGCGGCGCGTTTGCGCAGCACCTCCGCAGGACCAGCATCCTGAAGCATCGAAACAGCCGGCACCCCAGGTTTCATAATTCCAGCCTTATGCCACGCGATATTTTCAATCGTAGGGCCGAGTTGCAGAATATGGTCCATTCCCAAGGCTGTAATGCCCGTCGCGACCGGTTTCGCAACCACATTGGTCGAGTCGAATTCGCCGCCATTGTGTGTTTCCAGGATTGTCGCCTCGACCTTTTCCCGGATGAAAGTATGCAATGCCAGCAACAGGATAAACTGGAGATACGCCGGTTGTCGAACGGGTTCACCAACCCCCGACTCGGCGGGCATCAAACGCTCCCACACTTCAAAGAAATACCGCGTAAATTGATCCTCCGATATCGGCTTCCCGTCAATTTGTATTCTCTCTCGAATAAATCGCAAGTCCGGGGAGCAGTATTGGCCCACGCGCTTGGGGAATCCGGTTCGCAATCCGTGTGTTTGGAGGAAGGAGCGGGTGAAGGCACATGTACTGCCCTTGCCTTTGGTTCCGGCGATGTGGACGACGTTGAGGTTGTTGACGTCATTTTCCTAGAGGCGTGAGAATGACGCTGCAGTGACTGACAATGGCACATACCGAATGCCCTAGATCCTGGAGCCATTCTTTCATTCCCACGATGCTGGGTAGGCCTTTGAGGGGCTGGGTTCCGGAACCGCTGGCTGGATCCAAGGGTGCCTTGGAGACGATGGTCTTGGGTCGAGACCGTCGTCTCGTCTGGAGGAGTCTGAGTGCATTCTGCCGGGCGTTAGATCAGAGTGATATAATATCTCGAGAGATGTACCTCGTAAGTCCGGTTCATTATGGCGATTGTGCAATTCACGGTTGAGTTCGTCGCGGATCGTGGATCGCAGCTGAACACCACGTGACGCCCCGCATCGGCCAGTTGATCTATATCTACTACCAGATACTATAAAGACTGCCATTGGGGATATGGGCTATCTGGGCTTCTCTATGAGGCATTAAAATGACTTATGTGATCTGAATTTATATTGCGGTGTTTATATTACGGAGGATACGCATTCCCTCAATGATCGATTCTCTCCTTCGCCATCTTGAAAATAAATTCAAGATTCGCTCTTATACGAAGACTCGTATTATTCATTCTATACTTGGTGTTGTGTTTCTATTTACGTACATGGTTGGTGTTGTCAAGACAATTCATCCTCTATACATGTATGGCCCCAGGCTTCAGGCTTCGAGCATGGACTGAATAAATGTTACGTTGGCAACCTGGATGACCTCGTATATTCATGATTCATCACTTTTATCATCATCACTTTCACCCAGGCTGTACCTGTGAGGCTACAATTGGTAAATTGACCTCGAATGAGAATAGCGACGTCTTCACCCAAGAAAGATCTACAAAAAGATCTACAAATCCGGGGAAGCGAGTCTATCAGAACTAGGCTCCTACTGCATCCATCGCGATATACTACCATAAATATACCCACTCGTATACGCTTTGATGCCTAAAGAGACGTCAAACACGAACTCGGCATTCAAAAATGTAGTTGAAGATCGACATCACTGCCTCTGCCAAGGATAACTGCATTGATCTTCAGTAAAGAAGAAGAGTAATAGGTGGGTGGTTGTCGAATACGAACTTCCAAGAATGGCATATACGATCGTGGATGGTACTTTGTATTCACAGCCTTGCACAATATACATACAGATGAGGCTTTCTGAGTTATATAAACCTCGTCTTTTCATCTGTTTCTCTAGCACAATCGTCTTAATATCCAAGTCACAGAAACAAAAACAAAATGCGCTTCTCTCACATCTTCTCCCTCGTCAGCATCATCGCCATTGCCCATGCGGCTGGTGACGATGACACCCTCGGTATGTCCTAAACCTCTCATCATACATCATACTATCTAACACAACTACAGCCAAACGAGCCTGCTCCCTGACCCCCTGCAAAGCCACCGGCAAGACATCCTGCGTGGGCTCTGTCTACTCGGACGGAACCTGCATCAACCTCAGATCCAGCAACGGAAAGCCATTTGTCTCTGGATGGACTGCCCCGGGATGTAGCTGCAAGATATACTCCAAGCTAGACTGTGAGGGAGACGAGATTACGGTTAACAGTAGCGGGTATGGAAAGTTTCCTTTTGATGCTATTAGTATGGAGTGTTGAGATGTCATGAGGTGATGTTGATGTCATTGTGATATAAGATACATATTCTTCTATAGCATCACTCGTTACTTCTGCATACAACTAGTTACGTTCATCTGTACTCATAATATCGTATACTCATAATACAATAACCATGCGAGTCCTAATCCAACCAACCCCTACATCCCCTCATCTCCACCTAATCGACTGTCCCATCCCCTCCCCCAACCCAAATGCCAACGAACACCTCATCCGCGTGCACTGCACCGCCCCCACAGCCGGCGAACTCCTCTGGTCAACGATGGTCGCCGTCCCAGACAAACAACCCGTGCCGTGCTCCGACATGGCAGGGACGGTGGTAAGCGCGCCTCCAGACTCACCATTCCAGGCCGGCGATGAGGTGTACGCGCGCACGTCGTTTTCCCGACCCGGCGCAGCACGCGAATACACCATCGCGCTGACGGAGGAGCTCGCGCATCGGCCGAAGGGGCTGAGCTGGGCAGAGGCAGCGTCGATACCGTTATGTGCGGAGACGGCGTGGCAGGCGTTGTTTGAACAGGCGGGGGTTGGGGATTTCCACAGCCCGGTCTGGAAAGGGAAACGGGTGCTGGTTACTGGTGCGTCTGGGGGGACGGGGAATTGGGTGGTGCAGTTGGGGAAGATAGTGGGTGCAGAGGTGATTGGGACGTGTGGGAGTAAAAATGTTGACTTTGTACGGGGATTAGGAGCAGCGGAGGCGATTGATTATCGGAAGCAGTCACTACGGGAATGGACAGATGCGACGGAGAAGAAGGTGGATGTGGTGATTGACTGTGTTGGGGGGAAGACGTTGGAGGATGCGTGGTGGTGTGTGGCGAATGATGGCGTGGTGGTGAGTATCTGCCATCCACCGGAAGAGCATCGTCCAGTGCATCTGTTGTACGATGGCATCAAGGAGGTGTTTTTCATCATGAAGCCGGATGGGTCGACTCTACAGAAAATCACCAAGTTGGTGGAAGAAGGCAAATGCTGGCCAGTGGTGGACAGTGTGTGGTCGTTGCAGCAGTTCCAAGAGGCTTTTGATCGCGTGGGAGGAGGCCATGCGAGGGGGAAGGTGATTATGGATTTGACTATCTAATAATTTTGTATTTATCAAGTGTCATTGTTTTAAAGTGTCTGTCATCGTGGAAATGTCAAATTGAAGTCGGAAATAACAGGAGACGATCGCGGATCTTCACCGGAGCCAGAATGGTTAATTTCAAATTGACTTTTTCCGGTTAAAAATTCACATAAAGCCAGCCTGGCTGTCACTTTTACCAACACCAAATAATATAATTAATATAGATAATAAAAATGATCCAAGTCAGCTCGCCGGAGAAAGACGCAGCGCTGGCGGTGGTCAGCGATGTCGCTCAGGCTGTCGACCCCGCGGTGGAGAGGCGAGTGTTGCGCAAGATTGATTATTTCTTCATGCCAGCCATGCTGATCGGTGAGTCTTCCATATTATATTATATATGAGATGCTAATGATGTAGGATATGGATTCGTCTACTGGGACAAAGTAAGTCCACATCATTTCCAAATGGATAATACTAATTAATAGGCCATCCTGGGCAGCGCTTCTCTCTTCGGCATGACGACCGATCTGGCGCTCAAAGTGGTCGATCATTCCACATCGCCTGCAACAGTCGATACTTCGCGTCTCAGCTGGGCGACGTCCATCTTCTACTTTGGCATGCTGGCTGGTCTGTATCCGATGACGTTCATCATGCAGCGATTCAGCATCCAGCATGTCCTAGGCCCGATTGTGATGCTGTGGGCGGTTACTTGTGCTGCGACAGCGGGTGTATCCACCTGGCAGGGTCTCTTTGTGCAGCGGTTCTTCTTGGGTATGTCTACTCTGCTATATTAGAGTATATCTAACAGTTTAGGCTTCGTGGAAAGTGTCATTCCAACCGGCTTCATGACCATCGTCAGCAGTTACTACACGCAGAAAGAACAGGCTCTCCGTCAGGCATGGTGGTTCTCTGGCACGGGCTGGTTCACCATCATCGGATCAGCTCTCAACTACGCCTTTGGACAGATCAAGTCTGGTGCTCTGAGGCCGTGGCAGTATATCTACATCTTTGCCGGTGTATTGACCTTTCTGTTCGGACTGTGGTGTTGTATTATGCCCAATTCGCCTGTCTCAGCCTGGTTCCTGACGCCGGAAGAGAGAGTCGTCGCTGTTGAAAGACTGCGAAAGGGCCAGACTGGCGTGCGATGCCAGCAGATTAAAATGGAGCAGGTGAAAGAAGCATTTCTCGATGTGAAGCTGTATCTGATTGCCATTATGATGGCTGCTGCGTATGTCCATCCACGTCGTAGGCTACACTCATACTAACACAGATAGATACACCATCAACGGCGCCATCTCCGGCTTCGGCCCTCTCATCGTCTCGACCTTTGGCTACAACACCCTCGACTCCATCCTCTTCCAATTCCCCGTCGGCGCAATCTGCCTCATCTTCATCCCGCTTTGTGGCTATATCTCCTCGCGCATCCCCAACACCCGCATCTTCATGCTCATCGCCTGCTGTCTCCCCGTCATCGCGGGATGCATCATCATCTGGAAATCCGAATGGGGGTATCAGCCGGCTGCCCCTGTAGTCGGGTACGCACTCACCGGCTTCTTCGGGCCAGTGGTGAGTCTGATCATCACGCTGGGGGCTAGTAATGTCGCCGGCGCGACGAAGAAGACCGTCATGGCTGCGACGGTGTTTGTCGCGTACACAGTGGGTAATATTATCGGACCGCAGTTGGTGAAGAGTGATACCGTTGATCAGCATTATCCGGAGCTCTGGGAGGGGATGATCATCTGCTACTGCATTACGATCGCAGCTGCGGTGGCGCTATACTACGTTCTCCATCGGGAGAATAGTATCCGCGCACGTCTTGATCTGGATGAAAGCCAGCGTGACAAGTTGGCTTTTAACGATCTCACGGACAAACAGAATCCATTCTTTAGATATGTTCTATAGATGTGTAATATGACTACTGCTTAGGCAGATATACACTCATCTCGAGGCCGTTTGTATACGGGAGTGTCAAGTTGGTGAATCCGCTGTCGGGGGCGCGCAGATAGTTGAGTAGATCTTCATATCCACGAGCGCCTTTGATGGTGTTGTCTGCGATGACGACTGCCCCGTGGCGCATGCGCGGTTGAATCAGTTTCAGCGTGGGCAGAGCCATAGGCGTCCAGACTACTCATTAGCATACCATCATCAACATAATCAGAGAAAAACATACTATCCAACAACAACAAATCCACAACCCCCACATCACCCTTCAACGTCTCTCTCAAATCTCCCTCTCGCAATTCAACAACACCACTCACGACATCCCCACACAATTCCCAATTCTGCCTGGCCTGCCTCGCCTTCTCGGGCTCATTCTCCGTCGCAATCACACGCCCTTCACCACCCGTGGCGGCGAGATTCGCACTCACAGCCAGCGCAAGGTAGATGGTACTCACGCCGTAGGAGGTGCCCGCCTCGACGATGGTTTTGGCATTGATGGATCGTGCGAGCTGGTAGATGAATTGGGATTTGTCCTGGTCGAGAGCGATGAATTTGTCGCGCATGATGGTGTCAAAGTCATTGTTTTGAAAGACGGAGGGGGGGAGCGCGGCTTCTTGGGAGAGGGATTTGGTGTGGAGGTCTGAGAGGAGGGTGAGGATGTGTGGGGGGACGTCTTGGAGGGGGTTGGGGGACATTTTCCTGTGATACTGTTTGATATTATGCAATGCTGGTGTTGTTGTTGATGAAGGTGTGCTATATAGATGGTGATATAAATGGATAGATGAGTCAACGGCGGAAATAGCGGATGTGACATCAGAATACGACTTGCAGGGAAAAAGAAACATGCATGCCGTGCATCTACCGATTCTATTCGAGCTATGATATCTCCGCGGACTAAGATAGTGCTATTCACAAGTCAATCTAAATTGGATAGCTTAGTTGATCAAGTACGGATGACTCGAGGTAGAAAATGCCGAGCTAGGAATTTACTGCATCTGCTCTAGTCTATCTATATGGATTCTATTCTTTTTTCATGTATGCTCTGAAAGATCAGGGTCTTCAAATTTCCTTTCGAACATTGGTCCGATGGTTCGGACGAAATAATGTAGATTGACTGACTGAGATTTCGTCCGAAACTGTATTACTTCGGACGAACGTAGTATAAATACAACAACTTTTATTTCTTTTATTTCTCATCCTCAGCATTCAAAATGGCAGTCCAGGTCACTACGCTGCATACACTGCAATGCGCCAGCAACACAGTATCTTCCATTGAATCGCCATTCCATCTTGGTCCACTCGATCAACTTGTCTATGCTTTTGTCCCGATCGAATGTGTGTTTGTCTACAGAAAGCCTGCATCCCACGATGACTTTATTCCTATCCGTCGTCTGCAGCAAGCACTCTCCTATCTCCTCGACTACTATCCCCATCTGACAGACCGTCTGCAATTCAACCCAGACAGCAAAGCCCCTGAGATCACTCAACTAGGAACAGGCGCAGAACTCCTAGAAGCAAGCTGCACCACCAGGCTGGACGATATAACCTCATCATCTGGCCGTATTCTGATGCACAGTCTGCCTGATTCGGGCAATGCTCTGACACCCCCGTTTCATCCAACTCTCGAAGGTGTCTGTCGTGATCCCATCTTTGCTATCCAGCATACTCGGTTTGCCTGTGGTGGCGTTGCTCTGGGGATCCGGCTGCACCATATTGTCTGCGATGCTCACGGATTCTTTCTGCTGTCTCGCCATCTGGCTGAGATATACAGGGCGTTGCGTGATTCATCGTCACCAACTGTGACTTGTCCTCCAGTGATTCATTCATATCTATCTGGTCCAAACGCCTTGTCGTCTGAAGAAGAAAAGGAAGCACTCGAATACCAAGCACGACTGTCCCTCCTTTCCTACCAAGGAATCCCACCCTCAGAAGCAGCCTCCCAACTATCCAGCGGTTTCTGGGCTTCAATCGACGTTCGCGGATCGTCTCGTCTCGGCCTCCCAGACGAATACTTTCCTAACGCTGTGTATCCGCCGTATGCATACTCCTCCCACGAACTCCTCGCGGAAAGACCCCTTTGGGAGGTAACACGATTCCTGCACAATCTCATCCGCTCCGTGCGACCATCATGCATCGAGCAAGAGATGAAATGGGTCGCAGCACAGCCGGATAAAAGTCGGATTCGGGTGAATTACAGCTTTGCGAATGGCAGTTTTACAGTCAGCCAGTGGTCGAAACATGAGATGTATGCTGGTGTGGATTATGAGGTTGATGGTGAGCCTGGTCAGCCTGTCTGTCCTATTCTTGTTTCGCCGCCATTCACGCATGATGTCGACTGAGGGGGATGGGCCACGTGCGATTGATGTCAATCTGACGCTGGCTGAGCCGTTGTGGGCTGTTCTTGATGGGGATGAGGAGTTTAGAAGATATTTTTCTAGCTAGTATAGATATTACTGATTGGACTGGATTACTCTACAATAAATTCAATCATTACTTTCTATACAATCTTACACACGAGGCATCTCATGATCTACATTTCTACTCGATGCTGCATTCTGATTGGGTGGCATAGATTTCCGGCTTCTCCGCATCTTCTGATTGGCCGACTGCATGTCCCTTGCGAGGATAAAAGATTCAACTGTCGACATTCATTCCAACCCTTTTCCTTCTTCTCATTATATCTTCATCTTTCTTAATTCATTGAAATGGCAGATCCCTTTTTCCGTCCGTTTCCTCCCTCGTCGAGTCGACCCTCGCGCCGCGGCAGCAGCGACATCCCACCCCGCACTCACAAAACCAGCGCCTGCACAACCTGCAAACACAGGAAACTCAAGGTACCACCCCTCATTACTAAGACGATATAAACTAACTCGGACAGTGTCGAGGAGGCCCACCATGCGAACACTGCGTGGCGAACGGGTTAAACTGCGTCGTCGACTCGATGAGCGACATGCGCCGCCACGACGCCGTCAAACGCAAAGTCGACCGGCTGGAGAATTCAGAAGATCTCCTGCAGCAGCTGATCCAGGTGCTGCGATGCTCAGACAGCGACCGCATCGACCAGCTGCTCGAGCTGATCCGCGACAATGCGTCAATGGAGCAGATCCAGGCGTTTCTGGAACAAAAATTCACCGCCGAAGAGCTGGAAAAGACGCCCGAACTGGCGGACCTGCAGCAGCAGCTCGCGGAGAGCTCGGTGCCTATGCGACGGCGCGTGCTGGACGTCCGACAACTCGTCGATATCCCCGTTGTGCGCGTCCCGGCGAAACCCTGGACGACTGTGACTGACGACGACGATCTCGTTTCGCATCTGGTCTCGCTGTGGTTGACGTGGACGCAGCCATGGCTGAATTGGTTGGATCGGGGGGTGTTTTTGGCCGCGATGCAGGCCGGCCAGTTGGAGACGGAGTTCTGCTCGCCGTTTCTGGTGAATGCGATTCTCGCAGAGGCTTGTGTATGATCTGATATCGATGAGACAGGGATACGTTTCCCAGACTGGCTCTAATCTTGTCCAGTTTTATTCGGATTACGCAGAGGTGTTTACTGTGGCTGGCGATCTCATGACGCGAGGCGCGCATTTCTCGGAAGAAGCAAGACGACTGTTTGAGCAGGAAGAAGGGCCGGCGACGCTTGCGACCGTTCAGGGATTGGGATATCTGTTTGTGCAGTATGTGGTCTATCTACTGTTTGGAGTATACTGACAGACAGACTGTCGTTGATGGGCAAGGAGCGACTAGGCTGCATGTACTTCAAAATGGCCGTCAAGGCAGCCGAAGAATACGATGCTGCCCATCCAGCTCGCAACGATGGCTCCGTCGAGCAAAACGCCATCAACCACGCGCTGTGGGGGATATTCAATGTTTCATCGTGAGTTCACCTGCTATGTCTTGAAGCACGCGTTAATGAATAGACTCACGAGTGTGGCCGTGATGAAATACGTTCCGATGACTCGTCCCCGTCGTCCTCGGCCATGGGATACGCACGATTCGCCCGGCGATGTCTGGTCGCCGTATCCACGCCATGAAGATCCTATAGCCGGACACATCCTCTGTGCCATGGCCCGGTGGACGGACGTCTGCTGCATTGCCAACGAGATCGGTCGTGTGTTTTTTGACTCGGAGAATAAACCCCCTGGAGACCAGATGTCGTCTCTGGTGGATCATTTCCATCGACAGCTGCAAGAGTGGCAGAGGAATCTGCCAGCCTGTTTCGATGTTGAAACTGCCACTGTCCCTCACATCCTCGCCATCCAGTGCGTCCCATCCCCCGTCCATACTGACGATACAGTCTGATATAAACAGCATGTTCTGCCACACCATCATCCTGCAACTCCTCAGCCTGATCCGCCACGATGACACCCTCCCTCCCAGCACTATCAACGACGCCAAATCCACCTCCCTCTGGACCGCCCGCCACGTCGCCTCTCTCATCACCATCCACCGCCAACGCTGGGGCATCGACCGCATGGGCACCTCCACCTCCCACTGGGTCATCGTCAGCCTCTTCGCCCTCCTCGAAGCCCTCGACACCCAAGAAAACCGCACTGCATTCATCACCCTCTGCACCGTCGCCCGCTCCTTCGCCCACCGCTACCCCTTCGGCGCCGGCCTCCTCCGCATGATCCAGCTCAACGCGGCCCAATCCCACATCACCCTCCCCGAAGAAACCGACGCGCTCTTCGCCGACTTCGAAGAGGAAACACGGGGCCGCACCGACCCAGCCCAGTTCAGCAGTCTGTATCCGAATTTTGGGGCCGCGGTGCGCCCAGACCAGGCTAGCGATACAGAGACAGATCAGTTTCTCGAGAGGTGGGACGGGTTGAACCTGATAAAAACTACTGTTGCTCATTAGATTGTTCGCAGATAAGATAGTTATACTACGTATCGGAAGCTTTTATTGCGTCCGTCTGTCTCGTCGACGGCGAGGATTCGGTCGTCCACGCCGAGGCGCACGGCCCGACTTGCTTCGGGGTCGATGGATACGCCCTGAGTCTTGTCTCGACGGTGATTCTCCCATTGTAGATAGACCCGGAAGATAGCCGCCATGGCTATCGTGACGGCGAAACAGATCATGATTGTCGTATACGCCGTCTATCACTTAGCATACACAGTCACAATGATATCCAGAGTATAACTCACATGATAACTCGGCGCCTCGCTCTCTTTAAAGAACTGCGGCCCAACAATATTCCCCACGCAATACGCGACGAAAACCATCGCCATAGTGGTTGACTTTTTCGTAAAACCGGCTATATTGCCAGCTACCAGTGCTAGGAGAAGCGGCATCGAAGGCGCAAGACACTGGACTAGCCAGAAGCCAGCGAGACGAGTGAGTTTCTGGGTCTCCGGGACGAGCTTTATCATGAGGATTCCTGTGAGTGCGAGGACGAAGCAGAGGATGATGCAGACGAGACGGGCTTTGCGGATTGTCGATGTGAGGAGGGTAGATACGAGCAGCATGGTGAGGATGAATGCCTGTCCGGGAATGGCCATTAGGATGGTTTGGTATTTGTCGTAGCCCATACTGTTGATGATAAGCGTTGAGAACTGTCTCGTCAGTATCGGTCATCTGTATAGATGGAAAACATACCGCTCCAATCCCCCCATTCGGAACACAAATCACAAACACAAACACACAAAACCACCACACCTTGACATCCCCAACCGCCTCGACAACCTGCCTCCCCTCCCAGGTCTTCGTCTGCGTCGTCCGCTGAAACATCTTCGGCCTCAACGCCACATATTCCCTCTCTGTCCTGCTCAAAAACCTCGCCTCCATCGGACCATCCGGTAAGAAGAACCACAACACACCAGCCCAGACAACCGTGACCAGCCCGAAGATGAGAAACATGAGTTTCCATTTCGGGAAACTGCCAGTGTAATGCATGATGGCGTAGGTGATGAGCGAGCCGATGATGGATGAGGACGCGTTTCCTGCGAACCAGATTGTGTGGCGCGAGACGTGTTCAGTAGGGGTATACCACATGCCGGTGATGAGGGAGAAGCCGGGGGTGATTGCGCTTTCGAAGACACCGAGCAGAGTGCGCAGGATCATGAGGCTGGGGTAGTTGGGGGTAAGGGCGTGGAGGGTGAGGATGATGCCCCAGGCGAGACTGTCTATTAGTATACTGCCAGTTACGAAAGATGGATGAGACATACACGAGAAGACTGAGATATCTGCCTAGTGGAAACTTGACGAACCCAAGGGATATGGGATACGAAGCAGCGAGGAAGCCTACGTAGAAGATAGACGAAGACCAGCTGTATTCTTGTCCGACCAGATTCTTCATCATCAGCCGTATCCATGTTGAATATGAGAGGTGTACATACTAAGTCCTCTTTCATGCCTAGGATAGCACTCCACGCCAAACACATTTTATCCATAAATTGCAGTCCATACGTGATGGTCAAGAGTGGCATCAGACTGGCTGTCAGTTATGGCCATTCAATAGATAGTGTACATACTGCCAGTCAATCCTTCGAATAAGCCGTTTTTCCTCGTCAGCATTGAATGTCTCAATTGGTATTTCTTGCATATTTGCTTTTGTTGATTCTGGCATTTTGTTGATGTTGATGTTGATGTGTTGATGTCAGGAATCTGGTTCTTATAGCTGCTGCAAGGGTCCGTTGAGACTATTGGCAATAATGCATTTAAGCTGTACAACGATAGTTTAGCTAATTTAAGCATTGCCGATGCATTGTTACACTATACTTTATCTTATCCGTGGATAATATTATACTTTCTGGATTATTCCAGACCATTTGGATCTAAACTCAACTACAACTACAATGTAGAATCTTTAAATGATAATGGTATCGGTTTCATTATGTATTATCACGGCACAGGGAGGTCGCGAATGAGAATCTTGATGAGAATGTACATCAAGGCCACCGCAATCAGCTCAACCAGCAACAGCAAACAGATCTCGCCAATATAATACATGCATTTGCCTTCTTTCTCCTTGAAAGACTGCTTGAGTTGCTCGCTGCGCTCCTTGAGCTGTTCCCCCCGCTCCTTTAGTTCGTCTTCGATATGTTGTCGTTTCTCGCGGTATTCCTCCTGGATGAACGCACCGGCGTCGTGCATCCCATCCACGAAGTGTTCCTTCTTCTCGTTAAGCTCCTCCATTATGTGATTCCGGAACAGCTTTTCCTTGAACTCCTCGCCTTTCTCCATCACATCCTCCACCATCTGTTTTCCGCCTTGGTATTGCGCATTTAGCATCCGGCGGAACGGAATGCCGCAGCCCGGTTTAAATTTTGGCTCTTGACGTTTGGGAAGCCGTCGAAGCGCTCGCACCACTCGGCGAAGTCGTAGTGCTCCTCACGGGCGATGGCGCACTTGCCCTCGCAGTAGGTGCCGCCGTTGGCGTTGCAGGCCTTCTTGACCTGGTAGGGGGCGGCGGCGGAGCCGTCGCACGAGACGACGGTGTAGGTGAGCTGCTGGGGCTCGGACTGGGTGCAGACGAAGCGGACCTGGTCGTTGACGAAGGCGACGTCGTAGGTGCCCTGGTAGCACTCGGCGGCACACTCGACGTTGTTACCGCAGGCCTTGTGGGCGGGGAGGGTGGCCATGGCGGTGGTAGCCAAGGCGAAGAGAGCACCGATCTTGAACTGCATTTTGATTGAGGTAGAAAGGGAGATAGAGAGATAGAGAGATAGAGAGTTGTTGTTGATGATGACGAGCAGAATGGACAGAGGAAAAGCCGGTTTATATAGCCGAAATGGACCGGACAGCTGAGCTTCTCCTGAGGCTGGGTCCACAGGATACGAGGTGAGAGTTCAGCTGCATGTTCAGCTGGAGTTCACGATCCCGTCCAGCCACAGGCCAGCAAAAGGACTATTGACCGATCTGCATTCATCGGCGAGATCTTCGATGTCCGGTTCGTTCTGCGTGGCGATGATCCGCCCGATCTAGCGGACTGTCGGAAGATTGCTCTCAATATTGCTTTCGACAGAGTACGGAGTACTCTGTATACACTATGCAGTGTTTGTTAGAGCCTTGCTGATGATGCTGTTCTACGAATCATTCGACACTACATAGCATATTGAATATCTGTGCGGTAGAAGCAGTGTACAACAGCAATAATTGTTGTCAGAAGGAGCGGTGAATCCGCCTCGACGCACGACCGTTAATCGCCACCCAGGGTACCTACTTTGGGCAGCATCGTGCCGATGCGATCGCCCCGACATCCGGTCTTCAGCCAGCCTCAGATACACATGCCTGGATCTGACTTTGCTAGCTGCTGAACGACCGGAGTCTCCGTGTGAATATCTCCTCTCCCATAGAATGTCTGTCATAATCGAAAAGTGCAATGAAAATGCCCGTCCCGAATAGGAAACCGGCTCCACTGCAGCTGAGCTTCTCCAGACCCACCTGAACCTTCCCCCCTCTGTCTAGCCAATCGCAGCGCGTATACTGATTGAGCGCCCCACATGAGCTCCTTCCAGATCCAATAGTCGCTTTTCAGCTGAATTGCTTTTTCAGCTCGGCTCACTTGATTCAGCTCATCTCCAGCCCAGCTCACTTGATCCACTGCCAGCACAGCGTGATTTGTTCTCTGGCTCTGTCGACACGTACCTCACCGCTTTTGTTGTCTCATTTTCAGATGCATGACTCTCTCATAGGAAATATCAATCTATCCCAGTCACAAGTCAGGTAAGTAATAACGACTCGACTACGGCTACTCCGTACAAAGATAGGAATACCATTCAAGAAAGGACACCCGTGCTGGTGGCCCACAGCCCACTCAGCTGAGGCTCGATCTTCGTTCCCCTTATGGCTTATGGATACACGTCTTCTTCAGTGGCTGTCTATTACCGAATTACGTGGAAGAAATTCCCGAGGTCAAGATCCACCGTGCAGTAACCGAAGTGGCTGAAGCAATTACAATAGAGTTCGTGTCCACTTAGTATACGCAGAACTCCGTGGGAGACGCGCCGATGGGGAGATTTAGACGGTCAGGAATTTGAAATAGCGTCTACGGATTAAGCGGATGTTTTGCTCAGATTATGAATGTGAATGTGGATACATAATGTTGAGATTGAGTGGTTATGCATATCGTGAAAGTATTGCAGGGGCCTCGGATGTCGATAATTTTAGTAAATATCGATTGGTGCAATGATTCAATCCAATTATTGGGTGAAAGTGCAGTCAGATTACTGAAAGCTACCTGGTGAGATCAGATGGACAAAAAATGTAGTCGGATAATCTACGATAGTGAATAGTAATGTGGGTAGGTTTCATTGAATATAATAACTGTCTATATATATCTAGTTATAAATGAGTATTAAGAAAAGAATAGTTAAATATTGAATAAAGGAGTAAATGAATTGGAACTGTATTCCATTATTTGTTGATCATTTGTACTTGTGCAATATATATAATGGACGGATATATGTCGGAGACTTATACAATATCATAATGTACCGATGTTTAAAGAACCGATGTAGAATGCACCCAGTACTACAATCTAATAATTGAAGAATGAAACGAATAATGCGAACCAAAAGAACCAATATCATGGCATACCAATATCAAGATCAAAATATCAATCCACGCTATGTCTGAATACCTCCACCACCTCTGCGAAACCCTCTACGATGAAATGACAATAAAATCCACAAAACTAGCCCAAGATCCCCTCTGGAACAGTCTCACCACCTCACCCACACCAATCCTCCAACTCAATCCCCAGCCAGATAGCCTCTTCCTCGCATCTCTCCTCCGCGAATACCCCTCCCTCCACGGCGGGGTCTATGGACAAGCACAGATCATCGAAAAAGTCCGGCCATCGTTTACCTCGCACGGACGATTCGCCGATCTAAGCCACCGAGTCACAGCGGAGAATGTGGTGATCGGGGACTTGATGAAGGGTGTTCCGGTTGGTGTATATGTTGTTGTTGGCGCGGGGGGGCAGGGGGTGGAATGACGCGGAGATGGTGGTGATCCTGCGGAGGATACGAGATGCAGTGCAGGATGGAGTGAAAGGTCGATTGATTGTGCTGGTGGAAGTGATGGATGGAGGATGGGAGGGGGAGAAATGGGTGCGGTTGGCGGATATGGCCGGATGGGAGGTGGTGGAGAGTCGGTCGTTGAGGAGTGTTTGGATGAGGGCGTTGATCTGCGGTAGGGGGTAATTATCTATCTATCTGTTTCATTAATAGATCGTTTATCTATATTTATGTATCATTGTTCTATCTGATCCATCAGATCTATCTATTGAGAAGATGCATTGAAAATGCATATTTATGCTATGCTGCTGAGTAATGTGCATCACAAGCACACTTACCTATTCCAGCTAGTGCTTATAGGCGGTGCCAACCTCTGCACAATAATTGGTTCATATTTCCACCGCCTACCAAATCCAACATATTGCCGACTGTCCGCTCGCGGCATCATGGCAGCCTCGACTCTCCCTTGATTCTCCATCCTGTCAGATCCTTTCCCTCGCCTCAATTGACCTACTACTCTCTTCTACACCTGCTAAAAATTTCAAAAACTCATACAAACTAGGTACGATCGATAGCCCCCCTCCAATTCCTCGATCTAACCGCCCAGCCATGCGCTCCGAATCCCCCGAAGAACCGCGCAAACGCACACGCGTGATAGCCCCAACCCGCCAATGCCACGACTGGATGGTCGTCTCGGGCAACTGCCACTACGCGCGCGATGAAACCTCCTTCACAACCTACCGCCCCGTCTCGCGAAGCATCCGGAACAACATCTTCAACCCACACGACGAACTGCACGTAGCCGGGGTCGGGACGGTAGCGCTACACGTGTGCCCGAGCCCGACGCAGTTCGGGTCACACACGATCATCCTCGAGAACGTGCTGCATATACCCGACGCGGTGTGTAATGGGTTCAACCCGTTGCTGGTGGGGAGTAGCATGTCGTGTGAGGCGGAGATGTGGTCTGGGGCTGATGCGGGGGGGAATGCGATGTGGTATAGTCGGCCTTTTGCGGGGGGGACGAGGTTGGTTCTTGCGGGGAATCCGCAGGGGGAGTCGGAGTTGATTGAGGGGAAGGAGTATTCGTTGAGTTTGTATATTAGTCCCGAGGAGAAGGAGGAGTTGTTTAGTGGTGCGAATGGGGTGGATGGGGTGGATGGGATGGATATGTGATGATGATTGGATGGATGATTGGATGTACACTACTATCTGTACTTATGAATAATGATACTATCAATTGGAATGGCAGTCAACTGTCACTATGACTCAGACAATCAGTCTCATGATTAGCACTATAAGGATAAGCTCGCATTGGTGGAATAACCTCACACTACGCGAGGATCCGGGGTAGCAGCCATCCAATATCACTCGTATTGATATAAAGTGAGACAGGACTGCCTGTTCCCAGTAGACAGCAGGTCTGATCCTACAGTCTATTCTAATATAAGATGAACGTGGCTGATCGGTCCAGCCTCCGTCCCATTTCTTCCAATACTACAGTCTCCTAGCAAGCCAGTTAATATACGACGTTCCATTGGATTCAACTCGCTTATTCCATATTACAGCCTGAATATAGGTAGCAATACGATCTGGCCACAATGTCAGATACTAATTGCCCTTTTGGGAACGGATCTTGCATCCTTGTTCAATCCATGCAAATCAAGATTAACCGGCAGGGTCTAAGGATCTTGTACGATGCATTTAACCAGCATATAACAGCCATCCCCATGCACTCTATTCACCATCAACATCGACAAAATGGCCGAGAAAGACACAGCCAGCGTTGCGCAAGTCCACGATGACCCGCAAATCGTCGGGGTGAACAATGCTGCCCTTGCGGTGGCCATGCACCGGCAGAAGCCAAAGTTGTTAACGAAGCGCATGTTCAAGGTACATATACACCTCATTATACTGTCTGGAAGACTAACTGGATAGCTCTACTGGTGCATTGCCGTGGCGATTCTCAATTCGTGTATTAACGGCTACGATGGCTCGCTCATGGGCTCGATCAACTCCTATCCCCAGTATCGCGAGTACTTTGGCTTCGATCCAACCGAAGGAACACCATCGACGGGCATTGTGTATGCTATTTACAATGTCGGGAATATCGTGGGCTCCTTTACCGCTGGTCCCTTTACCGACTTTAGAGGTATCTATCTCACTCATCTATACTGACTATGGATATACTCTATACTTATACTAATGCCGACAGGCCGCCGCGTCGGCATGGCCCTCGGCTCCATCTTCATCATCATCGGCACCATCGTCCAAGCAACCTGCACCAACCTAGGCGCCTTCATGGGCGGCCGATTCCTTCTCGGCTTTGGCGTCGCAACCTCCGCCACCGCCGGCCCAGCATATGTCTCTGAAATGGCGCATCCAGCCTACCGCGGTGCAATGACGGGCATCTACAACGTCCTCTGGTTCGGGGGCGGCATCCCGGGAACGTTTATACCGTGGCGCACGAGTCGGATCGAGGGGACGATGAGTTGGAGGATTCCGATTTGGTTGCAGATGGTGTTTGCGGGGTTGGTGTTGATTTTTAGTATCACGTTGCCTGAGGTGAGTCTGGCTTATTCTTACTGAGGATGAAGCTGATGATGTAGTCACCTCGTTGGCTTATTTCTCAGGATAAACACGAACAAGCACTGGATGTTCTGGCTGAGTATCACGGCGAGGGAGATCGCAACTCGCCTATCGTCCAGCTGGAATACCGGGAGATGGTGGATGATATCTCCACGACCGGCTCTGACAAACGCTGGTGGGATTATCGCGAGTTGTTCAACACTCGAGAAACTCGATACCGATCAATGCTGGTGCTATTCATGGGTACCCTCCCTTTCCCATCAGTATCATATATCTCATAACTAATAAATGCAGCCTTCTTCGGCCAATGGGGCGGCAATGGCCCTGTCTCCTACTACTACCCCCAAATGCTCGCCGGCGCAGGCATCACGAGCCTCAACACCCAACTCCTCCTCCAAGGTCTCCAAAACGTCGTACAATTCCTCGGCGCCATCTTCGGCGCCCTGATAACAGACAAAATCGGACGTCGCACGCAACTCCTCACCGCGACGGCGTTGATGGTGATTTTCTTCTCGATCGTGATCGCGCTGAACGCAACCAACGTGGTCGAAACGGCGGACGGGGATATCGCGAAGAGCGGCATCGTGGCGAGGGCGCAGATCGCCATGATCTTCCTATTCGGGTTTGTGTATTCGGCTGGCTGGACGCCGAATCAGGCCATGTATCCGGTTGAGTGTTTGCGGTATGAATCGCGAGCAAAGGGGATGGGGATGAGTAACGTGAGTTTTCTTCTCTTTTCTTCTTTACCTGTTTTACTGAGTTGGACTGACTGGATAGTTCTTCGTGAACATCGCCTCGTTCTATAATACCTTCGTCACGGGGATTGCGTTTAGTGGTGCTGGGTGGAAGTATTACTTTCTCTTCATCTTCTGGGATATGTTCGAGTTTGCGATTATCTACTTTCTGTTTGTGGAGACGAGCAAGAGAACGCTGGAGGAGTTGACGGGGATCTTCCAAGCGAAGAATCCAGTCAAGGCGTCGTTGAAGAAGGCAGAAGTGGTTGTTCAGGGCGATGAAGCGACGGAGGTTGTTGAGAAGGGTGTGTGATGTAGTAATTGATATTCAATCTATCCTAGAAGCCCGTGCTCAATATGACCGTTTGTACGTGGGTATCTCCTATATCTGTAAATTGCCTATATCGATATCCTCTGCAATCCACGGTTAAAAAGCCTGGTTTCATCCCTGGTGATACTACGGTTTGTGCCATTTATAGATGTACCTTACTGTTTATAACAGCATAGAGGTAACGATAAAAGCGAAGTCATCTCTGGCCCCTTTTTGGAAGTTGATCCTTGCATATAAGATTCCATATTATGCTATTGTCAATCACGCAATAATTACACTACCCTGGAACTACCGTGTATCTAATCGAGTCTATTATAGTATAAGAACATAAATAACATCTATCATAAGCAAAAGGGGTATATACATCCGATCCAACACCAGCCCAATCCGACCAAATCATATCGATCATAAACTTTTATCTACTTTCTCTCCTTCATATCACTCCTCACAATCGTCTCCATGACGACCTTAATCCCCTCCTGACTCAACGTACTATTCGTCTCCCAATCTCGCTCCGGATCCGCCGTACACGTCGGCGGGTGCTGTCGCGACGTCGGCAGAATCATCTGCTCATCCCCGCTAATCGTATTCCACTGCGTATCGCCGGGGATGCTCAGCGGGTGTCGGAATTTGCGTCGCCGCCCGTTACTGTTGTCCGTGTTGGGCTGCTGGTCCTCGGAGAGTGGGTAGACGTGGTAGACTTCTGTCGTGCCGCCGCGGGAGCTGATGTAGATGCCTGCGCGACGGGCGGCGCGCCGACACACGGGGTAGATCATGGGGATGTTGCCGATGACGACGGCGACGAAGGTCTCGCGACAGGCCCAGCTGCCGGCTTGTTGGGCGCCGTTTGCGCCGGCTGTGACGATCAGCACGCAGCGGAGGATGCCGGCCATCATGACGAAGAGGCCGCCGGAGAAGAGGACGAGGAGTTCGATTTTTTCGCGCCAGGGGAGGCGGGCTTTCCAGAGCATCTGATTCGTTAGAATGAGACTGTTTAAGACTGAGGAGAGACATACTGGAGTGGGAATGGTAATGAGGTAGAGATCTGTTGCGACGTTGAGGGTGACGGTCACGTAGACGTCGATGTGGGAGACGGCGGGTTGGCAGTAATCTATCATGATTAGCATAAATAATATATTATATAGGAAGACATACTGCCTGGATCAGGATAAATCTGCCAATTCTTCTGCATCGGATGACAACCAAACAGAATGGAGCAAATAACCGCAATATAAGTCGCCCCGATCAACGCATGTGCGATGCGCACTCGCAGTGTGAGATTCTGCAATCCAGCCCTGCACAATCAGCATCATATACGCCATCATATACTCAATCAAAAACTCACGTCAATCTCGAATAAAACACCGCCATACACCCCTTCAACAACCACAGCAACGTCGTGTACAATGACCACCCGATAACTTGCGTCTTGCTACCCCCCACGCGCAACTGATACTCTTTCGAAGCGGGGTCGAGGTTCTTGCGCTGCTCGTCGGTCATGGAGTTATTGGCCAGGCCCATCCACCATGCGCCGACGCAGTATGCGGCGCCGGTTTCGAGGCCATACACTACACCCGCGAGCGGCATGAGATAGTCGTCGAGTTGGAGATTGCGGACACCGGCGGTGAAGAGGCGGGCGCCGGTGCGGAGGACGATGATGACGATAGCGAGGGCGAGGAGGGTGAAGGCCTCTGTGGCGAAGGCATCGCCTGCCATGGTGTATGTATAGATGGACAGACTTGGTAGAGGATGGTTTGATCCGAAAGACAAGAGAAAGGGGCCAAGCAGGTTAAAATAAAAGATATAGACGGGGATGGAGAGCAAATAACAAATAAAGACCAATAAAGAGCAGAGCTGTCAGTCGATTCTGCAACCGCCGGATGCCGCGACCCGGACTAGTGTGTGCTATTCTCTGCAGCGTCAGCAGGCTGGATCTCCATAACCCGACAGCTGACAGCCGCCATTTCGAGTTGACGACTCCATTTGCAGGACTAGCTCTATTCCATCGGACTCGGTAATGGTCGAGACGGCATGATTCACGGGTCCAACGGTGATTGACGACGAATGATGCCGAGGAATAGGAATGGCAGGTTCATTTCCGCCTGGAGCTAAAAAAGGTACGACCCACGCATTCTCCGAGGGTCATCGACTATGATGGAGACTAGGATGGATAAAGATAGGGGGATCTGCAGGATCATTTGAGTAAGATTGGATAGATAGGTACGATAGAGTTGAGAATGATGGATGATATGGCGTGTCTATTGCAAATGCTACGAGTGAAAACGCGGTCGTCAGTGCAGAGACACAGGCAGAATCACAATGCGGAGTCAGATATCTTAGCGTATCTTAGGTTTGGATGGATATTAATTTCTGCTTGAAACACCGAAGGATTATGACAGCTGTCAGTGCTTTGGATGCATCACCTGCAGATCGGCACCCGTCCATTGCACTATCTACACACATCGATAGACCCGACGTGTCGACTGCATCTATCAATTCCTTTCTTCTATTTATTCCTTCCTTCACAATGCCACCGGATTAATCATCAACACAAATAAAAGTCGCACATCCTGGTTGCTCCTGCATGCCACCCCCTGTCAGCCCCACTTCTGGTTGCCTGCCATTTCCACCTACTGGTCGCTCTGCGCCACTGCCCCTCCTGATTGGGTTGCTCTTCCCCACACCGTTGAGCCCAGACATTCCCCGGGCCGTTTCGCCCACCCAAACGGGCAACTCGAGTGGGCTCAACGGCCAATGCTCTCGAGTCTTTCATCTGACACCAAGGGGAGACTCGCCCGGATCCAGGCCGCTGCAGCAGTCAGCATGACATGCTCTGGCCAGTGCAGTCGCACAGGCTGACAGACCACCAGATGCCTCGTCTATTAACTCTGTTAGCCTGGTGTGTGCAGTGTGCCCTCGCTGTTAGCCTGCGTGTCCGGATGTCTTAATTTTGGTTCTTTCGCTTTAAGAGCCACCCTGGTCCCCCCCCCAGTAGAACTTTTGCTGTCCATTCTTTCGCTCTCCATCTATCCACCGCCCCCTCTTTCTCTATCATTCCGGTGACTGCTCATAAATCAATTCCTTCACCATGGAGCCTGTAGACCTAGTGGTCGTGGGCGCTGGTACGTCTTCCTATCTATTACGTCGTGCAGAATGATGAATAACATTTGCAGGCTGGTACGGTCTCTCCGCCGTCAAAACCTATCGCGAGGTCAACCCCGCTGCCTCGGTGCTTCTGCTCGAGTCTGCCTCGTCCATTGGCGGGGTATGGGCCACCCATCGTCTCTACAAGGGCCTCAAGTCCAACAATATGCTGGGCACCTACGAGTTTAGTGATTTTCCGATGGATCCTGCCACGTTTGGCGTCCAGCCTGGTCAACACATCCCCGGGACGGTCATCCAGGCGTATCTGACAAAGTACGCCAGCCATTTTGGGTTCACGGATCGCATCCGGCTCAACACGCGCGTGCACAGTGCGGAACATCGTCCGGATGGCAGCTGGCTGTTGACGACGGAGACGGAGCAAGGTGAGCAGTCGCTTGTCGCGAGGAAGTTGATCATCGCGACGGGCGTCACGTCGCAGGCTTTCCTGCCTACCTTTGATGGACAGGAGGAGTTTGATGCTCCGCTGTTCCACTGCAAGGATCTGCTTCAGGAAGAGGCCGTCTTCCGGGATGGTCAGCGGGCAACGGTCTTTGGGGGGACCAAGTCGGCCTGGGATGCTGTGTATGCGTGTGCCACGTCGGGCATGCAGGTCGACTGGGTGATTCGCGAATCTGGCCATGGGCCTTGCTGGATGGCGCCGCCGTATGTGACGCCGCTGAAGAAGTGGCTGGAGAAGCTGGTCACGACGCGGTTCCTGACTTGGTTCAGTCCGTGTATCTGGGGCAGTGCGGATGGCTTTGCTGGTGTTCGCAGCTTTCTGCATGGCACTTGGCTGGGAAGGAAGATTGTCGATGGCTTCTGGTCGGTCCTGGCGAACGATGTCGTCACGCTCAATGAGTACGACAAGCATCCCGAAACAGCCAAGTTGAAGCCGTGGGTGAGTCCGTTCTGGGTGGCTTCGTCCTTGAGCATCCTCAACTACCCGACCAACTTCTTCGACCTCGTCAAGCAAGGCAAAGTGCGCATCCACGTCGCCGACATCGACCGGCTCTCTGCAAGGACCGTCCACCTGTCCAACGGCGACGCTCTCTCGACATCCGCCCTCATCTGCTCCACCGGCTGGAAGGCAACCCCCAACATGCAATTCCTCCCCGCCGGCATCGACCGCGAACTCGGCTTCCCCTGGGCCAAAGACTGTCTTGATGATGGTCTCATCCAGCAAGCAGACCAAGACATCCTGCGTCGCTTCCCCAGACTGCGCAACCAACCCTCTCCCAACGCCAGTTACACCCCTCTTTCCCAAGACCGCGACTCCCCCGCCGCAGCCGCCCACCCATTCCGGCTCTCCCGCTTCATGATCCCCCTCTCCATGGCCAAAGAACGCTCCATCGCCTTCATGGGCGTTGCCATGACCATCAACACCTCCCTCATGGCGCAAAGCCAAGCCCTCTGGATCGCCGCCTACTTCAGCGACCGTCTCACTCTCACCCCGACCATCCCCTGCCCGCCGTCCGTCCGCACCGCCGACGAAAAAATCTCCCAGACCGACCTCGACCTGAAATGGGAAATGGCCCTGCACACGCAGTTCGGCAAGCACCGCTACCCGGGCGGCTTCGGGAAGCGCAATCCGGATTTCGTCTTCGACGCCATCCCCTATGTCGATCTGCTCTTGCGCGATTTGGGGCTGTCCACCCAGCGGAAGCGTGGTTCGCTCGCTACGTGGTTTGAGCCATATGGGGCGGAGGATTATCGGGGGTTGGTGCAGGAGTGGAAGGGTCGGAGGTCGTTGGCGTGATTTATTTGCTTTTTCTACTTCTTTTACTTATCTTTATTTGTGGATGATACCCTTTGCGTCAGATGTATATAGCTAGTCCAATGAAAGGATGTGGATAATCAGACCAACTGAACTATTGGGATGCAGATCACTGCATGCATAGATAGTACATGTAGAGAGATAGTAGATACGTACCCCAGATATGCTTCTCCAGACCTCGCTAAGTATGCACCTTTGCCTTGTGCGTCATGCCTCATGACAAATTCCATACATCTGATATATCACTACATGATATACATACAAGATAATATATACAACACCATGCAGGACCCTTGCATCAATTCAATCAAATCTAAATCTTACGTATACGACTCGTCACTTGATTATATCGCTTCGACACGATTGGCCGATATTCTCCGTCCATCACAAAAACTATCGTCGGGTCTCTTTCTGCTTTGGATATTTGTGTAACCAACTGACACCACATATCCGAGCAAAGACGACGTAACACAAATACTGACTGACTAAAATACTCGCTTTGATCGTCGGCCTCGCTGCTTTTTAGTTACTATTTTGGCTGCCTCGTTTTTGGCCGAGGTTTCTTTATTCTTTCTGCCTTGCTTGGTGCTTGCTGCTATGTATGAACTTGCTTATTTCTTTGTTTTCTTTTTATTATTTCTTTTTTCTTTTTTTCTTTTTTGCTTCTCCACTGCCACGAGAGAATTTCCTCAGCCTTTTCCACGTCGTTATCTGATCGATAGTCAGTCATTTCTTGGCTCGTTTGCCTGCTATCCCCGCGGTTGCCGCTTTCTCAGCTCCCTCTTTGAAAGTGTGCCTACTCTTCCAAATAATGAATCTGGTTTTAGGGTGTACACTTGCAGGGGTTATCTGGTAATCACGCTCTGCTCAGGTCGCCTCAATTTTCAGTCTGGCGAATGCGGGTGTGATTCGATGGGATGGACGAGACTAAGTTGGTCTACATCTGGGCAGTGTGTATGGGTTGTGGCGAACTGAGTCTGCCTGGGTAGCATAGTTCGTCAGATGGAGTATGCTAGTCTTTACGGAGTTAGGGCATCTGTTTAGCTTGTTATTTTTATACTCCTGGATCTGTTGTGACCATGTTCTAGTTATCAGTCTATTGAGGTATATAGGCTCCGTTTTGGGGGTTGGCCACATTATTGGCCAGTAAACAAATCCATCCAATGCCTCATTGCCAGCATTTCATGTCGTTGCACCAAGTCTTCCAGGCATTGGCTTTTCGCCCCCTCCCAGAGCATGATGGATTGGGTCCCGTCCCTATGGCCTACGCCTTCTATGTCATGATGCAGCTGGGCTACTCGAAATATGTAATACAGGAAGGAGACCGGGGCAGCACTATATCAGCCATGCTTCTTCTGGTGGAGTGGCACGTGAAAGCAATCAACAGTCCGAGGGATTTTGCTAACGATGAAATTGGGGGCCTTGGGGAGTTTCTTAGGAACTGTTATCTCGAGGACTTGAAGAGATACAGAGTTATCTTTATACATATTATAACATATATCTCTAGAGTATGTTTCCCACTAGCAGACTTTTAGAGTAGCTGCTTAGAGTAAGAGGAAGATAGCCTGACCACCTATAATGGGATGGCGATCAATATATCACTGGGGATATCCACGTGACGTAACAACTGCTATCGACGGCGATGTCCGAAGCTTCCGGAGATAACTTCAATTCACGACCATCATGCTCTGCTCTCCATCACCAGAGCCAAAATCATACGGCCAATCCTGGTGAACGCACTCTGATCCATCCTTTGCATTCCAGTCCGCCACCGATGGTACGACCGAATAGAGACACTAGAAGACGCCGACGCCCAGCCTTTTCTTGCGTAGAGTGTCGGCGTCGCAAAGTCAAATGCGACCGCAATAACCCCTGTGGGCAATGCGTAACCCACAAGTTGAGCTCATGTACATATGCGGTTATGCCACAATGCTCTCAAGGAGAGGTGGCCCCGGGGGCCGCCAACCAAGGGGCCATGGCATGGCAAGATGCCTTTTCGCAATCGACCCCCGATGCTTCTGGGGCAGCGGCCCCTGTCCCATCTGAGAGCCCGAGGCTCTCTCGCGGACCTGACCCGGACAGAAACCATGATACTCAACAGAATATCAACGGGGTTCCTGACCCATGCCCACCCACGTCGGGGACGATCCATGGAACCCTATCCAAAACAAGGGTCTACGGTCACGGTCACTGGGTGAGCATGTTGCCGTTCGTACGTCGCCCACTCGCCTAGACTCCACTGGCTCTTGACTGTGGTTAACGTTGCTATTAGGTGGAAGGCGTACCGGTTGTGGACTTGGACATGCAGTCTTCTGGCTCGGGGTCGCTGGCCTCCTCGGAGCATCTCTCAGTGATCGCCGAGTGCAAAGAGCTGGCTCGGGATATTAAAAAGCATCAGCCGAGCCGAAGTCCCCTTTCGCCCAATATTTCTGAGCTCCTTCCCGACCGCCCGGTCATGGATGAGCTAGTGCAGCTGTATCTCGGCACCTTTGAGTCGTGTTATCGAATTCTTCACATCGGGTTGTTTCAGTCCGCGTATCAAGACTATCTGAGACAGCCACAGGAAGCGAGATCTTCGTTTGTGGTAAAGCTTTTGCTCCTAATGGCTATCGCAGCGCCCCTGCGCAGTAATCACAAGGACAACCAGCTAGCTGCTAGAGCCAAGACATGGATTCATATCTCCCAGGGATGGCTCTCTGGGCCCTCGGAAAAGAACCGTTTAACAATAGACGGTATTCAGATCCACTGCCTACTTCTACTTGCTCGTCAGATAAACCGAGTAGGAGCAGATCTAGTTTGGATCTCGGCTGGCTCCTTGATGCGGATGGCTATCCAGATGGGTTTGCACCAGGATCCGCGCCACCTGGGGTCGATGAGTCTCCTTCATGCCGAATTACGCCGACGGTTGTGGTATACAGTCTTGGAGCTGAATATACAGGCCGCATTGGATTCGGGGATGTCGCCGATGATCACTACTGCCGACTATAATACCAAGCCACCCTCTAATTTGGATGATGCTGATCTGCTGGCAGCACATGCAGAGGGCGTTCCCATAAAGCCGGCCTCGTCAGCTACCCAGAGCTCCTATCAGCGCCTATTAGCAAACTCCCTTACCCTACGACTGGAGGCCACAAGAGTCATCAACAATCTACAGGACGAGCCTTCATATGATCAGGTTCTTCGTCTTGCCAAGGATTTGGCAGCAGAATGTCGTAATTCAACGAATAGTGTTGGTCACCATATCGCGACTGCTTCCGGTTTGTTTACGGATCCGCAGCCTACACTAACTCAATTCAAACATAATTTTTACGAGCATCACCTTTCTCGCTTTCTGCTGAGTCTGCACTTTCCCTACGCCGTCAAAAGCAAATTCAATCCTCTCTATAGTTATTCCCAGAAAGTCTGTCTTGAGACCGCGCTAGATTTGGTGTCTCTTTTGGATGACGATATATACCACCGCCTACTCCTCTCGGGGGGTGCCATGTATCGAGACATCGTCACCCGGGGGGCAGTTGTGATATTTCTGGAATTAATTTCGCAACTGGAAGCCAACAATTCTCTATTCTCTCGACAGCGAAACCGTGCCCGCAGAGAGCCATTGCTGAACGCTGCGCGCAGGGTGGTGCAATACACGCACGATCGACTGTGGCATGGTGAAACAAATGTACAGGGCTACGTTTATGCCAGCACAGCAATGGCCCAGGTTGAGGCTCTTCTTGATGGCGTGCCAATTAAAGAAGCCATAGCAAGTGCGACTGGAAGGAGCCTTGTCGTATGCCGGGATATTCTGAAATCTATAGCGGCTCATTCTTCGTCGACTGACGAGGCACATCAAAGGCCGCTCTCTTACCTATACGCCGATAATGAACCGACACCCACTGTCGCTGATGCGAACTTTGAATTTCTGAACAATGGGGCCATCAGCTTTGATATTTCGGAGCCATACTTTCTTCAGCAATGGGCTGGTCAGTCTTGGCCTGGGAGTCCGCCTGGTACGTCAGGGGAACCAGAGCAGCTGTCATCTTTGGACAATGAGGATTTAAATAGGGCCTCAACAATGGCCAATAATATCTCCTTCATCCAAGATGCGGAAGCAGGTTAACTACTAAAATGCTTACATGGCAGAAGGCGTGGCACGCATTTGGGGACGGGAAAGCAAAGTACACTTTTACATGTGCGTAGGCTTCGCCTCGCAGGTATTGATTCTCCAACCTCCTCCGAAGAAAGCCCCCCACAAGGATCTAAATAAGTTTACAATAATCAGTTGCAGCGGGCAATATTCCTCTCGCAAAGCTCTCTACAGCTAGAAGCGAAACTCAGGGCAGGAGCCTCTGTTGCTATACTTGCCTTACTCTGCGTCTTCTCAAACTAGATAAAAACATCCAAGAGCTGCCCTAGTCACTGGTCGAAGCCCAAAACTGTTCCTTTGAAACAGCATGGCTAATAGTAGCAAACCATGGCATCTTTGCCGGGGCATAGAATTCCACATCAATTGCCTTATGGAGCACGTGTTCGGTAGTATCCCAGCCTGAACCAATAGCTGCGATTTACCCCGGCGAAAAACCGAGTCCTCTCATTCATGATTGACCGTTGTTTTCCGACTTGGGAATTGGCACTTACTGTCTATTCTACCCACATGTAAGAGAGCAGAATTCCGAACGCAGCAAAAACTTGGGCTCACAAGGAGCCCGATGCAAGTTCGGGTGAAGGTGGAATAACGACCGATACGACCGATATGACCGGCGCCCGAATGCCGAAGATTGGAAAGAATTGATAAAGTTCTTCTGCTTTCTAGACCCATTTTGTTCTCCTCGAGTCTGGAGCTCGTTCTATGACTGGAGACAGGCTTTCGATTGTCGTCAGCGAAACCCTTTAGCACTCTCGAAAAAAAGGCAGTCATAGGCAGGACTGGGAGCTGCGCTGATAACTGCGAACAGACCGAATCACCATTCTAGGTTTTTGGATTAGGGCCGAATCCCCACATTCGTCATGATCAAAAGCCTGTGCTGACGATCCCAAGGTTCTATAATCGGTCTCGGAGAATTAGATTAATGGAGTAAATATCCCGAGTTGGCGATTGAACCAGCAGTTATAAACGAGGGTTGATTTTGTCTACTGGGTTGATAGTTGTCTCCATACTTCTTGCGTATTTACAAACACACATTCTTCGTTTACTTATTCTCACGATGTCATCGATTCCACTCAAGGTCATCTTTGGGGGTGCCGTCTTGGATCCCATCAACGGGAATTTTGCCACGGTGGAAGACACTCAAGTGATATTTCATGCCTTGAAAGAAGAAGGCATCGACACTGTCGACACTGCCCAGGTTTATGGGCAGAGTGAATCTCTCCTTGGTCAAGCCGAGGCTGGCTTATCTTTTACGGTCGACACCAAACATTGTGGCGGTCATATCCCCGGTCAATCCACCAGAGAGACATTGCTTGCACGAGCGGAGGAAAGTCTGAAGAAACTTCAAGTCGACCAGGTCAGCACCCCTTGATCAACTGTCTTCTCTCTACCCTCCTGATGTGAGAACACTGTAGGTCAACATTTTCTACATTCATTCCCCCGATCGAGCTACCAACCTGACAGACACTCTGTCCGCGGTAGATGAACTGTTCCGGAAGGGAAAGTTCAAACAATTCGGCTTGTCAAACTTCCTCGCACACGAAGTAGAAGAGGTTGTGCGAGTTGCAAAGAAGCATGGTTTTATCCTCCCATCTGTCTTCCAGGGAAGCTACAGCGCTGTAACTCGAAGGCCGGAAACAGAGCTCCTCCCTATCTTACGGAAACACAATATCTCATTCTACGCATACAGCCCCATGGCGGGAGGGTTCCTGGCGAAGTCCCGTGAAGGCATCACGGCCGGACAGGGCCGCTGGGACCCCGCCAGCGCCTTCGGAAAGTTTAACCTGGCGCTGTTCAACAATGCTGCCATGCTGGAGGGTCTTGATTCCTGGATCGCCATATCGGAGAAGTGGGGTATTTCCCAGCCCGACCTTGCCTATCGGTGGATCATGTACCACTCCGCACTCAATCGCCAATATGGAGACGCTGTCATTATTGGCGCAAGTAAAGTCACGCAACTTCATAGTACAATGCGGGGTTTGCGTGAGGGCCCTCTTCTGGATGGAGCGGTGGATGATATCAATGCTATGTGGGAGATAGTGAAGGGCGAGGCTGTGCTGGATCCTGTAAATGCGCTTATGCTAAAGGGCAGTTCCTCCGAGACTGCCATGTCTGAAACTTGACGAGAGATACGGAGTTGTCTGAACAATCTGAGCATTGCAGACCAGTACTGGGTAGTACCCTACAATGTGTTTTTATGTTGATGTTGTAATGGCCTCGTCAATATAGTATTGTATATATCTGGAATGCATCTCCCATCGAAAGTGTTTCAAAGCAAGTGCTACAAGTAAGAGAAAGAGAAAAATAGCCTAGTACCTGGAATGCCGCGCATTCTGACTAGACTCCGAGCAAGATAGGTGCTTTAACTGCCAACTATATCGTGAACCGGCCTGGAAACGACATTCATTATACCTACAATTATTAGATGTACAAGTCCCTGTTATTAGAAGTTTTGCTTGGTCATATTGGTATCGTGTCTAAGCAGGAGAAAGGAACATGGGAAAATGTCCTGTAGGATATAATCAAGGCCACCATTCAAGACCATGCATTACAAGCCCAGATTCCAGTATATCCATTGATATTTGATGTTACACGACCTTGAACCAATGAAAGTTATGACAGTATGCCCGTTTATCTGTGCATTATAGGGCGAAGCAAGGGCTTGAACTCCAATGGTGATCGAAGCGTAGAATCCCTAGCCATTTGCCGAGTAGAACTGAGAGAACTGAGACATCGGAAGGCTACTTGTTCGGAATTTGCACTCCTAGGCTGTCCGCTCATCGCCCATACCGTGACCGAGAACTGGAATCGGAGGACATTTTCATGCAATTTCATTGCATTTAATCCCGCATAGTATAACCGAACGGGGCAAACAAGAAGTCATCATCTCCGAGCTGATATCTCCGAGAATTCACCAAGCCAAAACCCCCGAGGTCTCGGTCGAACTTTCGACGTACCACTGGTGCATCTGGATGTTGCCCTATGGTGTCGCTGTACGCGAGGAATGAAGCGAGACGCATCGCCAGGATTGAATGACGATATTCCGAGTCGGTGCTTTCGGATATACGGCGCGAACGATGACTGTCCGCAAGGGCATTGGTCGTATAAAGGGCAACGTAAGAGACTTGTCCAATATCACATTACTCAAACCGTTCATTTTCCGCCTCTTCAACCTTCCCAAACGACGCAAAACCAAGTACTGTCCGCAATCATGACTGAGAGACTACGAGTGATCATTGTCGGCTCTGGCCTGGCGGGCTTAGCTTCTGCTAGGATCCTTCGGGAGCATCACGATGTCACCGTCTATGAGCGCGGCGGTGCCGACACAGCCACCGGTGGACAGGGTATCAGCCTGTTCTCGAATGGTATCAAGATTCTTGAGACAATGGGTTTTGATCGACACCGCGCCGGCGCCGTGCCGTGCTATGGCTACCGAGGGTTCGACAAAGCCGGTAACCAATTGCAAGACTTTCCAATTGACTTCAAAGGAAAGTATGGAGCAGACACCCTGACAATGAAGCGGTCGGATTTCCGCGATGAACTCTTATTGTTGGCAACAGCTCCTTCTGCGGAGCTTGGTATTCAGGGTTCTCCGGCGCAGATGATCTTCAATACCAATGTGATTGATATCGACCCCGAGAAGGGCAGCATTGCACTTGAAGACGGTTCCGTGGTAGGAGCTGATTTGGTCATTGGTCCGTATCTGTCCCGCCTGAATACTTCGCCTGAAAATGCTGACGCTAGAATCGGTTCTAGTTGCCGATGGTGTGCATTCACGTCTCCGTCACCGGATTGTAGGCTCTGATACGTATCGAGCCAAGAAGAACGGCATGACTTGCTACCGGGTTGCCATCTCAGCTGAGGCTGTCAAGCAGGCGCTTGGCTATCTTCCCACGTGGTGGGATCCAGAAACCGCCAATGGCCGTATCTCTGCTCTCCAGGCGGGTGATGGCAGTAACCGGATGATTGCAATGTATCCCATTCGGAATTACGAGTATATGAACTTCTCGTGTCTTTTCCCCACTCGGCAGAATAACGGGAACGTCCTGGAATCGTGGTACGCAGATGGTGACCGACGTGAGATGATCGAGACATTTGACGATTACTACGAGCCCATGCGGAAGATCCTCAGGTATGTACTATCTGTATCGCTGTGTGAGGTCCGGCGTTGATAAACAATATCCAGCATTGCCACTGAAGTGAAAGTCTGGGAACTTCAGGATATGGACCCTCTTCCCAACTGGAACCGGGGACGTGCAATCTTGATTGGGGACGCAGCCCACGCAATGACTCCGATGCAGGGCCAGGGGGCGAACATGGCAATGGAAGATGCAGACGCTTTTCGCTTGCTGCGCCCAGGCACGTCTCATGCAGATATTGCCGCGATTCTTGAACAGGTCGACGGTTTCCGCCGGCCTCGTGCTACAAGAGTACTGCAGGATACCCGTGTTCAGGCAAAGGATATCACTATGGAGGAGCGAATCGCCAATCTCGACTACAACTGTGGTTATAATGGTGTTTTTGAGACTCGAAAGGAGACCCAGTGAGGCCTACCGCCATTGCTGCTTCCCTTTACCAGTCCTCCTGCTACTCCAGTCTTCCACAGTTGTTTTTGTATTTTAGATTGAAATAGAATAGCACTTGCTAGACTTGGGCAGTACAAATAGAATTTTGGCACATTATAGACCCCTTGACCGGGAGCCCAAAAATAAAAGGCTTAATATGTTTTTGATTACAAATGCTCGCTATATTAAATATGGTTAAGGGTATCGAACATACTTTGCTAACAAAAATATCCAAATATTCACCAATATGCGTGTAGTGCAGTATGTTAGGGGCGGACATTCCAAATCCACGGGATAAAATATTTGTGGTACTTTCTCCGTATGCCGCCACCTTGATGCTTCATCTTAGCAGTTGGCGATCAAGCTTGTACACTACGACGAACGACGTCGGGCTCGACACCAGGGAGGCGGAAAAGATGGAAGTAACCAATAGGGTCGTGTTTCGGGTAGGAGTCAGTGATTAATATTCTACGGCGTCTCGTTCCACATAGTGTATCGCATTGAAGCAAGTTGTACACAGATTTAGGAATGCTCTAGAGAAGAAAGGGACGGATGTAGATAGCACGTCGTTTCTGGGCTGTTTTGATGTCGTCCGCCGAGGTAATGATGGGTTGATAGGTATTAGAGGGCGCCATGATGGATCGGAAGAATATCTGTCGTTCAGCATAGATGTTCGATAACCACAGTTTCTTATATGTATTTATGCAAACAACAGACATTTGTTTTTTTTGTTTGATGAGATTGAAACAAACATCCGAGGTTCTCGTTTCCCTCTAGGAGCACAATAATAATAATGATGAGTGATCATGCCAGTTGCCGGAAATTTTGCTACAAAGACCGAAGCCCGTTTTAAATCTCTCGGACTCAGTCCCCCTGATATGCATGGCCCACCAATGGTACATAACTAAGCACCAAGGCCAATGAGCAGGTAGTTGTAACCAGACGGCATCCATGCTGCATTTTATACTTTGCGTAGATATACCGACTCCGAGGGCCTCACTGCCCGTGATTGGTAAATTTTCATGCGTAGAACCATGTCTGATAGTGAATGGTTCAAGTGCGCCTTTATACAGAGTGGTTTGACCTTCCACTATCTAGTTGTGAAACACAGGTGTTAAGAGTGTGTAAGCGTGCTAATGATACTGGCATGGCCTCATGGCTGCGACCTTCGCGAAAGAACCAGCTAGGGGCTGTACTGCTGCCAAACAACGATGGAAGCTACTTAATTGACCCCATAGTGATACTGGGTGCGTTCTCCGAATACCTCGGTCCTGAGATTCCAGATGAGCGTGGTCTAATATTTGGGCGAGCTGCCGCGACCTGGCCTGTATGTACACCGTAGCCTCCCAAATTGAGACTCAGCTTGATGCAATAGTCACTGTGCTGTATGTCAAGAACCGCGTCATCCACCCGGTTTCCGCCAGTAGGCCAAATATCAGGATCCCTATCAACAGAACAATTCCGCTTCTATGTCGATTACAATTCCGTACATTAAGTTAAGTAATCCTAGAGTGTAGCTGGCTGCTTTTTCAAGGTGCCTGGTTCTATAGAGCATTTTTGGTGCCGAGATCGAACTCACATACGCTCTGCTAATTCCGTCGGCTTCGGACTTATCGGCCATCTCTATTCTAATGGGGACTGGGACGTTTAGCAGCCGCAGAACTATGCAGACCAAATACACTATTCCATATTATACCTAACTCCGGCACTAGCCTTCTGTCTCTAGCATAGCTGCACTAATATTGTATTTGTGACCCTTATTAGGTCTTGCAGAATTGGATAGATGCTTCGGATTATTGTGGAGTCGAAAGAATATGCATTGTAATCGCCGGACAACCTCCAAGTGAAGATGACGTCCGAATAACTACAACAACCCCTGCAGCTATAGCAGATAACATGGGCCTAGGGGCAGTACCCGTCTTAGGTATCTTTTCCGAGACATGACGGAACGACGTACAGGTAGTCAGGCTTGTCGGTTGTCAATATAAATCCTTCAAGTGTCTCTATGGTCTCGCAACCATACCTAGAATCCTAACATGATCCCAAGACGATATGGAAACCATTCAAGGAATAGCAGCTAGCATGGAGCGCTATCCGTCTAGCGGGTTGGACGTCCTCATCGTCGGTGGTGGCCTTGGAGGCCTGACATTTGCAATTGAAGCGCACCGCAAAGGCCATAATGTTAGGATCCTTGAGAAACGGCCCGAGTTTACGGGATATGGTGAGAATATCCTCATTCAAGAAGACTTATTCTAATGTTTGTTTTGCCAGGTGATGTTCTTCTAATCGAATGCAATGCTCTGCACACCGTCAAGAAATGGCCAGGTTTCTATTCCCGCTTGCAAAAGATATCCTACAAATCCGACTTCCATGTCAAGAAATACAACGGCAGCTGGATTGGATCCTGGCCCTTTGGAGATGGGGCGAACGAGTCCTTAGCCTTTAACCGCAACGAGCTCCACGAGCAGCTGTGTTCGTACGTTCAGGAGCTAGGCATCCAACTAGACCTCTCGATAAACGTGGAAGAGTATTTCGAGACCGAGGAGCAGGGAGGTGTTGTTCTCAGCGACGGCCAGGAGATCACGGCGGATCTTGTGATCGCGGCAGATGGGGTTGGATCAAAGTCGTGGTCACTTGTTCTAGGCCGTAAAGATGCTCCAATTAGCAGTGGCTTCGCTTGTTTCAGGTCGACCTTCCCTACCAGTGTAGCGATGGCGAATCCGATTATTGCGAAGGAAATGGAGGATTTCGGCGATCGTATCTCACTGCATCCTGGCAATGGGGCACACATGGTTGTGGGCAAGACAGATCGAACCATCTGCTACATCATGACCCACAGGGTATGTCATGGTGCTCCCCAGCAAGAATGGAAGGATATCTCATGGCATTTCTAGGGCGAGCAAAGTTCCGAAGAGAGTTGGGACAAAACCGGACCCGCCGATCGCGCTTTGCAGTATCTCGAGGGGTGGGATCCGTTCTTGACCGAGATGGTCAAAGTCACACCAAACAACCGCAGCACCGACTGGAGGCTGATGTGGCGGAATCCACAACCCAGATGGTCATCCCCCCATAGCCGCGTGGTCCAACTGGGGGACTCTGCGCATTCCTTCCTCCCTACATCTGGCAGCGGGGCCGCAATGGCCATGGAGGATGCATACTCCCTGGCATCATGTCTGCAGTTGGGCGGGAAGTCCAACCTTGCTCTAGCTGTGAGAGTCCATAACCTCCTTCGGTAAACATCCAAGTCCCTTCCCTGGCAGTTCGGGCATGGCTGATGATATCTAGATTTGAACGGGTCTCCTGTACTCAAAAAATGGGCTTCCATAATCGCGAGTTGTTCCATCATGCGAACTGGGATGAAATAGCCTGCAATCCAGAGATTTTCAGCAGAGTTACTGGAAAATGGGTAAAGAGGCATGATCCCGAGGAGTACGTTTATAGCAACTATGGCCGTGCTGCGAATCATCTTCTCACGGGAGCTCCCTTTAAGAACACGAACATTCCCCCAGGATACCAATATAAGCCTTGGACTGTCAAGGAGCTCATGGATGCTTCGGACGCCGGTCGGCCAGTGGTTGACGAGGGAGATTGGTCTTGATTCTGCTCTATTGCTGGGAAGGCTTCCATCTGGTACTCAATTAGACTACGAGAGAAGACGCCATGTGAAATCTTCGAAATCTACCCATTCATACAATGGGCACGGTAAAGCAAAACATACATTGGGGTACGAAAGTATGTAAAACTTCACATGTCACTAGTCACCCTGCGCAGGACCAATGGATATAATCTACAAAACAGCCGTCAATGCCATTGTCTGGCTCTTTTGGACAGTACCGATGTAGATCACCTAGACTGAAGCTAACAATCTACCTTCAACATATGCCTATCATTATTATCTGGATGGTGTTCTCTGGAATGTCACTTCCACTTCGTCTTATTCAATTAGCCAGTATTAGATGAACAACTGTTTCGCCAATTAGACCTAAACCTATGATCATCAAGTAGACCGACCTTGCTATCTGTTAGCTAATAACTACCCAATCAGTCAATCATATATATTGGGAAGGAAAAAAAAAAGAGAGAGGTTATATCAGGCACACCATCCAGTAAGCACATTGTTTCCATCCACGTTGGCGTAATGCTTTCGATAACTGGCTAATCCCCAGTCAACGCAAGTCAGCGAGCTAATATGCAGCTGAGGTCAGAACACCATATTAATCAGTAATTGAATTATAACCAAATTTTCATCTTACTCGATTCATGAGAAGGATAGAATAAGAATAAGAATACAATACATACACGCCTCTACATATACACCGACAAAAACATCATATCCCAATGCACACAAAAACAGAACAAGTAAAGGAAACCGCTGAATCAACCTAGACCAAACCTAGCCCATACATGAAGTCAAAGCCAAAGTCAGAAAGCATACCATCCGCCCTCGATCGCCATGGTCCCGGTCCCGCAAGTCAAAAAGACCCAGCTTATAACGCCTACAGTGAATGCTCCCAAAGTAATAACACCCAATCAGTATCAGTTTACGTATTCAATGCTGTATTTGTCCGTTGCTAGGACTCTTTGGCTGCTCCCCCGCCTTCGTGTTTGATGCTGGGGGGATTTGAACTCGCGCCGTCGGATGAGGTTTCTTTGCCGCAGCCTTTGACGAGGATATGTCGCTGTACGAGTTAGCCATCGTAATTAGCAAGTAGGACAGTGTAGCTACCTTTAATGCATCCTTTCGCGAAAAACTCTTGTCGCAATGGGTGCACGGGAATGGTTTCACCGAGAGATGGATGCGTTTATGTCGCTTGAGATCGTGATTCCGGTTGAAGCTCTGCGGACACTGGTCGCATTTGAATGGGCGGTCGTTTGAGACCGCTGTCGCCCCATGGCCGGGTGGTTGGTGCGACCCGTACATCTGTTGCATACTGGCCGCGTATCCACTGTTGAATTCCCGTGGAATGCTGACCGGCGGCATGCCCGATAGATAAGACATGTGACTGTTTGGACTGTGGAGATTGGTTTTGACCGGCCCCGGCATCGCGGGTAGAGAATATGACGGCCACGGTTGTCGATATCCTAGCTGTGGTTGTGCTGTGGACGGATCTGCCGGACTTGTTGCTGGTGCCATTCGTCCGGTCGGGTGCATTCCTAGCCCGGATTGTCCGTATATATAGCCCGCCTGCTGCGGGTTCTGGATTTGCGGGGTACTCCCGTAAATCGGAGCCGAGTGGGATTTACCCGCGTAAGGATCGTTCGATGTAAGCTGATGGGAAGAGGTCGCGTTTGGCGGGGGCGCACCGTGGGCGCTCATCATGGCGTGCGCCATGGCTTGTTGATGCTGAATCGCCGGACCCGTGACGTTCGGTGAGGAAACGGAGAGAGATTGCTGGAAAGGAGGTAGTTGATGCATATCGTATGGTTGTGACATGGCTTCCGCCGAGGAGCCCGAAGTGGCTGGATTTCGAGTCAACTGGTTGAGTGAAGTGTGGTATGCTTCGCGCGGGGGATAAGATGCATTGGCCCCTGGTGTCCACGAGTGGCGGGCTGCGGTTCCTGATGGACCACCGTATGGACTCTGCCCCGGCCAGTACGCAGACGCATAAGACGAAGGCAGATCGGCAGCAGAAACCGCCGCAGCGGCCGCGGTGGTAGCCGTCGTGGGCGGCTTTGCTTGGACCGGACTGATGCTTTCACCCGGCTGCGTGGTGGCCGGAGGAGTGAGAAGATTGCCCACGCTGACGTTGGGCGGTGGATGGACGTTGGACTGGGAGAGGAACTTGGGCGTGACGCCGGAGCCGATTTGGAAGTTAGGGGGCGGCAGTTCAAAGGAGGGCAGCGTCGGGGCTGCAGGCCGGCGCGAGTTCAAGGGCTGCGGAGGGGAGGTCAGCGCATCCAGCGCCGTCCCCATTCCCGCCTGCGGAACAGCGAGGGCAGCCAGGTTGGCGACGGAGGGGTGAAAGAGGTGATTACCTGGTTCGATGGAGGAAGCAACAGCAGGAAAGGCGACGGTGTCGTCTGTCAGAGCCCAGTATCGACCGCCCGACAGACCTCCCGAAGGGTCTGGAGGATCCAGGAGGGGCGATCGGGATCGCGAGTGAAGCGATCAGGCGATGGGTTTGAAGAGGAGAATTCCACGAATTCGAGTTCTTGTGGGGATGAAAAGATCAACCCACGGTTGTTGATTATTTGGCTGAAGAGAGAGGGTTGAAGGTCATATCCTACCCCGCGATGGGCAAATCGATGAACGAGTGGGATCCAGCAAGAGGAAGAAGCAGAGGAAAAAGATGGATTATAAGTGGTGTCAGGAAGGCTGCATTGCCGATGAACGGACCGACACGCGATCAGAGACTCGAACCGAGATGAATCAGGTGGAGCCGCAAAGCTGGAGAAAGGAAAGGGGTGGAGATGGAAGAGGAGAAGATGAGAAATGAAGGAGAGGAGGAGAAATGGAGATAGAGCGAGGAGGGGGGAGATAAGAAGAAAAGACGAGCAGATGACAGAGTTCTGGCCAGAAGAGAAAGAGAGAAAGAAGCGAGAGAGAGCGCAGATAATAACAGACGAGTTCCCTGGACGCGATCACCGGCAACGTGGTTGACAGGGCTCTGGAATGGGTTATTATTAACTAGGTTAGCTGGGGCCCAGAGCGCACGGCTGGTTCCGACGATCGAGATGAAGTCCAACAGTCGTTAGGATTAGATAGAGAGGCCCTTCAATATTAAGTCAACGTTGAAGTCGGATCGTCAGTGGAGCAGCGATCGTCCAGGAGGCGCAGGGAAGGGCAATGGCAGTCCCTGTTTGGTGGAGCAGAGGCGATTAAGCTTAGCAGAACTGGCGATCCGTGGTGTTGAGATATTATTATTCTGGCGATGTTGGAGTGTCTGAGTTCTGAGTTCTGGATTGTGCGAAAAAGAAAACATACGAAAAGGGGCTCTCCTTGCGTCGGGGAAGTTGGATGACAGCTAAGGCAACTGTCTATTAATATTCGGACTCCACTATATTTAAGATATCCATCAACATACTGACAATACTAATAATATTAGACACTGGAAGAGTCGAATTACTCCGGAGAATCAGGTAATCTCTGTAAGTAGCCAATGCTCGCCAATTTTTCCCAGAAATACGAGAATTGGATCCAGACCAAGCGCGAATTCCCTGCCCGCCAATCACCGCCCGGCCTGCCAGGCTGCTGCATCGCTGCCATTCGTCCCTGTCCTCCGGTGGATCCCGGCTACTCTGGATTGGGTCACCCGCAGCAGCATCTGCAGCCTCGCTTGGTCGGAAGGCCAGTCAACCAACACTAGCAGAGCAAACAAAACGCGAAAGTTGGGTCAAAGAAATGGACAACCAACAGAGCGGCCAGAAACGACCCCTCTTTCATTCGCGCAACTCTGGTTCCTCCAAACTCTGTCTCACTGGTGGGTCGCTTATCGGCCAATCAGCCGCCGGTCCAATCGTCCTCGGTCGCTGGCACACTCGGGCCTCCCCTCGTCGCTGGGGCGGTGGGGCTGACAGATACCGTTCCACCAATGGGAGGGGGTTCTGTCTCGTTCTTTGTGGCAACACGGCACCAGTCTGTCGGGTGTGTCAAACTCACTTTTTCCCCTGGGGTCGCCTTGATCGATCGTGGCTTTGGAGTTTCAGAATCACTGTCAGTATAAAGTGAACAGTGACTGAGGATAGACATCGATATCGTGAAATATACAACTGTAGTCAAAGTGATCGGTCCATGCAAGGCGCCTGTCACCAAGGATCCGATGTGACAGCACACATGTCTTGCCTTTTTTTATTTTTATTTTTTATCTCCCTACACCTGCAAATTATCTATCTCGTCAGTAACTAACTCCAGACTAACAAAGAACACCAGAATATACCCTGTCTGTAGTAGCAAAAAAAGTACGATATCCGATCACGGGATACTGTCCTAAACTGAAACATACGATGAGTTGGCATTCAACTAAATTCCAACTAAACAAAACCCCCCTAAAAGTGTCCGCATCACGACTAATCCGCTATCAATCACACGACTATCAAACAGCCAAATCCTTCGACGGGGCTGGACTCATTCCTCGTCAAAACATGCATACATGAATCAAATAACTCTGTCAAACATGGTAAAGGACTGTTCCAGACCTTTTCCTCCAGCATATCCCGCATTCCGGGGGGATTAAAGTCAGAGCATACATGAACCATTCCGTGGTTCTGCATTTCCCTCCTTCACGGCACATTTCGACTCGGAAAACGCCACCTCGCTCTGACCATCGCGCCAGCCAAATTATCGTCGAGGCTTCTTTGTGTAATGTGTCATTGTTTATGCTTATTTTGAATATGCTTGCTGTGTCACTATGGCTGAGTCTGATGTCTTTTACTCATGTCAATACTCAGTCACATGTTAATAAATAATAGGAATGCACTTGAAAATCGCATTATTAACTAGAATATGGATATCGTATGTTTACTGTCATATACTCTTTGGTCCGTTCCCTACTCCCGCAAGATCACCGTGTAATTTGCTCAGCCCCATGATCAACGAGGCTACCAAGGCTGCCAGAAATTGCGATACCTGCACCATCGCAGTATTCATCACTAGCTTCTCTTCTGCTTTCGTATTGGATGGAACAATTGAATGAGGCGGGATTGATGGTTCATTTTGATCCTCAGTACTTTGGTCGACCCTTTTCGAGTCAGGTTGTGATGGTGTAATTTCGGTCTTTTGTCCTGTAAGCTGCTGTGCTAGAGCTAGCAAAGCTTCATTTGGCCGGAATTGGTTGTTTGTTGACTGCATCTCTTCTTTGACCGGCTCCATTGGCCTTGGGTCCGAGACCTCTATTCATGCTTAATACACATCCCATACCAGGTACCTTAATAGCGTATACAACTTACCAGGAACAGGATACAGATTCGCCTCTGTCATAGCTTGATTCAATGCTTTTGCCGTTTGTTCCAAGAATGGGTCTTTATTGCTCATCACCGGCTCAATCTTTGCTCTCGTACATGCCTTGCGACCAGGCGGCGGACATAGCAGATGCTGCTTGAAACGATGATGCCACCGCTGTAATTTGGCCTTGATCTCCAGATCAATATAGAACGGCTCATCGTCGTGATGAAACGCAAGCGCCGTGTGAATAACTGAATTATGCACTGCCTGTCGCTCTAATTCGTTCTCTTCGAGATGCCACACGAGCTGGCGATACTGTCTCCCCCTGTTGGCTGCAGATTGATCACTGACGAAGCGCGATCCTGTAAATTTCCATCTCGAGGCGAATGTTGCTTCGGATGTTCGTGAGCCTCCAATTCCTTCTACTGTCGCATTCCCAGCCCCGATCTTGGGAGTCGCCTCGAAGGTGTTGGTGACATGGCGCTCCTTCTTCTCTCCACTGAGGATTTGGGGGCCGAAGAATTCAGTCACTTCCATATCACTGAACCGATAACGAGTGAGTTGGTGGAATGTCATGGTGATGGTTGCGTTGGCCAGTTTGCAGTCACTCGGTTGTTGGAAGGTTAGATCCAGATACATCAGTCCAGAGTCTTTCCCATCCAGTTCTCCCCATTTTGTTCGTGATAGGAGAAAGCTGCAATCGACGCGCACTTTGCGTAGCTGGTATTCGCACAGACTGGCGCTTGACTGTCTCTGGCAGACCTCGACATAGCGGAATGGCTGTGACCCAGTAGGAGAGGAATTTCTTGAATCTTTAGATTGTTTGAGAATACTAGGTCGAGGCATTTTTGCCAGAGTTGAATGTCGAGAAAAAAGGATCGCAACACGAGGCTGAGGCTGGTGTTTATGGACGGCGCTATCCAGATGTACAGCCTCAAAGGTCTTGGCGGCGCTTCGTGGCGGCGCAACTTGGGCAACTCAGCGTCGTCGATCGTCGGAGCTGAAAGATAAAACAGGCTGTATCCTCATCAGTATTCACATCATCATCATCGCTATAATTACCATCATGGTGTTCAATATCACAATAGACCCGACAGACCAGGATGACAGATCGGACGACTCGTCGAGTGTTCAAGCCAGTCCATCATCCTCAAAACCACTGCCTGGACCGAGGAGGAGGTCAGTGTCAAGGACACGAGAGACCTCCCCATATCCCCCAAGGCAGAGTTATTCACGATATAACGACAGCACCGAGCGATTTTGGCCGCCCGTTGACACTTCAACATCTGGATGGGACATCCGATCCAGCGACAAGGATGTCACTGTCCACCTTGATCTGGAAGCAGGTCTAGACGTCACGGGCGATCTTGAACGCCTTTCCGAACTCAACAGACTTGGTCGATTCAGTGAGGGAATCAAGCTATTCCATGAACGACTTGCGCCTCATCTCGATTTCTTTCCGGTCGTTGCTGAATATGCCGATCTCCTGCTTGAACAAGGAGATTTTGGTGCGCTTATCAAACTGGCTGATGAGGAGTCAGTGCCATTTCAAGAGAAGTTCGATAGTGACCAGGTTCTACTTCTAAAACTGCTGGTATCACTGGCTGGAATGCATACAAAAGGAGCATTGCTGCCAGCACTAGAAAGAGCAGAAGAAGTGGTGAAATACTTTGGGAAAAGCCTGAACTTGATGGTGCTTAGTGGCGTACAGGTAAGCGCCCACAATGATACACTGACGCTATACTAACATGGATAGATCCAATTAATGGACGCATATCTCCGCATCATCGTCTACGTCGCCCAGCACTCAACATACCTCGAAAGCAAACGCTTCCAACCATTATGGAAATTTGAAATCCCAGAGACCAAAATAACAGAAAGACGACGATCGCTTTATTCAGAATCCTATTCCGACGAGAGCGAGAATGACGTGTATGTACGTAGGCACGCGCCAAGGCCTCGCACAACACGATCAGCAGTCCGAAATCCATCCTACAGATCTGAAGACGAATACTTACCCCGTCCACGACACAAAAGGCACCGGAGCCCTCAAAGTCCCGTGTTCATGGACTACGACGAGTGGACACATTTACCGTACCCCGACGAGCCAAAAGCATCCCAGCCTGAAGCAAAGCCGCCAAAAACGGATCGCAACTATCCCCAGCTTGGAGAATGGTATCGTCTTCTGGCCGAGGACGGCTTTTTCTGGGACTCGCATCGCTTGCTGTGCTGTGTGCTGCCTTTGCTCGGGGATGCACAAGGGCGATATAAGCCTGATGGCAGTTTCGAGGATTTTTTCAGTCTTGATGAGATAGATACAGCGCCTGACGTACTCTCTCTGTCGAGTTATGGATCAGTCGAGGATGAACAGAAACTGATTGCGGAGTTTGCCAACTGCTCTTTACTTTCGGAGTTCTTCAATGGCCGGAATCAGACAGAGTCGATAGCAAAGATCCAGCGCAAGTTCGCGGAGCGGACAAAGTCGCTTGCGGCCAGTATTGTCTCCTCACATCCCCATCTGATTAACTCTCGACCGTATCTGGACTGGATATTATCAGAGAGTACAAAGGCTTCCCCCCGTCCAGATGCTACATTACTATCCCACGACGTGGTAACTCGATGGAAAGCGTCAAAGCAAGCTAGCACTGAGCAGCGTGTCCGAGGAAGAAACATGGATTCAAAAAACACAGTTGATAAGGCCATCAGTATTGTCAAAGACAGCGCCTTGAAACTCGGCGACTATCGACTTCAGACATCGCTTTTACAAACACTACATCGTCAACACCAAGACTTTGACGCCAATATCCAGACCATACGAGAACTCACACACCTACAACAAGATACCATGGCAGACATCCCCGGCTACATACAATCAGTACTCGAAGAATACATGCTAATCGAATACTTCCAACCCCCGAATCTCCAATCCCTCCGAAAAGACCTCTACAACCGACTCAGTGAATTCGATAAAACCTTCCCCTACGGACCCAGCCTTAACCCAGAAACCAGAAAACAGCTGAAAATCACCCTTTTCGACAACGCGCTCGTAAAATGGATGGAGCTGAGCGCCCAGGATTCACTACTGAGAAGTATGAACCGGGACATCGAGGCAGAGCTGATCAAGACCCAATTCCCCGACGTTGAACGACATATTCCATCATTCTTTGCGATTAACATGGGAATCGAGGCCCGGTGTACGGGATGCCATTACTGCGGGACGAATAAAGAGGGGGTGCCTAACTCGGATGTCTTTTATCATTCAATTCCTCCATCCTTGTTGCCGTTGTGGTCTGATGATAATCCTCGTCTTTCCGTGCAGCCAGATGCATCTACGGTACCGGCTGCTTCTACTGGCCCAAAGCGCGGTTCCAATCGAGTCCCGTTAGGGATTCAATCGCGCTCGCAAGCTGACCAGACAAAAGATGAAGACGTTCTCAACATAGAAGAAATGATAAAAAGTCGCCAGGGCGAACGGAGAACTAGAGACGTCGGAAAGCCCGTCCAACGATCAGACACTCGACATATTATCAAGTACGACCGGAGGAGCCGCCCCTATGACAGAGTATCTTTTAACGAAGATGCAAAATCCGAGGATGGAGAAGAAAAACAGACAGAAACGACGACAAGCAACAGCGACGCCCCGATTATATTGAACGATACAACCGGAAGGAAATTCTCGTTTCCTTATAGAAAGTGCCGGACTTGGAAGGTCAGTATATCTGGAGATAATATAGAAAGGTTGCGCTAATATAATTCTAGGGAATGGAAAAACTCATGCAAGATGCTTTCGAAGGAGACGAGACTCTGTCACCACAAATCGTCAACGGGAATTATGAAATCCTTGATTCGGATGGCAGTATCATTCTCCCCTTCGTATGGAAATCAATTATCAAACCAGGCTCCGTGGTCACACTGCACCCAAAGGCAGCAGGGAAAGAAGAACTGCCACAACCTGCGCTCAGCGATGGAGAGAGAAATAGAAATGAGTCCAAAGACATACCGGATATTGAATCACCGGATCATGGACAAAAAAATGGGGACATCGAGATAGATAAGGACCTCCAGTCGACTGATGTGTCTGCTATTAGTGCCCAGGGTCTATGGGACACTTTTCCAGCACATTCGGGTGGCGAGAAGGATGAGACGAACGAGAACACAAAACAGAATGGTGATGGTGCATTGAAATCGCTGCAACCTGTGGCTGAAGAAGCATCGCCTTCGGTTTCCGAGGGTAAAGCAGAGTAGAGCCGTGCATTCTTGTATACCAGAGCTATTATAGATATCTGAAAGCAAACCATTGCTTAAATTGTACATACATATAAGTTTTAACTTCACCATACTCAGCTCTCAGGCCGAGAATCATCAATTCTTTTAACGACTTTATGGTATTCTATCAAAGCCTTGTGGTGCAACAGCTTGACCACTCCTTCGTGCCCCATCTTCTTCGCCAAAGACATTGCTGTATCATCACCGACCTGGTGGTTTATATCTATCTCTTCTCTGTCGAGTAGCAGTTTGACCACTGCCTCATGCCCGTTCCGTGCTGCGATCGAAAGTGGTGTATGTCTTTTACCGAAGGTAGAATTTAGATCAATGTCCTTTCGTTTAAGAAGCAGCTCTACTACCTCTTCATGCCCACTCTCCGCAGCGAGAGGCAGCGAGTGATATCTCTGATCAAACCCAGGATTGTGAATAATACCATCCTTTTCAAGCAGTAACCTCACCACTCCTGCATGCCCTTTCCATGCTGCAAGTGATAGGGGCGAAAATCCTTGGCCAAACCTGGGATTAAGATCAATGCCTTCTTTTTCAATCAATAGTTTTACTACGCCTTCGTGACCATTCAGTGCTGCAAAGGATAAAGGATGGTGTAGTCTACCAGATCCAGGATTGATATCAACATCCGGTCTTCCAAGCAGTATCTTAACAACCCCCTCATGTCCATATTCGGCTGCGACTGATAATGGCGTGTGTGCCTCATGATCGATACTCGGGTTGAGATCAATATCCCCTCCGTCAAGCAGTAGCTGCACCATTTCCTCATCCCCATTTTGTGCTGCAAGGGACAATGGTGTGTGCCCAGTTGAGATTGATATCTGGCTTAAGTTGACATCTTGCCTTTCCAGTAGCAGCTTTACCACTCCCAGGTGCCTGTTCTCTACTGCGACATGCAATGGTGTATCTAATCCGAAGAGAGATTGAGTATTTGAGTCAATATCTCCTCTTGCTAGAAGTAGCTTAACCACCCCTTCGTGGCCATTTTTGGCGGCGGTATGCAATGATTTCTCTCCAGCTTCCTTTGAAAGGCCAGGCCCAGGCTTAATCTGCGAGAGGAGAAATTTTATTGCTGTCTCATTACCAGTTCCAGCTGCCAGCTCCAGCAGACACCGCGATGTGGGATCTGTGGCGTTTATATCCACACCTAGACAAACCATCGCCTGTAATGCTGATGCATTCACCCTGAGTGGTGATGATGATCTCAGAAATGCAAACATTCCCTCCTTGACAAACCTCTCCAGTGTGGGACCATCCAGCCCTTTATGCGAAGCCAGGATACATGTTGCTGTCTGTTTGTGGATATTCCTCGCATTAATATCTGCGCCTAACTCAACCAGCACTTGCACCATTTGACCATCGTCATTCTCGGCTGCAATATGAAGCACTGTCCGCTTGGACTGATATCTCAGGTTTATATCAGCACCACCGCTAGCCAGTACTTTCACAGCAGATTGATGTCCCTCCTCCACTGCAATGGATAATGCTGTCCGTCCAAGATTATCTTTCATGTTGGTGTCAGCGCCGAGGCCCACCATGATTTGTACTTTATCTTCAAATCCTTTTCTAGCAGCGACGTGTAAAGCGGTTTCCCCATTTCTGTCCTTTCCTGCGAGGGGAATTTTGCTTGTGCACAATAGTTGTACAATTTCGGAAAAACCAAGTTCTGCAATATGGTGCAGGGCTGTTCGACCGTTGATATCTTTTTGCCGAGGGTCACAGACTCGGAGTAGTCGCTGAACAATTTTCAAATCCCCCATTCTTGATGCAAAATGCAGTGGTGGGAGGTTATCGTTGTGATATATCGGCACATTGAAGATATCGGATCGGGGCTTCGGGTTTTGTAGGCTGAGTAGGAGGTCAAGGAGAGCGTAATGGCGATAGGCTATGGCCCATCCGAGTAGTCCACAGAAGTGGGAATTAAGTGATTCTCCAAGTGGCTCCCACGGATGGATTTTCCAGGACAGATTTGGCTCAAGCGCGAGGGTTTGGAATTCATTCCAATATTCGGAGTCGCTGGTCAACTCACTTGTCAGAGGCGCCCATTGATCTCTCGCGAAGTTGAAAAAAGACGGCGTCTCCCTTGTCGTACTGGCTCTAGATAGCATTGGGGGCCACGAGATCTGCAATGGCTCAGGTTTGGATAAGAATGGGATGGTCCAGCTCAACTTTCGCATAACTGGTGCCATGTCGACTTTGCGGGAATTCGCGTTTGATGCCTCGGCTGCACGGCTATAGGTTGAAGAGGATAGATGATGAATGCAAAGCTCGCCTAGGTCGAGCCTTGATTTATTCATCTCGAATCTTGCAGAAAGAATCCAGTCATCGTTTTTCTGGCTTTCCAGAAACTGACGTACAGAGTAATGAACGAGGAAAATTTGGTCGTATATATCACGGGTTACAAGATTAGAGCAGGATTTCAATAGCTCCCGTGCTGGAACGATATTTCCCCAATCAATGCAGCCAGTGGAGGTGTCAATTGCAAATGCCTGTTCGAGATCAGTGGCTTTGAAGGGCCTAGTTGCAACACATACCCAAGGAAGAATCTTCCGGGTAAAAGGACGATATTTCTTATCTATTCTGGCCAAACAGCGGTTATAGGTCTCTGCTAAATCCTTCGGCAAATTGGCCAGAGCATTCCGAATGTCGGTATCTGTAAAGCACTCTTCCCATAGCGCCTCTAGTTGTAGATTAACCCAGAGAATCCTTCGATGGTTAGCAACGTCGACCAAGAGTGTGTTGGTGGATTATACTGACATGCGTTCGGCATTCCCGTTAAGTTTGCTTTTGACATCTTGTAGCAGACTTTGGTCCTTTGTGAGCTCTCGCTCCCACATCTTCTCTTCGATCTTCCACTCAATGAACCGGCGAATATCGCGCCTGGTGTCATTCTCTGACATTGTCATTTTGATGCAACCCGACACAAACTGGGCTACATCAAGATCCTCTCTCCCAGAAATTAGCACCTTTGTGCCATGCCTCAATGTCACTTCCCGGAATGTTTTCAGTGTTTCAATAACCTCTTTGGGATCACACTCATCAATGCCATCCGCAACGTATGTCGTTCTGGGTAGTAGCTCACAAAAAGGAAAGAAAATCTCATCGATGATCTCCCGGGTTGTGGGTGGGTTTCTTTTCGGGCAGCAGAGCTGTTTTATAGAATCCCGTACTCGAGGAGGGCATGGCTTCTTCATGCTGTCAAGATGGCCGAGCATTTGCTTGATGTAGCTCTCGAATAAATGACTTGCCTTTAGTCGATCTCTGTTTGAGTGGGTGTAGAAAAAGTGGGCTACCAATTCACCAGACTTTTTGGACTCTTGAATCATATAGTCAATAGCCGTACTCCTAGGCAATAAGATAGAATTAGTGTTTTGAAACAGCGAGGACTTCGTCGAGTGGGCATACGTGACCAGTGTTTTCCCACTTCCAACTGGGCTGGATTGTCAGTATATACTATCATTCATAGCTATCGACGATTTAAGATGCGTACTTTTACCCGTTAGCCATAGACATGGGTGGCCCTCCCCCCGAAACCACGATATAAACCGCTCGTTTTCTAAAATCCAGTATGTCGTGTGCGGACATCTCTTTCGTAAATAGTCCCGGCAAGTGCGATCTTGATCGTAGTCCGATAGACGGTCGAATATATTATAAGGCGAAAACTCTTTTCAATGTTAGAAAAATCAAGTCGCGAAACGTTAAGACTAGATCATACCTTTGTGGGTAATACTCCATTCCGGCCTGTTTGAGAGAGCGAGGAATCTTACAATATCGCTAGATGGGATATCTGATTTGATCAATTAGAAGACAGCATCCCATCCACTTCCTGATTCTGTCGACTTACTCGAATCGAGTACTTCTTTGGCCTTTTGACTGGCCCGAGTGATACTTATTGGGATCACAGAAAGAAGTTCTTTTGCATACGCCGCAGCGGTTGCCGCCGCATATTCCTGCCATTGCTTGCTTTTATGGGAATCGGCATAATCACAGATGCCTCGGATAACCAAGCAGGGAAAGCGATCCATCAGTCCTGCCGCTTCCATCTCGAAGCAAAGAATTCCGTATTTCCGTGCATAGCTATCTCGTGTTTGCCCATGTTTCATGACCTTGTTGCTAGACGCAATTAGGCCGTAATGAATGTGGGGGTCGTTTGAGACCCGAGGTTGACGCGATACCAGCCTGTCATGATCACAGCCGTCACAAGTCCTTGCTGATTCTGGGTGATCATAATGGGCCTCAAACAGACAATCGCTCTCCGGACCACGATGTGTAAATTGAGACATGGTCGGGTATTTCTCTACCATTTCTGCGAGTAAACTCGGTATCCGATTATGGCCCAGTTGATGCTCTGATCTTAAGTCTGAAATGGCCGTCGATAAAACTTGAGGTGGCTTATTCAGTGTCCCAGTATGTTCAAAAACCCCACTGACCACCTTCCCATGGTCGTATTGTATCACACCCCCGAACCGGGCGGTTGAATTGCTGACAACAACATCCCCCAGTCGAACATCTGCAGTTGTAGGAACCCCCCCTCCGATACCAACCATGAGGCCAAATCGAATCGAACTAAATGTGGATAGCATCTGTGTGGCAACTGTAGCTGCTGGCGTCGTTCCATAGTTACCAGATGGGAGGCATGCGATCACGACATTATGGCCCAAAATCCTGCCAAGGGCGTAGGTGTTTTGATCACTCGGTGGCTGCGACAACCTTGCGTGTCTTTAATCGAGCATTGCCTTAGCAGCAGTCATCTCAAGGGGAAGCGCAGAGATCCATCCTATCGTGTAGTCCTCGTGAGAGAGTGTGTTGGATGCGGACATGTTGACCAATCGGTTTTGTCGCAAACATAGGGAAGGCTCGCGTTATAAGGCTGCAACAGTCTCCAGTGTACATCCAAAGAGTAATATGATAAGCGAAATGATGTTGCTTATCTCGAAAATGGCCCAGTCTTCGAGCTCCTTGGGACTGTGGAGATACTCTTGCTAGGAGAGCTATCTTGAGACCACACTCATAGGAACCAGTTGTGATAAAGGCGGGGTTGAGAGGAGAAGCTGGACGAGGCTGACAACCAGTCGCCGCAATTCTTGTCCAGCAAAAGCAAACATTCTATGACCCTGTATGCCTATGGCGAATGAAAGACTCCATTTTGCCGCTGATTTAGGGATCAGCACAACTATCAAGCATGATAAAAAGTGGTGACAACTGCGCTGAAGCCAAGATGTTGACGTGGTTTGAATGAAGAGGGGGAAATCAGAAATTCAGCAGGCTGAGTATCGCACCTTCCTAAAACAGACGTAGCCTGCAGCTGCCTTCAGCCTTCAGCCTTCCCAAAAGGGCGACTGTTAACGCTGCTTTCGAAACAGAGATAAACGATGAGGAAGAAAATCGTCGAGATGGAAATATTAAGCATCAAAAATGCGGATGATCGCCATGTGCCACACTGGGACTCGGCCAAGTTTCCCCGACACGATCAGCAGCAGACGACAGATACGGTAATTCTGTAGCCCATCTGTCTATTGTGAGGGGTAACCAAGCATTCCTCTCTGTATCATTATTTAAGGACTTAATCTTCTAATTCCTCTTCGGTATTCCCCGCAACTGTGTTGCATGTTCCTGACTGAAAGCATTCATTGATACACACAATATGGCAGGATTCCGTCGTCTTCAAAACAAAGTCGCTATTGTGACAGGTTCTTCCTCGGGACTGGGAAGAGCCATTTCTCTACGCTACGCTCGTGAAGGAGCAAAGGTAGTCTGTGCAGATCTATCTCCTTCACCCCGTCTCGTCGTCCCCGGGGAGTCAGAGCCAACTCATGAAGTTATTCTCAGCTCCCAAGGAAAATCAATCTTCGTACCAGCGGATGTGGGCGAAGCAAAACAGATGAAAGAGCTGGTCCAGAAGACAGTGGCACAATTTGGGCGGCTTGACATGTAACCATTCCTGCCCTGTTTATATATGGAACCTGTTAACAAGATAGAATGGTCAACAATGCCGGCATCGGTTCCGAAGCCAAAACACCAGCCCCGTGCCATTTGACTGAGGAATCCATGTGGGATGATGTGATGCGCGTCAATGCAAAGTCGGTCTTTCTAGGTTGTAAATATGCCACAGGGCAGATGCTGCAGCAAGACCCGCATCCTTCTGGAGATCGTGGGTGGATTATCAACACTTCGTCAATTATGGGCATTATTGCCGGTCAGGATGCTCGTACGTACTCGATGAACCCCAACTTCTATATTCTAACATGTATAGCGGCCTATTGTGCATCGAAAGGAGCGGTAAGCAATCTAACCAGACAGGTTGCGTTGGACTATGCTTCCCATCGAATCCATGTCAATGCTCTTTGTCCAGGCTGTACGTATTCCAACTTGTACTATACTACGAAGCTAACAATATAGATACCCAAACTGCCATCTTCAAAGACACCACCACGCACATGACTCCTTTGGATGTTATCCAACGTCGCCATCCATTCAACGGACCTGGATATCCAGATGATATTGCCCGAATGGCTGTCGTGCTGGCAAGCGATGATGCCAACTGGATGACGGGCGTTTGCCTTCCTGTTGATGGCGGATATACTGCTCGTTAGTTACAAGAAAGACGCTATACAGATAGCCTGAATCTTAAATATGATTATATGTTCTCCGACATATCTATTTCGCCTACATACACATCTAGACAGTCTTTGCCGACAACCTCTCATGTTGCACCAATGTCCCACGTGGCAGGGGAATGTTCTCAAATCCTGCTCAACCTGCAGAATGAATTTAACATGCATATTTACAGATCCACTTCAACATGGCGGTATAGCCAAGTCGGTCACGTGTGAATATATATTTTGACATTCCATCTTCAATCTCACGATCCCTTCTTTTTTTCGATCCATACCGCTGCATAAATACAATGCCCCCAAGAATCCACATCATCCGCCACGCCCAGGGCGAACACAACATCAACGTACACCACCTATCCCACCCCATATCATGAATCCAACTAATTATTCAGGACGCACATCATCTCCGTGATCCCCTTCTCACTGCAATCGGCAAGCACCAATGCCAGGACCTCGCAGAGACATTCCCCTTCCACAATGATATCTCCATCATCCTTGCCTCGCCTCTGAAGCGAACGATACAAACAGCCGCTTATGTGTTTTCGTCCACATTGGAGAAACGCCAAATCCCACTTCTCTTAGCACCTATGGCTCAGGAGATAAGCCATTTACCGTGCGATCTGGGATATGAGCGTGAGATTGTTCTAGAGGAGGGACCGAAGTTGGTCACCCAAGCGGCACCGGGGTATGATGTTGCAAAGTTGGATATGAGTTTGGTGGGTGATGATTGGAATGCAAAGGTATATCCATCTTCCTATATTGATGTAATCAATACTGAACTGTAGTAGAAAGGAATCTACGCAGCCACAGTCTCAGCCGTCCGCCAACGCGCATTCCAACTCAGAGCATGGCTCTATCAGCGTCCGGAAAAACACGTCGCGTTGGTTTCTCATGGTGGATTCTTACACTACCTCATAGAAGACTGGTCATCGTATGACATATCCCGCGGGACGGGATTTTCAAACTGCGAATGGCGACAGTATGAGTTTACTCGTGATTCGAATGGACGTGAAGCGCATCTGACAGAGAGTGGGAGTACGCGTGAGAAACAGGATATGCCAGCTGGTGTAGATGCGCATATTATCCATGAGATAGAGGGGGTAGAGAAGGTGCGGTGTGTTGGGCTGGTTGTTTGATGTTTGGGTAGGAATGCATGCATTTGTGGGGTTTGGTCTGGTTTAATATTACCTAATACATCTCGTTCTGGAGTTCAGTATTTTTTTTAAAGAACCAGATAGATTGTTGCGGTCTGGTGAAAGCAAGGATTTGGAGCAAGTGACTGATTTGTGCAGACCAAGATAGCAGTGGTGATACAGGCCGAGATGACGTGGCATACCTTCCAAGCAAGGAGTCTTCTTCTACTAGATAGAAATGTTGGAAATGATCTTTAAGCAATTGAGTTTACGGTCCGCAGGTGTACCTGATCTTCTGAAGATCATATTTAGCATGAGTTCGAAAGGACGTTGTCTGAGTCCTGCCTGAGGCATTCATATCGGTTCACTCTCCTCGATGTTCATACCCCAGTCGACCTCAAGCGGGGATTCGGGATCTGCAGACCATGGCAAAACGTGTTTAGTTTATTGCTACTTAGAGCCAGGTAGGTAGTCATCTATATGGATGAAATATCCGTTGTGCCATGTTGCAGGCCTGATCCTCGATCATCTGCCCTATGAGAAGCAGACTTAGCACAATTGTATTTTACATGTTCGTTCATCCAGTCTGCTCTGATGTTCTCAGCTACCAAATTACTTTGTCAAAACTTGTAGCTTGTAGATAATAGCTATACCGTCTACTTCGTGCCTTGAAATTTCGAATCAAACGGACCCAAAGTGATTGAAAAAGTTGCATGGAGGCCAGAGATCGAGAGGTTCACGCTGGGGAAATGAAGCAGACTGTCACCATAAAGCAGATATTGAGAATATGAAGTTCTAATCGCCAGTAGTCGATATAATGTTACTTCAAAGCAAATGACTCCGCTGTGGCCGTGTTGGATCTCGGACAGCTGCAGTTCCGCAAATTGGGGTATTTAGCATAAACGAGGATAACATCTTATACAGAGATGTAAATGAACCCATAATCAGCCAACTTTAATATGGTGTGAAATCCACAGGTGGGTCGATTCCTTCATGATTTCGACGGGATTGGGCTGTTGTGGCTGAGCCTCAGGTCGAAATGCGATTAAACCTTGTCATCTCACCAGAACTAAACTCCACAGAGTAAATCATTAACTGTATGAGGTGCCCGATTATGAGGTCAGTATAGTGTCGTTCATCTAGTCCTTCGGGGTTGTATATGGTGACTCATGCACCGCCGTTGCCTGGGAGTTCCTTCCAAGGAGAGCAGAGTCATAGAAGTTGCCTTCTATAAAGCACCACTCCCATGCTTCATTGAATCCTACCTCCACACTCATCTCGGCGTTCAATCATCGTTTGACCAAATGGAAGAATACGATCTCCTCATCATTGCCGACGCGACGGCGTCGATGATGAGCTATCTTGAGTCACTCAACACTTCCCTTCCTCAAATCATATCCATTTCCGCACTCACGGGTTGCTTTTCGCGAATAGGCCTTCTGGGATATCGCGACTACAGTGATGAGAGCCTCCTAGAGTGGTCAGGGTGGCTGAATCAAAATCAACACAACCCATCTCAACAACAGCCTGACCTTGTCGCCAACGCTCGGGGACTCAAGCCTTACGGGGGCGGTGATTACCCAGAGGCTGTCAAGACTGCTTTGGCGAAAGCGTGTGAGGTGATGCGATCGGATGCGAAGACTGTGATTCTGCTGTATACCGATGCGCCTCCGCACACGAAGATATCCTCTGGCTGGAACGCATTTAGAGAAAAAATCGAGCTTTTGGAATCGGATTCGTATGGAGGTTTCGGGCCAGCTTTTGCCGACTGGGTTTCTGCATCCCATGCTCTGCGCAGCGGAGAGAAACAGGCACAAGTCTTCACGATTCTCGAGTCCAGTATGTCGAAAAAGTATGCTGCGTACTACAATTTTCTTTCTGCTTTGACGGGCGGGTCCTGTCTCTCTCTTCACAATTCGTGCCCTGAAGCCATATCCAAAGTGACAGTCGATCTTCTGTTGGCGTGGATGGGTGTCGAGAAAGCTCCTGTCCTCGGGGACAAGAAAGTACAAGCGCTGCCTACGGAGTTATCGCGCTACATCTCAGGTCACGGAATCAAGCAAGTCAGGGATGAGCGTGACCAAACAGGCAGACGGTTCTTCCCAGGCAATGAGTCGGTGGCTTGCGTGAACAATATAACCAGGACTGAGATGACGGCCGATATCATGAAAAAGCATCTGCCCAAGAAATCAACCCCCGTTCCCGACTTTGCGAAGCGCTGGTATACCGACGCCGAATACAAGGAGACTGCGGTCACGCACCTTATGGACATGTTCCATCACGATGTTCGTGCTATAGCCCTCAATCCTGTGTTTGGCAGCCTCTGGAGAGCTGTGTGTAGTGATAGGAATTATCCTCGTCGCGATGAAATCGTGACCGCGTTTGACCAGCACATCGACAAAATAAGCGATTCGAAGGACAAAGCAGACATGAAAGCATGGCTGGAGGAATCCTACGAACATACTGCAGAGGTTCTTTCCATCATCGACAATGTCCCTGAAGCAGAACGATTCCCCTGTGTCTTCTTGGACCCAACACTCAACTTCTCGCAGTCCAATGCCGATTCGAACAATGATGAAAGTTCACTTTCAGAACTCACTCGAGCTGAGCTACTAGAAATTGGCCGGTCTTGCAATCCCTCCATTCTGCGACGACTTGGTCGCATTCTCACCCGACTTATTTTTGTTAATTCCGCGAACGAAATGCCACAGCATATTGCAATGGCAAGCTCAGCGCAGGTAACAAGGATTCCTTTGGCCCTGGCAGCAGAGAAGCACAACAGGCAATTTTGGAAGGTTCTTTTTCACACCATTGTGCCAGGGACAAGGTTATCATCTCGTCCTGCAGCTCTTGTCGCAGCTCTGAGCCTGCGACTTGGAATGACGCCTCTCGCTGATGCAGCAGAGCAAGAGATGCTCAGTTTCAAGGACAAATGGAATGACGTGGAGATACCTGAAAACTGGACAGTGGGCTGCCTGGCCCTCCTTCTGGATGCAAATGAGGCACATCGAAAGCAAAGGGGCCAGGATGTTGTAGCTGAGAAGCCAACTAGTCTTCTACGGTCCAGTGACAGCAAATTATTTGAACAGCTGATCGCCTTCAAAATGCTGGAGCTCAACCTTGACACTCCTCTGACTGCACGCATTCCATGGACCCCAAACAAGGCAATTTCCAACATAGGACCTCTGGTCACTTGTCGGTCCTGTCGATTTCCTCGCTCCGTCACCATAATGGGGAATAGTGGAAAGTGTGGAATTTGCCTTGCGACAGACCACGCCAGTTCCGAAGACAAAGAGAACCACAAGAGAGTGCGGGTTTCCCAGGACGTCACTACTGTTTCTGAAGCAACCTGGGTAGAGTGTTCTGATACGTCATGCAGAGCCCAGTATGTCCTCTACAATATCGATCGATTGAAAGTCCGGGCCAAGTGTCATTACTGTCGGACCCAAAGCCAGATTGCAGACGCCAAACAGAACAAGAATCTTGCGCCTGTCGTCGAATGCAAGCAGTGCTTCAACCGCATGATTTGGCCTAAAGCATACAGACCATCTTCCTTTGTTGAATCGGAGTTTGTCTGCCCCCCATGTGTGTCAGGCCGCGATCCTACCACCGAGATCGAAATGACAGCCAGGAAGATTTCTGCAGAGAACACACTGTCTTGGCTTATCCGGGATATCCAGAATCCGGATATTGCGCCATTCACAAACCGCTCGCTTTTCCAAACAGTTTCAACGATGGGGTCTGATAACTTTCTTTCTCGAATCAAGCTTTTTCCAGACTGTAAAACCCCACTGAGTCATAAGAGAAAGCCTATTTGCAATTCTGCTGAGTTGATATCAACGCTCCAAGAGGTAGTCGCAACACGCAGGACAACCCAGGTGGATTGCTCTTTGTGCTTCTCGAGGTTCCGGCCTGGTTCCCTCCATCCTGCTTGTGGACGGCGCGGTTGTCTCCAGAACATCTGCACCTCCTGCCTGGCAGGGTGGTACGGCCTCAATGCCCCAGGAAAAATCATCAACACGGCTGCCCTGGCGTGTCCCTTTTGCCGTCGATTACCCACCGCTCGTACACTATCCAAGTACGGGATGGGTATCCACGCAGTCAAGGATCTGGGCAATGCGGTACGCGACAAGGGGACGTGGATTTATGCCTGGTGTCAGGGATGTAGTACCGCTAAGCAGTACATGGAGCGCAGCTGTGCTCGTGGAACGCCTCCTGAAAACACGAACTGGACAGACGAGGAGTGTGTCGAAGAGCGCGAGAGGCTAGAGTTGGAGCGAGAGCTTCAGCGGTTAGAGCGTCAACGACAGGAGGCCGAGCAGAGAGTGGCAGAAACGCAGTTGGCGCGTGAGATTCAGCGGATAGAGGAAGCAACCCATCAATACAGAAAGAAAGTCGAAGCAGCAGAAGCGCGCAGACTGGAGAAGATAAAGCCATGTCCTCGATGTGGAACAATGACCGAGAAGACGATGGGATGTGGGCACATTCGATGTCCAGTGGAAAAGTGCGGCGTGGACTGGTGTTACTTTTGTGGGAAGCAATTCGGGCAAGCGAGGATTTACGAGCACATGCGATATGAGCACGGGGGGATTTTTGACGATGATGATGGCTTGATTGATGATTAGACTTGCTCAATAATTATTCTATTCTTACAATTAATGATACTAATCCCATTATTTGCTGGTCGACATGGTAGAATCATGCCGAATGATTCTCGGCACTCGGCTGTCGTTTATATAGCTTATAGCCGAAAAAAACAACATTGAGCAATAATCTCAACTAGAGAATAGAATATTGACTCATTTTTAATCAACAAACAAGCAATTAAATATCCGCAACTAATTAATCGCGGTGGAAGAGTGCAAGCCCGGTTGAATGCCGAAATGTCGCTCCGATGACGTCGACGCGGGGTCATCCGAAAACAACAAGAATCGCTTTTTCCCCTCATCTTTTCTTCTCCTGTCCAACTCCGCCAATCCCACTGCAAACACTCTCTCAATTGAGCTCGCTCATATACCTCGTACGTCTTACTTGCTCTGTACTATATCAGCGTTCATGTTATTCGGACAGCTTCTGACTACCCCTCTTCGAAGGTCTTTTCTCTCCTCGGTCAAACCGCGGCACGCCAGTTTCTTTAGACCGATTCATTGTTCTACTGCAGCCATGTCTGGTGTTAACAAGGCCTGTTGCTCGTGAGTTCTTGTTTACAATCATATCTACGAAAATACTGACATCGCTCAGCGTTCCCCCCGTCGTCGCCAAGGGCTACCAGCCCAAGGGTGAATACCAGACCATCAATGGCCTGAAGACATGTAGGTCCAGCATCTAGAGCATCAAAGAGCTCGATAACTAATCTAGCAGACGTCACCGGCCCTGCCGATGCCTCCAAGGCTATCCTAGTTGTCTATGGTGAGTAATTTCTATCCCCAAACTTACGCTCAAATCTAACCAACCAACGTAGACATCTTCGGTTTCTTCCCCCAGACCATCCAAGGCGCCGATATCCTCTCCACCTCCAACGAGAAGAAGTACCGTGTCTTCATGCCCGACTTCTTCGAAGGCCAGCCCGCCGACATCACCTGGTTCCCCCCTCAGACCGACGACCACAAGGCCAAGCTGGGCAACTTCTTCCAGACCAAGGCCGCTCCTCCCACAACCCTCCACCGCATTCCCAACATTGTCTCGGAAGCCAACAAGTCCGCTCCCGGTGGCAAGTTCGACTGGTCCATCGTCGGATACTGCTGGGGAGGAAAGATCACCACTCTGATTGCGGGCAATGAGAGCAACCTCTTCAAGGCCGCTGTTCAGTGCCACCCCGCCATGGTCGACCCCAAGGATGCCGAGAAGGTTCAGGTTCCCATGGCTGTGCTTGCCTCCAAGGATGAGAACCCCAGTGACATTGAGGCTTTCAAGAATAACTTGAAGAAACCCAACCACGTCGAGACTTTCTCCACCCAGATCCACGGCTGGATGGCTGCTCGTTCGAACCTGGAGGACCCTGAGGTTCTGAAGGAGTACGAGCGGGGATACCAGACCGTTCTGGGCTTCCTGCACGAGCACGCTTAGATTGCTCGCTATTTAATATAGTCATTGTGACAATTAATGAAATACTTGAACGACTCAATCAAACCGTGCACAACCAGAAACTGTCACGTAGATAATGCCTTGCCATTCTGGATAATAGCTAGTGGCTACCTTGAATGGCTTCTTCGTTCCATGGTAGTTTCACATAGACGTTTATAGTATTACCGAATGTATGGAACGATGCAGGCTCGGATTACCTGGTCATCGGATATAGAAGAACAAGACCATATGAACTGACAATGTCTGACCCCCACCATTATCTACAACGGACAGAAGTACTGTATTCTTCTACACACCTTATATTCTGCAGTCGATCATTTCGGCCGGCTCGGACTTGGCGGCCCCGGACGTCATCGTCTTCCCGATCCGGCGGGCCTCGCCCATTTCCCCTCCTCTCCTCTTCTGAACTCATCTCATTTCATCATCTTTCTGGAGCATTTTCATTGTCAAAATCAGTGGTCTCGTTTATGTCAATGTCGAATTGAAGAGAAATCTCTTTTTGGACGGTTTCTCTCACCAATTGCTGCAGTCACAAGGTGACATCTCGGGCCGGCTGATCTTATGATCTTCACTCGCCACGCCTGGCGTTTCAATATGTGACACAATTCGTCTATTTCTTCGTAAAACCGCCCTACTACTGTCTGAATCCTTTCCTTCGAGCCTTAAGATACCACTTTATGTGTTGATATATCCGATCATCTACAAAGAGACAATGTCGTCGTTCTTTCGGAGACTAAGCCACCCTTCTTCCCCAGCGACATCCGATTCAGATACAGAGACCAGAAAACAGAATGGACCTACGAAAAGACGACTGTCGCTCCCGTCTAACCGCGAAAATCACGGGAATAACCCAATAGATGATCTATTTCGAAGACACAGTCACGACTACACGGAAGTAGCTGAGCCAATGGAAACAAAAGAGCATGTCCTGGTAGGTACTAGGTGTTTCTGCGACCTTAATGGCAATTGGATGTCTAACATGGGTATATCTATATAGTGGCATGCCAATTCATCAAGATCAGCCAGCGAAGATTCGAGACACGCTAGTTTAGATACACATGACAACCATCTTGGTCCCTATTCTTCTGATAAACGAGAGGATCCCATACAACAAGTCGAAGACCACGAGAGACCAGCTGTTCCAGAACACAGGAAGCATACTGACACTCAAGCTCGAGAGAAAGCATCGAAAACAAAAAGTCACTCTGGGCTACATATATCTCATTATCATGACACTGCTCTTACGAGAAAAGACCTTATCGGCTTGTTCTCTGGAGCACCGTTTTTTCTCCTCGAGAAAGGCAAGCATAATCATTACTATCCGGAAGTTATCTTTCCCTGGGACGAACATGACCATTCAATCCTAAATATGTGGGACAGAAAGCGACTTCCCCATGCGTCTTACACCCTATGTACACTTCATGCTCACCTACCAGTCCCAGATGGGTTGGTAGTCAAGGGGGACACTCCGGTTCACCTAGATGGTACCAGGCGGCTTGATGCGCCAAAGAGAGCCACATTTGATATTGGTGTATTCGAAGTTCCAAACATGTTGTCCATGAATGGGAAGGAGCCCGGCTCTGTCGGTTTCCGCCATTATCTTGAGCTTTCAGTCGCGGATTCCATTCGGTACACTGGTCCAGAAAAGCCGAGAGAATGCTCTGATATACGGCGTGTTTCTCAATTACCAGCCGCGAAGGCATACAATCTTCTGGGACATTACCATGATTCCTACGCCCGTTGTCGAGATGGTACAGTATATGATAGGAAAAAGCTTCTTTGCGAGGGACCTTCCGCATGGAAAGAAATTGGGGTGCGAGAGATTAATCTCAAACACCTGGTAGACCGTCTGAAGACCATAAGAAACCTCCGTCAAGAGATATTGTATGGCGAGAAGGAAAGAACAATAGCTGATGTTGAATCCCCGCGTGATTTATACAACGGTCTTTTTACAAAGTTTCTACATACTCCGCCCCATGCCCTAGTGATGGATTCGAGAGACAAGCATAGCATCAAGTCTCAAATCAAGGTGCTGACAACTGTCCTGTCCACACGGGGCGCATGGATAGATTTTGGCCTGGTTGAGTGGCGGCTTCGTGTTGGCCAAATTCTGTGGGAAGCACTTCCACATTTCGATGGCGACTTTTTGGAACACGATATCAAACATGATGACACTCAAAAATTATGGATTGATCAAGGCTTAGAGCGCAAGTGGTTTCTCATTCAAATGCTCTTAGCGGGTGAGCTGCTTCTACGCCTTGATGCTATCGTTCGCTTGGGCATGTCGCAGAAATCTCGTGACCCGGCTGTAACAACAATTGATGTTTATCACTATCATAAGTTACGAAACCATAAGGTCGATTGGGACTTGGTTGTGGTGCGGCGTTTCTTGGATACTCTTGATATCAGCTATACCCATCCCCAATCGTCATCCGACAGTCTGCGAGACCCTGGAAGACCCCATGATAAGCATCACCATTCTTTCTTCGAGAAGTCATTATTTGAGAGCCTGACACGCAAGGCTCCATTTGTACCGGAGTCGGCATGGGATTGCACGCTGGCTCCGATACGTGTCAAGCAACAGCTGCAGGGGCTCTTTGTGTTTGCTGAAAACATTGGGTGGCCTCGAATTGACGGACTGAAGGAGCGTTTTCGCTCAAGGATTGGGGATGGAGATACTATCCGATTAACTACGGATATATATCGCCACCCTATCCATCGCATATTGACAAACCGTTCCATCAGACTGGGTAAGAAGGAAATGTACGGCAGGAGTCCTTCCCGCCGGTTGATTTTACTTCAAAACCCCCGAGAGCAGGACAATACATCTTCCTTGGAAATTGGCGGCTGGCTCTCTCGCAGCTGGATTTCTGGTTTTGTCATTCCTGGCGAAGCAATCAGTCATCTACTTATATGTACCGTGCTGGAAAATGATCCAGATGCAATGGCGAAGCTGGGGCCCGTTGCTAATCTTTACGGCGGATTTTCTTACGATGGAAGAAGTTGGTGGAGCAAACAGTGCATCGTCGGTCGCGTGCTGTCGAGCTTGCAAGTTACCGAAGCATGTATCGCATGGATGAGCAGTCCGATTCTCCCAGTCGATATGTCCACTTCAAAGGCCATTGAGAATACATGGTTTGATGTGCACGTAAAGGAAACACCAAAGGCAGAAGAAAGACCACGCATCAAGCAGGGGAACGCGCTTTCTAGGGAATCTACGCCACTTGGGATGGGGAAGCTGTCAAGTGAGGAGTTCTCATTGCCGGTGGATAAAGCACTTGACGATGAACCAAACGCCCAGGTCGAATTTCAGCGACTAGAATTCTCTATCAAGGAACAAACAGAAGAAAACAGACATATTACGGTTGTTGATGAGGCATCCATGTCGTTCAGTCTGAGATTTGATTCAAGCAACTCGCCCGCTACGATTTCCTTCCCCTTGTGCTACAATGCTCGATTCATTACATCCCATGAATGTCGTCGACCATTTGGGATAGCATCATGTCAATGTGCTCCTTGTCTACAAAAACCTCAGTCACCTAGCACACTCCAAGAGCACAGCCGTCTACCAAGCCATCCGTTACACAAGTTTTATTCGTATGAATACCTACCACTGCAATCTTTGAACCAGATGCCTGCACCGAAAAAAGCTTCCTCAACCGACGACGACCCCCACTCCAGCGACAAAGTCATAGTCGTCGATGCTCGGGGGTCCCGTGACAAGGAAACGTTTGTGAGGGCATGGTGTGCTTCTGTTGGGGCCGACGCCATCGTTGGCAGAATAGGACGTACATGCTTATCTTGCTGTGTGAGAGAAGCTTTGGCGATTGACGTTAGAGTTGTTATCCGCGTGGGAGATTGACTTAGCAATCATCCTTCATCAATAGCCGCAGTTGACGAAGGGAACTAAAAGGCTTCGAGAATGCTTCGCAGGGGCCTTGCGGGTACCATTTCAACGGGTTTTCGTGCTATCTCGACATTGTTCTAGCGGAAAAGAAGGCAACCTTGATAACGTATACTGGTGTTATGCAATTTCCGCCAAAAGTCCGTGGGCGCGGTATCTGGATATTGGTCCAGGGATATTGATTCTCGATGCATCCGCTTGCTAATCAGCCATTAATTAGCGAGAGCAAATAATCATGATTGCCCACACCGGAAATGGGGGCAGCAAATTTGCGCAAGGCAGAAAGCAAAAACAGCCTCGAAAAGGGTGTGTGACAAAAAGACCGCAAACTTGAGCAAAAGGACCATGCGAAACAACAGGATACGACCATCGGCTCCCACACTAAAAGTGGTAAACGACCAATCTGATGAGGTCAAGCGACGGAGGGCGGAGGCCTTGTGCATGGGACACCAGAAGGACCCTTCTGGGGAGGGCCACGTAAGGGCACGTTGCAGGTAAAGAAGCATGGCTCTAGTTACAATGGCCACATGGAGACAAGTGCCCGAAGATGGTGAAACAGACCGGTCACAGCCTAAGCCTGGGAGGCGTCAGCCGACTGGATGGAGCAGCCAGGATAGTCGCAGATATACATGAAAACTGCGTACTACTGCTGTCACAGGCCTCGCGCTTAAGTTTTCTAGCAGACTGATGCTGCGCTTGGGGCGCTGATCGAGGGGCACCATAGACCATTCAGCTGGACTACTGGGAGTAGTAGGTGCCCAAGAATCCGAGTTGGATAGTGGGGATACGGAGACTAAGTTTTATTCATTTATTTATTTATTTAAATATCGTCGATAATTATTTGCATTTTCTTTTTTTTGGTCATGTCCTCTGTCATGTCGAGTCGGATTCTTGAGCCATGGAGACTCCCGAATCCGTTGGTGCAAGGATGGAACGCCATGTCCAGGAAGCTGAGCTTAATCGCGTGTCAGACAACTGCAGCAGACGTTATTAGCGTGATGGAATCTCACGATGACACTGGAAAGCGGCGGATTGTACAGGAACTATGGGAAGATTAATGGCGATAGTGTGTGCCAAGGTTTGAACCCTGAATGGAACCACCGTTCATTTTGGAGCACAGATCAACCGTCAAGACCACGGTTGATCCGCGCACGCGGTGGCATCCAGAAGACCCTTGGAAGGCTGTTGGCAACTCGGCCAATTGCCACGAGTCGAGGGTCTGTTCTCTCGGACGAGTTCCACGGATGCTCTGGTAGGTTGCCACGGTACTTGAATATCGTGGTGATCGGTGATGATCCTCATTGAGCGCCGCGTGGCACACCACTAGGGGAAGGTGGAAGTTTACATATTCAGTGAAGATCGATTGACCAAAAGGAGGAGAGGATCCATGCTCGGTGTGGCCGTATGAAGAATGTGACTGGTGAGTCAATGATGGATGCAAGATTGTCGGGAGCGATAGGAAGAATACGAAGGTGAAGCCAGGATGGGAGGAGAAGAGAGTTAAGATGTGACCAGGATGGGCGAGAGCAAAGTCCCTGCAGGAGGCCAAGGGAGGTTAAAGATGGAAGCAGAGGCAAATTGCATGATGGCATTCTACAAAGAAGCGTAAAACCACCCCACTCGCGAAATGAAAGTCAAGGAACTACATGAGGGAATTGTGATTGGCCGAAAGACACTGTCAAACCCAGATCGGACATTTCCATGCAGCTGTCAACACTTTAGATACCGCCATGATAAGGAGATATGGATGTTTTAGGGGTGGATTGTTGATAGAAGAAATAGAAGAGATAACTAGTATGTAGATAGTTGATTCGTTTCTTCTTCTTCCTACCCCCTATTATATTATTGCTTTTTCTTTTTCTTTTTCTTTTTCTTTTTCCCTCTTTTCTTTTCTTCTCATCGTGTTATTCCCTGGATGATCATCGCCACGACTTCGCTTACCTGAGGATACTAGCCCAGATGCAGCATAGCGGCAGTCCCACGCAGAACAGGGAATGACCAAAGAAGCAACATCCACGTCGTCTGTCGAGGCCAATTTGCTCATCTTGCATTGTAATCACGGAATGGAAATAGAGCAGTACTTGCTATCAGCTATGTATTAATTCCTTTTTTTCTCCCAAGGCAAACAGCATCCCATGGCGCCACTGAGTTCAAGTACGAGTACATCTAACCATGTGATTAGAAAGAAAAGTAAAAAATAAAAAGTGAAGAGGCAAAAAAAAAAAAAAAAAGAAAGTGAAAAATTAAAATTCAATACATGTTTCGGTCAGGACCAGAAATTGCTGCTTCTAAGAATAAAAAACTGAGACGTGACAGGTGGGCTGATGTAAGCCCCGGTCCGCCTCCCATGGTTTGGGGACTTTTAGCGGCGTTTCAGAAGACCCCAGAAATGCAGCCGGGGGGTTTTGATTGGATGGTGGGGTGGCTGAGTCAGCATTGCCTTATTATGATATGCTGACTGCTTCCAATCAAGGAGATGTCATTTCATCCAAATGTTCTTTCTAGGTTTTCTAGAGGGAAAGGAATGGTAAAATATGAATGCAGCTAGGCTTCATTTGGCCATGCCTGCAGTCGTTGATGGAGGGTTTCGGAGAGTTCATGGTGCGGGGCAAACCAAATCGAGTAAGAAAAAGCCGGACGAGCCAGTCCCTTGGGAAGAAGACTGATGGAAGGATTGGAGAATAATCAAATACAACGTAGACTATGCCCTGCATGGGTTAAGTCGGATCAAAGCCACGATGTTGACACGTTCTGTCTCCAGCGTGACAGGGATGCTAAATTACCCCTGTTACTCTGTAACACGTGAATTCTTGGGAGTTATTAGTTATTAGTTATGGAGTCACTGTTGACTACCGTATACTCTATCCGTACATTTGCCTACTTGGTCCTTAGATTGTAGCGTATGTCTACACAAGACGATCGGAGCCTCCCTTACGTTGCTCTGCGCTGGGCATTCCGCCAAGGATCAAGGGACGCGCTAAGATGCAGATATGATCCTTAATCAAACCTTACTGGCCCACATCTGCAGACAGTACGTAGTAGCACTGCAGCATACATAGATCGATCATATATCATATCACACTTGTCGATATATAAATATATATAATATAAAAATACCATAATAGATAGAATACAGAATAGATATAATACATAATGAATATGAGAAGGAATAGTTATCCATGTTGAAGTACTGGGAGAGGAGATCTGTGGACCAATCAGCAGCCCCGCAGCCAAGTGATGACGACGAGCTGGAAGACCTTCTGGAAAAGAAAAAAAGGGTCGAGGATCAGTTGCCGCAATGGGGTTTTATTCTATTGCTGCAAGAGGAAAGTCACTTGGAACCTGCAGCCCCGGACCTCAGCCTGATTGGCCCTGCTGCTGCCCATTCCCCAGTTCTTCAACGATTGACAGGTATTTTATTTATTATAAAATATAATAATAAAATCCACAGAGAGCCGTGGTTCGCAATGCTCTCTCATTTGCCATGAACCACAGTGGTCAGGGGATTACCAGCACAAAAAGGTCGAGTCGCAGAAAGTCTGGGATGCCAATCTTGCCTAATCAGGACATCGTGAAGCCATGAGGAATTGCCCCTGAACCAGACGAATTCCTCCATAACCCTCCCAGATGTAGAAGAATTACCTGTCTTTAGGGTGTTTTGGAACGCCTATCATCGGCCTTCCCACATTCCATTAAATCACTCGATGGTCAGGGTATCTATCAAAAATATCAAACCAATATAGACAATCAAACTGGACAAGCCTTGGGTGTTTCACCCCACAATTAGTTCTTCTTTCTTTTCTCTTGTTCTTCTGATATTTTTTGCATGAAGCTTTCCTCAGTTCCTCCCCTTTTGTCTATCCACTTTCTTTAATTATCTTATTATTCTTAGTCGTATTTCCTGCTTCATGCCCACCCCCTAAAACAAAATTCCGAGATCCCAGATCCCAAACATACATCATTTCTTTTTCTTTTTTCTTTTCTTTTTTTTTCCCTCCCCCCGCTCTCCCTTAGATATCTAATTCTCCTTATTTACCACTCCATACGATCATCTCCTTCTTCCCCTCATATTCTGGTTCCTTCTTCTGCTTCTTCTTATCCCTACTTCCTTCGCTTTTCCGTCCACGGAATCCTCCGATTTTACGCGACCCGCCAATCTATCCAATCTATCCATACTGCTCCTCAATCTATCCCACCATCCGCTCTCCCCCCTTAATCCTCATCTGAAACGTGCGAGATTATCGTCCAGACTATCGCCCAGATTATCGTCTGTCGTGCGACACTTTGCTGGTGGAGTCGACCTCAAAAACAAACCCAACAAGGGCCGTTAGAACACACCGGGGGCGGGGAGCCGTGACAGCATCACCCCATTCACCTGCGTCGCCTTCCATCTTGCATGGACGATTCCTCCTCCTTCTCCATCTCCCTTCCTCTCCAACTCCTCCCTCCCCCCCTCCTCCCGTCCCATCCGTTGGTGCCACGCGCCCAGATCTTGCTAGAATCCCTCCCTAGCGCTGCGAATTGATGCGCTCTCTGCCTAGTGGCCCGCCACCTCGATCTTGCTCCCTGGAGCTATGCCCGCGGTCGTTATCCACGATTCTAGTATGACATCGACTCCGAATTCGCAAGTCATGGAGGGCTCGTCCGTCTCGAACGCAGACAAGAAGCGCAATAAACTGGGCTACCATCGCACCTCTGTCGCATGTGGTCAGTATTCCCGTCGCATTCTCTAGTAACACACACACACAGAGATCATGAGATAAATTCAGGATGCTTATGCTTCATGCTCCACAGTGCACTGTCGGCGGCGAAAGATTCGATGTCTCGTGGCGGCGGACGATGCTCAGGGCCGATGCGAAAACTGTATCCGACTGCGAAAAGAGTGTCAATTCTACCCCGTTGACCAACAACCGCCGGTCGAGAAGAAGTCGCGGCCGAGTTCGCGATTAGAAACGACCTCGACGGACCCCTCGACCACTTCGTCGCCTCCTCCTAATGCCAGCGGGGCTCCTGAAGGGGCAGAGAACTTCTTCTCCTACCAGCCCATGCCGTTGAGCTCCAGCCAGGAAGTGCCTGCGTTCAGTGCGAGTGGGACCTTCCCCGGCAATCCAATGCCCTCGTTTGCACCAGGTGGGTGACGGATCTAGATATACAAGGTTTTGTGGTATATTGACAAGGTTTAATAGTTGGCAATAGTGTGGGATCTACCGATTTCGCACCAGCAGCACCACCGCTCGACCCTTCCGTCCCCTGGGATGAGTTTACCACAATATCCGATCCTCAGATGCTGGCGTCGATGAACGCAGGGAAGTCGCAGATGATGAACCTGTCTCCCAACGTATGGAGCAGCCCTGGCGGTACTCCAATTACGCCCATCCCATCTACATCTCCCATGACGGCTACACCAACCGTGCCATCTCAGTCGCAACCCATGAACGCTCCTCCGACCTTTGCCATGCAGCCCGACGGCTCAGTATGGCAAGTACCACAACCTCGCTCGATGAGCTACCCAGCACAACAGGACATGGCAACATACCCAAACCCCAATCAGTTTCCGCCGCAGATGCATGCAGACTTGAAGCGGAGGATGACCAGCCCGGCGAATGCGTTTCCCGGAACACCGATCAACGCTCAGAGCCCTAATATGCAAGGGGCCCCCGTCTCGATGTCGTACCCCGGTCAACCAACACCAATGGGATTTCCCGGATGGCAAGACATGAGCAGCATGGGCCAGTTGGACGTTGTGCCTTACCCGATGTACGCAGGAGATCCAGCCGGTCATGCCACGCCTTTCGCCAGTCCCCCGATGGGACATCCGAGCCACGGCCATTCACCTCAACACTGAGCCATCTTGCTGGGTGAATTCGACAAAATGACTTGTTTTCATAATACCCGTATTGCATTCTCTCGTTTCTTCTTTGTGTGGTGTGTCGATTTTACAGCTGGTCATTAGCGGGCGCAAAATTGGATCTTTGGGTGGCACCTTTTCATCATTCGTTTGGCATTATCTGCCATATTTTTTCTTTCATCTTTTATCTTTCATCTCCAGGAGAGTGCTCCATTGTGCATGCTCGGGGTTTCGGGCATATCTTTTTTGCCTTTTCTTTCTACATCTTTATTTTTCCTTCTATTACCTCCGGGATATCACTCGGTTCACGAGCTACGTCGATTGAAAAGTCACCAGCGGGGCGGGTGTGATCTTGATAATAGCTATTATGTTGACTGAAACTGTCTTATGCCAGATGACTATCTCGTGGTATACGCAGATCAGGCAACGCACACCGATGTTTCGATTCTTCGACGACCGAGTCAATAGTCCCTCGGATTCGATGGCTCAGTCGTTTGATTCATCTCCATTTTTTTTCTAATTCTCTTCGTTGATCCATATTCACCTTGCCTTGTGCTTATAGATTCCTTTTCTTTCTTTCGTTTTCATTTTCATTTCATTTCAAAATTAGAATTGGTTATTGCAGTATGATACAGGTGAATCGCATGTTTTATTGGGAATATGATGAACATTCTGAATGGATAACTGATATTTCTTTCTTTCTTTTCTTTTATTTATTTCGTTGCATTGTGTTATAGATAAAGTATTTTTGCATATACTCATATCTGACTTCATCTATCTAAACTGTAGCAACCCTCCTATTCCTCTTCAACTCCTTATCCGCTATCCTCCGTTGATGACTCTTCACGACCCCAAAACTGCACGTATGATGAAGCAGTCTCAGCATGCTGGGAAGTGCTTTCGCTGATTCCTGTCTTCATGATAATCGCAAACACAGTCACACAACATGCAGCATCTACGAAGTGATCCAGTCTGAATTATCCCTGCCGACAGAATTCCATGCTCAAGGTGGCTGGCGACATCTTTTCACCATCACTATTGGCAATACCAGTCAACAACCTCGCCAGTTCACCAGCTGACGCTGCCTGCCTCTCAACCCTCACCCCCAACCATCTCTCCAAACTCCCATCACAGACCCAAGATGAATCCTCCTTCCACCCCGGATACAGATATCCACCCCACACGCAAATTGGTCTTCTAAGTGGGGTGACGCGAGTGAGGGAGTCCACCGATAAAGCACGCCGCGCGAGTGTGCCTTTTCTGCGTATTCGCTGATGTTGAGCGCGTTGCCGGTTGAATTGAGTGGTGTTTCGAGGTAGATTACGCTCTCGCTGCCCGAGTAGCCGGAGGTCATGCTGGGGGTTTGTGGGTTTAGCATTATCTGACTCGTTAGTATAGCATTTCTCTCTGTAAAGGGAGGGGAGTACCAGCAACGCTGTGAAACCAGCAAAACCAGATGCCTACGCATACAATTAGTTAAACTATATCAGCACAGGAGAAGTGTGGAGAGTACCATATCCGGAAGTTTTTGCTCCCACAGTGGAATCATCTTTGCCGGCGCGATATCTTGGAGATCTTGGGGGTAGTCGTCTGCGTGAGTTGGAGGGAGGAGAGAGAGGGCATTTTCTCTGATCGGGTTGACTTTGTATATTATTGAGATATGGAACTTTTCAAGTACCTTTATCTCTATACTTATTCTATTCTGTCATGTATCATAATACCGTGCTTTACACGATAGTGTAGCCAAAACAGCCCAATACACAGAATAAATGACCACCATACCTAGTCCAGCTAGGGAATCCACGGAGAAATACTAGCGGCCGATCTAGCCAGATTTCTCCGTCAGATATTAGTCTGTTGTGCTGATTTATAGATGGAATCCCTGTATATGCAGAGTAATCATTTATTCTAGGTATGATAGAGAAGAGATGATAAGGGGTTTCGTTATAAAGTATGGAGAGAAGGGAGGTACCTTCGTTGATGAAGGCATGGGGATATTTCATCTGCTTCAGTTGCACATAAGAATGTCTGATGCCGTCTAGCTTGGCGATTTTACCACGCAGTCGAGAGAGAATGTCTTTTCGACGGGATAGTTGGTAGAATACATTACTCAACAGACTGGCGGTGATATCTCTGCCTGCGAGAAGAACACAGAGAATCTGATCGCGCAGCTCAGCTGGATCTTGTGTCTGCTTTGCCAATTCGTGGAGGAAGACAGCGCTTTCCAACTGGGTCATGAGTGAGGCTGTACTGAACGATCTCGTCGCGCAGACACACCACACGCGTTAACCTTCGGATTGTAATACAGGGGCAGCGGTGCCCCCATCCATGCTCGATCGATCTGACAGCGCTGGGCGAAGTCGAAGGCATCGACGAATGCCTGGCTCTTTGGATCCCGATACTGCCGGGGCGTGTTTGTAGAGACGCCCACGAGGAACTCACTCACTGTGCAGACGCGAAAACAAGCCCTGCAGATCGACAATCGACCCATAATCTGGAATATGCAGTAGCAAAGCCCTCACATGTCGCTCGAGCATCTCATAATCCGCAGGGTGAAGCCTCGTAAACCGTGGCCGCATATCAACGCGCGTGAACGTTCCCAGCACGATCCATCAACACAGAAGATGCCCGATCCCAGCAGCGGTGCAAACTACCGTTCACTGCGGACACCTAGATCGACATCTTGAACTTGGTGGCCAGGACGGTCTTGATATTCGCCAGTTCGATGGTGGTGATGATGGAGACGAATCCTACGACGGGGCTGAATATATAGCCATGTTTTTTGAAGCAGTTTCTACTAGTAGTCAAGATCTGCCTATTTATTGAGTTATGGAAGTTTTCCAATACCAAACCCCACCCGAGGAGTCGTTCAAATTAGGGGTTGAGACGAGGTTGGTCAATCATATCGCATCTATATATGTGCGTCACAGGTAACACAATCACATTCCCCTGCATATAGATTGGCGATTGTCTTACCGCCATAACAGTGATTCCTTACCTTATCGTGCAGTATGACTCTCTGTCATACATCAGCTGCGGCGCCAACCTCGTCACATACTCAGGTACACCCCGTTATCTGCAGCATTAGTCGATGAGGTAAAGGTCGTACGAACTAGTAAGCGTTACTAGCTGAAATACACGTAATACACAGATTAAGCTTTGCCCCTTGACCAATCACCAGCACGATAAACCAGCCCTGCAGATCCCGGGCGCTGGGATGGACCGACTAATGTGGGCAGATCTCAAGAGATCTCAAAGTGTATCTCGACTCGATTAATCTCTACATGCAGTGGTTCAATCCCACTGTACGGTTAATGGATGTCCATGACACACTGAATAATAAATCAACAGGGAACGCACTCCCAACTACGACAATGAACCTCTTGCTATTACCCCTTTAATCTGCCTGAGTGAAGCAAGGGATTCGGCATGGCTTCTATATTTATCATTGTTACTATACCCCCTATAGGCAAATAGTCTTAATGGAATTGAGGAGTTGGCCTACAGATCACTCCCTTTTCCCTGGCTTTTCCCTCTTTTCTCTTTTTCCTTTCTTCCTTTCTTCTGTAGAATTCTCAACATGCCTCAAGACGAAGAAAAAGAAGCATCAATAACAGGATGGAAAGACGCCAACCTTCGACGCGTCTGTGATGAAATCCCCATTACAATCTTTCTAGTCGCAGTTGCAGAGCTAGCTGAGCGCTTTACGTATCGATGCATCACGGCGCCAATGCGTGCGTCTCTTCATTCATCTGGAATACTTGACTCAATCTAACTAGAATAGAAAACTATCTCCAAAACCCACGTGGCGATGACCTTCGACCAGGCGCACTAGGCAGGGTCTGACTCTTACTCTCTGAACTACTAGACGATTCATACTGAATTATACAGGGCCAATCAGTCGCAACAGGAGTCAATTACTTCTTCACTGGATGGTGCTTTCTCGCTCCCATCATCGGCGCTATTGTTGCTGATACCTATCTTGGTCGGTTTCGGACGATTTGTCTAGGGACTTGGTGTGCATTCTCATTGTCATACATGAACAAAGCAGGGCTAACAGGTTGACTGTTAGTATTGCTTCGTGCGGTGTATTGATTCTCTTTACGACATCGCTACCTCTTAGTTTAGAGCATGGGGCTGGTATGCCCGGTCTTATGGTTGCGTTGGTTTTGATTGGACTGGGGTGAGTCACTTATATGCTTGAAGTATACCGATGCTAATGATGCAGTTCCGGAGGCATCAAGAGTAACGTCGCACCGTTGATTGCCGAACAGTATTCTGGTTGTTCTGCTAGAATCCAGACGCTCGATGATGGCGAGAAGGTCGTTGTGGATCCAAACGTTACGACGCAGACTATCTTCAATCGCTATTTTTGGTATGATACATGATATTCTCGTCGATGCAGACTGACCTCTTTAGGGTGATTAATATCGGTTCTCTCTCTGTTATCCCAGCATCGGTATGTCCTCGCTTCTATATATATGTACTACAAACTAACTTGGACAGTTGCTTGAACTGAACGTGGACTTTTGGGCTGCATTCCTTCTTCCTCTCTGCTTTTCGGCGCTTGCTGTCGCGGCCTTGGTAGCAGGGAGATCGAAATACGGTATTCACTCTCTCCTTGCCTACGACTAATCGAGCTAAAGTGTGCTGCAGTGGTTCAGAAACCGCACGGCTCTATTATCGTCAACGCAGCCCGAACTCTCTGGATCAGCATCAAGAATAATGGTCATATGGATGCTGCCAAACCGTCAAATGGTGCAAATGTGCCTTGGGATGATATCTTCGTGGAGGAACTGAAGAGGGCTCTTGTTGCCTGTCGGGTGTTGTGAGTCCCTCCTACCTTCAATGCAGGCTATGCTGGAACAATACTGATAACTGTATAGCTTAGCTTTGTATGTCCATGTCCCAAGATAGGATCTTTATTTGTGAATTTCATGTTAACAAACAAGCCCCATCTTCTGGATCTGCTACGGCCAGACGAATAGCAATCTGGTCAGTCAGGCCGGAACGATGAATACATACGGCGTGCCGAATGATATTAGTATGTTTCTCATCTGTTTTATTTTTATCAGATTAACTAAGGTGTCTACCCAGTGGGCTGTTTCAATCCCATCATGATCTTGATATTACTGCCATTGATGTACGGTCTGTATGACATAGGATGTGGTTGTGCGTATGCTAACCCACCAGGGAACGCGTGGTGTATCCAACCCTCCGTCGACTGCGAATCCAATTTAAGCCGATTACCCGAATAACAGCCGGCTTCATCGTCATGGCGTGTGCGATTGCGTATGCGGCTGTGCTTCAGGATGGTAAGTCTTATCTTTCTATTATCTGTGTGACTTCCAAACTAACCAGATAGTAATCTACAAATCACCACCCTGCTATGACCATCCACTCGCAGAAGAGTGCAGTGACGGGGGTCAAATCTCGAATAATGTACCTCCCCCCAATACCACTTTACCTGCGTAACGACAATACTAACGAGGCAGGTAAACGTCTTCCTCCAAGTCCCCGTCTACGCCATGACCGCTCTGGCTGAAGTATGGGCCTTCGTGGCCGGGATGGAATACGCCTACACCAAAGCGCCCAAGTCGATGCGGAGTATCGTGTCCTCGCTGTTCCTGCTTATGTGCGCCCTTGGCTCCACGATGGGTATTGCGCTGTCTCCTGTGTCGGATAATCCGAAGATATTGGTGCAGTATGCGTGTTTGAGTGGGACTATGGTGGTGACGGCGTTTGTGGTTTTTGTGTTGTTCGGGAAATATAATCAGAGTGAGGAGAAGATGAATATGCTTGAGGTTGAGAGGGACGATGAGTAAGTGATGGAGTGATGAAACAGACATTATAACTTGCCATCATCATTCCAGTCTGCCAGCTGCAGGGTAAACATGCAGTACTATCATTTATTTCGGGGGGCGTGGCTATTAAAATAGGCTGCTTCTAGTCAATATGTAGGGTAGAGAGCAGTCTTGAAACAAATACCCACTGATCCACGTTGACAGTTGGAAATGTATAATACAGTGTCCAGGCTGATACTGACTGTGCTTATCACTCAGATATCTACTATGATTCAAGACATGAGTAAAAGCATAGTCATCAGTATTCTTGAAACGGAATAAGCGTTCTTGTATATATAGTCAGCCGGACTCCGTAGATTCATATGAAGGCGCTGCCACTCCGAATGATGACAATCAGTTTGTCCCGATAATAATCTATTTATCTTTTGTCCAGGGAATAACTGATTATATATTCTTGAGTGATAGGGACGTAGTATTCCGTTTCGCGTGCTAGCATGTCATATGGGACTAATGGGTAGGGTGAAAGTATATAATACAACGGCCAATCTGATAAAAGACATTTCTGCTTATATCTATCAAGATAGTTATCAGTACGTAGTACGAAAAGATATTTCCGATCCATTATCAGTGATATGGAGATGTTGCAGTTATATTACTACTCATTATGTTTGCATTGACTCATGTTCGGGTGTAAATAACCTTTGATTATAACATAGCTGGTGGTATCAATTCCAAGGATGAGAGGATTATAATGAGAATAAAGAGTGAATCATCAGGTTAATATAGTGAGATATTCCCACCATCATTGATGATGTCCTCACTTACCTACCTGCCCTTATGAGACACCGAACTCGACACATTAGGGCTCCGGCCCAATCACCTCCGAACAGCTAGTATAGACCAATAGAGCACCATGAAGCCTCTACCAAAACACCACTAGACCCATATCATCATGCAGCTAGACGTTGATTCATTAATTGGGATCTGCCTGATGTCGACATGTCGATAAGAGTACTGTCACTGGGAAATGCCACCTGGATTGCATAAGATGATTCGACAGGATGTAAATGAAACTGGCCGGGCATTTAACGGATGAAATAGAAATGAAGAGACCCGATTCAGGAGTAAGCGGTGCTGCTGGGCTTGTGCTTTCCGATGTCGGACGAGGTGAGATGGTTGGGCATTCATGAGTAGGATGGAATGGGTGTTCTTGCTGCGTGGTTTTCTGGATAATGTGTTCACTTCATGCTGTTCTGTGGATATATTCGAGATAGTACTCGGTAGACCATGATGTTCTCATTGTTTTCTCATAGTGAAGATTGCTGAGGAAAATAGAATGTGTAGTCGGATACAATAAGCTGCTGCTTATCATAGAGAGCAGAATTACCTGTGCGCTGGACAAAGCAGGGGGGAGAGAATGGCCACCTATAAATCGTAGCAGGCGTGGGTCAATTCACATGTTGCATTGTGTTGTACAGATAAGAGATGTCAAAACGGAAGCGCGCTGATCCCCAGCAAAATTGGTCTTGATATTAAAATAAAGACACAAAGGCCAATCCGGGGTCAATCTGGAGAGATATGGAGAGCAGAGGCCGATCAATCCCACTTGACGCCCGTTCTGGGTTTCAGAATCAGAAGATAGATAACAGCCAAAGTTTAACTGGTGATGTAGCATTAGGAATCAAATCATTTGTTCAGTCTCTGATTGCAGGGTGTTTACCAAGTTCTTCCTCATCCCCGAAAATGACGTGTCCGCTGCCATTCGCCGTCTTATCTCGAGGGCCTTCCTGGCGCCTAAAGGGTGAAGCGTGTATGCAAAGTTATCAATGTCCTATCCTATCCTTATCCTTATCCTGCCAACCCCCCGTCATCCGTGGCGGTGGCCCGGCTGTTGTGCTCCCCAGACCGAAAGGAATCGTACAAAACCTGTGCTATTCCAGCCAGCCCATACTAATACTTCTCTTTTCTTCCCCCCCCTTTCTCGCTGCTTTTGGGGGCAATCTGGCAAGTTGACCGCCATTCCCCCCAAGATCACGTCTTATCACCAAAATTTTCGGTGGGATGTGATGATAACCCTTTCTCGTTGGGTATCCTTTTTCCCTCATGGTATATATAGAGGCGCCCGGAAGTCGTCTTAACATTAAGCATTTCTGGGTATTTGGCTTCAACTCTTTTTGCTTCTTTCCCATCCATTCAAACATGTAAGTGTGTCGCCGCTGCTGGTGTGGCTGCGGAATGCCGTCCCCTTTATAGCCCTGGAGATATCTCCACGCCCTTTCCCCCCTCCCTCCCATCCACCCAGACCACGAAAGGAACCTCGATGGATACACTACGACAAGAGGTTGATGGTGGTGTCATATTCCATATATTGCTTTCGAGTTCATTCTACTCTTTGCCCCCTCTTTCCTGCATGGCTAGTCGACCACGTCGCCCTTCTCCGACCTCCGAAGGCGAAATCCTGCCAGCCTACCCTCCCCGAGACTATCATTCAGCCATCAATATCATCACGATACGCGGCGGATAGGCTTTCTTATAACGCAACCGTGTTGGGAGAGTTCTTATTGCCACTGTCCTGCGTCTTCCTGCGGAAGAACGCGCCCAAAGACGCAGGGGGCGACTGTGCTTATTCCGACGCAACCGCTGGAGCCGCAGGAAAGCTGGTGCAGATGAGGGGAAAAAAGGAAGAGATCCCAATGTCGGGCCTTGGGACAAAAGTACTACCACCCGGTTGAGACACCGTGCCATCACAGCCGAAAACATCGATGCCCAGTGCTCCCATCCGATTGATTCCCATTGTCCTGGCTGCTCTCGATTTAGTGACCGGTGCATTCCGACTTCGATCCACCCTTTCGCATGTGGCGGAAACTGGGGATATGTCTTGGGATCCTTACACGACAGAGGGATAGGATGCTTGACTTTCTCGTGCTGCATGATGATGGATCGCCTATGCCGTCTGGCGTTGAGCAGGGTCCACACCACACTGCCTTCGGTATGTTCATCGTGTGTATCATGCTATTATTCCCATTATTGAATCCGACCCCCCCTGGTTGCTTATACGCCATGTATATTGGTTGTGCATGACGTGGAAACCTAGCCTCGTTGGCGATGCCGTGTTGGACTGTTTCCTAGTGAGGTTGGCTCACCCTGAAGCTGATCACCTCGATGCCACTAGTAGCCAGTGCATGATATTCATTATTTGATATCATTCTGGTCTATCAGTGACAGTGGATCTGTTGGTTTAGCTCAGGCACACGACACCCCTTTCTGGTGATATTAAGATTGCTGTCGCTTGATATCCACCCGGGATCATCGTCCATGCTGCCGACTGCGCTTTGAGTCTTGCGCGGCTTTGCTTTCGACTCGATGTTTATTATATCGCTATCATGCTAAATTATCACAGACCTCATGAATCAGGGATATCACGATGGCCCCAATGGGAGGACCGAGGTTAGTCAGCATGCACTGATAAGGAGCGCCACTAGACCCACTTTGCCTTCAGTGCCTATCGAACGCCAATCTTTTTGCCACTCGCGCACCTGCCAGGGTTGTCCAGCATGCCAGCACTTTATTTTTGTTTTTATGTCGTGGTTCATATTCCCTTTGCCTCACCTCATGTCTTGGTGTGAAAATATTTTTGACAACAGAGTGGCCGACGCAAGTGAGATCAAATGACATAACAATGTCGTCGCAATGATCTATCGCCGATCACCACTAACGATGACCAAGGCTAATTACAAGTCTTATCAGCTTATCTTGCTCGCTATCAACCGCTGCTAGCCTCGGTGGAACCTTTCTCTGGTTGCTGCCCATCCCGTGGGGCCGAAAAAAGAAAGAACCCACTGGAGCAGTCGAGGTATTGTCCTGTTCCTACTAACTTCGATGGTTTTGCTCTTCCGCCAACTGCCCTGTGCTTCCTCGACGAATGGCATCGCCGTTTTACTTTGAATCATGACAACACTGCTCCGCTGACAGGACTGACGATGGCTAACGGTTTCCCTGGACGACTGGCTGTCCCGTGCCTGTCGCCCTGTCGCGCAGTGTCTGGGGCTTGGGGAAAGCTCAGCTGTCTGTGATCCCTCGAAATGCCCAGATTGATCATCTTGCTTGTGATTGCTCGACCGGATATCGTTTCACAGCGTCTATTAAAACAGTCGCACAACTATCATGCTACTATTTCTCCGCAATTGCATGGGTTATTTATTTTTCAGTTTTGCTAAACTAAACGGTCAAGGTACATCCCGGCTGAATTGGAGGGATTTCCAAATGATCGATCGGCCATCAGCATTGCCTTACCAGAAGACGGGTGGCAGGAACCCCGCAGTCAAACGAGCCAAGATGGATGGATTATTATACTCGTCGTCTTTGTTTCATTTTTTTACTGGCGAGGTACGAATGCCATGGATGCCAAATGTCTTGGTGGAATAAGGTGGTAATACCTTACCTGAAACGCCGTGACCAAAGTTACCGTATACACGTTTGTTACAGTCTGCATACGGCCTCGGGTAAGATAGGGATCTAACGCCTCTCGGTGAGTGTGGCAGCAGCTCCGACAGGTCCAAGAGGCCTTCTCAGCCTTTCGGAAGTATTAAGAGCATCAATCATACAGGCCTAGACGACTGCAATTGTAGGCACCGGAATGCCTAGCCTTGAGGTTAGCTTCTTTCCTTTCCCGTGTTGGGTGGAAAATTATTTTCCGTGCGTGTTGCATCCACCATCAATGAGATCATGGAGGTCGTTGGACATGAATACGATTTCTCGGCATACAGCAAAGTCAACTCTATACAAATGGCTGTATGATCAACCTTAAATCTGGCAAGCCATGTGCTCAGCGACCCAGCGGCCTGTCTTCTGCGATCTAGGTTGACTCACCTATCTCTCGTCGGGGCTCGTCCGGTCCAGACGGACTGCTTGTTATTTGGATTCCGCCCCGCCGCAGCGCTTTGGCTTAACTCCGGGAGTCCGGTGCTGAGGACCGACAACCGAAATCAGCTGTCAGCATGAGCATTGATATCAATATTGATTCAGCTGGATGCATAGTGCACGATTTCCACTTCCTGACTCGGGCAGCAACTGCAAAACCCACCTTTGGGATTCCTGCACTGGCCGAATGGCACTGTCCCGTCGCACGGTAGCACATACATGTTCAACTGAGTTACTGGAGTGGATTACTCCGATGCACGGAGCAATGGCTCCTCCACTCTTGACATATCCACCGATTCCACCCATCATCATACCCAGGGTCCACGGTATCTCAAAGCTCAGGCCAAAGGAATGAGTGTGCAGAGCAGGGGCATGTTATGCATGCAAAGTGAGAAAGCCCATATCGTGTCTCAGGAGGCAACGTGTCGCATGTCTCGTGTGGTCGGGTCGGGACTTGGCCGAATAGACTTACCCCGCTGCGGTCCGTAGACGGAGGAGCCATTGGCGCTCGGTGCCGATTATTTGGATTGAGACATCAGAGATCTCAAATGCATCTGTTTGAATCAGACGGTACGTTTTAGAATGATGGAGGACTCGATTAAGCTATTCATATTTGTAATAACATTGATATTATCATTTACAATTGGTAGTACAAACTTTAGGGCCAATCTGATAGTATCAAACTACTGTATGTATCCGGATGGACCATTTATAGCCTGGAAAGTATAGGCCGGAGTCTATGCAGGGATTATTCAGTACTAGGCAGAGCAGTAGTCTAAAGTATCGCTTTTACCGGGACTATAATCATCTCCCCGAATAGATTAACTGTGATGATGGATCAAGGGACGAATGTCCGGTTGATGCTTGATTTGAGCTTGTGTTTCCATGGGTCTGTATTGTTTTCTTTGTCTACTGCCAATCAACTTCGGATTAATTTATTTCTCTTTCCGCAGTGGAATCGTAATTGATTGATTGATTGATCCTGGACTCTGCTGTATAATATCTGCATTATGGCTGCTGGGTGATGGCTCTCGAGTAACACGCCCAGGCTGACTGAGGCACTAATTTTAAGCCATGCAACCGCCCTAAGACTCTTAGCCAGCAGTAGTGTGCCTTCGAGAATAAATGCCCCAAAGTTAAAAGCCTAAAGCCAAAATCATCCGAGTTGCCACAGCAGTCTGTATAATACAACGCCCATACCTGTATTGGTATTACCGCCATACAGGCCATTTCAATCAAAAAGCTAATTCCAAAAGGCCCAATCCAAACGACGACGAAGAGGAAAAAAGCAAGTAGAGGAGGGGGGAGAGAGAAAAAGAAAGGAAAACTGTTGATCAGAAAGCAATATCAGAGAATAATCGTCTATATTGCTGTTAACAAATGGCTCTACGTATAGCAAAATCATTATTGCACATGTTCTGGGAGGGCAAAAAAGGCATGGATGGGAATCAAACGATTTATTTCCATTTCTTACGGCGGGAAAGTAGAAAAAGAATTCCACCGGTGCCGTCACTCTGGAACGGCTCTCTCTCTCTCTCTCTCTCTCTCTCTCTCTCTCTCTCTTCTCCTCCGCCTCGTCATCCTCGATTCTTTCCCTCTCTCTTTCTCTCTCTTTTCCCTCTTCTTCCTCCCCTCGATCTTATTATATTCTGGTTTCTTACTCCATTCCCTTGCCCTTCCATCCATTCATCATCTCGTATCTAATCTCTCCCCTCCCCAACGGTGTCCATCCACTCACCGTCCTTCCACCCCCTCTGTTAGAACGCATCCTGGTTCACTGGTTGCGACTTTAGTCTCTCTTCCTCCAATCTTGCGCCTCTTCCCTGTTCCTCCCCGACAGTAGTTTCGTTGATTACCATTATCCATCCTGTCCCCTGTTGGAATTAATTATTTGCTCGATCGGACATTGTCCACTCCACCGGGGGTTTTTCCAAATCTACCAGCCCACCACTGTTGCTTTCGGCCATGTGCGCCTGGAGGGTCTAGCCCCCCTCCTTCTTCCCAAGAACGCAGAGAGAACAGACAGAAAAGAGAGACAGAAAAAGCAAATCACAGAAGAGGGAAAGGATCGCTCGTCTTTTTCTTTTTTTTTTTTTTGTTTTATTTTACTTTTTCCTTCTTTTCATCAGCTTCGAGTGTACTCTATTGTACTCGTAACCTCAAGGTCAGTCAGTGTCTCTGCCTCCGTCATTTCTCTACGCCGTATGAGGAAATCATTTAACACTCTTTATTCCATCTATCCAGATCCTCTATTTCCTTCCCAGTCACTCTGCTGGAACACACAACGATCGAGTTAGACTGCCGACGGTGGCTGCATATTTTATTGGGTTTTTGACAGGGTCTCGTCGTTTACGGCGGGTAGAGTGGAATTCCTCTGCTCTCTATTACGCCCTCACCTCCGATTGACCACGCATTATTTGCTCTCTTTCCCCTCCCTCGTCGCCGTATTCCTTTTTCTTTCCTCCCTATCTATTTTCCTTCGGTCTCTCTTATCTTTCCTCTCACCCCCAGCCCTCATTCCCCGTCCCCCCAATAAGAAGAGGGCCTTTTACCGCTATATAAGCACTTCAGCCGGACCATGTCGGGGATGAGCCATGGAGGCTTTGGGGGAGTGCGACCGACTCGAACCGCTGCTTTGACCTTTTCCGGGGCCGACAACGCCGACGCTGACCGATCGTCCTCCAACTTCAACCATTCCTCCCAGCTGTCCGACGAGTTTTCCTTTGATTCCCCCATAAGTCCGCCGGATTCCTCTAATGTCCAGCAAGAGGGCTTGCTTCAGGACTCTCTCTTCCCCGAGTGGAGGAGTGGTGGCTCTCGACCCGGCTTCGACTGCCCGGACGAGATGCAAAAGAAGGATCCGCTGGCTACGCAGATATGGAGGCTCTATTCTAGGACCAAGGCTCAGTTGCCCAACCAGGAGCGCATGGAGAATCTCACCTGGCGAATGATGACCGTGAGCTTGAAACGCAAGGAACGGGAACGGGTCATGCAGAGCCGGTATGTTGTCCCCTTGAATCCCACACACACACCACTCTCGGTCTTGTGACCTAACATTATCTCTTCGTCCCACAGACTTCCGACCAGAACCAACAGCTCCGGCCCCAGCGGCATTGCTCAACTACGCCAGTCCGACCGTGCCATGGACCCCGAACGTACTCCCGATCCTATGAATATCGACGATTTCATCGTTCCCTTGGAATCCCCCGCTGAACAGCCTTTATCTCCGCCCGTTGAAAGGGGTGGTATCTCCGGTGCTATCCCCATCAAGACCCGTAAGGACCAGGTTGCCGAGTCGACCCCCGTGCCCGCCTCGTTCCCCCACCCACCCCAAGATCAACGCAGGAACAGTGAATTTGGATATGTTCCACGTCGCGTGCGCAAAACGAGCATCGACGATCGTCAGTCCTTCGCAAACCTGCAAGTCCCCACCCGCAAACGACCTGCCGAGTCGTCACCCCAGGTGCCGCCCGTGTCCAACGCCATGCTGGCCCACGACCCCAATCTGTCAGCCGGCGTGCCTGATTACGCCTTGGATGCATCTTCGTCGGCTTTCGCTCATCAGAATGGCCACAATAACCATACTTCCCCCGGCGTGCCTTTCGGCCTCGATACCTTTGGCCTCGGCGAGGACCCCATCCTTCCTTCGGCTGCTCAATATCATGGACAGCAGTTTACCTTTTCGCCCAGCGATTCTCCTATGACCTCGGGAAACCCATTTGCCAACCTGTACGCACAAACTCCGATCGCCTCGTCCCTCAACTCTACCGATTTTTTTTCGCCCCCACCCTCGGGATATCAGTCCACCGCTTCGACTCCTCAGCCTGCCTACGATGGTGAGCACTCGATGTACTTTGATATGCCCAGTATGGATTCTCGCACTCAAAGGCGTGTTCCTAATTATGTGGCTCAGCGCCAGTCGAATCTATCCGCATCGTTGCAGCCTCAGTACATGTACAACAGAAACAACGAGCAGCAGAACATGAATCACGTCAGTGGCCCACCATCGACGATGCATTCCCCAGGGTTTTCGATGACGCAACCGCAACATGTCGATCCTTCCCAGGTCCTGGGTGGGCCCGATTTCTCCACCACCTCCCACGCCAACATGTTCAGCTTCCCTGGTGACTCTGACAATGAAGATGATGACAGCAGCACCACATTCCCCGACCGTGCCGGTCTGGCTATGCCAGTCGACTTTAGTGATGACAACTCCAACGACTTCAACTCGGGCATGCAGTGGGAAGGAGGGTTCCCGGGCTCCTTCCACTCGCTGCCTGGATTTAACGGACAGCACCGCAAGCATGTCACCATCGGATCGTCCGACATGATGGATACACCTCAGGAATGGAACCATGGCAGCAGTCTGGGCCGTGCTCATGGGTCAGCTGCCTCGGTCAGCGAAGTCCGTAACCGCGAACAAGATCCTAGACGTCAAAAGATCGCTCGCACTACCTCGACGCCCAACACCCAGATGCTGTTGCAGAACGTGAATGGCAATACTCATACATCTCCCAACACGCCTCCCGAATCCGGTCTGAGCAGCGCTGTTCCGTCTCGTCCCGCGAGCCCTGGTGGATCAAAGAATGGCGAGCAGAACGCCGGGCCGACCACTTGTACCAACTGTTTCACCCAAACAACACCCTTGTGGCGACGTAACCCTGAAGGCCAACCGCTTTGCAACGCCTGTGGTCTGTTCCTGAAACTGCATGGTGTGGTTCGACCGCTGTCCCTCAAGACAGACGTTATCAAAAAGCGAAACCGCAGCAGCGCCAACAGTCTGGCTGTTGGGGTTTCCCGGTCGTCCAAGAAAACCGCACGCAAAAATTCAGTACAGCAGGCATCGGCCATCACTCCCACCTCCAGCCGCGCGCAAAGTGGTACTGCCTCTGAGTCACCACCAGCGATCCAAAGTGCAGGACCTGCACCCGCTTCTAGGACATCAGGTGCTATGGGTAAATCCGGTGTGGTGCCTATTGCGGCCGCACCGCCCAAGTCGACCTCTGCAACGGCTGCCAGTCAAGTCCGGGGCTCCGTGCAGGTGGCACCGAAGCGTCAGCGACGGCTGGAAAAGGCCACGGACGCAGACGCAGGGGAAGACGCCAGCAAGTCGAGCAGCTCTTCGGGACGATCCAAGGTGGTGCCACTAGCGCCTGCTGTTCTTCCAGCAGCTGCGAACCCCGCGAACCACAGTATCGCTGGTGGACAGGGAGCAAGCCAAGAGTGGGAATGGTTGACGATGAGTTTGTAGAGCCGAAATGCTTTCTCTCATCTTTCGGGTTATTACACAGTTCGGGTTTCTTTTTTATTCTTCTTTCCGACGCTTTCTTATGCCACGACCATATAGACATGACGCAACTGAGGGTGGCTTCTTTTTTTTACATTACGACGAGCAAGGTGTTTGCTAATAATGGTCGCGGCCGGTCAATTGTTCTGTAATGACTGGTGTTTGAGACCAACCAGCAAGGATACAGCATGTTGAACATGACCGGTCGACGTTGGGCTTTCCTTATGGTTGACGAGTGATGCGATGCTTTTTTTCTTTCGGAATATTTGAGCTTTGGCGGGGCTTGACACTAATCCAAGTGGAAATCGAACATGAATCCACCAAAAGCCAGCCTCGCATTTGCAGCGTGGGATGGGGAAATTGGATACTCGAGCCTTTCCTTGTCTTCCTTTTTCGTTCTTTTTTTTTATTTTTATTGTCTGCATGATTTCATTATGTTGATTGATACGATACAATCGCGTCTGTTCCGGACCCCAGCCTTGTCTGTTCTGCCTGCTTTTCTTTTATTTTCTTCTCTGCATATTGTTCTATTTTCTCGCGCGTCGTTTTATTTTCAGGCTTGGGGCCGGGCAGAAGTGCGCATCTCTGTGATTTCTTTGATTTCTAGTCCTAGCAGGTGTTTGTGGGATTCTGCTTTCTAGCTTGCTATAGATCTTAGCTGGTTTACTCGGTAATACAGCATACTTATCTTACTGTTTCTTCTCATATCAATGTAGATCCGTAGAAGTGAGCCATGGGTCTGACTGCGTGAGAATGACATCACAAATGACCTTATAACTATCTCCATCATTTCTCTAGATACAACTACATCCAAGCCACAATGTCCAACAAAAGCGTAAGTACATATGCCCAATCTAATCTAGATCCTCTACTAATCAACCAAGAATGAAAACCAATCCCTGGCAGAGGGTATCCCTATCCTATCTATCTACATATGACACGATGGTGAAGAGTAACAAAACCAGAAGCAGACCCCGTCCCAACAACCATCGAAACCGAATCGCTGACGAACAAATCCGACGAGTCGGCGAGTAGTATCGCAGAGCGGGTTTCTGCGCCAATGCAGCCTGGTACCTACTCTCCCTGCACTGCACTTTACATTACTCTGTTTACTATTTAAGTGGCTGATGATGGTGCGATCAGGGGATACGAAGACGCCAGCGCGTCGGTTGTCGGATGTGCCTGGTGGAATGAGGGCTGGGGCGTGGGAGTCTGAAGAGGATGAGCAAAGAGGGAAGGGGATGTTGCAGGCTGCACAGGAGAGTGTGGCGAGGGCGTTGGATGGGGGGTCTAGGGGTGAGTTTTCCATACTCGTATAGATGGCATTGATGCTGATGAATGTAGGAGCTAGTTGATTAGAATAATGAACTATACAACTCGACACGATGCTTCGTTGTACACGTAGTCCAATGCACTCAGCAGACCGTGGATATGAGCACCAATTGACAATACCACAAAAACATGCCAGATGGTGTGTGACTGGCCGATGATGTCGAATTTACCTGGAAAAAGCCGTTCCGGCACCATTCGCTATAGGTATCTCGGTTAGAACGCTATCCATACTCCAAATGCAGGTGCAGAATACTCACCTCCCAAAAGTAGCAGCCAATGATGAGGAATACACCCTCGAGTAGGTAATACGGCACCCCGATCGCCGCGAGGTACTCGGGACCCCAGAGCACCCACGCATGGCCGATTGGCGCAAACGCCGAAAGACCCGTGCAGATGAAACTGGCGAGCCGGAAGGATCGCCATTCCGGGCCTGTGAATCTGGGGCTGAGGAGGGTGATGGCTGTTGCGGAGCTAAAGGCTAGGATCTTTATTGGTGGTTAGTGATGCTGCTTGGATGCAGAGTAGACACGGTACGAACCAAAAACCAGTAGAAATGCTTGAGACCAGGATCACAGTAGAAGCCGAAATGGAGACCGCTGATGAAATTGCCCAGGATGAGGACGATGATGCCCACGTAGTCGAATTGAAGCCATTGATACGCGACAGGAGCGGAGTGGTTCAGCACGGTATGAAACAGCGACGAGGTGAGGAGACAGATGGTGCCTGTGAGAAGCTGCAATGCGATGATAAACCAGTCAAAGGTCGACAGATTGGTATATCGCACACGGAGATAGTCGTATAGCGACCCCTGACCGAGGAGCGAGAGCAAGCCCGGGATGAGATGCGAGTAGATGTTGCAGGATTCATTGTGCCAGTATCGCCAGCTGGACAGGGAAGACCACCATGATTGGCTTTCGGGGCGATATCCGGATAGAATGAATGGGTTGGCGTCGTACCAGGAAGGGAGTTCAGCGATGGTCAGGAGATGTTGTTGTCTGGGGGATTCCGCGGGATGATCTTTGTGGGGAGTTGCTTTCTGTTCAGGGGGAGTGCGGCGGAAGCGGAGAAGAGCATCAACGACCATTTTGAAGCATAGATATAGACATGATATGAGGCTAATTGAGGAGGAGGAAGAATAAAGATAAGATGAAGTTTCCAGTCGGATGAGGCTGTCTTTTGATCGTCGCATTTCCATTCCCCACCGATGCTCGAGCCATGGGGATGGTGGATCTGATTGGAAGGCGTGGTGTGATATAAACAGATGGAAGGAGTGTCTACACTTGATAGCTACGTATATCACTTCGAAGGATAATCAATATTATCTGTCTACTACTGTCATCCACAGTTCCATCCATGGCTCATCAACTTCTTGTATACGCTTGGTTATGGAGAATGAAGACATCGAGTGATAGTATACGAAAGTAAGAACAGCACAATAAGCATAGAATACTAAGTAAACAATGCCAATACAGTTGCACATAGTACATTCATCCACGAAAAGATTCAACAAAACAGTCCATCCCATTCCACTTAGAGTGGAGAGAATCACTACAACGGTTTCTATTAATACCGATGAAGGAATTGTGCATATCGAGGAGCAACAGGTGAAAGGGGAGAAATGGAACAAGGAGCTGGCTTATTCAAAAAATTGTCAGTTTGTAATAAGCATCAGGCAAAATCAACATTTCATGCGTCCTGAGCTACGCAGCACTCAAACCATGAATAATCAGGATGTTAATCAAACAAATATGAAGTTGATTTGCCTTGACCTCTAATAAGCACAAGCGTACAAGCATGGATGTCAATTCCCCTTTTGTGGTGTTGACCATAGAATGTCTTTTAGACCTTGCTCGATCAACATGAGTCGTGTTCGAAAATAACAATCAGTAGATTGTCCAATGATTAGCCGTGGAAGATATTCATATTCCCCATCGACAGTCAAGGATCGCGGATAGATGGTCTCAGGGGAGGGATCGTGCCCATCCTAAGTGGCGGTTTTCGTAATGTTGCCAGCGCTGAAATATCAAATTAACGTACCGCAATAGTTCAAATCCCGGCATCGTGTACCGACAACTGCGATCGCCATATAAGTTTGAGGCATGATGCCGCCCGCGTCTGTTGCATAAATAGCAGATTCTGTGATATAGAACATGTCGCAGATAGGCTCCGGTAATGATACCCCGGGGGCATGATATGCCCTTTTCTATGACAGAATTGACAGACCCAGCGTTCCCAAGAACATCGTAGAATAATGATGTTCTGAAGACAACCGCGTCGTCCGCATGCAGGGTTCAGGGCACCAGGACGGAACGTCGAAAAGCACAAAGAGTAGTCGACTTGGGCTGTCTTGCGGGTTGCGACTACCTCTTGGAGCGTCGATATCAAAGATATAACGGCGGCAGCGAGCCCTGTGGGCATATTTCACGGCTCTCATATCCCGCAGATGAAGGTCCTCTTTACCTCTTCTGACGACAAGTTTGTGCTAGCGCATTGATTTCACATTCCTTACCGGGGCTGTCAGCGATGTCGAGGAGAATCTCATTGGAAGTAACATACTTTGATTCTGTGTAACAGTTGTGTTGACGTGACGGGAATAAATAGATGGAAGTCGCCTAAAGGACCATGACTTGGAGCGTCGATGTCAACTCTGCAGAACTGCAAATCGGCTTTCCCTGGTGAGTCAGTCGAGTATGGGAATCCGGAGGTTCCCGCGAGTTGGGAGGGACGGACAGCCTTGGAAATTTCACACCGTCAGTTCAGTTCAAAGGAAACGATGAAGACGCAAGTGATACATGCCTGGATAGGGATGTGCTCCTGCTCCATCAAGTCTATCGCGAAGATGATTCTTCGGTGGCACTATCGTTGATGCTTCGATTAGATTGATCAATTAGACTTGACTGAGAGATTTACCAAGTTCTCGATCGAGTGACAAACGGTCGCCGGTTGCACAGTCTCTGATTTTTGACTGCATGTAGCGGACATGAGACTAGGCCTCTGCCGACAACGGCTTCGAAGATGATTCTTCGGTGGCACTATTGTCGATGTTTCGACAGAACATAAAGTGCCAGAAAAATATGCTGGTGGAGCTGTGAAAGCAGAAGAAGGATGAGTATGGGAGAAGAAGAGAAGAAGAGAAAGAGGGAGAGAGAAAGAGAAGGTATTTATGCCTGCCTGTTACGTGAATGGATTGGACTATGGGTAAATCGAAGGCACTGTACGAGGTAATAAGATGAAGTGACAGGGCCTACCCGACGTGAATATCTATATTGCCGTACCGTCATCGGTTGCTGCCTTGCAGTATTTGGTGATTTTCGAGTGTAGGTCTGAAGCCATTTAAAAGCAGTGAACATAATGCAATAAATTCCTTTCGCCTTTGCGCTATTCCATGTTCGCTTCGTGGCGTCTCTGTATACAAAAACCGATTTATGATCTACCAGGGCGGTGTTCTACAGTATGTCTTCATTCTACGCACCAAAGAATGTATATACTAAATGCTCGTCATTGCAAATAAGGTGACTATCATACACAGGAGCTCGTCTTAGCTTCATCCTCAACGAGGACTACTAGACCCCAGCACCACGGTAAGGTGCGAGCTCATCGCTGGGGGTAAGTCGTCGTAGATGTTCCCCGATAAATGGCATCAACCTCCACATACACCAAAGGGAAAGGGTGATACATACCTAGAGCCCTCGGCTCTCCTTCCTCGCCTTATCCACCTCCTCCCTAGCCTTATCCTCCTTCTCCCTCTCCTTCTTCCTCACCTCCTCCTCCACCACCTCCCCCGCTCCCATAGCAGCCAACGCGGCATCAACCACAGCCTCCATACTTTTCCATGCCACGCAGGCCTTGCCGGCGTTCAACTTTCGAAGGGCCTCCATCTTTTCGTTGACGCGCCAAGACGCCCGAAAAGATTCGACATCGGCTTGGGAATGTGTAGGGTCGCAAGCCCTGGTGTTGTCGACTATCTCGCTGTGACACCCCTCGGAAGACAAAGAGCCAATGACCCTCTGTCTCTTTGAGATGTAGGCGGTTGGGTCCGAGATGGGCCTTTTCCGGTCCCCAGTACCAGGAATCGGATAGACGGTCTTCGGTTTCCAATCCGCATTTGTCCGTGCGATAGCGTAGGCACGTTCACCGAAATCGCCGAGGTCGAAGGCACGCCTTTGTTGGTCTTCCGCCAGGCCGTAGAGATATGGTTCCGCGCGTTCTGGTTTCCGATGTCGCTGGAGATGAGCCCACGCCCGGTCTCGAGTCGACGTCTTCTCCCGCTCTTTGGCCCCTTGAAAGAAGGTTAGCATAAGAGAGATATCCTTACCATAGGTAACGTATGAATCTGGCAAAGTCCCGGGAAGATTATCGATGTCGGTTTTTATCAGACCCGTCCAGCGGCTGTGATCTTTGGCGGCATTGACTCTTCCCACCTCTGCATGGCAGAACTCGTTACGTTTGGCATAGATATCGATTGCCAGGCAAGCCATCTGAAGGTTAATGTCGAACTTCCGCTCCTGGAGAATGCGGATGCATTCCCTCACGGTGTTTGCAACTGGACCCTCCTTCACGGATGTGACATCGCTGTCACATAGTAGTTTTTGTCGAAGGAGGCCCACCTTCTCTGGCAGGCTAGTACCCACGTCCTCTTTTGCCACCTTTTTCAGGTGGTTAAACACGCACCCCGCGTAATCTCCGTAGGCTGCGTAGAACTGAAGGTGGCTAACCTTATCGTACTCCAGCTTGATTTTATTTGCCCCGGTCAGCGGTGCTGACCCACTGCAAGCTGGAGACAAAGGAGAGCCAGGAGGGACTGATGACCGCGATGGGTTTCCTGTGTCATATTCAGCGTTGGCCATGTCCGACGTAGAATACATACCGTCTTTATTCACGAAGATGGGCGGCAGGCTTTTTCGGGGGGTCGATGGCGACATGCCTGCTATTGAAGACGATTAAAAAAAAAAGAAAAGAAAAGAAAAAGTGCAAGGGGGGAGAAGGCAGGAGGTCTGTAAGTAGAGTATACGAACGTCGTGATAATGGCGAAATATCGCAAGATAACCGCTGGTCTTTCCAAAAAGCAATGGATGCAACGACGAGCTGGTATATGGAGAGAAGAGAAGAGAAGAAAAAGAAGACGGGACAGAAAGCAGAAGATAATTGCTGGGTCTGTAGTTCTGTGGAAGTGGAAGGTGCATGTTGATTTATATGGTTGATGGGAAAGAACGGGGCGGAATCAAAGATGGATTCATATTAGATACATTCATGCACACACATAAAACAATACATAAAACACATAGACAATATGAAAATAGCAAGATAGACAGCTTGAACAATCTACATTGGATTACCACACGACGAACAACAGTCAGAGCCATAGTAATTCCGATACAATGACTCCTCCCACAGATTCTTACATAGACAACACCCATACTCGAACCCTACATAGTCGCAGTCTTCACACCAACGTCTCTCGATCGTCAACCCCCAGTTGTATAATGGAGGCCTCCGATACTTTGACGGCCATCTCCTGAATCTCCATCTCATAAACGCAACAAAGAATGCATCAAAAGGAGGGTGGGTCGCCATTTTGTATGATTCGCAAGCAAAAAGCACATTCTTCTTTCGCGTCGATTCTGCTGGTGGCAAGGGAGGATATCCCTTGGGATAAGCCTCGTGCCATATCTTTTTCCACGTTTCCAAGTTAACATAGTCGAATCTTGAACCAGGGGGCTTCAGCAGAGCAAATGTCGTGATCACAGCCTTGTATCGGTTGAGGAGCTTAAAAAGGCCCGGGTCATGGGTTTTGGCGCACGTTGGACGGAATCGAAGAATGTATAGAAACCATTTAGCATATGGCGAATAGTCGGTTGGACTCCTACAGAACCAGTCCATCAAGCGTCTCAATCGGAGTATGTCTGCTGTATATCCAGGAAGATAATCCAGTTGAGTGTCGAGGAAGAACTCCATGTCGTCGGCCAATTCTCTGACATGGCGGAACATTGGAGTAATTGTGGCGTATTTAGGGTCATCTGGAAAGGAAATATTCTCTCCTGACAAATACAGTTCATCTCCGTTTTGATTGATAAATTCACAGGCGTACTTGATGAAGCCTTGACTCACGGCTCTCTTCATCCTTGGGCCTGATGGGATGATTTCTAGGTTGTTCACTTCCTGCAGCCGAAGAAAAGGGATTAATACAATGTTCTGGTCTAAACGGCCATGTCGAACTGGATATTTGACAGTTTCATGTGCCGTTCCGTCAGTTTGCCAGTCGACGTTGTTGTTCTTGTGATAGCAGATATCAACATGTTGAAAAGAGCAAACACCACGCAGGGTAGTACGCATCAACTCGAACGCCCTCTCGTATAGTAAAAGCAACTGTCCTGGGTCTCGAGGATCAGGAGCATACAGATGGATAGCCAGATTTATCTCGTCATAGGGGAGGTTAGAGAACTTGTGGCCTCTGTAGAACACTGCTGGCTGGGATGCAGCGTTGCGCATCCGGGGAAATATTGCCGTGGGTTCATTGAGAACCGGGGAAATGTGGATGTCAATCGTGTTGTAGAGGCGGCTAATTATGTCGTCGTGTATTTCTCGGCTGGTTCGAAGGATGCCCAGTTGCTCTATTGGCGATTCTTGATGCAATTCGAGGCAAAGGACGTAGTCCCAGAGGACAAGCCGTATCTCGTATGGCAGCTTGGCCAGATTGCCTAGTGGTGATGCTTTGGCCATGATAAAGATGAAATGACAGACAAGGTAATAATCAATGATAATTGATAGCAGTTGGTGGAGGTTGATAATAGTTGATGATGGATGATGGAGAGAGAGGAGAAAAGAGAATGCAATGTCGAGTAGAAGTAGTAGTCTTGCTTAGGCATACTCGACATCTGCCTATTTTATTCGACGTGACAGCAGAGTGGCGATGAAAGAACAAGACAAGATAGGCAGCAAACCATAGCCTAATTTTAAATATTACATGACGACAATCAAATAAACAATGCCTGCATCTAGATCTATACAATGTATGCCTGAGGCAGAAGCACGTGATGTATCACATGACCGCCATCAAAAAATCAACTGAAATTGAAGCCATCACCAACTCAATTCATTCCACGATTGCCATCAACCACGGCGTTTGTCTGATTAACTAAAAGAACTGTTCTACAGTTATTTCTCTCTAGAATACTTCTTTTATCGTTACTGGCCACGAATACACCTCTGACCCGTACACGAAACAATGGGTTCCAGTTCGAAGAAGAAAAAGGAAAAGCAGAAGGATTTCCAGGTGAATATCGACGCAATATCCCATCCACCGTGCAGTCACTGACTTTCTCCAGAAACCCAAACTCAAGGTCGGAAAGGCCAAGGCAAAGCCGGAAAATTTTACAGACACCAGTTTCCAGTCAAAGTGTAATTTTTTCTTTCTATACCACCACTACATACGGCCTAGCTAATACGCTGTAGCAATTGTCTTGAACCAACAATCGCTCAGACTCACTGCTCCATCTTCCAACGCTGTCTTCTCCCATCATGTCTCGCTTCTGACTTCCAAGTCGGATACCCAGCGGAGGGATTCCTTGGCTCACCTGACTACGTCCATCGTCTCGCGGCCTGTGGATTCTCCCCTTCCGCAGCCGGTGAGCGTCATCTTACCAAGTCTGCTGCCTCTTATTCTGGACGGAAGCAACAACGTCCGCACTCAATTACTCAAGCTCTTCCGGTCTCTCCCCGCGACAGACGTGGAAGACCACGTCGCACAGCTAATGCCGTACATCCGCGCCGGCATGACCCATCTCGCAGCCGACATTCGCCTCTCGGCCGTCGAGATTCTCTCCTGGCTAGTCGACGTCGCAGGGTCAGAAGTCGTCTCTTGCGCCGGCGCCTGGATCAAAACCATCAACTGCTTCCTGTCCATCCTAGGCTGGCACACGGAGGAATCATCAAAATGGTCCTCGAGTCGTGCCTCGTTCGGCAAATCCGGAAGCCAGGGAAAACCAATGATTAAAGTCCTCTCGGGTCTAGCTGTTTTCCTCAACGCAGGAATCGGGAAACCGGAAGAAGACACCGTCATGCAGTCCGACGACGAGCAGGTTCCAACCGGTGTTTCGAATTGGGAATTTCCTCTCTGCCAGACGAACCAGCATATGATTCCTCAGTCATCGACACCTTACTCGTATCTGAATTTGTTCGGGCAGCCTCGCGATGAGGAGGGTGAGATGTATGAAACCCGTGAGGATCGGTATCGTGTTTTCTCCAATCGGTTCATGAAGGCTATCGAGCGGGGCGTGGAGAATGCGCGCAAGGAGGGAGGAGAGCTTGGTCGGGCTTCTTCTGGTGTGAATAAGGTATTGAGGGAGGCTGTTGCGTATGGGCCGGGGCCGTGAAGTGGTCTGGTCTGCAGCTGGTTGACCTGAATTCCGAGTTCCCACCGGTCGATCAACACTCATTACGATGACATCGGCTTTATAGTGCCTCTACTACAGCTACGAGGCCGCCTGCAAGTATGGCAAGCTTTCGCTGTATCTCACCGACTTGGCGACGTCTCTTGCCGGGCAAGACGCTCGTCGTGCCAGAGCGTTTCCCCCTTAACAGCCACGAGGTAAAGAAGCCTCAACGAAGCTTATGGCCGCGTCCAAAGCCATTGGACGCAATCTTCTGTTGGCGGAGAGTCGTCAAATACCATTCCAACTGCATCTAGCAGCTACTGTCCTTGCCGACAGTCTATCTGTACGATAAACTCAATACAACAAACATGCTATACATCACTTCAACTATATTCTCTACTTTACCTAATCAAGACATGTTGCTATACTAAGCCCTTCCCCTTCTCCCCCACCCCCTCCCTCACCCTCTGCATATTCTCCTGACTATCCCCCGAAACATCACCAACCCCCACCCCCTCAACTTCATCGTAAACATCCTCCGCCATAACCGCCCTCTCAACCAACGCCTCCCTAACCGGAAACCACCACGACAAACCCACATACACAAAACTCGTGGCTACAAACCCCAAAAGCCACCCAAACTGGTACGGATGAATTCCCACACCAACATCGATATGTGTATTCACGGAATTAATCAACCCGGGTAGGTTTGGCGCTACGCCAACAAGGAACGCGACGATCGCGCGCCAGTTCACGCCCCAGCTTGAGTAGCGGTATGTTTCGTTCCACGGCTGATATAGAGCGAGGGTGTCGTATTTCTGGTTTTTGATTATCCAGAAATCCCACATCATTATTGCCGCTATCGGGCCGAGGAAGATGGCGTACGCAGACATGAAGTTGAGAAAGTTGCCAGCCGATGCGAGGATCCTCCAGGGGACTAGACACCACGACAGTAAAGCGCAGAGAACCTGGCCGCGCCGGATATTCATGTACTGTGGTGCGAGCGCGGTGAAGTCGTTTGCGGCGGAGATGGAGTTTGCGGAGATATTCCCGCCCATGGAGGCGAGGGCGAACGAGAAGGCTGCGAAGAAGCGACAGGCTCGACTGGACCAGTGGCTGATTAGCACGAGGGGATCCCACATGTCGCCGCCGTACCGCGCTTGTCCGGCTGATGAGGCTGCGATGCCGATGAATGAGATGAATGTGAAGACGATGGGTAGCATGGGGATGTATAGAAGTTGCCATTTTGGGCTGACGCGGGAGTAGCGAGAGAAATCAGACTATACATGTCAGTTCAGTTCACCCTCATCCATACCTTCAAAGTGGAAGAAGTCAAACCTGATTAACACTCAACGTAGCATAATTCCCCAGTACAGAATTCATACTCCCCAACCACAACCAACTATAACTCGCCCCCTTAACCGTCACACTCTGCTCAAACATCCCCCCTCCCCCCTCCGCCACAAACGCCCACACCAGAATCGCAATCCACGAAACCGGCACCACAACCGACTTGACCACAAACACCCAGCGTAACTTATCCGGATGCAAACACAGAAACGGGAACTGCACAAGCCAGAAAATCGTATACGCCACCATCCCATTCGTCGTGATCCCCTGGTTGGCTGGGATGTCGTTCTTCAGGGACAAGAAAGACGGCCAGATCGCACCTATCATTACCCGGACTGCGTTGCCGCCGTTGACGTTCTGGATCGCGAACCAGAATACAGCGAGAATCACCCGCGAGATGATCGCGACGTAGCTGCCCCAGAAGCCCCAGCTGGCTCGCGCGATGACGGGGAAGGGGATGTGGTATTTTGCGCCCACGGCGCCGTTGGCTGCTATCACGAAGGATATGATGAAAAACGACACGGCCACGATTATCAGTGATTCGCGATAACTCAGTCCCACGGCCATGATGCTGCTTGCGAATTGCCAGGTTGCGGCGTTGAAGGCATCGGAGATCCAGTACGCTGGGTATCATCAGTTCACATACACACACTATATCAACCATATTCCATATATGTAATTTGTATAAATAATATGCATACCAACAATACTCCAAACGCCCCATTTCCTTAATCCGCGCGGAATCGGGTCCAGATCACGATTCGTCCAGCGCGCATTTCCCTCCGCAAACGCCGACTTGTGCTGGGTGACGCGCAGATGCGGTCTGTATTTCAGGTTCATGATTAAATTTCAATTCAATTACCTCTGGATTTAACCAGGGTATATTGAATGTAATAATTAGAGGAGAAAAGGAGATGAGGGAGGTCGGAAAAAGAAAAGAAAAATTGGCGCTATCGCTATGCAAGGAGGGCCTCGTTACACGGTGACATCAGAGACAACCTAATCTGTATGCATTCGAGGCCGAAAATGGAAGTGCAGATAATTCGAAGATATTGCGATGTTTCGATCGATGGATACGATGCGATACTGCAACTGCACGATGAGTATATAAGTTGCATTGCAGCCGTGGTCTGGACGATGATAAGCATGCCTTGATAAGGATCTGGCAGCTTCGAGATAGTCGCTGGCGGTGTTTATTGGTGAATTGGGATATCCCTGCATGGCTTGATAAGGATCGAGATAAAGACCGTCATCGACGTGATAGAATAGATATAAACAGAACTCAATTAATCTCATAGCTTCATAGACTTGCCAGTTACAGAGATAGCTAGCATGATCAGTCTGTATGTCCATGTCCATGTGCATGGCATAGATTACGCCTTCTCCCCAGGAAGACGCACATCCTCCCAACCCCGTCCATCACCAACATTCGACTCCCTGCCCACTCTCCGAATGCCCTTCCAATCATCCACATCCATCCATCCAATCCGCGCCATATTACCAAATCCACCAATCCAATAAACCTGGGTGACCACCATCTTCGCCCAGAAGCTCGAATGCGGCGAGCCCAGTTTATTCGGCAACCAGACCACCGCGTCCGGGTGCGAAGCCAGATAGCACTTTCTCAGCGCTTTCTCGGTGTCCTTGGGGATGGGTGTTTCAAACGGCTCTATGTATCCGAAAAGGGTTACGCGGGGTAGACTTGCGGGGCTGAGGGGGGCACCGGGGAAGAGGGGGTCAGTTTCATCGAGGTGCTCCCACCAGTCGAGCTCGAGACTGACATTGGAGCCGGCAGCGGTGTTTCTGAAGGTCGTGCCGACGTTCAGGGCGAGGAAGGTTGGGCTGCCATCTCCGCCGTTGCCGGAGGGGAGGGCCTCGTCGCAGTCGGCGGTGTATTCGCGGAGGCTGATGGATTGGCCCACGACTGGGGATGGGACGTGAGAAGCAGATTCGGGGAAGATGGTTGAGACAACGCCAGAGGTGGAGAGGGCGAGGAGACGGCGGGCCTGGAGAGTTGAGGTGAACCAGGATGGGATGCCGGGGAAAGCCGAGGTCTCTGCGTCTTGCTCGGTGGAGATATCATCCAGGGGCGATGAGAAGGGCGAGTTATCACCACTGCTCAGATGCACTTGCTCGCGTTTGGTATCCTCTGTAGTAGATAGAGGAACAGCTGTTGTCTGGAGGAATAGCTGGCTGAAAAGCACCAGCACAGAAAGGGCGGAGAGCGAGCGACCGTGAGCCATCACGAACGTCACTTTGACGGTGTTATGATTCGAGATAAAAGACGATAAATAACACTCTCAATACTGTCAAGTATCAGCCAGTCCAGACAGCAGAGTAATACACTATCTAACTCCAATCAGACTGATTTCAGAGAAAGCAAGAGAAAGCCAGAGTGAGAAGGGAGTGAGTCGTGAGGGGAAAAGAAAGGGAGAAGCTGGGAACAACCGATCCGATGACCTGATTATCTTATCTGATCCCACTAGCCCCAACCCAGCCTAGCCAAAACGGTCGCAACCACCCACCTCCCATCACATGACTCAAGTCACATGCTGTGAAATGCAAACATGGCATGATCCAAACTCCGTACTCCCTTGTGGATCACCGCCCAATCTTTCCTCCGGCACCGGCGCTTCTGCTTCCGGCCCTTCCCGGATCCATCCGACCGATTCCGGAACATTTATCCAGATACGGAAATAAATATGCTGCCTCAGGCGCCGAGATATGGATTGACTCACCGGCGACAAATGTTTCTGTGCAACGCCATCACGGCTTGCAGTTTGCATTTCGCCCCCCTCCCGCCCAATATGTGGTACTCGGCGGTGTGAGTCAGAGGTTGGCACGAGCGTCCTCATCCATGGATCTGTAGCTGGGATATACGATACCATACCACCTGAGAGAGGGGCGGGACAGGCAGCTATCCTCGTGGGGTCCCCCAACCGCCTGTATGGAGGCAGAGGCAACAAGGAGGTCAGCCCACGGGTCAGAAAAAGTAAAGATAGTAGACTAGATGTATGATGATGAAGCTGTCAAGGTCAAAAAATTATACTGTACTATTGGCTATCTTTGGATACATTTCCATAAACGCTGAACACCAGTCCCCCGTCCTTGGCTGCCGCAGCAGGGAGCACAAGGAATACACAAGCTGTGACTCAGAAAAAGAACCGTTGGGATTTCCAGCCGGCGAATCACCAGAGGGAGTAAAAATCAGTAATAAAGCACAAACACGAAGAAACAAGCCGACCGTTCCCGCCACACTCCGTTTCACAACTGGTAACCGATGGTAAATGTAGAGACAAGGAAAATAAAAAGTTAAAAGATCGAAAACAGTAACTCGCAGGGACAAAAGGCCACCCTGGAATACATCATACACGAGTGGGCTGTCAAAAAGACAGAAAACCACTGCACACAGTGCAACAACGTCGGCAGAGATCAATGCAGGCTTCCCCCGTCCTAGATTCCCATCAACAGTAGGGTATATACACAAGACAAACACAAGAAAAAGAATAGCGTCCTGGAGAAGACCTAAAAAAGAAAACAAAACTCCAAACAGAGTTCTTCACTTTTTGTTTCAACCAGTAGCCTGCATCTTCTCTCTGCCGCGTATGAAATCAGAAAAGAAAAGGTTCTCGCTCGACGAGATCAGAGGATGTGAGGAAAATTAAGCAGTAGCTAAACTTTTCCTTTTCTATAACAAGCGGAAACAAAAAGAAGAGAAAAGAGAAAAAAAAAAAAAGAGTACAGATTCCGTAGTAGGAAAGGTAAGACCTAGCCCATGTACTCTACCCGCATGCCCGGGTTCAAGGCAATCTTTCTGGCTTCACTCCCACAGCAAGCACGCTTCATGCCTGCCGGTCCAGACAGCTGGGTGCTGAGGTTAAGAGCACCGACCTGAGAGGCCGGGTAAGGCTGGGAGCAACTCGGGTTGGGGATCAGAAAAGAATTAGCGGTGTTGCCATCAGGCAAAACACCGCCTTCACCAGTACTGAGATTGATCAAGTGGCGCACTTGATTCTGGAGAAGAGCATCTTCAGAGTGTGTCCGGCCACGCTTGCGGCATTTTCGCTGTTCAGTTCCTGGCTCAGATGTCATGTACGGACGAGTACCTGCACCAGAAAGATCACAGAGACTTTGAGCTGCCTCGCGAGTTGATGTTGTCATATCGGCGGGAGTTGCCAGCGAGAAGTTGGACAGGTCAAATACCTGGCCCAAGGGACCGGTATATGACTCGGGGGAGCTGTAGACCTCGCCGTATGAAGTCTCATCAATAGGTGAAGCAATAGCCAAAGGCTTCCGGCTCTCCTTCATGGAGTTATTGGTGCATCGAAGAGTGGCCTTGACAGCCAGGCGAGGCTGAGAGGGCGCGCAAGTTCCCGATGCGTTGGAGGAGACGGAAGAGGACCTCGAGGAGCGGGAGGACAGGGTTGAAACATCCGAAACCATAGACTCCGGAGACGACGCAGATGAAGTTGAACGGGCCAAAGAAGATCGACGGACCGCGGCCGGGTAACCATCGTATGTACCAGCCTTCGGGCAGAACGAGAGCGGGCGCTGATCAAGGGTTGACCGCGCCATGCACATGTTCTGCGCCTGGGACATGGCAGCACAGATAGAAGGCCTGCGAGATCCATAAGCGCCAGCACTCACGGCAGGAGTGGTGGCAACTGTCGATTGAGGGGTCATCTGAGGCGTAGGAAGCATGGAAATGCGCGGCAAGGATGGGAGAGACTGGTTGGAGTACTCCATCCGTGCAGTGGGCTCCAGAGCGACTGGCATCCGTCGGGTTTGCTCGTGAACCGAAGGCAAGCTAGGAGGCTCGTATGTAGACATGTGGTGGGGAGACGGCAAATCCGCTGCCGGACCCATATCGAAGCTTCCGGCATTGGAAGGTGTCGCATACTCGGTATCAATGTTGTCCAGCTCGGGGGTAAGCTTAGGGATGACCGATTGCCACGACAGGCCTTCACTAGTAAACATGCTCCCGGCACCAGGAGTATACTTCAGGACGATGTCCGTCCAACGCTGGAAAAGAGCTTCGGTGATGTGGAGTTTCCAACCCACTGCTTCGAGGAACATCAACTCGTTCTGGTTGATCTCGAGCGTGTTGAGACCGGAGATCTTGCTCCAGGCGCGGGCGGAGTAGTTTCGGTCCTGAAGGTACTTGGATGCGAGGATCAAGGCGGAAAGAAACATGCGACGACCGCACTGCATGGCCCGGCAAACCGGTTTCTCGTCCTTGGTCGAGTCGGAGTTGGGCACATGCGGCTTGATCTTAATGAGATAATACAATGCGACCTGCAGAGTACTGTAGCTAGTTCGAGACCGGCGAAGGGTCTCTTGAATAAAGGTGCGAAGGGGCAAAACACCTTTGCACCCAGTAGTAGAGTCACTACGGAGCGCCACTGCCGACAAGGGCCAGATGATTTCGACAATCTGGGACGCGGTGTCTTGAGAGAAAGCTTAGTCCCGGGACGCGAAGCCACCATATTTGACAGGAGGCCACTTACCGACAAGGTTGTCAACGAAATTTACTTTCCGCTCCGATTGACGCATCAAACAGGGCGGGGGTCGCGCGCAAGGAGCGCCGTTGGGCTGAGCAACATAGGTGTTGGTACGGCGAGGATGCCTGCGCAACTCAGGCGCGACCGCAGTGTCAGCATGTTTGGGCACACTCCCCCTCACACAGCTTCGTGGACCATTTAAAACAGGCAAGCCTCTTCCTGCCAGGGACTCACTCTCATTTTCCCAGATCACATCCACCGGGTTCGTGGAGGTCGATGAGATGGAACTCTGGGCATCTAGGGAGAAGACAGAGGAGGAAGAGGAAGATGCGGAGGAGGAGATCGAAGAGGCATAGGGGTGCGCATGAGATGCTTTATATTGAAAGCTTGGGTTTGAGTCTTTCAAACCCAAGACGTCCATCCCTGACATATCCGAGATTGTATCGAATTGTAGACCTGGAAAAGTATTTCTCGAAAGGGCGGAGATTCCAGATATCCAAGCAGATCGAGAGAAGCTCGCACCAAGTGTTTTTAATTCAAAAACCGGATATGATCGAAGCGGATGGGCCGATTTTTAAACCGTGATATTGTCAATTTAACCGTTGTGCAAGTAACCGTAAACGAGAAGCCGATAGAACAAATGCCGTCCTTGAATCGCAGGCGACGGCAAGCCTTATTGGAGAAAGTTCGCCAGCTTGTCAAGTTAAGATAGTTGGCGAAGGAAAGGTAGGTGGGTTAGGGTAAGCTATTCAATACAGGTGTAGTGAATAGCAGAATAGATCAGAACGCGAAGGATATGGGTATCAAAGAGGTAGTAGACGTGTAGAGGAGGGGGGTATAAACGTCCACGGTTCCGATCACCGTTTGTAGAGTCCAGGTGTAGATCAGGCCGAGAGAGGAAAGCGGATGAGGCAGGTAGAGATCCTAAAGAGGGACAGGTATATCGACGTCACTCTTCAAGAAATAAAAGACTAGTTGTAGTGGATCTGATGTTCAGACAAACAAAACAGTCTTCTCGGAGGAGGATCGGAGATCTGAGGCCAAGGATTCTGCAACACGGGCGATCGGAACGACAGCGATGGAATCAACAAGGTACATTGTGACTTTGACGTATGAGGGGGGGTTATATATCAACCGATCGAACGGCGAACTGACTAGCAAGCAGGCAGTTGACTGATGCTTGTCCAGGCAGTCAGCGGTTTATCGGTGACTAGGTGGGAGGCAGGTAGCGGAGGCAAGCGGTTCGTGAGCAGGCGCGACTAGGCTGATGGTGCGAGAAGACGAGGATCGAGTCAGCAAATCAGTCAGAAGTAAAGAGGATGCTTTTTGTGTCTTCTAGCTAGTCTGTATGACTCCTACTCCGAAAACGCCAGCAAGCGGGAACCGAGGGAACGCTGCCTGGTGACTAGTATTTTGCGGAGGGCGGAGCAACAGGCAGTGACTAACGGAGGGGGCGGTCCAGTCAAAGAGCCGGGATCAGAAGGCAACTTGTAAGATAGCACAAGGGCCAGTGGAACAAGAAGCAGGAAAGGATAATAATGAGGGATGAAAAGAGGCGAGGATTGGGAAGAGTGGGAATGGTTACTCACCCGTACCTGTGGCAAAGAGAGTGGCGGAAAATGGGCGAAAACAGAGTCACAGAGAGAACGGACGCAGGGACACTAGTTTTTTTCTGCCAAAAGGCAAAAAAGAAAGGGAGCGGAAGAAGAGGCAGGTGGCGGGATCAGGAGGGGAGAGAGAATGAGGAGATATGACTCTTCAGTTCGTCTCGTCCTTCTGATATATGATTAAAGAAGTAAAGAAAGAAGAAGACAGCGTGATAGGGGGATATTCAGACTGGAGCAGAGAGGCAGGGCGGGTTAGTAACGATCGGGAGCAGACTGGAGACGGAAGCGGATAGTATGACTATGAGTCTTCCGATTATACTATCTTTATCTTATAATTTTTTTTTATAGAGGATATTGATGATAAATGATAATAATAATAAATGATGATTGTATCTTACCTGAGCTACTATCCACTGGATTTTGATGTCTGATGTCTGTTCTTTATCGTGTTCTCCCGACAAATGACTCAGGAGATGCCAACAAAAAAGACAGACAGGCAGCAAAGAAGAAGACGGTGAGGTTGGGAGACAAAATCGAATATCATATAAAAGAAAATAGAAATAAAATCAGATGCAGTTTTAATGTATAGGAGAATTAATCGCAGTCCTCTAGAAGAGGCAGGCCTCGATAGGTCGGCAGTTCATCTTTGCGACGTCGGAACAGAGGAAAAAAGAATCATGCAAAGGGGGTGGGCGCCAGTACATTTTTCTATTCTACGCCGACTGTTCATGCAGCACGACGACGACTGGAGGGACAGACTGCGACTCTATTTTCTAGCTGCTAAACCCAACCTGCAGCATCGGCCAGTCGCCCTCGTTCCTTGTGCCGCTTCTGTCCGGCTTCAACCAACCACCTCTGCCCGGGACGCCACTTGAAATTTCTGCTGAGGCAGTGACAATCTCGGTGTCCGTCTACAGTCTACGCAGTAGACTGTATGCTCTAGAGTAGACTGTAGACTGTAGACTGAATAGTCTTCTGAATATTCTCATCTTCGTATTACTATTCTCTAGTCTCTCGATCTCGACTGTGTCTTTCATCAGATAATGGTGGATTGTGCTGAAGTGGACCAGATGGGTCATTTTGGCCCAGGCAGCAGAAAAGACCGACTTTCGAGGGAATTCGACCATTCAGAAGCGCCGATTACTAGATTATAATTTGACTACCAAATGAGATGCTGTCTAGTTATACAGGCTAAATCGTTTCTCTCCACAATATTCCTGACTTGACGAGTTGTACAGACAAGACCGTGTACAAAATGCAACCCAACAGCATACATAACTACCAAAGAAAAGCCAAGCTGTCATCGTAGAAAAAGGCGGTAGCTCGGTGTGCGACCGTCACTCCGTACCGCAGGACAGTTGTACTGTACATTAGTCCCATTGTCGATGATGAATAACCTCGTTCTTCCAGAACCCTACAGGAATGGCTTGCTCGATTTCGATGCAGCCTGTCAGATCCCAACCTTTGCCACCGTCGACGTTTCGAACAGCTTCTCTGTAGGCTGTTCAGTCCACATGAACATCATCAGCGTCATGATATTCACGCATCATCATCATAACTAATAATACAAATCCTGTCTAATAATAATGATACCTAACGACTCCGCCCTGTCGAGTCATTTTTCCCTTCGCCACGCTGTTTCTTCTTCTTCCGGTTTAGCGTCCTGGGTCGCTCTCTGACCAATCCCACACAAGCCTTTTTCCCCACGATCCGGTGGGCGCTGATTGGCTGGCGGTGTGTGATCGGCAGTCAGAGTTGCCTGGCACGAGTTCGCCCCCGCAGAAACACGCAGTTGTGTCGATTGTCGTCACCGATCATCGTGTGCTGTGAGGCTGGACAGCCTGAATACCCAGGCTGGAGTGACTCATGATGGAAATAGCAAAAAAACTATCAATAGACTTTGCAGGGTACCAAAAGTACCACTACTGGTACTATGTATGTGGGAAGTCAAAGTAGTTATCTACCGTGGTAGGAGAGTATGCAAGTTAAACTCACCAATAGTATCTATACAAGACGCTCAAAAATGGTATCTATCTTCCTGGAAAGAAGAAACACCCAGTCTTGCCAAGTGCTGCACCTGGATGGAAATGGTGAAACATCCAGGAAGACAAAAGGATGACTGATGATGTCTATCTGACTAACCTTCATTCCATATTACCTGAACATCATACCTATACTCTAATCTACAAGAGCAGAGATATCTTAGCATATCTTCACTCTATAAAATACAATAACTACTTAAATGGTTATTCTAGATAGCTGTCTTAGTCCTACCTACTAGTAATCCACAACCACAGTACAAGCAAACATTCAAATCCCACCCATACAACAACATACAAACACACCCAGGCAGCCAGCAGGCAAACATCTCGTACTTTCCAACCGATAGGCCGATAAATGAATGGTGTTCTTTGTCCAACCATCTAAATCCTGCATGCTGCCTGCAGAGCTAATGCAGTGTGTCCTGTGGATGGGAAGAGATTTTAAAGGTCTCTTTCTCTGACAGGGGTAAGATTGAACTGGCTTTAGTCAGATTGAGGGGTTGAGGGAGGTACTTTTGTAACTATCTTACAAAGAAAAGAATAAAGATGACTGTGGATGTAGTGCAGAGAAGAGTAGTTCACATGATGATTTATGCATGTAGGTGGATGCGTTTTATTAATGGTTGTAAATCTAGGCCTTTCACTCTTTTGGGGTGGTTCTTTTGTCTTGCTGGGTTGGTATTCTGACTGTTTATTGTAAGCGGTTGTCGGTTCAGTAAAAGTATTAAAATTAAGCGATAGAAAGATTGCAGTACACTCGTAGATGAGCATACAGGGCCCGCAGACTAGATACAATCCAGACATATCAGTCTATTAGACAAGGACCTGAAGCCACTCAGAGACTAAGAAATCTGCATTCAACCGGGTATTATATGCCACATAATATTCACACAAAAGCACCAAACCCCCCAACCCCTCAAAGGTTCCTATCAGTATCATCTAGACCTCACCCCCGCAGAACCACCAGCCGGATGCGTCGCATCCTGCACAACACACAGCAAGTACTTCCTATCCGGCACGACGACAATCTCATGCTTCTTCGTCCGCAGCCGAAGCAGCTTCACCTCGTCGTCTTCTTCCTTTTCTTCTTGTCCCTCGCCCTCGCCTTCTTCGCGGGGATGGCCGTTTTGTGCGCCTTCGGCGCCGGGAATTTCGTGTTGGTTATGTTGGTGGGTATTGTTTAACGTAGCGGTGGTAGTGCTGGGTTTCGTGCTAGCACTGGCGCTGGCGCTGCCCCCATCCGTAGGGTGCGAAAGCGACATGCTCAACTCCGACGCACTAGATACAAACGCAAAGATGTGCGCTGCCAGCGCCTCAGCCTGCGATGGCTGGTACGGTTGCTGGGGGTGGTTCGGTGGGGAGGTAGGTGTCTGTGCTTGAGCTTGAGCTTGTGGTGTCGTCGGCGTGGGTGTAGAAGGGGCGGATTCAGAAGAAGGGGATGTAATCGACGACGGCTCGATGGTGGAGTTCGTCCCCGAATGTGTGCCGGTGCTGTTTTGGGCGGGCTTGGGTCCTATTGACTCGGGGGTGGCTAGGAGACCCGTGCTTTGGATGATAGAGCCATCTTTGCGGGAGAGGATGAAGGTGGATTGCACGCCGGGGCGGGATGTGAGGTGCGAAAGGAGAGCGGTTACATGTTGTGGGATCTGTTGGTTCTGGATCTGTTAGTTTTCTTTCTTTTTCTTTTTATTTGGACGATACACTCGTAGAGCAGAGTGAAAGCAGTGGACATACCGCTGTTGTGTGCGCCATTCTGAAGAACCGCGGGGGTGGTGGTGAGAATGTGAAACGGGTGTCGGTCGAGTCTCGAGGTATGTGGGCGGTGGTGACTGTTAGATTTATTTCATTTCAACACCTCCAGCGTCGCAGCTTGATCGTGTATGCTGGTCTCGAGTTTATCCCCCGCCAATGTCTGTTTCTTGTGGTTGTTTTGAGCTGTTGTTCTGTTGTCAACCCAACAACAATCAGCTCAGCGGTTTGGATCCGATGACTAAGCAGTCTGTGTCAAAATGGTCAGATCGATATTCGATGTTTTACGATTTTATAGAGTAGATACGGAGTCAATATTCGATATTGGTTATTTTATTGGGTATATTTCATATTATACATTAATAGACCAATGTCGAAACATTGTCTACTGAATTTCCAAGTCAATACAAAGCGGAAACATATATATAGAGGTCAAATTCGATCACAAGATCAGTATAAAAAAAGATAAAACAGATGGTATCATATGAGTGAAAACAACACCCAAAAATGAGAGACAAAAGAATGAAACATAAAGGTTAGAAAATATTGCATGAGAAAGGTTATGAGGTCAGTCACAGTATCATGGTCAGTCAGAGAAAGATATGTAAGTCATAGAAAAGAAAGAACGAGTATTCGAATGAGTGTCGATAAGCAAAAACAAGTATATGCACGCAAAAAAAAAATCATTTAATCAATTCTGTGCAGGTTGGGTTGCCCCGGGTCCGTTGGGTACATCTAATGTCCAGCCAAATTCAAACCCCGCGATGATGTCCTCCAGTTCCTTGAAGTTGGAACCTCTAGAGCTCGTGGTGGCGGTACTGGCTCGCGGTCCATTGTTCCGAGATACATTCCAACCAGCGGGGCCTGAAGAGCTGCCCATGCGCGATTGCTTGCCCTGTTCAGGGATTGTCTCTTCCACTGGGGAAGGGGTCGTCGTAGACGAGAAAGATGTTCCGGTCGCCGAAGAGGCAGTAGATGCAGACACTGACGTGGAGGTAGACATTCCCAACGCATTTTCATCCTTTCCTCCTGCATCCAAAGCTGCAGAAAGAGCAGCCTGAAGAATCTTGTTCTGGCGTTCAAGCTGGGCAATGCGGCTTTCCAGCAGCTTCACTGTGCGTGCATGGCTAGCCTGGGAGTCTTGAGAGTGCAACGACTGCGGTGATGACTTGTCGAAGGTGGGATAGGATCGGTCTCGAGGTGTCGAGGGGCTGCAAAGGGGGTTCGAGGACGAGGCCTTTCTTACGCGAGGCGCAGCGTGCAAACTATCTGCGTCGAGTCCAAGTCCTGGCTTCTGCTTTCGGCGACTGCTCTTGGGGCGAGACCGATACTCCTTGGAGTGCGCTCCCATGCACTCGTCATCCGAGGATGGAAGAGCACAATCTAATTGTTCAGGCTTTTCTTCGTTGTGCACCCGTTCGTGGCGGAGACTTGCACTTCGTGTGCTGCTGCTTCGACCAAGCCGAGAGGGAGGTGAAAGCTCATTTTGCTTGTTCGATGCCGTGTTCGAGGCGATAGGAGAGGTGCAATGCCGCTTGTCGTTAGAGCGTGCATTGAAGTAGTGTGCCGGTGGGTCTGATGGAAGAGAGGAAACAGGGGGAGGAGAAGGTAAGCCCGAAGCAATGGGCTTTTGCACACATCTATCGACATCGGTTCTATCCTCTCCACTGCGTCTCGGAAGAGGCGGGGCTTCGCGGTTCTTTGGGAAAACTTCTGTCCGTGGACTCACTTGGGAGTCAAAGGACTGGCGTGTCTCCTCGCCTCGAGGACTGTCCGAGCCCGTCAAATACAGGCGACTCGCAGACAGGTCTTTCAACTTGAGTGCACGAACCCTCTCTGCCCGGCTCTGGCGCATCCTCACCAGAGGGGGCGACTCAGGTGGACTCGATGTTGACTTGGGAGGCTGCTTTTCTTGAGCTCCAGACCCAGGTGCCTTATGTTCGCCTTGTGCCTCGGAAGGTGCTGATCCTTTGGACGAGCGGGGGCGGCTGTCCTTTTCTGGAGAAGAGTTCTTTGGGAAGCCTCGCGGGGAAGGGAGCGGAGAAGGAATAGAGGGTGGTGGTGTTGGAAGGTCTGAGGGACGGACAAGGGCTTGATTCGGTCGTCTGTTTGAGTTGGCTTTCTTGTCCTGGGGAGGATGGGCAGACGCCGACCCAGGCAAAGAGGGAAGAGGCCTCATAGGCGCCGGAAGAGGGAATGCATTGATTGCACTCATTTGCAAGGAGGTAGGTCGACTTTTGCTTTTGGGTGGGGGCATTTGGTCTGCGGGCTTGGTGGGAGACTTTGCCGACGCGGAGGAAGAAGAGACGGAGCCATTTGGTTTTGGGAAATCATCAAGGCTTGGCCGAGTACTGGATGGCTTCGAGCCGGCATTGCTCGACTCTGCAGTGGCAGATGAGGATCCTTGCTGAGAGTCTGGACCAGGAGGAGCATTGGGGATAGGCAGACGGCAGTTGGAGATGCGCCATGCTGTCTTGCTTGACATGCGGGGAGGGAGGGTGTCAGGAAAAAGTTTCAAAGATGGGGCAGGGTTCGGGTGGTGTTGCACGACAGGGGAGGTAGATGTCTTGCCCTTGGAGGAGGATTCGCCTTTCGGCTCATCTGCTTTCTGTTCTTGGTTTGTGTCCTGCATGGTAGGTTCCGAGTTGTCATTTTTGTTCACTTGAGGCTTCTCGACCGGAGGTTTGGTATCAGATGTGCCATCGGAGGGAGTGACATTGTCATCACTGACATGATCTTCAGCTTCAGAAGCAGCAGAGGACTTCCCTTTAATAGACTTGTGCTCAGTTGAATCAGCGATTTGGTTCGGTTCGGAAAGGGGCTTGTCTGGGGTCTGTTCGTTGACTGGGTCACATTGGGTACTGGTTGTCTCTGGTGGTTGATAAGGAGGGGGCTTTGTATCCTCGAATTGGGCTGCAGCCTCGACGAGGCTGTTCAGTTCACTCAGATCGAGCGACGACAGACGGCCTGTCGAGTCCTGTGTACTCTGCCTCTCCAACCATGGCTGTCCGATGCTTTCCACATCCCGCCTGGAGCTAGACAACATGCTGAAGTTGGAGATGGACCTGGAGCTATCCAAGCTCTTCTTGGGTTCTGACTTCTTCTTAACGGGGGCCTGGAGGAAGCCTTCTCGCTGAAGGGCACGTAGATGACGATGATTGTCTTCTTCTTTGGATCTGGGATCAGATTCTTTTCTTTGTCTCTGTGCAAGCTGTCGAAGCCGCCGATGACCGGCTTTAAGAATGTCGCGAGCTCCATTAGACTGGGATTGTGGGGGGGCATTGTGCGTTTGGAGATAGCGCATAAGCTCAGCGACGTTTTCGTTCTTCATCGGGTTATCTGGAGACCCAGGAGGGCAAGCTTGATGTCCCTCGTTGGTATTGTTGGTGGTAGATGAAAGGAATTGCTGCTTCGAGGACGAGTTGGCCATGCTGTATTGTTTCCGTTTCGACAATGGCGGACTGGGCCGGCAGGTTGGGACAATGGGGCTTGGTGCAACTCGACTCTCATGCAACTCGGTCCACTGATGCATAAGGAGACAGGCTGGAGCTTCAGCCTTTGGAGGTTCAAATAGATCCGCAAGGAAAATGAGACGTCAGCATTGATGGCGGTGAGGTCGGAAGAAACGTATAAAATGAGCGACAGGAAAGTGATATCAAATTTTTTCGTTTATTTGCCTGGTTCGAAGGTTTGCCAGTCAATATAATGTCCGTTCCCGAATGTTCTCCAGTTGCCCCTTACCAGTAAGATGTGACTCGAGGTGCTGATGGGGCATCAAACTATCAATGCAGTATGACTAGGATCGGAAGGTGATCATGCAGGTAGACAAAAGAAAATATTGGGACCGAAAGGGGACATGGCACAATGCAGTATGTACAAAAGAGTGCCACTATATGTATAATGTTGCAGGAAAGCCTGAATTGAATTGCATTGCACCTAAAGAAGAAAAGAGAAATCGAACCCAAGGAGCGAGAACCCCTCGGTTTAAAAGTTTTGGATGGAACTGAATGAATCGAGCTGTCATGTCCCTACTTTGGCTGGGTCATCCTTCCTAGGCCTGACGGGGCCCCAATGGTATGCAGGAGTCTTTTTTTTTTTTTTTTTCTTTCTTTTTTTTTTCTTGTCCCCTCGTCACCGGCAAAGAGAAAGAGAGGATTATCGATGGAGATAGAGTTGAATCTAGGCAATCCACCAATCTCCATGCCAGTAAGCCTGCGATGCTCCACTGGGGAGGGGAGAAGGGCAACAACGGGCAAGCAAGGCTAGTGGATCCATTATTTGACCTAACGAAAGTGCAAAAAGGGAAAGAAAGAAAGAGCAACAAGGGAAAAAAAAGTGGTCCAAAGGAGAAGAAAGTCAGAAAGGAGTCGCACTGTCCAGTCGGTGGCTTCATAGGGCGATCCGGCGCGCTGACAGTAGTTCGTTTCTTTTCGATCGGGGGCAAAAATGACACACCGTTCCAAGGCCCAAGTGGGGATTTGGGTTGTGTATTCTTTTTTGTCCTCTTGAAAATCAACAGACTATTTGCTCGGAATGACGGACGGATCAAAGTAGCGTCAGTTGGGGTGGATTTTCATCAGCCATGGATCTGTCGTAGGGGTATTTTTATTATTATTCCTGTCAGTTGCGCGCGGATCGTGTCTGGTCTGGTCTGTCTCAGTCTAGCAGTTGGTCGGCCCTGAACAAAGAAAAAGTCCTCTTTCGACTCGAGTCTCGACTATCGCGACTATCGCGCCGGACCCATCTTGTCCTTGGGGCCTTGTGTGACCGTGTAACTATTCCCCCCCTCCCCCTCTTTTTTCTCCTCTCTATCTCCTTGAGGGGACGGATTGCCTGTCCCTGCCGACACTTACACGCAAGGGATAAACGCTCTCCCAACCTACACCGTTCCAGTGGGATGACTCCTTGAGTTTCGAGATGAGACTATGATGAGGTCAGAGATGTGAGGTATCACCACGCAAGTCATTGTGGGATGGTGTCATGGGTGGCCCTAAGATGGGCTGGACTGATCAGGAGGAGACGAGAGCGACAGGGAGCGGCAAGACAGACGCAGACGAGCGATCGTTGCAAAGTTAGCGTCTGGAGGGGAAGCAGATGGTGACGATCCGAAATTGCAATAATGTGACAGAGATAAAGAACAATGACAGCGGGAAGAGGATGGAGATGGAGACGGTCGAGATGGAAGAGTGGAGGAGGAGGAGGAGGAGAGAGAGACCCAGAAGCGTGGATCAGAGAGGTGGAGATTGACAGGTCCAAAGCCACAGAAGCGTGAGAACAGAATAGACTAACTACAGAAAAGGAGACTTACGAGTGGAGATGTCAAGATAGTAATGATGATGGTAATAATAATAATAATATATTAATATAATTAAATCCTAACTTGACACTGACATGGACCGTGTTGAATATTGAAGACACAGCTTATGACAGATGATCTACCGCGGCAATATCACATCCAACCGTCAGAAACAGGGTAGAGTATAGCAATAACTACCCAGGTAACGAGTCAATAATTCCTGCTCGGGTATTTTGCAAGATTTTCACATTCTTATTATGGACCTGGTGGAGCCTGGTTATCATCTAATTCTCACTTATGTATGTTGATGCAACCAGCCCAAAAGAACCCAGCAACATCCCGTGTTGAGAAAAAAAAAAAAAAAAAAAGAGGAGAAACTAGAAAGCAAGAGAAGAGAACAGATAGATGGGAATATCCTCATCTCCTCATCTTCATCTTCATATCGTCAATTCAGCTCATCTGCAGAAAGAGACACTAGGAAGATAGTTTCTCTCCTTGCATCCACCCCTTTTACGAGGATAGCATACATGAACTAGTGAAAAATCTCCGGCCGCATGCATCAATTGGATATTATTCTTTCCCCCCGTGTTCTTCATAGCTGAACTGGAATAAAAAGTAAATAAAAAGTAAAGAACAAGAAGAGAATAAGCAAAAAGTACGTACAGTGACTCCGTGGCAATATAGCATCTCCACCACAGAACAAATCCGCTTGATAGATACGATATCCACGCCAACTCGTCAGAAAAAAAAACACTCTACATCGATCCTACGATCTCATGGGCCCATGAGTTCGTCTCTCGATCGATTTGCCTACATATCGGGCCTTCTCCCAAGCCATTGACGTTTTTCTGATCGATTCTCCCCAGATTTTGCATTCTGATTCCTGGCTCATATCAATCTCGATATACACACAATAGTATACAGAACAGAAAACACCCCAGCGACGCGAATACATTCAACATCATTGACTCATATTGCAATCCAATCCAGCAAGTACCTTGGACTATCCTCAGACCGCTCAGCTCGAAACCTGTTCATGCTAAAATGTCTAGTCCATCGCTTAGTTGAAGATCCGCAACACTACCAGCACAGACACAACGGACGGTAGAAGAAAAGATTCCTTCGACCCACTGCGAAAAGTGACAAACTGACAGCGACGGGAGAAGTCTTATCGCCGTAACAAAGTCTATGCTCTCTGCTAGTCTGATAGGATGGCACTCCTCCTATCTTTGACATTAACGCTTTACCCGCCATCCTCGTCTACTACTATCTGCTGCTACAACCAAGTCCACCTCAAGAAATCCGGCACAATGGCATTCGGATCTTTCTGAAAAAAACCCGCCGCACTGGATCTATCTCTCCCCCTCTTTTAACCCCGAGCCACTCTTGCACGCTGCAGTAGTCTAGCTCCTTTTCTTTTCTTTTCTTTTTTTGGCAGGATTCGCACGATGTGCTGGCAATTCGCAATTCGCAAACGCAATCGCCCTATCTGCCGGGACCAACCGTCTCTTTCTTTTTTCTTTCCCCCCCTATTTCCGGTGATGATACTCGGTATCGTGCAGATGGGCTGCGATGGGCTGAAGATTGTCTATGCGTACTATTGTCACATTGCCTATTCCCTGTAGCGCTCCATGGCGCAATGCTCTCAACTTCTTGAGGCATTATTCCTCTCCAGTCCTCTCGTCTCGTGTATATGACTCTATGGAGTGTGGATACCAGTCCGTTCTCATCACTGATCACCCCTAGACCCATCCCAACGGATGGGAACTAAAACTAGGACACCGGAAATGAGAGCAACCAACCAACCGCTCTCGGCCCCTCGGACATCTATCGTTCTTAGTTCTTACCGTCCTATTGACATTTCCCAGTCCTTCGGGTCGGGCATCCAAGAGTCTGGCTCTCTGATCGTCATCTGAAGAAACCCTGTCGTCATATTATCTATCTATCCATGAGCGAGATGGAGTACCGAACTTGGCGCGGGCTTTATTTCGTTGGGGGGATCGGGAGAATTCGTTCTTTATCACCCGTTTGTGGCCTGATTGATCAGATGGGTATTACGCGGAGGTGTGTCTTATACGATGTGTGCGACATCGAGGGAAAATTTTGGATACGATGGAGGATCAGGTGTGCTTTCGGGGAATTTTGTGATGATCGATGGCCGATGGTTCGAGTCGATGCCGATGGCGATGGTCGATCGATCAGGGGTATGTATGCACTGTACCGTGTAGTTATGGAGGTACCTAGGTACCTTGGGTGATGCCGATGGATTGGATGCATGATCTCGTCTCGTCTTTTTCAGATGGATAGAACCCTTGTGGCCAAATAGTCTGGCAAGTGGTTGGATGAGGTTGTTTGATAGGCTGCGTAGGTAGAATCTCAATGCAGAATCAGGATTATTCCCTCACTTCCTCTTTTCGAGTCATCCTTCAAGGCAACCGACACCTGTTACGTGCTTATCCTCCCCCTCTACTAGATCTTACAGATGGATCACTGAGACTAGTATAGTGTATACTAAATCACTCTTCATGTCACACCATTCCCCCTGACTCACCCAGAACAAGGGTATACAGATCCCACCATCTAGAACAATCACAGTTCCTCCTCAAATGTATACATGAATGATTCCTTCCGCTAAGGAGATATCAAATGACCCAAACGCCTTCCAATGCTTGGTTTATCCAAGTCCAAGACCCACTATCATTTCACGAGCCCCAACCCTTGAACAGAACTGTAGACATAACATGAAGAAAAGAGCCACCTGCAAGCAAGACGGCTTCATGCAGTACTCCGTAGAGTGAATACATAGCAATAAAAACAAATATAGAAGAAAAGAAATAAGATGAAGACGCTGATATGCATGCAATGTGATAGAGCCATGTATCGCTGATCCATTATATGGCTGGTGTTACGTTCCCAAAACAGTGAAACGTGGACGTATGCTCAATATCGACAATCGCGGCAATGCAATTTTGCAGTGGCAATATCATCTCCGTTTGGGTCTGATGAATGGATCGACCTCCTTCTTTTTGCGCATCGGCGGTGGGGGTCGCCCATTGCCAGGTTTCTGACCAGGTCGTGGAGGGATCTTCATGCATAGGTCAGTAAAAATAGTCCGCAAGCTAGGGGAATAGACTGGAGGAGATCGAATCCGGAAAAACAAGGGCTTGCACGTACATTTGTTGAACCTGGACCACCAGGTCCACTCGAAGGTGGTCCGCGGTTGAGAGGCGCATATGCCGGTCCATCGCGCGATGGCTTGACCAAATCCTGTGATATATTAGTTAGACTCCACAAATAGACAGCTGATTGAGTTTCTTACCTCTGTCACCGGAGGCGCATTGGCATCGATCTTGCGTCGTGGACCTTTAGGTGCGTTTGGAGGTCCATTCTGATCCGACTTCCGCGGCCGAGAGGGCTTGGGTGCTTCTGATTGGGGCGAATCCCCACGTTTGCGCTTGCTTGCGCCGTTGCTATTGTCGGATTTTGGCGGCTCAGGCTTTTTCGAATCATTTGCCGTAGTTTTGGTCGTGACCTGGATAGTTGGTACCTTGGGGTCATGCCCGCCAAACTGCCTGCTTCGCTGGCGCTCTGCCTTCTGCTTCTGGAGCTGTGCATAATTTTGTTCCTCTCGGGAAATTCTGAATTTTTCGGGCTTTGACAGAGGCTTGGTAGAAGTGCAACTGTGAGAAACGTGCCCGAACTGACCACATTCAAGACAGCGATCTGTTGTACAGCTAATCCGGGTGTGTCCAGAAGCTCCACATCTGTAGCACGTACCACGAGTGGCCTCCTTTGCATCAATATTGTCGCAGTTATGAGTCATGTGGGAGAAGCTTCCACACGTTCCACACATTCGAGTCTCGTCCAGTCCTGTAGGACCTCCTGATGGTCCCTCGGGTGCAGGCATGGGTGGTGTGCCTTTTCCAGGCGCAGAAACGGAATGAGGGGGGCTTACTGCTCGGTTTTCGAGAGAAGCAGAGGATGGCCGAGAAATGGATCCGGTTGACGGGGGCCTCGACGGAACCACGGCCCCCGTATCAGCCTCAGACATTTCGACATTTTTGTATCCAGTGAATTGTGGGCGCTGGAGCATCTTCAGCACATCGCCGTCGGTATACACATTTCTCTGCCGAGCGTTGGTAATAAGGCCATTCCAAAACTCGCCCTGCACGAGAGACTGTGAATTTCCAAGAACCCAAAGTGACGACTTGGCACGAGTCAAACCGACGTTCATACGACGGATGTCTGCCAAGAAACCAATACCCTTGTTCGAGGCTCGCACACAAGAGAAGATAATAACCTCACTTTCCCTACCCTGGAAAGCATCAGTAGTGTTGAAGTCCACCAGACTGAAAATGCTATTTCCATATCTGGCAGCAAATTGTGCTTTCATTTCTCTCAGTTGGCCCTTATAGGGAGTGATAATACCAATCTTTCCAGTGAAATTGAACTCGCGGAAATCCGTAATCAGACGCTCATAAAGTTGCATAGCCACCCGAAGCTCCGCAACGTTTATCAAAGAGTGCCCCTTTGCAGCGCTTTGGTGAAGTCCCTGGACATCAAAGAACCGGTACGGACTGAGTAACTCGCTTTGATGCCAAGGACGAATGCGAAGTTTATCCATGTTCGGTCCATCCTGAAGCTTGCCGTCATAGAATGCAGCGCTGGGGAATGCACTAATTTCTGGATGCATACGGTACTGGGTATCCAGCAAATGGACATCCTTGGGGTGATTGGCCTGCATTCGAACGAACAAACTCTGTTCATACTGGAAACGCGAAGCAACTTTGGACAAGACGGTAGGCGGCAGCTGTTTCGGATCTCCGACCAGGATACATTTCGAACACCCGTATTTGAGGGGAATGAGCGCGCTCAATTCAATCGATTGTGCTGCTTCATCAATGATCACTGTTTCGAACTCGATACTCAAGTGCTGGAACATTTCATGACCACTTCCACTGAGAGTTGCACAGATAACATGTGCGCCATCGATGATCTCCTGCTGGATGCGACGCCGATTGAGATCAGCATCACGAGCAGCTGAATGGTTCTTGTCTCTCGTGTTGTCAATCTCCTGACTCAGCTGCGTCTTCTTTTTCTTGAGCAAGTCAAACTCCCGGCTTAACTCTTCGGGAACAGGCAGGCCTTGTGCTCTGCACTGGTCCATCTTAAAGCGGGTTTCTTTGAACGCAGTATCGGAAGCCTTGTGTTCCATGTAAATTTTCTGAAGATCCCTCTCTCCCGGATCCTTGCGTGCATTCTGATTCAGTCTCGCGTTGACTAGTTCGTCCAAAGTCACGTCAAGTACGTTTGTGTTGATAGCATCGCTTCTTCCCAAACGAATGACTGATAGCTTCTCTTGTCGACCTTGCACCGTTTTCACCCCATCCTTAAATCTCATGACCAATTCATCGACGGCAGCATTACTAGGGGCACAGACCAGCAGCTTCTTTGCCGTAGTAGTTCTCGGGGGAGGCCTTGAGTTGCCAATCGCTGTTGGTCGCGAGATTGCCACTCCTTGTTTACCGAGAACACCGGTCAGAAGAGCCCCGACAATGGCCACAATGGTCTTGGTCTTTCCTGATCCGGGTGGACCCTGAATCAGTGTGAAAGCATCGTTGTCCATGGCGGATTTGATTGCCTTCGCTTGAGCCGGATTGACGTTGTAGTTTGCAGCGACAGGCTTGAGGCTGGCATCTGAATAATTAAGGATTGGCGATGGCTTGGCCCTAACGACTTCCTCGCACAAGTCATAATACTGCAGAGCCATGAGAGCACCGTATTCACGTTCCAGAGGAGTCAATGAAGTTATCTTCGCACCCCAGATCGTAGCACCAGGACCAAGAGAGTTGATAAAAGGGTGGCCAGGGTTCACCCGATATGAGATCTCAACCATTCCCTTCTTTCTATTAAAACCAGAAACCCTGGCAAGACAGTGGGGCGCCGCGGAGTCATTTGCTGGTGACTTTGATTTGGAAAGAATAACGATATCGGCTTCACCAAGACCAAAATCCTTGACTTCCGTTGCTGGCATTGTCGTGCTGACCTCAACAAAAGAGTCCACGGAAAGGCGCGTGGCAACCTTCACCTCAAACGGCTTGAACGAACCCTCTTCCTTCGAGGACTGGAATCCTTGCCAAGCTTCAAGAATCAATAGCGGCTCGAATGTTTTCTGGTATTCGATCGGGTCTCTAAATGCATTGGATACCAAACTATAATCTGTACGTCCTGAGTTTGGCGGAAGATCTCCGTTTGCAAAGAAATCCCAGGCAAGCAATGTGCGATGCAACGAGGACAGGTCCGGTGCCAAACGTGCTCGCATGTCCTTGGCAGACCGTACTTGTTTGACTTTCTTGACAGGGCCCTGTTGCTTAAGCGAGAGTCTTTTACTCTCCTCATAGGCCTTGACCGCATCTGGTTTCGAGCTTGCCTTGGGACCAAACAGTTCCTTTTCGAGTTCGTCTTCGCTATCCGATTCGGATTCCGAGCCGGAGGAGACCATCATACTCTCCTCGGTCGTGTGGACCTTGCCCTTAACACCAATTCCACTCAATCCAGAACCTTGTTCAGCAGTTTGTTCCGCAACACCACTTGCAGGAAGGCCCTTTTTCAGACGCGCCAGCTCAGCCATGTCACGCTTCTTCTTAGCTTCCTTCTCTTTCTCGCGCTTTTCACGGAAAGATTGGACTGTAACATTGGACTTGACTGGTGCAGGAGCTGGTTTGGGAATGGCAGGAAGATCCTTGGCTGCTTTCTCGGCCTTTCGCTTCGCTTCAGCTGCAACACGCTGCTTGTTGAGTTCCACTGATCGTGAGAAGTTCATCAACATCTCATCAGGAACATTTTCGTCAAATTCATCGTCGCTAGTGGCCTTCGATGGAGTTGATGCAGCAGAAGCTTCGGCCGGTTTGGCAAACGCCGTGATCATACTCTGCTTCTTAAGACCGGCGGTCGAAGCAGTCACCACGGGTCTTCCGTAGTAAGCCTCCAGGGCTCTGACAAGCTCAGCCTTCTCCCGCGGTGTTATAATAGTCTTAATGGTAGATTTGACCGCGACACCTTCGATGAAACTCAATGCATCTTCTCTCACAGTCGTCACACTCAGCTCTCCCAAACGGCGCAGAAGCTTCGAAACTAGCCCGACCAATGTAGTCGCTAGATATTCATCTTTGAGTCGGAGCCATTTGACCATTGCACTCATGGTTGTCGTCGGTGATTTGAGAAAGCTTTCTCGAGCAAGCTTATCTTGAGCTGGATCTGCATCGACAACGGCGCCTAGGAAAACGCCATATTGGCCGAATAGGAGATCAGCAAATTGGATCGAGTCACGGCAAAACTCCAGCATCACGTTTTTGTCGTTACCCCTGAGATGCCAGGACTCTGTCTCGTCGAATATTGTGGTCAAAGCCTGCCAAAGGTACTCCCAGAGCTTTTGAAGCGAAAGAATCTCTCTGCGGTCCACGAGTTTGCGGGTTCTAAGCATGCCTGTTTGGCTATCGCAGAGAATGTCCACGATATCTGTTCCGGTGTGGATCATTCTCGGGGCAGAAGCGAACGTTTTCATGTTCGATATCCGTCGGAAAGACCAGCTGAGGCCATACATAGTCGTCGTGAAGAAGGACTGCAATAGATGGGAAATAGCATCTCGTCGAGCGGATTGTCCACTAACGTTTTTGATGAGATCTACAGCAGCTTGATAGGTGTTGAGATCGGCTGCAAAGAATGCAGAGATCAACGCGCTACTTGTGTCCTGGCTCTTGAACAGTTCATCAAGATGAGCTGGCTTGAAGTCCGCCAGACGTTCAATGATCTGGCAGGAGAGATGTGTTAGGTGTCCGTAAATCATGTTAAAATGCGTCTTTTCCCGGCTGGCTTCTCCCTTCGTAGGGAACTTTTCCAGGCCGACTAACGGCAATATACCGAGCAATGCAGATGTTGAAAGAGGCAAGTTATCCTCATGCAAGTGCCTGACAACCGCATCCCAAATGGCTGCAGAATAGGTGCTGACGCCATGCTGGAGGGTATTATACCGAAGGATAACTTCATAATCACTCTTCAAAGACTGGCATTCAAGAGCCAATGTATTGCGAACGACATCCATACACAGAGATGATATCTCTTGCTGTCGCCCTTGCTCCACGGCAAATTTCGGAGGGTCGAGAATCCTATTAATGTTCTCACTCACAACTCCCATAGTCTCCGATAAAACGATGCGCGCCACTGACCCTCGGGAGGATTCGTGGTCGGTGAAACTGCGAAGGGTATGGAGTAAACTTGTCAAACCAATGTGAAAACAATGGTATCTCGACAGGTTTGGCAAGCGCGGATCCTGGAGTCGGTTGAGAAGTTGATAGACTAGAAATCTGCATGCTTCAGGTTGATGGGCACCTTTCAGTGATGACATGAATGGATTGATCCACGACAGCATATCCTTCATGGCAGACTTTTCAAAAGGCTCTCCCTCGGTAGTCTGCATCAGGTAGGCATCTAGCTGGGGGTTATAGAAAATTTGCTCGACGATAGCCTTGGGCGATATCGTTTGCATTGCATCCCAGAAATCCCCAGGAGCTTTCTCCAGAAATATCTGTATAGTATTCAGGAGAAAGCGTAAGCTAGGGGACTGAATAGCAAGATGATCCACGGAGAGACGGCAAGGATCGATCTCAAGGGCTCGTAGATGATGGGTAATTTGGTCTTTATCCAGCCTTCGCACTACGAGTTGCATTCCACGCCAAAGCCTTTGAATGACCGCTATTTGTAGTGGCTGCTGAGACGCTGTTCTAAGAGCATCGAGAAGTCCTTCTTTGATCGCCCAATCAAATTCCTCCGTAGTAGGAGCTCGGGTGTATCGCATCCAAGCTTGAATGGCCCAATAGCTGCGACTTTGGTTGGAATCAAATAGAAAGCGAGAGACAGCCGGGATATAGTCCGACACCTTAAGGGTCCGTTTTGTCTGAATCAGTCTGAACGGTTCGTCGAAATATTGTTGCAGAAGACTGTCACTGCGCAGCATAGCTTCACAGCTCAAGCTTTCGAAGATGGACAACAGAGAAGCGCGATCCAAAACAGCGAGCCCAATCTTTTCCGGTGCGACCTCCTTTAACTTTGCCGTTGCGACTGTCAAATTTCGTGTTATCCGCTTAATATCCCAGTCGTCGATCATGCGAGCAAACTTTTCAATATCCTCGTCGTCGTAGCTTTCCTTCAGCCGCTCCATCAACCAAATCTTGCCCGTGTAGTATCGCTTGATACAAAGGTCGCATTTTTCGAGGGAGTCGTCCAATTTTCGCCAAATCCATGCCTGCAGCTCTTCCACGCCCTCCTGATTGTATGCCAATATTCGCATGCATGATAAAAATTTCTCCTTGCGACTGGTGGCCTCTGCGACCAAATCTGCAACACTCTTTCCGGACTCATCTACCTGGCTAAGATCATCGTATAGGTCATGGTCGTCGTCGTGCTGTCGAGGGCATAAGATGTGAACACTGTCGGGGAGGGCCTGTAGCTCTCTGCAAGGAGAATCAAAGTAACTTAGCGATTGAAAACAACGAGGAGCACAAATCGAGCTTCTCAAGAATGAATGTGAAGTATTCAAAGCTCACCCGACAATATCCATGAACTCCATGGCTTAATGTCACAAATCCAGATATAATATTTTGCTGCAGATGAGAGATCACAAGCGCATTCCTTGATAATAAGTGAAAGATGAGTGTTGCACTAAGGTATATCTGGCAGATATCGCATATCAAGATCAATCATTTATACGAATTGTCTCTTAATATGGCTTAAATAACCATGGCTACTGTGTTGTAAAGGGTCGTAGTAACTAGGTGACGAGAAAGTGAAGGAAAAGGTTTCCCAGCTTTAACACACACCACAATCAACAGCGCATGGGCACATGAAGAAAGAGAAGAGACGAATAGACCAAGGTGAAACCAAATATTGGTAGGTCGTTCTACCTGTATCTTAAGTCCGGGCAAGATGAGACCAGACAGAAGAAACAGTTGGTGAAAGAAGAATCATGAGAGAGGGCCGGCCAAAAGTCGTGCAATACGCAAAGAAAGGACGGGCAGTACTTTGTCCTCATTGGCCGATCTGGAAAGCGGTAAGACACGTTGTCAGCCACTTTACGCGTGGGTGCAAGACGCGCTTTTCTCCGCCCCAACAGTGTATGAATATGAATATGAAGTGAATATTCAACACGAAGGGTCGAGGGGCTGTGGTTGGCTTACATTTGAAAAGCTTACAGTTTACGGCAGAAGCTGGTCTTTATTTGATTGAATTGTCCTCATTATGTGCTAGCTCATTTGAGGTTCTTCAATACAGTACATGAAAGCCATCATCCCCATCTTATCCCACACCCTTCATCCACAGACAAACAAACAAATGACCCCCCACGCGAAATTAGGAGAATTGAATTAGAAAATCAGAGAGAAAATAAGAATAAATAAAAAAAGGAAATGAAGCTGCTGCAGGGATTTGCATTCACAGAAATGCTTTTGTACAAGAAGATAATCAGGCAATATAGAGGACAAAGAAATTGTAGAAGCGGTCAAAGAAAGATGTAGCCGCTAGGCTTTTGGGAAAAGGTAACAAAAAGAAGATGCGCCGAACCACCAGCCAAATCTGCATACCGAACGCCTTCTATCGGGGAATAGACAACGGGGCTTTGAAAATGAAAAATGAAGAAATGAAGAAATGAAAAAATTGCTCATCAATGATCAATGATCAAATGGAGAAACAAGATAAAGAACAGATCAGATGCATCGGCAGGAAGCCGACAAGGAATCATCAAAGACATGGAATCACTATAATATATGAAAAGATGAACAAGATTTATGTAGGATGTGTGGGGGGGTCATTGGGGCCTTTGAGCGGGCTATGCGGACTTTGCGGTAGTGGGAAGCCTGTATTCAAGGTGTCGGTACGCGATAAGTCGTTGCCCACATCAAAGCTGGGCCGAACCCGGTCAAATGAATGTCGTGTGCGTTCTGCGGAATTTCGAACATAGTCGACTGATTGCAGGTGCGGTAATTGGGTATGATCAAGACTGTCTGTGTAATTTGTCCCGTTACTACCATTCTGACTGCGCGGGTTATGGGTCAGGGTGGTGGGCGCAACAGACGGTGGATAAAATGCCCTTTGATCATCGGAAAAGGGATCCTGCTTCATTCCAGGCTCAATAGGTTTTCCCAAATCCGAGGAAGCGGCCGAGTCATCGCTGGACCCACCAGAAGACGCCGCAGCTTTCGGCGGAGCAAGTTCATCAGATTTCTCTAGGTGTTTGAACCTTCCCAAGGTGACTTGTTCACGGATGATATCGACGTCCCGAGGGAAGAAGACCTTCTGGAACGCTTTGATGGTAAAGCGAGGAAGGAGGCACATTGTGATGGTCAAGAAGGAAACGACCCAGAACGACAATGCTCCGTAAACCTCCGAACCTGCGTTATAGAACTGGGCTGAAGCAAGGAAGGAGGAGTAGATGCCGGTCCAGGCGAAAACGAGAAGCGAGCTAATAACGTTTATCAGCACTGTCAGCCAGTCCCATCGGTAAGTATTCAGCAGGATGTAAGTGTTGCTAGCAACGACTGCACAAGTGGCAACAAGAACACCCATTCTGGTCCGGTCATTAATGTTCACCCCATCATCAGTAACAAATCTCGCTGGTTTATACAGGAGGTAGGGCATGAAGAAACAGATAAGCGACTGGTATAGACCGTCGAACATATAAATCCTATAAAATTGTAAGCACTAGCCAGATAACTGGAGTCGTAAATGGCATACCAGAACTTGAATTGCGACCACTCTTTCCGCTCTATACCTCTCATGTAAAGCTGAGGGACAGCCAAGGATACTTTGTCGTCGACATCTTGGTCAAAAATTCCCATGAAGATCACAGGCAATGACGTGAATGCAACGTTCACCAAGACAATGTAGGTATAATCAAAGAGATAAGAGCCATCGAAGTCGTTGTAGATCGAGTACCAGAAGAGCGCAAATGTCCAGACGAGGTTCTTGTAGAAGAAGTTTGCAGTAGTCTCTCCCATGCGGCGGTAAGAGTACCTTCCATGGACAAGAACAAGGCGCTGGAGGAATCGGAACTGTCCAATGGCATAGTCCGAGGACATGGCGGCTTGCCTACCTTCTTCACCAGCAATACCAACGCCAACATCAGCCTCCTGGATCATCGCAACATCGTTTGCGCCGTCACCGATTGAGAGAGCCATAATGTTGAGTCCGTTCTTCACCATGTGCACGACAGCTGCTTTCTGGGCAGGACTGACTCGGCAGCACAGAACTGACTTGCACTGCTTGCACAACAAAAGGAACTTTTGCTTCAATTCGTCGGTGAGCATGAGCTTGAGAGTATCACCATCAATCACTACAGCATGGGTTGCCGATGGAGGCTTGTGGTCTTCACGAGCAGCCAGGAGCTCTTCGTCAGATCCAGTGAGTCCAAAGTGTTGTAGCCTGCTGTCAAGTTCTTGGGCTGCTTTTTGAGGTTGGCTTTCGGGGATATTGAAGACAATCAGCTCCATGTCATTGTTCAAAAGGTTGCAAGAGAAACCAATGTTGATAGCAGTCTCGACTTTGTCACCAGTCAGAACCCACAGCTTGATACCAGCATCGGCCAACAAGGAGATGGTGTCCGGTACACCATCTTGAAGTCTATCTTCAATGGCAGTACCTCCGATGAGCATAAGTTCTTGCTCGATCTCGCTTGAGATTTGCTCAAGTTTCTCCTCACGGTCAGTGAGCGCAGCGGCGGCGATGTCGTGTTCTTTGCTCCATCTCTGGTACTCTTCTTCACTAAGCTGTCGGTCTGCGACACAGAGCGTTCGTAGACCTTCTCTAGCGAACAACTCAAGATGATCCGCGGTTTTCTTTCGAAGCTCCTGTTGCTTGCCACGAGCGAGACGGGAGTAGATGATACTGTCAGCACCCTTACAGAAGAGACGGATCGAGCCATCAGGCATCCGAATGATTGCGCTCATTCTCTTTCTTGACGAGTTGAACTCGAGAGTGTTGAGCACTGTGTAAGTCCGTTCCTCGCCCATGACATTCAAAATGAGATCATCGCCTGATCTTCCCAGGACAGTAAACCCGCAGTCACGGGCAGTAGCAACCAGCGCTGCTTCGTCGGGGGACTGGGCCTTAAACTCGAGCTGGGGAGGGTCGCCAGGAGTGAGCTCAGTGATAACCGTGTGACAAACAGCCAGAGCGACCATGAAATGTTCCGCAGACTTTCGTTGAGCTTCACCGGATTGACCTTCCAAGTCGGAGACAAAATTTGGCGCAATGAAGGTTAAATTTTCGTCGCGAAGATAGGGGTTGTCGTGGATCTTGCGAAGCTTTTCGAGCATTTTTCCAGTATCCACGGCGATTTTTTCTCGGGTTCTCTCGGCTTCAGCATCAGCATCAAGTCCTTCACGTCGTTTCATGCCAATCTGAGCTTCAGTAACAGCTTCGCCGTATGAGACACCGTTAATGGTGCACTTCTTGAACTCCATGACATTCTGGGTGAGCGTGCCGGTTTTATCAGAGAAGATGTACTCAATCTGCCCAACATCATCAGAGATGTTCCAAGATTTTGGTACACAGGAAATGCCCAATTTGTCGTAATACATGAACACGTCGCTGTGAATAAAGATGGCCTGGATGGTGCGAACGATTTCGAGTGAAATGTATAGAGAGATCGGGACCAAGTTTTGAAACAGAATGACGGCGACCCAGAAAGTGATGATACCAGTGACCGGCGGTGTTCCTCCGTAGGAACCAAAATCGAAGAAGTTAAGGGATTTGTCGCTCGATGCCCAAGCGCAACCGTTGGCGATACCGGAGACGAGACACATGAAAAACAGGATGATGAAGTTGTAAATGACGTTCCAGTTCAAATCCCTGGCAAGGCGAGCTCTCTTAGTGGGAGTCTCGCCCGAGTTAAGCATGATTTTGGTCTCTTCTCCGGTGAAGACGACAACACCAAGGATCCATTCGGTGTTACGAAGGGAGCAACCACGCAGCAGCATATTGTTGATCGTAATAGGCTCCACCATTTCCTTTCGAGGGGCGTCGGCGAAATCAGGGTCGCGCTGGTCCCATCGTAGCGCACCATTGTAGGCATAAAGATTTGGATGGGGAGCCTCGCTATCAATCAAGAACTCCGACTTCTCGCAATCCCTAGCGTGCCGAACTTGTCGGCCACAGTTGAGAGCTTGTCGGACTTTAAGGTTAGTTTCTCCATCCAAGTTCTTTGTTTCCACGTAGCAAGCGCCGTCAGGATCGGAGGTCGACAAAACTACAACATCGGCTGGAATCTGATCTCCATTGTACAGACGGACAAAGTCTCCAACCTGGACGCTTTTCCAGTAGTCTCGCTTGAATCTAGCCTTCTCGGGGGTTTGCTTCGACATATCGACCACGCTACCACCTTTCTTCGGCGGAGTGGCAACCGGGGGCGCACCGTCGCGGACTTCTGCTGCTTTGTCTGGGTGAAGAAATTTACTCTGTTCTCCAGTTGACATTGGCCATTCCGGGCGTGATTCTGGTTTTGGCGACGGCACGGGAGTCATCTGGATATCATCGACATCCATACCATGCATCGATGCGCGAGGAGTCACAGTGGTCATGATGGATGCGCGACGTTCATCTTCAACCATCTCGGGCTGGCCTTTACCCTTGGCGAACAACACTTTCATAGCCCGATAGCTGCTAATTGTCGCACGAGTGCATGCTTTCTTGAACTGGCGCCACACCGAGACGCTGTCTTCTGTTGAGTTGACATTGTTCCATTCAATTAATCGATATACCGGCGAGTTGTTCAGATCATTGTCGAGAACTGTACGTCGCCAATCTTCGATGGCATCTTTTAAAGCGGTCACGACGACGATGACGATTAGGGGGACGGCGTTAAGACCAGGATTATCAGCACCAAAGATTGAAAAACACTACAACGTTGTTAACCTTCAAAGACATCCCGAATTCTGGGTGAAAGGGGATGCATACACTGAGAATAATAATGAACAGGAAATAAATATTTGCTATGTTGTGAAACTGGAACCAAATGTTCTTTGGTACGAAGGTCAAGGGCGTATACTTTGCAGTCCGGACCTTGTTTCGAGGGTAATCGGCCAGGGGGTGGCCATCTTCATCGCGTTCGGATTCGGGAACCGGGATATTGAAGTAGATTCTTCTATTAGTCGACTCGTTGGCGCCAGCCATCGGGTCATTGTTCGTGCTCGGAGCACTGCTCGCGCCCGACTTTCGTTTTTCATCTCTCACACTCAATCGCTTGTGGAAGCGATCCATGATAGAGACACGTTTCCGCACGCCTCCGGCGCCACCGACTCGAGTTGTCGCCCATCGTTGCCGCTTCGTCGGTTTCGAGATGTTACTGGGCACCTCTTGAACCTCACTTGGAGGCTCGTTGGTCTCCCCGCCGAAATGTACTGAAGCCATCTAGGCTGGTTGGATTCGAGCCCCAGGAGGGCATTAAAAACTAAAGGTAACCAAGCGTGGGAGAGAGAGCATCCGCTCCGGTGAGCCGGACCTCGAGAAGCGCAGCCAGCCGCGAAGACCTCAGGTATCGATTATCGTCGTCGATTCGATCAAAGAGCGGCGCAGAAATAATTCATACAGTAGGTCGCCAAAGAATCGGGGAGCGAGATTTCAGGGAGGCAAGAACGTCACGGCGAGATGGCAAAGCTTCGAGGAGTTGGTAATGGGAGCCCAAACACGAGGGACGGTAGAAACGAACGGGGGTAAGAGGAAAGTCGAAACTAATACTACCCACAAGGGGTCATCAGGTATAGGGATAGAAATGAACAAGAAGATGAAAAGAATTAAGAAAATTGAAGCCCTCTGGAATGGTAGGGAAACGGGATGCTGAGGGAAGAGGTATGATGAGATGGAACACCCGGTTAGAGGACAGCGTTTCTTTGGAACCGGCAAGCCTCCCTCGTCCGCCTCTCCCTCTCCTCTCTGGGAGACGGAGGGAGCGCCCTGTACATTATTATTACGGTTACCACCCCGATACGCAAATAATACACATTACGAGGTGCCCTTTGTCAGCAAACCACTCCGTCCATCCCGCAACTGCTGCTTGGCGGGTTTCTATCCACTCAAAATCTTCAGCAATTTCAAGGGAACGCGTAAGTTTCTGATTCAGTTGATACTTATGACAGTTCATCTTTACCCTTATGAGTAGCACTAAACTTTTTTTTTTGAATTATGCCAGTCTCTCTGTCCAGTATTATTATTTTACCATATAAATTTGTCGTGGACTCCTGGGAGTATTCCTTTGAATTAATTTTCCCCCCTCTGCTTGCCTTTTTCTTTTTTAAATTACAGGTAATTGTATTTTACGACGGTCGCTCGCCAGCCTCGCTGCGGACTGCAAAATAATGAAGCCCTTCCATAATTTGGTTCCGCGTCGAAATCTCTGAAGGTGGCAACGACAAAAACGGTCAGCAAGGCATTAATGGATACGGGATTTCGGCATTAGAGATGCCGTTTGCTCTGGTTAATTCTTTTTGTTTTGATTATTCATGTCTGTAGGTGATGGATCTCAAAATGCTTATTTTCTCTTCAACGGCCCATCTGTACTCCGTATCTTATGCTGGCAATATTACATACCCATAGCCCCGTGCTGGTTACCGCATTCATGCAGCCTATTCTAAGAACTTCACTTCGCCCCCCTCTCAGGGTTCCATCGATCAATCAAATCGTGATTATCTTAGGGGCTTTGATGCCTTGGGGATGAGCCTGGCTTGCAGTTTCCGTTCCATATATTTTTATCCATTTCCAGGCGACCAGGTGCATAGCTAGAATGTTTTGCTCTTGACAATGCTGGGCCTGGGGCTCGGAAGCTACGGCAACTGCACTACTATGTCATCCGTCAATGACATTTTCAGGCAACATACTGCGGAGTACATGGCTTTCCAGCCTACTTATTGCCTCAATTCGGACTGCGTAGTACCAAGAGAAGAATTGCATTTTTTTTGAAACCATAGTCCAGCTTCGAAACAATAAACATGGCAGTAATGATAATAATGCTGGCCAGAATTATGTATCATTTTTTTCCCATGGGACAGTAAAATGCCACCCACCTGGAGGGGTTTCTCGGAGTATGGAGTCTGAAACAGACTAATAACAGTCGGGACGGCACATGCTGTTGGTCCACAGCCCTCCCATCGCGGAGTATCAGGCCCGGTTTAACTCCGGATGTGGTATCCAATGTATTACTGCTACCTAGAAGGTCGGATATATAATACCGTTCGCAGGCAAACGCATTTTACCTCTTCCAATGCCAAAATAGCGAGATTTTTTTGATGTTGTAAAATCATCGCTACTCTTAAGGGGGACTCGATGGGATGCTTCTCCTTTTCCAGCCTTGGCTTCTCAAGGTTGAATTGCCCAATGCAGTATAGCGTGACACCGTCATATCGCGTAAGTACGTACTTTTTCCTCTTTTACGGGGCCAAATCCAGACGATCATCAAACGCGCGGTTCTCGAAGGCTTTCAGAAATCAGATTAAGGAGATCGTGAATAATGATACTCAAAAAGCATGGCGTAGATTTAGCAGATGAGACTACATGCAAGTGTTTTTGCAAGTGGCAATGGGTGCCACTTGCTGACTGTGTTGTGAATCCGATGGAAAGCCATCCAAGGGTTTCCGTGTAAAGTTTTTTTCCCATGTCATATTCTTGAAATGTGGCCTAATCCTATATTCCTGACAGGCCAGACAGGGGGCTTCTCGAATAAATCATCCATCTCCCTTTTTCTTTGACGGTTTGACCTGGCTGGCTGGCTTAGACGTCGTGGGAAATTGGGACCGCTGCTCGGTTCCCACTCTGTTCGAAAGGGCGTTTTAGTGACCTAGACCTTTAGTGCAGTATTATTGTCAAATGGTGGATCCTGTAGCCATACCACCGCCTAAGAGGGATAATAATATGACGGATTGTCGTCAGACGGTCAGATCAACCACGAACTGCTGTGGGGAACAAAGTGTAAAGCCATGGCAGATCTGCAACTTTGGGCCGCCGGACTGCCCCTAAACAGGTTACATGGTGAGATGAAAACCAATAGGATCATGACAGGGGCTGGGAAGTGGGAGGCAGAAAAGGAGCATTTTACTAAAAGGAGTATCATCCTACAATAATCAATATGCAATATTCATGTAGGGCAAAGTCATGCTGTCCTAATCATTAGAAATCCTGAGGATCTGGTCTTTAAAAGCATATCGTCGTTGACCGCTGATAGTACCAAGTCATGGCTCTCCTGTCACTCAGCTAGTCAGATATACGTTGAACCCTATTCCCATCACTCATTTATGGTGTCAACCTGACAACCGACTCTTACTAGACAGATTGAAAGAAGGGCAATCAACTAAATGTCTATTCAAGGAAAGCTTGCGAGGATAAAAATGGGCTTAAATTATAGTAAGGGATAGTAAATGGCGCAAAGAATTCTTAGTCCAAATATATACTTGAGGCCCATATCGCTCAAGACACTATATATACTCGACTTCTTATATTCAATATGTGAGCATCCATCAGAAAAGTACACGATTATTCCCGGCATCCTCGTGCCTAAATTGATTTATAATGTAGGGTATTTAAAGTGCTGTTCTGATATAGAATTCCATGGGAATCGCCTGGCTCTACCATGTTACCATATACCCACCACCTGACATCAGCCATCGTGGCTCTACAAAAATAAATGATTTCGATTACCTTCAATATATCGATCGAATATAGTAGCTTTTACTGGACCCCGGAGTATTGAATACGCTACTCCAAGTTTAAACCAGCGATCTTGCTATATCTTGGAGACCCGACCTTATTGAACTCGTGTATACACCTACAATGGACTTGGAAATCATGCCTAAACCAAGAAATAAATCCCAAGAAAAGGTCACCACTAGCTAGGTGGCTATCTGCTGCTTCCATTCACTGACTCGGCAGGTTGACTTCGCTTTTATGGCTACAGTCGAAAATGGCCCCTCTCTAATGACGAGTGAGTTTCTTTAATCATATTAGTACTGATGATGGGTATATGTGATTCTAACATGATCATTAGAAATTGAGTCCGAATCCGCACCAGCCCTTTGATGTGATACATCTTGCTGAAAATCTCCAACCGAAGCCTGTTGATATACTCCGTATTCCATAAACTGTTCAATGGCTCACTTGCTGGCGCCTATTGCGACTTCAGATATTATTGTGAGATTGGCTGAGGAGTCATGGCTGGCTGAACCGGTGTTATTCTTCTGTGACATGCGTTTATGAATACCTGAGACTACAATTGAGATCGAACAGAAGCAAAATGCATTAATTATGTGCCATTCTATCCACTCCCATAAATTGGAACCATCTTTAGTATAGAAATAAACTTATGCAGTATGACGTTTAAAAAAATATGTACTCAGCGAGCAATACATCCGTTATCTCCTTAAGCCCATCATAACTTATAAGGATTAGCACGGAAATATCCAAACACACCTCCAATCTTGAAAACAATATGGTATTGAGAAAAAAAGGCATGTTTGAAGCCATATCGTCGAAACAAATAGAATCACGTGATTTCGCGCAGTGCAGCGCGCGTTCCCTACGTGTCGGTGCTGCGGAGACGAGTAGGACCAGAGCAACTGTGCACGCGGGGTATCACGATACCAGAAAATTCTCTATGCAAGGTATCCGACATGCCTCAGTCTCAGAATATTAAAGATTTTTTCAGGCGGTCCCAAGCTCCACAAAATGACCCTGAAACTCCCATCGGGAAGAACAAGAATGCAAGCAATTCTCCTGCCGCAGCCTGCGAGACCTCTCCCCTCACTGAACCACCGTCATCCTCATTCCTGTCAAAATACACTTCTCCGCGATCCCCACACGACAGTCCAGCAAATCAGTTGAAAAGTTCCCTGTTGAACTCAGCTCAGGGTTCGGCCGAAGATGCACCTGAACAAAGCTTCCAGAGCACCGGAGAAGACCCTTTTGTGGGTGCAAGCTTCACGTCCCAGCGCGTTGTCAAGAATGGAAAGGAAGTCGTTATTAGCTCTGACGGTGAAGATACGGACTCAATCGCATCACTTGAGAGTCCCGATGATCTTCTAGCGCAGTTCACCAAACCGGCAAATGACGCCCCAGTTAAAGAGGAAGTGAAAAATGAGCCTGCTGATACGGGCATGTCGTTGCGTTCTGAGAAAGGCAAAGCTAAAGAGGATAAAAAGCCATACAAGTTTGGCTCCACACGCTACTCTGCTCCAAAACACAAGTTCACTCTCGACTCACTTGTTACTGCTGCAATTGATGATAATGAGACCGAGGCCAACGTCGCAAAGCTGAGAGCTGCGTTTGATTCCGAGAAGGCTGCTGAGGAAAATGAGAACACAGAAGGCAATGCCAGACACTTGAATGAGGGTATTCTGGCATCGACTCTTGATGATCAGGATGATGAAGGAGGATTGCAGTTCCAGCGTCTACTTGATGCCGTTCGAAGGACAGAGGCTTTTGACCAAGAAAGGTCATGGTTTTTTTTTAGTGGCAAGACCGATGTGCCGTCCGGGTTGGAATTTCCGCGGGATTCTATTACACCAGGAACATACATGGCAGGACTGAGGGGTGAGTACGCATGTATCAGCTCTTACTTGACTGTCTCTAACTGTTTGGTAGAGCCCGAATCCCGTGAACGTGCGTTCCATTCTGGAATCATGGAAATTGCCCTATCAAGACAGTTTCTTCCCGATGAATTGATCATGTGGATATTTCAATCTGGTCCGTTATATATTCGCTGGTCTAGGATTATTGCTTATGCTTTTCAGTGTCCTCCGAGCCTCGAGATGGTTTACGGCAAGCTTACTGCAGAGTATTCAAGGTTTGTCATGACTCTGGATGACAAACATATCATTTGCTAAAATCCCGAAGCATGTTACCGCGGAGCGTATCAAACTCCTTATACAGCCACAAGACATCAATGCCCTTTTCCAACGACTGGGTGCAAGTCCAAAGGCAATGGCGCTTTCTGACCCCATAGTTGCAGACGCACATCCTACACGTAAGGAACATAATTTTCAGGTTTTACGTTATCAGTCGCTAACCAAATTGCACAGCTGAACTTTTAGAGAGACAGTCCAAAAAGAAGGCAGCTTTGCTGTCCGTTTTGGACATGCTACGGGGCGCAGCAGACCTGTAAATTATGCTCCACCCTTATCTATTCTACAGACACTGACATATGTACCAGGTTTTCCCATGATGCTCGAGAGCGTATTCTGTATTTCCTTTTCCGTCTGGCACTAGATACCTCTTTGACTGGGGATGCCTTGGTCTGCTCTGAATTAGAGAGTACAATTACAGCAGCACTTGAGGGAATTCCCGAGGATAGTTTTAATGATTTGGTACGATTTCACAACCTTTTAGGCTTGCAAATTGTGGTTCTAACTTGTCTTAGATGCATCGTACCTCGACAACCGCTTATGACACCATCAAGGATCCAGTATTCCAAAGCCGCCTCCTCCAACACATATTGCCAACTTCAAGTCAGATTGCATTGTTTCGATGTCGACTTGCCCTTGCTTTCCTGACCCTCGACTCATCGCCCCTAAGAGAAGCCCCAGGGGCATTATTCAACGTTGAGCGCATTCTCGACTTGCTCAACGATCAGAGATTTAACATGAACCTATATAAAAGGAAAGACCGGGAGAACTACGACTACGGAGATCTGGGGGCTTTGGCCATGCTTCTGAACATTGTCATCGATCCCGGATATTCCGGATTTAATTTCCCAGACAAGGAAACAGAAAGAGAATTCAACTCCAAAATGGATGTGCTTGCTGGTGAGATCAAAAGGAGATTTTCTTCGATCGAGGATGCCGGCGCGTCGCACCTAAAGCGGACCCTGGCGAAAGAAAGCCTCGAGACTCTGTATTACCGCATCATATACTCGGTCCGCTCCAAGCCACCACCGAAAAAGACCTTACTGGGATCCTTAGCGGAGGAAAACAGGAATACTCTAGATAACCATGGATTCAAGAGGTTCATGAAGGTCAAGAAAGAGAAAGATACGAATATTCCTATTCGTGGTCACGAAGGTTCGACTTAACCGCTGTCTACACTGGAGAGACGATGTCTGTTCAACGATTTGGCCACATCAACGTGGGTCGGATACAGATATCCCATGTCGAGAGATGTTCTCGAACGGCCTGCCTCATGGGCCAGGGAAGCGAGGCGCATCGCAGACGGGCTGAGAGACATAACGAATGTAATGATTTGATGACGAATGGTGTGATCCCTGATATCGGAATTGCACCCATGAAACCAAGAGATAGAGCATCACTTAACTTAATTGTGCCTAACAGAAAAGACGGCAAGAAACTGTACAAACTATGCTGTTTTCTATCAAGAAGGCATCAAGTAGAAATATGACGGGATCAAAAGGCTACATAGACCGTCGGAAGGGAGGCGGAAAGAGAACAGCGCAGGGTTATATAACAAACAACTCAAATGTATATCTTAGTCGTAGAACTTCCGGTTTTCATTCTTTCCGAATAGCATCTCCCTGACAGCAGGAAGAGCATCAATCTCAAGCATTCGCAGGCGCTCTTCGAACGTGTTGTTAATCTCGATCTTGCCTTGGCCACCGACGATGATCACACCACCAGCACTAAGAATTAGATGTTAGAAAGCCATTACAAAGATTCCAGGTATATTTGTGGGTAACTCACGAATCTTCTGGCAGCGGCTCAGACTCATCCAATTCCACTGTTACTTCCTTGCCGACAGCCTCATTGAATTTCTTCGCTGCCTCCTCAGATGCCTTCTTGACAGCGTCGTAGTCCTCCTTTCTCGCGCGAACCTCAACCTTATCCTCGTTCAATGTGTACAAGCCTTCGAGGACCAGCCCCTGCAGCACGGTTTCGTATTTCTGGGCATCACTGGAGGCGACACCGGTAATCTTTTCGCGAGCACGCTGGAACAGGTCGTCCAGAAGCTCCTGACGGGACGACAGAACACGAAGACGGGTGCGGTTGGCAAGAGTGGAGCGAGTGATTTGTTGGGACATGGCAGCCTGCTTGAACTTCTTCTCGTACAATGTATCAATGGCGGCGGTCTCCTGGCGGACGAGCTTGGACTTCTCAATGGCGAACTCCTCATCGGCCTTCAACTGGATTTCTCGGGCCTTCTCCAGCGCTTCCTGCCGGATGAAGGCCGTCATCTTGCGGAGCTCGCCCGCGACCTGTTCGTAGATTGCATGAGCTCGGGCATACATAACATTCGTGATCGGGAATGGCGGGGCCTACCTGGTCATCTGAAAGAGCGTGACCCTGCGACATCTTGACGGTGGGAATCGAAAGAATTCGACTTGGATGTAGTGGTGTAGAGGAGGGGGACGTGGGGACGATAGGACCCAAGTCAAGCTTTCCGATGCGGAGTGATTGCTAGCTGCTAAGAGGGCGAACAACGGTAGGGGGTCAGCATTGCTGGTCTAAGGAAGGTAACACAAGCAACATATTTGATTCTAGTGCGTAGATAATAGGTCAGGAACCATGCTCACCTGTTTGGGGGAACTGCAGCTGTATCCAGAAATGGGGGGTGGGAGGGAATGGGGAACAAGAGCAGCAAGACGGCCGGTGGTGGTGGTTGACCAGAGCGGATCTGCTGACGATCGGGTCACTTGTTCACGTTGACTTGGCGTCCGTCAGTCCAGCGTCCAGAATCAGGAACCGCCTTCCCGCCCCATGCTGCATGGAGTCGGTTTTAAGAAGATAACATCAACCCCTCCATCGTCTGTCTTTTCTGTTTCACTTGGATACACTCCTGGTTATGGCGCCCGTACACCGATAACTTCCTTCAGCCGGCCTACGCACTGCTTCGTCTCCCGCTCAGCGACCAATGCACCAGAATACCGGAAATGGGCAATCTTGGTCACCTGTCGCCCCAGGGTAGCGTCGCGGTATGGAATCCCTTCTTCTACGAGATTACCTTTACTGACACTCAATTCGGGAACAGGTGGGAGTCGTGGTTGGGTTGGTCTCGACCAGTCTTCAGGCCATCGGACTTACCCTCCAGCGCAAGTCGCACATCCTCGAGGATGAGAAGGACCCCTACGATATACGCAGACCCCCTTATAAACGTCGAAGATGGCAGGTATGTTCGCAATTATCTTGGTTGTTTTTCAGATGGAGCATGGATTCTAACGTCGCACAGCTGGGCATGTTAATGTTCGTCGTTTCCAACATCTTCGGCAGTACCATACAAATCACTACCCTTCCTCTTCCGGTGCTCTCGACCCTTCAAGCAGTCAGTGCCTCCCTATCGAAGCAGACCATTGAAGCCTTACTAAATCCTTTGCGAACAGTCCGGACTCGTCTTTAATACAATTTTTGCTACCTTGGTCCTTGGTGAAGCATTCACCAGATATTCTTTGATCGGCACTATACTAGTCTGTATCGGCGCGATATTGATAGCGACGTTCGGCGCCATTGGGGAGCCGGCACATACACTCGATCAGTTATTGGACCTTTTGCAACGTCGCCCGTTTGTTTTGTGGATGATCGGTACTGCCGTGATCGCACTGGCCATTTTGCTTGGATCACGGTTGCTCAAGTTTCTATCGCCTTGGTCCCGATCTAAATATTTACATTTCCTCGGCCCGTATGCACCCCGTCTGCAGGTTGTCCAAAGCCGTGTTCGGCTTCTCCGTGGCATGTGCTTTGGTATGGTCAGCGGGATCTTATCAGCCCATTCGCTGCTTCTGGCCAAGTCAGCTGTAGAACTGATCGTCCGCACGATCGTGGACCGCAATAATCAGTTCAACCGGTGGCAGTCATGGATGATTCTCATTGGAATGATTCTCCTGGCCCTCACACAGCTGTTTTATCTACACAGGGGATTGAAGCTCTGCAGCACCAGTATCCTTTATCCTTTTGTCTTTTGCATTTACAACATTATCGCTATTTTGGATGGTTTGATTTATTTCCGCCAGGCATCTCAGTTGACTGGATATCATGCTGGTCTTATTGCGTTAGGCACTATCATTTTATTGAGTGGAGTGCTCTGTCTTTCATGGCGATTGGAGGACATTGATAACCATGCAGCCGTCACCGTTGTCGGACCTTCCCAGACCGGATTGGGTCCCGGAATGGCTATTGTTGAAGAACACTCGCATTCTCCATCCCACCTTGACCTGGGCGATGAAGAAGCCCAGACTGGGGAGTGTCAACCACTGCTGCAAACTATTCCACGACGAAAATCCCCTCACAAGCGATCTCCTAGTCTCCCTCTATTTACATCATTCAGCCAAAACACAAAGTCCGATGTGGACCCTGCGTCTATCTGGGCAGAACTTGACGATTCAGAATACGAATATGCCCATGAAGGCTCTCGGTCTTCCCTCTCCCTTCGTGCTTCTTTAGGGTCGTTCCAAACCCGCCCCCGAAGCGCAAGCGGTACATGGCGCGGGCCTAGACACTCAAACACTAGCCCTATTGGCCAGCGAGGCAAGATTCCTCGAAGATATCCTCCTCCAGCTCAAGATGGCAGATGGCGACAGGCCTCCGCAGCTACGTTTGATAGCCGGAATGCTCCTCAGAAACGACGGACAACGTGGGCTTTCCCTACACATGTGGACCAAGTGACTGGCTATGGCACGCAAGATGACCAATACAATAACAGTTCGTCAGGCGGTAGTCAAGCGAATTCTCAAACCACGCGGAGCGCTGGTCCGCTCGCGGGTTCGAGACGGATATTGACCAACGCCTGGAACACAAGTGTCCAGTATCTATCACAATGGACTGGTCAAAGGTCTGGCAGAAGATCCCAGGATCCTGGACATCCAAGAGAAGAGCAACAACAGCCTCTCTTACATGATCACAATAGCGAAGTCGATGAACAGCAACGACCGCCGCAATGACCATAAACCCTCCACCCACCCATAGTTTTCACTTCTACAACTTCGCGAGATAAATGTACAATACAAGAGACTTATACACTAACTATTTCAAACTAACATACTAATCACGACTGGATTCGAGCTATTTTCTTTTCTTCTCTTTTCTGCTTTTCAACACGTCACTGCCTGCTTTTTTTGACTGTCTTGGGTATATCGACTGGTCATGAACATAGAACCAGACACATACATGCTTGACACAAATTTCACTTTCAATGTGTTAGATGATTGCATAGTCCTGTGAGGCTAATGCATACTATGCATGGCTCATGCGTCTGTCTGCTGTTTACACTTCACAAGTATATTTGGTTGGAGATTACTTAAATATGAAGTATAAATCATTTGAATTTATTTTGCGTTTTTTATTAGATTATACTTATATTTAATTTGAGTCTTGTTGAATATTCAGAATGAATCTCGGGTACAGTATGGTATAACCAATGGACAGGACGGCTGTGGAATATACAGCCAACGCGTCTATCTTCCTGGCCAATTATATATCATCCATATACTCCGTACTACACACTATCCACGAATGACAGTATACAATGGCTTACATTATATTGAGATCTTGATGTAAGAAAAAAAAAAAAAAAAAACTAAGTTCCGATTTTCTCCATACCATACATGAGACACATACTAGACATACTTCCTATCTGATGAAGAGGATCCATTCCATATCATGCCAGTTACTCAGTCAAATATAATCAATTCATGTCCGCTTCTGCATAGCTCTTCCCCTACTACCTTCGTCCGCCAATGCCACCGATCATCCAGTAACCTGATCGGACTCGAGAGAAAGGAAAGAGAAATAACGAAACATGGCGCACAAGGGGGGAAATCAAATAAGAAATAGGCTAGAAATTAGGCATCGAAGAGAGAGTCAAATTATAAAAGAAAAATAGAAAAACCACATCGCCAACGAAAGAAAATGAAATGCACCAGAAACACCGCCACCTCCGCCGTCGTCTAGGAGATGATTAGGAGATGATGAACGGAAAAGAAAATCAAAAGCTGATTCGGCTTCGGAGTCCAGAACGAGGTGTTTGCATCCTTTGCTTTCGATAATTTTTTTCTTTTTTTTTTTTTTTTTTGCTTTCTTTTTTCTTTCTCAAACAACAGGCCAAAGAGCATGTAGAGTCACACTGAAGGTCCTTGCCAGCAAAGGCAAGCTCCTGTGGAGACCGAGCACTAGATAAGAGCTCGGGGTATACACTGGGCTACCGGGAATCATGCTTTGAGTTCTCGAAAAGGTGTGATATAAGGCCAGTAGTCAACACCGATTTCAAAAGAATCAGCCGGTTGCCAACAGTTATGTCGGGTATCAAGATGAAGGGGGGCAAAGAGCGGAGTGCAGATGCTGAGACAACAAAGAAGTGAAACAACGACGATCTGGACCCCTCGGCTGATCAAAACGGGTCATACGCAAACAGAGACAAGACACCGTCTATGCGGTGGGCTGATGTTGGGTGGGCATCCGATTGCCTACAGGCATGCCGGCGTACTGCCCACCGGCCTGCTGTTGTTGCTGGAGGTTCTGATAGTAGGCCATCTGCTGCTGTTGCTCGTTGGTCATGTAGCCCGGGTGCATGCCCGCAGGACGGGCGATGTTGGACTGCTGAGCATTCACATTGCTGTGACCAACATCCTCGGGTGTCTCTGCCGGTACCTCGGGGGCATCGACGCCGTTCTCACTGCTGCTTGGGTCGGGGGCATTGAGGCAGGCCTTTTATCAAGAGGGGTCAGCCCTGTTGGGAAGCCAATTCGAGATGGAAGACAGCAACATGACTCACCTGAATGAGGTTCTTGCCCTCAGCCTTGGTCACCAATGGTTGAAGCTTGGGGGTAGTGAAAGTGTAAACGAGACCGGTCTCAGAAACGACGAGTAACAGTACTTGAGTACCCGTGAGGACCGACAGTTCGTAGGCCTAGACGCGACCGGATTGAAACGTCAGCATTGAATTGAAGCTAATATCGAGCAAGGATTGGGATAATGAAAGCCGCAGATGAGAAATAGATGCAAGAGAAGTCGGACGGGACAAAAGGGGAAGAGGAGAGGAGACGCGACGGAACTCAACGCACCTTCTTCATGATACCGGCCTTCCGCTTGGAGAAGGTGATGTGGCGACGCGACTTATCCTGGATGAACTTGATCTCAATCTTTCTGCGCTCGCGACCGGGCTTATCATCGTCATCATCATCGTCGTCGGCGCTCATGCGAGAACGCTTGGTGCCGCGGTTGTCGACGGCGCCGTTACCGGCGGCCTGCTGCAGGTCGTCCTGAGTAGGGGACGGGTTCTCCTCACCGACGGCAGTGATGTCGGCCATGATGGACAAGGAGGGGGGGTTGGAGGGATTAAAACTGAAAGTAATGGGGATAGAATCAAGGGCGACGAAGACGGGGAGAGATCTGGGGGGATCACGACTCGAGTGCCCAAAGAGGAATGATGCTTTTCGGGGGATGGAAGTGGAAGTGGGAGGATGACCAAATCGAGTAACGCGTTTGCTTCGCAGGGTTTGGGTTCAGGACGAGAAAAGGAAGAAAAACGGGAGGAGGTCGAAGAGGGCAAAGTGCGGTTGGGAGAGGCAGGCGGTGTGGCACGTGACGGTACCGTAATTACATCACCACCAGTGTAACGTTCTATTTATACCTCAATTCTATTACCATGTAACTACTGGTACACTACTTATATATCTATGTAGCTATCGATTATATCAATTATATGATAGTAATTAAATGATTTATTAAACACATCCAATCCATAGTTTGTGATGATATCTGCGAACGTATTTCAAATACACAACATCCAGACTCAGCCGTGGAGAATACTCTTGGCATTTTCTGATTGGCCAGCCGCCACTCGAGGCCAACTCATGGCTCCACCCAAATGCCTCCTCATTCTTTGCATCAACAGCTTCATCAGCCAGAGTAGCAGAATTATCATGATTATATTGTACTTTCAGTATATTGTATCCTAATTGCATAATCAGATAAATGCCATCATGCTGTAACCCTACCTGTCTGGTTGTCTCATGATCTGCAAGGATTGTCCCGATCATAGCATGATGACAATTACCAAGGACACTATCAGCGTCCATCCAAGCCAAATTCAATAGCAAAGAAGCAGATATCGTGTAGATATCATTATCATAATATCAAAAGTCATAAGTATTACTACAATCAAGGTATGTCGCAGTACCAGTTACACACAAAGTACACTCCAGATACTCGCACTCGTAGCCATACCCCTCAGCAAGTCAACAACGTTCACTAATGCATCACCAACGCTCCAGCATCACAGCACGAGTCTCTCTCCTCGTGGCGGGCATCGATGATCGCTAACAGTAATCGCGATCTATCATGACCTTGATTGATACATCTCATTCATTCCCCGGATCCAACTGAAACCTACAGTGGGCTGTGCTAGTGTCAACTAACTCCTTGCGGAGTAGTTTTGCTCCATATATCCATGACTTCATGTCTAGCTGTCAGAATCAGATTCACTGATCAGCCATGACCTTTTCGGATATTAGGGTATGTTTCGTCTTTCTGCTGTGATAGTTCCATGCTTCGTTGCTAACTTGGATAGGGTCGATTGATGTGGAGTAGACGCTCGCATACCAAATCGCGCAATGGCTGTCAGCAGTGTAAACTGCGTCGCATCAAGGTATCTCAACTAACCTTCGATTGGATCAATCAAACTGACATCCTCAGTGCGATGAACAACCTCCCCAATGCTCCAACTGCGCCCGCAGACAAATCGAATGCGATCTGACTCATCGTCGTCCATCCCCGGCGTTTTCAGCGTCAGCATCAACACCATCATCAGCAACAACCTCCTTCAACAACCCCCCAACTCCTTCCCCGTCCACATTAACAGCAGCATCAACATCATCAGCCCTCGACATCCCCGACCTTGAACTCCTCCACCACTACACAACAGTCACCTACAAGACCCTCCCCTCCGGCGCCTCCTCAGACCAACACGCCCTCTGGCAATCCCAAGTCGTCCAACTAGGCTTCCACCATGAATTCCTCCTCCGCGGCATCCTCTCCGTCTCAGCCCTCCACCTCCTCTATCTCCATCCGGACCGCCAGGAATCGCTCTCCCTCCGTGCCTCAACGCACCAATCCCTCGCCCTCTCCTCGGTCCAGGAAGCGCTAAACACAGTCGACACTTCGAATTGCGTCGCTCTCTTCGCTTTCTCATGCATTATTGTCGTTCTGGCTTTCGCTACGCCTCGCACCCTCGACTCTGACCCCTCCACTACCAATGGCAGCATCAACAAAGACATCCTAGACTGGTTCCACATGATCCGCGGCTGCAACTCCGTCGTCCAAGCCCAATGGCCCACCCTCTCAACCTCCTTCCTAGCTCCCCTCTTACACAGAGGCATGCGCCACGAAACAACAGCCTCCCACTCCATCCCCGACTCCTCAAAGATAACCTCCCTGCACAATCTCCTCCTCCCCTCCTCCACCAATCCCTCAGTCATCCTCCCAGACGCACACCGCACAGCCTGCGCCCTCGCAATCCACGAACTCCTCAACACACATACCCAAATCTCGCTCCTCACCTCGCGAGGCCAGGACTTTATCCCCGAGATTTTTGTCTGGCCGATTGCGATTCCCGATGGGTTTTTAGGATTGCTGAGGGAGAGACAGCCGCAGGCGATGGTGATTTTTGCGTATTATGCGGCGTTGTTGCATAGGGTTGATGGGTTGTGGTTTATGCGGGGGTGGGCGAGGTATTTGATTGAGCATATTGATGAGTTGCTGGGTGAGGAGTGGACGAGTTGGTTGGCGTGGCCTAAGAGTTGTGCTGGGTTGGATTGACTACGTATAAAGATAAGAGTATAAGTATAGTATCACAAGTAGAATTGGAAATCATAAATTTGGCATAACGACAAATCTGAACGCTAATCTCCCATGGCCACAAGGCCTAAAAGTCTATTTTTACAAATGCATATAGCCGCCCCAATAGAAACGGTCAAAATAAAAAGCAAAAGCAAAGAAATGACGTCCACCCGAATCTTATCAAGGGACTGTAACAAAATATGCTCTTCACTGAAAACCACCAGTTCCCATCTTTGCCTGCGCCATCTTGACTCCGCCAATGCAACGCCGGACAAAGACAATGAACAATCAGAAATAGGATGCCGAGGACTCTGGGTTTGAAATGTAGAAAGCCCGTCCATTCAACAGCGCTCTTTTGGTTTGATTTTTGTTGGGTTTCTTCCTTTGCTGCTGATGGAGCGAGATAATATAGCAAGTAACAGAAAGGAGAAAGATAAGGAAGTAATCATGTGCAAGAATGGAAAGCAAGCTTGACAATTGCCCAAGGACCAGCCTTAGAATCGGTTGTGTGGCTTGCCTTTGAATCGTTCAATCAAATTAAGCCTTCACAGCGTAGCCTCCCACGCCGGCACCACCACCGCCCTTGGGGCCAAGCCAGACGATCTCAATGACGCTGTGGCCCTCGTCTTCTTCACGCACATACCACTGGTGCACATTATCACCAACAACAAAGGCCTCGCGGAGTACCCATCGGTCCTTGAGAATGCCTTCCTGCTCGACAGGGCGGAGGGGTCCAAGGCGGGATTCGTAACCGCGAGCATCTTCCTCCCAGGTCTTCTCGGTGTGGTCAAAGTTGATGGCGTCATCAGGCGTGTTCTCATCATAGGTGTACTTGATCAGCGAGATACCGTTGGTCAAGACCCAGAAAGTGCGAGTAGACTTTCCGGTAAGAGCGTTCACATGCTCCTCTTGGTCAAAGACCCAGCGGCGGAGCACTGACCGACGACCAGCAGCTGCTGCCACGGTGGTCATCTTCACGACATCCTTGTTGTACCAACTGTTCCAGTGGTGCATGGATTCAATCTTGCGGCCCGACTCGTAGACACCGTCGACGTCACCCTTCATGTCCATCTGGAACAACGAGGGCCAGAGGGTAAGAGGGGTCTCTCCGAATCGCTGGATACACTGGCCAAGCTTCTGGTCACCGGGCTGCTCACCCCACGACTGGCACTCATCGTAGTAGGTCTCCAAAACGTCCAGCAGGGGCTTCGAGACGAAGACACCGGCACCTCCAAAGGCGATGTTACCGAAGGCATCGACTTGCCAGCTGGCTTCCGAAAGAGAACCAATGTAGTGCTTCTTGTTGACATCAAAGAGCTTCAGCTCCTGAGCGATAGTGGGCAGAGAGAGGAAGAAAGTGTCGTCATCCATGAAGCCAACCCAGGTGGTTTGAGGGCGCTTGTTGCGGATGTGGTTGGCAAATGCCTCAACCATACCAAAGTAACGAGCGGTGAAATCAAGAGGAGATGCGATGAGAGTAACATCCAAGCCACGGTTGCGGAAGTAGGTCTCCTGCTTGTCCAAGTCGTCGTCGGACTCAGGAACGAGAACAATCAGAGAAGCCTTGGTACCACCGTACGAGTAGAGGAGAGTAGGAAGAAGACGGTCCAAACGGTCAGCAGTCGTGGCCAGACCAAACAGCATCTTGGAGGTTTCATCCGCATCGTGATCGGCCGCCACATCCACATCAATGATGTTGGGGCAGGGCAACGTGGGATCCTCGTTATCGGGAGAGATCACCATACCACGCTCCATAGCCTTGAAAGGCGGCAGAACTGGCGCAGCAATATCCTCAAGCGAGTGGAACTCGGTCTTGGGGCCAACATGGCGAGGACGGAAGTAGGCACGAGTGTAGTTCTTGCGAGGAAGCCATTCACTCATAGGCAGAGGGGCAGTGGTACCAGGTTCAATATCGCAAGTCTTCTTAGGGGCAGCCGATGCTTGAGCTTCGGGTAATTGAATTTGAGTAGGAGATGAGGAAGTAACCCGGTCGACGGGATGTTTAAATCGGAGGAACGCTGCGCGATCATAGCGTTCGACGGCCCAGAAGAAGAAGCCGATAGTGAGGAGGGCGATGAGGGGGACGACAGTTTTAGGTCGCAACATTTTGGGTAAATATTATTATGGACTCGTTGGTGTAAAGAAGAAAGAAGGACTCGAACGACGGTCGAGAGAAAATAAATTAGGGTCGTTTTATTTGTATCAGTGTCGCATCAACGAGTATAGTCCGGAGTACCGCAAACGTATCGCACCGCTTTGACGAAGACAGCGGATCGGTGAAAACGTTCGGGGAACTGTGAAAAGAGTGGAATTGGCAAATAGATCACAGTAAAAGAATCCAAAATCTTTGCGAAATTAGTGTCAACGAAAGACAAATAGCGTCGGAGCCCGCGACACAGAGACGGGGTGATAAGGAAGCAAAAAATGCAGTGGACGCAGGGAAAGAAAAAAGGTTAAATTGGCGGGCAAGCACAACTGGACGGCTGCGTCCAGGGCTGATGGAAAAGCACAGGCTGAAGGGGGAGGAAAGGAGGAGAATGTGAAGATAAGCCTGGGAGGGGAGAAGAAGAAGAAGAAGAAAAGAAGAAGAAGAATGAGGGAAGGATGAAGACAGGAGAGCAGATTGAAGAGTGGGAATGGATGGATGTGGATGGATGATGCGGACTTACTGGACCACGGGTTGGCACTGGGGCCTTAGCTCGGTAATATTACGAGGATTTGCAGTTTGGATGGTGATATCAAACAGTTGGTATTGATAGAAAAGAGGGAAGAAAATGAATATGAAAATATGAACTGAAAAAAGAAAGAAACGATAGGAAGAAGGAGAAGAAGAAAAAAGGTCAAGGGGAGGGGAATTATGGAGGGCGAATTATGAGGGCATCACTGCCTGTGAATGTCGACGCCTCGCATTTTCTGTTTTCTGTCCTTTTGGCTTTTTCTTTTTTCTTTTTTCCTTTTTTTTTATTTTACGAAAGACTAAAATCGTAATCCTTTTTCTTTTTCTTTTCCTTCGATGCAGATCACTGACAGAAGAGAAGAATGCTGGATGATGCTCTGCTGCTGATGGATCTTCCCCATCCCCACCGAATATTGGTATTTTTCACATTTCAGACCCTGAACAATACATCACATCCAAACACACGACATACTCGATGCAGAATATCTCACATCTCAAATTCTTATTTGTCTCTATTTCCATATGACGCTGTTGACTGTATCTAGTATCTACTGTACTGCCTAAATTCAGCTTCGTCTCAGTTGTACTGTGTAGGCTGTGGTGTGATCCACAGTTCTTTTCTTCTTCGAGATTCCACTGATCACCGTTTCTCAGGTCAAGGCAACCCGACCCAAGTCCCTGGTTTCTTTTTCTTTTCTCGAAACCCTTCGATATCAACAACCGTTTGACTTTGCGTTGTTGGGTGAACCAGTCTGCTATGTGAACTAAACTTGGCCCTGGAATGATTCGATTGCTGGAATGTTCCGGTGGATGTTTTCCATTCCCGACTCGATCAGGAACGCATCGATCTATCCAGGATCTCATTCTCCTTTGAACCTACTACGTACCTTGATACCAGGCAGATAGTATCATCCAAGTTTCCAACTGTTGGCGTATCTGAAGATACAGCTGGTGTGACAAAACTGATATGATCAGCGTTGCTTTCCCGTCCGGCTGGCCATTCAGGGGCGCTGCTCCAAGGGGCGCTGGAACTGCCAGCCCCACGGCCGCGTGTCCCTATCATACAATACATCGTCATCTTTTTCATCGCATTAATACTGCTGACAGAGTAGATATTAAGTCTATCCTACTCGATATTATGTTATATTCATCACTATATAAAATGTAGACGTTCTAATAGAATATACTCTAAATGTAAGCAGTAGCAGTGGATCTGGACGCGTGGCTCCATAATATTCAGGAACATCTTACAATCCCAAAGGAATACCGATCGACATCCTAGCCGGGTTCGCTAAGCACCACATCCAGCCCAACCGGCCATTAATTAATCTCTCAGTCAGACCCTGGCAGAATCGCCATTTAAGCTTGAACTTGTGCCTTGGCAAGCTGTCACTTTTTTGTATCGGTAATTACATGTCTACTTTGTTGGTGAAGGCTGTCGGCACCATGATCCCCTGATCTTCACCACCATCCCATGGAATGAACATCTCAAATCTAGTCTCGTCTAGTTCTGGTCGATTCGTTCCTTCTGGAAAATCCAATATTCAAGGCGGAAAAGCCAGAAAGGCTACGATATTCCTGCTCATCCATGGTACGTGTGCCACTGTTGCCTCCGCCCTCCCACATTGTTGCGCGCCTTGTGGCGACCGACGTCAACGTCAGACTCAGATCCGGCCCTTCAGGGTCCAGAAATCAATCCTGAAGATAGAAGAAGACGCGGGAAAAAGGGTCCAAACTTAACAGTCAGTGCCACCGTCGGCAGTCCGAGTGTCTGTCCAAGCCTCATGTAGGTACCGTAACTGTATAATGCTCATCACTGCTTAATCGGGCACGGTTCCTGACTCCGTTGAATGGTCCGATGAATTAACTGGATGATAATGTTACTGGTATCAAAATTACCATTTTTCAACTGCAAAAAAACACAAGGCAGAGAAATACCCCACTGACCACTTACCATACATGGCTCTCTTGCGATGCGGACGAACCATGGAGTTTTCTTTGTCTTTTACTACTCTGTACTATGCTCTGTAAAGAGTAGAGTGATAGACCGCTGTTAGAGCTGTAGATGTTGCGTGTCAAAAGTCTTTTAAATCAAGATTCGTCAGTGTTTCGGATTGAGGCTTTATATTGGCGAATCAAGTATGATGTAATGGCCTATATCCCGCCATATTAGATTGAATGGTATCACCAGGTAACAACTTACAGAGTAATACTCCTTTATTCTGATCTGTCTGGTATCTGAATGACTATATAAGATGATTGTCCAAACTATTGATCCTACGTACTCCCAATACATAATATCATCAACTTTACAATGTCAATCACTGACCAGCGGAGATCAAAATTTTAACCTCACCTATGATCTGCTCCCAACCTGACAATCTGACAATCAGTCTGGATGGAACTCTCTAGCCTTGTAGCCTTGTGGATCCGGTGTCTATCATCCAGACTACAGTACAACTGCGTAGACAAGTACTACACAATACATATATAGAGTACCACAAAGATATATCTACAACTGTGTGGCATTGATTAATGCAGAATATCACAATCAAATGTGTCTGCAATGGCTGTCATTTCCTTTTCCACGTGTTTGTCGGCTCCACCAACGGTACTTGACAGTGTTTCAGACAGACTGCAGTTACTAGTCAGTGGCACAAGTTTCTTCATGACAGAATTATTGGCATTTGACAGTGCATACTAGCAGTAGAGCTGATGGTCTTCAAGGCAGTTAATAGAATATAATCCGAAAGTATTACAATAAATAAACTTTATATCTATCTTAACTCGTTGGTCATTACTCTACAGAGTAAATATATCTACATACATACCAGTCCCACTTAATGTAACCTCACACCATGTACAATCACAATCATCTATTAAACCTTCATATCCCTCCCGTCATGTAACTCAAGAGGAAAAAAAGAAAAAACCCATCCTAATTCCCTCATATCCGACCAGTTTCACCATCACCAACATGTTTCACTTCACTTGGCGGATAAACCCAACCAGAGTAAACAGCACGACATGCAACGCTCAATATCCATTGGACCAGCCACGGCTAATAGGCTGTCTCGGAGGTTATGGGCGCTTAAAAAGCCTGTTTAGATGCTAAATGACAGAAAGACTTACGCACGTCTTTTGCTGGTTTGTCTGGGGTAGATTGCATTGTACCGTACCCCGCATTCTTCATCCTTTCAACAGGGGTACTGGATGTACTGGATGTATTTGGCAAACGAGGTAGTGTCGTACTGTGTACACTCTGTACTCTGTGCAAGTACGTTGTATTCAAATGCAAGATGAAATGAGATCATTCTGGGGAACGTCTGGTCTGCATGATGCTTGGCTGATTGATAATATCACTTCAACCTCATCTCGAGGAATGCCTATCAAACACAACCTTTGTATGTATTTCTTCAAGTACAAACAAAGGACACTCAATATGATTATAATCAAAAGAGCAAAGAAATTATCTACCTTAATATCTTAGACCAAGACAACTGAGGCCAGAACCTCCTCTCGTCCCACTATCTATCTGTCGCCTGCACTTTGACCTCTGAACAGAGTAACCGTCAACGGCGGGAACTTCAAACAAACCTACACATCCATCGATTATTCTACCTGCCACACTCTCCGCTATTGTCTTTCAAATTGCAATAATACAATATATGTACAATAAAATACAAGCCAAAATATCACCATCCATCTTCCCCAGCCATCAGCCATATTACGCGGACATCATGGGATAATTGGATATGTGTGCACCACCCCGGTCTTTGGCTCAGCCCCGCTCTTGTGGCAATCGGACAACCGACTAAAAATAGGGTGGTTTGTTGATGTCGTCGTCAGCTTCAGATTTTACAAGCTTTGGGTTATTTTTTTTTTCGGCCCATGCCCTTTATTAATATATAAGGCTTGGTCAGATGGAGGAGCTGAGTCCTTGCAGATTTGCAGATGGAGATGTTGATCTGATGGCGGTGTTGTTGCTATTTGGAGGTTACACTACAGTTGTCGATATACGCGCCCTTACATGAGCAGGGCGATCGTTGGATGTATGCAAAGTTTAATATTATTGAGTACGGAGGAAAGGCTAGATGCTGGATGCAAGGAGTGTAGATGCAATATTGAACATTTCATTACTACGGAGTATTCATGTCTACATGTCTATCATTCCTCATCATGGTTCTCTCGGTCCTCAAATGTCATAAACTCATGCTGAGCTGCCTCCGCTCCCATGATCATCGTCCATGCCTCTTTGACCATGTCAATCAATGCATCGTCAAAGGCAAGATCGAGACTGGGTGGCGGGAAGCAAATGACTTTGTCTGGAGCCGAGCTCGTCCTGATGGCTTCCGCGATATTGCTAGCATCATCGCGACGTCCAAGCTGTGTGTATCGTAAAGACCATAGGACCTTAGCATCAAGACCAACCGTCGACTGTAGAAGTTTCTGCACAGCAGTCTCTAAGAGGGACTGTCCTTGAGGACCGGACACATTAACACTGCCGTAGATGACACCTGAGGAACACACCAGTTAGCGACGTGAAGCAATAAAATATTGGCAGATAAAATGATAAAGGTAAATGCTCTTGATCAGTCTCGCAGGTAGTTTTCATCAATGAAAGTACAGGCAATGTAGATAAGTTTGAGATAGGCATCATATGAGCAGGGCAGAGGGCATCAGAATGAACAAAAGAGTAAACTTACTTTGTCCAGTTGGGCATTCCCCGGTATCGCTGGAGTGAACGAGAAGGTACACTGGCGAATCATCAGCCTCGCCCAGGGAGGTTCCGGGGAAGACAACGACAGCCCCAGCAGGAATTGGCCCTCCTTCTGCTGTGACAGGGAAGAGGGATCCCAAAGGAGACGACACGACCGTGATAGATCGAGCCACCTTTTCATAGCTAGGTTGGGCACCCAAAACCTCTGCCGGAAGATCCCACTTTGAACCGACTAGGAACTTGGTTCGGATCGACTCGCCGATCGATAGCTGTGCCTGCATGCGGGCATCCTCATCGCTATCAGCCCCGGGTAGATCCGTGATGGATTGAATACTCGAATCCAAGACGTACACACCACCCCCGACTGCAAGGGCACGGCAGCCTACCTGAGCGATCTCAGAACCACCACCCCACTTGGGAATCAGGCTTCCAAACCCAGGCCCAAAAACGCCAATAGATGCCAGATGCCTTTTGACACGGAGAACCGCATACTCGGCTGGTGTCTGCTGGGGTGAATTTTGGGACAAGGAAAGGGACAGGAGTGGGTTGTGAAGCTCAGCAGGCACCTGGAACTTGGACGTCAAGTAATCCGAGAAGGGCATGGACAAGTCCTCGCTTTCTTCTGGCGTCGCCTCTTCATCCTGTTGAGGTTTCCCAATGTGACGGAGGAATTTCATCAAAGTCCGCTTGGATTTGAGAGTGATCACGTCATCTGCGAAAACATCTTCGCGGCTGCCAGGCACACGATAGAGACTTGATGCATTGTCATCAGCATTCCCAGAGGGTTTGTGTATCCACCAGCTTCCAACGGCCTGAAACTCCAACTGCCGGTAGACCTTGGACGAAACCAATGTGGGTAGTAGCTGGGAGCGAGAATAAATCAAATGGGGAGATAGGGCAAGTGTGTACGCTCGAGGTGATGACAGCCTCGCATCAGCCTCAGAAGAATCCTCAGGAGAGTAGACTGTTGCATCTTCAAACGGGACACTTCCAGGTTCTAGCTTAGGGGTTAGCATATGCCAGTTGCAAGCGACGACGGTATAACTCACGTTTATTTACTGTAGCTGCCCATTCTTCGGCTTCCCGAAGACTGAATGCAGCCTCTGAGCCCCCATAGTATGGGTTCTTGTCAACATGGAGTACTTTCTTACCTGACCTGGAAAGGCCCCTGAACCACAGCAAAGCGTTAGCGACGCAGTGCACCGCATGGACATAAGCCGACTCACAGCGCAAGAAGCGACTGGGCTAGCCCAGTGCCAGAGATTGTTACATCCCATGGCGTTTCTGTCAGTGACTCCATGCTGGTTGGGCTGGTCGCGACGCAGATCAAGCTGTTGGATAGAAAGGTTCAGTGCTACAGAGATAGATAAACCCAAATATCATCACATTGGGTTGCAGGCTGTGGAGCAGATCCTTTGCAACAGGTCTTTCCTGATCATGTGTGCAGGAGAATCAAGTGTTCAGAGAACAAGAGATTTTTTGGGGAGAGGAAAAAAGAACGCGAAAGATGTCTACCGAAAGAAAAGACCCACACCGGTGCGCCACGTGACTTAGCTCGAGATACTACGTCGATGCAGCAGAATGATACGCAAAACACACTGATAGAGATAGTTTTTGCTAAAATTTTGCAGGAAAACCAAGTAATAAGTATATGAATTGCAAATAGAAGAGAGATTTGTTCAATGATGCATTCATTGGGTAATTGGAGCGGGATTGAGCTTTTGTCGATATGTGGTAGTAATTAGTAGGTATTGAACATTGTGACTCTTTCAATAAGATTCAGTAGAGAACTAGCCCTATATATCGAGCATATATATGTAATTACACTGTTTCTACAAGAGCACATCTTGTAAAGACCTTTCTTTGATATCAAAATGAGCCGAGACGATGTACTACGTAGCATGCCAGAAACCCACTATACCCGATTCAGCTAGACGCACTTTCAAACCTTTTAAAGCCGATTTTTCCCACCAAAGTCGGTTTTCTCCAACACACCACTCCCTCAAAGACAGGCTGCGCTCTATTCATAGCGGAGTCGTCTCTGATAAGCCTTCACTGGTCTTGTCTATGGGAGTGGCAGAGAAGATCTATCACTCTGTATCTGCTGCTCTGGATGGAAACATTTGATGGAAGCGGTTCGTTTTGTAGTGATACATTCCACTATTTATCTTCTGTATTTGGCTCTATATACACACTCGCCAATGTAGACAGAAGTCTTGTAATAAAGTACTTGCTCGGTCTCGGCCTGAATGCGTTGGGCAACCTTTCGCTATACTGCGTTATTGAAGCAAGCTGTGCTTGTGACTCCCGCAGGTAATGGGTTGCCCGACTCCCAGGTGACGGACACGAATGATCCACCTCTGGTAGAGATGAGAGTTGATGGGATATATTGTAAAGACAAGCCTGTCTATGTCGTCCGAATTGCCCGCGATATGCTTGATTTCGAGACCAGCTCACTCCTCCGCTCGGTCTTCCACCACCTTGGCCCGGATGATTTTGACCTCGTCCATTGGTTTATCTTCGGCATTTGTCTTGACCAGTCCCATGCGCTGGATCACTCGCATACCGCTTTTGACCCTGCCGAAAATTGTGTGCTTTCCATCCAGCCACGGGGTCGGCGCAAGGGTGACGAAGAACTGGCTGCCGTTGGTGTTCGGTCCACTGTTCGCCATGCTCAGAATTCCAGCCCCCGTATGCTTCAGATCGTTACGAATCTCATCCTCGAATTTCTCGCCGTAGATTGAAGTTCCTCCTCGGCCAGTGCCAGTCGGATCACCGGTTTGTACCATGAAGTTGGAGATGATGCGATGGAAGATGACATTGTTGTAATACCCTCTCTGCGCGAGGGTCGCGAAATTGTGGCATGTCTAGACAAGTAGAAGTCAGTATGAGGTACCGCTTAAAGGTGAGGAGGCGCAGTGCTGACCTTTGGTGCATGCGTATTGTAGAGTTCTACCGAGAACGAGCCCTGGGACCAGTCAGTGACCAATTGAGGTAGATATATTGGATAGGTGTCTTTACCATAGTCGTGTCAAAAGTGATTTCAGTTGCCATGACGAGTATTATATAGCTAAACAGCAATGTGTGTCTCTGAACTGCGAAAAAAAGCAAAGACGTTGTTGCGATCGAACTTCCCACAGGGCGGCGGGGATTTGAGCGTCGGGCTTGGCATAAGCGTAGCTGTGCCTGTCAGCTCCGATTGAACCATCGCGATCTTTCCTGTAAACACGACCTTGTGCCACCATGGATTGATTTTTGACTCTACGAAGCTTTATTTTTTCAAATTTAACCTTTTCCATCGACAACCAGACCTCTCCATTTGCTCAACAATAGCTTGACATCCACCCCTCCACAGTCGGCATGGACGAGGTCAGCCCCCTCGCCGAGCTCCTGGGGCAGGCTATTTACCAATTTACGCTCATAAAACCTCTTCTTCCTACCTACGGACACCTGCTGGTCTCTGCGATTTTCCCGATTTACATCGGTGCCCATGCATCCCTTTCGAGACCGTCGTCAGCCGCTAAACCTCCCAAGAAAGATGGAGACGAGCCAGATAATGAAGATGAGGACGAAGACGAGGAAGAACAGGGAACAACGCAGAAGATGGAAGGACTCTCACCATCTGATGCTCTGATGTTTCCTCTAACGGCTGGACTGACGTTGGGCGGTCTGTATCTGGTGATCAAATGGCTCGGAGACCCAGCTATTTTGAACAAGATCTTGAGCTTCTACTTCTCTCAAATGGGCCTATTCTTTGCTGTCGCCTTTTTGAAAGATATGTTCTTGGTCTTTAGGTCATTCGTTTTCCCCAACCAGTACCGACAAGGTGGCAAGATCTGGAAGGCGAAACAATCGGAACGCATCTTTACAAACAACTCGTCAGACAACGTTGAGACCCGGCGCTCTCCTCTTCCAGGGATTTTCGGTGCAATTCCACTGCCAAACTCTGTTCTCAAAGTACTCTGGACCACTCGCAATCTTGCATATCAACGAGTCAAGCTTCGCATCCATGTGCGTGGTCTGATGGATGTAAAATGCCGTTTAGGCCTGCTTGATGTCTTCAGTGTGATCGTTGCATTGTCTGTGGTTGGATATTTTGCATTTGTGACGAAGCCATGGTGGCTGACCAACTTTATGGGTTTCTGCTTTTGCTATGGTGCATTGCAGTTCATGTCTCCCTCGACCTTCTGGACAGGAACGCTTATTCTGAGCTCGTTGTTCTTCTACGATATATATTTCGTTTTCTTCACCCCACTGATGGTGACAGTTGCCACCAAATTGGATGTACCCATAAAGCTTCTATTTCCTCGCCCACCGGCTCCCAGTGAATCCTCAGACGCTGTTTCTCTGGCGATGCTGGGACTCGGCGACATTGTTATTCCGGGAATGATGGCGGGACTGGCACTTCGTTTTGACCTTTTCCTCTTCTATAAGAAGAAGGGAGCCCGGAAAGCACAAGCCGAAGGTAAAGAACATGGTCTAGTCAAGCCTCAATATCAATCTGCGACTGGTGGTTGGGGTGAGCGCTTTTGGACCGGATCCGTCAAGCCAAGTGGCTCTGAATTGGAACCTCCTTATCATAACGCCCGCTCTTTCCCAAAGACATACTTCAAGGCTAGCATTGTTGGATACCTTATCGGAATGATCACGACCCTCGTGGCTATGCAATACTCCAACCATGCCCAGCCAGCACTTCTCTATCTGGTCCCGGGAGTACTCCTCTCGCTCTGGGGAACCGCTTTGATTAAAAAAGAGATCCCTGAGATGTGGCAATTCTCTGACGAAGAAGAGGAAGACGATGAGGATGAAGAGAAGAAGAGGAAGGAGAGGGAGGATAAGAAGGAAGAGAATGAAAAAGAAAAGAAGAAGCAAGAAGGCGGCAAAAAATCCCTCTTCTCCAGACTTTGGACCGGTGATCTTAAAGGCTTAGCCGACTCATCTGAAGCAACCGACGATAAAAAAGATGACAAAGAAGACGACAAGACAAAAGACAATGCTGAAAACGACGAGACCAAGGAACAAGATTCCAAGGAAGACTCGCGGGCAGACAAAAGCAAAGAAGATGATGACAAAGATATCGACTTGGTTTCGATATCTATCTCTCTTCCCCGAAAGACCAAGTCCCGAAAGCAGAGAAGCTCATCGGATAGCTCCAACAGTGTCCAGTCTATGAAGAGCGAGGAACAGCCTATTCCTAATACCCTTGAGCCGGATAATGAGCCGCCCGCTAAAAGAAGAAGACGCAGTCCTAGGGTAGCTAAAGCTGCCGCGGAGTCAGACGCTTAATGAAAGGCGTGTTAGAAAATGAAAAGAGACGCACGAACCTATCCAATAGGCATATTGGCCTTTTGAAAACTTATATCAGTGAGTTGGAATGTAAAATAGAAAAGATACTTGAGTCTTTCGAAAGATAGAAAGATGAAATAGAATATTCAGGACTTTTTTGAATCTACATGGTATCATTATGTGTAACTGCCATCTCATGCAATATAGAAAGTGAAATCAACATTGCTCAAAGATCTGCTTCATCTCGTCCCATCTTTGCGCAGAAAGATCCACAAGCTGCTTCAGGTCTTTACTGTCCACAGCCCATCCGCCATTCTTCTCCAGCTTCACAATCACGGTCTTCCCCTTTCCACCGTTCTTCTTGTCGACAACGACGCAAATTCTCTCCTCGGTCATGCCCTCCTCATACCCATCAGGGTCTGCCAAAATCCACCTCCGTTGCATGCCCTTCTTTTGGCTTTCTTCAATCTTCTTCTCTTCTTCCGCGTCGGGGATAATCACCGCTCTCCATCCAGCAGCAGCATCGGCCTCGAAGACACCATACGAGCTCGCCACGGGCATACCGCGCAAAGATAGCGTCCGTGCCTCCGAGACATCATCTGAGCACAGCACCATCTCATTATCGACATCCCACCAGGCCTTGGGAAGCTTCGTATCCCGAAGAGCAGCCAAGACAGCCGCCCAGGCAACGTCAAATGGATTGCCCGCGAGCGAAATAATCATGATATCGATGTACAGGACCCAGAATGCCTTGATCTCGCGGTTCTTGGTATCCTTCTGGTCTTGATCCGCGTCCACATCCATCTGCTCACCCTCGTTATGGCGTTCTAATTCCTCCGCTCCAAAATTCGGCGGCTGGTGCCAGATCCGCAGGTCCTCCGCACGAACCAGTCGAGTCCCATGGAGCAATGAAAGAATTTGATGAGACAATGACTGTGCCAGGGGCGATGGTGGCGCACTGGGAATGAAACCAGGTGCACAGCCGGTGCTCAGCGAGAGATTGGGGACAAGCAGACTGAGATCTTCGATGTGCGATTCATCATCATCGTCGTCGTCGGCTTCAGGGTCGTCCGCTAACTTTTGTCGCTTGTTGGATGCATCTGATGACGGTGCCCGGGACACGCTCCACGAGGCAATATCGTCTGTGTGCAGGATTTCTGCTCTCACACCGCATACGGCTGCAGTATCGCCAATTCTCACGACGGCGCTGCCGTTTGTATGTGTCAATGAGCCTGTGTTCGCAGAGGTCACGCGGAATTGGGAGGCAGATCGGCCATTGGCTCGGATGGAGGGCTGGTTGCTAGAGGTAGGAGGCGATAAGTGGGCGAGTAGGTAGGCGTGTGGCTGCAGTCGGGCGAATTGCGATGGCGGCAGAGAGAGGGACGGCGGGGCAGGGTGTGCAGCCGTAGCTGTTGAAGATGCCATTTTTAGAAGTGCAACTTCAGGCCTCTATTTGATTTAGGAAATTGGAGGAAAAAGGTGCCGAGGTGCTCTGATGAGGGGTCGGAGGCCGCTTGCTCTGCGGGAAGAAAAGAAGCCTTTCCAGGATTACGATTTTATGCGGCAGAATATTTTCCATATCAAAGGCGGTGAAACTCTGTCAGTCAAGATCGAAGTCGTTCTTGTGCAACAGTTACGGTACTTTTGGACAAAATAACATGTTATTACTCATCTTGGGCTAATCTCTAATCTCCCTAGGGGGTGATTGTGGCCAAGAGGATTTCCAGAGTCCAGCATTGCAATCCCCAAACGTTCCGCAGTTCCCAAATTGGATCCTCAGACGTCAGGTCGATAAGCACACATCTTGCAACGTCAGACTACCTAATAACTAATGCAGCAGTACTCAGCAGCTTCACGCCTTACGGATTGGGATCATGCTGTTATGGCATCATTGAACTCAAGCAACTCTCCAACTGACATCCGTTGGGCTGCCCCGTTTTCGACCAACACGCCAAAAAGCTTTGTCTTCAAAAGAAAATACGAAAACCAACAGAACGAATACGCAAATCCAAGCTGAACTTCAATGACGACACGGGATAGCAGAAAAGTCAGCCCATATCATCTATTGCATGTTCATGGCGGTATGGTATGGTGGCCTCAGCGACGACTCGGTTCGCAGCTTCGCCCCAATGAGGTGATCGCCGCTTTGTCTTCTAAATATAAACACGAAAACTCGTCGATCCTATTGGTCTTGAACCAGCTCGCGTTTCTATGTCGTTTTGGGGAATTGGCCATGTGTACCTTTTACTCGTATAGGGGCCATTTTCACCGACTTGTTATGGTGATCAAAGGCAATTTTCCTTATTTGCTTCGTTGGTGTTTCTGAAATGACCGCTTTTCCAACGCGGGAGTTTGTCGATCCGAATTTTCTCGCTTTCGATGACAATGAAGCGGAAGATGTTATAACAGCCCCCAACTTCACTTCCTGTTTTGTTTATTCGCCCGGAACTTTATGGCGGACAACATGGCCCCCAGCTCTGGCTGTGGACTAACAACCGGTGGGTTTAGACACAGTTTGCGGTGGATTTCGTGTTGTTGGTCTGCCCTGCAAACTTCACAGCCTCGTATTCGGTGGGCGATGGTTGAATTATAACCTTCGGGATTTGAGATTGTGTTGGTTTGGCCCTCCCTCATGTGGAGTGAGGTGCATAACCTCTGTTCTTATCCATCCTAGCGTGCAGCCCGGCAGGATGTATGGATCTAGTCGCGTGAATAAGAAATCTCACTAGAAGGGGATGACATTTTTCTATTGAATTGTCAGACTCCTTTCCATGTTATCATCATCTCACCTCATCTTTTGTGGAATCTTGCACATTTCAACTAACTTGATATTCCTTTTCTCCTGCGATCAAGAATGTTGGGGAACGCTTGGGCAGAAAGGTATTACTTACCTGCGGCGAAACAAAACATGGATGATTATTTTTCAACACCATTTCCGTCACCAAATCCCCCAGTCTCTCCTGCTAGCTTTCATAGGGAGGACTTCCCATCGCCGCTGTTCAGCCGCCGTAGCCAGGACGTGAGATACAGTCTATACAGTCCAGTATCGCCGAGGACAGAGAGTGTTTTCTCGCGCCACGAAAGCTACCAGCCGATACTCAGGAGTAACATCCCATGGGAACCAACCGATGATAGCAACTGCTGGAGCGATGCTGTCACAGCCAGCGCTGTCTTGGGCTTGCTACGCAAGGATCCCGTCCAACCACCCCAAAACCGCACCTCTGAGTTGAATCGTATTGTCGAATCGAATGACGAGCCCCGAGAAGAGCAACGAGAGGAGCAACAACAACAAGAAGAACGACAACAAGGGCAGCTCTTCACATGCGCTTCCTGTTTCGAAAGCCTCGATCACCGTTCATACCCCCAGACGCCTATCACTGCAGGATGTGATCACTCTGGGACACCCACGATGCATATCTGTATATCTTGCTTGCGCCATAGCTTGGACATGCAATTCTCTTCAGACTCAGAGTCGCTGATGTGTCCACTCTGCCACACACACCTCTCGCCCGACGATGTCCAACGATGGGCCAGTGCAGAAACATTCCAAGTCTATGACACAATAAGGACTCGACAGATATTAGAAAGAGATTCTGAATTCGTCACTTGTGCCCGGATGAACTGTGGTGCTGGCCAACTACACGTTGGTGGGCGAGAAGATCCGGTCGTTGTTTGCAGGGCCTGTGGCACCTGGACATGTTTCAACCACCGCGATACAATCTACCATGAAGGAATGACATGTGAAGAGTATGATGTTATGGCCAAACCCCGATTCCACAGAATAGATTCGCCGGGCAATACTCGAAGAAGCCCTGGGCTGTTGCAGAGGATACGTGGGCTGAAGACAGCGAAGAATCCATCATCACAGCCTTATCGACTGGATGCCACAAAGGAGGAGCTCCTCAGCTGGAAGAAGATTGGCGAAATCGCGAGGCCTTGCCCTCGCTGCAACACAGTAACCGAGAGGGACGGAGGGTGCAAATATATGCAATGTACGTGCATTTCCAGATACCATGGATGATAATGTTGACTGACTTTCTGACAGGCTCGATATGTAAACAGCAGTGGTGTTGGGACTGTGGTGGTCGATGGCAGCGGGGACATTTGGACGTTACATGCTGTTAATATAGACAATCACATGATACCTCTAAACAACTAATATCAACTAATTCCCCTATTCTCAATCGCAAGTGCCTGCTTAGCTAACTATCTTTGACTCCTTAACACTTTATGGTTGTACAAGGCTGCAGTTCTCCAATTTTTTCTCTTGTCTGTATTCTGCATTATGTCCGACATGACTCGGATTTGCGATGATATTCTCTCTCGGTCTGACTAAACCGATTCATTCTCACTGACCAATACCGGCAGGGATATTTCTCCTCCCATTCGTTCCCTGTAGAGCATCTGCAAACACCCACTGCCCAGCCAATGACAGCCCAGAATCCCGCTCCACTCCCGACAGAGTTCTCCGCTAATGCGCGCGTCGAGTGGACTGTCACCTCGCCGGGACCGTCTGAGCTTCTCATTGGACGGGAGGCTCTTGGCCAGCGGTAAACGGGGGTCTCTCACTCGCTGTTTTTGATATCCTCGACAGCTGAATGCGCGAATCAAGCCTTTTTGATGGACAAATAACGCATCCCCGCATGAAGAACGTGATGAACAGCGCTATTCCCGCCAATCACACCGGGCGGTTCGATAAGCAGAGCCCATCTTCAGGCTGGCAGGCTAAGCTCTTTTCCTCTGTCTCTCTTTTTCTTCGTCTCCCTCCCAGGATGGATCACTCCTCTCTCTTTCTTCATACCCCAGCTGTTTGTCGATCTTGTCTTTCTACCTCGTATTCACTCGTTTTATCGGGGCTTTTGATCCTGGTATGTGGTGATCGACATACTAGCAGGCTTTATTTCAACGGTCTTTCATGAGCTTCCCTTGTGAGAATACGGGATCGCCAGTGAAGGGAGACAGAGCTTTGTTCGCGAAGGCTGCTGGCCAATCACAAGTACAATAATGTTTATCTGGAATCCGATGAACTCGATGGACTCGATGGCTTCGCTGGTGAAGCGAATCAATGTCCCTGTCACTGCTTCATGGACACCAGCGCAGATCGCAGAGCGTCAACGAGACCTATGGTCTCAATCCGGGAAATACGCTGCAGGATGGGTATACTTTGCCGTTATCCTGCTGGCTCTCACGACGATCGTTCGATGCTACAACACATGGGGTGACCGGATTCGCATCTCCTTATACAAAGAAGATCCTTTGAAACCCAAACAGGAAGAATATGAGCTTCCCAGCGCTGCAACCGACAGTTCCACTGCCCACTTCTTCCCAGCCCATGGACCACTTCCCAACGCCGCGAAGGAACAATCGTCAGTGTCTACCATTGCGCCACTGAATAATACGCTGGCGTTTGTGAGATGGATCTTTTATCGGCCTCTCCCTGTGTTGAGGATATGGAAATTACAGATCGTCTTTCCCTCGCTGGGAACATCGTTCATCGTGCTGTTTGCGCTAATTTTCGTCATTCTCTATTGCTTCCTCCCGCAGCCTCTATACTACTCATCCATTGCCATAGGATCGCCTCCGTTGGCCATCCGTGCTGGTATGATTGCGGTTGCTCTGGTTCCCTGGATCGTCGCCCTTAGCACCAAGGCCAATTTCATCAGTATGTTCACAGGCATCGGTCATGAACGTCTCAATGTGCTACATCGATGGGCCGGTTATCTCTGTCTGCTCCTTAGCCTTATCCATATGATTCCGTTCTACATCACCCCTGTTTGGGAAGACGGTGCTCTATACGTTTACCAACAGTACTTTCCGCGAAACATGTACATTTATGGAACCGGTTTTGCCGCTCTGGCACCTTTGTTATTTCTATGCCTTCATTCCCTTCCAGTGCTTCGGGCTTGGATGTACGAGCTTTTCTCTTTCGTGCATCTTCCCGTGTCCATCATCTTCGTCGCTATGCTTTTCTGGCACAGCAAAAACTTTTTGACCTCTTGGAGCTACCTCTGGGCTACCATTTCCATCTGGGCTATATCCTATGCTGCCCGACTATTATTTGTCAACTGGACAAATCCATTACATATGTCGTTCATGATCGGCGAAGAGTCTGGTATCACGATCCTTCCGGAAAACGCGATCAAGGTGACTATTCCCACGAGAATGCGATGGAAACCCGGTCAATATATATACCTCCGTATGCCGGGTATTTCACTCTTCGAAAGCCACCCCTTCACCATCGCCTCGCTTTGTAGTGACGACTTTCCATCCCAGTATGGAGAAAAATACCGTGACCTGGCCGTCGTTTTCCGTCCCAGGGGTGGATTTACACGAAAGGTTCTCAGCAAGACACTCGAGTACGGTCCGTACAAGACGTGGACGGCCTACCTCGAGGGCCCATACGGGGGCATGCGACGGGAGATGGCAGCCTTCGACGACATCATTTTCTTCGCTGGTGGAAGTGGCATCACAGCAATTGCAAGCCAGCTCTTGTACCTGATCAAGCAGATCCGGGACCGCAAGGCTGTGACGAAGAGGGTGCGGGTAATCTGGTCCATGAAGACCCCCGAATGCATGGAATGGTTCAAAGAGGAGCTGCGGATTTGCAGAGATTACGCCCCGCCCAACTTTGTCCACTGCCACTTCTTCCTCACCGGTCCCAGACCAGATGCGCAGCAGGGACCAGGAGAGGCCAATCGAGATATCATACAAGAAAAGATCTACGACATGCTTCAGGGCATGGATAAACGAAGCTCAACATACATCCGCCAAGAAGCAGCCGGCGATGCCCAGCGTGAAAAGGAACTCCACCGTGAGAACGAAGACGCCATAACGGAGCTGCCAAAAGCATATAGCATGCCACATGTCGCCCCCAGCCAACACTACAATAACAATCCCTACTACCACAACTACGCATCTCCAAGTCCCTACCAGCCAAACGGCTACCCACCGAACCCGAACCCTCAGTTCAATTTCGGGTTCGCTAATAGCCCTCGACCAACGCCCCGTTACGCTTCGCTCCCAACTCAAAGAAGAACCGGATGGCGAACTGATTACTTCCGTCCTAACATTCCCCAGATGCTCACTGAGTACTCTAAGACATTTGGTCGCCGTGCTTGTGTGTTCGTCTGCGGACCTCCGAGTATGAGAGTTGAGGTTGCGAATACAGTAGCCCGGCTGCAGACAGATGTGATGAAAGACCCGAGTAAGGATGAAATCTTTCTGCACGCAGAGAACTATAATATTTGATGTTTTTAACGCGATACCCTGGTGTTTTTGTATTTATTTTTCCTGAATTTATCTTGATATACATGATCTATAACTATACTATCTGACTGCTTCTAATTGGACATATCAAACAAGGACACTTAGCCATTGGAAGGAAAAAACTTGTATCATGTATTGCAAGCAGGACTTAACCTGTAAATCTAGATAATCCGCCAGGACAACAAAAATGTTCAATGCATATGCTTCTAAATATGCAAATGCCAAGGGATCAATGGGCCGAAATGAATCGTCTGCGCTCTATAGCCCAGTATAACTATGGAAAAGGGTATCCTGAATGACAGAAAGAATATAACAATAGCAGCAACACCAAAACAAATGAATATCATAAACATAAAGAGTCGGTCAACGTGAAAAGAAAATACCTCACTGCCGCTGAGGCTCATCGTCAGCCTTCCGTTTCCTACTTCCCGAATCTTCTCTTTCCAAGCTCTTAGAGTCCGTAATCGGGCGTACTCCATGATCTTCATGCTCTTCTCCATCTTCAGCCTCTATCTTTTCCCAATCATCGTCATCATCTGGACTCTTCTCGTCCCGGGACTCGCCTTCATCCTTGGCGTTGTTGGCTGACACTTCCTCATCATCACTCCGCTGAATAACGAATCTAACAATCTTCGCTCCTGATGGTTTCAGACGTCGATAGTAGTTTTCCACCACGCCATCTTCGAGCTGGAAGCCGCGGGCAAGATACCAATTCAGCCCTTCCTCATTAGCCTCGTGGACATGCGCCGTGACCGTGCGAATGTTGTAATGTTTCACTAAGTCTGAAACACGATATCCAGACTTGGAGTCCGATGATGCAAAAATGAGCGAGTTGAACAGAGAAGCTGCAACGCCGGTACCCCGATATGGAGAGAGAAGATGAAGAGTTTGAATGTAAAGGTTTGTAGGTTCTTTCTGGTTCTGCGATTTGAGTAATTCAGAGGTGACCTGTGGGAAACGTTCGAGTCGACATCTAATCCCGCCTATGACTTTATCGGTACCCGTGTTTCTGCCTAGAGCAGAGGGAGACGAGGAAGATGCGGGGGCCGCCGCTACTGGATGGTCATGGTAGATGGCGACGCGGGACACCGACGCGATAACAGGGTCCGTTATAGTCGCCGTATAGAAAGAGTTAGGATAGCGGATTGGCAGAAGTAGACCGGTAATCCTGGTCAGCGAAGGGATATGCGCTGTGCTGACCGTTTCGATGGTGACGTGGGGGTGGGGGGTTGGGTATCCTGCGGGGATAGACTGGGGATACGGGTCCGGTTGAAACGTCGAGTCACCTGCAGTTGGTGGTTTGGATGTCGCAGTTGAAGAAGTCGACTGAGGGAAAACCAGCGGTGCGGGGTGAATAGGAGGCCTGTTGCTGTTGTACGGCTGGGGAGGAGAGAGGGGTGGAGAAGATGATTGCTTGGACTGATGCGCTTTGGCAAAGAACTGGTAAGCCATGATGATGGATAGCAAAGAGGATAATCAGCAGTGTAAAGAAAACCAATCAAACCACCGTGTCGACTGTAGCAAAGAAGAAAAACGAAGTTATCGCAGCGCGTCGTTTTCCGTTGACGCAGCGAGACGCGGAGATGCGATAAGATAAGATGGCCGGTCGGCGGAGGGAGACTTTGCGCAGGTGATGTTGGCCAAGTGACAAGTCATTAGGGATTATTCCGCGGACAAGACGCTCGACCAGAACAGAAACATCTCGTCCAGTTGGAGGGCATCAAGCACGTCCGGTGACTGACTGGATCATTCACTCGAGCATCGTGAAGGTATGAGGCTGCTCCCCCTCTCAGTGTTGGTCCATTCAAACCAACTGATTCCTCCCTGGCTCCCAACAGAACCGAACACCCCCATTCACTCACCACCGAATGCCCAAATCGACCGAAGCAGATGGGTTCTGGCCGCTGCTGTTGTGTTCCGCTCCTCTGAGATCCGGACATTCGATTGACCTCCTGGCTGGCATTTCCTAAATCCTGCTACTCCTTTCCCGTCGTCTTCCTATGCTCGTCGCCTCTCAGACCACTGCGGACTACTAGCATCATCTCAGCTCACCCGAGCGCTTCATTGCCCCCCGCGATTACAATTGGTGGCATATGAAATTATTATACTGAGTCCAAAGGGATTCATCCGCGATTTGCGAATATCTGGAAGGATTGTGCCGGGAAGCAGATATTTCATCTTGTTGTCTCTAGACGAGAGGCAGTTCAGGTTAGTTTCAGCTTCTTCTGGCTTAAATCCTCTCGCCAGCAAGGCATCGCATGCCCACATTATTTTGCTTCTCAAGGTTGAGGCCTATATTTGTCCTGTGTTGTTGCTCTTCCCGTCACATGTACTACGAGCATGCTTTGTCCAGCAATCTACGTCGCAATATCTTTACCGTGCTCCATATAATCCTTAAGATGAGTTCTAACACAGCCCTCTAGCTTGCGATTTTAAAATGGCGGAATCTAATGGCACAGAGGGACAAGGGCAGTCCTTGCCTTCAGGAACCATTGCAAAACTGGTAGGTTACTGAAATCAATCCCCTGTCCACAGCCCACGCCAAATCCGGACGCTAATTAATCTAGACATGTGACATTCTCAATGAAACCTTCTACAATATCATCCATGACATTGTTGCCCAAGCCCACCGCGATGAAAAGATTGCGCGGATGCGATCGGCGGTGGTGATTGCCAGACAGAAAGCAGAAGAGGAGGCAGCCAAGCGTCGCGAAGATAACAGCGGCAAGGCGACCAGTTCGTCAAAGCCTGGTGACCCAGAAGCTGAAGAAAAGTCGCTCAAGGATGTCCAAGTCGAGACCGAAGGGGCCATTTTCAAAGATGGGAAGGTCTATCTTAAGGGCAACCCTCTCCAAACGACTAAAGAAATCATTTGTCCCGACTGCCGGCTGCCTCGTCTCTTGTATCCAGTTACTGGCCTCGGTGCTCGTCCTCCCCCAGATCCCTACCGGGAGTATTGTCAGAAGCAGCCCTTGATCTCCAAACCGGGACACGATGTCCATGGAAACCCATTTGCTACGGACAAATTAAACCCGAAGAAGAAAAAACAGACCAATACGTCGAATACGCCGGCGTCGAGTCCTCCCACCACACCCGACAGTTCTTTCAAGCACGCTGTTCCGGAAAAGGTTTCCTTCCCCACAGTCAAATGTCCGAACTGTCCGAGATATTTTGTGGTGACGAGAGTGGCGCAGCACTTGGACCGATGCTTGGGACTTTCAGGTCGACAAACGAACCGTAATAAAGGCCCGCTGGATAGTGGCAGCGGCACGCCCAGCTCAGCACCGCCCAAGCGGCCCCTTGCAGATGACGATACTCCTTCTGCCCTGACGAAGAAAAAGAAACTCAACACGCCGAAGAAGTTATCGGGCAAGAAACCACCCCCTTCTAGCAGCAAGTTGAAGAACGGCCTCACTCCGGATATGGCTGCGGCCGCTGATGCTGCAGCTGCAGGAGACGGAGATATCAAGGCTGAACCCAACGCAGACAACTGATAGATCTCCTCAACCTTTTCTTTTGCTTCACCTTGAAAATGCCGGCCTTGTCTTGAGCTGAGGACCGGACCTAGAGGACTTTGAACATATTCCTTTTTCTTTTGTGTTTTTCCTTAACGATATTGACGTAAATATTCGGCATCAGAAGGCGTCAACAGGGACCTGCTCTAATACCATGAAAACATGCCATGTTGAGAACAAGGGGCATGCACGGCGTCATTTCTTTCTGTCTTGGCTTAATGGTTTCTTTTCTTTCTTTTCTTGTTCTCTTGCATAGATGCTTCAATTGTACAATAGCTTGGCCTTGATAGTCGGCAGATCGAACTACAAAACCAGGGGTTTGTTTTATGTTAAATGAATATATTTTTGATGCTCTAAATGGCCACTGTAGGTAATAAAATTATCTATAAATAGTATTCATTGCTGTTGGGCTGTTAAATCGCCTGTTTCTCCGCCATCTTTATCGTTTATCGTTGCTGGTTTAAATCGGCCCGCAAAATCCACCACAAATCAACGGCGTCAATCGTCATCTCAATCTCACTTCCTGACAACAATCACCTCACTACCAGATGCTCGAAATGAGGTTCTGGCAACCATCAAACTCTGAATAATATCGAGCCCCTTCAAAAACTCGACAAAAATTATGAGTAACGCAAACCTCGTCTCATGGGGAGCCCCTCGTCTCGCCCAGCTTCTCCCGCTGGACGAGGAATCTCTCACGCAGATCATCACCTACGCTGCTGGTCTCTCCAAGGAAGCCAGCGCCGACCACTTGAAGAATCTCCTGGGCGACTCCCCTGCGGCTCTCGAGTTCATTGCCTCCTTCAACTCGCGACGAGAATCCCAGCGACCCCCTCAGCCCGACAGATCGCCTGCACGCAGCGGAGGAAACAATGACGGACCACCGAAGACAGTGAAGAAGGGCAAAAAACCAAAGGCACCACTGCATAGTGCTGGTCCAGCTCGTCGACCAGAAAATTTCGGAAATGTGACGGGAGGATACAGAAAGGCAGATATGGAGGAGGACTACATTCCCAAATCACGCTCGCGAGGAAACAAGCAGGATGCTGGTGCGTCATCGCTGTCAACTGAGCCTGTGGCTTCCCTTCAACCACCTCGTGGACCATCGCCCTACGAATCTTCTGCCCCTTCATCACGGAATCCTTCTCCCGCCCCCAAATCGACGGCCAAGGCCCCGCCATCCGCTTCGGGACCGGTGATATCAGATATCCTGCCAAATGTCAAGTCTAAAGCCGCCAAAGCATCATCTCGACCGGCAGGAACAGGGTCAGCAGGCTCGTCCAAGAACTCATTGACTACCAATAACATCTCTGATCTGACGGCTGCGATCGCCGCGCTCGAGGTGTCTACGAATCCGACCTTGGGTGGAGGGAACCAGAAATGCAACTGTTACGCTTCACTCCATCCGCTCTTTACTCCTGCCCCGAATTGTCTCAACTGTGGAAAGATTATTTGCTCGCTGGAAGGTCTCCAGCCCTGCTCGTTTTGTGGCACGGCTCTTCTCTCAAATGAGGAGGTGCAAAGTATGATTCGGGAATTGCGGGCGGAACGCGGCCAAGAGAAAATGCGCGCACACAATGAAGGCGTCCACCGAGAGGGAGGGCCAGGTCAAGGACCTGGATCTGGGCCACAGGACCGTCAGCTTGACGCTGCGAAAGCGCATCGTGACCGACTGCTAAACTTCCAGGCGCAAAACGCACGACGGACGCGGGTAGTAGACGAGGCGGCTGATTTCGAGACGCCTAATGTGGCATCCACTCTATGGATGAGCCCTGCCCAGAGAGCTCTGGCACTGAAGAAACAACAACGAGTTCTGCGTGAGATGGAGGAAAAGGCACGACCGGAATGGGAGAAGAAGAAGACTATCATGAGTCTAGATATCAAGGGTGGCCGGGTAACAAGAGTTTACCAGTCTGCTGGACCTGCCGAAGCTAGTCCATCTGCAGAAGAGGAGGCAGAGGCAGAGGCAGAAGCCGAGGCCGAGGCCGAAAAAAGTGTTCCCCATGACGAGGGTAAACGACGTGGTGAAGCGTTCGGCCATAACCCGCTTCTCGCAGCCGGTGGGTTGCTGCGGCCTGTGTGGAAGGGCCCCGATGGTAAACAGGCGGAAGGAACTGCACGTAAGGAGAAAAAGCAAACGTGGAGACGAGTACAAGATGACAATGACGATAATGAACAATGGATTCTCGATGGGGGTCTACACGGTTACACAACTTAGCCGTCACTTACCGCCAATGAAACTTGGCGGATATCAAAATGAAACCGATTACTGAATGCGGTACCGGTATACAACCCGTCGACTGCATAGGATATATAATAGGTATACAACAATCAGTCTCAACACGCGGGTTTCAAGGGGATCCGTATAGCGGTAAATCGACGGCAATTTTCACTCAATCCCCGATTATGTGCGGGTGTTTCTTGCTGTTCACTACGGTTCCACAGAGGGCATAACCTCCGAACTGATTATTTTCCTGCATTCACATTGACTAAAGGCCCTTACACTGAAGCAGTGTTAAGGAGTAAACACCCTGCCCCGCTGGGGTTGAGGACGGATATATGCGGCCCCCATGAAGCAGCAAGGATGACTCCAGCCCACTTGCATGGTGGGTCAATCTTTTGTTCAGTATGTAGTATACTGGAATGAATACAATAATTAAGCAAGTTGAGCATAAGACAGGCAGACACGATGAAAGTGCATCTATCAAGCATGACTAGAGAGAACAAGACGCAGGGTTACAAGATGGGCGGACGATTACTACATATAAAGGTCTATCACCAAGAAGCAATGAGTCAAATCTCAATATCGAAGCATCATCCCTCCATCAATAATAAAATCCGCATTCCTAATCGACATCCCGCAATCTACCAATCGCCCTTTGGTCGATGACGGCATAAGCTGGCCAGGCTGAAAAAGCGCAAGTCCGCATCTAACCGAGCCAGAGGGTATATAGATACCTCTAGAGCTGGACTGGTTTTTCCCTATTATTCCTTCAAATTTCATCATCAAACTTGGTTATCTCTGGTTGAACCTGAGCTTGAAGGACCATTTGTATAGCTTTGCGGGGAATACTTGGTTCGGTTGGGCGCGGTTATCCTCGGTCCTCGGACATCATCATACAGAAACAGCCATGTTGCTTCGACCGCTCGTGGAAAACTTTTCAGTAGAAAGGGGGATTGGCGGCATTGTCCTGTTTTTAGGAGTCGTGGTATGTCTTATTCCCCGGCCTGGTGACTTGGTCGGGTTTCAATTGACCCACTGCAGTCTTTCGCATACACCCTCTACAACCGTTTCTTGCACCCTCTCCGACAGATTCCGGGCCCATTCCTTGCTTCTATCACACCCTGGGTTCAGCTGTATCATGGGCTGAAGGGTAATCGACATCTATGGCTACACGCCTGTCATGCCAAGTATGGCTCGCACGTTCGTGTAGCCCCTAACTTCGTCTCGGTCAATACCGATCAAGGCCTGCATGACATCTATGGACACGGAAAGAGACTCAAAAAGGCGGATTTCTACAACGCCTTTCCTGCCATCAAGGGCGTATACAACACGCACAATGTGATTGACAAGACGGTGCATGGGCGCAAGAGACGAGTGCTGAGCCAGGCGTTTTCGGATCATGCGCTCAAGGCAATGGAGGATGTAATGCTCTTGCATGTGCGACAGCTTTGTGCAGTTTTGGGTGGCGAAGATGGTATGAAGGGGAACGAAAAGACGAGCAACGTGGTTCGCAATATGGGAAACTGGTTTGGATATCTTACGTACGACGTCATGGGAGAGTTGTGCTTTGGGAAGAGCTTTGATATGTTGATCTCGCCTGGAAACCAGAAGATGGTCGGCTTGGTGGATCGAGCTGCTAATCGGCATTACGTGGTGAGTATTGCAGTCTGGATTTATGGTGATGTGTATACTGACTATACTTAGTGCGGACTATGGATGCCGCTGGATAGCTGGCATTTGGACCAAATCTTGATCAGAACTTTGACCAACGACCGGTGGAACTTCATCATGAACTCACGAGTGGAAGCCAGCAAGCGGGCCAAGGAGCGTGCTGAGGCCGGCCACGACTCTAAAAAGGACTTTTTCTACTACCTGCTCAACGCAAAGGACCCCGAGACTGGCAGAGGACTCACCACTCCCGAGCTTTGGGGCGAGGCCAACGTCTTGATGATTGCAGGTAGTGACACAACGTCGACATCCCTTGCAGCGACTATTTTCTACCTCGTCCGCACACCGCGGGCCATGGAACAACTGAAAAAGGAAATCCGCGAGGCCTTTGAATCGGTCGAGGATATTATTAGCGGACCCAAATTGAATGAGCTGGTTTATATCAAAGCATGCATCGATGAAGCAATGCGTCTGTGTCCTGCAGTGCCTGGGGCACCACCGCGTGAGGTTATGGAAGGCGGCGCCATGGTCGATGGCGTGTACCTACCTGCGGGAACCGACTGCGGCACACCGACATACTCGATTCATCGCCAGGAAGAGTACTACCGGGCACCTGGCGCATTTCTCCCAGAGCGCTGGATCGAAGGCGCAACGTGCCAGACAGCCACAGGATCATGGCAGGTCAGCAAAGAGGAAATCGAACAAGCACGGAGAGCGTTCTGCCCGTTCAGCATCGGCCCTCGCGGTTGTATTGGAAAGAGCATGGCGTTCATGGAGATGCGACTGACAATAGCGCGGGTGCTGTTTCTGTTCGATATTGAGCTGGCAGATCGGACGGGAGAAGATGAAGAGGGACATTTCGCATTGGTGGATCATTTTACCAGCGCAAAGGATGGTCCGAATGTAACTTTCAAAAAGAGAGAGAGTTTACTAGTCTAGTTTTTTGCTGTTTGTACATGAATCATGAATCTATTTTTATTCTGTCTGTCATCCTTATGTACCGTCGGGTGCGACGTTCTCAATATCTCAACCATGAGTATGGGGCAATTAAGATATCAAACATGGTCAAAGGAAACAAAGAATCCATTCGAAAATCCGTAAGATTAAGATAATCAATCACTGTTGATCTGCGGAGAAAACAATGCAAAACAAGGCTTGCTTTGGAGTAGAAAAATCGTAAGGACACGGTCGCTTCTTGGCATCACAATCTCACTCTCCTTGAATCCATCGCAGGCAGCCTCAATATGAATCGAATGCCTTGAACCCATTTATCATCAATATTCCATTCAAAACAAAGTCAAGATGCTAATATGGATTAATTCTTAACCTTAATCATAATACATACATACATTAATTAACCATGCCGTCCGCATTAACCACCACCCTCATCCAATCCACCTTTCTCAACGTCTTCTCCAACCTCCTGGCGCAAGTGATAGACCAGCATGGGAAAAACGTACGTAGCTCCATCTAAACCAGATTTAAAATACAAAAAAATATGATATATGTAAGTAATATATGCAATATGATATTAACTATTCAGAAAAGAAACCATTCACCCTAAACGTCCTCGCGCTCCTCCAATTCATGACTTACGCCATCATCATCGTCCCCATCAACTTCGTCTGGCAGAAACATCTCGAAGCGCGATATCCCGGTTTTCCACGCGCATCTTCTACCCAAACTAACAATGCATCTGCACTGGGCTCTACAGCTGCATCAGGCTCAGATGCAGCAGCAGCGCGCTCATCCATCGACGCCGAAGATCTCCTCCCGAGAAAGGAGAAACCGGCGCGCTGGAAACCAGCTCGTCCCCAGCTGCAGAAACAGTCTGGATTACGCAATTTTGCGATAAAATTCATCCTCGACCAGACGGTGGGGTCGGTGATGAATATTGTGCTTTTTGTGATTTTGATTAATTTGCTCAAGGGGAGTGGGTGGGGGAGGGCTTGGGAGTTGGTTTGTGAGGTGTGTTTTCTTTCTTTCTATCTTCACTTATATCATATCATGTGTTTGCTGGGATGTGAATTGTCAGACTGACTTTAGCAGGACTTTCGTCCGATCATGATTGCCCGGCTCAAGTATCGGCCTATCGTGTCGACGCTGTTGTATACGGTTGTCCCGGTTGATAGACGGGTGGTGTTTGGGAGTGCGTGTGGAGTGATTTGGGGTGTTTATTTAAGCCTTTATGCTGCTGTTTAACCTTTGATATCTTTCATTCTCTTGTTGATTCCCATAGATGTTCGTCTTTGCAATTCAGTTTTTTATCACTTCTTATGGATGAGTCTTGACACGAGGCTTGATTTTGATATATACGCTAGATAAAGTACATACAAAGGGGTTGTTTATGTGAGAAATGAATACAAGAAAGTCTCGAGTCAAGATCTTTGCGTCTAAACAGTCGGTGGCTCAATTTTTCGTCCTCGGACGGAAATCCATTCGACGAAGAGTGGGCCATATAGGGAGATGACGCTGATGGCAACACCCACGTAGAACGCATTGGTGATGGCTTCGTCGTACGCGCGCAGGACAGAATGGAGGGCTTCTGGCGCGACGACGTCTCGGAGCATGGTTGCGCCTGTGTGTGCCACCTTTGCGGCATCGACTGTTGGTGCGTATGTAGTGACGTTTTTGACGAGTTCGTTGGTGAAGACGTTTTGGCCGACGGATACGAAGATGGCGCCTCCAAGGCCCTGCGAGAACATCATGAAGGCTGTTGCGATGGGAATATCGCCGGCGGCGAGGGCTGTCTGTGTGACCATGAACGGTTGCAGGGCGCCGAAGCCGACTCCAATGCCAAAGAGGGCTTGGTATCCGATCCATGTGGCGTATCCGGAATCAACCTGGAGGGTTGTAAGCAGCCCGCCACCGATTGATACTAGGACTGACGAGACGATCATAAACGGCGTGTAGTAGCCTATCGCGGAGACGAGATAACCGGAGAGGACAGAGCAAATGACGACTGCGAGAATCATAGGGAGATTCATGATACCTGACTTGGTTGCTGATGCGCCCTTGATGGCCTGGAACCAAATGGGAAGCTGGAAGCGGTCAGTATAGCATCACTTGGAGCAGCTGGGTGTACTGACATAGTAGGTGCAGATAAAGAACGCAGCTCCTAAACAGAAAGTGAAAAAGGCAGACCCCCACACGTTACGGTTCCTGATCAGTCGCGGAGGAACTGTAGCATTTTCTCCTTGCCACACCTGTATGCCCATGAAGATAGAGATGAGAACGCCGAAGAGGACGAATAGGACAACCATCCGTACATCATTCCAAGCATACTCAACACCGCCCCATTGCAGCGCGAGCAAAACGCAGACGATCGCGGGCAAGAAAAATATAGTACCTGGGAGATCAAGACATGCCAGCTGTGCTCTCAAACTGGTTCTCTCTTTGATACATTTGGGTGCCTTGAAGAAGGTCATGATGAACAACGCAGTCACCGCACCAATGGGCAGATTGATATAGAAGCACCATCTCCACGATACGTGATCAGTCAAGGCACCTCCAATCAATGGACCGACAACACCGGCCATTCCGAACATCGATGTCATCAGCCCAGTATAGATAGGTCGTTGCTGAAGTGGTACCGTCTGCCTGATGATGAGAATCGATCCGGAGAAGAGACCAGCGCCGCCCAGGCCCGCAACGGCACGTCCGAGAATCAATCCAAGCGAGTTTGGTGTCACTCCGCAGATGAATGAGCCCAGCTCAAAGATGCACAGAGCAATCAGATAAATCCACTTGATGGAGTAGAAGGTATATAGCTTGCCAAACATGAGGGTCAGGGAGCATGTCGTCAAGAGATAGGCGCTACCATACCAGCCCACATCCGCCAGGGAGTTGAATTGGTCCGTAATCTTGGGAACAGCAGTGGCCATGATCGTGTTGTCCTAAAGCCAAGGTTAGCCAGAATACTCATACGCAATCGGAGATACACACCAATGCCGTGCAAAACACGCAAAGACATAACCCGATGGTGATAAAGACCAGCTTCCATGATTCGGGATATTCTTCTCTCTCCTTTGCGCTCTCTCTGAACTCCAAACTTGCTATGTCATCGTCATCCTCATATCCTGGTGGCCGGGGACTCCCAGCTCGAAAATCGACGAGAGTACTAGCTCTATCCATCGATTGGCGTGATACAGGCGACGAAGGTTCTTTCTCAGAGGCGGGAAACTTGGAGTGAAAAACCGTGCCAGCAGTCTCACCCCAAGTCGCGTTTCGCTTCAAGGTATCGGCCATCGCAGTCTATCGTCTTGTGTCCTGTTTCATTCGAATCGTTCCTGCGGTTGATAATGTCACGATTGTCCAAAGCAGCGAGCTTAAAGGAGTGTAAGCAGTTGGAAGATTAAAAGGCTGGTCAACTGGGAGCAATTTCGAAATGTTTCAGACTGGAGAGCGACCAAAGGCCAGAAAACAAAACCTGCAGTGTTTGCATGATGAGAAGCAGCAGAACGGGTTGCCTCGTCTGGATGAATGATCGACTGGAAGTTGACGAAGAGAGAGAAATTGGCCGAGAAGTTGCAGAGGGGCAAAAGAAGGGGGAGCAGACAGCGCAGATTACCGGATTGGGGTAGCAGCGTTTGTTGTGATACCAGCAGTGATGCTATTTTATATTATATTTATATTATTTCATATTACATTACATTCTGGCATCTTTAATTGGACATCGCTATTCACTCTTCACCTCCTCGCGTTCCAGCCTCAAGCAAGGGCTGGCAGATCGTGTCTGGTGTTGTTTCAATTGCTTCATCTTCGATGTTAACATTGATGCTCTATCAACAAACAGATTGAAGAGTAAACATGGGCTTACATCCTTTACAGCCTCAATTCTCCATTGCATAAATACTCCGTTTCCTGGTGATATCTCGATGCTCCTGAATGTTTGTTCCTATAGATCGCCTATCCCCTGCATCCAATCTGCAGCCACACCGACTATCGACGCTCTATCGATCGTGGCGCTGGTTGAATGTGATACATTCTCCATCAATCGCCATCATAGGGGCTGATAAACATGGTAAGATTGAATGATCTGATGGATAATCTAACGTTTGCTTATCTTATGTTAAAAACACTAGTTATCGTGTCTTGCATTTGTGTTCTGATCTGAGTATTCGAGTCCTTGCTTGTATCAAATTGTCTGCATCGATAAGATCATATATGACGACACGAGGTTGAAAATTATGCGAATGATATTTGCCATTGAAAAATAGAGCAAAGATTGATAGTCCATGACCTTATAATCTATTCAGGAATGATTAGCTTGTCTGTGCACTGAAAATAGATATAAATAGCGATGATATTAGACAGATCATTGGCAATATCAGAATAAAATAAATGGGTATTGGCGATTTCTGTAGTCAATAGTTATATATAACAAACAGAAATAAGACATATAACCAAGGCAAAGATATAAATAAATCCAAAAAGAAGACAGTACAGAATCATTCAGGGCAGAAAAGGAAATTGCCTATCATGGGGTATCTTGTCGAGTATCTTGTCAAGGAAGACCAGCTCACTTGACAGGCTCGTCTTGATATATCTAGTCTAGCGTCTAGCTCTAAAACCCTTCAGATTCGTTAGTATATGCTTTCCAATAGACAAAAAGATAAGACCCACCTTCAAGAGGCGCTCATGCTCCTCAGCTTTCACTTGAAAATTGTCGGCTGATTCGAGAGCCTCGTCGGCCTCCCTTTTGTGATTCACATAGGAATTCTGGCTTCTACGGCCAATATGAAGCTCATTAAACTCCATTCTGGCCTTTGAGTTCCTGGAGACTAATTGTCAATGACGAACCAACGGCCATAAGAGAATATCTGGGCCGAACCTTTCAGCATGTCTGCCTGCCCTTTCTGCCAACTTACTGAGCTGGCGGTGCTCTTTTCTCTCACCATATTCTAGGGGGGCATGCTTAGTAGGCTCCCTAGTGCCGAGTTCTTGTTTTCGTGTGCTGAATTTGCTTGCCGTAAGGGTTAGGCTCGTAACCTTCAGTCCGGCGCAAGTAGTCTCTGCCCCTTGAAGATCGAGGTGGATAGCTGGAACTATGAGAAGGATCCTCGAGGGCATATCTGGGGTCTACTTTTCCACCACCAGAGGGCAGAACATTGCGGCGTCCAGACATTGCGGCGTCCAGACATTGTAGGTGGTGATAAATGAATTGGCGTTTGAAGTAAAAGATGGCAATGAAGTTTGAAGTTTTGCTTTGATGATGAGGACAGACAGACAGAATATCTGGTATCTATTTATATAGATTTTTCTCCATGATTGAATACCAAAAGATGAGTATAGAATCGCTAAGTGATACTGATGCTGCGACGTCGAAGCGATACGCAAAGTATCAGGCCGAGGTCTGAGCAACATTTTCGCGATGATCTCTCTCGAATAGTGAGGCATTTAGTGATGGTGTTGGCTAAACAGACCCAAGAGAATGGATAGACACAATAATCGCAAGGATTGCAAACACATTGATATTGTCTGTCTGAACGGACTTGGGATTATTCCAAGCGATGGACCAGCGTGACGCTCAGCCCCAGGAACCACTGGCCGTGAAGTACCAATTAATCGATAGCAGATTAATAGGTCTAGATGGTCTGGATTGATTTAGTGGATATTGAAACTGGGGCTGTCCACGTGCCTGCTATTGTGTTTAGCTGCGCACATGCAAAGGTGCGACAATAGCTTCATCCACCAGCTCGTGCCTTCACACCCACTTAACTGTTGCCCAGGCGTGATACGACCCATACCAGCGCTTGTTTTAAGAACAATAACGTTTCCAGGGGTAATAACCTCGCAGGCATCGACTTTGACGCCCTGGAATAGCCCGTCTTCGAGCCTTGTCATTACCCCTCATCTGAGTCAACACAGAGCTTCCGACTGTGCCATCTCTCGAGAACTGAACCGTTGACACTTTTGACACAACTTCTTTCACGAAAAAGCACAGAGATAATAGTGGATGAGCTGGAATCCACACCCAGACTCTCGTTGTGCATCCTCCCTATTGAGTGCAGACAGGCCGTTCTATCCTCCCTGCCAGACCTAGAGACGCTGCATGCTGCCATCCTTCCTCATTCTTCTTTATATACAGCTTTTCTCGATAGCAATCGTGCCATCATCCAGCAAGTGTTGACCAATTTAATCTCTCCTGAACTACTTCCTGAAGCAATATTCGCGTTCGACGCCTCTCACGTCGAGGCTGTCAACGGCCTATGGACGCGCGAAAAAGTTCTTGATATTTGGAGCCGTTATCGCAATCATGAGATTCCACCCTCTTCGCCATGTTGTTACCGCACAAACCTACGAAGAGCGTTACAATCTCCTTAACCCTAAGCTTGGACTGTTGTCTTACTTTCTTCCCAGCAGTTTGGACATGTTAAAGTACTTTAATGGAGATGACAGCGACAGCAAGGAAAGCGATAATTACGGCAATAGCGATGATGGGACTGAAAGCGAGGAAGACGAAGGCGAGAGCAAAAGTCATTTACTTGAAGACTGTGACCCTAACGGATCTTCCACTTGCCTGCTCGTCCCTCTTGTTGACGATCCAAATACTGGCCCTGCTGAAGCATGGCGCTGGGCCCATCTCAAATTTGAATTCCCATTCATTTTCTACAACATAGAAATGCGTGAGCTGCGAAGATGGGGCTATGTCATGTGGGACCATGAAAGATTGATTGAGGGTGGCTTATTTGACTCTCCGTGGCAGGAACCAGATGACATCGACTATGAAGAGATTCGCCGCCGTGAAGATGTCATGAACAAATCAATCGAAAAGCGGTATTTGCTGTATGCAAAGGGAGCGATGGGGTGGTGGGAAGAGGGGGATGAGTCGAAACTTGTTTGGAAGGGCTGGAAATTATCAGATGATACTGTTGAGATGTGGTACTTGAGTAGACGGCGCACGTAACATTAGGAAGGGTAGCTGATATTAAAGAGATAACTAGATATAAGTGTATCTCACCTGTCTTGTATATCAAGTTTAGAACTGCTAAGTTCAGGAATAGCAGCATAAATCCAGCCCCCGGCTATAAATCTTATTGAACAACAGTAATAGTGCCATTTTGAGTATGTCGATATCAGAAAGTCCAATATCACGACAGAGAAAGCCTTTTTCATCGAGTGCATGGCTCAGGCTATCCAGGCTAGGCCCAATCTATAAGTAGCCCTCCATCTCAACTCATCGCAACTCATCGCAACTTATCTCAATTCAACACTGTCCATCTCTCTCCACAGGAATTGCCGCTCGGCACTTGCCCGAACCGTCGCTGCTCTCATGAGATCAAGCCTCTGTCCAGGGATGCCATTTGAGACTCCAGATATCCTCTCCAAATCTCTACTCGGTACCTGAAGACGCGTTCGATTCTTTATCTTCCATCGGATATCCAACCTCCACCCACCATGTCACTTTGTCAGCCAAGTGACCTCAAAATTAGGGTTCAGACATCATCAGCAAATCTCAGTAGCTTGTTCAAACTGGTCTTATACAGACGATGATTCCCCGTGGGCGGGCCAAATGTAGAAGATCAGTTGTTCTGATGGAGGGCTCCTGAATAAACAGACCCCGCTGGCTGCTCTGATTGATGCGGTAAGGCTTTTGACAGTGAATGTTGTTTCCATCTAACCATGAACTCTGCATAGGAGACATCACCCGACCCGATGTCGTTTACAACTCCGACTCTGGACATTGGCACTGCTGTTCCAACGGTAGTGACAATGTTACCCTTCCATGCCAAAATACCACCGACGAGACATTCAGAGCCGCTGCTCCGTCAAAGCTGGTCGCGTGCTGGTCTGCTGGCACGACCGCTACAGGCACGCCAGCTGCTAAGAGTACATCAACCACGAGTACGTCACCAGAAATAACAACTACACAATCCTCCTCTGCCTCCTCTTCCTCTGGTTTGTCTACTAGCGCCAACTGGAATCGATCTTGGCACTGCTGCTGGCGCCATCTTCATCTTGGTAGCTGAGATTCTCATGTTTCTACGAAACAGACGCAGACAGGGACATATAGCCGTGCACACCCATGATAATGACGTATCTGAGACACAGAGTCAAAAGGGGATGGTTCGGAGCCTGAGCACACTTTCAGTTTTGCCTTTGAAATGCCTGGATTTGAAGAGGTTCATCAGCCACCGGTAGAAGCGCAAAGGTCAACAGCGACACGGCATACATGGGCAGGTCAGACTGAGCTTAAGTAAACTAAGGAAAATGGAGTTTGCTTGTACAATACTCGATTATTTCAATGTCACAAAGCAACTTTATTAAGTTAGTAAACAGGATACTCTGATGCAGGATATATTATAGTCTATATTCTATATTCTATAATCCTAAGAGCAGAGTGGTCTATTATTCTATATACAAGACAGGCTGACCTAGTTACGAACCAGCACACCGCGGTATCTCATCTTTCCATCTCTCAAGACCTGCATCGCCTCCTCAATACCAGCAGGGTTCAATGGGAAAGTCATAACAGTAGGCGTGATATTTTTCCGTGCCGCAAACTCAAGCAGATCGCGAATGCTATGGCGAGATGCCACCAACGAGCCCTGAATGCGAACACCCCTCCAGTTCAACTCGAGCAAAGGAATCGGCGATGCATCAAAAGAGACTGTGAGAGGGTAGATGTTTCCGTGTGTGTTCATGAGCGGGACCAGCCTTCCATCACATGTTAGCAACTGCTCATCTCATCCAAAAGAGGGAGGGAAGAACACTCACGAAGAATAATCAATACTAGCACTCCCACACAGCAAAAGATGATTCACGGGCTTAAAGTCCTTGGGCGCCGCGTCTCCAGACCGGAAAACATGATACTCAGACGCCCCAAACTCCATCGCCTCCTGTCTCTTCGACTCCGAGCTAGACAACACAACAACATGACACCCCATCGCCGCAGCAAGCTTGATCGCCACATGTCCCAACCCCCCAATCCCCATAACCGCCACCCGATCCGTCGCCCGAATCCCATACTCAGTGAGCACAGTCCACACCGTCGCACCCGCACACATCAGCGGCGCCGCATGTATAGAGTCATACCCCTCGGGAATCGGATAAACGCAATGCGCATCCCAGACAGCCCCATAGCTAAACGTCCCGTTATCAAAGTCATGGAAACCATACTGCTTCTGGTTGCGACAGTACTGGTCCCAGCCGGTTGCGCAGTTATCGCACGACGCGCAGATGCTGTGCGTGTATCCGAATCCGACCCTGTCGCCGACTTTGACGCTGCTCACGCCTGGGCCGGCGGCTTTGATGATGCCGATTCCCTCATGACCGAGGACTTGGCCAGAAGTGAGGTAGTGTTCGTCTGTGCCGCAGAGGCCGGAATGGGTGGTTTCGATGAAGACTTCGTTGTGTTCGAGGGTTTGGGTGGTTTTGTCGGAGATGATTCGGCCTTCGGCGGAGCCGCGGAAGACTTCGTATGTGACGCTCATTTTGGATGAATGGGAATAGAATTGATCTAGGGTGATTATTATGGATTGAAGAAAGATGGACTATATTAAATAGGGAGTGGGAGTACGGGTTTATATAGTTATTAATTATCTCAGTTAGGCTACCAGCCCTTGATTCATCCTCATGCGGCCGTGGGTTAGACGGCACGACTTGAGTGCTGCTGTACCACGCCAGCTGTGACCAGAGCTCATTGAGTGGAGATGATGCGATATGCTATATCCGCAGTGGATTCGAATCAGCTGATGAGGGTGCCTTGTTTCACGTTTGTTGTTATATCTTTATTTGCAATATTCCTACTATAGTTGTCCGCGTGTGTGCAGAGTGGAACCTGCTAACTACTCTATAGCATACCTATCCATCGATGTACAACAAGATATACTTCAACTATCACTACATTAAATCTTAATTCTAAATCATCAAAAGTAAAATCCTGCACGGAAAAAAAAGAAACATTCCAGAATCCTTCCAAATCCTTCCAAACACCGCTGTGGATCGCCACTATAACGAATTCTGCTCTAGATACCCACAATAACCGTTGCATGGTCTCCACTATAGATAATCAGACCACGATCGTCCTTACGAAAATCACTCTAAACAAAGCTAAAGTCGCCGAGAAAATTCCTGAAAGTCTCCGTGACGGCTTAATTTAGCCCCCGTTTTTGCTATCTGACTCGGCTTGCCTTGACTCGGTGTGCTATGATGTTATCGGTGCCGGTCAAATTTCTTCGGCTTCACTTCGGGTAGAACGGATGATCGGTGGTCTTTCGACGGATGAACGGGTAACTGCATGATGGGCTGAGTGCAGAAGTCTTCAAAGTGAGGCTGTAGATAAAAGTCGGAATATGCTCGGTAGGATCGCATGCTTCCTATCTTCGGAGGCGGGATCTACGCACGTTTTGCACAACTGTCAGATAATCAACGAATGAGGGCTGGACCGGTCATTCACACAAATCAAGGAGTTAATACTGTCTCAGAGCAATCAATTTCAGGGTGAGGTGATCTGCAGAGTGGCACAATAACTGGCACCATTGACGTCAACGTCCAGATAGCTGCGCCGACAAATTAGAACCCCAATTGATGTCTCGTAATAAAGCCGGAGCGCCTGCAAGAAACGAATCCCCAGCAGCCTTTTTGTCTTGGGCATTCAAGTCTTCGACATTCTTTGGAAGGCTAGATTGAACCAATTTGCTTCACGATAGGTAATTTGTCCCGCGGCTTGAGAGTTTCCCACACACGACCAAGCTCGATGCTTGGACCCCTCTCCATGACGATATACTCTGAGCCAAGCTTCCTTCCGATAGCCCGAGAGCAGTAGGCGAGGATTCTAGGAACAGGGATTTTGAGATTTTCCCTTGCTTTAGAAGATGTTAGTCTGACCGAGATGTTTTGACGGTATGTTTTGGTCTTGTACATATTGCATTGTCGCCACCTCCGACGCCGTTGTATAGTGGTCAGGTCCAGCATTTGGATTTGGGCTCTTAACAACTAACTCCAGTCCATCTCTCATGATAATGAAAGATACCTTGTTAAAATTGCCTTTTGCCAGTATCGAGACGTTGGCGCCATCATTGTTTGTAGCAGCTTCTTCTCTGGCTTGAACCTGAGCATTGAGATCGAATGAAACGTATCTGCTTCGGAGCTGTTGTTCTTCATCCCAGATTCATCGCTGAGCTGGGAGGTATAGAGGTCCTTCGAATTATAATCTCAAGTTAGTGAGCATGTGATAATTAACCTCAAAAACACATGATACCAAAGGCTTCGGTTCCAGGGCTCTGCCACCTCCTGCTTGTAATAGACAGTGACTGACGTATAGTTGCATGTCAACGGGAATAGTTGATGATATAGAGGAAATTCGACTTATTTCCTATTTCCAATAGCATGTCAAGTGTGATTTTTCTTGAGGATGAAGGGTTGTCGTGCACTTTGAGTGTCTTGACAGGTACCTTGTTGTTGTCATGTCATTAACCTTAACCCTTTTAGGCATTGTCAATCGCAAAAGTACTGGATGCAGATCTTGAACAACAGGATTTGGGGAAATATATTGCACATCAGCTGTATTATAGTCAATAAGAGAGCTGGAATAATCTTAAATCTAGCTTAAAAAGACGACATTCTGAGTCATCATCTTCAGGCTGAAATCTGTCGACAAGGCTGTCAGTTCTCAATAAAAAGCAATATGTAGTTGGAACCACAAAGAGTAGCCTGGCGGGGTGCTTGACACGTCGACAACTGACAAGAGTTGTTTCCAAATCTGCCAACATAAAACCCCCGCCATCTGGCCATTCCTGATCTCTTCCAGTCACCATTTTCGACAAGATGCGCCTCGTTCATACGACAACTCTCCAGCTCAAAGAATTCGGCGAGAATAAAATCCCGCCGTATGCCATTCTTTCTCATCGATGGGAAGATGGGGAAGTGGCCTTCCAGGACATGACCAACAATGTCAACAAACAGACCAAAGGCTATAGGAAAATCCAACGATGTTGCCAACGAGCAGCGTAAGACCAGCTTGAGTACGCCTGGGTCGACACATGTTGTATTAACAAGGAGAGTAGCGCTGAACTGTCTGAAGCTATCAATTCCATGTTTCGCTGGTACCAAATAGCAGAAGTGTGCTATGCATTCTTAAGTGATGTCAATCCTGATGATAACGAGAAAGGCTGCATACCAGCATCAAGCAAAGCCAATGGTTTACACGGGGCTGGACATTGCAAGAACTCATTGCACCGTCTAAAGTACTCTTTCTTGCAACATATGACTGGGCAGGAAGCTGGGACAGAAACAGCGCGTGGAAAGATATAGGATCAAGAGACGACCTATCGACATTGATACGCGAAGTAACCGGCATAGATGAATTGATCCTACGAGAAAAATCACAACTGCATGGGTTTAGCATCGCCAAACGAATGTCATGGGCTGCCGACAGAAAGACAACCAGAACCGAGGATGTGGCATACTGCCTTATGGGGATCTTCGGCATTAACATGCCTCTCCTCTACGGAGAGGGAAAAAATGCTTTTATCGGCCTACAAGAAGAGATTATGAAAGACTCGGATGATCAGTCTCTTTTCGCATGGGAGCATCTTGAAGAAGACGATGACTGTCCTATAGGACTCCTTGCCAAGTCACCCTTGGACTTTAAGAACTCTGGAAGTATCATTCCATTCTACTTTGTCAAAGATCGTATGCCATGTGCGGTGACTAATAGAGGAATCAGGCTGCAACTGCCTCTATCTTCTTCAAGCAGCCATCTGATCCTGGAGTGCCAGGACACATCGGTCAGTTACTCGAGGCTAGTGGGGATCAAAGTGATACAAAGACCAGATCATGACAATCAATATATAAGAGCGAGAAATAGCAAGATGGAAAAGAAATTTACCTTCGACGACGGTCTCAATAGACCAAAGATAGTATATGTGGTAAAGGCCTTTACGGAAAGGGAGATACTAGCGCAAGGACTGTGGGCTGTCCCCTATTCGACCAAAATCCCTATGGATTTTCAAGCACAACGACAGCATACGCAACAGGTGGTGAAAAACTGCATCTCAAGAACCTGGTTATCTGCTTCCAAGAACCAAGAAATGTGGCCAAAAACTTGAAATCTCTGTCAAATGTTGAAAGAATATACAACCTTCTCGACTGCACGAACGCATCTCAGATTCACTATTCTCCAGTGGTATCAGGGAAGCATGTTGACAATGTGGTGGAATGTGTCAATGACGCATACGCGGTTAGTTCGCCTTTATAACCCAACCACTCTGTCTTTCTTCTCTTTATTTTTGAAGTACCTGCTGATCATTTTGAACAGTGGTTAATGAAACATCACAACCCTCATGATAGAATATATATATTCGGCTTCTCCGTTGGAGGTTGGGCTGCACAGGATTTGGCCCGGATGCTTGAAAATATTGGACTCCTGTCTAGCAATTTCAACAAGAATATTGAAGTGATTCATGCCTTTCGTGAATACTGCTTCTGGAAATCGGCAACGCTTGGTGGTAATTACTATGTAATGCAAGAGAGGACCAGGTACTGGGACATGAGGGAGCTTCGCGAGAAATATTGCAGGCCTATCGGCAAGGTTTCCTTCCTGGGTATATTCGATGCTGCCAGGATAGACACTGGATTTAAAAACACCACTTACTGGTCACTGAATCTGCCCTCAAGGATTTCTAGTTCTGGTTGCATTGTCCGCCATGCGGTGTCAATTGATGAACGGAGCACTCGACTTCCGACGTTGGCCGCAAGTGATGTGACTACCGAACACTCGGAAAACATTCAAGAATTATGGTTCTCAGGCTGCCATGCTGTAAGTACTTCCCATAGAGACTATAATTATTTGAGCCCCTCTGATGTTTTTAGGACATTTGTGGAACTGCTCCTGTAAAGCCTGGCGATGAACTGGGTCCTGGTCACATTCCACTGGCCTGGATGATCCGCAAAGCTGTCGATGCTGGACTGCATGTTGACAAGAGGAAACTTATGCATGAATTTGGGTTAGATGGACAAGGGCAGCTTGAGTCGCTGGGTATAGACAGCATTCTAGCCAGTGATGAACTAATAAGCGCTATACGGATTGCTTCGACAAAAGGCATCCTGAATCGTACTCTTGACTCTAAAAAGCTGTCATCTCTACAGTGCGTGATTAAATATGCCCTCAGACAATTTTAAAATCTGACATTGGGACAGCTCCTATCAGAGAATTCTGCCAGACTCGGCGCGGATACATGGATCTGTTGTAGAGAGCCCTCCCAATCCAGCTCTGCCCTGCCGCTATGTCTGATTCAGAACAATATCAGCTGTCTCCAATATCAGCATCTACATTCATTGACTGGTCTATGAAGCTGGTGATGATTTCACATGGGAAGCATTCCTCAAGGCGGGACGAGTCCTCACTGCGAGACACCTCGAAGACGAAAGCTGACAAGCCATTACGGGGCTAAGAATCGGCCATGGGTTCCAGGTTGGTTCATCTTATTTATCGTTCATAGTCTTGAAGACATCTTATTCAAGCAGGAACACTTTCAAATCCGTCAGAGAGGTTGATCTTTCTTAAAGCATGTTATCACATCTTGGCCAGAACCCCTCCATCAACCGGCACACAAGTCCCAGTGACAAACGACGCCCCATTCGACGAAAGCCAAAGACAGCCCTGGGCAACTTCATGTGGTTGTCCAAACCGCTTCAAATGACAAACACTCGACGCAAACTCTTCGTGGGTCGTTCCCATTATCTTCAACGCAGCTGCTGCCATCTCAGTCTGTGCATAATTAGCAACTAATTTGACTTGCTGATGGCATGAGGTGATTGATCATACCAAGATAGGCCCAGGAGCAATCGCATTAACCCGAATCCCATACGGACCCCCTTCCATAGCCGCATGCTTGGTCAACCCCAAAACCGCATGTTTAGCCGCCGTGTAAGCAGGCATATTCGGCTGGACCTTGAACGCATTAATCGAAGCGATATTCACAATCGACCCGGGCGTTTTCTGTGCTATCATCTGCTGCAGTTCATGTTTACAGCATAACGCTGTCCCAGTCAGGTTGATATCGATCGTTTTCTTCCAATACTCGACGTCGAAATCAACAAACGGTGTCTTGTCTGGTGTCAGGGCTGCGTTGTTCACAGCGATATCCAACCGTCCGTATTTCGTCGTTATATACGCAATCATATTCTTCACATCATTGGGGTTTGAAATATCAGCCTTGCAAAACGAGACCTCGCCTAGACTTTGCAATTCCTTCACTGTCTTTTGTGCCGTCGTTTCCTGGATATCGGCTATCACGACGATGGCGCCGGCTTTGAGGAATACCTCCGCGATGGCTTTTCCGATTCCCTGTGCGCCGCCTGTTACCAGGGATACTTTACCGTTCAGGACGGGGAAGATTTTGGGGGATTTGATGTGGTCCACTCTGGGGTGGGTTTCTTTTTGCGTCATAATGGATGGGATAGAAGTATACTCCATGTTGTACCATGTCAACAGAGATTCAGATGATGATAGGGGCATTTTATATTCCCCGCTGTTACTTTTTTAAATGGTCAATTACTGGGGACGGGATCTATCTTTGGACTACGGGTAGATTGACATGTCAACTGTCAACGTAAAACCAATCAACCTGAAACACGTCACGGACAGGGTATAGCAAACAATAGGCAGTTTTACTGGCGGAGTGACAGGGATCGACCAGTGCTAGGTAAACGGGCAAGAATACTACGATGGCTATCCATACGAGGATGACAGCAAACAGTAGAGACGGAGAGGTCCTGATTTTCTTGGCTCTCTTGTCAATGATGGTGACTATGACAGCTAAGTGGCCCGTTAATGAATAGTATGATCAGGAAGTCTAGGTTATAAACACCGATTCAACCTAAGACTAGGCAAGGAACATATGATGTTGGATCTGATACCTGTCTATAATGTCAATTCTATCAATCATATCGGTGTATCAACCGTAATGGTCGGTCTCGTCTTCCCAACAAGACCCAGTATCTGTTCTGTAGATTTCGTATTCCACTCTGCAACTTTCACTACATTATTAGTAACAGGAAGCTCAGCAAACCTCATTTTGAGCAAAGTGATAATGCTATCCCCCACTCCCCAGTTTCCAGCAAACTTTCATCATCACATTCTCGGTTAACAACTCTTGATCCAACTTGTCCAGCATCAGCAAGAATATTCTGTCACCGACACCCCAATTTACTGCTGCTTTCTTGACAATCTCTTCAGTGATAACGAGATGTTCAGAGACTCCCAAAAGTAGAGTCATTATCTTCTCACCAACTCCACAATTTCCAGCTGCAGTCATAAGCACCGCTTCTGTGATGGGAGTCTGTGTGCCCCATTTGCTCAATATTAGAGCCATCAATTTGTCTCCATTCCATGGGTTTCGTGCTGCATTCAGAATCACCCCTTCTGTGATGATTATATCTGAGCTCCAGAGCTTGATAAGAAGAGGCAACGTCTTCTCACCACAGCGGCCATTGCGTACTGCTTGGTTTATTACGTCTTCTGTAACAGGAATATCAATTCCGTGTTCGAGGAGAAGAGATAGTACCTTCTCTCCACAACGCCAGTTCCCTATTGCTAGCTTCAGGGCGTTTTTGGTAATTGGTAGCTCTGTTCCTCGTTTCTGAAGAAGCACAGCCATTACTTTATGTGCGATAATCTCGTTCTTCGCTGCGGTCTCGACCATACCCGCCGTGATAGGGATCTCTCCCTCGCTATTATGCAAAAGAAAGGCGATTATGTTATCTCCGTGTGAAGTGTTCGAGGCCGCTGCGTTGATATACATTTTGTTTATCACTTTTTTGTGTTCTTCAGGGCCGACTATTGAGTCAAATAGAGCCCCTGATTCCAGTAGAACGGCGAGTGTGCTGTCCACTTTACCTTTGATCTTTCGCATGATCCGGTAAAAATCGCCCGCATCGACTTTAGGTTGCGTATCCAATAGTAATTTTGCAATATTGGAGTGAGAGCGAATTGCTGACGCCACAAATGCATTCCCAAACCTTCCTTCTTGACGAACAACCGCACCCTCTCCAAGCATTTTTTTCCACGGAGGCCTGAAATCCAAGTAAGGACGCATAGTACAATGGCCTGGGGAATTCCCTTGTTCCTTGAACTCGCATTGAGGAGTCAGGATTCCAGACATCCAGCCAATTTGTGTACGCCCTGGTGTAGCAGCTGCTGAAAAGTTGATCGATCAAAACCTGCAATTGCTGGTGCGGGCCTGCATTTAAAGCTACTCGGGCATGGCGGTACCAATACGCTGCTGCATATCTCATTCCGGGTATGGGCTTAAGCATTTCACCGCAGATTTGTCCTTCATTGGTTTGAAGGATGCATCTGATCGCCATAGAAGCAAGCTCCGCTTGTGCATATTCAATCCTGTTTGGTTCTTTCGGACTGTAATGGTGATCTTGCAGATATTCCTGGACTGAAAAGTGTGAGAATCGGCAGATATTGGCTTCTTCATCAACAAGCAGAAGATTATCACAGGCATCAAGGACGAAGTAGATGTCCAAGTCAGAAAGCTCGCTTTCATCATTCAGAGAATCCTTGCTGATAAGTGTAACCAGAGCCTCTGGGGATAGAGGTTTGTAGGAGAATAAGACCCATTGGAAGGCCCTCATAGAAATAATTGGCGTACTTCCTGTCGAGCTTTTTATCCTGTCCAGTATTTCGTCATATGCTGTCTTAAGATCATGTGGAAGTCGACCCAGGCGAAGCCGGATGTCACGTTCAAGGCCAAGGCAAAGAATCTGCTCAATCTGTAAAGCAGCCCATTGGAACCTATATAATCAACCGAGTCAGCTATTTGTTACGCGTTCATTGAAAGGAAAAGAAGGGGTAAAGAGGAAACTTGCATTCCTTGACTCTTCTCTCCAAGAGTCATAACGATTTCATCTTTCAGTGCGTTGCATATTGGCTTACGACGATCATCTTGTCCATCTTCAATCCGTTGTAGAACAAACTTGTTGATATCGTCCGTATTATTGGTAACCTCGAGACCAATATTCACCCTATTTTCAAGCCGCCGCTTGATATCATCGTCGCGCCGGCTAGAAATGAACACCTTTATATTCCTGTCACATCGCGTAATTAAAAGATCGAATGCTTTGATTAGCTTTCCTCGAAGCGATTGATCGCATTCGTCTAATGCATCAAGGATTAAAGTCACTTGAGAGTATCCTTGTGCTAGCTCACACAGCATGTCCTCGCTTTCTGCAAAGCTAAGCTCCGCTGAGCCACCACCTATATTCTGGTTTCTTCGATAAACATCAACAGTATTCTGATGGATGGAGTCTCTTTGTGGACATTTAGCTATTTGTTTTACCAGGCTCTGTAGTATTTTTTGGGGATCCCGTCGAGATTCTTGCTTATAATTGCAATAAAAGTAAGCGACAGCATTATCATGCGTTTGAGTCTTCAGCCATCGATCGACAACCCTGGAGGTGAGCTTTGTTTTGCCAGCACCGGCTGGGGTATTTAGTACATTACCGGGATAAATTCGAGATCAGTGGGACTCACGGATTCCATGGAGCCAGAATATCTCTGATTGACAAGACCTTTGCCATAATGAATAGGACTCGTTTTCAAAAATCCATTCACCAGTCCCCGCGGTGCGTCCCTCGCAAGCTGTTTTGTGATGATCTTGATATGGGATTTTCGAGAGCCATTGAAGGATCTCATTCGTCTCCTGCTTCTGTAATGTACTCCAGATATCATCGACCTGTGTGATTAAACCTTGCAGGTTCTCCATTTTAGGCAGTTGAGATAGATACTCGCGAGCTTTGGAAGCTTTTACACGTTCAGCAGCATTGAGATATCTCTCACAGTTTTGCGCCTCAGACTCAGCTCGTCTTTCAAGGTCCTGACACTCCCTTTCAAAATGAAGTATGTCGCTGGTTGTCCAGAACGCAGCCAATGCCCTTTGGGCATGATTCCTTTCATAGACTCGCGTTGCCTTGGCCAAGAAACTCAGGATGAGAGCATACATATCAATCAGTGCCAGTTGCAAGTTATGGGTAGCTCTATTTTCGTGTAGTAGAAAGGCCTCGTAAAGTTGGCACCGCAAAAGGATATACGTGATTCTATCAAGCCCTCGAAGTAGAGCCTCCATTTGCTCTCGTTCCGAAAGAGTTGCCTGGACCTGATTAGAAATTTACTGACACCATCCGCCACAGGTTTTCATCCTCGTACCTGAAGCAATAATCTGATCCCAGCCCATGGCAGTCCCGCATGCACTGGGTCAGCATTTGCAGCGATGTCTCCTACTTCTTTGAACTTTGCCAGCCACGTGAGGACATTTTCGGCCGTGTCTTTCAGCTTCACTGCTTTTTTTCCGCAATGGAAAATCCATCTTTTAGATTGACATATATCTTGCTTTGCCCTGACATCTTGTAGCAAAAGTTCTGGTATGGTATCGATGTCTATCGCACTTGATATGTAGCAGGCGATTGTTTTCTTGTATTCGTTGGAGATCTGGTCTGTGGCTTTCTCCCAAAGGCTCTCACTCGTTGAAGAAACAATGGGAGTTTTCACTGCTGTTTATTGAGTTCTCTCTGTCGTGTGGCTGGTATCCTGCTTTGTCTGGGAAGGCTTGTTCCTGGTTATCGAACGACTCCTCAAGCGAGCAAAGGGGACTTTCAAGAGATTTTTGGTAACCATGACTCACGATAGTTATGAGAAGCAGTTACTGGGGAAGTCTGCGAAATAAATCGCTCTCGTCGCCCTTCATGTTTTACAGGCATTCGGGATTAGGCAATCCAAGTGGCGGGGTAGAGAAGGCTGTGCCTGTGCCGGTCTGCAGCTCCTTTTTGGTGTTACAAACATTGGCCAATCGCCAGTCAGTAGGTAGGCCATGTCTGCCAGGTACCTCTATGTAATATTTTTAAGAAAGGATTGCAAAATATATTATTTGGCGGAAAGATATACGGTTCTATGGTAGCTTTGGCTTCAAAGCATTATCGATAAAAATACTCTCATCCTGATGTGGAGGATATACGTCTTGTCTTATTATGATTTAATAATAATAATCTCATAATATTGATGAGTATGCTATTGATACACCTTCTGAATCCAGACATTCGTTCTCATATCAAACACCAACCCAAGCGGGTATGCATCTCCACCATTCTGGATCAGACCCTATATGTACTCCCCGGCGGAGTAAAGGATGGGGCAGAAACGCAGGACTGGCACATTGGCCTTTATGGGATGGTCAAGTCCTTATCTGGAGATAGAACGGGTCCCAGATCCTCCAATATATAAAAATGCCCGAAGGAAATAAAAATCTTCAAAGCGAGATTGACATGCAATCAGTCAATGGAATAATGGAAAATGTGCCTGTGATGCAGAAATGTGCGTCATGGAATTGGAAAACATGAATCGTTTCGGCGTTGAGATAGATGGATGGGTCAGGTCTCATCTGGCCTTCATTTCTTTTTCTGCTGATCCAGTTTGCTGGCCACCAGGGCAATCAATGCGGCACCGACTCCGCTACCATCCTTGGAGATACCGATGCGCACCTTCTTATCGCCCTCGACACCCAGCTCAGGCACCTCGCGGAAGGCCTCGCGAATGTATCCCTCGAAGTTGGGGTAGTACTCGACCAGACTTCCGTCGACACCGATGTCAATCACGTCGTCGGTCTGCAACTTGCCAGTGGAAATAATGGTAGCGGCGAGGGGCACGGCGCTCAATCGGGCAGCACGCTTACCGACGGCGTGCACAATGGTTTGGACGGCCTTGCACTCGGTAGTGCTGGGCCGTTCGATCTTTAAATGGTCCTTCAGAGCGGCCTTGACCTCGTCCAAGTTGGGGGTCTTGTCAGCCTCGACCAAACTCAGAAGGCTAGTGTCGATGCCCCATTGTCTGTAGAGGGCCGATTCTTCGGGAATGAAGACGTCTGAGGAGCTGTTAGGCTTGAACAGTTTGGTTGACTCATTCTGGTGCATGGCCAGCAGGGCTCGTCGGAGAATCTCGCCCAGGAACATGCCCGAGACACGCTTCTCAAACATCTGAATACCCGGGTTGTTGCTGTCTGCATCCAAATCACGGTCGTACACGGTGTTGGGCAACACACTCAGGTGGTTATCGAAGCTGCCCCATTCAGTGTTGATGAGCATCTCACCCGTCGAGCTATCAAATTCCGAGTGTTCAATTGACGCCATCTTACCGATCCGGTCGAGCTTCTCGAGGTAGGCACCGTTGGTACCAGTACCAAAGATAGCACCGATCAGTGTTCCTGTCTCACCGGGTGATGTGTAAGAGCGGGCCATCAAGGTTCCCACGGTGTCGTTGACAAGAGCAGCAACGCGGACTGGGAGATCCAGGTCATCAATGGCAGACTGCAACAACGCACAGACATCATGTCCCACGGCATCAGGAATGTTGAAGCCCTTCGTCCAGCGAATGAGGGTACCCTTGTTAATTCCCAACTGACGCACGGGGAAACTGAAGGTGAATCCCAGGTCAAACATCTCCTGTTCAGCGTTCCCTTCGCGGCGGCGTTTCAGGTGTGCTTCAAAGTGCTCGTTGTGGTGGATCCGCAAGAAGGCCTCGATTTGCCGGGCCAGGAAGAGGAAGAGATCCTTGGAAGTGCCAGAAGCCATCAATTCCCGGGGAATCATGATCTTGGACTGTGTGAGGGAGAATGTAGTATCTCCGTGAAGATCAATCGAGCACACCCTGAAGTTGGTGCCACCAAGATCGACCGCCAGATACAGACCCTGAGTAGAGAAGCGAATCAGCCGTGGTTCTGGGAACGATAAACGTACTACGTATTACATACCTTTTCAGTTCCGTTAGGCACAGAGGTCACATAGGTTGGGATCTGGCTCAGGGTTGTGTGCTCCTGCGACAACCCCTCGTTCATCTCCCGGATGTACTCTTGGACACCCCGCCGCACCTGCTCGGCGGGGTAGTCGAACTCGCGCGCAATACGCGCAGCCTCGTCCAGCACAGCAGACGACATTTTGAACGAAGAAATAAGAGAGAAGGAGGATGGAAGAAAAGGAGAGGAGGAGGGAAAGTGAGAAAAGAGGGATCAAAGTGGAAGACGGGGAGACTGGGGATTCGTGGGGGAAGAGGGGGAGGGGCAGCAATATGTAGCAGCAAGAAAAAACCAAGCGGGAGGGGTCGATGAAGTCAGAGGGCTGGAGAGTCGCCAACGGGAGGATCGGGATGACCGGGAGATATTCAAGGCGACGCTGTCAGGACAAAGAAAATCGCATTTCCATTATTATTCGATTATTCCTGGTTCCCACGGCTTGCCGGTCCTCCGTCACGGGTGGTTCCGATGCTGTCGATGAAGTCGACAATCGACCATCGCCATCATTCAGGCTTCAGCGACTTCATCTGGGATACGAGGAGCATCATCTGCCCCATGCTGACTCTGGCTATCTCTCCACAGCCATTCGCATTGTTCTCTTCCAAGAATCAGCCCAAGATGATGATGAATGTCTCATGGCAGGAAATGAGAGTTCCGTTCCATGACGCCATGAAACAATCCCGAATGTGGGGTTCTTTTTTTATTTTCTTCGCGTCTTCGAAATTTCCCACCGGTGAGAAACAACGGTTAGACACGAAGAAGGACGGGGATTTGACGGGAAATTGGTGACTGACAGATGAATGATTCTTGAGGATACGGAGAAATAAATTGCTATCTGGCTATGCATGTCAGATCAGATGCTCAACCCCAGACAGCGAACATTGGAGATGAAGCGGGGAAGCAAGACATTCAGTGATTCTACCATTGATTATGAGGGAAATAACGCAGTCAAGATGATACTAAATACGCATTTTTCTATTTATTTTTGATTCAAAAAATATTAAATGTATCTTATAACAATGCCGGTGTGATCTTGTCGAGTATTTCTGTACAACAATGCTCTGTCTCAGGGCTAGCAAAACCACCACGATTGATGACTCTCATCATCATCTCATAGTTAATGACTTTATAAACATCAAGCAATACATTTAATATTCTCAAGATATATCCATTTTTAATCCAACATTATGATTCTGATATTATTCCCTCTGCATCTGCGCTTAAGACTGAGTAGCTCGGCTGCTACACCACGTGCTCTGACAATGCAACTCAAGATACGACAAATATCCAATCTAATAAACAGATAGAACTAAATCGACTCAAATAACCAATAAACATTCAATTAATATTGAATTGAACCATTTCTCTTCATTCGATGCTGCACGTGACCTATCACACGTGACATCACGGAATGCCCGAATTCAACGCCGGAGCGGAACTCGGATAACGAACGCTCGACGAGAATCAATAACTTCACTCCAGTCGTGCTCCACAACCCCCAGCATTGCTCACGACTGCGGTCCTGCTGGTTTCCATTGGGGTCTGCATCTTGCAAGCGACGACTTTTACCGCCTTCAAATTCCCCTCCCAACCCCCCATCAACAGACACAATGGGCGCCGGCAGCTCTAAGCCCGATGCTTCGGCTGGCTCGAAACATGTTTTCTCGAGGTTGGTTCTTTCTTGCTACTGGCTTTGTTTTGCTTTGGGGGTATCTTTTCTATTGTTTAGTGTGCTGTCTGAGGGGTGGACTGAGGTGCAGTCCGCGCAATGGGTTGATACCTCAGCTTTGTTGCACCTATGAGACGATCATTTTTATATCAAAGCTACTTGCAATACAAAGCGATATACATAGCTAACATAATTCTACAGCAACTCTCCCGTCCAATTCTCCTCCAACCTAGTCGACGCTCTCCAGTCTACCTCGGAGGTACGTACCCCCATGAACTTCCCCCCTCCCCTCCTCTCCAACCTCCCAAAAATCCTCTCCTAGTACACAAATTCCTAACAAAGATACCAACCAATCCAGACCGACGCCTCCCGCGCCAAGTCCCTCGAACTCCAGATCCAAGCGCGCGTATCCGAGGAACTCCAGCGCCTCCGCGAACGCGAGCAGCAAACCCTCGCCGAAATCGAGCAGCGCCTCGCAGAGGTCAAAGACAGCGCTCCCACGCCCTCCTCCGCCCCCGTCATCAGCCACACCCCGGGCTCCCTGAACCTGGATGCGCCGCGCATCCCCTTCGCCGGCCGCGAGGCTTACACCGCCCCCGCTGTGCCTGAGGACCACCCCGTCAACCGCAACATCACCCGCCAGTCGGTGAACGAGGAGGTCGAGCAGCTGCGTGCTAAGCTCGAGGGACGACGTAAATTGGCCGCGCTGGATGAGGGCGTCGAGAAGGCCAAGGCTGATGTTGTTAGTTGCTTGCGGTTGCACGACCGACGACCTTTGGACTGCTGGAAGGAGGTTGAAGGGTTCAAGCGTGAGGTCGCTAGAATGGAGGAGGCCTTTGTGGATCGCGTTGTTGGATAGAGAAAAAAAATCCTTGTTCGATTGGTGTCTGTTATGCATTTTTCCTTTTTACCCTTATTCAAAGCCGCGAATAGATCGGTCCTCTTGTTCCCTGCTGTATGTATAGCTACCTATCCTCCTGTTCGTTTGAATTGATTGGACTATTAAGATTCATTTTTTTCTCGTAGTAATCGTATAAAAACCCGATTTCATGCCTATTTTATCCCCGATCATATCATGCACCAGTCTAATAATACATCCCGGGTATCATGTACATCATTTTTTGTAGCTCCAACACACTCCATTGTAATGCTACACATCCATCAAATAACCTCCCAAAGCCCTAATCTACCAAGTCTCTCACCGGCAGCCCGGATAATACACATTTTCATCTCCCGAGCCTTTTTCTTGCCCTTAGAAGGTCCATGCTTCGCCTCAATGGCCTTGGACAAGAGAATAGAGCCGATTCCTGTGCCCTTTCCTTCAGAGAGGTTGTAATTGCCTGTTGTAACGAAGCCAATAAGGTCTTCTTCTGAGGGAAGAGGTAGGTTCTCGCGTGTCGAGTCTGTATCGGATGTAGGAGCGATAAGAGAGGCCGCTAGACGCTGACGAGCGTCTTCCCCGGAGAGGTCAAGGTGTGTTTGTTCTTGTTTTTGGCCCTGTATGGGACCATTTGTATTTTTGGGAACGAGGCTGAGCCATTTTTCACGAAGTTCTGGGTTGGTGGTGGGTAGACGGTAGATCCGAGCCCTGGGAATGGGTGTGCCGCGAGTGAGGAGGGATATGCTAACGGCAGCAAGGGCAGATTTGTCGACGGTGGCCGAGGGGCTATTGATTGCAAGCTCGGCCTCGTGTGTCCGCAGGTGGTGGATGTTCAGTGGTGGATGAACATCCACATTCTCTTCTTTGTTGGCTTCATCGTTGGTTGGGGCGGCTTTTGTCTGCTTCTTCTGCTTCCTCTCGCCAACATCCTGTGCAGTGTCCATGGGCGAACCCTGCACAAGTCGCTCCCAGTCACACGCCCAGCCTCGTCCAATTTCGCCTTTTCGGCCATTTCCAAGATCGAGGCTATCGAATTCATGTCTTCGTCCCTTCGGACGTCGTTCCCACTCCTGCTTGGCCAGTTCTCGCTCACGCAAGCCCCATTCCCAACCAGCGCGGGTTCCAGGGAAGTCACCAGGGAACCAAGGCTCGCCAGTCTCAAAGGCAAGCTGTTGTTGTTCCTTCAGGCCACCAAATCTGGGGTTATTACCGCTTGACAACGGGTAGTACATCAACGAGTACCACACGGGAAGAACACATTTCCACGGAAGGAGAATGGTATAAGACCCAGGCGAGTTGCTATTCTTTGACTGGGTTGACGGTCTTTGTGCGAGGACCATCACTGGGATCTGTGGGTCAGAATCTTCGGGTGGTGGATATGTACCCGGTAAAGCTGAACTGCGACGTCGGTTGATGGCTTTCTGACTGGGCAATTGACGAGCGGCAGCCAAGCGTGCTGGACGTTCAAAAAGAGCTGACGAGCCCTGTGTTCTATCAACAGGCCATGAAGACAGCAAGATAGCTAGGTCATTCATCTGCGTCTCAGATGAGGGGGGCTCAAGGCGCTTCGGTGGGAAATGGAGACGAGGGTCGGATATAGAAAAAGCAAGAAGCGCATTTTGGGGAAGAGATGAAGAGTTTGAAACCCCGAGAAGGGATGTCCAGGTATTTTCTGGGCTGTCTGTTTGGGGCTCTTTTCCGCCACTGGTCAGTGGCTTCAAGACAGAAATAAGTGCTTCCGTTGATCCTGGTCCAGTGATATCAATACTGCCAATTTCAAAACGGAGATCTTCAACCAGCACAGGCGGGCTCTGTCTCTTCGAAACCTCAAGAATTTCATTCCACAGCTGGAGGAATGCAGACGGATGTACCCTGACAAAAAGCTTCTTTCTATCCTTTTTACTTGCTTTCTTGTCGTCGACATCAACCATCTCCACGTCTTCCGACTTTTGCTCGGCAGACCGAACCAGAGTAACCGGCGCAATAGGTCTCCGTTTGCCATCACGCTCAAAAGTCCAAGCAGATAAACTTCGCGTCCCCGCTCTCCATTTCTTCCCCTTGACTCCCCACGCCTCAGGCCCATCGACTCCAACAGCCCTAAGCACGCTCCCCAAGGCGTCTTCTGTGCCCTCTAGCTGAATCGTAGACATGTAACTCATATCCCAGGCAATAGCACCTCTAGCCCCTCTCGCTCGGTGAGAAGGTCTGTAGCTCTTCTCAGTCGGCGACAAGGGAACCGCAAACCGCCACAGCGGCTCCTTTGGGGACGTCATTTTGGCACGTTTTGCATGAAACATATGTGTTGGAAGCCACGTCTTTCCTCGCTGGCGCTTCTTGTATTTTGATTCCGGTGTAGGCGGGCGAGAGAGTTTATTTTTCTTGATCTTCGGAATCCGCGGTGCAATATTGTATGTATGGCTGCCGTTCGCTTCCAGTTTCTTCTTGGTTTCCTTATCCTGCTTCACTTTCAAAGCTGCTCGTTTCGCTTTGGTTTTGGAATTGAGTCTCTGGAGACGTCGGGCGGACTCGAGACGAATGCGCATAAGCTCCGTCGGTTTTCGTCGTCGTGCGGTTACTGTGGGTGTGTTGTCCTCGATCATCTAAAAAATTTCGGTGTAAGCAAGCCCGGACAATCTGAGCTCGTAGGCAATGTCACAGAATCAATCTGTGGCACCGGTATAGGCAATAATCCAAACTCACCTCCCGCTTTGCCCTTGCCCGCAGTCTACTCGGGACTCGCTTCACATTGTGGCTGGCGGTCCTCCTCCGCAACGAACGAGGCACCTTTTGAAACGCACGGCTACTCAAGGCCGACTTCGACCGCTGCATACCAACCTCGAGGGCACAGATCTCGAATTCTCTCGCGTCGACATAGGCAGCGACATCAAGCTCGCCCGATGCGGAGAGGGCGGCGTCGGCCGACTGGACCGCGAGGGAGCGGGCATCGTAGGTTTTGGCACGTTTGCGAGCTGCGGCAGAGTCGAACTGGTTCCCTGAGAATGGGGGTTTGCGCTTCCCGGCGGGGTTGAAGGCCATGATGGCCAGGCGACGTTAAACGGTGGTGGTCGGGACAAAGATTCTACGGCGCATAAATTGTATAGGTTTAGCGCGTTGCCGCTCGCTCGAGTAAAATCGAGTCGGCCGAGTCGAACAACCCGCACAATGGCACACACCAATAGAACCAGAGAAAATCACCAAGAACGCATGGATTCACGTAGATCATAGAAAGAAGAATATGGGGTAGCCAAATGCTAAAATTTTAAGGTGCTGTCTTGCAGTAGTTTTGGCTGACATCATACAAATTACAACGGCATAGGGATATTTGGTTTTTCTCATTTTTCATAGCTTCGTAAGTGCATTGTATTTCTTCTAATAAGGTGGAAACTTCTAGTTCTATGTCGAGCTTTGCAAGCCGTTTATTACCCCACCATCAAATATATCTGCGCCTTCCATCTAACACGCCGCAATTTCCATGTCTATTGGTGCATTTACAGCTGCTTGATGACGTTCTCAGCGCTCGAGAACTGTTGATAATGTTAGCTGCGGTTCGTTATGTGATCTGAAAGTCCTGTCTGATGCTTACCTCGAGGTGGTTCTTAGCGGGCTCAAGAGCGGCGTAGGTGACCTTGCCGTGGTCGAGGACAATGGCGTAACGCTTGGTGCGGCCCTCTTCGTCAGCCCAGCCAATGCTCTTGGAGAACTTGGCATCGGGGTCGGAGAGGAAGAGCTAGAGACAGTTAGTAATATGCACAGGATCCAGGTGGTTTATGTGGAGGACTCACGATGTCGTCGTTCTTGACGCCGTTGGCCTTGCTCCAGGCGCTCATGACGTGAGCATCGTTGTAGGCGAGGACAGCGACAACGTCGACACCCTTCTCACGGATCTCAGGGAGTCTCTCCTGGTACTCGGGAACGTGGCGAGCGGAGCAGACGGGGGTGAAAGCACCGGGGAGGGCGAAGAGGATGACCTTCTTGTCGGCCCACTCCTTGGAGGCGTTGTAGTTGATGGGGATACCGCAAGAGGAGAACTCCTGGGACTCCTCAGCGTAGGGGACGTAACTGTTGGGAGGAAAGCCAAGGTTAGCTGCATTGATCCTCCCACACTTTCCGGTATTTGCGGTGAAGAGACTTACGAGAAGACAACGTCAGAGGGGAAGCTGTCACCGGCCTTGATTCCAGACATTTTGGATTGGTTTAGTGTAATTGGGTTGGTAGAAAGAAGTGGTTGAGAGAGATGGTCTGATAAGAAGACTTGTATAGTTAAGTTGGAAAGGGAAACAAAGAGGAGAGGAGAGCCAGGGGAGAAGGAGCTTAATATAGGTTTTTTTTCCCACTCTCCTTCCCGGGGACGGTTGGACGGTTCCTATCGGAGTTACAAAGAAGGCAATGGAATTACACTATTACAATACTGGGCGGTTACTAACAAATCAACTAGTGCCAAAAAGGTGTCCATAAGGTGATCCGAAGCAGAAGGATACCGAATCTCTTGGATGGACGAGGGGATTGGGTGAGTGCCTGAGTGGCTGTATTATCAAGAAGACCGCCCGAGACTGAGATGCCCCGCCAACACCCCACCACGGATGCCCACTCGGGGCAGTTATCTAGACCGGACAGGTTGACAAATCTGCTCCCATGATTGCGTGAGGTCATGGGTATTATGGATACTTTGGCTTCACGGTGATCTGATAATCAATATCAGATTTGAGAGGAATGTGTTCGAGTCCGTATATTTTCATAATCAGACCATTGCCTCTCCTTCAGATGCCGTTCTGGACTACCAGACTTACTCATATTACGTATCCTATCTCCCGTTGTAGCTCCAAGCAGAAGAGGGGCCACCATGCCACATCCATATCCCGCCTGGAACACTTGTTGTCGTGGTTACACCCCGGTCAATTCGTCCATCATAAGCAGTAGAGACCTAATCCATTCCACTAGCTGCTGTATTGATACGCAATTCTTCTGCCAGCTGTCCAATATCGCCATGCACAAAGGACCCTGGGATCCCCTCATTCACCGCCTACAAACGTCATAAATCCACGTGACTTTCCCTGATGTCAATCATCGTGGAATCTTCCGTCAACAGTCGACTTTTGCCTCGATGGCAAGTAGATATCCAAGTCAAAATTGGGTTAATCTTAGCTTGTCGAATCCCTGTCCGGACTTCGTACCTTATAATATTAAATCGGCTCTTTGACTTCAATCCTGGCCGACAGGCACTCGCGGAAACCCTTGCCACTTTTGGCTGATATCTTGGGTCCGGATGCCAACCTCGGATCCTGGAATCCAATATCCGGTTCAGGTTGCATTTGTAACAATCGACCGGCCGATCCTACCGCCAATTTCTCAGTGACTATTGAGTTTCTGTGTCTTCGTTACATGGCAAATTACAATAATCACATTGATGGCATCGTCCCCCCATTGCTATCTGGAGTATTACCCACGTGTTGCAGGCTGGCTAGAATAGAAACGCCTACCCCGCCATCCCGATTATATAAGTTCAAGAAGATCCCCAACGCCTGAGGGGCGAAACGTTTCTTTTCTCCACCGTTGATTAGATATAATACAATTCTAGAAGGCGTGATTTTTTATTCTTTTGCAGATTTTTGACCTGGGTGGATATGGTTCGGGATTATCCCTGGGGTATTCAAGTGGTGGTATCGCGCAATCGAGGTCTAAAGATAAATCACAAACTGGAACATCTATATTATGTACAGTATGTATTTGGTGGTATTAGAAAATTAGTCATTGAAAGTAGATTATAGGATTGCTATATCTTAAAATACCATAAAATGATACTGCAGTGAATAAGATCTCGAAGTCGCTACGGTAGTCCGTGGTCGCTCTTAGACTACTGAATATATATCGATCCACATTACGTTTATCAGACATCCAACACACTTCTACAACCACAGGAATTTAAATAAACCATATACTGCTCAATATAGGACTGCATATCATTCAGAAGAATAATTAATAAGTAAATATGGATACTATCATATTTATGATATCTGTATAAAGTATAAACTTTGGCATCATGCCCACTTGGTTGACACTACACAATGAACGTAGGGCATAATCGGTAAATCGTATAGCCACTAAGCAGCTTATACAGACTCGCATCAACAGGGCTACAGGCTAATGCCTGTCTATATTGCGTAGCGTGGCAGATGATAGGACACGTGATCTAGATAGTTCCAACGTTGACTCATTGTGTCGAAATCCTTCAAACATATTTATCTCGCTATTGTCAATCAAGAACTCCAGAGAACTACCAAAACAAACAACAACATAACCCCATCTCGTTTATAATGGCTGGCGTCAAACCCCTTTTCACCGAGGAAACTGCGAGACAGAAGGTCAAAGCAGCGCAGAACTTGTGGAATACTCAGTAAGGACCTATTTTTCTAAATCATTCATAGTTTGGATGGATTTCTGGCTCTCCTCTCCCCTCTGGATAACTGTGTTTCCCTTTGGTTGTTGAAAACGAGATGGTTGCTGGCATGGATTATTTGTTTCATCCCTTGCTCTCAAATATGCCGCTACCTCGTGCTATCCAACTCCTTTCCCTCCCTTCCATTTCCCTCCGCGTGGCCTATCATTCTCTTTCTCCATGTGTTTCCAGGAGATTCAAGAAATCTAGTTTGTATACTTACTGCAAAATAGGAACCCAGAGAAGGTCGCACAGGTGTACACGTCCGGTTGTACCTGGCGGAACAGAGATTCGTTGTTTTCCGGAACAAATGACATTATCGATTTCTTAAAAGCAAAATGGAGCCGCGAAAAAAACTACAGACTACGCAAAGAGCTCTTTTGCTTCACTGATAACCGAATCGCGGCAGAGTTTTGGTATGAGTTCCAAGATGCGAATGATGACATGCGCTGGAAGCGTTGTTATGGTCTCGAGGACTGGACATTTGACCGGGAGACAGGGAAGATGTGCAAGAGGATGATGAGTGGAAATGACATACTGATTGGACCTAATGGGAATGGAGAGGGGAGATGGTTTCTGGATGATGATGTTGATAAGGTAGTGATCGAGGCGGAGCATGGTGACATGTCCTACTGTAGCACTTAGATGATTGTCAATCAGATTAGTCTCACCCACTAATTCTGCAACATGGATAGTTAGTGTATGTAGGAATCCGATAGCCATGGGCATCTGCAGGTTTTGCATGTTACTAAATCAAGCGTATCGATTGTTCCCACAAAATCAGCTGCAGTATTCGATCTCCGATAACAAGTCTATAAAACGTGGGTTTGTTTGTTGAATGCTGCAATGATGGTAGAGTCCGGAATGTCTCATGTGTAGAAAGAAAGCTTCCGTTCTCCCTTGAGGTCAAATGACCGACGAATCCTTTTTTGCAGGCTAAACTGCCAGAGGGCGATGACGAGGGGCCGCAGGGCGCAGGATGAATGTCGGAAGTTTTACTAGCCAGTGATATTGTCGTTACTAATTCTAAAATCCCCTCCCTTGGCTATCACGGAATGTGCTGCAATCTGGAAGTTTCAGCCAACTAGGCCACCTTAATGATCGATGGTGGACTTCGCTGAGCGATCGCCAGGCATTATTGGATTTTGAACGAGTAGAGGTCATGGAAAGAGGGTATTATAGTGTCGAGGATATTCTATCTGTCTCTTCTCACGGCTTCATCATCAGCACTTTCAATGCTCTGGCATAAGAAGGAGGAAGGAGACTCATAAAAAGGATCACTTTAGGAAACTGATTTATTACATGAATATCCAGGCCCGAATTAATCTATATGAGCTGTGATAAACAGTGCCACTATTCTAGTAAGACACTGGACATGGGTGGGTGAAGGAGATGGTGCATTCCTGACCTTGATGCCATCGGTGACCAAGGCAATCCGAGGAATCTGGAAAAAACAAACAGACAACACTCATTCCACAGGAATGAACTTAGTATGGGCATGCCTCAAAGTTGGAAAAGTTGAACTGTCTGCTGTTTTTCATGGTGCTGTCGGTGTGTTGTCGGTGTGAGGAAACAAAGCCCTATTGTCAGAAGAGGTCCCCCGATTCCTGCGACGCTCGATCACTGCAGCCTTCTTGTCTACCGTCAATCTCTGTCGTCGCCAACTCTTCCCCACGCTCCCTATCAATCTCGGTTTCATCCCCGTCCGTTCTTTGAATATTTGCTCATATACAAAAAGCAGCAATACGCCTGTCATTCAGTATCTATTCGATATTGGGTGGTTCTGCTTCTATTTGTTTTGCTTGCCTCGAACCTGTCAGTCTTTACAGAAACATCTTTCCTTGAACCTGAGGGGCTGGGCCACAAAGTCTGTCGAGTGAATACCACCTCCTATCCACCGACAGTACGCACCCACCTTCAGATTTGACTATTTTGAGGCGAGTTATATTGACATCCAGCGAGGTTTGATCCATAGAAACTACCATATTACGAAACAACTTACGATTTCTCGCATGAAGTCGTGATACGTTCATCTCGTCGTGGTAGTCTAGGGTCGTCTGACAATGGAGGAAATCAGCTATGTTGGCTCGCAGGCTGTGCGTCAGCCTTTGACGGATGCCACGAACCGATTTGTCAACTGCACAACACCAGTATCAGGACGTCAAGAGTTCTTTGATGCAGAAGAGGATCAACTGAAATCGCCAGACATGATGTCTATCGATAGTCCGCTATCGCCGAAAGGGACCGTGGACATCAACTACATCACACCAATTCGAGGGACAGGACCACAGCCGAACTTGAACTCTGGGAGATCTGTGGCTTCGATGGCCTCAGGCCAAATGAAGAGGAAGTCGGGTGTCAAAACACACGTCGGGCCATGGAAACTCGGGAAAACGCTTGGCCAAGGGGGCATGGCCCGAGTGAGACTGGCTAAACACGCCATTACTGGGCATACTGCGGCCGTCAAGATTATATCAAAGGAATCAGCAGCATTGAAACAAAGCACAAGCATTACGCAGATGGAGGCAATTGCGGGACATTCTGGTGCAACGGGGGCGAGAAGTATGCCACGCTCTATTGAGAGAGAGGTGGCTATCATGAAGCTGATCGAACACCCAAACGTGATCAGCCTTTATGATGTGTGGGAGAACCGTGGCGAATTGTACGTCGAATGTTAAAGAATAGTATTTTTCTATTTGATACTAACTATGTTTAGGTATTTGGTTCTGGAGTATGTGGAGGGGGGCGACTTGTTTTCCTACATCTGGAACAACAGTCCACTCTCCGAAGAGGAAGCTGTTTACATCTTTCGACAAATTATTGCAGGCCTCAGCTACTGCCACCGGTTTACAATTTGCCATCGAGATCTGAAGCCGGAAAACATTTTGGTGGATGGGTGCAGAAACGTCAAACTTGCGGATTTTGGGATGGCCGTACTTCAGCCAGCCGGTTACCGACTCAATACAGCCTGTGGGAGTCCTCATTACGTTGCGCCGGAGATTGTCCAGGGTGGTGACTACCAGGGTGACCTGGCCGATACCTGGAGCTGTGGTATTATATTATATGTGTTGCTAATGGGCGAGCTTCCATTTAATTCTGACGATCTTGGAGTAACCCTTAGCATGGTGAAAGAGGCTCCCATTGACATCCCCCCGGAATTGAGTGAGGAAGCCGCGGATCTTCTCGATCGTATACTCCAAAGAGTGCCTGAGCGAAGGATTAGAATGGATGAAATGTGGAATCATCCTCTCTTGAAGAAATGGGAAAAGGTTCACCAATCCATGTCCGATCACTACGTCGGCCCTCCACCACCACTTTCTCCAGAGGATTGTGGGCCACCCTTGCCGAGCGTGCAGAGCCTTGACCATGATATCCTGAGGAATCTTCAAACCTTGTTTCATGGAATGGATCCTAGGGTACTGTTGAGTTCATTGTTGAGTCCAGAGTAAGTAGTCTGACCCTAAACTCTTCCCACTCATATCATTTGCGTGTACAGTTGTAACTGCGGTTATACAGTGTTTCCTGGGAGTTCAAGAATCCGAACTGAAGCATTCTGATACTAATGAGTCGCATTGGCAGGCTTTCTTATGAGCGTATGTTTTACAATGCTTTGGTAAAGTTCCGAGACGAGCAACTTGAGAACTATCAAGGACAACCTCTGGAGTATTCCGCGAGCGACTATCACCACAAGTCCCGACTGCCAGGGCGCCTGGGCAAGGAGCGTAATATGAAGAGGCGTACAAAACACAGCTCCCTCAGGTATTCACATTTGGCCACGAAAGAGTCCAGCAATAGGCGGCGAAACTCGATCAAAGAACCAATGTCTTCTGCCACAGTGGAAAGCTATGATCCATTCCGGTCACCACGCCAGCGCCTTCCCGCAGATGAGCCCAAGTGTGCGAAGATTACTGTTCACCGACAGAGCCCTGGAGACAGTCAGAAAGGCCAGACCGAAGATTCTGGAAATCCATCAGAGGCTGTTAGCGATGAAGAAGCCAATGAAAAGGCGGAAGTTTGTCTACCCAGCTCACCCTTCGCAGTTTTGAGGGAGAGCAAGCCCAGACCCGGTTCAATGAATTCTTTCCACTCGAAGATGTCCCAAGCGAGCTCTCGACGACCTGGCCATACTGGACCAGCGCCTCGATCTGCGAGTTACAAGCGCAATGTATCCTTCCACCATGTGCGCAACCGCTCTCAAGGGTCAGCCTCGGTAAAGATTAGAAAAACTCCAGCAAAGCATCCAGATCGCAAACTGCCCTCTGAAAGCACTCCCAGATTGCTAGTCGAGTCCAGCCCCTTGATGGCCAGACAGGGCAGCCCTGCCTTACCAGCTCAGCCCACCGTCGTTCGCCCTTCTGGTGCGACTATCAAGCCATGCACTCAAGTGAAGAAATTGCGGGACTCAGAGTTCAGGTGGAAGGATGAGGCACGGCAGGTATCCCACGAGCTTAGCCAAATTTGCGAAGAGGCCTTCAACGGAGGGTCTTTTTCAACAGCCTGCACTACTAGCACTTCCGCAGGGACAGAAACCCCTGCAACTTCTGTGTCTCTGGTCAGCGCTGATGACCCGCAGTCTCAGGTTGCTGCCAGCAACCCCAAGGGAACGAACACTACTGGTGTGCCCTTGAAAGCCCAGAACAAAAATATCGTTGAAACTCGTCGAAAGATCATCGAGCAATCCACCAAGGATGACTCCGACAAGATTCCTGGCTACATTTCCAATGTCATCCAGCAGTTGGATCGTTTGATTGATGAAGATAAGTCAAACCAGGAGAATTCGGTGAAGCTCAACGAGAGAGCACGGCCCTTGCCTGACCCTTCGCAATCCTTGGACCCTGGCTATCTTCCCATAATCAGCGAAGAACTTGTTTCGCCTTATGGAAGCGGAAACGATATCACCGCCAAACAGCTAGAACAAAGGGCTGCTTCTCAGGCTGCCACGGCAAGCAATGATCGTGATAGTAAGACCACGGTACGAATGGTGCCTCATGATTCATTGCGATCATTGGAAGCCATAAAGCCTTTGACTATCCGCAAGAAACACCAGAATTCGTCTCCAACAAAGAAATTTCAAGACACGAAGAAGGAATACAAGGCAGAGACCAACCATAGCGAAGGATATTCCAATCGGTTTTTCTCTGGTAGCTCTAGACAGAGTTACCCTTGTGAGTTGGATCCCATTGATGAGCATCCGGGATCACCGAAACGCAGGGGAACCAGAACTTCAGACAAGAAGTGGTCATGGTTCCGACACAGATCGCAGATTCCTGGAAACATGTCGCCAATAGAAGCCAGTCAAGTCAAACCCATTCAACCTAGTTCAGGCACAGTCATCGTCCACGATGTCAAGCATGAAGTCCCTCCACCCCATCAAAATACGGGCACTACAAACCGGAAATCCTCCTCAGAAAAACTCAAAGGAGGCTTGAGGAAGATTATGAAGAGAAGACCGAGTGTAACTGTTCATGAAGAACCAACAGGTAAGTGTTTGTCAATGACTGGAAGGATTTCCGGTTAACCGTCTCTCAGAACCAAACTTCGGTGACAACAATTATCTATCAACAGATGCATTGGATAGCAATCCAATCATTGACACAAAGAAGAATCTCCAAAAGCCCTTGCCACCTCGCCCACGATATGATGGCAAGAATCAAAATCTTTTTGCTAGGGTATTTCAAATCAAGCCTGCCAGTCAGGTATTAGCATTGAATGCTTCGAAGACCGAAGGCCGACAAGATGTCTACGACATACTATGCGGCTGGAAGAAGTTCGGAATGAAGAAAGTGTGTATGGAAAAAGGAAACAACTTCATCTATGGGAAGGTTGGAAAAAATAACAGTAAGACAAGCAGATATCCTGTTTTTGCAATGATCTAACTCCTCTCAGGCCTCCATCTTCGGCCTGTTGAATTCTCTGCGGAATTCTGCACCTACCTTGCCAAGGGTCACCAGGCCAATTTGAGTCTCGTTCGCTTAAGGCAGGAACGGGGTGCCGCTTCGTCATTCTACAAAGTTGTCGAGGCGCTGTCGAATGAGTTGACTAGGCGCGGCATTCTGGTCGAAGATCCTGCCCGCGCACAGGAAATGATGGCGCAAGTTCTGGGTGCCTTCGCCAACTAATCCCTTGATTGTTTACTACGATATTATCTAACTGACATTTTTATCCCCCCTCATTCTTTTGAATCCAAGTTCTGCCATCTTCAATATCCTTTTTTGATAAGGCGTTGCATATGATTTTTGCGTCATTTACGCGTGCATTTTGAGCCCATTTCGTGCAATTCTGGGGAGTTTTTGATACCTTTCCTTGTCTAACTTCTTGAAAACAAAAAATATTTCTTCTCATTTTCTTTCTCCTTGCAGGTACAAGTCGATTTGGCTGGTGTTCCAACAACGTTCCCACCGTTTTTTCTCTCATTTCCCCAATCTCTTCGTTAATATCTCGGTCAATTGGCTTGGTCCATCTATTGACCATTGCTACCTTCGTTCTTTCATATTTTCTTTGTCGAGCCGTACAATGACTCTTTCCACCGTGTCTTTGACTTTTCAAGGATGGCACTCATTTCACCTTCATCACCGGTGGCATACATTCATTTCTTTCTATCCCACTTTCTCTCTGTACCTGTTCGAAATCTACTCTTCATATCACAACCTTCCATACCCAAAATACCTCTCTTATCTTTGGTCCTTCGCCAAAACAAACCACGGGACTCACTCACATCCCTCCCTGATCTGTGTTGGCCTGTGTCTTGTGCTCTTTTGTCCTCGTCCTTTTTGTCTTTTTGCTTCTCTAGCACATTCATTCTAGCGAGCTCGGGGATGGGTGGTACATGTCTTCTTATTTTATCATTCAAGTTTATTTGTCCATCGCTTAGTTATGCTTGAACCACGAAGCAAGACCCAAGATGTGTCTGGCTGTTTAGTACAATAGTTTCTTTATTTACCTTTTGCTGTGTTAGGAATGGACTGCATAAACGATGTCATTGCACTATTTGCACTACTGCACCGTTATCACGATGACATCATACTGTACGATTCAATAGCTATACCAGTAGCGTAGATAGGCCTCGACCGTTAGGGCAAGGAATCACGTGTTCTCTGTGAGTAGAAGTACGGTACTTTGTGCTGAAAGACTGGCGGTGACCAGCTAGCTCATCTTTGTCGAAGAGATAGATCGATATATACAATGTACGGTGTAGAATTATCATTCTTGTGTATTTGGATTATTGAAAGTCAATGTTGAACATATGAGACTGTTGGGCTGTGATATCAACCCAACAATAACATTCATGACGCAATATATCGAAATCGTATGCAGATTATAAAAATGAAAAAGTGAAAAATGTAAAATGGACGTGTAATTGCAGGATAAATATGATCAGACAGCCTCCCAGATATCAAGGTACGTAATAACATAGATAAAGACAACCTCCTTTTTTTCGCAAATGACGGTAGAGTACCTCCGGAAATGAAAACAAGAACTTGCAAGATGCATCAGCAGAAAACAGACGTTGAGAATAAATGCAGAACACAGATAGCCACCCGAAATATAATGAAACACGTGCAAAAAAAAAAAAAAAGTTGGAAAACGAGACCGCCAACGCATTTGAAAACGCAACAAAACCATCACTTGATCCACCAAAACGATATGATAATGCAGCAGAACTCCTCACCATATTTAACTTCTCGATAGCCGATGTAAATGCAGCTTTTCACATGCACGGTCAAACCCCCTTGCCGAGTAGAAGTCAAGCATTTCAAGTTGGATGAACACAGCCTCGCTCAGCGAGGGAGGGCCAATCATGACCTCGATCGAAAGGCAGCAGAGGGACTGCCCGGGACATGCGAGAGCTTATGATATAACGCCATCGCCTCCGCTGCGATACGGCAACAGAATTGGACAAGAATGCGAGCGAAGTTCGCTTAAACGCACGCGAGGAAGCCCCGAGAAAAGCGCCAAAATCGAGACTGGGTGTCCAAGCAGTAACAACAGAACAAACGGCAAGAATCAGAAACAAAATAAAAGAGAAAATAAAAACGCAAAGGAAATCGCATTAATGGGTCGCCCCGGATAGTTTATAAAGCGGTGATGTTGTTCGGAAAAGGAAATGTATGTGGTGTGATGGAACAAACCGCAAGAAATCAACGTTCAAAGCACAGCAGCTGTCTGATAGAAGCGCACTCAGACAGCCGCAGACCCTGTCTCAGGCAATGATAGTTGAAACTCAGAAATCCCATCCCCAGATCGTGCAGCTCATAACGCTCTTGCTTCTCGTTTCCATGGCTTCGTATCAGTCGAAAAAACATGGCATCTTTGTTGTTGTTGTTGTTGTTATCTTCGTTGTGGTAGTTCTTTTTTTTCAGTTTTTTTTTTTCTTTTTTTCCTTTTCTTATTCGACCTCAATTTGCTTCGAGTAAAATGCTGCACTCGTTCTCTGCAAATGGAACAAAGGTGATAACATTCCGCCGCCCAGTTCGATGGCGTCACTTTTCGTGTTCGCTGCAGTTTCCACACCGCAGATGTTCAGGATCATGTGACTTTTTTTTCTGTATTCCCCACAAGACCAAGCGCCTCGAAAACCCGAGAGCAAACCCTTTTCCTTGGGCAAATAATCACCAGAAAATTGCGATGAAATGATCACCTAGCGGCAAAAATCCCGTTTATCGATGGCGACACCGAATGCTACACTTTTGCCTTGCCTGTGCAACATGAGACGGCCCGTGTGACCAGCACACGCCCTCCCATGTGGACTGACAGCAATTTCTCTCCCCATTATCCAATCTCGCAACCATAGCCTCGCCGGCTCGTCCAATGACATCATTCGCTCCAAAGCCATCTCTCAGCCTCTAATCCACAATCGTTGAAAGTTTATTGGTTGAGACCTCGGCGGTTCAAGGCATTAAGCATGTCACTATCGGTGCTGGAACGGCCTTGACTGTCACCCGGATTGAGCATATCCCGAACATTTAGTCCACCGCGAGATGACGAGTTAACAGAGCCAGTAGGAGTGGATGTTGGCGGAGGAGTCATTGCACCCTGAGTGGCATGCATGGGAGGATATGGGGAGCTGTGCGGAGACGAAGAGTGACGGCCGTCATATGCGTAGGCTGACTGCGGCGATGTACGTCGATCATGCGGGGCCGGGGGATAGTATGGGCTGGGGGCAGTATGCGTTTGATATCCTGGAGCGGAACCGGCCGGGGTCACAGGGGCCAGATTGGTTGGGTCAGGGTATTCGAAGCCAGAGCCAGATCCACGACGACCGCCCGGTCTCTGCAAGGAAAAAAGACGAACCGTTAGCCAAGATTATTCTATAAACTGCAAAATATAGACGGAAGGGTATTGTGACTCACAGGGTCTTGCGGCATGGTAGAAGCAAGGGGCGGCGCTGCAGCCCCGCCATATGGATGCTGATACATTCCTTGGGGAGGCGGAAGATCGGATCCGGCAGGCTGGGGTTGTTGTTGAGGAGGCAGAGGCTGACCATGTGCACCGTAAAGCATGACTCCATGACCGCCACGTCCTTGGTTCTGGGCATTTCTCAGATGCGGGTAGGCGGCATGCGCCGGGACGAAGGCTTGGGCCTGGGACGAAACTGGTGTGAACATGCACTCTTGGTTGAATCGGATACAGTTGCTGCAACGTCCATCCTGGGAACTTTCAAACCCCGAGCATCGAATCTAGCAAACAGCAGATGTCAGCGGCGACTGTCGCACACTTAAAAACAATAGAGACCAAGTATTAAATTCCAACGTACCTTCCTTCTCCGACAGTAACGGCAAGCAATGGCAGTCCTCTGTCGTGGGGCAGCTGCTTGGTAGACAACTTGCGGGGGCGGAGGTTGGGCATACACGTCCGGGCCTCGGTAGGCACCAGGAGGCGGAGGAAGACGGTATGGATCTTGAGGGCCCTGGACATGAGGGTGAATGGCAGCCATGTTGGAGGGAGGCGGATACTGCGACGGGGGAGGAGGATATTGGTGGTCTGTGGGAGGATATGAAGCCGGGGGATACTATGACAAAGGAGGCCCGGAAGTCAGCAAGGAACCTCTGAGCGGATGGCAGACCACAATCTCAATGGAGGCGGAGAGGGAGATAGGAGGGAGGGAAGACAATGATATATCACAAAAAAAAAAAAAAAAAAAGGGTAACAAAGAAGCAAACTTACAGGGTATTGAGAGACCGGCGGATAGTGAGCAGTCGGTGGATTATCCTCAGGTTGACTGGTGTTCCACTGGGGGGGTGGATACTGTCCCTGTCGATTGGGGTCGTAAGAATCGTGGGGGTTGCTGGACATTTGTAGGCGTGGTGGACGGAGGCTGCTTAGAGACGGAAAGAACGGGAGCAAACACGGAAGATGCAGGATGATGTGAGTCGAAAGTCACGTCCAGACAGGCAGGGGGGGAAAGTCAGTAGTGGATGTAGTAGTGCGTGTATAATTGTGTGGATGTACGTGGGTGGTAGTTAAGGCGACCAGGATGGAGATGCGGAGTCGAAGCCGGTCAGAAAGTACACCAAATCAGAAACAGTTCCAGCTCCCGTCGGGTGATTTGCAAAGCTAGCATAGCCTCGTGCTCACGATGGGGACCGGACGGAGGAAACAGGACCTAATCCGCAGGGAGGAGGACCAAAGCGGATAGGAGAAGCGAGAGGAGAGGAGAGGAGAGGAGGGGGGGGAGGAGGAGAGGGACAAAGAGAAAGGAAAAAGACAGAAAGGAAAAAGAAAACGAGGCTCGGGGGTATGACGTGAGGATAGAAAGATCGAAGGGAGTAATAATAACAACAATAGAATAATAATAAAGGAAGAAAAGAAGAAGGATCGTAGTAGTAATAGTAATAAATAGAGTGGATTCGGACGGGCCAGAGAAGATCGAGAGTTGTCGGGCAGAGAAGAAGACGAAGGGGAAAAAAAAAATCACTAAAGGCGAGGAAAGCAGAATAGTCTGTGAGTCTCCCCAGGCCTGGCAGTAGTGCTATGCGGTGTCAGTATAGATCAAACACCAAGAGCTGCTGGGCGAACGACGGTCTCTGAGGCCAACAGGGGCTTCTGGGGATCAACCACCTTTCCCTTGTTTTCTTTTTTTTCTTTTTTTCTTTTTCTTGTTCTTGAATTTTCCTTTTTATTTCGTTCCCGCCCCTTGAAGAATGGTTTGTATACGAATAAAAGAGAGAAAAAAAAAGAAGACTCAATGGGAAAGGGAATGAGGGCGTTTCTCAAGGGGGCAAAGCCGGAAGGGTAGGGATCATAATACAGTACCTCTTGTGTGTGGTATTTTTCTTTTTTATAAAAAAGAAGAAAAAATCAAGGATAGACAATCAGGAACTTGTTGAGAAGAAAAAAAGAAAATAATAAAAAATGAAGAAATAACAGATGTGATGAACTGGTAGGCAAATCTTAGATCGGAAGCAGAGGGGGAGAGAAAGAGAAAAAAAAAATCAAATCAAATCAATCAAATAAAATAATATTAATAAAATACTAAAACATAAAATAATAATAATAATAATAATAATAATATAATAATAAAAAGACCGAAGACGGCCTATTCTTTTTTCTTTATTATTCTGATTTTCTAACTGGCATACAAAAAAGAATACTATGGTAAAATAGGTAATATTTCGTCTGGGTTGTCGGTCCGTCCGGGAGGGACAAAACGGTTGGGTCAAGCGCGTCAAATACACGAGACGCAGGGTGTGAGGCCCACGGCTGGCGGAAAGCGGAAAGGCGGGAAGATTGACGATGGAGATCTAGGATGATGATGTAGTCGACAGTCTCACTGGCTCAGCTGTTCTTCAGGATCATTACTTGACCAAGTCATGGGAGCTTATTGGAATTTGGGTGGCGGTAGAACAAGATGTTACAATTATTATTAATTTTTTTTTTTTTTTAAAAAAAAAAAAAAAAGATAATTATCATTTAATAAAATAAACAAAAAATTAAAAAAGAACGGTCCGCAGCCAGGGTGGGCCCTTTGAGCGACCCAACCTACACGCCAGCGACCCATAGACATGGACGGGGACCCTCTTAAGACGCAGCTAATGGATTCATGGTTCGATGAGGATCAGCTGAAAACCTTCGGGTTGGGCGCCGTTTGGCAGTAAGGCAAAAAGTTCATTCCTCGGCCACTTGGGCTCGTCTGCGATTGGCAGATGCGCAAGAGGACCAGGGTTAAGACTAAGAGGACTGAAGGTCACTAACTAACTGTACCTACTTTCTCTGCTAACTACTGCCACTACTCCAGACGGGTAAAGGCGCGGTGACGGAGGCCCACCGTCATCCGTCCCTTTGACTCTTTCCGTTGGTTGGTCTAGTGGTGCTGGCTGAGCCTGTATTGATGGGGTCTGGTAATTTACGACTGGTTTGATACGGTGGTATTACACAGTATTAGTTACCATCTTTGACGATGGAATTATCTGGAATCATTCACCGAGGTGCATACTATATAATATTAATATAAGTAATACATATGGAGTATTATCAGAATAATAGAGCACTTTATAATAATTATTATAATTCTTCGAGGCGCTGTACGATGCATTGGATACGTAAGAAACTAGCCAGTTTCGGTGTCTAGCCCGGCGCTCAGTGCTTTGAAGGACTGCTTGACACCCAGATGGGAGCAACATGCAGTAGTTCTCCGTTCATACAGATCCAGGATATACAACCATGTAGAAAGAATCCTAGTATAGAAGTCATAGAACGGATAATCAATAAATCTACAGCATAGAAATAATACAGCCAAATTCGTACCGAATAATCATGATATCATCGGATTTGTAAAAATAGACGACGAAAGCGGTGAACTTATAGTTAGCTGATACGTAGAACGGCCGTTCGGGGACTGGGTCCACGGTAATGCCCGAATCCTTCGAAGGGGAGACTGGGCGGGCCGTGGATGGCGAAAACCAGTGGCAGCGATGGATGAGCCAGAAGGCTAACGACGGGCACCAGTCAGTGATTGTCCATCGCTTTCAATCATGTGATGTTCTGTTAGGTCGTCTGTTCTTTTCCGTGTGCCCTTTTTATCATCCTGCCCTCTTTTCCCGTCGAGGATGTTATAACTGTGAGAATCCTACTTCTTATCCTTGATCGGATTTCAACTGACCATGACTTTCTGGTACAGCGTCCCACCTCTGTCGTGTTCTACCGCACCGTACCGGTCCCGTGTGCCTCTTTTCTGGGACACGCTAAGCATGACGGAACCAGGAATTCCACGAGAGAGTTAGGCAAAAAAGAATAGGAAAATGAAAAAAATGAAAAACAAAATTCCTGAGCCATGGTTTCCCAGCCCAGCTACTCGAGTAGTGTACCAGTCTTTGACTGCAGTGCTCTTTTTTTTTCTTTTTCGACCTTTACCTCCTTCCTCTTTCTTTCATGGTTTGGTCATGGTCTTTCTTTCTGTTACACCTGCTGTTTTGTTGATCCGAATTTCTTCTCGTGGCGAAATAATATGGCAGGATGAAGGGAGAAGAAAGTGGGAGGGAGAAAAAAGACATTTATCTCCGGTGTAACCCCGAGAACTGCAGATACAGCGATACCGACTCCAGCATACCCTTGCCTATCTTCCCCCCTTGGTTTCGATATTTTTTATTCTCTTTTTGATTTGAATTTTTTTTTCTTCGTTTCTGATGAAAAGGATCTGATTGTCTGCAGAGATTTGGTCACAGGACGCCGCGCAGTAGCGCCCGCGTTGCATGCAGCAGGCCGAGAAAATACCACAAAAATTACAGGGAACCATGCTGGGATATCCCCTTTAAACGAAAAGGGAAAATGTACCAGGGGATGACGGAAAAAATAAAAATCAAAAATCAAAAAGCTCATGAAGGATCTGGTAGCGGGGGATGACACGACGACATTAACCTTGTACGGATCCCCGGAGTTCAGTACTTTGATATTATTCCCAAGAGTCGGTCTGACTTTTCTGGTCTTCGCTTTTTGGGCTCCCTTTCTTACAATCGCCTCGTTCTTTCTCCATCAATTGTTTGCAGGTTTGATTGTTTGTACGGCTGTGGCTGCACTGCGGCAGGGAGTCTAACTTGTGAATGGCTTCTAAGCCCCTTCTGGCGTAGCCCTTGCATTCGGGGCTGAGATCGGTGACGGCCCAGCCCGTTAGCAATGAGCATCACAACATCACCAGCAATGCTGGCCTTACTGCCCCCTTTTCTTTGCCATCAGGTGGTATGGTAGGGTTTGTGTAGGTTCTTGAGATGACGGGGAAGATGCTTGATCAGGATACAGCAGCATGCGGGGAAATGCTTATCATGTCAACAGGGGTGGTGCCATCGTCCCCTGTTCAGGTACCTACCTAGGTACTATGCAGAGCGTATTCATGCGCAGTTCAATAGGGCAATAGAGCAACAGGGCCAGAGTCCAAGTTGAAGAAGAAGAAGAAGACACGTCCGGCTGCTGCTGCATCCAGTATTCCAGGGTTAGTCATATGCACGCTGCATGTCGCCTGCATCGTGGTATCTCCGAGCTACGCCGAGTGCGCCGAGTGCGAAAAGCATGCCAGATCAATCAGCGTTTCCACGATGTTCATTGGTATGATGTCTTCCATCTCGATGTGAGGTTCGTCGATGTCATCATACACGCATATCCTGAGAACCGTTGGTAAAGGGTTCCTGGAGCGGGCGGGCCGGACGGAATGCCCTTGCGGCAGGATTTACCTGGATATCATCTTGTCTACATAGCATCATTTGATGCACTCCACAGGTACATACCTACAGGCACAGGACACATAGTAATTTTACAGTAAAAAATAAATAGTCATAATATGTAAAAAAAAGAAAAAATAATAATATCGAAAAAAGCCCCACAATTCCAACCGTATTATCATTTTCTTTCTTTCTTTCTTTTTTTTTAGTGTGGAACCATTAGCTGAAGAATTCTCGAACACGCCCTAAAACAACCAATGGATCAACCAGCTAAGCGACAGCCGCGGTGTTTCCTAAACAGAAAGGTGCAAAAACCCTCTCAGCAAACTCTCTTTCCAACCTGGTTGGTCCTAGCGGAGAGGGGTGTGTGGGAACCAGACAGGAGAGACCAGAGAGGGCGGGGGGAGGGTGCAAGCGCAAAAGTGGAAACCATCTAGTCTAGTTTTTTTTAAAAAAAAAAAAAAAAGAAAAGTAAAAGTAAAAAAAAAAAAAAGGGTACACTACACATAGTTAAGTGTGGGAAAGGGGCGCCCCGAACCGTAAAAATGCCTAGCTCGGACAGCATCTGATTGGCTTATCTGTGTTGCGAAAATATGTAATGTTCGGTTCCGGTGGCAGGGCCAGAAAAGGTCGGGACAAATGATGGATCCTGATAGGTAAGGTATTAGGTAGAGAAAAAAGTGCGCAAGCAAGGCCCCCCCCCCTCCCTTTCTCGCCCCGGAACCGTCAATGGAACCATGGATCGAAGGTGATACAAGAAAGTCTAAAACAGCTATATCAAAAGCAGGCAAGTTGGACGATTTCATACAAAGTACAAATAAAATACAGCACCCTTTCTTACTTCTCATACAGACTTTGTTTGACTTGATGCCTAAAAGAAACAACTAAGGCAATACTACCCTATGGTCCTCTTCAAATCGCTCCAGTGCATTACTAGTATTCCGTGCTAATTGCGATTGTATGTATCTCTGTGGAGAGGGAAGTGGAGTCGGGATGACAAAGAGAAGAAGGCGGTCAAGAAAAGAGCCTTCAGCTGAGGCTCAGCTATGAAGCTGCCGTACATAAGGAAATGGAGTGCCCTAAGAGTCAGCCGATGGTCAATGATCATCTTATGCTTGCCACACCGATTTTTTGGCGATACTGGGACTAAATACAAGTATGTGATCAGACCTAGATCCATGGGATTTAAATCTCGTGACTCAATTGAGTCATTGCTCTGTGGTATGCTTCCTAAAATCTTAACTCTGCAGGATGACTGAGTTGGCTTTTTTCCTAAAATGACCTCATGCTTAAGTGAAAAAAAAGAAAAAAGAAAGAAAAAAATTAAAATAAGCGGGGAGGGCCGCTTGTGGAGGCCAAAATGCTCGGCTGTGATGGTCTTCGAATAATTGTGTTTCCCAGTGCTACAGCCCTGGGACGGGCGCAGCCATTCACAGCGCCTGATCGGGGTCCTTTGGCAAGGTAACCTGCATTAGCGCATCCTGGCTTCTTCTCGCCCATGGCCGCATCCAGCTCTCCCATTGCTCTGTCGCCTGCCAACTGGCTGTAAGCGGTCGGGATGAAACCGACGGTGTCCATGGACTCGGAATGGCCTGCGGGGTTCTGGAGGTTTGGCCGCCAATCAGCACGGCCGCCGGGCGTTGAGATCCCTGTCAGGATGCGTAATGTGATGATATCTGAGAGGAGGAGGGAGGGGGGAGGGGAGAAATAATAAAACCATCACCAGCCAATCTGGCGGGTGCAAAAAGAAAAGACGGTTGCCTAGTTGCATCCACTGGCACATGGAGGATGCAAACTGGCGACGGCGATTTGCTGCTGCGACGCCATCACCGCCATTTAATTCTGACACCGTCAACTGCAACTCGGATCACACTGGCTGAGCAAACTCGGTGTTGAGCGGGTCGACAAGCCGGATTTTGCTGTCTCTGTCTGTTCCTGGATATGGGTGCAGCGTGACATGCATCGTGTGACTGCCTCGGTCGCCTTCCATTCTGTCTTATGTCATTCTGACCATAATAGTTATGGAGTACTATTATTTCATCTATATGTTATTATTATATCGACAATATATCCCGATGAGACATTCGGCAAAACAAGTGGCGCTGCTGAATGGCAGAGTTTCGAGAACAAGCCGACTGTTTTCCATCTAAAATAAGAACCAAATCAAACACACGAACCGTCCATGTGATTGCAAACAAAAACATGCTATGATGTTATTGTGATTCAGATGCAGATGTTTGTCACCCAAACCCATTTCATCCAGGCTTATCCTATCTAGTATCTCGCTATCTCCGTCGCTAGTCGCCTCCTGGACATGTCCACGACGGGCCGCCCCGACTCCCGCTGATCTTATTATGCATGAAGTCGTTTGTGTATGTGGCATCGCCATCGTGTTTGGCATCAAATCCCACTGAGCCATTTTTCCTAGCTGATAACACTGCGGATTATGGTTTATGGTGAAACTCGACCGTTTTCGCTTCCGTGACAAACGGCTATTTCCCTCTCTCCACTTTCCTGATAGAATCCCTGCGATGTTATTTTATTCTACTAACTACTCGTCAAGTGAAGCTGACTAGGCGCCCCAACGTTGTCTTGCAAGGATCGTGCCGTTTTACCCCCTCTTTTTGCCCTTTGCTTTGCCCCCCTTCCAAGCATTTTAGCATCGCTGACTGGCCTCGGTTCGTGCTAAACCCTCGATGACTCGGTGCCTTGCAAGTCGGATCTTCCCCTCCTTCTACTTCTATGTAATGACATCTTCACCACACCAGGATTGTAACAGAAGGCAACTGGATCGCTCACTGTGGTGCAGGATGCTCTGCAAGCAGACTGGGATTGCACAGTCACTGTTTCACAATCCTATCAATCACATGCTGGCGAGGGGTGCTTTGATGCTGTACTGATTATCATTTAATACTGATCTAACTATCTGGAGTACTCCATAGATTATCGCCCAGATGCTTCCAGACGAAACAAGAAAAAGAAAAAAGGCTGTAAAATACCAGTACAGGAACCAAACCCGGAAACGACGTAATACCAATACGCGTAACTTACGCGTCTCCTCGCCCAGCACTAAAACTTCTTTTTTTCTTTTTGCCACGTTTTCTCGAACCCAATCGGCGCGGTGCATTGCCGTCCGCGTCTTTCCGTTGCCGCCAGAACCCACCATCACCTGCATGGGCATTGGTTTGGCAGGCACTGGTTCAGCTCCGGTCTTAGTCTCCGGAATCTGTTCTTCTTTTGGTGCTTTTTTTTTTGTCTCTGCTCATCTTTAAGTACTCCACCGGAGGAGGACCAGACCTTGCCTCGACCTGGTCTTTCCAGCCAGATCGCGCGGTTCGACTATGGAGTATGGACTAACTAGCCAAGTTTAGGCGCGTTCAGATGGGGGGCTCAGTCCGCCCCCTCTTTTTTTTCTTTCTCTCTTTTTCCCCCGGTTCACAGCCCAATCTGTATATTGATTTGACGGTGCTCCTACCCAGGCTTATCCACTTCTAACTAAGAAAGTATGCGATTGCGAGGCTGATGGCCAAGGCCTCTTTTAGATCCTTGCATGGCTGCATAGCCGCGTCTACCGGGAGGGGAGATAAACTATCTCGTATTTTATCGTTTCAACTATCGACCAACGAGCAAAACTTAAAAAAAATAGAAAAAAAAAAGGAAAAAAGAAATGAACCTGCCATGTCCCGTGACTTTTGCCAAGCCGGGAAGCCGCATGCAGTTTCAGTCACCTGATCACGACATGAGCCTATCAGGATGTCAGGTTTGGACAGTCACCACTGGTTCTGTCTGGCCTGCGCGTTTTCGGGGCTGCACGTTGAACACGGACATTCGTCTGGGCATCAGGGGGGGGGGGATGTAAGAAGCCTGTTCAGCCCTGCAATCGATTGTCAACGGCCGTTGTTGGGAGGAGGCCATATCCAAGCGCGATATCATCTGTTGTGCTCGGACATCACGCAGTTGACGTGGCAGGCAGAAAACGAATACTGGTTGGCTTTCTTGCTTATTCATAGGCTACTATCGTTTGCCCGTTCTAGGTGTGTCTACCCCATGATTTCCTCTGGTTTTCGAGAGGTGCAGGGTCCCGATTTTTTCGTTTTTCTTTTTTCTTTTTTCTTTTCTTTTTTTCTTTTCGAATCATTGCTAATATGATACACAGAATGGGGTGTGATGACCCAGAGTTCCTCCAGAGACACGTTGTACTTTCTCCAATTCCATGCCGTCGGTTTGGTTCGTCGCGTGATGGGCTCGTGTCAGGCTCGGAACCTTGACAGATGGATGGATGCCTGACAGAGTCTGACTGTATTAGAGAGAGAGAAGTATCTCAAAATGCAAGCAAGGGCTCGCGCTCAAACCTCACACCTACTCATGACGATTGGATGAAGCAGATGCATTTAACCTCGACTCCAAGTCAACAAACCCACTCTATCCGATCACAGTTAACACCGTTCGGCAATCGGCTGCTGTACGAAGAGCAAATCCAAAAAAGGAAACAACCCCATCCGATGACCAAGGCGCTAAATCTAAAAACCGCTTGATGACGCGCGAAGGATCGCCCTCTATCGACAATGGGATGCAAGCCATATTTTCAGATGATAGATGTCAGATCCAGGCAATCATGACGCTCGGATTCTATGAGCTCATGAGATATGAGATGCGAGACATGATCCGTCATATTTTTGCCGTCCTTCTTCTCAGGCTTTCGGGCCCTCCCCCACAACCTTTTTTCTCGACTTTCGGTGTGGAGTTCTCCGGTGTCAGTCAAGATTCTCGGTGTTGAGTGGTTATTTGCTTCTGCAAGGAGTTACACTGCTTTTTTGCTATGACCCTTTTTCGTTTGCCGGAATAGGCAATCTGGTGCTCAACTCAATAGGGCACTATTGTTGCACCAGGCAATTTTGATAATAAACCATGTACGATGGGGGGTCGATGGGAAATGAACCGAGCCCTAAAAAGCAATTCCCTCCATAAGGGTGAATTTTCCTCCCCGAATCAAAATCGAAAGAAATGATGAAAAAAAAAAAAGAAAGAAAGAAAGAAAGAAAAAAGAAAAGAAAAGAAAGTGAAACAATAAGCAAAGCCATTGTACTCCTTTCTCTACAGCAACACGTCACGTCAAGCCCTCCTGCGTGGCTTAAAGGCCAAGAGCAAACGACAGCACTAACTAAAGCAGACTCAAGTCGATCATCTCATGCAAGGATCAACAAGACCTTGGATTCAATGTACAGAATTGGGCATTGCTACTTGTTGTTTGATTGTCCAGCGTTCTTTTTTTTTTTTTTTTTTTTAAAAAAAAAAAAAAGAACTAATCTAGTAAGGGACGACAGACGATCCATCTATCCATCGCTCCATTCTTTCCCTCTCTCTCTCCTTCCCCATAATTCTTATTCTCGAGGCTTTCGGGGAATTTTCTGTTTCTGGTACTTTGAAAGTATGATAGGTAATAGTGTTTGGATGATCTTAGTGTCTATGCGGAGTATCGTCTTCGGTTCTTTTTTGTTTTTGTTTTTTCCCAATGACTCTTTAATACATACATAGGTACATATGATCCAAACTCCAAAATTAATTTTCTTTCAATGCATGGCACATCACATAGCACATCACATCATATGTACAAGAAAGTGATCATCATGGTCTTGTCGATTATCATTCTTATTGTCCTAGATGAATTGGAGGTCCATGATTTCTATAGGTGGATGTTCATCCCGCAATAAGGCACCAAAACGCTACTTATGCTAGGTTTCTATACTCTGTGCTTGTTTGGTTCTGCTTAATTGACTAAATGTACATACTATGTAAGGTCATGTTTGCTCTTTATAATGACAAATAGATCTGGGGCTTACTCTGTTAGTGCTTTATATTTTACTTGGATCGATGGATTTTGATCTTTGTTCTTAGTTTCCCTTGAATGAAGGTACGAAGTACGATAATCTATCCCTTTGGTTTGTCTTGGGACTAAACAAGACGCAGTACCGAGTACAGAAGTGAAAAGGCATCGAGAATTCCCGCAAAGTCCGGTATTATAGCTATTCCTGTACGGGTGCCATGCGAGTGTGATAAGCTAAAAATCAAAAGCACGATGAATCCACTCAGGGTACACAGCAGGAGGTACCCGAGTGACCCCTGGCTTGACTTCTTCAGGACTTTCCATCCCGGGGAGGTTGGGACAACACATCAATTTTTTTCAGGTGAGGGGAAATGGAGGAAACTAGGGAGATAGACCCCTCATCCTTTTGATATGAAACGGGTATCTCCATGGTTGCGTCTATTGAACGGGAACTTCCGCCTCTGGTACACAGAGCCAATGCCTTGCAGGGTTTTCAATTGATGCCAGACAGTAGATTGGTATACAGGTTGCAGTGGAGTTGTCTCCCCTCCTTTCTGGACGCACGCCCGAGTTGTGTTGTACAATGTACAACACACCCATTTCCATCTCCACATTTGTCCTCAGGGTTGTTCTTCGCGGGGTTCGCATGCTGCTCTGAGAAAGGAGTGAAGGGCGTCGAAAAAAAGACACGATGGATGCTAGGTCGTGGCATGGTGGAAAACCCCGCTCGGAAAGACGCTGTCTTACACATGGAAGGGGGGCTGATGAAACAAGTTGTGCGCCTGTACGGGGTACTAGTTTTGGGCACTTACGCAGAACGCCCATGCCTGTCCCATGGAACGAGAGGCTAAGAGCAGATAATCACTGGACGGGATTGACTGCGAGCCATGGACGAATTCGCACGCGTGCATATGTGGATATCCCTTCTTCGCTCGAATATGGACAGCGACGTGAGCTAACGGCACGCCCGACGGGCCGACTGCGGCGCGCGGACAGCAGGCCATAACATGCAGGTCAGTATAATGGAGGGTTTGCGACTCAAAGCTCTGTCAAGTCGAGGAAATGAGACACGAATGTTGCAACCATTGGACCGGGGAAGCGCAGAATGGCGGTAAAGAGGGGAGTAGGAAACCACCAAAGGTCTAGGTGCTCTAAAGAACCCGCAACACGAAAAAAAAAAAAAAAGGGCTGGTATCAATCTTACAGCCAAAGGTAGGGATTGCATATTATTGCTCACAGATCGGCTAGCTAGAGCCCCAAAGCATAAACAAGGCACAAAGCAGTGAATTTGGGTGGCCCCATTTGTGTTCCTTGTGCGTTTTTCCATTTGCTTTGGGAAAACGACTACGGTTCACGGTTGGGCAGGAAAAAAGGAAAAAAAAAAAGACCATAGCATATTATACTCGAAACACACAAGAAAAACCATAATATATAGAAATTCAAAAAGTCACAGACCTACATAGAAATATACGGGGAAACAAGGACACAAAAATCGCTTGAAATCGGGTGTGCAATCAATGCTTTAGCTGTCCTCGCCTGGAGGGTCGGAGTCGGAACTGGGATCCTGGTCCGCTGGATCAGGCATGACGACGCTGTTGAGATAGGTGACCTGTTAAAACAAATAACCTGTGGTCAGTGAAAGGCTCCCACGGATTTGCCACCGTTCAAAGTGGGTGATTGAGGGGTGGGTATGGGATAATATGGCACACCGCTGAAGTGGCTGAGAAAGGGAAGACGAAGAGGGGTAAAGGGGAGAAAAGGCTGATACGGGGTGCTAAGATCCAATAGACGCAGACGCGGTCAAGCGGAGGGGAAAGCCAAACGATGGCTGCACAACAAGGGTGGCTGGAATGGCTTACAAAGGGTTCCATGATGCCAATGAGAGTTGCGATCTTCTCCTGTGCATTAGGACTCATCAGTTCCGCATCGGCAAGAGGCCTTCCGATAGTGAAATTGCGCAGGCGGAGCAATTGAATGTTCTCATTGTCGACGTTGTAACCCTAGACATGAACAGATATTTGTCAACAATCCATACCAGAATTTGGGTTGAAGTCCAAAAAAGACCCGCTAGGGGAAGCGCGGCAGGTGAACCATGGAAACCGATGAGACGGCGTGAAAAAAACTCTTCATGGCCAAAACCCAGTGGGACACAGGAATGCATTCCCGGTCCAGAACCACGAAACACAGTGCGAGCCAAAGGCAGGAAAAAGTGCCTGGTGGAAAAGGGCGCCAGACTCTGGCAGACACGGGTAGACCACCCGGACCCACCGCGCGGCTGCGCTTCAGATTTCCACCATCAACAATCAGCAGAGCAGACCGGCAACCCGTCGACGAGGGTGAAGACGCTGTTCACCATCGCGTTTTGGGAAGCGAATATTGTGAATTGATGTTTCGTGCCCATGGGTTTGCCAAAATAGCAGGCTTGGTGATGTGCAAGTCCTGGCTGGCCGCTCTCAAGTTGGCCCGAGGACAGGACCAAGGAGCTAACGACATCTCCCCAAAACTTACTCCAGCAGTTCTCGTGGAGGGCTTAACATCCATTTGGAACCTTTGAAGAGGCTTCATTGATGAAAAATTCCCCGTGCTGATGTTCTGCTTGATGAATTGATGCTAATGACCAGGAAAACACGGCGACACCACGATGGTGGAACCACTATCGAAAGACAATACGGACAACGCGACGTTATCGGACCTCCTCTGCATCGCACCGTACGGCAATAGTACGCTTTATCGAGATGGAAAAATGTGTTGGGAGGCCCAGGGCTGGTGATGGAAATGATGGAATAATTGAATGGAGATGGATTGCAACAAGGGGACGGTGAGGAGCATTTGAGGACGGGAAAACACCAACCTTTGGTTTTGTTTTGAGAGCAGTCTCCTTATTCTGATCGAAAAAGCATTCCACAGCTTTGTCTTCATCGTCAGAAATGCCCTTGAAGATTTCGTGGCGCAATTCAGGTCTTCTCAGCACAGCCTTCAGGTGATGCGAATTTTGATCGATCTCCTCTCGAAGAAGCGCGAGCTGATTGGGTTCTGGTTGCCAGATTCCCGAGCCTAGAGCCAGAGCGAAATATAATTAGCTCAAACCATGCTTCGTGTACATTAAGAAAAGAAACCATTGAGTTGGTTTCGCCACAGCGACATCTATGCCGTGCCCAGTTATCACGTTTGGAAAAAAACGCCACCATTACCATCGAATCGAAGAAACCGAGAAGGGGCATACAAGATATTTGAAGGGTTTAGGGAACTGGATGTAGGAAGCAGCATTTGAGAGAAGGGGCTTAATCTCCCCGCACAAAATGTGTATTGGCTGGCTGAAACATGTCGACCGAAACCTGCGTGACAGACGGGTGAAAGAAAAGGGGGCGGCCCCGGCATAACTCACCGACAAAACAGGATCCAGGTTGCATATGGACATAATAGAAGGCGTAAGGTCCTTTCTTTCCCGTACGGGACCTATACAAACTTAGCTAACCATAATGCGCGCGTAGCGCTAGAATTGCACTCACCAGGCAGCTGAAAGATGCGTCTACTCGCATATTAGCTCAGCCATAGGGTTCAATATTAACAGTTATACTGCATGAAGTACCCGACACTAGAAGTGGGTACTTGGAAATCACACATACCTTATACGGAGTAGGATTTTTGCTGAACCGAGTGTCTCTGTGTATGCGAAACACCTAATCCAGAATGTTAACGCACCTGTCGTCCTCTCTACCATTCGTTGGGGCACCGCTTACCAGGTCCTTGGCAGGTAGCTCGGGGATTGTGCCATCCTTCTCAATGATTTTCTCCGTGAGGCTTTCGACAAAAGTTTCCCAGTCCTTTTTCGCAGCCCGATAATCCGGATCATGGGCTAATGGAGAAAAGTGACAGTTAGATATGAGTTGAAGCGCACTATGTTTTATCTGACGTTGCCACATTACCTTTGAACCATTGCCTTTCATTGTTCTCTGCCAGGTCCTTCAGGAAGAGCATGGTATTGGGGTGCAAAGTATCGTCTTGGTAATGCACCTTTCCAGGGTCCCTAGCCTTGGGCTTCTTGATGAAAACCTCTTTTCCAGGACCCAGCCCAGTGCTGACACCTTCTTTCCACAATTCCTTGTCTTTCAGTGTTGTCTCATCGTCATCGTCACCTGGCGTATCATCATCTTGCTTTTCATTTTGCTTTCTCCGAGGCTTTGCTTTCACTCCTTGACTGCTTGACTTTCCTTTCTTTTTCTTGCCCTTGTCCTCGTCTGTAAAATCTGCTTCGGATACAGAAGACTCTGGATCGGTGGAAGTGGTCTTAGTGTCTTCGTAGGCTGAAGTGGAGTCCAGACTGGTTTCAGGATCAGGTTCGGAGACTGATTCTTCGGCGGTGTCTTGTTCGAAGTATTTGCTCTTCCTGGCGGTGGATTTGACTGAATTCTTTTTGGCGGCGGCGGCGGGATTGTACTTTTGTCTTTTGGGCGCCGTCTTGGAGCCAGCGGAGAGTCTGTCAGACGCGCGCCTTTTTGGTGCCGGCGCTGGAGCTGCCGCCGACGCGGGAACGGCCCGAGACGATCGACGAGGCATAGGAAGGAAAAAAAAGAGATTAGGAACTGCAAGAGTCAGAGTCCCTGAATTTCCGTTTTTGCGGGCGCGAATTTCTCTCCGAGAAAAGTCTCACATATAACAACTAACTACGCAGGATATGTGATGAGATGGTAATGATAGTCAAATGTAAGGTGCAGGTCGGAGATAGAATAGATATTTAAAAAGCTCCCAGTGCTTCGATGGAACTAGTAGTTGTTTTGACTTTCAGGCGGTCTCAACTGACGGACAAAGAGGGACCCGTCAGTGCCGTGAGAGGTCCAGGAGCCCGGTACCTTCTGGGGCGGTGTTTCGCGTGGGAAACCGAAAGAAAGGGCGAGCTCAAAAGTTCCTAAACTTCCGCCGAACCACCGCTAAAGTTAGTGCGGCTTCCGAGACGACGTCAACTTCGAGAAGGATTTGCGTAGCCCGCTGGACCGCCACGACATTGAAAGAAAGGTTGTTGCGAAATCGTCAAAGAACATAGGATAAAGGGATCAAGTGCAGTTTCCTTGGAGTCGATTCTCGACTTCTTTGGTTTCACGTAACGGTTTCTGTTTCGGCAGAGTTCTTCTTTGTCGATTCCTTGCCTGTACAAAGCCAAGTGTCAGCTCTATTTAAAGAAAGTCAGAGGAAAGACAAAAGACCCTGGGTTATATCATCTGTTGCGAAATTATAACTCACTTTCTTTTTTGTTTACTCTGGGTTGAGGCTTTTTGTCTTTTTTTTTTTTTTTTTTTTTCTATTAGAACAAAACGTCAAACATGAGCAATCCGGCGAAAATCCCTGAAGGCTTTGAAGCTCGCAAGAGTAAGATTCTTGCAGAACTCTCCATCCCGGACGAAGAGTATACAGATCTTTCTCCAAAAGGGTCTGTCGATGAAGGTATTCGTGACCTCATTCGTGACATCAATACTCTTCCGGGCTTGGTAACCACCAGCAGTTGTGCCGGTCGGATCAGCGTGTTTCTAGAGGGGAGGAAGCAGCAGCAGCAACAAGAGCAACAGAGGCTTTTTGCACCCTCTGGGGGGAAAGGAGCGGGGAGGTGGTTGTATGTCTCCCATGAGCCCTTGAAACATAATGGACAAGCCTCCGGGGAGCATGCTGGCGGTGAAAAGCAAAGGAAAGACACCAGGACTTTGCATGACTTGTTTGGGATGATCCCTGGGGATGGAAAGCCTCCAGCATGGAAGGGCCAAGCCCCGCGTTTGGTGCGCTTCCATTTTGAGCCTCTGGTAGGTTTCCTCTCTCAGCCCCCCAAAAGTGCCCAGATTGGCGTTGCTTGTTTGAATATGCCCTTCTTCTACCCCTAAGCACACTGGACCTGTCACTTTTTTATTATATCATTTCCATATCTACCCAAAAGCTACGCATTGGATTTGCTATCCCTGATTTGATCGGACATTTCGATTCAGAATGCTATGACATCCCGTACTAACGAGCCCACAAACAGATCCTTCACATCATGACAGCAAACCTCCACCACGCTTACCCTGTTTTATCCGCCGCGTCAAGCTCAGGCTTCCGTGAAAGTGGCCTACAGAGCCTTCGCTGTCTAGAAGGAGATGATGATGGCCCCAGTCCCATTGTAGCAGTGCGCTCTGCAGGCCTGGCTCTTGAATCAGTAATCGGATACTGCGACGATAATGACGCTGAAGATGACCCAACAAGTGACACGCCTATCATCCGCAGTCTCGTGACCGATGAGTACCTCGAAATGTTGATCGCTATATCAAACGAGAGATTCTCCGTAAATACAGAACGAAAAGAAAGATTCCGGAAGAGCCTGCTCGACCTGTACTCTGCGGATCAGTCTCAGGGCCCAAAAGCTAAAGGGAAATCTAAGCCACCGGGCTGGGAGGATCCTGAAAAGCGGAGAGAAAGAAAGAGAGCAGAAGGATTGATGAGGAAGAAGCTTCTCGAAAGCCAAACCAATGCAGCCCCTACAGAAAGTGATAATGATGGAATTGACGATTTATTGGAATGAATGAGAATGAGAATGAGAATGAGAATAAAAATAAAAGAAGTTCGTTGAATCTAGCCAGCGCTCGGCTCTTCTCTGTAAAGACAGGGGCACAATGTAACGATATGTTGGTGTCTGAAAAAAAGATAAATGAAAACCCCCCGGTATGAACAATCCAGCCATAAGTATGGAAGCCTGTGTCTCTAATTTTGTACCAATTGACGCTGCATGCTATTTCAACCAGATTTGTATCTGTGCAAAATCAACTCCAGTCCATTGCATCGCCCATTGTATCAGAACTGTGATATCCCTGCTGTATTCTCATATCAAAATAAATGTATGGTGATAAAAATGAGACATACAGTATTGTATCGAAGAAGCAATTGGCAGCATAAATGATCATTGTTGGTGGGTTCAAAGACGTCGTCGGGTGTCTCTCGAGATACAAAAACAAAAAGAAAACAAAAAGACCACGATATCCATAACATGGCATATTCAGGAGGAAAAGCCAAAAAGAAATCAGAATCCGTGCCGGAACGGAACGTGGCGATGTAGGATATCGTCAATTTGATATGGATATGATGGTGGGCGCGCAAAAACTTGTGCTGTAGACCCTCAAGGCCGTCGTGGTTCCATTAAATAGCTTGTGATTTAAGGAAAGCAAGTGGGAGATGACAGCGTGTTTCGATGGCCAAGGAATCCAGCCCTGGCTCTGGTGGTGGGACGAATGAACTTCTGGCTCCAGCTAGCGTCACTGTTGCTGGTGTATGCGCTTTGGTAACTGTGGAGGTCACTTGCACGACGCGAATGGGTTCCAAATACTCCAGCATTCGACGATGTATCTTCGCTTATCTGACTCTTGTCAGTTCCAGAAGGTGAAATGGTCAGGTTGCGTCGGCGAGACACGCGGCTGCTTGAAGAAGACGACTCCCCGGACACCGTTCCTGTATTGAGCATGGTCATCTTATCGTTGGAGATCCAGCCGCTCAGGACAAGGTTGCAAAGATTGACCATTTCGTGCTGTACAGCATCCTCCCAGGTCATGAGCTTCGCAACATCCAATGGCCATTCGAACCAAATGCGTCCGTAGGGAGAATGAAGCTCGAAATTTTCTGCTGGGAACGTGTTTGGCAACTCGGTGGTTGCATGATGGCGGACTGTTCCATTTGAGATGAGGTTCGCGTAATACTATGGAAAAGTTGGTTAGAAAAGTTGGTTTAGGGCTGTTCAAACAGACAGAAGATGGCCAAGAACAAAAGACAATCAAAATCACATACAAGAAGGGTTTTCTCATCTAACTTTGGCATTTTAACCAATGTGTCAAACGGGAACCACTTTCCCATATCTGGAAATTTCACGATTTCAGAGAGCTCATCGGAGTTGATACACAACGTGTATTTCTGGCGCTCGTTAAATGCAGGACAATTGAGACCGGCGTAAAGCAGATCGCGAAGTAGTCTCTGGTCAAGACCAACAGTATTGGACCTTCTGACACGGGAAACCAAAGATTGAATGTGGCGATTGACCAATTCAAACAAAAGGTTCCGATCATGAACCGTGTAGATCTTCGTTGCGAACCAGGGGAACTAGCAGCACAGGCGATAAAAGCAGTCAGCGGTCTTATCCCCATACGCCTAGCTGTAGAAAGCATTAGAAATGTCTTACCTTGTACATCGTGCTGACAGTGGACTCGTAGGTACGCTGCGGGCACTTGGCACAGAAAGGGGACTATGAACCAAGGAAGTTATTACGTCTGCAAATCCAAATCAGAGCTGAGCAGTGAGGGCTACTTACACGATGAGGTATTTCTGCATGACGAATAGCGCCGACGATCTCCTCGCTGGTGAACAAACCCGCATATCCAGTGGAATAGGGGTCTATGTTCGGGAAGACAATAGGCACACCATCCTGCCAGGAGACACACTTGGCACGTGGAAACAGGTCTTTCAAAAGAGCGTCCTGGTTGCTGACTTCGACATCCACATGGCGATTTCCCAGACGAGGGGCACGTCCAGTTTCATAGATCCGATTAATGCTATCCACAGTCTCTTTGGCATTGGCAGGGGTTTCCATCTCGACATAGCAGTCCATTGTTTTAGCCGTAGAGCGCTCCATTATTATGTGGACAGGGCAGCCCTTATCAGGTGTGATCAGGCGAGCCTGTCGACCAAGAAACTGCACAATTTCCTGCTTGGTTATCGAGTATGGGATCTGCAATTCGCGTCAGTTAAATATGTTCAGTCAACAGGACTGAAGTCTTAGGGAACATATCTCTTACATTTGCAATTTTGATCACACCCCACTTGGGAGGACATTGGAGATGAACAAGACTACCTATTGGCATCTCGCTAGGCAATGCAACTTTGTCGATGCTTTTGGTAACGCCAGGGGCTCGGGGACCATCAAGTTGGTTCTGAGATTCGATCTTGAGCAACTGATCAAACTGCGAGTCAGCAGCACCACGTGTCAGAGGCGAAAGAATCTCTGGCTGCTTGAAATGAGCTGTAAATTGAGGAATTGGTGCAGGAAGGGGAGTATGAGCAAAACGAGCTCGGCGAGTAGGGTCAATCAGAGCAGGGCTCAGGCTTTGCATGGGATAAAAGTGAGGATTGCCAAATCTGGCATCAGGAGGTAACATCTGGGGTGGGTTTGGGCTTTCTGGCCCTGAATACTGATTCTGCTGCTGCTGGTAAAGGAATCCTGGCATGACAGGGGGATTGAAGGGAATCATTGGGAATCCTTGAGGAGGCGGCTGGGGGCTGTAAGGGTATGTCATCTCGTATCCTGGAAAACGAGCGTTTCCACGCCTGTAATCCATGGTGATTTCTTGGTATGGGACAGGGAAATAGGGGCTGGAGGTTGTGAAGAGGAAGAGAGGGGAGTTGGGCGAGAAGAGGGGGGAGAGATGTCTGGAGTCTGAAGTCTGGGGGAAGACGGTGAGGTCTTTCAAGCATCTGGCCTCTCTCTAGCCCTTGAGCGTTTCTGGAACCCCATTGTGAGACGGACCCCCACCAGCCTCGAATTCACTGTTTTTCTATTGTCGGTTGCACGTTGAATGGAAACTCGGGTCTTATGGGAAACGTTGGGGGGGCTGGCGAGAAAGTCTCGGGGGAAGAGGAAAAGAATATGTTGCTTTTGTAGAAAAAGGGTATCAATAAGATAATTCAGGTTCAGTGGTAAGTATAGAATGAAGCCATTCTCAAGGCTCGAATTATACAGGAAAAAAAGTAAAGTTGTTGATATGAATACAAAAAGGAACTGAAAAGGCACAGCGCCGATAAGGTATAGTGGGTATGGGGTAATCAGCACAATAAAATGTGTTAGTCGATGGGTCAACACAAATCACAATAAGTGGATCATAAAAGACAATATCAAGCGCCTGGTTTTGTTCTCCTTTTTATCTTTTTTTACTGTTCTTATAACTTATTATCACAAGCCTGGAACTATTATATTGATGTAAACATACCTTCTCATGGCCAGCCCATAATTTACCTCTGATGGGACCATTCAAGTCTAATATCAACCCTCCGGGACCTTCTAGCCGGTGGAGGATAAAAATTTCGGCGGTTATTCTTGCTGCGGAGTCCTTTCCTGAGATATTGTATACATGCGTCAGAATAACAGAACCTGTAAACCATAAGCCTTTTAAAAAAAAGAAGTTCCTGTAATCTTGCCAAATCCGTCATTATTGTGGCCGAGGTTCAATATGGAGTCGAGTCAATCCAATTGCTTTCAAAGTTGACCGTGGGATATAAGTTCAATACTATTATCTGGCGGACATTCTTAAGCTGATCATCCACGCGGGTGTATCTTTAGTTTATGAAATACCGTGGACTTTCAAGCACGTTCAAAGGATATTGGATTTGAATGATGATTTTGAAGACCTAAGGGGGAAATACAGTATCGAGTTGCTAACTGTAAGGTTCCCATCACCAGCCTAGATCGCCTGTACAGAAGAAAAATCAAGGTGATGTGCTATTCGTACGCCGGAATAAAAGCGAACATTGTGCCGCTTAGTCAAACTGTATCACAATGTTAGTTTAGTAGCCAAGGCACACATGAATAGTAACGTACAGGTGTCAAGAAGGACTCAGCAACAAATCGAGCACGAGCGTTCAACTGCCAACCATTAGTATATTGCTGCTCGAGTATTTTGAAAACCAAGAAAGAGAGATGGGAAAGCATACGAAAAGCTTCATCTCTGAGATTTCCTTGTCCACCTCCTCCATGAATTGGATGATGAAGTCAACCAGCTTGTGTTTCAACATGGCTTCTGTGTGGAAGTTGGTGATCAGGAAAGAGATATCATATCCCTATTCTGCAGTTAGCATCCATTAATTATCGAGACACTCTAGGGGCGATTCCACAGACCCTCACTGGCTTTCTGCGCAAGATGAAGAAAGACTCCGCGCGCTGCGTCAGGAATCTGGTGAACTTGTGGACCAAGATATGCTCAATCTCATCTGCCTGCTTTATCCTTATGCTGACACGAACACTGTTCACACTTGGTTCAATGTAGACCTTCTCGTTCTCGTTACGCGAAATCGTAAGTGGGTTTAGAAGGAGTTCTGGGGAGCTGGCAGCCTCAATCTCCGGTACATTGTGTCTTTCCGAGGTTTGGGAGGCGAAGTTCGAAATCGCAAGAGCTGCAGTCAACGAAGATCGGACGCATTGAAGGTAAGGGCGCAATGATTGAGACTAATAGACATTAGCATGAATAGTAGTTCGTTTAAGGTAGCTCAACTTACCATGATGGGAATGTACTGTTTACTGCCAACTCCGACGTTGCTGGTACCGTTATCTCCGCTGCGAAACACGTCAACAAGACTTTATCCAAATCCTACTCAGCTGAGCTGGAAATATGCTCTTTTAAGGAATTCGATATGATGAATTACCTTCAAGTAAATTGTTTAGAATGAACCAAAAAAGACAGATCGTCAAGTGATGCTCAAGGCAGCTTCAGGAGCCAAACGACGTCCCGCTGGGTTGGGGGGGGGCGGTGATGTCGAACAAGTTTGTATTGTTTGCACCAATTGCCCCACGCTTCTCCAATGCTATGACTGATGATCGCTCTTGTTTATCCAACACTCCAGGGAACCTCGGGGATAACTTCTATCTTTTCTGAACCAAGCTCAAAACACGAGGCAATCATGGCTTCGATACCAGGTATCATTCATCATCCTTTTTACTGCCTTATCGCCAGTTTTCCAAGCTGTTACTGACCCTACAACCCAAGTCATTGTGAAACATCAGGGCAAGCGTCATGAGGTCGAGCTCGATACTTCGTCGAACGGCGAAACTTTCAAGTACCAACTTTATTCCCTTACCGGTGTCGAACCTGAGCGACAGAAGATTCTGGTCAAAGGAGGCCAACTAAAAGATGAAACCCCATTGTCTTCCCTCAACGCCAAGCCCGGTCAGACATTCATGATGATGGGTACGCCCTCTGGAGGCCAGGGTGCTGCGGATCTGGGTCGACCCAAAGAAGCAGTAAAATTCCTAGAGGATATGACTGAATCCGAGGCTGCAAGGGCACAAGGAGCTACACCTGCTGGTTTACAGAACCTCGGGAATACTTGCTACCTCAACTCTACGCTGCAAACATTGAGGGGTGTCCCTGAGCTCCAGAAAGCTCTTCAGCAATACCGTCCTTCGGCGGATTCTGCTGGAGGCTCCCGACTTGGAGACCTCAGTAGTTTCGGCTTAGGTGGTTTGGGTGCTTCCATGGATCTTACTGGATCTTTGCGAGACTTGTTCAAGCAGATGTCTGAGACGCAGGAAGGGTTTCCACCCCTGATGTTCCTCAATGCCCTCCGAAGCGTTTTCCCTCAGTTCGCTCAGAGAGATAGAAACGGCCATGGCTACGCTCAACAGGATGCTGAGGAAGCTTTCTCGCAGATTGTCACTCAGCTGAGACATAAGTTGATGATCAAGGAGGGTGAAGGAGATTCTACTACTGAGGTGTCTTTTGTGGACAAGTACCTCGGCGGTAGATTTGAATCCGTGACTGAATGTGACGATGCAGCAGCGAAGGCGGTTGGAGAGCAACCAACGGAAAGCTCTGATGTCTTCTACAAGCTCGATTGTCATATTGGTAAAGAAACAAACCATCTACACGATGGCATAATGGCAGGCCTTGAAGAGCAGATTGAAAAGCGCTCTCCTATACTGGACCGTGACGCTTTGTACACGAAGAAATCGCGTATCGCCCGGTTGCCCAAGTACTTGACTGTTCATTTTGTTCGATTTTTCTGGAAACGGGAGACCCAGAAGAAGGCTAAAATCATGCGTAAAGTGACGTTTCCTGCTGAGCTGGATGTGGTCGATTTCTGTACCGAGGAGCTCAAAAAACAATTGGTCCCTATCAGGGACAAGGTTCGAGAGATCCGCAAAGAGGAACTCGATGTGGAGCGAGCTCGAAAGCGTCAAAAACTTGACCATCAGCGCGAGGAAGAAAAGCAGGAGGCCGAGTCTGGATCAATGGAGCCAATGCAAAAGAAGAAGGCTGCCGAAGAGAACAAGGAAACTGGAAAAGCACCTGAAAAGGATAAAGACACAGAAATGACGGATGCCTTTAAAACGGACGCTGATTACGAGGCGGAAAGAAACGCTTCTATTAGCGCCGCGAAAAAGGAGCTGTCCGAGCTTCTTAATCAGAACCCTGGTTCGGACGCAGGAACGAATAAGTCTGGTCTATTCGAGCTGCGAGGTGTTATTACACACCAAGGTGCTAGCGCCGACAGTGGTCACTACACGGCTTACGTGAAGAAGCAAAGCAATGGCAACAAGGAGCAGGAAGATGGAAAGTGGTGGTGGTTCAACGACGACAAGGTGTCTGAAGTGGAAGCAGAAAAGATCGAGACTCTTGCTGGCGGTGGTGAGTTTGAAACCTCGACAAATATACAGAAGTTCCTCTGCTAACAATTTTTCAACTTGTCAGGCGAGTCTCACTCCGCGCTCATTCTGCTCTACCGTGCCGTTGACTTGCCCACTGCCGACTAATCGATTCATTTGTTGACAACTAAATGCAAAATGAGCTATGAGGTCTAAAATTTGCCTCAGGCGTTTACGTACTTCAACCAACGTTTACTAGATTATGAGTGCTTAGGAGTTGACTAGAAAACGACCACTGTGATCGATTCACATTCGATGCCATCTTCATGGTACCCAGTCTCTCAAGGATATTACGTAGTATCCATAATCATACGTAAAATAACTTGTATACTATAACCTCTAAATCTAAATAAAGACAAGTCCACATATATGATCACGTGATTTAAATTAGCCTCGGCATCATTGTACCGGCTTCGCAGGCATCGCATTCAACTCTTTCAACGCAGTAACTGTGATGTGATCACCATGTTTGGTCCTCGCAGAGTCTTCCAATCCCAAATACGCCACCTTGCGAATCACTCCAAGACCCCGTCTCGATTTAGGTATAATCCAACACGGAATGCCAGTACTGCCGCCCAGGCCCCTACGGCCCAATCGTCAAGATGGCCGCGACGCCTGATTTATGCGGGGATATTCGGTAGCTTAGGTATCTCGGCTGGTAAATGGATGGACAGGAAAATTGGCGAGCCGGCCATTCCAGGAACAGAGGCAGATGCGATGGAATTGGAAGAGATCAATCGGGTGTATAATTTCGGCTTGCCCATCGTGCAGGAGCTGCGAAATAATCCAGACTATGTGGAGTCGGATGTATATCAAAACTATACGGATGAGGAGAAGGCACATAGGTTGACATCTGGCCCGCTTGCTGGGAGTCGAGCGTTGGCATTGCAGGTTGGTTTCTTTATCCCTTCCTGGCTCGTTTCCAAAATGCTACAATTTGCGGCATGCCCTGAGGAGATTGCTGGAGGCTGAAAAACTGATAAGGACTGATATCTTTTTTATTCTATTCAAATACTTATCGATTTCTCGTACAGAAAGTTTTTTGGAATGAAAAGGAGAAGAAGGCTATCAACGTGGTCTTCCTTGGGCCAGGTACCGAGGGGTGGCCGACAATTGTTCACGGAGGTGCTCTGGGCACTGTGATCGATGAGAACCTAGGCCGTGTTGCTATACGCTGTTTCCCTGAGCGTACCGGTGTCACTGCAAATCTCCAACTCAACTATCGCGCCCCGGTCTACTCGGATCAGTTCTACGTCTTCTACTCAACCATCGATCAGGAAAAGAGCACTGATCGAAAGGCATATGTGTCGGGCGAAGTGCGCGATGTCATTGGACGGGTCTGTGTCGAAGCCAGCGGGCTCTTCGTCGTACCCAAGAAACTGAAGCTCCAAAGGGTTGGAGATAAATATTGAGCCGCATTTGGTTTTCATTTGAAAACAATCTGGATTGTTGCCATGGTTCTTCTCAGTACAGCCATCGAACCCCGGATCAAGGCCGGTATTTACTGACTCCCATCAGTTTTGGAAATTTCAGGATGAAGAAATAATACACTTGGATATAATCGCATGATCATGCATATAATACATAATGTTTATACCGATCTGATCTGCAGATACTTTTGCATGGCCATACTGGCGTTGTTTATCTTACCTCTATCAATCACAATCCTTGACACCAGTGCATGAAGACACAGCATTTACTGGACCGCAGCCTTCTTTTATTACATATTTTGAAGCAATAGGGGTTTTCTAGTCGTACCTCGTCAATTTGTAGTCTGGGCTCATTTCCAACATCTAATCTGTAATATATATACTATGCACCACTTGAGGTTCCATGACTGATTTCCACATACTAAACTGAGTAGAAATTGAAGACCATTGAATTATCCCAGTATCAAACAAGGGCTCCTTTATCCGCGACATAAAAGTGCGATCTAGCCTGGTAAATCACCAGCTGGTGGCGTAATGATATCAACATCCGTTGCTGCTTCTCCACGCTCCCCCGCATTTCCCCCGGCATCCATCACCTTATCGGCAATATCCAGAGTTCTGACTTTTAAAAACCAAGGGAAATTGCCTCGGTTGTGTCTGTAAATGGCATCAAAGCCGGCTCGCAGACCCAGATCGTCCTTTTTTGATGATCAGTTGGGGGGCTAGGGCCGCTGATGACAGTCACATCTCGCCCAAAACGGACAAACAAGCCTTGTCTGGTTACAAATACACCCGCAATTTGCACACTTGTCCCACATCCCAGACCCAGCACATATACTCACTGGTGGGTCAAGATGAAGCTTGTGTGTGTGACGCAGCGCTTCCAGGCATGCCATCGGAATTCCCCGATTTTCTTTGTCTGCAGCATTCTTTATTGCCGGGCTGGCTCCCAGTCGCTTTCCTCTCTTCAACATGGCACTCGGGGTCGTTATGGAGCAGCCAGATCATTCGAGCGAGTCTCAGGTGGAAGAGAAGGCCTCAGTGCCAGCGGTCAAAGATGATAGGCTCGATACGTCTCACAGTCATCGGGAGGAACTGAGATCCCCAGACGAGGAAGACCCTGGCAATGCAACTCCGGTAATGGCATACAGAAAAAGCTTCGTCACTGTCTTGTGGGAGGAACTAATGACTGGGATTCCTTGCTAACTGTTGCTGCCAGATGACATTTCGTCGTTTCATGGGTTTCGTGGCCATGGCTTTCTTGTGGACAGGCAGTCAGATTCCAGTCTATTTATTTGGTGAGACTCCCAATTGCATCCCTAGACTTAATGGATAGCTACTAACGATACTTCTTTCCTTGTAGGAGGCATCCCACCCTATATATATCGTTCGATTGGAGGCCCCGATAGATGGATCTGGCTTGTGCGTTAAATGTGTTCCCAAAGACACTTACAACTCAAGTGGGCTCACAGTTTTTTCAATATCGCACAGGTTCTTTCAAATTTGCTGGCTCTCGCTGGCGTGTGTCCCTTCGTTGGCTCACTTTCTGATCTGATCGGTCGTCGCTATGTCGCCATCATTGGGGCTTCTCTCGTCTGCCTTGGCATGATCGTCTGCAGCACGGCAAATACGATGAATACCTTTATTGGTATGACCCAATACCCTCTATAGAATTTTGGCTCTAATGGTAGATCAGGTGGAATGGCAATTGCAGGTGCAGGCGCTGGAGTCAATGAACTAACAGCGCTCGCCGCAACCTCGGAGATGGCACCAACCCGCAAACGAGGGAAATACGTAGCCGTATTGATATTCTCAATATTGCCGTTTTGTCCAGCCGTTCTCTGGGCCCAGCTTCTTGCATACCACCGCAGCTGGCGTTATGTCGGAGCCCTCTGCGGTGCCTGGAATGGATTTGGCCTGTTGATTACCCTCTTATTCTACTTCCCACCACCGCGAGTCAATTCATCTGGGTTGAGCAAAGCAGAAATCATCAAAAGGGTTGACTATATAGGGGGTTTCTTGAGTATTTCCGGTATGATTGTCTTCATGGCCGGTATGCAATGGGGTGGGTATCAGGTACGTCCAGCTTCAAATCTATTTTGCGCATCTATATACCAATCTTTAACTATACAGTATACTTGGACATCAGCTCATGTCCTTGTTCCACTCATCCTCGGCTTTGTCATTCTCGTTGTCTTCGGGTTCTGGGAAGTCTATGGCGCCAAATATCCCATCTTCCCTACCCGTCTGAAACAAGAACCACGTACCCTGGGCCTCACATTGGTCATCACATTCATTTCCGGTGCCAACTTTTTCTCTGTAATCATGTTCTGGCCCACAGAGTCCTTCAACGTATACGGCCACGATCCTGTTGCAGTCGGTGTCCGAAGCCTACCTATTGGCTTTGGAATTTTGGGTGGTGCTTGCATCATCCTATGGTTGCTGAGTATTTTGCGAGGCCATAATAAGGAGCTATTGATTCTTAGCAGCCTTCTCATGACAGCAGGTATGCAAATTATATTCAACATAAACCGCACAAGACTACTTTGCTAATGGCATAAAACACAGGCTGCGGAGCTCTATCAGTTGGACGTATTGATAATCTTTACCAACTTTGGGGATTACTCACCTTGGCTGGACTGGGTATAGGAGGAATCGTGGTTCCAGCTTCTATCATCACCACTATCATATGCCCAGACGTAAGTCTCGACACACGAGAAACAAAACCCAAGCCCCAGTAATAATTGCTAACCAATCTCCATGAACAGGACCTAATCGCCACAGTTTCCGCCCTAACCCTCTCAATCCGTGTTATCGGTGGTAGCATCGGTTACACGATCTACTACAACATTTTCATCTCCAAATTCATCCCCAATGCCACCCACTACATTGGCGGAGTTATGATGACAAACCTCAATATAACCAACACTGCCTATATTGCCGAAGCAGTCGAGCTCACTGGTGCCTCCCTATTAGAGGAGCTACGCCAGATCCCCGGCATTCGGGGGAATGAGGCTGCATATGATGCTGTCGTGCTGGCTGGGAGGATTGCCTACGCTGAGAGCTACAAGTGGGTTTATTATGCTAGCATTGGATTTGGAGGTGTTTCGATCCTCGCGGCTTGTTTCTTGGGTAGTATCAAGCATTATATGAATGATCATGTTGCGGTAGTTATGTGAAAAGGCGAAGGCTATGTGAAGCCAAAATTTTTGATGTACATAGGCATGGTAGGACGGGTTGGATTTCTTTTCATTATCATTTAGCCACCTGAGTGGAGTATGGTCATGATGTGGATTAATAGGATATAATCTATGGTATCAATTCGTGCTGTGCTGAAAGAAAAACAAGTAGGAAATCATTAGGAAAATACGCCAAGGGCTAACAAAAAATGCCCCGACCACATTAGATCAAAACTCCGGGGGTATACAATAGAATGTTATGTAGCAATGCTCCATAAAAGCCCTGACGAGACATGCGTATGCATTATCTGTTCTCCACTTGGCTCATCGAAGTCTTCTTGGGGACAAAAGTACTGGTCGCTGGTTTTGCTTTGCGCTTGTCTTCCTTTGGGCGTAAGCCTCGGCTCAAGCCACCACCCAGGCCTCGAGCGAGAGATGCGAATGGAGACGCTTGCCAAAGGTCTAAGTCGTCTTCATGTTGTCTCACTTTGGGAGAAAGGTCGCCGTGTCCTGGTGTTGGGTTAGATCGCCTGTTTCGGGATCTGGTCTGGGAATGATTACCAGAATCGCTCTCGTATCCCGGGGATTCTGGACCCCAGGGTATCCGAATGTCTATGTTACTATGTTCTGAGCAGTTACAGCCGCATCCGCTAGGGCAATATTCAAACTCTTGTTCATCGTCGTGGATGCCGGTTGTATCAGTCTTTTCATCGCACTGTGGGGTTGAAGTCCTCGAGAACCAATGTCGGTGACATTCAAAGCAACTCACGTGGCCGCAGCTAAGACAAGGAATAAGCATGCCTTCTGTCACCTCGCCACAAATAATGCAGGGGAGTTTGACTGGCAGTGGTTGCTTAGGTTTGCAGTTGGGACATGTGACTGGCGTAGAGTTCTCTTTTATGTGATCTGCAGTTGTGTCTGCCGCAATTGGTGCCAAGAATATTGAAAATTCAAGAGACTGGCCGCACCTAGTGCAGTGCCTTTGGATCTCAAGACCCTGGCTTTCTGGATCATCATTCCCTGGTTGGGAGCTGCGACGTCCAAGCGCTGGGAAGGTGAAGGACGTTCGTGCACTTTTGCGGTTCCAGTGACCAATGTGCATATCATCAAAGCTCTCGACAACTCCACCGATTTTGAGAACTTCACTCTGTTGCACTGGCAATCCCCAAATGGATAACAATCCAGCGTATGCTGCCCGATACGACCTATACAGCCAGTCTTTCTTTGGGTCGAGGATTGAAGTTTGGGAATGACGATCGCCGTCAAAAGCACCTTGGTTCTTCAATGTTACTTTGAGTTTCCTAGGCGTCTTTGAAGTTTGATGCAGTCTATCACTCTCGGTGTCTGAATGAGCTTGCGAAGTAAATGCAGTCGAGGTGGTGAGATAGTCGGGGACTGCTGATACGGGCTTTGACGTAAAATTACTCGCTGCCCATGCCGCTGGACCTGAGATCGTGTTTGGACTTCCACCCGGACTTGGCTTTCTCCTTTCTAGGGCGCTCGCCGGAGGCGAGGCTGATGACGGGCCAAAGGTAAATGAGCGCGTAAGGGAGGATGCCAGAACAGAGCCAATCCCAGACCCGCTGCGTGGCTGTGACTGTTGGTCTGGAGAGGCAGCGATTGAAACATTGTGACTCAAGGCCTTCCTATCGGCAGCCAAGGCATTGGTACGTGGGGGTGTTGTGCCCGTTGAATATGGAGGCGTTGAATCCGCTCGCCAGATCTCGCCAGAAGATCGTCCAGAGCTGTGGGTTATGGGCGTATTCTGGCTATCTTTGGGTGTCGATGCAAGAGGTGTGACTACTTGCGACCTATTTTGCGTAGATGTATTCCCAGAATGTAAGTCCAATGGAAAAGACTGCTGTTGTTCTCTCAGCCTTGATGTTGATCTGTTTCGGCTGTGTCCTCTATGCGGAGTGCCTACTTGGGAAGTAGATTCATGAAGAACACAAGAGAGCATTGCAAGCATCTGTATGTCGCCAATCTGTTCAAAATGGTCAAAGAGAGCAGGGACAAGCCAATACCCACCAAATGGATGGTCTCCCCATTGAATAGCGCTGCTTGCGATCCCTTTATGGCGCTGTTCGTGATTCCCAACATCATAACTTAAATCCACAGCACTATCCTTTCGTTGCATCTGCCTAAGTCCACGCTGATCAAGAATGCCTGGATCCAGCAAAGATATAGGGGCATTTTGATTGTGCAGCATCAGTTTAACAAGTCCCCAAATTCGAGCTGATTCATAGTATCCAGCGTCAAGGGCCACAGAAGCGTTATGGGCGCATACATCTGTGCCTTTTCCACAAATCCGATATTTGTTTGCTAATTCACGCTTGGCTGGGAGAAGATCGCTGAGATCGTGTATAGATACCACATTTTGCGGAGCCTCAGACTTAACTGTTCCTGCGCCAGCAGTGGATCTTTGAGAATTGTCTGTAGACCGTGGTCGATGGAATCCAAGACTCCCAGCGCTACGCCACGTTTGTGGCGTCGGGAAACGGTTTTGTAGTCCTGATAGCATGTCAGACGACGAACCGGAGGAACTCGAAGTTTCGACATCCGAATCATCGGAATATTCAGAAGCGCCATCATCTGTGCTTGCGATCGTGCCTGTAATTCGTGGCCCCGGTGAAGTTGTCTGCAGACGACCAAACCCTTCGAATACTTTATCTGCCCTTGACATTCTTGTCATCTCCTTGAATCCTAAGTTCTCCAGGAAAGATGCTGATTTGTCTTTCTTGGGTGGGAAGAAGCATACTAGACGGCCATCTCTTGCCCATAGTGCACCGCAAGCCTTCGCCACAGGGACCATCACATTCGCATTTACCGGTCGAAGCAACTCAGAACTCATTCCAAGGTCTTGGCTCTGGGACAGCCCTACTTCATCCTCATCACTTGACTCTTCCCCATTGACTGGGGATTTTATTGTCTCAGCAGTTTCACCAAGGATCCACGCTATACTTTCCTCCAGGCTACTTTCCCCAAGAAGATAACGGACAGCACCCTCAAGGCAGCCTCGTTTGCGAGAAAGGTACGTTTCAGCAATGGTTCGCAGCTCTGCAATGAGTTTTGTGGCGAGTTGATCGGTGACAGAAGCTGTTTTTTGAACATTGAATGATGGCACCGAATCACGAGGGTAATCGTTCGGAAATTTGATATCGACTTTTAAGAAAAGAGAATCGCCGTCCGAGCCCCAGGGACCATGCAAAGATATCGTTGCTTTCCGTTGCCTAACGTCGACCGACTCAAAAGCAACCTTGGTAAACTTCTCTCCGACATGCGATATTTCATCACCGAGGGTTTCAATGTCCCATCCCGATATTTTGACACCACGCATCCAAGAAATAGGGTTCGTGTCAGCCCTAGCATTTGTCCTGCCCTGCATGCCAACCCTTGAATCAACGTTGCCACTTTGCGTCCAGGCACGAGCGTACGGTAAAGATATGCTGTTTATCCCAATGCCAGCAGATTGAGAAGCAGGACCTTGCAGGCCAGGCGATAGAGAAGATTTGGTGGAATCATCATCCTGCTCACTACTCGGATCCCGAAAAGTCTTGTAAACAGCACCTGTCCGAGTCACTTTCAAGTTTGCAATAAATGATTTGCCTTTCTCGTAACCAACACGTTGTAAGATATCGGGCTCAACTCTGTGCAGGCGAAGCTCTCTATCTGTTCCCCAGGACACGAGCTGAAATTCTCGATGGTCAATTCCATCCTTTACCCCACCGCGTGGTCTCCAGAGAAATTCTCTAACTTGGCCTTTATGTCCAGGGAAACTATGCACCAGAGGAAGGCTCTCATCACCCTGTGGGCCCGCTTTGGCATAGGCGGCATCTCCCACCCTTCGACTGTATAGATGGAGATCGCTATTGCCTCTCTGAGGCATTGCTAGTACACCCCACCCACAGGGAGTGTTTCTGGCGCGCCATACTGGGAATGGAGTTTTTATCATCTTCTCGGGTACATCGCCTTCAACGGTGTAATCCCAAAACTTGATTGTTTTATCCAGTGAGCAGGTGACGAGAGCACCCGGACGGACTCTATTCCAGTCAACACCATAAATTTTGGTGTCATGAGCCTCAATAGATCTGATCGGATACGCGCCCATTCTGTCATCCCAAATTCGAAGAAACCTATCATGGGAACTTGCGACGACATGGGGATCTTGTCGATTCCACTTAACTTGAGTAGCACCAGCAAACCAGTCGGAAAATGAAATGGCGGGCCGGGAAGGAGCTCGTAGATCCCAGCAATGAACAAAACTGTCAACTGCGCAAGTTGCTAGAACGTCCGGGTTGTGGGCATGGAAGTTAATATCCGTTATGGCCCTGGTGTGCGCATGCAATACATGTTCAATCGGGTTTTGGTAGCTCTGCATTGCCAAATTCCATACCAATGCTTTCTGGTTTGACGTACTCACAACCCAGTAGTCGCGAGCGGCGAACGGCGACCATTGAACATCTGCTACTTCCCATGGCGTGTGGTGTGGAAGATATCGAGGCGGGGAGTATGGTGAATCCAGATCGATAACATGAAGACCCTCCTTCGAAGCTAGAACAACATCTCTTCCGCAGGGTGATATTGACATCGAACCAACTGGTTGCTCCACGTGGAATGAGCTGTCTTCCCCGAAAGTCGGGCTTTCGAAGGCCGAAGCAAGAGGCCTAGGCTCCGGTACGTTCGTCATATTTTCGAATGATGCCCAATTCTGACACGGTTTCTCGCGCACTAGCTTCCGTCGAGGGCAACCGAGTCTCAAGAGTTCATGCACCGTGTTGGAGAGGAATTATATGCAGTTCGGTACGGTGCTCCCATTTCGGTGAATTCGCATATTCTCGATATCGACTATGTTGGATGGAGGAATCCGGAGTAGCTGTTCGCACGCATTGCGCGTGGGTGTAATAAATCGACCAAATGATGTGCAGAAGGGTATCTCATGAACGTAAGGTAGACGTCTCTCGAAAGGCTGTCGCAATCAATTGGGTGTCAGCACAAACATAGCACTTATCCTGAGCTTTACCTACCTTTCAAGAACAACCAAAGAAATGCAAATTCAGCTGAAGGAACACCGTCTGTGCAGTTATGGAGTATGAATATCTCCGCAGCTCAGCTGTGGAGATTCAATCGGATATTATTAGACGGGGAAGCGAGCTGCACAGAATGTCGTTTTGGTGTGCCGTAGACACTACGGGAGATGGCTAAAGCCTTCAGCGCAGTGCCCCTCTGTCCGTTACGTCGTTGTAATCTCGTCCCGCAGTGCCTGTCTGATTATTGATCCAGCACACGACCTGGTTTCAAATCACGCTCAACTCCTTGCTGGTCCTCTTTTCCCTTGTTGAACAGCATCACAAGATACTTCTTGTATCCATGCGCAGGGAAGCTTGAGTTACAGAACCAGAGGATCTAAATTGATTCCAGATCACAGATACGCAGGGCACGATAAGCGTTTTCTTGATCATTCAAAATGGCGTTGCCGAAGAGAATAGTGAAGGAGACTGAACGCCTAATGGCGGAACCGTAAGCTATCTATGACAGTTTCAATAAAACCTCATGGATCACTGATTCCAAAATATCCTAGAGTTCCTGGCATTAATGCTGTCCCTCATGAGGAAAACTTGCGGTATTTCGATGTCTCGATTCATGGACCAGCACAATCACCATATGAAGGTACACTATTTGGCAACAAGCGGAGTATCTTGAATTGCCAGTGCTAATCCATGGACCAGGTGGAATCTTTCGCCTCGAATTATTCTTGCCCGAAGACTACCCGATGACTCCTCCGAAGATTCGGTTCTTGACTAAGATCTATCACCCCAACATTGACCGTCTTGGGCGAATCTGCTTGGATGTCCTGAAGAGTAAGAACAATCTAGAAAAATCAGGCTTTATATGGGCCCAGTCGACTAATAATTGTTCCCAGACAACTGGTCTCCAGCCCTACAAATCCGCACGATCTTGCTGTCGATTCAGGCATTGCTGGGTGCGCCAAACCCTGACGATCCTCTTGCAAACGATGTTGCTCAGCGCTGGAAGGAGGATGAGCCAGCAGCGATACAGACGGCGAAGGAGTGGACCAGAACACATGCAATGACTTAGATTATGAAAGCTCAATCAAAATTGGTATTGTGAGCAACAACAATATTATGTGACCATGAAGAGAAAAAACTACTACGAGGATAAGTCTTGGGCATTTATATTTTGACGAATCTCATATCGTCCTTCTCTTTTTACTGTTTTCAATTTCTTGGGTCTGAGCGAAAGCCCATATCTCAATATCTTATCCACAATCCACGTTTTCTCCTCTGGTTCGTTTCCCCTATTTGTGCACACCATGGAGCTTTGGCTCGATTTCAAAGGGCGTTGTGTTGACTCAATGCTTCAGCGTGTCTTCCAAATCCCATTTGCGTCCTAAAACTCCCCATGATAGACTGGTCTGCATGCCATTCTGCTTTGTTTTGCTTTAGGCGCTGAGGGAACTAGTTCACGGTCTTACTTTTAGCATTGCAACTTTTGTATGATATCAATGTTTATATATTATAACCTTCGTCACACTCCTGTCCTTTAAAATGCTTGTGAAAATCCAGTGGAATTGGATTCCTGCGAGAGTAAAGCATTCTATTTACTACTGACTACCTTGGCAACCATGATACTCTTGATCGATGGTGATACTAGTCAGAGTGGATCAGCCTCCAGTGAAGGATGAGGGGTTACCTAGGTAGCAGCAGCAGGCCGGGTCTTTCACTACTCTTTCACCCCGGCGCCACCTGAGACTAGAGGACAGTGAAAGACATCTCGATACAAACACCCCACCACCTCTTCACTGTTACGATCGACTGCAGCTCTTCTCTTTGAACCTCACATCTCCAAAGCATATCATGCATTCTGAATGCTGTATACACAGGATTCTTTAATGATGAAGCTTCATCCTTGATATATTCAGTTCTCAGCTCCTTTGTCTTGCAACCAAATCTCCACATCTCTCGACTTCGGGCCTCAAGCCTCACCTCAAAGCGGTTGGTGCCAACTTGAAGTCGCAGTCAACAGACTCCAAATATCAATCTCCAAAGCATTCATCGAGCACCACGAAGAGTGGTGACCCATACAGGCGAAATGCAAAAATCTCGTATCATTCGGAATTTCGATGGCCAGAACAGGTATAGGCACCGCGACTCAGGTTTCCAAGTGAAGCTAAAATGGTCTTCCAGTCTTAAGATTCCTCACGAGGATCAAGTAACAAAGTCAACAAGGTCACCCAGTTACCTTCCTGGACACGGTGATATATCCTCCACCGATGCATTGCCATCCAATTCGCGCCATGAACTGGACCTTGACAGTTTTTCCGAAGACATAACCAAGCAAATCGAGAACGCCTTTCATTTTGGGGATGAGGAACAAGTTACTCTCGCTTTGCCATATACTCCAAAGGGTCATGCGCAAGAACAAGCAGCAGATAAGCAAGATAATGATGTCGACAGAGGTTATCAAAAAGACAGTTCATTCGTCGCAAAGTTTAGAAGCTTCACGGGAGGCTCAGCGAAAACAGTGAGCGGCGCAGATAGACGCAGCTATCAAACCCAATCATCAACAACAAGTACTGGAGGCTCTCGCTCTTTTCGATCCGATTCAGTTGCGACCCAAGACACAAACTTGACAGGGACCAGTACGATAGGAACCACAAAGAGCGCCTTGAGCGTAACAACCACGAAGACAAATAACGTAAGACCGAAACCCCTGGTCCTTCCTGTGGTCAGTCCAAGTTATTCTAAATTTATCGGTTCTCCTCATGGTGCGTTATTTCCTCTTGAAGATTCTTGATGCAAAACTGTTTACAGCACTCACAGAAACTAATATTCGATAGATTACTGCTTCCTTGACTTGGACGTCATAAGGTCCGAAACGATAAGACCGAGCAACATCACCGGGCTTCTGCCGAGATCACACAATGCAAGATTGTCACACCCACCAAAGCAACCAAGCAGAGATAAAAACAAGTCCGGTATATTGAAGCGTCCTCGATCAATCAATTGCAGAATTAACCAACCATCTAGACAAATCCGGTCCAAACTTGGTAGTTGAGTTCGACAAGAGAGTAAGCAAACAAAGACTGCCAATATGTTTAGATCTGCTCGAGTCGGTAACAGTGAAGCCAGGTCAGACATATACGTCACATAACAGGTACTCAAGGAAATTTTTGGTCGACGAAAAACCCCAATTCAACACGAAGAATTCATCATGGAAGAAAATGGAATGATAAGAACCTAAGATGCACCAGCTGCTTGGGTGAATGCCCTATATGTGGCATAGCATGCTGTTTGTACGAGGCAACTCGACGAAAGAGCGCCAGAAAATGTTCCAAAGACGATAAAAAGGCAGAGGAGCACCGGCTCATGCAAATTATTCAGGACATAGGCTCTCGTGCTAAGGATCTTAACAGGTTCTCCAAGTGTACTGAGGACGGAGGCTGCGGTCGATACGTATGCCCGGACTGTTGCGGTGCTTGTCCATTATATGAATGTCGTGATATTCAATGCAAGGTACGTGTGGCCCGAATCAATATTCGGTTTTGAAAATGCTAATAAACCATATAGGACTGTAAAGCTAATCCATGGGCTCCATGCGATTGGCATGATAATTGAGGCCGTTGTACCATGACCGAGGCGATGAGAAATACCGGACTCTTTTTTTCAAATCGAGGCATTATACTGAAGTGAGAAACGAAAGAATTGATCTCGAGGAAATTCCATGCTTTTTCTTCTTGATGTATCAACTCCGAAGATACCCAGTTTGCATCGAGGGGCGCCATTTCGGGATAAGAATCATGATAATCATGATAGAATAAATCCTAGAAACAAATCGAGCATTTCTGAATCAATGCAACTTCTCATAAGAAACAAACAGACAGTAATTGTCGTTATCATTAATATCTACGTCGTTGCCATAGTAGACATGAGATGAGGTTGGATGCCGACAGCCAAGGGCAGGAGCGGTCACGTGGCGCACTTTAGCGAGGCTCCGCACCGCACCACAATTGTGTCAGGTTCACGAACAGCTCGCCGCAGAGACCGCTTCGACTCAACCACCCAACGCCAAACCGACAACATCGACCGGCTGCGCATCACCAGCATTCCAAGATGCGTACCTACGACGATTCTTTCAGCGGTCAGAAGATCTACCCTGGAAAGGTGTGTTTTGTCCCCTTTCTATAGGGCCGTCTGGGACACCCGCCACGACCCGGTCAACCGAAGCCTTGAGATTCGCGAAGCGAAAGGCCATTGACAATATATTTTTCTGGACATCCATTAACGTTGGCTTTTTTTGAAAATTACAGGGTAAGCTGTACGTCCGTGGCGACAGCAAGATCTTCCGCTTCCAGAATGGAAAGTCCGAGTCCCTCTTCCTCCAGCGCAAGAACCCTCGCCGGATCGCTTGGACTGTCCTCTACCGTCGCCAGCACAAGAAGGGTATCTCTGAAGTCAGTAACGCCCAATTTCCTTTGTGGTTTAAGAGTTGTGAATTGTTTATGGGAGGATTTATATCGAGAATCGCTCGAAGGGTTGGGATATGGAATCGACATACCGATTGAAGATGAAGATTAAGAGATTTGGGGAATTGCGAACTACGCAATATGGGATGAGAATATGCTGACGGGTGTTTTTCGACTTGAACAGGAAGTTGCCAAGAAGCGTACCCGCCGTGTTGTGAAGCACCAGCGTGCCGTCGTCGGTGCCTCCCTCGATGTGATCAAGGAGCGCCGCGCTATGCGCCCTGAGGCCCGTGCCGCCGCCCGCCAGCAGGCCATCAAGGAGGCCAAGGAGAAGAAGGCCGCTTCCGAGAGCAAGAAGAAGGCCGAGAAGGCCAAGAACGCCGGCAAGGGTACCGGCCAGCGCATCCAGAGCAAGCAGGGTGCTAAGGGCTCTGCTCCCAAGGCCGCCGCCAAGTCTCGTTAAGGACGTTTAAGTGGTCTGGCTTGGGCTGGGGAGTAGAAAGGAAATTGTGTTTGGAATTTGGGAGGTTTCCGGAGCTGGAATTTGTTTCCTCACAAAATATTACAACAAACCGGCGTATGAGCGATGGGTTCCTGCGGATGAAACATCCCGCTTGGTTCTCAGATAGGCTTAATCCTTTCGCGCCATGGTATTTATCACCAGGAAATGGAAAAAAAATGGATGTGATACGATGGCAATTTGTTATTTTATCCTTGACCATAGAGCTCCGGGCCTGTAGATTCCATATGGCGTTTATGGACTATGTCACTATGTCACTATGCCTTTAATGTCATTCGGTTTCTTTTGCATAGTCGATTATCTAGCCTGGGATGCGTAGTACCTAGACTGTAGAGCATGCAACCAGCACTTCTGTCTAGTGTCTAGGTACTGCAAGCCAGCCAAAGTAATCATGGTTATCCACGTGTATGTACGGGGTATATTGTAGTTAATAGATATCAAAGTATATTTCTCAAAAGAGTCAAATACCCTTTTTACCCCCTCCTATCACTATGTCATACTCCCAGGCTTCATTCCAACGCTTATCGCCTGCGATCTCCGCGCTGCAAGTCGGTAATTACAATACCCCGGGCTGTAAGTTACCGGCCCTAAGACGAAAGTAGAGTGATAGGGCTCAGACCTAAACTATTCCGTTTTGGGTCCCCGACTCGAGGCTCTGCTTCATCATCCAGATATCGGACAACGCTAATCAGGTTTATATTAAGCAGAAGGTATGGAGGAGCGTATTGTAGATTATTTAATTGTCAAGTACCTATTTAGCAAGATAGCACTTACTTCAAACCGTTAAATTTCACATTTTCAAGTCGAAGTGACCAAAATTACCCGCCTCAGGCATCAATAGAGGTCACGTTACGGACCCAGACATTTCGCCCTCTCGCTTACTGGGCGGTCTAGCGCGCTTTGCCCACAAGAGTCGATCGAATCCCTCCTCCCCCCTCAAGCCCCGAAGGTCAACCTCTTGTCAACTATCCATCTCGATCCGACAAATACACATCACCAGCAGCCATGGGTAAGGTTCACGGATCTCTCGCCCGTGCGGGTAAGGTCAAGTCTGCGACTCCTAAGGTGAGCTTTACCTTCATTTGCAATGAATTTCTATCCTATGTGCCCGGAAAAGCAGTCGCCACCAGATGACGAAGGGACGACCGTGAGCGAAGGAGATGGGAAGAAGGGATTTTTTATTCCGCTCTTTGCCAGGGGATATTTTCGATGCGGCCGATGAAAAATATGGGATTTTGGTGATGGAACAACAAAGGCTGATGGGTTATTCTCAACACAACAGGTCGAGAAGCAAGAGAAGGCCAAGAACCCCAAGGGCCGCGCCATGAAGCGTCTCAAGTACACTCGTCGTTTCGTTAACGTCACCATGACCGGTGGCAAGCGAAAGGTACGTTGAAATCCGGGATGAACAAGGAGGAAACGGGATGTTATCAAAGGGTGGATTAGGGAGTCACGCTACATGGTATTCGGCTTGAGTATCTTCGCGTCGAGCTCCCTAATTCGACCTGTTGATAAACGACCATCGGATAAGCCCCTTCAAGCACAGTCGCGCTGACACAGATCTCCGCAACAGATGAACCCCAACCCCGGTGCCGCCTAAGCTAGCCACGGCTTTTCCGATGGAGGGAAATAGGTGATGGAAAAGGGACTATCGACAAACAACAAAAAAATCATCATCTAATCGGGCGTTGTCGGTGGGGGATGGCCAGCCCAAGTATGCTGCTTCGCAGGTCCAACGAACGAATGGGGGTTTCCACAATGAAATGACTTGGTCTTGTTGAAGAATATTTTACGGGTTCATGAACTATATGGGCTTTACAGCATACAAAGAGGGAATACCATTGTATTGTGTGGGAAAATATCCAAATGTTGTTGTTTCTTTTCTTACATCTTCCCCTCTTACACCCAACAGCAAATGGGTTTATTGGGTTGGCTTTGCTTTAAACAGGCTTTCCTCTGCAATTTGTCCTTGGGAATGAAAGTCGAATTACGAAATCTTCCACCGTGCTTTTGCTGCAACCTCGACCTGTTTGCGATCCGTTTCTCTCCCGGTCAATAAATGTCACCTATATCCCTTCATGGGTTGGGTTTGGTTCTGGTTTATCTTTTTATTTCGGGTCTCTATCCGTTTCCCTGCGTTTTCCCCTTTCCAGTTGGGCACACTGGCTACGTAATTATGATTTCTTGATGCTTCATGTTCTGCGCGTTCCTCGACTCGTCTTGCTATCAGTTGTCACTATAATCCAGTGCATAGGGTTATACTATATGATCTTTTGTATCGGTTCAGGGTGTCCTTGAGACTGGATGAGTCGTTATAGAATGTAGATCATGGGCCGTAATTCACATGTTAATCCTAGGTACCTAAGTTGAGTAAGCAAGGACTGCTGTTGTTCCTGGCACTATGTACATCCACCAGTCATACTAGATGCATTATGAAACACTTACACAGGAATCCCTTAATACAACGGTGCTACCGTGTAGATGCCTAGATAGCTATCTGCCAGCGCAACAACGCAACACAACCTGGCAGCATACCTATCTGCTACACTCGGTAGGTATCAAACATACACCCCCTTCCGGACCTTGTCCGACTCTTTCAAGTCTATTCGGAGTGGCACATATCTCAATAAAAAGTCTATGGAAACCACTGCAGATGCCCGTCAATCTCAAAGTGTAAAAAGTGCAGTGGTCTTTATTCAATCATGTTTGTTCGATTTTCAATACTATCTATATTGCTCCCAGTAGAAGAAAGCCTCCGAACCCGAAATGTCTAAACGCCAGATTAAGCAGAATCATAAAAGAAGGCTTCTAGTAGTAGTGTGCCATCTCGAGACCAGCACGCTTGAATCCACACTTAACGTAGAAGCCCTCGTTTGCCTCCGAGCAGTCGAGAATGCTCTGCAAAAAGGAAAGAATAAAAAGTCAGCCGCCACTCTCACCAAGTATAGAAATATAGGGGAGGAAATCCTACCTTGTAGCATCCAACGTGAGCAGCAACGTAATCCAAAGCCTGGATGATTCTCAATCCCAGCTTCTTTCCCTGCTGTCCCTTCTCGACGGCAATGTCTTCAATGTGTCCCACCAGGCCGAGGGAGTGAATGAACTTGCGCTCCACGATCAAGCTGCCAGTGCCAACGACACGTCCTTCTCCGTCACAGACGACAAGAAGGTAGTACTCGTCGTTTCGGGAGGAGATCCAGTCGTAGCGCTTGTCCCACTGCTCCTCCGAGATCTCTCCGACGGTGGTCAACACGCGGAGAACGTCCAGGTAGCCCCGTTGGTAGTCAGAACGGCGCATGGGACGGATTGTGTAGTTTTCGGGGAGGGCAGCGCTGACTTCGGGGGAGATCAGGGAGAGAGGGAAGAGCGCATCCTCGGTGGAGGGAGTAGCGGTGGAGTTGCTGGCAACGGACTTGGTCACTGGGACCTCGGGGGTTGTGGTGACAGCAGCAGTGTTCGTCATTTTGTAGGATTATTATTGAATTGAGTCTATTTCGACTGGATTGGTGACAATGCTGGAATCAAAAGAAAAAATTCCTTGTCGCTGACAGCCCAAGGCGGAGGGATTGCGGGGCCAATTATTGTGTCTCGGATAAGAAAGAAGAAAGAATGGGCGACTCAGGGTCTAGTGAGCGATTGCAGTGAAAATAATGAGTGCAAGGACACTACAATTTCAGCGACAATGCGGAAAGGGGAGAACGAAGGGGTTGTTGACAACAAGTCGACGGTTGCCCAAGGAAAACGAGACGGAGGATAAACACCGAGCGAATGTTGTCCGGTCCATGGTCCGGCGCTGAGACAAGTAAATTTATGCCCCTCCATTCCACACTCTCACGACCCCTGGATAAAAATAAATATTATAGATCTCAAAAACTAGCACACTCAAAAACGTGCTCACGCTTAGCAGGTGCCAACTATAATTATGCAATGCATTCATGTCATATATGCATGTAGCACTTCCACGAAACTAGTCTATGGCGGAGTCTCTATTTTTATCTCGGACCTGACACTTAATAGGTGTATCCAAAAATAGGCCAAAAGAAAAAAAGGAAATAATACATTGGTATTTTCTTCAGTATACAAAAAGCATGCTAGGTGTTGCTTAAAAAAAGGGAATACGTTCGCGCTTTGCCCTCGTTTTCATCATCCAAAATCTTGATCATCCTCTATTTCTTCTCCTTGGGAGCCAGCATCAGCTCGGGACGGACGTACTTGTCGAAGTCCTCTTCGCTGAGAGCCTTGAGCTCCATAGCACTCTGCTTGAGAGTAAGGTTCTTCTTGTGGGCGTTCTTGGCAACCTTGGAGGCCATGTCGTAGCCAATGACGGGGTTCAGGCAGGTGACAAGCATCAGACTACAATCAAGGTTAGCACTGTAATTGTACATGATTAGGGTAGAAGAAAATGTGATCGACATACCTCTCGTGAAGGAGAGTGTTGATGCGCTGCTCGTTAGCCTCGAGGCCGTGAACCAAGTGCTTCTCAAAGCTGTTCATTCCGTCGGCAAGGATGCGCACGCTGTGCAGCAGGTTGCGGATCAGAAGGGGCTTGAACACGTTGAGCTCAAACTGGCCGTTCATACCACCCACGGTGGCAGCAACGTGGTTACCCATCACTTGGGAGCAAACCATGGTGAGGGACTCGCACTGAGTGGGGTTGACCTTTCCGGGCATGATGGAAGAACCGGGCTCGTTCTCGGGGAGAACCAACTCACCAAGACCGCAGCGAGGACCAGATCCGAGGTAACGGATGTCCTGGGCGATCTTGAAGAGGGAGGTAGCAAGGGTGTTGAGGGAGCCGGAAGCCTCGACGATAGCATCGTGGGCAGCCAAAACCTCGAACTTGTTGGGGGCGGTCTTGAACTCGGTTCCAGTCATCTTGGTAACCTCGGCGGCGATGGCCTCATCGAAGCCCTTGAAGGTGTTAAGACCAGTGCCGACAGCGGTTCCACCCTGGGCCAAGAAGCGGAGGTGGGGGATGCTAGCTTGGACACGCTCAATGTTGCGGTCGAGCTGGGCGACGTAGCCAGAGAACTCCTGGCCAAGAGTAAGGGGAGTGGCATCCTGCAAGTGGGTACGACCGATCTTAATGATGCTCTGGAACTTCTCCACCTTCACCTGGAGGGCATCGCGCAAGCTCTGAAGGGAAGGCAACAGAGTGTTCTCGAGCTCCACAACGGCAGCGATGTGCATAGCGGTGGGGAAAGAGTCGTTGGAGGAAGCGGACATGTTGACGTGGTCATTAGGGTGGACGGGCTTCTTGGTTCCCATGGTGCCACCCAGGATCTCAATGGCACGGTTGGAGATGACCTCGTTGGAGTTCATGTTGGACTGGGTACCAGAGCCGGTCTGCCAAACAACGAGAGGGAAGTGGTCGAGCAGCTTGCCTTCGGCAACCTCAGCGGCGGCCTGCTTGATGGCCTCACCAACCTTGGGGTCTAATTTCTTGGTTAGAATCGTGTAAGAAACCATTCGTGGTGAAAAGCCTGCTTACCAAGGCCATATTGCATGTTGACGGTGGCAGCAGCACCCTTCAGGACACCGAAAGCCTTGACAACGGCCTCGGGCATACGGTCCTGAGGCTGGTTGATGTCGAAGTTGCCCAGAGAGCTATCCCACATCTCATCAGCATCCGGAATCCCATCATTTCATGGTCGATCGATTCTTCAGAATGCGATTTGGAGTCTTACCGCTGGGTCTGGGCACCCCAGTACTTGTCACCTGGGACCTAGAATGACGCACAATTAGACCATGTTGAAGAGATCATGGGAAAAGATATTCATGAGACTTACCTGGATTTCACCGAAAGCATCGCTTTCCGTTCGAGATGCGGCAGACTAGAATACACAACCTCTATCAGCAATGAGTTCCAATTTCTTCCCCTCCTGGCAAAGCCTTTCCGAATGTCCAAGCGAAAATGTTCATTCCCATCAAAAACCACTCTGGCCAGCTTCCTCCTCAGCATCCCACGGGCGCACATACCATTCTGACAGTGGTACCGAAAGTTCTCTTGTTGGAGATGGTGTTCAAAGACTGGAAGCGGGGGAAGTGTTGAAGTTGTCGGGAACTGGAACTGAGAGCACGACTGTTATTGACAGAGGCGGGGGAGCGGGCAGCGAAGGCCAAAGTACGAGCGACTGCGGGGGAGGAGGAGCTGGAGGCTCGCGACGCAACATGTTTCAAGGAGGCCATAGAGCGCACCGCGGCCCGGGATGAGGAGGTAGATGCCATCATTCTGACTTAATAGCAGTATATAACTTAATAATTGCAAATATAAATATAACGAGAGACCCAATGGCTTACGGGGAAGCTTTGAGGGCAAATAGTCAACACCACGACAGGAACAAAAGGGAGAAGAGAGCAAAACAGCAACAATTAAAAGGCGGACAGGCGGATTTTGTGCCAGAAACAGCCAGGCCGATGCTGTCTGCCGAAAACACCCGGCCCGGTATCGGCATGACGATAGTTACCGTGCAGTTGGCTTTGTCGTGTATTCTATTGCGTACTGTACGGTAAGTATTTTCGTTGGATAAACGATGACCCTCTGGCTGTTTCTGACGGAGAATTGACAAGACAAGCTGCAATATCTTGAGATTATCCTTTGTTAGAAAGAGTTTGGATGAAAATGTATTAGTTGGACTTTGTTGAGTATAGAATTGTTTGGCTCTAGTGCTGAGTATCTTCAATTGAATATATCCACGGTTGGCATGCAAATAAAAGCAGATAAATCAACCATACATTCCACCACAAAGATATCAATTCCTTTGTTGCTTGATATATATCTAATCTCCAAGACGCTAAGGCCATGCATAGCTCATAGTATCCTATAAAGTCATGCTGGAAGGCGTAGAGGCTCCTTGCTCTCTTGGTTCTGTTCAATCCCGCCCTTGTATGCAAACTCCCCAGAATCTATATCATTGAAGCATCCTTACCAAGCAGAAAATGCTGTTAGCACTTAATTTGAAGCTACATCCATTGATATCCGATTTGAGGTGATACAGTTGGGAATGAGATGATGTCATACATCACCGTCCCCTGCCCCGCCTGAAGAAACCAACCACCACAGTGAATAAAATTCATTCACATTCCTGGCAGTTGACCAGTCAGAGAAAGAGCATGAATACAAATATCCATGTGACTTGGGTTGATCTGTCTACCTGGATTTAGTCCTCCAAGCCCCTTAAATTTTGTACAGCCTGCCAGTAATTCAAGACTCAAAAGAACCAGTCACAGTTCTCCTAGAGCGTACCCATATACAGTTGGATATAAAAACAAATCCACCATTCAGGAACTGTGTGGCCTACTAGTTAAGCGGTGAATGCCGGGAAAGAAGAAAGAGGCAAAAAATGGATGGAAGGGAAAAAAAAAAAGTGGATGAGGGGCGACATCGGGGATATCTTTAGGCAATATCCGATGGGCCTTGGATGACATATCCTTTCTGCTTGGGCGATAGACGATCTTTCGATTTCCAACTGATCTTGAGATCTATACTCTCTTCCTCTTTGATATCTGCTTAATCCTCCCTCGCTCTTGACGCAGTTCAATTCCTTTTGCAGAATATTAAAATACACACAAACAGCCATTATGACTGTTCTCAGCACCTTGACTCCTGTCCCCTCGGATGAGATCTTCGATCTGAACCGTGCCTACGCCAATGACTCTTTCCCTCAAAAGGTCAGCCTGGGAGTTGGTGTCTACCGCACTGACGATGGCAAGCCCTGGCCTCTTCCCGTCGTGCGTGAGGCTGAGAAGCAGCTCCTGGCTGAAGACAGTCTTTTCAGACATGAATATACCGCCATTGAGGGTGACATTCCTTTCGTTGGGATGGCTCGCGATCTGATGTTTGGCTTTGAAGGCAAGGCCGACGAAACTGCCGCCAAGGGAAGAATCGCGTCTGTTCAGACCGTCGCTGGCACTGGAGCGAACCACTTGGGTGCTCTCTTCCTGGCCATGCACATGAAGCCCAAGAATGTCTGGCTTTCCAACCCGTCCTGGGCTAACCACATGACTATCTGGGAATTGGCGGGTGTCCCCAGAAAGACTTACCCTTACTACAAGCCGGCAACTCGCTCCTTCGACTTTGAGGGCATGATGTCCACTCTCGAGGCAGAGGGTCAGGAGGGCGATATCATTCTCCTCCATGCTTGCGCGCACAACCCCACTGGACTCGACCCTACCAAGGAGCAGTGGAAGGCCATTGCAGACATCTGTGAGCGCAAGAAGCTGTTCCCGTTCTTTGACTCTGCGTACCAGGGTTTCGCTTCCGGATCCGTTGAGGAGGATGCCTGGGCGGTTCGCTACTTCTTCAACGAGAAGCCGTCGATGGAAATGTGCGTTGCCCAGAGTTTCTCCAAGAACTTTGGTCTCTATGGCCAGCGCGTTGGCGCCTTCCACTTTGTCTTGGAAAAGGATGGCCAGAAGAAGGGCGACCAGAACATGAGAGACATGGTCGTCAACAACCTCTGCCACATCATTCGGGGAGAGTTCTCCATGGGCCCTACCGCGGGTTGCAGCATTGTGAAGAAGGTCCTCACCGACGAGTCGCTTGCTGCTCAGTGGCACGAGGATCTGAAGGTGATGAGCTCTCGGATCAAGTCCATGAGACAGGCTTTGTACAACGAGCTTGTCAGACTGCAGACCCCTGGAACCTGGGAACATATTATCCAACAGGTAAGCAAACCCCTCCAAACCTTCACTTTTCAATCAGTATCGAATGAAAACGGAAACTGACGTATTCTGTAGAACGGAATGTTTTCCTACACTGGCCTCACTCCCAAACAGGTCTACTCCCTCAAGGACAAATACCACATCTACATCCTCAAGTCTGGCAGAGCTTCCATCAGCGGTCGTAAGTGACTCTTCCACCCTAATCATCAAATTAGCCAACATCTCAAGCTCCCATCTAACACATCTCTCTTCACTACAGTGAGCGAAAAGAATGTCGCCTACGTCGCACAAGCCATCGACGAGGTCGTCCGAAACGTCGACTAAGGTCGCATTACGTCTTCGCTCCATCCGCAAGTGCGCTTATCTGTACGCCACCATGTACGCGCCATGTCAGCATGAACGTTACAGCGAATAGAAGGTCTCATAGACTAGACTTAGACCGGGTCGCGTTTTTCTTCTTCTTTCTTTTTTGATTATCTGCTTTTGCATATTACAAATATCACTGATAGATATCTGGAATGAGCGGATAGACAGTCAGTCTAGGATACAAAAGTGAGGTCTTGGTGGGTTAGCTTTTTAAGGGCTTTTACGTGAATCATGATAGTTACCCAAAATGCATAATACATTTCATTTTCATTTCACTTTCCTTTTCTTTATCAAGTGATTACCCTAGAGGGTTAGATGCTATTTGACCTCACAAGCAACAGCCAACAAACCTCCTGAATTCCGGTATCGAATCATGCGGCATTAAGATCTACTGTACATCCCGACGGTGAAATGGAAGAACAAAATTATCAGAATACAGCAGAATGATAGAGTAAGATAATAAGGGGGTAAAAAGTAGTAAAGAAAAGAAGAGGAAATACAAGGTGTTCTCCAGCTTGGCAAGCGATTCTTGCCAAAGAAACAATGATGAACTACTGTACTGGATATAGAATCATAAGACGCCGGCCAACATGAAGCGTTAATGTAAAAGTGGAAATAAAGTTGGGGAGAAATCGGGATAAAATAATAAAGAATTTCGAACACACTTAAAGAGGAACCTCATTAAAGTCCCCTTCGCCTTCTTTTCCCTTAGCCTTCTTTCCATTACTGGCCGGTTTATCGTCTTCTGATTGTCCCTCGGGAGAGGTGTTTTCCTGCTCCTTTTCGTCCTCTTTGTCGTTATCAGATGAAGAAGCTGCCTCTGCGGACTCTGCTTTGCCATTTTGCTTAGCCTGTCCTTCGTCGTTGTCTTCATTCTCGGAACCCGGTTCCTTAATTTCTGGGAAATTATCCTTTGGGGGTGGCGGTGGGGGTGACTGTTCGTCGTCTTCGTCTTCAGACACTTCCTTTTCATCTGCCGTTGGTTGGCCGTTCATATTTGCACCCGGGAAAGGAGTGAGTGGTGGTTCGCCTGGCTGCTCCTCTTCTTGGATGGGTTGAGGCTGGAGACTTGTCCGAGACTGTGCCGGGGCGTTGGTTGCCGTTGAAAGTGTAGATGTAGTACGCTGATGGTGTGCCGATCCGTGTATCGGGCCTAATTGTCTGGCCTTGGGATCCGCATTGAGATAGTAGCCTCGAACGCTCACAATAGTGCCTTCGGCCTCACAGGCATCAACCCACTCCGGTACCACGACGGGGATGTTCATTTCCACCGCTTTCTCCCAGAGGGGACCTCTTCCGTCCGTGCACACAAAGTGAGTTGTATCGATGCGGACCGAGTCGATAAGCTTGCCTCCAATTCGTTCCAATGCAGAACCCAGGGCCTCCTTCTGCTGAGGCGGGAGAACACCCGATGTGACTGTGATTCCGGAAAGGTCTGTCATTTTGTGAGTCCGGCAGGTCAGTTTCTCGGACTGGTATGTGCCGGCAGATGTGCGCAAAACCAAATGGAAGGTATATTCCGTGTGAATTGCCAGTCCACTGATCTTGGTGCTACGAGTCTCAAGGGGTCTGGGTATCGATCCGGCTTTAGACCCATTGCGGTATAATGAAAGGGACTTCAGGGACGCCGTCGCCAGGTCGATCGGATCCCATTCTAACACGAGGGAGGTCTGCGTAGCGTTTCGGAGACGGAGGATAGGTGGGGAGGGGGTCTTGATGCCGTATGTGTTCAGGATACGCTTCTGAAGGGCTTGGAATCCTGCGGCGCTGGAGGTTTCAGCGGAGTGGTTGCGCGCTACCGTGATATCGACGATGCTGCCGGAGGCAATGTTGTTTGGAAGGAGGACGGAGGGGAATTCGATCTAGAGCCATCACAATTAGCAGTTGTGTCAGGGCATAAATACCGCGGGCGTTGAAAGGCTTGGAGAAAGGGGGTCGCATCAAAAAGACGACTCGCGTGCTTAGATTTGGCAATCAATTGATTGTTGCGAAAGGGGAACGGGGCTTACCAGTCTGTTATCTTGAGTCAAAAGCACGGCGACACCAGCGTCTACCTTGCCAACTGTCAAGGAGACCAACATATTAGATGATGGGGTAAGAAACAATCAAGTACAGCGCATAAACTGAGCCAAGAGATATCTGTGGATGGAGGTAGTCTATACAACAATGCGGAGATGGTGCAGTTAATTGTTGTCATGTTTCTGGCGAGATGATCGGCAGTTAGCGAAGTGCCAAGGAGGCAGTACGCGGCCTGGAAGGAATGTTTTGCAGCTTCAGGAGTACGATTCTCATCATTGCATCAGGTATTTTTCAGCCAGTATTCTAGAAGTAACAGATATCTAGTGCTACTTTCATATCAATCATGATCGCTCTTATTCGAATCATTATTGTATGGTGTTTAGGTCCTATTTATGGCAGAGCCGTGGGATATTATTGTCCGTCATTATTTTTAGATACAACACAAGATTCTAGAATCTAGAATTATTATGTACTGCGTAATTATTACTATTAAGTGCTGCTTTCATTATCATCGTTTTTGATCAAACATCGTGCCTTTCTTTTTCTCTTGGAGCTTCGTTTGGTTGTTTTTCAACTGCTGCAATAAATCGTCAAGCAGGAAATTAATCTCCTGTTGAACAGCAGCATACCCCTCTTTGATGCACTGCGGACGCACGGAAATCTCAAGAGATCCTCTCAGGTTGAAATCCACATCTGCCTTTGTCCCTGGCTCCGTTGTGTTATGCACCACCCTTCTGCCCTCGCGGTCGAACCCTCGCGCTTTCAGGGCCTGCATGAAAGCTGTACGAGCTCTCCTGGCACCCCATGAGCGAACCACCCGTTTGAAAGACGACTGAAGTGGATTCACGGATACTCTCCACCATAATGTGTTCGGATCACGGTTGGCGTACATGTGCACTATCTTAGGCCGAATCGGATGTGAATGGGCGGCGACGTATCGCGCAGCGACAGGAGGAAGGGGGTTTTTCCCGGTGTACCGCATCAGAAATTGACTGGTTGAAGTATTCAGCTTCATGGTTACTTTCCAATGTCAAGAACTTGTTTCAAAGCAAAATGGAAAAGACAACGAGTATATGTTGTTCTCGAAGTGCTGCTCAATAGCCAAGTTTAGACCTTCACCACGCCCGCGTGACCAGGACAGAAATCTCAAACCACAGCAGCAAATGATACGGTTGATCAATCAGGAAGAAGACAAGGAATCTGAGGTAATCTGAACCCAAAGGCGTGGCAGGAAACCCCCTAGAAGACAAAGAAAACAAGATGATTCCATTGGGATCCATGGGGATTTCTTTTTGGCCGACAGAAAATGAGGCGGTGAGACCTCCCCGCATATTATTGGCCTGCCCCTTGTGGCAAGCCTTAGGCAGCATTCAGGCCGCACACGCCACATATTAATATTGCCTCGAAATTTGTCGCTTGCCTCCGCCCGCTCGCCAAAAACCCCACTTCCAACTTCTTCTGTCCTGAGGGACACATTTCATCAACTGTTCTCCGAAAACTTTTGTGATCGCATCGTCACTGCGTTGACAAGTTTTCAACATGCCCAAGAACAAGGGAAAAGTAAGTGCTTTTTTACCCCTCTTCCTCTGCTTTTCTCAATAAACAAAACCCCCACTTCCAACTTGATTTTTGTCTTCTTTTTCTCTTGTGTCGCGGTTTTCTATCCACCAGCAGCCTCATCTCTCAATGAGGTTTGCTTGAGACATGCCGGATGGCAAACCCCGAGGTTTGAGATGTTTCAACAAATCTTTTCATTTACGTCATACCAGACCAGACGCTAACAGTATGTGCAACAGGGTGGTAAGAACAGGCGCCGTGGTAAGAACGAGAACGACAACGAGAAGCGTGAGCTCGTTTTCAAGGAGGAAGGCCAAGAATATGCGCAGGTCGTGAAGATGCTGGGTAACGGCCGTCTCGAGGCCCTCTGCTTCGATGGCGAGAAGCGACTGGCACACATTCGAGGCAAGCTGAGGAAGAAGGTTTGGATCAACCAAGGTGACATCATCCTTCTCTCGCTTCGTGACTATCAAGACGAGAAGGGCGACGTTATCATGAAGTACACCGCCGATGAGGCCAGAAGTCTCAAGGCCTACGGCGAGCTGCCCGAGCACGCCAAGATCAACGAGACCGACACCTACGGCCACGAGGGTTTCGAGGACAACGTCGAGTTCGACGAAGACCGCGAGAGCGAAGACGACAAGGACATCGATGTCGACGAACTCTAAACCACCAAAAATCTCTTTCGCATTCAGACCCTGCGAGAGCCACTGGGTTTCTACTTCTTCTCCCCTCAGCCCTTCGCCGTGGGGCTTTTGCACTATGGACACGATCCAACCAGCCTAAAGCCTCGTCCATTTTACAAAAAGGTTGCCACACACAAGAAGTTTACAACTCAATCGGTTTTCGTTTTTATGTCGCCTGCTTACCGGAAAAGGTGGCACAAATATCGGTTCTGCGGCACTCCCCGCTTCGCACAAGGGCTTCTTTTACCCAGTGCCGCTCCCACAATCAGGGTCTGAATCACAGGGAAGGGAAATGGATTATGGGATTGCACGTTGAGATGGGCTTTTCCTGTCATGGGCGGCAATCTTAGGATTCTTCAGAGAGATGGTTGCGATACACATACAAGAGACAGGCTTGCTTGCAACTGCAAGCTGCGTGTTTCGTGCTAGCGATTCTTTGTCTGTCCCTTCTTCTTTTTTTTCTTCTTCCGTCTATCTTTGCTTGAACACCTGCATTATAGATTTATGAATAAGGTTACGAGAATAAAAAACGGTTAAGAACATTATGCTTTACATGTAAAAGTAATTGATTTCAGTATATATGCCCGCTTCGAGGGCGGGATAGCCAACACTTAGGTCACCATGTCAAAATACCACGTAGATAAAATGCTAGCTATTATCAAAGACACTCTTACGAAAGAACCCGACGATTTTCCGGGCAGCTTCTTTCCCAATCAAAGGATCAAGCTGGTCAACATCCATATTCGCAATCTCATTGATATTACCCGTCTCAAGAATCAACCGCTCAAGGACATTGGGCGCCACGCCCGGAACAGCACGAAGCATATCCTGGGGGAGAAGTTTAAAAGTGCGATGTTCAACACCCGCCGCAGCCATGACATCACCCGAATGCGAGGAGTCGAGGATATTAACGTCGAGACCGAGTTGGACGGCTCTAAGGGGGTCTGGTTCAGGGCTATTCTTCTTGAGCTCGGCGAAGATCTCGGCAGTCTGGTAAGGAGAAGAGGACCAGATGATTTTCAGCCGGGGGAAGGTGAGTGTAAGAAGAACGAGGAGGTGCTGGGCGGATTTGGGACTAGATGGATTGACGAGGGAACTGCTTGTAGAGATGGAAGTGGTACCGGTGCCGGAGGAGGAGAAGCCGTAATCAGTTAGAAACGTTGTGCCGGGTGTTGTTGCGGATGCGAAGGCGTCGAAGGTGAAGGATTTGTTCTGGTCGAATTCGATTAGGAGTAGGGGGTTCTTGTAGTATTGTAGCATGGTCTCTGCTTGGTTGTAGAGACGGCCATTTCGAAGAGATGTGATCAAGTCACGGACAGACTTGCGTTCAACACAGATGTCTGGAGTAAGGATGTAGTCGCCTACTGTCAGCTGGCAAGGAACAATGATCATATTGTTGCCATGCAGCAGAGATGGAAGAGCACTCCGGAATTCTCGAACATCAACCACAACCCTAGGGGGTGAGGCCGTCGCGGCCAGTCGGCCTCCTCCAGCAATGCGGGTATTCACTGTTCGGAGGAACTGCTCTTGGGGATCTTCGAGGCTTTTATCATGGGTGATTGTGACGGCCATGCTCTGGATAATTTGTTAGTGTGCATCAAGAATATTTTGGGACAGGAGACTTACGCCTTTCTCTTTGATGAGCTTCGTGAAAGCGTCTTTCTCGCGTCTCACTGCGCTCAGATACCTTTGTTCTTCGACTGAGCCACCGTAATAGATAAAGTATACCCTCACATTCCTTCCAACGTGAGAGCTACGGTATACTTCCACACGTCGAATGAATGCAGAGTCCGGCTCGTACATGATTATGTACCGTGGACGGACTTCCTCCAGAATGTGTTCATCCATATCGCCATCGTAAGGATGTACCACGATCAAGTCATCCATATCATATAGCTCATAGAAGTCCTCCATGTCTTCGAGGTCATCAATGATTATTTCCTCCTTTTGAGTCTCCTCGACTTCTGTGGGTTGAATCTCGTCCAGCAGGCTTGTCACTTGGCCGGGCAATTCGACCTCGGTCTGCACAGTGCTATTCGGTACGCGTCCCGCTGCTGAGGAGGGTGCACCACCACCGCGTACTCGGCGACGCTTGCTGGGAGGAGCTCTTCCTTGTTGCTGGTTCTGGCTTCCCGATGATTCTTGACTCTTCCCGGGTTGTGGGTCGTCTGCAGGTTTCGCAGAGAGGTTCCGGTTCACATTCGACAGAGAAGTCTTCCAGTCGAGGTAATCTCTTAGTCTCCTTCGCATCATTACCTCTGCAGAAGCTTTGCCTTCATTGTTGCCATCTGCATCATCAATATCCCCTTGGCTTTCGGTATCAACCTTGGCATGCATAGTTCCTAGGTATTCTCGAAGCTGCCGGCAGGTCCTTTGGTCGTTGCACATGACCAGAATTGTGCTGTTCGATTCATCTATATTGACTGGGTTGATGTATGCATCGTGTTCAATCTCTTCTAGCACCTCCGCTAGGACACCCCATTTAGGTTGTTCTTCCAGAACAGGCTTAAGGGTGGTGGGAAAAGAAGTCAATGAGCGAGCCGCGTCGTTGCTTATCTTTCCTTCATAAACCCTGGATTTTGCTGTCTGGAAAAGAACATGTGCTGCATCAAGGAACAGCCAAGGTGAGTGACTATGCCTTGTTGACCCAGGCGGTGGCGAATGGGCCGTCACTATGGTATCAAGATACTTGACGAACGACACGGCATCGTATGTGAGTAATGCGCTAATTCAATGTCAGTATCAACGACCGCAAAATGGCGAAGATGGATTGGCTCTTTTGAACGTACTGGAGGATCGCCCGAAGATCCGTCAAGTCGCTGCAGATCTGCCTGGTCCTAAAGCTCACACGATGCCAAATTGGATCAAGCTGACGCCTTATTGAAATATCAAAGCTCCTATGCAGAGCGCTGTCCAAGGTCCAGTCACCCATATCAAGGCCCGTGTTGGACTTTTTCAACTCGCCGATGCTTATCTCCACACATTCTAGAACAGCATTCTGGATCTCTCGCATCTTATCACTCATTGGAACCTCCAGCTCGATTACTTCCGCCTTCCTATGACCCTCCAAGGATTCTGCGACAGACACTTGAAAGCGCGGCCATAGTGATGTCTTGCGTAGGAAGAGGTTTCGCATCGAATTGGCTAAGGGGGCAAACCCTGTTGTGAATGGCTCCGGTGAGTCCGACAAGGCCTTGAGAAAGCCAATTTTATTGACTTGCCGATAGACTCGGACGATAAAAGCTTCGAGAGAGGTTGCCACAATCCTATTACGTACTCTCAGCATATATTCCTTTCAACCTCCATCAACGGTGTCATACTTGTCCGCATGCAAAACTACCATTCCAGTGATCTTCTCGGGGTCAAGGAGCTCTGGAAAATAGTGTCAGTTGATTTCAACTAGCTTATAAAGTCATCGGCATACTTGATAATAGATCTACGACGAGTATCCTGGATGTCACACTCAGGATGCCACCCTCTGCGTAGATCTTCTCTCTAAAAATCAGTTAGTACCTAGCGTCACTAACCAGGCTTGTGCACAGCACGCACCGCATAGGAATCGAGGCTCTCTCGGTATTGATAACCTTCAGACCCCTGGCAAGAGGGGTCTTGCTGATGGCATAATGTTCTGCCAACGCTTTCAGAAAGTCAGCACCAACCCTCACCACTTCAGCGGATCAACATACCTTCTCCGATCCATTCATTCTCTCGGTCATCAGCACCAACAACCAACACCAAATTATTCCCCGCAGCATCATAGAAATGTAACAAATTTGTTACCAGGCGGAGTAGCCCCAAGCCGCGGGCAAGAATAACCAACTCATCCTCCGAGCGCAGTTCGGTGAAGATGTCCTGCTGGTATTGCTTCGGGTGATTCTGTCAGCATTTCAAGTGGTAATTTTTGAGTCACCCAGGGCACTTACCAAGGGCAGAGACAACTTCACCGGTACATTTGGGCGTTCAGGTGGCATGAGGAGCCTCTTGACGCGTAAGAAACAATGAGTCGCGAAACGAGAGCGAAGTGATAACTAAGTCACGTGGTCTATGATGCAATGACCAAAGGTGAAATGATTCTACAAATGGTTTGAGTGTTAAATAAAATTAATAAGTATATTTCGTCTTGCAGAACTTGATTTTATTCAAATGGGGTTTTTAGACCAAGTTGTTCGTATTCAATGCATTATTACTATTGACATTCGGTTAATTAGAAGAGCACGCGACATATATATTACTGGCTTATATCACAACTATTGAAGTAAAGTACACAACATATCCTTTTGAGTATTTAACATGTTTTCGTCCGATAAAAATTGACAAGTGACAAATAACTTTTTACTTATTCAGCTGTTTCTTTCGAGCTTCGAGTTCCTCTCGTGGTACTTTGGGAGGCATGTCTATAGAAACTTGTAGTAAGCTTCTGGCACTTAGTACAAGCTAGGAAGATCACTGACTGTTTGAGATCTGAGGACCCTTTGAAAGGAAGTCAAAGATACTAGCTTTCTGGGATTTGTCTTCAGAATGATGGCTTTCATTGCTTCCCTGAGATGAGAACGAGTGTCTGTTGCCCTTCTCAGAGTGAGAACTGGCGGGGTTAGAAGGGTCGGTAGGCATGTTGAAATGATGTTGTTATAGGATACAAATTCTGTAGATATGATGACGGTTAATATACAACCTCAAGATCATAGAGAGATTGATTGAAGATGGAAGAAACGAGAAGAGCCATCTGTTGTCAGAGTTGGTCGTGCTGGTCTGTTGGTATCGAGACGGGATGACGTCGATGCGCTCCCTTGCGATGGCCCATCATGGTTGGGCATTTAACCCACAAGTAATTTCTCTGGATGACCAAGAATACGTGAGACAAGTGAGATGCTGAGACACTCGAATCATCCTGGGATCTTATTTTGGCAAACGGATATACATTTGTTCTGTGGTGGTGCCAGTGTCAATTCAGGAGATCGTACGATCCTAGCACGAGCAGACGTTTGAATATCCACAGAACCACAGAATGAGGGAATAAGGGATATTCGAGTTTCAATGGTCGTCAATAGCAAACCAATATTGCTGCAATAATAAAACGACACTAAACAACCCCATTCCAGCATGATAATCGCAATATAATTCTGAATAATCCTACCCGACTCTCCTAAGGCTCGCATTATTGTTCCCCACCAAACGGCTTAGTGCCCTTCCTTCCTGCTAACTTGTCTTCCTCTTATCCAAGGCTGACTTCCACCTCTCCTCACACTTCTCCCTCCTCCCCTCCCCCTCTTTCAATTATTGGCTTCAATTTGCCTCCCTGCAATTGTTTTTTCAACCATCTATACTGTCTGGGGAATTCGCTACCCTTTCCGCATACTTATATTCCACTCGATCCCGATTTTGCCGCGCCGTATCAACTGTTATCCGTAACCGGGGCGGAGCACTTTCATTCTTCTGCCTGAAACCAGCTGCGCCGGCTCTCTGCAATGCGCCTTCAAGGAATTACTTAACGGATTTCATTTCAAATTTACTCTCTTACCCGTCTACTGTCTTTCTGGTTTTTGGATTGATTCGCCATGCCGTCTATCCTTAGTGATGCCGACAAGGAAACGGTCAAGAGGCAAGTCCCGAAGCCCGCGAACAAGATCCTCGCTGTAGCCGTCGCGCGACTGTATGTCGCCTACCCGGACCATCAAAGATGGGTATATACTGGTTTGCAGGGTGCTGCAGTGCTTGCAAATGATCTGGTGGGACGCACGTTCTGGCTGAAACTGGTTGATGTATCGGTAAGTGGGTTTGGCTTCCAAACATAGGAACTGTCGATGGCTGATTTTCATTTCTCTGTGCGATCGATAGCCCGCTGGAAAAGGTGTCATTTGGGACCAAGAAATATTCGACAATTTCCACTATAACCAAGACCGTACCTTCTTCCATACCTTCGAGCTCGAAGACTGCCCCGCCGGCCTTTCCTTCGCAGATGAAAAGGAAGCCAAAACCTTTATCAAGAAGATGCAAGAGCGAGAGAAACATGCAAGCAAAGAAACTAGCAAGACACCATTTGCGTCTACTCGAGGGCAGGGTCCTGCACCCGTTGCGAATGGGAAAGTAGGACGTTCGCTCTTCGGTAGCTTGTTAGGCCATCGGTCAAGCCCAGGGCCAAGTGCGTCAGCGCCAGCACCTTCAATACAAGTTGCACCACCACCGCCGCCACCATCTACTAGTCCGTCACGCAAAGAGTTGCCTTTTGACACCAGCGATCCGTCATGGAAAGGTCTTCTGGACGAGCTTTTGCAGATGGGAATTACGGAAGATCAGATCGCGGACAACTCGGATTTCATCAAAGCGTACATCGACCAGAAGCAGAGCAATGCCGTGGACTCTGCGCTTTCTGCGGCTGAAGACCAGAGGAGAGGAAAGGCTCCGCCTCCGCCTCCCCCTTCTGCGCCTCCCAAGCTGAATGCCATAAGCCCCCAAAATACTGGTAACAGCTCTGGCAGTCGTCGAGGTGCCCCTCCTCCTCCGCCTCCCTCGCGGAGACCCCGCGCTGAAGCGCAGGATGAATCTGCTTCTCCATCACCGCGTGAACCGTCCCCGCCACGACCGGTATTTCGTGCGCCTCCTGCAATTCCTGACGCCGGGAAATTTGCCAACCTTCCTCTCACACGGCCGCGGGCACAATCAGGAGCAAAAGCCGGCCCTCCCCCTCCCCCGCGGCCCCCGAAGACTCCAATGGAAGATGCTCCCACTCGGCATGCTGCCCCCCCGCCTTTCCAAGGAGAGCGCAAGGTGTCTGCTCCACCAGCACCTCCCAGTCGAAGCCCGGCACCTCCAGGTCCTCCACCCCCACCCCCGCGTACAGCGAGCCCTGCGGCTCAACCCCCGCAGCTTCCGCCAAAGGTTCCAACTGCCCCGTCGCCTGGCCTACCACCACCTCCACCTGCCAGAAGTCCTGCTTCACCACCACCACCTCCTCCTGTACCTGCTGTTTCTCGGCCCATTCCTCCTCCACCGACATCAAGTGTTCCCCCTCCACCTCCCCCGCCTCCGTCGAATACCGGGCCTCCACCTCCTCCACCTGCCGCACGTCCGCCGCCCCCTTCTGTATCCGCGCCAGGTCCACCTCCACCGCCTCCTCCTCCTCAAACCGGGGCACCACCGCCGCCGCCTCCTCCACCACCTGCAGCACGTCCGCCCCCTTCTGCTGGAACTGGTGGTCCCCCTCCTCCTCCTCCTCCTCCGCCACCCGGAGCTGGTGCACCTCCTCCCCCCCCCCCTCCGCCTGGCGTTGGCGCACCTCCTCCTCCGCCGCCGCCTGGAGCTGGTGCCCCTCCCCCTCCCCCTCCTGCTGGCGGGGCGCCTCCTCCTTTGCCTAAAGCCGGAGGTGGTGGAAGAGATGATCTGCTGGCGTCCATTAGAGCCTCCGGAGGAAAGGGAGGCGGAGGCTTGCGCAAAGTCAAGGACACAGAAAAGAAGGATAGGAGCGCAGCTATGGTTCCAGGATCCGAGCCTCAATCGTCTGCAACAGCTTCAAGTGGCGGAGCCCCGCAAGGGGGCTTGGCAGGTGCTTTGCAAGATGCCCTCAACAAGAGAAAGCAGAAAGTCAGTGGTAGCGGTAAGTTAATCCCAGATCACCAACCCAAGATTGTGGCATATTCTAATTATTCTCTCAGACGACGAAAGAGACAACGATGACGATTGGGATTAGTGACCTCTGGACCTGTTTGTTTTCAAATACCCGGTTATTGGCATGGGTGGATTTCTCGAGTTCTGTTTGTGATACCTAGAATCTGCGGCATATTGTCTTGCGTGTTCAGCATGCATTTTCCTTTGACACGTCGGGCGTTTGTCAAAAGTTCTATTAGAAAATTCCGTGATATCTGAAAAGCAATGGAGCTCGCGCATGGGTTGGTATTGTCTGGATGAACTTAGTTTAGTCAAGAATGAACTCTAGTCCCTCTCGAAGGCAGCATATGACATAGTATTGAGCAGCTTGTACATGTTAATGTACTCTTTTTTTTACACTCCCTTTGTCTAATTGAGTAAGCCAGTTATTATTCTGGCTCCATCCAGACCATGATATTGTCCAATTTGAGTATGCGGATCAACCTTGATCCGGCGTCTTTATCGACCAACCCCGAGAAAAAAGACGGAGCGGCGTTTGGCTGCGGATCAGAATTGTCGACCAGAACAATAAAACAACAAGTGAAAGTGAGAGGGAGCGAAATATCAAGACTGTAATTGCTGCTGGGCGGCTCAATCCAGGAAAGGCAGATATGCTGTCTCCCCCACCTTTGAAACCGTCAGCTCCCTCAGCATCACTACTCCGATTCCTGCGTTCTCAATCCGATCCCCAGCATTTTCTCGCAGTCAATCCATCAAAATGTGTCCATTCTACTTTCAAAAGAGCAACATGCCATCATAGGTCATCGCATACATTGGCACTGCGAAGTGCATCGAGCTGGACAAATGTTGATTCCGCGCCTCGTAAGGCGGCATTAGAAGCGCGCCTTTTTGTGACACCAAGTTTGTCGTCAAAGAGTCGATGTCGACCCTCACCTGCCCTGTCGTTTCTTTCACCTTCATCGTCAAGATCTGCGTCAACAAAAAGCCGCCCCCTACTCCGCAGGCTGCTTGATTTGCGACGTGGCAAGACGGTTGCTGAGACCAAGATTAACCGTAGTGGTGGACCGGCGTTGATCGACGATGAAATGGGGGGAAGCTTCAACATTGGACGTGGATTGACTGCGAAAGCATCGAATGAGTTGCGACTACGATGTACGGAGTTCGATAGCAATGGGGACGTGACGCTTGTGAATGGGGAATTTAAGAAGAGTGAGCTCATCGCAAAGGTCAGTATTTACCTCTCAACCGGCACATCAACTGGTTTTAATGGCAGTTACTAAATCCAACTCAAGTATGGCCTTCTGCCTAGAGATCTTCGCAAGATTGATTCGTCGACCCTGCCTCATATCCTCATTCGGCCGAGCGCCATTCTTATCAACCTTCTGCATCTCCGAGTGCTGATCAAGGCAGACCGTGTCCTTGTGTTCGATGCATACGGATCGACTGACTCATATATGCAATCGTTATTCGTGTACGATTTGGAAGGGAAATTGCGACAGAGACAATCGCCAGGTACCGGAAACTTGCCATACGAGCTTCGCGCCCTGGAAGCCGTTCTCATCAGCGTTACTACTGGACTGGAAGAGGAATTCAACGGTGTGAGGGAGCCGGTGGTGCGCGTGCTTCGTGCCCTGGAAGAAGACATTGATAGGGACAAGCTTAGACACCTGCTGATCTACTCCAAGAAACTGGGTACCTTTGAGCAGAAGGCTAGGCTTGTGCGAGATGCTATTGACGATCTGTTGGAAGCGGATGATGACCTGGCTGCGATGTATCTCACGGAAAGCGCCAAGGGGCTCCATCGAGAGGAACATGACCACCAGGAAGTCGAGATGCTGCTGGAATCGTATCACAAGGTTTGCGATGAAATCGTCCAAGCCAGCGGTAACTTGGTGACGGGCATTCGTAACACGGAGGAAGTGTGAGTTTCACATTCTATCATATCTTCCAAGCAAAAGCTCATTTTTCAATAGGGTCAAAGCCATTCTTGACGCGAACCGAAACTCTCTAATGCTGCTGGATCTCAAGTTCAGCATCGGAACCCTTGGACTTGCCACAGGAACGCTTTTCTCCGCCCTCTACGGAATGAACTTGAAGAACTTCATCGAAGAGTCCGACTGGGGCTTTGGTGGCGTTTCTGTAACCTGCTTCGTGATCACCGGCATCGTCTGCGTCTACGGACTCGCAAAGCTGCGCAAACTTCAACGTGTCCGAATGTGGGGTGAATCAGGCGTAGGCGGCACTCCCCTCGGCCCTCTTACCACGAGAAGCGGTGCAGTTGCCGGCCACCGATCCAACTGGCGCGCTGACTCGATCGAACCCGTCTGGGGCAGTTTCCCGGGCGAGGGTCGAGTTGAGAGAATTAAACGACTCAAGGACAGCGCGGCCGCTGGTGCTGCCAGATCTGCCGCTGCCGATTCCACAGCACGACGGGCAGCAACGTTGAAAGAGAACGCAAAGGGGTCGGAACATCCCAATGACTCTGCCTAAGGCGGATTTTACTCTCTACGATATTATATTCAACTCCACACATTCTCCTACAGCTGCACATCACCCTGCTCTGTACGCCTTTTTGTCTAATATGGCTGGTCCTCTCACCGCACTCTGAGTGGGGTCTATTGCAGGCTGTATGGAAACCACAACCAGAGTTGAACACACTCAGTATTTGACTTCGACTGCATATGGCGTTCAAATTTGGGATACACTTGTCTTTTCAATAGAAACGCATGGATGGAGTCTGGTGGTATGGATGAATTTATGTTTGTTTCTGCGTTGCTTGAAGAAATCTCGATACCACCGTTATCTCCCTGATCCATGTGAGTGATTTACTGTACTATATCTCCCACCTCACTTCTTAGTTGTCTTGTCTTGTTTTCTCCGTTATATATTGGGCGGGTCAAGAGTTCAACTTTGTATGTACCTATGATTGATGTCGATAGATCGTGATGTTTAGATAGGAGGAAAGAAGACAATTTTTGCATTTATTACCCAACCAGACATCTACAATTCATCCTTGTTCTTCTTTGCCCGAAGACGCAGCATGGCCACACCATGAGGCCTAACAGTTGCCGTCACAGTTCCACTGCCCTGGACGGACCCAACCTTGGAGCCCATCAGCACCTTGGACGACGAAGGCAGCGGGGAAGTTAGAGCTCATCCCGATGAGGAAGACCACGGCATGCCATGGGTGTATGCCGGGCCCGTGGTTGGTTGACTTTGGCCTGTGTGCATGGATGGGGATAGAAACGGGATAACAAATGAGGAAAGCTGCGCATATATTAGTTTCTTAACATGCCATGCTTTCGTATATGGGCTATCAGGCTCGGGTGATTCTATCGTTGAATTTATGCTGACAACCGTTGTCTAGGGAGCATCACGCTCAATTGTATGTGGGTATCTCAGTATCATGCAGTTATGAAATCACTGCCATCAATGTCCTCCACTTGATTTTGATTGCCCCTTGTTGAGGCCCTTTGCACGTTCAATCCAGATCTTCGCGGCGGATCTCACGCCTCCCTCCCGCGAGCACTCACGCTGTACAACCTCCCAGACCTTTTCAATGATGGCATCAGCTTCGGCGTTATCCCCAAGGGTATTCAAGGCCTGTGCAGTTTCTCCGTCGCCTGGTTTATTATGTGTGAACTTTAGACTCCACTGCTGAGTGGTCTGTTTGCGTCCACCTATCACTCCCATATTCCTTGTACTTGGGATCCGGAGCAATGTCCTCTCCATATCGTATCCAATGTCTTCGCCCATACTCATTGCCTTCGCGGTGAGACAGCCGTACATTGACTTGTACATTCCTGCATCGGTCTGGGCTTCTTGCTTGGCGGCCCGAAGGGCTTTTAGGTCACCATTAGCCGGCTGGGGATTCTGTTCGTTTGCCTGAGGCTCGGAGCGTTTGTCTTTGGCCTTTTCCTTCTTGGGTGCAGGATAGCGATATTTCGCCCCTGACAGGGAATGAGAACAGCACGGAATCGCCAGGAATGGTAATGGAGAGGATGGACTGGAAAGGGCAGCCATGAGAGGAGTCCAGACAGTAAGCTCATCGGCATGGTTCGATATGATAAAGGTGTTATCAGAGAACATGCCTGTGTGCGTCTCGACGCCGATGTCGTTCAATTCACTCTCTTCCCCTGACGCAATAAGCTCATCCGCAAAAGGCTTAGGAATATAGATCGTTTCCTTCAATCGCTCCTTCACAAACTCTGGGAAGATCTTCCACGTTTTCCGGTTACGGGCATCAAACCCCCAGCCGTGATAGCCTTCCAGTAGAAGCACATAGACAAGCACACCATTCCCACATGCAACATCCACAAACCCAGGAAATCGTGTATCGTAACCATCCTGATCTTTTTTATCTTCTCTCTCGTCCGCCGGCACAGCACCATACATGCTCCTCCAGAGCTCAATGAGAAATGCCGTGATCGCCAGATCTTCAAAGACATGCTTTGATGGCTCCGTATCCTCAGCCCAATTATCGCAGAGCCAGTTTGCATGCTTGATCTTGAGTCGCGAGTATGTGTTCTGGATTAAATGTCTGGGAATCACATTGTCCTTGGTGGGGTTGTAGTTGCTTCCGTCCGCTGATTTGGCCGGGCGTGTACCGCGAGCAAGTCGGATTTGAGTATTGAGAAGAAATAGCAGGGTGCGCTCCAAGCGGTTATGCATCGGTTCAGCTGGGTACGGCAGGAAATGTATAGACATTGCTCCCGTCCCTTGTGCTTCTGTCTGTGTCTGCGTCTGTGCCTCCGTCGACGTACCGTTGTACGTAAAGTCGTAAAAATAAGCCAAAGAACGAAGCACAGGATGATACCAAGGAAGCTCTTCCTTGGAATTCACATGCGGGGTGTAGACTACAAGAAGCTGTTTGTTTCTCGCACCACCCCCAAGAACTTCATCCGCCTCGTAGAAGTAACAGCTCTGCTCCAACGGCCGATCCAGCTGCGGATTCCTGGGTATAAACCTCCTCACCACTGTCCTCGTAAGCTCAAACCCCGCAATCGTTCTCGCAGGGAGCGGCTCAACAACCTCACCCTCCGCACCAGCAGCAGCATCAACACCCATCTTCACCTCTGAACTATTCCCCGTCGCAGCAAACGAATCCTCCGTCTCCCTTGGCGTGCTCAAAACACTCATACTGTCGAATAGAATATCCGCCCGGAACAAGATACTCGAGTTCATGTTCGGGTTTCCCAGCATGAAGACGGCCAGGTCGTAGATCGTCTCCGGGGCGAACGCGAGCCCATTCTCCTTGAGATCGGGCGAGGTCACCCATGAGTCTTCTGGGGTTTGGAGGAGGCTCGATGGCGAGAGGGTTTCGGCGAGTGGTTTCCCGGTTAGTTGGGTTACGTCTCTTGCATTTTTTCTGTTGACGGGCATAATAGTCTTGTCTTTTGTACCGCTTGGATAGAGGTGAAGATGCAATTGAATGCTGCCAGTGGAGTAACAGGGCAAATAGAAGAAATAAATAAAGAGTGTCTATTCCAATGACATTATATTCGTTATATTCGTAATGGTCATAAGAGCACAATCCAACAGCAGCAAGCCGGTCGATTCTCCAAAATTCATCCCACCAAAGAATTTAAGATCACGTGACACTGTACCTGAACTGACAATCTGACTCTACATTCAGAGGTAAGAGAAATAAACGAGAGTAAGAATAAGGCATAATGTAATACAGCAATATTCAACCCCCGTAACCCCCCAACCCCCCATACAAATCCAACAACGTACACCGAAGAACAAAAAGCAACTCCAAACTTATGTCAGTGATCAGCGACATCCCCACCAGATCAAATGACGCAACCCCCGCCAACGGCCAAACCGGCTGAGTCCTCCATTATCTTACCTCCTACAACTCCAACTACTCAATCTCACTCTACGCCTGAAAAAAATGTCTCCGAGGTGCTTCATCATCCGCCACGGCGAAACCGAATGGTCTCTCAATGGCCGACACACGGGAATCACGGATCTACCCCTCACGGAGAACGGTGAGAAGCGTATCAAGGCAACCGGGAAGGGGTTGGTGGGTGATGACCGGCTGATTGTTCCTAAGAAATTAGTTCATGTGTATGTTTTTCTTTATTTATCTGTTTACATGGTGGATTTTTTTTTTCTAATTGTATAAATACAGCTATGTCTCTCCCCGCTCCCGTTCTCAACGAACTCTGGAGCTCCTGGAAATCGGCTGTCGAGAAAGACTTCCCTGGACAGAGCGCAGGAAATCCGAGAGCGAAGAGGCCATCCGGACAGAAGCCAAGGTCGAGGTTACAGAGGCCGTCCGGGAGTGGGATTATGGCGACTATGAAGGATTGACAAGCAAACAAATCAAGGAGATGAGGGCACAGAACGGACAGGAACCGTGGGATATCTGGCGAGAAGGATGCCCTGGTGGAGAGTAAGTGCCACTACAGACGCAACAAAAACCATTGAAAATGGGGATATTTTTGAATTGTGAGAGCCACCTGCTAAACCATATCTGAATAGGTCCCCCGAAGATGTCATTCGTCGTCTCGACGCCGTCATTGCCGATATCCGGTCGAGATTCCACAGCAAATGTTTCGATGGGTCCTCTGAAAACGGGGACGTCCTCATCGTCGCTCACGGCCATATCTTGCGCGCGTTCGCCATGCGCTGGACCGGAAAGCCATTGTCGGATACCTCGCTGATCTTGGAGGCTGGCGGTGTGGGAACACTCAGGTAAGCAGGAAATCGTCCGCACTGATTGCTTTAAACCCTTCTCTTCGTTCTCCCTCGCTAATTGTCCCTAGTTATGAACATCATAGCATTGATGAACCGGCCATTATCCTCGGTGGAGGTTTCGTCGTTGACAGCTGATGGTATAAACGGATGGGGGTGAGTAATCGTCGAGGCATGAAATCGGCATGTCGTATCGTACATATATGTATCCAGGATAAACTCGCTATACCCATAGAACATAGTAATTAGCCCAACCACCCCAATAAATCCCAGATAAACCAACCAAAGTCACCTAGCCTACCCAATAATCCAACCCACCTCACTCCGACGACGACCTCTCCCTCTTAACCCCCCTCTGAGTCTCCTTCCCGCCAGATCCCTCCTCCTTTACCCCCTCCTCCCCCAAAACCTTCGCAGACCCCATGAGTAGCGCCCCAAAATACCCGCCTAGAAACCGCATATCCTCCGCCTGCACGGCCGTCATACGCACCAGATTCTGCGTATCGGCAAGGTTGGCATTCAGCTGCGCCAGCTGCGTCTGCAGGTTTGCGTATTGGCGTGTTTTTGCGGCGGACATAGAGGAGGGGCCTGAGGTGGGGGGGTTCATTGAGGAATAGGAGGATCCTGTAGTGGTGGTGGGGAGGATGGAGGGGCGGGGGAAGGAGGAGGATTGGTAGTGGTGGCTTGGGGGCATGGTTTTTCTTGTAGTGTGGTGTGGTGCTGAGTTGGTTTTATTTTGGGGGTTGATATTTCTGGTTGACGTTGAGATATTGACTTGGGCTGGGTGTGTGGTGGCGATTATTGAATGATCCGAATGAGCGTCTTTGGATGTTGTTTATTGACTTGTCGCCGATCAACATATCACGTGATGATCACCACTCCTTAGTATAAATAAGTGTGTTCTTTTAGAAACAATAATTGGACATGGTTTCACACTTCATACAATCATTTGGTTTTGTGCTACGTTACTTGGACTGGATCCACATCTGCAGGAATAACGCAATGCAGATCTTTGGGATATCAATGACAGGACATCGATTACAACATACGTCAATTTAGACTTATACTACTAACCTGGCAGGAAGTAATTATGAACACATGTATTCTTCAAGTCTCATTTATTGATCAACGTGGTTCTAATCAAATGGGCAGCAGCCGTGAACACTCCGGCTTCCTTCATTAATTCCCTGCAAGAACGCGAACCCAGACAAATCAAGTCAATCAACCGATAAATCAAATCCCCTGCTCTTTTTATACGCCATAATCCAGACCATGAAAGGAGATCACCCAGGACGTTGAGTCTCGCCTCGCGAGCCTTGTAGAATAACACAAAACAAGTATGAAACGGTCAAAGGAGGGCACGCATGTCACAAAAAAGAAAAGGAAAAGAAAGATGGAACAATATAGGAGACACAAGACGTATAGGAGCTCACGAAATAATGCGCCGACTCAAGTAGTGTACAATCTGTCATGCAGGGAAAAGGAGATGCATGTCCGGTAACTGAAGAGAATTGATGCCGGGAATGGATGGTATAACTGCGAGAAGTCAAAAGGTATTTCCCAGGTCGGGTTCTTTGCTCGACCTCATTACAATAAACAATGCGGCGGAATAAAAAAAAAAAGAAATGGGAAAAGGAAGGAATCCACACACGCCCAACCACTCCGAGACAAGCACAAAAAAAAGTAAAAAAAGTAAAAAAAGATGTCCCCTATGTCCCTTGTGTATATGCAAAGAAGCGAACAGCAGAGAATTAATGAGATGATTCCTCTCCCTCCTTGCCCAGTTATTCATTAAAGAATTTCTGTAGAAAAATCAACTGCAATGCAGGGGGTTTCACGGATATGACGGATATCAGTAAAGTGCCCATCCAACCCAAACGAAGAAGGAAAAAGAGAAGAAAAGGATGGAACATGAAGGTAATGGGAAACCAGGCGAACACGTCAGGGTGAGTTGCGTATTCGGATCGGTCGGTCGTTTGGGGAGGGGGGAAGGGTCAGACAACGGCGTCTTTATTTATTTAGCGAACCGGCGTCGTAGCTTGCTGAGCACCAAGGCTGATCTGGCTGCTGTGGGCTGAGGCTTCGGAATCGAGGTTGGCGCTAGCCCCGCTATCACCACTCTCCGCGCTGGCGCTCGCACTTCCGGTCAGACTTCTATGCTTTGGAGTACCCTTGGCGGGATGCGAGTTGCTCACATAATGTTGCTCAACTTGTTGTGGACCTACCGCGTTACCTTGCCCGGGAGGATGTCTTGGAACCGGGGCTCGCATATTCCCAGGCGGCGATGGATGACCGCCGTGATGGCCGTTAGGAGGACCAAGAGTCTGATCATTGGCAGTCATTGGTCGGCCCATTCGGGGCCCGGGGCCACCACCATATGGAGTTGCAGGGGATTGGCTGTTTCTCCTGCTGTTTGGATAAGGGTGTGGTGGGTAGTCACCCATTCGACTGGCGGTCAGGGAATTGGCTCGCGATTCCACGTGCATCTGATTCCGGTCGACAGCGCCGTATCTGTTGGAAGAGTAGCTCATCATGGGGTTGTCCATGAGAGAATCATGAAGGCTGGGGATTTCCTGCAGGATCCGATCACTAGCACGTTTCCTTCCCCCTCCAAAGTATCGACTGAAGGATGAAGCAGGTCGGCTGTTAGGAGGGGGGTTCATATTCATGCCGAACTCGGGATTCTTGCGTATTTGACTGGCACTTGGCATTCTTCGGTTCCTCTTCGAAGTGATACTCATCATGTCAACATTGTCGGGGTCGACACCGGGAATAGGAGGAGCATCCATAGGATCGAAGTAATCATCCTCATCTTCCTCATCAAAGGCTGCCGCTTTGGGCGGAGGACCTCTCCGAGGTCCACGTCGCATGCTCATCTCCTGTTCCCGGATCTGCAACTCCCGTCGTCGAAGAGCCAATTCGCGCTCCCGCAGGGCCAGATCTGTTGCCGCTGATGGAGGACCCGGTGGTGGCATATCGGGATATCCATTGTTTCCATTCTGAGGAGGTAATCCGCCGTCGGCGGCATCATCGTAAAGGACCAGGTGACTAAACTCCTCCAGGCCCTCCAAAGAAGGTTCACGAGGAATCTTAGATTGTTGTGGTTGTGCACTGGGAGGTCTTCCCATTCCGGGCGGTGGTGGTCCGCGCCGCGGGGGCCCCATCATCATCCCAGAACTAGCCCTTCCCGGGTGCGGGCGCATAGCGCCATTGGCTGGTCCTCTCGCAGGTGGCGGTGCTGACGAGTTTCTCACGGAGGGTGGTTGGACCACGACAGGGGGTGGTGAATCACCGTGTCGGGGTTTAGTCTGGTTTACGGTGTTGAAGTGGTGAAGCATGGCGTATAATGTCTCGATTCGCGGAACCCGGACACTTGATTCGGTGGCTAATTTGACGGGAGATCCAAGGTATGTTTCAACCTCCATGGGACGACGGGCCTGGAAGTCCTGGTACATGGAGCTAGGTGCTCCCCCAGCGATCATTTTCTCAATGGTCTTCTGGGTAAAGTCGCTCGTGAATGAACAGCCGTTTGCCTTTGCGAGTTCGACAAGTTCTTCAATTATATCCGATACCAACTGACGCACTCCGACCTTTTCAAGCAGCTGTGCAAGGTTGGAGGTTTCGAACAGAACACTCGCGGGATGAAAAGCGATTGGGCTGGAAAGAATTAGTACAAGGCGATGGACTTCAAGAGTAACAGAATTCTTACCCAATCATACGCTCAAACTGCTCCTGTCTGATATTCCCCGATACCTTGCAGTCGACCTGTCCCGAACCAAGAGTGAATGCCAATGCGGATGCCATGTCATTCTGTACTGTAGGAGGGATGCTGGAATTCTTGTTTGTCGCACCGACATGAATCTCTGTCGAGCTCAGATGCTCAAACTCGCTGGCCCCAATCTGAGAGATCTCCACGCCTGATACTAATGAGAGGATGACATTTGTCGGAAATCGTTGCTCGAGATGCGATTCAATGCCCAAAGTATTTGTGGTGTTCACAAGAATGCATGTATGTTGGGGAGTAACGACGGATTCGATCACAGCTGCGAGATCGTAGATATCGGGCAAAGCCTTGACGCACAAAAGCACATAGTCGTATGCATTCTCTCGGGAGGCTGCTTCTTCGGGAGTTCGGACAACTGCAAGACGAACCGGTACATTAGCACTGCAGGATTCAAAAGTACTGGATAGATCGAATCGTACCATGACGGGGCTTAAACCGTTCGTTGCCGAATGCTTTTGATCTATTCGATGAAACTACTGTCAGAGGGGCCCTAATTCACGAAAACGGATGGTGAAACAGTCTGCGTACTTGAAAGAAACACCATATTGAGCCACGGCTTCAAAGTTCGATTTCCAAACGAGCGTCACATCGCACGAGGTTGTCGCCTGGAGTCTCCAGGAGAGGAAAGCCGAGATAGGATTACTACCGACTGAACAGAAACGTGTTAGCTTTCGAGGCCCCATTTTCTGTTGCGTGAGAGATTCTGGGGGTGTTCAATTTTCTTCGGTGGCTGTAGCCATTGCACTCTGATTGAAGGGAGGTGTGTAAAAAAGCAAGCAGCAAATGCCCGTGCAAGGAAAAATCGACGAACCTGATAAGATGCGCAGGCGCGGCGGAGGAGCCATTGTTGATCGAAAATGGAAAGAAGCGATGCCGGCAACCAGAAGTCAAAAGGAGAGCGAGAAAGATGGATTCTGGATCGAGACGAGCGATCGGGAGGTCCGGAGGCGCGGTTGACGCTGCCTACCACGGGACGGCAAAAACCCAGTATGACGACCAAGGCCGGGAAACAATTTGACGGCCCAAAAGAACGAAGGTAAGGGGAATCCACCGGGATGAAAGAAAAAGGGGTGGATATAGAAAGTAGAAAGGGCAGGAAACGAGAGGAAGGAGGCAAAAGGGCAGGACTAATAGTAGGGAGGAAAGAGGGAGAGAGATGAAGGGAAAGTGAAAAGGGAGAGAAGGAAGAAAGAGTAAGATGGAAGATGGATGGAGAGAGAGAGATGACAGTAGGGAGAGTGGGAGGGGAGAGAGGGAGATGAAAGGGCAAAAGCCGTGTCAAGGTCGAAAGCGATCAATTAGTTTTTTTTTTTTTTTTTTTAATTCGATAAAATAATCAGGAAAATAAAAATAAAATCAAACCAGGAAGATGGATGGATTGGAGTGTACAGTCAGAACAGAGAGCGCATCTGCAAAAGGACTTTCAACGGCCGTGGATCCCCCGCCAGGCTCGATCCGGAAACGGAGGCAGGGAGGGCGATAAGAATTTCGCTGCCAACGGAGAAGAACTGCAAGCGAAAGGATGAGCAAGATAGAGCAATAATGAATGGTTCAGTCGATGGACTAATGCGAGAAAAAAAGGCCATTGGCACAGAGGAATAGGAGTAATGATCTGGCTGTGATGGAAAAGGAAATCTGATGCTTTTCTTGCCCTTTTTTTAATTATTTTATTTTATTCTATTTTATTTTATTTTTGCAGGCATCCTGACATTATTAGATATTATTCTCCTATTTTCCTACTACGGAGTTCTCTACCCAATTCATATGCTGTTATTTTATGCATTATGGCCACTCCATCAATCAATCGATTGGGAAAGAATTCAGAGAAAAGAAAAAAAAAAAAAAAGCAATATTCAACGTGTCTTACTATCAGTGCATTGACGGTCTCTCGATAGCTTCTTAAGAGAGCTCCCGATAAAAACCTCAAGGCCACGCACTGTCTGACGATGAATCGTTCCAGAATCAACCCTTTTTCCTTCAACTTCATCCCAAGCACTACCTACTAACTCAAGCTAGATATTAAATGTCGTCGTAAGAACCACCATCAAGATGATTCATGAGACACGACAGCACCAGCAGCCCACCGGATCCAGCCAACCACGATGCAGGCAAGCCAAATCGGCCGCTGCTGCACATCTTCCCGTCATCCCAACCCACCCGAATCCACTTGGCGATGAGCAGAAGGAGTGAGAGTGAGACGGAGAGAGAAAAATTAAAAAGCCTCCGTAGAAACTCCGTAGTTATCCAGCGATGGAGTGTCGTCTAGTGGACGGGGCATAGTGCGGCGTGCTAAGGTCGACGAGGAGGTTCCTGAACCACGCTAGAATTGGGCGAGAATCGTCTCTGCCAGGTCGATGAACCTGTCTGCCAACTTTCTCCTCCGCCTCAGATATCGAGTAGATACTCTACGCAGTGTTGAATAAAACATAAAACAAAAAACATCTCCATATCATATGCTAATACGGAGTACATACAGTCCAGCCAGTCTCTCCCTATCCAGGGGAAAAAAACAAGACAGGTCGTACAGACTCAGCCAAATCCAATAACCCCAGTCGGTTTTTCGCCACACCACCCAAACCACGCCCTTCCTGACCAAAAACAGTCTGTAATATTGGCTTCAGATTCTACTAATCCGTGATATTATTCCCATTTCCCCCTCAAGGGATAAAATATGGGATTGCCTGATTATTTGCTCACCAGTTCCCTCTCAAGGGGAGACAGACAGTCTGAGAAGGGGGGCGGTGTTTGCCCACACACACAACTGCACCACACCCCAGCATTCCAGAGGCTCTGCCAGGAGTAGGGATCGACGTCCCATGCCAGGATGAGCCGAACTTGAAGCTGTCTGTTTGCAGAGTTGACCGATCGCATCACCTATTATTATTATTTCTTGGACGACGCATCTAGAAAGACCCGGACATGGTGGGAGTTTCCGGAATACAATAATACCCATACTGGGTTGCAAATGAAACGCGTTTCAACCTGGTGTGGCTGTTTTGTTTGGTCGACCATTTGGCTAGAGGGAAAAGTGGAGGCTACCAGGTATGCTACCATCGCCCATAGCATGACTACTAGACCCTTGTGGATATATGAACCTTCTTCACCTTCAGCTCTAAGTATTCTGTTAAGTCAACAATAAATGTCATGTTCAGATAAATCGACAGACACAGTGTACACTGTCAAGAGTCCAGACTCGCGCTGATGCTCTGATTGCGTTTGAATCAAACCGGGAATCGAAGCTAAATTCCTTAGCGTCCATCCGGAACAAATCAAGCCATCCGGTTAAAATTAGCTTCTGTTACTATCTATGGTACCATTGTGTGGGGCCCGTCCAGGATGTTTGAGCACGCTGTCCAATAAGAGCGAATGCAGTGGGGCACAAATTACAGAGCCGGCCAGGCACGCGGCCCATACTTTATGCCCATTGTTTGCGGATGTTGTTTGCGAACACCGACAGCCAGGCATAAAACTAGTTAGATAGCAGAGCTACAGAGTAATAGAACTGCATTCAGATAATAGAGTACGGAGTACCGTAAGTGGTATGATCATGCAAACCCATCTCATCTGACATCTAACATGTACATACTCCGTAGGAGTTCCTGCACCTACCTACATACGGAATTAGGTAGCGGGTATAATTGTGACATGTACAATTCATTGTTGCTATATGCGCTGTTCCAGAACATGATAGATGAGGGCTATTCATCAAAAATATCATCTACATGAGAAAATTAGAGGATGCTGCTTACTTTTGCTGGGGAAAAAAAAAAAAAAAAAAAAAAAAAAAACTGAATCCATGGATCGATTCATATCCCCACTGTTTCAGGTGTAGAATATCAACAAACAATCTCAATCTCAATCACTATTGTCATTGTCTATCATAGTTACTTACTACTTGCCACAATGGCGGCACATAATAATCAGCCATCCGAAACCATCCAGCTGGACTCGACTAGTAATCAACAATATGGGGTAAGTATGTACGATTTCGATTTCGTTGACGTAAATCCCCTCTTCAGATCGATGCACTCGGAACAAAACAAAAAAGAACAAATAATCCAAAACAATTATTATGTAAATAATCTGAATAATAACTATGGATAATGAATCGCCATGAAACACAGACCTCTTGCTCTCTACCAAAAATCCTAACCGAGACATTTCTAGCTAAGCTAAGCTAAGCTAGAAACAGACTCTTTCTTTTCTCCACCGCTTCAGGGTCTTTACTTTTTTTTCCCAATTCCCATCCAACAAAGAGCGGAGATGTTGGGTTTATCTTGGCGCTTGGCATCGAGCATAGAGCCTTTTATACAGTGATTAGATAATCTAATTAATCTAAACTAAGCTGATCATTTCAATAAATCCAGCTCATCACACTGTAGCTTGAAAAGATAACAAAGACGATAAAAAGGAGAAGTTAGACAGTAAATTAACACGAAATCGATAACCGAATCGCGACGTCACGACTCGAGCATGGACAATCTCACTGGCCCCAACGACACGAGTTGATCAACTTTGTAGATCTCACCGTCAACCACTGCGCGAAGCTTAATAAAAAAAAGAGGCTTGTGTGTTGGATTCAGCCATCCTCAGTGGCGAGACACTGTTGGGCACAGCCACGTATCTGTATCCACCTTTATGGCGCAACGCAGAGCCGAATTCAAATATATCCATCCATCCATACTGTGTACATCCATCCCGTCCATATGTACATACTACTAAGATAAAATCATGGAAAGCGATGAATGCATGAAAATCATATTTCACAGCCCACACTGTGCGTCACTCAGGGTGTGGTATGACATGGTATCCAGCCGATCTTTATCTTTCTCATCCAGGTTTTCCAGGTTTCTGGTCTCGGTTGGGCCGTTGCTTTTCGTTCTAGCGGGCTAGTAGTAGTTTAGTTGGTTAGTAGACGATGGGCACTATTTCGTATTATTTTTTATGTACCCACCGGTGATCTTGACCAGACTATTTCCTCTTCGGGATCTGCTAGACTTGCTGTAAAAGATCGTGATCATGTTCATGGTGAAGGAATTCTCGAGTCATTAGTCATGGATTACCAAAACTCTAAATAGCAAAAGATAGCACAGAATAAAGCAGGTACCCGAACAACTGAATGAACCCCAAGACCTAGCCATCAATGACATGACTGCATCGGATCATGCAGTCATCCATTGCAGTTTTAAACAATATGCACATAGTCGACTGCTGTATACAAACTTCAAGCCAAAATCTGCATACTCGCCTCGACCCAATTGGCTCTGATTCCTGATTCAAAAGCCGGTGATACAAAAAGGAAACCCCTTTTGTGATAGCATGATCACTGGATGGGCTTCCTTAAAAAGGCAACGGGAAAAAGGAATATCACTCTCGATGCCCAATCACCTCGCCACGGACAAGTCCGTTTTTTCTCCGTTTCTTCACCCCAGCCGTGCATATACGAAGAACTGGCCGATTTGCAAATCCTCCAAGACTATCGAGATCCGGCTGTGATTCTGCCTGTCTAGCGAGTTGCCTTCCAGATGGCCATCTGAGATTCGTTTTCTGTTTGCTGCTTCTTCTTCTACCCCTCTTTTCGAAGAATAACTATTGCCATATCCATGTACAACATCCAGATAATGTCCGTCACGTTAGATAGTCCAGATCAGAAAAAAGGCAACACAGTGATCAACATTTATGCATACAGTACTACTACAGAAGGCAGCATTTACGGTAAGAAAATTAACTTATGACCGAATACATTTTTCCTCCAGATGTCTCTGATCCCTTCCATCACATTTCACTCGGTGCCTCGAAGAAGCGAGAAAAAGACACTGGGGGACACAAAATCACAACCGAGCCATCACGCCAAAAATAAGAAAAAAAGCTATAAAGAAAAAACACGGAAATGGAACTGAAGTGGCATCGAGATCTTGCTGATCATCAAAGTAGATTCACCGATTATGCCATGTAAGTGCTGGAGTCAACGCCACCCTCGGGGTATTCACTACAAAACTGTTAGCTTGCGTGTTCAAATCACGAGATTTGGAAATACATACGGGAGGGCAACTTCGAATCGCTTCTCAATGTCCTTAAGGACCTTCTCGTCATCTTCGTTGCTGACGAAGGAGATCGACAGACCCTTGGTACCGAAACGACCGGCACGACCGACACGGTGCAAGTAGGAGTCGGCATCAGCAGGCAAGTCGTAGTTGATGGCCAAGTTGATACGCTCAATATCGATACCACGTCCGAACACGTCGGTGGCAACACAGATACGCTTGTTGAACTCCTTGAACTCCTTGTAACGTTTGATACTATATAGAATTAGCGACGTGAAATGGGTGTTCCTCAAATAGAAACTCACCGCTCCTCCTGGCTGACACCAGAGTGCACAGCGATACTGGGGAAGTTACACTCGCGCAGCAGCTTGTCCAATTCGTTGGCACGGAGTGTGCTCTTGACGAAGATGATGACCTGGTTGAACTCAAGGCTGTCCAGAAGCTCGTTCAGCTTGCGGTTCTTCTCAGACTCAGCGAGCTTGACGTAGTACTGCTGGAGACCGTGGAGAGTGAGCTTAGTGTCGTCATCCACGTAAACCTCGAGCGGGTTTCTCATGAACTTCTTGCACACAGGTCGGACCTCCTGCGAGAGGGTGGCACTGAACATCATAACCTGCTTGTCGGCGGGGGTAGCGCGGAAAATCTCCTGGACATCACGGCGCATGTCTTGAAACAAAATGTGAGCGTGGTTCTAGTCATACATATGCTAATGGCACTTACCAATCTGGTCCAGCATCTTGTCACACTCGTCAAGAACGAAAGCCTTGACGTTGCGAAGAGACAGCTTCTTGTCGCGAACCAAAGCATTCAGACGACCGGGGGTGGCGACAACGATGTTGGGGTAGGTCTCCTTGTTCGACAGAGCTTCGACATCCTTCTGGATCGGGGTACCTCCGTAGAAGACAGCGGTCTTCACATCGGGAAGGTACTTGCTGAATCTGGCGTACTCGTTCTTGATCTGGTAGGCCAACTCACGGGTGTGGCACATGACGAGGATGGAGCACTCTCCAGGAACGGGTTCAAGCTGGTGAAGGGTGGTCAAGACGAAGACAGCAGTCTTTCCGAGACCAGATTTGGCCTGGCAAAGAACATCGACGTTCAAAATGGCGGTCGGGATGCAGACTTGCTGGACTGTAATAAGGCGGAACGGCATGTTAGACTTGATATTCGATCCATAGATTTTGAAAAAAGAAAAAGCAATCCGCGTCGCAAAGTCCGTCCATCCCCTGGAGTCACCAAGACGAAGCAGGCGATGCAGAGTCTTCTACCGGGATCAAAAAAACCAAACCACCAAATCGGCAATAGAAACTGCTGCAATACAATACCCCCTTATCAGGAGCTTTCTGCAGTCGACACAAGGACGTTTACCGCCCGGGCAATGGTGACCAAAGCCCCATGCCTTCTATCAACGCACCACGATCCTCCCAGAAACCTTGCTCGTGGCAATTTTTCGGGGGATGTTGTTGATCTTCTTGGGTAGTCTCGCCATGAGGTTTGTTGAAGCAAAAGCAACATGCGGTAACGCGGCTCTGCTTATTCACTTTTTGCAGACAATCCTCATGTCGCCTGCAGGCTCGAACGATATAGGTGGCCAAACGCGACTTATGAATCCCCCGCGGAGATGGACGGACGTTGGAACTTGGAGCAATTGAGGGATGCTTGTGGGAAGAATATGATCAACTAACCCTCCGATGGATGTTCGAAACCGCAGTCGGTGATGGCACGTAGAAGTTCTCCTTTGAGCAGAAAGTCGCGGAAACCGGTCGAGTGAATACCGACATAGCTTCCCTTCTTGTCAGGGCGGCCACCGCTGACGGTCAAGTCGCCTTTCTTATCTTCTCCATTGGCGGCGGGGGCAGCAGTGGTAGCTGCGGCATCAGTGGTCTGAAGCTCCTCGTCGGAGTAGTCAATGAGATCTTCCTCGTGAGACATGTTGGTTGTTGGTGGCGAGAAAAGTTGGATGGATGAAAACTGTGGTCGTCGCGGCGCGTTCTCCTAAGGCAACAAAGCCGAAGAAGTCTGATATCGGGGGAGGGATTGGGAGTTGGATGGGAAACGTAAAAAAGACGAGACAATTCACAAGTCTCCTCTTTCAAACAATTAGGATAAATTGAAAAGCGGACAAAGGATGGGGTGGGAGGAGAGGCGATGGGGACGGAGTGAAGTTCGCGGTTGCGAGGGATGAAAGGATGGACAGTCCACGGTCCCGTGACATGTCGATTAGTCACTCCAGCTGAGCCGCCAACAACAATACCGCCTTCGGTTAGCGCCAACAGGCTTCAATTTTGGTCCAGATTTCGTGCGAATCGTCGACTTTTTTTTTTTAATTTACAAGATGGCAAAGAATAAAGGCAAAAAAGGCTCTGCGGGGGGTGTGAATAGTCATCTACGGGCACGGTTGAGCTATCTACATAATGCGGCCAACTATCTACAATCTGCAACGAAATCCAAGCAGTCAGAGCAAAGCGTCGACCAAAACACCAGCGATGGGAACAACAACTCAGCACCAAATGTGACGCGGACTGTACCCCATATCGTAATGCCTAGAATTTCTTCTGAAGAAACGCAAGATACCGTGAATCAAACAGCAACTTCAAAACATTCACCACATTTATCCCGGGTATTCATTTCTCAGATGCGTGGCGTATCATTGAAGTCACAACTCCGGCTGCCGATAGAAGTGAAAAGATCATATTGCAAACGCTGTGATACGCTTCTTATTCCCGAAGTCAGTTGCACCCAGGAAACAAGGAATGCAAGCCGTGGCCGCAAGAAGCCATGGGCAGATGTACGGGTCGTTCGCTGCACAACCTGTGGGACAGAGAAACGCTTTCCTCAGACAGAAAAGCGTAGCAAAAGACTCCCCCAACGGCAGAAAGAAAAGCAACAAGAAGAACAGCGAACCGCAGAGACTTGAATTCGTGCATTGCCCATCTCCGACAAACGTCATGGAGTCTGACTGTTGCTTTTACCAGGGGCCAAAAGAGAGCCGGCTCGGCTGCAGTTGTAGCAATTTCTGCTACCGCCACTTTTAAAACGACACTGTGTCTCGATGTGGCCTCCCGGTTTTCCTTGAAGTGGCGGTGAGCCTGGGCGTCAAAACCCTTCCAAGGGTGATTACTTCATTTGCAAGTTTGGCAAACACGGCGTCATGATCTACCTCCTGTTCCAGCTCTTTCTAGAAGGTCCATCAACTATACTGGAACCGCTTGCACTGGGTGATGGTTCACCCAAAATTTGCTGTCCATCAGGTGTGGGTGGTAATCGGGATGGAAAGGCATGCTCAAACCCCGGCAGGAAAACCGAGGATTGATGCCGGCTATAATAACGACAGGGATGCCGAAAATCCAAAATGATAGAGTCGAAAGCCGCTCTAGATGGATGCCCCGTCTATTGTCAGCTTACCAAGGGGACGTGCTGATTCCATCAAGATTTTTGGTAATCTCAAAATTGACAAAGAGAATGATCGACAATTACACATCAGAGCAAATAATTATTCAAGAAAGAAAGATGAGATGGCGAGGATTTCATAAGCCAATCTCAGTGTATAAATATCATTTGTGCTGCAGACAGTAATGCAAAATTGGCTGTGGTTTATGAAAACATGACGTTCATGACATATTCATATAAAAGGCATACACGCAGTAAAACATAACCGAGCATGATAGACAAAGGATGCAGATTGGGGAATCGCAACATTGCAAGAGACAACAGAACCAACATCATAAAACGAATCGACCGTGGTTCTCATAAATGGAATGAAGTCGCGGGTGCTATTAGGTATCAAAAAGCATCGAAATCAGTGAGCGACCAAAAATTCCCAAAAAAATAAATCAGCTTGGAACTCCAACGCTATTAACACCCTGCTATTCCTGGCAAGTTTCGATTCGATAAGTTTCGATTCGATAAAGCGGTTTCAAAAGATTCAACGTGGCCGTGAGGCAGGTATCCAAGTCTTTATACAACGATCCTATCCAAATCCGTAAAATCAAAAGGGAGGAGCATAGACAATATCTTCCTTTGGGAAGATGCGATAAAATGCCACAGCTATACAAAGCTGCAAAGCAAGGTCCGTGAGGACAGTGTTAGTTTATAAACTCAACGTGCCCCCTCCAACTTTTTTACTTTTTTTTTCTGTTCTTTGCTGGGGTTGAGACATTTGAGTGGTTTTTCGTGCGAGGTATCGGGGTTAAAAAAATGGCATGAGATGTCAATAAGACCATCCAGCAGTCGGCCAAGAATCGCAAACATTCGGTATGTAAAGGCCTCCAGGGCAATAAGGTAAAGAGGTTGCATAGTTTCATAGGGGGTAAAGGAATGGGACGAAAGTATCAAGCGATGACAATCCGGTGGTTTCGAAAGCATGGCAGCGGTAAAAAAGTAGAGTATGTGATTTAATGTCTGCGACGAGCAGCTTGGTCAAGACGCTGATCAAGACTTTCGATTCTCCCACGGTATTGTTTCACGATTTCTCTGATATGTGCGATTTTGGCAAGCTCATTTTCCAAGTCGTCAACTGAGGCAAGAATTGAACGGGTGCGAGCGATTTCAACATCCGCATTGTGGACCACATTTCCGGCGCGATCGTAGGTATTCTGGATTGATATATTCATTTGTTCCTCTAGCTGTGTTCCATGTTAGAAAACGGATAAGAGATCATCGGGTTGATGCGTGTTATGCAAGGACCACAGGCGCACAGAACAGCATTCTAGGTGGAGCAAGATGACGGAGAACAAAACTCGCACGACGACAATAGGTCCCAAGAAGAGTATCTGAGGGAATATAAAATGAAAAGAGGGAGACATCAAACGTACATAATCGATGCGATTCCGGATTTGTTCCTGCAGACCATCCAGCTGAAACGAAAGCGCCCTGAGACTCATAGGATCCAACAGCAATCGGCCATGACTGCTGGCCGCACTGGCAGCGCGCGAACTTGAGTTGCTGGTCCTCCCCGTCCCTCTGCCCCTGGAAATCCCGCTGCCAGCATGACCACCCTGAAGCGCAATCTGCTGTTGTTGTCGGAGGATCTGGATCTCGGAGGAGGTGAGGCCAAGCGAGGTGTCGGGAATCGAGGCTGATACGGACATTTGGTTCCGGCAGAGACATACTCCTACCGCGACTGGTCTAGGAAGCGCCGATCAATCTCGATGTGAGGAGACAGAACGGACCGAAGTTCATGGTGATGAACGTGGGAGGAGAGGGGGAGAAGAGAACGGCGGAAAGGAGAAGAGGAGAGGAAGAGAGGAAAAGGGAGAGTAGGGCGCGAAGCTTCTGTCCGGCCAGAAATGGAACCCAAGCGATATCCAGGAGTTATTTTGAATCAATTATCCAGTCTCCCCTCCCAGAATAGAAACTCCAGATGCTATTTGGGAGGAGGGCGAGTAGGAAAAAGAAGGAGGGGCGGTGATGGCGGAAGAAAAGAGCCGTTGGTGAGGAAGACGAAGGAAGAGTAATCTCAAGCACAGCGGCAAAAACGCAACCGCGGCGGCTTTGCGTTTTTTCGCCTCGTGAACCGGTCGAGTTACACAGAGGGGAATGATCGAAGTGGACTAAGAGGGAATAATAATGATGGTGGTGTGAGGAGACGCCGGGAGACGAGGATGGGAGAGACGATCAGATCAGGAACGCTCCAGGATGATGCCTCGGAAGACAATGGAGGAGAGGGGCATGAGATTGTGATTCTGCAGTTGTGTGATGGATTTTTTTTAGTTACATGGTTCAAATAGGTAAATGGAATAGTTACGACTCTTTCCTCTATCCTTGTTCTCTACTGTTCGTTGAAGATTGCGATATATATTCACTCATGGCGGAGAAACAACTTAAACACCAAACAACAAGATAGTTTGGATAGATACCTCATTTTACCAGGATAATAAAGCCATCCAATTGATCTTCTCGATAATACCAAAGCATCACCTTAATTGACCCTCAAACGCGTGGTCGCTTCTTGACGTTTCTGCATCCTCTCCGCCCGTCCCGAATCTCTTCACTCTTCCTGACCTCGAAAAAGCAGCTTCCTTTCCACCATTTCTCCGCAGATCCTCCACCCAAATAACCACTCACCTCCAACTACTACAAACCGACTTCATTTCCGAAATCTTCCCAAGCCAAGATACCAGCAGCTAAAGCTCTGTCGCATCAGCGCCTCTTGAAACATCGTGTCGCCTCCTCCGTCACCCGTTCGCGCCGACCAGCTTCTGACGCGGGAGAATCGACAGCACCTGGAAGAGAGCAGAGAATCCCCCCATCGAAGACCAAAAAAACAGGGCTGCCCAACTCGTGAGGCTACATACATCACAAATTCATCACACGCTTTCCTTCTCTTTATTGGCGATCGCGGAGGTTCGTGCCAGAGGGGGGAAAAAGACGGTTACTGGTCTTCATGCACCTTGCAGTTCTAGCAACCTGTGAGAAATCCCCAATCCTTCTGTCGCCTGTCTAGTCTGCTGCAAGAGCTCTAGACCGCCAGAAGCTGCCCGACACACCCCCTCACGGAAAACCTCCATCAATCACTGCATCAGGGATCCAAAAAACCGACGCTAGAATTTGTCTACCAGCATAACTAGGTGCGGCCCGATCGACATTGCGAAAGCCCACGATCTACAACAGGCGAACAACTAGGGAAAAGAGCTAGACACACATCACCATGGCGAAAGATAAGGAACGCTCCGTGAACCCTGCCGCGGCGCAGCGGAAACAAGATAAACAAAAGAGCTTGAAAAAAGGAAAAGCAGAGGCGCTGGCACGCCGAAATGAAAAACTAGGCCGTCGCAATCCCGAGCGCATCCAACGGCAAATCAACGACCTGAAGGAAATGCAACAGTCCGGGCAAAAGTTGCGGCCACGCGAAGAGCAGATCCTAGAAGCCCTCGAAAAGGACCTGCGGGCGGTGCAGAAAGCAAGAGAAGCTCTGGGCGACAAGGCGCCCAAGTTCCACAGCGGTGGTTTTAGAGATCGTGACGATGGCGATGGTGTACTCGGGAAGAGGCGGAGGAATGAACATAGCCGTTTCGGACAAGACAGCGATAGTAGTGAGACGGATGAGGAGGTGCGGAGGATACCCATGCCCCGGGACACACCCCCGCCTATTCCACGACAATACCAGAAGAGAAGAGGACCGGAGACAGATTCGCAGCATGCTGGAAGCCAGGGACCTCATGCCCTACCATCGAGACCGCCAGTGGTGGAATCCAAAGCGGTCTACGAAGCCCAGCCAGAAGTCAGGAACCTACGCCAGGAAGCTATCAACAAGTTCATCCCTGCTGCTGTCAGGGCTAAACAGGATGCACTCAAAGGACAAGGGAAGCTACTGGAACCAGAGGAAATGGACAAGCTTGAAAAGGCAGGATACCAAGCCAGAGCTATGGAAGCAGAAAAAGACGCAAATACCAATAAGCCCGCTACTGGTGATGACAGTTACCAGAGATCATTGGAGGAGGAAGAGAGGCGATTCAACCAAGAACTGAGATCCGTACAGATCGAGGAAGTCGAGGATGAAGAAGCATAAACTGCGCCGATTGTGTTATTAATGACGATTTCTGCTAGAATGAGGCGTTTAAAAGGTTGCCACCCGGCGTACAGAAATGTATAATTATCATCTTCAAGATACGAATCAGAATGTAAAGCATTACTTAAGAGGTCTCAGCTAACAAAGGCGAATACTCCGTGTAGAGAACTGGTCAAAGTAAAACAAGAAATTGGAAACCTCCCAGAGATATCGAATTAGATATCGGGATTGCGTTATCAACCCCATGGAATAAGATAGCAAAATTTGTATGTACAAGACGACCAACCTCCCTTAACACGCCAACCCAAGTACCCATTCATTAAACGCCATTCGAAGTCAACCAAAGAAAGAAAATAGGAAATGTACAAATGAGCGAGAGACTGAGGTCGGAATAAAGAAGAATGCGTTATTTGGTATCCAGAAGGGGAACCAAGAGGGAATAAAACGCCGCACTGACACCAGAGTCAAATGCAAGAAATAAGTGTACAGTTATCCCAAATATAGGGTGCCTGACGTTTCAAAAAACAATGAATAAACAAGGACATCACGGCATAACAACAAAGGAAATGATAAATGGGGTAGAGTCTCAGTCAAATTGGTATTTGGCGTAGACGCAAATGCTTCGAGTCTCCCAAGTCTCGCTTGGAAGAGCTCGCTTTTGACAATGCACACCACCCAGGCCAAGAACTCCAAGATATTTCGATTATCGAAGAAAGGCGAATAAAGCAGCGAGAGACGCCGGTCAGGAAAAAACACCCAAATGCCCGTGGAAGCGCCTTTCATGCTGTGGTAGTTGTTTCTCACGGATCAACCGATGAACAAAAGAAAAAAAGAAATAAATGTTCATCCACATATAATCCTGAGTGTATCGAGTTAAAGACTTTCAAGTAGGAGTGAGAGGTACCCATGAAACCCCGAGGTTGATTTACCTCAAGTTACGGATGACCTTTCTGCCTCGGGCCAGGAAAGGACTCGGCATCTCGTCCCTCTCTGGATCCCACACAGCTGGTGGCTCTCGGTCTGAACACTTCAAGGAATTAGAGGATGCTGTGCTGCGAGAGTCGCTGGAGGCCCTCTTGACTTCGTCAATAGGACGACCACCGGCTCTTGCTTGTGCAAGTTCTACCAGAGTTCTGCCGCCCATGTTGCGCTGCATAACAGCCTTGAACATCTCTTCACCGCCACCGTTGGCTTTGGTTGGGACCTGTTTCACTCCAGACTTGCGAGTGGGGGATCCGGCATCTGCAGCCAAGTTTGCAGAAGATGGAATCTTGGACAGGCGTCGGTGAGGAGATCTAGACTTGGACTCTCGCTGGGGAAGCTCAGGCTGGCCACCTCCCGACATCTGAGGAAGCCTTGAGGGGTTTGAGGGGAAAAGCGGAGGCTGGGTGCTCAGTTTCTGCATGAAAGCAGCTGTGTTCTGTCGGAGAAGGGGCCGGGAAGGTGCCTTGAAAGGATCAGGCTTCACCTTGGGCCGAGTAGGGGAGGGCAAGTCGGGGATATCATCTTCATCATCGGAGTATGCTAGAGTAGGCTCCCATTTCGTCTTCTGCCGTTCTGCCTCTGCGAAAATGTTTTTGCCCGACCCTGCGCCTGAAGTACGACGCGGCGACAAAGAAAGAGATGCGATGGAAATTGGGGAGGGCTCGGCCATCTGCACGTCAACGGGCGAATCGACCACTGTCTTGGAACGATTAAAGGGGGTCCGTGTCTCCTTCTTGACAGGCTTGGCTGCATTGGCAGTTGGGGATTCCAAGGACAGCTGGGTGATGTCGGTGCTTGAAGGATAATCCGTGTCATCTCCATGGTTGGAAGACTGGGAACGTCGGGATCCACTGTCGTCTCTGAAGTTGTTGCTATTCTTCTTCTGTTTTTCAACCTCCGCCGCAACTCTGTCGTTGACCTCGGTTTCGAATCTCTTGCGAAGCTTTTCCAGTTCGCTCTGCACCTGACGGTCAATCTCCAGTCTAGCCTTCACTTCCCACTCTCTGCGAACAGTGTTTTCGATTTCGGCCTTCACCTGTTGCTTTTCCTTCTCAATCTTTGCGAAGGTCTGCTCCATATCCCTAACCTTTTGAAGCGCTGCCTCTTCACGTCGTCGAAGTGTTCTACCGAGGTCGACGACTTCTTTCTCCTTTCGCATCAAGCGGATGACGGGGAGGTTGATCAAGGCGGCAGTGTCAGGACGGTTGTCCGGGTTGACGCGCAAGCAGCTTGCGATGACGTTCTTCAACTCAGGGGAGTAATAGTCCGGCAGAGGAGCGAATTTCCCTTCACGGATCTTCTGAACAAGCTGGATATGCGTTCTGGCGTTGAAGGGGGGCTCCTTTTGGCAAAGTTCGTACATGATGCAACCGACCGCCCAAATGTCGGAGCGCAGTGTGTATTTTTCAGCAGCGCAGATCTCGGGTGACATGTAGAAGGGAGTGCCAACGTATGTTGAAGCAAAGTCATGGGACTGCATGAGCTTAGACAGACCAAAGTCACCGAGTTTGACTGTGTTGTCACTACCCAGGAAGATGTTTTCTGGCTTCAAGTCACGGTGTAGGATAGTCATCTGGGCCTGCTTCCCTTTGAGACCAGAAGGCCTTGGGCCAGGGCCCAGGACATTCGATCCTACTTCCACTGGATCCGTACCATAATGGCAACGGTATAGAGCGGTGACCAGTTGTGACAATATGCGCCACACAAATTCCTCCTCTGCGTATTTGTTCGACTTCTTGAGAGTCTTGATGATCATACCGAGATCACCACCTCCGCAGTATTCCATATACAAGTACAGGTCCTGACTTGCCTTGAGATGCTCTCGGTGGTAGTATGCGACGATGTTCGGGTGCCGGAGGGAGCTGAGGATATTGAATTCGGCGGTGAGCTGTTCGCGCTCCTTCTGGGACATCTTGATGTAGTTGATTTCTTTGCGACAAAGGATCTGTGTTCTTGTCAGCTATCATGGTACTCATCGAGTCATCATCGTGGGGTCTTACGAAGCCATCGGTCTTTCGCTTCACTTTGCGAATGATTCCAAAGGAACCACAACCTGAACACAAATACATTAGCTTCGCTCGCCATGAGGGGAGATGTTATGATGGAAGGCGTCTTACCAATCCTTTCCAGCACCTCATACTTGTCTGCCTCAGCCAATGCAATTGCCATTGTGGCAGTCGAGTCGATTGAACCACCGATAAATTTGTCTTCAAGAAAGAAAGGGGGTATAGTCGGGAAGAAAGGGCGTTCAATCTGATGATGAGTCTAGCTCATTTACGGTTATAATGGTGGAAAAGTTGGACCTGTTGGTTAGTAGTGGACAGTCGAGTCGGGGGGATGGACATGAAGCAGAGAGGAAGATCCAGAGAAGTATTGAAGACATGCAACACGGTCAAAGAAGCCTGGGATGTTTAGTTGCAGCACCGTTGCTGAGCAACGCCGTGAGCATTGGCCCCATCCCGGATACTGCAGGCGGTGAGGGCCAGGCGGTGACACCACGCGCCCATCACCAGTTGCATTGGAAACCAATTATTTGCTGTCTGGCAGTGTGAGAGTGTGGGATGTGTCACTCCAATACAATCAACTACTGTCTGCATGAGACCTGCATGGGAGTATAAAGAATTTCAAGATGTTTCCATTTTTTCTTTCTTTACACTGTGTCTGTCGAGTTGGCAGAACTCGAAGCTGTGACTTCATGTCGGGTGGCACTAACATTTACCCCACGTGATCTTGCTTATCGATAAGCATCTCCAACGGTTTCTGTCCCGCACTCCGCAACGTTCAAGTCGCACTTTTCATTCTGCCCATCGATTCAAGGTGTTTCGTGATGTCTGAACGGAATATTCTGAGGAAGGATCAGCTGGAAGTCAGCTTGCACAATGAAAAGAAATTGATCAAGGAGGGCACCATCAAGGACGACAACCCTCTTGATCTTAGTGAGCCGTTTCGTGAGCTGTGCGCCGCTTGTCGGACTGGTGATTTGAAAGTCTGCCAGGAAAAGATTTCTGAAGGGGTCAATGTTAATGCCCGTGACCCCTATGATTATACTCCACTGATTCTGGTAAGTCAATTCCAGCTGTGTGGGCCGAGAGTTTGCTTCTGCGGATGACCTGCCACGCCCTGGGTGTTATTTTCGGTGCATTGACGAGAGATCATACGAATACCAAAGGCTAGTCTTTGTGGTCATTTCGAGGCCGTTCAGCTTCTTCTTGAATCGGGGGCGCTGTGTGAACGAGATACCTTTCAGGGCGAGAGGTACTGCTTTCGAGCCCCGCTTATCAAGCCCTGATTATTTGTGGCTGACATGTAACTCCTTGCAGATGTCTATATAACGCCTTGAATGACCGTATACGAAATCTACTACTGGAATATGACTATTCTAAATCCACCGATCCTCTCCAGCCTCTGGCTGCTCACATAACCTCGCTTCTCACTCGGGATCATCCGGAGACATCCGATATCCTAGTGACTGCGGCCGATGACTCTCTCTCTTTGCATAAATTTATACTGGCAGCTCGGTCTCCTTACTTCCAAAAGAAACTCGAAGATGCCCCCGAAACGTCGACATGGAAACTGCCCAGCACCATCCCACCTGAAGCCTTTGGTACAGCGATAAAATATCTATATTTTGGAGAAGCTCCTCGCGATTTGAGAAGCGGGCCTGGGACTGGGTTTACTGAGTCGGAAGTCTTTGCGGGTATTGACAAGATTGCCAAATATCTCGAAATCCAGACTCTAACGGATAGTATACTGGATAGCGGAGACAGGAGAATGGCCAGGCAGAGAAGAACAATTGAAGTTTCCAAGGGCCAAGAACAGCTGGAGGGATGGTTCCGGGCGAACGTCCTTGGGAATAAGGTGGTTGTTGAGACTTCCAAGGTGGATGATGTCAAGTGGGATCGCGGAAACACAGCTTTTGCAGATGTTCTGCTACGAGCTGATGAACTTCCCGAAGAGGTTGAGGAAGGCAAGAAGCCCAAGTCAACCATTTTTCCTTGCCATCGAGCAATGCTTCTTCGGTCTGAGTTTTTCAATGCCATGTTTTCCTCGACCTTCCGGGAGGCGTCTGTTAAGGACGAGTTGAGCATCATCCCTGTGGACTGCTCTGCTGATGTCCTTGAGATCGTGCTGACGTTCCTCTATACCGAAAAAGCCGATTTCTCCCTGGATATTGCGGTTGATGTTCTATTCGCAGCTGATATGCTGTTTATCGAGAAGCTAAAGACCAAGGCCGCGATTGTCATCAGCTCTCTTGGAAGTGGTGACATGTCGCAGGCAGAAGCTGCAAAGACTCGCGGCGTTAAAGAGGAGGATGACCTTGATATATATGCAATTATGCGCGCTGCCTGGTTAACACGGGTTCAACGACTGGAAACGTTTGCAGCTCGGTTCCTGGCCTATCGACTAGAAGGTCACATTGACTCGCCCGAATTTGCGCAGCTGATCCAGGAGTCAGCAGCTCGGATCAAGGGGAGACAAGAAACCGACACTATTGAATTGCTGGATGACATTCGCTTCTACCTCAATGAACGGTTTAGGCTGAGATTCGATGATGCTGGAATTGGCGAGATGATGGCAGAGGAGGTGCGGCAGAAGGCTGCTATTGGTGCTGCGGACGAAGACCTGATTAAGCTTGCTAAGGGGTTTGAGGGACTGGATATTCCCAGTAAGGACAGCGACGCACCTGCTGCAGATACAGTGGACGGTGCAGCGCCTGGGAAGCCAAACCAGAAGGCTGAACGCGACCCTGCCATCAAGACTTTGGATGGTGCGGTCGCAGGTGACGAATTTACGAAGGACGCCATCAACTACGAGATCTTGATGGAGAAACTAGACCATGTTTTGGAGGAACTGAACTTGGAAGCTTAGATTTGGATTGCATATATATATATAGAGTGGTCAGATATACGAAGAATATATGATGATGAATAAAATGGATGTCTCTGAATTGAGTCTCCAGGCAGGATAAACCAATTCTCAATGATATTTTACGGTGCTTGTATACTTACAAGCCATCAGATATATATCCACAGCAAGTGCTCTAAAGCCTTTTGAATAAATATACAATTGCAATTGGCTCATTTGCAGTTCATATATCGTTTGATTAACAGATATACATTTACAATTCCTCACTATGTTTTCTACAATCACTTGAATCGAATAAATCTATTCCAGCATAAACCAAGCATAAAACCAAACCACAATACTGGTGATAATGCCAATAGTCATTATACTAACTCTGGGCCATTAACTCTATACAAATCTATCGGCCGAGACTGGGCACAGACCGATGCAATCAAAAACTGCGTCACACCACCAGCGACCAGACCAACCCGACCAGAGAGAGCCGCAGTAAAAGTAAGAAAGAAATGAGACCAAAAATTTAGGAAAAAAAAGTGTAACTTTGGCCTCGTGTTTGTCTGAAGTCTGTGCTCCATCGAGTCCAGTTGCCCAACCGCCGGGATTTTCATTGTTGGCGGGTGTTTCACAGTGTGCGGATGAACCCGTGTTACTGCAAGTAGTACGGACTCCAGCACAAAAGTAGAAGAAAACACCTCATGGCATTACAGGCTAGGGAAGAAGTGTGACAGAATGAGCAGCCCTGCATAGGGTTTGGGAAGGAGGAATCAGGATGAAGTTTAACACTGACTTGTCCTCCACATCCCGTCTCGGTGTGGATGTTTCTATACAGAGTGTAGAGAGAGTATACACTATACGCAATGTATACTAGATAGCTACACCGGGCATTCTTGTCGGGGGATTTCCCGCCTCTCAGATTAAGAAGGATTGACATCCATGCAGGGGCCTCCACCGACAGTTGATTATACACAGATGATCGGGGGAAAAAAAGACACAACCAAGTGGGCGAAAATCAACTGCGGCGGCTGTTGATCACTGGCGACTGATTGGCGATGGCGATGGGCTGTCTCTTCTCCTCCTGGCGGGTGCAAGGATGTGTCGGGCATTTCCGTCGCGGATCATCATCCATGCGGAGGTTTTTTTTGGAGATGAAAGAGAAAAAGAATAGTAAGACTGTCAGAGAGTGGTTGAATGTTGGGTATCGACGGACGACCCCCGACAACTCTATTTTGATTATTGCAATGTTTTATGCTTCACGCGAATGGTGTTGGATTGCTTGCTGATCGACACCTGACGGCCTCGATCGGGTGTGCGGGGATGTTGGCTTGATTGGTGCGATATTCTGCGGCCACGAGGGGATGGGATCATGGAGTTATGCTGATGCTTCAGAGTTCGGATGAATAATGTCTCGTCTTGTTTTTTGGTGTTTATGATTTCATAGCCATACACACCAAGAATCCAAAGGCAGGAGGATATGATGCTATCCGGATGAAGTTATCTCCAAAGTGGCGGCGGGATTTTCCCAACTCCCCGCTTCGACGTGGATTTTGCCTCCAACACAACCGGTAACTCACTACGTCTCTACGCTTCAAACTAACACAGTGGACAACTCCATCGAAATATGGGGTCTCTGTTCAGCAAATAATCAATGTCTTTGCATCGGCTAGATAACCCTGCCTGCCCTTTTGCCTCCTGCGGATGATCTGTCTGTATCGTTCACCGTGCTCTGACCAGGCCCAACACTGACCACCAACAGACCAGGTGATGCCTCGTCTATGCGGGCTGCTCGAGCACAATCCCTTGTCATTAGACACAGTAAAATCACGATATTATTAATGGACTACAAACCTGGCCCAAGCCCGCCCGACTCTGGAACGAATCCAGATTCCCATGCATCAACACGATCTGATGCGACGAAAATCACCCGGTACTTGACCTTGGCCCTGTCCATGTGTCCGGACGGTGTACTCCGTTCAGGGATGTTAGCAAAACTCTCAATCCCAGTCTCAAAAAAGAAACAGACACAGAGAGACAAGATTCAACGGCTGGCTGGATGAATCCACTGTCATGCAGTAGTAAAGGCGATAAGCGAAGGTCAGCACGAGGCATTCGAAGTCAACGGCGGGGTTTAATTCCTCCTAGACTGCTAGACTGACTACGATGATGACTGCGACTACGACGACTGCGACGAGTCCAAGACACCAATCCCCGTCCCCTTCCGCCCTAAGCCACCCAGGATGACATGGATCGATCCTACGGTCACAGCCGTATGTAACCCTCGACCAGTCTGCTGGTACACACTACACCATGTGTGCTGGCATGGACTCAGACATAACACCCAGTTCTATATCCCCAAGAACACTGCGCACCGTATGTTTCATGTCCAGTCCAGCACAGACCTACCTGCCCATGCGGGGACAGAAACGACATGCAGACACCTGGAACTGGAAGCCTGGAAGCCTGAAATCCTGAAAGCCAGAGGATCCCTGTTGCAACCTCAAACCTCTGCGCACTTAGCAGTGAGCAGTGAGCACAGGTGGGCGCAGTATCACGTCATATTAATAAGAAGACCATGGATTTCAGCAGGTTTTTCTCTGCTGTACTCCCACGACACGTCCAATGGATTCGTATCTGCAGACGGGAACTGACGGTCTTCCGGAAATGATATAGACGAGTCACATCATCGCGTACGGACATAACCCTCGTTATAGGACAGGAAAAGACAAGCAGAGTTACACCAGCGCCGAAGGGGAGGCAAAAGGGAGGCAAAAAGGGAGGAATAGAAAAGAGTAATCTGCACGGAGATGATCACCAGAAGATCGAAATTCAGCATCAATCAGAAGCCAGAGTGCTCGACATACACACGTAACATGTGTGTGTGATGTACTGTATGTACGTCGGCACACCGTTGTCTACATCCAGTCAATCAGCCCCAGCCCAGCACCGCCATGATACGATGGTGCAGATTATACACCACCGATACCGAATACAGTTCAGCTCATCTAATCAGTCGGTGGCACAGATGGGCATGGGCTGAAACAGCCATTATGCGGTCCTGATCACATTGGGGTATGGATCTTGGCTGTGTTGTGTCATGGAGATATCTACATAGTACAAACAGACCGACACGGAGTACTAATTATTCTAATTATAATTAAATTTTATGAATATCATTGCTGAAAGCATCTGTGATAATTGTGATGGACAATGTTATCTTTACAGGGATGATGGAGTATGGCAAGCATGAAATACTCCATATACTCCATCATCGATATCATAGTAGCCTCAAGTATCCATACCATCTCCATAATAGCTCGAATATACGTACATAGTTTCAGACAATTGTTTCACATTATTAATCCAATAGAACCTCACTGCCTAACCTACATACCTAGTCTGACCTACATAAGTCACAACTCCTCAGAGGCGATCATTGATGCGCAACCGACTCACGTCGATCCATAAATACGATATCAATTAGGTACCTCTTGGTAAAATAACCGGGTCGTCTGGCCTTCTCATTGCAGTAAATTTTTAGTTAGTCTCGGTCGCAAAACCTTCTTTAGGATTCCACGCTAGTCTGCTTCTGTACAAGGTCCCGAGAAATACATTACCGCTAACTAAATTCTAATCCCAACCCGCCCGCCGCGCTGCCCGGGGATCTGCGGGTGCCGGTATCCTTGTACTTTACTGCGTACGGTAATCGATACGATTCTAACGAAGGTTTAGTTTCGTTTTTCGTTTTCCCGTGTATTCGGTATTCGGTATTGATTACTCGGCACCTGGGATGTGGCAGCTATCAGCCAGCCCAGCTATTGTAGATGTTACTGTGGCTAGCTTAGCTAGCTAGCTACTGTTGGTTAGAGTACGGAGGTAAGTCAGTTAAGGAGAATTCGGGGAAATTAAATGCGTTAACTCCGTTATGCCTACTGCCTGCTGGTTTAAAGCCTCGGTAGATTTCTACCCCCCTCTTTTTTTCTATATTAAAAATAATATAAGATGGACCAGACAAAGACAGACAGAAGCTAAGCTATGGCCAGATCTTCTATGGCTACTATTCCGATCAGCAAGAAACCTTGGAACAGTGTTTTCCTTGGAACCTTATGACGTGTCGTCGTCGTATCAGTCAGCTGAATCTAGTTTACTCTTTTTTTTTTTTTTGTTTGAAAGAAAAGACAGTGCAAAAATAGATGACTTAGAAAAAGAAAATAAAGAACGCAAAGAAAAGGGTGGTAGTGAACTACACTACAGGGCTGGGAATTCCGAATACAAGACTCGGAAGTTCCAAGTCGTACGTACCTCTTTGTTCCTAGCTTTCAGGCAATCACTGTTGATCATTGTCGGTGAAGTACAGGGGTTATCTTTGACTGCGAAAGGATTATACTGACACTGTTGGTAAGACTGTGCGTTTTCACGTCCAACATTAAAAAATAAATTATAATGTATAATAACGAAATATATTGTACAAATAATATCCACAAACAGTCCCGTTCGCTTCGATCAAAAACCCAGACCCACGTTGGGATCTCCATCGTGATTGATTCTAGGCTTTCTAACAAGCCATACAGAATGCATTATTGTATGTAGGCAGAGACATCGCTTAGGTAGTTTCTACACAGTACACACAGCCTGAAATCCCACACCCATCAATTCTCCACTCCGGATCGAATCAGATTTTGTTTGCCCACAATCACAGTGATTTACTCACTATGATTCGCAGCTCGGGGCTCAGTGGAGTTACTTCGGAGATTGTACGATGATTTCTACCCAGACTCGACTCGTGGCGATGGAGTGATATTCACTACTATCGAGTATCGACTCATGGGATATATATTGGCGGGAACTGTTGTATTGGATAGATAGAATAGGTAGAGGGGAAAGTGGAATATGCAATAATATGCATGACAGAGCAGACATGGTAGCGGAGAACAGGTAGTACTTTGCTCCGCTATTATTATTGCTACATAGTTTCTTGTTTATCCCGGTTGCCTTGTGGCTGGTAGGTTTGATTGATTAATCTAATATGGGACAGATATATGATGGAATGACTGGGATAGAGGAGGTGATCCATGGTATTGGGTGGCTGTATTTTATCATGTATCAGGATATGTCTCATTCATTTCCATTCTTTCGTGAAGAAGCAAAGAAAATCAAGTGATCTAGAGGGATGTTTCAATTAGCCAATTGGACATATAGATAGGTAGCAGTCAGTCAGTAACGTAGTAATGGATGTGATGCCAATGCTACTATACAATGCAAGATGGTCTGATTCTTAAACTTTCGAGCTCAGCCATGTGTTACAATGCACTAGGATCATATCAGAATCATCACCATCACCTCTCAACATGTAGGCTATGTCAATTGTAGCTGACACATAAGCAGTGCATCGGCTTTGGTGCCAAACTCGGGAAGGCCCGAACGACATGCAAGCGGAGGCCTGCCACGTGAAAGGCCAGGGTCCAGACTCCAGCACGCGCCGGCCTGGGCCAATCAGATCGCCCGCTAAGACCCTGCGACCGCACCTGATCTGCCTGGCGCTTGCCTGCCTTAGGCCTCTTGACGCCCGCTCCAGCAGTTCCCGTACAGAAAGGGGAGAGACAGCCAGAGAGCCAGTTTCAGGTTTCAACCCCAGAGAAAAAGCAACGAAAAAGGGTAGACACGGCAGATGCATCATCGAGGTCTTGGCTGGCTTGGCTGGCTTGGCTGCTTGGCTGCTTGGCGGCCTGACTGCCTGGTGTTCCCTCCATGAACCAACTTCCCTGATGACGATCTGCGGTGGTGGTCTGTTAGCCAACGTGGCGGTCTATAATCTTGGCTATTATTATCCTGGCAATCTCTCCCTGATGGAGGGTGAAAGGCTGAAAGGCTGAAAGGCTGAAAGGCCGGGTGCTCAGTGCTGACCAGATATTGATTAACTTGACGGCCTCTGACTCAGTACCGCCACTGTTGCCGCCTCAGTGTGACGTCTGTCAATATCGACTATAGATCTTGTCCCACCCTGTCATCTATTCTATATTGATTACGCTCGGGGGGTAGCCGATGGTTTCGTGGCCTGTTACCATGACCATGGCCGATCATGATAGTCTGCCGTTGTCGTATGGACGCCATGTGCTTTTTCAAAGTTTGCACTTTGAAGAATCCATCCCGATTCTAGCCTTCTCGAGGAGACGAGGCACCGGCTGATGCGACTGATCGTCTTTTCTTCGCGTGGCGGAATGCAGCGTCAATTCTTGTTTCATGGCTTGGCCAAACCACAGACGGGTAGCAATCAACCTTTGCGCTCTGGCTTGTGACTCTGTACAGGTAGAGGCTTGAGCTTCACACCCAGCGACGAGCGTCAAGGTTTGCTTTATGATTTGATCGACAACCGTCATACATTACCGCCCGTGTTTTGCCGCAAAAAAACATGGTTGTGGCTTGGGCAGCCACGAATAAGAGGGTGGCAATCGAGTTGTTTCAGTTGGATCACCGTCCTCGTCCTCGTTTGATCACATTATTCATTTCGTATTGGAATGGACATGGATGGAGGATCATGGCGATGACAGCCTCTTTTGGGAGGGTTCCGTGGGAATCCGGGATTTGAACGACCGAGCCTGAGCCTGAGCCCCTTTAACCCGTGATGGCCTCGTATGATAGCCGGGGAGGAGGGATCAGAGGAAAGAGATCGGCCGGAATACTGGAAGAAGAGAAGAAGAACGATATTAACGAGATGGCGTTGGGAATAATAAAGCAATAATATCAATAGTTTTGAAACCCCGGTGTCGATAGTAGTTGACAGTCCGTAAAGCTGGTGATGAGATCGAGTCTAGGCGGGTTGCAGTAATCAGCCCGAAGACTATAGAACGCGCCTAAGCCTAGTTGGGGGGGACACACTTGGCGAGGGGAACCAGGGACGTTGGAAGCGTTGGATGATCAGCGCACATCATTGTCAATCTGCAATCAAGGTTTATCTTTTGTTCTTGGGAAGACTCCGGAAGACACCTTTTCCGGTATGCGTGGCCCCCCTGTGCACGGATTATTCATACTATTCATAGTTTTGTGCATCACCATCATCTCGGTGAGAGTCCGTTTCATGAAAGGGGAATCTTACTATGTAGACTATGGATTATGGACTATGGAATATGGAGGAGATCATGATCTGTGATGTTTTGACTAACGGTTACTACCAGGTAGATGTCCACCATCTTCCTGTCTGGCTGTCTGGACTATCTGACACAGCTTGCGCATCCTGACAGTCCATCTCTTTTAGGAAATCTCCTCGGTGAGGATTTTACTTTGCGTACAGAGAAAGTATATGTGCCAAGTTGCCAACCTTCTTTAATACAAGGGACACGAGACACGAAGCCAAAAAAGGGCCTCAGGCCAAAAGAACATCATGATCTTTATCCACAACCCCATAATATCTGTTCCCCCTTCCCTTTTGGTATCCCTTTGACGATTTACCCCGTCAACCACGGAACCAAATTATCCAGACGAGATGTTCTGGAATCTCTCCCAACCCAGAGTTGGATGGATGATCACCCATATCTCGACCTAAGGTAGCAGGGGGAGGATCATCGGCCCCGTTCGCGGGACTCAACTCTGGCACTGTGGATCTGGTACCATACAGAGTGCTCAAGCCTCAGGCCAGCCAATTTCCATTAGGTGTCAGCCAACAATTTTTCCCTTCTTTCAATTCTGATTTCTGGCCCCCTGTAATTCTGGGGTCCGTGGGTCTGGATGGATGACTTCTTTTGACTAACTACTAACGGAGTACTCCGTTGCTTATAGGCTTGTTGCTGTCCATGGGAATATCATAATGAGAGAATTAAAATAACACACCCACCAGCCAATCAGGTTGATTCAGTCTCGCTTCCACGAGGTTTAAACAAGTCTTTGTTTGTATTAAGGTTGGGAATGACTGGGCTTGCTTACGGGCCTCAGCACAGCCAAGTTCCAACACCCAAGACATGTAACATTAGGAACCCTGCCGATTACCAGATTGGGAATGGAATGGGTAATGAGATTTGCGGATGATCTCCCTGGTCCATGCAGATGGTAGGCCTCATATTTAGATATGTAACCATAGAATACTATGTCGCTAGATGTAGACTACATATGTAGTTGTAAAGGGGAGATTATGTGTTGTCACTTGGCATGGTTGGATACCAGCATAACAATGCAAGTACTTTTGTGTGTCTTAATAATGGCTGCTCGCATAGATTAGGGTTTCTACAATGGGAAATGGGCTGGGCGGTTCCCTCCGCCGGGCTACGTAGACTATGGCGGCGATCAACTCGGGGTAAGAAAGATCAGAGGTGATGACTGATGCATGACTGATGCATCCGAGGTCTGAAATTTGAATCAATCCAGAAGAAGCAAAGAAGCAGAAACCCCTTATTGATACGGAGGATTTCTCTGAAGTCTCAAGACTGTCGAATTATTCGGTAGGGTCAATTCTGTAACTTGACCCCTACGGACTGTTTCCGTGAACTGAATAGTAAATACGGGGGCGTAGATCAGTTCAGGATAGGTTTTTTTAACTATGGACGCGTCGCAACGATCATGGCCCATGCTCTACTCCCTTTCTCGGTTCCAGAACAGGTTCGTCGTTTCCCTTTCCTCTTTCGGGTAAGGGTGTAGTTTACTCAAGCGCGACCGAGGCAAATCCTTTTCTTTGCTTTCCACCTCGCAACCTTTCTCAAACAAACCCGACTTTGAGTTATGGCGTTTCATCCACCCGCGATCTGACGGAAGATCCCAATTGGAAAAGAAATTGGCAGAAACTGAATCCTTGCCGCTTTTTTTTTTTTTTTTTTTTTTTTCTTTTCTTTCGGTCGGGACTTGTCGAGGCGATCGGGACGGGAGGACTACGTGGCTGGATGCGACGCTTCTATCTATGGATTTACAGTCTGTAGTTTCGGTCAAGGTGATCAACCCTGAGCAAGTACCACATAGTTTATCTCGTAGAAAGTACGGGACTAAGGAGAGTAAGATGGTCGTTGTGAGTTCTGATTTTCCCAACATGACGAGTCCATTTCTACCTACAGAAAACACGGGCTGCACGGGCGATCAATGATGGGCAAATGGAGGATTTCCCTCGAGTCATCTCATCTGCGGTATGCATGATGCATCATCTGTTTGTTGGCTTTTATTCCTTTCCCAGGATGTCAGTTTTAATTGTCTTGGTTGGAGGGCTTTGCCATGTGCTGTGTAACGGACAAGCCACCACCGGAGCCAACCAAGTAACCAACAGCGCAACTGACGAATCGACGTCCGTGGTCCGTCGCTAGCAGAGTTGCACTACTCCAGAGTAAGTTTAGTGGCTCTCCAAGTTAAACCTTGTTTTACATTCTAGGGCTGGTCATTGGCTGCCACTGCCACGATAACCTCCGGTTCCTTCAAGGCATTAAAACGCCTCTTTTGGACGCAAGCGAAGGATTTATTACATAAGGCAGATTTTAATATCGTTCATAGATTCCTTTCTGGTCAATTCCGGATGATTCGCTGATGGGATTTCAGCCCTTGTGCCGCGCCTCATCATCCGCCCCCAAGCCAGCCCCGAGGGCTTGGATTTGGAGGTATTATAGGTTGTGTTATATTATTATATTATTATAATTATGTTATGCAAGTGACATGGACGGAGACATTTCCCATCAGAGCAATGTTCCTCTTATGCAGGATATTTACTTTTTTGATTGTGTCTCGCCTGCATTTCTCGGAGGATGCCCGTACGCAGTACCTGGATCATCATCTTTTCCCTACACAGACCACACCCTGAAGAGGCGAGGAGGGTACACATCTACACAAGATCTTTCCTACTTTGCGAAAATTAGACGAAGCAACCAAAGATCTACGTGGAACATGAGATCAGGTTCTCAGCAACGCATGATCGTGCGGCAACGATCAGCCGTTTATGGGGCATGGGATCGTTGTGACAGGTAAAACCAGAACAGGCGCCCCACCCCCTTCCAGATCAGCTGTGCTGTCGTCATGATACCGGTACCAGTCCGTATACCCAACTCCCACCAAGAGCCTGTAACATGTTACAGAATACTGTACAGTCCATGGATCTGCACTAGCGCCAGGCCTAGCTAGCCGAGCCCCGAAGTCAGCTCTGTAAGTACCGCAAGTCCCGTTGCCCTTTTTCGCCGATCTGTCACTTTGACCCCCTTTACGGAGCAACCACGAGTTGGTACGGGGTGACCCAGCGGAAAAAGCTCATCTCTCGTCGAGCCTACCCAAAGCATATTACTTACGTGTATTGAGACGGGAACATTACGCCAGCACCACCCACCGGTCATCAATTAAGCTTTCGGACGGAGTAATCATCCTGGGTCGGCGAATCAGACCCCTGTCGCCTGCAGGCAGAGCGTGTATTATTCGTAACGTCACGTACGATCGTTCATCGTCGGCTTCTCCCGCCTTCGCTGGGCCCCATCTTTTTTGCTGCTGTGTATTGCTCGGTTTCCACCCGTCGTCTACTATACCTCACCCAAAGCTATTATTATCATTTGCCCATCATTTCGGATATTTGCTTTTAGTCGTGTATTATTATTTTATTTTTTATTATTTCTCCCCATCTCCAGTCCATCGCTCGTTCTCTTCCTCTTTCGTCTAGATACCCCGTCTTCTGCCCCTGTCGTCGCCCCCACTTCCTCCTTCGCCCTGTGAGAGATCGTATATTATCATCATCCGCCTCTTCTTACTTATACCTCCCACTCTGCACCCCATCTTCCTCTTTCAGATCGACTTGATATCATCACCTCACCACTCCAACTACCGCCTCTACCTTCTACCTTCCACACTCATACCACCACTACTCCATCATGGATCTCGCTAGCCTCATCACCCACTCGGGTCCGGAACCCGTCTCTCTTAAGCGTCGTGCGACTTTCAGCCCTCCTGCTGTCTCATACAAGCCTTCGACTTCAGACAAGGACTCCTACTTCACTGCTGTCCCGACCACATACACGCGCTCCCCGCAACCGCCTCTGTCTCCTCCGGTCGAGGACCAGCCCAAATGCTCTCTCCCCTCCATCTCGACTCTTCTCGAGAGCGCAGACAGCGCATCCATGCAGCCTGCAAGTATGGCTCCCTCAGCACTCCACTCATGATTTTCGCATAGCTAACCTTCTCCTCGCGCAGAGCGCCAAAGAATGTCTTCCCCCGCGCACCGGGAACTTGACTTCAGACTCCCCTCGTATGAGCCCGTTGGCCCTGTTCGCTTGCCGCCTACGCCTCCTCTGCGTCCTGGCTCCAGCTTCCACCGCAACAGCCACTCTCCCTCGGCTTCGTCTGTCTCGGCCGCTAGCATCAGCAGCACCAGCCCAGTTGTCAAGAACACCGACTCCTTCCAGACTCCTGTGACTTCCGGCAGATCTTCCGTCTCCAGCCAAGGATCGCAGCACGTTTCTTCTGGAGCCGCTCCTTATGCTTCTCCTGCTCCTAGTGTGGCTTCATACTCTTCTCCTGTCGAGTCCACTGCTTCGTCCGCCGCTTACTACCAGCGCCCAACTAGCTCGACCACCTACCAGAGCACTCCCAGCGTTGCTCCTTCAGCTCCCGCTCCTCTGGCGTCGACATCGCACCAGCAGATGATCTCTCCCGTCACTCCAGCCTGGCAGCACCACCACTACTTCCCCCCTTCCACCTCGACTCCCTACCAGCAAAACCATGACCGCTACATCTGCCGCACATGCCACAAGGCCTTCTCTCGCCCCTCCAGCCTCCGCATCCACTCTCACAGCCACACCGGCGAGAAGCCTTTCCGATGCACACACGCTGGCTGCGGTAAGGCCTTTAGCGTGCGCAGCAACATGAAGCGTCATGAGCGCGGCTGCCACACCGGCAGAGCCGTCGCAGCTGCCATGGTCTAAATCTAGACCCAAACAGCAAACAAATTTCCCTTTATTGTTCTATCTTCGCTTCTCTGAAATCTTTCGGGCATGCTCAAAAGATTATACCCTTTTTTTTGTAAACATTTTTTTGTTTCCTTGCTGTTTCTTCGATGATACCCTCTCATGCGTGTTTTACACTGGCTTTGGGGTGTCTGGGGATGAACATTTATGTTTTTGCTATTTTTTTTTTTTTTTTCTTTTGTGTCTTTATTTCATATGTACATTTTACGAACATGTATATGCGAAAGGGAAGCAGCCAGGCGTCTGGGAGGTCAAATCATGGATACTATGGATTTTTTATCAAAAGGTCAAGACTCCGATTATTATCTTGAACCTAGGGTGGAAGGAGTTACTTATGTTATGAATTTTCTTTGTCCGGTTAATGTGACTCACGAACTCCATCCAAACAAATATCAAAACAAATCAAAACAAATCAAAACAAATCAAAACAAATCAAAACAAATCAAAACAAATCAAAACAAATCACTATACATATCTATATTCTTTTAAGTAAATCTGTATCCTGTGCTACATAAACTGAATCTTGTTTCACTTCAACTCGATTCTCGAGTCTTGAAAATGTGATACCCGTAGCACGGAACAAGTTACTCGTCACTCAGCCCTACTCGAGCCTTAGGTAATCAATTCTCCGGGATTATGGCGTAATGCTGCAAATGATGTTCAGTGTCAAAAATGCAACAACCACGAGGTTTTTATGCGATGTTATGTTTATTTTATCTTAATCAATTTAATTTAATGTAATTTTCAAAAATAAATAATGAATGAAATATGGATGGTTTTTTGTTATCCAAATATTCAATTATTATATACATTTAGCACACAGAAAATATAGAGCATATTCATCCATTTATGTACAGGAATCGAACAAAAAAAAAAAAACTCATTTATCATCCCAATCCCATTCGCCTAGCCTGGACCGCGCAAATCTCGCCGTGAAAGCAAATATTTAAAATTAGAAAAGAAGAAAAGGTATCAGAAGAAAGAAATCATCATGCGTTAACGTCGACATGGCCGTTACTCCTCATGGTATTTTGGATGGCTCTGCCTTGGTCTCGCTGCTCGTTAACCTTTCTCATTGTTTGAATGGCTTGACCGAAATTGAGCTCATTGTAGTCTCTGGGCATGTGTTCGCCACTGACGATACAGAGAACCCTCATGCCAGGCTTGTAGACGAGGCCGCTGAGCAGCTTGGGTGTGATCAGGAAGTATTGGCCACCGCCACCACCACCGACGCCGTCGGCTGCGTTGTTTCCTGCAGCGCAAGCAATGTCCACTAGTCGGCCGTGTACCATGCGCTCATTTCGTGGGTCCATACCCTGATTGATCTCGTCGACGACGCGGAATGGCGAGGCTGATAGGGACTGGAGGGCCATGAGGTAGAAAATGGTACTGACGGCTCTTTCTCCACCGGATTGCCGATGCGAGTCGAGCAGAGACAAACTCTCGTGCTCCCGGAATTTGACGTGGATTTGGATGGACCACTGATCGAAATTGCTGCCGCCAGTTTGGCCATCTGGCCCGGCTTCGTCCTCTGCCTTGTCCAGTGAAACCTGGCCAGCACATCCGATGCGGGCGAACGAGTCGGAGAACGCATCGCTGATGCTTTTGACCAGTGCGTCGAGCTTCGGTTCCCATTTGCCTCGGATCTCATTGATTGCGTGGTCGTATTCTGCAAGTTGATTATGGAAGTCGGCAAGGTTGTTGCGCAGTTTCTCAATCTGCCGTTCACGTTCCTCGAATTCTTTGATGATATTGGCACTGCCTCCTTGCGTAAGTTCCAACCGTGCCTTTTCGGAATCAATGTCTGCCTCTAGTTGATCCACAGAAGTCTTGTTCGTTCCCATGGTCGAAAGCTCCTCCTTTAGGTCAGGTTGACTGTTGGATAGTTGTATAACACGTTGCGATTCCACAACCATTTCCCTTCCGTTTTTCGAAGCTTCTCTCATGATGCGGTGGGCTTCTTGTACCTCTTTATCTTTGCTTTGCAGCAGGTCCCGGTGTTCAGCACTGCGGTCTTTCAAGGTTGTAAAATCAGAGCGACCTTCAATCAACTGCACCTTCAATTTGATGAGTTGTTCGTGCTGTGTACGGAGATCATCCACCGCATTCTAGAGGTTGTTAGCAGTAGACCTAAAAGTAAACCTGGTAGACTTACAGCATATGCAATGGCAGCCTCAGCCTTTTTAATTGCTACCTGATCCTGTTGACCGCGGATTTCCAAAACCCTGTTCCTGGTTTCCTCAAAGAACCTGTAGAAATCTTTTTGCTTGGCTTCTTGCTGACCTGCAAATCATTAAATCAGGAACCAGAGAAAGGTATGGAACATTGAACACTTACGTATTCTTTCGGGGAGAGCTCTGTAGTTGGTAAAAGCTGTCTGCTTGTCTGACTTCTCCCGCTCAAGGTTAACCTGAAAAATGACGTGAGTCCATATGTCAAATATCCCAAGAAAATAGAACAAACCTTTTCTCGATCGAGCTCATTGTGCTGGTCACCCAATCGTTTAAGTGTAGTTTTGTCGGCATCTATTTTTTCTTGGACTTCTCTAGCCTCATTCTTCCAACCCTCAATTTGCTGCTGCAACTCGTGTTTTGCTGATGCATCCACTGGTTGAGAAGTCCACACCTTCGCGGGCTTCACTTGCCTCACACGCGTTGAAGATGCACTGGGACCATACTCTCGTCGCCTCATAACTTGATACGTTTGCTTCCTAGTCACCCAGGAGCTGATGGGGCCATTTTCCAATCTACCGAATTCCTCATCGGAGATGTCGCGAAGAGTTATAGGCGTCTGGTGCAACCGGTTCTCACTACAAAGCATGGCAAGCACAGGCTCGGGGCCGGCGAGATAATCCTTTGCCCAGCCATCGAACCCTATTCCATTCTTGAGTTCATCATCTGATATAGGCGGTCGAAGACTGTCTAGAGGAATTGAGCAGGTCCTGATACTGATATCGTGAAGTTTCATGTCGATATTCAGTGCCCTTTGCAATGTCTTGAAATCATTGCGAGTTTGCGTGGTGAAGGTTGTGAAGTCTGTTCTTTGGAATATCGACTCGACGGGGTCAGCATATTTGGGATCTGTCACGGAGCAGGTCACAATTGGTGGACCGAAAACCTCCTTTTCGAATTTGTCCTGGTTCTTAAGCAGCCACTTGTAAGCTTGATAGGAATGTCTCGATGCTGCTTCGAGCTTCGCCTCTTGCCGTCCAGCTTGAGAGTCCAGGCCTTTCAGTTGCTCCTCTGCCCGATTGATACGTGTTGAAAATTCTTTTAGTTTTTCGAAATGTGGCCGCCTTTCCTCTTTGATTTCACTCCCCCGAACCTCGAGCTCTCTCATTTCTCGCCGTTTTTCTCTCTGTTGCAAGGATAAGCAAGTATTCTCTGTTCCCCGCACATTGTGTACTCACGATCTTCTCGTTATACCAATCAACATCGAACTCAATGCCCTCTTCATTCAACTGGCGGGTGAGCCTGTTGATATTTTGCTGGATTTTACCAGCCTCTTGCTTGTAATTGGTACTGCTTTTCTTTTCAGCATCAATCTGAGAGCCGAGATCCTTCATTGAATTCTCATATTGTTCAATCTTCTTCCCAAGTTTCGTGGCTTTGGCATCCGCCTCATCAACGATGCCCTGCTGATGCTTTTCTACTTCATGTAACTGTAGAACATAATTTTGCTTGGCATTAACCGCCCTCAAAGCAGGCTCTAGATCAGTCTTTAGCTGTTCCAGCTCACGCAAGAGTTCATCCTTTTTTTGTTTCATGTTCTTTAATTCCTCGTGGTGCTGTCTGTATCGTGCGATAGGGCGTAGAGTTTCAAGAATCTCGATTTTTCTCTTTATCACCGCTCGTTCGCGCATCCTCTCAACATCCGCTCTTTGCATCTCTTGTCGGTTTTCAAGATTCGTAAGCGAGTCCTTGTCACCTTGGTTATCCATCTGCAACTTCTTCTGCTGTGCCCTCAATTTCTTCAAGTCATCATGCCACTCCACCATTTCTGGGCCCGCAGCAGCTCGTTGCGTAGAGTGCAGCAATTCAATCGGGGTGAGCGCAGCAAATTCGCTCACTTTGTCTTGTGGCAGAAACTGGCATAGATTGTCGATCTGGATGGCGAAAGATTGAGCAAGCTTTAACACAGCGGTGCGTGATACTGGTTTTCTGTTCAGAGTGAACGAACTCTTGTTGCCTTCGCGCTTGATAGTTCGAGATACAACCGGATTTCGACGGAACCGTGCTCCTCCTGCAAGTTCTATTTCGATAATGGCTTCTCGGCACCCATGCTTTACGAATTCACCGGGGTCTTTTGCACGTCCCAAGTGCTATATTATTCAAAATTGTTAGAAAATCTATGCCCCACCAGTCTTGTAGAGTTAAAAAAGAGTCATGCATCTCCCATACCTGTGGGCCCCAGCCTAGACCTAGACATATCGCGCACACCAGAGTACTTTTTCCAGTTCCATTAGGCCCGATCACCATGTTCAATTTCGGACCGGGGAAGAACTCGGCAGAGGTATATGTGACAAAGTCTGTGACCTTGATTCGTACGATAGCACCTGGCTTGTAGCCATTTTTATCGACCCCCTCCGAATGGCCATTCTGGGTGTCGCCAGACTGTGTTTGCGTAATCTGCGTGGAAGGCTCAGGAACTTCGCTATCATCATCGTCCGAGTTTTGACCAGAATTTCCTGCTGTATCCTCATCGTCTTCTGTTTCCACGCCGGCTTCTACTCGAGAGCGTTTTTGAGATCCAGGTGTGGGGTATCTGGACGAGTTGGACGATGATTCCTCGCTATCGTCGTCATCATCCGCCCTTTTTCGACGGGTTGGGACCGCCCGCGAGGAAGGCATAGTTTATAGTGTAAACTGCGCCTTCGTGCAGGGTGCTTGGGGCGGAATAGTGATTTTCTCAACTCGTTGATACAAAAATGGCGATAATCAACCACGCGATTGACGCGACGCGGTTTCCAATACTAAATCCGGATCGGGAAGGCGGTCAGTCTGGCCAATTCCGTTATTCTCTTCCGTGAGGCTTTGCGGAACTCGCATCGGAGGAGATGCAATCGATTTGTCTAGCAATTCAGCGTTGATTTTTCTGTTGTTGGGGAAATCAATTTATTTCAGTTATCATGCCTCGCCCCGTGAATGTTCGACGACTTGTTTTGGCTGGTGCCGTGACTACGATTACTATTGCGGGAACCCTATATGGTGCGGGTGTAAAGACCGGACAAGAGGCTAAGCAGGTACGATTTGCAATTGGACAATAATTTGTATATAGCTGTTTTATTTGTATAATCCCTCTATTAATCTATGTTCGAAATCCAGGTAGCACAGAAATCCCGCGAAGCCACGATTGACGAAAGGATCGAATCTCTCCGGAGCACACGGGAAAACCTATCATCTAAGAAATTGATGGTTGAAAAGCAGATTCGCGATCTAGATGCCAGAGTTGAGGATAAGCAACAAAAGGGGCTGGCTGCTTCGAACACAGAACGACCACATGATGGGTGAAGAAACCAAGAAGATTTGAGGTTGGGATAAAGGTAGAACGCAACTGTTCCCTCGGCAGTTCGATGAGATGCTGACAAAGTCGTAGCTGGAAATCTTGGTTGATTCGATCTGTGCGATAGATTCCACCGTATATGGCCAACCTCTGCTTGTTCCTTTCGACTAGACATTCTGATAAGGCTACGCTGGGGAATCTGTCCGGGCTATTCGCACAACCCATAAGCTGGAACAGCCTCGCTTCGATTAGAATATGCCAGCCAACAGTTTCCAAAGAAAGCTTCAACATATACTCAAGCCACTGCGCATCTTGCCTTGGTTTTGATACACACGTCGTCTCGGGCGTGTTCACCGTCTGCTCCGCCGAAAGCAGAGCAACATCTGACTGATACTTTCATTTTGAAGTCATAAATCCGGTCACTGAAAACACCTGCCGGACTAAAAGAAAACATCTTTCAAGTAAAGGAAAACGGGAAATCTATATGGTATCAAGAAAGCCGGACATCCTCATCGAAGTGGCTGTCCTGAAGCCGAGGTTATAATTTCTAAATCTAAGATGTATAAACAGTCTGTATAGTACCCCAAGAAAACAAGAAAACAAGTTAAAGAAGCGCCTGGTATCTCGATATGTATGTAGTATCCCCATCATGTTTAACCAAAATCATAGGATCTGCCCTTATACCGTCTATATCGTCCAATATTAGGTCGCATTGTAGATAGTTCGTAACACGTTATTCGTCTAGAATGCCTCGCGCAAGGGCAGCGAGACTAGTTTCGTATCTTGCCGGGTTGTGATCGCTCAACATCCCTGAGCCAAATCTCAGCTCCCCGAACATGGCTTCGACATCTCTGATGAATTTCAATTGCACCCTTGTAGCAGGCCGTCCGAGTAGTGGGTAGCCGTCTTCACGCAGACCGGATGTGAAGGCGTCTCGTTTCAAAACACGCATAGTCTCGACGACGAATACCTCGCCTGGTGGCATGAGCTTGGGGGCAAGCAGATCGGCACGAAGTCCCTTGAGTGTTTTCCATGCCCAGGCATCTTCGCCGACCCCGTCACCGGCTTGGACAAGCATTGGCGGCTCATTGACGTAGAATTTATTGACGATGCTGTGCCTTATCCCTTCCCAGACACGGCCTCGCACGTTGGACCTTGCTTCAGAAATGTCGTTTTTGAACGCAAGGGAGACCATGTGCATGTCATGCAGAATGCCTAGAGAAAGACTCGGTACGACGTCTTGGCCGTTCACAACGGTGGTGATCAACCCGCGCGTTGCACGGCGCAAAAATGGCGACATCACCGCAGGAGGGCCGTACGCGTAGACATGGATGGGACGTCCGGGAGGGAGGAAATATTCTGTATGAGTGTCGTGTTCGCTCGATTGCGCCAAAAGCAGACGCCTGGTGACTGATTGATAGGAAGCGGTCACAAATGAAGTTCCAGATGATTCATTGCTGGGTTCTGATATCATGGTTGCGAGGAGAGCTGCAACCCCACCTCCTAACGAATGACCGCACAGAACAACCCCATAGTCTGGATATTCTTCCAGAGCAGCTCTGATGGTGATCATTACCCTACCGCCTCCTCCTTCCAAAAGACGTTTTGCAGACGCATGCATCCCCTTGTGAACCTTCCAACTCTTGCCTTGCCATTCGAGATCATCATAGTCACAAGTCATGTCTGTAAGGATATCTTCAAATCCCCATGTTCCTCTCAGCGTAAGGACAATCGCCTTCGATTCATGGTCTAAGCAGAGGTAATGAACGAGAGGGAATCCAGTCTCCGTTTCTCCAGCAGCATTGGTGCCACCTGCAGGGTCCACAAAGGATGACAGGAGGATCGTCGATGCTGGCAGCCCAGCATGGTTTGAGAAATCACTGTGCTCCTGACTGTGGGTTTCTTGGGAGGGAAGGCTATTGGGAGTTTTGGGGACACCCATCACTTTGAGCGCATTTGATCCATACGATGCCAAAGAAAATCGACAGAAGCGTCGGATGTTCTTCACGAAATGCATCTCGGGAAAAATCCCAGGAACTAAACCATCCCGGTTTAGGGCTTGTATAGTTGCCGCATCTTCATAGGCACTCTTTCTGGCACGATGCGCTAGGATGAGTGATGTTTCCGAGCCTGCTGTTGCCAACGAATAGATGCTAGGAGAAAATGAATCTTTTCTTCTGTGAAACGAAGACGAGCCGGGGCGGCTATCATTGTTGACGGACACGGTCATGTCTGCCTCGGATCTTGTCAAGGATAAAGAGCTGCTGCTACGCACATGATTTCTCGTTGCCGCGGGTGATCCCGGATGTATGTCCCCTGTACGGCGGGAGTAGGCGTCTGTATGTGCCATGTAGGACTCCTGGTTCTTTTCGCGGACTGAAAAATAATCAGTCCCAGTATCGCGAGTGTTGCCATGACGTGCTGCTGAAGAGGCAGTTGATTTCATTCGGGAAGAATCTTGCAATGGAGACCTCGGTAATCCTCTGTTTGCTACAGGGGATGAAAAGAATGAAACCTGACTGCTGGAAGGTGAAACCGTTTTGTTTGTTCTCCCTTCTGAGCCAGGTTTGGAAGGTAGCCTTCGTGGCACAAGACTTTTATCGGCAGTCGATCCTTTAGAAGCCTTGTTAGACTGTCCTTGGGGTGTAATCGATGGCTTTCCAGATGGCTTCACTTTCTGAGTAAACTTGCTAAGAGAGCTTTTTCCAGTTGTAGTCTTAACATTTGTCTCCGATGCGCCCAAAGATGGGTGACTCGAGCTTTGGCTATTTCGTATGCCTGTACGTTGTTCATTAGATCTATTATTTCGTGTCGTCTCTTCATCTCCAGTACCGATCATCCTAAGAGATGTTGGAGCACCGGTTAGATCTTCCACAGTAGATTCTGGAGTACCTCTTTCTTGATGCCTCACATTCGCACTTTGCGACTTGTTGAATTCTGTCCTGAACACAACAGTGTGCTTTGGAAGATGCCGATGATCAGCCAGCTCATCTCGACAATTGCTTCTATCCTGATGAAATTTTTCCTCGATCATCATCGTACCAGGCGGAGCAGCAATCTCTGCAGTATCATCATCGAATACATCGACGGTAATTGTACGTGCCGTAAGTAAATCGGTTCTGATAGATGCATGACAACCCCGGGGAAGTTGTTTCATGATATGCAATCGAATGTCTTCATCCATCTGGTGTTGATCTTCTGATGGAAGAGAGAGACGAGGTCCGTCAATGGCGTCGACCATACTTGGCCGACGTTGCACCGCATTGAAGTAACCTTCCTCATTCCCAGGCGACATAAAGGAGGAACGCTTCGACTCATTTAAATCGGTATGGGGATTATTCGTAAGCTTCAGGGGATGTGTTCTGATAACATCGGCCCTGCTCCCATTGTCTAGAATGACAACATCCCAGATGATCTCATCGCCTCCGTTTTCGTGTATTTCTCTCTCTGTATTCTTTTTGCCCCAGCGCTGTAGCAAGGCGAAACCAACAGTTCCAACCAGAAGATCACCAACACCAATCTTTTCGGCACCGATATCAAGTTCGGGACGTCTGAATTCCCTTCGAATGAGAGTTATGATTGCGGCAATCGCTCTCGAGGACTCTGTAGACCCAAGTATCGCATCCAGAGTGGATAGAAGAGTTTGGGTTAGATTAGAAGCCGAAGAAAGCGTTGTACTTGAGAAATGAAACGTTGCTGCGGCGATGAACGATGCCGAGGTCACGGTTGTGTGTAGCGCTGCTATCTATGTCTGGGGTTAGTACCATGAGATAAATAGCAAAACTCAAGGCCAAAAGCGTACGCTTCTTTCAAGCAAAGATTCTGCCTCTGCTTTACCATGATCTCCACTGCTACGGAAGGCCACATCTCGGCCGGCCCTTGTCAGAATCCCCTCGATCACGGCTCTGCTGAGCTCCAACCCCGTCAGCGTAGTGACTCGCGCTCCGTCAAGAGCAGCGCCACCAAAGAACGATCCCAGGCGAAGAGAAAGCGAAGTAGATTGAGTCAGCAGCGACACAAAGGAAGCCACTGGGCGAGGTAGAAGAGGCGCGCCGGAAGTTGCGGGGACATGGCTTGTGCCATCGTCACGATTCAGATCTTCGTTAGTCTCGGGCTTGACTTCAGTCCGTCTTTTTAATATAGATATAGGCATCCCGGCAATTAGATGAAACCGATGAAATTAGGTTAAATGTAGTCATTAGTTGCAGATTCCAAAGCAATATAATCTGCAAGCCATGGACAAGGGAGTAGTGATCAGATCAGTGATGATAGTGACAAGACTCGGGGTCAAAACGGGGAACGCAATCTGAATCTGGTTAAGGGCAGTTAGTCAGGAGTTGCGTCAGAAGATTGCACTGATTTGTTCCTGACTGACAGAGAGACATGTCGATCACCGAGGACAAGAACAACCACGAGCCAGTGAGCGTGCGCTGACTGACCTTTTCGTGCTTCAATATTGGGGCGCGTCCGTTGTTGAAGGCTGTGGGGATGGGGGTTAGCATGTGATTCACCGACGATCCCCAACAAAGTGGCTACACCCTATCCCGTTTGCCCAGCCTATCTACATTCCACTCACCTGCAAGTCAGGGATTATTGACAATATATTATTTCGGAATGTTCAAACAGTCTTAGATACAGGGCGGAGACGGTGAAGGCGCAGACAGTGTTACAGCCACCCAAAAAGCTGAGAGAGCATGATCACGCGCAAACCCAGGAATGCAAGCCAACGAATTTTACATCATAGCCTTGAGATCTCCTCCATATAGAACCTTCCGCAACTTTTCTCGATTGCAATCAGCGACTGTGGTAATCCCAGATAAGCTCATGCTCTGCCAGAGGTCTGCCAGCAGGCCTCTCAACACGGATTTAGCCCCTAATTTCCCACCAATGGCGAGTCCGTATATCACAGGCCTGCCAACGAGAACTGCTTTTGCCCCGAGGCATAGAGCTTTGATGGCATCGACTCCAGTACGGATTCCGGAGTCAAAGAGGACCGTCATTTTATCACCGACGGCGTCGACAATCTCGGGAAGAACCTCCAACGAGCCAATAGCGCCGTCGACTTGTCGACCTGTATAGTGGAATATGTCAATGCAACTGGTCGGAGATGACGAGGGTGCTACGGTTATCCAATGACATACCTCCATGGTTCGAGACAACTATTCCGTCACAACCAGCCTCAAGTGCAAACTTGGCATCTCCTACATGCTGGATGCCTTTGAGCACAAGCGGACCATCCCAGTGTTTCCGCAAAAAGGCAACCTGATCCCAGGTGTGTGGCTTTCCAGGGAAAGCATCCCCAATCCACGCCCGAGATGCCCCGAGAATATCATCCTCTACCTTTGTACCTGTAGATTTTTCAAACTTGGCACGGAATACTGGGTCACTAAAGCCCACCTGGACCCCGATGCCTTTAAGGAAAGGGATATAGGCATTGTCTAGGTCTGCTGGTCGCCAGGTAAGAGACCAAGTGTCCAATGTCACCACGAGAACCGAGTACCCGTTTTCCTTTGCGCGCTTCAGCAATGATAGAGTTATATCGTTGTCGAATGGCCAGTAGAGTTGAAACCATCTCTTCCCATCCCCATTAGCCGCTGCCACTTCTTCGATGGTGCTTGTGCTGGCTGTGCTGAGAGTATACGGAACACCAACATCCGCACACGCTTCTGCTAACCCGGTTTCTTTGTCTTCGTGGAAGATGCCTTGGACGCCCACTGGTGCCATGATAAGCGGGTTAGGGTATTCCTGGCCGAAGAGGTTTACTGAGACATCTTGGCGATCCGTCTGTTTGATTGGTCAGCAGAAAGTAAAACCAGGATTGATTAAGCGACTGACCGATATGTTCATTCTTGGGATTCTATATAGATGGGCTGGGTTTAGTCATTTGAATACCAGTTTGTAGCAACGGTGTGCAGAGCAACACTTGGGGGATTGGATGAAAAGACATACAGCTTCCATTGACGAAAGGCCAGTCGATTGCTGTCCATAGTAGCCTTTTCTCCAGCTCCTCCAGAGACGTAGTTGAAGGCACGAGCGCCCAATGCCTTGCGTGCATGTTCCTCGAGGAGGCGAGGGTCTGTCGTGACACTGGGCACCTTGCCCAAGAAAGCGCCCTCGCCATAGATTTCCATCTGGTAATCCCCGTAGTTTCCTGGCATCTTGAGTGGCTTTAAGGTATGTTCCCTGGATGATTGATAAGGAAGCTTTCAGTGCCAATAAGTATCAGGATGCAAGCAATAAATAGTACAATGAAGATGAATGTCGGCCGAGTTCAACTGTCCGGATCGACTGTCCAAAAGATGAGATCATCGCCGATCCACGTGTTTGCCGGCCATTGCCTCGGAGCTTGCATGGTGTCACTATTGAGCATCATCAATATTAATATGAACTCTTTAATCCAAATACAATAGAAGATTCATCTATCTCTTCTTTTTATACAAAACGGATTGCTTGTGTTGATTCCATACTCACCGGAGCATCCCCGATAAGCAACTCCACTTACCGCGAACAGGACCGTGAATCGAAATATCCAGATTTTCAACAATCCGATCTGGATAATGTTTCTCAAATCATTAACGCATGATCTCATTATTGGCATATCTGCCATAAGATTATCGAGAATTGGCGGTTATTATTAGCGCATGCAATCATCAAGCAAGGGTGACTGTCTCTGGCCATCTCAACCTCAACAGGGACAGAAGAGGATAAACTTCCACGACCGCTGATCGACACAATCGGTCGGCGTCTTTCAGCTTCAGACCTTCCATTTTGCCCAAAAGGGACCACAACTAATGGCCACCAGGATGCTTGTCTCCATAGTCTAACTGTCTCCCACCATGGGTGAGAGAAAAATCCATCCCGCTTTCCCGCTACAATTAAAAACCACCATTCCGGAATCTTGGCGCTGGGATCCCACAACCATCGCTTTTCTTCTTTCTTTCCATAAGATATCCTTGCATTAGATTCCAGCCAGTTGAGTATATGCAATTATATCAACAGACAGAACCCAATGCAGCAGTTCTTCAATTGAGAAACAACTCTGCGATCCCCGCACCTTAAAACCCCGCCTGGGGCAGACAGAATATGGAGAGTCAGACGGAGCCCAAGGTGGACGTGGAATCGCCCAACCAGGCCCACCACTGGACGCTGCGAGGTGAAGACAGTTCTGGGATGTCAGAACTTGACGAGAAAAGGGAGAAGAATGTAGTGAGGAAAATGGACATGCACATCTTGCCATTCGTGGTCCTGCTTTATCTGTTCAGCTTCCTGGATCGAGGTGCGTTGCCGTCACGGAGTCCCATTTCAACTTCTTCATTTAATTTATATTGGGATATCAATTGACACTGAAAATTACAGTCAATATTGGCAATGCCCGACTATATGGATTGGAAGAAGATTTGGGCCTGGTTGGAAATCAGTACCAGGTCGCCGTGTCTATTTTGTTTGTGACATACTGCGTGCGCTCATCGAAGTCAGCTTTTGAGGAAACCCATTAACCACGTCTTTAGCTGTTTGAAGTTCCATCAAATTTGGTCCTTAAAAAACTCAGGCCGTCGCGTTACATCGCATCGATATCTATCATATGGGGTATTATAGCGACTCTGACGGGGATCACCCAGAATTATGGCGGGTTGCTGGCTTGCCGTGTACTACTTGGTAAGTTGATATTGATATCTGGCGATATCATACGGAGTTTCCTTAACTAACAATACTAGGCGTCGTGGAGGCCGGCTTATTCCCGGGTATGATCACTTATGAAACAATGTTTTATAATAAACGCGAAATTGCACTGCGCACAGGCTATCTTTTCAGCAGTGCCGCTGTCGCTGGTGCTTTTGGTGGTCTATTAGCATACGGTATCGGGTTCATGGATGGGATCTGTGGACTCAAAGGCTGGAGATGGATCATGATCATCGAAGGTATCCCAACAGTCATTATTGGAGTTGCCACCTGGTTCTTTCTGGCAGACGATCCAGCAACCGCATACTATCTCAATGAGGAAGAAAAGGCCTTGGTGGTCAAGCGCCGCCGTGCCGAACTAGGACAAACTGCTTCAGCCCAAAAGTTTCACTGGGCTGATGTCAAAGATGGAGCCTCGGACTGGAGAATTTACGCCTTTTGCATCGCCCAGTTCGGTATCGATACTATGTTATACGGGTACAGCACTTTTCTTCCAACCATCATTGAAGGAATGGGATCATGGTCGGTCGCGGAAGTTCAGGCTCTTACTATCCCTTGCTATGCGGTAGGCGCAATAGCATATCTGATTGTGGCATGGCTCAGTGATAGATACCAACAACGCGCACTGTTCGTCTGCATTTTCTGTGTGATTTCCATCGTCGGATACGGACTCCTGATTGCAGACGTATCGTCAGGAGTACATTATTTTGGTGCCTTGCTCATTGCGTTGGGTCTCTATGTGGCGGTTGGATTGCCACTTGCCTGGCTACCGACGAACCTACCTCGATACGGGAAACGCACGTTTGCCACAGGCTTGCAGCTCACCTTCGGCAACGTCAGTGGGGTCATGTCGCCGTTTCTGTACAAGACATCTGAAAAACCACGCTATGTCCGAGGCAATGCGGTGACACTGTCGCTTGTAGGGTTTGCGGGTGTAGTCTATGGTCTGATGTGGCTTTACTACCGCCAGGCGAACAAGCGCAGAGCCAGTGGCCTGGAGGATGATAAAATTGCCGGAAAGAGCGAAGAAGAGATCCAAGAGATGGGAGATCACAATCCTCGATTCCAGTTTTGTACATGAGATGTCATATAGACTTGAGCTCTTGATGCGTTTATGTCTGTTTTTTGGCCTTGTAATATTATGCATCCCGACACTCGATAGAGAACACTTTATAGCATAAACTAGAGATATCGATAAAATAATATAAAATATCAACATAGAGACAGACTTCCGATGCCATTTGACAATTCCGTATGTCTTGGCGATGATCTTCTCTCAACGACATGCAGCTTCATCCGAGCTTCCCCTCCACATTCCTCCATCTCCTCGATATTCAAGCCATGCTTTATTGCCTCAACTTCTGGACACTCATTATATCCTTTGTAGCTGCCTTCACTGGTATATTTTGCTACTATAACCTCCAAATACCCGTTTCATTCCCTCTAGTCGAAGTCTCTACTCCCCACAAAGACGTCTCTCCCCACCATGCAAGCTGGAACACGTGGTTCCACCCTTTCCGGTCACACGCGGGGAGCAGTGACACAGATCAGAAGAAGGAATGGGATCTTCTTTACCATCTAGGTGGAATCGGACCCTGGGTCGAGAAGGTGGATGGAGAGGGGATTTCGCCCCCGGAAGGATGTTCAATTGACCAGGTGCATCTGGTGAGCTTTTTCGCATTTCTTCAGCTTAATTCTCTTCAATTGATGCTAACCACCACAGTTATCGCGACATGCCGAGCGATATCCCACCAAATCAGCTGCAGACCGTATGTCATGACAAATTATTTACTGCTTCTTTGATTCTAATGCGGATACATACAAGGCCATCTCTCTCTTCTCAAACGATTGAAAGAGGCCAATGTAGCTTTAAACGGCTCACTAGCCTTTATCAACGACTGGACCTATTTTTCAAAGAAGCTTGCGCACTTGACCACAGAAGGCCCCTACGCAGGCATACTCCAAGCTTTCACAACCGGCGTTCGCTTTCGAACCCGTTACGGACATCTCTTACCAAACAACACCAAGACACGATTTTGGGCAAGTGATTCTATGCGTGTTACCCAAACGGCCAAATATTTTGCCTCGGGGTTATTTGGCCTGGACTGGGAAAGCAATGGACTTGCCGAACTGCAAGTCATTCCGGAGACTTTTGAACGAGGCACGGATACGCTTACTCCAGGTGATTCGTGTCCTAGATATCTGGCAGATACAGAATTTGGGCATCCCAGTGGTGTAAGTGCCCTGATCCTATTCCAAGAAACCTACATGCCAGCTCTCGCGAAGCGACTCGAAGAACATAACGCGGAAGTCGGACCATTCACAAATATGGAAGTCTATGGCATGCAGGAAATGTGTGGATTCGAGACAATTGCCCGGGGAGCCAGTCCTTGGTGCGATGTGTTTCGACGTGAGGATTGGGAGAATTTCGACTATGCTCGTGATGTCCTCAAATATTATAAAGCAGGCCCAGGAAACCCATATGCCGGTGCAATGGGTTGGCTCTGGTTGAATGCCACAACGGCTCTTTTACGTTCAGGGCCTGAAGCTGGTACTATTTTTCTCAGCTTGTGAGTGGCCTCCTACCTTCAGTGCTTCCTGCACTGGCTAACACTTTTTCTTGTATTAGCGCCCATGATGGCGATATAGCACCTTTCCTCGCTGCCTTGGATATTTTCAAAGATCCAAAATACGATCCAAAGCTTCCAACAACGCACATTGCAAAAGATCGCATTTGGCGCACTTCATCCGTACTGCCAATGGGTGGTCGCGTCACCTTGGAGCGGATGTCTTGCTCATCGTCGTCAAATTCAGAGACAAATGACCGAAAAACATTCGTTCGTATTAGCATGAATGATCGAGTCATGCCATTGCCACACTGTCAAGGGGGTCCTGGGTCCTCTTGCTCATTGGAACAGTTCGTCAACCATGTACAACGACGAAGAGTAGAGGTTGGAGACTTCAAAGAGGTGTGTGGCTGGGGAGGCGATGCTGGAGGAATATCATTTTTGCATCAAGATTAAGTTTATATATGTATTGAAAGAATATGAAAAGTGGGCAAATATGTACATAGACATGAAGCAAAATATAAAATTGAAGAATGCATCCTAGCGGTGAAGAATGTACAGATTTGTTGAACCCAAGTAGAACGACACGTTTATCATGTTGTCCTTGGATACGAGGACATTTTATTAAGACTATAATTTAGCAATTCTTCTTTAATATTATCGCAATCTTTCTGGAATCGACTTTTGCATGTCTCTGCCATGCTGTAGATCACGTGACCGTATCCCGGCTAACGCACTGTTTATTGCGAAGATCAAAAGTTCCATTGAGATCAAAAGTTGCCATCCGATCTGCTGCTCCTTCATCAGCCCAACAAGGGTTATTAAGGCACTTTGACTGTCTTCTATTTGTTTTTGTGTCTTTGCTAGACTCTCTCTATACCCTATTTTTAATTTTTCTTCCTAATAGAGGACTCTTCTTTAAACTTCGCAGACCGACCTCCCTTTACCATGGAATACCACTTTGTTCCTCCAGAGGAGCGCGCAAAGGATGACAAGGGCAACCTTTTGCCTTGGGGATATGTTTACAAAGAGTGAGTCGCCTATCCCTTCTTTTTTACTTTCCTTTACAATACTCTTGTTTATCGCAAGCACTAGCTAACATGGACTTCGCTTCTGACAGCGAATCCCTTAACCCGCGACGACCACCTGAAGAGTCCGGACCGTTTGGAAAGAGAAGGAACGCTCGATACGAGACTGCTCGATCGCGCACACGTACTGGAACACCGGCGAAGAGAGAAAACCCCAACGTTGCCGAGTTCGGGCGACTTTTTGCACAACAGCAGGAGGAAGAAAAAGCTCATCACACTTTGCCCAAGTCCTCTTCCTCGTCCAGCCTTGATGGCGGGCGGAAACAAACAGAAAAGGTCGCGACGGAATGTATACTCTATGGATACAGAAGTAAGGATTCGGAGTGGAAGGTGATTGATAAATATGAGCGGATTTCGCGAGGCTTCATCTGTGAGGACTATCCTCGCAGTGACCCAAACGCTCCTACTGGATTTGGTCAAATGTTGAGTGGTGGCGATGTGGTGATTCGGACCAACTTGTCTGCGGATGCCAACCGGAAGTCGAAGCGATATGCTGGAGGTTTCCACTGGATCAAGGTTACCTACGACTCGGCCAACGCAGCGGACCGCGCGTGTTTTTACTCTCCCCAGGAGATCGATGGGCACATGGTGTTTTGTGAGCTGTATCATGACCAAGGACCCGCCGAGGACATCCCGATTCCTAAAGATTCGTCTGCGGCCAGCCAGTTCAAATCGAAAACGTCGCGCACTATGACCACTTCCCACTCCACCAATTTTCTCCAGGCGGCGAAGGAAAAACCGCGCGGTGCTACCATGCCACGATCATTTGGTATGAACAACCTTTCTAGCATTTCTGATAGCTACGAGGCCGAGTCCCAAGATTCTACTATAACAGCTAGCTCCGCAACAGCGACAGCGCCAACAGCAGCAACAGGATCAGCAACCGGCGTAGAACAGCCACCCGCACTCCTTCAACGAAATGTCCCTCAAGAGCCAAAGCCAGAGTCTGAATTTATGACGCACATTCCGAATGTCCGCCGAACAAAACTTCGACCTTTGGCTGAAGCCCTTCCACCACAGCCTACTGTGACAGAGCGTGTCCTTCGTTCGATCCCGATTCTCAGCTGGTTCACTGGTGACATTGTGGGAGACGGTCCTCAGCTAAAAGAGGATGGAAGCTTTGACTACGAAAAGTCCAATGTTTACTGGCGATTCTGGTACACGGTCGATACGATTATCGGAACGGACATTTGTGGACTTAAAGAGGAGTCGTGACGTCCTTAACACTATTCACTGCATCTACTATAACCTTTATTCAGTCATTCATCTCACTACAAATGCGGGGTCTAAATCTCGATAGACCGGTGTGAACAAGACTGCTCCTTAGGCCGGGACCTGGATAGCCTTTCTGAGAGCAAAAGTCCAGCAGAAAGTCCTGCTTCCTTACCATTTGGACGCCAACCCATTCCCACTGTCGAATGGTTGGATCGAACCGAAGTAGCAAAAAACATTGGGTTTTTCTTGAAATCAACAAATACCCTGATCATGTACGATAGTACTTTTATGCCAACATTTATTGCAATTCTAGCGGTCTTCTATGACATTATTGGTCGCATTTTTTTTACTTCCTGCTTTTCGCATTCTATGTTTCCCACATGGGTATAATAGGTTCGTTACTAGGGTTTGGAGTTGGGGATTTATGTTCGTTTATTGCATTGCATCCATGATGTTGTCTCTCATAGAATATCGAAACACAGGAGATAGTGCTTTCCTCTTAACGATACCTCATGATGTGTAGAAGCACGTACTCGAGATAATTCAGTGTCCAGCAGTACACGAACATGGACCTCCCTTCCCTCCCCAATTCGTGCATCAAAGCCAAGAATCAAGAAGTAATAGATCATGAAACATTACGTAGTTTCTCATTCATATCTCGAGGTAATCATTAATTCCTTATTCCCAATGTCTCCGCAACTTTTTTTTTTTTTTTTTTTGGGCCATCAATCTCCCTGAAGATATCTGTCCTCCATTCTTTTCGGTTTCCTGTGTTGATACCAAGCTGTCTGCTTTCTCCTCTTTCCTTTCCTTTATCCTTCCCCTCTGCGTCCCCAATTACTTATCCAGCGTTCTCCTCTCCCATTAAAACAACAAAAAAAGAGACGTCAAGAAGTGGGTGTCAAATGGCTTTTCCGCAGCGCCAAAAAAAAACAAATAGAGGGGTAGGTAAGGTGAGCTTGCAAGATAATAAAAAAAAGAAACTGCTAGCATCACAGAAGTGAAGAAGAAAAGAAAGAAAAGAAGAAATTGAGAAGAAATAAAAGAATTTGAGGCTTCGTTTTTAGTTCTTTAAATCAATGATTTACTCGACATTCTTCTCGAAGTTCTCGCCCTCGACAAGTTCGGGGATATCGTCCTCCTCATCATCCTTCTTCTCACCACCGGCCTGCTTCTGCATGTTCTGGTAGCTCTCGGCGAGCTTGCGCAGGGAAGCGAGGCTGTCGGGGCCCAACTGGTTGAGGATACCGGGGACGAGCTCGGTGAGTTCCTTCTCCTCACCGTGACCGTAGAGGGCGAAGGTGTTGGAGGGGACGGAGGCGTGGACTGTATGACATTGCGAAGGAAAAAACTCGTTAGTCGTTTTTGTTTCGATTTTGTCTTTTTTCTTCGGTATGTATGTATTAAAGGGTTCAAGACTCACCCTTGGGAGCACCGAAGTGGATGACGTTTCCGTCCTCCTTGAACATGTTGACCTCCTCAATGGCCTGGATGGGCTGGACGTTCATCTTCTTCAGGGTGGCCTGGAGCTTCTTGTCGTCGGCACCGGAGTTCTTGTGGACCTTCTTGACCTTGCGGCGGGGAGTACCCTTGCCTCTGTATTGGAAGGGTTCATTAGTTTCGTGTAAGAAAGTTGATTTGGACGGAGCGAATAAATAAATTCGATTCAAAGCTTCGTGTTTTGCTTTCACGGCCGTTGAATGTCGTCAGGGAAATTTAAAGGAATATGTATACGTACCCTATTCAAATAAGATATACATGTTAGCTATCAATTCCATAGAAGCAATACTTTAAAGATCAAGACACTCGAAAGTGTGCAATGTGCGCCAGCTTAAATCTCCGACAAATTGGTCATCTTTCGATGCCATCATTTTGTCTCCAAAGATACAGCACGAAGAGCTCAAGCAAGATAAAAAAAAAACCCAATATAAGATAATTCACATACCAATCCGCACGCTCGCCTGCATTCTAGCCAACTTTGCCTGATCCATTGTGACGGTGTTGTGGTGTGATGAACCTAAAGCCTGGTGCGATGGACGTCAATAATCAAGATCTGTGGAACTCTCGGTAAGGCGAAGAGAAGTGTGTGGGAGAAAAAAAGAAGAGCGGGGGAAGACGGCGTGGTGCACAAGACGGTTTTCGGAGGGGGGCAAGGAAAAAAACAGGGTCTATACTGACAGTTCAAAGGTCGATCCGGTGGTCGAGGGGAGAGAGAGGTTGGGAGGATGAAGCGATTGCAGTTTAGAGGGGGAGTGAAGTTGCTGATGATGCGCATCTCGGCTCCCGAAAGTGGTTTTGTGTGGGGAGTTGCTGCGAAAACGGGCAGCTCGCTAATTAAAAGCTGGAGGCGTCATATTCTACGAGACAGATAGTTATTCTACGGTCCTTGATGGATTTACGGTGGCTTGAGGATAATTATACAGCATGACTTTTTGATTTGGGAGTCTGGATGGGATGCTGGGTGTTTTTCGTTGGGTTGTGGGTTCTTGGAGAGAGATCGAAAGAGAGGCTCGGCTAAACCCTAACGATCAGTAGGACCGAATATGACAACCATGACGATGGCAGAAAGTATCATGACACTATAAGAGGGAATGAAGAATATAGTTAAGGATGGGAAAATCTATTTGACACGTTAGAAGCCAGAAAGTATTGTGCGATTTGTAATTTCATCCCCCGGACCCAGCTGTATAATGCTCACCATCCAAGAGGGGTATCATATACCGAATCCAGTAATCAGCTAGACTACCTCATGAACAATCTCCAACAATTGAACCACACAGAGCTTGGTCATATTAGTGGTGGCTGATTTTAATACTCTAAAGTAGAGGTGAAAGACAACGAAGTTATTTCAAAGAAAATAAGGCAACTTTTGTACCATTTACTATAATGGTAAACAAGGTAACCCGAACATCAGAAAGCGATTCAAATTGATAAATTTAGCTGGTAACACATCTCTCCCTCTATAATAGTATAGTAGGAATTATGCCTTGACATAAAAATCATGATTTTCGCGTTGCCTTTCTTTCCCACAACCTAAAGTACTTACGCCATGGGTGCTCCTCCTGAAAGCCAAGCAAGTTTTTAATCTTTGCATTGGTAATTGGTGCTTCAAACTCGCCCATTTTCCGGGTTATGGGCGTCTGCGGACACATATCCTTGAGGAACTGTTCAGTAGGGTTCAAGTTCGTGATACTATCATTGGTCGCGTTGAAGACCTGAAACCCTAATCCGGACTTCTGAAGACAGAGAAGACACATTCGACCAAGATCACGCGAGTCCGTGTAAGACCAACCGTGGACTTTCCACTTGTGTGGATCATGGACATAGCTCTCAAAGAGCTCCTCGTTGTACTCATCCGGTTCAATGACCCGGCCCATCCGGAGGACGTAGATGTCTGCGTCGAAGCGGGTGGCAAAGCCCTGCGCAACACGCTCTCCACACATCTTGGCAATGGCATATGTATCCGAGGGATTGGCATCTACTTGCTCGTCGATCGGGAAAGATGGGAAGTCGGCGTCGCCTTGCGAGAACGTTACGCCGTACACGGTGACGCTGCTAGCAATGATGATCTTCCTAATGCCCAGCTTGCAAGCAGCTTCGATCACGTTGTAGGTGGCAATCGTGTTGGCCCGGAAAGTTTCATCGTCAGGTACTATCATATTGCGAGGATACCCCGCAAGGTGAATGACTGCATCGGGGATTGGAGGGACCCCAGCAGGAAAAGGCTCGTGCAGGGAAGCTTGACCACCAATCGCACTGAAAGTCTGACCGGTCTGGGTCAGGTCAGTTCTGACCGTGTAGACCTTTGGATGAGGAAAAGGAGACAAATCCAAGTTCAGAACTATATGCCCGGCCTTGATAAGTTCTCCGATGATATGTTGACCGACTTTGCCAGAGCCTCCTGTCACGACGACTCGCATGGCGAATGCTATAATTTGGTGTTTATGCCTGTATGGGGTAAATCACTGAACTTGGGGTCACAACGTAGAGAAGCGTGTTAATCTGTCAAAAGGTGGCCGGACTTGTCATCCCTCTGATTTTATCCTTCGTGCTTCGGTACTTAAGGCCGCGTTGAAGTGACGTCGTGAGCCGGCAAGGGGCGCCATACATCACAACCATGTAAACATCCTGTCAGAGGCCTCTAAAACCCAAGCAGTAAATAATGTTAATATGTATCATATGAGTAAATGGCATATATAGGTGTATTCAAGATTTATTCTTTTCGGCAATTCGTGCCTCTGTCCATTCCCAGAGCTTTCCCGCCATGTCTGTGTCATTGGTATATGTGGTTGCACCGCGCAGTCCGATTGGGATATAGTAAGCACCGTTGGTCAACAGCTCACTCTTCACCCCAGCTGCCCAGAGCTGAGTCATTGCTCCCGTACGCACAGCTCGGAAGACCAGGCTGGAAATATTGAAACTGTGTTTCATCAAAGGACTTGAGGCCTTCGCATGCTCGTACAAGTTGCTAGCCACCGCGCCCGGGTGAATAGAAACGGACATAATCTCGGGATAACGCCGTGCAAGTTCGGATGCGAAGAGGATGTTAGCTGCTTTCGAGGCTCCGTAGCGAGCCCACGTGCTTGATTCCAGAAGAGCAGAAGTGGATGTCATCACATCAAAAGAAGGGGCAGCCTTGTGACCTAGCGAAGCAACGGTCACTACCCTCACATCTGACGCAGGCATAGTACTTGTGACAGTCTTGCGCAATGTGGGAAGAAGCAGCTTGGTAAGCAGAAAATGGCCGATGTGGTTTGTTCCAAATTGCACCTCAAATCCTTCCTCCGTGGTTGTTGGGGGGTTGCCCATAGTCCCAGCATTGAGCACCAAAATATCCAGCCGATCGCATTCTGAGTTGAACTTCTCTGCAGCCGCCCGAATAGACTTGAATGAAGCTAGGTCGAGAGGAATGTGTCGGATGTCGACCAGGGATGAAAGGCTCTCCTGAACCGAGGCGATGGCATCCTGAGCTTTTGCCGCAGTGCGCGCACCCAGGTAAATGCGGGAGGGATTGTGTCGGGCGAGCTGGAGAACGGTCTCTTTTCCAATGCCGATGTTACCTGTAGATTGAATGGATGTTAGCATCTGTAATGAGGGATGAACAGATGATAGGGGGTAGCTCCCGCGGGGAAGGTGTTTACCTCCAGTGACAAAGACAACCTTGCCGGTAAGGTCACGAATATCACGATCCGGTTCAAACGACGACCCCATAAGACCAAAAGTGAGCTCATTCAATGTTGGCCCAACGCTAGAAAAAAGGTCGATCGGATGACGAAGGCTACCGAAGAAGAAGTTTCCCATGGTGGCCAGATCCTGCGGCGGCATGTTGCAAAACAATTGGCATCTCCCAGTGCTCAATTACTAGAAAATATTCTCGAATTGATGCTTCCCTTCTGTTTGAAATGCAATTGTCGAAAAGCTCATAGGGGATGGTTGATGTTGGAGGTGAAACCTGATCAGATATCTGACTAACTTGCAGTCCGGACCGACCAAGGCAGAAGTGGATTACGACATGGACCGAAAGACTAATCGCCTTTGGACACGGAGTTAGGAGTGGTCAATGCGAGGGGGAATAACATCATGGAAAGTGGCTGGATGATCCAGGTGTTTTGCAGATGCAGGGGGATGTTCTCATCAAGATGTCAAGGTGTTGAGGAATCTGTGTGCCAAGAGCACGCATGCCGGCATTTCTTTGACGGCATTCCCTAGTCTGCTCTCGAACAAGAAACACCAAGACTGTTTGAAGACGATATCACTTTGAGAATACAATAAACAACACTAATATCTGTAATCGACCAAAGCAATAGTTCTAAATAGTATCGTGATGCAAGTGATGCTGCAAGCAAACTGGAAAATAGGACAGTCGATCGATCCACCAATCTACAGACGTCAACCTGCAGGATGAGCATGACTGATCGCTACCCAATCTGCTGCTTCTCAGCTGGATATAAACGTGGGCCCCTTCGTTCGCTGTCTATCTTTTGAATACCATCCATACGCCAAAAAGTTCCTGTCTAAGCGACCCGATACCAACCAGCATATTCAAGATGAGATTCCTCTGTCTTCATGGCTCTGGCACAAGCGACGAGGTACGTAACACTGAAACACCTCACGATGCAGGCGCATTATTAATGAAACCAACTCTTGCGCAATAGATATTCGAAATACAATCAGGTAATTGTGTATGGATACATGCAACGACCCGATCTCTGACCTCTAAATAGGCGGATTAAGACAACAGCTGGAAGAAAATGGACACGACTTCATATTCATGAATGGGAGATTGGAGGCCAAACCTGAGCCAGGTATCACCATCTACGGATTCTGTCCTACGATGATTCATCATCCTAACGCGCCTTTAGAACTCGAAGGAATCTGCGACGGCCCATTCTATAACCATTTCCCCCGAGATGTAGCACCAAGCGAAAATCTCGCCAAAGCATTCGAACACACCCTCAACTTTATGCAACGGGAGGGCCCTTTTGATGCTGTTATGGGGTTCTCACAGGGTGGCTCGCTCGCAGCTTCGATGATTATCGACCATGCTAAAACCCACGATAAGCCCCTCTTTAAGCTTGCCGTCTTTATCTGCTCGGCTATCCCTTTCGAGAGAACAGGAACGCATCCTATCCTCCCCACTGACGACGGATACCCTATCATCATTCCCACGGCGAATATCGTGGGTAACCAGGATTATGTCTATCCTCAAAGTATGCACGTGTATGGGCTTTGCGACCCGTCCAAGAGTGCGTTTTACGACCATGGCTCGAAGCACGGCATCCCCTTTGATCAGAAGAATACCACTGCCATGACAGAGGTTGTGGAAAAGACGATTGAAAGGGCTCTCCGTGGCTGAGGAAATCCGTGAATTTATGTGGATCTTATAGGCTATATCTAGAGCATTTGCAAATTGTACATGTCCAAGCTCAATCCACGTTGGAGATAAACTGGAGAAACACTCAATGCTTCTCTGCAGAGTCTCGCTTATTCCCAGAACTGGCTTTTGACAGGTAAAGTGCAACCAACAGTAAAACTATACCAAAAAGCATGCTGTATATCATTTGTGTTCCCATAGTCCCTGATGACTGGGCATTACTGCGATTCCCAAGTTATAATTCGCTCTCAGGAGGAATGGCCTTGTTGAGGAACCGCGCCAGGTCGTCGATTTCCGTTGGATCGGCAGAGTGACCGAGATCACTGTAGAAATCATTATGAGTAAAATAAAGATTGGGAAATCAGTAGAAAAAAACTCACTCATAAGAACGGAACTCAACATCCTCTGCACCCAATTTTTTGATCTCCTTTGCCGACAAATCACCGAATTCGTACTTCACAACCTCATCATCCAGGCCGTGAGCAAGGAAGAAAGGAGTGTTCTTGTTAGGGAAGTCTTCGGGGATATAGTTCTTGATCCGGTCACTGAGAAGCAAGTAGCAGGAAAGACCAAAGACACCACCGAGCTTCTCCTTGCCCGTGAGGCCAGCGAAAACAGACATAGCACCACCCTGAGAAAATCCACCAAGGATAATTCTCGAGGGCTTAATGCCCTGGTCAATCTGTTCCTTGATCAAGCCGTTGAAGTATTCCCGGGAGCGGAGGATACCCGGTTCATCCTGGTTGCGAAGCATCTCTTCGAAAGTCAACTGGATAACGCATGAAGTAGGTTAGAAGTGGGACTTTTACAGTAAATATTGAGATAAAAGGCCAGATCACTCACGTCGCTGCCAAGTTTGGCAAGGTCATACCATCCAGGCATGCTCATTCCAAAGTTCTGTAACTCATCACTATATGTCCACCATCCGTCAAATATTTCAAAGTATCATACCACTGTAATTGGAATCATAGGCGCATTAGGGAAGATGAACTGGACTTCATCGAACAGGCCGCGACGGCGCCAGTTCTGAGCAAGAGCCATCCTGTTAATCAACTGTATTAGGATATCCAAATTTCTTTCATTTTAGCACCATAATGGCTCAGAAAACGTACCATCCAGCACCACTATTTAAAGAAACAAATCATCAGCCACAAGCGTAATCATCCTTCGTCGTAAAACATACCTGTCACCCAATCCATGGGCCATAATCACCGTAGCGGTGTGTTTCCGCAGAGCGGGAACGATGAAGGGAGCGCGGGGAGGCATATTTGCGGTTAGAGGTTCGTCCAGACACCTGTAACAAGTATGATGGAATGAATATAAAAAGCAAGAACCAAGATGGAGAAAGAGTTAAAGATCAATGTCGTGTTGATTCGAGGCAGACCGCCTAATATTTCCCCGCAATTCTGCCGCCCGACGTTGACTGTTTACTCACCGCCTGGCAAGGGGCAACGGCGATGCTCCTTTTTCTTCTCTACAACATGCATGATGCATCGAGATCAAATCTCATATCCTTTCAATATGACTGCGATGATTTGATGTTCCTCATTTGTGAATTTGATTTGCTCTATAATATCATTTGTAGACTGACCAGAGCTCGAGCAATGCGAAAGCATCAATTAAGATGCGGAAAATCGCAGGAATTGTACTTATGCAGAACATGGCAGGATCTTTCAGGTTTATCACCAGCTTCTGGCAAATCAAAGAAATTGAATCTGTCAGTCTGTCAGTCTGTCAGGCTAGCTGTGCTAACAGTCCTTGATCATGGTGAACCAGCAAAAGCTGTCTGCTGCCAATATGGAACTGCGTGCCCGGAAATATCTTCCTGGCCATCAGATAACAATACACACGAAGATATGCGAAAGCTCTTCACCATAATTATGTCACACTGAGCTCTAAATAACTGAAGCTTCCAATCTACAATTTATACCAAATGCAGCTACTCTAATACAAAATGTCTGAAGAAATATCATTAAGCGGTCCACCTCAAGATATCCATGAAAAGCAGCTGGCTAGTATCAAAGCATTAGCCCAACCTGAGACGAAATACATCGATGACCCTATCAAAACAGAGTCAAATAAACTCGTCGCAGTCGCATCTCCTACAGACGCGACGGTGGAGGACGCGTTAGCGCGGGTCCAGAAATATACGAGAATCAGCAAAAGGGACAATACGGACAAGATACTAAGTGAAATGCTGAAAGAGCTATCACCGAATGGGCAAAGGAACTTGACCAAGGATATAATGGACCGGAGTGATGGAAGTTTAAGGGACCATGCACAGGAAATCAAGCGCTGCATTTTCACGCCCAGTAAGCATAATATACTTCTTCAAGACGGAATCTAATTCTTGACGAAGTGAAAGCCACACAACCCAATAGTACACCAGCCGAGGAGCCTACAAACGACACGACAAAAGTCACAGGCAGCCAGCTACGGCTTAAGCAACTCTGCCTATTACGGGACGAGAATAAATGCGTTATAACCGGAGTTCACGACATCGGAGCAACCAAAGATATGATGATGGCGAAGGCAAAAAACCAGACAACAGTGACAAAGTGTACTCGTGTAATACCTTCCTCTATATTCCCGCAACGGTCCGATGGCGAGGTAGATTCAGACAAGGTAACAATCTGCAAAGCAGAAACCGACAATCTACTAACTGATACAGTTGCGCGATTATGCAAAAACCTGGGCACTAATCTATCGATACTTCCCAGAATTCAAACTAGCAATCGATGTCCGGCGTCCAGGGATGATAAATAGTCCTCGAAACTCGGTGACGCTCTGGGAGCCTATACAGAGAGCGTTTGTTGATTTTTCTCTGGCCTTGAAGCCTATTGGTGTATGTTTTCTACAGCGCACAAGACTTTATGGTCACTCACTTTTAGCAGGACTGCCGCTACAAAATCATAACTTACAATGGCTCTTCTGCTGTTTTGGATGCACTCCCTACAGACCGTGAGATTGAGCTTCAAACTGATAGCAACGTTGAGTTACCTGACTTGGAGCTACTTGGGTTTCATTATGCCATTGCGAATGTGCTCCATGCAGCTGGACTAAGCGAACAAATTGACCAGGATATTAAGATTGATGAGTCTAGATGCCTTCGACATGACGGTAGCGCAGATACCGGAGGTGTTCTGGCATAGTTTTAGATTATTTTCATTATAATACGGAATAAAAGCTATCTACAGTATCAGACATCATCCACGTTTACAACCGTCTATACAAACAAAACACCCCAAAGAGCCATCACACACAAAGCCCATACAAAACCCTTTTAGTCTCCTCAATAACCGCCCCCATCAACTCCAACTCCACAACACCCTCCTGCCAACAAAATGCCAGCACCAAACACCCATCCCCACCCATAGCAACTGAAACCTCAACACCAGCTCCAGCAACACTAGCACACTGCGAAAAGACCACACGCCCGATTTGCAGTTTCGAAGAATCACCCACCCCCTCCACAGCAAGAACACCAATATTCGACACCTCATAGCTCGCGTCCCGTTGCTGGCCGACTTTTGACAAGAAAAGTTCCTGGTGATAGTCATCAACGTATTTGAGTAGGTTAACAGACGTATCCTTGCCCTTGAGACCGAGTATGGTTTCGATCGTCTGACGGGATCGTCTCGCTTCATCCCAGGGAAAGAGTGAATCAGAACCATCCTTGAACTTCTCACGGGAGAAACTCTCATTCCAATTCTGGACCCAAACACCCATTACATCATCAGTGATGGAATCCGGTAACCAGCGACGAGCGGACATAGCGCCCTGGCAGTGCAATTTTGTGAAAGTGCCTGGTAGATGCGTGAAAAGGGAGTACGCGAGGACGGTTTCCAACGCCGCGGTGATGGTGGTGGTATTCTCCCGACAACGTTCCTTGAATGATGTAGAGATGTGTTTGGGGAGGACGATATGTCGCAGAAAAGACTTTAAGGGTGTACGAATCTCCGATCCCGTCCATAGGCCTGGATCGCGCCAGGAGTAGACCTTTGCTTTGAAGAGGGCCGTGAGGAGGTAAGGGATGGAGAGGGGCATGGAGTGGAGGTCCTCTATATTCGGTAAGAGGGGAGTTTGAGGCGATGGGATACATCGTTTTATTTCTCCAGAGGTCAACGATGAAGCCGTATCATGCAACGCTTGCAAGAACGTCTTATGAAACGCCTTTCCCGACCCCCCATCACTGATAGCATGGTGGAATACAAAGGCCACCGTGAAGCGTTCCGCAGCCTCAGCCTCGGTTAGAACACACAATCTCCAGAACGGAGACGGAGCGGAAAACGGCGTGTTATGCTGAACTTGCAGTAATGCTTCAAGCTCGGAATCTTCCTCATCAGACTCGGGATGTCCATTTTGGCGTGACTGAAAAGAAATCGCCTGATCGAGATCAATCTCAGGAAGACGCACAAAGTACGGCGTTTTGGTATCCTCGTCCACGGGGATGGCGGATAAGATCGGATGTTGGCCGATGAGGACTTCGCATGCTTTGTATACGTAATCCTTTACAGGCAGTGAACATGATTCCGGGAGTGTATATGTCGCTGATACAGCGACGTTGTTGTAGAACTTGAGATGGTGGCGCGAGGTGGAGTATTGTTCCAATCGACCTGATTTTGTGTCAGTTATCTGTGCTACTGGTGATACACCAATGAAGGACTCACCAACGGGTCGTAATCGTTGGAATTTATCCATATTGGTAAAATGGAGATAGTCGATGAAATGAAGTTGGGATGATTCGGTGGAAACGTTTCGTTTACAGGAGCCTCGTGTTGATCACACGTGACTGTAGATGATTATGATCTAGATTGGAGCCATTCATTCATTCATGATCAATTGATATACGATCCACATACGAAATACTATATGAGTAATATATTTGTATACAGCATCCCGAATACACATATCCCAACCCAACAGTATACTCTACATCACAGCAATCCCGCCCAAAAAGATACCCCCAAGAACACCCCAAGAAACCGTCTGCAAAGCAGCAGCAGCGTCTGCACTAGCACTCGTACTCGAGGTAGTCGCATTCGAACTCCCACTCTGCGCCTGGCCCTCAGCAGTCGATTCATTCGCATTCCGATGCGCAGCATCACCGGAAAACGCCGACGCAGTGATGCCCGTGTTATTAGTACAAGACGAGGGCTGTTCGGACTGTGTAGTTGATGAGAATTGGATGTCGGCGCACTGTGATCAGTCAGTTAGACAGTCATGCAATACTAACTAATATGGTTGATTCGAGACATACAGCATATAACCCCCCCACCGGATGAGCGTTGCTCTGCACCTGCACTGTAGCATTCATCCCATCGACCACGTTTGTCCCCAACACACCCTCACCAAAGGGTACATCACCAAGACAAAACGCGCCCAGCCCGAGTACCTGAAAGGTAGGCACAAGTGTGATGTTAAAGTTAGTTCCAGGGTCATTGCCCAAGGATAACAAAACCTCGAGGGCGGTCTCATCGTGGCCGAGTTTCAAGGCGACGGGGAAAGAACCGTTGGAGAGGGAGACTTGGGTGCGGCTGGAGGAAGGGGAGAGATCGCCGCAGGGGAAAGTGGCCATTTTGGACTCGTCTGAGCCTCTGCTTGGGGGGTAGATGAGGTCGAAGTGGGCCGTGACGAGGGGGAGGAGGGAGAGGATATAGAGCTTCATGGCGGTCAATAATTGATATATTGTGATGGATCAGGCTGTGAAGGAGAAGATGGTATTCGAGATTGAAACTACGATATCTATATAACAATTGAGATACTACCTTAGTATCATAGATGTCATTCGATCTAGATCCGAATAGCTTTAGTGGAATAAGGTTAGAAAATATGCTCATTCCTTCTCGGTGGCTGATTTGACTTTGCAGACACCGGGAACAGTCAGCCGCAGTACAGCTGAGGAATACCATTAAAATTATAAGGTATTTAATATCTATCATGCCATTGGAACGCTAGCAACAGACCCAAACTCCAAACAAAATGTATAAAATAAAAATATCATCAATGGTCGTGATCGTACTGGATATACCGGCCCACCACCAGCTCTCCCACAAAAGCACCTGCCAGAACAGAGCAAAAGTATCCCACATTCATCGTCATCACAGCCAGCATGCTATCTCATATTAGCGTCATCCTCAAACAGAGTACATAGAGATATACTCACAGTAAATAAGAAACACCTGTAATACACAAAAATATCCCAGCCCGAGGCACGTCAACGCTAAACCTCCACGGCATGGGCGCGCGCGACGTCCTCCGAATCACCCTCACAGACTCCTCGACTCCCTGCGCCGAGACCAACGAGGCAATTTTCGCGTCAGGGTCTTTCTCAATGCAGCCTGCTTCTGTCGATTTCCCGGCAATGGAAATGTAGCGACGGTTGAGGTGCGCAGCTAGCCAGTGCTGTTCCAGGAGGACTTTGAATGCGACAAGGACTCGGGCAATGATGGCGAGAACGATGAGGAAGATGCAAGTTCCGGCATAGCTGCCGCTGGAGGAGGGAGTCCATGCTTTGGAGAAGAGGGGGGTGTTGTGGTTGTTGTTGAAGATCACCGCGTGTGAGGATGACATGTCCATGGAGGTATCCATATGGTTCATATTCATGGTGATTATTGATTGTAAGATAGGAATCGTATACCTATACAATTATCCTCCACGTAAGATCAATTGAAAAGAAGAGAAGAGAAGAGGAGAAACCAAGACGAGAATGAGCAGAAAAAGAAGGAAAATGACAGCATTCCGAGTGTTAAATAAAGACTGAATCCGGAGAAGACGCTAGAGCGCATCGGGCCAGTCTGGGTGGGGCGATGAGCATGTTTCGTGCATTAGCGTAGATGAGAGTGGGGACATGAGCAGATTATTGCCAATCAGATGCTGCGCATTCTTGTCAACTGGGCTGTTTTCTGAATTAAAGTGGAGCCTGGCTTTACTTTACTTGAAGCAGAATTTAGCATTTTTCATGATTTGAATATTTGATATACAGCTATATCTATCTAGTTGAAAATGGTCTTGAAAGAATGTAGCTTTTGTTATGAAGGTCGGCTGAAATAGTATCAAACAGCCCGTGTACATGAAACAGAGTCCTGGCAATGGTGGTTTCAGCCAACAGCGGCTATTCAGCCATGTTCATTCAAAATACAACCAAAGGTCATCTGATTTCTTTGTGCTATGAGATCAACACTTGGCACACTGTAGATCTTCAAAAGGCAACCATAAAGAACATCGAGTCGGTGTCTCTGCTACTCCTCAGTTTCAAGGTAACACTGCCTGGCACATTTGCATTTCACTCACAGAATCCTGCACTCTGGCCAAGGAATATGCTGCAGTTGTTGTGTGATTGACGGGAAGCCATTGCAAGGAAGAAAGGCATCGTGTAATAAGGGAGATGTAGGGAAGAAAATAGCTCATACATTGATAAACTTGACGCTATCCAATATGCCCGTTCTATACAACAACCCCTGTATTCGAAATCCAGATGATAGCTGTCTATCTAACAAACCAACTTCCACATGCAACCTCTCCCAAAGCAAAATCCTCATCCTTATACTCAGCTATAGTCCTCGTCAACTCAAAAGGAGCATCTCTCAATAACTCCGCTGAATCCTCATTCGCAGTCCAAGAAACGTCCACTTTAAAATGCCTCAGCCAAATCATCCCCCAAAGCGGCTTGAAGAACTCAGCCTCATACACTGACGGCATAAAATCCGAGAGGTGTCCTTCTGGGTTGGAGTGGTTGATATTGACCCAGAGTTGGAGATTCAACAGTCCTCATGATCGCAATCACCTCCCACATCGCTCTCCAATGTTGGAACCAACGCATCACGCAGATCCTGGAAATAGGGAGCGGATTGTGAGAAACTAATCTCCATCGATCGGATCGCACGGAAGCGCTGCGTGGGTAGCACGTTTTGTATTTCTGCTAGGGTGTTGAAGTGTTCAAAGGTGTGTGGTTGGAGGTTGATGGTGTGTTGTGAATAGAGGATGTTGATACCTTCTGAGTAGCTGTTATCATTAGTTCTATTATTATAATATAGCAGTATAGGGATGCATACATTTGTCGATACGTTAGAAGCAATTGAATCCGTTTAATATGCTGCTTTTTACTCTGTAGTTCCAATTGCAGAAACACCATCCATTATCTGAAACAACCATGCGATGGCCTTGTTCTCAGATCGGAACACACACCATGTTCTAGTTTCTCTCCAGGAACTTTCTTGAAGTGTGTCACTTTGCCGCCTAGGATGTACTGGTAGATCTACTGTCGGATTCCCAGTGGTAGCCTTGTAAGGAGGAGACTTGGTTGTGGGAAGGGACGGTGGGTTGTAGAGATAGGGCTCGTCTTCGAGGAGGCTGCATTTTGATCAGTGAATCTGTATATCTTCTATGAAGATGAATAGGATGACGATGGAAATAACACGATGGATACTTGGATTATATCACGTCTGGGGTGTTGCTTAGTGCTTTGACAAGGCTGAGCGCAGGGCAGAAAAGTAGCAGCCTACGAGGCTATCTACAGGGATTATCATGACTATGCATTTAAGCTATTAGTATACATAGTCGAATTCTTATGTGTCCAAGTAATTTTGATGATGCAAGCCCTAGAACATTGCCCTATACCCTAGTGCTATCATGTGCAAGTTCCTGTTTGGGAATCGACATCGACATTGGACCTTCCCAACTCATCTTTGTCTTCAAATTGCTTATGCTTAATAACATTTCACGACCTGGTCCAGCTAAACTTTCATATCGAGATGAAACGGTTAGTATGATCGAACCATGTAACTATTCAGACTGGCTTCAAATCAACCATGGATCCCATAAACCCAAATAGCCGGCCTCAGTTTATGCTCGTCATCAAGACGAACCGAATATATTTCTCTCTTATTCTTTCCAGTCAATCGACAACACCTACAAAAATGTCCATTGAAATGAGTGACATGAGCGGAATGAGCGGAATGAGCGGCATGCCAATGGGCGATGGTGTGCCGGGTCTGTTCTATCTTCAAAAGATATACTGGGCGGTTATAGGAAGTGCCCTCACAGCAGCAACAGTCGTCAATATTCTCAATTACTCCCTGGCTCGTCAGAGGTGAGATCGAATCTTCTAATGTAATCCATGTTTAACACTCGTTTCATCTAGACTACGGGACACTACACTTACTCCGTCCAAACCAAAATCGCTAGTCTTCAGTTCATATGCTACCATCACAGCCATTTTTCGTGAGGCAAGCTATGCGACACTTCCTCCGCTTTCAATTCGTAGCTATACATTCCATTTCGCTCCTCTAGGTCCTGCGGCTATCGTTCTGGCAAATCTGGTCGTGGTGCTGGTCTTCTGCTTCTACAAACTGGACACAACGAATGAGTGGAAATGGGAAGATGTCGGCTATCGTACAGGATTTGTCGCAATTGCTCAGTTACCTCTAATATTTCTACTAGCAGGAAGACAGAATATTATCGGTCTGCTGGTCGGAATGAGCTATGAACGACTCAACTGGTTCCATCGATGGATTTCCCGGACACTCTGGCTGACTGCTACAATACACATGGGCTTTTGGTTTCGGAATTGGGGAAGATATGACTATATCGTCTACGAGCTAAAGAACTATCCTATGGCAACACGGGGCTTTGCAGCGTGGTGTATTCTGACGTTTATCGTCCTGGCATCGACCGCACCTGTGCGGAGATTGGGATACGAGTTCTTCGTTCTACAGCATTTAGTGTCGTTTGTGGGATTTACTGTTGCCGTATGGCTTCATGCCCCGAACGATGTGAAAGTATGGGTGTGGATACCTATAGGACTGCTTGTCTTTGACCGGATGGTTCGTTATACGTGGGCAATTTATGCCAATCTATCCATTTTCCATCGATCGAATACTTCCAAACACTCGATCTGGGCGAATCGCGCATATCTCACGCCCCTACCGGGAAATGTCACCCGTATAACTATCGAGAATCCAGCGGTGCGGTGGAAAGCTGGACAACACGCTTTCCTAGCCTGTCATTCTATAGTGCCGTTACAAAGCCACCCTTTTACAATCTCCTCAATACCGAGTGATGGAAAGATGGAGTTTCTAGCCCGTGCCGAGAAGGGCGGCACAAGACGCTTTTTCCACTACGCCTCCAAACGTGATCAAGTTCTAGGTGCTGATGGCACTAAAGAACACTATACAATACTGATCGACGGTCCATATGGGACTATCAGACCCCTTCAACAGTTTGATAGCATCGTTCTGCTAGCCGGTGGAATGGGATCAACTTTTACAATGCCCTGCCTGCGTGATATCGTTGCGAGATGGAAAGCAGAGTGTCAGGAGTCACCAATTCGTCTCGCAGCCACCAAACAAATTCGATTCGTCTGGGTGATTAAGTCGAGGGCCTATGTTAGTTGGTTTCAGTCTCAGCTACAGTCAGTTTTGGTTGATGTAGCTGAATGCCAACGGGTACAAGCTGATTTGATAAGGGAGATTGACATCAGCATTTATATTACTTGTGATGAGAAATTGGAGTCGACGGCAACACAGTCACATACGCCATGTATACAAAATCAGGGCAAGACTGAAGCAACGACGGATGCTGATGTCAACAATACGAAGCAAATATCCGAGAAGGAGGATGTTTCAATCCACTTGACCTCCTCATCAACAGCTTCGAATAATCCAAGTAACGCAACTGGCTGTCTTCCAAACGGAGGATGCTGCTGTGCAGTCCAAATCGAAGACGAGGATCGGATCACAGAATGCAAATGTAAATGTTCAGGGCCAGCACCAGCACCAGCACCAGCCTCCAGCCCTGAAATCTTAGTCATCCCAGAGAAACACACCACAAACACACCCCAGTTGAACATTCTCTCCGGCAGACCCCATCCAAAGAGCATTATTCGCAAAGTCCTAGAAAAAGCCGAGGGCGAAAGCGCAGTAGTCGTTTGCGGACCACAAGGATTGTCTGATGAAGTACGACGGAGTGTGGTGTATCTTAGCGATGAACGGGCTGTGCATAAGGGGACGGGGGCACAGGGAATATACTTGCATGTTGAGAAGTTTGGATGGTAATTCTATATTCTGATATGAATTCATCATTTCCATTCAATGAGTGAGTTTATATGCTAATATATGCATGATATGTTAACCTTCCCATCATGACTATTCATCAAAATAGGCATCCATTTGACAACAATTCACTGCTCAAATATCTATATAAGCCAGTTCAATCCCTTTAGATTTTTAAACTTGAAAATATTCTCATACCAACCACAACATCAAGAAATAAATCAATTCCACTTTATCCATATCTTCTTTATCCTGTTCATGCACTGGCCCAGTGCTCACTTAGCAAGGCTACACTGTCAATGATTATGATGATCATGTTCTATGCTATGTACTGCCTCTTGATTATTGGTTTATTATACTGAAACAACCCAATTCCCTCTCCCATTTGCTTTAATGTCTTGCAGATACAGAATATCCCAAGATATATATTCCCTTGTATACACTATTGCGTGGGTTTGTCTCGCACATTCTGGATTCTCTACAAGAGCTATCAGCAGATATAATTCGAGGGCCATCGCTGGTGCCATTGTCTTGCATTCGAATGATGTATTTTTCTAATCCACCTACATGGCTTTTCATACCCTCACATTCCCGTTCGCCTCTTTCCGAACTGTCTTCTTCCTTCGAGGCTTTAGCCTTCGTGTTGTCGTCCCTCTCAGAATGGCTGATACCCACAAAACGGTCGAAGAGTTTGACGATGCTGAGCTAGCTCAACTCATCCAAGAGATCGGTCGTGCTTTAGGGCTCCAACATTTCAACGCTGCAGCCTATTGCTTCCTATGGATGAGCGACATAGAAAGGCTGCGCGAGATAAGGTTGAGGGTAAGTGACCTTTTGATTCTTAACATTGGATTCGGTACTAATTACCATCAACAAGTTCTGTCCCTGATCGGAGTTGCATTATGCGTTGGAATTGACTACACCATCGCCTTGTTTGCCAAACCCGGGTCGTCCTTGAATATCACCACATTCTAAGGTAAAAGGTGGTATTCGCTTTTGGGCTTACCAGTCTCAGACAGCCGCTGAGATGATCTTGATCATCGGTGTTTACAGATCTAGCTGTACAGTGGAAACTGCATCACGATCTGTGAGACTCGGGATTCCGTCTCTCATGCTTTTCGGTTTCGAATTATCAATTCTTCGATGCCATGGCATGTTCAAATCGAGTCTGAATCTACAATGGCTGCAAGTTACGTTCACCACCCCCATAGGTCTCCACCAGAAGCCAGTCTGAAGGGCCCTTATTCTGCGATGTTTCCGAAGTCGAACACGCCATGCATACTACACCATGACCATATAGATGTGAGAACAGCACGGATATTCGCACTCCTCTTTCGCCTTGAGCCATCGTCGGATGGCAAATCCATGGATGTTGCTTTCTTCTGGATGCCGCACCCCTATGCTGATTGAAAGTTTGTATCCTCCAATATCGGGAAAAAGTTTGATTCAACACATCAGGATGGAAAGCTATTCAACTGTACAACCGACGAAAAGATAATTTCCGGAACGATTATGACTAAGTCAAAGGTTGTACCTCTTCAGTGTTACGAACTGCTGCAAATAGATTGCAGGCTTCAGTGCGGGAGAACCAGAACAAAGATATTACTGATTACCTTGAGAGATTATTTCCCTTTTTTCCGTTCTTCTTCGATAAGAATGATTCGCGAAATGCCAGCTGCTGTAGCGTACTAAAAGAATCGCCAAGTTTCGATCTAGATGCTGCACATCCAAACCAAAGGCTATTTATGAATTCCTTTGGAATGGATCACCAACAATCGCTAGATGCTGGTCACAGAATGGATATAATGTGTCCAAAACCTCAATCTTCATCGCCTCCGGCAATCAACGCACCCCAAGAGGAAAACAACTGTCGAACATGACGCTGAGAGCCCGAAGACTGAGGCCGTCTTCTATCAAGCAGATAATTTTTCTTTTAAACTGGTTTGGGTTGAACCATTGGATCTTCAATCAAGTTTTGCAATTCCTTCAACTTTTAGAGAACGAAAGTCATGGACAAAGTCAGACCAGGAAGCCAGAAGAATCTGAATCACTCCACCATTTACTACCAGGGTTCCATCGCTGCAGGTGGTATTCGCTATACTTCTCTGGCCTAAATGCCCAGTACAGAAGTCAACGGAGTAAGACGGTCTCATTTACATTACAATGGAATACATTAACACTACGTTCGTCATGATACAAAGCACATCATCTTTCTCCACGTCCAGCTCTATCTCCCTATGAAGGGATAGTGATAGAGATTCTTGGAAGGAGCAAGATTGTCGCGACTACGTTAAGCAATACATTCCAGGACGTCTTGCGATTTCCGGCCTTCAACCCTGGGGTCCTTGTCTCCGATGAGTCGGGTCAGTCAATGGAAGGCGACCCGACCATATGATCGCAATGACCACGGACACACTCAATGCCTCCGACAACTTTCAGAAGGACAGAAAAATGTGGCAGCGGGATTTCCTTTTCCATAGCGAGCATTTCGACAGTGCTCGTATAATGACGTTTGGATAGTCTTCGCATATCCTGGCAGTGACCGTTTCGCTAACCACCGCCACTCCAAGGTTGGGTTTTCTTTCCAAGTGACCTGGACTTTTGCAGGACTGTGGCCATCTCCCGTTGACCCAGAAGGCTTGTCATCCCATCAAAAAACCCTGGGATACCTGGTACCACGACAATATGAAGAAGTAGTGGGTGATACTACTTACCATTATCATGGATAATATACTAACATATGGGTTTAGAATCAGACAATGCCCCAAAAACGAAGAAATTCAGAGATGTACTCCGACCCTCAGGAGTAGACCAAACGACTGCCTATCATGGGATGGAAAACTGATAGCATTGAAAGCACCAATTCTATAAAACATATGTGCAGCAAGAGTGGGAGACATTCTGCGAATGCCTTTGCTGGAAAGATGTTGGTCTGGTGTGACAGGCCAATTGAGCAATCTGGGACTGCAGAACGAACGATTTCTGGCAAAAATCATCTCATCCATAATTTATCTTCCTGACAATATTCTTGAAGTGCAAAAGATAGACTTGTTCTCTGATGTAGCCAACATCAAGAAAAGATCGACGATAGCTACCATAGCTCCTGCATTTCGGATGAAGGGATCAATCTCCATCACATTAACAACATATTCATATCTGCCTATAAAACCATCGATCCATAATGATATAAATAAGCTACAGCTATAAATAACTTCATAATATCCCCTGAACAACCGATTGTTGATTAATAAACCCGTCTCCTCTGCATGGCCGAAACCAAAGTACCCAAACGAACACATGACGTCACCCCAGCCCCCCTGGTAACTAACAGCCAAACAACGTCAAACCTCAACCTGAGTCACCACCACCTCATCCCATCTACACCAACACTCTGAACAACAAACACACACCTTACCAACTGTTTCAAACCACCAAAATGTTCCGTTTCGTACGTTTTCCTCCCCCATTGCTTCTCAATTTCAATCCAAACTAATAACCTACTTCCAGTCCAAAACCCTCGACCCCATCACCCTCTTCCACAGCCCGACGCTGGCTTCCTCGGCGCGCGTCCTCAACATCCTCAAGCAAGCATCGACCGTCGCATCGGAAACAGCCACAGAAGACCAAGCGAGCGACTACACCTCGCACGCGAAGAAGCAGCGCGGCGAGTTCCAGCTCGAAGTCACCGATGCGTTTCCCACCACTGACCAGTTGAGGAATATTCTCGATTATGTGGGGAATACGGGCGTGGGAGGAAAGGCGGATGCGGTGATTAAGGGGGCGAAGAATGCCGAGGATGCGATTAAGAGGTTTAAGGAGAATGAGGGGCTTTTTGTGAGGCCTGTGGTAGGTTTTTTTTGGGTTTCCTTCGGTGTGGTTTGATTATAGGTGCTAATTGTGGATAGACTGTCGACTGGACGAATGGAAAGGCGGTTGTTGGAGATAATGAGTCGGAGATTCTCAAGATGGTTCGTCAGTTGGAAGAGAACTAAGAACGAGACGAGGCCATTTGGATGTTATACCCTTGGGTGATATCTGATTCTTGCAATCTGAACTAAACATACGGTTCATCTATGTATCATACAACAATAAACATGTCACAACTCCAGACCATGACCGTCCCACTCTAACAGCCAAACTACAAAGACAGAGATGAAGATGAGTTGTAAGAAAGGAAAAGAAAGAACATGCATAACCATTAGAAAATGTACTCGCTCATAAAACTGAAACCGACAAGGCCATGGTCAAATCGAGAGCCAGCTCGTTGCCACAGGAAAATTCAACATGCATTTGTTTTAGAACATCGTTCCAAATGTTCCATCCGTCGCAATCGGCTTCCGGGGTGAACTGCGTCCTGTTCCTTCAACGGCGGGTTTGCGGTGACTGTCACATGTTAGCAGGGATACCCAGACAATTACAGTAAGAACATACCGGAATGTAAATCCAACAAACAATCCCTTGTTCATCTTGTCGTCTCGTTCCGCCATCTCCTCCAACGCTCGCTGTTTGTCGTGGACCTCCTTGTACTTGGCCATATCCGCCTCGTTGCCAAAGTCGTCAAAGTACCCAGCATCCGTCTCCGAATCTAGCTCGGGCACAAATGGTGCACGCTGTCCTCGCAAGTCGGTAAAGTCGACCTCGCTAAAGTAGTCGTGGGCGTGAATCTCGTGGATGTTCTTGAAACGCTGCTCCTTGGACGCCACCAGCTTGGTAATCAGATCCCATGTCCGTCGTGAGAGGAAGTAGTTCGGATCTTCATAGACCGGCTTGCGGAGCACCTTCTGCCAACGCTTCAGATTTTGCCAGGTTTCATCCACCGTTGCGCCCGCAAAAGGTGGGTATCCGGCCAAAGCCTCGAACAGCATGCATCCCAAACTCCAGTAGTCCACAGTAAAGTCATACTCCTCACCCTTCAACACCTCGGGAGCCATGTAGTCCGGCGATCCGACAATCGACTTGGCGTAGTTGACCTGACGCTCACGCAGCGATCGGTAGCCCTGACGACGCTCTGCCACAGTTCTCTGCTCCATCGGACGACCAAAAGGAACTGGCGTGTTGCCCACTTCTTCCAACTTGACTCGCATCGACTCGATCTTGCCAGGGTTCAGCATACCCGCTGCCAACCCAAAGTCCGTGAGCTTCACGTGTCCTGTGGAATCAATCAAGAAGTTTTCCGGTTTCAGATCCCGATGAATGTAGCCCAACATGTGGAGAGCATCGATACATGAGAACATCTCAGCAATATAGAAGCGAGCATGACGGTTATGTAAGACCCCAGTGTTGTTGAGCAGCGTGCGGAAATCACCACCGGGCACGTACTCCATAGCCAGGTAAATCTGGTCGTCATCCTGGAACGCATAGAGCAGCTTCACCAGCCACTCACTCTTGGCCGCAGTCAAGATATCTCGCTCCGTCAAAATATGCCGAATTTCGTCCAACTTGAACAGCAACTTTTTGCTCATGATCTTCAACGCGCAGACCTCCCGCGTATCTTTCTTTTGTGCCAAGTACACCTGTCCGTAGCCACCCTGTCCAACCTGGGTCAACAACTGGAAGTCGTGGTGGCGTAAGCGAGTACGGCGCTTGCGAAGGTGGGCACGCTCCCGACCAAGGTACTTGACGAGAGCCGGCTCATAGTCATCCATTGGGGTCTCAGGAGGTTCGGGGTATGCAGCTTTGAACTGGGAATGGCGGGTCTGGCGGTTGTGAACGTAGCTGAGCAAATCAAAGTAGTGGTCCAGGAAATCTAATTACCGCAATGGTTAGCAAGTTCCAACAAAACACGAGGCGCGACATACAAAGTTGAGTCACATTCACTAGTCGCTTGACTCTAGGATTTTGCAGCTTTTCCATTTCCTCCGCTGTCAACCCGCGCATATGGACCTGCCTTCTCTGCAGGGTGTCCGCATCTCGGGGCTGGTAGGTCTGGTTGCGAGAGATCGCAGCAGCGGCGGGGTTAGGCCCAAGATCTTTCGCCACACGAGTAGGACTAGCATTCTCTTTATTCGACCTGCGCGTAGGGCTTGCCCCAGGCTGGTGAATAACACTCTCGCTGAAATCCTCAACGCTTCTCTTGGGCGGTGCAAACATGGGGTGGTTGTAGTGGTTGTAGGTATTCTTGGTCGGAGAAGAAGGGGCAAGCTTCATAGCTTTGTCGAAAACGTTGGGCAGATCGAGAGAACCCGGAGGCATGCGATTTTTACTGGGACTTCCATGGGGAGTCTGAACGGGACTGGTGAAGCCATTTTCGCCAGGCGTGGAGGGGCGATCAAAGGGTTCATTGCCCGAACGAGTGTGCAGCAAAGGAGGGGGGTTTGGGAGTCGGAGACCATGGCGTTCCGCCGTTTCGGGCGCGATGTCGACGGTCATCATGGCCTAGGAGAAGAAATGGGTAGTGAAAAAGAGAGCTCACAAAGGAGGCCAGATGAAGATGGATTGGGTTGAAAGGTGGTTGTGGAGGAGCGATTCCTTGATAAGGGCGAGTCACCGCCTGACGGAAAGTGGATTCGCTGGCCACACAAGCACGACGCCGTCAGAGAGGGGGATGTGCGGTGAAGTTGGGAAGCAGGGGGGAGAATGTAAGAAAGAAAACAGGTTCGGCAGTTGAAGAATGGCTTTATGAAGATGAAAGAAAGAAAGGAAAAAAAAAAAAAAAAGAAAAGAAAAGACAAAGGAAGATGTTGCAGTACTTAATCTCGTCAAATCAAACGCAGGGCTGCTCTCTGTTCAGCTCGTGTCTGTCTGAGGCCGCCAAAAAGAGGCCCGAAAAGAGCCACTCAGAGCCCCTCGTGCCAATGTTGCCCGGGCAACTCCCTCTTCCAGGGCGCATCGAGATCGCATCGCGGATCCAGTTCAATTTAAATTAAGGCCTCAGACAGGCGAAATCCGGATGGGATTCAAGGGGGCCCAGTGAGTTTATCGGGCCCAGCATCACAATATCACCGGTCTGATTGGGTTGATCGTGACGCGAGATGGAGTCTGGAGATGCCGTGCTGCAAGTCATTTTCCACTAGTTTCTCCTGGTCGGACAAGGGCGAGATCGGCCATGATGGATGGGTCCAGAGCTCGGAGGATTATGTTTGTTTATATCTACAAAGTCCAGCGGATGTGATGTTTAAATAGAGTCGTACACAGTATACATACTCACTTGAAGTGGATATGACAGCTTCAGCTCTTGAGATGGCAGAATTGTCCCTTGGTTGAGGGGATAATCGAATTGCCCCTTTGGGAATGGCGGCAGGGTTCCATGGAACACACAGTGGACGATCAGCAGTTCATCCAGTTTCTGAGAACATGATATCATATGGGAGCATCTTGGTTAAAACTCGTTTATATTATTTATATTCGTCATGTCTATGTCAATCTATTCAGATCTATTTAAGCAGCACCCAGAGCCCGTTGTCCAGTCTACCATCAATTAGCATCAAAACAACACTCCATCAAGTAAGGAAAACCCACGAAAAATCCTAATCCATACGACTCGGTCGTAAAGGTGATCTTCGACCCCTTGGGGAAATAAAACACATCTCCAGGCTTCGCAGTCACAGTTTGTCCCGTCTCATCAGAAATCTGAAACTCGCCCTCGACAATGATCTTCATCTCGTCGTAGGTGTATTCGTAGACAAGGGGGGTGCCTTCTTCGAGACGGTAGAAGCCACATGAGATGGGTTTTTCGGGGTTTTCTTTTTCACTGTTCTTATCATCAGTATGTGCATCACTCATGTATCTGGTAGGGTGTAGACATACCTGGAGAAAACATCACCCAGAAAGGCATTCTCGTTTGCGATCAAAGGGGGCTTGTATGTCGACTGAGCGGCAGCGTGGTGTTGGAATGGAGTGGCCATTTTGTGCTTTCTGATTCTGACCTGTGGCAAGTATTGAAGTGCAAGATAGGTATGCTCGACTCGGATGGATGTTCAAATCATCCCCTGGGATCATAATCCCATTTATATATCTTCCCCATCGCAATAATCTACTCAGTTGATAGCAACCTCGATCCAAGAATGATCGATCGTGAGAGGATCCGAACCCCCTTGAGACGACAGGATCCGATACCCAGAGTAGGCAGGGCGATGAAACGGATTGATAAGGAGTAGGACAGGATGTTGGAGACGCAAACACGGCGTCATAAGCTATGAGGGGTAAATTGATAAGAGAATGAGAAATGAGGGGTGCACAAGAAGGGTGTCTGATAATGGTGATGGAATATTACAGCAGAGGTTATCCGGATACGCGTATTGACGGTTATCTTAAGGTTTGACCGGGGTGGATACTGTATATATTACCGTATATATGTATTAAATACGGGATAATTTTCCCTGGAAGGGTTAGCATCTCCGCAAAAGCTGTCTGACATTGGTTAGACTGGATGAAGTATATGATGATAGAGCATCATAGATGATGATATGAGGATGATCAAACACTGGTAATACGCATATCAGCTGGTATGTACCAGTAACTCACCTCTTTCCATACTGTATAGCCGTATCCGAGTACCAGATACAGTCATCACCATCACTCCTATCCAAGAACCCTCGCCATCCCAACACTCTCGAACAGGCAACCAGACCCAATAACCTGACCTCTTCGCCTTCCCCCGCCAAATAGTGCATCTGCATCTCCCTCATTTTTCCCCTCTTCATCTCATCATCGACTCATCCAGAAAAGGTAACCACTGTCGATCTCATCATTCTCGTCCAAAGGCCGTCCACACCCTCCAAATGGCATACCTACCACAGACAGTGCAGCAGACTAAAGCAGTCTAAAACGTACGGTACACCTGCCGCCATTCATCGCTCGATTAAGGGGGAAAACCTGTTGCGAAAAATCACACCACGGCGGGAAATGAGATATGATATTCCGAGGGCTACAGCCGTTCTTAAATGCAAGGAATTTCTCGCTCTTCTGTTTCTCCTCCACTTTTCTTTTTCGTGGCTTTTAGTTTCTTCCTTTTTCCCCCTCACTTGATTCTTGATTCTACAACTGTCACGACTATCCAAGCCTAGCAGCAGGACTGATTCACCTCACTACAAATACGAGGCCCATTGATATACCCGGTTGACTTGACCTCATCCAATGCAGATCTCGGTTATTCCTCCACCTATACTCTGTGCTCTCGTTTCTCTTTCTCAACGCGGGGTTCTCGGGCTTACCTGAGTCCACTCAGATACTTCACTATCAAGACAGCTACTCAAACAGGTCCGTTCGCCAGTGTCATCTTCAGGATTCTTCTCTTCATGCTAACTGATTCTCGCAGTTTGCTATCTGTAGTGAATTCAAACTTCTCATTGAAATTCTCATTGAAATCAAATCAACTCAAATATTGGATTCTTCATACAGACATCTTTGAGTCATCAAATCGATTCTGTCGAGCTGATCCTCCCATGCGCCAATACAGATTGCAGTAATTCGGCTCAACTCACAACGCGGTTCTCCAAAAGCACTTCACTTCTCCCTAGCGACAAGACTATTTACATTTCCATCGCGACATCTCACCATCGCACCACTGCGCCACCGCGTCTCAAAACAAAGACACGGATCTGAAATTAAGCCAAGTCCGTCCAGCGTTCCCTGATTAGTGCTTTCATGTCCGTCATCACGGTCTCTCAGAAACGCCCGCTGATTAACAAAGAATTCAGATAGTAATATGAGCATTAAGCCGAATAAGCACCAACAAATCCAAAGATCAACGTCCGCATCGCTATCAAATCAGACCAAAAAGCGGAATAAATTAATATCTCAATCTCATCCTGACGCAACAATGGCTACCGTATCTATCACCAGCGACCTAGAGCCATATCTGGCTTCACTCCGGATGTATTTGGCCAAAAGCAGCCCTTCCCCCGAGGATACACTCGACGATTCCGCCACTGAGTCCTCGCAGCAATCGGAAACCGAAGATACTCGAGACGAACTCCCGAAAGCGAAAAGGAGTAGTAACGATAGCGGCCATTTCAGCACAAGACGCCCCGCGATAGTAAAACATACATTGCGGTCTCGTTAGATACCAACTTGTTCTTCATTTTTTTGCTTTTTGTTTTATCCCAAAAATACTATGTCAAGTTAGTTGCGTTGCACTTGAAATGCGAAGATACCTTCAGAACTGCTTACCTTCCCAACCCCACTCCTCCATGACACTGATCCAGTGCAATCTTCCTCGAATGGTTTTGTCAAACTCAATATTTTCCAATGGAGAGACGGCGGAGCCTCGCCGAGGCCCCCCAAGTGATATTGTGGGCATCGTTCGCGGTTCTGCAACCGATCTCCTCCTCCAAGGCTCTGTAGCACTGTACAAGCCATCGGGACTTCGCACCTCAGGCCCACCTCCATGAGATAGCCTGTTTTTCCCTGGACCCTCCATTGCAAAATATGGTCCGGACCTACCAGTTCCTCGAGATTGTCGTCGTGCTTTTTCGGCTTTGTCTTTATCCTGACGAGACCAAACCTCCTGAACAACATCAATACATCGATCAATAGCACCCAGCATAAGGCGGGATTGGATGGACGTCCATCTTTCTAGAACCCAGGTTCTGTCCTCTTGCTCAGCTTCGCAACCGGCTGCCAACAGCGGAAACATCTGGATAATTGTCGTACGAGAACTAGGTGGAACGGTCGCAAGCAAGATCAAAACTCTTTTTGCCAGTACAGAAGTTGGTTCAGAAGGCATCTCTGGAACTGCTTGGTGGAGATACAGAAGTGTTGCCCAGCGATAGGCGTATGCTATCTGGATGCTGTGCTGTACCTCCGAAGTTGGATCCTCAGGGGGCTCAAACCATCTTGGAGGTTCCCATTGCTCCAAAAGTCCTTTCAGCTCGATGGCTTGAGATACCAGAGAAAGTGAGTTGGACTCACTTTTCCGGACCTGTTGAATTAACAGGGTGACCCGGTTTATGAGTGGGAAAAGGGTAGCTGCGCAACCCATCAAAGGATCAATTTCATGGACTGAATCATTTGAAAGATGAGAGATGGAGAAATCCATTTCCTGGTCACTGCATTCTTCCCGAGACGTCAAACGCGCAATCACGTCCATATACAACCAGGTATTATACAGAAACCGAACCCGCTCTAGATCGGCTCCCTGCATTCCATTTTGGATACCAAACCTCAGTACCTGTGACACCAACGCCTTGGCTCCTCGCAAATGCTGGATACATGTTTGGGTATGCTGGTCCCAGGTATCAGCAAATGCAAGCGCTAGACTGGTAGCCAGAGCAGCGTCTGTCTTCATGTTTTGAATGTCTTGAACCATGAAAGTAATGCTTTTACGCATATGATCCACCCCATGGACTCGCAATTCCGGACTCTCTTTGCTAGAATGGAAGGCAGTCAATGCAAAAATTGCATGGTACAGGGCTGGACTATCTTTTGCCAGTGGCCATATCAATGTCCGCCACGGGTTTTCATTCATGCCGTCTTTCACCGACAGTATTCCGCATGTGAATCGATCATATCGTACTATGAGCATCTCAGGACTGGCGACATCAAAGCTAGGCTCCCGATAAATACTGGCAGTTGCATTCTTACTCCCCTTAGGGGAGGATGTGTTCTTGCCTGAGAATTGGAGTATCCAGGGCTTAACTCCCGGGTTGGTCTGTTGTACCATTTCCTCCACGTCCTCATTGTCTTCTTCTAGCAATGCTGAGAAGCTGAAGCCATCGGAGTTTCGGGGGCTGTGTTGCAATGAAATCTCAAAGGGAGGTTCTTCCGAGTTCATGTCGAGATCACTTGCAGCGGGCAGCAGGTCCGATAACCAAGGAGATTGGTCTGGTGGTGAGAAATGTGTCAGAGACGATGTGGTATTTTGGTCGTCAAAGCAATCCATATTTGGATGGCCTAGAAGCTCTCCCCAGCTGGATGCCAGATCTTTCTGTTTCGCCGGAGAGTCATTTGAGTTTCGTGGAGGTATACCAACAGGCTTTGGTGGAGAGCCCTGAATAGATTGTGATTCATCATATCTCAATGGACTTTGTCTTGCCAAGGTTGACTGGGTCATTGTAGTTGATACTGAATCCTCTGTAGCCGGCGAGGTAGAAAAGTTGGTATCCGGCTTTCTAGATGCAGGGTAAGGCGGCGATGAGGTGACTGTTTGAAATGGTGAGTTAGCCTTCTGAATAGTTATATATCATGATAGCATGTTGATTACCCTTTTTTGTTTTTGTGGTCGCTTTGCTGCCTATGTTGGTCTCTTCGAACGGCCGCCATTTGAAGTCCTTTTTGTATCCTCCACATTGCACATTTCGCTTCTTACACTGAAGACAAGTTGGTTTTGACTCGTCGCATTTAAGTCTCTTCGTTTTGCAGGTGGTGCAGCCTGGTAGGGAGAAATGACGAGAAGGTCAGCGCACTGCGAATTTATACAGCACTTGTGTTTGTGTTTTTTCTCTTTCTTTCATCCCTTGGATGTGATAGGTACAGTTGGTAATATCGTACCATTACGACTTTTTGACTGCTTTGGCTTGTTAGTAGTGGGATTTGTAGCAGGTTGGCCTGCTGTTTTCTTCGCAGGGGAGGGAGGCGATCTCGACGGCATGGCAGGAGGAGGGTCTAGAATAGCAGACGGCGATGGGATCTTGATGTTTTCCATACCCGGGACTGCAATGACAACATGGGCCCACACCGAGTGCAAAGAGATATAAAACAATATTGAACAGGTGGCAGAAAAAAAAAAAAAAAAAAGAAGCAAGTCACACAAATGATGTATAAAGGGCGAAAAAGTACACACAAAAAGGACGGGATGGGAGGCGGGAAGATTATTTCACCACATAAATAATAGATAAGCGTTTCAGCCGTATCTAATGACAGGACAATGACAGGACAAAGCAGGATAGATAGGAGTCAAGGGGGCAAAGATAGATAACCCAATGCCTTACCAGGGTGCCAAACGGTGAGGAGAAACAGACATTAGGATGATAAGAGTCGCACTAGAGGAGCAGATTGCGGGGACGGGTTGGAGTGAGTTGGAGGCGAGGATGGGAAGTGCCGATCAGACCAAGAGCATCCGAGACCAGTTGGGAGGAGGCGTGAGATGGATTGCAGCTGTAGTTGCAGATGCAGATGGGATGGGATGGGATGGGATGTGACGCGACGGTCTCTAGGTAGGTGCGTGCCTTGGTGTTCTATTCCTGGTGGGAGGGGCAGGAAAAAAGGCAGTACCACGGAATGGGTGAAGGTTCGCGATGACCCACGAGAAATGTTAAAGCTAAGATGATGATGATGATGATGATGATGAAAATAAAGACAACGATAGGAGGAGAAACGCCACTCGGAGGGAAACAAAGTCGACGAGGGTTGAAGAAGTCGAGCGGCGGGCTCGCGTGAGGAAATCCCCAACTTCCTATTCGGCCGCCGGTGCGCCCAGTGGTCGCTCAGCGTTTCCCCTCTTGCGTTCCTCCACCGGTGCTGCTTGGCTGGAAGAATCGATCTTTTTTGGTGTTCTTGCATTGGTAGCTTGGTCGGCCTTGATGTGGCCGTCATTACAGGTGTTGTAACACGTATCAACTTGATATCTGGTCCATGTATCATGGAGCCCCATCTCGGGTACGTCTCCTCTTCATCTTGATGTAACCATGCATCCATCCCCGCGACAAATATCTAACTTGCCTTAGGTATCTTGGCTTTCATTTTCTTCCAGAACACTTTCGAATCATGCTTTCATCATTGGACACGGACATTCTCCGGGATCCCCAAGATTGGCGAGGATACGATTCTGGGGATGATCCTGAGAGGGGGTGTATAACTAATCCGCCTAGTCTAGAACTCCACAAGCTGAAATGGTTATATCTCAAACACTAACCATGGCACCGAGAGAGATCCATATGGTTAAGATGGACGGTTAAGATGGCAGCTGTCATCCGTGATTTGTGTGTATCCTCATACGTTTAGCAGATTTGCGGCATCACATCCACCACCCGTCTTGCTCCACTATGGAAGACCAATTCCCAACCTTCCCCTTGCCTTTGCCCACTGTCTCAAATATTTAACACTTTTCACCTAAACTTCTTTCAATCGCATTCTTCTGATCTTCATAACTGACAGAACCTTTGAGCTGGCTGCTCATTTCATAGATTCCAGACAGCTTTAGATAAACCCGTGGGAAAATGTCGAGGCTCACAAACCTGCGAAAAGAAAAGTTCTTCCCGAATTTCGCCAATTTGCCCGCTGAAGACGATATTGACTTGAGATACTACAAATTTGTCAATGATTCCCATCTCAAACCCAAGCAACACTGGTGCCTTCTAACAGAGATCGTGTCGATTTGCATTTCGGCCGGCTGGTTCTCCGATCCCGCGACAGAGCTGGTAAACCTTTGACGATCGCCTTCTACACAGATGGCAATGGGAGGAGGATCTCATCTCAGATGAAGGTTGGATATACGATTGCTATCCTCTATGCTGACCAGCATGCTTTCATAGACGGATCCACAGGGGTTCGCCAAGAGAGCAACAATACCGTCAAGGTGAGAACCCATGGGCTGCTTCAATATCCCAAGGAAGCAGAGCTAAGGAATGTCCAGGTTTTCCCCTCGACTTTAGATAACCTGCTTAAATTGAACCACGAGGTTCATCTTTGGAAAGCGTTTCCCAACAAAGGGGTCTGCCACGCGTGCAATAAGGAAAAGGAGCCTTTGCAGAAATGTGCCAGGTGTGGTATGGTGTCGTATTGTGATCAGGTTAGTGGAAGAGGACATAATGGTTGCTCTGGCTGTGTCTTGAGACTAATTATAATGCAGGAATGCCAGAAGTCTGGCTGGGAGAAGATGAATCACAAGAAGAACTACAAGATTCTTCGAGATAATGACTTCCAAGGAATGCTGAAGGTGAGGTGGGAACCCGTAATTGAAGATCTGAATTTTCCCTTGAACATAGGATAGATGCCGTAGTCCAATCATTGCCTCTGTGGAAGGAGCTTTATCAGCCTCTGAATATCGCGAAGATAGATGGTTTTACTCCATCCCTAGAAACCCCATTGGTCACCATCTGAGAATACAGACATAAATAGACCGTTAAACCACTGAAAGTCGAACCCGTAGATGAGTTGAAGAGGGATGGTGGACAGAGCGGATATCGCGGGGAACAGAGGCCGAGGTTGCGGATCGGCCGAAAAGCGGGGGGCAATCATCCGCCAGCAGCTCCCTGGACAAAACATCCTCTTCCTCCAACATTTTTCCACCTCTCCGTGGCATAATCTATCCTGTCTAGCGATTGATTCCCACATACAATGTTTCGATCAGTTCCCCGTCGAATTCCTCGACGCGTCCCCACGCTCCCTACGACTGCTGCCAGTCCATCACGTCTCGCCCTTCGGACTTTCACATGCGGTTATCCTCGGATGTCTTCGTCACCGCTCCCTCGCGTTGAACCTCCAGTGTCGACAGCATTGCCAGGCGATTCATACCAGCTTTTGTCGTCAGAAGAAAAGGCTGGCGCTGCTGAAGATGCTCTTTACGAACAACAGATTAAAGACGTAGAAGCGTGGTGGAACTCTCCCCGGTTTGAGGGCATCAAGCGCCCCTACACGGCTGCGGATGTCGTCACCAAGCGCGGGTCCTTGCAACAGACATACCCAAGCTCGTTGATGGCACGGAAGCTCTTCAATTTGTTGAACGAGAGGGCCGCGGAGGGAAAACCTGTTCATACCAGTATGTTATTAGTTCTGGATAGTTAGATGGCCAGATCTCGATCTAACAGCTTCCCAAGTGGGTGCCATTGACCCCGTGCAGATGACACAGCAGGCTCCTCACCAAGAGGTTTTGTATATCTCTGGATGGGCTTGTTCGTCGCTTTTGACGAGCACCAACGAAGTCTCCCCAGACTTTGGCGATTACCCGTACAACACCGTCCCGAATCAAGTTCAGAGATTGTTCAAGGCACAAAGTATGCATGACAGGAAGCAGTGGGATGCCAGACGGAAGTTGACTCCAGAGCAACGGAAGTCTACACCGTATGTCGACTATCTGCGACCGATTGTTGCAGACGGTGATACAGGGTACGTTTATCTTTAAAAATCCGTCAAAGCTCTTTATTGACGCCAATTTACCTGCAGACATGGTGGCTTATCAGCCGTTTTGAAGCTGGCCAAGCTTTTTGCGGAGAACGGTGCCGCAGCTGTTCACTTTGAAGATCAGCTCCATGGTGGAAAGAAGTGCGGTCATTTGGCGGGCAAGGTTATTGTGCCCATGGGTGAACACATCAACAGACTGGTTGCAGCTCGTTTCCAATGGGATATGATGGGGGCTGAGAACTTGGTCATTGCCCGTACCGACTCTGAGAGTGGAAAATTGATCAGCAGTGCCATTGATGTGCGCGACCATGAGTTCATTCTGGGAGTGGCGGAAGATGTTGAACCTCTCGCAGAGACCCTCCAAGCAATGGAAAGGGAGGGAGCTGCTCCCTCGGAGATTGATGCTTTCGAGCTGCAATGGGTCAAGGACCACAAGCTGGTAACTTTCGATGAAGGTAATATCGTTATTTCTTTCACCAGGTATAATCGTGCTGATTGCGTTTAGCTGTCGATGCCCACCTCGAGGCTGAGGGAGCATCTCAATCCACCCGAGACGCATACAAGCAAAAGGTTCAGGTAAACCTTGATCTGTCTTTCTCCCGCCGAAGAGCATTAGCAAACGACTACACCAAGTCCCCTGTGGTCTGGTCCTGCGACAGCCCCCGAACCCGGGAAGGTTTCTACCACTACCGCGCCGGCTTCCCAGCAGCAACCAAGCGAGCCAAGGAATTTGCACCTTATGCCGACCTCCTGTGGGTTGAGACTGGTGACCCGAATGTTGAAAAGGCTGGCAAGCTGGCAGGAGAGGTCCGAAGTGCCCACCCTGGCAAGAAGCTGGTCTACAACCTTAGTCCATCATTTAACTGGATGGGCCAAGGATTCGACGAGGCATCTCTCAAGTCCTTTATCTGGGACCTCGCACAGCACGGGTGAGTTAAAACGCTGAACAAAACTGATTCGAAGCTAATGAAGTCAGATTTGTGCTTCAATTGATTTCCCTCGCGGGTCTGCACTCCAACGCCACCGTGACAACAGAGCTCTCGCGTGCCTTCAAGGAAGATGGCATGCTCGCCTACGTGCGCCAGATTCAGGCACGCGAAAAGGAGCTCGGAGTCGACGTTCTCACTCACCAGAAGTGGAGTGGAGCGCCGTACATGGATGGCATCCTTGGGTCGATCCAGAGCGGCAGCAGCAGCAGCAAGAGTATGGGAGAGGGTAACACAGAAAAGGGTGAGCTAGCACTAATTATAGTTTCATTATTTGAAGACGCACTAACTTTCGAACAGGCTTTTAAACGAGCTATAATGCTTGGATGAGGTGTTTATCCATATGGCTGCGATGAACCATTCTAATTGATGTATTACAACCAAACGGACGATGTTATTTATATAAATGCTAGACTTGCATCTCTTCTTATTCAATTCTCTATACAACAAAACATAAAATCACTATGCCATCCCAAGAACAAACCCATCAAACAGCAACAACCCGATATATCCTTCACTCATTGATGATTATGCCCATTCAAAGTCAAAATACAATAATACGCCCCATCTTCAAGCTGACAATGTCTACCCACACCACTCCCAACAGAGCCAGTTTTGCAATTCTCGAGACAATCATGGGCGGTTTCCCATTTTCCGGCTGATTCGACTTGTCAGAGGCAGTATTTACGACTGGGTAAAGTAGGTAAACGTACAACTGAATTCAGTGGGTGCTGAAAAGACGCCAGCTGCGAGGGCAAGGAGGATCTGGGTTAGATGCATTTTGCTAGTCTGTTGTCAGATTTTAGTCACGGAAATTGATATACATGGGAAAGACATACTAGATAGAGTGATAGTTGAGTACTGAAAATGCTTCTGGAGGCTATAATTTCTCAACCCTAGAGGAAATATCGACATCTTTATAGAAAACATCTTGAATATGATGCCATCATACAGAACACAAAGCACAATGACGAAAATAAGTTATCATACAACAGCCAACAGCATGGCAGAACACGTTGCATGGACTTGATACAAGTCACAAAAAAGCGCAGATAGTCATGCATAGCCGCTAAATCCCAGACATCCGGTACATACATCTGCTGTTGCCCTCTCCTCGCCTCCCGATTCGGATTCGGCTGCCAAGATCTCGTATGAAGCACAGTATTCCCAACAGGCACACTCCCCGGTACACCCCCTGACTGTTCGACATGAAGGGGTGGGGTCTGGTCTTTATCATATCGTAGTTATCACGGCATAATTAGATCATGGCGGTTGATGAAACATAATAACTCGACTCTACTGGATACAGCACGAGTGTCGTATTCTCAGTCTCGTTGATAACCACATTACCCATGCAATGCTATCACTCTGCGCAGCCCAAGAGGGTGGTTATTCACAGGTCGAGGTCCATTCTATGGGAATAAGCAAGCCTGACAGATCAAATGAAAGTGTCAGGATGAAAACCATGCAAGCGACTCGCAAGCTCAAACTCCATGCGTTCTCCTGGCTGCGGGCCTTGCAATATATGTCCGATTTGGTCGCTCCCTGGAGGAAAGTCATGTTCGTATACCGGCTCACCAGCTCCTCTCATATTGGCCAGGACAGCTTGTTTAAAGTGCCAGTATAAAGCATGTCAGAGACTTGATGAGGATGGTCGGGTTAGCGGCACGATGCACCTATAACTGTTCCGTCGAGTTCTTCGTCGATTCCTTGGAATGTGTAGATTTTGTATCCTTTCTATTAAATGTCAACTTTATTCCAAATACGCACCAGGAGAAGGGATCGATGTAGAGGACTAACAAACGGGTTAATCGCAAAGAAGTATTGGTCAAAAAGCTGACGAAGATCAGCCTTCATCAAGATACCATTCTGTGGCGAGTTGATTCCTGTCCGGTCAGTCACATAGGCATCGAGATGGCTCGAGGGGAAAACGGCCTCGTGGGCCACGGGAACGATATGTGCTGCCTCAAACCCAAGCCAGATATCTCTGTCCGCCCCTTTTGCAACAGCCCCTGAGATCATACAGCCCCCATCACGGTGTCTCACTAGACTACTGCGATTAGAGATAACCACAGTACTTGGAACGAGAAGATGACTCACGCAGTGAATTATTTATAACTGGTAGAATCCGCGATGGAAAAGGAACGAAAGTAGTATCGCTCTTCTGAGACCTCGACACGGCCTAACGCAGGACAATTGCTCAGTCTTCTGCATCTGTATAAGAGGAATTACACCCTGCATACCATCTTCCTGTGCAGACTTAACGATATAAACCCCCTTCTCGAGCAGGTCAGAACTATCCTCTACCACCTGCCCATCGTCCGAAACAACCATAAACCCATTCGGAGCGTCGAGGCAGATACAGAGCATCGTCAAGAAGTCGTTCTTTGTGTACTGTGGACCAGCATCTACTCCGCCACGGATATCCTCGATATTCGGTGTAAGGACGAAGAATACATTGCGAGACTGATCGCGGGTTGGATGGGACATTATGCAACTGCAGGGCAGATGGGGAGGAGGGGGGAGAAGATTGAGAGCTCGCAGCATGATGTCAGTGAATGCTGGTAGTGGTGATGTAACTTTACTTGGTAGAGCGAAGAGGCATTTTAATATCGACTATCTATGAAGACAGAATATAAAACAACTGAGTGATAATTAATGAATATAGAATACTCTATACGAAGGTTCTATTTCTGTCTGACCGTTAGAATATGACATCTCATACAATATTATCATACTAAGATAGGGGATATGATTTTCCATATACAGAAAACAATAATCAATAGTTCAAAATAGCCTCATAGTTCCTGGTATTTACATTAATTATTACAAAACATGTTTCAGCATCAACAATGGGCATTGTTGTATGTACAGTATTTACATACCCCTATACCAGTATATACCAGTATCAGGAACGGAATATATAAGGCTGGGCGGATCATCGATAACCTAAAAAGCTGCTAAGAATAAACGGATTTAATGACTGGGTGTAACGATACAAAGTAAGATACATGTTTTGTGTGTTTAGTTCGTGGTTTTCAATGTTGCAATTGAGTTCTTACAGCGAACGAACGATACTGTGTATAAACAGGAGTTTGGTTGTGCTAGTAATCTATCCTGTGTATCAACGCCAACTATATATATATTTCCGTCTACAGTGTACTCGATGTCTTGCCATAAAACCAATATAGGTAGTATTTCCACTCTCGAAATGTAAACATACAGGATATCCTCGTTGCTTAACTGAAAAGAAAACGGTCAGGATCACACAAGGACCGAGGTGGCAAATAGAACAATCTCGCACCTCGCAGTGGACAAGGAAAAAGTGATACCTTACAGATGTGACACAAGGAAATTCATAAGAGGGTGCAAAACAAGGCCGCCACAATCTGGCGAGCGCATCAAGCAGGCTCACAATTGGAACAGGGACCAACAAACCAATGGAAAATTCGAATGTCAGAAAAACATGGTAGGTGTTGAAGAAAGAAAAAGGGAACAGGGCAAAAAAAGAAGAAAAAAAAGTTAAAATGACTAAAAAGCGTGTCGCAAGATCGACTTGAAACGAAGAAAAAACCCCATTTTTCCCATCACGAAACGAAGAGTACTCGCTCAAAAAACGGACAAAACAGCTACAGCATCACGGAGGGTTAGTTGACGCGGAATGAATCGAAAATAACTTCTGTTTGGTCAGCGAGCGTCTTTCCAGTTGGGGATATGGTCAACCAACCTTCATGTCCTCGGCGGCAACCGCTGGCAATCCACATCAACGTGTTGACAAACGCATAGCGTTCATCACCAGTTTCCATGGAAAGGTTAACACGGTATTTGTATGTGTTGGGGTTGACCGCGTCCACCGTATTCGGGTCATTAACCTTATCCAACACATCTTTGGCGCCAGTCAACCATCCGTCAGTCTTGACAATCAGGTAGGCTGGCGGCTCATCGACGGTCTGCAGCATGTAGCTCGCCCGAAGATTTGTTGTGGACTCTTTGGTCACAATCTGCGAATCCTGCCCTCCAGGCTACACCCCCCAGTTAGTCTGAAAGACACAAAACTAGAATTAGCACTCACCAAAATAATTCCCTTCCCCCATCGACCAGCCCATTGTCCACCAACAAGAGAAACCCAATCCCTCTGGCCCCACAGGCTCTGACCCACCGCGACTTTCGGGTTTACCTTGATGCTCATACGGAAATCCAATTCGAGAGTCGGGGCCGGGATCTGTAGCGAGCGGGCGACGTCGTTTTCGGGGAAGGTATGGAGGAGGTTATTGGCAGGAATCGAGTCCTTCATGACGCTAAGGTAGGTGGGACACTCGAGCAAGTGCTGGCGCTGTCTGCTGGTGTTTTTGGCGCGAACCTGCTGACAGTAGATGCATTGTACGGACAAACACTGTTCCCCGGTCAAATTACAGCTCCCTGGGAGGCCAAGTGAACCATATCTTACCTTGTCTTCCTCTTTGGCACGGAACTCGACGAAGGCAGCATGGACGTCGTCCAAAGGCGGGGCGGGAAGACTCGAGGTGGACGATTTCGACTTGGGTTTGGGAGTAGGGCGAGACGGCTGCTGGGACGCAGAGGCAGAGGAGGAACCTGGGGGTCCGGTGGGAGGGCCCGGGGTAGGCAAGGGAGCGCTTCGTTGCATGTTCTGTAGCGGGGTCTGCATCGGGGTGGCATGGGGATTGACGCCGTTGGTCATCATGGTTCCGTTTGGCGTAGGAAGAGCACCAGGTCCTGGACCGGCACCGGCACCGGCCGCAGTGGCCGTAGGTCCATTGGGAGTTGCCGGATATCCATTGGTAGGGCCGATGCCATTAGGCGTTGGTTGTGCGGGTTGGGACTGAGGCTGAGGAGCGTTGGGGTGACCGCGAAGACCGGGACATTCAAGGAGATGCTGCTTCTGACGCGAAGTGTTCTTTGCGCGAATCTGCTGACAGTAGATGCACTGGACGGAGAGGCACTGTTTCAAGCAAGGCCCAAACCGAGATGTTATGTCAGTGACGCTGGTGTTGAGCGGCGGGTTGAAATATTACGCGAAATACACAAGTCACGCACCTTATCGTCTTCCTTGGCGCGGAACTCGACGAACGCCGCGTGAACTTCCTGGTCGACGGTCCGACCCATGTTCACGGTGAAAGACTCGAAAAAATCGATGGTGATAGCTGTACGAGAACCTGGGGGAAACAAAGATGAGATAAACGCGAGACTCCCGGATGATGGCGATGGATGGAGGACGAGGGAGGACGAGGCGAGGCAGCAAGACTCGGGAGGTGAAAAGGAAGAGAGGGTTTTGGCTGGGCGGGAAAAGACGAGAACGAGACGAGACGAGACGAGACGGTGGCGGTTAATTACGCGAGGTCACCTTACCCGTCACGTAATTTACCCAACCATCCATCTACTCTATTCTATTCAGCCATACTTATACTGATATTTATATTCATTTTCAGATTAAATAATGTATATTTAAAATCCGCCTAATTATCTACTATTCTTATTGTATAATTATCCCGCTCGGAGTATTGGAAGAACGCGTCAAGTTGCTGCCCTAGGCATCAGCAAAGTCTAAATTTATCGCGCGGCAGAATTACAGCCCACCAGAACTTAGGCAAGAACAGGAACAAGAGCTATTCAGATCAACGATATTATCAAGAACGGCGATGGAATAGATACATTCGTCATTCATCATCCATCAATTACTAACGCGTTGCTCCATTTACCAACTACCCCCATGGATTCATCCCATGTATCATGTACCTTAGGCATGGTATTGACTGTTTTTACCTAACCCTTACAATTCGTGTACGGTTACAGCTTATCGCGCGAGATCTCAGGACAGACACGATGTCTGAAGTATCCGATCGATAAATTCAACCGTTAGAGCAGAATGAATTAATAGATCAAATGCTGTTAAATGTGCCATTTTAACTTTTGAAAAAGCAGATAAATCTGAGTAGCTCGACAACGCGTTATGCAGCAAGTGTTGGTCGTACTTGATTATTGCAGATGCTGTGTAATAATGGCACAGCCACCACCACATCTCGCGTTGTCTGTTCTTCTTCTGCTGGGCGTGACTTAGGTCCAAGGCGCCTTGGGATTCATGCAAGAACCCGGAGTTACATTGATTAATTGTTTCTTCTATGGCTTTTCTGGCTATTGTAGAGCCAGTCTGAAGTATAGATCCATGTTGATGTATTATTACTGCCGTATATCATACCGGGTATGGTTTGTCTGATCATGACCGTTTGGTGGTTTTTACAGCTGGCGATCGATGAAAGAATGTGTGACCGTTGTTTTACAACACGTGATTTACATCTATATTTATTCCATATGAGTACCTACGATCAACTAGCAAATAAAATGATGATTATTCGAAAGTTATCCCAAGACATTTAAATCCAGCGTATCCCACGGCATGGCCATGCTCAGACCCTGTTTGACCGTGTCCTGTCCGTGCTCGCCTTTGGCAGCATCATACCGTCCCATGTGGACATCTTTAACAAACCCCCTCGTCCTATTCGCTAATTCTCTCTTCGATCTGCTGTAGATCAGTCTGTAACTTGAATGATGAATCTCGATCTGCCATGCGGCATGGTTTTTTTCTATTATTTTATCCATGTTTTATTTCATTTCATCTCCCCTTTGACTTTTTTTTGTTTTTTCCGCGCACCGTTGCCCAAAGATTGAAACCCCCACGAGGCCATCGGCTCAGCTGCATCCTGGTGTTTCGGCCAGTTATCAAATAGCTTTTGGTCATCAGATGATCAAGATGCCCAACAGTTGTTTCGGTCTCGTCATTTTTTGTTGGCTGGTTGTGTGGGACAGCTCAGATGCAAATTTCCGAGTGGCTTCACGGCGTCAAGGTGGTATGGATGGAAAGTGGAGGCGCCTCTATATTCACTCGAAGCAAAGATACCTTATCAAACTCATTCCACGTAGAAATTAAAAATCTTCAATCGATTTGCATAAAGATACACACAAATATTAGATAGCTCCTTCCACGGCCTTTGCTTTGCCTTGCCTTGTAGATCAGAACCAATAAAAGATGAAACTTGCCGATGGATCGAATTTAATGAAGAAAAAGAAGAGAAACTGTAAAAAGAAAACCCATTTGAAATCCATCGTAATCCCCGAAAGTCCTTTTTTTAAATCGTGTCTTCGTATCAGGTCGAAAGTACAGCCCAGCTGTCTGTCTGACCTGCGATATTTAGATCATCATGCATAAATGTGAAAATAAAATAAGCGATTATTAACGACATGCATAACAAATCCCGAGAAAGAAAATTAAAGAAGAAGAAAAAAGTACTCTTCACAAGTTCAAGTCCTATCGGTCATCTGTGGTAGGTAGTTGGCTGCCTACATCCCCGACAGGCGTACAAAGATCTCACCATAACGGTATTGAGCTCCATTTTCTTTGCTGCTAAAATCTTCGTAAGGTTCTTGATAAACGTCCAGGAATCCCTTGGTGGCGAGAGTCAGAATGTGCATTAAACCATGCGTAGCCACAGGGCGACTAGTTGTACGAGGTGGAAGTAGGGCTGACAAGGCGATCTTGTCAAGCCTAGAGGAGGTCTGACGACGTGGCGTGGAGGGGCCATTCGATTGCGTGTCGTTTTCTTCTGGAAGAGATTCCATTTGAGTTGTCATGAAATCGAGGAAGTTGAGACTTTCCTGGTTCACGTTGGATTTGAGAAGCTTGTCTTTCATAGCTCTTTGCTTCCTAAGCACTGGTCCGCCAGTCCCGCTTCCAACTTCTGCATTGTGGTCTTGATCAACGTCGGTGTGAAGATATTCGCTTAGGTCCAGGTCCCCAAACATGCCCATGTCATCGTCGTTTCCAGGAATCGAAAGGCTGCTGAGTCCCTCTAGATCGTACGGGAATCCTCGACCAGCGAGAGGACTCGCACTGGTAAGACGACTACGAGAACGGCCGTAGCCTACAGAGTCAGGTAGCCCGCGGGATGAGAGATCACTGACACTCCCAAACCCACGGAATGCCTTTGCAGCAGATGATCCGTGTTGAGAACTTTTGATAGAAGCTGTAATGTTCCACGGCATAAGAGAAGAGTGATCGTCACGGAGGGCTGACGAGGCGTGGCGCCCAATTTCAACATCCTATGGCTGTGTTAGATTTCCAAACAATACGCAGGATGGAAGTAGTGGAAGGAAGGTAGAGTATACGAACATCCTGCATGACATCGTCATCTTGTAGAAGCCCGCGGCCGACCTGGTCTTCTTCGTCTTCCCTGCGGCGTACTCGTCGGCCCTCAGATTCCGGGTCATTTTCGCCATCAGAAAAGTGACTGCGTTTCTTTCCTTTGTGTGTTTCAGGATGAAGAGTAGCATAAAGTTCTTCTCCAGAGAAAATACTTAAAGGGTGCGGTGCACGGGAAGCCCCCATCCCAACACCCACGGAGCCGATTCCCTGGCCAAAGACCCAAAAGACGGCATTCTTCTTTGCCTGGGTTGGTATCTTGTTTTGTTGCTTCTGCTTGAAGGCAGCAGCCATGTTGCGTACGTATTCATTGTTCAGCTGGGCGAGTTCGGTATTGCGAAGTGCAATTTGGTTGTCAGCGACAATGAACTTGATGTTTCTCCTCTGACGCATGGTGGCTTGATTGTTTTCTGTAGCGTTTTCAACCTCGACGATAGATTCAGAATCAGAAGTAGGGTTCTGTCTAGTGGGCTTTGTGTTGGTAGCAAAATTATCGCCTCCATCTTGGATGACAATTTCAGGGTCTTCGTCAACTAGCATCGGCTGGTGTTGTCAGATTCAAGTGATTGCAGTTCATTCACTGCGCGGAGCATACCTGAAGGTCCCAAGAAAAGTCGTCCTCACTCCCTCTTACTTCACCAGTGAGGGGTGATTCACTCATCGGTCGGCTTGCCCTATTTTCTCTCTCTTGGTGCTTTGCATCGAGTTCAATTATATTACCGTCTTCGTCGAATTCAAAATCAGGCTGAAGAAGCACCCCTTCCTCTTCTCCAAGTCCCAAAGTTGATATCCTGCCGAAATGGCCTATTCTCTGAACGGAGCCACTCATGTCAGTTCCAGAAGCATATCCCCCAAAGTCTTGCATATAACCCCCAGGCGATATGTCTAGTTGCAGACGTGCATTCTGTGAAAGAACTGATTGACTGATATCAGGAGTTCTCACACAGGCAATACTAGACTGCTGGGTCGAGGACGCTTCAGTTGTGATGTTGAATCGTGAAAGGTCGATACCCAGACCAGGTATGTTGATCTCCGGCATGAAGGATGGATCGTAAGGGAGGATAAGCTGCTCAGGTCTGAGGTTCATTTTAGTACAGCTCGATCAGATACTAAAGCACATAGACTACAAATCGGGAAGGTATATTTCGCATGGGAAACATACCTAGCCTTTCCAGCCATCGGATCCAATCCTCCTCCTGGTATGGACCTCAGCATCGCTCTCATCTTGTCATGCATCGCTTGGACATCGGTAAGCGTATAGCCACACTGCTGATTGTATACCCTCGATACGCCGTATCTAGTCATCATCTCGTCAGTGGTATCACTTGTCTCATGTAGCAGGACCTCGTACAGTAAGCTTCCCTGGAGTCTCAGTGCCATTGGGGCTTCAGGCTTCATAATGACATTGCAAGCTCTAGGAACGTCCACATCCAGTATAGCCTTCTTGTTCACCTTCCTGGTGACGGATTTGGAGCCGAGCGTGGCAACCAGCCTGGATGATTGTCAGTTCAACCATCAAGTATTGGGCTTCTATTGGAGTCCCAAGACTTCACATACCATATCGTAGCAACACCATGCTCAGGGGACGTGAGAACTACAGTAGATAAAGCGTCAGAAATCTCATATTGCAGATTGAAACCTCGATGTACCAGCCCGAAGATGAAGCTGGGATGAAAGGCAACTTACTCTCGTGACTGTAGAACATCTTGAATCTCTTCTTCTAGTATCGTGGACGCGTTCCTTTCGTTACTCCAGGCCTTTCCCTACACAATATGCGCTATCGTGAGATGGATTGCAGATTGTCTTTGCAAGTCTGCTCTGTCGTAAAGGTTAGCAGACAAAAGGCATACAGATAGATCTCTGGTTGCACAAGAATGATACTGACATCGGATGAATCAAGCAAGCAAGGTTCTTCAAGTACCCGTAGTTCTATGCCCCTGATAGATCCACGACAGAAGAATAAAGAGATACACCCAGTCTCCCCAGCCGACTTTCCACGCCGTCCAGACTGATGTAATTGGAAGAAAGCCGCAAGTCAATCGAATGGCAATGTACTTGTGATCCTCAGAGACTCGAGATAGAAAGACGATGGACATGAGAGTATAAGGTAGAGAACTGACGCGGTGACGCGTTGGACTAGGCAGAGGTAACGCGAAGACCCAAAGAGGATAGAGTGGACGAGGCACAAAGCCCAAAAGGGAAGAGAGAAAGAGCCTCTATTTGGTATGGGTGAGAGTCTAGATTCTGGAGGGTCAATCATCGCTCGACAGTACCAGGCTAAGTTCAGCAATCTACACATTATCTGGCCGTTGTGCCTCTCTCTGATCATTAAATAGATACCTGCATTACATTCTGAATATTCAAAAGGCATTTATACTACAAATTCGGTGGACTTGCTGATTTGCATTAGATCAGTGGTGGGTCGGGGTGATCAAAGCTCACTGTGGTGATGATGGCGCACCCCATCTCTAGTAGTTTGTACCGGGCATGCTAACGCTTGATTCTGACAGAACATCTCCTGCGCCCTAACCCATCCCAAGATATTCATAAAAATTTTTTGCAATTGAAAGAATGCGAAGACCATGATAAAATCATTTTTCTCGCTGATGAGGCCGCCCTTACTCTCGTCCACCTCTTTCTCTCCCTGTCCGCTCTCGCCATATCTTCCCCATCGAACATCCCGTGCATTCTCTGCTTCCACCTTCAAATTAATGTCGTCACCCATGGAAATGAGCCCTATCCTATATAGGCCTATTGAATACGTGGAGAGAATGGAATATTACGAACCTGGAGGGTATCATCCAGTGAAAATCGGAGATTACTTCCTCAATCGCTATCGGATAGTCCATAAGCTCGGCCATGGCACATATTCAACCATCTGGCTTGCTCAAGACGAGACATCCAACAAAAATGTGGCAGTCAAAGTGTGCAGGGCAAGCTTCAACGCCCTTGAGATTGGTATGCTGGCAAAGCTATCAGCCCCTTCATCAGACAGAGGCAGAGCTATCATTCCTTCCATCTTGGATAGGTTTAACATCCAAGGCCCTAATGGGGATCACGTATGTCTGGTAACCAGCCCGGCAAGGATGAGTGTCTCTGATGCGAAGAAGGAATCATGGATTAGCCTCTTTCAACTTGAGGTAGCACGGGCGATAGCAGCACAGCTTGTGATTGCAGTCCAATATATCCACTCACAGCGGTTCGTCCATGGTGACTTACACCAGGGAAATATTCTATTTCTACCATCTTGTGAATTCACTGCTGAACTACCTACTGAAAAAATATATAAGAAATATGGCGAGCCAGAATTCGAGCCAGTCAATCGCTTAGATGGCCAAAAGCTGCCGACAGGGGTACCAGAACACGGTGTAGTACCTATCTGGCTTGGAGAAGCAAGTGAAAATGTGACTCTTCTAGAATCAAGAATCCTCCTTTCAGATTTTGGCGAAGCATTTTCTCCAGCGCAAGAAAAAAAGTTCGAGTCTCATGCACCTCTCTTAATCCGTCCCCCAGAAGCTCGATTTGAGCCTACAAAGTCTCTTACTTCCTCGTCCGACATCTGGTCACTCGCATGCACGATTTGGGATATCATTGCCCAGAAAACACTATTCGAAGGGATCATGACAGACGAAGACGATATGACTTGTCAGCAGATCGGGCTACTTGGCCCGTTACCGACCGAATGGCAGGAAAAGCATGGAGAATCAATTCACCAATCCAAATACCTAAATCGATCATTAGAAGGCCACTTCGAAAAGACCGTGCAGAAAGCGCGTATAAGGGCGAGGATGCCGAGTCTTGGGTCAGAGGAGCAAAATGCTCTGTTGTCGATGTTTCGCTCGATGCTGTCCTTTAAACCGGAAAATCGACCATCTGCTCAGCAGGTTCTTGAGTCCGAATGGATGGTGAATTGGGCTTTGCCCGAGTATGAAAAGATTCGCAACAGTCAATGCTATATGTGGCGGTGGTTATAAAGAAAAGAAGCAGCTTTTATGTGAACTAAAACTTCGAAAAACCCCGAAACAAGAAGACTATGTAGGGCTCTAAGGATGAATGGAAACAAAAGAACCAAGTTCGTTATGTAAAGGATGCGAGAGGTATAACCAAAAGTTTTACTCGACCACCTACTCATAACAACTGATCAAGGTGCATCCAGCTGGGTATGAAGCATGCGAGAAAGATTTGCAAAAGACAACTTAAGCTTGAAAGACTTGACACCGAACAAAACTTGTTTATTTCAAAAAAAGAGCTCCATGTTTAAAATACTCCACGCACCAGCCCTCTTACTATATCAACATTATATAGGGCAAGTTTACTTAACACAACACATTATTCCAGAGGGATACCCTCGTACTCGCCGTAGCCGAGAGCCAGGTTCATGTTCTCTGTAAAACTCATTAGCATTGTCCATACTGAAGAGGTTGAAGATTGGAATAACATACGGAGACATTGAGTGGCAGCACCCTTGAGGAGGTTGTCAATGGTAGCGCAAACGACAACACGCTTGCCGCTAGAGTGGACGGCAAATCCACCAACCTCAACGCCATGGCGACCAGCGATGTCCTTGACGAGAGGGGCTTCACCAACAATCTTCACGAGCTTCTCACCAGCGTAGCGCTCCTGGTAGATGTTACGGATGTCACGGGAGGTCATCTCCTGCTTGAGAGGAATGCTGATGGTGTGCTGAATGGAGTTAGTTATCATGGATATTGGAAACGTAAACAGTCCTAGATAATGGAGTACATACCGAAATTCCCTGGAACCAGACAGCAACGTGGGGGACGAATGCAACAGGGGTTCCAAGCTGCGAGCTGATCTCCTTCTCGTGGATGTGATCGGTCAAGCTATAGGGGATTAGGTTGTTGGTGAGGAACTCAACGTCGTTCTTGGGGCTGGGCTTAGTGCCGGCTCCAGAGTATCCGGAGACACCGAAGGTGGTGGGCTGTCCACCGAGGAAAGGAACCAGAGGGGCAATTCCAACCTGGGCAGCGGTAGCGTAGCATCCAGGGTTGGAGATACGACTGGCCTTGGCGATGGTGGAGCGGTTGACAAGCTCGGGAAGACCGTAGGTCCACTTGTTGTCGAAACGGTAGTCGGCACTCAGGTCAACGATAACGTTGCCCTCCTTGGAGCCTTGGTCGACGGCGTCGACGAAAGGCTTGCAAACACCGTTGGGGAGGGCCATGACCCAGCAGTCAACGTCTCCGTTCTCAGACATGCGGCGAACGTCGTCGGGGCTCAGGTTCTCGTAGATGATCTCACGCTTCTCATAACCCTGCAATTTCTTGCCAGCCAGCTCGCGAGAAGAAACATGGCGCAAGTCCATGTGAGGGTGGGCGTTGATCAAGCTGATCAGAGCCTGGCCGGTGTAGCCACGAGCTCCAATCAGAGCAACCTTGGAGGGCTTGTTGTTCGACATGTTCTTCTCACCAAGGGGAGGGTTGGGGTTGGTGGTAGCGTAAGTGCGGACGGAGTTGCCGAATGCCATGGGGCGAGCGAATCGAGAAGCCCGCAGAGCATTGCTGGACGAAGAAAAGGCACGCTTCTGCTCAGCGGAGGCACCGCTAGCACCGAAGCCCTTACCCAGGATCTGAGTGGCGGCCTGGGCAGCGCGGTGGAGTCTGGATTCGAGGTTGATGTCACCGAACATCTGGCGGCCGTTCTTGGTGAACTCCTGCACCAATTGCTTAACCTCCTCGCCGCTCTCGATTCCGTACCAGAAGAGAACCTCGCCCTCACGGCTCAAGCTACCGTCGGCCTTGTCGAAGAACCAGGTCAGGTTCTCGTCATCCTCCTTCACAGTCCAGACCAACTTGGGGAAGTCCTTCTTAATGCTAGCGAAGACGTTGTCGGCAACGTTTCTCAACCATCCAGACTTGGTGATGGTGAAGGTAGCCAAGTGGGCCAGGGTGGATTCCCGCTGAGGAGGCAGCACCACGGCCAGGGCTTCCATAGGCTCGTCAAAGAAGACCTTGAAGTCACGCTCGGCGAGTCCTTCGACGTAACGGTCGACGGTAGCGCGAGCATCGAGTCCTTCACGGTCCCGGACAAGGACATCCTTGAACTTCTGGAGGTCCTCGAATTCGGACAAAGAGGTCTTGGTGTGCACCTTGTTGCCTCGGCGGATCAGAGTACCAGCTCCGGAGTCGGTGAACAATTCCTTCTGCAAGTCACCAGGGTGGATGATGGCAACGCTGGAGGTGCGAGGCAGGTCGCTGAGGAGATCCTTCATCTCCTTGATCTTGAGGCGGGTACCGTGGCGAACCCACCATTGGCTCATAAGGTGCTCGTACTCCTCATCCAGGTTGATGACGGAGATCTTCTCACCAGTGTCACCGTTGAACAAACCACCCTTCTCGGCCAAGTAGACGATCTTAAGGGGCTGGAGAGCACGCGCCAATTCACCGGCGGCGACATCAGCGTTGACGTTCAGAACCTGTCCATCGGGGGTCTCGGCCATGGAGGTCAAGATGGGAAGGCAGCCAGCCTCAATGGCAGACTCAATGGGCTTCTTATCAACTCCGTTGATCTTGCCAACCAAGTTGTACCTTTCCTTGTCGAGGTAGTCGGCGGAGAAAACACCAGCAGTAAGAGGGCGAGCCCGAATACCCATGCGCTCCAGCTCCTCGGTCAACTTCATGTTCTCCTCCAAAAACAGCTTTCTGGCGAGAGCCAGAGTCTTTCCATCAGTCACACGGATTCCATCCTCGAACTGGGGCTCGACACCGGCGGCCTCCAACATGCGGTTGAGCTGAGGACCAGCGCCGTGAACGACAATTGGGTAGAGTCCGACATGGTTGAGGAAGGCGAGGGCAGACGAGAGGGTCTGAAGGTGCTCGGTAATGATCGCACCACCAACCTTGATGACGGCGAACTGCTGAGAAGACACCGAGGTGAAGTGAGAGAGGTATTGCTGAACCTCGCGCTTGGACCCGATGTTACTCAGCAACTGGACGACGGTCGACCGGGTGGACGAGAGCTGGGGGTCGGTAGCACGGGAGTATTGACGGCTCTGCAGCAACGGAGCTGCAGAGGCCTTCAGCGAGTTCAGAGCAGTAGGAGAGGACAATCTCGAGGGGACACGCGGTGCGGAGAGGGCTCGGAGAGGCTTCCCGGTGGAAGCTCTCCGCACAGCACTGCGAAAGGAAAGCATCTTGTCAACCAGCATGCGGCAGCTTCAATGCCTTGGGAGAAAGGAAATCTAAAACGGATGAAGACACCCGACACAGTTAGAAAGCTGAGGTAGATCAAGTGACAATGGTGGAAGGGGGAGGTGCGGAGAGGAGAGTTGCGGTTTCGCAGGGGATTTTACCGCACTCCAAAGAGTTTGATCTTTCGAGATTGGTTATCGGCCGTACCTCGGAGCGGATGGCGGTGCTTTTGGAAAAGACGCTCGCACCCGCTGAACTGCGTGGTTTTTCTAGCCCTCTTGTCTACCCAAGATCAGGCCGAGTGTAGCTGAAGGCACCACCGAGGAAAATGAGGTATTTTAAAGGAATGGAATCTCTGGGGGGAAACGGAGAGTAAAAGAAGAGGGGAAGAGTGGGAGGGAAGAAAAGGCGGTTCTGCGACCAAAAATTACACTATCCTTGGCTGCGACTTTCGGATCGGGTGTTGATCCCCTCCCACGGGCGTGAGTCAAAGGGCAAAAGAAAAAAAATGGGATACGCATTATTGATTCTGGATGGATTCTACGGCCCTGCATTTTTAATCCGATCGTTTTGCGCGGCATTAATTATTGCCCAGGCTTTTTTTTTTTTCTTTTTCTTCTTTTCTATCCCCCATTTTTTGAGGGGGAGAAATTCAACGCAGCATGCAGGACGCACCCAACGTGTATTGTAATTTGAGTCTTCGTATAGAACAATTAATACAGAAAAATGGATCTTCAAGGTGAAATTAAATTTTCACAATCAGATCACGGGAAAGAATCCTATTAGGCTATTTCATCTGAATAGATGGATAACTGCTCCTCCCAAGACCGTAGCCGAGAGATTGCTGCAGTGAAGAACCGCGTTGATGGAGCCGATTCCAGAATCCAGACGTCACTTGAGCATGCGATTCCGGTAGTGCACTGGGTCTTTTTTATCTGATCCTTTAGTTTACTCGTTTATATTAGCTAAAACAGTCAATTCCAGGGGAATAGCACGTTTGATCGCTTGGCCCTAGGAACACGCGACTCTCCACTCTCCAAGACATTGCGGTATGAAGCGCTCGTGTCCTTGAATTTCTATCTACGGGACCAATCTCCACCGACTCCAAAGGCATAGTCTCCGAAAAACAAGTCCACCGGGACGGTAAGGGCGGTATGGCAGATAATTCATTATAGGCTAGGAAAGACATAAGAGACAAAGAAAATGAAGAGCAATAACGTACTCAAACACACAGCACCGGAGTATCATTTACATCTTCACCGTCGACGAATCGTGACATGGCCCATCCAGAGAGGTTGATCAGCCCGTGGTGTCGAAGGTGTATAGGGACAGAAAACTTGGTCGTGAGAACAGTAGGGAGTTGACGCCCGAGAAACAAAAAACAGAAGGTATTAGCGGCTGAAAACAAAGCTCCACGAGCTCAAAAATAAAAACCAGCTGAGTAAACATCCATTCCAAAACGTGACTCTCGTCAAAGTGGTTTTAATGCTTGGATGCGATAACTATCAAGATTGTTAGTCGGCCCTTCAGACCATCGTACTGGGACGGGAACCTACCAGAGGGGACAATGATCACCACAAGCAGAATAATGACACAGATGACCAGGCACACCCGCATCTTCATGTCCTTCCACCACATCTGTTTTCTCACGCGATTGGCACCCCTGCGGAATCCCTGGGCCGATGTGGCCAGGTTATCTGTCTTGTCCTGGAGAGAGTCTAGACGCTCGCCACGTTCCGAAACTTTGAAGATGTTCGAACGCATAGTGTCGACGGTTTCCTGGATTTTCTATTGCAGAAGGAGAAGGTTAGCGAAAATCCTCAAGCCAGCATGAGCGCCCGTCGCAGAACAACCCGATCTTGTGGTATTGAGGGGGGTTGAATCCATGGACAAATTACGGGTATTTTGACAGCGTTCGACATTTCGTCAACACCATCATGGCCATTTTAGTCCAGTGCGATCGGTACGGAAGAAATCACAGGATGAAGGGCTCACCTTGTCGATTTCCCTTGTCTTGGGGTCACCGTTTTGCCCGGTGGTAGCACCGGCCCCGGCGGCGGCATTATTGGAGCCGGATGGGATATAAGGGTCGTAAGGCTGTTCAGACATGACTGCGATTGAAGAAAGGTTTAAAAAAGCGTTCGTATAGAAATCGTAGACCCTAGTGGATCACCAGAGACTGGCTGAGGGTGCGAGGTATTTGTTTTTCCTGCGGAAACAGACGATGGTCGGAGCGACAGAGTCCAGTCAAAGCCGACGAGATCAGGGGTATCAAAATCACGGAATCCAGTCGATCGGTATGGCAGGAGGAAAGAGAGAGAACAGGCGGGATGAAGAAGGATGGCGTTGCGGTGGTGAGGTGACAGGGTGTGATGAATCGCCTCCCGCCTTCTGGAGATGGAAGCGTTTCGGTTCTGTCGGGGATCCTGCACGTGACTTTCTATGCCGGGTGCTTTGGGGAAAGAAATGTCCAGGCAGCTATTTTTGTCTGATTTGGTCCAATCAAAGGGCCACCCATAAATAAGAAGGACTAGAATTATTGGGAACTATTTCATTTAGATTTGAGACAAAGAAAGGTGGTTATGTATTATTCTTCGTCTTATTTCTGCACACTGCCATGGTTTTTCATCGGGCATGATTCCAGGCTGCCAGTATGCTATTATTATGATTTCCATCTGACTGCTGGGCTTAAACTGGCCAGCCAATTTGCCAATGCGCGCTGACGTTGCTCGAGGGACGGCACGGCAGAGAGGCTGTGCAGAGGGCATTTTAACCGCCACAGCTTCACGTGGCGGTCCCTTTGGGAGCCAAAGTCTGGATCAACAGAAAGGCCGGGACGAGAAATCGGGAGTCGATCGACACCGTGGATCCTGTCAACAGACAGGGACTGCTGATCATGCAAGTTGATCGATTGATCTTGTTCTCTATCTCAACACGGTTTCTCACTGCAGAAATGCAGCCATCTCTCCATCATCCCGTCTAGCCATTTACCCCAGCATGTTTCCCCCTATTCTGTTTGCTCACTAAAACAGTCATGATGCCTGAGCCAAGCCTCGTGATGATTTGCCCGTCACACAGCGGGGTCCCAGCCAAGAACACCTCGAACCATCCGCAAGAGACCGAAATGAACTTCACTGCCAATTCTTCGCTGTCACTTGGACAGTTTTTGCGCTTTCCTCTGGTTATCTAGGATAGTTCACAGTAGGCGGTTATGCTATGCTTCATAATTGACTCCGACGCAGGGGTGTCCCATAAATATATACATCATGCATTATTGCCGATTATACTGTTTCACCTGGCAGCTCCTAACTTGCGGACAATAAAAGACAAAGCAGAAAAAGTGACAGTTCTAATTCGGCATCTAACCCAGCCAAGGATTCTGGCTCTTTTTATTCACTGGGGATTGAGTCCAAATTGGCTGGGAAATGCTACCATTCATATCCCGGACAACTTGGCAGTCTTGGACAGCCCGAGGCAATAATAGAATGGATAAAGCAGGAATTTCTCTAAATATCTCTTTCTTTCTGTTCTCTTGATCCATCTTCTTCTTCTGTCGTGTAGCAGCTTCTTACTTCGATTGCGTGCGTTCGTTTTATTAATGCTCCTTTGCAGTGTTTGTGTCACCTGCAGATAGGTCACTTCTATTCTCAGATTCTCTGGCTTCATGCCATCTTCCGTTCGCTTCTACCATTCAATTTCTCCATCTCAAGCAGTCATATCTTGTCTGATTGTCGGTCGTCAGGTCGTATAATGCAGTGACCGCGCCCTAGATCTCTCATCACTTACAGCCGCTCGTTTGCTGCAGGAGCTCAGCCCTCAGTCCTTCTGCTTTTGCTTTCACTTTTGCTGGGTTGAATAATGGCCGGTCGACTGACTCGTCAACTAATTTAAAAGCAACTACGACCTGTCGATCTAGTCCTTCTTTCAGTGCATTTCTTTTTTATAACGATGAGGTTCTTCGGGCCTCTGCCCCGCGTTTTACCACGCCCACAGAGTTTATTTACTCTATTTACCTCACTATTGGGAGCTCAGATGGCGCTGGCGTCTATTGAGCTTAACCTAGACGACAAGGGTATGTTTACCCCGATGATCAATAACCATTCCTTCCACCGGGCGGGCACTAATGACGTTTTAAGAGTCCATCAAGAATGCAGCACGAACCGCAGCGTCCGGAATGTTACAATATTACACGGGCTACAAACCGGGAGATGTGCCTGGGAATCTTCCAGACCCATATTATTGGTGGGAGGCAGGTGCTATGTTTGGGGCTTTGGTCGAGTACTGGTATTACACGGGGGATTCCCAATGGAATGACATAACAACCCAGGCCCTGTTGCATCAAACTGGCCCCAGCGCCAACTACATGCCAGCTAATCAATCGAGAACACTGGGCAATGATGATCAAGCGTTCTGGGGACTGGCCGCCATGTCCGCTGCCGAAGTAAAATATCCAGATCCACCAGAGGACTCACCGCAGTGGCTTGCTCTTGCCCAGGCAGTATTTAACACACAAGTACCGCGATGGGATGATGCGACATGTGGCGGAGGTTTGAAGTGGCAGATATTCACATTCAACAGTGGCTACAACTACAAGAACACGATCTCAAACGGCTGCTTCTTCAATCTCGCCTCTAGACTCGCGGTATACACAGGGAATAATACATATGCGGAATGGGCAGAAAAGACATGGGACTGGGTATTCACTATTGGCCTGGCTAGCCCTGATTATCATTTTTACGACGGAACAGACGATCTGAAGAATTGCAGCGCCCTCAATCATATACAATGGAGTTACAACGCAGGTATATTTTTGCTTGGGGCTGCTAACATGTATCACCATGTATGTCAATCACATGGATGTATCTTAAGTTGGTACTGACGTGATTAGACCAATGAATCGGAAGTATGGAAAACTCGTTTAGAGCGCATCATCAAGGGGCTGGATGTGTTCTTCCCGAAAAACAACATCATGAGCGAGGTCTCATGCGAACCCAATGGAAAATGCAACGTGGACCAACGATCTTTCAAAGCCTATCTGGCACGCTGGATGGCAGCGACAGTTCAAATAGCGCCTTTTACATATGATCTACTCATGCCAAAACTACGTGCATCAGCAGAAGCTGCTGCTTTGCAGTGCAATGGTCCGAACAACGCTTGCGGTCTACGGTGGAATCAAAACGATACATATGACGGAAGCACCGGAGTGGGTGAGCAAATGGCTGCCCTAGAGATTTTCCAAGGGCATCTGGTTAATACCGCTTCCAAACGAGTAACGTCGGATACCGGTGGCACCAGCAAGGGTGACCCAAACGCTGGCACGGGCACATCGGACGAAGACTCCGTTGGAATGGGCAGAGATGCTATCACTACTGCAGATCGGGCTGGTGCGGGAGTTCTCACCGCGGTCATTGTCATGTGCGCAGTTGGCGGTGCATATGCAATGATATTTTGATAGTCCGATCAGGCACGAAAAGACATCTTGCTATGATGGGCTTTACTCATAATGTTTATGTGTACATATATTTATGGAGCGGTACAGTTGTATTTATTCTATTGATTCTTGGGTTGGTCTTGCAACTGTGTACATGCATCTCAAGGTCATGTGTATCGCCCTTGCACATGACCCTTTACTGCTGCATATGGTCTGGTGACGAGTAGAGAATAAATGTATAGGGCCTTCAAAACCACGAATAGCTGAGCGGTCTAATGTGTGAGAATATCAAGACCATGTCGTAATAGTAGTGGTGTGTCATTTATTATACAATAGATCATTTTATAGACATGAACGAGTCCCAATAGTACGTCCATACTCCCAGTCATTTCAGCATGAGATGCCCTCAAGCAATGGCCGTGAACATAGGTATAAATACAGTATGAGGAAGACCACGGTGGGCATCCGTTCCTTCTTCACCGTCGCTTGATAGACGCCATGGGTCGGATATGATATCTCCAAGAACATAACATCAACTTAGATAGCTGACTCATTTCTCACCGAGCAATTCCTTGCGCATCTCCTCACGTTGTATCCTCGCTTCTTCTTTACCCTGCGACGCCGATGTATCAACCTGCGAGCGTCTCAAGTCTTCCTGTTCCTGTGCTGCGACCCAGACTGTGAACCGTTAACACCCACCCATAACACACTCACACCCTCAAATATATATAAGAAGCCGGAAACAAACATACTCGACTTATCCGACTTCGACCACTGCTTTAACCGATTCACATAATCGTCGAATTCCTGTGCGCGGCGGTCCCCCTCTTCCAGACTGCGTTTTTGGAGGTCTTTGTTGTATCGTTTGAATAGCTCTTCGTCGGAGGGGCGGATGGATTGCACGAATGCTGGACCGCCGACGCAGATTACGATACCTCTATTGGATATGGCATTAGCAATGGTACTTCATGGGTGTAAGGGTGACATACGCTCCCAGCATCTTGAACCAGGTTCCGGCGCGAGACATGATGGACGGATCGGAATCGGAGGTGTGTAATGAGAGTGATTTGAGTGGAGAGGAGGGGATGAATGAGGTCAGATGGAGGCTGAAACGTGGGGTGTATGGATTTGTCGTTGTATCTGTATGCGTATCAAGCTATGATACACTCCTCGTAGATTGAATTAGACGCAGTTAATCGAGTAGCATCATCAAACCATCATCCCATCGCAATTATTTCGGAGGTTTCGGCGGGCGACCGAAATTGTGGCTTGGTGCGGCTTAGCGCGGCAAGGCAAAAGTGGCGGTGCGTCTTTTTTCTTTTTTCTTCAGTTTGTGATTTCTGAAGTTTCAAATCGGCTTCAGAAGTTGCTCCACTGGGATTTGACACTAGTTTTTGTTTTTGCTTACATTTGCCCTGGATGTGACGTCTTTGATTTCTTTATTTGAATCGCATCTCATGTGTTTGAGACAGTTTCCTTTAGTCTACCAGAATATGTAGTGACACAGGTACAACTGGGGATAACCGGGACAGGCTACAGTGGTACAGTCCAACCTACGCCAATGGATACGATGCCATTTTGAGGAATTTCCAAGAGATAAATTAAGGGCAAAAAAAGCTAAACGATCATCGTGCCGTACTTCTCTTTCAGGAACCAAGGCAGAACGGTTTTTTTACAGACCGACCGGGTCGCACGGAGGGGGAATTGCAGTTGCAGTTCAGTTACAGATGGTTGATTCGGAGATGAAGGAAATGAATGGATTTGCAGCGGCAAGGAGAGAGAAGCTCCTCGCAGGATGCAGAATGATCATTTTGAATCAATCCAGCGCTGAGAGGTTTGTGATTGTTAGAGTTTATTGCTATGTAATGGATGATTGGAATTGAATGACAGCTGCATGTGCATTATATCCAACTCCCAAACAAAACAACAGTTGAGATGGAGAACACAGACCAACCGTCGGATGCAGGGGATTGTTACAGGCTTCGTACTCGTATCATCGCGAACCCCTGATCATCAGGCACAGACAGCCTACAGGGCTACAGACAGATACTCCAGGTGCAGACAGACAGACACTAAAAATAAAAGACAAGAGAATCATGGAAGCATCAGAATGGAAATTACCCCGTTCCTTGGTTGACCCGTGATTCTGTATAGACTGCGAGGTCCACTACCAGCTGTCTCGGCATTTTGGATGCGATACAAACGGTCAAAGGGTTTTATGGAGAAGTAGAAAAAATGATGACATTTGATTGCCCACTTGGACAGAAAAAGAAAATCCTCCGGAGATGTAGAGTGCGATGAGATACATAGAGACGAAATTCACATTCACATTCACATCGACGGATCTTCACTGCAGATTTTTCTGTTCATTTGAAAAAGAAACACCAACCGGCCCATCGTTATTTTATTTTGTTCCTTAATCTTATCCTGCACTGCTAATTTCTCTCCTCCTTTAATCTTCTTTCCCCTCCCCTCCTTCTCCAACGCTTGGGGTTCTTTCACCCGCAAAACTCCCGTCGGAACTTTCTTTTTCAACGGCCTGGCCTTATTTTGCGGTCGCGACGGCACTTGCTTTCCTTTATTTTCTTCCAGGGAGTTCCTATTGATTAGGACTTCTTCTGTGCTGTGAGTCTGCTTTCTTCTTCTCTTCTCCCTGTAACAGCACTAGTTCGCGCGCTTGGAGTTTGGCGGCCAGCCCTTTTTGCGCCACAATCTCCCTGCTGACAATGCTGTCATCCCTTCAGCGATCGTGAGGAGAAATAAAAAAAGGGCACATGATCGATCTGACAGCTGCATTTATTCGATGCGCCTGGCAAACTCTCGTGTTGTGACATTCTTTCAGGCCTCCGTAAGCTTTCACTCGGACGCGCCTGTGTGCTGTTCCCAATTATCGTCCTTCGTTTGATCCCTGGACTGACTCGACAATATAGTGTGTTCAGGGAGTTCCTTAACGTCGCAAACAACTACAAACGGTCCAAGACGGCTTGGGTGAGAAGCAAACAAACACCAGGGAAATAAATAGGAAATTCAACAGACGGCGTCAACAACCAACGTGTCATGGCGTATCAACAGCGCCCTGCGCAGAGGCCTCCTCCGGTCAGGAGCTACGGCGCTCGCCCTCCTCCGCAGGCCTACGGACCGCCCCCAGATGCCTACGATCAGGGATACGATTACGGATATGATAATCAGGCTTACCAGCAAGGCGATGGTGCTTATGATGATGGATCTGGATACCGTAACGACTATGCGAGTCCGCGATCTTATGGTCCTCCGCGAGGACAACCCCGACCCCCTCGCGGAGGTTACGGGCCCCCAATGGACCCTTACGACCGAAACTATGCATATGGACGACCACCTCCCGATGCTCGACGTGGTGCTCCGGCAGGTAGAAGACCGCCCCCGCGGGGTGGTATGAGACCGCGTGAGTACAATTAACCATGCTCAACGGCCAGATTGAGAATGCTGATGATCGTCTAGCTCCGCAGCGCCAACCACCGCCCGGAGGCGAGAGAATGGGCTGGGACAATCCTTTCCCCAACTTCCCCCCAGGAGGACCTCCTCCCAGAGGGCAGCGTCGTCCATCAGTACCAGGTAGCGTGGAGAGGGGGATGGCAGCCATGGATATCAATGGCCCTGGAAGAGCTCCGGAACGCCCACATACATCGAATGGAAGACGACCAGACCGAGCGCCAGGTTCTCCCGGCCGGGGCAGAGGACCATACCCCCCTGGTGGCCCTGTCCCTATTAGGTCGACCAGCGCAGGACGCCCGGGCCCAGGCTCTGATCGAATGGCGTATACCGACCCTAATGGCCCGCCGCCAATGCCGCCTGTCAGTCGGAGTGCGACGATGCCTATTGCAGCACCACCAGTTGGACCGCCCGTTGGGAAACCAGTTTACCCCGGACAGGCGACCTATCAGGACCCCGGTTTTCCAATGTCAGGGCCGGATTACCCACCATCTAGACCAGGTACTTCTGGAGGCTACCGGCCGGGTCGTGGCCCCCCACCCGTTGAACCGGGCCGTGATTCCCACGAAAATCATGATACCGATGATCTCTTGGACAGCTATTACGGATCGGCTGCGGATGACCCCGATATGCCCAACTTCGATGCTATGCCCGATGGAGGAAAGGGCGGGATTGATGATGTACTTGGATTAGAGACACCGAAAACGAAAACACCCGTTTTCCCAGATTCTCCAGGAGGTTACGCCGCATACAACCCGCGACCTAGTGGTGATCTCCAGCATTCAGAGTCCCAACGAAGTCTCCGCTCCCCAACTGAGCCGAGCCAATTCGCAACTGCCGGATTCCAGTTCGATCTTCCCGGAGAGTCACCAGCACCCCCGCCTAAAGAAAACATGGGATACGCAACTGCCGATCCGTATGGAGATTATCAAAGTCAAGGAGCACCAATGGCGGGATACCCTGATAACCGGGGCGGCTATCCTATGGGACAACAGGGTTCCATCCGCAGCAACGGTCCTCCTCAGCCATACCGGATGAATAACCCTCAATATGCAAATGAACAACGCAGCCCGGCCAATGAGAGAGAGGCCATGGATCCACAGCAGAACCCCGACGCTCTTCCCCATCACCCTGTTCCCTTCCGTCCTGGCCTTGATCAAGGCAAGCCTGCACCGGTCCGACAATACAACAATGCTCCGAACAACGCAGCTCCCCCCACTGCTGCCCCGCAAGTTCATGTTGCCGAACCGGTACCTCCTGCCCCCGTCACACGCGAGGAGCTTCAGCAATTGCAACAGATGGCCAAGAACAAATCGGACCACAAGACGCAGCTTTTGCTCGCGCAGAAGATGGTTGAGGCAGCCACAGTGTTGGTTGATGAAACTCATCTGGACCCGAAGTCCAAGGCCAAAGCTCGGGAGAAGTATGTCTTGGATGCCCACAAGATTGTGAAGAAGCTGGTATCCAACGGCTATCCCGAAGCGCAGTTCTACCTGGCAGACTGTTACGGCTCAGGTCAGCTGGGTTTGGCAGTTGATAACAAGGAAGCCTTCAATCTATACCATTCTGCTGCCAAGAACGGACATGCGCAGTCGGCTTACCGGGTTGCCGTGTGTTGTGAAATTGGCCAAGAAGAAGGCGGCGGTACGAAGCGCGATCCGTTCAAGGCGGTGCAATGGTACAAGCGCGCCGCATCTTATGGAGACACGCCTGCCATGTACAAGGTGGGTATGATCTTGCTCAAAGGACTTTTGGGGCAGACTAAGAACCCTCGTGAGGGTATCTCTTGGTTGAAGCGTGCCGCTGAACGTGCCGATTTCGAGAATCCCCATGCACTCCACGAGCTTGCGCTCATGTACGGAAACGCAAGCGGCAATGATATCATCGTTCGTGATGAAGAGTATGCCCGACAGCTCTTCCACCAGGCCGCAGAGCTGGGATACAAATTTTCTCAGTTCCGCCTTGGTGCTGCCTACGAGTACGGCTTGATGGGATGCCCTGTTGATCCTCGACAGAGTATTATCTGGTACACTCATGCTGCTGCACAAGGAGAGCACCAGAGTGAGCTTGCTCTTAGTGGATGGTATCTTACCGGATCGGAGGGTAACTTGCAGCAAAGCGACACGGAGGCCTACCTCTGGGCACGGAAAGCAGCCAGTGCAGGTCTTTCCAAAGCAGAATACGCCATGGGTTACTTTACCGAAACTGGTATCGGTGTTACTGCCAATTTGGAAGATGCCAAACGTTGGTATTGGCGAGCAGCTGGTAAGTCTACTTTTAGGACAATTGATGGCATTTTACTAACAACTTTCTTATAGCCCAAGGATTCGGCAAGGCCCGTGAACGTCTTGAAGATCTCAAGAAGGGGGGAGGTCGTATGCAAAAGACCCGCGTCTCTCGTTCCCAGAACCAGAACGAAGGGGACTGTATCGTTATGTGATCTGCTTCTATCTCGACCCATATTTTCGGATTTCTTTTCTTTTCCAACTTTTAAATTGGATGGGGTGCTTTATCTTAATCTCCTACATGTGTTGCATATACCTAATGAGAACCAGAGCTTGATGTATTAATGCGCTGTACATTTAGCAGGATTTTTCGGATTGGGTCTTTTTCTTCATTTCTTTACTTACTATGGGTTGTAAAATCTCTTTTTTCCTTTTTCTCATGACCTTTTGTTTCTCACTTACGATGGAAAGCAATGATCGGCAAGACGATAATTTCAGGCAGATAGAGGCGCGGATCATCAGCATTTTCTTTTTTATTTTGCATAACTACTCCGGGGCATTTTGACAAGACAAAAGAAAAAACATGATGAACAGAACCTGAGAGCTAGCTGGCTGGTTCTTGTTGTTGCATATACCATCTAATAATCAATTATTTACTTTTATTTTTCCTGTGTATGGTAGAATATTTGGTGTAGGCTGGAATGTTTCTATAGAGCATGGAGTAGTGCGGCGCAATTCCGCGCTGTTGATACACATATATTCCACCATCACAACCAAGTAGCAGCATGAAACGACACCAGACAAGCTAGTGACCTGGTCTCGTTTCCAGGCCGTCATTCTTCCACCGGAAAGCTGAGCAGCATACGCATGAAGAAATCCCACGGCGCCGTGTCTCTTTTCTCAAAGCTATAGATAGGCGATTGTCTAATAACCAAAGCTTCACCATCCAAACAAGCATAGAGAATGCGTCCATGCTGAGGCCCAAAAAGAGAAATCGTCAACACCTGGTAGGAAGATAGTTAGTACATGACAAGATTGGACGTGAGAACGGACGGGAAGTCATTGTATGCATAATCCATACAGGAAATCGTTTCTCATTCTCAAACTCATATTGTCGAGGCCATATCTCTTCTCCTTTCTCGTTGACCTTGACTTGGTTGACGCGATTGTATATCGCCTGGATTATCGTTGATAGCTCGCCCAGAAGGATGCTGTCGTTGTTGCCGTTGCGAGAGTGTAGTTCTATGGCAACAACATGCGGATAGACGCCTTTGCCATCTGGTTTCTCATATTCGTGGAGCCATTCATTCGTCCATTCTGATCCGTGCTTCGCGCCTTGTACATATATTCCGAAAAATGGATTGGGAATGCTATGGAGAAAGATGCCTTTGCTTTAGTACGGTTATGAATCTTTTTCACTGACGTGGAGACAGGAGGAGGGTAGAAAGACAACAACAAGAAGAAGACTTACTAAATTTTCCGCAACTGGGAATCGAGAAGCCATGTCCAATTGTAATTATGTCTTGAGAAATGAAAGGCCCATCGTTTCAAATACGTAGTAACCCTTCTTGCGCATTTCTCGGGCCCCCAAATCCAATAACGCTCTTCTTCCATTCTGACTGGGTCTGAGGGAGGATCGTAATCTCGAAACCCGGTGCGTTCCTTTTCTTCTTCGGGGTCTGCAAACCTTGGGATAACAGTATGTGCCTCGACCACGGAGGAATACACGGGACGGAAGAGAACAGGTGGTTCAAGGCTGGATCTGACGGATTCAACGTCAAGGTCCTGGAAATCGAAGGCGATACGCCTGATGTTGTTGTCTTGCAGGGCCTTCTCTGCCAGTCCGCCATCTTCCAGTACACCGAAAGGGGTTTCAGCCCTAAATATCATGTGCAGCAGGGAATCTAGCCTATCTTGTTTTGCCTTGGGTTTAGTTGACCTTCTGGTTTCCGGCATTTTTTAAGCGTTCTATGACTGTTTCCGTGTCGGTGATCGCTATTCTCTTGTGGTTTAAATTGGACTGAAGCCCTCGACTATGTAATGTTTCCCAAATTTGGGGCGAGGGTGAGTTAAAAGTGACGTTGAAGTGAGGGAAGTAAGAGGAATTGGTAGAGTTTATTACTACATACACCGCCCGAGGCTCTACACCTGACGTCTTTGGCCAAAGTACGAAGATGGCCAAAGAAGGGTTGTCCAGTATACCCTACTTTCAAAAAAGATTCCTAGAAATGAAAGTATATTACTTTTCCTACTTACCAATCTGAGCTGTAATTATATGGGGTATGCCAATAATCCTTTATTTATTCGTTCTGTACTTATTTGCTTTGATCGTCTATACATGAGCTAGGACTTCGAATCCCTGCAGGGAGAGTTGATTATGCATAGTATTGCTGGCCTGGAAAGAAAAAAAAAAAAACCGGCATTACAGCCTGGCAAAAAGAAAGCCGGCAGATTTAGCCTGGTCAATGAAAACCGGTATTGCATCCTGGCCGAGAAATCAGCCAAGGATGATTGTAAGCATAATAGTTGCTAGATGTTTCATATCGGCAGGGTCTCCGATTTTCCAAGGTCCAAATCGTCTCAGAATCATAAAGCCAGGCCTCAAGACTGATTGACAGTTAATGTGTTTCACCCAGTTCGTTCCGTACTGGGCAAATGTAATGTATATCTCATCACCGTCTTGCGATATCATGACTCGCCTATATCCATGAGATTGGTTATTATATTTGATTGGAACTAGATGCAGTGCTTTGTGCTGTTGATACTTACTGTAGTCTGCCATCAGGGTATTCCATAATCAATGCCACGAGCTCTGAAGCCTCTTGCATGTCAACCTGTGGTGTATGATTTTGCCTGCGACCCTTTTTGCATTGGCCAATGGCCTTTATTCTACCGGTAGTAATATCTTGCATTTGACCATCAGTAATTGCTACAAACCCATGATTTTGCCCGTTCACATTTCCAAAGTGAGCACGGAGGGCGATCTTTTTGAGCCTCCACTTGCACCTAGGGTGATTCGGAGTGTCTGGAGGGATTGTTCTGGTCAAAGCCTGCAAGAAATAGATCAAACTGGTGTTCACAATTGATTCATCAAACTCGGTAAGTTTCAGCTGCATTTTAATAGGGTCTTCCAAAACTTCCCTTATTTCAAGTTGTTGCTCTAGTACCAGGCCGAAGTCTCCTAAACCCAGAGTCTGTCCTAACGAAATAGCCAGAATATAATTCTGGAATGTTATGGATTCTCGTAGTATTCTCTCGGCGTCCCGGAGGCGAAAGTAGTTGAACTTGCTGATGCGAAGCCTATCTGGTACCTCGATGGCTAGACAAATTGTGCGGTAAAGAAGAAATTGCTTTTGCGTGACCTCTGATCCAGATTGAAAGCGTTTGAAAAACTTCGGTGACCTACCTAAGACTCTTGCAGCAATTGCTGCTTGTTCCCATTCATGTGTATCAGAAGGCACATTCTGAAAGAATGTAGAAGACATTTTAGACGTTGATCAACACTTCGTGATGCTAATAGAAGACGGAGAAGGAGGTGGGGGTAAAGCCATGGAAAGGAAGTGCAGGAGGAAGAGAAGATGCAAAGACTTCTGGCACGACAATCGCGTCTTTTTGGGCTTTCCTATATGGGCAATTGCTACTACCACCGACGAGACTCGCCACACAATTCAATACTCAATCCAACGGTTTCTAGGTACAATTCGATATGACCTAGCTCTACTGGCTTTATATTATACACCTTCAATTGAAATACAGCGCAAGTGTTCAACCTGAAGCACGTTTTCTTTGTATCGCTAACCCTATAAGCTATCTGCAGAGTAATACCAAACCATACAAATCCCATTGGATGTTCCCCCCCAGAAAATTATGCACATTTTGGAAGTTATTGACTAACTATCCGGTTCAACAAGCTGCCAAAACTATTTCAAAGCAAACTATCCGTATTTTTATGTTTACAGTGATTGGGTCTTTTATTCACTAAGAACAGTGTGCACCAAGTCTTGGTGGCTGTCCCTAATTTTAAGCAAAAACAAGCACTACGCACTAGAAGGTCCGGCCCTTTCGGAGTGGGCCCCTGATCATTCCGACTAATATAAAACCTTGGCAGATATTCCAGATCATTGTGTATTTGAGATTTCCAGTATCAATCTTTAGTGAGACCATTTTACGAACAGCTTTATCATAATATATTTTGCAAGGCCTATGGAACTGGCGAAAAGGGAGAATAAGGATTAAATCAGAAATGTATACCATAGCGTACGTACAGAGCAGAACACAGGCCCTCTGAGCCATTCGAGTGAATGAGATGTTCCTAAGCGAGTCCTGTTCGACTGATTAGCGAGGCCTGTCAACCCCCCCTCCCCCTGATTAGCGAGACAGGCCTGATCTAGAGGGCTGATTGGATGTGCGAGATTGACTGATTAGCGAAGTTTTCACACAGCCCTAACTTGTCTTCTATTTTCCCTCCTCTTCCCTCCTCTCCCCCCTCCCTCCCACCGTCAGAAACTGTCATAGATTCCAGCAAAAATGGAACAAAACAACGACACTCAAGCCCCTGTTGCTGCTGCTGCTGCCAACCAGCCTCCTCCACCTCCTCCTGGCGGTGGTCGCGGTGGTCGTGGCGGTGGTCGTGGCGGGGGTCCCGGTCGTGGTGGTATCAGGAAGGTTGGTAGAGACTCCCTAATTCTGAAAACTACAGCGCTGACCACAGATATTCTACGGGACTAGAGAAACCGAAGTAGGTACTGCACTGTGTGCGACAAATGGGGCCATTGGGCGCGACACTGCTGGCTTACTTACAGCAGGATGAGAGAAGGGCGAGCGTTCTAACAGGTAGACCAATCCTCTTGCAACATGGCTGAATTGCACTGACACTGGAGCAATAACAGGAGCTCATCGCCAGAGGTGGTCATCGGGGTGGTGGCCAGGGTCACTGGGGTGGTCGTGGAGGCATTCACGGCCAGCAAGCCCCTCCTGACCAGCAGGTTCGTCCATCCAGACCAGGTAATTTGAACTTGGAAAACCAGCTCTAACATTTTGCAAAGCAGGCCCCGGAGAGACGCCAAAACGCCCAGCAACCTGAAGCTGCGGCCAACAACGCGGCCCCGGCTCCGGCTGGTCAAGCCGCAGGTCCTAACTGGCAGGTTGATGCCCTCGTGGCTCAACTGCAGCAGGTGGACCCAAATCAGCTGTTAGTATAATCATCTTACGTGGCTGTTCATGTTGCTAATAGATCTTTTACATTCTAGCGCAGCAGCAATGGAGCGACTGCAATAGTGAGTACTCTTTTGTCTCTTCAAGTGAATTTCTAACATGAATTGATTGCAGTAATCGTGAGCCCAAGGAAGAAGGGAGACAAGATGCGCAAATGCGCGAATAAATTTTTTTCCCCCAAGAGGGTTTTTTTTCTGAGATAAGATGCCGGCTTCATGGCCAGGCTGCAACGCCGGGGTTTTACCACCAGGCCACTAGTTACTGGTGAAAAAAAGCAGTAGTGCAATGGATAAGAATGTTCAATTTCCCAATTCTTCCACTATCCGATCAGTAGAGTGATTGTAATTCTGTTTTTGTTTCTCGTAGGATAGGTAAACACAAGGATTCTTCTCGAAATGATTTTGCCCTAGCACCGAGTCTTGTTGGTAATCAGGATTTGTGATGAGCCGAGGGAACCTGATCTTGAGCATTGGAACTCGGGCATACTAGGGATGAACGTCAAGATCGAAGCAGCATTCAAGTGCTCAGGGCTTCTTATTGTGAGCATGCCTGTTGAAATCTGGACGATGCTTCCAGCAGATGAGCCAGCCGGCTTTTATATTCGTGGCACATGTGGATTCATCGAATATACTACGACAACTGATGACAACCTTTTCCGGACATGAGAACCTGTCGTTGGCACATCGCCAGAGAGAATCTCTTGAATAATATTATTGATATACGGTGTTTTGATTGCATATCAATGACTTGTTTACTGCACTGCTTTGTGGTCTACTTACAACCGACATGAGAGGCAGGGTGTATGCTTATTTATTCTCAAATCTACTCCAATTTTAGCTGAAAATTAAGCTCGTTTATGTAATGAGGGGCTGATGCCTAGAGTTCAGCCAGTCAAATACTTTTCCACCCTCCATAGTAAATCAAACCATCATCTGTAACCATCACGACCCATACACCATGGCAACCTCCCCCAACCCAACCAAACAATACCCATCCACCCAATTCGTCGAAAGCTGCGGCGCAATCCTCTTCAACCTCTCCACCGCCCCCAAAACCGTTTGCCTAATCCACTATCACCCGAAAAACGAATGGCTCCTCGCAAAGGGCCGTCGCAACTGCGGAGAATCTCGACACGAAGCTGCCATCCGCGAGGTCCGCGAGGAGACGGGGTATAAAGCACGCCTTCACCCTGTCAGAATGCATACGCGTGCCCCTCCACTCGATGAACGGGGACACGTGCCGGATGAGCCTCGCGAGTATGCGGATCTGACGGAGCCGTTTATGGTTACGATGCGGGAGTTGGGTGGGGATGGGGTTAAGATTATTTGGTGGTATGTTGCGGCGCTGGATGAGGGTGTTGTTCCTGAATCTGGGGGGAGTGGAGGGGAGGAGGAGTTTACGGCTGAGTTTTTTCCGTTGGAGGAGGCAGTGGAGAGGTTAAGTTTTCGGAATGATCGTGATGTTTTGCAGAGGGCTATTTCTTTGGTTGATTAATCTGCTGGTGTCAAGTATGTCCAGACAGTGGTCATATAGTTCATAGAGCGAAGTGTGTATAAGGGAGTTTCGTGACCAAATTGGCCGTTTATACATTATTTTGCACTGTCTTGTTAAAGAGCGCAAAGAGATATATAAGATATCACAGTTTATATCACACCTATACACCCGAATCATACTGGGTAAGGTCATCCTTGACGACAAACTTCTGCCAATTAGCACAAGTCGAGTTAAGCCGGTCCTCATCGATCGTGATCTCTGATTGTCGCTCGAGGATCTGCACCGCAAAGCCCTCAGACGTATGCCATGCGATATGACAATGCATAAGCCAAGCACCGGGGTTATTCGTCTTGAACGCAATCACCAAATACCCACTAGCAGGCATCATAGCGACATCTCTCCGGGGCGCATTAACCAGCGTCAAACTATCCGTCTGCGACGAATCGAATTCCCCATACCCCGATTGCAGAACCCAAAAGTCATGACCGTGGAGGTGCATGGGGTGGTCCTGCGCAAAGGGCGAGTGAACGAGCATATACACCCACTGATCGGCGTCGGGGAGATGGACGACATTCTGTTTCGTTTTCCAGGTGCTGTTGTGTTCGGCTACTTGGAGGAGAGTCGGGTACTCCCATTGGGTGCGGAAGGAGGTCTTGTTCATTTTCCAGAGGAGGGCGTTTTCAGTGACGCCCACGGTGACTTTTTCGTCTTCGGTGAAGGTGTATGTGTCGGAGGCGTTGATGGCGAGGTACGGGACGAGGTTTGAGGGGGATTCGTCGGCGCAGGAGTCTGTGTAGCTGTATGCGGATGTAGTGGGGTCTGTGGTAGATGAGTTGTCGTAGCGGATGATGCCCTTGACGTTGTCGACGGCGTCGGTCTCGGAGCAGGCTTCTTGGGGGATTGCGCGGAGCCAGAAGTTGCCGGTGGTGAGGTCTTTGGATGTGACGATGATGTCGTAGCGTTGGCCCATGCCGATGCTGAGGGTGGTGGTGTTGTAGGGGACGATGGGGACGAAGTCGTTGGCGATGACTTCGAGGGTGTGGTTGTCGATGGTGAATCGGAAGTGGTTGTCTGCTGCTGCGTTGACGAGGCGAATGCGGTATCGCGTGTTTGCTTCGAAGACGGTTTCGAATCGGGATCCCAGCGTGTCGTTGTACGTGTTTGTTCCGTTGATCAGGCCGTTGGGGGCTGTTGGAGGTCCGCCTGTTGCGGCCTGAAGAACGAGTTCATCTGCCGTTTGCTGGAGAGAGTTAGAATAAATCATACAGAGACTGAAGAAGACATACATGATACCAGTCATTCAAGAAAATATGACCCAAATCAACATCATAATTAGCCGTAGCAGGGCCATTGATGCGGATCCCACCAAACACTCCATCCCACGCCTGGACGTAAAAGTGCGAGTGATACCATCCCGTGCCATACTGAACAGCCCTCCACGTATACGTTTCCGAGTCACCCGGAGCAATTGGGCATTGCGTGATACTTGGCACACCATCATTCTGGTCCGTCCAGTTCTGTCGAATACCATGGAAATGCAGACCTGTGCCGTTGGTCTGGAGAGAGTTGGTGACATGCACAACCACGGTGTCGCCCCAGTCGGCGATGATGGTCGGGCCTGGGAAGGACCCGTTGATAAGCTGGACGGGCATTTCGACGCCATCGGGGGCTGCGGTGGTGTTTTCGATGTTGAACCAGTATTCTCGCGTGACGCCTGTGTCGGGGACATAGTCGTAGTAGTTGGTGGAGATGTCGAAGCCATCGCTCCAGCAGGATCTGTTGGAGGCGCTGTTAACGCATGCTGTATCTCTGGTGAGGGCAGCACCGAGGACAGCAGGTAAAGTAACGAGCGACGATATTAGAGTTGGTAAAAACATGATGCAAAAATAACGAAAACACGCAAAATTAAAAGAATGGCTGGCAGTGAGTGATATACTGCTAGAATAGAGGGAATTAAGATTTTATAAAATTTTATAAGGCTGGAGTGGAGATATAGAAGAAGGCCAACCATAGATCGAACAGATCCATTACAACCTGATTCTAGGAAAGCTAATGCTATCAGCCCACATGCCATAGATAGAGTCTGCAGGATGCTATATTTGCCTGATGCAGTTAGAGATCACGGAGTCCATCCGATGAAGCGTCACCTGCTGACGATTCGGAGAACTCCAATCCCGGGACTATCGGGGGTTGATTGTCGATCACTGTCAATCTCTATCTAGCTGGGCATATCAGTCTTATAGAGTAGAGACAGAGAAGTACTCTACCACTACATAGTAAATAGCAAAACAGCTGAAATGACAATAACATAGATTATCACCTATAGTATCTATAACATCTTCATCTATGTATATCTATGTATATTCATATCCGTATAATATGATAGCATCCAATATCCCTGACAAAATCTTCAATCCGGATAAAGTCATACCCCCAACAACCCAGATGCCAAATTCTAAATTAAGGTACAGCCAATCGCCAATAAGCACCAGCGGGGAGACCCACATTACCCAAATCACAATCCAACATGATTGGCAACTTTAATTCTGCATCTTCCCAACGCAGTTAGCCTAATCAAGGCCTGGCCACTGCGTGCGCGTCAACCATACTATAAGTTTAATAATAGACACATAAAAGTAAGCGTAAAACTGGGGTTTTGATAGTGTAGATACACTGGTAGACTGGTGGAGACCATTCAGCCTTGTAGTTAGTCCTTTTAGTACTATGAGTGCTTTCTTTTCTAGTTTGCATTTCTCTTTCTTCATTCTCTAACCAACTGCTTTCCTTCGTTTGAGTATACACAATGCAGCTTTTCAGTCTTTTCAGCTTCTTCACCCTCCCTCTGGCTCTGGTTTCTGCCTTGAGAATCCCATCCAGCAGCTTCAACAAGCGTGGTGCCGAACAAAATGCCACTCTTTACGCATACGGCACCAATGCCTCCTCTTGGCCTATTGCTTACGGCTTGAACGATGGCAAGTAAATCAACATTCTTATATGGTCCCATATGTTAATAGAATCAGGCCTCCTCTACATAACCCAAACCCCCGACGACAACACCGCCAACCTCACCCCGGTGAGCTGGAACCTCCCCTCCATCACCGACGAAAACTGGATCGTGAATGGCTCCTTCGTCAACGGCACCTCGGCCGGCTCTCTGTACATTAAGCCCGAAGACAACTACTGCCTGGGTCTGCTGCCCATGGCGCGTGCGTCACAGCTGAACGGGACAGTGTCGGGCTTTGCGCTGTTTGCGTCGCAGCTGGTGTTTAATAATAATACGGATTTGGAGGCGCAGTTTTGGGCGCAGAGTACCGGGACCGAGGGGATTTATTCGTTGATTTGGAATATTGGGGGGAATGTGGCGAGTGGGAGTTTTCCGGTTGTTGTTAAGGCTTCTGAGGATTAGATTTTCGCTTATTGTCGGTTGGGAGATGGATGGTGTTTAGGATGGACTGTTGACGTTGAAAGAGAATTCATATCCCTACTTAGCGTACCATGGTATTGTATACTACTTGAGGACCACCAAACCTCAAGAGTATTTTATCGGTATTCAATGGCTAACACTTATACTACTATGAAAATACATCGATGTCCAAGCCGGCTACTCATAGCTAGCGAGTCCGAAGTTCATTTTGTTTAGCTTTAATGCCCCCCTCTGGCAAAAGCCTTATGCACTTTTGCTGGAGGCCCCCATGGCCCGATTGTACCGTTCAGGGCTTTCTCGGCGGCATCAGCCTTTTCGGCAGATTCCATATCCACGAACATGTAATATCCTAGTTTCGTGTTTAAATCGGCTCGCGATTGCTGGTATTGGTCTGGCGAAAGTGTCTTGCTGAATGCCTCGCTGTCCAACCCCTCCATTAGCACGTTTTCACCAAGAACTGATGGGCAACGACATGCTATTGTCACAGCTGGACATGTTTTCGACGATGCTTCTTCGTAGCCAGACTAAAATCTAGCAACGGTGATGGTTTAGTGGTGGTGATAGTTGTCCACTGGGCTATTTACTTTTGTTCGCCAGCTGTCTGCATCATCGAGATGCGATAATACAAGCCATGGGCATGTGGTGATTCCACATACTTATTATACCTTGGAAGGCCTCAAAGCACTAGGGCGACTAACTAAAGGCATATATTCCATCACTGCCAACTCCAAGCTCTTCAAGATACTAACGCCAGAGCGGCAAAGAGGCTATACGAAGTTATACAGCTGGACATCTTGGTGCTTCCAACAGAGGATAATTGCTAATTTGCTATTTTCTAGCTTATGTACACTCATACACAATACTATAATAATCAATAACATATCCAAACACATCTTATCATCCGTCTAGTTTTGCTTCCAGATCCAATACTACGTGATGATAGAGCGGCGCAATTCCGCCTCGTGCTGACACATGCTGATCGATCCGAACAATCCGACTTGTAATCCGATTTGTATTACTGATCCGATGGCAGGTTCCAGATTATCGGCTCACGATCTACGGATATATTAGATCACCTCGTCCAGTTCCATTGTTTTCTCATTCTATATATGCTCGGTTAATATCCAGTTGTCAAGCAAATCCTCCGTGCTCGATAACTCTCTCCCTCTCCCTCCCCTACTCCCTTTTCTATATGTCTTCCGATCAAAACCAAAACCACCAACAAAGAGAACCACCTAAAAGCAATAGTACAATAATACTCTTATCCATCCTCACATTATCCACAGCGATCCTCATCGCTCTATCGCTAGGAACTACATCAACAACTAACACTGCCGATACCACAAGCCGAGCCGCCAATCTGTTCGGGTTCCGTCGCTTATTCGGATCTGTTTCGACTTCGTCTTCTGCAAGGCTGGGAGCGAGTCAGTCTGCAGGTCTAAGTGCTGCTACCAGAAGTGCTTTTACGGGTGGCGAAAAGAGTGAATTCAAGATGAGGACACCGGTGTATTTTCTTAGTCATGGAGGGGTATGTTTCCCTCATCCTTTTTGGTTGGTTGTTTGATGGAGGGCGCTAATTGCAGTAGCCGAGTGTGATGTATGAAAAGGATCACCCGGCATACAGCAAACTGGGCGAGATCGGACGTGAAATAACTACCAAGGTCAAGCCGCGTGCTGTGGTCGTCTTTTCTGCGCATTGGCAGGCGGGCCGGGATACCATCCAGGTCAACACCGCGGAGATTACGGATTTGATTTATGAGTATGTCGACTCCCCTCCCTTACATTGTGCACACGGGTGACTGATGGCTGTCTAGCTTTTATGGTTTCCCTAGTCACTATTATAAGGAAAAGTATCCCAATGTCGGGAGCAGGGAGATTGCGAACAAAGTGCTTGATTCGTTGAGTGCAGCGGGCATCCAGGCTGAAGGCGTAAAAAGAGGATTGGACCATGGCGTGTGGGCAAGCTTCAAATGCGGTTGGTTTCGATGGATCGGCTCAATTTCTTACGGGATATCTAACTTTTGACAGCGTTCGAACCCGACGAAAATCCGTTGAATGTTCCCATCGTACAAGCCTCCCTGTTCAATTCTGAAGACCCCATCCAGCACTACCGACTTGGTCAGGCTGTTTCGAAGCTCCGTGATGAGAATATTCTCATCATTGTCTCCGGAATGGCGGTTCACAATCTCCGTGATATGCGGTTTGCCTGGGGTAACCCTAACCCGCTGCCGTACACGGCCAGTTTCGACGAGGCCCTCAAGGACGCGGTCACGACTCCACCGGCTGAGAGAGAAAAGGCCATGGCTGAGTTGTTGAAGAGACCCGATGCACGAGAGGCCCATCCGTACTTTGACCATTTGCTTCCCATCCACATTGGAGCTGGCGCTGCTGGTGACGATTTCGGGAAGAGGCTGTGGACATTGAAGGAGGGCAGCATGAGCTGGGCGCAGTACAGATTTGGCGAAATATCCAATGGTAGTAGCCTGTAGTTGAGTATTCGACAAGAATGAGACAAAGATTGATGGTTTCTTCGAAATTGGTCCGAAAAGTGGATGTAATTTTTTTCAATTCATCTATAGATACAGAGATGGACAATTTGGAAAAGTGCGATGCATAAACATAGACGGATAACGCGGGAAATGTCGCTATGAAGACTCCTTCACCAGAGAGGTAATTTTCTCTTCGATCTGCTGGTCCGACAGACCTGTTGAAACCGCAAAGTCAGCGATGCAATGGAGCGGCGAGGAAAATATTCCACTTACCAGACAGCGCTTCCTGCTTCTCCTTTCCAAGGTCTGCGCATAAAAATCGTATTAGTCTGGATTCCGCTAGTAATTCCAATGCACTCATTGTCCATTATCGTACCGTATCTGGCGAAAACTCTAGGCAGGGTGCCAACGGCCTCGCGAATCATGATGGGGGTGTGAGGGTTGTGCTTCTTCATGGTCGGGTATGCGCGGTTCAAGAACGATCTATCGAAAAAAAGGTCATCAATAACAGTTCCCCCTTAAATCTTTTCATATACTGATAAATACTGACCTTGTGGCTGCGCTCTGCTCCGAACTTTGGCAGAAGAGGAAGCGGAGCTCCTTCAAACCCTTGGTGAAAACGTATTTGCCCGACATTGTGATTTTTTTGTGAAAAAGGAATTAAATCCCCCGCGATTATAATAAAGCAGAACGAGTGCCAATTGACGCAATGGAGGATCGCTGGCCGGCGAGGGGTGTTCAAGAGCGTCTGGGGATGTTTCGTCGAGGTTGCCAGACAGACCAATCCGGACAAGCGTGATTGTCACCGCTTGCTTACCTCAGCCGGAACAGAGCCGCAACCTCAACGGGCCGCCGAGGTCGGGGTTTGTCGTATCTCAATCTCCTTCGTCTTGCGTCGGTGAGGAAATCGTCATCAATCTATCGAGTTATTCTATATACACTACTCCGGGGAGTTTCTGTCTCATCCTCTTTCTTTACATACACACCCTTTGGAGAATTCGTCTCCGTCCTCCCCTCTTCACTCCACTCCGTCTCCTTTGATATCAAAATGTCGTCTCGCGTCGGTTTCCGCTTCCTCAACAACGCCCGGGCTGCGTTCCGCAACACAGCTGGTCCCTTCCGCCGGCCTGGTGCCCAGGGACGTCGCTTCCAGAGCTCCGATGCTGGAGCCAGCACCGCCGAGCAACAGAGCACTTTCCAGCGTCTATGGAACAGCCCCGTCGGTGTCAAGACTGTGCATTTCTGGTAGGAACAATTGCTTCAATGGTTACGGATTATGAGTTTTCAGATTGGTACTTACGTTTGTTCAATTGCTAGGGCCCCTGTTATGAAGGTACGATCTTAAATCTATGCTATCCATCTCCGGACAACACACGCGACCACATTCGTCATTTGGAACCCATATACGGTCTCGGAGTCAATGCTGATTTATAAATAGTGGGCTCTGGTTATTGCTGGTATCTCCGACTTGGGCCGTCCCGCTGAGAAGCTGTCCCTCACCCAGAACGGTGCCCTGATGGCCACCGGAGCCATCTGGACTCGCTGGTGTCTGATCATCAAGCCCCGCAATGTTCTGTATGTTCCGATACCTTGTCTTGGGAATATACATCCCTACAACAAAAGAACAGCCCACTAATGCTAATCCCGACAGGCTTGCTACTGTCAACTTCTTCCTCGGATGCGTCGGTGTCGCTCAGGTTTCTCGTATCATCATGTACCGCCGTAGCCTGAAGGACGGCTCCACGACAGAAGCTGCCAAGGAATTGACGGGCGAGGCCGCCGACTCTGCCAAGGCTGTCGCCGAGAAGGCCGAAGCCGTTGTTGAGAAGAAGTCTAACTAGATTATCTAGCTGCAATAAAGCGTAGTGTACTATGGCACCGAACAAATCGAATCACTTCAACAATAGAGGGGGTCAACATGTTTCTATCGAGGAGGTTTGCGATAGACGGTCACAGTTGAAAAAGAAAAGCGTTGTCTGCTTCAGGGATCCTCAGCAGACCTAACGTATACCACTGTACATAGGTATTATATATCGAGAACAATATGTTTGAATTGGATCCATTGAGCTGGGGAGGTCAGGTTGGCTGCTTCATCAATAGTCAATTGGTTTTAAATCAATTGACAAAACATAGGGCATTGAACTGAAACCTCGAGAAACTCACTGGAGTTCAGTCGATATCATATGGATATCCATATTTATATGAAACACTATGTCTGCTAGGAATAACCAAAATCATCTCTTTACAATTAAATAAGCCGAGGATCCCTCGTCACACCCAATATCCGTGAAACCTCATGTCAGACTACAATTTTCCTCCCAACCGGACGGACATTTTGGTCGCGTAAAAATTATCCCTCCTATCAGAACCGCCAATGCCCTAACCTCACCATCTCTCCGCCAACATCACCATCAACACACCTCTTCACACGCCACAATTTGTCAATAATATATTATCATTATCTCCGAGTTCTCCACAAAGCTTGTCCCGCATGTCCATTTCCCCGGAGTAGGCTGAGAGGCGTTTCTTCCCCCGCATAATCGACGTAATATGTCGTTCGACGGCGTTGTCATAAGTTATTATGCGGGAGGTGAGAGAATTTCGACCCAAGGACTGTACTTAAAGCAGCTCGAGACGGAATTGAATGGTTATTTTGGGGCTAGAAGATTTTCAAAGGAAATTCTCTCCTTCTCCCCAAAGCCTGACTTTGTTTCCGAATCACAATGAGGTTATTGCATACCCTCACACAGGCAGCGTGTCTTCTGTCTCTGGGTTTTATGGCTGATGCTATATCCCCCTCAAGGGATAATGCGTGCCATCCATTACAGCCGTTCAAGTCTCTCCCTCAGAGCCAGACCAGGTCAAAAACCTGCCATGTTGAGAGTAATGGAGATGGCAGTGACGACGCATCGCATGTCTTATCTGCTCTAAAAGAGTGCAACAATGGTGGTAAAGTGGTGTTTGACGAGGACAAGGAATACACCATAGGAACAGCCTTGGACATGACATTCCTAAAGCATATCGATCTAGGTTAGAGAATCAATTCGTTGGACCCACCAACATCAAGGCTAATGAGGAGACAGAAATTCTAGGGAAAATCCAATTCACCAACGACACCGATTACTGGCAAAAGAACGCCTTCCAACAGAATTTCCAAAACGCAACAACCTTCTTCCAACTCGGTGGCGAGGACGTTAACCTCTACGGTGGTGGCATACTGGACGGCAACGGCCAGGTGTGGTACGATCTCTACGCAGAAGATGCTCTCATTCTTCGCCCGATCTTGGTTGGAATCATTGGTTTGAATGGAGGAACAATCGGGCCTTTGAAGCTTCGCTATTCGCCTCAGTGGTATCAGCTCGTGGTCAACTCTTCGGATGTTCTGTTCGATGGTATCGATATCACGGGGTATAGCAGTAGTGATAACGAAGCGAAGAATACCGATGGATGGTGAGTTTGTCTGTCTTCATGACTTTAATGATACAGTTTCTGATAGTTATAGGGACACATATCGTTCCGATAATATCGTCATTCAGAATTCAGTCATTAACAACGGCGACGGTGAGTCTTCAATCTTTTAATCTCCTTTCCTAGACTACTCTGACTCTTGACAGACTGCGTTTCATTCAAACCAAACAGCACCAATATCCTCGTCCAGAACCTCCACTGCAACGGCTCCCATGGTATCTCCGTCGGCTCATTAGGCCAATACGAAGGCGAAGTCGACATCGTACAAAATGTTCTCGTGTACAACATCTCTATGTTTAACGCTTCCGTGAGTTCCAAACCAAGTCACCTAGGATCAAATGCATTAACCTAATCTCATCCCAAACTAGGACGGCGCACGTATCAAAGTATGGCCAGGAGCATCAGCTGCCCTCTCTGAAGATCTCCAGGGAGGCGGCGGTTCCGGAAGCGTGAAGAATATCACCTACGACAAGATGTACATTGACAATGTCGACTATGCCATCGAGGTTACCCAGTGCTACGGACAGTCGAACCTGACCCTGTGCAACCAAAACCCGGTATTTATATTGTCCCCCATCGGTGTCATTTATGGCCAAGATACTAATGACGATGTGATGAACAGAGCAACTTGACAATTTCAGACATACATTTCAAGAATTTCCAAGGGACAACTTCTGGGAAGCATGACCCGAATGTGGGTACGATTGTGTGTTCGAGTCCTGATGTTAGTACCTCCCTTGTCTTTTTAATTGTCGTTACATGTTTAACAATCTCTAGGTATGCTCGGATATCTACGCTAGCAACATCGACGTTACTAGTCCTAGTGGAACGGATGCTTTTGTCTGTACAAATGTGAGTTCCCCAATTGGCACGCTATATAAACAAGAAGCTGCTACTAATTACGTTACGATGATAAAGGTCGATGAAACCCATTTAGATGTTGACTGTACATCATCTAATTAGGAGGTTGAAGGATAGATGTCGATATGCTTTATATATTTCTATAGCATCTACCGTCAACGATGGAATTATGATGCAAATCAAAGCTTCGGTATATATATATTGATCTCCAGAAATGACACAAATGCACCTGAATAATTTACATCCTCTCCCAACATCCCGCAACTCACAATCGATCAGCAATCCTATGTCGATGGACCCAGCTTCGAGCTCGCTTTCCATATATGTACCTGTCAGAGCAAAATTCATAGATTAGCCATTCCGTGATATAGTATTTAACTGAAAAAGGCCGAGAAAGTAAAGAAAGAACATACATAGGAATAGTAAAAAGCGTAGCCGCAACAGTAAGCCCCCCAATGGTAAAGAAGCAATCCCGCACGCCCTGGTTAGCAACCCATTCATTCAGATAAAATGACAACCCAAACGAGAAAAGGTTCTTGATAAAGTTCATCGTGGCAAAGGCTTCTCCGGATTTATCGCGGTGGCAGTCGACAACGTAGGTTACGACACCGGTGGTACCGAGTTGAATGCCCAAGTTGATGAGGCCCAAGCAGACGATGACGGGGACAGGCCATGGATCTTGGGCGTGAAGTGACTGGCCCCAGGCGAAGAAGCCGATTGCCGTGAAGATGAGATAGCTGACCATGATAGGGAGACGGAACTCGGGCTCTACTCCGAGTAAAATGGTTGTTATTTTGAGTGTAGCCTGGAGGGAAAGTAAACTGCTGCTTACCAAATATGCCGCCATTCATCTTAGACATTCCTTTGACTACACCATCAACTAAAGGCCCTGCCGCGATTGTTCCGATGATAGAAGCAACGAAAGAAGACATGTTGGTCGCCCCTACAGCTCCAACGGAGAAGCTGTATGGAGGTGCAGAAAAGATCTGAGACAGGGTGAGTGTTACCCCCACGAGCCATGAGAAGCATGTAGTATAAAGCAGAACAGCCCAAAGAACAGGTGGTGAGAGCAAAAGATAAAATGGACGAATGAGCGTGTTCCAAACAGAGACATTATTGACGTAGCCACTATATGGGAGCAGCTCCTTTGCCCAAGAATTCGGTTTCTCATTCGTTTGTTGTGGTGACTGTGATCTTTCTGTGCTCCCTGTATCTGCAGATTTGAGATATTCGGATTTCTTTTCGTCCTGCATACAAGGTTGACTGAGTTAGAAATGATATTAAAGAAAGAGGTTGGCTTACAATATCTTTGCCAACGTCAATGTCGAAGGAGCTCTGTCTTGCGTATGCTGATTCTGGCATCCAGAAAAAGACCATGATCAACACGATGGCAAAAGCCCCTCCCATGGAATTTAAAGCGATTCTAAAAGAGCCATATTCAATTATAGCGCCAGCTGAATCATATTTAAGATCAGTCAACACTCTTGATATTGACACAGGGATTTACCTATAGGGGATGCGAGATTGATGCCGCCTAGGACACCGAAATTGAAGATGGCGTTACGGATTCCACGTTCATGAACGAACCTAAAAGTCTCAGCAAGGGATGAATGGGATATATGAGTTCACCAACCAGATATCTGCAATAGAAGCAGGTACCAAAGCTTCCAGTGGCGCCATGCAGAGCCCTGCCAGCACCCTCGACGCAACCAAGGAAGGAAAGTTTTTGGATCCCGCGGACCAAAAGCACGACACCATTAGCCCAACAGTGGTCGCAAGATATATGGGGCGCTTTCCATATTTGACAGCCAAGCAATTGAAAATCAAACTGCCCACCGCTATCGCAACGAGTGTGCCGCCTTGTATTCCTGATGTGAAAGTCGAGAGTGGCACGCCGAATTCTTCAGACAGAGGAACGAGAGCGGCTGTCAGAAGGGGTCCAACGGCTGTCGATTTTTGATATCAGCGATTGAATCACAGGAAATATTTTGTGTGTCCTACCTCCAACGCAACCGCAAGCCACAGCATATGTGATGGTGAAGAGCTCCTTCTTCTTCCGGGGCCAATTGTATGGGTCTCGTGGTGAGTCCGACGGCTGAGGAACGAGAACAATTTGGCCAGTCGGGTCATGCTTGAGAAGAGCCGGATCGATTCCCGAATAGGTAATATCTGTTTGACCAAGCTCATTGAGAGGAGCAGTGCCGGGGACGTGCTCTAGTTTATTGTCCTCCAAAATTCCGAGAGGCATTGTGTAGGTGAGCTGGGGCAGTTCACTTAAAAGTACGACAGGAAAGCACCAAGTATATTCAATATCGATTGCTCAGCCGAGGGAATCGTGTTATATTCGTAATGTCAAAGCTCGCACAGAGAATAAAGTGCGTGTAGCCTGTGTGGATGTTTTCGAGATTCTATCCACAATGTATGCCTATATATTGGGCAGCACGGCGTTGAACATGCGTTTTCCCTATAAATAGTTAGTAACATGCAAGACCTAAACATCTGGCATTTCAAATCGAACGGGGAGAATAAATACTGCCAAATTAGCGCGAGAGAAAAGCAATGAATCACATCTCGGGTACCCCTCACCATCTTGTCTTGGTCAGTCGTGCGTATGCACTGCATACACACAACCAGGAAGCGACAGGGTAGCCCATCAGTGTCCCCCGTGGGGTTGAGACCTTGAGCCGAGACAGGTTCTGGAGCTTTCCCCGTATTCCTTCAAGAACAGCCCCATTATGCATGGCATTTCACACTAATATTTGCTAGTGTGATGAGAGAAGAAAACCCCATTTCCCCGGGTGTATGATGTGGGGTCCCTTTGCAGGTGGAGGAATTCCGCCAGAAAGACAGTGAAACTGGGCTGCATGGGCGACGATCGACTTGCTAATTGCAGGGAAGATGACTTGTCTTGACCCGGTATTGGATGGTGGAGAGAGTTGTAAAATTCATCAAGTTCTGTCAGTTTCAAAATAGACTGCATGATGCATAAATTAGATAGATTGTAACGATGAGATGCATCTCAAACTCGGTGCAGTCGATGGAAGGGTGATGGTTGATGGTGTTGAAGTTGAAATATGACAGTCAAAAGATACGAGAACCACACTCTTCCCCTTTCGGTTCCCCGCAATATCAGAGCTCTACTACAACATTAGCTATTCTCTACTGTTTAAAATACGTATCATAAAAGGATATATGATATATTTATATAGAGGTATTATAAGTCTTCCCAATCTATTGTTTTAATGGCTTTTTATGGAGTATAATCCCACCCGATCACTCATTTCTTCTTATCCAACTCTTTAGCCTCACATTGTATTTTCAAAGCCTGGGCTAGCAATCCAGGATACCACCTGTGACCCGCTTCCGGATAGTTTGTTAGATATCGATGAAAAATGTGCTACCAGTACCTTCTTTGAATAAGTCGGAGAAGAATGTTTCTGCATCAGATATGACCTTCTTTAACTAGATCCGTGATATGGGGTGGAATATCCAGAGACAAGTCTTCCTGTGTGAGATCGAGGCCCAAGGTCTGAAAGAACGGCAGAGAGAAGCGTGGGCCCAGGGATTTCCCGTCTGAACTAACGAATCCCTCGCTTTCAAGTCTTGCACGATGTGTGCATGCAATACAGACACCACGAGATAAGGACTCCAGTAGACGGCCCACGTTGGCTACCAGAGTGCCTGGGATCAGAGGAACCGGAATCTATTCTCCACATCTATTCTGGAACTCAGGGCAGCTGTATTATGCTCCCTGCAGGAGGTATGTCATGAATACAACATTCTTGTGTGGCCCCGTTCCGAGGCCTCCTTTGACTGGCATTGGGTTCACAGATGGCGGTGGATATTTGTGGATTTTCAATACATTGAGTGGAGGGTTATCGAAGAGTGATGCCATGTCTGTGGGATTGAGGTCCAGTGTTTCTGCAATGAGAACTGTGAGTTCGGTTGCCTGCTTTTCCATTGCCGAATAGTAGGTTTCAATTGTGCTACGGAATTCGGGGACTGCTGTTGTTCGGGCCACTTAACAAGGCCCGCAGTCAGTACGGAGAGACAGAGTGGACAGAAAGATCATGCTGGCTGGCCACATCATATTAGTATCCCGTAGGTTGTAGTATATAGGCTCATCTTGGGACGGAGTAGGAAGCTCAGGACCAATCTATAACCAAACGGTTAGATACAGAGATACCTTGTGGAATTCGATTAGGTTCTTACTGTGAACGACTCTTTATGGTCCACCATTCCGGCAGTCTTTTCCGCGCCCAACCTGTTGTATCCAAGAAAGTGCCTGCTATTCTGGGTTTTCCAACTCGACCTTCTTCTTCTTCAATGGGAGATTGAAGAATGAATCAGATTGCTGGACGGCTCCTTGCAGCGTCTGTTCCGAAACAGAATTATTTTTGAGATAGAAACAGCCCACTTGCGTCAGGAATTTCCTCAGGTCCGACAGGAAAAGCGGCCTTGTCGCAGGCGACACTGTCTGGGAGAAGCCGAGGATTGGGACTGAGCTGAATTCGCCGGCCACCTTGGACAAGAAGTTATGGGGCGAATTGAGTAAATCAGTATTGTTGAAGGTATTTCTGCTTCATGTGGGAAATTGAAATAGACAAAAGTTTCTTCAGTTCGTTGGCTGGGCATTATTCAAGTGGAAGACAGATCAGATTCACAGATGGTGGTTGTTAAAGTGAACCCCCTACTGCTATTCGGGCCCCCCCTTAGTTCCAGCGACCCATCGGGTTTAGTGCGTATTACTGTGATATATAAAAAAAAAAAAGGAAATTGAGAATCATCGTGCAGCTATTGTATCATCAAACAAGGCAAGGCATCGTATCTGCAACACTGACCCTCTGCTATAGAGGCTGGATTGTCGGATTCAATATAAGAATGTATGTAAAAAATTGTCTCCTATGCTGCAGACCGCATCAATGAGCTGAAGATACCAAATAATCAAGTCAGGCATGTGGTGCAAGTCCTGTGTGGGCAGGGGAACGATGATCAAAGACAATGCAGGGAAATAACTTGTCTTAAACTACGAAAGCCATCGGGTTGACTCTCACATAACTTGGAGAAATATGGAGAGCAGAAGGTGAGAGAATGGCTTGGGTATCATCAGCTCAGCTGCATGTGCCTAATTGGTTAATAGAAATGATGTGGTATCTCATGCAATTGAAAAGGAACGAGGCTGATGAGTCAAGACATGACATATCCCCAAACGCGAAAGGCGTCGCACTCTTCCTAATTCGGCTTTTCCCCCACCATCCATCAACGCACAACCACATTCATCATGGAACAGGTGCTGCGCAAGCTAGATCGACCTGAAAGACCTGCTATTATAGGAAAATGGGGGCGAGAAACAACCAAACTAGATCTGGCAATGGAGTTGTTGACCTTCGAGCTGTGGATGCTGATTGGGGAAATGGTCAGTATCGCGTCTCTTCTCGATTCGATCGCAACAGAACTTATCAGATCTACAGATTTCATCAAAGTCTTCACTGCTATCCCTCAGCTTGGTTTGCCGACAATTCCATTCGATTTTCACACCGATGCTCTTTTCCAGAATCAAATGCACCAACATTGAATGGATCGTGTCCGACGATTTCCTGCAATTTCTGTCCACACCGCATGTTCGACACGTTCGAGAATTGACCTTCATTATTGGTGGTGATTGGCTCAGTGTACTCTGGCCTAACAGCGAAGACGTTATCGTGTGCTTGCTCAATAGGAGATTGGTCCAGTGTTTCATCGCGATGCCAAACCTCACATCTTTTACGTACGTCTGCCTGTTTTCTGTCCTGCGAAGGGAAATGACTATCAAATCTAACCAAGAGCTACTTGTAGCTTTGGGGAACCGATGGCAAAATTGACAATAAGGGAGGAATCGGAAGGGGTGGGCATGCTCCCTATATACAACAAGACTCTGCTGGCGTTGCGGCAGCATAGCCCACGACTACGCCACTTGTCGATAACATTCCCGTCCAGTGGGGATCATCTTCTTGACCTAGAAGAAAACACGTGCGATACAGAATCTGAAGAGTTCAAGCATTACGAGCAAATGACTGGTAGTCTTAGAATCGAAGCGGCTTCTCAGATCTGACTTCCCTTCAATTATTTGAAATTTATGGAGATGTGCCAAGTAATCTGGAGGGCCTTGTATCAACCCTTGTTGCGTCACCAAATCTTCACGGGCTTGCTCTTGGATTGAATGACTTGGCGCAGGTGAAAGATTTCTTCCCTAGGCTCTGCAAAAGCTATGCCGCGGCAGGTGGCCACCCTTTGTTACTGAAACGCCTCTCTTTCAGCAGAGGATGCATGCCCTATTCAGACGAGATCTCACACATTCCACTACTCTGTGACCTCGATGTCCTGCAGAGCACCTACATGTCCAATGAGTTCACCAAAGATTATACCAGAAAGTATCTAGATTTCCTTTGCCCTGAAAAGCAGATGGCTTGTCTTGCTCTTTCAGATCCTTCCTGGTGCCGTTCTATCAGACGTATCTCCGCCAAGTGTTTGGACGATGGTTTCTTCAGCTTGATCAGAAGGATTGGGCAGGATACCACCATAGCACCTCATTTCATGAGTGAGATGACTTTCACTAATTGCAACTTCAAAGATATCGCCCCGAAAAGATTCAATATTGACCCCGACAAACAGATGTATTGGCCTAGGGTTTTCTCCGTCCAGTATCCAGCTCGCAAAGAGGATATAGAGACTTGCATACACCCTGTAATCCTCGAGATATCTGGTTGGCGAGGTCTAGAGCGACTTCATTTCCCAAGTGACATAGGGAACTATGAAGAAAGGGTAGGTGTCACCGCAATATTCAGTTACGTTGAATAAGATGTAAAAGCTGATACCAGAGCTAGAAACTAATCTCAAACTTAACAAAATCACTGGGTCAAAACCTGAAGGTTCTCTCACTCTATGCACCAAGAAAGTACCCGCACACACCATTTCTCCCCGACAAGGACTTTTATTGCAGCCTTTGCCTCTACGAGGAAAATTGCACTACTGGGGAACGTACTATATTCGATGAAAGAGATGCTGTGCTTCACCAAGACCTGGAAGGCTCGAACCGGCTTCGGTATGCTAAACCTCTGTGTTTGGATAGCAACCTGGTGTATCTTGGCATATTCGACTGCTATTACCGCATCTACAAGGACATCGTTAGAGATAACGACAATCGGCCTTTCAAAGTGGCTTGGATGCAGTCCGTAGCAAATTATAAAGCTGATGAAAGGGGTGAAGAGGTCTTCCAATCACTTTTCTACGGTGATCTAAGCGGGATGCCCAGTCTTCTTTGATTGCTGTTTATATAAGTTTTATGGGTTTCTAGATGTATTGGAACTTAGTGCTGTGCTACAGTACTGTAAGTGCCCCCACATTTTCTGACGAACATACCAAATGGCACTATAGTAACACCTAGAAGATCGGAAATACCCCAGCTCCACGTTGATGTGGAGAAGAGGGGTGAAGAGGGGTTTGGATTTAATTCCGCCCATGACAGGGGTATAGATAGCGTCAATCATAGAGCGGTTCTTTAATAGCCCAGCGCTCAATTCATTGGCAACCTTCATACAGAGTACACCATCTACCACCATGATCAAACGAAGCATCATAATAACCGGTACGCAGCCCCTCACCACCAATTACATATCTGTCTAACAAAACTAGGCGGCGCATCAGGCATCGGCCTCGGTATAACCACCCACTTTGCCCCCCATCCGAACACACACATCACCATCCTCGACGTCAACCCCGAAACAGCGTCTCAAGCTCTGAAGAATCTCTCGTCCCAATTTCCCTCATGCAGTATATCATTCAAACCCTGCAACGTTGCATCCTGGGAAAGCCAAGCTGAGGCCTTCGAAAGTGTCTTTGCGGAACAGGGAAGGGTTGATGTCGTCTTTGCTAACGCTGGGATCACGGAGAAGGGGAGGCTTTTGCCCACGGCTGAGGAGAGGGTAGGAGGGAAACCGAGTAAGCCAGATTTGAAGACGTTGGATGTGAATCTGGTAGGGGTTTTGTATAGTAAGTTTTCTTTATCTTTGTTTTTATGGGCAGGTCGACGATGTGATGATGCTAACCGATGAAGGCATCAAATTGGGAATCCATTATATCTCGAAAAACACACCCCAAGCACCACTATCCGGACCTCCATCAAAGGGAAGTATCATCTGCACATCCTCCAACGCAGGCCATTATGCATTTCCAATCGCACCACTATATGCCGCCACAAAACACGGTGTAACCGGACTGGTGAGATCACTAGCAAGATCGCTTGAGAGAGAGCAAATCCAGATAAATGCGCTGGCACCCGCTGTTATCGGTTTGTTTCTTGTTTTACGGTATACCGAGGGCATTGACTGATCCATGTAGAAACGAACATCGCGCCGGATGTGGCATTATTTAAATCGATGATTATGACGCCTATGGAGACTGTGACCAAGGCTGTGGAGGAGTTGGTGAGTGACTCGTCTTTGACGGGGAAGGTGGCAGAGTTGCATGGGGAGAGGGTGAGCTATGCAGAGCCACAGCCATATGTGGATGAGGATACGGAGACGAATATTGAGACGTTTTGGAGGTTGGGGTATGCGTAGGCTGTCGTCATGGTTATATTCATTCTTTGACAGTATCGAACGGGATGATAGAAGTGCAGGGAGTTCAATGAATCTGATTATAAACGAGCATCACGGGGTATTGATTGGCCACTCGATAATCCATATAAGCCAACAAACAGACATCTTAGATACAACTTCACCTCCAACCCATTTCCTTGCATAATATATACCACAGAATATAAACAGCATAAAATTATATATACTCATTAAACGTCCTCATCGGCGATCAGTCATTCTCATCCATCAGTAGCACTTTGAGCTTCTCAAGTTTGTCTTCGCACTTGATCTCCATCTGCATCACCACATCGATACTCTCTTTCTTGGTAATGAGAAGTTGCGAAACTAGCCAGAAGTTATATCCGTTCTTGTAGAAGCCCATGGAGGCCCATTCTTCGCGAGGCACCTGAGCACGTAAAACATCCCAGTGCTCGCGCCAGCGCGTGAGTGCTGTGCGAATCCCATCTAGAACTGCGTCATCTGGGATTGCGGTGATCTGGGCTGCATCGACCCCGGATCCACCGGGTGAGATGCTTGGTAAGATAGCGTGATGTTTTCGCATCACAGCGAGAAGAGTCATATGTGTGTTGGTGAAGACGTAGAGCACTGTCCACTGTCAGAAAACAAGAATGTGATGCCGGATATTGATACATACAATGTATTAACATAAACATGTCAAATACTGTCAGGCTCATTTGACTTCCTTCTGAGATAGGTGACGGCGAGGGGTTTTGTGTAGGGTAATCTTCAAATAGACTCTGGAAAGCCTCGGAGATGATCAAATCCCGAGAAAATCGAAAGTTGGGCTCTGCAAATGGATGCTCGGAGTTGAATATGGCATTATAGCAGGGAAATTCGCTATCCATTTCAGTATGGCTGAGGCGACACGGGTAGTTCTGGTAGAACGAGAAAGCACAGTCGAGCAGCGAGATGATGCTGACAGTACTGCTGGATGGTCAGTCTACTACCTCGACTTAAATACTAAATGGCACGCGATTTCATACCGGATACGAGATTCTTTTTGGATCCACAAGTATTCCTGTATACGATCCTGTGGTAGGTGACGACATTTGAGGAGGCCGGTTTTACGAGCAACCTGTTTACAACACTGGTCAATCATGCTTCCACCACTGATAGAATAAAACATACCTTAATAACTTCACTGAATCGATTTTCCATCACACGATTTCGTGACTCACGGCTTCCTGCCCAATACTGTGTGATAATAGTGATGAATCCAGCTTGTAGATTCTGGAATTGGACCCAATCGTTTGCTTCCTCGTCCAGGTTCCGGTTCCCACAAAAAGCGGCGCCAATTTCACTCTCACTGGAGAAGACATCACTGGAGAAGACGAATAATTCTGCAAAGTCAAGCACTCGCTTTGCGGCGTACACTTCCCTCTCGTCACCAGAATACATAGCGCCCATGAACACAACCGCAGTGAGTAACGGCAAGGAGACGGTTTCAGGGTCAAAAGATGGAGGGTGGATCATCGCGCAACTCTGATGCCAGTACTTGAAATACATCGCCACAAACCTTCGAACGCGTGATGTGGCAAGGAGAAAATGTAAGTTGTGAGATATTTCCTCTTGTGCCTTTCCGTCCAGAGGCACGGTCCATGCTCTGGTTAAAATTGACTGGATCATGGCAGATGCAAACGGTCTCTCGGGCTCGAATGGGGGCTGCTGTCCAGGTAATGTCAAGCTTGGATCCTGGTTTGGAGGTATAACTGTTTGATATGCAACCCCGCCTTGGTACGGATCATCCATTGGTTTGGTCGGATCTCCAAACGGGTTATTGAAAAAGTTCACAAAGGTATCCTGGAAGAAAGACATGGTGACCGGATCTGAATCGATAAACGCAGGCGCATACTCCATCTGGTCTTGCTTCATATTATATGGTAGGGCGGCACCATTGTCCTCTTGCAAACCCTTCATATTATGATATTCCAGACCACGAGCCCGATCGCTGCGTGGCGGAAGGAGAAATCGTTCGGTAAAACTGTCAGTCCCTCCATTGAGCAAGAATTTGATAGAGCCCCGATCTGAGGATTGTTCCGAATCATCGTTTCCTTTGGAGGGTCCTACGGCTATGCGCAATCAGTTGACGACCAGAAATAAATGACGGACAATGACAGTCGATCGTACCTGAATCGGGGCCATTTTTCAATTGGGATTTCCGCTCTTTGTTACACGGCAAATTTCTTTTTCGACAGGAACCGCAGGGAGTATCTCCGTCACATCGGAGCTTCATCGAAGTGCACTGTGAAAAAGAAAAAAGTGGCGTGTCAGAAATGCGACGCCTACACCGCAGGATGATTTGAACCAACCGATTGACAGGCATGCCGTCTACGGCCTCGCTGAGATGTTGAAGGGACCTGCTGGTCCCCACGTTTGGCGCAATTCGCATAGTGGTCGCGGAGATTATCACTGAAGAATTGGCAAGGGTAAGTCTTGTAACCCATACGAATCGGGGGGCAAAACAAAAGGCGCAACACTCACCAGCGAGCAAACGACTCGTTACAGAAGACGCATGAGTAGGGCTTTAGTCCGGAGTCTGAGGGGGATTTCACCGGCTCAGTCAATGACGGAGCAACCAGGGGGGGAGGGGGATTTGCATCACGCCGCAGAGACTGCGGACAAGGAAATTTGCAGGTGGCGACTTACGACGAAGGTGATGTCTCTTGAGATGATCAATGCGGGTGAACCCTCGCTGACAGATGGTACAGCGGAAATGCTTGTCTGTCGAAGAAGCAGACGAGGCGGCAGACTTCATAGTGGTGACGGTTGGGCGCCCATCGGGGAGAAGCTCGAGACTGGGGGGTCTGGGGTAAGACCTTAGGGGGAAGATCTGGGGAGGAAAAGCCGACACGATAGACGAGTACGTACTATCAGAACCAGTGGAACACTCTCATGATCAATGACTGAAGAGATGTTACTCTGTATATCCGCAGACTCATCATCAACGATCGCAACGGCAGAATTGGCACCAAGTACCCAGGGAGAGAGGAGACTCACGACTGGCCTCTCCTGGCCGGAATGTGCGGCGTTTGGGGTTTGGTACGACGACGTAATGTAGAAACTCGAACTATCAAAACGATCCTATTCGAATGATTCAGTCTCTCTTCTGCTAAGCGCTCAATTTTTTTCTTTCTTTCCCCTGTCTCTCTTTCTCCCTCTCCCCTTTAAATTCTGCAGAGCCATCCACAAATACTAATGGTCATCATTACTAAATGAGGGATGACTCTGTCGCCATTCCCACTAGTTACTCCAACAGCAGCCAGTTAGCCTCAAACTTACCCGTATCTTACAATACGCGCAATACGAAACCTGCCCCGCTCCGAGCTGGACTTTTACTTTTTCCGAAACCGAGCACATGACACCGGATTCTCTTTTGGGTTAGTGCTTTATTGTCCAAGGGGTGTACTCGTACAGCTTCAATATGAAGTTTCTTGGTGAGTGGAATGGCAGATGGCAGTATCGGTATTTGCTAGATTGGATGAAGTATCCCGATCTGTTAAGTCATATGCAGCCCTGATTGGTCACTTGAGTGTTGCAACATAATCTTAAGGCTTGATTGACAGACAGGAATGTGACTCTTGTTGGGATTTGTTAGTCGGACAATAAAGCGTCCAATAGAATCCAACGATGGTTGATATTGCGTCTTAATCTGGTAGGGACTCGGCTAGGCCCATGTGACATCTCTCCAGGTCAGCATCCAAATTCAACCTCAGAACACTTTATTCCTACGCTTATTATCACTAGCATCAAAATATATACAGAATTGCACGAAGAGCCGAGTCCAATATGTACCAACATTCAAAATCAATGCCCAATCCCGTTATGCGCTCCCGTTCTGCAGGTAGTATTTAGCAGACGGCGTGGGAAAGTCGATCGCCTCATCATCCAGATAGTCGACATTGATCACCTTGTTCTTTTCATTCTCGGTCCACCCATCACCGAGCCAGCCACTCGGATTGTCATTGATATACTCATATTCAAAATCCTCCCAGCGAGGGTGGCTGAGGGCCTTCATCGAGTGAAGCGATGACCCTGTCGGATGTCAGCACGGCTTCAAAAAGAGCAAGGACGGTTCTCAACTTACCAGGCCACAATGCAGTCACCCTTCCATCCTCCTTTCCTCCCTTGTACCAGCTCCGGCATTTTTCACTAAACACTGTCCGTGAAAAGTACTGGTCACAATACTTGGAAAAGCGCTTGACGGCTTCTTTGCGAGGGCACATGGATCGGACCATGTCGCGCTGCATCTTCATCACACATTCGGTGAAATAATCCAGTTCCTTTTCGATCAGGACCAACAAATTGCCCTCTCCTAGCGCTGCATTTGGTCCCAGACTGATATAATAATTCGGGAACCCGTCAACTGCCATGGCCAAGTAGGTTTCTGGGGTCTCCTTCCATCGTTCAGCTAGAGACACTCCGTTGCGACCGATGATGGGAAAACGAGGGGTGAACGACGTATCAAATCCAGTGGCGCAGACAAGCACATCGCTGGGATGATGCTTTCCGTCAGCAGTGATGACACCTTCCGCATCAACCTTGACAATTTCTGAAGTGATCAATTCCACCTTTTCATCTGTCAAGGCCTCGAGGTATCCAGGACCGGGTGTCAGTCGTCTACAGACAGGTGGGAACGATGGAATCAAGTCATCCACAAGCTCCGGCTTCCTCGATAGGCGTCGCTTCATATTCTCCAGGAAAACTTCCTTGGCTCCGATCTGTTCCGGTGTGCCCTTGAGCGTTGCACCATGGACCGACTGCAGTTCCAATTCAATTTCTATAATTTTGGTCAGAGCTATTTGATAAGAACACGGTACTCAATCTTTACCTTTACGGAATTTCTGGTAGGCCTGGTGGTCCTTTTTGAATGTCTCAATTTCTTCTGGGGTGAAGGAGACTGTGACAATTGTCAACAACAGTCCAAGAGAAGGTTAGAAGAGCTTACAATTTTCTAACTCTTCCCCCCGTTCTTCGATGTGATTTCTGGCAAAGGTGGGCGACAACCATGTTCGTCCTCTGATGTAATGATCGAGGTGCGTTACGTTGGGAAGCATGCCGGGTACAATCTGAATGCCGCTGGATCCATTTCCAATGACAGCAACTCTCTTCCCCTATATTGGAGATTAATGCACAGACTTAGGAGCATAGTGGTAGGATTACTTACAGCGTAATCATAGTTCTCATCCCATCGGGCACTGTGCATTAGCTTTCCTTTGAAGTCGTGGAGACCCGGGATCTGAGGCCATCTCCATTCATTCAACGCCCCCGTGGCAGAAATCAACACATCGCATTTGTCCGAGTATACCGAGCCACTTTCAATATCTTGGACCTGCAGCTGCCACTTGCTTTGGTCTTCATTCCAGACTGCGTCCACCACTTGCTGTTTTAGCTTGACGTGTTCGTTGCAATCATACTTGTCTGCCACACGCTTCCAGTACTGATGAATCTCCGGGGCTTTGGCGTAGAACGTTGACCATTCCTTGTTGGGCTCGAAGGTAGCCTGATATGTGTGGGCAGGAATATCTTTGAGTAGAATGTCAGTCAGTTGTACAAGAGTAACCTAGAGACAGGGAAGATTTCACAAGACATACCACATGCACAACCTGGGTACCTGTTCTCAAACCAGGTACCACCGATGTCTTCGTTCCTCTCATACACACAGAGATCCAGATTGGGTATCCGCTGTCTAAATCGGATGGAGGCGATAATGCCAGAGATTCCGGATCCAATAACGACAACTCGAATAGGGCGAGCCTCATCGATAGAACGCTCCTCAACGATCCATTTGGGCTCTGTTGGCTGTGGTGGCTCTGGTGCACCACTGAAGAATCGGGAAAGATTCCACATTGTGATTTGAAAGGAGAAACAGACAGTCTTGTGGAAAGTGACAGACAAGACTAGCTCTCGCGAGAGTTGGAAAGAAACAGATAGAACAAACTTCAGGGGGCTAATGGGTTTGTGGGTAGCGGTGCCTAACCTGCCGCAGCAGCTACTTGATATTCTTAAATAACCCACAGACCAGCTCAGGAATGACAGTCTCACGGGTATCTACTTGACCCGGTCCAACACTACCTAAGCGTTTGCCATCCGTTCGACATTGCGCATCAGACTGGAGTTCAACTACGACAGCGGGTACCTTATGCTCCTCCCCGTTCTCGCTCAGCCCCCTCATCGTCCCTAGCTGCCCCTTTAGAATCGGGGAGGACGTTCCAGGACCATCACGACCCACAACAAGAGGAACATCACTACTTTTCTGACGATTGAAACCAAAACTGGCCCTTGAACCAAGTGGACTCCTCGGACGGAGTGGCGGGTAGCCAGTGTCGGGAATCCCCCTAGACCCAGTTCCAAACACTTCCAGCCCCAGATGCGGGGGAGACAACGTGGAGTACGGTGGTAGTTTGATCGAGAATCGGATATATGAGGTAGTCGAGGAGGAGCAAGTGACCACATTTACAGCCGAGAGCCATAGTGACGTTATATGGTGGTTACTGATGGTTACTAGTGAGTGGTGACCTATACGAAGAGGGGGTCGTGCGGGTGGATTCCGCATACAAAAATACTTTGCCGGGGCATACATCCGCCAAACTAAGTAGCTGTCATACATCTACTAGCTCCTAGTATGAACCCACAGACGGCAGCAATCTGCGCACGTATTTTGCTACTAATACGATTGCTGAGGAAGCAACATCTAGCATCAAACCACGGCAAAATTCATCAATTAAAGAATAGAGACTACGAAATAATAGCGTCTGAAATTTGGATTCGTTTGGACTTTGGATCCCATCGCTTAACAGCCGATCTGCAACTTTGTGGATACACCGGCATCATCCGGCGTTCGGTAACCGGAATATTCCCAGTGACCACTGACCGTATCTGTGCGTACTCGATGAAACATCCCTTGCTGTCTGAATAGGCGATGATGCAGCCGATACGGAAATACGGATTAAATCGACTCAGATCGACGATTGTTGGGAAAGTAGCTGCAGGGTCTGGGCGTATGCTGTTCTCGGTTGAACGGGGTATTGTCATCTCTGCCTGCAGCGGCATTATGCCTTGTGTATCTATGTGCGCTCTGTGCATATGGCAGTAAACTGTGCTTGGGCAATAAGATTTATCAGCACATATCTGACTTGTTTTGCCAGTGGCATAGTTTTGGTAAATCTACTACTAAATTGATATAATATTTAAATTTTCTATCGTGAGTGGCTCGATACTTCCACGGCTTCACTTATATCCTCGACTATCAAAGTAAATATTGCCCGGAAAGAGGCTCTGTGCCATCATCTCACATGGCACAGCCTACTAGTTAGGAAGACTGCAGAAAATGCCGCTGACTTCTCACCTACAATCTATCACCTTTTCCATAGCCATCGCCATCGAAACTAAGCAGTCACACCCATAATATATACCAGTAGACACATCCAAGATATAAATAATACCCGGAAAATCCCCAGCACCAAACAATAGACTCGAATTTAAGAATAATAATGATTGTCAGCGTTGCCATTTGGCGGACAGTTGCAGTGTCCATAACCGGAAATCCCCCCAGACGGGCCAATAACGCTAATTTGTTTTGCAAAAAAGGTGCTTGAGTTTGATAATTGGGTCGGAAAAATGGGAATTTGAATAACCATTTGTTCTCTGTGTAGATTTTTATTATGATTTGTGATAAAACGCGGTTTTGTATTACTCGTAGGAATAAAATGGTATGAGGATGGGGCGATATGTCCATACCGTTAACTGTCTATTCTCGTTATCAAAGTCTGGATTACACTATTCTATAAATTAAAAGTGTAGTGCTACTATCTATACAAGGCGTGGGCCTACAGCCACCGCCATCGATTAAAATGTCTGCAGCCTTGTAGGCAGTATAGTTATAGCTAAAAGATAGTCATTGAATGATATTCATTTCATGTGGTGTCTTCGATCACTCAATAAGCCAGTATAAATCTGCTACCTACAGTTCATCTCAGCTCTGCATGCCTTATCTTGGCTGACAACATGGCTGACTAGCACTGCATGAATTCATGTAGATATCCCCGGATTTTGTTCCCCCAATACAGTCAGATTGAGGCTAAGTAATCGCCTTAATGGTGGTCTCCTGTCGTTATTCGCTGTTGAGTTGGATGTAACGCTACGACATATTCATGAATGTATAGCTAGTCAGCTTTTTGATCGTACATACTGGGTAGTGGCCTAACCTCTATACTAGAATATAGATGTATGGATTTTTCTTAAATATAAATATGACAACAAGATATCCTCTATCCTCTATCCTCTATCAGCCCTCATCTCCATCATCCATCATCCATCTACTCTACAATCTCAACATCAACTCAAACCAACCAGCATGCAACTCCAACTCCCCCTCATCCTCCTGACCATCGCCACCTCCGTCTCCGGATGGACAGTGAGCGGCTTCACCCAAGAAAACTGCCCCGGCAGCGCCGCCCAAGAAATCACTAAATCCGACTCCACCAAAGGATGCTACAAATTCACCGGCAGCCCTGACATCAAAGCCATCAAGGCTTCATACAACCAGGCGAATCTGGTCGTTTTCGGCTATCCGAATGATAACTGCAACTCGGCTACGTACTCGGTGCAGATTCGACCGAATCAGTGCTTCTATGCTCCTGGGGCGCATATTGCGTCGTTCAAGTCGTTCAAGGTTGCTGCTGCGCCGTAGAGTGTGAGTTTGAGTCTTTTTTGATGAAATATAGGGGTTTTTTGATGTTTAATTCAGTTGGATATTTGATGACTGGGTTATGATATGGGATATGTCTATGCTTGATTGATGAGAGAATACGAATGATGAATATTGCATACATAAAATACGAAGTAATTGTAAGTTTCAATACAGCAGGATTGCAAATTGCCACAGTCCAAGTACAGAATCTTTCCCCGAACAAAATAGGTCCACCTGGAAGATTTGAAGCCTTTTGAATGGAGGAGAAGAGAGTTTCGCCCTCTCCACGCGATGTTCCACGCGGTTCGTGCATTGGCGGCATTGGGTAAGTCGTTAATAATTCTATGATAATCATTAATCAACAATGCAAGGCTGGCCTGTGCTACGATCGTCCATCGTTTGTATTAAAGTCTTTCCTTTAGTTGCTTTTGTATCAATATGAATAAAATCTACACCTCATAGTAATAATGCCTGTGTTCACCGAGTACGCCTCCTCGTCGCGCGAGTTGCGCGTCCTGCCTTCTTTCGCTCCCCCACTGCCCCGTCTAACCCCGCCACCGTCCAAAGACGCCCAGACAGAGAAATACGAAGTCGTTGTCGTCGGTGCTGGCCCGGCGGGGTTGATGCTCAATTTGCTTCTCGCGAGATATGGCTTAAATGACGATTCGCTTCTCTGCGTGGATGCGAAGCCGGGAACACTGAAATCAGGCCAGGCGGATGGTCTCCAGCCTCGTACGCTTGAGGTGCTCAAGTCGCTAGGTCTTGCGGATGAGATCCTCAGTGATGGCTGCCATATGGAGGAAGTGGCGTTTTGGAATCCATCTGAGAATAAGGATGAGGTGATTGAGCGGACTTCAACCGTTCCTGATGTTGCGGTGCCGGCGAGATTTCCCCATGAAGTTACCATTCACCAAGGTCGAATTGAGCGTATTCTTGAGACGGATTTGCTGCGATACTCGAAGCGTGGGGTCCAGCGCAACACGAAGTTGATTGATGTCAAGATTGACGAGGATGGGGATGCGGAATTCCCTGTTGTTGCGGAGATTGAAACCGACGGGCAGTGCAGGACTGTCCGCTCGAAGCATTTGATCGGTGCGGATGGGGCTCGCTCGGCTGTGCGACGTTGCATGGGTCTCAAGTTGGTCGGAGAATCGTTGGACCATATTTGGGGTGTCGTGGATCTGGTTGTCGACACTGACTTTCCGGATATCAGACGTCGCTGCGCTATTCATGCACCGGCTGGTTCGGTGATGGTCATTCCGCGAGAGCGTATCGCAACGGGCGAGTACTTGACTCGACTGTATGTTCAGGTACCGGAAGACGAAGCTCCTGAAGGTGAAGAGAATGGGGATGGCTCTGATCAGCCAAAGAGTGATGCTAGAGCTCGCAGGAGTAAGGTGACACTGGAGAGCATCTTTCAACAGGCAGAAGACGCCTTCAAGCCATATTACATCCGGCCAAAGGAGGATGGTGCAGTCGACTGGTGGGCAGCATACCAAATTGGCCAGCGGGTGTCGGATAAATTTACCGTCAAGGATTCAAAAGGAATCAATCGAGTATTTATTGCAGGAGATGGTAGGTCCATTCCAAGTGTATCTTGAACTATACTGACTGTCACTTCAGCATGTCACACACACAGTCCCAAGGTATGTGGTTGTAATTGACTGACAAGGTCACTTGCTTACAACAATAGGCTGGCCAAGGCATGAATGTATCGATGATGGACTCTTACAATCTGGCCTGGAAACTGGTCTATTCGATCCATGGCCTCAGTCATGACTCTGCTACACCAGGACAGCCCGACACTGTCCTCGACACCTACGACACCGAAAGGCACACCATTGCCCAGCAATTGATCGAGTTTGACCGTGCTTTTTCGTCGATGTTTTCCGGCAAGATTGGTTCTACAGAGGACGGTGTTGAACAACTCACCCACGAGCAGTTCCTCAAAGTGTTCAGCACAGGCAACGGTTTCACCAGCGGTTGTGGTATCGAGTATCCTGAAAACGTCACCGTGCACAGAACTTTAAAAAACGATTCCAAGAATCCTATCCAAGGGACAGATTATCTCTTCGGAGTTCTTCGACCGGGAAGAAGATTGATGAATGTGCGATACAAGAGACACGCCGATGGAAACCGACGCGACTTGCAAGACGGTTAGTGATGCAGCAATGATTGATAACGCCGTTTGCTGATTGCTTCCAGATTTTCTCTCAACAGGACGCTTTCGCATCCTGTGCCTCACATCATCAGACCTTTTAGATCCACAGGGAATGTCCGCGCAAACATTGACGGCTCTAGGCTCGTCGATCATTCCCAAGTTCCCCCCTTCACTGATTGAACAGGTCGTCATCCACCCGCGTCTCCAGAGAGATTTTACATGGCGGGATCTCCCACGCGAACTCAAGAAATACTCGGAGATGTCCTTTTACAGCGGTTACGATATGGATGATGTGTACAAGCTGTACGGTGTGGATGTGAACCAGGGTGCTCTGGCTGTTGTGCGACCTGATGGGTATATCGGTGTGATAGCAGCCCTGAGCGATGTGAAGAGGATACAGGACTATTTAAGGCTGTCTTTGAGGGTGGTTTAGATTATTTGCGATTTAGCGATCAATCAGGTTTATTTATATCATCTCAAAGGAACCGAACCCATCCACAAAACACTGATCAGCATAACTGATTCATATCTTTATGAGTCACAATTAACGACGATCAGCATAAGCCAGATAATAAACAGTAACAAAAAGCATAAGCAGGACAGCTATCACCAAAACGTTCATTATAAATACGCCCAACACGTGCATATTAGTCACCTGACCCGTGCCGTACATCCGACTCTGCCCCCAGATTTTGCTTCATTTTTGCCTCTTTGGTCCACTTTTGCTCGCTTCATGCCGACATAAAATCGGTGTCTAACGGCCCCGACTGCCGACGTCTCAACCACTTGGTCAAGCTTTGCTTCTGGACCACTGGGACCGTGTCTCTGAGCCAATTATGACTGCATTATTCGGGGACAATGGAGGATTTGTCTCCACTGGTATCGGTGTTTAACGGTTCTTATCACCGTCTTGCATGGGGAGAATGTTTCAAGTTTTGGGTGGGGATTTTTATATATATCCAGCAGTTGCTGTTGTTTTTGTTTCCGGATGACTGTTGTTGATACAGATTTTCTCCCTTGATTGTTCCTTTGGTTTTGGCCATGACGAAATCACAACCCACCAGGTCAGATGAGGAGGTGAAATCCGATCAATCGTCTGAGCTACAACCAGAATCTAGAGAAAATCTCAATGTCGACTTGGAAGCACAACCTCAGTCTCAACCAGAGCTGGAAAAGCAAAAAACAGAAGCCCCAGATAACTCCAAGCTAGTAAGTCGCCACTAGCCATCTATCCCATCCCCAAGAACCCAATTAACCAAACCAAACCACAGGTAACCTGGAATGGCCCCGATGACCCCGGGAATCCCAAAAACTGGTCGATGGGCAAGAAATGGTCGGCCGTGATCATCGTCTCCTGCTTCACCTTCATCTCCCCCGTTTCCTCGTCCATGATCGCTCCAGCCCTAACCTCCATCTCTGCGGATTTCCACATCACGGATGAAGTCGAGTCGGCCATTACCCTGTCGGCGTTTGTGCTGGCGTACGCATTTGGGCCGCTTCTGCTGGGCCCGCTTTCTGAGATCTTCGGGAGGGTGATTGTTTTGCAATTGGCGAATCTATGGTATTTGGTTTTTAACATTGCGTGTGCGGTCTCGCAGTCGAAGGGGCAGATGATTGCGTTTCGGTTTTTGGCTGGGTTGGGTGGGAGTGCGCCTATGGCTGTGAGTATCTATTCTGCTTTACACACTGAGTAGCGAAGTAGCTGATGATGGTAGATTGGCGGTGGTGTGCTTTCAGATTGCTTCCGGCCTGAAGAACGAGGAAAAGGCATGGCCATGTACAGTTTAGCACCCCTGCTCGGCCCAGCAGTCGGCCCTATCGCAGGCGGTTTCATCGCAGAAAACGTCTCCTGGCGATGGGCATTCTGGGCAACCTCCATCGCAGACGGGGTGATTCAACTCGCAGGCCTCTTCTTCCTCCGCGAAACCTACGCCCCGAAGATCCTGCAAGTCCGCGCAAAGCAACTCCGCAAAGAAACCGGCGATCAATCCTTCCAAACCGACGCCGAACAGCAGAATAAAACACTCACTCAAGTTCTCCGCATCTCGCTGGTCCGCCCCTTTCGTCTCCTCGCCACACAGCCCATCGTCCAGCTCCTCGCCCTCTACATGGCCTACATCTACGGCCTCATGTACCTCGTCCTCTCGACCTTCCCCACCCTCTGGACGGAACAATACCACGAATCCACCGGCATCGGCGGCCTAAACTACATCTCGCTCGGCCTGGGCTTCTGGCTGGGATCACAGATCTGCGCCCCCCTAAACGACCGCATTTACCGCGCTCTCAAGAAACGCAACAACGGCGTCGGGCGACCCGAGTTCCGCGTACCTCTTATGTCCGTCGCTGCCATCTCCACGCCCGCAGGCCTCTTCATCTACGGCTGGACGGCCCAAACACACGAGCACTGGATTGCGCCGAACATCGGGGCGTGTCTGTTTGGATTGGGTGTTATTACTGCGTTTTTGTGTATCCAGACGTATTTGGTGGATTCGTATACGCGGTTTGCGGCGAGTGCGATTGCCGCGGGGGCGTTTTTGCGGTCGTTGGCTGGGTTTGGGTTTCCGTTGTTTGCGCCGTATATGTATGCGGCGTTGGATTATGGGTGGGGGAATAGTTTGTTGGCGTTTATTTCGATTGCGTTTGGGGTGCCGGCGCCAATCTTTCTTTGGAAGTATGGAGAGAGGTTGAGGCGGATGAGTACATTTGCAGCTGGATAGCGTAAATATTTAAAATATCGAATATAGAATAATAGATAATCTAATCAAACAAAAGTTGATTCAATTTAATACACTATCAAAACATCACTCTCCGCCATCTAATAACCACCACCTCATCTAAGCCGAAGCCGAAGGCGAAGCAGAGGAAGAAGAAGCAGAACCAGGAGCAGAAGGAGGTGCACCACCACCACCACCCATACCCATACCACTGTTCTCATTCTCAACACCACCATCATGGGTATAGTAAGCAGCAGGCGTAACGCTCGTGTCAACAGTCGGGTCAATACCAACGGAGATCCAAGCAAAGATACCATCGGCCGCGCTGTCACCGAGGTAGACGTACTCCATGAAGGGGTCAATGTTGCTGTCGAGCTCCTGGAGGAGGATGTCGTCGTCGCTGTTCTCGGTCAACTCCTGGGTGTTGGTGGAGTAAGGAGCGTTCTTCTCGACTTCGGTGATGAGGTCCTGGTCGAAGAAGATCTGGCCGACGTGCGAGGAAGAGGAGGTGTAGAGGCCGGAGATGGTGTCGTTCTTGTTGACGGTAGTTTCGTTGGCGGGGTGAGAGAGGACTGAACAATATTATTAGCTTTCATCTTCAAAACACTCTTGGAGACGGAAGAAGGGCGTACCGTGAATGTGCGTAGCACGACCGGTATAGTGACCGGGGAAAATCGACTCAAACTGCGCAACACCATCCTTATCCGTCTTCTGCAGACCACGGAGGAAAGTAGCGTTCAAGTTGGACTCGTCCGAAGAGTCACCGTTTCCACTGGCAGTAACGCCAGAGTAAACGCCGGTGGCATTGCAGTGCCAGAAGTCGAGGTAGACTTCGGGGACGGGCTCGCAGGTGTTGGTGTCGACGAGCTGGATGTCGAGGAAGAGGGGGACACCTTCTTGGCCATCGACGAGGTTGGAACGGATGAGTTCGCCGGAGACGTCTGCTGGAGTTAGCTTGCTGTTGCTGGACTGGGTTGGTTTTTATGGGTTATGGTACGTACAGTAAGGGCCCTGAGTAACGTCCTCGGCAAGGATGCAGCTTGCGTTGGAAGCAAACAGAACCGAGGGGTCAGTCGAGGGAGTCGCATCGAACGAAGAGTGGTGGGTAATGTTCAAGGGAGCATCATCGCGAGCCTTGAGGAAAGGAGCGCGAGTCTCGAGACCTCTCTTTCTGCGCAAGTTCTGCACGGCGCGGTTACGACGGGCGACGTTGCCCTGCTCGTGGCCGCGAGCACGAAGGTTGGTGGCACAGCCGCTCAGACTGCGCGAGTGGAGGTTGTTGAGGGCCGCAGCACGCTCAGCGGCTTCGGCCTTGACGTTGTGGCCGGGATGGGCAGACGCCATCGAGGCGAGGCCGACGACACCGGCGAGGAGAGAAGAAGCGAGACGGACCATGTTGGCTGAAGATATCCAAGATATTCAAGAGAAAGACTGAAGATGATTGATGATGATGATAAAAAAGGTGAAGATACGGGTGATCCCACGACCCTTTTATACCCCTCGATGCCACTATATCCATACTATAAACCAAAATAACCCAAACAAGCTGATGCACCTCCAACCCTGCCCCATCCAGCAAATAACATCACCAGCATTGCCAATTCATCACCAGCACCATAGATGAAGCACGCCCCGCAGCGGAGTCGCCTCCGTGCAGTCCAACAACCTTCTATCGGCTTCTGCCAGGGTGTCTGTATGTTACGTGCATGCGTTGTGTCTGCGTAACGGCAAATCCAGAAGTGGATTTCCCGGGGTAAGAGGAATAGGTAGAATCCTGAATGGTGATTCTAGATAGCCACTAGCAGGCTAGCTGGTGCCATAGTTAGCATCAGGGCCTGTTGTTGACTCGCTAGAGCTGGACCGCTGACGACGACGGAAAACTAGGGCGATAAGATGAAGATGAAGCTAATTGGGACGACTCATTCATCTTCTCTTCATAATAGTATCATAGTTCTATATGATATTCTCGCATAACTACTCAGTATACAGTATGCCTACAATACTCTATCTGCACTATCAATATCATCTGTAGACAGAATAAACCATCTCTAATCTATCCATCTTTAAACTATCAATCTATCATCTATTATAAGACTTTGTATACCCAAAAAGCAGACCGTCTTGGCCTTGGCAGAAACAGTAATTGCCCCCCTCCCATTGGCGGATTTATGCTGATCACTCCCCGAACAGGCTTAGCGCTGCCAAGGCTGTCCGGAGCAACACGCAGTCTTTTGGCTTGGCACGTCGCGTCGTGTGGGTTTTCCGAGGCTGCTGCGCATCAGGGCCAATCAGGGTCGAGCATCAGGGTTCTTCGGCAGTCAATTCTCATCCACATCCCGATGTTCTCTCCATCGCGATATGCTTATTGTTTGATATCCTCCTCTTGTTCCACCCAGCAGGCCGCGTACTGGTGGCTTGGCCGTGCTTAACCTGAATCACCATTTAAGCTCGTGGCTGAATATCGGGGAAATTCCTCTCGGTACTCGGTTCCAGACCCTAATTTTCCTATCCTGTGGAGTCTTTTGGAAATTTTGATGCGAATCAAGTAGCATTATTATTCTTCAATCTCGTGCACAAACATCACCATGGGTATACGTAATACATGTTATTATTATCGTGCGAAAATCCCGCAGAACTTGTCAAAATGCACAGCGTGCAGAAATCTCAAACCTCGTCTCAAACCTCCTTGTGCACCACCTGCGTAATCTTGCCAGAAACATCCTTCTCGGTGAGTCCCATATCCGCAGCAAAGGTGCTGTGTGGCTTCCACTTGGCAGAGGTACGCGGTGTTGTCTCCTCCATCATCTTGTCCACCTGCTCGAGTGTAAGGCCCTTGGTTTCGGGAACCAAAAAGTAGGTGTACACGAAGGCACATGCGCAGAGAGAACCCCAGATGAAAAAGACCTTGGCTTTGAGATTGCCCTTGTCCGTGTCGACCATGTAGGGAGTGATAACCGCGATAATCTAAGCAGTTAGTACTCAGTCCTCCGCTGGGCAAATTTGGGCCAGAACTCACGCAATTCCACAGCCAGTTTGACGCCGTCGACAAAGCCACGCCACGAGAACGGATTGGCAATGGATAGATCTCGCCAATGACAATCCAAGCTCCTGGTCCCCACGTCGAGGCGAACTTTTTTGCGCGCAATTGATGTTAGATGGGGTCCATATGTCTTCGTCAAGATAGGAGGACTCACGAAAAAGATATAAATGCAGATAAAAGAGATCATAGCGCTGACAGCCTGCTTGTTCTCTCCATCAGTGACACCGACGATAGCCACAATGAATTGACAGACAACCATTCCCAAAGCTCCCCAGAGAAGCAGTGGACGACGGCCGATCTTTTCCATGGTCCAGAACGAGATGGGGGTCGAGCAGACGTTGACAATAGTGGTGATCATACTGATCAAGAAGGGGTCATCAATCGTTCCAAGACTTTTGAAGAATGTGGTGCCAAAGTAGAAGACAAAGTTCACACCGGTCCATCTGTAAATGTTAGACTTGGTTAAGGAATTGTTGTCAGAAAACTTACTGCTGCATCATTTGGAGCGAGGTACCCAGAATAGTCCGACGAAGGTTACTGTTAGCCTTCCAGAGACTGCCCCGGAAGCAGTTGGCCCAGGTAGCGAAATAACCACCCTGAGGCATCGCCTGCAGCTCGTACTCATTGTTGGCAATGATCTCCGCCAGCTCCTGCTGAATAAACGCGGACTCCTCCGGCTGACCACGAACGCGAGCGAGAGCATGAGTCGCCTTGGCAATCTCACCCTTTCGGACAAAGTATCTGGGAGACTCGGGTAGGATAAGCAATCCAATTCCCAGAATCAAAGCCCAGGCAATCTGAATACCGATAGGGATACGGTACGAGCCAGAGTCAGTCCGGTTTTCGGTGGCATAGTCGACACAAGAAGCCAACATCAGACCGATGGTGACGCAGAACTGGTAACCTGACACAATGGCACCACGGACCTTGCGAGGGGCGATTTCAGACATGTACAGAATGATGATGGCCGAAACGAAACCAACACCGAACCCGGCGATCAAACGGCCAACGACGAGGAGGGCGACACTGGTGGACGCAGTCTGAAGGACGACACCGACGATGAAGATAGCACATCCGCTCACGATGGTGAGACGACGACCAAACCAATCTGCCAGATCACCAGCAATAAGAGCACCGAAGAAGGTACCAGCGGAGAGGATGGAGGTTATCAGCGATTTCTTCCAGGAAGGAATGACAAAGAGTTCTTCGGGGGTGGTATTGTAATCCTGGCAAGAACGGAGTCAGCAGTCATACTCATGGTAAATGGGAGGAACTCACCAGATGCTCGAATGTTTCGATGAAGTATCTCATGGCCATCACACCGCTGATATAACCGGAGTCATAGCCGAAGAAGATACCACCAAAGGCAGCAAACGCACACATGAGGTACGCTTTGAAGGTAACAGGAGCCTCGACACGTTCTGCATCGGTTGTCCCGGCGGGAATCGTCACCACAGGAGGGACATTCACGTCCAAGTGGGCAGCGTGCGCCCCAGCGTCGTCTGCCATGTTGTAGACGTCGCTCGATGAAGGAAATTGAGCGTGAAGTCTGAACGGGAGATGTTGAGAAGAAGAGAAGAGAGAGGGTAGGGATCAGAGAAAGAAGAACTCGCGGGGACGCACAGGACTTATAAGGCAAGAACAACCCGGGCCCCGCGAAATCCTTCCCCTTCCCTTTTCTTCCTCGCCGCCATAAAAAAAAGACAGGGGCATGTGACTTCTTCCCATCGCCATCATGGATTCGATCGCTTGGACCGTCTGGGGATACGGAGGTGGATCTGGGGATAAAAAAGACAACCAATCAAGTCAGCAAACAAAATGAGAAGCCATCTAGTCCGGCATCTGACTGGACGCCCAAGTCTGGAACTGCTGCAGTGAATGGACTGCAGGGAAAGGTACCGTACCGTAAACCCCGTTACTAGCCGTTTTTCCATACTCTTCCATGACAGACATGGATAAATGGATCAAAGTGGCAGCCAACCCCAGGATGGATGAGATGACCCTGATTAGCCAATCCATGCAGTGCAACCGCATCTAGACCGGGTCTCTGTGGTTTTCTCCAGCCATACAAACGCTCGGGCAATTTGGACTGGGGAAAACACCAGAAGGTTATTTTAGGTGCAGCCACTGAGAGGCGGAATGTCGGCGACTGTTCCTGGTTCGGGCTGGATGCCGGGGAAGCAGAAGGAGTGATTGGTTGGAGAGGACAGGGGTCGGAAAATCCAGCCTACCACGTGTGCGGATCTGGAGAAATCTCCGTTTGACAGTTATCGCTTAGGTAGAAGTGATGGTAGTTAAAGCACTTGATGATAATATAATAATAGTAAGCAAGATTGCTATACTGGATATAATGTAATGTAACATCACCACAATCAGCATACCAGTACCACCATAATCATCTGTACGACTCACCAGATGAAACCAGAATGCTTCCATCCCAGATCCAACCGAGGACTGGACTCGGGTGTCTCCGAGTACGAGAGTCTGTGTCGCATCACCCGACTTGATCTGAGAATCTTATCTCACGTGGCCTGTGGGTGGCGTGTTTCTTTCGCTTTTCAGCTAAAAACAGTGCCAAGGACCGTGGCTGGGTTGGCGCTTTATTCCGCTGGTCAATATATAGCCGGTACGATGAGAAGGAAATATTTTACTAGTAGAACTTTGTCTGACTCATTTCCTTGACTTTTAAAGGATTGAGTGTAATTCCTGGCGGTGAAATTAGAGAGGGACCAATGTCTCCGCTGCAAGATATATATTTCTGTAATCGAGACTAACACCCCAGATCAGCACGAAAGCAACGCGGGGATCCCCAGATATTCAACACCGGTGAGCATTTTGCGTTAGAAACCTGGAAACTGCAGCAGTCGCGATTTAAGTTGCTGTAAAATAAAATCAATCCAAGAACCGGTCAACCGATGAATGGTCAGGTAGTCATCTCGGGATCATCTCGGCTCGGATCTACGGTACCAAGGAACGGAGATTTCTTTCCATGCTTCTGGATCTACAAGAGATGCATTCTGTTTGATTTTTTCAAATTACTTTGGAATAGTTCTTCATTTTTAGTCACGTGCTGAGATTCTTAATTCGTGCTTAATGCTTATTCTGTTCATGCATAATGCACTGCTTACATATGATATTGTCATGCATTTATCCCAATTTGGTCATAACATCACCAATTATAAGTCTGTATAGCTGCAATATGACATCTTGCATATACGACATCCCACATTGGGCTGCTACCTACATTGGGCACAAACACCCTACCTCTACTGCATCCGAGTACATACAACAGCAAAAACCTGATATGTTCAACGATTCAATTCATCCTCGTTTATGCTACATAAGTTCGTAATTTATTCGCCTCCCTAACACCAGTTAGAACACACCCACCATCACAGTATAGTCTCACTTACAATGAAACGCAGTCTTCCGCCCTCGTTGGTGATCTTCTGGCTCAAGAACATGCCCTGGCGACCTCTGCTTCCACCGTTGATCATGGAGAGATCAGCCTCGAGCTTGGGTCCTTCATTGGTGTGGACGAGGGCGATGTTACGAGCACTCTGGGTGAAGTTGACGCCGCCCCATTTGAACCAGCCTGGAGATATCAGTTTGACTGAAGGGTATACTGTAGTGTGTAGAAGACATACCGTCACTGTTGCCGATGTGATCGTCCAGCCTGATCTTGGTGCCGTGGAAGTTACCGTTGTTGTCGCTGACGTGGCAGAGCAAGAAGGTGCTCTGGCCGTCCTGCTCGATGTGGATGTCCTTGGCGGAGTGGTGGAAAGACATGGTGAGTGTGTAGGTGGATAGAATAGAGATGGAGTCTAAGAAAGAGAAAGGGAGAGGACGAGGGCGGGATAGGTACTTATAACCCCGCCAAGGAGGGGCAGGAGTGGCAGTGGAGAACGCAGATACATACTGCTTGGAAACGCATCTACAGATCCGCTGCAGCTGAAGGTGGCCTTAACAGGCTGAAACTGTCCCGAGTGGGGCAAATGCGGCGTATTTATAGGAGTGGCTCAGCCATGGCGGGTGTTGATTGGGCCAGCTCAGCTGTGAGACCCTGACCCGATGGGGAAAACATGATGTCAAGGAAATCGTGGGCCGTGATGGTTTTCAGCTCATCAGCTTGATCAACGCTGGGATGCGGCATATTATTAAGAAATATGCTGGTCAGATACCAAGGTCCTACATACTTGGCAGTTGGTTTCTGATTAATTAATAATGGATTATGGATAGCCACCCAAGATGGTATTGTCTAAAACATCGTTGGAGAAGCTGCCCCTCCATTTGCTTGGCATAGGCAGCTATCGATCAATCTGAGTACTAGACAGCCCCCGCGGTATATTGCTATTCCATAATTATGATGAATGAGTAGAGTAAACTGCTTTCACTGTAGCACAACATTAGGCAACGATATATCAGTATAGAATAGATCATGAGGATAATGAGGAATGAATGGAATCAGGCACCATTTCTATGTAGAATTCACTGCATCCATGAAGATAAATAGACTGATTTTTCATTATTCGTCTTTTATTTCTTCTCTTCCATCCATCATCCAAGCATACAAACAAATCATCATTCTTCATTTATTGCCATACATTTATCCCTGTGGTCTTCTATAAGAAGCACCCAGCTAGTTCAATCAAGCACCTTTTATATAATGCTTCTACTGTCATATCGTTTCTATATACATTCTGCCTGGTTAAATCGTACCTTCCACGCAAGGACACATCGCAATGGCATCTGCCAGGCCCATTTAATATAAAGCCTACCATTGAATTGAAAAAGTCTGGGATGTCTGGTATAAACTAGTCATGTAACAAGAGTGAGTAATAACAAATACTATCATTATACTTAGGTATAATACCAATATATACTTTTAGTGTCAAGGACCGTTCGTCGGGCGAAATGATCGAGAGGTTCATAACCGTATTAGTTACAGAACACAAGGAAAAGGGGATGGCCAAAAGCCAGGTGTGACAGTCATAGAACGTGCCTTACAATTCATCCTCCACTTTCTACGCTTTCGACATAAAACCTTCGAACACAATTACGGAAGACACGAAGAGATACAACATACTAAATGACACTATGATCATTAAAATAACCCGAACATCAGCATAAATCGACTCCGCATCGGAGAGAAATCCTCCAAATCATCGTCACCAACGAATCTATCGGGCTTCCGGACCACGAAGCCATTCTGGTTGAAAAGACAGGTCACTATACAATCTGTCGTGTCTGACTCATGTAAGCTGATCATCGAAGAACTAGCATCTCTTAGAGAAATGTTATTCTGACACCCCCAGTCCAATATACTCTGACTTTCGATCCACGAATACAAAACGTTTTTCGGCAAAATTCGAATGGCCTCGATGGTGGCCATGTCCTGGCAATCGTTGAAGTCAAGGCTCGGGTCTTCAAACCCAACCCCAACAAATTTGACGGTATGATCTCATGGATGCACAATCGAATTGATCTGCAATATTTGACTGACTTGACACAATTAGAGGAATACACCTGTTTCACAGTCTTCAGCCCCTGCCTCAGGCGTCATACCAGTGTGCAGTGCAAATACATTGCGTCGGGTTTGTCCCGCACATCAGCCTGGCATCCCATATCCATCCAACACGAACCATGCGATGCATCAATGAGCATGCTGTCCAGCTTATGCTTGATATTTCAATGAGACACGGAGAAACGGCACAATACGTGATTATATCGGCCCTGCATAGACTGATCTTTATAGCCTGCGAGTCAAATCGAAATTCGATGACGAATTGAAACCGAAATACTCTGAAACCCCGTTCAGAAAAACGAAGATCGGCACCAATCAAACAACTCGGTATATGGAAGAAGCAGGATTTGATGCAAATAACGCAGATGCGCGAAGAAAAGCGACAGCCCATTTATGAAAACAGAAACTTCTTGATTGGGAGGAACCCAAAATCAAAGACATTGATCACCAGGTCAAAAAGAGGCAACGGCAAGGATTTCTGTGGGAAGGGGCACGCTATTGCCGCGAAAAACCCGCGAGACGGAGGATCAAGAAATGAACAATCAGGAAATGGATGACGATGAAACCGACATTGACAAAACAGAAAGCGAGAAAGAAGTCGACGAAGACCTCAATATGACTGAGGTCATCTCACCGCTAACTGACGGTCAAAATCATGAAATTTTTGATGATATCGGGATTAACGCGACAATAAATGAAGAAAGTGACAACCACCTTGACAAAGTACTGAACGCAAATCGAAAAGCGTACATTGATTTTCGCAAAAAAAAAAAAAAAAAAAAAAAAAAAAAAAAAATCAATGTAACAAGAGACGGTTCAAAGTCCCCTCGGACCAACCTGCTATACGGAGGCGGGGACCGAGAGGTACCAACACTCTTTGAGTTATATTGCGTCTGTGGCTACAAGACGCCGACTACAGCCACGATGGAAAGACACCATGCGGGATGCAACGGGGAAAAGGAAGCAGAAAAATCCATCACATGCAAATACGAAAGATGCAAATATAAGTGCAGAGAGGAATCTTTGCTAAAGTGGCACATGCAAAGAATGCATCATTACACCTCACAAGTATCCATTCGCAAAGGCGCATACTGTGGGAAGGATCATCAGAGCAATGGAAGACCGGAGATTACATTCACAAAGCAAACACAGGCACAGTGAGGCAGAGGATTTGGAAAAGATACCATACTGGTGGAGAGAAGCACGCCACGAAAACCAAAAGGAGAAAGACAAGAAGAATTAGATCATAGTATCATAGATATGCTCATGTACATTATGTAGTTGGTGTTATATCAGTCATGGATACATACGCCATTCCGCTATTTGGGGAATGGTTTTTCGAAAACTCTTTCCCCGAATGAGTGTCTGGTTTGGGATGTCGAGATAAGGGAGAATCAATGGCGAACAAAAGGCAGATTAGTTGAGTTGACAATGTATTCTCCACCTTTCTTTATACCAGAACAGAAATGTAGACAATCTACTCCACCATCTTCTATCAACTATAAGAATGACGAGAACTTCAACGAGCTAGCCTCATGTCAACCTCAGAGGCCAATCTTTCTCTTATACACCACACTCTAGACTGGATGCGGTTCATAGATAGAATCAATTTGCCATTCTGAATATTGAACTAGGTCCGGACACGAACAAAAGTTAACATCATCAGTTCATCACTTTTGTTAATGAACCCTCCAACCCTTCCCCCTTGGAAATATTGGAAATTAACTGATTGCCGACGAGGACGAGACAGTAATAACAGTGTCATAACACAAATATCGTGGCATGAAGTAGGGGAAACTAAAGAATGGTTGCAGAGACGGCCAAAATAATAGTCAGGAATAATAGAACAAAAGGCTTCCAGCCACTATCATCAAATCAAGACCTTTAAAGCCTCCAAAAGAATGTTCCTCCTAACCTTGGCTGGCTTATTCGACAATCCCATCAAGTTATACACGGCCATCTGAGCACCACGAACGCTATACTCCATGCTGAAGGTGGTGTCGTCCGGGATTTCTGAAAATTGACCCACGAGTGCTATGTTGGTGGCATGATGGGGAACCACCTCTGGGCGATCATGGTAAGCTCTCTTCAACAATGGCGATGTTCCCAGTGGGAAGACGAGTGGGATGGTGGTTGATGCAGCAAGGATCTGGTCCGTTGGAGCATTGAGATGGTGCAGCAATTCAGTCAGAATTTCCTCACCAGAGCACTCCAGCATTGTTTTCTTCACATAGTTTCCTTCCTTTTCAGGGGTCATGCCGTATCCCCAAACCACATACACTCCAAATGGCTGCTCTGTAAACAGAGGCTGGTTAGGAACACTGATGCTTAGAGTCCAATTGCTGTCGATGAAAGACACCAACGCTCCAACTCCGGCTTGATTTTGAGTAACCTTCTCGTACACCTCGAAGAATTGAGTGTCACGAAGAGTGACGGTGAAAGATTCAATCTTGGACTCATCAATGTGAGAACAGAAAGTCGACGGGTCCCCAAATCGGATGGATTTGCCGGACAATTTGGTCCACAACTCCCAGTCACCCGTCAAGATCTCGTTAGGGTCAGAGGGTGCACGGGGTGGGGGGGATTCATTGGACCCAACCACAGACCCAGCACTCATCGACCCCAGAGTCGCAATGACAATGTCGACCGGGTCGACGGTGATCAGGGAGGGCTCGCCATCCTCCAACAGTTCAATTTCAGAGACGGTCGTTGGACCACCCTCTGGATACATCTTGATATCGGTAACACTGGCATTGAATCGGAAGTCCACCCCTTCCTTCTCCAGAAAGGTCGTGATCGGCGCAATGACCGATTCATAGAGGGTGTAGTGCATTCGATCCAGCGCATCGACGTTATTGAGGTCTTGAATCTCCTCCAGGTATTTGGCGAGATGTCTCCGGAACTCGACCGCGCTGTGCTCTGGCTTCAAGACGAACCTAGACAGCATCAATCAGTCATCTTAGTTCTCCTTTGATATCTGGCGGTATCTCCTCACGTGGTTGACCACAGTTTCCAAAAGTTCGAACTGAAAAAGGACATGGCAAAAACATCTTCGATGCTCTTTCCAGTGAGCGTCCCATCACTCTCCATCATGAATTCGATGAGGCTGAGTCGCTGTTCCGGTCCTAGATGGAATCGCTCTTCTTCAACCCGCTGAGGTCCGGACTCGGAGTGTTTCAGCAGACGAGTGGACACTTTCCCCTGGTTTGGCTCGCCATAGCGCTCTAATTCTTGGATAGAGTCCAGTAAGGTATATCCTGGCCTCGCGACATTTGGAACCCGGGATAGAAGGTCTTCCACGCATGCACCGTGGAAATACGGAAGGCAGCCGGTGCGGAGGACGTAGCCATTCTCTGCATCACCGGCATTCTGCATGCCCCCGCCCGAGCTCAGGTGTATATCAAGGATGTGGATGTTCTTGGCAGGGACATCGGCATCCTTGATCAGATGGACTGCTGCCGCAAGAGACGCAATGCCACTGCCGATGAGCCACGCCTGTACATCATCTGGGTTGCGCAAATGAGATATTCCCTTATGAGTCATCTTCGGTATCGTTTTCTTAGGTTGTTTGAGTGAGAGCTATATAAAAGAAAATTAAGTGGTATGTAGCATACTGCAGGTGTGATTAGGCCTGTGTTCCCACTTGATCAATTTATTATTTGATCACAACATTCGTATACTCAGATTTGCCATTGATATCATAATTAGCAGTACAGAATATCCCAGCCAGTAGATTGTCTTGGCCTTCAGAACTAATATATCTCAATTACTTGGTGGTAGTACATTAAGTTCTAAGATACAGATCTAGACGCATCATCCAAGGCAGGTGATCACCCATCCATGGAATGGCTATAAAACGGGAGATGGGATCTATTGCTTCGCTAGAAATTATTTTTAATACTATGGGACTGCGATTAGAATGGCTATTTAATGAAGAACATTTTTCTAATAGGAATAGTGATAAAAAGTACGATGAACAAGTGAAAAGTAGAGGAATCAAGAAATGTGAAAACAAAGCTAGATTAGAGCATATCAAAATATTTGAGATCATCATTATCCCTAGACTCTAACATGGGTGGTGGCAAACTCAACCGATGGGACCTGGTTCGTGTCAAGCGGTTAACATCAAATGACTAGTAAAGATCACTTGAAGAGTTTGGACGCCTTTTTCAGTCTAGTGGTATTTTAATTATTATTGACTTGTCCCCTTCTATAGTGTATCTGTACTGAATTCAACACCAAACCCTCAAAACACCTACTAAATCAGAAAATGACAACGACGCTTCATATTACCCTATCGTGATTGGCTCTGGTCAAGGCGACACACCTCTTACAACAGCCCCTACGGAAGCAAACCATAAAACAGCCCTGATTAAACAAGAACATATCAGTGGCTGCTGTGTATTCTTATAATTTGCTAATACAAGCCATCCCGTGCTGGTATCCACTCTCCTCCAAGCACAAGACTCAAAAACAGACTCATTCTATATACCAACCCACAGATTCGAATAAGCCATAGCAAGGGCGTCAAAGGCAGATAAACTAAGAGGTATAAGTTATTGACAGCGAGACTGGATCAATATTAGGATTTACCTGAGGGCTGAGAGATGATGAATATCATGGAGATGGTCCAGTGTAGAATTGATAAATTGAATTCTATACGCAAGGAAAGTCCCTTCTCTTAATATACAGAGACCAAGATGACAAGGTACCAAGTACCGTGGGTATAAGTGGCTCTAAATAGGAACACGATACGTCATATCCTGGGGTTTCGCTAGATAAGGAATTGAGGCTTAGGTAATGACATCATAGTTACATGAGTATATTACGGCGCTTTCTTTATCAATTTTCTCTCAGATAACTTAGGTTAGTAATGTGATTAAGTTTTCAAGATTCAACGTCGTTAGAAGAAGAATATGCTCAAAAATCCATTCAATGTCGAGTAAATGTGCGCTGTGCTTTCCGGAATATGCATAGCCTTATTCCACCCACTTTCAACGGAGGCTTCAGGAAGTGATGGCCATAGATAAGGCAGAGGTTCCTGCCTCAGGCTCGGTTCTACTTGAGCAGTCTAAAGTCGGGGAAGTCATCATCTGTAACACAATCCTGATAGTCATCACCTCATGTGGATTATCAATACGGGGGTTTGTGGAGATGAGGTATCTGAATGGCCTGAGAATTGATGGCGGTCAGGAATCCTTTCTACGTTGTTTAAACTACAGAAAATCACTGACATTTTGTTTTTTTTTTTTTCTAGCCCTTTGCGTTGTTAGCTGGGTATGGTGCGCTGGGCTATTTCTGTATAACGTTTACTGAAAGAAAGCAATGTTTGCAGGGCTTTGCATTTATATTATGTTTTATTTCCATGTGGAGTAAGATTCCTTTCGTTTCTTTGGGCTATATAAGTATTATGGCTCATTCTTCTGACCATCTACAGTGACCAGATATGGCTATGGCCGGCATATGACCTTTGCTGAAGCAGACACGTTGGCAATGGTTACATTGCTGAAGGTATGAAAACTTCTAACTAGTTTGCTAGCGATATTGAACCAACACTCCATAGCTCAACTTTGTGACTCTTTTTGTCTATCTGATCTCCCTGGCCGTTATCAAAGCATCGTTCTGTCTACTATACATGAGATTGTTTCGAGCAACCTATGTCGCCCGGGCCTCTATGATAATACTGGTATTTATCGTCTGCCAATTCATTGAAGAGATAGCCGTTGTGATCTTCCACTGCTCTCCTATACGAAAGTTTTGGGATGCTGGGGATAAAGTACAAGGGCGATGTTTCAGCCTTCTGGTCTTTTACTACGTCTCTTTTGCCACAAGGTTGGTTACGGATCTTGTTATATTTGCGCTGCCAATCCCAATATTGCTGAAACTCAACCTTGAATCTTGGAAGAAAGCAGGGTTGATTCTCATGTTTGCGCTTGGGCTGCTGTAAGCCTCTCTCCCCCTTACCTTTACCCCATTTATCCATCTCCAACTACACATTGACACCTTCCCAGAGTCTGCGCGACAAGTATTATCCGTTGTACGTACCTGGAAGAGCTTCAGAATGATTTTACCTGTTCGTTGTATCGCAATAAAAACTTTGTCCCTCTAATTGACCGAGCCACCAGGGAACCTCGTTGCCCCATTGAACTGGTCCGCTGTGGAAGTTTGTCTTTTTATCTTCATCTCGTGCATTCCTTCGCTGAAAGCGCTGGTCAACTTTCACTCGCCGATTTTGCGCAGAGTCTTTAGGCTTTCCAGCACCGATGAGTCTCAACGATTCGACTCTCCTGAACAGAAAACCACAACAGGGCAAAGTCGTTTTAAAATTCGACCTGCGTATCATCAGCGCCATATGGACGTCGAGAATTCTGGGCTCCCTTCGCCATTGGTAGAGGACAGTGAGGAGTCAAGAGCCTACATGGCAGGTGGAAGGTTGGGGTGACAAATATCCAATGTATATTCTTCCTCTGTTTATTATATCAGAGCGGAAATATACACACACCTTCTAATCTATCATCTTATCCCGTAAATAATCCGCAAACCCCTTCCCAAACCCGTCCAACCGACTCGAACTACTCACCCCCCGGCCCAGAATTCCATACACCACGAAATGCACCGCCTGGATATTCGGAAACTCTACCCGTTCGATGAAAAACGACTCGTCCCAGTCCGTGCCAAGGAGTGTCTTCATTCTATCACGCGTCATGTACGAGCGCAGCCAGGACCAGTGGGATGAGTCGATAGGGAAGATGCCGACGTTGAGGTTTCCGCCTTTGTCGCCAGATCGGGCGAGGGCGATGTCTCCTAGGCGAGTATTCTGAGGAAATGAGAATGGGGATGGTGGCTGAGTAGGATCGTAGTTTGCTCGTGGCTGTAACGGGGAGTATTTTGGTGGATGGCCTGTTGGGAAGGATGAAGATGAAGATGAACCGTCGAGGATGTGGATCTTTTCGTCCAGATCAGCCTGTTTGATGATGGCGGGATAATACGCCAGAAATGGACGAGGGATAGCAGTTCTTTGGTCAAGAGAGGAATGGAAGCCAGAGAAATGCTTCAAGGAGATGTTCTTCAACGCCATCGATACAGCCAGGATATCCTGCGGCGACGGGGCAGTCATGAAGATGCGCAGATACGTCGTGCTGCTGGCCTGGTAGATGGGATTCGATGCAGGGACTCCGATTCTATGCGATCAGCTATCTTGATTTCTTTGAATAAGAGTAGACATACCGTTGAAACTCCAGTGTCTCCAGATTATCCAACACCTTCTCAGGCAGAAAATGACGGATTTGCTTCTCGATCAGATCCCACTTCTGCGCTGTTCCATATCCAGTTGCATTAAGCAGTAACTGCCCTTCATATCCACCGGGATAGAAAACAGCCAGTTTTGTCGTTTCCGGTGGAGGAGAGCCTTTGATGCCATGGACGCGCACTCTATCCCTCCCGACATCCCCAACGACAATATCATCGAGATGAGCAGCAACATCACTGTTCAGATATACACTGCCCTGCAACTCATACAGAAACTGACACCGCACTGTATCCACCGTCACCATTCCCCCCGTCCCCTCGTGCTTTGTCACAATACAACTCCCATCGGACTCGATCTCGGCAATCGGAAACCCAGGCTCGATGAACTTTTCCACCGGATACCCCGTGAACCCGGCGAAGTTGCCGCCAGTCACATACGCAGAACATTCAATCAGATGTCCTGCAACTAGCGATCCAGCGAGACGATCATAATCCGTATCGCTCCAAGAATGCCAGAACCAGGCAGCGGCCATAACGGGGCTGGCGTCTGCTACTCTGCCGCAGATGATGATGTCTGCGCCGTGGTGTAGGCCTGCGACAATGCCTCTTGCACCGAGATATGCGTGTGCTGAGACCATAGGGACAGGCTCGGATTTGTTGAGAAACGCATATGTCAGTGTCGATGAAGTAACCGCCTGATAATCCGCGTCGAGATGATGCAGTCCCTCTCGTGTCTGAGGCATACTCGGACCGACTTGATCATACACATCGTCGCCGGATAAATACGCAACCTTGACCTCGAGCCTTTTCTCACGAACCTACCAAATCAGCATCATACACACATACACACCCCAGAAAGAAGAGGAGAACAAACCAATCCCTTAACTCTCTCCGCTAAGCCCCCCGGATTCAACGCTCCCCCGTTGATAATCACCTTAATCCTCTTCTGTGAGATGACTTCAATCGTCTGCTGTAGCCCTTCCCACGCTGTCTCTTCGTATCCTGGGTGTTTTCCGGCTCGGTATGCCTCCGCGTTGTTGGCCATGTTGACTTCGGCGAGGTAGTCGCCTGTGATAAAATCCACGTCGCCGAGGGTGGCTTGTCGGTACATTTCGTATGCGGGGTCGCCTGTTAATTAGCACCCATATTGACTATAGGGACATGGAGAGAGAGGGATAGGTACCATGATATCCAGAACAATTCGCAACGCGAACCGGGCGTCGGGGTTCAGACATATTGACAATAAACTATTCGATATTTGAACAGTTTTCAAAGAGCAATTCGATGGTACGTATGCCTTTATATATCACTGAAAATCAGTTGGAGGGACAGCTGCATGTGTTGTCATTGATCTCATTGATCTTCCTGTTTCGGTGGCGAAACACCGCGGGCCGAGGGGCTTTCAAACTCCGCGGGGTTTTATGCGTCCATTATCCAAGTATGAGATGCATTGTTGAAAGGGATGACCATTTCAGGGGATTTGTATTTGATTATCCAATTATTAAATTCAAAGTCTGGGACTGCAACTGATAGATAGTATCCGGAACCAAGGTAAGACTATCCAGCATAAACATCCAGTCCCTCGAGATTTCCCTCCGCCCTCCACTTCTCGATAATCTCAAGGTACTTTGCTATTCCACCCCCAAAGACCGCCTTTCTTCCTTTCAACACCTTACCCTCAGCGCACATGGTATCACTTCCGCCTCCCTCTGCGTTAAGATATCCCGGGGTGCAGTTGGTCATTCCTGCAAAGGCTTTGGCATGAGCGAGGCACAGCTTCGTCCAGTCTTCTTCTCCCGTGGAAGATGGTTCAATTATAACCTTACTCTTACCCTGTTGCCTTATAGCTTCGGAAATTATGTACGAAACATGACTCGAGAGCTGATCAAGAACAAATCCAAAGTTAGGCGAGACACCAGCCTGACTTGTGCCCGGGAAGAAGAGGTTCGGGAAATCGTGAGTAACGACGCCGTGCAGGGTCGCGACTCCACGAATCCATTTCTGATCCATGGTCGTTGAATTGCGGCCTAGGATTGGAATATCAGCGCGCGAGGCGGGGCTGGGTCGTGCGGAGATGTTGTAGCCGGTACTGAAGACGATAAGGTCAAGGTCGTACTCTGTGTTGTCGGGGTTGACGATTACCCCGGTCTTGGTGAAGCGGTTGACGCCTTTGCCTTGTGTGTCGACGAGGGTGATGTTGTCCCTGTTGAAGGTTTGGAGGTATCCATCGTGAAAGCAGGGTCGTTTACACCAGGTCGAGTACCAGGGTTTGAGCGCTTCAGCTGTTGTTTTGTTTTCGACGATGTCGTCGACACGCTGGCGCACTCTGTTTTGGCTTTCCATATCTCTGCTGTGTAGCGTATCCAGGTATGATGGCTCTAAATTCGACGGTCCCCCGACCAGGGCATTGTAAGTTGATAGCTTAGTCCAGCCATCATCCACCAAGTCAACTTCTGCTGGTGGTATGATCGAGGAAACGAAAGCATCAAAGTTCTCCGCACGCTGTCTCTGCCATCCTGGACCTTTGGATTTGACCTCCTTGTCCCACCACTCTGCGTCTGTGGTACGGTTGTCTCGTCGATGGACTGATGAAGGGGTACGCTGGAAGACGAAGAGTTCTTTAGCCCACTGGGCAAGATGGGGTATCGCCTGAATGGCCGTAGCACCGGTACCGATAATCCCCACCCTTTTGTCCTTGAGGTTCGTCAATTCTGGGGCTTCAGGTGATCCGCATGTATAATCGTAATCCCAGCGCGAGGTGTGAAAGGTGTGTCCGTCATATTCCTCCATCCCAGGGAAATCGGGAACTTTGGGGATATTAACAACCCCCGAAGCGAGGATGACAAAATCCGCAGTCAGGTTGACCATTGCCTCGCCTCCATTCTGCAGGACATCTGCCTTCCAGATCAAGTTCTCTTCATCCCAGAGTAGACTCTTCACGGCAGTTTGAAAGACACCTCGACCCTCCAGTCCCCATTTCTGCGCGATACGCTCTGCATGCTCTCGCAATTCATTCCCCGGCACGTACTTCTGCGTAGGCATGTATCCCGTCTCCTCCAGCAAAGGCATGTACAGATAACTCTCAGTGTCACACATCAACCCCGGGTATCGGTTCCAGTACCATGTTCCTCCAAAACCCCCCGCAGAGTCCACGATGAGAATTTCATCTGCAGTGAAGGCGCCAGACTGGATCAAGCGGACAGCGAAAAGAAGACCACCATACCCTGCTCCCACTATGAGGACTCGATGGTGTTTAGGGAGGGGTGTATTCTCGTTTGTTGCTGGTGTAGACCAGGGGTCTCGAAGGAGGGACTTGAGGTTGTCGGTAGAGCAGAGGTCGAGATACTGGTTGTTTCCATCGGTTCGAAGTCGTTTTGAGCGTTCTTCGTTGTATTTGAGTCTCGTTTCGAGGAAACTATCGTCTGGTTTGTAGTCGCCCATGATGAATGATGATATCTGTCTGAGTGAGGAAAGGAAGTTGTGTCACGATGGGGGAGGTAGGAGGGAAGACTCATTTAACAGAAGAGGGGAGCTTTGGGGTCCTGCATGACAATTCACTGCTGCATTAGACCCTGCATGTGCCATGACAGGATAATTAATTATAGACAGATATTGCTTGGTTTAACTTCCAATATGATAATTATAGAAGATAGCTCATCATACATATGATATATCAGATAAATTTAACTTCAATACTCGGGTTTCTGTCAAAAGTGCAGTCTCATCTCACAACGCAGGAGGCTATCTTCATGAGTTGTACAATGCATTATCTGGGATAAAATGCATAGAATTGCATATAATTGCATAGTAAACTATTCATAATATAGAGCACAGATGCCTAGAGAGAAGTTATATGGCCTAGCTGGTAATTAAAGAGCACTACTAACATTGCCTGAAAATTACTGAAGATGAGAAGGATAGATTTTATCTGATTTTATTCCATTTTATCATATATACTTTGGTATTCCTATTTCTTCTCTGATGAAACAATATAATTATGAATTCCTTCATGATTTCTGCAGGTATTTCGGAGGGAGAATAGGTCTTCACAAAGTGTAAATACCACTAGACAAATAGAAAACCTATAGTAGCTAGGTAATACAAGTTATAGTAACAACCCAGGAGATATATCTTAGATATGCAGATTATCTCACGGCATCAAAACATACAGTCTATTGAGCCCCAAATTGAGGCTATTCAAAAACGTGGTCTATCATTCTAATATCAGGCTAGATTAACAACCCGACCAATAAGATCCTCAGATCAGCCTCATGAACCGGCGCGATCTAATGCCCTCACCGTCTGTTGAGCATTGCTGATCGTTACTCGATCTCGTCTCCCTGGATCTTGCCATCCCAATACACTAACCACAACAGGCAAAAGCCTCATCCTTCTTTGTTCTCCATGACCCCTAGTGCCCAGGTTTCAAATCACCTGTTCATGCTCTCTGACCGACCCAGATCAGGTCGATCTAGGTATTTCAATGAGTGCCCTGGTCAAAATGGCCAGCCTGACTGCTGTTTTCCAGTCTCGTCTCCAGAGTCACAATGAAGTTCTGTCCGAACGCTGTCGCGCTGCTAAGCGTCTTTCAGGACGTCTGTCCTGTCACCAAATCAACCTGCGTATGTCCAGCTATCCATCCAATGAGGTTTATTCTCCGCTAACAGACCTGGCGAACAGTGCACTGCCCTCTACAATTCCCCGCTTTCCAACCGTCTCATTCTTCCTGACTCCCCCCTCTACGAAGCCGCGGTGAATAACCATTTCGCGACAAACGCGCCTCTCTATCCTGCTTGTCTTTTACAGCCTGAATCTGTGGAAGATGTCTCGCGAGCAGTCTCGCTCCTCGTCGAGACGGACGATGGTTCCCCTCAATGCCAGTTTGCTGTTCGAAGTGGAGGTCACGCAACGTGGGCGGGTGCATCTGGGACTCGAGACGGAGTTACAATCGATTTGTCCAGGATGAATTCGACAATCTACAATGAGAATAACTCCACTGCATCGATCATGGCCGGAGCGCGATGGGGATCGGTTTATAAAACACTAAAGCCATATGGAGTTGCGGTGACAGGAGGTCGGGATGATACTCTAGGTGTTGGGGGAATTCTGATGGGAGGTGAGTTGGCCATATCCTAGGGAGAGATATGGGCTAACTATATCAGGAGGATTCTCTTTCTTTGCGGCTCGGTATGGTCTCCTGTGTGACAATGTAGAAAACTACGAGGTTAGACTTGACTACCATTGACTCAAGTACCGTCTAACAGTTCTAGGTTGTTCTGGCTAATGGTGAAATCGTCAACGCAAACCTCGAATCAAGCCCCGACCTCTTCAGAGCGCTCAAGGGAGGATCCAACAACTTCGGAATTATAACCAAGATCGACCTCCGAACTTTTAAGCAAGGTGATCTCTGGGGAGGAATCATCGCACATGATCTCTCAACTACTTCACAGCAAATATCCGCTCTTGTCAACTTCACAAACAACGTCGCCGATGACCCTCATGCCTCCCTCGTCAGCATCTGGCAGTACTCCTCGACTCTAGGTAAAATAGCTGCCAGCGGAATGCAGTATACAAAGCCAGTCAAGAGACCGGCTGCATACCGCGAGTTTCTTCAAATCCCGAGTGTTGCAAATACCTTTCGATTCACCGATATCTTCGATCTGATGAAAGAGACCGCACCACCCGGTGGAAATCGTATTCGTTTGTTAACTCTGACTTTTGGGAATGACGAGCGGGTTTTGCGGAAGCTCCTTGATGTTCAGGATGAGTTGGTCGAGGAGGTCAAGGCTAAGGTACACAGTAAGGGGTGGGACGTTGTTAGTTTCTTGCAACCGCTGCCTAAGCTTATTGGAGAGTTCAGTGAGAGGAATGGTGGAAATGTACTTCCGCTGAATCGGATGGATAAGAACCATCTCTGTGAGCCCTTCTCCACTTCTTTCTTTTTTCCTTCATGCTAATAAAATAGTATACCTCTCCTACATTTCCTGGGATGATAGCGCCGACGATGCCCTCTTCCGCGACACCGGCGACAGGCTAATCAGCCGAGTCAGCGAATACGCCAAATCCATCAACGAAGACAATGGCTTCATCTACATGAACTACGCAGACAAAGTCCAAAATCCACTTCGCAGCTACGGAGAAGAAAATCTTCAACACATACTGCGCGTGGCCAGAAAATACGACCCAACTGGGGTATTCCAGGTTCAGGTACCAGGGGGGTACAAAGCGAGTGCGGCATGATTGATGAAATGAAGAAAAGGTAGCTATGGCTGATTATTTGGATAAAAGCGTCTTTATGGAGGAGGGCATCTATCTGGAATATTGCATTGAATACAGAAATAAACCAATTTCTTGGATTGATTAAATTTCAATGGTTCCGTGGTACAGCATAGAAATTTCAGGCACAGCCTTTTTTCCCCGCTATACGAACTATGACGACATAGGCTATCCGCAAACACAAACAATTTTATATCAACTCAACACACCAACAAAAGATATTGAAAAATCATCAAAAAGCCCCCGCATGATAATGACAGCTCAATATCTAAAATGAGTCATGATGATCTTCAGCTCTGGCCCAGCTAAACCCTCGTCTATCTAGCAGTGCCTTCATAGCCCTCGCTCGACCCACTGCGGCTGAACGATGAGCAACCCTGCTTATGACGATCACTGACGCACCCCGCCTTAAATATCTGAACTGTCCTGAAATCTCATTCCATCATCAAAAAACTTCTTCATTTATATCAATTATCATGGACTCTGTACAGCCCAAGTCCCTCATTCCCCTCAGCCGGCCTGAGATCGCCGCCCATTTCAAAGGGCTCATCCAAACAAACCCCACCGTCGACAATGTCAACGCCATCAACGAGGTGCTTGTCGATGCTGTGTACAGAGAGGCGATTCCGTCGCCGATTTACGCGATCTGGCTGCTCATCGCGTGTCGTCGTTCGCCGCAGCTCCTGGTGAAGGCGCTTCAAGACCGCACGTCGAATGGTGTTCGCGCTGCAGGAATCAGTGCCCTCTTCCCTATTTTCCGTAGTGCGGGATGGAAATCGCGCGGATGGAATGTTCTGGGTGGTGCGACCGGTGTCAAGAATATCCTTGATGGACTGTCTGTGCAAGAGAAGAAATCGCTTTGCAAGGCTATCACACTTCCACATAAGAATGTCCAACATCGAGACGCCATCACAAGCTGTGTTGAGGAGTTGCTACGTCTTCTGCCGCAATATGTTCGAAATCAATTACTGTGGCTCTACCCAGTTTGCAGCTCGGAGTTTCTGCATGAGTTGCTCCCCGTCACCAAAGTGACGCGCTCTTGGTGGTTCCTGCATCGAGCTGCACCGTTGCATACTGATTTGTTTCGGCGGATTGCAGTGGGGAGTGCCTCTGCTCCTGTGGACGTGAGGGAGACTATCATGAAGAGCTCCTTCAAGCCGCTCGTTCGGTCTTCGACTCCGTACACGCCTGTCTACGTTAAAGATGCACCTTCTAATCTGCCACCAGGCTTGTTGTTTTATCTTGACTTGAATCAGGCCTTGGAAACCGAGCAATTACCGGAGGATAGAAGCAACGAAGAGGACTCATCATTCGACTTTATCGATGATATATTGGGTCTTTGCTCAAACAGCAAAATCCCATTTGACGATATTTTGGTCATCTTCAAGAAGGTCCTTCCTCGATACCTAGCTGGTAGCACGTACTGGGTCGATGGATCTTTCACAAAGGAGATTGTCTCCTCCTGGTCGGTGGCTAAATTTGGCTCTATCAGCGACAACGCCGAGCCTAGTATGAAATCACTATCCTCTGCAAGCCACCCCTCGAGGCCATCAGCACGCCACATCGACGATCTTGAGTCGCTCATCGCCCAATGTATCCACCAAAGCACGGAGAGAAAACGCGTCGATGCCCTCTACAGTACTCCCTACCGCACAATGGGCGCCGTGAAAACCCGCTTTGACTTGCTCATGGCATCAAAGGCCGTTCTTGATATTGTTTGCCCAGAGGCAAGACTGCCGTTCCTTACTCTTTTGTGCAGCCATTCGAAGCTTCTCAATTTCGATCTCAACTCGTCTCCGCCATCGGAAAGAGAGGTCAAACTTCTCCCCATCTGGCATTTTGATATTCTCGACACGTTACCAGCGACGGATTCTGAGCGGCTGTTCTGTCGATCGTTGGCTATTCTGGGAGGTGACGAGTTCATATCTGTTATCCCTAACCTGAACGATTTGTACTCTTGGGGACTTGATCGGGATGCTCAATCTCTACTGAAGATTAAGTGGGCGGCTGAAAGTCCCGCTGAAACGGACTATGCCTTCACTCACAAAAGTATGTTTTCCTATCCACGAATATCCTGACGGGATGCTAACGACAGTAGTCATCAATGAAACCAAAAAGGAATCTGAAAAAGGACGAGAATCGTCCGACAGACTGACCAAGGCAGCATTAGTCGTGAAAATGGCTAGGAGTAGCTCTTCTCTGGACATCTTTTCCGACGTCGTTGAATGGAGCAAACGGTATATTCGCGATCATGTATGCATTTCCCCCTATTTTCATTGCTGGATGGATCTTACTGACTTGCATAGGAAACTTTTGTCCAACTCATGGATGACCATATCTTCCAAAGCGAGACGGCTTCAGTTCTGTCTTGCTCTAAATTTCCAACCTCGCGTCAGCCAAAATCGCTATCCGAGCTACGTGGAGCTGTAGAGAAAGCGCACAAAACGGTCAAACTCTTGCTGGAGATTCTCCAGCTATCGATGCATGAGCCACTCGATTTCTACGCAGCTACCATGCATACGGATACTTTCTTTGTCCATCTTGTCGCGCAACGCGTGATTGGCGTTCAGACCTATCGCAAAGCCGGTCTCGGAAACGAAGCGGAATTGAGCGAATTTCTGCTCGAGTCCTTGATCCCAATCATCTTGAACTACGAACAGGCAGCTTTGCCTGGGGATAAGGATTTCTACTGGGACAGCGAGAGAGGTCTTATCACCTGGTTGGATGATGTTGGCTCTCTCGAGTCCCGGCCATATGTCCTCCGATTTTTGGATCAGTTGGCTCAACAACGTGATGCGATGTGGCAGGAAGAGCGCAAACGCGAGCACCCGGAAATCGCTACACAAGGCGAGGGATGGGTTAAAGGATTGGACATTAGCTGCCTTCTTCCGAGTGAGCGTTGGGCAGAATTCGTGTGGGCAAATCCTGAGGCTGCCCCATTCGTGTCTGCTCGATTCAAGGAGGTTCTATATGGAGCACCAGACGTGATGCTTACTGTTGTTCCCGAAGATGATGATCCAGAATACCGCAAGGTCGATTCTTTAGAAACAGCGATCGAGCTCTTCCTTCTCGGGGGTAACACTAAGGACAAGCAAGACCGGTTTATGTCCGTCTGGAAGCATTACGCGGATATTCTGCAGCCGAGTTCGCAAAATTTCGTTATCTTCCGCGACTGGATGGTTGCACTGGCCAACAGAGCCGGTTTGTACCAGGCTGCCAGGATAATAAGACCCCTCCGACTTCCTGCTCCCACTTATTGGAATGACTCGGAGTCCACATGGAACCCACGACCAAATGTTGAGTCTGAGGATTCGGAAGATGTGCCGAAGATGGTACTGCATTACCGCATGGACCCCAGCGATCCCAGTCCAGACAGTCTTCGGGACTCGAGAGATGATCCCCTTGCCACCTGGACTTTGAAGACTGATGCCTCGTCGCAACCACCATTGATACATACTCTGTCTCTTGAGACACGCGAAACCCTCGTTATCTCTGCTGTGCTATTCCTTCAAACACTTGCAGACAACAAAGCCATCTTGGAGACTCCATTCCCTAGTGAAGGACCCCCCAGATACCCTCGCATCTCCCTGGATGATGAGTTTGTGGAATCGGTAAATGACTCCGATGAGGAAGACGCTGTCAAGAGCGCAACAAAGCTTCTCAAATCAACAGCAAACACCGTCCCAGCACACATCCTCCGTAACCTGGCAGTTTCCTTGCTTGACACACTCGCTGAACTCCCCAAGACATCAGACCGTTATGGCATCGTTCAAACAGCCACCTTTGAGGTTATCAAGATTCTACCGTACACTGACCGTCCGGATCTGGCCGTGGATGTGGCATTGCGCGTGATCGAGAACTTCCCTGAACAATCATCGTACCATCGTCAGCTGAGACTTCTCAGCCTGGGAGAAAGACTTGCGCCTGAGGTTGCAGAGAGGTTTGTCAATCAATTCCTGTCCATCATCCAAAACGCCTACAAGAGTGGAGGAGAGGAAGAGAAGTCCCGCTCGAAGGTCAAGATCACGACTGTCAAGATGCTCGCTCAGCTCATCCCTGACGCCGACTTTATCTCTCCTGCTACTGGTCTTCACACTCTGAAGACCCTTTTCACAACTGTTGAGCATGAGAGTGTTCGAATAGAGGGGATGCGTGGAGTTCTGCAAATCATTTCCCGCACAGATGACGACGAGGTATACAGATACTTCAGCGCCGCTGCTGTGGTTTCAGGCACTAATGAAGGAAACGAAACCACCCCGACAGACTGGGATGTGGCGGAGAAAGGAGGGGACTTACCGACAGTCTCCAGATGGACCGACCGTCCTCTACTTAAGATATTCCTCATCGAGGCGTCCAGCCTTCTCCCTGTGCACCGTCGCACCGACTACACGCAGAACGTCCTGATTCCATTACTCCAAAAGTCCACCAAGCAACACACGCGCTGGATGAACCTTTTCCTCGCCAGGATGAAGGTCACCCTAGACCAAACCGATGTGATCAATTTTGGACCGTCTGTCCCTGATATGCCGAATACTATCTTTAAGCAGTGGAAGGATCATCTCCCCCAGTCGTACCTCAGCGAGCATCGTGCCTGGGCCATGGGCTATCTCAAGTATTCCACTTTGGACCGCATCACCAAGTCCTTCTCAGAAATTAATAATGGCTGGCGTGAGACCAACGCCGGTCAGCACTGGCTTGAGTTCATGTCTAGTCGATCTAACGCCCGACCATTGTCATCTCTTGATGAGGCATTCAAACAAGCCATCAAGGGCAAAGCCACAGGTGAGCTGACTGCAAAGGCTCTTGGCGACGAATACATCCAGCGAGCCGCAATAATCGCTAGAAATCCATTTACTGTCATCACGAAGCCCAATCGAAGCTGTGTTTCAGTCAAGTTGATCATTGACGGACTCTCGTCGTTGTGCTCTCACCGCACCACCTCTCCAGACGACCAAGCACAGCAAATGCTAGAGGCGATTGTGTCCGACATCGAATCCTTACGGACGGAGAATTGGCAGAGCAGCCCTGCCACCACTCGAAACCCTGTGATTCTACCATCCCAGCTACAACTGCAGACTCTTGTACTCCCCACCACACCTAAGCCGATGACCAAAGAGCAGAGAGCGAAGTTTATCAACGGAGTACTTCCATTGGTAAAGGACTGTGCAGAGAATCCTATCCTCATACCCGAGTTCGAGCACATCAAAAATACGGTCCAGGCTGTCCACCAAGAGGACAAGTTGCCGTGCGCCGTTCGACTAGGTGGTGCGAATATTGACGAACACGCATCGCTGTATGGGTCTTTGAAGATTTCGTTGGCCAAAGTGCTCCTGGAGAAGACCTCCTCGACCGACCGTGAACTGGATGAGGATGTGGTGGAGATGATTCAAACGTGGAAGGAGAGTCCGGTCGAGTGGGTTAACAGGCTTGGATGGGAGATTGAGATCTACTCGTCGAAACCGCCAACCCAAACCTCCTGGGCATGCTCCGACGAGTAGACAGTATTTTATGTCTGAGATTAGCCGAGTTTATATATCCCTTTTATTCAAATGACGATAATCAGTTTATACCATAAAAAATACCGAGTAAGCGTAGGTATGATGGGAAGTGGGCGTATCGGGAGCATTGTAATATGGTTCGCGTGTTGGTAGAAAAAGATAGGCTGTTGGAGTGGGTGGTTGCGTTGACTTGATGTCCCCATGATATGTCTCACTTAAACTTATGCCAACAATTTTCCCAACATCTTTTGACACATCCCATCCCTTACTCAACAGTCTTTGGAACAGCCGAAACACAATTCAATTATAATGACAGCCAGTATAACAATATTAAAACCACCCAAACAACTTTTTTTCCAAACCATCTCCATCCAAATGAAACATGCATCATCAATACTAATCATACACGTATATTTACAGCTAAAACAACCCAGGAATCAACCGACTCGTCTTCGAATGCCACTCCTCCCACTCCTTCCCAAACTTCTCCTTCATCATCATTTCCTCATCTTGAATCCTGCACAAAGTCTGCCAGATGGTGCCGGCCAGCACGAGTAAAATCAGAGGAAGGCCCCATCCATCCAATGCCTGCCTGGTACTCGGGCTGAACCAGCAAGCAAGCGGCCCATCCCATCGAAAGAACAATCCAAAACAACCCGAAATGACCAAAAACTGGCCTGTGTAGCTGGGGTGTTGCAGATAGCGATACGCCCCGGACGTCACCAGACGGTCCGGAGGAGCGATGTCAAAGGTAAAGTTGCGGCCCAAGGTGCGGTAGGCAGGAAGACGAATCGAGGCGCCAACGAGGGCTATTGCGACAGCTAGAATGGTTGTTGGGGTCCAGGAGAGAATGTTCGAATTGACATTGGAAGGATTGGGGCAGACTTGAGGGGGAAGAGATTGGCCGTCCCAACTGCGGAGGAAGGAGAGCATGGCTTGGGAAAGGAACAGGAGACTGCCGATTTTACGGGCCAAGGGCATAACGACATTGTTGGAGACGTATATGCGATCGATTTTATAGCAATTCTTCGGAGGGGGGTTGGGGGAGGTCAAGCTGAGGACCCCGCAATAGCCAACAAGGAGGATGAATGGTGCGAGCATTTTGAGAAGAGATGAGATGAAGAGATAGTAGAACGGTTGAGACGGCTGATGCGATGACAATATTTATGGTTGACGGGATGTGAGCTGTCTTAATGTCATATGGAGCATCACATATTACCTGTCTACTGTTATCCCAATACGGACATCTTGAAGCAAATATATGCATCTGTTCTCCAGACTATCTATTGAAGAACGCACGAGCTAAAGAAATTATAGATGAGTTTTAAAGGGCACTAAAATACATATGACCTGTACTTTATAAATGTAGACTCGGGTATATTTATTCTCGTCTTGACATATCTTATCATGAATCGCGAGGGGAAGCAATCTCCGACCAGAAAACGAGATGCGATACGGTGAGCTCCGATGGATGCCATGGCTGCCATGCAGCATAAACGACTATTTCAAATTAGTCTTAGCATTCCTGCATTTCTGACTTCTTATCAATAATTCCTTTTATTCTCCGCCTGGACTTGCCGCATTCTGTTACTCTTTCAACCATGTCGATCATGTGGATCTCGCATTCTCCCCTACAACCCCTCACGCGTGTAACTATTCATATTTGCTTCTTTGGCGATGGGGGGGACAGCTGATTTTATTTATTCTTTCTTCTTCCTCCCTCGTTCTCCTCATGCTTTCTATTTCTACATCTATTTTTAACCCAAAATGAAGTTATCCATATCGGCCATCGCTGCCACCGTCCAGCTCTGCGCGGGTTATGTCGCCCAGCCTCGCAGTAACGATGCGAAATGCGACAGCACCACTGTCGCCATTCTGTATGCTTCCATATGATTCTACCGCTTCAAAGACTAATCAAATGCGTCAGAGGAGGCGGAATGGCCGGTATCACAGCAGCGGTGAGCTATATCCCCACCGGTCTGAATCGTACCTCGTACTAACCAGCACAGCAAGCGTTGACCAACGCCTCGATACACGATTTTGTTATTCTTGAATATCGCGACGAGATCGGAGGTCGTGTTCGAAAAACAAATTTCGGAAAGCAGGAGAATGGCGATCCGTTCGTGATTGAATTCGGTGCCAACTGGGTATGTAACCGTAAGATAAACACCGCGAAGACTGGAATCCGACTAATGCATCGGACAGCTGCAAGGAGTGGGATCCGAGACCACTGAGAACCCAGTGTGGACTTTGGTGAGTTTTTTCTGATTCAACAGATTGAGGTGACGCGATGGCTGATGGAAAAGGCCAAAAAATACGACCTCATCAACCACTATTCGAATTATAGCTCGATTCGCACCTACAATGAGACTGGCGCGGTCGACTATACCCATCTCCTCGACGAGTATGAGGACAAGTATGAACTTGCCGCACAGGAGGCTGGTACGATCTTGACCCAGAACCTCCAGGACATGACTGCGCGTAGTGGTCTTTCGCTGGCTGGATGGAAGCCCTCTAAGAGCGACATGGCAGCTCAAGCCGTGGAATGGTGGGAATGGGGTACGTGTTTTGTAAACATCTTCATCTGGACAGAATTTAATAAGCGATACAGACTGGGAGGATGCTTTCTCCCCCGAAACCAGCTCGTTCGTCTTTGGCGCTGCTGGAGAAAACCTCACCTTCAACCAATTCGGCGAAGACAACAACCTCGTCATGGACCCGCGTGGATACGCGCAAATCATCAAGGGCGAAGCATCCACCTTTCTAGAAGAAAATGACAACCGTCTCCGTCTCAACACGCAGATCACCGACGTAGAGTACAATGACAACGGTGTCACTATCCACAACAGCGACGGCAGCTGCGTCTCGGCCGCCTACGCCATCTGCACCTTTTCCCTCGGTGTCCTCCAGAGCGAGGCTGTGAAGTTCCAGCCTGAGCTGCCGCACTGGAAACAAACCGCCATCGAAAAATTCAACATGGGCACCTACACCAAGATCTTCATGCAGTTCGACGAAACCTTCTGGCCAACAGACACGGAGTACTTCCTCTACGCCTCGCCCACCCGAAGAGGATACTACCCCGTCTGGCAATCCCTCTCGACAGAAGGCTTCCTCCCAGGCTCCAACATCATCTTCGTCACCGTCGTCTCGGAAGAAGCATACCGCGTCGAGCGCCAGTCCAACGAAGAAACAAAGCAGGAAATGCTCGAGGTCCTCCGCGAGATGTTCCCGGACGTCGACGTCCCCGAACCAACAGCCTTCATCTACCCGCGCTGGACCGAAGAACCCTGGGCCCACGGTAGCTACTCCAACTGGCCCGCTGGCACCACGCTCGAGATGCACCAGAATTTGCGCGCGAACGCCGATCGTCTCTGGTTCGCCGGTGAGGCCACCAGCGCCCCGTACTTTGGTTTCTTGCATGGTGCGTGGTTTGAAGGGCGTGATGCGGGTGAGCAGGTCGCTGCTCTGCTGCAGGATCGCTGTGCGAATCTCGAGGGGAGTGAGTCTTGTGGAGCACGCGATCATTATAATCCTTTGCATGGCACGTCGCCGGTCGATGACTATACTATTGCCAATGGGTGGCCGGTTAGTAGTATTGATGGAAGCAGTACTTCGTCTTCTGAATAGATAGAAAAATAGTACTGTATTCTCAGCATTAGCATAGAATACTTAATAAATGATATATACAAGACTGTCATAATCAACCATAATCATAGTTACCAACGCCAAACACCATCCATGTCCATGCATACCATGCCCGACCAGTTCCCGATAAATCCATCACCCGTAGAAAATGCAACCCAAAAAACCCATATGATGAATAAAATGCAGTGCAATCACTTCTTATAGAACTGCATCGCCCTCTCCACATCCTTCAAGCTATCCTTATCGCCGTATGCATCCATCAACCGCCGATTCTCTTCCAGACGCTGCTGTTCCAGGAAATCGTCGTGTGTAGATTGTGCAGGGTAGTAGTTTGCCACTCCAAAGCCTGTCAAATATTAGAACATGCTGGCTTAGATTGTACTGTATTCTGGTGATGGACATACCGAGGCTGATGACGGCCATCAGGGGGAGATACCAGCGTCCGACTCGCCCGATTTTGAGGGAAGGCGGGGAAATCGGCTGTCGGTAGGGACGGCCTGTGGGGGTGGAGAGCATTTTGTAGGATCTTGTGCTGTTATTGTGTTTGTAGTGTGTTTGTGGTATTGCTTTTTGTGGTTTTTTTGTAGTTCAGGATGTTGAGATGAAGTGGTTTAAATGCAAGACGAATGAGATCGGAAATAATTGGACTGACAGACAACATGATCCCCTCTCCTTTTAATTGCTGGTCGTGGCATGACGATCATACGACGATAACGTCATAGATGGGGGTCTGCGGTCTTGGAAGAGGGGAAACACATCGGGTTCTCCGGTTTTCGGATCTTAGGATTAAATCGCGCAGGTTCGGGTTGCCGATAGTAGGAAATTTAGAAATGTCTATTTCATTTTAATTCAAGACTGCCTATTAATGAGCATACTATGGATGGTATCGTTCAATATATCTAGGTGGTTAATGGCCCTGGTTCTGGGGTGCGACGGTCGCGGGTCCTTCGGGTGTCACGTATGCCTGCACGGTCGGTCAGTCCGGAGATACCCCACAGATCATATGGGGATATGGGGGTGCTTACTCTGGTCATTCCTCCGTCGACAACAAAGTCGGTTCCGTTGACGAAGCTGCTCTCGTCACTAGCAAGGAAGACGACTGCTTGAGCTTGTTCGATTGCTTCGCCGAATCGTCCGGTAGGGAAGTGCACCTCGCGACGGTGTCGCTTGGGCTGATCATCGCCGAGCCAGTCTTGAAGAAGGGGGGTGCTATTCTGTCAACATCTACGTATTAAGCATTTTGGAAGTAGACGTACTTCAAAGGAGCAGGACACAACGCATTAAAGCGCAGTCCCTCACGAGCATGCGCAATAGCCAACTCCCGAGTCATCGCCAACACGGCACCCTTACTGGCCGTGTATGCCAATTGCGGCGTAGCACTGCCAACCAAAGCAACCACACTAGCAGTATTGATAATACTACCCTTGGTCTTCTTGTGACGTCGCATACTTAGCACAGCATGCTTGCATCCAAACCACACGCCCTTGACGTTAATATTCTGCGTCATGTCCCAGATCTTCTCGGGTGTATCCACCGCATCCGCATCGTCCGCGTGCATGATACCCGCATTGTTGAAGATGACATCCGTGCCGCCCCAGCTGTCCTGGGATTCCACCATAGCCTGGATATCTGCCTCCTTGGATACATCGCATTTGATGATCTCGAGACGGGGGGCGGTGGGCACGACTTCCTTCACCTTCGCGATGGCTTTCTCGAGGGCGGGAACGGAGATATCGGCCATGAGGACGTTGGCTCCTTCGCGGGCGAAGAGGATGGTGGTTTCGAGACCAATGCCGCTTTAAATTGTTAGTTTCGCATAGTCTGTTAATAGTAGACTGTAGACTCACCCTGCGGCACCGGTGATGATGGCATTCTTGCCATGGAGACGTCGTCTTGGAGCAGCCATGTTCTAGCTATATATTAGCTTTTCATGCTAACAATGACAGCACAGATTAAACAGTAGCTTACATGAGATTAAGTATCAAGATATTCAAGCTATAGAATAATTCAGACAATTCAGATGATGGAATAGAAGGGAAGAAAGGTCGACAACAGCTGGAGGACAGCGCGGGGCATGTGGATCCCATTATCTAATCGGTATCCCGATGCAATATAAATTTGTATACACACAGGGAGCAAAGGATGAGGAGATCTATTGAATTCCATTATGGAATTCAATAGAATCAATATGATAATGCTTTTCATTCTTTTGATGTATCCATCCACTGCATATATAATTACGCTTAGACCAGAACTCCTAATCCAACGAATCAGCCAATCAACCAGAGATCACCTACAACTGTAGATGCATTCGGCATCTCATAAGTGACATGTCCATCAGGCATCCGAATGCAATTCCCAAAATTGAGTCATAATCACAACATATAAACCATAATCCTCCCCCGTGATTCGGTATCTCCCCCGTTCGAATTTCCGTGGATCCATTGAAAAATGGAGCAAGCTCGGTTTGCTCCACCAACGACAAAATTTTAAAGCTTGTGATGATTCAAATTCAGACCGACAAAGATTTCGTGTGATGGAGCTGCAGCTGCCCAAATAGTTATGTAGATCGGATTTTGATGAGTCAGATAGGGTCTTTAAAACCTGGATTTCCGGTTATTTGTCTCAATCGTCCAAGACAGTTTCATCATGGCAGCGACTACCTCCGAAAATCATCTGTTGCGGCCTCTTCCTCCAACGGAAAATCCGAGTCCTACCACACCAGGAACTCCAGCGGACAATCAACTCGAGTATTTTGATCCGAGTAATGTGGCCACGCAGGAGGATATTCCGCCAGATGGGGGTTATGGCTGGGTCTGCACCATTTGTGTATTCCTCATCAATGCGCACACCTGGGGTGTGAACAGTGTACGTATCTCATCCAGACAAGCAATGCCAATATTAACGCGTTCAGGCATGGGGTGTCTTTCTCGATCACTATCTCTCTGAATCGACCTTTCCCGGCGCAACTGAACTGCAATACGCCTTGATCGGTGGATTGTCCATCTCGCAGTCTCTCCTGGTTTCACCGCTCGTTGCCATATCAACCCGCAAGCTGGGCACTCGGATCACCCTCCTCATCGGAGCTTTTGTCGTGTGTGCTTCGTTGCTGGGCGCATCGTTCGCATCGCAAATCTGGCATCTTTTCCTCAGCCAGGGCCTTTGTTTCGGATATGGAATGGGGTTTTTGTACGTCCCTGCGACGGCGATTCTCCCGCAGTGGTTTTCCAAACGACGAAGTCTGGTGCTGGGGATAGGGTCCGCTGGAGCCGGTATCGGTGGATTAGCATACAATTTGGGTTCTGGTGCTGCAATTGAGTCTCTTGGTTTGCAGTGGACTTACCGGCTTCTGGCGCTCTGTACGTTGGTGATGAACTTTATCTGTTCGATTCTGCTCAAGGATCGCAATACAGTCGTCAAACCGAAAGACAAGGCATTTGATTACCGCGAATACGGACGTGTTCAGGTCCTCCTCGTGGTAAGTTGGGGATTTCTCACCGAACTGGGATTCATCGTCCTGCTCTATTCCCTGCCTAACTATGCGACCTCGATTGGCCTCACTGCCCGTCAAGGATCGGTGGTTAGCGCGCTTCTCAATTTGGGCCTTACCATCGGCCGACCATTGATAGGCTATTACTCTGATATCGTTGGCCGAATCAACATGGCTACCCTGATGACAACCGTATGCGGTGTCCTCTGTCTCGCCGTCTGGGTTCCTGCAAAGTCATACCCCGTTCTGCTGATATTCGCCCTCCTCAGCGGCTGCGTAACAGGAACCTTCTGGACATGTGCAGCCCCAGTGCTAGCAGAGGTAGTCGGCATGCAACGACTCCCTTCCGCGTGGGGGATGATTTGTTTCTCGCTGGTTCTGCCCACGACCTTTGCGGAGCCGATTGCGCTGCAGATGGCTTCGACGTCGGGATATCTCGCTTCGCAGATTTTCGTGGGTTGTATGTTCCTCGGTGGTGCGGCTAGTACGTGGGCTTTGAGGTCGTGGAAGATTCACGAGATTGAAGAAAAGGCGCGCATCGAGCGTGAGGAACCGGCGCGTAAGGACTTTTGGTTGACGCCTCGTCGGTTGTTTGTGTCGCAGCGCGTTTAATGGGGCTTGTTTACTGAGATATCTAATATTTCAATACTCTGACTTTCAGATATCAAAATAAAAAAATAAATAATAGTTTCTATAAATAAACAAAAAAAAATCACGTCATATCAGATCCGAACCAAAGCACGTCCATATCGATATCCATCATGAAGCCTCACATCCGTATTCCCATCTTCAGAATCATATAAACCCCTCTTAATCCCCTCCAAGTCCAGAGCCACCTCGCATCTTTTAAACCCGATCAACGGATACCGGACCGTAACCGTATGACCCTCTTCGTCGACTTTCTTGCGCTCGGTACAAATAAAAGGGTTTGCTAGGATCACCAGGAGACAGGTTATGGCAAACGCGACCCAAACGAATATTTCCGTCGTTCGTGATACGTAGTCGGTGAACCAGGCACAGGCAAACGAGCCGGTGAAAATGTAGCAGCAGAAGACTTGGTGGTAGTAGGGCATGGTATAGTATATGTTGGCTGGTTTTCGGTGTTTACGTTCGTCGTTGGTGGTAGGGAGGAAGGGGATAGTTTCTGTCATTTTGACTGGGTTTCTTCAGAGATAAGATGTTCAGAAGATAGAATAGCTGATGTTTCGAAGAAAGATGAGGGAGAGATGAAGAAGAGAAGAGAGTGATGTGGTGGAATTAGAGCAGTGATCGGCAGGGTCTCACTGCCCCTCTTGGCCTTTTGGGGGCTTTTTTGCGCATCCCGGATTTTCTCCCCCCACAAGGCGCCATCAGCCCATCATATCTTAATCTGACGATACTAGCAAAAACCACGCATTCCTGATATACCAGACCCTGCAACGTCGGGAGACCAAATCAGAAGAATTGCTGAGGTATTGTTGGCCCCGATCAGGGACGAATTCTTCGACCCCATCACACTTCGGCTAAAGCAAGGCCGGCACTCTTGCTTCATTATTGGCTTATTTTGTCAGAAAAAATGGAACAACGTCACATTGAGGGTCACTGGAGGGTTGCGATTGTATAAGGCTGTGAAATCGGTCTGCTCCGGGTCTGGATCTGTCTTGGTTAGGATTCCTTCGTTTCCTCTCCTCAGGGCTATGATAGACTTTGAGGCAGGACAGAACCAACACTTGATTAATATGGACATGATGGTTGGAGAGAGTTGGATTTGGCCCCAGTATCACAGGTCATAGATAGGAAGCTCAGGTTGTCTTGTGGCGCCTCCAAAATGATATATAAAGGACGCTGTGAACGCACTTAACCACCAGAGGGAAACCCCCATCAATCTCATCAAACAAGCAGCCATGGTTCACCTTTCAACTCTCATCGCCCTTGCCGGGCTTCCTTTGACCCCATTCGTGTCTGCTGCGGCGAACAAATTCACCCCAGACGACTATGACTGGGACAGTCTCAGCGCCAACGACACAGTCGCCAGCGGCTTGTGGATGTACAGCCACGAGGCCCCAGAAACGACTGACCTGTCGACGCTTTCTCCCACCCACCCAGCTAGCGTTGATGAGGCTGGCATGCAGCAGGTTGCTGTTCTCGCCGCCCTCGGTTGGGCATGGAGAGCCGCCAGTGTTGCTTCTTTCGGCATTGCGTTGAAAGACACCATTGATTCGTGCAAACAGACTGCGAACAAAGATGCCGGTGTTGGACCCTGCCTGAAGGGTGTCTTTGGAACGGTCATGGCCTTTGGCGGTGCTGCCTCTGCCAACAAGAATCTCCTTCACAAGGCAGGCCGTCTAGTCCTCCCTAATCGGTTTCTGCCAGATGGGACCGTTGATTTGGTGCGTCACACTTATTCTACTCCAAGAGTTACCGGTCTAACCTTCTATATTTGATAGGAAATGAACGTCCTCAACTACAACCGCCATGCCAGACGCGATGCCGTCGCCCAGGGCCAACACGACGAATTCGTGCGCTACCAACTCCGAAGCCTTTCCACCTCCGAACCCGAATTCCTCGGATACGCAGAAGAAGACCACCGTCTCGCAAAAAGGGAGTTTGCAACACACCCTCTCGTCCCGATGTTCCGATTCGACCACGCCAAGCACGGTAGCATGGAGATGACCACCCGAGACACAATGAATGGTACCTTTGTAACTGCTGCCTACACGGGCCATCCCACTCACCTCTTGGGACGTCGCCAGATTGACGATCTTCGAATGAAGATGAAACGTCAGGAGGTTTATGACAAGGAGACCTTCGACCAGGGTGTTCTTGAAGCTCGATTCGATACTGAGGCTTCGAAGTCCGACCCTGCCTCTGTTAGTGCTGATGCCGGCAAGCTGTTTGATACTTTTGAGCCCGAGGTTGAGTGCTTCATGCATGGTGAGGTCAAGGATAAGAGTATCCTGGATGTGCAGATGTATGACAAGACCAACAAGGCTACATTTGGATTTGGTATGGCCCTCCCTCTTTAGTATTTGATTTCTTCTAACGATCATTAGGATCAATTGGAATTTACAAGAACGATGACGACGCCCACTCTATCGAGAAGGTGACACCATCTGGCATGCCTCTACCTCAGTGTACTTAAAACTGTATTACACTGGCTGCATTATAAAGACTTTCTTTCATCCTACAGCAGCTTTCCTCGACATAACCTGAATTTTTATGATTGAAACGCCGCAATAAGGGCTAATGCGACCTGATATTATCTTTAATAAAATTTATTATGCCATATACAAGACATTCAATCGTAAGCCCTGGTATAGAGAGGATTCACACTTCTGTTCACCACTCAACCATGTATATCCTACACAGGCATCACATTCAACAAAATATCTCACACCCTCCATCGACTAATTCGTAAAAGTTTTATTATACGGAACCGGATTCCGCACCGCCCCATCCTGCGTATCATAAACAACCGGATCAACCGGCTGATTCCCCGTCGCATTAATCCCCAACGTAATCCACGCAAACAGCCCATCCGTCACATTATCACCCACATACACATACTGCATGATAGGGTCGACGCCCGCCTCGACAATCTTCGGCAGCATGACGTCGTCCGCGTTGGTGGTGTAGTTATTCGGGTCTTGGTTGTAGGGGTAGGTTTTGTAGATTTCGCTCTTGAGGGACTCGTCGAAGAAGACGTTTGTTACGTGGGATGCGTGCGCTTCTTAGAGGTCCGAGAGGGTGTTGTTGTTTTGGAGGGTGACGAGGTCGGTGTTGTGGCTTAGGACTGGGGTTGTTAGCTAGAGTGGGAGGATGAGGAGGGGGTAATGTGTACCGTGAACGTGCGTCGCGCGGTGGTTGTAGTATCCTGGGAAAAGAGTCTCGAACTGGATAACGCCATCGCTGTCTGTCTGTTGGATTCCGCGCAGGAAATGCGTGTTGAGGTTGGCTTTGTCGTTTGCGTTGCCGTTGCCGTCGCCTACGACGCCAGAGTAGACGCCCTAGTCCAGTTAGTTTGATAGGATATTATCTTCATAAAGATGACTTACGGTTGCATTACAGTTCCAAACATCCACATAGGCACCAACCATAGGCTCGCAAGTGTTGACGTCGATGAGCTGGATGTCGAGGTCGAGGGGGACGCCGGGCTGGTCTTCTCGGATGCTGCGTCGGACCAGCTCCCCAGTTACGTCTGTAAAGGTCAGTAGAGAATAGTTAACGACATTGTGAGTACTAACAAAAAGGTCCCTGCAGAATATCCGGCGCAAGAATAACAGACGCATCGGAAGAAAATACCTTGGAGGGATCCGTGTCGAAGTCAATGTGCCGATCCGAGTGGTGATCGGTGTGAAGAGGATCAAAAGTTCCTAAACAGTTAGAAGAAAAACAACCTGACATGAAATCAGATACACACGCTTCTTGATCGATCGCCTCGACTGGATATGGTGCACTGCAGCCTGTCGACGCTGGATACTCCGAGCTTCTAGTCCACGGTTCTGCAGTTTCTCAGAGCAGTGTCCCATGCCACGCGAAGTCAACCCGAGTTTCCTGATAAAATCCGAGTGAGCAGCTGCCTCCATCCGGACATCGTGGCCTGGATGGGCAATGGCAACGGAGCTGCACAGGGCGACGACGCCTGTTAGAGTAGCGGTATTCAGTTTGACCATGATGATGATGCTGTAGATAGTATTGAGTGGGCTTACTTGTACCTAGCAAACATGCAGCTTTATAGCATCGTCGTTGTCGAGTCTCGTCAATCCATGCCTTGATCGGAGACCGAGTCCGACCTCTGCATGCTAATGCAGGACACATCACACAATATATAATCAAACAATCATAATTGGCTATCCAGAGCAAGGAATATGAAGCCTATCGTCATGTCGTGCTCCTTGTTGATTAACCCCGTCTTGGTGTTGCAGATCGACATCCGATCATTTCTGGATATAGCAATCTCGGTCGAGCATTCCACTTTGACCTTCTACGTCTGTGCATCGTTTTCTCAATAACAAGTCTTCAGATTGAATTTCCCCTCTCTAACAAGTACATCATCAACCAAAATAATGTAACCCAGCATCCGACCCGTCATAAAGATATATCCGACATCATTCTATTTCGAAGAACTTCCACACCTTCCTTGTGATCGGAACGGGAATGAGCCTCCCTCCGTGGCCTTTGGTGTGCTCTTCATTAATCGGTTGCCATCCTTCCGGCGATCCGGACTGACCAACGAGTTGAAAATGGGGCTGAGATGTGCAAAAGAGAACTCGTGGGGGAGACTAAAACGACGGGTCGTCAGGTGTTGATGCCAGGCCTGAAAGTGGAACGTGCAGTTTTTCGAACACGAAGCGATCTTCGATCCGGAGTCACAGCGTCCTGGTAGCTGCTGAAGCTATTCTTGAGCGCATCACAAGCAATTTGTTGGTGTGAATACTGCGACCTTGAACATCTGCGTCAGGTAGAAACAAGTCATTGTTATTCACCGGGGTTTGCTGGCCATTAGAGGACCCCTGACTAGACAGCGTTTGTGCTCAGGCAAAGCCTGAACAGCCTCAGTCTGGGCTTGGGTGGCATTAAAACGCTCGGGCAAGGAGAAGGGCTTTCTTCTCCGTAAGGTGAATTCCAGTTTCTGAGGCTGAGTGGGAACCTCTGGAGAATGAATATGTCTCGCGAAGGAAAACTGTACCCGACCTGTCTGTTAGATGGGCTATGTCCTCTTCGCCCAAAAACCTTTGAAATCTTACGAGAGATTGCATTAAATATTGCTGGACGCACAGATTGGTGGTTGGAATCACCATCTGTTGGTCTCTTTGAATGGACTGCAGTGTCTTAACCAAAGCCACAAGGCGAGATTCCAAACTCAGCCTGCTTTAAAAACTTCCGGGTAATATGACGCCGAACCAATCTGAGAGTTGCCCCCTGATGCGCCGATGAGTTGTCCGAGAGACTGCCTGGGAGGAGCACACGTCATGGGTGGCATCGGCTTCATTGTATGTTCCCGCTGCCTGGGAGCCTATCATTTATTTTTGTTAGGTATTGTCTGCCTAGTTTGGGGATTTTGTATCAGCACTTACGCTCCCATTCAAATACGGCCCAGGATGTCTTCGAGTTTTGTCTCCACTGCGACGCGCTCCCGCCGGCCTGGCGCTGTGCTCTCAATTCAGATTTGAGAGCAAATGTCCCTTCCAATCCCCCATTCGAACCTTTACAATGATATATTGTGTATCTAACCCAATGCTCCGGTAATTGTAACGTTGGCAAATTCGGGAAGGGAGGGGTGTGGTTTTGCAGAGATAAACTAGGTTCCACCGATAATTAGTAAATTTCGGCAGGATGTTGGATAGTAGTTGAGTACCTACCAGGTCGTAGAGGAATCTCCAGAGAGAAAAGCTTAGCCATAGGTCAGGTTTATTTGAATTATCGCATCATGGGCTTTTGAGTGGTAGAAGACACAGGAGGAATATTTGCCAATTCGGGAGGGTTAGACCCAACATCATCCTCATGATTACTTATCGCCCTCTGCATTATCTATGTTAATGGTATTACAGCTAACCTTGCTCTACATAGTAGGCAGGATCCGCGGCCTGGGACACACTAGCTAATTATTAATTATCTCATGAGGGTGTGCGCAGGCAGCACCATAGCTAATATAGTAAGGAAGGTAGAAATACATATATGCAAGTCTAACCAAATTCCGGCTAAACTGTGTAAGGGTACATAATGGCACGCTGTATTCTATATAGAGCATACACGCACATGATCGCTGCCCCTATCTAGGCTGCTTTTAGTTTAGTTTCCTGGTAGTTTACTGTAATCATGTTAGTAGTTTACACATGGGAATGAGTTAAAGCTGCAGAACCAGGGTGGTGGTCTAGTTTTATCCAATCATATCTCTAAGATCCTTGATTTGATTATTGGAACCAATCCTAAAATGTGCCTCCTTTTTAATACCGACAGGCAAGGGACATGGAAGAACAGCTGATGATTTCATAATGATGTGTTGACTTGAAAACCCATTATTCTGTCTGAGACAACTCCTCAAAGTTGAGAAAGTAAACTCTTATGGTGGATGTATGTTCAGGCTAAGCCCTATTTAGTGTGGCAGCATGGAGCTAGCATATAAGATAGTCACAATGACCCACGCTAAATATATTAGACAGACCAGACTGGCCATCCTCTGATCTCTGACCTACCTTTCCTTCAGAAACGTTAATGTGCGCAATTATTGCAACAATGCCCATCATTTTAAGCATATGCATTCTAATCCCAGCTTTGTACCTGATATATAAACCACCTCTATTTTTAATACAATATTTTCAGCGTCGATGGCCCGATGTTCTCTGGCAGGTTTCGACCTCATCAAAAACCATTGCACTCACGATTGATGATAGCCCTACTAGCAATACCAACGAAATTATGGAAATACTGAAAACTAATCAGTCTACTGCAACATTTTTTATTATTGGGTCATATGTCACAGGACATGAGACAACACTCCAGAACTTAATCAACGATGGGAATGAGCTGGGGAACCATGCAATGTTTAATAAATCTTCGCGATCATTAAGCGATGCTACTCTCATCTATCAAATTCAGTCAGTGGAGGAAATTATTAATAGGGCATACGCTGCTGTTCATATCGAATCTCCACCAAAATATTTCCGACCAGGCTCAGGCTTTTTCAGCACACGAATGCGCAAAGTGTTGGATAAATTAGGATACCGACTAGTGCTTGGGAGCATTTATCCATATGATCCTCAGATTCCCTTTTGGCGAATCAACGCGAGCTACATTCTGAACATCTTGCGGCCTGGGGCTATTGTTGTTTGCCATGATAAAAATTGGACCATTCCAATGCTTAGGGAGGTTCTCCCTAAGATTCAGCAAAAGGGGTATCGGATAGTGACTGTCACAGAATTGCTCAAAGAATCTAGTAATTGAAGCTATTGATGGAACCATCATATTACAGACCATGGTAGTGTTTCTAACAATAAAAATTGTGATGGAGGTCAGTGAACTATGTGGTTAATAAGTATACACAGCACAATGAGGTATCTTAAACTATACTGTCGCCTCTAATAAGTCCGAATAAGGATCCTCAAGATATTTTGATAACGAACAAGATCTTTCCCTTTCTCTTCTCGCCAGCGACCGGGGGGCTTCGATAAGGTTCCCATTAATGAAATTAGGAGCGCCTCGATGGATGTTCATTAGGCAATCAGTTCCCCTGGTATAATACATTGGTTAGGCGGAAATGCGCAGCATACATCAGCTAGAGACGATGAGTCGAGTGGCATGGGAAGACTACAACAATAATCTGATTCCTATCAGCTCAGTTGATGAACCTGAGATATATTATATGTCTGCTATGACTATATTGAATCAAAATCGGGTAGCTTTCGGCTTCCTCTGTGATTTATATAGTCGTCTGTTACTCCCTGAAACTAGTCTAAGTGGAGTGATTCATAAATCTAGCCGTTCGTAGTGCTGGCGAAAGGTGGGGTATGTTCACTACAGATCCTAGCGACTAAGTTTAAATAAATTCTGTCCTGACTGTCCAATTTCTACCTGTAAATGCTTTTTTGTTAATCCAAAATATATAGGTTTCTGGTGATGATTTAACTTTGTAATCAGGCTGTTAAGCTCAGTCTAGACTGTTCGGAGAACAGTATGCACACACAATTCTAATAAGTGTAACCATGATTTAATAATGATGACAAGATGAAAGGCTAGGCAGCATGAATGGATTTAGTATAGCCTGGCGTTAACTACAGGAAAATATCATAAAAAGCTGAAGTGCACCTTTTTATTTTGTAATATAGTAAGAAACTTGACAAAAGAATCCAGTATACACAGGTCATTTTTCGCGTCGCTAAAGTGTTGCGTGGACAGTCTAAGGCCTTGGATAGTGAGATAAAGATATGACCCAATAGAAAGTCAACCAGTAAGTACTTTGGAATGGGCACCGAAAATATGAAAGGGCAGTCAATAACATGATTAGAGACTTTGTCACAAAGCCATCTTACCGTTGTGGAAGTGGAAATATCATAGAATTGGCAATGGGTGGCCCAAGTGGTCAAGAATGGCATACAATGATCAATGCCGCTGTCAACGCTGTGAGGCTAAACTAGACACAAATCCTTAGCCATTGACATATTACAAACTAAGATTACACAATAGATAGCCGAAATTCTACCAAGAATTACAACAGTGATTCACTTCCAAAGTTTCCGCCGGTTAGCAGTAGGCCCTATTAAAGAGATAATCCATTGCCATGATGAAGACCCCAAGCTTGAAAGACTTCATGCTTGGGAGACTCGGAAGATTCAACAGCTTCACTATGTACAACTAGCAGTATGATCCCCAATATTGAAATTTCATATTCAAATAATTAACAGACTAAGGCGACTGTCATGCTCGCAGTTGTTGTGCAATGTCTATCATGGTCCACTGAAAACAGTCATTGGGTTGCCCGCGTTTTTTGGTACTGGTGTATACTTCTCGATGTGTTTGCTATTGGAATATCTTCTCAACAACTCAGCATTCTAGAGTACCTCCAGGCTGGGGATGAACAATTTTTGCAGAGAAAACCACTCTTAGGCATGCTTGTCAGAGAAAAAGACAGACAACAGTATCCAGACATGAAGATGATTTGGGTCTGGGAATGTCCAATGTCGCTGTTAGTTTATTCAATGACTTTGTTCATTGTTGCAGTGACAGTACATGTATCTTACCCATTGATCAATGATCCGGCATGGGAAGAGGATTCGAAGGTAAGCTGTCTATTTAGGCATGAGACCGAAGAGTTACTAATCATGTCTGCTCAGATTGCAACTGCATATCTCATAGTTTTAGGGATAAATTGTCTAAATATTGTCTACTGCTCTTTCTGGATATACAGGAGAATGCCAAGATATGGAGATAATTGATAATGATAATGTGTTCACAGCAAATATTTTGATTCTCTCTCTATTAACAAAATAATAGGTGAATATCCACTAACAAATATACTAGCTACCATATGAAAATGAATCCTAAGGACATCTGGTCAGTCTGGCTTTCTTTCCATGATTTTTCCTAAGCATCTATCTATTTTCTTTACAATCTTTAGACATAAACCGGTACATAAAGCATTATATTATAGTGAATAATACATTCTGTAGATAATTAAAGAAATCCAAGCTCTAGGTTAGCAATATACTGTATGCCCTAATGTCACTAATATATATTTTATAGCAAAATTGGCATCCAGATGCAGTTTCACGGTAGATATTCTTTTAAGTGATTCCAGCGCCTTCTGTTTTTTGATCAGAGCAGAAGACTTACTTATACTAGTCATCCTCCTCATCATAATAGCGATAATAATAATAATCTTCTTCTTCCTCTTCGTCGTCGTCATCGTCCAGATCTTCTGCAGCGCCACTGAGACTGGCCACAATGTGAAGAACCCATTGCATTTGCAGCAGTTCAAACGATGGAAGAGGATCGGTAATCTTGTTTTCAGTCTTGAGAGTAATTTCATGACCGGAAACAATCTTCTGGTACTGGTTATCCCGCAGCCGTGTTCCGTTCGGCGTGGACTCGAGGCCAGCGGATAATGAAGGACGTTTGGTAACTCGAATTGGTCCTCTAGAGAACGCACCAGGCATCCAGTAGAACTGCAGCATAAGGTACTCTTCCTCCCCGTCTCCTGGCCATTTCTTGATTGGCTTCAGTGCGAGAAGTGCTCTGTCCCAAAAATCGTGAACACCCGACCACAGGCACAGGAGATTTCCCAGAAACTCCGTGCCATGTGGTCCTTCAACGGTTTTATTCCAGTGCTCTACTTTACCTTCCTTCCAGAAAATCTTAAGGAGAGACCAGAACATGTGTTCATGTTGAGAGGTTCCTTGTCTTCCCGCTAATGCGTACGGATATATGTGGCAAGGTTCGAGTGCGTCGGCGCCGTTTGTGACGAAGCATCGTCTACCGTCTCTTTCCAAGCACTGAAGGATGTTAGCACGCGCTATTCTAGTAGCAAGTTGCAGTATGCACTTACCAGATCGGTGAGAGTGATATCTCTCTCTGTTGGGACGTACCCCTCTTCGACGTAACCACCACCACCAGGCTGATCTGGAGAGTCATTCGTCTTGCGCTTACCAGGCTGGCTGCAAGTCTCCCGCTTTCTCGGTTTAAGCCCTGCAATACCACTCCTAGTTAGAAAAACCATCTCAGATTAAGCTAGAACACAAAAACTTACAAGTTTTGGCGACTTCATGCAAAGTCGAGGAATTAGGAGTATAAATCGGCTTTGCAGCATCGGAGATACACCGGGTCATCGACGTGCAACCTGATATCGCGCAGCCTTTCTATATCGCTCATCCATAGGAAACAAAAGGCTGCAGCGTTGAAATGCTGGAGCCCGAAAGCATGGCCGATCTCTTGGATGAGCCGAGCTCGCTCAGCATCGTCGAACTCTTCGACGGGGTTGGGGGTATCCGCCAGTCTCAGAGGCATAGTTGCACGAAAATTATCCGCTAAAGAGGGAAAGAGTAGAAAGAGGCGAGAGGAAGATGGAGAAGATGATAAAGGAGAGGAAGTTTTTTTTTTCAGCCGATAGCGACAGTGAATTTTCATCAAGGGAATGAGACTTGTTCACAGGATGAATTCCAGAATTTTATTGAATAGCAGTAGCTTTCATAGGAATATGATAAAATGATAAGGCATAGAGATCTTTCTCGAATCTGGGGCTGTCTAAACCACGGGTTAGCTGCCTAAATTACCCATATTGACGTCTACAATATCTCCGATCCGCGTGTTTATTGCATCTGAATTAGATAAGCCCAAGATATATACCTAGTTGGATTCACTCACAAGAGTAGCAAACAAACTAGATAATCTAGACACTTATTACCAGCAGCCTATACAGGTATCTCAAAGAAAGAGTCAAGATTGACACAAACACAACCTGGGTTCACGACGCCGATCCGACCTGCGTCCAAAATTGCTTCGGTTAGAATGGAAGGTCTGGGTCAGTACGATGAATATGAACGCTCTGGGTTTATTCAGTCTGGATGTGCTGTGTTATCTCTCTCTGTCCATAACAGCCACACAACTGATCTTGGCGAGAGAACTCCCTCGTCCTCCAGGCAATAAGGATGTCACTGTAAAGGTTTCTCCTTTCCCAGCAATCACTCAAATGATATTATCATAAACATCAGACAAATCCGTATCTACTTATATTGCTCTTCATATTCCTAGCCTTGACTGGGCTAACGTATGCTATCTAGATCCGACTTTACTGGCAACGCAGGGAATCGGCGACTTTATTCTGACCTGCCCCTTCGTCCTTGGCCCCGAATCCTGCGAAACAGCCATCACCGTGGGAAATGCCGTTTCGAACCCCCAGCAAGTGAATAACTTAGTCATCGAGCCAGCGTCCCCCGTCGACATTGCGAGTGGTATTGTCGGGGATCGTACAACCTCGGCTCGGGGACTGCGACACCCCCGCACAACAGGCCGCTCTCGAAATTTGTCATGACGACGGCGGATTATTGCTACGAGCTACCGGGAGATTGGAGTATGGAGGTTGAGGCGTTATGCGAGCGTGTTGCGTGTGCGATGCAGATATGTCGCGTTTCTGCCGTGGACAGACGGTTTTCGTCTGGGTGCGGGCCTATTAGTCACGAAGCAATATGGATCGAAGACCGTCATTGTAGTATATATTCCTCGGAATTGTGGGTGAGTATCTAGTTATTATAGAGGGTAAGTGGCCATGTCAAATACTCCTTTCCAGCTTATTCGCATAGGAAATTTCATGTGAGATAGTATGAGAAATTAGTCGTGAACGCAGCTGGGATATATAGATGGAACCCATTCGTCAGCAATAGTCACATGCTAGGGGGGCACGTTTCCAATTGCCATCAATTACTTCTCATATGACATAGGAGAGGATATTTGCTTATTCGATGTTTTCTCATCCACGTGGTTTGCCCCCGCCCATCAATAATGGCGATGGTGAAGAGTGCCATTGTTTTCATTTATCTTTCTTCCAATTATTCCTATATAATTTCCCATTCTATTGTGTCTAGTACATACGACCACAGGGTGTGGAGAACAGGGCTTCCCGTCCGCTCAGCCGTACTTAAGCCACACGCCGGCAGGTTAGTAGTTGGGTGGGTGACCACCAGCGAATCCCTGCTGTTGTATGTTTTTGTCTTTTTCTTTTTATATTCGATGATATTCGATGCCACCAAGCTAGCTTAGGGGTAGATCAAAAAGGGGTCTGAACGTTTTGATCTTTTTGTTTAATTTTAATTTGTGGCGCCCGCACAACATGCAGCTGGGCTGGATGATTTACGCATTCCCTGCACGTAAGCACTCTCTTTTGTCGAATACGCCACCAGATTAACGTGAAGGATTCTTCCCCTGATTCAGTGCATATTTCAAATTGCTGGGTGTCTTGCCACTTTTTACCCCTTTCCTTGAAGCTCAGCTATTGGACCCTTAATATTAAGGATCAATGGCCCCATCTGCAACGCCCGGATGTTTTTCCATGCCGGCTTGGCAGATCCACGCGGAGCTGCTGCCAGCTGGAAAGCCGCGATCGGGCGCATAGTGCAGGATTAACAAGTGCCAGATCGCCCACACTCGGCAATTGCAATGCCAATCCCAATTGAAGCGCAGCAGATAGCCTTGAATAGCGGATGGATAATTGGGTTCTTCTCCGTGCTCCTCCTGGCCCCGTCGCCTGGTCCGATCCGATTGGTTCCGGCATGTATAATTAGCTGCACTATCGTACCAGGTGAAAAGTTAGAAATTTTCCCGGCATCAAAGCGTTTTTTGGGCGTAGATGATATTACACAGAGCTCCCGTCGTTTCGGTTCTGTCCTGATCTCTTCTGGCTGCTTTCGACACGTACCTTGGTTTAGCTGCCAGAATGCGCCCTCATGCAATACTTTTCCTTGCTGCAAGCTTGGCAGTCGCTGCTTCGGGCTCCCAATCATCTCCAGCTCTTCCTCAATGTGCTGTATGGCATGCACTTCGCTCCCACGTCATAGATCGTCCCTAACAGTTGTTACAGATCGATTGCCAGGAACAAGTTTTGTCAAGTAACACAACATCGTGCTCCTCGACAGACACGACATGTCTCTGCTCCGACCAACTGTTTCAAGACACTCTTGGCAACTGTGCGACGGCAAATTGTACCGCTAGCGAAGCGTTGAGTACGTCTTGTACCTGCTCTACTGCACTGAGAGCTTCATGAAATCTAATAAAACCTCTTATAGCGGCCAAATATCTCAGTTCTCGACAATGCGACATTCCCATCGTCCACCGATACTCCGAAGCAGATGCCGGGACAATCTTCCCTTTCGTACTCGCCACAGTCCTTTTCGCGATCCGGATAGCTGCGAAATCCATGCGTCTTGGTGGTGGCTGGGGTCCTGATGATTACACGATTATAGTAGCATGGGTGAGGCTGTCTTGGGCGCTATCTTCGACGAACTCCACAGCTAACGATATTCCAGGCATTGGGAGTAGTAGTATTCTCACTGAATGTTTCGAGTAAGAGTTACCGACCTTGGATATGTCGCAGGGGTCTAACCGGTCACAGTGGTCCATTACGGGTTCGGGATGAATGTCTGGGACATTATTCCACAAGAGAATATTACCCAAGGATATAAGGTCTGTTCAACGATTTGTGCTGGGGCTGAATTCTTACTGACATCATCTTTCTCCAGCGCTTCTATGCCTTTATCCTAACGTACAAAGCCCTGATATCGCTCGCGAAAATCTCCGTCTGCCTTTTCCTCCTACGAATCTTCCAGTCCAAACCCTTTCGCTATACAACATATGTCATGATCGGCATCAATACTGCCATCGCAATCACCTGGATCCTCGCTGATGCCTTCCACTGCATACCGGTTCACCTATCATGGACGGCATGGAAAATGGACGAGGAAGGGAAATGCTTCGACTTTGTGGCTTCGACTTTTGCCAACGGTTATGTCAATATCGCAGTTGACACGATCATGGTTTCGATGCCGGTTTGGGAGGTTATCAAGTTGAATCTGTCGGTCCAGAAAAAGCTGGGCGTGGTATTTATGTTTGCTGCGGGTCTAGTGTGAGTATCAACTTTCTGGTCTAATATAAACTAAGACGCTAACTCGTTTCAGATTAACTGCAATCGGCATTGTTCGGGTGATTGTCTTCCACTTCAACAGTCCCCTCGTCAATCCCACCTGTGAGTCTTATGCCAGCAGCCACATATCTCCATACCAAACTAACAACCCCAGACAACATGGAAGCCATCGTCCACTGGTCCGTCATCGAATGCCAAATTGCCATCATCTGCGCCTGTCTACCCGCATCACGAGCCGTCATGGTCCGCCTCGCACCCGGACTCCTCGGCCAATCCACCGACCCAAGCAATCGATACAAAAACACAGGATCCAGCGGACACGGTGCTGGATCGCGCCAGAACATCTCCAAGAGAGTATCGTACTCGGTTGATTACATGGGTAATGGGAAACCCCAACGGAGCAGTTTTGTGCAACTGAAAGACATGGGTTCGGATACGGAAGGGCATGATCATTATTGATGAGATTTGTTATTTTCTTGCTTTCTTTTTTATATTATTATCATCCTTTCTTATTTTATGAGGTGGGAATATTTATACTAATCTGCATGAACATGAAAAAAAAATATATATATAGAATAGAGACATACTATAGACTTATTTATGAAAACGGTCTAGAAGATATACAAGTACTTCTGTCTCACACCTTGTATAATCGATATGACTATCCATTCGATCTTTCACGGCTGAAAGAGAGTCTTCTGATTCTTCTCTTTGGATGCTACCATGTGTTTTGCCTTCCACATCCCCTTCTTGATTCATAGGCCTACGACCTGATATGAAATATTGAATGCCATACTGCGGTACCCTAATCGGCTGTCTAAGACACGACCTGACCTAACATATTGCCCCGCCTGCCACCCACTTCGACTGTCAGTGAATGTATACAGTCAATCACGTGCCTCTTCTGATCCTAGCCCCAACACAGCAAGAAGCTTCCTCGAAAACCAAGACACCTTCCTGCAGGCCTAGCAGAAATCTTCCAGCATCATGCAGTCAGCCCTTTCAATTCAAAATGGGTTTATCTTGTTGTCCAAGAATGCCAGACGCAGCGACCGAATTCAACGAGTCCGGTCGAGAGGATTTAATCAGAGAGCTTGGCCGTGCCCTAGGTTTGGAACGGTTTAATCTATCAGCATGGCTGCTTCTCTGGTTCAGTGATGTCCAGGTCCTTCGTGACTTGGTCACTACGGTGACTTCCGATAAAACAGCCCGCGATGATCTGCACGGTTATTTGAGTCCTGGGAGTAAGAACTTTGATGAAGTTATCAAAGCATGTGAGTCAGTCTACTGTATCGATTGGAACATCTTACTGACATGCGTGATAGGGCTAGTGGAGAGGAAAGATATTTCGAGGACTGGACGCGCTTCTCCTGCTACGGACTTTGATTCGCTCGTAGGTAACTAACACCCATCATTCTTAGTGTGAATTGTGAAGCTGATATTATTAGTGTCGTAAGAGAGACCAGAAAAAAAGCGTCGTTACAAAAGGCCGCGATGTCCTGAGAGCCGCTGGGTTGTTTCCCTCGGTCCTAGGGGAACGAGAAAATACCTACGCCAACGAGACTTTTTGGAAACATCTTGGACTCTTCTGGTCTACGGAAAAGATCGAAGCGTGGCAAAAGGCAGCGCAAGAACAAGCCAACACCCTAGAAAACTACATTACAATGGCATCCGGCGTCCATAGGTTCTGGGAAATGGCGCTGTTTGCCCTCAAACCAATCGCAAAGACAGAGAACAGCCTTACCCTCCAATTCTTTTGGATGTCTTCCGAAATTAGGGCAGGGGACAATGACACTTCTATCTCTGTGCTCGCTGAACCGTCGTTTCCTTGTTCCTCTGATTCTACGCCAAAGGGAAGCTTGCTGTTTTGCTGCGATACCGAAGAGAGAATCTGCTCTGGCCGTGCTATTACCTTGTACACAGAAAATAGTGACACTCACCCTCTACCCTCGTGGGACCTAATGGAGATGCAGTGGATGTTTCAGAGAATAGCGGCATTGAGAGGGACCTCTGTGACTGAGGATAGGGAATAGGTTTGGGTTTGTAAATAAGGGCAAGGATGCCAAGTAATTCATTTATTGGTACGAAGCCTATTGTCAACCTAGATTGACAACGTTACCTGCTGTCTTTGCGCTCTAGCAACCGGTGGATTTCACAATTATCAGCATGATCACTATTTGTGCCCATTAACAATAACCAGAGAGGCCTCCCAAGAAGCTGTTTTTAACCCAATCCGCTAACCCCTTCCCGTGCTGTTGGAGAGTCGATTCTAGTTTCAGTCATTTGCTCTGCTGGTGATCGGCTCCCTTTATCCCTCTATCCCAAATATTTGACACGGGAGTTCGTTTTGATACTCTAGTCAGCTTTAATTTGCAAGAAAGTAACAAGGACAATTTAAAAAACAATAAAAAAAAAACAATAAAAAATAAAGTAAAAACCGAACCCATCTCCAAAAGAGGCCGAGCACGCGGCTGCGACAAACACGATGACTGACGCGGCTTCCACCCATGCAAAGGAGCCTGAAGCAAAATCCACAGAGACTGAAGAGAAACCCAAAAGCCGAGAGCTTTGGGAAAGTACCTTTGATGGACTAAGCTATGATTGCAAGACCCACCTATGACAAAGCGAAGATACGATCAACGAGATTATCGACAAGATAAAATGCGGGTTGAGGTTCAAAAATCACGCTGGAAAAGAAGTCAATCTCCGGGATGTGGATAAGAAGATTCTCAACTCGGCGGTTCACTTCTTCGAGATTGTTAGAGGACTTGCAGCCTGTGATCCCACTGGCCATGGTAGGATGTCCCGTGGTATCATTTTATTTGCTTATAGGACCTCAGTTTCTAATGCGAGGATAATCGTCTCACTTGGATTGACCGTAAGTATTCCTGTCTTATGCTAAGCATGCGAGACTCATTCTAGGAGTATACCAAGTCATTCTAGAATGAGCTTCAGAGGTGCTGCGACAAGAAATATATACTCAGCAATGGAGGAGATGGGCTATCTGCTGAAGTAGCAGGAAGAGCTATCAGTCTCTATTATTGAGGGGATCTTGAGGCAGTGGTGTGCAACACCTAATCTGACAGAGCAATCATGGTATTTTTATTCGCGAGCAAACGCAACGAGATTCAAATTACCCCTGATTTGATGCTCACCATAATTATTGGTCTGGCTTGAACCCTGGTGTATCGACATTGATTCTTCAGGAGGATGGCTTGAGATCCCTCTTGATGAAAGAATCAGAATGAAATTCGTGAAAGCCACGCCATTGGGTGACGGTGTCTTTTACAGATCCGTGGTGATGAGTGATGTTTCTGAAGCAGTTGCGGTGGCAGCTGCCTCTCACCCATATTTCGCACAAGAATTGGTAGCTCTCCTCAAATTAAAGGGGAGCAGTCAATGAGACTGTCGAGACTATCGAGCCGAAGCCTTGAACAGTGCGATTACCTTCATTGATGTATTAAAAGCATTCCATGTTAACAATCATCCTACAGTACATCTATCTGCACTGAAACCGTGAAAGTGACATTTCCTCTAAGATGTCGCGAGCTCGAACCCACAGAAAACGCATAAATAGGCTGCTTGAAGTACGGTGATGACCTTCATCTTGCTTGATCAACATATTCTAATCATTGACATTGAGATAAGCGTATGTATACAGAAACCTTAAGACAAGTAAGGGCGCATGGATTGCCGATGTGGGGTGCGCCAGTGGATGAGACCCACGCGAGGCAGATATCGGGATTTTCTCTTCAGAAAAGTACTACATATGCATGGGATAAACCCAGATACTATGAGTTAAGCTATGACATTAACTCTCAATTGTCTTATCAGAACATCCCTCATAATCTCCGCGCTTTTAACCCGGATATCCAGCAGACTTTCAGGACTGTAATACGCACTATGAGGCGTCACCACCATTTTCCCCTGTAACCACTCTGCTTTATCGCGATATTCCTGTAGCAGGGGATGGACAGGACCATCAACAGGAATAGGTTCGTCGGGGACGACATCCAGTCCAACACCTCCTAGTATGCCTTCTTTTAGACATCTCTCAACGGCATCGAGATCGACGACTTCCCCACGGGCAGTGTTAATCAGTATACCACCCGGAGCCATGAATTTGAGGAGGTCATAGTTGACTAGATTCTGTGTCTGTGGTGTCGAAGGACAATGTACGCTGATCACACTACTTTCTCGGAAAAGTGCCTGGATATCCCTCGTCCGGTGGACATTCAGCGCTTTCTCCACACCATTGACGGCGAAGGGGTCGTAGATGAGGACGTTCCACCCGAACGCTCTTGCGCGGAGGGCAACTGCCATGCCAATTAGACCGAGGCCCACGATGCCGAATGTCTTTTGTTGGATGCGCGAGATGAGAGGTGACTCGATGTATGTCCATGAAGCGGGGGGAGAGGAGCGTTGGGTATCGTGGTAGAGGATGATGCCGCGACGAAGGGACAAGGCAAGGGCGAGGGTGTGGTCTGCTATTTCGCCTGTGCCGTAGTCTGTTCTGTTACTATCTCTCTCGATGAGACATTATGGAGGGAATGATACCTGGGATGTTACAGAGGATGACGCCCTTTTTTGCGAGAGCGGCGCGATCAACGCGGTCGTAGCCTACGCCCATGCGGACGAGTCTGTGCTGTTAGCATCTAAGACAGACAAATATATAGATAATGAAAAACGAACACTTTCAACCGCGGAAATAAATCCAAATCCTCCGCCGTGAAAGACGGTTTTAAGATGGTAATCCCGTCGACCTTTTCTCGGAGGGATGCGTCAATGCTAGACCACGGCTTGCAGGCTGGATCTCCTGCTGGGGAGAGGTTGGTTTCGAGGTAAGTGACATTGTATGGGTGGAAGATTTTGTTTTCGATGGTGGTGTCCTGTACGGCTGTTAGCGGTGGATTAGCAGATGGTGATGGACGTACGCCATATAGGCCATCGGCTTGGATGATGGTGTATGTTGGATTGTTCATTCTGTTTTTCATCGTAGGGTGTATCTGTATGATGCCGCAGGTTTTATATTATCCACCGGTTATACTGGTAGTATTACCGGCGGTTAAACCATTTAACAGTTGCCCTCTATAACATCGCCAACTAATCATAATCAGTCTACAACAAAGAAACCATTCAATCACCAGCAAAATGGCTCTCCAGCTATCCAACCTTTTCAACGTCCAGGGCAAAGTCATCGTCATCACGGGCGGAGGCTCAGGACTAGGAAAAGCCATCGCGGAGGGATTCGCCAGCAACGGGGCTAAGGTGTACATCACAGGACGACGCGCTGATGTTCTCGAGAAAACTGCCGCAGAGTTGAACGAGAGATGTTCCATTGGAGGAGAGGTTATTAGTATTCAAGGTGATGTAGGGAGTAAAGATGGCTGTGCTCGACTTGTTGGGGTGATTGGGGAGAGAGAGGGCCATATTGATGTGTTGGTGAACAATGCGGGTCTTCCTGGGAAGATTGACTATCCAGGGTGGAATCCGGATGATGGTATGCTTTGATAAATTGTATGATGTGACATGATGCTAATGTGTATAGCTGATGCTGTTGAGAAGGGGTTATGGGAGAGTGTTGATGAGTATGTATTCGTATATATTGAGGATTGTGCTGATTTATAGTGATTCGTTTACTTCCACCAACAACGGTATGTATTACATACAGCATATTGTATAAAATATTAACGAGTGCAGTCAATATCAGTGGCATCTACTTCACCACTGCCGGTTTCGTGCCTTTATTGCGAAAGTCCTCAGATCCAAGTGTGATTGTGATTTCGTCTCTTGCTGGTCTTGTCAATCAAAGGTGCGCCCACTGATCTTATAGACATCTATCCACTAACGGTTCAGGGCCATGGGAACCATCACATATGCCGTGTCCAAAGTATGTATCTTGTCTATCCATATAAATATGTCACTAACAAATAGGCTGCTGGTATGTCCACTCCCACTTAATCTATCTGACTAACAAACAGCCCTCCATTTGGCAAAACTCCTCGCTGGTCGATTTCATCCGTATGTCTCATCTATTCCTCCCAATTGATATAATCTAATAAATAGAATGAAAATCCGCGTCAACTGCATCCTCCCCGGCATCTTTCCCAGCGAAATGACCGCTATCGACAGCACAAGCAACACTGACACTCTTAATGGGTTTGCTGTTCGCGCTGCCAGAAGGTGTACTGCTGGTAAGTATCGATTCTACTATATGAATATCTGATAATAACATCTCAGGCCGTGCTGGATCGCCCGAGGAAATCGTCGGACCGTGTCTGATGCTCAGTTCCAAGGCGGGTGGATACATGAATGGGGGGTATTTGTTGATTGATGGGGGAAGAGCTATGGTATGTATCTTATTGATGATATAGACAGTGCTAATAGTGATTGAATAGGGAGCGTCGATTAATGATGGGCTGAGAATGGAGGAGGATACATATGTTAACTGATAGTCAACTTGTCATCTATATCAGACAGATAGCTACTCTCTCGCCCTCTTCAACTCATTTAACATGCCACTCTTGACAACTCCCACATCTGTAGCCACAGACACCATATCGAAGCCCTGCTGCACTCGCTTCCTGGCATCTTCTCCATCAGTGCCTGTGCATATTAGCATCATCAATACACCTGAGATAGGGAAACCCACAGAAAATAGCAACCTTCTTCCCGGCTCCCCTCGCAGCCTCCACCACGCGCCTAATAGCAGCCTCATGTTCTTCTCCTCCTCTCTGCACCCCCATCTGCTTAGCCAGATCAAACGGACCAACGAAGAGGACATCAACCCCATCCACTGCGGCTATCTCTTCTACATTCTCCACGCCGGCTCGTGACTCGATTTGCACGATGACGCTTACTCCACACTGGCTGTCTTCGTCGTAGTTACTCCCTGGAAAGGCGTGCGACGCGAACATGGGTCCGTACCCTCTTATGCCCAGGGGTGGATACTTGATGTATTTGACCGTGTTGAGGGCGGCGGTCTGTCATCATCAGTAAGTAAGACTTGAGATAGATGGTGATAAGGTAAGATACATACGACAGAATGACACATCGGGACCACAATCCCATGCGCGCCAGCATCGAGCGTCCGCTTGATCATCCATTCCTCTGCGGCTGGGACGCGGATGATGGGGCTGCTGTTTGAGGATGCAATAGCGTTGCAGAGCTACTTATTAGATATTATATATGATATAGATGGTTGGTAGCACACCTCGTAGTAATATCTATCAGTAATAAGACCGTGTTCTGCGTCAATGAGAACCCAGCTAAAGAACGATTCACGGAGGATTGTTTTGGCGAGTGCTGCGCTGGGGAGGCTGTGTTTCATTAGCAGTTTATTCGTACTGATGAGAATACATACGTAAGCCAGAAACCAAAGGCGGTTGAGGTTTGGAGGGCTGAGGTGAGAGTAGTTGGAGTCATTTTGCATGCTTGATGGGACTGAGATAGAAGATTAGATAGGCAGTAAGGTATGCTTAAATGTACCTGGTTTATCCGTAGGTATTGCCGTCGGTTAAACTAGTGTGCGGTTCCCCGGATTTTACCCCATGGGGTATTTATACAATACTATATTCCATCTCTGTCGTATCATATCATTGCAATTGGTAAAATGGCTTCTTTTCAGAATATTCCTAGTATGTGTTCCTCTTTATACTCAGACTCAGCTAACAAATAGACAACACCAACCCCACCTGGTGGAAAGACTCCTCTCTACGACGGAACGTCTTCTACACTTTCGGCTGCATGTTATGTCCTTTCTATCTAGGCTGTATGTCCCTCCCCATATATATACCTACCTACACGCCTAATAAAAAACAGACGACCAGTCCCTCCTAACAGGCCTCCAAGCCATGCCATCCTGGAACACCTACTTCAACTCCCCCTCCGGCCAATGGCTCGGCATTATATCCGCCGCCATCTTCCTCCCTGGCATCGTCATGGGGTTTCCGGCTGCCTGGATGTGTAATGTCTGGGGGAGGAAGTGGTGTATCCTGGTTGGGTGTGTTTTTATCATTGCGGGGGCGGTTTGGAATGCGTTGGCGAGGACTGCGGTGGAGTTTTTGGTTTGTACGTTTCCCTGCGCTTTTATACGATATGATTTGGATTTTGGTTAATGGGATAGCTCGCATTGTGATGGGCATCGGAGGCGGTCTCACAAAAACCAGTGCGCCAGTTCTCCTGCAGGAAATTGCTCACCCGCGACTTCGGCCTGCGCTCAGTACCATGTACTACGGGTGTTACTATATTGGGTCTTTGATTAGTGCTATTATGTGCAGTATGTCTCCTTCTTCCAAACTACATCTGATATCTGATTTACTGTGTTCGTCAGTCATCGGCCTCAACGTCCCCAACAACTGGGGCTGGCGATTCCCCTGTCTCCTCGCGTTCGTCGGTCCAGCTGCCGTCATCCTCATTCTTCTCGGCGGACCAGAGTCGCCTAGATTTCTGGTAAAGAGGGGAAGACGTGCTGATGCGCTTTCTATCCTGGCGAAATATCATGCGAATGGGGATGCGGATGATGCACTAGTGTTGTGGGAATATCGCGAGATTCAGAGTGCGATTGAGCAGGAGGGGGATAGTAACAAGACATCTTATGTGAGTTACCTGCAAGGTTGATGATCATCAAATGAGATGTTGACTTGGTAGATGGACTTTTTCAAAACAAAGGGAAATCGAAAACGTCTGTTTGTTTCGATTGCTATTGCGATTGGTGTGAATTGGGTTGGGAATGGTGTTGTTTCCTAGTATATCCCCTCCCCCCTTTCCTTGTCATAAAATATATACAGCACAGCTGATCAGATAGCTACCTCTCTCCCGTCCTCAAATCCATCGGTATCACAAACTCTACCCACATCCTCTCTGTCAACGCCGGCCTCGCAGCCTGGAACCTTCTCGTTTCAGAGCTCGCCGCGCTCAACATCGACCTCCTCAGTCGGCGTGCCCTCTTCCTAACATCCACCTCAGGGATGATCCTCGCCTATGCAATCGTCATGGCCCTCTCCGCCACATTCAGTCAGACAAACAACGCCTCTACAGGAATCGCAGCCATCCCTTTCCTATTTATTTTCTTCGGGTTCTACGATCTCGCCTGGACGACGCTGAACTACTCATACTGTGCGGAGATTATGCCGTTTGGGTTGAGGGCCAAGGGGATGGCGGTTTATCTTTCCGTGCAGCAGTTGGCAAATACGTTTAATCAGTTTGTCAATCCGATTGCGCTCGAGGGGATTGGGTGGAGGTATTATGCGGTTTATGTTGTTGTGGATTGTGTTTATTTGGTGATTATCTATCTTTTCTTTCCTGAGACGAGGGGGCTGGCGATTGAGGAGGTTGCGGCTGTTTTTGATGACGATACGCTTGAGAGAGAGGATGAAAAGGTGTCTTCAGAGCATGTGGAGGTCAAGTAGTTGGGATAATGGAGTATGGGAGACAGGTCATATCCAAGGCCCAGCAGGCCCGACCATCTCGGCTTTCAAGTCCTCCACTCTCCTCGCGCCAATATTACGCATCGTATTAGTTATCTCCTCATACAATACTAACATGTCAGTTTCTATTCACTTTGGATCATATTCAACTCACTCTCAATAACCCTTCCCACCCCCACCTCTCCATGCGTCCCATTCGCGTACAGAAACGGTCTACCAACACCAACGGCTTTAGCGCCCATCGCGAGTGCCTTGACCACGTCCGCCCCGCATCGTATGCCCCCATCTATCATGATTTCGGTTTTGCTGAACAGGTCTGGTCGGTGAGTGCGGATTTCGTATAGGATGTCGATTGGGGCGGGGGCGTAGTCTGCTTGGCGGCCTCCGTGGTTGGACTGTGCGTTGATTGGTATGTGGATGATATGACATAAAGGAGGGGACTTACTATGATGACGCCTTCTACACCGTAGTCTACACAGAGCTGGACGTCTTCGATGCATTGTACTCCCTTGACGATGATAGGGAGGGTGGTGTTTTTCTGAAGAGTTAGTATATATATATCACAAGGAAATAGGTATACACACTCTTATGAATGAAATATCTTTCCACGTTAAATTCCGATCCTGGTATCCGCCTATCTCCTGTGCAACTCCAAGGTTTGTCGTGGGTTTCTCTGAAGGCGATGTGGATTTCCGCATTGATGCTTTGGTACGTACGTCGAGTGTCCGTTTGGACTCCCAACATACATCAACAGTAAATACAATCGCTCTCGCGCCAAGCTCTTCTACTTTCCGGATGAGAGTTTCCGACGCGGATCGGTCTTTGTTGAGGTACAGCTGGAATATGAGAGGCTGATTTTCTTTGCTTGCGTTGAATATCTCTTCCAGATCACAGCTTGCGTTGGAGGATATCTATTCTATCAGCCTGGATTCAGCAGAGGAAGCGGAAAGTTACCATCTGCACAATCTCATACTCCCCAGCAGCTTTGGTTATATTTATTTCCCCAAGAGGATGTCCCAGCTTACCCATTGCCGTTGGAGAGATAAATACCGGCATCGCAGATGGAATTCCCAGGACCGTTGTCTCGGTCGTTCCGTAGCTCATGTCGCGGAGGACTCGAGGGCGGAAATAGTATCTTTGAAAGGCTTTTTGGTTTTCATGCAAAGCTTTATTTGTTATTTCATTTCAATTGAAGAATAAACATGGTTGCATACTTCTCTCTTCATCTGCCGCACTGCGATAGTACGCCCAAGCCGTCTCGCTCAGAACACGCTCAGCCCATGTCTCGAAGTCTTGGAGGAGATGAAAGTTCTCTACCATGGGCATTTCGTCCCTAGCAGCTTGTCTTTGTATATCCGCCTCTGTAGGTGGAATTTCTTCTCTTGGTAGTGTTGCCGGGTCTACTGGGCCTAGGCAACTTTCGGGTGGGAGAGTATTCAAAGCATCTTGGGGATGAAGCATGGAAAATAGTTTACTATCGATATGAGTTCATCTGAGAAGATCGTCTTAAATGGCTGTTATGATACCCACCTAGTATCCTTGCCAGCTTCTGCCAGAATAGCCTGTCGCCCTCCAGGGTGGTGTTGTAAAAAGTTGGTTACGTCGTAAACGAGGCCCTATCATACGGCATTAGTATTGGCATCTTATTTAGTATAATGGCCCTCACATTTATAATGACCCAGCAGTCCGTTTCAGTTATATGTTTTTGGACTTCCTCATAAGGAATGAGTTTCTGTCTGTTCTCGTGTTCGCCTCTCTCATTGCCCGTTGATTCCAACCCTCGAAACTGCTGGTATAATCCCGCACCAATCTACAGAACAGTAAATCAGTGGTTCTAGTTGATTCGGCTGAGCTGAATAACTCACCAATATTACGAAAGCTCCCCAGAATGACTTGACGGGCCAGTTAGACAATCCTCGTCCATTCGAAAAACGCTTACACGCGGCATTCTTGTGGAAAGCCGCCCGTCGATATGGATTAACCGACACAGCCTGCCGTCGAATAAAGGAACAAGTCCCTTTGGAACGCGAGAATAGTCGTAGCATCATTTTTTGTATTGACAGGATGATATTGATTATTCGTGAGTTAGTAAAGCTAACTTTATTATAGGCATGTTTATAATGCAAGGGTCGGGGCGAGTGCTGCCGCCGGTTAATCTCAACGGCTAAACTTGCTCTACCGCAACGGCCATCCATCTCATTTGCTGCCACGCCTTTAATGGCCTCTTAGTTGAATTGCAAAGAAAAGCGTTTTAATATCGAAAATGATGATGTGGATTTGGTGTTGACATCCTTCCACCCCTTACTATATCAACCTGGTTATTCGTGTACGACGCCTGCCTAAAGCTGAAAAGAAGAAGCCGGTTCAAATGAACCTGTCTGTCCTAGGAAGAAGGACCAATTGTCAAATAAATCATTTGGAAGCGAGGGCTGGTCCGTGGGCGAAGCACCCTCACCCAACAAGGGAGCTTGGGATGAATATGGCTGTAGAAACTCAAATGGATTTCCCACGGTGGGGTCTGTAGATTGGGGTTGTTGTGGCCGCACGCGATCTGGAAACAACTGGGAGTCTGAAAGTAAGGTTTGACCAATCGACAATAGACCAGGTTCAGGATTCTGCGAGATTTGCTGCATGCACTGATCAATCCTGCTTATCTGGCCTCGTAGCTTGATAGCAAGACCGGGGGCGGATAAACGAGTCGACTCGATCTTAGTGAGGAATTCAGCGAGTACAAGAAGAATGTTCCTGACTTGGAGATACGTCCATGCTGACACAGGTCGCTGAATGACACCTGCAAGCATATGGCCAACCTGAGCCAGATGATGTAGCTATGTAATCAGATATGAATATTGCAGATAGAGTAGAGGGTAACTCACTGTCACAGTGCTTGAAGCGTGGAAAAATGCAAGGGGGATAGTGCTTAATTCGTCGAGGAGTTCAGTCGCAATGGCGCAACGAGCATGCACACTTGGCTTCTCACACCCAACGAGGATCATTTTCAAGGTCTGAGTGGTTATGAGAATGTTTGAGGCTGTCATTCGCTTAGCTTCCTCTTGATCAGACAAAAAATTCTGGCAGATGTACCAACAAACCCATAACGATCTGTTTGTGGATCCCCCGTCATCGAATTAATTTTCTTTAGATTGTCTGGTAGGTCTTCGAAGAGCTTCGAAACAAGATGAAGACTATCAGACGCAAAATTTTTCGGGGGCTGACGACGGGAAAGAAACGAGGTAACAAGTCCCCCGGGCTCTTCAACCGAAGTCTGCCGTGCTGCTCTAACCAGTCCATCCATGTGCTCGAGGAGACGGTAAAGATCAGAACAAAAGTTCCAGCCGCGAAGAAAAGAGACTTTTTTTGGCTCAAGTTGAATGCCAGCCTCTGTGATGTCCTCGTCATCATACACTTCGGCTGGATATAACACTGTCGCCTTTGCCTCCCGCTGCCGCGAAACAAAACCAAAGCTATTGGCTAAATGCTGGTCATGCTGATAAAAGCCCCAAAACTAGCAATATAGTAAGCAGAGTATCCATATGTTGCAAAGAATGAACTCACCAAACGACGCCGTTCCTGCTTCTCAATCTCAGTCAGATTACCAGGCCAGTTTTCTTCATCATGAAATCCTCGACTCAGTGATATTGAGATGTAGTCTCCACCGTGCGCAACCGCCCTTTTTAATTCCCCGTTCTGTAGACACGCAGACGCTAGGAGCGCCTTCGCTTTCATGAGTGGGTACCACTCAATCGCCTCCGTAATATCACTAGGAATAGCTTTGACAGCAGCGTTGTAGCATTCGGACGAGAGTGTGACGGCTTCAAAACGCAGAGGATGAGGATCTGGAGGCATGGCAATGCCATCGTGTAGCCTGCCTGCAGCCAAAGCACAAACCGCCATCGTCACAATAAATAGCCCCCAGTCAGATCGGTAGAGCTGCTGAGAAATCTGAGCGCGGAAGGTGGGCCAGTGGAAATACGGCCGTCTATTACACGTCAGCAACAAAGCTGTCCCTGGAGGGTCGATGATGAAACACATACAACGGATACGCAGCGTGATAGAAAACATCAACAAGACTCTCAATTATCTCCGGCTTAACGACATCCTCGTGCGCTAGGTATGTGGATGCAGGATTATCAGAGAAGGAAATAAGAGGTCCATCCTCAGCGGCATCTGGGTTTATGGACGAGGGCGTATCATGAGGCCTAGGGTCTTGACTTTCCGGTGACTGATTATCTGTAGGTTGTGCATCGCTCGCGATTCGTGTCCGCTTCGACGGGGGCTGCACAGGATGTCAGCAGGATAGAATCTTCAATCTTGACACAGAAACCCACACCGCGCCGCTTGACGGGCCTGTTATATGTACAATCAACCTCTTGCTCACTGCAGCGGACACAGGCAGTCCCGTCTACCCCTGGCGAACACTACTCAATCAGCACTCGCAAAGCAGAATCGTCAATATCAATACACACCTTGGAGGCATTCTTATGACATCGGTCACAGGCACGCTACGCGTTGTCAGTCTGGCGCGTACTTGAGGGAGAAGAAACGTACGGCATTCCGCCTGCGCTTGGCGAGAGTTGATGTTCTGGAATTCCTTGGGTGAGGTGACGACTCGTCTTCACCTGGAGTGACCATTTTTTGTTCAACTCATCGAGCAGCGCGCAAGTCGTAAGTATCAAGAGGAGAGAAGAGGTAAAGGTGAAGTTGGGGAAGGAGATCAGCCTGCGCTGGACCCCACACGTGCGGGGTCAGGTGTTTCTATGCATACTACGTTATTTATTTACGCTCATAAAAATAAAGTTTATATTGCTGCTTAAAGATTGGATGTTTACATTCTGGTACTTAAAGAGTGGTGTCGAATACATAAAACATGAATGAAAGGCAAAATCATAAGTCAACTGTCAACTGTCAACTGTCAAGTGCAGTGTGTCGTGTGTTGTGTGTCGTATTCAATTCAATCATCATATTCCTCCAATCCCGCAAGCTGCCCCCCCCTCTTAGACAGGACAGGCTCCTGAAGTGGCCTTTCTACGGCTTGTTGGTACGAATGATGGTATTCCGGGGGCAGACGGGGTGTAGTCCTGATAATAGCTGGGTCGTGAGCAGTGCATTGCTTCTTCGCAAAAGCTTCCCGACGCTTCTCCTTCGCTTCTTTGGGGACCATTGACGCGGGCTTGTAGCAGATATCTATAGATTGTCAGTATGGCACAGTATATAATGACCCGTTAAACCCACAAGCAGCAAAACGATCATTCATGGACGATGGAACGGCGCCATAATGCACAGTTCGCTTCTATCGTCAGCATTCATTAAGCCTTTGGATAAATTCAACCCACCGAATCCCAGAGGAGAAGATCGCCAGGCTGGCAACAAACTTTAACCCACTTGCAACCCTTTGACTCAAGCCATCCGGTCATCTCCTCATCGACGTTTTGATACTCCAGCGTGTTCCAACCCTTTTCGCCCTTTTTATGGTCAAAATGCTGCCAGAGCTCGCTGTAGAACTTGTTCGAGCCTTCGAGCACCATGAGACCACCGTCTTCTGGGCCATTGGGAAGAAGGTTCATGATGCCCTGGACGCATTGGAGGTTTGTTCGGAGAGGGGACTGGTCTACGTGCGACCAGGGCGCAAAAATGGGATCAGTCTTTGGGCGAGAGGTTTCCGGGAGGGAAAGGTTGAGACCGTCTGCTATTGTCAGTGATGAACGTAAATGAAAAGAAGTGTCCATTTTTACCATAAGACACGAGCAATTTATCCGTTCCCCAAATCTGCGCGAACTTGTCCACGAGCAGGGGCTCGGATTTCAAATCCCACACGAATTGCTCGTGGGCAATGCCATAGCTGGTGGAATCAGTAAGTCAGATAAAAAAAATCAGGAATCGTAGGCACGCACCGAGAAAAGATACCACCCTTGTGCGTAAACGGCAAATTGGAAGCTTTTCGCGTCGAGCGATCATGTCGACTGTACCCGTAGTTCCAACCCTCGAGCCAAGAATACGCCTGGTCAGCATATCTAAGGGCCTTTTCTTTGGAAATGGTCTCAGACACGATAGTCCAGCCCCTGGTGTGAAGCTCGTTCATCCACTGAAAGTCATGTTAGCTGTTAGAGAATTGGTGAGGGGTAAGAGGAGGACAGACTTGTGGAGAGTCGCTGTTGATGAGTTCCAGCGACAGCTTTGGTGGGGCTATCTCTGTCTCAGTGTTGGTGGTCATGGTGACTGACAGTTGCGATCAATAGTATTCAACTCAATCTCAATTTATAATTGGGAATTTAGCATTGAGATAATTAAATGTTGGTGGCTACTAGGATTGTGCTAAGGTGAGGGGACTCGGATCGCGTAAATAGATAACATATGGCGTCAGTTTATATGGCTGCATCCCTGCTGCATGACGCTTGGTGGGTTTAACAGGTTTAACAGATTTAACCGGTCTGTTTAACAGCACCTGTTATAGCATAACAAGGTCTAATTTTCTATTTATTATCCTATTGGTTCTTTTTCTAAATTGAGATATTTCATATGTGGTTAATTGGTTGATTCTACTTCCAATATTCACCTTTAAATAGCACTAATATTAAGACCGAGTAGAGAATTACTCATATGTCTAATATACCCAGCTAAGCTAATGGTGTCTTGAGAAAGTGACTGCTATCGAGCAGTTGACTGGTCATATCTCCTCCAAGTGAAGCGACTGTCCCTTCAACCCCAGCGCGTTGGACACCAACCCATCCCCATTCTCACCTGCCACCTCTGCCTCAAGCAGAACCTGCTTCCTCGCTTTCCCAAGACCCATCGCATTCCCACTTTCAAAATCAATCTCAAACAACCTATCGATCTGTTCCAGCGAAAGCTTAGCAGTCTCGACGTAGAACAGCTGCAGAAATGGCAGAAACGCAATATTGAAACAGCCAAAGATGAGATAGAACTTCCAACCAAGGTTATCGATACCGATCGGCGAGACGAGAACAACGACGTACACGAATATCCAGTTCGTTGCTGTGGAGATGGACGTACCAAGGTTGCGGGTGGCTTGGGAGTTGATCTCAGCGGGATACAGCCAGGGGATGGAGAGGAAGGAGATGCCGAAGAAGAGGTTGTACACGAAGATAAAGACGACGGTGAAGATGGACATGTCGTATGTGCCTATGCGGATGCCGACGGCGACCATGAAGAAGGCGATGCCTTGGCCGATGGCCCCGAGGAGGAGTAGAGGCTTGCGACCGATCGAGTCGATGGCGAGCATTGATGCGGTTGCCCAGAGAGTGAGAGCGTGTGAGTAGACGGCAGAGAGGATTAAGGATAGACGATCTGACAGGCCAACAGAGCGAGTCAGCACGACCGGGAGATAATTGGCGATGATGTTGACCCCGCAGGCTTGTTGCATGAACGCGAGGCCAGCGCCGAGAGAGATGCGCCGGATGGTCTGAGTACGGTCGTTCGAGAGGAGATCTCTCCAGGCAGCTGGACCGGTCTCCAGCTCGTGAGTGACGGTAGTCGTGAGTATATTTAACGCGTCCAATACGGCTGGATCGTCTGGGTCGTCGCTGGACATCAGGCGAGCGAGGATTTGCTGTGCCTCTTCGCGACGACCACGCAGGACCAGCCAACGGGGCGACTCGGGCATGATGATAGTCAGGCTGAAAGTGACTATGGAGCAAACAGACTGAAACGCCAGAGGGAAGCGCCATGAGACCGATCTGTCGGCCGGCAAGAAGGTGAAGCCATAATTGATCCAATTGGTGAGCGCTATACCCGAGATATTCAGCACCAGCTCCATGATGACCAGCCGGCCGCGATGTTTCTGCTTGCACGTCTCGACCTGCCACATGGGAATGGCTGTCGTGTTCAGCCCTGTTCCTAGACCCCCGACAATGCGTCCGATGATCATATGTACAAGAGTGCTGGCGCTGGCCTGAAGAGCGCCCCCAACGGTCAACAACGTACAGCCCAGCATGATGGCTCTGCGACGTCCGATGCGATCTCCGATAAAGCGAGAGAAGACAGCGCCAAATATGGCTCCTAAGTAATATGTCGATGTGATCTGGCCCTGAATGGTAGAATCAGGATAGCCAAAGGTATCCAGGAAGTTCTGGTTGGTCAGGATGCCTCCAAACACGCCTTGATCGTAGCCAAAAAGGAAAAATCCCGCACCACAGGCAACGGTGATGCCGACCGTGAGGCCTTTACCTTGGATAGCCATTTTTGCGTATCAGCATGGCTCTAGACAATCTGCAGACAATCGGGTTTATAGAGACAAATGCGGGGAAGCGATGGCGGCAATGCGATTATCCAGAAGGATTCATATTTTCCCCACGCGGGGTTCTCCAGTCAACTTCGCTCTAAAGCACCCTTATCTCTCTTTCATCTCACAAAGCTTTGAGTCCTGCTGATCATGGAAGTTCCCCCTTTTGCATCGCTTCCCCTCGACCCCTCGCACCCCCCGCACTCGGCCTGGGCAGTTTGGGGTAAAGACGACGAATTGGGCACTCTCAACCATCTGACACCCGCTCTCGTCGTCGCTGCTAAAGATGAAATCCAAACTGGTATCCGAGTTGGATTGAATTGGCCTCTTCAACAGATGAGCAGACCCCCGCCTTTTCGAGATGTCTTGACTCATCGGATCGACTCGATTGGAGGGGCAATGCATGTGAGTTATGCATTATTTTTATTGGGTATGAAGCTGATGGTTTAGGATGATACTCTCCAATTTAATACACAGACGAGCTCTCAATGGGATGGATTCCGACACTGTGGCTATGAGAATGGGCTGTTCTATAATGGGGTTACCGCGAGGGAAATCCTGGAGAATACTACAGAGCGCATCGGAATTCATGGTGAGATATCCAACACCTACAGAGCAAGGTATATTCTAATGGCTTCAGCATGGTGCAAACAAGGCATCGTCGGCCGTGGAGTTTTGGTTGATTTCGCAGCCCACGCAGCGCAGAATAACATCCCATTCGATCCACTAGGAAGATCCGTTATCCCCCTGGCGACAGTCAAGGAGATCATAAAGCAGAAAAACATCACAATCCGCTCAGGGGATATTCTGATTATAAGATCCGGTGCGTCATGAGATATATGCCAACTTTCCCAGCTAAGAATCAAAACAGGATTCCTGCAGGCATACGAGAACGCAACACCAGCCCAACTAGACACCCTCATGACAGCCTCTCCCCTCGAGTATCCCGGCGTGGAAAACTCGATCGAATTTGCCGAATGGCTGTGGGATTCTCGGATTGCTGCTGTTTGCACAGACTCGCCCGGGTTTGAAGCTATGCGTATGTCCTCTCCCACCAATCCATTAAATCCATCACTCACCGTCATTTGGTAGCATCCAAAGGCTTTTTCCTCCATCCAGTCCTGCTAGCCGGGTTTGGAATGCCAATTGGCGAGCTCTTCGACTTGGAAGCTCTCGCTAAGCAATGTGAATCTTCAGAGCGATCTACCTTTTTCTTTACAAGTGAGCCGTTGAATGTCCGTGGAGGAGTTGCCAGTCCGCCCAATGCAATCGCCATCTTCTAGAAATCAAAAATAAGCAGATATCGGTCCAGGTGATATCGGTACTTAGCGGATCGATCTTAGCTCATGTATAAAATCTACACGAAAACAACATACTGAGTTGTTGAAAACATGAGTCGAGCTGCTGCCTACTAGAGACTCCTGTCTGATTGTGGCTGTAAATCATGGCGAGGGATCCTGCACGATGACTTCATTCTGGACTAGACAGCACAGCCTCATTAATAGGGCCAGTTCCCCGTAATTAAAACCGCATTCCCCACCATCAGCTCAATTGGAACCTTAATCCCTATTTCCAACCATCTGTCCATTGAACAGCAGAACCATGGCATCATGCACAGTAAGCTAAGCATTCAGAATCATGAACTCTAATCAAACGATCACCAGAACCCCAACTTCCCGCCCGAGATCGCAAAAACACACCGGAAAATGCGTACCGTCAAGAATTCCCCATCATTGGAAGGTTTCCAATCGCTGTGTACCGATGGAGTGCTACGAAGCTTTAGCGGTTCCCACGCTATCGTTGATGCTCTTCCGCTGAATGCAGAGGAGATTCAACATGCGGTGTACATATTCAACACTGCTTGTCCTGAGAGCCAGCATGAGGAAATTCGAAAGATTTTTGACGGCGTTGATGGCTCCAAGGTACCCCAGGAAAAGATTCTTCGCCCAGATGACGAAGTGCTTCCGGAGGAGGTTAGAGGATGTCCAGAGGAGAAGAATCAGGGATGAAGCAGTGAAACAATGTGATATTGACCTAACAAAAAAGAAAAAGCGCCTGTCAAACAAATATATCCATCCACCCTTGCCCTCTAGCCCAGCTTAGATGCAGACCTTCTCCTTCAGTTTCATGTTGTCCGGGATCCCACAGGTATGGCAGCCGGTATTCCGGCACATCGCAGTAGTGCCGCACGGTCTGCCCACGCAAAAGGGCTCGGTTCGCTTAAAGGCCGCACCCTCTTCGTTAGGCGACTGCTCCACGGCGGAGTGGTCATACTCATCAGCATCATCCTCATCTTCATCATCTGTCGCATTTTCCCTGAACTCCCTAGGCTTGAGATGGTCGGGCGGGTTGAAGAGGTCCTCGTCGGCCACGTCTCGGGCGTTAATCCCACCCCAGATACCGGTCAAGTGGCGTTTGACGGCCGGATCGCCGATGGCACGGGCGTAGTGGTCTGCGTACGCCTCCAAGTGCCGTGCGTGGAGTCGCGCCACGTCGAGAACGGCGCCGTCCCGCGAGTATGATCGGGCGACACCGTCGTCGGCGATGTGGACGAATCCGTCGTCGTGCTGGTTCAGACCGTGAATCAGGTCGCGGACTTCGACGTTTGCCTGTATTTGAATGGCGGTTAGCTTGTCTTGATGGGTGTAGGGAAGGTGTTGCGAACATCTGCAGATGCGTGGGCAATGCCCAAGGCAGCGAGAGTGACGAGGACGTTGAAGAATCGCATATTGTTGATTGTGGACAGAGAATTGATCAAGTGATTGATTTGGATTGATTTGGATTGAGTGATTGAGGGAAGAGTTGAAGCTGGTTGTAAGAAAACATTTACATCGATGGACATGAGGGTTTATATACACAATCAGGACTCATAGGATTCAGTACAAGCGACACAAAAGACCAGCATCGACTCCATCTCAAAGCAATATCAGCATCCTGGGCCGCGCGTTCTTCGCCCCAAGGATGGTTCCAGCTATATCAGCAACGATCGACATGCTGACCCAACACGGAACACTTCTGATGGCCACAGCCTGCGACAATCAAGCATAATCTGACCTTCAAAGGATAGCTCCCATAGTATAATTCCCTGTTTTGCAATGCTTCGATATCAGTCAGCGTTATGATGGGGATCTTCGTTGGCACTGATGATCATCATAAGTCTGACTGATATACAACAACAGCTACCAAAAGACTGGAAACAATAGACTATGCTTACAGATTAAATACCCAGTATATCGACTATCTGAATATGCTTTAGTTGACTTCTGCTTGTCAATAATGTCACCTTGTGATACTGAATATTAATAGCGTGATCTGCAGACAACCACAGCCCTGCTTATGGCCCTTCCACACAGGCCCCCACAATGATCGGCCTTGACTGACAGGCGTTGCGGGCGAATCAAAGCAACCATTACGCTTTGCGGTCCGGTATGATTGGCCCGTTCTTTCAAAAAGACCCACAAGGCAGACCCTGGCAATGCCAATCCCCAAATGTAAGCCCCGTTGGGGTCTGCACTCTACTTGTACAATGCTTAGCTATGACGTCTTGGCTGGATACTGAAGAAAGTATCTGCATCCATCCAATACATCCATGGGTGCCTGGGTTATGTCAGATTGACCTTGTTGGGTCTGTTGTTATTCTTATAATTATGATTGGAGGACCAGCCATTCTCAAACTGAGCTCGTTGAAATGTTCTCCAACAATGGATAGATAACTGGTGTCACATGCAATGGACTGTAGTCGAGCTGAGTAAATGGGTTATGTGAGACTTGCAATCATGGTCCACATCCTGATTGAATTTGGGGGTATTCAGCCTATCATGAACGTGAACAACTTAATGATCGGAAGGACGGACGTGTGATCAGGTCTGCTGCAGACATTGCCTATGCCTGATATACCTGTTTAAACCGCCATGTAGTGCTTGTTGCAATTGGTGGGAGAGCTATAAGCTTAGGTGGTCTCTACCTATTGCAGTATGCTGTGCGAAATGTTGTGATCTACTAACTCTTCCAGTTACTGATATAGAACTGTCAGTATGACTGCATAGAATATATATAACAGTAACTAGAGAATTGGATTTATTAGGGCATAGGGGGTTATGTATATATAATCACATCACTAGCAGTGTCTCATGTCCTGCTTAATATACCTGGCCTACTAAAATTCTCACAATCTGAGAAATTAATAGTCACCAAATTGGCACCCTTTCCTTCCGTCCAACGCATTCACATGGCCAGTTCAACTCAGAACCGTATAGTTGGACGACAACAAGCGGCAGTTCTTCGCCAAAGCAATCGGGGGATATGTGCCGCCTTCATTGGCAATGTAACTGTAGTTGTACGTCGGGCTCAACATCTGGATTTGCCCCACCGTCGAACCATACTTATCCGCCAGATCCTTGAAGACGCCCTTGCTGAAAGTGTACGGCTCAATATCACAAACACTCGGGGAGCACATGGGGATCTTGATGAATTGCCCGGCGGCAATGGTCTCGTTGGCGCCGTACTGGCTGCCTCCACCGCCGGGGCAGATGCCGTCAATGCAGGTGATGCTGGTGTCGCAGCTGTCGCCGCCGCACATGACGGAGTCAAGGGTCATGTTGAGCCGTCCTGCAATCTTCCACATCGTGTCGCCGTTTAGTGTGTAGTACAGCCGGGGACCGCCGACGAGGCAGTCGTTCGTTCCGGGTCCGTCGATGATGCACGATGTCCAGTCGGGGTTGCAGACTTGGCCGGGGATGATGATGGTTTCCCCCACGTTGGGGACGACGGATACATCGACCACTGTATCATGAGTATTAGCAGGGGTTTCTGGGTGGGCTGGATATGGGACTGACTGAGATTTGCGCGACCAATGTCACAGACGCCGCGGTTGAACTTTTTGGCGATCTCATAGACGGTTTGGTTCTCGACGCTGTTGACGTAGTTGAAGCTGGTCGTGTTGAGTGTTGCCGGATTGCAGTGGCTTGTGGCCTCTGCCGTGGGTGCCAACATGGCACCTATGAGGGAGGCAAACACTGTACTCAAGAACATTATGAATAGCGCAAAATGATAAGTGAATGACTTTTGACAAATGGCCTAAATGAAAATAAAAAAGGATTGAAACAAAAATGACTTTGTGCAAGAGGGGCGAGGCATTCAAATACCCCTGACTCGGGCTGATCACACCCATGATTCTTTGCTGATGGCTGCCTTCGGACCCATCTTGATAGCTTCCTGAGGATTGATCTTCAGCGAATTGTCTCACCTTCACCCCCATGCTAGTCTTAGCCTTGTCTACTGTAGACAGCTTCAATTCGTTCAATAGGACCTTCCACAATATTGTCTTCTGTGTTTTTCTATACTGATACTTTGCTATTTTCATTAACCATTCAAATGGTTATACCACTGGATAAGATGATTACTACACAAGCACATGGGCAGAGTCCCCGCCAGAAAATTTGATATTGTTTAAAGCGTGGGGCTTGCATGGATGATATTCTTTCAAGAAGTGGACTGCCAATTCAAATTGCAGTATCTTGTCTCATTCACAAAGATGACCTAGACTCTGGCTCTTCACTGCGTAAGCATTGAAAGAATGCGAGTGATTCCATTGGACATACAGAGAGTACAGAGGCAACGTAATCTATGTGCATTATTTCAGATGACGACTATGCTCCAATCGCTTCGGAAATAACGCAGACGAAGCTTTTTTTCTCTGAATACGCTTCTTGTACGGATAGGCTAGCCGAGTGATACAACAAGTCGCTCCACAATCGTGGGAAATTAAGCAGGGCCGGATAGATGCTTATCTCCGAGATATCCCACTTATTGAGGGGCTATTGGGGGTTTCGGAATGAGCAAACCATGCATCTCCATATGTAAAGTTGATTATCGGGGATAAAGTTGGATGGAGTGTAGAAACCGATGGGACTCGCAAAGTCGCCCCCGATTAGGTTGAGGAGGCTGTGGGCCATCTGCCAGATCCGTAATTAGAACTTCTCGGATTCTAGAAGATGATCGACAGGGAACTTCTATTTTGGGGTTGAAAGTCCGAAAGTGGAGCTTGACGGGCTTACGTTGTCTTCAACCGAGATATTTCTTATCCCCGACTCCCCACTTTAAAGTTGTACCATGAGAAAGATACTAGAGTATAGGTTTAGCGGTCGTGGCCAAGGCAGCATTTTCGCAACCTCCGTGGGAGCAAAGGATGTCTGGAAGAGTGTCAGGCTATCGGGTTTTTCCAATTGTCAGCGGATTCATCCCCACCTGCCCTGCTCTTCAGGAATGAACAGGCTATAAACTTCCCTCCCGCCTTGGGCCAACGTCTCCAGTTCTGCACACAAATCTTCTTTGCCTTACTTCATCTATAGCCACGAGATGCGAGTCTCTACAGTTATATCCTGGCTCGCATTTGGCGCCACCCTTGCCGCTAGCAAACCCGGCTGCCAGGGCCACGCTGGCAGGAAACCCAATGTCGACGCCCACTTGGGGACCTTTTTGCATAACCGCATCAGCCCCAACTACTCCGAGCTCTACATCGCGCAGCCAGACGGATCCAATGAGAAGCTGCTTCTGGGTTCCCAGTCTGTATACGATTTCCGAGCGAGCTGGTCTCCAAATGCAGACTACGTTTATTTCACCTCCGAACGACGGGGTGATGGCCAGGCGGATGTCTACCGCGTCGCCGTGAATGGCACGAGTACTGCGGGCAACAGGGTGGAACCGATGGCATTGTCGCCAGGGGTTGACGACTCGAGCTCAATTTCCCCTGATGGCAAGATGCTGGCGTTCACGACCAGCCGATTCAACCAAACCAGCCAGATCATGCTGCGTGTCTTGGAGACGGGTTCTCTCAAGAATCTGACGCTTAGCCCTGGTATCTCCGGTGCTGCCAACAATGCCGGTCCCAATGGGTACTTCAAACCCATCTGGTCCCCCGATGGACAGTGGATTGTCTTTACATCGGACCGCAACACGCCATGGCGAGGCCACACCGCTGGATCGGGCTGGGAGCATACGCAGGAGTTGTCCATCTATGCCTGTCGCCCGAATGGATCGGACTTTCGCCTGGTCTCGTCTCGTGCAAACTATACACAGGGTTCGCCTCGATTCTCCCCCGATGGCAAGCGCCTGGTCTTCTATGAGATGTTGACCGAGGATACGTATAATGCTCGCCTGCAGCCTGACCTGCTTTACGGGGATAACCTCAGCAGCAGCATTGTATCCATTGACTTTGCCACCAGAAGCGATCGTATCATCCACGCTAGCGGATCGGGGACTAGAATCAGCCCTTCCTTCGTGACGAACGATGTGATTGGGTACGTCCAGAAGCTGTCAGATAACAATGGCATCTACTACACGTCTATCTCGGGGAAAAACTACACGCAATATCAAACCATTCCCATGAACACCATGACACCCGCGATCCGCTCACCCACCTGGTCTCCGGATGGCAAGTACGTTATCTATGAAAAGCAGGGCCCGACAGGAGGCAGCACGTCGACTTCCAAAACCCAGTACTCCGAGCTCTGGAGCTTCGACCCAGACTGGGACTACCGATTCACGGATGTCTTCCCCATGGGATCACGAGGAGGGTGCCCGATGATGGCCATGTCGCAGCAAATGGAGGGCCCCGCCGAGAGCAATCTGATGCGACTCGAAATGAACGGTACGGGCCAGACCACCCTGTTCGAGACCAAGAAAGCCATGATCAACCCGTCCATTGCCGAGGGTTACAACGCGCGCGCCTACCAGGGGAGCTGGGGTCCCAACGATACCAACCTGACCTTTGGCTTTGGCGCATACTTTGTTGCCCGGCAAAGCAATCCGGGATTTATCTTCAGCGTTAATGCCGAGGGCTCCGACTTCACGGTCCTGGCCGGAAACAACATCACCAACTACGGGTTCCCGTCCTACAACCATGACGGCACCAAAGTCATTTTCCGTACATGGCCCGGCACTGCCTCGAATGGCACGACCGTGGGCACGATGGGCCTGGCCATCGTCGACGTCGCCACGAAAAAGGTGAAGCAGCTGACAACCGAGTGGGATAACCTGCCCGCGTTCTCGCCCGACGGCAGGAAGATCCTCTTCACTCGCCGTACCAACTGGAGCAATATCGGCGATAACTACGATATCATGACCATGAATCTAGACGGCACCGAGCTGGCCAACGTCACTCCTTCTCTGGCCAGTGATGCCCATGCCGTGTGGACTGCAGATGGCCGCATTCTCTACAGCACCGCCATGTTCGGATTCCAGCAGGAGGCACCCCTGTATGATGACTCCATGCAGCCGTATGCGATCATCATGCTCATGGAGGCGGATGGATCCAACAAGAGGGCCTTGTCGAACAGTTTGTGGGAGGATGCTATGCCTTTGTTTGCCCCGGCCCATGTATTGGCGGCAACCTGTTGAAAGTAGGACCTTCATGTGTATAGAATATTAGGCTAATACTATTAACAAGCCTTTTCTGGCGTTTATTTGCCATCCAGTCCATTTTCGCAATAAACAGAAAATATAATGAAATGGGCGAGAAAAACCTATAAACAGAAAACTAGTAATATCATCAATCTAGCACCCATTAAGACCCCTCTAGGTAGCTTAACCCTTTCAATACTGATAGAAACAAGTCCCTCATGAAGTCGAGCATATATATTACCTCTAAGTATTTACATAAAGTTGGTTCTATAGGTGTAGGTGACTAGATAGGTATAAAGATAGCTTTACAAGCTGATATAGAGCCCATTGGAATCTGGGTGTTTGCGAGCTTCAAGCTTTCTCATAAATTTTTACATTCTGATGATAATCATGAGAAAGGTACCCACTTAGCTGTAAGCATGTGCCAAAATAAGCGGGACCTAGAATTCTTACTGGTTTGTATAAAGGTGTATAAGGTCACACATGATGCTACTAGTAAGGAAAATGAGCATCAGTTGGGATAAAGTGAACTTGCTATTACTGATTGCCCGAACAATATTATATTGTGCCCATACAGTGATGCTAGTAAGTTGGCTAATATTTCATTAAAAAAAAAAAAAACTAACTTTAGTTAATATAAAAAAGTTGAAGTTAAAGACAATACTGATGTCATTCCATCTTGAGCCACTGCATCATGCGGAAATATCACGACTGACGACTCTATTAGTTTGCTCAGAGACGCTGATACATCTATGAAAATCGAGCCGTCAGTCCACACTATATCATCCACCGAAGAACATTCTGAAGACGGATGTGGCGAACCTCAGTCTGTAGAGAGAAAACTTCCCTGTTGGTCAGATCAACAGTATTCTTGAATAATCCTATCATTTGAAGATCAGTGCGATCGAATATTTAGAGGAGATTGGCAATGCTCTCAAGCTCTGTTGGGGTAGTGAGAGCAAAATAGATACAGAGAGCGAGTGTGATCCTATGAGCGATTCCATCCGAGCGGTGGATGTCTAAACGGAACCTGGGGCAATCCAGATACCCCCACCAAAGAGTCCCAATGGAACCCTGGTTAGTGCTCAATATGAGAACAACAAAATGAGGGACCTCATGCGGAAACTTGATATTGAACTGGCCAAGGCAGCCAATATTCTTTCGGCAAAGGAGAATTTCGATACTTCATCCGATGACGAAGCTTCTGTTGATTCATATTTAGAAGACGACAGTGAGCAAAATCCCTTTGGCAGGCTCCACTGCTACGTCAACTGCATGATAGATCTGGTGCTGATAATGGAGAAGCAAATTTCTTGCATGCGGAATGAAAGGGAACCGCTATTGATCTCTCAGCTTTATACTATAGATGAAGTCCTTACCATCAGGGCTCTAGGTCATCGAAATCGCGCCAAATTCATCACTGCTGTTGTGTATGTATAACGCTCCAATGTCTCCCGGAGCTCCAAGAGTGGTTCGTGATACTGTTGCTATCACATCTACCCTTTTTCCCGCGATACGTCCGCATAACGTTGGGCCCCATGACTGGTGATCGGAAGGCTCTTTGTGGAATTCGGAAAAGGCTGTCATGCCGTTTCAAGAAAGATTGGGCGGATCACCGATGTTCATTGGTGCTTACTCAGTTCTAGTCAGAGGGTCCATTGACCTAGCTCTGTGAGATAACCACAGAAGCCAGGCTGGAGGTTATTGGACGATTTCAGTTCTTATAAAGCGCACCCATACGGGTGTCTGGGCATAGATTGATGGTACAAGGTACTTAAAGGTGGCATCGTGATGGTTTAGGGATGGGAGAATGACGAGGGAGCAAGCTGTTCTGTACAAGACACTCCATAAGCAGTCAATATACTAGCCACCAGTCAGATATTTGAATACACATTTCATTCGCTTCTATGGATTATATCGTTACTTTGTCTATTCCTGTTATCAATTATGATGTGACATGTTTTATATTAGATTTGGATTTACAAACGATATTTAAATCATTTTTGGTCCTTCCTTTTTGCTTAGTTAATAATCTACAATTTAGACGGTAGGCTCATGTGTTCATATTCACTTCCTATCTATGCCTGCAATAATTATCCAAGACATAACAACTCTGACCACTTCCATCCATCACGACCGTGCAACCTTCAATTCTGCCATATACCAGTTCTGCATCGCGCGAATATCATAGCTCAACGCTACTGTGTCAAACACCCGCAGGTGCTCCTTGCTCAAAGCCTCCGTATTCGATAACCTGGCCACCCATTTCCCATGCCTCCTCGCAGCCGCCACAATCTTCTCAATAGCATCCACGAATTCAGGCTCATTGCCTTTGGCAGGAACATAACCGAGTAGTGAGAGTGCAAGGTCGTTGGGGCCGATGAATAGCATATCTTAAACATCAGCAATACGCATTTATACAACTTAGGTGTGTGTACCAACCAACACCAGGAACAGCACAGATGGCATCTACATTTTCCACCCCAGCTTTCGACTCAATCTGCAGGGCTGTGATGAGTGTTTCGTTGGCTGTCCGCACATACGTGCCCGTATCGACACCATGCGCGAGGGCAGCAAAAGCCGAGCCCTGGCCTCGCAGACCCTGCGGTGGGAATTTTGCATGCGCAACAACCGTCCTGGCTTCATCGGCTGTGTTGATCATTGGCACGACAATGCCACTATCAGTTTAGTTTAGCATGTAAAGGCAACTAGATGGGCATATATGAGGTACGTACTGAGCCCCCGCATCCAAAGCCCTCTTAATCAAATCCGCATGCGTCATTCTCAGCCGTACAAGTGGCGAGACGCCCATGGCAGCAATGGCGGCTGTGGAGCTGTGCATGGCGTCGTCGCTGATATGGCCGTGTTCGCAGTCGATGATTATGCCCTACACAATCATCAGTGGAGATTAAGTATAAGTGGGGGGAACCTGACATCCACGCCGGTTTGAGCGACGACTTGGGCTGTGCGAAAAGATGGAAGACCGAGAAAGGTCATGATGGGCTTTGCGTTGGCGCGGAGGGCATTGAGGAGGCGTAGTTGGGGGTTGTGGATGGTGGTTGTTGGGGGGGATGCCATGGTTGTAATTTGGTCTGGAATACTGCGTTGGATATAATTGAGCAGTGAGAACAGTAACAGAGGCAGATACATGAATACTTGTTATATGGAAATAGGGCTGTCGGGGAAATGGATTTATGCCGAGCAAGAAATCGAAGCCAACGGTGAAACATACAAGAACCGAACACTACAACACCAGGTTACGCATGGCGATCTAGTGAAGAGAGGACTGTGACGAGTAGTCTCTATTCAATCTGAGCGAGTTTTAAGCGGTAACTGTCGGTATTCATTGTATATCCACAGTCAAGTATATACCAATATTTATCCCTTCCGCTGCAAAGTATGATACCCCAACTTCTCCCTCGCCTCAGCAATCGTAGCACCCCCAACAATCAACCCTCGAATCCCATCCTCACTCTCCTCAATCTCTCTCGCAACCCTTGCCACCTCACGCGCTCTATCCCGCGGCACAATCACGACCCCATTCGCATCAGCAACCACAATATCCCGAGGCTCAACACGCACCCTCCCAATCCCAACCGCCTCATTCACACCTCCCACCTGGACCCGATCCTTGCCTGTCCGCATCCACCGTCCAGCCGTGTAGAGCGGGTAATCATCGGCAATGGCTTTATTCACATCGCGACATACGCCGTCAATCACTGACCCTGCGATGCCTCGTAGACCTGCGTATTGTGTCATGATATCGCCCCAGACGGTGCAGTCGGTGCGGCCGGCGTTATCGATCACGATTACGTCGCCGACGGCGACATCGTCGATGAAGTCACCTACGCTGCCAGGTGGGTTGCTGGCGGGGACGTAGCGGACTGTGAATGCCGGACCGACGGTGACCTTTTGGGAGTTGGTGAGTGGGAGGATCCCGTGTGCCTGTCCGGGGATGCCAAGCTTGTCGAGTGCGTCTGAGACGCCGGGGGTGTCGGAGTGCGCGAAGAGAGCTACGAGCTCTTTATCTTCGGGGGTGGCTTGTTTGGGGTTTCCCTGGGCTGTAGTTGCCGATGGTGTAGGTGTCCTGCGGATAGCGTCAAACTGCGTATCGTGCATAACCTGCTCCACAGGCTTACCAGCCTTCACATCCCTGACCATTCCATTCTGCCTCCGATCAATCCGCTCGCCCAAATCCAATACCTCCTCGATCCGATCCGCAGGCACAAACACCGTCCCACAGGTATCAGCAATAACATAATCATCCTGGTTAACGCTCACCCCCCGCATCTGCACCGGGGCACCCGAATCCACCTGCACCATCCGATTCCTCGCAGAGATCATGGTCACTCCACGCCCGTACACCGGATACCCCACCGCCTCACTCCCATCGATATCACGGCACATGCCGTCGATGACCGTCCCGCGGATATTCTTCACCTTGGCCGCGTTGGCGATGATATCCCCCCAGCAGGAGATGCCGTCGAGACCGCCGGAGATAACGAGGACGCGGTCATCGGTGGTGACGGCATCGATGACGGGGGTGAGGAGGTGGGACGTAGGTTTGTCGTTGGTCTTCGGGGCTAGGGTGACGGTGCTGGCGCGGCCGACGATCTTGGGACAGGACCAGAGGGGGCGGAGGCCGTAGGTTGCGCCTTGGAGGGAGAGGAAGTCCAGGGCGTCGGAGATGGTGTTGGTGTCGAGGGCGGAGAGTCTGGTTAGGATTGATTGAGTCATTTTGTTGGATGTGACTGAGATTGGTGTTGATGTTGAAGAGATGTGGGGTCTCGTTATGCCAACGGTATGTCTTTATATATTGGGTATCGGCGTGGTGAGGTTTTCCCGATTACAGACCAACATTTCAGATCAACCATTCCTACTATTAATACAGCCATCACATAGTGTCCTCTGGTGGATAGGCATCGGCAAAAAAACTTCTCCCCGAACTGCAGATCTACACTTCAAGAGGTTGAATAATACCCATACTTAACAGCTGGTCTGCATAATGACAGCATCAAATCGTATACCGAAACCCTTATCCTCCCATCCCGATCAGCCATATACTCGCCATCTCCCGCATTCGCTTTCCCATCATGCCTCTTATTCTTCATCTTCACCTTCCCCCATATACTCCAAACGTGCAAACCAAACACCCCATCGCCGCAATACTCAAAATACAATCCCCGTGTACCGACGATGATGAACTTGAATGCGCCGGCTGGGGTGCCGACGAGCATGGTTTTATCTTTGTAAAAGGCCAGCCTGACCCCTCAGTACAAGAGCCTTCAACAAGCAACCGTCTGGGCCCTGGAACTTTTAAGGGTTGTGTTAACATAAAATTAACCTAGTCTATTTTACTAGTCTAACTACTAGTAGCAACTATAATAGAATTCTGCAGTTTCTATTCAGCAAATAATCATAGAGTTATATATATTACTACAACTAATTTACAGTATCCTGCACTTTCTGCACTATCATGATGGTGATGTAGTAGATCACGGAAACATAGCTTATCATTCCGACATGTAGCTCATACCTCAAAATTCGGAGGGTTGTCGATATTTATTTCGCATCAATACCTGTGGAGGACCGGTCATTCCAAACAAGGCACCCATTCACGATATGATAGATATCTCAAACCCTCAATTTCTCAAAAACACTCAGCGTAGGGTTCCTCTTCCAAAACACACCTCTCACTTTTGTAGATCATCAACCAGATCATTTTGTATTCCCTGTAATAAAACAAAGTCTCATCAAGCGCCCCATTCGCCTCCATCTCCTCACGAATGAACTCCTTCATCCTAAGTATCAGCCATTGACCGGGTGGGGAGCCGTGAAAGAGTAGACTTTTAATCTTGTCGCGCTTGGCATGGCAATTCTTAATTCTTAGGCATGCTTGGATGGATAGGACAGAGTAGAGGCAGACATGAGATTCTGCTGTTTTTTCATCATTCCGGATATATCGGAGATAGTGAGCTGGGAAACTTGCTACAGAAAAAGTCCGTTATCTCCGGGCCCACGTACCCGTGAAAATCCCAGAACCCTAAGGAAGGTCCATGTGCTGCTTTTAAAAGCCACTTCATGTCTTTTAGCTTAGTTCAATCACTTCTCACGCAAGACTGCTATTCGCCCTCATTAAACGTCAAGTCCGCTCACAAGCCGTCTCAGCTTCATGCAGCCATTTCAATTCAAACTTTCCAACGATGGCGTCGTGACTGGTGTTCACTTCGTTCCGCCCTTATCGGCCTCGCGCGTCAGACACCGTCCGCTAGTGGTTGCTCTTCATGGTGGATGCTATGACAGCCGTTACTTCGACGGCATTCCCAAGTACTCCGCGTCGTTAGCGAGTGAGGCTTTTGGGGTCCCTTTCGTATCCATCGATCGACCGTCCTATGGGGGCACAAGTTCAATATTGCCTGTTCCGGAGGGGTCGGACTTTTACCAGGAAACCGGGACCTGGCTGCATCGCTATATTCTTCCTGCACTCTGGTCCGAGATTGGCGCACCAAATCAATGCAACTCGATTGTTCTTTTGTGCCACAGCTTAGGCGTGATGGGGGGGGGGGGATTATAGCTGCTGCTCTGCATGCGCAAGACGACAGACCGCGATACCCTCTTGCTGGCGTTATTGCTAGTGGCATGGGCAATAAGCAGTCATCTTTTATGAGGTCTACCGCTCCGGACTACATAAATGTAGACGCCGACCATGTGCTATTCCCTCCAGAGAAGAAAGACGCAGTTATGTTCAAACCAGGGACCACGGTCCCCGAGGTTTTGGAGCTGTGTGAGTGCCTTAACGCGGTGTCGCCCCTGCCGGACATATCTCAGTTTCCTGCTGCGTGGCTGCCAGTTTGGAAGGAAAAATGGGCTGCACAGGTGTCAGTTCCTGTTATGTTTTCCCTTGTGGATAATGACCCCTTTTTTGTTGCCGATGAAGAGGAACTTGAGATCTGTGTGCAGGCATTCAAGATGAGCGCACGGGTTGATGGGAGCTTGGTCAGAGGCGCCCCTCATTGCATGGAATTGAGTCATTGGTCGCAGGGGTGGTATGCTCGTTGTTTTGGGTTCGCGATGGAATGTTCCGCCAGTCTCGCTAGCTCAGCAGAGACTCGATAGCATGAAACCTCGCGCACCCGGTCGAACTACCTTCTCTGCCGGCTTTTTGGTGAGACAGGTCTTGCTTTTAATGCTCTAATGGACGGTTTCCCTTACCAAACCAACAAAAGTTTACACGGAGTACACGAGCATGCAATGCCTTATGGATTGGGTGCCTGATATTCCTGCGCCGAGGCCCCATGGGCTGGTGGCATTGGTCCCTTTTATGTTATATTCATCTTGTACATCCTGGGCACCACCTTGGCCTAAATCTAGCCTAGCCTGCTATATAAAGAGAAGCTTTAATATAATACCACCTAGATGATATCTTATGTCTAAGAGCACTTTAATAGAATAATGAGTAGCGCGCTTGGTGGAGGGAGCTAAAGAGCTTTACATTTATACCATTAGAGCACATCTTTTGAGATAGTTAATTTTTTCTTCCCTGATTCGAATCGTCATGTAACAGGCCTGGGGTGTGTAAGACGGTCCCTTTTTATATTTGGCTACCAGAAGTCTTAACGGATCGCAGGTTACTAAGCTTGGCGTGGTAAAGGTTGAACCAATCCGAGTCAAATCACTGAGCTCTCCTGAAACATCTCAATGATGTCAGCAAAGTCAGAGCGTAGATGATCAATGTGATGATCCGAGAGGTAGCGAAGATACGACCGCGGGCTACAAATGATGATAGCGACCAACAAGGGGTTCAAGTACCATAAACTCCTATTGATAGCTCGCGAACTTCGCAACAGAGTGAACCAAGCAACCGTCCAGTCTGGATAATAGCCAAGATACGTATGGAAGAATTCATTTACCTGCGAAGCTCCCGAAGCGACATAGTGGACCATCGTCTGCCAACTTTCTTATTTGGCTTTTCTAGTGTGTACCGTTGGCTTATGTGGTGAACTCCATTCAAACCCGCGCTACGTATGGCTATACGCATCTATGACAGGTAATAAACACGGGCTAAGCAATTGCGATTACGCCTCTCCACAATAAGCTGTGCCACAAGAAGAGCCTTCGGTTACTGGATAAGCGGCTTGGGAGACGCACGGAGCGGACCGGCCCGGCTTGAGAGTGACTTCCATTCTTGTTTAGAGTACGACAGTGGAAGCCACGGATACTACACTTGCTTCCATGGCACAATACGAAAGTGGACTCTGACTGGAAGCCTGGAGGTTTGTGTACAGCCTCATCTCATAGTAGATTGTGAGGGCTAGTCGAATCATCCCACTGATTGATTGGCACAGCAACTTCATGTAGGGCTCTGTCCAAAATGCCATCTACCTAGAAGGTAAATTACTGTTTTACTCTTTCTAGACAAGAGAAGAGATATGAAGAAACCAGCCACCTCGGCTCATGTAAGCTTTAAAAAATCTGTGTAGAATTTGGGGAACGGAAGTCAAGACGTCCCACAGTTCTGGCCAGTCCTGTTCATATCTTGTACACCAACTTCTCCATGCTGATTGGCTGCAAATGAGCGTCTTTCTTCGGATGAGATCCTGCCTTGGATACTAGAGACGAATTGCGGAGGACAGCGAAGCCGTCAGAAACTATCCGGTCCATACCCCCAGGCATGAGGCGAATGGGAACCGATTGGAGAACGCTCGAACCGGAGGTTGGTTCTTGGCTGATGTATTTGAAGAACGCAGCGGCGAAGCTCCTAGCTTCGGAATTAGCGGGTAGTGTTACACCTATGGACATGTTAGATGGAGCCAAGTTAGACAGCCGAGAAAGAATAATCTACCGTGATAGCCGATCTCAACTCCGAGGCCCTCCCAAACTGGACCGATGATAGGCTTGATCTTCAAGGCAGAAATGTCAAACCCGCCAATGGTCGGGGTCCGATAAGCAGCAAATCTACCCAAAGGGCTTAAGGTGCTTTCGACCATTGCCACTGTTGAGCCAACGGATACTGCGTCAACAGCGTACAACACGCCTCTCCCTCCTGTTGCCCCGCGGACCCTGTCTGGCCAATCGTGATGTCGGTAATCGACCAAGACGTCATACTTATACGGCGCTTCTTTTAGTGAGGCGTGCTTCGAGGCACTGGCGGCTCCGATGAGTCTGACTTTGTTGCCGGCCGTCTTTTCCGCGATACGAACCAGCTGCGCCGCAAAAAGCCCAACATTGGTTGTCGCGCCGTATATCAAAACGTTCACGGGCTCTTCCACATCTGCGAGCTTCTGTGTCCCATAAAACGGACATGGAAAGCCCATACGGTAGAAAAGGCCCTGTGCCGCAGTGAGACCACACAGGCTAATAGTAGCGGCGTTTTCCAGCGGTACGTCATCAGCAACTCTCCACGTCAGGTCAAAATCAGCCACAACATACTCCGCGTAGGCACCGGGGCGGTCATTGGCGGAGTTTGCTGGATATTGTCAGATGCGCTATTGGAATCAAAAGGGACAACACCCACCGCCTTGAACAAGTCCAGCGACGCGTGCGCCAATCTTCACCCGCGGATCTCCCAGGGTTTTGAGGTCTTCGCCAATTCTCTCCACAACCCCTGCGAAGTCTGTGCCCACTACACGCGTATCTTGGAGTGCGATAGGATGGTCCAGGTTCATGACGTCTACCGTGTTGAGCGCAACAGCCTCCACTTTGATGAGGATCTGCTTTGGCCCAGGGAGTGGCACGGTGACATCTTCCACAGCTAGATATTGACTCGCAGGCCTGAAAACCAGGGCCTTCATCATGTCGCCTCCGGCCATGGTACCTTTTGGTGAAATGGTTAATCTTGGAAGAGCTATTTTCGCGGAACGGAGTGACGTGAAGAATAGGGCAGTGTGACGGAGCGGACTCGTATTAAGAGTTCTGGGCCTCACGACTGGGATATTTAAGTAGTCTAAATCAGGGGCACGCTGCAAAAATGCTTTCCGGGCAGACCGCAAATCCTCGCAAGGAATCGCGGGCTGAAAGTCGCCCCAAGATACGCAAGAAGAATCTCCACGGGATTAGAAACGGAGTTAACGCGGAGTTAGGCTGAGGTTGTCTGTTTGACTGAGCTTTATCTCATACTACTAGGCATGGGTTACTGAGTGCCCCGCTTTCCTTATGTGTGTCGTATAATAATTTGATATATCTGTCGTAATAACCGTGTACTTGAGCCATTTACGGGGTATTTTTACCCTGCTAATTTTTTTTTCCAGCCAGTGAACTTCGAGATTTAAAGTATTCAATCTCGACTCCAGTGGAGTTTGACTGTATTACTAGGCCATACATCCTCAGCTTGCTCAGTAACGGGTTTAAGTTAAGGTCTGCAAGCTGGCAAAATTTGTCAACATGCTGTGGAATCTCACTTGACTAGTTCATTAGTTAGAATACTAACGTAACTCTCACTTGATTACTTAGTTTTCTTCCCTTGTCGATTACACAAAGAAGGAAGAGGTATTTTTGGGGATGATTTAAACGGAAAGTTTTAGACAAATGGCACTTTCTCAGCTGATTTAATACAGTTTCGGATCTCCATTTGCGTCTTTTGAATATGACGGCAACGACATGCTCGAGTAGTTGATTTCAAACATCACTCAAGCTGCGCGGGGCAAGCCCAACCCACCTTAAAAACATTTTGTGCTGTACTCCGTCCGTCTTTTACTCCATTAAATATCCGAAAGATAACGTATCAGGGTTAACGCTTCACTCCATAGTTAGGACACCTCTAAAGCGAACCTTTCCCGAGAGCATGTGCTCCAAGGCCTTCGGCGCATCCAACATGGGGAATTTCTCAATCATAGCCCTGATGCCGTGATCCCTGGCAAATTGAATAGCCTCTTCAGAGTCTAGAGCGTGGCCGCTCGCCCAGCCGTGGACCGAAGCCCCCGCCATGATGAGATCGATCGTGTTGATCTCGACATTGCCCACGGCTGCGAGAACGAGAAGCTTACCACCAGGTTGGAGTGCTGCCGTTAACGGCCCTATGGCCTTGGGGTTGGGTGCAGTTGCCACAACGAGACCCGCACCGCCCATGGCTTTGAGTTTGTCGACGGGGTCCTCGACAGCTACGTCGATGAAATCGTGAGCGCCAAGTTCACACGCGAAGGCCCTTTTCGATGCACCGGAGCTCAGAGCGACAGTCTTGTAGCCCATTTTGTTGGCATACTGGATAGCCAGGTGACCGAGACCCCCAACGCCCTGCACAGCGACGACACTGCCTTGCTCGATTCTCATTTGGCGGATGCCATTGAAGACAGTCACACCGGCGCACAGGAGCGGAGCCACCTCGGCAGGGTCGAGGTCTGAAGGAACACGTACAGCCGCCTCGGCCCGAAGCAGAGCATATTGGGCGTAGCCGCCGTCCTGGGACAGTCCATTGATGGTCTCATTCTCACAGTACTGGAATTGGCCGCGCTGGCAGGGGCGGCAGGTGCCGTCGTGGCCTAGGTTTCTGCTTGTTAGCCCATCTAGGAATCTGAATTTGACAGAGATTGTCCTACCACCATGCCAGGGTCCACCGACGCGCTCGCCTCCACGGTAACGAGTAACGCCCTCGCCCACTGCGACAACATCGCCAACTGTCTCATGACCCGGAATCCGGCCCCGGACCGGGCCATATTCTCCATTGGCCATGCCGGCGTCGGAGTGGCAGACGCCGCACGCGAGTACCTTGACGAGAATTTGGCCAGGACCCGGCCGCTTTAGAGCTAGATCCTTTAGGACCAAGGGCTCGCCGGCCGTTTCCACCTGCCAGGCCTTGTAGGTCGAGGGAATTGACATTATGAAATACGATCGAGAAAAGAAATTCCCACAGGATACGGTAATATCCTAGAAGTATTTGAAAGGTATCGACAGTGGGTGGATTGTGTGAATTCGAATATCCAGTTCCATGACCTGCGGATGCCTTTTATAACGTGGAACTCGTATTTTAATATTATTAAAACCGCCTGTCCACCATCACACATCATCACCATTTGTACGGATAGTGCGTAGGGGCTCGAGTATATTTCCATTCCGAGGTTACAGCAAGCAAGTTATTGCGTTCGACAAATGATGGTTCGAGCAACCGAAATACTTGAATTATACAGTTGAAGCAGAGGACATGTATTGCTTGGTATAAAAATGACTGCGTTTCCAGATGCCCGCTGGGCATGTGCCGTCCAATGAAATTCGGCTTGTAAGCAGCTTAAATTAGCGTTCAAAGTGGGGCGAAAGCGAACATTTGCCGGGGAACCATGCTTTTTACGCTTTTCGGATGTCATGACACATGGGTCAACTGCGTACATCTCTGGCAGTACGACAAAGACGCGACCGGCCCAAATAATCCCCCATGGACCAATTAACCGGAACCGAGGGTCAATATGAGGCTAAGACGAAATCTAGTCCGCCTGACTACCTGTGGAGTAGAGCCTTCAGAAGGTAAAGGACGTGCATGATCTTTTCTGAGAGGCAGCCTAGCTAACACGATGCCAATTTACTCATTCTGGTTTCATCCCACTGTCCAAATCTACTACCACCGAGCGTACCAAGGAGGACGCGAACGTGTTCGACTTTGGGCTAGACGAGGACATGAAAGCCCTGAAAACGGATGGCTATGCACCTTCCACTTGGGATCCTGCCGTACAGCAGGATTGAGACACGTACAAGGTCGTCGATCAAATTGTTAGACACGCAATGACCATCATCTACACTTGCCCGTCATTTGTCAGAAGCCTTCGCCATATAATTGGTTTCTCACCCCTCCGGACTCTCCAGTTATTCGTCGAAACCAAAATCTCAGGGCAGCCATAAAGAAAGACCCGCCATTTCCGAGCAAAATCCTCAGTAACCTCCCAATTTTTCGGATCCCATGGGGTTCCCCACACAAGCATTGTTGCACGGCTACTGCGTGTATCCCAAAATGCTGTGAGGTCATGGCACAGTTCATCATCATCTAAGCTATCTCCCGCGCGGATCAGGTTGTCCCTCATTTGCGGAAACGGGAAAATATCAAGCCACGGGTGGTGTGGAACTGCTCTCTGAAGTGGTGTCGGTCGTAAACTTTGAGGAATGCTATCCTCAGACAGATGTGGCCGGGCCAAACTAAAAATCGAAACAGTGTTGTCCTCGCACATCCATTCGATAGCCATGCCAACTGCAACCGCTTTCTGGTAAGCTGCACGTAGGACATTCAATCTGCTCAAATTGAGGAGCAGATCTGTTTTGGGAGACCCCTCCATGTACCTCGTCATTGCGCTCTTCTCGAACTGGGTCATCAATTTGTGTACATTTGGAGGTGCGAATGTGCATTGATGATGCTGAATGTCGGATAACCTGCACGTAATCGAGTCATGCTGCGTGGGTGCTTCGGCAGCAGAGTTTCCGGGCAGATGGCGTTGATCAGCGGGCACAGTAAATGCATTATCCGCCTGTGCTCCTTCATTGTCCCGGATACTCCGACGTAATCCTGCAGGCCGGAAAAAATGGAACCAGGTCAGTAATGGTGGAGATGGACTACCATTTGGGTGTCTTGGAGATCTCACGGTAGGCTCTCTGGTTAAGACGGTTTTGAACTCTCCGGCGCGCAGCGGGGTTAGTGACTCCTTTCCAGTCGTCATCAGAGACAGAAGCTGCTGACTGCTGCAACATCTGGTGACGTTTCCTCGAGGAGTCTAGAGCCATAGTTTCAAAGGCCCTTGGATGTTAAATCATGTACATGTGGTAAGTGCGTTCAGGCGTTGTACAATCAACGTTGAGAATGGGTAGGATTGTGCTAAGTTGGCCACTCCTAACTTTATATAAGACGCTTACTTCTAGATGATTATTGGCCGAATATAGACTTCGCCCCCACCTTTGCATGACGTTTGAAGTTAGCGCCCATGTCAACGGTCCACGGGTTAGCTTTGTGGTGGAAATTTTTGATGCCTTCAGTTTCGCACTAGTTCGTCTATTAGTCACATTGGTTAACACCTTTCCCGCAGTTTCTTAGCTGTATGAAGGCTCAATTGGAATGCTGGATTACTCACTAAATCGATCCTCTGAACAGGACGTTATTGATCAATGCCGTATCGAGCCCGAAATTCGTGTTTCAGCGTGTAAATTGGAGCAGCGTTCTGACATTTCATTGGGCTACGCTGCCGACCGTGTATCTTGTTCATCAAGCTATAATCCACAGGGCGGTGATCATACTCTAACTGTCATTGACATTCGAGAACATGTTCCGTTCGAAGTGGGCCACACAGTCTATCGTCAACCAATAACTATCCAGATGTAAGCGTTCTGCATGAAGTTAAAAGTCTAATGGAGCTCCCCTTATCTCCGCTAGAACACTCGCAATGGTTTCTAAGCATCCCAAGTGATATCGCGATGCTACTTTTTGCCCACACACGCTGGGATGATAAATCAAGATAAATGCGCGATTTTCCTTTGTAGGTACTATAAAACCACATGGTGATCCCTCAGCATGAAACAGAATTGCTCCTCATACTACCTGCTTGTCCTGCTGTTGCACCATCACACCCCCGATTACCATGGCGCCGCAATACACGAAGGACCAACCTGAGAGCTTCATCAATGCCATCCGAAATGTGGCAATCGTTGGTGTGCGTGTCGTGAATGTACTTTTTACTGCAATCAGAATGCTGATCATCCTACAGGCGACTGGACAAATCGGCAAAGTCTTCACCGAGCACCTTCTCAAATCGGGAAAACAGACCGTGACCGCCCTCACGCGCTCCGGGAGCGAGACCCAGCTTCCATACGGTGTAAAGAATGCACCAATTGATTACAATGACGAGGGAACGTTGATTGCGGCTCTCATTGGCCAAGACTTTTTGGTCATCACCCTGGCCTTGTCTGCCCCCCCGGACACGCATAGCAAGCTGGTCAGGGCTGCGGCCAAGGCAGGTGTTCGGTACATTATGCCGAATGCCTATGGCACTGACTTCTACAGCAATCCGAAGCTGCTGGACGATATACCAGCCTTGAAGTACATTCTTGCCAACGTGCAAGAGATCGAGGAACTCGGCATCAACTGGATCGCTCTTACCCCCAATTTTTGGTACGAATATAGTTTGGGCATCGGACCGTTCACGTTCGGGTTTGATTTCCCGAACCGGACGGCGACGTTCTACGATGAGGGAACCACGAAGATCCATACCACCACCTGGCCTCAGTGCGGGCGTGCGTTGGCCGCGTTGGTCAATCTCAAAAAGATTCCGGTAGACGAAAATGATTATTCCGTTACTTTGGCTCAGTTCTGCAACCAACCGATGTACATTTCTAGCTTCACGTTGAGCCAGCGAGAGATGTTTGATAGCATTAATAAGCTCCTGGGTTGGACCGACGATGACTGGAAAATTTCCTATCAACCCACTGCTGAGCGTTACAAGGAAGGGCTCGAGGAATTGGCAAACGGCGATGGAACAGGGTTCTTGAAGGCCTTGTATGCTCGCGTATTTGACCCAGCGGCCGGGGGCATCTTCGAGACACACAATAACGTGCTGGGACTACCCAAAGAGGATCTGGACGAAGCTACACTGGCCGCACACCACTGGGCCATTGCGCAGGCAAAAAGTGGATAGTGTCAGAGGCGGACGTATTCCAGATATTGAGGCAGATACATAGCGAGGCAGATCAGAATGAAAATTTTGACACAATGCTTTTAACCCCTGGGGCGGAGGCACAACCTATAGTGTATGATGAGTTGTATCTGCGCGAGCAAACCTGCTGGTTTACAGGGTTCGAGCCTGGATGAATACCGCCGTCCGAAATGGCTGGCTTTGGATTCGTCGCTCTTTACAAGGGATGCATCTCCCTTGACTTTGCTGTCGTCGTCACAACATCCTTCACGCGGAGAGCAGTTGGCTGAAAGTCCGATGCTATTCGTATGTCAAGTGGTTCCTCAATTTAGTAAGTATTTAGGTAAAAATATTTAGGTAGGTGAATCACAGTGAGAATTCCCCTAAAGGCTAACTAAATAGGGTGGTAAAGTGCCTATAATAGATTTAGTAGAGTTAGGTAGCCGCCACCATACTTATGCTGTTGTAAGTTTTTTTTTAATATTTTTGGTGCTAGTATTATAATTTTCTATCTATTGGTGTAACATCAATCATCATCTTTACCTTTTCTTTTTGCTTACTGGGCGCGGTTTTGCTGTTCTATATGACATAGGGAGTGATAAAGAGCAATAAAGATTTAATATTTAATGTCTCTATCAAACAAGACCTGCTTTTTTTGGGATATCTAATAAAGTTCACTAGTATAATACATCTGATGACAGGAGGAATGAATGTTCATCTTATAATCTAGATCATCTGGTGGAATGTAAAAGTCTTGCCACCCTGAACGGTAAAGCTCACTTTCCTGTCAGAGAGAAAGCCCGATGCACGGTATTTGGTCAATGGTTTCTTCAACGCCACAGGAAGAAAGACAGTCCCAGTCGTCCCCTCAGGAGCCTCGACAGTCATTCGAAACGAATCATCCTCACCAAATGACCAGCTGACATGAATCGTGCCATCAGTGATGGCCCGTTTCCCACGCGCCCAGTCAAGATCCATAACTTGAGGGGCAATCTGCCACTCTTTGAAGCCAGGCGTCACGGGCTGAATCCCAAGAACATATTTCGTCAAGTCGGCTGTTGGGCCCGAGCTCCAGGCGTGGCACATTGACGTCGTGGATCCGAGACCCGGCCTGCCGTCGGATGTCATGACCTCCCACATACAGCCGGTATAGTTGGTGTGCGCGGGGTCGCTCATAGGCCCCCAGATGCTGTGCAGAAGGTGTTTCGCGGTGACGGTGTCGTTTGCGTGAAAGGCGGCTTTGAGATGATACCCCGAGGCGTAGGGGCTGATCATTTGGGCCCAGCCATTTGCGGCGCTTTTGTTGGAGAAGGATAGGGCTCCTGCGGGTACGTATAGCTCTCTGGCCATTGTTGCGAGGAGGTTCTTGTTCGAGGCGGCGGTGTCGCTTAGTATAGCCAGGGCGTTTGCTTCTTGGGAGAAGAATTCAGCGTGAGTGTCGGATAATTGGTATGCCTGTAGAGAGTCACTCCATAGGTGCTCTTGAATGGCACTCTGCAAAGTCTGCAGGCGTGACGCGTACATGGTCTTGTTCAGACCTGCCTCATCCATAAACGGAAGCCATTGCTTGAGGGAATAGGCGTAGATAAGGTTGAACTTGGCGACCACACCACTCAAAGTAGGGTCATAGTAGTTCCAGTCTCCTCCGATTGTAGAACTAGACACGTTGAACAGACCACTGTGGAGGGTTTGAGAGTGAGCCCAATCCAGCATGCGAACTGCCTTTGGTGCCCAGCGAGCCAGAAAAGTAGCATCACCCGTCTGCTCGTAGAAGCGAGCCATGGCGCTGACCAGACTGAACGAATAGCCGATAAGGCCCGTCGTGTTTGCGTCGATTTCAGACGTCCGGGGAGACTGTTGGATCTTGGCGTTCGGCACGAAGAAGCCCGGATTTAGCTGGAATGAGCCCAGTAGCTCGATGGAGCCGTTGATGTATTCCTGGCCGTGGGTGCTGGCGAAGGCCGTCTCGGTGGTCATATCCAGGTCTCCTGCGTACGCGATGCGATCGCGACGAGAGCCGTCCACGCTGACTGGTAGCGGATTGGTTCCGAGGAGGAAGTCTTGCAGGGCTGATGCATTGGTCAATGAAGAGGAATACATTTGCTCTCCGGAGACTGAGAGAGAGACGTGTGTGAAAAGGGCCGAGTGGCCGAACGACGCGCCGAGACCAAAAGACCCGTAGAAGGCAGAGGTTTGGGTAAAGTCCAGGACTGTGGTGTTGTCGATCTGGACAGAGATATCGGTCATGTTGACTGTACTGCGAACAGTATGCCAACGATGCAGAGCGATGGAGGATGGCAAGGTGGCCGATGCAACAGGAGCAGACCGTTCCGTCGAGCCTACGTGGGCTGAGATGGAAGAATTGGCCATGTTGACGAAGATGTAGATGCCATTTGACAGAGTGTCGCTCAGAACCGTGAACCCAAAGCCATTTGACACAGCCTTGACGGAAAACTCCAACTCATAGGCAGTCAACATCGGAGACCAGTCGGCCGTGAACGGCTGAGGAGCCAGGCTGTCCACAAAGGCGCCTTCATCGGTAATGACCCAAAAATCGGGGATAGAATTGGCCGGAATCTCATTCAGCTGCGTGGTGCGGGCGCCATTCTGCCAGATGCGGTTCAGAACAGCATCAGAACATTCGAACGAGCCTGGGAGATCAGATATCGGAGTCGACGACACGGTAGGCAGCAAGCCGATCGAGGAGAGTTCGATCTCGCCAGCACTCGAGAGGTTCAGCTTCTGGTATCGCAGGGCTCCTTGGATCAAGCGGTTGGTATAGGTGGTTTGGTCTGTGAGGTTGTATCGGTTGATTCGGTATGTGTCCATGGCAGCGGCTAGTGGAAGAGGGCCATCTCCCTGTTTTAGTTAATAAATGGTTGAATCAAACATATAGATTATGACTTGCCATTTCACTCTCGACCAGAGCACGAGTTTCGCTGTAGGTCATTTCAAAGACAGAAGTGTTGCCAGCCTTGTGGGTAACGTCAAAGGTCGCATATCCCTCCACATTCTGTCCGTAATCGAGAATGATAATGGAAGGAGTGCCATTGGAAGACAGCTTGAGAACAGTGTTCTCATTGTAGGGCATTCGATCTCCATCAGCGGTTGTATAGGCTATGGGACTGTACTTGCAGGCAAAAGCCACACTTGCGTGTAGCCCTGCCATGAAATATTGAAGTTTCATTGTGGCTGGTTGGAAGGATTTGGAGAGTCTATCACAGTCGAGACGTCTACATGTTTATATATGAATTAAAGTACGAGGATACGAGCATCCGAGAAAGTTGTAATTATATATGGACATGGTGGAATGATACGAGTATACGAGAAGTGTTCAAGACTCCAAGTATGGATCGTACCAGGAAAGACGTCTAGAAGCCCCTTAATTCCTAACCGTTGAATGTTAAAAGCAGAATAAGAGCTAAATTTATCAGAAATAGCCATCTTATGGTTCTGACGGGATTTCTCCGGGCCCACCGTGGCTCCACGGTTCGTCAGACTTAAAGTGAAGCTGTTGGTTCGCATTCTCGCATTCTCGGTTTCTCGCATTCTCGTATTAGAGATTTCATCCTGAGAGGCAAATGGTTCCAGACTATGTCGATTGCACTGGGCCATAAATAAATTGATAGAATCCCAAATCAAATCATTTATTCAAACCATCCATTCAAATAATCTATTCCACTGCATCACCATGTCTTCCACGGGCGCAATTGACTTCGCCCTCTACCGCTATACGCCCTCCATCCCAGCAGCAGCCATCTTTGCCGGCATCTTCTTGATTCTCGCTATCCTACATCTCATCCGACTGACTCAAACTCGCACGCTCTTCTTCATCCCCTTTCTCGTGGGTTTACTATGTAAGAATCCCTCAAATCCACATCCAATATAACCCAACCTAACGAGAACTAGTCGAATGCGCCGGCTATGTCGCTCGTATCTTTTCCCACTTCGACACAATGGCACTGGGCCCCTATATCGTCCAAACCATGCTCATCCTCGTCGCACCCCCGCTGTTCGCTGCTTCGATCTACATGACTCTGGGCCGGTTGATCGTCACGCTCAACGCAGAAGATAAATCCGTCATCCCAGTCCGGTTCCTCACCAAAATCTTTGTCGTGGGTGACGTTATCTCCTTCCTGCTCCAATGTGGAGGAGGTGGCTATATGTCCGCTGGATCCCTCTCTGCCATGGATACCGGCGCCAACATCGTGATTGGCGGTCTAATCGTCCAGCTCATCTTCTTCGGATTCTTCGTCTTTGTCTCTGCCTTGCTGCATTGGCGATTAAAAAAACAACCGCAGTATACCCATCTCTCGCACAGCGTGGGAGCATACAATGTACAATGGGAGTCCCTCATGTGGGCGCTCTATGCGGCCTGTTTGCTGATTCTGGTGCGATCGGTGTTTCGGGTCGCTGAATTTGTAGAGGGCAATAGCGGCTTCATCATGAGCCATGAATACCTCTTGTATATTTTCGATGGCTGCCTCATGGCGTTGACTGGGATTGTGTTGCTCGTTGTCTATCCGGGCGCTTTTTTACGCGATGAGAGGAAACGGGAAAGCCAGGTTGGACTCACCACACAGGCCAAGGTTGAGACTTCGTCAGTTTGAAATTTTTATTTTATTTTTTTATTTTTTTATTTTTTTTCAATGTATATATTTAGACTTGTGAGTTTTCGAATATTTGGCGTTTATTATGGGGCTATAGATATAGATTGCATATATTACAAAAATAGACTACAGTGCATAAATAATAAACTTTACCTGAAAATCCTACCTTGCCACCCGTGACCTTCTCTCCATCATCCACCATGTCGCGTCGCGCACCTCGAGCTTCCACGAATCCCATGCCAGCGTCATCGAAGTACCACCGTATTAGCCACACCAAGTCGCGTCGTGGTTGTTTCGCCTGCAAAAGTCGACGTGTGAAGGTAATCCCCATACCCCCTTTGTTCCGAATATGCCCTAATCGCGACAGTGTGATGAAGAACAACCAATCTGTGGTGCCTGCTCTGTCCGGGGCGACGAATGCAATTATCCGCCTGCTCATGAGACACGGAGAGGGCCTGTTCGTCGCGATGCAACATCTGATCATGGAAGAAACCCGGGGTTAATACCACCAGAAGTGCATGCGATTCCCATCCGTCCGCTGGATTTTCACGTGCCCCGCACAATATCGACACCAGATCCAGATCCCAATGGCGAAGCCAGGGAGAGCTGGACCATGCACGACATGAATCTCCTGCAACACTACATCTTGCGTACGTCGAAGAAGATGAGTTTCAGTCCTGGGAAAATCTTGGTCTGGGAGTGTATAATTCCAGATATCGCGGCCAAGGACACGTTTCTGATGCACCTGCTTCTGGCATTAGCCGGGCTGGATATCTTGACAAGCAATGATTCTCGGAGACGTAACATATCACACACAACCGAGCTTCACGCTCTAGTTGAGCATCACCAGAAGGGTCTCCAGGGACTCCAGGAGAAACTGGCGACAGGTGGGGATGCAAATGCCGAAGCGGCATTTGCTGGGTCAATGCTAATCGTCGCTTTTGCATTCGCATCGCTCGGAATCAGCAGTCTCTGTGTAGAACCACAGATATCACAGCCCTTGGAAAAGCCTCAGATTCACTGGATGCGACTTGTGCGCGGTATTACATCCATCGCGCAGCAGTTCTGGGTGGCTCTCAAACTCAGCCGATTAAGGCCTCTGTTGCAATACAACAACGCCAACGAAGACTGGAAGCTGCTTGGCTCAGAACCCCCGACCGCGCCGCTTAGAAGTATACAATCGCAGAGTCTTTCCGCATTTGCACTGGGTGCGCGTCAGGCCATTTCAAACCTCAGGGGGTTCCTGAGTACTCTGCGAGCCACAGTCACATCTGGTGATTATAACACAGCTCCGTCGCCAACATCAAGCACCAGTCCGGGATCCAATGGAAACCCAGACCCTGACCAGCTTTTCACGGCACAAGACCATGCCATCACCGTGGCTGAAGACTTGTACATGCGAATTCTGTATGTGCTTCACCTGCACCGAATCGAGCCATCGCCCTCCCATCACGACATCCAAGCCGAGATGGAAGACGCGGCTATTTCATCCTGGCCGCACCTGGTATCTGACGCGTTCATCTCGTCTTTGGATGCGGATCATAGCCCTGATATTCCAACGGGCTTTTCCTTTGCCATTCTCGCGCATTTGTACCTTCTTCTTACCTTATTAGACGGTCTGTGGTATCTGAGGGGTAACTTTCGGATAGAAATCAAGAAGGCCAATGCATTAGTAGCGGAACTTGACTCGCCGGAACTAGCTGGATTGATGGCTTGGGTGATGGATGTTGTGGGTTTACAGGTGGATACCTCATAAGAGAACTTATAATCTGGAATAACCCTATATTTGAAATGTATTTCTGTTATATCTACTCTTTTCTTTCCATACTGGTGAAGGTATGCTATATTAATCCTAGGTTATAGAGATGTAATAATATGTTTACTGCCCTCTTAGATCTTTTCTTTCTGCTCACTGGGCGTTTTTGGTCTGCCTTATCAGGCGCGCTGATTATCACATGACCCCCTGTCTATATCCCCATCACTCCAAACAAACCTTCGCGTCAATCACGAAATGACCGCGTCTGCTGTTGCAGATTATCCTCACCCTTCTTCAAGTATATTCTTGCAACAATCAACACACCATGGACAAAACCAGTACTCGACAACCTTTGCCCGATCAAGCCTCCCGAGGACCTCCCAACTCGGATTCTGAAAGTAACACAAGCACCAGCTCTGGAGGCAGTGAAGACGACAAAAAAGCCTCCAGTGGCGATGGAATCTGCCCTACGCTAGAAGAATTTGACGCATGCCGTCAGATGAGCTACGATGCGTGGAAGCTTGCGGCTCTCAGCTGTACACCTAAGCTCAGCAGTTCCATTGATATTTCTCTGGATAAATTGTCCAACGTGCCTCGGTTTTACCACAACCCTCCACAGAATATCCATGTGGGTGGCAGAAGCAAATCCCCGCTCATTTTAAAATTATCCTTCCAGTTGGAGACAACACACGATGACTCGTGCGACCGACGGTGGAAGTCTATTGATTATCTCCAATGTATAGGATTTCCGTTATCGATGATTCCGAAACTAAGGCCATCTGATTCGGTTATTCCTTCAAGTCCGCGAGCAGGATATCTTACAAGCATAACACTAGCTTGGTCTTACATCATTTCCTGTCGCTGGGTTGAGATACTTCAGAGTGCAGGTGAGACATGTGTCCTCTATTCGAAAGATATTGGCTTCTGGGAAAGAGTTACCCAAAGCTGCTGGTCAGCTCAGATTACTCGTGGAAAGAAGGGCTGGTTCTGTCCTTGGATGCTGCAACCAGAAACCATTGATAATGATCAAAGGTATGATTTAGAAAGACTTGATAGTAACTAAATTTACTGATTTGAATTGCCTTTAGAAGTGACTGGGTTCAGACACCACCGGATTCCGCGCTGGCATTCGATATTCTTCTCGAATTCTGTACCTCGGAGCAACTAGAAGACGAATTCTTGATCGGCTTCGCTACGGTACTCTTACTTACATCACGTAATATGCCATTACCGAAGATGGAACCACCTACAAACATATCACGACCCGTGGCTAATACAAGGAGTAACCCCAAGTTGTCCAAGTTATTCGAGTATCTTGACAAATATATGACTCTCAGTGCTACCCAAGATGCACTGGAGTCACTACTTTGCAGTACTTTTTTCGACCCTAAGATTCCTTGCAATCTTATCGGTGCTGTTTCACTTGGGATTGAGCAAGCTCTTTTGAATAACGATGCTAAGTATAATACACTAATTAAAGCCGTCAATAGATCACCATTTGGCTTCATATGGAGTGCTGTCATCCACAATAGCCAAATAACATCTCTACTCAAATTACTATTAGGACAACTGCCACCAATCTGTCTTGTAGCCGGTTTTTGGACAAACACCATCCAGTCATTTCTTCAGGTCACTTATCATCTCCAGCATCCCGACCTCATATCTCGTGCTGAGGAATTCGCTATCTCATTCTTTTGTCGAGATAATAAATCAGTGCCATGGACACCATCTCCGCCGTTTGGCAGGACTCATGTGGGAAATTTGAGCCTTCACATCAGATCTCACTACCAACACAACCATAAGCCCCGATCTTGGACTAATAGGTGGATCCTACGATCTGGGGAGAAAGTTCTCATCAACTCAGCGGATGTAGAAGTCACTATCAGCTCAACAGAGCAGATACCACCATCTATCCCTTGTCTACATCACAATCATACTGATAGCGTAGACGAAGAGTAAGACGTTATCACCATAGGACTATATACAGGTGACAGATTGCTAAGTATAGGCAGGAAACCGGCAAATTATCAACTTGCCGAAGAGCAATCATGGATAGCGACATCTCGACTCTTCAACTGGCATCGATACTATGACGATGGGCTATGGCTAGATGATGGCACGCATAATATAGAACACATTCGCCATCTGCTGCAGCACCCATGGATTGTTGACCCTTTTGATGATGATGAATCGATCCCTCTAGACAAGGTTGAGCGCCCGAACCCACGTGAATCGATATTAGAGTGGATTGCGCAAGTCACGCCATCCCCGGATATTTGACTGTTGAGAGGGCAAGAAGGGCTCTAGTATTGCAGATGTTGATCGTCTTTTGGTGTAGATAGGGGGCTATTCGGTGTGTCTTTGTTCAATATATTGGTCAACGTAGAAATATGGTGGATGTAAAAGAAGAGAGATAGATAGATGCCTTAAAGGCAGGGTGTCACGTTTGGTTAGCTAGGTTAGGATACATGGCTGCGCAGTTGCTCGATGTCTGCTCGATATCAGAAGTTGCAGTAAGTCCAGTAGGGCATTTTTACGACTCAACGATGGCATATCCTTTACTACAACTACTGTACATCTAGTCCCTCACGGTACAAGATGGTACAACCTCTAGTTCACATCCAACCGTTATCCCAAATACGTCATCCCCTTTCCTGCCTCATACATCCTCTAGCCTGACAAACCAGGCCAAAAAACCTTAGCAACAGCAAACAGATAACCCAACTTCGAGTAGAATCCCTCAACCTCGAGGTAACTGGTCCGGCGGTTAGTCACAGGGCGCTTGCGCTCTTGGGGCTCTCTCAATGTTCGCAGGAGTCCGGGTTCGAGTCCCGCTATACTCGTTGTAAAACCGCCTGCAGGTTTTCGTATCCCACAAAGTCTCTTGCTAGCACGGGTAGCTTTTTTGCTGGTTTGATATTCTGATGTTATGCTTTTGGTTTGAGGTATGGTGGAGGTTTTTTTACTGGGGATATGAGGGTGTTTTTACTGTGTGGTAAGTGATATCCTCTTGGTGGTGATGGTCTTGGGCGTGATGGTGGTGTGTGGTCCTGCTGGTGAAGCTATTCGGAGCGCGGTGGTGCCTGGCGCTTTCCTGTTTGGTGGGATGGAGATGACGCTTCTCAACAAGGACACTTTCCATATTATTATTCTGTACGATCTAGGAACATAGCCAAATTCATGCTCAACTTATTGTAGATATCGTATTTATTCACTATTTGAATATCAATGTTTACATAGTACCTCCGTGCATACATGGTGGCTCCACTTACATCATAGTGGAGCAGCCCTACAACACCTTAATCCAAGCTCCACGATATTGAAGCACAGGGAACATGAACTTTCAACAATGAGATGGCCACCATTTATTGATGATATTCCATCAGAATAATAATTTCAAATCCATCCAGTCCACCCCCTACTCGTCGCCTTTTGCCATACCCCCAGCCATCCATCCCTATCCAGCCATGCCATCCAATGCATGTCGTCATCAACAGGGCCTTCACTCGATGGGGCATCAAGATCATGAGCTGGACTATAGACATTTATAGGACGACATTCAGTCCGAACTGAAGAAAGACCATCGAATTCATCGAACTGAAGAAACAATAATGTGCGTTGACCTTGGCGCCAGTTCTGCTCTGGGCAGATGAAAAGAACCTGGCCATACACCTTGTACCTTTTGACCATACCGGGTATTTGTGGTTCGTGTCCTGGGAGTGGGTGGACCTCATCACGACCCCTAGGTTCAAGTGTCTGCCTCAGCACCTCACCCAGGACAGGGTCAGACATGGGAACATGGGCATGGACCGTCACCAAATTCGGAAGGCTTGCCAGCAAAAGAGCCATAAGAGACCGACGATCCTTCTTCGCCAGACTCTCTATAATCCTCTGTTCCAGATGTCCAATTCCAGCATCGTGTATAGCCCTTCGAACCAGCTCCACCTCATCCGCTGCAGGCCGGAAATCACCGCCTTGAACTGCAGCTTTCGGGTAGAATCCCCAATTTCCAATCTTGAGTGTCTGTACTCGTGCTGCTAAATGGGGATTCTGGCGGACTGTTCTGAGGAATTTCCACAGTGTCCTAAACGTCTGTCGTGCGCCATTAAAGGTTCACTGTAAGTAGATCCGGTTGACTAATGCTGCGTACCAGTTGCGGCTGAGGAGCGAAAGACTGCAGAGTCTTTGGGCATCAGGCTCCTCGGCGGTCAAAGCATGATCCGGCACAAGATGAAAGAGTTCCTGGGGCAGGTCTGCGGGATTGGGCATGTTGTTTTTGTGAGGAAGAGGAAGACAAAGACAAAGAGGAGGAGGAAGAAGAGGAAGAAGACTTCCAAGACAGCTTCGTTTCTGGGCGCCAAGACTTACTCAGACAGTCAAAAGAGGAATCAACTTCATTTCCAGGCGATATAAAATAGTTATACAGAGATAAACGCCCCATCTAGAGTATGCAGAAATTTATAAAACAGAAATCAAACTCCATGCACCTCTAAGCTAGTATTATCCTAGGAGATTTCTCTTGCCAGAAGAGTAAATCCGCACAAAACACGAATAAGAAACAAAACAGAAGAATAAGCCACACACTATCACGCTTCTTCCTCACTATTTGAGATCATCTTTGAGAGAAGTGACAAAGGTCCGGAAATCAGTCACTCCAGCCTCCCATTCCTTGCCCTCTTGATATTGGCTGTTGCAATAGTCAGCTATGTATACCATCTCAGATTAAGATATCAGACTTACCATCATTGGGAGATTTAGTGAGCTTCTTAGTTCTCATAATCCCCACCCTCCTCATCCTCCGCATCTTCATTGATCTCATCATCCTCATTGGCATACCCCTCGTCGGACACATCGTCCTCTTCAGCATCGCGCTTTTCGACCGAGTCAGATTCAAGGGTATCGTCCTCATCGTCCTCACCCTCGTCAGCGGTCTCATAGTCCTCATTGGTATCATCGTCCTCGCCGGTCTCGACGTCCTCCTCATCATCGCGCTTTTCGACCGATGAGGCGGACTCATCCTCATCATCCTCACCGGTCCCCTCATCGTCATTGGTCTCATCCTCTTCATTCTCCTCATTGTCCTCACCGGTTACATCGTCTTCGCCGGTCTCGACGTCCTCCTCATCATCGCGCTTTTCGACCGACAAGTCGGACTCATCCTCATCATCATCGTCATTGGTCTCATCCTCTTCCTCAGCGGTCTCAGCGATCTCAGCGGTCTCACCGTCGTCATTGGTCTCATCTTCCTCATCATGATCGCGCTTTCCGATCGATGAGTCGGAGACGTCTTCTTCATCGTCCTCTTCCTCCTCTTCCTCGTTCTGATCGTCCTCATCATCAGGCTCTTCGGAGCCCGACACATCGTATTCCTGCGAGTCATCGTCACGTTTTGTGGGCGACTCGCTGAAGTCCGAGATATCGACGCCATAGTCATCATCGTCATCGTCACGCTTTTGGGGCGACTCGCTGAAGTCCGAGATGTCGTATTCGTAGTCATCTTCGTCGCCCTCGTCGTTTTCCGACACATCCAGCTCCTGGGCAGCAGAGCCGGAATAGTCATTGCCGGTCTGCAGCTCATTCGGTGTGGGGATGGGACTAGCGCCAACACCGACAGAGAGGGTAGCCAGGAAGGCGGAAAAGACGATTGAGTATCTCATTTTGAATGGATGGTTGGATGGGTAATTGATGGATTGAAGTGTTGTTGTCGCTGTTGCTGTTGCTGTTTTGCTGTTGTTGTTGATGAGAGACTGATCGACGAGGACAGAAGCTCAATTTATATCTTCTTGTTGGGGGTTTTCCCTCATCTTCGTGCTAAGAAGAGGCAAAAACGTCGTCTCACGCTGACAGCAGGACCCTTAATTTGCGACAAGTTTTGTGATGGTTTGAGACGGTCGTGATTCTCGTGTTTGAGGATTCAGGCGTTACGCTGACTGTACGGAGGAGGAAAAAAGATAAAGCCATTCGCGACACATGGTAAGCTTGATGAAACAGAAAGGAGAATAAACACAGTCAGCTAGAAGCTCCCCTGCTCGTTTCGCTGCAGGGTCTAGCTAGATTTCCCGGTGAGATTTTAGTATGGGGCCAAATGTGGTGATCACTAGGCATATAATGGCCTGGGCAGTCAGCCTCATGATTAATCAGCATAATCAGGGTCAAGAGAATATGCGAACTTGATGGATTATTCTCACAATCTCCTTTTCTGATAATATTTTAGCATTGGGGTCTGAGGCGATTGTCAGCCTCAACAGCCGCCGCCAGAGCGGGGCTTCTGTCACAGCCACGATCATTCACAGCCTAATCTCAACACCTCACTTTCTTTCGATGTTTCATCTTCTCATAGCCTCACTTTTGCCTCTCTCATCATCAATCAGATGGATCCAAAAATCGAAAATTGGATCCAAGAGGGCCTCATGACACCCGAAGGCGTCCTCAACTTTCTCGCCCAGAACTTCGCTGAATACCACTTCTCCGACGACAAAAAGCTACAACTTCGAAAGATATTCGACAAATTGTCCACTGATGACAGGCTGAATGAGTCAGGGTTTCTCTCTCACCTGCAGAGGAAGCGTCTCCTGCCTCCCCACCTGGCAGGAGCAGGGCCTGTCCTCTATCGCGCTCTCCTCTATCTGTCCCAATTTCCCTTTGACCAGAAACCGGTTAAATCATTGGCCTTTAGCGGACTCGTCCGGGCGTTATCCTGGACTGATCTTGGAAAGTTCCAAAAGGCCAGCGGTTCAGGGTCCAACACACGCACCAAAACACCAGCCGACTCTCGAAGAATCATCTTCCAGAGTCTAGCACAACCCGCGACGGCGCAAAACTCCCCTTTGACGTGGAAAAGGCTCGAAAAGAGTCACACCGAAGAGCATTCGAGCTAACTCCCGACCTAGAATTTATGTCTGAGTTCCTCGCGACGAACCACGATCACGACGGCGATGAAATGTTCCACGATCATCTGGATTTCCTGTACGAAGTGCAACAAGTTGAGCTAGGATATGGGTCTATCCACAGAGATAAGTTTAGACCTTTGGCTAAACAGTTTCACGGGGATAAGGCGTATCTACATCATCTTACCATCCCGCAAGATGAGTTTCGCGAGTTTATCAAATTGACCCTGTTTGGTGGTTTTGGTCGTGCTATTGCTCCAATCGAGCAGATTTCGGATTTGGATGCTGTTGCTAATATCGTTGTGGCTCCGTTTATCCAGGATCCTGACATTATTGGCATTACGTGGGATATGTTCGACCATGCCTTTCGAATCACGGTATCTCTTTCTTACTTCATATCCTTTCAATGGCTAATACATGCTCAGCCCGGTTTATTCGATGCCATCGCCCGCCTCTTCTCAACCGTCTTCTACACACCCCCAACTGAAACAATCCCACTCTCCAAACCAGGCAAAATAGCCACAGTCCCCATTCTCTCCCAACTCTCCTTCCTTGACTGGGACATCGAAGAAGCACTCACCTTCACTCCCAAACCCTACAATCCCAATACAACACAACTCACAACAAACAACCCTTAAAGACCAAATAACAATCTCACCAACGTCTCTCCTTCTCCTCTTCTCTGGAAAAATAGCCAACACAGGCGAAAAGATACTCTTCGGCTACGCCATCCCCTATCTAGCTATAACCTTCTGGCACTGTCCGTGTCTATTCCAACTAAGTCCAACATATGATGTCTTCCGCGCCAGCACCACCGAGGTCCCGAGATTCGCGGAGGAAGGGGATAATCTCGTGCTAGGGAAGATTGGGAATAGAGTATCCTTGAAACTAAATGAGGACTGTGCGCGAGTGACTCTTTCTCATTCTGTGTCAGGGCAGAAGGAACCTTCGTACGTTGCAACACAGGCGAGGGGGGACTGGGAGGTTGAGGTTGAAGTCGAGGAGATTGAGATTTGGACTAATGATCTGAATGTTAAAATGAAGTAATGAAATATATAATCGGTATCACGACTTTACCATCAGCCCGCGTTGTAAGGTTTACCAGCAGAAGACTAGTATCCCTTACCTAACTATATACTATATATATAACAATCGTCACTCGCATGGTAACACTACATACATACATCAAATACTACACTAAACCTGCAGCATTAGAAATCGAAGCAGCATGCAGATTACCGAAGATCCTACTAGACAAGCAACTATATATATAAACAGCACATCCATACTCTCGAAAAATCCCCGGGAAAACAAACAACCGCAAAAAGCTGTTGAATAATCCTGTTCGACTAAAAAGGTGATCGTCATGATTAATCTTGATGGAATTAATATTTCAAGAAAAGAAAACCCACGTATACAAGCTACTGTACATATGCAGTACGCACATACAAACTACTGTAAACTAATAAATTCTCGATCCTCCCAAGAACCGCGATCGTCCCAAAATTCAATACTTTTAGTAATGACAGCCAACGCTGCAGACACTAATGCACCATGTAAGGGGTAAATAAAAGAAAAGAAAAGTTTTTTTTTTTTTTTGCTGATCACAATTCAAATCAATAGTCAGCCAATATCACCTCGGCTATACATAAGGTGACACTTGGCAGGATAGCTATTTCCGGGCGATCGGGTGTTGGGAGAAACTATGGAAGTTTAAATTTGGGCGATTCTTCAGTCGGTGATTTTAAACCGATTTGGAGGACTAGGGAATAGGGAGGCATATTCATGGAGATAGTATTTGTTTGGCTCTGATTTTGTGGCGATACATAGAAGCTAGCTAGTGTATACATTTCATATCAGATCATCCCCATCCCAACATTCAAGTATCATGAAACATATCAGCCATCTTTGCATCCAGTCACTTGAGCAATTAGAAAAAAAAAAAAAAAGAAATAAAATAAAATAAGTCACATCTTGTCTTCTATGAAGCAAAAATATAAAGAAGAAAGAAAGTAGCAAAAACATACAGCACCAGGGATTTGCTGGTGGTGGTTGTGTTCGGCCAGTGATCAAGGAGCAAAGTAGGTTTAGCCTCCGCCTGCACCGACCCAAAACACAATAGATGGGGGTATCTATCGGGGGTATAAAAATTAAGAAGAGGCATTCTTCTCATACGGCTTCTCCTGGCTATCGCCGCTGCTAATGGCAATCTCGGCCTTCTCGGCTTCAGATGACACGTGCTGATCCGGAACATCGAGACCCAACTCGCGCTGCAGGTCGGCGATCTGAGCGACATCGAGCTTGGGCATCTGCTGAGCGACCTGGAAGGGCCACTTGCCCTCGACGTGGGCCTTGGCGAAGATAATGTCAACTTCCTCGAGCTCACGACCAGCGGTTTCAGCGTAGAAGAAGTAGCCGAAGGGAATACCGATAAAGTTGACGAGGGCGAAGAAGAGGTAGATACCCCATTTACTGGCATCGGAGAAGACAGGGGTAAACATGACGACGGCAAAGTTGGTGATCCAGTTGGTGCAAGTCGAGGCAGCGGCAGCCATGGTACGGGTGCGGAGAGGGTTGATCTCGGGCGGGTAGATCCAGGGGAGAGGCAAGGTGGTAAAGGCGAAGAAGCAGATGAACAGGAAAATACCGACGACGGCACCCTTGGAGTTCTGCTCGTTTTCCTTGATCAAGCAACCCATGGTGATGATGAAACTGAGACCCTGACCAAGGAAACCAATCAAGAACAGGTTGCGACGGCCAACTTTTTCAATCATGAAGAAGGAGGGAATGGTGGCGAGGGCATAGATGGTCGCAAAGACACCTCCCAGAACCAAGGGGAGCTTGCCAGTCATACCCAGGTTCTGCTGGAACAGCAGGGTAGAGTAGTAAATGGCAGCGTTGCAACCAGTGAATTGTTGGAAGAACTGACCAGAGCAACCGATCATCATACGCTGGAATTCCTGAGTCTTTCCGAAGGTGAAGAGGGTCTTCCAGCTGGCCTTGTTGTCCTCGGTGCTCTTGAGGTCAGCCTTCATGAGGTTGAAATCGGTAAGCACATCCTCGCCATCCGGGGTACTATCGTTGAGGGCAGCCAGCACCTGCAACGCCTCCTGATCACGGCCGCGCATGACGAACCATCGGGGAGACTCAGGCAACATCAGCGCGCCAATAGTGACACAAATGGCAAAGACAATCTGGAAAGCGACGGGGAAACGCCACTGGACGGAGGTGTCGACGTAGGAAAGACCGAAATCGATCCAGTAAGCGACGAAAGTACCGACAGCGATAATGGCACCCTCGAAGCAGACGAGGAAACCACGGTTGTGCGAGCGGGAGCACTCAGACTGCCACACGGGGATAGTAGCAGTGTCCATGCCGTTTCCAATACCCGAAATGACACGGCCGACGACGAATTGGCCCAGACCCCAGTGAGGGCCAAAGGCAGCAGTGGAGATGACGGTGCCGAGAACCATGATGAGACCACCGGCGACCAAGAGAGGAGTGCGGCCGATACGTTCACCGTACATGAGGGTAAAGACAGCACCGAAGAAACAACCCAGCTCGTAACAGGCAGTGACAGCACCACGGAGGACGTTGACATGCTGGGAGAAAGACTTGTCGTCGGCCCTGGAGTCTGGGATAGCGAGAGGGGGGAATTCCTTGGTGAACTGGTCACCAGAGATGATACCGGACATCAGCCCCTGATCGTAACCGAACAGCGAGAAACCTATAACGGAGGTGATGGTGATGGCCAAATGGAGGCGCTTGCCTCGCAGGCCTGTTGTTGTTGTCCACATCTTGATCGAGGGTTGTGAGTGTCTCTCTCTCGTGATGGACTGTGAGGGGACTGAGAGAGAAGAAGAGAGACGCGCGGTCCAACCTGGGGAAGACGGCTCAACTTTATGTATTTCCGCATTCTGCGGTAATCGCAGGCCCTCGCGCCAAGAGAGTCAAGAGACCCGCAGGCAACTCTCGCGAAAGAGCCACGGGTCCCTGGTCCCTGGTAATTACTCGCTACCCCGTTACTAGTGGCTTACGGCGGTTTCGGGGGTGGCCGCTTCCAGCAACGCTTGTCTTTGCTTGTTTGGGCCCGTGGGCCGCCAAGCCAGCGCAAGCAGTCTTAGCAGTCTTAGCAGGCTTAGCCCTCTTAGCAGCAGGCACTTGGCGCCACTGAGGCCAGCAGCCAGTCAGAGCACTTATCCTGTGCCGTGGGGGTGGGGAGGGACGACTAGTGGGCGGAGGATCATCATCTCGCTTGCCGCTTTGGGAATCACATGCGACCATCATCTCCCCACGGGGATTTACGGATGGCTTTCGCCCAGTTGGCTCAGGGTCAGAGTTTTATTTTTCTTTTTGTTTGCCCGTCCATACTGCCTCCTGATTGGCCTGTTCAGAAGCCACTGACGCGGGCAGGCGTTGGGGCCGAATAATTACAGGCCAAGATATCCACACAGCGGCACACGCCATTCGCCTTAGTTACCCTTTTGCTTTTGCTGCCCCCGAACCCCGTGTCTGTCCCGATGCTGACGGCCCGGGTGTCACCAGAGTAAGTACGGAGTATCTGGAGTATCCTGGGTTGGAGGTGGCATCTCGCTTACCCGGAAATCTGATCTCAGGCAGTCAGGCACGTGGAAACGATTCGAGGCTAGCCCGATTCGGCGGCCACCGCTTGACGTTTGCGTCCCGAGAATACCACGGTAGAACAGAGGCGAAAGTATAATAGAAGACGATGGAAGACAGATGGAGAAAGGAACCCGAATTCATTTCCTATTCTGCCTGACATATCGGCTAACTGTCAGGATAAAGACCGGCCGATCGATTGGATAAAGAATGACGAATGGATGCATACATGAACTGAATCTTGGCGGAACTACGTATGCCTGCTAATTAATACTAAAAGACCATCAGGCAGTAATCGAACAATCATTATGACCTGCTCTACACTATAAGAATAGGCAACTTGACTCATAGCATTATCATTTTGACACATTCATACCGAATCACTCCCTCAGTCCTTCTTGACAATTTAAACTCTATCATACACACTTCCACATGCTACTCCTTACCTTCCAACAAATAATACATACAAGGATTAATTTGCATATCCTGGGTCTTTAATTAGCGCGGCGCATTACATAAAAACCCGCGACTGGGTCAATCCATCGAGTAAAGTTTGACCACTCAATCGAATTAACCTAGCGGGCCCATTTAATGCCCCATTCATGAAAAACTCTTCCACTTTTGCTGCAGCTGCGCCAGCACTTTTAACGCTCAGGACTCTTATCCCCATCTCTTGTGCTTGTTTTCTCTTGTCTGGTCTTGTCTTTTCTTGTCCTCTTGGCCACCCACATGGTCATGCTCCAACATACCTGCTTTCTGTACGCCACCCGCATAAATTCTTACCTTCTCTCCCACCATCATGGACACACCTACGTAGGTATGGAGACAGGAACGACCCGTCCGGAGTTGTTTCAGCCGAAATCCCTTAGCGCGATCCATACGCTTTTCCCAAAGAACAAACGTACCACCAGGCACAACGGCCCACCTGTTTCAGCGTGTAGAATTTTCTCTTTTTTATTTTCTCTTTTTTCTGGATGTTCATTTTCGCGAATAAAATGATTTCTTTTTGTTTTTTTCTCCTTCTTCGGGAAAAAGCGGGACATTAGGTTGCCATGTACTTCTTTTTACTGGGGCCGGTTGACACTGATGGAGACAGACTAGTGTCTAGACTGCGTAGTGTGCGATTTATGGTGTAACTTTTAACCCCTCATACAAACGCGCAGGGTTTCGTGCCCTAATTCCAGAATATCCATCTAATCAGGAAAATCTCCGTCAGAATGACAGCTAGATCTGGTAAGTCACTCGAGGATATTTCGGAGTTTATCCGTCGTCATGCCATTTTCTTTTCCAGAGAATATTATTTATGTATTGTTTTTTATAAGCAGTTGGAGAAATAGGCCGCCGATGACCTAGGTGGCTTGAGTAGGGCTGATGAAAAAAGGAAGCCAGACTTACTCCGGCATGGCGTGCCCCGGGAATTTTTGGTTAAGTTGACTGCGACTGTGTGTTACTGCTCTGGAATTGGGATAAATTATCTTCCCTAGTACTTGTTATGTATTCTGCTAGATACATAATTATCAATGCATATAATTGTTTATGGTGTTTTTTTTCTATATCCGCGCAATCTGTAGATGGATATATATCTACAAAGCTTTTATATTATAGCAAGTCTTCCATCCACTATCGTATTCTACACTAAGAATTTAATATACCGATTCCTCTCAATAAAATTATACCTGTATACTTATATATAATTCAGTACGTCTGAATTAACATCGATAGTACTTATACGCCTGATCGACTTTGCAGTCTTGGAAAGGCTTGTTCATTCTTGGTATAAATCCTTCAACACTTGGCTACAGCCTTGTAAATGCTTGATTTCATACGAAATCTTGGCTTCTTGGATTCTTGGGACAGAATCTGTGGATCGAAGGCTTGGTAGCTTGGCTGCTTGGATAGATGCTTGGCTTGTTGGATGGGTTCTTGGCTGTTGAGTGCTTGGTTAGATGAGAGTTTGATCGGCTGTGGATTTGGCGGGGCATTGCTTGTTTCATTTACCTGTGTTTGTTTTGATATCTGAATAGCTGGTTAGATGTCGATATTTTATTCATAGGTAGAGATGATAGATGCAAACGAGCCCTATATCCATACCCTAACTGCTGAATTCGGATGTCATGTGATCGGAATCAGCTCGAGGCGCTGCAGTGGGTCTAATCTGAGACACAGCCAATTAGATGACAGGACTGATTATTTCATTTTTCTGTACGACGAGATCCTCAGGTAATAGTCTGACTGTGCTCTGCACGGCTACCTGACGCTGTAATGGATGGTTGTTTACAGAGGAGAAGAAGGACTACTGTTATATTGCCAAATGGTGGATAGTGTATGAGTCATCCATTATTTATCTAATAATACACAGTGACAGTCCTATCAACTCACATTGAATTCGGATATGAGATCTGTGAGATGGAGTCTTGAGATCGAGTCAACTTACCCCGCACTTCCGCATGCAGCGGCCCGCGTCGAATCTCGAGTTGTTTTCGCTGCAAAGTAACGCAACGCAACACCACCACGCGGTGTAATACCACAACGCTATCGCCCCGCGAGTTTTCCAATGACAAATTATCAGATACACATTCTCTGGGTCGATCGGTTGTGTGATCGGCTTCTATTAATAAATTGATCGAGATAACAGAGTATCAGTACGGAGTATCCGGGGCCGGATGGGGAAATGTGATGCTGGGGTTGGCGTGGCTGTGCCGTTACGGTTGGTTGGGTTGGATACGACGATGATATCGTTGGTTGGGTTGGGTTTTGTGTCAAACATACCCGTGACCTATTTGCCAGGGCTAGGTCATGGAGTGATTGGCGTTTGCAATCTTAGCGATATGATGATTTGCAATTATTCTTGGGGAAAGGTTTGTTATACGAGTATCATGTCGATCGTTATGAAGCTGGAGCCGGTCGCTGTGTATTCAATTTGATACATCCTAAGACAGGAGATTTAAGCGAGACGAATTTAGATATCTGTCGCGTTCCCAGCAGACAAAAAGTCCCGTGCCTCGGATCCGATTCAGGCGCAGTAGTTGTTTCGTATCCCGGTCACTACTCTAGTCTATCCCAGACAGACTGGGTATTTGCTTGTTGGGTCTAGAATTGCTTGCTCATGTGGACCGGAAGCCTTCCGGTGGAAACGAACTGTTTGCTGGGACAAAGAATGCCATTATTGGCGATGTCAGAGGGACAAGGCCACTTCAATTTGTTACGGTATGTTTGGTGTCTATTCTAGTCGACTATTCCTGTCCCCAGTTTCCAGAAAAGGGATCTCCTCCCCATGTTGCTCCCACAAGGTTGTCAGGCTGTATGACGCAATTGCTGACGGCCGTGTCACCCCGGAGGGGATCAGCGTTTGTTCCATCTTAGCCAGTAATCCATGGTCACCTGGCATAGGATTACGAAATGATGTCTCCTTGATATTTTCTGAAGCTGTGGGGGAAGGTAAAGCGCGGTGGTATTGCGGAATATTGTCTCAATAAATAGAGCTCATCGTGATTATTGTCAACGTCAACATGGGCACTTCGAAAGGCTGTCCAGCGGTGAAGCTCACTACGCTGCGTTATCCCTGGTTCATCCCACCTGTTTGAATGCGGGATGAGGAATCCGGGGTTCAGGGCCAGTATGCTTGATACTGAATTACACCACCTCCAGCCCAAGGAAAAGATATCCGCTGACCAAAACGGGATATCCAACCCCGTATACCGTTAAGTTGGGTTGGCGGGTGGCGGACAGCCACCCGCTGAAGGAACGCCATCCCGAAGCCCAAATCCAACTTGCCTGTTGATATAGTTTCGAGCCATCGACTTCATCCCTTGTCATAAGCCCACAGTCCCGCTCGCAGAAAAGACTCGACGTTAGTATTTCCATCCTCTCTTAGTGAGCCTCTGCCACCGACTTCTTTCAAGTATTCCCAGTCTTGAAAATGGCGGTCGATTATATCTCCCATACCAGAAGCATTTAGTATTTCAGCCATTCGGAAATGGCAATCAAAAAAGACTGGGTCGGGAAGGGCGAGATCACTGGCATCTTCCGCTTGCTGGAATCTAACTAGTCGGCTCTCGGGCAGGTATCTTAGTTCGTTTGGTGGGAAGTTGGCATATGTTTTGATTTTATACATATGTTCGGTGTCCTATCAGCACAAGCTTCCATTAGCGAAGTGAATTCAAGTATTGTAGACTGCAACGAACGGTAGCCTGAAATGCGAACATAAACTTGCCAAACCGGGCATGCATGTTATCCTGCAGAGTCAACCCATTGAATGGTTCATTAATTCGATCGGAATTCATTCCGGCATTTTGTATGGTCGGAAAGCAGCGAAACAGTACATCCCACGAGCTATCGCAAGGTTGTCCGGGGCCCTAACTAGTCAACAAATGGCTGGTGGTAAATGACTATGGACGCATACCTCGGAATTGTATGACGCATATGCCAACGGTATTATATGCGTAGCTTCAAGTGTTTTATTATCCACACCGACAGGCCAGCCAAGTTGCACCCAATGGTTTGTATCGAGTACCTTACTCACAACACAACGTTTTCCATCTCGACGAAGACACATCTCCTGGAAAGCCGGGTCGTGAGAATCCAAATCGTCCATTTCCATTTCCTCGCTGATGACGGCACTTTCCCTGCTAAGTGACTTCACTTGCTTGGTCAGTATCATGGCACTTTCATTACATAGCATACGTACTCGGTAAAGCCAGCCCCGTCAACAGATCGTTATATACCGCCCATAAGGCTTGATCCGACATGGAATTAACCACATCGCTCGCAACCGTCTCTCTGCCCCCTTCTGGAAGATAATCGATAAAGGCGTGCAGCGAAGGTATCAGCTTCTCATCATCTCCTCTCCCAGCGATCTCGTATGCATCAATCCTCTGTCGTGCTGCTTCAACCAGAACGGCTGTAGATGCGGACTCAACCTTCCCTGTAAGCTCCGGAAATTCTGTTCGTGATGAATCTGCACTCTCCCAATTGCGCTCCAGTCGATTGAGCGACATTTATATTCCTTTCCTGTATGTCCTCTTAGTCTGAGATCGACTCCACCAACAGTGGCCATTGAGACTTGGTGACATCTCGGCCCATGTGGACGTGTGGGTCGAATACGCTAGTCTACATCTGGTGGCTATTAGGGCCTGCCCTATCTTGGCAGTAGTTCTACCTCAAGTACTCCGTAGAATGGAGATATTTCTGTTACTCGTACTGGGGCTGTAAGATAGTGAATACAGTCATCTCGATTACAATCAGAAGAATCCACATTTTCTGTATGGTATGTCGAAGGAGAAAATTTCAGTGGCAAGGATGCTCTCGATTGGACTATCACTACGCGTGGAATAATTTAATACAGAACAATACATTCTTATCTAGGTCTGGCTATATATTCGAGTTTCAATCAAATATACAGGAGAAGAGAGAGACCTTACAGCCCAAAGTTGAACCCGCTGAGGTTGTTTCTGTCCAGGTCTTTGTACTCATCCGCCCCAATCCCAGAACGATTGAAATCGGCATCAACTGAAATGATACAGGTGCATCGGCGGTATGTTGACAGTTTTCCATTTCTGTCATGGAACAGTGCATACTGCTCACTTGGATTGTGTGTCATGTAGCGTTCCATGACGCTGTGGCTCCGTTGGCCGTTCAAGGCCTCCAATCGAAGAATCGGGTCATGGTAGAGACAAGGAATGGTTTTTCGTGGAATAGGTTGTTGAGGGACATCTGGCTTTGTCGATTGAAGTGATACATAGGTGGTGCCTCTGACAGAGCCTCTAGGTATATTGGACTGGTTGTCTGACGCTCGAGAGGAGGTGACTCGTTGCGGATTGGTGAATGACAAAGGCTGACTGTTCTTACCACCGGGGAGGTTGACACTAACCAAGTAGACTTTTGGTTAGCTGCTGGCATTGAATAAAAATGACTGATTCTGAAGCAAGGGCATAGACAAACCCCTGGTGAGATGATGGCATCTTGGTAAAGATTTATAAGATTGTGTGCTGCTTGTTCTCTGCTATTCTGGTGTCCTGGAGTGATATCTGGACAAGGAGAGAAAACAGCCCTCTTTATATCCATTCAAAGATGGGTTGCCTTCTTGAATTGAAGGCACCTGGCAGACTGGATGGGAGATTTTTGACTGAGATGTTGCGTGTCATATTCAATTGCCTTTGACATGATATGCTGGCAGTAGTTTCTGACTGGGAATAGAAAGTCTTTTTTGTATTAAGAAAAATATAAATGATAGCATTGGCTATTTCACTTTTGCACGGCTTGGCTGACCTTGAGCTGGGTCAATGACAAGTCTTCTCGTGGAGATACTAGTCTCGAATATGAAGATAATCCAGAATTGGATCTACAGCGACTGCATCTAGTGCGACCTGATGAAGACTAAGCCAGATCCTAAACGGACAGCGCGTCATTTCTAAAGCAAGAAAAGATGCTGATTTGCTGTTCAACTTTTGCTGTCCTTGGCGTGCAGCTGCAGCCACGGCCACCTGATTCGGAGGGATTTTGCCCTGGTTCGGAGGGATTTTGCCCTGCATAAAGAAGCATCCTGATTGGGCTGTTCACTTTTGCTAGCCTTGGCTTGCATGTTCCAGTCTATTTGATTGGTCTGTGCTGTTTCCTCCAATCATGTACACTTGCAATCAGGCTGGACATGAGGCTGAGGGTTTCTTCGAGGACATTTAAGAGAGAAAACATCCTCTCACATCCAAGCCCCATTACTGCGCTCTGAGACTATCCCCTTTCTATCTCATCTGCATTGGATACCTTGCCCATTTTGTCCCTTTTTCTGTTTGATCTGGCTTGCTCGAGCTCCCCTGCAGTGACCCGTAGACACGGCCGCAGCCTCGTGCTCCCACCATGGCGCATCCCCCAGGCAACATCCTTTACGGGGATGTCCCGTACCAGCAAAGATGGGAGTTTCTTAGACCCATCATAACACAACTGTATGTCGAGCAAGACATGTCAGCCAGTGAAGTGGCTAGTACGATGAATGCCGATCACGGGTTCGTTGCCCGGTAAGCAGCCGTTGATACTCAAGAGGACAAAATAAGACAGCAGAAATGACTGATATCTCTTATCTTCTTAGGGAAGATCAGTACAAATATCAATTTCGGAAATGGAAAATAAAAAAGAATCTGAACAAGTCGCTGAAGCGCAAGATGATGGACAAAGGAGAGGAGAGGGCCGGTGATGGGAAACGAACTGCATTTTCTCTCGGTGATAAACCAGTCGATAACAAGAGGCTTCTTCGTGAGGTCAAACGAGAGAGCAAGATTGACATGGCGTTGACCCCATCGGCGAACGGGCAGACGGATATGCAACGAATGTTGCCTGGGTTTGGACTACAGGCAGGTCCTGGCATGTAGGTGTCCCTTTTTCTATAATGGCTGTTGCTATGTCACTAACCTACTACTATTAGATTCCTCGCGTGGAACAGACCGTACGGCGCTATGAGTCTTGTGAACGATCCTACCTCCCCTTTTGGTCAAGCCATATCAACCCCGGGTGATGTCGTGGTAGCAACTCCCGAATCCAACAACGCACCTTCCCCCATGGATGCCCCATCCCCATTTTCCAAAGCCCTCACAATAAAAAGATCTCTCGAGCGAACGAGGATGTTTGTGGATGGAAGATTTGATGATCTTCTCAAATCAATGAACAAGAAAGAGGCCGTGTATGTACCGAATTAATTCCTCCAAAGCCGGTCTATAAACCAAGACTGATAATTTCTTGTCAGGATAATATCTTCTTGGTTGCACGAGTTCTGGTTCTATGCATTCAAAACGGCCAAGCATTGGGGCACTGGGCCTCGTTACTGGAATGCTGATCTCCTCGGGTTTGAGAATTCATTGCATCAAAGCCCTGATAGTAACCAACACGATTTATCCATTTCGGACAGTCCTGGTCCTTCTCGCCGGATTTCAGAAGCCCCAGTCGTCGAGCCATCTCAACTCTGTCGTTGGAGCATTCATTACAGCTGCAGTATCAAGTACGAGGAGATCCCCGAGCAAGATACTGCTCCCCACTCTATCCTCGACGAGAATTCAAACAACTGGAGCCCATGGCCAGCTAGTTGGCAAGAGCCTCCATTTCAGGAGCGACTCATTTCGGGCCTGGAATCGAATGACTTCAGCCAAATTAATCCCGATACACTTCCTGTGGCTGCCCCACAAATTGCGAGAGCCGCTGCTCAAACACCCGACGTTCTTCTACGGGAAAGTTTGGGGTTTGCGATCTTGGGGCGTAATTTTGAATTAACGGAGAAAATCTGCGACCAAATTCGAGACCACAAAATGGATCTGGGTGACCTTAATCCTCTGCACATGGCGATCAACTTCTTGGATGGTGCAAGATCATGCTGCAATATTTTTGCTTACCTTGTTACCGATTCGTTTGGTCTGAGAACTGTACGAGATCGCCGCCGGTTGTATATTAATGTTATGGATCACACCTTGCTGGACAGCCTTATGATCGCCATATTGAAGTCGCACACCTCTACGGCACCTGGAATAGTGGATGAGCGCTTCGTGGGTCACAACCATTTTAGAGGTCAAGAGGTTGACATCTGCGGTCGTTGGGATGCGGACTCGCCATCATTTCGTTCTCTGTCGCAACGAGAGAGAGATATCCCTATGACCTGGAAACATAAGTTTTGTCACACCTCTAGTCAAGCAATATGTCATTGTATGGCTATGTTATACCTTTCCCAGATTTACTTCAGCGAAATGAATTTACCGAGCGGGATATATCTGAAATATTGCTCCGAATGTGGCTTGAAGCTACACCTGACTCCCCTACATGCTATAGTTGTCACTGCATTCAACCTAGCCACTTTTGGCTGTGAGGATGAGGACCTATTTGGCATACTTGCATGTCTCCTTACAGCATTACACTGCGAACTAGATCCAATCGCAAAGTCGGACCTGTCACCTGAATTGCTCTTCGGGGAACCATCAGACAGTGCGGGCTGTGGACACCAGATGCTCACCCCAGCCGAACTCGCAGACCGAGTGCCTAGAAAATATATCACATCCTGGTCCCCCGAAACTCGTACGGGATGGGAGCTTTTTCGACTAACGCTTTGGAAGGCTACCAGTGCTCGGCTAGCAAAAGCACGTGTTGATGATGAGGATATGGAATCACCAGACGAATATGAAAATTCCTGCAACGCCCACGGACGTCAAATTGCGTTCAATGGACAGTGTCAAGTCAATAATCTCTTTGCTGCTGTGCAGGCAGAGCTTGTGACATACCGACGTATCCAGGAAACTGATCCTTGGATCTCGGAGAATATTGATCTACACAATCTTGTTCAAGATTTGAGGGAGGGGGATAACCCCCAGCTCTCAATCGGAACGTTTCAAAAGAATATCTTGAAGCCAATCTGCTCATGCGGAACGTTTAATAACTTTCCGATAGTAAAGGCTGAAGATACCTGCACTCATTATATATCCAAAATGGATATTTGGTCCAGGACAACGTTTATCCCATTTCCAGAGACCGGTTACTAGTATAGGAAAACCAGAGAGATGAATATAAATAAAACAGTTAAATCATTCCTGCTAGACAAGTATATATTAAACCTCAACATACCTCCAAACCAAATGTAAATAATCTCCACCCCTTCCTCGATTAATATCCGGCGAAAAGTCATCAAATCCACGGCCCTTTACATCATCAATCCCAACCGCCGAGCCTTGTTTCCGCAATAATGCAACCTGAATAATCTTCTGCTTGACATGGGCGTTAGGGATGGGAATAAAATAGCGATACATGTGCCCAGCCCCGTGCGCGAGATCTGTATACTCTTCACTGGAGTTGTGGTCGGTTATCAGCCGGAAGTAGGTTGCTGCGTGGGAGGGGCTGTTTGTGTAGTTTGGGCGAAGCCAGACAAATCTGTATTGTTAGATAGATACAGGCTTATATATGGGGAAAATTATACTTACGAACCCCCAAAACCGCGGTTGATATCGGCGTAATTCATGTTAATTTCTTCGACGGTCCCGAGGGGTTGGAAGGCGTCATTGGTGTGGATGATCTGTTCTGTTTGTTAGATTGACTGCCAGTATAAATATTAATTAAGATGAACTTACATCAAAGTCTTTGATGAACAGCCGGTCATAATATAGAATACCCATTTTGGAGATGATGTTGTGTTAGAGTTTGATGTGGCACTAGGAGAATAACAGGGTGTTTATATGGGCGTTGTTAGTAATGATGCCTAAATTGGGCATGCATGAAGCAGCCAGTCATAATTATTATCTGCTATAAGGCATATGAAATTCAATGTTACTGGATGGAAAATAATATTAAATCGACGGTAATTTATAATCAGCTCAACCCAATCAAAACCCCATTTTGATTCTCGAATGTCATGCTGATCCTTTCGGTCCATTCTTTTGTATTAAAATTCGATACTTTGGAGAAAGTCTGGAATATCCGAGCCACAATGTACGTCAACACGATCATTGCATAATGTTCTATACTATTAGCCAACATTGCAGTAAATTGAATATGGGAAACATACGACCAGGACAACTCCTCGGTCCCTTATTAAACGGTATATAACCAGGCGTATCTGCACTGAACTTCTCCCATCGTTCTGGGTAGAACAAATCTGGATTTTCTCCAAAATCATGCCCCAGACGGTGTCGAGCCCAGGTGGAGAAGAGAATGATATCTCCCTTTTGCACGAGGATTGGGAATGTACCGTCGCCCCCGCCTGTTGGTAATGTGGTGTTTTTGTTGGCGACTCTTGCGTTGAGGACGACCGCGGGATAGAGTCTCATTACTAGACAGAAGTCAGTGTTGCTCTATTTAACGAAGGGATTCTTACCTTCTTGAAGTACCCAGCGGACGTAATGTAAAGATCCCAACTGTCCCCATGTTGGAGGCGTCAATCCAACAGTATCGATGATACTTGCTCGCAATTTGTGCACAACACGCTCATCTTGGGCAAGACAAAAGAAAAGACCAGAAAGAGTGGTGCTCATACTGTCGTTTGCAAGCAGAATACTCAATGCTTGGTTGGCATCCTCTTCATCTCCTGTACGCGCCATGACAAATTCTCGTGCTCTCGCACAACACTGCAAAAATCGTCTTTTAGGCGACAGATATCGAAGCGGCCCCCTAAAGCCATCCTGCACGATTCTCTCTTTGACAAATAACAAATCATCAAAGAATTGCTTCTTCTCATCGGATTGTGTAAAGCTCAGCGCGTTAACCGACTCTCCCAGGGAAAATAATGTCTGCATATCCAACGATAATCCAAAAGCACACGCTTGAACATCAAACATCCCCCCATTAGGAGGGATATACTGCAGAAAATCTTGAAAATGCTCTTCACACTGGTCCAGGTCGATTATCTGCCGCAAATTAACCATTCGACTGCGGAGTCTCTCGCGACTTTTCTTCCACCCTGCCCCGTCGAGAGTGAAAATGCCATGCGGCGTGATATCCTCAAACAAAGGCCTTCGTAATGGGGAACTGTCGAAGTCGGGAAAGGCGGTTGAAAGGATATGTTTTATGTTTTCTGCATTGTGGGTGAAGACGAGGCGGTAGGTGAGGATATTCGAAAGATAGGTTTCGCCGTATTGTTTGAAGAGGGCGTTTGTGTATATGAGGGAGGTGCGGCGGTGGAAATGAAAGGCCAGCTCGAGGGCTTTGAGAATTCCAAAGAAGTCGTATTTGAAGCGGATTTCGGTGGGAGGTGCTTTGCAGCTGTGAAGACATTCGAGGTGTTGGATTTGTTGATGATGGCGTAGATTTTGTCGAAAGATGATGATGATTCCAAGAATGGCGAGGAAGAGACCGAGAGAGGAATCCATGTTTGTCTGGAGGTTAGTCTGTTGTGAAATGGAATATATCGCAGTTACGCTGGATATATCACTTGATTTTGTGTTCCGTCACATTCGATCAAATGCATCACAATATGCAAGGGTTACTGTCTCCGCCTGTATGTGCCTTTAGATATATCTTCTCATTCAACAATCCACCAATCCAACAATCTTGAAAATTTAACATCGAACACACTCAGCAACAATTCACTGCAATGGCCCTAACAATGAACCTCATCTCTCAAGTTGAACATATCCTTCAGCTATCCACACAGCATGCCTTTCAATCCGCTCACCCAGACGGCCACTGGTGCGGAGAACTTAAATCCAACGTCTCCATCACCGCCGAATATATCTTTCTGCGATACGCTCTAAACCTCGATCTATCGGACGGACCAGCTTATTGTCATCATATCCTCTCTGAACAGAACGACGATGGCTCTTGGAGTCTTGCACCCGAGTATCCAGGTGATGTATCCATCACGACGGAAGCGTATCTGGCCTTGAAGATCCTGGGGTTTAATACCGATATCCCAGCGATGAAAAGGGCGAGAGCATTTGTGCTGGGTGCAGGTGGTGTCGCGCATGTTCGTGTCTTCACGCGTATCTTCCTTGCGACATTTGGTTTGTTTCCGTGGGATGCTGTGCCTCAGTTGCCGGTGGAGCTGATTTTGCTGCCGTCGATTTGTCCGATAAACATCTACAAGTTTGCCTCGTGGGCAAGAGGAACTATTGCGCCTTTGCTGATCATCTGCCACCATCAGCCTGTGTATGCGCTTCCGAATGGTCAATCTGCTCAGAATGACTATCTGGATGAGTTATGGCTGGATTCCGCCAGCAAGAATGTCGCCTATGGCCCTTCCCTCAGTCAGCTGCTGGCAAAAGGCGACATGACTGGCCTCGCATTCAGCATCGTTGACAAACTGCTGTATGCACTCAACGGCCTCCGTTCTACCCCTTTCCTCCGCTCCTACGCCAGAAAGAAATGCATGCAGTGGATTCTGGATCGCCAGGAGCCAACAGGCGATTGGGCGGGTATATTTCCCCCCATGCATGGTAGTGTGTATGCATTCATCCTGGAGGGATACCAGTTACATGACGACCCCGTGCGTTTGGGCATACAGGCCCTGGAAGGCTTTGCCTGGGAGGACGATCACGGAAAGAGAATTCAGGCGTGTGTTTCACCCGTGTGGGACACGGCGTTGATGTCGATTGCCCTGTGCGATGCATCACCGGATGACAATCATCAGCAGCTCGACAAGGCAATTGCATGGATCAGACATCGCCAGTTATTAGAGCCTCGCGGCGACTGGCGCGTTTACAGACCGCAGCTCATACCTGGGGGCTTTAGCTTCGAGTACGCGAACAGTTGGTACCCCGATGTGGATGATACAGCGGCAATCATCCTCGCGCAGGTGAAGCATGACGGACGCTGTATCTTGTCAGATTCAGTAATCGCAGCAGCGACATGGATTATTGGCATGCAGAACCCGAACGGGGGATGGGCTGCGTTCGATGTGGAGAATGACAAGCTGTTTCTCAATAAAATCCCCTTTAGCGACATGGATAGTTTGTGTGATACTTCCTGTCCTGATATCACCGGGCGCATCCTGGAGGCCTTTGGGTTGATGTTGAGCAAAAGCAATAGCGGTGATTCTCAGAAGATCACTTCACCTCATCCGATCTTTCCCGCCCTTCGTGCTGCGTGCGCCCGTGGCATCGAATACCTTACTGTCGTACAAGAGGCCAACGGGGCCTGGTTTGGCCGTTGGGGATGTAACTACATCTATGGCACTAGTCATGCGTTGTGCGGTCTGGCCTATTTTGCTGAGGACAGAAAGGTGTGCAGGCTGGTACAACCAGCTCTGCAGTGGCTCAAGGAAACCCAGAATGCCGAGGGTGGATGGGGCGAGCCCTTGCTGTCATACCGAGATCCCGACATACAAGGATCAGCACCAACAGCGTCACAGACTGCGTGGGCGGTGATGGGATTGTTGGCCCATCTTCCCCTCACTGATGTGGCGATTGAACGCGGTATTCGCTATTTGGTTTCCTCATCAAAGCCAGAAAAAGACATAGGAAATTCATGGCCTGAAAAGGTGTACACCGGAACGGGATTCCCGAATCACTTCTATCTAGGCTATGATTTCTATCGTCATTATTTTCCCATGATGGCTCTTGGACGATATCTCGGAGGATGCAAGGAGAGACAAAGCAGAAGATAGCTGAAGAATCAGGCGATGAGATGCAATGAACTGAATGCACGGGATATTAAAAAGTGGCCCGTCACGTAAATAATTGCACGGACAGTTATAGACGAAGATGCATCATCTGGCGGTGACTGCTTGCTGGAGGTTGGGGATGATCAATCAGAGATCCAGCCCTCAGAAAATCGTAAGAGACATGCAATTGATTTATGATAGATCGAAGCATGTGATACATCGATTGCAACAAGAAAAGCTATACATATCAAGCTGATTTCTGTTATTGTTATGTTGTAGCTCTGGTTCGAATATCAATATTGACTTTGTTTTCCTTTTTTTATTCGCATATTTGAGAAGACTGGAAATGAGCTTTCTCTCAATACTCGGGCGGAAACGTCCAGCAACGGTTCCCACAGACAGGATCATCCCATTAAGATACTGGGATGATCTCGATTATCTCCGCAATATGTGCCATGATTTTACCTTCCGATTTGATGATGTTCTGGACCCGTCGAAACTCGAGGCCGCATTGGCTCGGTTGATGGAGATTGGTGATTGGGGACAAATGGGGGCGAGGTTGCGATTGAATGTACTCATATTCCTCTCTAGGGCATCCTGATAGTTGGAGTTAGTGACTGACAAAATTTCAGGATAGTAACCACCTCGAATACCACATCCCAGCACAATACGACAGCACCCGCCCTGCCTTCAACTTCACGACCACAAAGTATGACATGAGCATCACCGAACACCCGATCGGCTCGCGCCTCCCCAAAGCAGGACAAGACCAGTCATTCTTATCGCCACCTTCTGCGTTTTTCGCGCCCATCGTCCGGCACCCAGATAGTCCCAAGGAATTGGCGGATTGGATCTATACGGACCGTCCACAGCTTCATATCCACGTTTCTGTTTTTCAGGATGCTACTCTTCTTACGACGAGTTATTTGCATACGCTTTCTGATGCGATTTCACGAACGATATTTTTCAGAGCTTGGATTGCTGTCCTCCGGGGGTGTGAAGAGGAGATACCGCCATTTTATCCGTTCGATCGTGATCCGCTGTGCACAGTCGGTAGGGAAGCCAAGGCAGAGAATTATAGTAATTATAGCCGACTTGTGACCGGACTTGGTCTGATAGTTTTCGGGATAAGGTACTTGTTTGAATTGCTCTGGTTTCGAGAAGAAGATGAACATCCCATTCGTGTGCCAGGGCGAAGTGTGGAAAGAATGAAAGAGATGACACGAAAGGAACTAGCTGCTGTTGCCTCGAATGACACTGGGGAGCCTCCCTTTGTGAGCGAGGGTGATGTTGTCACGGCGTGGTGGGTGAAAACGATGATTACCGCACTGCAGCCCGCCCCAGATCGAACCATCATGCTGATGAACGTCTTCAACACTTGGAATATTTTCGACGACCGGTTCCCTTTCAACGGAGCGGGACTCATCGGAAATTCTTTTTTTTATTCCTACACGCTTCTTGTCGCAAACCAGATTCTCCAAGACGAAAGCCTGGGATATGTGGCGTCCACGAACCGGAAGGCCCTCATGGAACACCGAACCAAAGACCAAGTTCAGGCCATGGCCGCCATCCAGCGAAATTCTTTTATGAGGGTAGCTCCCGTCGTCGGGGACCCGAACCTGCTCTTCATGGCGTGTACAAATCAGCACAAAGCCAGGTACTTTGAGACAGACTTTTCAGCGGCGGTGGTAGCCACTGGTGTGCCTCTGAGTGAGAGGCCACACGCTCTAGGAAGGCCATCCTTTATCAATGACATTGAGCATTGTAAAGGGTATCCGACCAGGAATGTGGTGAGGATTATTGGCAAGGATGCCGCTGGCGATTATTGGATGTTGTTCAAGACTCGAGCTGGGGCCTGGCCGGCCATCCATAGACAGTTGATGGCGTTGTATGGGACCGAGATGTGAGTGACATGTAAAGTTTAAATATAGATATTATCAGATAGATCATATCAGTGTTCTGCATATTGCAAATAGTGCGATTTCCCCTGCAGAGTACGTTTCGATCCACGTGACACTGGCATGTACATTCTTGAAATGTGTTCCAAGAATCAAGGACAAACAATCAAAAGGGACTCTCGACAAAGCTGTTATGTCTAGTCAAGAATTCCTTCTCCGTGATATCCAGCCAGCTGTGAGCCCATGTGCGGCAGAAGTTATCGAATCTCAAATCCATACCGAATCAAGCACCGCCAATTTCTTCTCGCTTTACCGGTATGCAAATGCGTCGCAGATTTGCACGCTGTTCGTATCGGCATGCTGTGCGATAGCCGCCGGTGCAGCAATGCCTCTGGTGACGGTTGCTTTCGGGACTCTGGCAGATGGATTTATCAACGGGCACGATCAATCGCATAATATTCAGGACCAGACTCAGCATCTTACACTTAGGCTAGTGTATATCGGTTAGTAGACTTCCCATTACATCAGTATTATTTCTGATAATTTCAGCAATCGGTTCTTTTGTCACGACCATGGTTAGCACTTGGGGCTTCAATGTCGTTGGAGAACAGATCGCAAGCCAGCTCCAACAGAAATATCTCTCTGCGGTCCTGCAGCAGAATATGGCCTATTTCGATATTGTCGGCACAGGCGAACTCACTTCCTATATGGATCAAGACATGAAATTAATCCAGGAAGGCATCTCGCACAAGGTCGGAGATCTGCTGTCGGGAATATCTGGATTTGTAGTCGCCATCACATGCGCATTCATGCAGAACCGTCGCTTTGCAGCTATCATGATATCTCAGCCGATCGCTTTGATCCTCCTTGTTGGGCTGATGGGGTATTGGCTAAGTGTGACGCAGCGAATGGGCCTTGCTCAATATGTTCAAGCAGACAACTTGGCACAAGAAGTCCTTGGCGCCATGAGGAATGTCATCGCCTATCGGAGCCAGAAAAGGTATGCGAAAAAGTACCATGATAGCTTGCGGCACCCGGCTGCCTTGGACTTTCAAGAACGATTGATTTTCGGAGTTATTGTCGCAGGCTCCTTTACGATTCTGCATTGGACTAACGGGTTGGGCGTATGTATACTGTCTAACATTTTGTTTTTTTTTTTTTTGCTGAATAATTCGTAGCTATGGCAAGGGGATCGCCTATACCGCGAAGGGCTCTGTAATATTTCAGAGATATTGACAATCCTGTATGCAACAGCTGTGGCGGGAGGAATGCTCTGCCAGGCGTTGCCTTGTGTTGTCGATATCACCCAGGCCAATGGTGCAGCTAGTCGAGTCTTTTCAGTGATTGAGCGTACATCGCCTATCAATCCTCTGGCTGGCACGGGCAGAAAATACGATCGAGTCCATGGTGATATTCAGTTCGACGAAGTAATCTTTGCCTATCCTGCGCGGCCTGAACAGACCGTCCTAGATGGCGTCAGTTTGCATGTACCTCCAGGACACACCGTAGCCCTGGTGGGACCATCAGGGTCTGGGAAGTCGACCGTTTTTGGTCTTTTGGAACGATTGTACCTCCCACTCAGCGGTCGTATCACGCTAGATGGCGAGCCAATTGACGAGTTGAACATCTCATGGCTAAGGTCCCAGATTGGCTATGTCAGCCAGGATGTTACTTTGTTCCAGGCGTCAATTCATACGAATATTGCTTTTGGCCTTTCCACAGCTGCCACGAAGGTATATCAGCAGTATAATTTTTTTTCTGAGCTTCGAAGTACTTACTCATGTCAGAACCTAGACGCACCTACCATTCGAAGACTAGTCATCCAAGCCGCCGAGACAGCCCAGATCCATGCCTTTATTATGGACCTTCCCCAAGGTTACGATACCGTTATCACGGCAAACGGGTCAAGCCTTTCCGGTGGGCAGAGACAAAGACTTGCGATTGCCCGTGCAATTGTATCTCAGCCCTCTATTTTATTACTGGACGAAGCAACTGCTGCACTGGATAGTCAATGTGAGAAAGAAGTCCAGGAGGCTCTCACCGAGGCTGTTGCTGGAAGAACCACCATCATAATCGCCCATAGGCTGTCAACAATTCAGAATGCCGATACAATCGTTGTCATCAAGGACGGTCAGATTCAGGATCAAGGATCCCACGCTGAGCTAATGGCAACGTCCACAATGTATCAAGAGCTAGTAAAACAGCAAGCACTCCAATCAAATGATCAATCAGAGGATGGTATCATCAGCCAGTCGCCGAGTCCAGCAATACATCCTCGAGAATTTTCACAGAATATTTCAACCAACGACGAGGTGAGGAGCATGCCAGAGGATTATCCGCAACGCAAATCCAGTATCAAATATGTTTGGCACTTGAATAATCCAGAGCTTCCTTATACTACCGCAGGTGTCGTTTTCAGTATCTTGGTTGGGGTGACATATCCAATCCAAGCAATCTTCTTTGGCAACGGAATCATATCCATCATTCGCCCCAGTCTAAGTACCGGTGACAACAATGTTCTTTTCTGGGCTCGGATGTATCTTATCCATGGTATCGTTGTGTTTGTGGTTTATTGTGTACGAGGATATTGCTTTGCCGTATCCGCATCCCAGTTGAACCTCCGAGCTCGCTCACATCTGTTCAGGACGTTGCTTATGAAGAATCTTGGATTTTTCGAGGACAAAGATCACTCAACTGGGTCCTTGGTGAGCTTCCTATCATCAGGGACTCCGAAAATCACGGGTGTCTCGGGAACTTCACTCGGGCTTATGGCTGAGAGTCTCGTGATGCTCGCAACGGGGATCACTGTTGGATGTATCTTTGGTTGGAAACTTGGTCTGGCTGCAACAGCTGCCGTCCCATTTGTAGCTGTTTCCGGCTTTCTGCAGTACTATATCGTGGCGCAAATACACAAGTACGTTAAGCGCGACACGAATGCCGTGGCCGTTGCGCATGAAGCCTTTTCCGCCATCAAAACTGTCACCGTCCTCGGCTTGCAGAACATTATCAGCGAATCCTTTCAAAGGGAAAGCGGCCGGGATAGCCAAGGGGGGTACTGGGTCATGTCTGCCACTATGTATGCGTGCACCACATTGTTCCGGATATTGAGTATTGCTTTTGTATTCTGGTATGGCGGTACTCACCTCATCGCAACGGGTGAGTACAACATCCAGCAATTCTTCATTTGTTTTGCGGCTACCATCTGGGGGTCGCAATCTGCGGCTGCGCTTTTCGCACACGCCCCAGACATTGCGGGCGCTCATGCTGCTGCTGTGAGATTGGAGAATTTGATGAAAACCGGCGATTCTAAATTCCCAGGCAAAATATACAGCCATGATCACTCCGTCTCCGTGTCAAGTACAGCTGAGGACCTTGAACTACGACACGTGAACTTCCAATATCCATCTCATCCATCCCGACTCACATTAAACGATGTCAGCCTCAACGCCACAGCGGGGTCATTCATTGCCCTCGTCGGGGCCACTGGCAGCGGCAAAAGCTCGGTAATAAATCTGATAGAGCGTTTCTATGCTCCTGCATCGGGCAGGATAACGCTGGAAGATCTGTCCATTGAACAATATGATCTCGATAGCTATCGAGGATACCTGGCTCTAGTCGATCAGAACCCCTGCCTGGTTGGTCAAGATCTGCGCGAGTGTTTGCAGAGTGATGAACGGGTTGTTTCGGATGATGACATCTTGATCGCATTGAAAAGTGTTGGGCTTGTTGATTTTGTGGTTAGTATCCCTTTGTCACATGTCTTGGGCCTTCTGACCGTGGCCTGTATTTAGCTATCCCTCCCTCAAGGCCTATACACCCCTACCATAGGAAATGGATCGACACTTTCTGGTGGTCAACGTCAGCGTATGGCGATCGCAAAGGCTCTTTTATGGAGACCATGGATTCTGTAAGACCCGACAACTCTTGTTTTCTGGCCATATGTTTCTAACTTCTCAGTCTGCTCGATGAAGCAACCTCTGCACTGGACACAGCCTCGGAGAAAATAGTCCAAGAGGCACTCCGGGACGCAATGAAAGGCCGAACCACCATCGCCGTCGCCCATCGACTCAAGACAATTGCTGATGCTGATGAGATTTTAGTCTTTGACCGTGGACAAATAATCGAGAGGGGGACCCATGATGAGTTGATGCAGGCCGGGGGAAAGTACTGGCAGATGGCCAAGCTGCAGCAATTGAATGAGGAAGGTTGAACTTGTACGAGTATCGGACAGGCATCGTGGCATGTGCGATGCCCTAAGCCCTTGCCCTAATCCTATCATGTGGTGTACATAGACATCCATCCATCAACTCCCAAATCATCTAACAATAAATCATAGCCAATAGTCTTTACTCAAGAACCCGCGTTCTGCCCATCACGGGACATATTCGGATTTATTTTGCAGATACGCGAGAGCATGTCTACGACCGGATTCACGACTGACAAGTCTGTCATACATAATGAAGCACAGACGATTGTCCATGCAGTGACGTACATATTCAATGCAAGTCAGAAGCGGCAAAGATAAGTGCTATCCACATGATCCACGGCTCGCACCGGTCCGCTGATGCCCAACAGAACCACACTTCAGCCTCATAGCCACTGGATCGAATAAGTAGGTTGAGACGGTTCGCATCCACCACCTATCGATTATTTTCCGTGTTGGTGGAGATAGTACAACACACCATACATTTGACATGGTGGGCAGGTTACTTTCATGCCCGCCCAGTCTTCCACTTGGATATCGGAATCATCGAATTTCAGCCAGCCACAGTGTATCCATCACATTGATCATGCTTTGTGTCGAAGTATCTCCATGGCTGCCACGTCACGGAAAATAATCATAAGGAGCATGCACAGCAGAGCTGCAAGGCTTTGGGTTTATCAGGTGGCTACTCAGGCATTTCTACATGCGATATGAGTGCCTCTTGGGCGAAGTAGGTAGATTTCAGACAGAGGGGGATATTCTCATCGACCGGAATGAAAAAAGAGAATTTGTAAGAAGCCTTCCAAACCAGCGTATTATCTCCAAAGCTTTCTGTTGTTTTCAAAAGGAAAATACACAAACATGGCCGGGATTCCTTGGACTCCTCTTCGGGAGCATTTGCAAGCCCACCCTTTGCACAAGCACGGCCAACGATGAATTGATACTATTCTTTGAACCCCACACAATAGAGGGCGACTTTATTCGATCTCTGCGTCAAATTCCCAAAGTTCTCGGAACCGCCTTTGTTGCTGGTTTGACAGCATCTCTTGCTAAGGGGTCTCGCGAGTCTAGTAAAATCCTAAGGGGTGATCAGATTCGAGAAGCCTTTATCAATGGATTGACCTGGTCCCGGCATCTAGTGTCAATTCTATCTTGCAAGTACAATGACACGATCAATACGTGGAATATCCATGGCGCAGCAACCGCTGACCCGCGGAGCGAGTTTGTTCATGGTCCTGAAATAGACGTAGCCAGAGCACATAAATGGTCAATATTCGAGGGCTTACTGCACGATCCTTATAGGGCGGCTCATGACATTGCGCGGAAGGGATATAAGACTGTCTTTTCCCATGTGCCAGCCGCGAAAATTCGGCTATTTGCGTATAGCAGATCGAATGGAGGCAGAAAATTTTCGAGCCATCGCCAACTTGGTTGAACAATATCTTGGATCATATCCGAAAAAGTCCCTCTCAATTGCTGTCTTCGGCCCACCTGGTGCCGGTAAATCCTTTGGTGTGAAGGCCGTAATCAAATCCATCGCCGAAGGACAAAAGAAGGTTGCTGAAGTGGTGGAGGTGAATTTGTCTCAGTGTTGAAGTTACGCGGACCTCGTGATAGAATTTCGCAAGATCCGCGACACCGGACTGTCTGGCAAAATCCCTTGTGTTTTATTCGATGAATTCGATACTCCATTTGACGACAGCCTCATGGGGTGGCTTCGCTATTTCCTAGCACCCATGCAGGATGGGGAATTTTTGGATCAAGGAATCAATCGTCCACTTGGGCCTGCCATCTTCGCTTTCGTTGGGGGCACCTGCGAGAATTTCCGACAGTTCTACGATTCTCTCAAGTGCGGCTACGCTAAGGCTTCCAAAATCCCAGACTTCATGAGCAGGCTGCGTGGATACGTCAACATCCGTGGGCCAAACGAGTATAATCCGAGGACACGGGCTGAACGTCATCGTTCCAGCGCTGAGACTCCCTCCACCGAAGCCTCTGATGACCGTGGCTCTCAAGCCGAAGATTTGGACGTTGAGTTTTCTGATATCCTGGGTTTCTCTAATAATGCGGTGCCTTCTGTCGATCCAATGTGGCAGATTCAACGTGGAATCCTTTGATTTGTGCAGCTAGCAGATACGGACAAAGCAGACAGGAAAGGAATACGTGGACGAGAAGGTGCTCAATGCACTACTCTCGGTTCCTGAACTCAAGAATGGCACGCATTGGAGTCGATTCTGGCGATGAGTACACTGCGCGACCAGAATGGTTTTGTACCGTCGACGCTGCCTTCATCCCAGCAGATCAAATTGCATGTGAACCCTCGCGAGTTCAAGAGATACATGTTCAATGATTCCTGGAAGATAGACATTGAGCGAGGTGGAGTGGAGCCTCTAGCTTAGGTGTTCGATCGCCACCTGACTCTCCTTCATTATCTAGAGGCTGGCCGTCTTTGCTCAAACGAGTTTTCAAACACTCTGCTTGGTCATTATCATTGGGAAGGAAGCTATATACATTCATCCATTGTCAATCAGTCATATGAACCGCCAATGGAATCTTTTATCCTTTATATCCCTCCTTAGTCAAATAACTTTCAATTCATTCGAGATAATAATGACCCCGAGATCCTAGTTCTGTTGGGAAACGTGTTCTGTCAAAACCGGCTACACTAACAGTAGTGCTTATACTAGGCGCCCACATATAACGTCAACAACATCAAAATACCCACGCCGTGACAATAGATATTTTTTTAATCTATGAAACAAAGCTTGTAATTCTAGTCTTTATGACTCGAGGTGATTCAAAGTGAGTCAAAGTGAGGCTGTGCTTACATGGGGCCATTCATAGATACAAGGCACCCAGTCAGCTTGCATTTCACCAGATTAATTAGGCAGCTATTTTCGAATACTTAAAGGTCAGATGTTATCGTAGAAGGAAAGCTACATTTCTCAATCGAATCAGAGAATCACGGACAATATGGGGTCCATCCAGGATGAAAGACGACACTACAAACTGTCAGACATTGACAAGATGGCGCCGCCAATGATGGTCAAGGCCCTCATCGCATACGAACTCCTCCCCGACACGGATCTGGACAAGTTGACAGCCTCACTCAAGGAAGGCGTACGGAATGCCATCACTTATTTCCCTTTTATGGCTGGAAACCTTGAGATCGACGATACTGATAAGCCTTATATTGTGACATTACCAGGGCAGCGACTGGAACCTACCGTCCACTATTTTTCCAGCACTGAACATAAATCTTTTGCCACGCTGTCCAAAGAGTCCTTTCATCCGGACGATCTGGATCCCACAAAGTTGCTGCCTGAAAATCCGCCTGATCAGCAACCGTTATGCGCACTTCAGTTGAACATCATCGACGGTGGAATGATATTGGCGTTTGCTTTTCATCATAAGGTTGGGGACTGGTCGTCTCTAGATGCGTTTCTGTCTCTTGTGTGTCGCGGGACCAAGGCACATCATCACAGCCTGGACATGCCCGTGTACCAACCAGACATGAATAAAGATGCGTTTACCGGAGACGATGATCCAGGTGTTTCTCAACAGGACCTGGTGAAAGAATTTTCTCGGTTCTACGTGACCGACCTACAGTCTCTCCTGACCGCTTACGCTGCCAATGCAGCGGTGCCCTTCGAAATGGGGATTTACCAAATCACCGAATCGGCAATTCAGCAGATCAAAGAGCAGTGCAAGGACATACTGGACGGTGTTGACTTTGTCAGCTCGTACGACTGCATCTCTGCCTTGGTTTGGACGTCAGTCACTCGCGCAAGACTGGCATGTCACCCAGAGAAGAGCTCAAAGCAGTCTATCCTTCTCCATCCTGTGGATCTCCGTTCTCGAGATCCACACAACGTCACCTCACAAGAGTATTTTGGAAATGGGGTGCAGCCAGCACAAGCAGGTCCAATTGACATTCAGTTCTTGGTGGCAGACAAAGGGGTTGCCACTGCAGCCTCTCGCATCCGCAAGTCTATCAACGAAATGATCTTGGATCCGAAGAGCATGAAGACTTTGGCTACGCTTGTACGGTCTCTTTCTCTGACACAGAGGTTGGGATATCACTTCGACTTTAACGACATGGACATTTTCATGAATAGTTGGTATTCAGGCAGGGCGGAGAATTATGATATTGGCACGGGCTCTCCTTGTGCTTTTCGGACTCATCGGCTTATCACTGGTGCTTGCTGCTTGATCCTTCCCAACTTTAGTCGTTCGTCGACGCGAGTATACGAGTTGTTTATTCAGCTTCAAAAAGACGAATTCCAGCTCTTGCAGCGAGACTCGGAGTTCTCGAGATATTTCAAGCGTATTGTATGAACTGTTCAAGGATATATATCTGCCAATTTGCATTGCACATCTTGTCATATCTGTCACAATAATAGAAACTAGAGACCATATACTGGAGGATATAACAAAAGAAATAAACCATTCCTTCCCATGAGTCCTGATGCCATCGTGGCACTATTTATAAACAGGTCCTCTTATCACGCGGAGAAGATGGAGACCCGCCCGCTGATAAGCGCTGATAACGCTGGCTACACAGTGTCACTTGCTCACTTCCATTCCGCACAACCCCAACATCCCCTCGACCCCTTGCTAACCACTCTTCACCGTGAGTCCAAATTGCATCAATTCCATTCAAATTATACTAATTATAAAATTATCCAGTAAATCTACCACCATGTCCACCCCCGAAGTCACCATCGACAACGTCGCCCAGATCCTCCAGAATGACACACGGGTCAAGGTAGCCGGCGTTGATGTTGATGGCCAACTCCGCGGCAAGCTCGTCTCCAAGAAGAAATTCCTCTCCATCATCTCCGAAGGCTTCGGTTTCTGCTCTGTCGTGTTTGGCTGGGACATGCACGATCGCACATACTTCAAGGAGCTGTCCATCAGTAACAAGGAGAACGGGTACCGGGATATCGTCGCAATTCCGGATTTGAGTAGTTTTCGCAGAATCCCCTGGGAGAAGGATGTGCCTTTCTTCCTGGTTAGCTTTTTTGATCCCGAAACTAGGGAGCCGGTTTGTGCTTGTCCGCGTGGGTTGCTGAAGACGGCTGCTGGCAAGGCCGAGGCGGCGGGGTATCGTGCTATGGCGGGTGGTATGTGCTGAACTGTCTATCGCGTGTTCGGTGATTGAGCTGACAAGACATCTAGCGGAATATGAATTCTATCAATTCCGTGCACCAGGAAACCATGCAACCCCTGAACAGGGCGCTTCGTCGACCGCCAAATTTCTCAAGGAGAACCCCGTCGAGGCCCTGCCCCCTTTGACCGAGGGGATGTTCGCATACAGCTTGACTCGCCCCGTTCACAACCAGGACTACTATTATGGTGTGTTTGACGCCTGTGAGCAATTCAATTGCGATATTGAAGGATGGCACACTGAAAGCGGACCTGGTGTTTTCGAGGCTGTGAGTTATTCCACTTGATACTGAGTTGCTTGAGCTGATGATGGGGCAGGCATTGCAATTTGGCGAAGCAAAGGAGATGGCAGATAAAGCTGGACTTTTCAAGTAGGTGCGCTCTCCACTTATCTACAGCGATATTAACTTGATCAGATATGTCGTTAAATCCGTTGGCACCAAACATGGCATTACACCCGCCTTCATGGCAAAACCGCGCGAAGGCCTCCCCGGTAACAGTGGCCACATGCACATTTCGCTGGTCGACAAAGATGGACAGAATGCCTTTTATCGCAGCACACCGGACCCTGACTCTCCCTACCCCGACGTCGAGAATGTCTCCGACCTTGGCAGACATTTCCTGGCAGGCATATTGACAGGTCTCCCGGATATCATGCCTCTGTTTGCACCAACTATCAATTCCTACAAACGTCTGGTGGAGAACTTCTGGGCCCCCGTTACGGTATCCTGGGGTCTAGAGCATCGGGCCGCTTCCGTTCGGGTGATTGCACCCCCGACGGCTAGCCCGAAGGCTACTCGGTTTGAAGTGCGCGTACCTGGCGCAGATGCTAACCCGCACTTTGTACTCGCGGCTGTTATGGCATTAGGATGGCGGGGAGTTGAGAAGAAGCTTGAGATCCCCGTTCCACCGCTATCTAAAGGTGAGGATATGGGCGGTGCGAGCGACAAGGGTGCGCGACTGGCCAAGTCGCTCAAGGAAGCCACCGCAACCTTTACCCGTAAGGACAGTCTGGCGCGTGAGGTCTTTGGAGATGCCTTTGTCGACCACTTTGGAGGAACACGGGAGCACGAAGTTCGCTTGTGGGAGGAAGCCGTGACTGATTGGTTTGTCTCCTCTTTTAGTTCTACTATGATTTACAAGCTGACCAGGGTTGTGCGACAGGGAGGTGAGACGGTATATCGAAACGGTCTAGGGCCTTGCGGGGTATTCTTATGCTTTTATGACTCAGATAGAGAATGTATATATCACGATCAGCTCGCATTGAGCATTTTTATGAATCAAGACTGGCCGTCTGGCCAGGCTGTTATTAGCTTCTGTGGCAGCTTACATGACAAGATCGTCTTCTCATGATATGAGATGCGAACGGGAGCTTTATCTGTTTTCCGATAAGCTTAGCTACCGGGACAGACGACCTACATCGACCCAGTTCCAGACCGAACAACAACCGTAGACCGGGAATTGTAGGATTCACAAGCTGAAGGCGACGATATCACATGCGGGAGGAATAGGAAGATGTAACCTTCACATGCCTGCACATGGCAATTAATCACATCTGATAACCCGTATATACCAGATGAATCGATAGTATTGATGGGCAGAGCATGGAAGAACGAGAACCCAGCGGAAGAACGTTGATCTGGATATCACTGAAACAGAGCTCTGGGTGTTTGGATATCCGCTGTATGTGCCTTGAGAACCACGACCAAGACTCGGGACAAATCGGGGTGTGTAGGAGACAACTGATTATTATTCGACGTCGATAGAATTCGCTTTCCGCAACCGAGAACGACCGATGTGAGTTTCTTCTAGACTTTGGGATACCCTGGTGGATGGTGGTGAATCATTCCTGCAGTCATTCTGACGTCGAGCCGCGGTTGTCCAGTTCGGATCTGCGGGGGAATTCTTTCCTCGGTTCTGCGATGCGTATGTGCGATACCCCTACAGATGCAGTCAGTACTGTATGTAATATGTAAGGTACTAGGACCTACCGTAGGCCATTTGGCTTCAACAACCAGAAGACTCTTTATATAATGCCATATATAATCGCACGATAGCCTCTTATCGGTATACGGCGTCCCCCGGGCGGAGGGGAAGCCAAAAAAGAACGATAAGCAGCAACGCGGGGCAGAAGCCATGCACAGTCGGCCGAAAGATTACCGTATCGGGTACTGTTTGTGCTGTTTGTACTGTAACAAATACAGCTTTCCCGCGGCAAAGTCACGTGCGACTATCCCAGCTGGGCTTCCCAAACCGTCCACTTCCGCTCACCCTTGGGACTGAAGGAGCGTTTTTCGCTACGGGCTTTTGCCTATCCATGGCGATGCGAACATCATCCACTGCGATGGCTGGGTCCAGCGATGGGCCGCGGCTAGCGGCTGGTCTTCTGACGTATTCCTTCCCTTCTTCCCGAACTCTGTCTCGTTCTTATATAGCTGCTGCTGCTCTCCTATCGAGCTTTCTAACTTTCTGAATGAATTGATCGTATTTTTTTCATCTTTATGAACCATTGATATCTCTTTCCCCTTCACTGCCCTTTGATACCCAATAAAAGTAGTCAATCACCCTTCATATCAAAATGAGTCAAGTCGACGTCCAGCTCAAGGATGTCGCCATCCTGGGCTCCTTGAACAACGAAACCCGCAAGATCCTCACCAAAGACGCCTGTGCTTTCCTCGCCATCCTCCACCGCACCTTCAACCCTACCCGCAAGGCCCTGCTGCAGCGTCGCATCGATCGCCAGGCTGAGATTGACAAGGGTCATCTCCTTGACTTTTTGCCCGAGACTAAGCACATCCGTGAGAATGACGCCTGGAAGGGAGCCCCCCCAGCTCCGGGATTGGTGGATCGTCGTGTTGAAATTACCGGTCCTACTGATCGGAAGATGGTTGTGAACGCGCTGAACTCGGATGTGTGGACTTACATGGCTGATTTTGAGGGTTCGTGCTGTCTGCCCATGGATTGATGGATTGTTGCTGACGACGGTTGCTAGACTCGAGTGCTCCCACTTGGGACAACATGGTCAACGGCCAGGTTAACTTGTACGATGCTATCCGTCGCCAGGTCGACTTCAAGCAGGGCAGCAAGGAGTACAAGCTGCGAACTGACCGTACCCTTCCCACTCTGATTGCTCGTGCTCGAGGCTGGCACCTCGACGAGAAGCACTTCACCGTCGATGGCGAGCCCATCTCCGGTAGTTTGTTCGACTTTGGTCTCTACTTTTACCACAACGCCAAGGAGTTGGTGGCTCGCGGGTTCGGCCCTTACTTCTACCTGCCCAAGATGGAGTCGCATCTGGAGGCTAGACTCTGGAACGACGTTTTCAACCTCGGTCAGGACTACATTGGCATGCCCCGTGGAACCATCCGTGGTACCGTCTTGATTGAGACTATCACTGCTGCTTTTGAGATGGATGAGGTATGACGTCATTGATATAGATGATGGGATTGTGCTGACTGTTTTAGATTATCTACGAACTGCGCGACCACAGCTCCGGTCTCAACTGTGGCCGATGGGATTACATCTTTTCCTTCATCAAGAAGTTCCGCAAGCACCCTAACTTTGTCCTTCCCGACCGTTCTGATGTGACCATGACCGTTCCTTTCATGGATGCCTATGTCAAGTTGCTGATCAAGACTTGCCACCGACGTGGTGTTCATGCTATGGTAAGTTTACAAAAAGTGTGGATTAATTATGGAAGCTGACTAGTGTAGGGTGGTATGGCCGCTCAAATCCCTATCAAGGACAACGCTGCCGCCAACGACAAGGCCATGGAGGGCGTGCGTGCCGACAAGCTGCGTGAGGTTCGTGCTGGCCACGACGGTACCTGGGTGGCTCACCCCGCCCTCGCGGCCATTGCCTCGGAAATCTTCAACAAGCACATGCCCACTCCTAACCAGCTGTTTGTCCGTCGTGAGGACGTCAACATCACCGCCAACGACCTGCTGAACACCAATGTGCCGGGATCTATCACTGAGGATGGTATCCGAAAGAACCTGAACATTGGACTGTCGTACATGGAGGGATGGCTCCGTGGAGTTGGCTGTATCCCTATCAACTACTTGATGGTGCGTTTATTCTTTTCCTGGATTATCTTACCTATACTAACAATGAGTAGGAGGATGCTGCCACCGCTGAAGTGTCCCGTAGCCAGCTGTGGCAATGGGTTCACCACGGCATCACCTCTTCGGAGGGCAAGAAGGTTGACAAGTCTTATGCTCTGAAGCTGCTGCAGGAGCAGGCCGACACTCTGTCCACCAAGGGACCCAAGGGCAACAAGTTCCAATTGGCTGCCCGGTACTTTGCCGGCCAGGTGACTGGTGAAGACTACGCCGATTTCCTGACCAGCCTGCTGTACAACGAGATTTCGTCGGCGGGAAGTGTGTCTAAGTTGTAAAGTATGACTGGATGATAATGACTTGTATATAGTAATAGTTTCGTTTTTAATTGATTTTACTTGAATCAATTTGAATTGATAGTATTTTCAATATGTGCAGATCATTTAGTAGTAAGGTATAACATATGGCACAGGAACAAATCATAATGCTTAATCACAATTAAATATATCCTCCACCATTATTCACATTATTAATCCAGTAGCTTAGATGAACTCCCAAGCAGCGGTAGAGTTGGAGGTGGCCTTGACAGCCATAGCATCGAAGCCCAAGCAGTCGGCAACGTTGCCCGAGGGGACAGTGGCGTTCTGGCGGCCAGCAAACACCTGCCACTTCTTGTGGTCACCGTCGACGACAGGGCAGGCCATGAAGCCCGACGCACCCTGGCCGGTGAAGGTGTAGTGGCCGATGGGGTTGGCCTTGGTGCCGGGGGTGTAGGTGAAGGGACCAGTAGAGGCGCCGGGAGCCATCGCAGCCGAGTGAGGGACGGTGAAGCGGAGAGCGCCCTTGCCGTCGACGTAGACGGCCTGGCCACCGGGGACGATGACGTCCTGTATAACCATTAGCAAGAACTCCTTATACAGGTTTTGTGGTGTTGTGGGGGACATACCAAGGAAGTAGCACTGCTGAACGAAGTACCCTGAACAGTGGGGCAAACGCCACCAGCCTGTTCAACAGCCTCAGGGCAGTAGGTGTTGGCCTTCTCGCCGAGCCAGAAAGAGCCGTTGGCGGCGTTCATGGGGAGGAGGTGGATTTCCGAGCCCGAGCGAGCGGACATGACGCCGAAGGAGGAAGAGGCGCGCTTCTCGGCGGTGGGGAGGGCAGCGGCCAGAGGGAGGAGAGTGAGGAGGGAGAACTTCATTTTGATGGTGTTGATAAGTTAACGAGTGTAGATTCGTAGATGGTAGAGATGAACGATTGTGATGATTGATTGATTGAGTTGTTGATGAGGACGATAGATGGAGGAGAGGAGAGGGAGTTATATATGTTTGTTGAAGAGTCGAGGGAGATATTTTTATCGATCCATCAGGCTATCTTAAGACAAGCTCCGCTGCCACCGAGTCTAAGGTGGTATCGGCCCATCGGGATATGTGGTGGAGATGCAGAATTGAGGCTATTTGGACGGTTGAGTTGACTCTCAGACATGCATATTATCATTATCATCTATCTATTTCTATTCTATTCTACCTCTATTTCTATTTTGTATATTCCATTCCATTCCATATCATTTATTTATTTATTATTGTTATTATCATTGTAGTTGTGCTGTGTGATTCTATCACATCGGATGTCGGTATCTTTCATCTTCCATCACTTTACACTCATGATCGACAACCCTGAACCCTTAATTCCACCATCTCATCATCCTAACCTCATCACAATCTCATCTAACCTCATCCAGTATCATCTCCTTGATTTCTCCGTCGTCTTCCAACTTTCCACCTCGCCATCACGCTCAGTCTCCGAAACGGCGGCTCCACATGTCTCGGGCGCATTCCTATATCGGGTTTCTTCACTCTGCAGGTTTCACTCGGCTTGCACCGCCACTATCACTGAACCAGGTTAACATGTTTTTCGCCTTTAGCACTCGGGCACGCCGGAGTTGAAAATTTTTTGACCTTTCATTTGATGTATCCAAGACATTGTTTGAGGTGTCTATATTTATCTACAATTTATACAGCAATGACATCAGTATATCGGCTACAGTCTTAGAAACTCCCCACCAACGCCAAATCCCTTGAACTCCTCCCCACCCAAACCCCAAATTCTCCATCAGGCATCACCCAATTCTGCTCGCGGACGCTCCAGTAGCTCAGATCTTTCCGTCTCAGCGCCATCCGCACCTCCTGCCGTTTCCCCGGTTCCAGCGCCACCTTGGAAAAGTCGCGTAGCACCCGAACGGGGAATTCGATCTCTTCTACCACGGGCGGAGGCGCCGGCTGGTTCTTGTCCGCTTTTGCTGGTTTGTGCGGGTGAGTTACCTCGGTGACGTTGGGTGGGAAGGAGAGATAGAGCTGCACGACTTCTTGTCCGGCACGAGCACCCGTGTTGGTTACGGTCACTTTGACCTCGGCGATTTCTTCGTAGAGAGATGGGTTGCCGCCGGCGCCGCCTCCGGCTGGTGATGGTGCTTGACGTAGTTTGTAGTCTTTGGGGTAGTATTGATAGTGGCCTGGCTTGGTGCCCTGCAAAGTAGGCAAGTATGGGTAGATGTACTTGTTCACGGCGTTAAAGTCCGGGGGAAATAGCACCGACTCGTTCGGCGCTGTGGTGTCGTACTCAGGGGGAAACACTGGATCCACTGGTCGCGCTGATGGCAGACGCGATTTCCATCGTAGGGTGGAAATCTTCAAGCCAGACAGCGCAAACTTCGTGTACGATAGTCCATAGCCAAACTCGAATCGCGGCGTGATGTTGTATCGGTCAAAATATCGATAGTCAATGTATAGTCCTTCCTTAAAGTCGACCTGCGGAACTGGCGCATTCGGTTCATACAGAACCTGTGCACTCGGGCCATAATCCTCGATGCACTTTCCAATCGTATACGGCAGACGACCACTGGCATCGACATCGCCGAATAGCACGTCCACCAAGGCGTGGCCACTCTCCTGCCCAGGCAGGTTGGCCAGCACAACTGCATCCACACCTGGCAGATCAATCCACGGTTCCATCACCACCGGCCCGACGGCATGGATCACAACCACTGTCTTTCCATTCCCGTTCCCACAGTGGCTAGCCACTGTTTTGATCAGGCTATCACCACCCTTTTGTAAGAAGAGATGCTGGCGATCACCGTGGTTCCCGCCTTCACTGATATATCCTTCGCCCGAGTCCGCATTCGCAAACACCAGACATAGATCCTTGTCCTCTGCATCCACAGGCATGACTCCGTTGCGCAGATAAGGGGAGAATTCTACATTCTCGCCTTCCCAAGCCTCCGCCAAAGCATCTACCGGACTTACCAAGTACGGGAATTCGACAGTACCGCTACCCCAGCCCGACGCCAGGGTGCCCGCGTTACATCCTTTATCGGGACACGAGTTGGGTCCGCCGGCTGGACTGGCATCATCACCATAAACACCCACTCGGTATACGCCTCCTGGCTTGGATCCCTTTCGAGATAGGGGAAGCACATCGTCCACGTTCTTCAGCAGCACTGTACCTTCAGCGGCAACCCGCCGGGCGGTGACTGAATGGTCTTGATCTCCAGATCCTTGGGCGTTGATATAGCGGTTCACTTCACCGTAGGTGCTGTTTTCATTTTTATCGCTTCCATGATGCCACCAGCCAATCTGATCGTTGGTCCAAGAGGAAAAGTTGGGCACCTTTTCCTCCCATTTATCCTGTCCAAGTTGATACCAAGCAGCCACGATACGACTAACCATATCGTTCAATCGCTCAATAGGAATCGTCGTATTGAGAACGGCCTTGGTGAGCTCACCACCCCATAGGGAGACACCATTTGCCCAACGCAAACCATCCCCGGGCATACTCATATCCAACCCACCGAGAGCACTGTTGACTCCAGACCGCTGAGCCTGCCAGTCAGACTGCACGAATCCCTGAAACCCAAGTTCATCCTTGAGAAGGCCGTTGAGCAATTTGCTGTTCTCGCACGAATAACTATTGTTCACCATTTGGTACGCGCACATGATACTCGCGACATCCGCCCGGATACTCTCTGCGAATGGCCACACAAACACCTCATGCAACGAGCGATCGTCAATGTTTGACGACAAGGCAGACTCCAAGCCCCATTCATACGGCTTTCGGAAGTGCTCCTGCTCGTTCATCACATAGTGTTTCGCCGTTGCCATAACTCCATTGCTCTGGATACCCCTGATGGTCTCCGCGGCAGCAATTCCCTGCAATACAGGATCCGAACCAAAACTCTCCCAGTTGCGACCACCCGCGGGGTTCATTCCCAGCGCGCCAATCGACGGACCCAAGAGTACATTGACACCTTTCAATCGTGCCTCTCGTCCCAGCGCGTTTCCCCGCTCGCGGATGAGAGTCCGATTCCATGTAGCGCCTGTCGTGATACCAGCAGGGAAAGCAGTTATGTGATCCGCGTATCGCAGACCCTGAGGTCCGTCTTGCAAGCAGAGCGAAGGGAATTTGACGTGCTCAGCAGAACCTGCCCATCATCAGTATACATAAATCAACACAATAGCCATGTCTGCATACCCGTATTTCCAACACAGAGTCCCATCTGCCAGCCCGTTCCAGTGGTGATGTTGATCTTCTCAATGAGCGTCATATTCTCAACCATATGTCGCGCCTTGCCATAACTATCCGCCCAATGCTGCAAAGATCCTCCACGAGGGGTCGGAAACCACGAGGCAGAATCAACCATGTGCTAATTATTTCGTCAGCCATACCAGTCCCCCTTGCACCAGCCGTGCAGAACTCACATATTTCGGCTTCTTCGTCGATCGATACCTCGCCATCCCCAAAAACCCAATCACCAGCAATATCAATCCCATACTGACGGCGACCAGCGCCGGGCAGAAATATCTCGAAGACCGATACCCCCGCCACCCTTTCAACCGATCGCGCTCTAGATACGACCGTCGTCGCTCCCGGCGTCGGCGGCGTGTATATCCCTCACTCTCACTATCAAAGTCGTCATCATCCTCGACATCAAAATCATGCTTCGATGCAGAGAGCAGCTCCAGCTCTGCCTCGGCGATACTGTCTAAATATGACTCGATATTCCCATCGTCAGGGACGGCGGGGACGTAGGCGGCGGAGTTGTTCGCGGCGGAACCAGCGCCGCGGGGGTCGACGCGACGTAGTTTGATGGTTTCATCGGAGGAGTAACTGTCTGAATCATCATCGTAGGTATTTCGTTCTTCTTCAGGGATGGACTCTTGTAGAGGAGCGTAGCGCTTGCCGCTGCTCTTCCTGGTGGAGCTGCCATCGTCGGACTTAAGATGGTCGCGGAAACTGCCCGGGGCGGTCGGAGGCATCTTATCTTCCAGTGACGTTCATGTAGCAGCCACCAATATGATGTAGAAGATGAGGGAATTGAGATGAATGATTGCGAATTGGAGAAAATCGAGGAGACATTCTCCTGATGAAATTGAACAGACGTCAAACGAAATACGAAATGAAGATCGATCCTGGAGAATGGTGGTAGGTGGCCAATCCGCGGACGGGAAGCATCAACAATGGAGAAAGAGGTGAAGATCGTCAGGGTGGATGACGAGTCATTCGAAGCTTGTCTGGTTCGCTTGATGCAATGAGATGGGAATATTTTATTTTGATGATATTTAAATGGGCTGAAAAACGATACAAAGTCTAGTGGAATTATCACCAACAAATGCGGAGCTATCTATAGCACCAAGTCTACAAATATATATCACTGAATCTGAGCTTCAACTTCCCGGTGGCGAGCCGTTTGACCACGGAAAGATCGTCGCCCACGAACCACCCAATCAATGCAGATAATTACCACTACGACGCCATACACGGCTGAGACGTAATTCATGTCTATCACTCGATCAGATTCATGATCATCATCAGAATAAAAGCGGGAGGAAGACAACATACCACCTGCAGTCACAGGATAAACCGAAGGAAACGAATAAATCACTAGGCAAAATAACGTCCAACCCAGAACGACAAAATTGCATGCCAATCCAACTTTTCCCAGCCAGAACGGGCCGTGTTTGATGTTATTGCGGCCTCGCCAGAGCAGGCACACGATCGGGACGACATACGAGGTGTACAGCAGCACAATACAGGCTGTGACCATGCTGTTGAAGGCAGTCGATGAGCCTAGATATAACAAGCCCAGCAAACCTACAATAAAACAACTGACGCTGTGGGCGTTCAACGGTACGTCGAGGGTTGGGTGAACAGTGGCTAGGAAGTTGGAGAATGGAAGACCACGGTCCCGGGCAAATGACCAGCAGAGACGAGACTGCCAGGTATGACAGGCGATCTGGCAACCAATGCCGGTGACTAGGATCAGGCTTTCCAGGACTATCGCTCCAGCCTTGTTTTTCAAAGCCTGGTAGTACAGCGCCAGGATGGGGACTTGGGTGGAAGTATTGATGATGTCGTCGAGGTTGTTGACGCTGAAGAACATGGCCATACAGTAGAACCAGGATGTCAGGAATCCGATCAAGACGGTACACATGATCGCAATGGGAATGTTGCGTTCGGGATGGACCACTTCCTCAGCCAAATGGGTGGCCGAGTCGAGACAGGCAAAGACCCAGTTGGGGTTGATGAGACCGATGAGGAAGGCAATGCCATCTGAAGGCCAACCGGTGGAATTAACGAAATTGGTAAAGACAAACTTGGCCGTTGCGTGCGTTGGGGCAGCTGCAGGGACAGTAATGAGAATGACGACGAAGGCTATCAGAGAGATGTACAGAGTCGTGGTGGCCACTTTGGGGAGTAGCTTTCCGATGCAGTTGAATAGGAACGAGAAGAAGTTGATAACCTGGTATGCCACCACCACATGCCAGGGTTCGATGACACTGTCGAATTAGTTTGGTGTATAACATATATTTCACATGAAACATACAAGTCTGGATGCGACAACTGCCACATCCCTACACCTGCAGAGCCCAAGCTCAAGGCGACACTGGCACAGGTGAAGATAGCCCCAGCCCACGCTAGCCACCCAGTCAAATATGAAGCAAAACTGGCATACTGTCTCGGGGCCAACTCGCTGGCCCAGAAATACTGTCCTCCAGAATTAGGCATGGCGCTGGCGAGCTCAGACAGCGTTGCTCCCACACAGGTAGAGACAAACGCGATCCATGGAATGCCGTACATGGTCAAGACAGTTCCTCCTGAATTGATGCCTGTGATGAGGGAGGCAGAGATGCCAAACCACGAGTTCGCCAGAGAAAAGGCAACGCCCAGCAGTGAGATGACGGAAAAGTTGCGCTCCATATCCTGTGTATAGCCCATCTCTGCCAGTTTGGCAGCATCTGCGTCCAGATCGCCATGGTCGCTTGATTTGTTGGTGATTCTGTCGGTATCCTCCATTGTTGCCGAGCAGGCTATAAGTCAAAGCCGCAGGGGGTTGTCGCAAGGGATCACGAAGCGGTAAAATCAACGAGGCGCTTTCTGGGAAACCAGCGAAGATGGTTGCATAGGGCTGGGATAACTATCGAAAAGGTGTCGCTTCGGAGAAAGAAAAGGTCGTACGAAAAAGTTGGGAGCCTAGGAAGAGAAGAGTCAGAATAAAAAAGAATACTCGAAGAAAAGTGAGTGAATGCATGCCGGGGATGCATGGCACGCGACAGGCAACCCAATCAGAACAGGTGGACGATCGTCTCGTGTTGAAGTCAGAAGGATGGAAGATGAGGGGAAGAAAGGGAGAAGAGGGGTTGCATCGACGATCAGGCTGGCTCTTATCAAGCAGACATTCAAATAAGAGAGGTTGAGATAAATCCTGTCGATATCTGTTGTTTTTGCGTGGAAATACGCATTTATTCTATATACAGTCTATCTTGATAACCTTCGCCTATGGCAGCAACTCTTGTATACAACAAATATAGAATTGCAACCATGGGACAAAGAAACAGTTCCTTGGAAATATCAACTCAAAGTTAATCAGATAACTGACTGCATCGTGATGGTTACATATATAAGTAAAATGAAAATACAACATAGCATCGACCCCTCATCTCCTCTTACAGGCTCTACATAACAGCCAAACGAAGGACCGATTTACTGTATAAAATGCGAGGAGGAGTTCGAACACGAGATGGAATATTAGTTCGCCTTGAGAGATGTCGAAGAATGGAAGAACCAGGGGAGTTCAGTGACCTGCACCACCGCCGATTTTCAATGAGTATATTTCACGACTCCGTGGGTATGGGGGGCCTTCTTTCGAGCGAGTGAGTTCTTCTTTTTGAAGCTACGAATCAAGTTAACATTCCCAGTCATTCCCAATGAAAAGGATAAAAAAGACATGCAACTCACCGGAGTTGGCTAGGCTCTATTCACAGAACCAACAAATACATCAGCGAAGACATTGGGTCTCGTCCCCTGGGATAAAACAACCGTCTCTGTCGGAAGACATCACCAAACACCTTCTATAAACACCCTAGTCTACGATGGTCCGACTCGTCCCATCGCCAGGCCACCACGTCGTTGGCGTAAACCACAGGGATATTTGCTTCACGAGCGCTGCTGGGACTTGGTTCAACGTACGATAGGACGGCCTCTGGTGGAAGGGCACTTGGATCTGTTCGTCGGAGCCTCCCGTCAGGTCTGGGATGAGATTGATTGGGACTCGAATCTTACCTGTGGGAAATCAGAACAATTCTGGTATCGAGCTGCATTGGAAAATATACCCATTGACGAGTTTTGTCGCGATCCTGCTAAATATATCCAGCAAGAGATGTACGGGGCAAATACCCACCACAGAGTAGAAGATCTCTATTTCGAACTCGAAGATTTACTGAGAACATCCCATGGACTGCGAAACAGAAGATGAATTCTGAATGTTGTGAAACTGATTCAAGGAAATTTTGGTGAATTTATCGAGGAACGCACAGAAGTTGGAGATTGAGAAAATAATTCTTGGACGCAATCACTCCATATAAGGAGACAATGGATAAAAATGACGGAGACTTGATCGAAGAATAAGCCATTCATTCTATGATATCTATCTACTAGTTGAGCATCTATACTGATAGGAAAACATTCATTAGATCCCCTGAGACAACAAAAAGAAAATAAACCAGTCGTCTATCAAATCCATGGCCAACAATCCAAAGTCATAACGCTCATGATGCATACAAACCAAGACATAAAGAAAACTTTTTAGGCCTCGTCATCGGTGTCCGGCGGGTGGGGAGTGCCCTTGGGCGAGTTCAGCCATTCGATGTGACGGAGACGACGACGGGTCTCACGCTCCTTCAACTGAGCGCGAGTCATCTTCTTCTTCTTCTTGGCCTTGAACTTGAGCTCACCCTGGTCCTCTGCACCAGAGTTGGCTGCCGATGCCGCAGCACTGGCCGCAGCGCTTGTCACCGCCGAGCTGGCTGCCGTGCTGCCCGCCTGCGGGGAGTTGGTAGCGCTGTCTTCAAATCGGTCCAGGGACACCGCAGCGTTGGTACGGCTGACCACCTTTCCGTCGGCAACGTGCAGCTGCTCAGGGCAGAGCGCACCCACGAACTCTTCGTTGTGAGAAATCATGACCACACCACCCTTGAAGTCACGGATGGCCACGGCCAAACCACCCAGCGAGTCACGGTCCAAGAAGTTAGTCGGCTCGTCCAGCACCAGCAAGTGGGGGTTGTTCCACATGGCTCCCGCCAGCACAACCTTGACTTTCTGTCCACCAGACAATCCGGAGATCTCGTTGTGGTTGGCGATCTCAGGGTCCAGACCAACGTCCTCGAAGTGCTTGGAGATCTCCTTGGGGTCGAGGTTACGGAATCCAAGACCCTCTCGGGAAGCCTCGTGGTCATCGAATTCCTGGACCATCTTGAAGAATCCAAGCTCGAGCAAGGTTTCACGCGAGATCATTGTGTTGTGCTTAGGAAGCAAGCCGACCCATTTACTGTGCTTATGTTAGCCTCTGTTGTGAAAAATCAGAAATACTAGAATACTTACACTTCGTACTGGAAGGACTTCTTCCACTTTTGACGACCAATGAGAGTTTCGATACGTCGTGCGCCTCTGCCATCACCGAGATCGACCGGCTTGGCCAACTGAGCCTTGTCCTCTTCGGTGAGGACACGGGTCTGCTTCATGAACACCTCACGGTCATCTCCGTTGGCGTAACGCCACTGCAGGTACTGGCTGGGGGTCTTCTCCAAGTGCAACTCCACGTGCTCCAGGGCGTGCTGCTTGATGTATCCAATACGCAGGTTGGGGTGCTTCTCCACCTTTCCGCCCTGGGGAATGGTTTCGCCAGTAAGCATCTTGATGAATGTCGACTTTCCGGCTCCGTTACCACCGATGATGGCCACACGCGAAGAGAGGGTCAGCGACAGAGAGGCACCGGTCAACGAAGGCTTGCTGGCTCCAGGGTAGGTGTAAGAGCAGTTGGTCATGCGGAGAATCGAGCGAGTCATCGACTTGATACCGGCCAAGATACCCGGAGGAGGGAACTTGAATTGCACGTTTGAGGCAGACAGAGTGTAATAACTCTTACCCTCTGGCTTGACCTTGACGAAGCTACATAATGTTAATAAATGTTCATCGGATGGGCTTCTTGATAGAAAGACTTACTCTGCGAGGTTTCCCTTGTAGCAAACCAGCTTCTTCTGCTCGTAATGGTAGATGTCGGTGCAAACCTCGTCCAAGAAACCAGAGTCGTGACTGACAATCAAACTAGTGATATCAGTGTGCTTCTTCAGGTACTCCTGGAGCCACTTGACGTTGGCAACATCCAGGTGGTTGGTCGGTTCGTCCAGAAGCAGCACATCCGCCTTCATCAGCATGGCACGGGCAAGGGCTAGCTTCATCTTCCATCCACCGGACAGAGATCCAACGGGCTGTGACTGGCGACCTTCTGGTCCATCAGTGAAACCGAATTCGAGCAGAACGCTCTTGATGTGCTCTTCGCCTGCTTCAGCAATCTTTGGGTCCTTGGAGACGTATTCGGCGATAGTCAGATCGGCATCTTCGCCCTGGTTGTGCTCCACAAAGCAAGTCCGGACTTCACTTTGCGGCGGGAAGCCCTCCAACTTATCACTTGCGATACTGCGCATGAGAGTGGACTTGCCCGCTCCGTTACGACCGCACAGACCATAACGGTGGCCCTTCAGAAGACGAAGGTTGGTGTGGGACAGCAGAAGCATACCACCATACGCGAGGGAAAAGTTGGCGTTGACGATCTCGACTTCATTGGGGTCATCCGGGATCGGCTTGCCAAACTTTCGGTGGTCCTCCTCGATGAAGTGGGCTTGCACCTCGTTGGCGACCGCATCTTGCGCATCGTCCTTGAGGAACCCACGGAGGTAAGGGCTGATGCAAGCGGGAATGCGATCATGCATCCGGACGTTAACATCCTCACGAACCATCTCCGCGATGTAGTTCTTACCCAAAGCGTAGACAGTAACGTCCTGGGTGGCGATAGGACCTCCGTGTGCCTGGATCTTCTCTTCCAACACGCTGAGGACCTCTTCGGGGGAAACCTTCGCGACAGATCCAGCGGCAATGTGGCTGTCGCCCATGGCCTTCTCAACGACGGCCAGCGCAGCGGTAGCCATTTCACGAACCTCAGGGAGAGAGGCACGGTCCTTAACATTCTGGACACCGGGCTGGAGTTTGGGCAAGAAGGTACGGGCTTCGGCGGGGTCGTGAACGAGCTTAGTCAAGTTCTCGACGACGACGACGGTCTGACGAAGAGTCTCCTGCGGGGTGTTGGGAGAGTTGAGCGAGCGCTCCAGCAGAGGAGTGAGCAGGGCCAGAACAGGGGATGTGACGATGGCAACGAAGGTGGTCTGGGACAAAGCGTGGATGGCCTGCTGCAGGGTCTTCTCCGACGGCTGCTCCATAGTCTTGATAAGGAGAGGGATTCGAGGGGCAACATCGTCGTTGGACAGAAGAGTGGTCAAGGCGTTCATAGCCTTGATGGCCTGCTTGGAGACTTCGTTCTTGAGGTCGTGCATACCATTCTCGACAAGGGGAATGAGATCCTTGAGGGTCTTGCCCATGGCTTCACGCAGGACATCCTTCGAGTTTTCTTCCTCCAGTGTGCCGGTGCCCATCTGCGCCTTAACTGCCATCTTTTCGATGAGAGCGTAGGCACCGACAAAGCCCTGCCACTTACCAGTGCTCTTGTTGAGGTAGCTGGAGATGCAGGGGAGGAGAGCGTTGGCCATGGACTCGGGCTTCAGGCAGGCGAAGAGAGCGTCGATCGCATACTGGCCAGCTTCGCGCACCACGGCGCCCTTGTCGGCCAGCGAGTCCAGCGCAAGGTTGAGAACACCGCCATCCTGCAGCAAAAAAACAACTTCACTGAGCGGATGTTCTCTGGGGAATCGCTCGAAGAGAGCGCCAAGGATCAACATGGCACTCTCACGTTTGGCCCCATTTTTCTTGTCCAGCGCAGCCTTCTTGACCTCTGGAAGAATGTTATATTGTTGGAAACCATGCACACCAACGCTCTGGATGAGCATGTTGGTCAAAGCGTAGGCGCCATCGAGGGACTGCTGGGACTGTTCGGCTGTGAAGATACTGTTGAAAACGGAGGCAACTTCCTCGGCGGTGGGAGGCACCGACGACGGTGTTTTGGAAACGGCAGTAGGCATGGCAGGCGATTCCGAGTGTGGCATCTTCTAGCAAACGCTGTAGAGTGGAGAGTTGTAATGATTTTTTTGTTCGTTGTCTGAACAAAAAGCGAATACCTTCGTTCGCGAAGGCGATGGCGGGGAAATGTCCCTAGCCTTTAGCAAAGAAAAAAGGGCCCCGATAAGCTGAAAAGGGCGTAACTTGGGATGAAAATCGAGATAGAAAGGATATATAGCGTAAATACAACGGGGTCCCTCCCTCTAGGACAGTCCGTGAAAATGCAAAGGAATATAATACAAGGAAGAAAGGAGAGAGGAAACACAATCTCTCAAGAATAAAAAGCGATAAGGCATCCAGGAGGCCCACATTTCGATTATTTTTTTCTTCGCGAAAGAAATTTCTGCCTGAGGCGATCGATCGTGGCCAATCAAAGCTCACCGCTTTCCCATGAGTCTTGGCAGCTTATTCTTTTTTCTTATTGGCTGGTACTGTGGCTGACATATTTTCCTAGAATAGTTTAGCTTCTTCATATTGATGCCTCATGTGGCTGTGCTTTTATAAGGCACTACATCACATGGCCAGGCATTCAGGCCTCAACTACGTCATCATCACAAGCACAAGAGCATCTGACAAAAACATCGATATCAACAAGGCCAATGGAATTATTATACGATTATACATCTTGGATCAATGGCCTCGAAACCCTTTTCGATACGTATATAATGACAAGGATATCACTACGCAGCAAGACTGAAATTCTGGCGGTCAATAGTTGCTGCACGCCAGCTCAACAGAATACCCGAACCCCTCATGTGATAACCGACAGTAAGCAGCAGAGCAACAGCTGCATCCCCTTTGTTATTCCCATAGACAATGTGAATAGTAGTTATTAAATGTAAAGGATATCAAGGAAATAATATAGAGTCTCATCTCATAATACATTTACATCAACACTAGCAACCATCGTGGTTGTTATACAACTCAACCGCATCTCCGCATGCAGCCGTGGGTTGCCTCGGTTCACCCCCTGTCCTCCGCGGGCAACCGGCCTAAAGCCAACAGCAGCAGCAGTTGATAACTCCATCTTCCTGCAGAAAAGGGTGCATTGTTCTATCTCGTCTCTCGTATCTCTTATTCATCCGTTCTCCTCCTTCTTCCTCGTTGCTCTGTCTATCTCCCCGCAGCTTCAAGTGATCGTGCTTTCTCTCCTCTTTCTCCTCTCTTTCCCCGCACTTCTACCCCAGTAAAATGGCGTTCACAATGAGAACCTCCCGCCATGCGTCCAAGCTGGCTCAGGTACGGCGCTGATCCGGTGCTCATCGAGCATCCATATCCGATCTTTCAATTGATCTAACATAAATCCAGACCTCTCGTCCTTTTATCTCCTCCACCCGCCGATATGCCACAGCGGAACCCGACCTCAAAACCGCCCTGAAGGAGGTCATCCCCGCCAAACGCGAATTGCTCAAGCAGGTCAAGGCACAGAGTGATGAGGTGATTGGCGAGGTCAAGGTCGGAAATGTCATTGGTGGCATGCGTGGTCTCAAGGGCATGCTCTGGGAGGGCTCCGTCCTCGACCCAGATGAGGGTATTCGTTTCCACGGCAAGACCATCAAGGACTGCCAAAAGGAGCTCCCCAAGGGTACCTCGGGTACTGAGATGCTTCCCGAAGCCATGTTCTGGCTGCTCCTCACTGGCCAGGTCCCCTCGACCACCCAGGTCCGCGCTTTCTCGCGTGAATTGGCCGAGAAATCCCACCTCCCTCAGTACATCCTCGACTTGATCAAGTCGTTCCCTCGCTCCATGCACCCCATGACCCAGCTGTCCATCGCTGTGGCCGCCCTCAACACCGAGTCCAAGTTCGCTCAGGCCTACGAGAAGGGCCTCAACAAGGCCGAGTACTGGGAGCCCACCTTCGACGACAGCATCTCGCTGCTCGCCAAGATCCCCCGTGTCGCGGCTTTGGTTTTCCGTCCCGACGAAATCGACGCCGTGGGCACTCAGCGTCTCGACGCCGCCCAGGACTGGTCCTACAACTTCGCCGAGCTGCTCGGCAAGGGCGGCGAGCAGAACCAGGACTTCCACGACCTCCTCCGTCTCTACCTCGCTCTGCACGGTGACCACGAGGGCGGTAACGTCTCCGCCCACGCTACCCACCTCGTTGGCAGTGCCCTCAGTGACCCCTTCCTGAGCTACAGCGCCGGTCTGCTCGGTCTGGCCGGTCCCTTGCATGGTCTCGCTGCCCAGGAAGTCCTGCGCTGGATCCTCGCCATGCAGGAGAAGATTGGTACCAAGTTCACTGACGAAGACGTCCGCAACTATCTCTGGAACACCCTGAACTCCGGCCGTGTCGTCCCCGGATACGGCCATGGCGTCCTGCGTAAGCCTGATCCTCGCTTCCAGGCCCTCATGGACTTCGCCTCCACCAGACCCGACGTCCTCGCCAACCCCGTCTTCCAGCTCGTCAAGAAGAACTCCGAGATTGCCCCCGTTGTCCTCACCGAGCACGGAAAGGTATGAAATACCCTAAATCCCAATAATAGCCGTGCAAAAAGCTAACCTGGCATAATTAGACCAAGAACCCTCACCCCAACGTCGACGCCGCATCCGGTGTCCTCTTCCACCACTACGGCTTCCAGAAGCCCCTCTACTACACCGTCACCTTCGGTGTTAGTCGAGCCCTTGGACCCCTGGTGCAGCTCATCTGGGACCGTGCCTTGGGTCTCCCCATTGAGCGACCCAAGAGCATTAACTTGCTTGGCTTGAAGAAATAAACGATTGGTGTATGAGACTGGATCCGTATGACCGAAACGAAACGAAGCCGTGTTTTTGTTATTGTTGAATCAACTGTAATAGTGCCATCTGGGATAGATATAAGTGAATAAAAATTAGACTGATTCTGGGGTCACAAGTAGATACAACACGTACCTTAGTTTGTAAGGCGCACATATAGTATATACTAAAAATTGGATCGATCAGTCATTGCATAATTGCTTGCATTATTCGTTAACTCGGTATTATATTTGTAAACAGTTGAAATACCATGCATAACCCAATCCAATCAAACCCCATCCCATCTCTTCATTTCTGACAGAGAAGTATAGAAAACGATTGGATGATAATAATAAAAACCCGAAATTCGTACACGTATATATATCAACCCTAAACACCATGTCTCTCAATCGTAACCTCGGTCTTGGTGTGAATCGCAAACGGATCAGTTCCCATATCCGACCTTTCCACGGTTTCCGGCAGGATGTGTTCCTCGGACGCGGTGTCCCCGTTCGCAGGTTCGTTATCACTCCGCTGCGCCATGGACATGATGGTAGTGGTATGGTTTGTCTTATCGTATGGACGGTCGCCGACGTCTTCGAGATCGTATGCGAGGTCTTGGGAGTTGAGTTGGCTGGTGTTTCTCTTGCGGGTAGAGGGAGCGGTGGTATTGCGTTTGCCGCTTGTTTCGAGGCGATAGCTTTGGCCGTAGCTTTGGCCGTAGCGGTTTTTGCGGTATGAATTGAGGTTGGAGGAGAAGGCTTTGAAGAGGGGGCCGTAGGTTGGGACGCAGGTTACGATGACCTAATAGAAATGTGTTAGTTATATGCTATTTGTGATGCTAGGGAGGGGGCAAAAACGAACACCAAGACTGATTTCAATGACGGACCAAATGACAATTGGTTCACTGTCAGTGTAGGTTTGGAGTTTCTTGATGGTGAAAACACGAATGATTTGGATAATGGTCACGAAGAAACCGAGAGCGAAAAGGATAATGAGAGCAATCTGATGGGGGGATTAGTCTTGTCGGTATATGGTGTCAGATCGAGTATACCTTTTGCTTTCGGTGGAGTTTCAATTTCCATAATACAGGGAGAGGAAGGGCGATGATAATAAGATCAAAGCCGAGACTGGAACCGGCCAATCCTACAGAAGGTCAGTATGATATCGATTTTCCAATATATTCAAGCCAACACATACCATAGTATGATTTCACGGTATTGATACACGTGCCAGGGATAGACAAATCCCACTGTTTAGCAACCTACAAAGCCATTAGCATGTATTAACTTGAATCAGTCCATCGAACATACCGGATTGCAAGCGAACAAAAGTAGAAACGTAAAGATCACTTGGTTACACACGACTAACACGATGACGCCAAGGATGACATTCTTGTATGCCTGCACAAAGCCACCGATGCGAAGGTACGAGGTCAAAAGAGCGACTTTGAAACCCAGCAGGGCTAGGACATAGACCGGTCCACCTGCATATTGAACCTGTAAGATGGTCAGATCATCTGCACCCCGTGTGTATGTATGCGTGTGTATGCAACGAACATGACTGAAAGGAACGACATTTTCGGTAGGAAAATATTTGAAATTAAGCCCGAGTCCCCATCGCGTTTCTGTCAAGGTTCAGCGTCATGTATATTGAACATCGCCATTGCAGATAACTCACGGGCAACGGAAATTCCTGCATATGCCACACTCAAGACCGCACTGAACATTGCGGCGTAGTCATCAAACCATGGTGTTCTCTTGGTGTGCAATCGCACGTAGAAACGAAGTATGACGGCGAGACAGGCAACAATGGAAAAAGTGAGTGAGACGCCAATCACTTGCGGGATATGACTGTGAGGATCGGGAGTCTTCAAATTATAAACCCAACCCATGATTGACTATAGAAAAAGAAGGAGGGGCAATGGGAGCATTTCACAGCTCCCAGGGAAGGTGTTGTATACAACTATGAAGAGAGCGTATACATAGGTAGGAAGCGCCAAAACCCGGGGCCAAAAGTCGAGACCGGGGCTTGTTCTTCTACCTTGGAGTCCAGAGCCACTTGCTTTTTGTGATGCAATTTTTTTTTCATTCCTTCCTCCCTTCAGCCTGGGCGTTCGCGCCAAAACCTAATATATTAAATCCAGATGGGCGACCCCACCGTGGTGACCGCTGCTACTCCTACCATAGTACCATTATGCACGAAACAAGGATGGAGGATTCCTGGGACATAAGCCAAACTCTCGGGATTCTCACTAGACTAGGGACCCCCGACTGGCGACGAACACTGTGATGGGTTGAAAGAAACCCAAGCATCCACCTGTTGTCGATAAATGTGGACACTTGGAGAAGAATCCGTTGTGGCCACGGATAGGAACGGAGAAATAGACGCAGGCACAAGTGGATTCCCAGGCCATGCGGCCAAGATAGCCATGACCGTAGTCATTTCCTACAATCGAACCCAATTGAGCCCGACAATCATGAAAGACAAAAATCAAAGTGATAACGATTTTGATTCCAATCTGGGAAAACCCTCCATTGGGAATTGGACCAGACAAATCAAATTCACGTCAAATGGCGGAGTGATTCGATTTGCATGGCGGTCCGCATTGTGCATATGCATGACGAATTTGGACCAACTATTGGTATGGACTAGCCGATCGTTTATGACTGCAGGTGGGAGCGGAGGGGTTTTTTTTTCCCTTTTCCCTTTTTCGCCCCTCTCGTTTCGCTTTGGGTTCTTTTTTTAATGTGTCGCTATCGAAGCAAAGACGTCACCGCTTCTTGCTATCGTGCTATCGTGACACGGTGACGATGATCAATAGTGCGTTGAGCCATGGCCAGAACGAGTGCCGATGCAACTCCGGCGCAGCCACAGTGTGAAAAATGCAAAAAGGCATGCAGAAAATTGGCAGCACGAGCAAATGATAACTAATATCCGAGAATTCTCCTCGAGAGTTCAGGGACGCTCTCTTTTCATGTACGTTGCAGCGCGTAATATGTACGGATGTCTGATATTTGGTCCCCGCAGGCATGATTAACTCACACCGTCTCTGGAGGCGACGTGTCAGCTGTCAAGGAGTGAGACAGACAGGAAAGACAGTAGGGTTAGATTTCGGGCCAGGAACAGGAACAAGTGCAGCCGAGAGGAGTACCATGGTCCTCTCTTCTGTGGTCGGGGAAATAATAGTGAGATGGAGATGGAGGGATTGACAGCGAGAGACGAGGGGAGGTGGAGGTCGCCCAAAGGGGAAATTCCAGTCCACGTGCCGTATTAGGATTACGGTATTATATACTGCCTACCCTGGGTAAGGTACAATCTAAGTACCTACAGGTCCTGCATCTCCCAAGATATTCTCGCAGTAATTGCATAAAACAATGCCTTTATAGAACTCTGTCTGTCTTATGATCAAACAAGTGTGATGATGCAGTAAGATGCAGCCAGTATAAATCCCTCAATCACAATAATACATAATTAATGCCACCATGGGGCGATGAATACGAAGGAATCGATCGGCAAATTCAATTCCTCCTCCCAAAAGTCAATCAGATGAAATCCTGAAATTCTTTCAAATGCTTAACTGTCCATTAATAATAATGCCATAATAATAGCAGCAGATCATAAGAGCCTTTTCCAGCCCCCTATTTTATGCATATAACGGTGGCGAAATATAAAACAGTATATATGTAATTGGTGTTTATTGAACCCTGCTGCTGCTGATCATTCTTGGATTCTACCATCTCCACGACAAATCTTATCGATACCCACACACGTGTCTGTCGCTCTTTTTGTTTTCAAATCAAACCATGGTTCACATTCAATAGTTTTATTCTTATCGGGGCCGTCCTGTTTTGGGATTGATTCTGTCATTGTGCGATTTGGTTTCGGGGTTTGAGTTGATCTCGTCGGTTTTCAATCTTCAAGCCATATATATTCTTGCCTCGGCTTGCTACCTCGCAACTTTTAATTTGTATTCATATCAGTAGACAGCATTATTCCATATTAATCCAGATGTAACCTCATCGACTAACATAGCGTCTGCTTTCCTCTTATGTACAAGTCGTGGAACTAGTCCAGTCTAATAAACCGAGTATATACAGAGTTGGACCACAAAATACTCACAGCCTTAATAAACAATAAAGTCAAATAAATAAATAAATAGCCAAGACTCAATTCTATATTAATGTCTAAGCCCGACACAACCGTCCACTGGAACTGACACTCCATTCATCGGAGCCGACGGCCGTTTTGGCATAGAAAATGTCATTCGGGTCGTACTTGGCCTTGATCTGGCGCAGACGCTCATAGTTGACGCCGTAAAAGGCGGACTGGAAGTTGGGCTGGCGGAAGTCGCCCTCGTTCATATACGCCCCAGACTTCGGGGCCAGCGCGGCCAAACGAGGAATGTAATCGTTGGTCATCTTGTCCTGCAATGCCACCATCTTCGACTCGGGCGCGTACCAGTCCCAGGGAGTCGTGATGGTCGTGTCAATCAGAGTCTCGCGCCAGGCGGGCAGCACCGCATTGTTCACATCGCCGGCCACTTGTTTGGAGACGTTGAGACCCACACCAATAAAGGTGGCGCCGTCTTCGGTGATGTGCCGGTACGCTGCTGTCAGGTCGGCGTTGTTGTTCTGTACCACCGACCGCGGCACCAGCCAGCCACCGTACTGCGCGATGCCGACCTGGATCTCGCTCTGCATGGTGTTGAACTCATCCAGGTAGTTGGTAAACTGCTCCGAGTAGAGCGTGTACTTGACTCCCAGCTTGGTCAGTCCGTCGGTGAACGGCTTGACCAGCTTCACCAGATCGGCGACGGGAATGTTCGGTCCAGTCAGGGGGGAGATGTAGAAGGAGGTGTTGGTAAAGTACCACACGCTCATCGCGCCGGCGTCAACAATCGACGGGAGAGTTTCATGGTACAGCTCGGCAGCCTGGTAGAAGGTATCCTGCGAGATGCCGGCGTTGGTGAAGGTCAAGTTCAGTCCCGACACAGGGGTGCTGGTGTGCGCCTTGGAAGTCAACGACCACACAACACCATAGGTACCACCACCGCCTCCACTCAGCGCCCAGTACAGGTCCGAGTTCTCGTTGTCGCGCGTCGCCGTGCGGAAGTTTCCTTCACCGTCAATCACCTCCCATTGCAGCACCTGGTCGGCTGCAAGTCCGTATCGCGACGCAAGGGCGGAGTGTCCTCCTCCCTGGCTATAACCCCCCGCGATCCCCACGGTAGGACACTCGCCTCCGACAACCTGGAGACCGGTATTGTTGGCAGCCTGGTAGGCCTCGAAGCCTTGCACACCTGCGCCCATCTTGATCGCCTTGCCAGTGTAGTGGCTGTCCTTGTAGTCGTTGATTTCAATATCCTTCAGGTTATGCGTCCAGAGTCCCAGAGCCCCCGCCCCGGTCGACTTGCCATTGTAATCGTGGCCGGTGTTGCGGACGACGAGACGGATATTATGCTCGGTAGCAAACTTGAGCGACGCGGAAACATGGTCGGGTTTGGTGACATTCACCGCGTAGACGATATAATTGCCCAGCGTGCACGGCTTCGAGACAGGATGGTAAGGATCGCAAGTCCCATTGGCGAAGAATGGGGCCATAATCGACGAGGTGGAATCATAGCTTTGTGCATAGTCAGTACATTATTCCAAATATCTTGCATAAAAAATAGTCAGAAAAAAGAAAAGAGAAAAAAAGAAAACATACTGGATTTCAGGGTATTCCCATTTGTCGCGCAACGAGTTACACACCCCCGCATCGTAGCTGGGAGAGTGGCAGGGCTTCCCCAACGGCACGGTCGCCACCAACTGCCCATCCACCGTCTTGTTGAAGCTGGACCAGACATCCTGCGAAGGCCAGCAAGAATCGCCAGGGAAGCATCGACAGTTGGTAGAGTTGGAGCTGGCTGCTCCCACGACTGAGCTCAGCGCCAGCACGCTGGTCAGAAGAGAAGAAGCCATCCCCGAGCGATCCCAGAACATGGTTGAAAGGAGAAAGTTCAAGGGTTCGAGGCTTGGAGAGGAAGCAAAAGGAACGACGGCATGGAATAAAGAAGGGAAATAGAAAGTCTTTAAGCCAGGATGATAGCTAACCAATGCTACTAAAAACCATTCCTTGTCTAGATTGTTTTGTATGGCTGGACTAAAAACTACCGCCACATGGAGTCGCCCGGGTTTAATCAGGCAATGCTCGAGCACGAAACAGCCATGATTCAGCGACCATGCAAGGGTTGTCCATTGGAACTCTAATTGCCAGAGACAAAATAATGCTGGCTTCTCTTCTGGACAATTGCGCGTCTTCCAGCCCACTTGGGAGGTTTAGTGCTCTCGATTGTCTTTACTAGTTGCTGTTACTAGCCTTGCTCGCACCAACCGTGGATGAGGCCTCAATACCGCCATCCTCATCCACGGTTTGTCAACGTGACAATTTAAACCCTTTAGCACGCTAGTCGATAGTGGTCTTGTCGGAACTGGCGGCATCCAGGGAAAGACAAGCTTTGCGAGGTCAATAAAGCAGTTGACTTGATCAGATTATCTCGAGTCAATGCCCAATCCATGATCCCATCTACCCCTGAAGAATCAATCAACGGCTATGGCATTTGCCGAGAATCAAGGACCCCGTTGGTTTGATATTTTAGCAATTGATAGTACCATCTCCTGTTCAGTTAGCTTTGTTGGAGCATCAACGACCGATCTGCCAGGTTGTCTAGAAAGATTCAATCTGGCATTACCCCATTACCCCATTGCGCCAAAAGCAATAATCAAATACACATGGCATGATGCAGGTGCAGATGCTTTAAAAAGCACGGATACTGTATGGAAGCAACGGGGTTACTCCGGATGAACTCAAGTGAGGGGTGCTCCGAATATCCACTGGATAGTTCATTAGAATCCTGCGCCATCAGGAGAACCGGTTCAAGCCGGTGGTTGCAAAGTGCGAACTAACACGACCCATCTATTGCATTTATTCCATACGCAGTCCAGTAAATACTCCGGCCCTCCTGTCGGTGGTTGGGGGCCAGATCTTCTCCTTGGCCTTGCGTCGATGGACAAGAAAAAGAATTGAATGAACCCAATCATCGGCCTCGGGGTACGGAGCATCTACTCTGTATCGCGAGGAAGATCATCACCGTGTTCGCTGGTTTTTATGGATTGCACGCAAGTGAGTCTGAACTCTGAAACGAGCGGCTTGAGGCGTTGGATTGTGATGCCTGTCAGGGATGCCCCACAGCGGAGATGGCAGATTTGGAGAACGTGGCCGCTTGAACCCTGCGCACTGTTGATATCGGTGAAAGACACCCAGGAAGTGCATTCAGGCACGACTCACCATAGGGGTTTAATACTGTTTATCTGGACACTTTGAGAAGAATGAGAACTTCATACTTATGGTACTTCCCATTGATCTGGCGAATTCGTGGGCTTCCCCAGATCTTTCGAAGTGACTGGTCACAAGATCTTAATTAGGGAACACGCGATGGAATATGACGGAATGTATACTAACCAAATACTCAAATATTGTTTCAAAGTAGGGAAGCTTGCATGGTTCTGATTGAGAATTGCTCAAGCCAACCAACCGTCTTAATGGCAGTATCGACTTCAAGTATCAGGATTTGAACAGCCAATCCTCAGAATTGAAGGGCCAATTCCAGCGCAAGTTAATTTGAATATTCCCCGGAAAGATAGATCGGATTGAATGAATGCTTCTTTCCCACGTCGAGCTGGATTGTCCTTCATATGCATTGCTGCGCCCGATACTTGGGTCCCGGCGGCAGTTTCTCGCAAATACCATATCATGTTGATACCACATTTACTTTGCTCTCCGGCAAAATCGACCCTCGTGCAAAACCATTGCTTTCCCATTAATATCTCTTTTCCACTATGGCCATTTGGCCAAATCTGAAGCAAGCAAGGTGACACAATGCAGCCAGCGGTGACGGTTTCCCGCCCTTGATAAGCGACAGTCGAGTCGCCACCAAAGCAAAGAATGGACCTTTCAGAACACTATCCAAGCCAGTCAGCCCTCTTTGATAGCAAATTTCTGCTGAGCCAAAGGTATGGTATAGGTGGTTTTTTACTTGGAAGTGAGCTGCCTGATTATCTGCTAGTGGGTTTTTCCCAGACTAGATAGAATTAATTCAACGGGCAGTCATCTAGCACCAACATTCATCTATCCTGCAGAGTACATCTACTGCCCATATTTTCAGTTTCAATCACCGAAATTGCGAAGAATGTGGCTTACCGAATCGGGGTCGACGTTGGTGGTATCAACACTGATGCTGCGATTATCAACATCGCAGATACCACAAGCCCTTCTCGTGGAGTATATGCATCAAGCAAAACTACCACTACCGAGGATGTGACCACTGGAATCTATATAGTGATTGAGAAAGTATTGCCTGAATTCCAAGGTTGAGAGGAAGAATGTTCTTAGCGTCGCTATTGGGACAACGTATTTTGTAAATGCGGTTGTCCAGGCTGATGCTCGACGTCTCAGCAAAGTTGCTGTTGCCCGTCTTTGTGGGCCTTTTACCAAGCGTAGGCCAGACTGTAATGATGTAGTAATGATGTAGCTTCTGTCATGTTGACTTGCCCTGTAGGTGCCTCCTTTTGCAGAATTTCCCCCGATTCTCAAAGAGATCATGGGAGGCCCGGTGTTCTATTTGAATGGCGATAAGAAATCACTTCCATCATGGAAAGAAATGTGGACTCTGCCTCATCCGACAATAGGACTGGAAACAGATGGACGCGAGACTATGCCTCTTGATCATGATCAAATAAAAGCGGTATCCAAATGGTAGCTTTGGTGGGCGTCTTCTCGTCCCTCGACCATCAAGGCCTGCAATAGAAGCATGTAAGAGGCTTATGAGGGAACTTGACCCAACCTTGTCTGTTGTCTGCTCCCACTATGTAGGCGGTGTTGGGATTTTGGAGACGGAAAATGCTACCATTCTGAAGGCGTCAATCCTCGCCCTGGCGAAACGAACTGCTCGTGCATTCTGCAGGGCTAAGGTGAAGCTTCGTCTCGACTGTACTTTGTATCTCACTCAAAAAGATGGAAAAATGACCGGTGCCGCTACGGCAGCAGAGCTCCCTGTCAAGACATTTGCCAGTGGCCCTACGAATGGCATGACGGGTGCTGCATATTTGGCACATCTAGATAGAGGAGCATCACGCACAAATCCAGATACCCAAGTACTCGTAATCGATGTGGGTGGCACTACGAGTGACGTTTGTGCGTTGCTTCTCTCTGGGTTTCCTCGACAAGCGCCGAATTTCGTCGAGGTAGGAGGCGTGTGGACGGCCTTCTCAATGCCAGAGGTGCTGTCGGTTGGTTTGGGAGGAGGGAGTCGCATCAATTTCCATGAAGAGACAGATACATTCAGCGTTGGTCCAGAGTCAGTTGGCCACTATTTCATCCAAGAGGCGATGGTCTTTGGGGGAGACGTGATGACAGCAACAGACATTGTGGCTGCGTCTGGAGCAGACATCGGAGACCGCTCAAAAGTCCAGAATATCCCACCACACATTGTATCGAAAGCGCGTGCTCAAATAAAAAAGATGCTCGAAAGGATGGTGGATGTTATGAACGTTACTGATTCCTCCGTAACTCTTCTGCTCGTCGGGGGTGGTCTGTCGTCCAGATGGACCCTCTAGGAGTTGCCGAATGTGTGATTCCTCCTCACCATGACTCTGAAAATACTGTTGGTGCAGCCGTTGCCAAAGTTGCTGGTGAGATTGACGTTATAGAAATCCTAGTGGATCGAGACGAGAAGACAGTGGTCGAGGCAGCGAAATGCCAGGCCATTGAAGCTGCCGTGGCCAGAGGTGCTGACAGAAACGACGCGAAGAGTCGAGACAGGACATAATCTGCACTGTACCCGACCTCATCTCCGTCCTTGGCCAGGATGGGGAAGCGATTGGATCACAGGAACTGGGCTGAAGGCCAGCGTCATTGCGATAGCGGCTCATCCGTTGTAGACGGCCGATGGAAGAGGATTGCGAGTTGGTGGTCCTAAGGGATTTGGACTCAATATAGAGTGGAAGAGTTTAGGGCTGTATCAGCAGCCCAAGAGTGTCGTGATGGAGTTTAACAGGGAGTAATTGCCGAAATAGTCGTGCTATGATCTAAATATATTCCTCATCTGTGGCTTCATTTTGAAGTTCATTCAATATATCCATTAATAAATCATCGCATAGTAATATCATCAATAGGCTAGTCTAAGCCATATATAAACTACAATCTCGCCTTACCCTCAGACAACCGCTCCCAATCTCCCTTTCCATACTCAACATATCCCTCCTCTCCAGGCGGAAGCCAGAAAAACCGATTCAACTGGCCATCTGGAACCTTCGTCCCAATCTTCGAAGGGTCAACACCCTCATCACGCAGCGGAACTTTATTCTGCTTGTGGTTGTGGATATGGCTCGCGCTATCGACCACACGCAAGAAAACAGGAACAGCGTACTTGGGCAGTTTGGACCGGGCAAACTGGGCGAATGCCTTCAGGTCGATCTTGTCCTTGGCTTCGGGGCTGATCTGGAGTGCCGCACAGCCGGCTCGGCCTTCGTGGTTGGGGACGGTGACGCCGTAGACGTTGGCTTCGATTATTCCCGGGAATCGGCCGAGGGCTTCGGCTACTTCGGCGGTGGCGCTGTTTATGCGTGTTAGTGTTCTTTTTGTTTTCTTTTTCTTTGAATATCTCGTCGGAACTTACACATTCTCACTCTTCCATCGGAATGTATCGCCTAGTCGGTCCAAAAAGTACCAGCGGCCGTCATCTTGACGACGCAGGGCATCTCCAGACCGGTAGTATAGATCGCCCTTTTTGAAGACATCCCGGAGGAACTTTTTATTTGTGGCTTCCGGATTGCGCCAGTAACCCTGGAAAGCGGCTTCATTGGGAATGGCGACGATTATTTCTCCTCCCTCTTCGTACGTGGCTCGGATTGCAAAGCCAGTCTTGGGATCCCGGAGGACATCGCCCGTGTCGTGATTGATGACCACAGGCACGTAGGTGTTGTGAAGTAGAGTTCGAGCAATTAGACCATGGTGGCCGACACTTCCGCTGGTGAAAGCTCCTGTGTTATAGTTGAGCAGCCCGAAAATTCCCTCGCTGCTGTTGAAGAACTCCCCAACTTCGGGCACACCGAATCGGTCGCGGAACTTCTCCCATATGTCTGGACGAAGACCATTGCCGTACATTAATCGGATCTTGTGATCGCGGTCTTGCGGTGAGGGTGGTGCAGCGAGCAGGTAACGTGCGGCTTCACCGACATAAACGAAAGCAGTGGACTCGGAGTCGCGAATGTCTTTCCAGAAATTGCGGACGCTGAACTTTTCTCCTATAGAAATGCTCACCCCTGATACCATACAGGTCATCATGCAAATGCTTGCGGTGCCGTGGTACAGTGGCATACAGCTATACCACCGGTCTCCGTTGGGCCCTACTGTGTCGTTCAAGATACCCCTCCGGACGAATGTAGTAGTGAAGAAACGATCCATGGTAAACGCACACCCCTTGGGCATGCCAGTCGTCCCGGACGTATAGAGTAGAATTGCTGGGAATCCGCCGTTCATATTCAATGCGTAGCTCTTTGGCGGGGCTGTCGTGGGAAACATGGATATTTTTGTTGCAAAGGATTCATTCACAGTCGTCAGTTCCATCCCCAGCTCTCCTTCGGCGACTGCTCTGCACTCCTCTATGCGTGCTTGACACTCCTCGTCATCATCCACCAGCACCAGCTTTGTGCCACTAATCCTTAGACAGTGTATCAATGCGTCCCCGGAGAGATTGTAATTGAAAGCCGCTGTACCACATCCAATACTCCAGAGAGCCAGCCAGGCGATCATAAATTCAGCTCTGTTCCGGAGGTAAAAGCCCACCAGATCTCCGGGCTTTACCCCCTTGGACAGGAAGAAGTGAGCATATTGGATCGCGAGTCTATGAACGTCACTATATGTATAGACCCCATTACGAGTCCACATGCAAACCATGTCAGGGTATTTCTTGACTGCCTCAATGAAAAGAAACCAGCCGTTTCCGCGTCCTTGGGCAGCTGCTCAAAATAAGCATCATAGGTCGATATCCTTGTTTACATTGAGTCGAGCATACCGGCATTGCTGTATTCACGCAGACCCCGTCTTTGCACAAGCAGACCCTGGATATCTTTTCCAATGTGAAATTTGGCATTCAGATAGGAAGCCAGTGTGGCGCCTCCTGCTACCGCACCGGCGATAGTACCTATTGTACATTTAGCAGAAAGTCCACGACACGATCGCTATAATTTAAAATAAACAAAGGTAACACTTACCTAGACTCATCCTGTCGATTTAATCAATGTATAATTTTGGACCAGTAAACTTGGTTCTCGGGATTCTTGAATCAAGACAACAGGCACCTAATCCGCTTCATAAATGTACATGAATTGAAATATGATTTATCTTATGCGTGCAGAAGGCGATGTAAAATGAGAACACGCTGTTCGCTTGCGTTGATATCCAGATTAGAAATACCGCTTTGCCGTTTACCGAGTTTATCTTGTTGGGCAGTTGGCGGTGGCTCCTCGGCTCAACTCGACGTCTCCGCACTGTTTCGGCCATTCACCGGAAAGTGAGGGGATCGTCACACAAGAACCGTGTGTATCTTAGCTTTTTGCCTAAGTGAAACAGCACTTTAAGCGGGGGTATTTATTAGTGCGGGGTATTATGCCATCATCCGACTAATGGCTTATCAAACGAAATATGCATATTTTGTGATGTGATGGCTCTCAAGAATGTCACACAACTCTTGCTTGTGTCACTGCGCAAAGTCTCGAAGTTCTCTCTTAGGAACCAGAGATTCATGAACCCCACGTTCACCGGAAGACTGGGGCTTCCACGACCAGGCTTGATCTTTTTCTAATCCATTGCTAACATGATTCAGCACATTGACCACATATTTGCCGATTGTTGGGAGAAACTTCCAACAGTGAAACGAGCCGCCGACAGCAAAATAAAGATTGGAAAGTCTGGAATCAGGGTGTCGAGTGATGAGCGGCTGTTGATTTCTCGAGATAGAATCCCAGCAAAGTCGATAATAATCCACCTGGCGACCACCTTCGAGGACCTGTGGCAGACGCGCGCGAACCGATTTTATACATTCATCTTGAAGCTCTTGCGGCGCTGTATTCTGGCTCTGATCTGGTGGAACGGAAATTTCGTGGCCTGTCCTGGTTTTGATCGTGTTTCGAAACGATGTTGAAAAGGTGAATTTCAGCACGCCCGAGTCATTCGGTGGTATAACCTCTCCTGTTAGCCAATTAGTATCTTTGCTTTCTATGCTGGCATTGTTGTAAGCCTACCTTGCCCACCGTAGACAAACACCGGCAACTGTCGATACGAGGCAGCTTCGGATTCCCCAAGCTCGAAATGAGCGACACAAACCCCTGCGGCGGTGACTTGGTTTTCCACTCGGTCGATATCTGGGATACTCAACTCGTCTTCAAGAGACGACATCAACCGGCTCGTCCACGCACCAGTAGCTAAAAGAACTTTATCAGCCGTGTAGAGCACCCCAGACCGTGATTCGACGCCCTTTATGCCCTTCTCCCCAAGAACAAGTCGAGCGGCCTCACTCAGAGTTATACGATTGACTCCCATCCTGGACACCTCGTCCTCCATAATCTTCAATGCCCGCCCTGCATCGGCCCATCCAGCAGAGGGGTTGGAGTAGTAAGACCCGAACGGCGAACAGTCTGTCTGTCCGAGCAGTCCACTCCAGCTGCGACGAACTTCCTCTTCGGTCATGTCGAAGGTGACATCCTCCCTGCCATTATCTCGAAAGTTCTTCCTCACTCGCGCAGACACATCACTGCCAGTTTCGTTCATCGCGATCCAACCACTCTGGTGGTAGATGCCTGCATCGCGGAAAAATGGGAGTGTTTTCCAAGCCTCGATGGCTTCGAAGCCTAGTTCCATGTAAAGTGAGTTCGAATAATCTGCGCGAATAATTTTGTTGACGTCTGTCGAGGCTGCGAGGGGAGATGGGGGTGAGCCTCTGTCTAAGAGGGTGATGCGTGAGGGGTCGCGGGCGGTGCGAGCCAAATGGTAGGCAGTGCTGACTCCGAAGATGCCTGCGCCTATAATGAGGATTTCTGAATCCATGGTGGTGGTTGCTTTGATGGTTTGGATGATGGTGATGATGATGAGGGGATGTGAGGTGGGTTGGGATTGTGTCAGTGTGATCGGGGATCAGCGCATGTCAAAACGCAAGAGGGGAATCGGTCGGACTTTTATTCATCTAGAGCTCATATAACAAAATCAATTACAGTCTAGAAGATATTATATTTATTCAGTATTTGTCTCTTAATATCGAACACCAGCGTGCTATTCTCACAACAGCCATCCAGCAGACAGCACAGCCTCAAGCACGATGCCATCTACAAGCAACAGGCACATGCGTGGATTGATATCAGCATCACTTCTCATCGAATCATTAAAGAGGGGTAAATAGAATCCTTGCCAGGAGGGGTTGATGCTGGTCATTTTGCTATTTCCGGCGTGATGCGAGTCATACCCTGCATCGCGAGGCTGCCCCTCTTTATCGATTCAGTTTCTGAAAGATAATGATAGATTCATACATTGATTGAGGTAATTATTGTTGATACATATTGGATAGTGAAATAACTAATACCAGTAAATGACCTCAATTCATCGACTTGTCCAGATCGGCCCGTTCCGTAGAAACAACGAAAGGCTAAGCTCATGTCCATTTGTGGCGCAGTCAAAAGACCTCAAGTAGAGCCAGTCATGACGACGTATGTTGCCAGACATTGCACAAGGCCTTACAAAATCATCCGACTTTCATTTCTCTCTCTCTCTTTTCATTCACTTTTCTTGTCTCTTACCACTCATACCATCACATCATGGACCAGCCATTATCCCATCAGAATACCCTTTCCTCCATCCTCAAAGTATACCCTCTTGACGAACACCGCTGTCTGGGTTACACTCTTTCTAATCGCCGTCGTTGTATGAATCCCACCAATGCTACCAGCAGAAACACCGCTTCCTCGTTGCTTGAAAGAGGTACCCGTATGCTCGAGCAAGCAGAGTCAATCGATTCATTACTAGAATGTCTCGCTCCAATGGTGCTTTGTCGTCGCTACCACCAAAACCAGGCGAGAGGGTTAGCTTCTCGGTGGAAAGAAAAGGTCACGACTCATATCAGAGAACAAGAGGCACGACGCGAAGCAGAATCACAGGCGGAAGTAGAGGACGAGGCCGAGGAACACTCCGAGGAAGAACAGGGAGAGTTGAATCTGGGAATTGAACCTCCGCCTGATGCAACATGGCGAGGGTCCATTATACCCGGGTTTCGGACTTCATCGGGCCATGTCACTTGGTCTGATGTGTTTGAAGGGAATCATGATATTCAGACGCGACCGCAGACGGAAAATGTCGAGGAGCGTCGTGAATCTAATACGGAGACTGTCAGTACGAGGGAGGAGAGACAACAAGAGATCAGTCGTGTGGAAACGCCTTCTCGCACGCATACTGTCTCTATCTCTACTCGCATACCGGAAAGAAAAGGCATCACTCGAAGGCCCATTGAAGGTGACTGTGGAATTTGCATTCTCCCTCTACTAGATGAGACTGTGCAGCCAGCTGGGGACACTCAAGCTGGTGACGATGACGCGGATTATGAATCAGACACTGGAGATGAATCGGACTCCGCAAGTTCCGTGGCAACTGTTTCAATCGAAGAGTCCGAGGAGCTAGTGTGGTGCAAAGCTCGATGCGGCATCAACTATCACAGAAATTGTTTGAAGACTTGGATTGACACATTCCGGGGTAAGCCTGGCCACAGCCCTACCTGTCCGACTTGTCGATCTGTATGGAGACGGTGATTTCGCTAGTTTTTAATAGAGATACCATTTGCTTTCATGCTGTGATCAACTAATATAAGCCAAATGCGCTCATTGCATACCTGATATATCCATGCCAAAACTATATACAAGAGGCTGGACCTTTTCGGCAGTAAGTCCGTAGGAACTATTCGTGAATCATAATCATAATCTAGCACTCCTTTTCTCCGTCGACTGGTTCAGCCAGTTTTGAATCGTACCCACCAACCCGTCGATTTCTTCAACCGTATTTCCCGCATGCAGGCAGACCCGCACTCGTTCCTTTCCAGCCGGTACGGTAGGTGACATAATGGCACGAACGATGAACCCTTCTTGCTGGCATACAGCAGCCAGCTTGCGGGGGACAGGACTTCGCAGGGAAAAGATCGGGGATGTTGGAAAATGATCCACTTCAAATATAGCCGGGTCCCAAGAGCCCAGTTCGGTCAGTCGACAATGCATATGAAGGATCAATTGTTGAAGGTTACGTTGGAGCTATGATTGTTAGTATTGAGTTGGAATCAAATTGGGGATGAATTACAGGTTCGGTTTCTCCCTCAGATAGCAGTTCGTATGCTGCTCGAATGGAGGCTAAGAATGGGAATCCCAATGCAGTTGTGTAGATCAAACTCCGGGCATAGTTGATCAAGTACTGTCTGGTATCAGGGCAGCAAAGAACAATTGCTTGATTCCGTTAGTATGGTGCATAGAATCAGAAATTGATCGTCCATACCTCCGTGACTTGCTAGGGCCTTCCCAAATGTATGGACTCGAATGAACATCCGCTCTTCCAAGCCCAATTCCTGGACGACACCTCCACCACGGGGACCAAAGGCCCCTGTTGCATGTGCCTCATCAACAAGGAAATACCCATTCTTTCGAGGGAAAAGCTCATCTACGATCTGGACAAAGTCCCGGATCGGAGCAACGTCTCCATCCATGCTATAGATAGATTCCACCACGATAAAAACATTGCGATTGCCATCTCCAATGGCTGGATCTGCCTCGATTTCCGACTCCAGCACCCTTCTCAAGCTAGTGGGACAACTGTGGGAGAATTTTACTCGCTTCCCCGCTCTCGACAGCCTCATGCCCTCATGAGCACTTGCATGGATGAGTTCATCATACACAATCAAATCCCCCGGTTGAGGAATAGACGACAAGACGCCGACATTGGCATCGAATCCGGAATTAAACAGCAGCCCACTAGGCGCGCCGTGAAAGTCCGCGATAAAGCTCTCCAATTCCTCTGCGTAGGTGGAATTCCCGTCTAACAGACGAGAACCCCCACTCGCAAAAGGATATAATGGAGGAGCCTGGTTTAGAAGGTCAAGAAACCGGGCACGGAAGACCGGCGACGTCGACAGCGATAGGAAATCGTTGGAGGAAAAATCCACTGACGAATTGGGTAACACGGTGAGTCTTCGCCGAGAAGACTTTGCTTCTCGACGATGCAATGCCTGGCGGAATGAGTCACGCAGCGAAACAGGCTTGGATGACCCGACCATGATTCCTATCTAGCACCACACAGAGACAGGAGGAGGAGAAGTCGACCCGGGGTAACGATAATAAAATGCATGGTGTCTAGAAGCGGGGGGCAGGATGCTGATTATCATTTGATTCATCACGACGTTAACCGGCAAGGTGGAACCCGGGATTCGCAGGAGTTCCCTCGGTGTGGAGCGGAGATCACTATGCAGATTAGCTGAAAATTTTCACTGGGGAAGGCTGAAGCCCAAAAAGGTGATGTGTAATGGGAATAGTCACGCCCAAATCCTGGGCGCAATCAGGAACATCAACAAGGCGTGTTGGGGATCAACAATATTGACGGGAGAGGGTGGAGTCTGTGTGGCGGTATTGGTATTACCGTATTATTGCTGTCACGTCTCGACCTCGGCGCTGTCGGCGGCACTCGGTCATCCCACCTTGACTTTGAAGCCACTGCCATTGGGTATTGTTATATCATCCATCGTCTGGCATTGTGATGAAGACCAGTCTATTGACTTAGTGCAAAGGAAAATGCCCGTCGGAGCTGCTCTTTGGAGGTCTCTTCGTGCCCATCAGGTGTATGGTGCCAACACCGACGTGGGGAAGACGATTGTGTCCACCGTGCTGTGCAATGCTGTCCAGCGTCAAAAGTCGAGGGAGAGGGCAGCTTTTCTGAAGCCAGTGTCTACGGGGCCATTGGACGAAGCTGATGACAGGTGAGTATCTTATCAATGGTTAAATTGACGCATGCCATCTGACGAATATACCGACAGACATATTAAACGTCATGGTGCAGGGACACTCACCAAATGTCTCTACCAATTCGACGAGCCTGTCAGTCCACATATTGCTGCTCAACAGAAAAACTTCATTGTATGTTGAATCTAATCAATCTATTGGTCGATCGATCTGTCTAATTAAATTATAGGTCCCCCGAGATGATGACATCCTCAACTCCGTTCACAAAACCCTCTCCGACTGGGCTCGCAACGACATCACCTTTGCTCTTGTAGAAACAGCTGGAGGTGTTCATTCCCCAGGTCCCAATGGCAATTCTCAGGCCGATCTCTATCGACCACTGCGATTGCCCATTGTCCTCATTGCCGACTCCCGCCTGGGGGGTATCTCGTCCTCCATCTCTGCTTACGAGTCTCTGTTGCTCCGCGGGTATGACGTCCACTCCGTCCTGCTATTCCAGGATGATTATTATCAAAATCATGAATATCTGCGTGATTATTTCCGTAACAAGAACATTCCGCTCGTTCCGCTCCTCGCTCCCCCCGCCAAACCATCGTCGCTGGATGCCGACGCGGTGGCTCGGGATGAAGAGGCTATGGCAACATATTATCGTAATGTCTCACAAACTACAGACATTGAAAGTCTTCTCGATCAATTATCCAACAAAAATGCGGAGAGGATCGACCGTCTCGAGAACATGGCCACTCGGGCCCATGATGTCATCTGGTACCCGTTCACCCAACACCACGACATGAACGCCAAAGACATCATGGTGGTCGACTCGGCGTATGACGACTACTTCCAAACTCACCGTTCGACCGACGGCAAAGCCCCAGAAGGCCAGCTTCAGGCAACTTTTGACGGCTCCGCGTCCTGGTGGACACAAGGCCTGGGTCATGGAAACCCGGATCTTGCTTTATCCGCTGCATACGCCGCTGGACGGTACGGCCATGTGATGTTTGCTGGGGGTGTTCATGAACCGGCCCTCTCTTTGGCAGATCTCCTGCTTGAGAGCGTCGAAAACCCGCGTCTGTCCAAGGTGTTTTACACGGACAATGGCAGTACGGGTATGGAGGTTGCTATCAAGATGGGTCTGCGGGCCGCCTGTGACCGGTACGGCTGGGATGCCAGCCAAGAGCAGATTAGTATCCTAGGTCTCAAGGGAAGCTACCACGGTGACACCATCGGTGTCATGGACTGCTCGGAACCCTCGACCTACAACAAGAAGGTGGAGTGGTACCGTGGACGCGGGTACTGGTTCGACTTTCCCCTGGTGAAAATGTCCCAGGGATCATGGAGAGTCGAGATGCCAGAAGAACTAAAGAACTCCCTGGGCCCCGATCAAGAATTCTCATCATTGAATTCCGTCTTCGACCTTGACCAGCGAGTTGAATCTGAAACCGGAATCCGCTACAGAGAATACATTCACAAAACCATTAAGGAACAGGTCCAGCAGCATGGAATGAAATTCGGCTCTCTCATCATGGAACCCATCATTCTAGGAGCTGGCGGAATGCTCTTCTGGTGAGTTCCCCATATATCCAGAACTAGTAGACCACCCCCACTAACAAAGGCACACACATCCACAGTGACCCTCTCTTCCAGCGCTGCCTAGCAGATGTGGTCCGCTCCAACCCCAACCTCTTCAGCACCACCCCCTCCCCAACGGCCAAGTCCCCCGCCGGCGAATCCTCAACAACCTGGTCCGGTCTCCCCATCATCTTCGACGAAGTCTTCACAGGTCTCTACCGTCTCGGTCGCAAAACCTCCGCCTCCTTCCTAGACGTCCACCCCGACGTCGCCGTCAACGCTAAGCTACTAACCGGCGGCCTGTTGCCGCTCTGCACCACGATTGCCAGCAGGGAGATTTTCAACGCTTTCTCCAGCCCGGAGAAGAGCGATGCCTTGCTGCATGGTCATAGCTATACCGCGCACGCGGTGGGGTGTAAGGTGGCAGTCGACTCGCTGCAGAAGATGAGAGAAATGGAGACGAATGGTTCGTGGAGTCAGTATCGGGATGATTGGGCCGTCGCTTCGCAGACTCAATCTCAATCATCCCTGCCTGATGTTTGGAGTGTCTGGTCTCGGGATTTGCTTCATGATCTATCCTATGCTAACTCGGTTGATGGGCTGTTTGCTATTGGTACTGTGTTGAGTATCTCGCTGAAGGATGCGCAGGGTGGAGGTATGTGTATTGTTTATAATTTCTAATCTGTCTGGGGCATATAGGCTAACTTGGTGCATAGGCTATACCTCCACAGCCGCCAAGGGACTTCAGCAGAGATTAGCTGCGGGAGGAGAAAACTTTAACGTTCATTCCAGAGTTCTGGGGAATGTACTCTATCTCATGTCAAGTGTGACGTCCAAGGCTGAATCCCTTCGAGAGATTGAAGGGGTGCTTCGTTCCGCCTTGCTTTAGTATACGAATTATTATGCCATTTACGATGAACAAAAACTTTTTTATTTTTTATTTTTGAATATAGTTGAAAATCAAGAGACTTGTTTTCTATCCATAAAATCATAACTATATACTAATTGAAATGTCATAACGCCAATATATTCACGAAGATATCAGAATATTTTAAGCAGTAGCTGCGGCCTGCGCAGCCTGTGCGCTTTCTTGAGCAACGGACTCGAGGGCTTTCTCCTGAGACTTGATGGCAGAGTCACCCTTTTCGAAGCTCTTCATGGGGTAGAATCCCCAGCGCTCGAACATAGCACGGTCCTCGTCCCAGCCGTTGCAGTCGGTGGTCAACATCTTCTCACCGGTGAAAACAGCGTTAGCACCGGCCATGAAGCAAGCCACCTGCTGCTCCTCGGTCAGAGAGATACGGCCGGCAGCCAAACGGACAATGGTGGCGGGGAGAATGATACGGGCGGTAGCAACGGTACGGAGGAGCTTGTCGAAAGTGATCATCTTACGCTCTCCCAACGGGGTACCCTTGATGGGGACGAGGGCATTGACGGGGAACGATTCAGGGTGAGCAGGCAAGCTAGAGACAGTGTGGATAAGGCCAATACGGTCGGAGTCTTCCTCGCCCAGACCCAAAATACCACCAGAGCAAACGTTGATACCGGCGTCACGGACGTGGGACAGGGTCTTGAGACGCTCATCGTACGAACGGGTGGTGATAATGGTCGGGTAGAACTCGCGCGAGGTGTCGAGGTTGTGGTTGTATGCCGTCAAACCGGCATCCTTGAGCTCCTTGGCCTGGTTCTGGTCGATCATACCCAGAGTCACACACACTTCCATACCCATGTCCCGAATACCAGACACCATCTGCTTCACGTTCTTGAGACTGGTCTTACGACCGCGCATGTCACGCCAGGCGGCGCCCATGCAGAATCGGGTGCTACCGTTGTTCTTGGCGGTGCGGGCCTTTTCGAGCACATCGTCGACGGGGCTCATCTTGGTGGCCTTGAGACCGGTGGTGTACCGAGACGACTGGGCACAGTAGGAGCAGTCCTCACTGCAACCACCGGTCTTGATGTTCATCAAGGTGCACATCTGAATAGCGGAGGGGTCATGGAAGCGGCGGTGGACAGCAGCCTAGATGGATCAGTCTACGATCGATAGAAAAGTGACATTATATTTAACATACCGCAGCATAGGTAAGCTGGTTCAAAGGGGTGTTGTAGATCGCCTGGACCTCTTCCCGAGTCCAAGTGGTACGCGGGGTGGATGCACTTGTAGCCTCCTGGAGGGCAACGGGGATTCTGTTGGCCAACGAAGCGGCACTGGGAGGGGATTGGACGGTGCCATAGGAGCGTTTCAGGATGGCCCTGGGGAGGGACCGGGGCAGAGGGAGCGACATTATGGGATAGGAAAGACGATGATGGGATGGAGAAGGAGAAAGAATGAGGTCTGACGATGGAAGTCGAATACAAGATCGATAGATAAGAGCGGAAGAGTCAGGACCTCGGGAGTGGATGATGGAAGAGCCAGGAAATGCGGGCGAGGAGACAGAAAGAGGGGCGAGTGAGATGGACAGCGTTCAGTTTCACCGGAGCAGAAGAGGTGGGGAGCCAACAAAGTGTATGCGATGGTCAACACCCAAACAGCCTTGCGAGATCTGCTGTATGCTGCTGCTATGACACATCGCAATATTTATACGAAGGCCAGCTCCGATATCCCTTACCCAATATCGAGTCACCTCCATCCTCTACACAATCCTAATTATAATCGATATTTGACTCTCCTCGTTCTGTCATAATCACATTAATCATAACAACTGTTGAGTTGATCCCACAGATTTAGTCGCGCCTTGGCAACTGCAGATCCACCGGTGAGCATATCTTGTCCACCAATCACGGCGCTTAAATAACCAATAAATTACCGCCCTGGCCGTATCGGCTAGTAACGCCCTGGTGCCTGAGAAACAAGGTTGGCAGGTCTCTCCGACTCTATGCGCTGCCATTCCAACCCGTGACGGCGAGGAAAAGGAGACGGGAAACATCATGTTTGCCGTAAGGAGAATACCTCAGACTACCTAATTAGGTGGAACACACAGTCTGGGTAAAATCAATGGGGTGCCTTGGAAAAAACACTGCAAAGAGATTTCGCACGGCATGACGCAACAAGATCCACCGCGATCGACTCGTCGAGCATTGACAAATATTGAGTGTCATGATTATCGCTCCAATTCCTCCGTCTTCGCTCCAGCCAGCCCAGAATGACTGTTGCCATCTAATCATCCCATCTTATCTGGTCTGGCCAGAGCGGATGTCACGTGCTGCCCTCTCGCCCTCTCCTTCTCTGACTTCCCCCAGCCTTCCAGACGCGCCGCTTGTCTTCCTCCATCCATCCGAAGTTCCTCATCACATTTGCTGAGTGCCGATCATTTGCTTTGCATGTGACACATCATTGACTGATAGCCGCTGCTGGCGTTCTGCTGACTCCTGAGCTGGTTGAAGATCCCTTGCCGTCAATCTCGTGGGTCAGCATCGTCATCTGGCCTTGTCCGATTCAACATTATTTCAACGACCTTGGTCATTCAACTAGGTTGATTTTTACTTGCTTTCTACGAGTATTCTGAGAAGATCTACTAGAACAGTCATGCCTCAAAACTACCATGGACGGAAATACACTGTCATTTATGTCAATGACTGAAATCTGCCATCTCCTTTAGGCTACAATACTGGGCTGCTGGATCATCGATTTCATCTGCAGGCATTTTACATTCAACTCTAGCCAGTTAAAGTACTTCATCAAGTATGCAATATCGGGGAATATATCCGTCGCATTATACGGAGAATTTACCCTCAGTCAGCAAGGAATAGGCTGTGGAATGGTTCCAGAAACAACACGCGGTGGCCTTCCGTGGTTCACGCCATAGTCTATTGCTACAGCAGCCCCTCCCGAACATAAACCAACAATGAACTCGTGAATTTTGAATAGTCATGGGATTTTCAAGTCTATCGATTGTTTTAATTACATACATCGTTTGAATGAAAAGAAAAAAAACGTTCAATCATGCCCGAAATTTCTAAAACAATGCGAATATATCCTTTGAAATGAAATGTGCGGGCCAGCGGTCGGCATTAGGATCAAACCATAGATTGCTCAACTTTCTCGTCACTCCCTGCCTGAGTATCAGATCTGCTCATGGTAGTATAGCGACTAAAGTCTCTCATTCTTGCATTCTCAATCGGGTCAGTGTTCTTTGTTCGACGGGCTTGATACCGGAAAAAGATTCGCTTGCACCACTTCCAAAATTCCACTCCGAGGAAGAACAAGGTCGCTTCCACAAACACAACTCCCCACTCCCATGAGATGCCAGTGTGCTTGAAAACCACATCATTGATGACGGGGATATAGAGAATGGGGAAGGTAGTGAGGAATCCGGCCATGATACCCCAGAAGAGGAACTGGTTGCGCCAGACATCGAACATCCACTGTGTGAAATACTTTTTCGAGCCAGGCTGCATACGGAAGAAGCTGCGGCGCATATTGATCATCTCCCAAGCCAAGAACAGTGCGAACCAGGTCATGCAGACGAATGTTGTCGCGCGGGCCCGGAAGACCGTCTCACATTCTGGCGTATGGTTACTGTTGCAGCCTGTTGCTAGGTTTCCGTCTCCCCAGCCAAACATAACAAGGGAAAAGGAGCTAAGGCAAAGCGCGGCCATCCAAAGTCCATAAACCAGAGTGTCTATCACGACCTCCCATGTGAAAATACCTTGTTTCTGTTGAAGTCAGCATCGATTATCTTGACAGAGTTGCCAAAGAGGGAAAGGATATACGTACACTTTGAGGCGGACGGTCCATGATATCCGGGGCTGCGATTTCCATTCCCAGGCCCATATCAGGGAGACCAGAGGTAATCATGATGATCCAAAGAATTTCGACGGGCGCGATAGGAAAGACTGACTGGCCATCATCATCCTTGAAAGCCAGACCGATCAGAAGAGTTAATGCGAGACCAACGTTCTCAGCCAAAAGATGCAAGACAAATTTCTGAATGTTATCAAAGATCCGACGACCTTCTTCAATACCGTTAATGATTGAAGCAAAGTTATCGTCTGTCAGAACTAGTTCTGAGGCATCCTTTGCCACGTCGGATCCCGCCTCTCCCATTGCAATACCAACATCGGCACGTTTCAAAGATGGGGAATCGTTCACACCATCACCTGTCATGGCTGCATAGCGACCCCGCCGATGCAGAGCATCGATCATTCGGACCTTTGTGTTCGGTGCACACCGAGCAATAACTGCTGGAAGGGTAGGCAGGTCATCGATTTGTTCATCTGTCAATTTGTCAAACTGGCTTGCAGTCATGACCATTGCATCTGCCACATCCTTGGCGATTTCATCCATGTTGGCGGGGATAATTCCAACCTGTTGAGCAATAGCTTTTGCTGTACCGGGATGATCACCGGTCACCATGTGAACCGAGATACCTGCATGGTGGCATTGCTCGATAGCTCCTGCGGTTTCAGGGCGGGGCGGGTCGTAGAGACCGATCAATCCGCAAAAGACGAGATCTTTTTCCACTTCCTCTCGCGGAGGGTTTTCCTTCTCGTCGTTGCTTGTACCACCATGGTGCTCTCGACAGGCAAGAGCAAGAACCCGAAGACCTTCTTTAGCGAGACCTTCCATGTTCTGCAGGATCTCATCTTGAATGCTGTCATCGAGAGGGACCGGAGAAGCGCCAGCAGTCCAAGTCACAGATGTGCAAGCCTCAAGAACACGTTCCACTGCCCCCTTTGTGAAAATCATTTCAGGAGTCTTCTCTGTCTCGCCTCGCTTGGCGAATATCACCGACATTTTCTTCACCGTGGAGTCGAAGGGATACTCCGCTTTCTGTTCCCAGACAGGATTCTCACCTTTGATCCAGCGATCGCGGTTCCAGTTGAAGCGAGAAGCAAAGACCTGGATTGCAATGTCTGTTGGCTCACCACGGGCCTGCCATTCATCGGTTGATTTGTGAACATGGGCAAGATTTGCCATTGCGGCAACATTGAGAAAGTCTTCCAGATGTCGATTGTCCTTCAAGAGATCCTCTGGGTTTGCGGGCTTGGCCAGCATATCCGGACTAATCTTGACAGGAGGATCGGTGATGAGACTCATTTCTCCTTCCTGGGGATCCAAGGGATTGCTGGAAGATCCGACCGAGTATGTGCCTTGCGACGGAATCCAGGCTCTTTTTGCAACCATTCGCCCCTGGGTTAGAGTTCCAGTTTTGTCTGAGCAAATGTTAGTGACTGCGCCCAATGCCTCTAGAGAATCAAGCTTCCGGACAATGACGTGTCTTTGAACCATTTGCTTTGTGCCCACTGCCATTGTGATGGTCAAAACCACAACTAAACATGCAGGAATCATTGCAAGTCCTGTAGCGACAGCATAGATGATGACTTCGTTTGAATCGCTCCAATTATTTGTGCCCATGACAATAATCGCGAAGACGACGGCAATACCAAAGAGGGCCAGAGCCAACTTGGAGAGCTTTCGCTGCAAGGGTGTTCCAACATTGATGCCCAGGAATCTGCCAATGGCATCAGTACCAGTCAAGGTCCAGGCCTGTAGATACCAGCGCTTCTTGGTTTCGCCTTCGGGGCCACGCTTGACTTTTCGACGCTTCGAATCACCAGCCCGGAGTGCTGCGGCAATGGCACCGATCTCGGTTTTCATACCAGTGCCAACGACAACGCCACGGGCTCGCCCTCTGGTAACAGTGGATGAACTGTACGCAATATTCAACCGATCTCCAGGTCCGGTGTCTTGGTCAAAAACCTGATCAATTTCCTTCTGTACGGGCAACGATTCTCCGGTTAAAAGGGCTTCGTCGGTTTCGAAATTCATAGCTTCAACGAGTCTGACATTGTAAGTAAAAACTCCCTAAGCTTTGTTGCACCATGAAAACATACCTAAGGTCGGCGGGAACGGTGTCTCCGACTTTGAGCTCAACCATGTCTCCTGGGACGATCTCGTTGGCGGGGACAGTATTGGTTTTGCCGTCGCGGGTTACTGTTCCGGTAGGGGAGCTCAACGAACGCAAAGAGTCCATGGTCTTCTCGGCTGCAAAGTCCTGGTATACACCTACAATGATGTTAAGACCAATGACGGCAGCGATCACGCCACCTTCAATCCAGGATTGAATGCCGAAACTGACAGCCATGGCAATAATCAGCACCTGAAAGGAAGAAGCATTAGTATCATACCAAACTTTGCTGAATTGTCTCTGGAAATGGAACCACTCACCAGCATCATAGCATTTGCAATCTGTCGAATGATGATCTTGGCAATGGAGACGCCTTCTCCTCCTTCGAGTTCGTTGGGGCCATGCTCCTCCAGGCGCTTTTTGGCTTCTCCGGATGACAAGCCTTCATCAGAATCGACTGAAAGCTCATTGAGAATGGCTTCGTACGTGAGGCTGTGGGCTGGTTGGGATAGTGGTTGCGTGTGGCTTGCGTCCGGGGGCGAGCCGCCCGGCGCTTGCTTCTTCTCTTGATCCATATCAATCAAAATCAATTACTCTGCTATAGGGACTTTCTTTTATGGAGGCTCCATATAAATAGTATCTTCCAAGCAATGCGAGTCCATACACAACAGGTGAAGGATGGACTATATGGATCTAGATCTTTTTCTTGTTCTTTCTTCTTTCTCTCTTCCCTGTTCTCCGGGGTATGGAGGGGTATTTAACTTGTACGTCACTGGGTTGCAATGAACAAAGACTTGGTACATAGTGCTTGGCATCATCTTGTTCTCTGATATCAACGCCCAGCAGTATCGAGTCCAGAGCCAATCACCGGGCTCAAAGATTAACCTCTTGGCACAGACCCTTGGCACCAGAGGGGGAAAGTTCGCCGCTTCAGAAAAGCATGACGCACACGACACTGTCATAACCACGTGAGCGTCGGCAAACCCTCGGTCTTGGCCTGAGGCGAAACTTGGCAGCCCAGATGCACTCGGGTTTTCTTGCTTATTGGCCAATAAATGCTTGTGGATCCAGGCGGAATGCCAAGTCTCCCGCAGCGCGGGATCCTTGGCGGACACTTCTTTTTGGTTCTTTTTTTTTTTAATGTTTTCCCGCCACGAAATCCCCAAGCCTCAAGTCTTGGTGGTTTCTTGGCGTGCTGCAGCGTTGGAGGCTTGAGAGCCAGTCGCACCCCGTAGATTCATCCCGTTTCCCCCCTTTCCAAGAGTCCGCTAGAGGTTTGGCGGGATTCAAAGAATTCCATTCGCGAATCGGTGGATTTTCCTCTGCTCCACTAATTGATGTATCTATTATCGTCCTTTCTTGTCCTTTCTTGTCCTTTCTTGTCCTTAGTCAAAGCAATCCAACTAGGTCTAGCCGGTTTATCCGATGTTTTGACTTCGATATGGGCTCCTTGGTCCTTTTTTTTTCGTAACGCTAGATATAATGCGTCTTCGTTCTCGTATTTTTTTCTTTTTTTTTTCGCCTCTTTTTTTTGGTTTTTGATTTTGTTTTTTCGCGCTTCGAGTTTCGCGACCCGTTTTTTGGGGTGTCTTATCTTGTTTCTGATGGCGTATCATCTGCCCAGAAAAGATATCGTTGGAGTTGTTGTTGGGGGGGTCATCTTATTCGCTCTAATCAGTCTTATTCCGATGTATGTGCATACACACTACAGTTGCCCCGTTCTATACTCCATCAATCATCAATCATTTCCCACTCTATTTTCGCAGTCTAGCGACCCTTGTTGCATGAACAACTAACCCAAACATCATCATCCATTCTCAGACAAGGCTGTTGGGCAAACCATCCCAGTTTGCATTTGAACTTGGATGCATTGTCCTGTACTGACTGACTTCATCGCTGCAGTGGCATCATGTGGTATAATCGTCGACGGCGACGAGCTGCGTCCCGGACCCGGCCCCGGGCCCGGGCCACACGCGAACCCCACAACCTGGCCCTTAATAGCCCGATGCATCAAGTGTCTGTGGAAAGATGGCTGGAGGATCAGAACAGCGTACCGAGTCGCGCCGAGCAATACGCGCAACAGATATGGTAGAGTGGCCTTCTCTCTCTCCCTTTCCTCTTCTTTCCCCTCCTTCCTCCTGCGTCGCTGTCCGCGCTTACTCTTGGCGACTAACGCCCCCGAGAGATGCGGGGACAGGGCTGACGCTAATCGGTCTCGGCTTTGGATCCGTGGGCTAATCAGATGTTTTCATTTGCTATAGTCCCATCTGTCGCTGTTCGCTAGTTTCCTTCTCGAATGATGTGCTTTCCTATCCAGAACCTGCATGGCGTCTTTCGTCCCTCCCCCATCGAGACCAGATCGAAGGTCCTGGTCGACGCTGCAACGATCCTAATCAGAATAACCATCCCCCGGCAGATCATAATAATCGCATTGTGGTTCTGAATCGGTGTGGCCATGCCTTTCATTCGTCCTGTCTTGCGTCATACTTTGAGAATCGCCGGTACAAGTGCCCAATGTGCCAAACAACATATTTCCCTGCCGAGTAAATGATTCCCACTTTTAAATATGGATTTTCTGTTTTGGCGATATGGCTGGTCCATGAAGCAATTTTTCCTCTTTTTCTTTTCATTTGTTCTTGTTCTTGCTTTTCTTTTTCTTGGGCCTTGTTTTTGTTTTCCCTTAATGCGTTGTTCCGAATCCACGACCCCCTGTACAGGAACCCTGATATTGTCTTTCTCAATGCAGAAAAGATACCCAACATATCATGTCACGAGAGCATAATTGAATGAGAAACGGGAAAGTGCGTTTGCATAATTGTTGGAGAATCCTTGACTAGTTGCATGGCTTCAAGGCTCTAAAGTTCTTGGCCGTTTGGAGGCTCCAAGCCAAGAGAGACACAGAAAATATGAACCCGTGTAGTTCGTGTTATGCTGACACGGCATGTCGCTGTTGTACGTGGTGTGACAGCATCTGTCTCTTTTTCTTGCAAGGTACAACTTCCCCTGTATGAACACGTTGTCTTTTGGCAGCGTCGTGACACAGCTTCATCTGGGGTAATAGTCTGCAGAAAGTACCCCAAAATGCAAACCTTGGAATAGCGACCAGCTCTTTAGTAGGTATTTTGCTATTATTCTGTATGCTCAGGAATCGCAAAGTGTGCTATTCCCTAGACAAAAGAGGACACAGGGTTGCACAGGCCCCTCTATACCGACACCCCGGTAGATAATAGAGTAAAAGCAAGTTTTAGCATCTCTACCCAGGGGAATCCTTGTTCCAGAATACTTCTAGAACCTTCTTTTTTCCTGGTATCATATGGCAAAATTCAAGATCAGCAATAAATGCGGTGTGACCTCACCACGACCTAGATTTCCAGCAAGGCATGCACGCATGATACAGAAGCTGTGTATGGTTTATACTGAATTGCAGATCCGAATTTCCCCGTGGGGTGTACGACAGTATTCAACTAATCGCAATTTCCTGCATCTGTTGTAAATCACTCGGATGTCCTGGGCCAGATGCAAATGGGTCGCTTCCTTGGATGATTTCGTCGAAGCGGTGGCTCACACGAGTGAAGTTTTGTCCATAACGGCCCAATTCCCGCAATCGTATAGACACCCAATCTTGATAGATCCGGTCTGATGTGGCGATTCCAGCCATGAACAATGGCCACGTTATTCGTGCCATCAAGCGTGGCCTGCTACGGTGGAGTTTCAGAGCAAGTTCCAGCACTTGAGAGACCGCATCGCTGCAGGAAAGCCATCTAGGCTCGGCATATCCTGTTGGTATGAGACTTCCAAAGCACAGGTAAAAATACACGATTGTTCCATAATAGGTAATCGAAGCCCAGTAGATAGTCTCCATCACGCGACGTCCATCACCAGCAATTTCGCAGGACGGAGCAGCCCTGGCTGAAAATAGAAGGGTGTCATGATCCTGGCATTTGAGTGCATTTGTTAGACTATCACAAGCTATTTTAAGAAGTTCAATACGAGAACATTTATCCCAAGACTTACATCGGCAATCGTGACTATTTCGTCAATGAGAGATTTGAAAGAAGACTGGTCCCAGCAACAGCTTGAGTCTCCCTTGATAAAACCATGCTTGAATTGCTCTGTGATTTTGAATTGGATCACGTGGCTTTGATGATACAGGGTCAACCCTGGAAGATTTTCCAGGTCGTCCAAGTGAGCTGTCGCAGGATACTCTTTGCCCCAGAATCGAGACGGCGACTGTCTACTGATCCTGAAAAGTTCCGGCAAAGTCAGGGTGGCCGTTTGAGGGTCCAACTCTGTGCGAAGGAATAGTCGAAAGAGATTAGCATCAATTCTTGCAAGTCCTGGACTACAAAAAAGTGCCCCTGGCGTGCAGAAATACAAAGTCCACAGCAAAAATAAAGGAACTGTGGTAGATCGAAGACGTTGATCAAATCCTGCTGAAGCATTACTTATTTTCTCACTTTCGGCACTTTCAGTCGTCTTTGGAGATTGATTATCCGTTTCCGGCAGTAAATTAGCAGATTCCTCATCTTCTGGGTTGGGTGCGATCCTCAGAGACCCCATATTCTTGAGAGATGGTATAACATGGTTGAACAAAAGAGTCGTTATTCCTCGCATATGGACGTTTATGGCAGATTTACCGCTTCCAAAGCGATTCTCATAGTCAATCATGAGCCACAGAGTGATGAATAGGGCTTCGAGCTTTTCTGGTGGTTTGACATCCTGTTTCAATGCTTCACGGAGGTTTGACAGGGCTCTCCCATAATGCATTCTGCCATCAACGTCAGAGAGAGCATCGATTGGTAGACTTCCAGGAACGGTATCACAATCATAAAGTCGGGATCGATGGATCTCACTAGCCGATGTTGCCAGAATCATACTCATCACCATGGGCTCTTTGGTCGCAATTTTGTGGTACGTATATGAAACAGTAGACCACGGCCAATGTTTCCCAAGAAAAATGACAAGAACTGAATCTCGAACATAGTCCAAGCAATACCGGTCGAAATTTGAGAGTATAAGTGAATTGGCTGCCTGAATACCATGTCCAGAGTCATGCGCAACAGGCGAGTTGCTAATCAACGGTGATAAAACCTGGCCGTCAGTCAGGTCTATCAATCCGCTTGAGTCGCTACTGCCTATTCTTCGGTTTCTAGACGAGCTTTTTGCTGGTCCCCTGGGAACGGGTCCTGGTTTCCACTCGCAAAGAATGCGTGCAACTGAGCATCGTCTGCATTGTGGCTCCTCTTTTCCTTCAACCAGTATTTTCTCCTCGTCGCATTTGACCTTGCGAATTCTACATGTGCGACAACCTGAGAAGCTATCAATCATCCGCATAACTCGCATTTCAGATCAGGCGAGCTCTGTGGATCCTTACCTGTTTTGGAACGTGTCTTTCTGCCGACCACATGCATCGTACTGTGTCCTCTTTCTTGCAGGATCGGAGCCTTATCTCCACAGTGTCACAATCTCATCTGTTACCCACTGATGAAAGAGCCAGTGATTGATCATTTACTCCAACGGTGCAGGGTTGCTGGATCCAGAGACATCTAGACATCGATTCAGTAAAAGAGACAGAGGCAAGTGAGGGGAAAGAAGAGACAAGCGGGGTCATTGGCGGGGAAGGAGGAGTCATCGTCTTCTTTCCAGAGGCTGTCGAAAGCAATTGGGAACCGATAGCGACGCGCGGATAAAGCCGCCGATGCCGAAGAGACAAGAGCGCGTCTCTGATTGGCTGGATCGGCTAGAGTCACGTGCAGTTCATTATCCCAGCCAATCACAGGCTGTTTTTGTCGGCAGCGTTGCCGAGAGACTGCCGGAGATCAACGACTCCAACCACTTCTTGCGACGCGACGAAGGTAATGAATGAAGATGATTACATTGCAAGGTGGCTGGGTGGGTTAAGCTAATGCAATCTCCACTTTAATGGGTGGTACTGTTTATAACGGCTTCTATCTCGCAATGGTGTCCTCAACTTGTGAGAAACCAGCAGGACCGACCAGACAAGATGCAAATCAATGAATTCCAGCAAGATACCATTAAACCAATCCAGGAAGCTCTCCAAAAGTATGATGCAGAGCTGAGAGACATCAATCAGAAGGTAAGAATTATGTAGGCTTAAGCTTTATCTTTGCTAATCCTCCGATAAATGCAGATTTGGTCGAAACCAGAACTCGCATGGAAAGAGCACAGCGCCCACGACAACATTTGCAATTTGTTCGATACTTTTATCTCACAAGGGTTTCAAGTGCGTCGGGGTGCCTATGGGGTGGAAACTGCATTCGAGGTTGAGTACTCCCACGGCACCGGTGGCCGTGTCGTGGCGTTCAATGCAGAATATGATGCACTACCGGGGATCGGCCATGCATGTGGACACAACCTGATTGCCACCAGCTCCATTGCTGCTTTTCTTGCGACTTGTGACGCATTGAAGGCCCGATACCCTGATGGTCCAGGATATACCGTACGACTTTTGGGCACTCCCGCTGAAGAATCCGGGGGTGGAAAGGTGCGTTTGCTGGGAAATGGAGCATACAAGGACGTGGATGCATGTCTCATGATGCACCCGATTCCCATGTCTCCCGGTGATCCAGAGCTGTTGAGTATCGCAAGCGTGCTCCCTGGGGGGTATTTGGCAAATGATAAAGTCCGAGTGACCTTCACTGGCAAGCCTGCTCATGCGGCAGCGGCTCCTTGGGAGGGCATCAACGCACTAGATGCAGTCGTTGCTGCTTATGTCAATATTTCTCTGCTCCGACAGCAAATTATGCCATCCCAGAGGATCCATGGAGTTATATCGAACGGCGGAGACCGGCCAAACATCATCCCCATGTCGGCAACCTTGGATTATTATATTCGATCCGACACCGTCAAAACGCTAAAACCCTTGACTGCCAAGGTTATCAAATGCTTTGAGGCGGCAGCAACTGCGACTGGCTGCAAAGTAGAACTTGACTGGTACGTTCAAGGCAACATGGCCCATGTTCTCATCTAACTGAAATAGGGGTGTCTCTTATACAGATCTCAAGGCTAATGTGCCGATCTGCGAAAGCTATGTTTCCGCCATGCGGGCAATGGGACACAAAACCGCGTTTGACAATACTGGATTAGTTGGTCAGCTTACTGGAGCATCAACAGATATGGGTACTTTGCCAATACATTGGGTCATTATGGATATTTCAGAATTGTCAACTGACAGTTTTACAGGAAATGTATCTTACGCTGTTCCTGGCTTCCACGGTATTTTCAGCATCCCAGCCGATGGGGTCAACCATACACCGCAATTCACCGCTGGTGCTGGCTCGCCCGAGGGGTTTCAGCGAAGTCTATACTGTGCGGCAGGAATGGCAGCTGTCGCTTGCAAGATATTAGTCGACAATGGTTTTGCTGGGCTGGTTAAAAGGGATTTCGAAAGGGAGGTATAGCTTACTCAGATTTCTGCAGCCGGTCTCACAATAAGTTGAATGGCTACTATATGATCACGAATTTCGATTAGCGAAAAATATCTACCAACCATAACCAAGTTCCTTCCTCTCAAGTAAATAAAAAAAAAAAAGGAAGAAAGAAAGTAGGAAAGAAAGAAAAACTTATATATATCTCAACTTGAACATAAAATTAGACTTGGCAGCCTGGCTCTAAACCTGCGGGCCCAGTTATATAACATAATATATAATATATTATATCCTTATATAGCTAGGTAAGAATAATGAAATACAGTGTATATAATATCTTTCATAGGATTGACAAGTGTCTTATTATATATAGTCGAATTTGTTCGAATTTATGACTTTGATACGATTATGTAAGGAGGAAGTCATGTGCTATATGTCGATTTGGACTCGTATCGTCGACCGTATCTGGAGGTTCTTCTCTTCTACACTGCCTTAAAGCGTAATAACTTTACCTCTATAGGGTGTGTGGACAGGCAAATTAACTTGTACTATGTTTCAAACAGGGCTCATATAAAATATGGCCTCGCCAAACGCAGGACAAGTCTTTCGCATCAACCTTGACCGCTCAAGACTGTCGAGAAACCGGACAGTGCAGGCATGCCAACAATGCCGGTCCAGGAAGATCAAGTGCGATCGGTCCAAGCCAGTGTGCCAAAGCTGCGCCTTGCATCATCGGGGGTGCTCCTATTCATCCGGACCCGACGCTGAGACAGGGCGCGTTGATCCTCCGTCGACAGAGCAGCCCGAACAGACCGTGGAAATCAAACAACAAGGCCATCTTGAAGTTTCTGGCGGATCACAGATTCGTTATTATTCAAGCTCATCCTGGGTAGCAGCAGTCGAGGAGCATGCGAGATCATCACAGATGAGTTTTCTTAATCAAATACCGCAGTCATCAGGACTGCCGACCGAGGTCAAGAATTTTGTGCACCACCCAGACGTGGACCGGCTGATCTCTTGGTATGCACAATACTGTCACTTTTGGTACCCCGTCATCGATATTCTCGAGCTTATGACCTCCCTTGAACATTCACGAGCCTATAATGCTGCGCCTCCAGGCGCTTTGGCCCTAATCGCGGCCATCTGCTATACCGCGGCCTGTTCAGCAACGGCCGCAGGGGACATGGAAGCACAGAGCTGTATACCCTTTCCGTCGTGGGGAACGCTGGCACAGCAGATGCTCTATGCCTCGGGCTATCCGCGTGGTCCCAACTTGAATACCATCTGTGCAGCGTTCCTTCTTGCTGCTCCCAGCATGGCAGAGAATGGCTTTGCTCCTGATCCAGGTCCAGTCTGTGTCCTTGTACGAGCTGCCCAGTCTCTTGGGCTGCATCGTGATCCGTGTTCCTTCCAATTGACGTCGTCGGAAATGGAGTTGAGACGGGTTCTCTGGTGGTCAATTCATGCATTGGACATGTCGTACGCGATAGCTCATGCACTTCCACCTTTGCTTCATCCAGCAACTTATGATGTCCAGGTCATTGTGGACGGAGGCCAAGCGGACCGCAGAATGGTAACTACGATAGCTAGGGTAAACCTCATTCTCTCACGAACTTTACATGATATCTACGGCATACATCAGCCAACCCGGCAGAGAATCCAAGTCTTGGATGAAGAAGTTGAAATTCTATGCGCAGAAGAAGTGTCAAAATCACATCAGGTCCCGGCAACGGCACGTGAAAGGTTTATTTCAGCCAGCCAAAGAATGTGCTGTTGGAAAGTAGCTTTTATCCTTCATCAGCCCTATCTGCGATCTCTACAATGGCCACAGGACTCGAGGAGAAAGACACTACATGCATGCCGGGAATACATAACTCTCTTTTTGGCCAGTGCCGCAGACTCGACCCTTGCCCCGTACAGATGGGTCCTCGAACATTTCAATGTCCACCATGCCTGCGCTATAGTCCTGCAAGACCTCATCCAGCACCCAAGCTCTGCCGAGAGTGAATCTCTCCGTTCCTTGGTACAGACCTGTTTTTCGACTTTCTCCGCGGATTCTCACCCCCATTGGACAAGGCTTGATGCGCTTCGTTCCAAGGCGTGGGCTGCAAACCAATGGATATCCAGTCGAGAAGCAACGGTGGACGACACAGTGGTGGATGCAAGCCTTTCAGACTGGGATCGTCTTTACGCCTCCTTTATCTGGAATGATCTGCTGCTGCCATGACGGTGTGCTTACATATAGTACAATAATATAACGATAAAGCCACTGGCCCTTTTTATTTTGAACTGAAACTGAAACGAAGAATTTAAAAATCGAAAAGACCACGTTTCTACAGACAATGGTCCCTGCTCAAGTCCGGATACCAAACCATGCAGTGATTTCTTCCTCCATGGTCGGCCGATACAGCCAATGCAGATCATCCAAAGCGTGTGGAAGATCGTGAGATTTGTCCACTTGGGTTGCGACCGGTCTTTCGGTCTTTGGAAGCCGTTTCGCGTTTGTTCGCTCAGCCATTTTGAGAATCGCATCGATCCGGTCCTGACGCATGCCGTGCCAGAAGTCAAGCGCCTCGGTCAGACTAGTCCCCGGCGATCGTAGGGTCAACATCAGACTGAGGGTATATGCGTCTTCCAAGGCCTGGTTGACACCCTGAGCGGATGAAGGCGGCATAGCGTGGGCTGCGTCGCCGATGATGATGGTGCGTGCGGTGGGAGAAGCCCAAGTGGGCAGCTTGGGCATGCGGTAAAACGGCCACAGCAGCAGTCCGTCTTTCCTCAGCTGCAGCTGGTCCATGAGAGACTTTACAATGCCACTCTTCCACTGATGGTAGTCCTTGCACAGAAGAGAAACCAAGGCGTCTGGGTCTGCTGCCAACGCCTCCCACCCAGCACGATCGAGAGCCGGATAGACAAACTGTCTAGCGGCCATCATTTCCGTGCCATCGTGTACCTCGGGAATCATGAAGAATGCTCCCGGATCATCCTGGATTGTGCAGTCTTTCTCAAAGCTGCGTGGCCACGCAATACTGTCGGTTGGTACATGGCCGTATATGCACGCCAGACCCAGATACTGAGGCAATTCTGAAGTCAGATGCTTGCGCACAACGGAGTGAATCCCGTCGGCTCCAATGAGAAGAGACGCTTTCTGTATCTCGCCGTTGACGATGAACCGAACGCCCTCGTCTGTTTCCTCGATGACCTTGTCGAATTTCGCATCATACTGGACGGGGACCTTGCATTCCTCCAGTGCCGCCCTGAGCTCCTGGAATAATGTCAAACGGTAGATTCGGTGGTGGCTGTAACCATATAGCTCTTCCGTGGCGACGTTGCCTATGGTCGTGGTGTTTCCTTGAGCATCCTTGACTGCGTGGGATTCTGTCCGGTAGCTCCGCGAGGCAACCCGGTCGAAGAGCCCGAGACGGTCAAGCACAAGGCAGCCGTTGGGCCCCAATGTGACACCACTTCCAAGCGTCCCTGCGTCTTTGGACTTGGATTCGTAAATTTTGCATGGGATGGACCTTTGAGAAAGGGCAATCGCCAACGCAATCCCCTGTACCTGTCAGGCAAAAGGAAACAATAATAGAAAAACGACTGTTGAATACTTACCGCGATGCCAGCACCAATGATCGCAATGTCATCGAGGATATCTATCTCAGCAGCCATGTTGTCCCTGACAGATACTTCGTGTCAGAAACGTAGTACTAGTCTTGATATTTCCTCCTCCAACTCGGATTCGAAAATAACCGGATTCCGAAAGGCCGAACACCGAGGTGGGTTAATGAAGATCTTGATCGTTCAAGTACATCCCCACTACTGCTGATTCTGCTTGACCAATGTTAGTTCGGTAGAGCCCAAGCTAAAGACCTGGTACCAGAATGGAAAGTTTCGTCCGTACACATTTCCTCTCCCGAAATTTTACTATCATTGTCACCGGAGCTCCTCTGCAAGCTAGGTCATCACTTACACATATATGGTAAGGGTAATTATCAGTTCCAAATACTCGTGCTCCGATATGTATGGCTCAGAGTTGGATGTAGATGATTGCTCTGGTGATCCAGTCAATATAGATGATATGAGGTTTGTATACGCTATCTTCTACAAGCGCATTCAGCTTAATCTCCTTGGTTCTTCAAAAGAAAAAGTTTTCTATTAACCAGACCTCTCGGTCCTGTTTATGATACCACAAGAGCTCTTCTAAACTAGTTCTAAAAGTCTAAAAAATCCCTACTCATAGGGAACCTCCATTAACCCTTACAACCTGCCCTGTAATCCACCGGCTTTGCTCACCCCACAGCATACTGACGGCAGCAGCAATCTCATCCGGCATACCGATTCTCTGAAACGGACTGGCCTGGGCAATCACCCGCGTCGTCTCGGCGGTGTTTTTGCTCCGGAAGAGTTCGGTATCGACCGCGCCAGGGGAGATGGCATTAACTCGGATTCCCTTGCCAGCCAGTTCCTGGGATAGATGCCGCATGACCTGATTCAAGGCCGCTTTTGTGGCGGCGTAAAGAAACATCGGGGGTGGCGCAGGAGACACATCGGTGACGTCGGACGAAATGAAGATGATGGCGCTCTTGGGGGGTAGGAACTGGGTGGCTTCCTGTTGGACGCTTCAGTTAGGCATTACTGTAAGCAATAGGGAAGATAGACAGGTAGATACCTGGACCAGAAAGCAGGGCCCTTTGACGTTGGCTGCCATGGCCAGATCGAATTGCTCTTCGGTCACCGTGGCCAGGGTTGGGAGGGGAATTATCGCGGCGTTCAGGATGAGAATGTCGATTCTCTCAAACCGAGCCACAACAGTATGGACCAGTTGGCGAGCCTCTGCGGTCTTGGAAATGTCCGCTTGAACGGCCAAGGCTCTGTCACGGCCGATTTGCGAAACCAGTGCCTCTGCTGCGTCGGCATTCGACAGGTAATTGACCACCACAGAGGCGCCCTCTGCGGCTGCCCTGAGGATGATGGCCCGGCCGATGCCTTGGGAGCCGCCGGTGACCAGAACAACACGGCCTGTTAGAGACATGGTGGAAGGGGGGATGGGGATTTGGACCGTGACTAGAGCGTGTCCAGAGGATTATCGGTTTATATGTCTGTCTTGTCGCACATGATAGATAATACACGAGCCCGAAGTAGTATTCCATGAGACATACTTCTAGACGATAAGCTGATCTCCACCACGCGGCCGAAAAACCTGCCGGATTGGGAAGTCAGACCGCAGATCGATGACTGCATAGTTGAGCCGGCATTTTTATGCTGCCCTATATAATGAGCCATTGTTGGAGAGATGGATCGGTCTGACAGATGACTACTGGCTCTCCCGAATATCATTACTTTGGGCTTGTATCTATAGATCCGCTGTCAACAATGGCATCGAATACAATCGACTTTCTTATCGTGGGCGCCGGACCAGCTGGAACCTCCCTAGCATCATTCCTAGGTCAAAATGGTGAATACACACTCGCAATATTGCAGAATAAAGATAGACTAACCCGAGCGATAGGCATGAAAGGGCTCGTCGTGGCAAAGTCTCCTGCAACCGCAGACACACCCAGAGCACATGGGTTCAACCCTTTTGCCTTTGGTTTGCCGTTCCACATCAAGCATATGTATGTACGCTAACAAAAGCCAGAATGTCTTCGAGATATTGGCCTCGAAGATGCGGCCCTCGAAAAGGCCACCCGAGGAGCGGGATATCAGTCACTGCGCTGGTGCCGCAGTATGGTTGGAGAGGAGTATGGTCGGGTGCTCGGGTTTGGCCAGCATCCGTTGAGCATGGTAGGTGGCCAAGAAGCATCGCATGGGATTTATACTGACACCACAATCATTGAACGTAGGGTCTTACGGCCAGCATCTCCCCATGCGAGTATGTCGATCTCGCGCAGTCGCAATTGGAGCCCGTCCTGGTTCAATACGCCTCGCAGCACGGGTTTCCCGTACGTTTCTCAACAGAGTTAATCGGCATCGATCACGTCAAGACAGCCGGCGAGTCTGAGTATGTGTGCACTCTCCGAGACTCCATCACGCATACCACATTTACCCTCCGTACGCGGTATCTCTTTGGCGCAGACGGGGCCCGGAGCCATGTGGCTCGCTCATTCGACTTCAAGTTCATCAACAAGCCCGGCGGCGCCAAAGCATGCAACATCCTCTTTCGTGCTGACCTCGACCACCTACTGGGTGAAGAGTGTATCGCTGGTCTACATTGGATTCTCAAGCCCGACCGACAGACCTTCCCCGGCCTTGTGGCTCACCTGCGTATCGTTCGACCCTCGAAGGAATGGGTATTGGTCGGCTTCGGCCCGGACGGTACCAATCCGTTTGATGGTCTGACGGCCGAGAGCCCAGAGATCGTCGACTGCATCCGCGAGCTGATTGGGGACGACTCGGTGGCAATCGAGGTTCTCCGGATCGATCCATGGACGGTGCGCGAGAGCGTCGCAGAAAGGTACGATGCTGAGCATACCGGCGTCTTCCTCGTTGGTGATGCCGCCCATCGACATCCGCCTGCCTTTGGACTCGGCCTCAACACCTGCATGCAAGACGCGTACAATCTGGCATGGAAGGTTGCCTACGTGTCCAAGGGACTAGCCGGTCCGACAATGCTAAGCACGTACAACACGGAGCGCCAGCCTGTGGGCGCCGTCCTCGTCCGTGAAGCAAATAATGGTATCCGCGCTCATGCGAAAATGTGGGAGGCATTTGGGATGTTCGCGGGCTCTCGCGACGAAGGGGCGAAGCAACTGGCCAAGTTATCCGAACCCACTGGAGCAGGGAATGAGTGTCGAGCCAAAATCCGTGATGCGCTCGAGGCCATCGAGCCCGAGGTCCGTAGCCTCGGTGTGGCCTATAATCAGTGGTACGTGTCGGGGGCGGTCTTCCTCGAGGATGAAAGCAGCGATCGACCGAGGCTGGAGGGAAATCCAATCACCGCGGTGCAGGTCAGCACGTACCCTGGCAGCCGATTGCCGCACGCGTGGTTGGACCTGGCGAAACGGCGCAAGATGATATCCACGCATGACCTGGCTGGGAAGGGTGCGTTTTGTCTGTTGATCGGCGTCGGGGGGGATGCGTGGAGAGAAGCTGCGGGCCAGATTGCCCGTGCCACGGGGATTCCGATCAATACGTATGGGATCGGGGTTGGGCTGGAGTATATTGACGTGCATCGAGACTGGTATGCTAAGCGGGGGGTTGAGGAGGATGGGTGCGTCTTGGTCCGGCCGGATAGATTTGTTGCCTGGAGATTCGCGTCCATGGTGCCAGACTGTACGAGGAAGATGATGGATGTTCTTGACCAGATCCTGTCACGAAATGAATTGATCTGAATGTCAGGTGGAATTAAGGATGTGGCTAAAAGTGGGAAGGAGAAGGAATGACTGTGATCCTGTTGTTAGATGCTGTAGGATATAACGTGTGTTTATCTTTATGTCTATTATCATAAAAATCAGTTCATTCCCAATATCAAGATGATGGAAAGCCAGAAAATTGACTTTCATTTACATTCTGAAACATCAATAAATTATTAACAGGATTAATCATATAATCTAATGACAATTTAACAGTGGAGATGCACGACGTGGGTGCTGGCAGGTCCTTAACATGCTTATACCATTGTCCTCATTGCTTGTTGCACAACCAAAACCTGTTGGCTGGGATCTTCCAACAATCGAGTCCAGATAATCTTGAATAAACCGGCAATCTGTCGTGCGACGGTCTCTGGAATTCTAGCGTCCCAATAATCGATAGACAAGCCTAGTTCTTTACCGATTTCGTCGACTTGCAAAACGGCATCAAACTGAATATTGTGTAAGTTATCACTATCACCACTTCAAACTTCAAGACTTAGCTTACCTCCATTTTATCCTCAGCGGATATAGAATCAAACACAAGCCCGGTTTGCTCGGGAGTCGAACTCAGTCCGGTTTTGCGATAATTAATCAGTGTGTTAAAGATGTGCTGCGATGGTGGAGTTAAACCAAGCATCTTCAGTGCTCGTAAAGTGCCAGAGGAATGAGAGAGTGATTGATAATAGTCCTCTTGCATCGTTTCTAGAATGTTACTAAGAGAAGCATGTTCATCCAGGCGAGCCCGACAGATTAGTATATTGAGAAGAGCACCAACAGTCTCCTGTATATCAGGAATTGGTGTGTGCCGGCCAGAATCCAGATACCCAAAATAAACCGAGCTCTTGTCCATCCAGGAAGAAAGCATGAGTGCCCACACCGATTTAACAAGCGTTGGAATGGTAAAACCATGCTTCTGACAGATTGAATGTAGATCGGGTGTGTCATCAACGCTGATGACAATATTCTTCAGGCTTCCTCGTTCATTTCCTGGGGTGGCAGAGACGGGGAAAAGACATGGCTGGGAATCTTGGAGATATTCAACCCAGTAGCGAGTAGCCGAGTCAGATGTGTTGAGAAGGTGTCTAACATAGTTGCAATAGGACGGAGCAACTTGGTCAGGCAACTGATCTGTGTAGATGAGAGACCACTCGTGGAATAAGATCGAACGTGACACGGCATCAATCACTGCATGGCTTATATCAAGCCTGAAAATCACCGATCCTGTGGTCATTTGGCATAGTGAGAGTCGATGGGGAGGGCTCCTCCCAGCATGCTCAATAGGCCGCAGTGCATTGAGAGTTTCAAAGACCTCGTTGTCCGGACATTCAAAATGCTAAATGTTTGCAGTGGTTTCTTTCATGACAACCTGATCCCATCCGTCGTGGGTTACACCGTGCAGAAATATGGTTCGGAGAGAAGCATGGCGGTTAACCAATTTTTGCCAGGAAGTTTTGAGCTTCTCAATGTTGATTGGCTGAGAGCCCTTTGCTGCCCTGATTTGGCCAGTCAAAGAGGGTGCGTAGAGCCCAGTCATCTCGGCCTGGCTCTGCAGCATCAGTTGTTGCATTGGCGTACATGGGTAAGCGTCTTCAACCTCTGTTTGCGAGGTGCCAATCTGTGGCAGTGATTGTGACATGAAGATCTCCAGGCTATCGTATGTCAGAGGCAGCAGCGGAAGGTCAGATAGCGTCCAGCTTTGTTGTAAATGAACTAGCTGTTTTGCAGCTTCCTCGAGGCATCGTTCACAGTTGGCAATCCAGCTCGAGATCAAATCCTGGTGTTTCATGTACCGATTGTACGAAAAGGTGAATTGCAAACAGCCATTCTTAGCTGAAGCCGTGACCTCCATCAAAGATGAGCGCTTCAAGTCTTCCGCCATGTCCGATGGTCTGCCGTCAAAGTTGCCCACATGATTAAAGAAGGCATCGCGTCGGTCAAGTTGTTGATAGAGGCCTAGGTAGTTAAACAGAACCTCGACGGGACCATGGCTGCTGAATGATTTCTTGGCTTTGGGGTTGAGATACCGCGAGGCAAAGTATGCCCACCCGTTGCTGGGAACACTTCTGCGAGCGTCTTTTGTCCGACGAACGGATTCAACCATATCGTGCGAGCTTTCCACCGTGACATGCGTAGGCCACAAAGTCGTGAACCATCCAACGGTCCTCGAGAGATCAATGGAGTCATCCCAAGGTTCACGCCCGTGTCCCTCGTTGAAGATCGTGGGCGCAGGGCGGTCGTGGAATGTCTTCATAAAGGAATGGATTAGAGCTGCCTGGAAAATCTCCACTGGCTGAGTTTGGAAAGCGTCATTGGCAGGACCAAATAAAAGCTCTGTTGTCTCTTTGCTGAGCATGAAGTCGCTACAGTGTATATCAGCATAGGTATTTTGTTCCACCGCTGACCCCCAATAAAGATCTGGCATTGGCGGGACATCAAATGGCAAAGCCCTTTCGGGATCCAAGTGGTTCCTGGCATAGTCATGCTGCAGCTGACACCATGGTTGAAATGCCAATGAATGCACGTTGGATGAAATGCCGGTTGTCAAAAGCTCCTCCAAATCATCAAGGATGATTCGCCACGACACAAGATCAATGACCAAGTGGTGAGCTACCAGGAACAGATATTGCCCTTCACAGGTGTTGATCAAATCCACCGCAAAAAGAGGCCCAGTCTGGATATTCAATGACATTTGGCTCGCAGCCATACCATGCGTGGCTTCCTCCAACGAGCTTGCTTGGTACTGTCGATATCTATAGCAGCCATCCTTGCTGGATGTAAGAAACTGGGTCCAGCTGCCATCAGCAGCCTGCCTGAACCGCGCACGCAGCATTGAATGCTGTGAGATAATAGAGTCCACAGCATGAACAACGTCTTCGGAGGCGACCTCCCTTGCCACTCGGAGTAAAAAGCTCTGGTTGAAATGATTATGCCCATTTGGTTCATTCTCGAAAAACATTTGTTGTATCGGCGAAAGGCCAAAAGAGACGTCAAATTGCTCCTCGGTGTCCATCACGATATTATCCGTCTCTCCCGCAAACCGTGCCAGGCGTGCAAGCGACTTGTGTTGAAAAATCTGCGAAACAGTGATAGGGAACCCTCGGGACCGGCATTTTGCGGACAACTGCATGGCTGAGATTGAGTCTCCACCAAGCCAGAAGAAACTGTCGTCGGCCCTAATGTGTGCGGGCTCGATGTTCAGCACCTGGGACCACAGCTGCTGCATGGTCTTCTCCGCCTCCGTGGATGGCTTTCTCTTGGCTGAAACAGGATGCGTGTAGGCCTCGAGTTGTTGTCGCGACAAGACAGCAGCCTGCTCTCGGAGCAACCGTCGGTTGGCTTTGCCTGCTGCGGTCATTGGAATATGATGCACGGGGATGAAGACTGCTGGGACCATGTAACTTGGCAAAACATCACGCAGTTGCGTTTCACCCGCTTGGACTGCTGACCAGAACTTCTGGTCAGGAGCAGTAAATATGCTATCATGATCAGCATCAGCGTAGTCATTTCTTTCACCTGACTGTTTGCACCAAACAAAGGCCATTAATGTAGGCGGCCGTTTCTCCTTTGTTGATATGACCACATCTGCCACCACATCCTGTACACCACAGAAACTCTGGCGTATATAATGCTCAACCTCTCCAAGTTCCACCCGCTGCCCGCGGATCTTGACCTGGGAATCCTTGCGACCCATGAAGACAAGCGTGCCGTCAGTATCATACCGCACTAAGTCTCCAGTCCGGTACAGTCGCCCACATCGGCCTGGGTGGCTAGGACTTCCATGGAGCAACCAGGCCGGGTCTTGCACAAAGCTTGCGGCGGTTTTCTGAAGATCGCCCAGGTAGCCTTGCCCAACCAGTGGTCCTTCCAGCCAAAGCTCACCGACCGCTCCGATGGGCACAAGACCACCGTTGTCGGATTGATCAACCACCCAGGTGTTCAATCCTCTACCGCGCCCGATATTCGATACTTGGTGATCACGGATCACGGTAGCAGTGGCCGCAACAGTACATTCCGCAGGGCCATAGGCATTCCTGACGTCGACTCTTGATCCCCATATGGCGAGGTCCTTTGACGTGACTGGCTCACCCGCCAAGACGAGTGTTTGGAGACTTGGTACGGTGTCAGGATCGATGGCTCGAGCCGTCGAAGGGGTCAACTGAACAAAGTTGACCCCCATCTGTTCCATGGCAGCGGCAAGGTCGTCTTTCCTAGCGGACTCTTCCGGAATGCATAAGCATGCACCAGATGTAGCCGAGTGGAGAAAGTTGAACCATGACGCATCGAAGGAATATGACGCAAAATCAAACACCCTTGCTGTCGCAGTGAAGCCAAATGCATCTTTCTGGTGTGTCACAGCGCTGCTAAAATTAGAATGTGTGATAATGGCTCCTTTAGGTGTCCCTGTACTGCCAGATGTAAACACAATGTACAGTTTGCTGGATGGGTCTATAACTGGCAGGGGACTGTCAGGTAACCCATATAATTGCTCAAGATCTGCATCAACCAGAACCATAGTGCCGGCATGGAGACGCTTTGCTAAGTCCTGGTTTTTCCTGGAAGAAAGAATGATTGCAGGCTGAACTTGCTGCACAATTGCGCGTAACCGCTGTTCTGGCTGGGTCATGTCCATGGCAACAGACGCTCCGCCTGCCTTCATCACACCCAGCATTGCCACTGGCATCCACATCGATTTCTCAAAGCAGAGTGGCACGATTAGATCAGACCCAGCCCCAACTCCAAGTCCAACCAGATGATGCGCTAACCGTGTCGATAGAACATCCAGCTCCCTGTATTTGAGGTTGCCATCCCATGCACAGATTGCAGGGGCGTCTGGCTGCTGCTGGGCCTTTTCAGCAATAAGATCATGCACACATGCCTCGATGGGTGCAAACACTTGGGCGTTCCAATTCCAGATGTCTGTAATATCTTCTTTGCTGATGGTATTGACATCCTTAATCTGCAAGTGCTCACTTCCTTCACAAATTCGCCAGAGCACATGCTCCAGCTGCTGTATAATCCGCTGGACTTCCTGCCTCTCAATAACATTAGAGTCAAAGCTGATATTCACAGACACTCCGTTCGTCTCAAGCTGACACTCCAATAATAATGCAGTGGTGGTGAATGCATTCAATCCTTTTATACCATCACCATAATTGCTTGATCTTATGAAAACGCCGTTTTCTTCAGACGCCTTATCCTGGTGTGAGGATGGTTGAATCACCAACAGGTTTTGGAACTCACTCCCTCGTGCTGTCTCGGGGCTGATTCGCCGAATTTGCTGTAGACCAGTTTGCTCGAATGCATTCATCTCAGTGGCTTGTGTCTGCACTTGCTGCAGAAGAGCATTTATACTAGCCTCCCAATCCATCTTCACTCGTACTGGGACTGTGGCAATGGTCGGCCCAGCCATCCGCTCAACACCGGGTACTGGTGCTTGTCGTCCACTCACGATGGCACCGAATACCACATCAGACACAGTTGTGTATTGTGCCAGAAGAATCGCCCAGGCTGTGCGCACCACTGTTGAGGCTGTAATGCCATTCTGGGGCCATTGGACTGCTTGGATATGATGGTGTAGCACTTGGTCTGCACGGGACTGGTATCCGTATCCTAAGGATGGTAAGGCTGGAAATGATGCTGCCTCTGAACCTTCCAATTGAGCTTGCCAGTATTGGCTTGCACCTTCGTTGAACTCGGTTATATGCTTGATAAAGCCCTGGAAAGGCACCGGGATGGATCCGCTGTCACCCTTATATGCTTTCACGGCCTGTTCTAGCATTAAAGGAATTGACCAGCCGTCGTACAGCGCATGGTGTAAAGTGAGTACAAAGAGTACATGGGGATGGTTGCCCTTCACTAATCCGAATCGAGCAAGGGCGGTTCCCAGGCCCATGGCAATGTGTTCATCGTCATTCACATAGGTGTCAAAGTCTTCTCTCTCTGTCCACTGTACCTGCTCGTTGATTACCGCTTGCACCAGCCCCTGACCTGGTAAATTGATGATGCGTGTCTGCAAGATTCGCGTTCTGGAGACAACATCCTCCCAGGCCTTTTGAAAGTGACTAATGTCCACATGTGGTTGCAGCTCCAACACAGTTCGTCCAATATAATCTCCCGGCCGCTTCACTGTCATGGCTAAGAGTCCTTCCTGGAGTGGGGTGCAAGGGAATACATCCTCCACTTCATGCTCTTCAACATCGCACTGTCTCGCCGCCTCCAACCGGGCGGTGCCCTCGGTGATCTGTGGTTTTAGCAGCGAGAATGGCGCAATCATATCGTCTGAAAGGTGACCATCTACCTCGACCAGAAGAGCCAGGTCACAGAGCCGTGGTTTACTAAAAATGGCGGCCACTGATAGTAAGAGCCCGCGTTCACGCGCAGCACTCACTAGTCGCATGGCCGCAACTGAGTCACCCCCAATTCGTAAGAAATTATCATCTGCCCCAATACTGTTTGCATCCACTCGGAGAATCGAAGCCCACAGGTCCTGTAGTTGCCGTTCCATCTGCGTCGTGGGTTTCCGTTGCTTTTTATGCCGAGATGGCTGCAGCGCCGCCAGGTTTTCCAGTGTTAGTGACTCGCCCATCGCGCGAAGTCGGCGGCGGTCCATTTTACCGGTTGCCATTATTGGGATTTTGTCCACTGGGATATATGCATTTGGCACCATGTACCCAGGCAACTGCTCTGCCAGTCTGTTGTCCAGCCCCTGCGTCAGTTTCCGTACCGCAGCACGGACAGTTTCTAGAGATGCATTTGCTTCTTTGCCAATGGCGAGGTACAACACTAGTATAGGATTGTCACTCCCTCGTGGCTTGATCACCTCAGCCACCACTGGTGTATCAATGCCTTCCATGAGGTTCTGTCGGACGTGGTGTTCCACATCGCCGAGCTCTACACGCTGGCCTCGAATCTTGACCTGTGCATCCTTGCGGCCGACAAAGACCAATCTGCCATCTGAGTTATACCGCACCAAGTCACCGGTCCGGTACAGCCGGCCTTGTCGCCCTGGATGACCTGGGCCTCCCTGCAGCAGCCATGGTGGGTTGTCTACAAAGCTGGCAGCTGTCTTTTCTGGATCGCCCAAGTATCCTACTCCAACAATGGGACCCTCCACCAACAGCTCTCCCGTACATCCAAGTGGAAGGAGTTGATCACTTCCCATGGTGTCAACCACCCATGTGTTGCATCCCATGCCTTCCCCAATGCAAATCTCCAGCTGCTCTGTCTTGTCCATTCGCTGGGCTGTGGAAGTCACGGAGCACTCCGCTGGCCCATAGGTGTTCAATAGATTTACATATGGCCTCCACTGCGCCACATCCGCCTTGCTCATTGGCTCGCCGCTAAGAACGAGAACATGGAGACCGGAAATATCTGACGGGTCTAACAGGCGAGCCACAGTCGGCGTAAGGTGAGCATAGTTGACTCGTAGCTTATTCATGGACTCTATGATATTCCCGCGGCGATCATCGTCATGCGGTATACAGAGACAGCCTCCTGCAGTCAAAGTGTGCAAGACGTTGGACCAGGATACGTCGAACGCATATGAGACAAAGTCGAACACTCGAGAGTCTTTGGTGAATTGGAGACTGCTTTGCTGATGCTCAATGGCGCTGCTGAAGTTCCTATGTGAGATAACAGCCCCTTTGGGTGTTCCTGTGCTGCCAGACGTGAATACCACATAGAGATTACTGGATGGCTCAACAGCTGGGAGGTGAGTATTCAACGGCCCATCTGATTGGGCGAGATTGGCTTTATCAGCAGTGATCACAGCACTAACACCAAGCCGGCCTGCCAAATCTTCATTCTTTGCCGAGCAAACAATAACCTTGGGGCAGACCTGTTGGACAATCGATTGAAGCCGCTCCTCTGGTTGTGTTGTGTCCATTGCTACTGACGCGGCGCCTGCCTTCATCACCCCTAACATCGCAACTGGCATCCACATTGACTTCTCAAAGCACAGTGGTACTATCATGTCCGGGCTGACCCCGACCTTTACCAGCTGATGTGCCAGCCTTGTCGACAAATCATCCAGCTCTGCATATGTCAGTTCCCCGTCCCAGGCGCAGATTGCCGGTGCATCTGGCTGCTGGCGTGTCCGCTCTGCAATCAGGTCATGTACACACAACTCTACTGTCACTGGGACTGTGGCATTCCACTCCCAGATATCACAAATGTCCTGTTTACTGGCCATCTGGACGTCCTTCACACTCTGCTGGCCCATTTCTGTCTTACAGATCTGCTGGAGCACGTGCTCTAACTGGTGTGCCATCTGCTTCACCTGCTCCTGCTTTATCACCTGGGAGTCAAAGCTCACCCGCATTTGGACTCCATGCGGCTCAAGCTGGCACACCACCATCATTGCGTATGTGTTGAACGCCTCCAGTCCGCCTGCATCCTCACTATCTCTGCCATCTAATGTGGCTTGGAACAGTTCGCCACTTCTGCGCGCTGTGTCAGCCTGAGAGGCTGGTTGCACCACAAGCAGCGTCTGGAATTGGCTCTGCTGCTCTATGTCCTGGCTAATCCGCCGGATCCGCTGCAAGCCTATCTGCTCAAATTCAGTCATTTTAATCGCCTGTGCCTGGACCTGCTGTAGTAAGGTATCCACATTCCTCTCCCAGTCAACATTCACCCGTACCGGCACCGTAGCAATGGTTGGCCCTGCTATTCGCTCAATCCCAGGAATAGACGCCTGCCGTCCTGTCACAGTTGCCCCAATAATGACATCAGATGAGTTTGTGTAGTGCGCTGCGAGAATGGCCCAGGCCGCCCGTACTGCGGTTGAGGCTGTGATATCATTCTGCGGCCAATCGAGTGCTGCGACCTGGTATTGCAGTGTCTGGTCTGCCTGTGGTTCATACCCTGGGGATGGCAGACTGGGGGACGGCACTGCCTCAGATCCTGCCAGTTGATCCTGCCAATACTGGTCCATCTCCTCATTGATGTTCATGATATGCCCAACAAAGCCCTGGAACGGTGTTAGAGCATCATGTTGCTCTTGCCAGTAGGATTGCTTGACTTGGTCTAATATCAGTGGCATGGACCAACCATCATACACTGCGTGGTGCATTGTCAGCACAAAGTAGTGCTTGCCACGCCCACGGTCCTCCACCATGGCAAACCGCGCCAGTGCTGTCCCCAGCCCCATAGGCTGCTGCTGGTCGTTGGCGAGGTAGGCGCAAAGGTCCTGGCTGGCTTTCCACTCGATTCTATCCGTAATCACAACTTGCACCAGCCCCTGTTCTTGCAGATCGACAATCCGTGTTCGTAGGATGGCTGTTGTCAAAATGACCTCCTCCCACGCTTGCTTGAACTGGGTAATATCAATATCATCCTGCAGCTCCAGCACTCTCCGGCCTATATACTTGCCTGGTCGCTTTGCCGTCATTGCTAGGAGGCCTTCCTGAAGAGGCGTGCATGGGAATATATCCTCGATTTGATCACTGTGGATGCCGCACTGCGTCACTGCCTGAGCTAAGACATCCTGGTCGACGCCCGCCTTAAGTAATGTGAATGGGGCAACAGTATTTTCCTGGTGTTCTACTGTTTTTACCCGCTCTGCCAGATGGCACAGTCGTGGATATTCAAAGATATCAGCCACTGTAAATGAGAGACCTTCCTCCCGCGCGGCTGCAACCAGGCGCATCGCTCCAATTGAGTCGCCGCCAATCTGCAGGAAGCTGTCTTCCCTCCCAATGCTGTGACGGTTGATGCCTAGGACTGACGCCCACAGCCGCTGCAGCCGCCATTCGATCTTCGTTCCAGGTGTCTGCCGTTCGCCGCGGGCCGGCTGCAGTTCTGCTAGCTGCTCCAGTGTCAGCGATCCGCCTATCTCACGGAGCCGCCGTCGGTCAGTCTTCCCTGTCGCTGTCATTGGAATCTGCCCAATGGGGATATACGCGCTGGGAACCATGTATCTTGGTAGCTGTTCTGCTAATCGGTCCTCTAGCCCCTCTGTAAGATATCCAAGGGCCGCTCTGGTATCATCTGGGGATTGGATAGCCTCCTCGCCAATACCTAAGAATGCTATAAGTATTGGGTTGCTGCTGCCTTGTGGTGTGACCATCTCAGCTACACATGTCACGCTGGCACCATTGACAAGCCCCTGCTGCAAGTTGTGCTCAACCTCGCCCAGCTCAACCCGCTGCCCACGGATCTTTACCTGCGCATCCTTACGGCCGATGAAGACAAGCGTACCGTCTGGGTTGTATCGTACCAGATCTCCGGTCTTGTATAGGCGCCCAGATGTCCCGTTGCGAAACTGGTGTAACCAGGCTGTCGGTTTTTGTAGAAAGGACTTGTTTGTTTCCGTTGGGTTGCTGATATATCCCCGGCCAACACTAACGCTTTCTATGACCAATTCGCCAATGGCTCCAATAGGTGCCAGCTGATTGTGGTCCTCCGTATCAACTACCCAGAGGACGCAGCCAATTCCCCGTCCAATATTCATATGGTCTGCGGTTTGGCTGATGGCTGTTTGCAGAGAGCTGATCGTGGCACACTCACAGGGCCCGTAAGCATTCATTAAGTTCACCTTCTTTGCCCAGCTGGCCACGTGGAACGGTGTCATCGGCTCCCCTGCAAGGACTAAATGTTGGAGGTCGGGTACGCTGTTTGGATCAATCATGTTGACCGTGGATGGAGTCAGGCTTGCCCAGTTGACCTTTTGGAGATTCATAAACGCCCCAATATTGTTATAGCGGTCAAATTCTGATGGCATGCAGATACGGCCACCAAACATCAGCGTAAATAGGATATCACGATTGCTAACGTCAAAGGCAAAATTTGCAAACTGCAGCACCCTTGACTTGTGATTTAAGGATAGTACCGGCCCAATTGCCATTGCTTTTGCATAGAACGCTCTATGCTCCATGACCACGCCTTTCGGTCTTCCGGTTGATCCAGACGAAAAAGCAACATACAGAGCGTTATGCGGCGTTGCGGATGGAGAGTAGTCCTGGTTCTCATTTGCATTCCGAGCAATCTCGGCGTCCGCAACCCTAAAAACATCACGCTCGAGTTTCTCAGCTGTCGAATAGTGCATTGCTGAGGCCAGTATCAGATTGGCTTCGAGGTCGTCGCAGATGCTGCGCATGCGCGGGAGTGGGTACGAAGGATCTAAGAAGACATACGCGCCTCCTGCTCTGATCACACCCAGCATCGCCACAATCGCCCATTTCGACTTTTCAAAGCATAACGGGACGAATCTCTCGGGCCCAACACCTAGAGTATTCAGGTGCACTGCCAAGCGTGATGAAAGCCGGTCGAGTTCCTGATATGTTAGATCGCCATCCCAAGAGCTGACTGCTAGCGCTTCGGGTTGCTTGATACATTGCTCATAAATAACGTCATGGACACATGAGTCATGTTCCATAGGTGACCATTTATTCCACTCTTTCAACTGCGCCATGTCGTACGGGCTGCAGAGATCAACTTCCCTCAGGGTTTTATGGGGATTATGGACAATATTGCATAGTGCCTGGCCGAGCGTTCCGGCAACTTTTTCAGCTTGTTTTTCACTTAATGCAGATGCCATGCAGTCAATAGAGATGCTGACTGTTTCCTCTATTTCAATTACAACAAAAATCTACCAACACGAGACTCGGTCAGCACAGCAAACCGTTATAAAAGTTAGGAAGCGCCACTAACCTGTGCGTTTCCAAAGAAAACATCCGTCTCTATATTTCCCAGCGAGCCCGTCCTTGAAAACGGTCTCTGCACCATGACCGTATTAAACTCATGACGGCCATCTAAACCAGGCTCCTCGAGTAAGCCACTGGCGCCCTGCAGTATCTCCAAAAGTGGTTTGTTCCGTGGCAGCTGAAAGCTGCAAATCGAATAGTCAGCCCCCCCCCTCGCTGTCAGTATTACAACCGTGGCCCGCTGCGACATGTCCAAAGATAATGTTTTCAGAAGTTGTGTATGCTTGAAGAACAACCCCCCATCCTACCTGGAGTAGGCGGGACAAACTAATGCCATTTTCTTCGCAAAAGTCATACAGGTCTAGACCAGCTTCCAGTTCCACGGTGACGGAATGTAGTTTCTCAATACTTGGGTTCGGGTTCCCAGTTCCGCTGTCAATGGTTGGGAACAGACACTGCTTTCCAAACTGGTGATGTATTTTAGCCTCATTAAACTGAGGCATAGTTTCGGCAATCTTGTAGTAGAAATAATAATAGATCAACGCCGACTCGCATGCCAGGAATCCTGAAGTTGATGAAGATGCTGAGCTTGTAGATTGTGCAGTGTTAAGAATGTTGGAAAGGTTTTCCCTCGAAAATAATTAGTAATAAAAAATAAATAAATAAATAAAAATAAAATAAAAAAATAAAAATCGAAAATCGAAAATCGAGAATTAAAAATTAAAAAGAACGTAGATTTGATGTGTACCAGAGGTCCCTCCATTCAGTAAGATATCCATATGGCTGCGGGGTACATATTCTTAGTCAAATAAGCTATGTTCTTTAAACTTGTCATTACGGCTTTCCAGATTCCAATCACAATGACCATGTAACAAGAACAGGAGAAATAAGGTAAAGGTACCTGTCTAATCTCCTAAGTAATGAGTGATAATTTGGTATTATGTCCTCCTCAGTAGATTGTTCAAAGCTACGAGTAATAATAATAAAAAGGACTCATGTTCAGCTGAACCTTCAACAGCGATCCACTGCTCAGCTCTTCAGCCTGACCACTAATAGCGGTTGAAGAGCCCATTGACCGACTTTTGCTCTTCTTAGCGCACTTACTAGACAAGTTAGTGTGTATATCAAGACAGATCGTCGGTGGTCTTCAGCTGAAGTGGCCAATGGATGGTTTAACCAAACATTCCTCACTGAGACGGCAAGACAGCTCTGCACAGCCAATGAGAATGACATTGGAATTATCTTCCAGATGGGGACTGCAGATGGCGCATCCACAAGACCATAAGCGAGCCAGATCTCACAAGCGGGCCGATCACCTCATCCTTCAATATTAGTATCAGACTATTATGCCTGATCATCAAGTGCAATGCGTAACTTAATAGGATTAATATTAGACTGATTAATGAGTTCTACAGTCTGATATATAGGTCACTAAGTATATATATTTAAGCATAGGTATAGAGCCATTTGTGATACTCGTAGTGCTCAGATATGTATGAACACACTAGACTGAAAGGAGACGGCGGATATTCTATAGATTACCACGGAGCGAAAGCTGAACAAGAAAAAGGCCATCTTGGCCAGTACCTTCAGCCCATCTCGTATCGATCCCGATCCTCTGGAACACCTCGGCGCCCAGACCACCCTTTCCATTTTAGATTTAGTGCGTGTACCACGTGTTTGGAAAAGCGCGATTTCAGTTCAACTTAATTAGGAATAACGCTAGGGCTCTTTATTGGGGCTTTACATCAACATCAACGCCATCACCATTATAGTATACATAGAGACGCATATATTACTGCTGGCCATAGCGCTACTAGTTGGCTACGTTGACTCTGACAATGGTATTGAGCCATTCCGGCACTGCAAGTTTGCGGCCAAGAGTTTTTGAAGCTGGTCTTCAGTATGCATAGTCATGTGATAGTCACGTGTTGATCTCAGTGAAAGCAAAGATAAAAAGAGAAGCTATAAAATGGAAACCTAAGATAGTAAGAGCTTGGTAATAAGGGCTTACGGCCTATTTATTAGCATTCAAAAGCTTAATATTCTCTCTTTTCTAATAGAAAATTGTCAATCTCATAGGTGATGGGTACAAATCAGTGAGATCATCCTTCAGAGACTATAGAGCGTTGCTCTATATTTAGACTCTCCCAGCGCTTACAGACAGCAACCTTGATTTTATCCATCTATCATAAACACTCCAACTTCACATAGTTAGATTATTCGAGCTGGATGAATCATAGGTGCGATAAACATGGACTCAACCGACTTGGTCACTCGAGCAGCTTTATGTTCTTCGCCAATCGAGGTAAAGCAAGAGATCCTCTGCTATCTTCCAGATCTATACGCGCTTAAAGCTGCAATCCTCTCACACTCGACTATCTATGCCGCCTTTCTTGATGGAAAAGAGTCGATCGCTATTAGGGTTCTGTTGAATCGCATTCCTCGCGAATTACTTCGCGATGCGGCACTTGCCCTCGATGCCTCGACTGTTGAAGACTGGACATGGTCCCGTGGAGCCATGACCCAGGACTGGACGCGGGAGAAGGTGCTATCAATATTGAATCGATATAGGAATTGTAAAACCCCTAAATTAATTTCCCTAAAGGAGGCCTTTTCCATGCAAAGGCTATACCAGGTAATTGAAAGATTTACGTCGGATTTTATCACGGCTGCACTGTCGAGAAATCCTGCCTTGCCACAACACCCACCATCGTTGCAGGAGTGGAACCGGGTGGCAAGGAGCTTCTACCGATTTGAGGTATATCGACATTTCTTCAGGAATAGGGATAACTATGATTATCGCGATAGGTTTGAAAGGCCAAAGCCCTCGCGTGACTTCCAAGAAGAAGAGCAGTGGGAAGTCTGCTACAAGCACTATGCTGTTTGGGAGCTGGAACAGCTTGCTACTGTCGGTGAATATTTATTTCGAAAGAGTGCCATCCGTAAGTTTCTCTCTGATATTCTGATAGATGCTCATGAGACTCAGCCTTCAACGAGATTGCTGCACATGACGTGGATTGGGGAAGCTCGGGGGTGAATTATGACATCCACGAAGCATGGGAGTTCACCCAGAGATATGGCTATATACCGGGTCTCGTAGGTCACCTTGATGAGAAACATTTGATCCTCTGTCTGATGATTCAAAGCTTTCCAATGGATTAGAGTTCATATTCGAGGCCACGACAGCACCAACATACGAACAGCGCAAACGACTCATGAACCGCAAGCTCAGGGGCTCATATCCCTTTCTACCCGGCTTGCTTGAGTGTATTTTTCTGGGAGGGGCTCAAGACACACCATTAAAAGAATACACCTTCGAACAAGCGCAGGTACTCCACCTCTCCGAAACACCAGAACCCGATTCAGGACCTGCTAAGATATGGAAGTGGTCGCACTGGGAGCTGGACTCGGACCAGTTTGTCTGGAGCATCCATTGCCGAGAGTTACATGCATGGGGGTATGTGATGTGGGATAATGCCCGTCTCGAGAAGTCTGGCATTTACTCTCAACCGTTTATATTACCACCACCCCCTGATGAAGAGGAACTTGAACGACGAAAAGAAGCGACAATTGCATCGATGGTCAAAAGGAGACATCTATTTAGGGCTGGCGCAAAGGGCTGATGGGCAGAAGGAGACGAATCTCATCTTGAATGGGGAGAGCCTCCCCAGTTTTCTGATGATGAAGGGGACTGGGAGGAGCAGTTTATAGAACTGGTAAGCGATTTATAGAAACACTCATGCGATGACTTTCTAATAATCGTGTAAATAACAATCAATTCCCCCACATGAATACTATCAACTATTGGTTAAATGCATTATGCATGGGTGTGCTTATGTTATCGATCCCAATCATTCAGACCTAGGTATTTTTTATCTGGTATCAGCATTCGACCATCAAATCAACTTGGAGTAGCTGTGGATGTTGTGAGTGGAAATGTGGCGAAGCCGATGTACGAGAATACATCCACTCAGTCATTCACTATGATAAGTTTGGAGGCTGAGGAGAGATCAAAGACTCTATATTATGATGAAGGAGATCCTTGACTTTTACATGGAGAATACAGTTGGTATGATAGTCAAGGAGGGACTATCTTCTATCCCTTAAGACTGCTAGAGACAAATTGAAGTTATTCAGAGTATCAATCCATCGAAAAAGGCACTATCCTTCCTGTATCTCTTGTGAAACGCTTTAGTTTAGTTCCAGTGACGATACCTCGGCTTCTAAGCAACTGTGTAGCAATTCTTGAATCGAGGGAACTCATCCATCTCTTGGATTTCTCACCGGGGTCTCAAACGCGTGGGGGGTCTAGTGTTTTTTGGTTTTGGTCGTAGAGAAAGCGAAGTATCTGGTCGAGATGGGCCGGGTGTAGGATTGTCCCTAGGCGGAAATTCTAATCTGAGAATTTCGTCATCCAGAAAATACTCGAACTTGGTGAAGAATCCGCGTTGGAAGGGATAAAAGGTCGTTGCAAAGGGTCCTTTGAAGGGGTCGACTTTATTTTGATTGCGAATGTCGGGGCTGCCTTGCACGGAGAGTCTGTAATCCATAGCGCAGCACAGCCAGCCCGGGCATGTTGTGTCTGTGAAAAGCTCCGGCTGGGGCGTGGTGATGTTTCCATCTGCAAAGTCGGTCTCGTAAACGTCTCTTTTGATGGCTGCTTCCAGAATGCCTCCTTTGTGATTCTTATCTTCACCCAGCTGGACAATGTACTTTTGCCATGATGTTTCATATCTACCCGACCGTTAGTATCCTGGAAACTGTCCGCTGGAAGGAACCCACCGAGTCATGATTGAGTTGCACTCGCTTGTTCCAAATATAAAGTTCCTCATCACTTGGGGGCTGCTCATATTGTTCCCATCTACGATGTTACCCCAAGAGTACGCCGAGCGGTGCAGCCACTGCAGAGTCAGCAAATGCTGTAAACCTGGAAGATAGGGAATTCACCTCAGCATCGGCATAGGGAGAGTCTGCCCATCTTTCCTCGCTCTCTTGTTCTTTGCCTTTTTTGGCTGCGTTCTCCCATTTCAACAGTTTGGCAATCTAATAAATTCTGCGTCAGGTCTGTTGTTGCTTTCTGTATACCCAGCTACTCACCTCACTGGCACTCTTCCCCATCACCTTCTTTTGATCATCAACTCCTGGACCAGTTCGCGTGCCAGCAATTGCTTTTATGCGTTCTCTGGTCACATGGTTAATAATGATATTCGACTGTGGTTTCCTGTCTGGACTCGGCTTGAATCTCTTCCTTGGACTTTTCAATGTCTTTTGGACGGATTGCGGAATCGGATCTCCTGTCGATTTAAGTTCTTCTAGAGCCTTTGAGATCTGACCTTTATCTGGGAATGGACGAGTGGGTTTTCTGGCCATGTACCCTTTGTAGTCACTTTCTTTGATCCAGGTCTCGTAGTGACCAAATGGGGATTTTGCCAGCTAGATCATGGTTAATACAGACAGGAATAGAAACTCATGATCACATCACTTACCTTCCGATATTCTGTTCCATCAGGGGGGTCTGTCGAGAATTTCACTGTTTGCTGGCATGTGGACTCTTTTCCATTGCTGTCTACCATCTTCAATCGACGTTTTGTGTTCTCAATGGCGACGTCGAGTTTAATGCTGGCATCACCCACGGGTACCAGATAGAGCTCAATATTCGGGTTGATCCAGCGAAGCCCGAGTCCCTCTCGATCCACGATGGCCTCCTCGTACCACTTTTTCCACTTTTTCGGTTCTGAGCTGGGTTCCAGGTTTGCGTTCCACAGCACAGCTCTCCCCTTCTCATTTCGTGCCCAAAAGAAGGGCTGGTCCCTCTCTGCCGTCTCATCTGGGTTGATCACCGTGGGCGTGGGCGTGGGCGTGGGCTTTGGTTTCTCAGTAGGCCATTTGACACCCCTTGACCAGGCATCAATGTTTGCCTGAGGGATATAAATCACGTCCCCTCTGTCGGGGTGTTCAAAGCCGCCAATGTCGGCTTTATGGCCTGGCCGCAGCCGGACATACAAACCGTCCAAAGGAAGGTCTTCTCCTGGAGTTTTCCCAGGCTCGCGTTTATCACGCTTTCCGTCGATACTCTTCTGGATGCATTCACAAAGCTCTTTATTGTTCATTGGGATCCTGACTGGGTTCTCCCCCGGCTTCTTCATGACCGAGAGTCTTTCCTCCACTCTATCCATCAGTGTTATTGTCTTTTTCTCTCTTTTCAGTCTCTCATATTTATCAAAATAATCCGACGTGATGTAGTAGTCCAAACGGGTGGTTTTCGTGGCTCCCCCTTCCCTGTTAGGATACACCTTGGTTATTTGACAATATGATGGGCTAATTGGTGAACCGAGATTCGTTGTTGATAAAAGCTTCCAGTATAATCCATGTGGGATTTTGGACGTCTCAGCGTTCTCTTCATGGTATTTCCAAACCTGGCCTGACGACATTGCGAATATGAGTGAAGAAAAGGTCGTGAGGATGGCGAAATAAATCAAGTGCAGGTCTGCATCCCACCTTGCTAAAGAAGAAAAGCTGAGGGGAAAATAGTTTCAGGATCGGCGAGCCAACCCCGCCCATCGAGGCGAATATCATATTTGTCACATCCGTCACATCCATCGTACATGTGGGAGACGCTGAATGGCGGAGCCGATCGTGCTATACCCACTGGAAACAGTGCTACTCATCTTCTCTTCCACCCCCTCATCCAGCGTTGATTCTCGAATTGATCTGACTCCAAGGACAGCTTTCATCATGGAAATACAAGATATTGAATACACAGAGAGACACAAAAAGACATTTCAAGACATCAGGACTGGCCACAAGGTAATCGATGGCATCCAGCTCCACGACGCCAAAGTGGTCGAGTACGAACCCCAAAGCGGCACTCCAGATAGCTTCACCGTGCAGGGCACATTCGATCTGTATGGCCGGGTTCGGGCGGAAATCCAGAGCACGTATTCTGTCGACGACCCCAGAATCGAATACAAGGTCGCCTTCCGTGGCCAACTGTCTCTCCAAACGCTCCTTCCTTTTTTCGATAACGAATTCAATACTGTCAAACTGCAGGATACGAGCTTGGTTTACAGGTCTCGCGCTATTTGGGAAGATGAGCTGGCAGGGTTGGTGGTCTCTACCACGGTGCTTTTCTCAGGCCCCTTGGACTTTATCAATGCTCTTCTTCGAAATGTTTTCGGCCAGGAAAAGCCTCATCTGGAGTTCTCGGGGCTACTGAGTACCCGTTCAGATTGTCTAAGGCGCATTCCAAAGCCAATTGGATTCACTCTGCGCGGAGTTATTCCTGACATGGGCGTTTGCATTTTGGATGTGTTGAAAATCACAAACCTTGGGATCGATCTCACATGGATTCGACGTGGATCTCATGGTGGCTACGACGACGCATATGGCTTCTTTGGGTCGGGAAGCATCGAATCTGTGGATGTTGATTGGTATATCAGCAAGTACGGTGATTCGTACTCCCTCATGATTGTTACTCAAAGTGAGAACTGGAAGGATATGGGGGGGATAAAGGGTGTTGATGTGGGTATAGCATCATATTGTCCAGAAATGGAAAGCTAACCTGTATCAGGTGGACAATGTCACGCTCACTACGGCCTGGATAGGAACCAAGATCTCATCAGTCATACTGGAACTGGAATGTACCATGGCCCTACGTGAGGCAACGGTACTCCTCCAAGGATATTACTCCCGAGGTAGGCAGTCCTGCATTCCTTGTCCGGTGCACCAATCTGATCAATATCAGACATGATCGAAGTTTGCGGTGTCCTCTATGACTGCTCCCTACAAAAAATCCTGGATCTCTATGAAGACGTATTTGGCACCGCCATCACAGCCAATACTGACCATGAAATTTCCTTTTCTGCACTTTGCGTCCGTGTCTACCGGGGAGAAGACGGCTCTGGTCTCTATCTGCATGGAGAAGTCACAGTGGATGGACATACATCAGCGGATGCCACTATTTCCCTCAGCTCTGAAGGAATCACGATCGGAGGAGCCATTGAGTCTTTTGCAGTCTGTGATGTGATGATTGACTCTTTATCACTGGACCTCAGCATCGGGAAGCATCACTTTTCGGTTTGCTTCTCGGGGCAGGTTCTCGTTCACAAGTACGCCTTTGCCGTGTCTGTCTTTTTGGACAAATCCTCAGGGAACGCACTCAAATACACCGTATACGGTGCCGCCTCAGGAGGCGTCGAGCTAAGCCGTCTTTTTAACGGCATTGAAGGCAGTTTCCTCGATTTAAGCATTGAGCAGCTAGCTGTGTGCGTCAGCAATCAGGATACTCCGACACTTGGCCCCGCGGTAACTACCAGGGGAGAAACTTTGAAACGGGGTAATGGCTTTTATTCTCATTGTCTCGAACACGCTAACGAATGAATGGGTAGGGTTCTCTGTCTATGCGGATGTAAAGACGCCAGAGGCTATTGCCAGTCTGTTGAAAGACGGCGGACCTCAGGAAGTTACCTTCTTTGGTCATTGCCAAAGTGGAAAGACGGGATTCGGAGCTGATATTGGGATTCTGATAGCTACTGGTCATCTCGTATGTCTACATCTCCCCGTCTCGCAGGCAAAGTCTCATTCCCAGCAGATTGAAATCCCACCAATACGATCTAAATCCATCTCGCTTGGAGTTAGCATGTCGAGCAGAAATATAGGCATCAAGGCAAATGCCGATTTTGACGTTATAGTCCAAGGCTCGCGCGATCCGCTCAATCTGTTTTTAGGGCTGGGCGTGGACATTCAGAGAGTACAAGGATCAATGCAAGTATGAGTCTCAGGTTATAGTTCAATGCTGACTGAATTCCAGGGCGATGAAAGGAGAATGGGTCAATCCACTGGGTCTTTGCCAAGATCTTACCATCTACCGCCTGGGATTCGAGCTCGGAGTGAACTATGAGGTTTGTACGGATGTTACAGCAGGTGGCCGAAAATGCTAATTCTCCTATACTGTAGGTGTTTATCGCAACCGGTCTACCATCTGAGCTCGGCCTACAAGGCAAGTTCAAGCTCCATGATTTCGAGGGCAACTTGAGCATGTTTCTTTTAGATGACTCCACGGACCAACTGCTAGATCTCGAGCTGAAAAATCTCGATGTTGCAGAGATCGTCCGTGCAGTTGGTCATCTTCTGGACGAAGATATCCGTCTTTACCAAGGATCAAAAACATTCTATGTCCACGTCTTGAAACTTTACTTTTCGACCGGCATGACATTCTTGAATGAGGAGTATCCTGCTGGAATCAAAGTCAAGGCCGATTTGACGTTGTTCGAGAAGAAAGCCTTGGTTGGCGGTGAGGTGACAAGCGACCGAATCAAGTTCCTTGGTACTATCAATCGATTCATCATTGGAGATATGGAGGTTCGCGGTGCGCATGGTAAAGACCCTCGGGTTGACATGGAGCTTTCACAAAGCACAAAGCGGATAGATATCGATGCCATGGTTCACTTTGGCTGGGACAACCCCGACGACGGTGATGGTTCGTATGATGACGACCCTGAAAATGTCTTTAACGTCGTCATCTACCTCCATGTTGATCTGGAGAAGCAGGAGTTAGACTTTGATTTCAAACTCCGCATTCTGGATTATATTACTGTTAAAGCCATTGCCACCTTGAACGGGCCAATGCCAAAAGTAGCCATTCGTCAAAGCCAGGAAGAGTCCACTACGATAGGAGGCTCTCTGGAAGGAAGGACCTTCAGAATCTATATCAAAATGACACAGAAGGAAGTCGGCTTTTTCCCAACACTAGTCAATCATGTCACTAGTGAGATACTGAGATATAAGAAAGAAGATGCGAGGATAGTAAAGGACATCATCGACCGGTTAAGTCCATTCCAGAAGCCCCTCCTCCAAATCACATCAATCACCATCCAGAGCGAAGAGTGGACGGTGGGAGCGAAGCTTCAGGGAGACGTCACAGCCACCATCGCCTACCATCTGCCATGCTCTTTCAGATTTGACTTCCAGATCCATTGGTTCACCGGGCCCTTTGTGGACGTTTTGAAGTCCCCCCTAATCGAAGCGAGCGAGTCTATCCAAAAGGCAGTCGAACACCTTTCGGACGGCATGGAACACTTCCTCGACCTTGCACGGGAAGGGTTCCTGGAATTTACACAGGACACAGGGAAGTTTGTTCTGCAAGTCGTCCAAGACCTGTTACCTTCACTTGATGGCAAAACACTCGGGGAGCTCACCAAGGGAGGTGTGCTGGGAACCGGCATCTCGAAAGAGGACTTTGAGCGATTAGCGGATGAATTTCCTGGGTATTGGCCTTTTATACTGAAAGCGCTGGCGGAGGTGACCGATCCTGAGGGGAAATCTCTTGACGAAATTGCAAAAGATGTGGTTGCGAAGATGGTGGTGCCTCTGCCTGTGCAAGTTGTATTTCCAGACGTGGCAAAGAAGGTAGAAGACTTTGTTCGGGGGCTGTTTGGATAACTTCATTGTGGATGCGACAAGTCTAACAAGTATAAAAATAGAGAAGAGCTACAAATAAAACAACAAAAAGAAACCCCGAAAAAAGAATAACATACAACAGTCGGAATTCGCTGGTGGTCGCCCAATTACTAACCTGCCTGTATATAGTGCAAGTATAGCTAAGTAGATAGGAAGCCTGTTCTCAATACCTTTTGGTTATATTTATATACTTATTCTATATTAATAAATGCTGTTATAGCTACGGAATCTTAGCAGGCAAGAAAGGCATGTAGTTAGCACTCATCACTAAGACATGGGATAGATCAGCTGTCTAGGGCGGACCAGAAAGTTCCTAGAATAAGACAAGCCGCTCCCAGACAAAGATTGTGATTGGTTTCCCAAGAATAGATCAATAGTGACATTTTAGCTCTACTCGATCTGATAGTTTAACAAAAGAAATCTAACAAACTCTGAGCCGATCTGTCTGGTGGTTTATACCCCCGAATCACCGACTTCCTCGCAAGAAACCACTCGCAGCCCCTTGTCGTCTGCGTTTCCATTCGAATCTACCAGCCTGTCCCATACACCATTCGGTCATAACTTGGAAGGCTCCAATTCCGCACGTCTTCACGGAGGATCCACTTATTCATGAGATCGAGCCTGAACAACGCGACTAGCCAGAGAATAATATTGGCAAGAAGAACACCAAAGGACGAAGACGGAATCTTCCCCCAAAAGACTTGGTCTTCGGTGATGCCATCCTGGACCTGGGCCATAAAGGGACGGAACTTTTCTTCGTACGCTTTCAGCGCATATTCGACGCCCATCTTCGTTCCAGAGCTGCCGCAGTGTTTCCCGAGCTCCCCAGCGAGCACATAGGCTCCAACCAGGCTCGAAGTGGTCCCCATCCCCGTACTGGCAGTCGGGCAATATGCAGCATCGCCAACAAGAGCCACCCGGCCATTGGACCATGCGTCGAGCTTCACAACGCCTAGGCGTTCGCAGTAGAAATCATCCGTAGCTGCCATTTCGTCGAGGAGCTCGTCGGTGATCCATCCTGCACCCTTGAAGGTTTTGGCAAAAAATTCCTTTTCTTTCTCGACGTCACCTTTCCGGATATGGTTCATCTGCTCCGGACGGGCTTTGACCATCAGGTAGGCTTGAATTGTGGAGTCTTCGTGGCGTCGAATGAACACGAGTCGTCTTCCGGTGCCCACATAAATCGTGCCGTTGTATTCTTCTCCTTTTTGCAGTGGCCGGTGCACGGTAAAATACGCAATGTAGACCCCCAGAGAGTGCACGGAGTCCTCGGCGCCAGGTTGAAGCATCGCTCGACGGGTATGGGACCCCTGGCCATCGGCACCGACCACCAGGTCAAACTGATCCGTTTTGCCATCTGAGAAAGTCACGTTGACGGCGCCACCCTGCTGTTCGAGGGTTTTGATGGTGGTGCCGAATACATATTTGACCCGGTCCTTGCTCGAATCATGCAGGATCTGACAGAGATCTTTCCTCATGAATTCATAATCAGTCGTGAACCCCTGAAGGCCGGTCCCGGTTCTGTTTGCTGGAAAGTATGCCCAACGTTTCCCAGAACCATCCACGAACTCCAGGCCTTGTTCCTGGATGGTTTTGGCACGGAATGCTTCTTCCAGCCCCATCCGCCTGATGACCTCGATGGCCGGTTGGCGAATATCCAGCTGCAGTCCCGTCGTGCGTAGGGCCGGGAATCGTTCAATGACCGTGACGTCGAAATTCATTTTTGAAAGCCAGAATCCGAGGGCCTGGCCGCCCATGCCGGCACCGCAGATAAGAACTTTCAGATTTGCCATGATCGTAAATTGAAATAAAGGAGGATATCGATTTGGTGTTTTATTGAGATAGCTGGCCTCTGGAGATTTTGCTGTAGAATGGTATCAAGCAGTGCATCGAAAGTCTCGTTGCTTATATAGTACAAGAGTCCTACTACTGAATTCCACCAGATCCGCTCGGATATTCTATCTCCGTACAGGGCCCAACTTCACAGGATCCGCTTCGGGAATTTCAGAGAAAGCGTGTCTATTGGCGGACCTAAATGTTTGCCGCCCCCCAATAAGCCGAGAACAATCCGAACACCTGAAAGAAGGTGTGAATAGTAGGAAAAAACCGACAGCCGGGGTTTATCTCCGAATCCGCTCCGATCCGGGATATTCAACTCGGAAAATCTATTTGGCGTTCCTTCACCAGCACAAGAAATCCCGGTTGCTGGGCAATTTGCATCGAACATCCCTAAGTGAATCTGGAGATTTGATGTGCAAAGCACCCTGGAAATGACCGAGCCCCGAACGTCTGAACCAGCGAAGAAGCGCAGACGCCCGACCCTGGCGTGTGCAGAATGTCGACGCCGGAAAGTAAAGTGTGACCGAGAGAATCCATGCGGACAGTGTACGGCACACGGGCTGGCCGCATGTACGTACGTCGGGCAAGGCCATGCATTTCCAGGCCCATCCGTTCAACAGACCCAGCCGCTCCAGCAGCCTGTGTTTAGGGACTCGGCGGGCCAAAACCCAGGTGCATCACCTTGGCCTTTCCGAGGGCCTACCCCCAGAAGTTCGACGGTGGAGGGCGTAACTAACATCGAGAATGCCGTTCGTGAGGGCGATGAACGCCGTTCTTCCCCGGTCAGGGCCGATTCAAGCGGCTACAGGCATCAAGATCCCCAGCGCAGCAGCCCGTCGTCCGTCCTGACCACGCAGTCGCAAGGACATTCGGGTGGCATTCACATTCACGGCACTCTAGCCAAAACTCGTCTTTTTGGTCCTGGACATTGGATGAGCGCATTTCCGTTGGTACTTATGATCGATCCCCCTTATACATTTTAGCGCTAAGGGCGAAGCTATGGTTTGCTGACCTATCTCCAAGGCCGAGGGGCCCCCGACCTTGAACGAATTACTCGCCCCCCGGGATACATCCCATCAAGCGTCAGAGCAAGTGACCACCGATCGAATCTCGCAAGCTGTGAGACAGTGCAAAGAAAAGGCCCGGGCCATCAAGCAACGACTCCCTAGTCGCAGACCTCTGCCGGCCGACGTCTATCAGTCGTTCCCGCCGCGCCGGGTGGTCGATGAACTGGTGCAAACGTACTTCGACTCATTTGAGTGGTGCTACAAGATCCTCCACGCCGGGTCATTTCGATCAGAATATACGACATGTATGGATGCTCTGGAGACGGCCGATTCGTCATCGGTCGCCAAGCTTCTCCTAGTTATGTCAGTCGCTACATCGCTGTACGGCAGTACGCAATTGTGCCCCGACCTGCTTTCCAGGGCTCGGACATGGATCCATGTATGCCAATCTTGGCTGTCGGCTCCTGTGGAGAAAGATCGGTTGACCCTGGATGGACTCCAAATTTATTGCTTGCTTCTACTTGCTCGGCAAATCCACCGGGTTGGAGCGGATCTGGTCTGGATATCAGTCGGCTCGCTCTTACGGATGGCCATGCAAATGGGATTACATCAAGATCCGGATCATTTAGGAGAGATGAGCAATCTGCAGAAGGAGATTCGACGGCGGCTTTGGTATACGATACTGGAACTCAATATGCAGACATCGCTCGACTCGGGTGTCCCTCCGACGCTCACCGTCGAAGATTACTCCACCAGAATGCCCTCAAATGTCAACGACGATGTCCTACATCTCGAACATGGAGGCCTGCAGGAGGAGGAGGGTGGGTTGACGACCACTTCGTTCCAGCGCTTGTTGGCGGCCTCGCTTCAAGTCAGGGTTGAGGCTCTTCAGACAATTAATCGCCTTCAAGGCGATCCTGCGCCATATGAGACCGTGCTGAGGATCGGCTCCAACTTAAGCTCAGCATGTCGACGCTTGAGTACGTTCGTCGACAAGCATAGAGCAAAGCTCGGAGCTCATCCGCCAAGTCATTTTGCATCCGCCCATGCTGACCATTGTTTGTATCGTTTTTTACTCTGTCTTCACTTTCCGTATGCTGTCCAAGCCAAGCAAAATCCAATTTACACTTTTTCTCTGAGGATCTGCCTCGAGACAACTCTGAGTCTGATGTCGCTTCTTGAAAGCGATCTCTATCACCGTTTGCTGCTCATCGGTGGTGGGATGTTTCGAGACCTGATCACTCGTGGTGCATTGGTCCTTTTCACGGAACTGAATATGACTCTTGAAACGGGCGGCTCTATGCTTGCCACGAAATGGCATCGATCTCACATCGATCAATTACTTGAGAATGCTCGAAAACTTGTCCAACATGCGGAAGACAGACTTCATCATGGCGAAACGAACGTGAAGGGCTATCTATATATCCGTATGGCGATGGGCCAAGTGGAGGCAATGCTCAGACGTTCTTCCGTTGAGGACGCCACGGCAAACGCTGCCATTGATTGTTTGACAACGTGTCAAAATATTCTGGAAACATTGGTAATCGACTCGTTTCCGAGCAACCCGTCTGAATCAAGCGTTGGATATGATAACGCCCTGTATCCTCTGCCTACGGCGATTGATGCGGACTTTGAATTCTTGGACAGTGGTGATGTCTTTAGCTTTGCAGACCGCTCTTTTCTTCAGCAGTGGGCCGATCAGCCGTGGTTATAGGCGTTATTGAAGAGTCTGTATCTCCAAAGCTCTGCTGCGACGAACCTATTCTATGCTAGGGTCAGGAACATCGTTCAGGAGTATGCCGCATACGCGGCAAAGAGCGCTTTGGTTATGTTGTCACTATGGACACGCTTGTTCTTGTACCCATGTATTTATACCTATGGGATATAAATGGTTGATACATCTGACAGAAGGCGGATTGGAAGAACGCAGAGAGCTTTTGGAATAGTAGAGTCATGGTTAATTTTGAGAACGCTGAAAGAAGCCTTCTATCTGTATAGGGTAATTTTCAAGTTGCCTTACTCCCTGGGAGATTTACAATGAAGCAAATATCGCTTCTACTAGGCAATGAATGACGGGGTTTGTCGTCTAGCACAGAATAAGCTCCGATCAACACACCTTGACGGGTTTCGGGCGAAGTTTTCGGTCTCGGAGATCTCTGATATCGTCGTCTCGGAGATATCGGCTGACTTGACCGTGTCTCCGGTGGGTGCGGCAAGACCCACATAGTTTATCGACCGGTCGTCGCGCCTATCCCCGAGACTCTGGACAATACATTTATAAGAGTAGAACAGCAAACGCACCTGCCAGGTTCGGACAAACTTGAAAAGATCAAAGGTCGACTGACGGATTCTCAGAATAAGACCTCGTTCCCGCTCAAATTTTGTCAATTGATCAATTATGACTTTTCGAGATAATTTATCTGTTCGTTCATTGAGAGCTGAAGGTGTCTTAACCGAGAAGGACGATGAAAAAAACGTCTCGGTCAAAGACGGTGAGGCTGATGCACCGCCTGACGGTGGTTTGACAGCTTGGTGCGTGGTTTTGGGAGCCTGGTGTACTTCATATTGTAGCTTTGGCTGGTTGAATAGTAGGACTATCCAACATTCGTTCGGACGTATACTTGCTGACAGTTGATACAGGCGTGGGGATCTTCCAAGAGTACTATCAAAGAGATATTCTGAGGAACTATTCGGCCAGTACCATCTCGTGGATCCCATCTCTCCAGGTGTTTTTTATGCTGGCATCAGTGAGATCCCCCCGAAAACATGCAAAGCCTGCGTAAATGTCTAATCCAGGTACAAGGGGCCTTTTATTGGCCACATATACGATCGTCATGGGCCAAGATACATTATTCTGGTCGGCACGTTCCTTCACGTCTTCGGTTTGATGATGGCATCAATCTCCAAGGAGTACTACCAGATCCTACTTGCCCAAGGTATTTGCAGCGCCATCGGTGCTGCCGCCATTTTTCAGCCGGGTAAGACTTTTCCTTTATGCCATATTTTACTCTTCTCTCATTTGTTTCATTCTTTTGTCTTATGCCAAGTGGACGAATGCTAATCGATTTTCAGCACTGAGTAGTGTGAGTGGCTGGTTCGACAAGAACAGAGGCGTTGCCTTTGGAGTCTTATCTACCGGTTCTAGTACCGGAGGAGTCATTTTCCCAATCATGGTCACACACCTCATTAAAAGAGTGGGCTACGGTTGGGCTATGCGCATAGCTGCATTTATGATTCTTTTTTTGCTTGTTATTGCAAACCTTACTGTCAGGTGCAGAGTACCGCCGCAGCCTAAGAAGCATAAGGTTACCGCACGCGATTTATACCAGCCTTTACGTGAGCCCAACCTGCTTCTCATCATAATGGCATTTGCTCTACTCACGTTCGGTATCTTCATTCCGATAAATTACCTTGTGACATGTGCAGTAGCGCAAGGAATGTCTGTTGATTTATCCAATTATCTGCCATCCATCCTAAACGCGGCAAGGTGAGTGGGATTGGCAGGGTTCCTTTCTACTGGTGATTCTTTCGCGCTAACAGCCTTATAGCTTCTTCGGTCGATTTGGAACAGGCTTGGTCGCTGACAAGTTCGGTCGCTATAATATGTACATTGTCGTTTGTACCGTCACAGGTGTTTTGATATTAGGCCTTTGGATCCCAGGTTCAAGCAACGCCGCGAGCTTGGCATTCGCCGTCTTTTTCGGATTCTCTTCAGGTGCCTACGTATCTCTATCACCAGCTTTGGTTGCTCAAATTTCTGCACCGTCGGAATTCGGCTATCGCAATGGGCTGATGTACTTTTTTGCGTCCTTCCCCGGGCTGACAACCAACCCAATTGCAGGTGCAATATTATCTCGCGACCACGGATCTTTCCATGGAATGAAAGTATTTGCTGGAGTATGTTGTCTCGCAGGCACTGCCTTTGTGGTTGCAGCTCGTTTGCTAAATACTGGCCCCAAGCTGCTGGCCAAATTCTGACATGCCCCGTCTTATCCCCGCAAGGCAATGTTAGAATGCAAGTGGGTGGATGAGAGGGTCTGTGATTTTCACCTGTGCCAGTGACTTGTACCTGCACATCGTCACTTTGACAGCTATGTCAAAATGCTTCAAGGCAAATATGCAGATGAGAAGACAGCATAAGTTGTATTTACATCATTTCAGCTATTTACCTTATCCCTGCAGGTGCATGGGTTTAGCTGTCTTCCTACGAGGAAGAATTATTAATAATAAGCTTACAGTTTTAGTTATACTCAGTAGCATTACTAAGCCTTGACATAATATAAGTATATTAATATAGCTTACAGTTTTAGCATCTTAAGAGTGGTGTTCAATCTAACTGAATGACTTGTAAAAACGTACGGTAACAACAGAGTTAAGTTTATAGCTTAGCACTTATTCCTGGCTATAGTCTCTTGCTCCAGGCTTAGGTTCGTTGTTATCTCTTCTATTGCTTCTAGACGTCTTCCTCATTTCTGCCATGTCGTAATAGAGTAGTAGGTGGGGCCGACTGTGGTAATTGACGTCAATAGTGTTGCTAAGAGATGTAGTTCAAGACAAGGAATATTCAGAAGGTTACGCGGCACTTGAAAGTCCAAGTATATGGATTTGGATGAGTACGGCATCTTATTAGTATGCTTATGCTTATGCTCTGTGGGTGGTAACATCATCTTGCATTTGTGTAACCAACATCTCAGTAGAACCAGACAGACGGAAACCTTCATAGGTTAATATGTCAATTCTGATGCAATGGTTACGACTATGGTTTCTACCTTCCCAGGGTTGGTATTAACAGTTATATTAAGAATCAGTGGCGTGGTTATCCATCTATCTATCTAATTAAAATAAGAAAATAAGGTATGACTGTCATTGCTCATTAAGGAAGGATTTCCGGGGATATGACGGCCCCGACCCACTAAAGCTAACCCCACCTTAACCTGTCATGTTTTAACTTGTACTTTGTCATATAACTAAACCAATGGGGCACAACTCTCATAAAGCTTAACCTGCTTCTCTCACTTTCTGCCTGTTTATTTTATCTTGCATCCGGCGATGTTACAGCCGAAGTGGAGCTATTATTACTCGCACATCAAACAGTTCTTACTGATAAGTGTAACCATAATTATGACATAGTAACTGTCTCATTGAGAGAAGGACAATATATAAGGTAAAAGGAAGCTCCCAAGTAGGCCAAGCAACGGTCTTTTACATTTACTGAGCTTTATTAAGTTTAATCAACATTCAACACCACTTAGCAAAAATGAAGCTGTTATACTTACTATCTGGTGCTCTTCTTTCTATGACTGGGATGTCATATCCCTTCCTATCTGCAGACAACTTCAGCCCTGTGCCTCTTCCTCCACCAGAAAACTGGTTGGCAGGCCCACGACTATTCCCCCAGAATGTCATTGCTGGCTTCCATGCCGACTATGACAAATATAACGCGAAAAGCTGGTCAGAGTATGTTGAAAAGAAATGCAAGGAGTTTCACGCTTGTACATCAACGCACTCCTTTTCAGGTAAGAAATTCATCAACATGAATCCAGCGGAATAAAGGACTGACATCTGCTCAGCAATCAACAGTGGCACCCCTAAGGACCGTTACTGGTTTGGATATGTCTTTAGAGGAGGTCCTACCACTCCAGACGACTATCAGAGGAGTTGGGACCCTCAGTCGGCGGTGAAAGATTCGATTGCTCTCACTATCAATGAGGAAGACGATGGGAATAATATCATGAGATTGCAGACAGAATTAAAGTAAACGGCTAGTAAGTAACCAACTAGCTATTAATTCTTCTGGATGATGCTGACTATTATACAACAGGTATATGCTGAAGAGACTAATTCTTAATAAAACATTACATGAGAGATTGATATAATTCAGTGATCGCTGTGTTTCACTTCTGGGATGGAGTATAATGCTGTAATTAAATTATCATGCCTTGACGTGGGTTTTTTCCCCTAGATTTAGGTTTTCCCCATGTCGTTATGCAAATGCAAAGGATGTGTTATTTATTCTTGCTTCTGTAGATCTCTCAACATTATCCTTTATGTAGTCGTATGTACCAGACACAATAGAATGGGGGGGTTATATGTTATTTATTGAGATGGAATAGGAATTGTCTTGGCTCATCTAAAGCCCATCTTCTGGGTACATAAAAATCATGAGACTGGCCAGATCTCATGCACAGAAACTTCACCCATAGAAATACAGAATCCATAATAATTTACAAAAAGATAACCAGCTTGTCCATACTCTTCTTAACATGCGACAGAACAAAGCTTCCCAGCTCCCTGTGCATAACTGGTTTCTCATCTTCATCGAGATCTCCATATGTATCTTCGAGTGCACTTCCTTTAGCAGCAACTTCCAAATAAAGGCTGCGGTCCTCTTCCGTATCACCGATACAAACAAGCAAACTGCCCAGTTTGAGGAGCATGGCATTTAGGATCAAGCGACACATACGTCCATTGCCATCGAAAAAGGGATGAATATTGACAAATATGTGAGTATACTTGGAGGCAATGGCGATAGGGTCAATTGTGCCCTTTTTGATGGCCCCTTTGAGATCCGACTCAAGTTCGCGGATCATGGCCTTCATTTTGTAGGGCACGCGGCTGTGATGAGGGAATTGGTGGAAGCCGGCGCTGACTCCATCTGTGCGATAGACACCGCTGTATTCCTTCCAGGGTGTGTTTTCGGCGTCGATTTTGTGACTGAGGATTTGGTGAGTTTTGAGAATGATCTCTTCGCTGAGATCCTGATTGTGGATGACAAGTTGACTGATGATGTAGGAGGCAGCCTGGGCGTGTTGCACGATTTCGCGACGACTGCGTAAAACCGCAGCAGTATTTGCTGGGAGATTCTCGCGTAGGAGCTTCTTTTTCAACTCCAAGAATTCTTCGTCCGTTTCCCCGATGTCTTCTGGAACTTCCTCGCCGCGAAAGATTGCCATGCAAAGCTTGAGTGTGATGTCGGGACCGCTTCCGGCGCGCTCGATCATGTTGGAGCCATAGACCATACTGGCCAGGCAATGTAGGATATGAGTTTCAAAGGCAGTCTCTTGGGCGGGCGTGAGTTTTTGAAGGGCTGCAGAGAGTTGGTTCCCGAGTGTGATGATCTCGAGAAAGATGGTGTCAGGGTCGAAATCGTTTGGGCCGATTTTGTAGTCGTAAGCATCATCCATCACCACTGTGAGTTGTGCTTGAGCGCCATGCAGAGACTGCATGTATTGGCGTATGGATTTGGCGAGGTGGATTTTAGGAGGCATTTTTATGTTCACCTAATGTGAAGGAGGAGAGATTTGGTTGAAAGAGAAGATGGTTGAAAGGGTAAGAGCGAGAAGTGAATATGCCTAGCCAACAAGTGCAGGCAGACACATCCTTTTTGGGATTGCATATATTCACTTTTTTATCAAGGCAGTAATACAGAGCTCTTCCTTGAATAATTATCCTTTGCAGCTATAACTAATGATCTGCACTATTAGGCTCTCTCTAGCTCTTTTTTAGAAATAATTACAGTCACATACTTACCACTACTACATTATATGCTAATAATTACCTATCTTCGTCTTCATCCAAGATATGCCAATCCCGTCGTCTGCCGAGCACAAGCGTTGCCGATGCAGCCAATCGCAATGCCTTCATTATCCGACGGCATCAGATGCATCCTTTATTCCCTGCAATCGATGGAGAGAATGCGGGGAAAATGATAAAGTGACTATCTTCAAGTCGATAGGCAATATGGATGGGTATATCTGGCTCATCGACGTCTGGTTTGATTACAACTCATCTTATTCCATCGTCTCTCACCATGGAGGATATCGTGGAAAAGAAACCCACCCCAGAAAACAACCAAGACAGCCTCAGCGTCGACAATGGCTATCTCAAAGACTCTCTCAACACACCCCACGAAGGCAAGCTCGTGCGAAAGATTGACCTCGTCCTGATGCCCGTCATGCTGGTCGCGTACATGCTGGCCTTTATCGACAAGCAGACACTGAACAGCAGCGCCATCATGGGCATCAAAGAGGATCTTAATCTACATGGCTCCCAATACAGCTGGGCGTCGAGTATCTTCTATTTCGGCTATTTGGTGGCATCGTATCCGGTCTCGGTGTTGCTGGTCAAGTTTCCCCTCGGAAAGTATCTATCTATTACTTTGTTCGTTGTCTCTGTCTTGATTTCCTGGATCTTGGATTAATTCGTTAAATAGCATCCTATGGGCAATCGTCCTCGCCTGCCATGCTGCCACCGAATCCTTTGCTGGAATCATGTGCACGCGTTTCTTCCTTGGCTTTACTGAGGCCAGTCTCTCGCCTGGATTCAATCTGATCACGTCAATCTGGTATCGCACTTCTGAACAACCTCTTCGTCACGGCCTGTGGTTCTGCGGTAACTCCATCTCCTTCATTATCGGAAATCTCATTACCATCGGGGTCTGGAAAATCGAAAGCAACTTAGCTTCGTGGAGAGTAGGTGGATATCCCCCATCTATCACAGCAGAATCTAACATCAGCAGTGGCTCTTTATCATCTTCGGCCTGGTGACCTTTTTCTGGGGTCTAGTCATGCTCTTCGTTATCCCTGATTCCCCTGCCTCCGCCAAGTTCCTCTCAGAAGAGGAAAAGCTACTTGCAAATGAACGGCTGAGGGCAAACCAAGCCGGGTATAAGAGTAACAAGCTCGATCGTGGACAGATCGTAGAGGCAGTGGTCGATTACAAAACCTGGATGCTGGCGTTGTATGTGCTCGGATGCAATATTCCCAACGGGGGGTTTACAGCGGTGGGTTTGTGCTTTTTGTTGTGTCTTATTCGACTACTGATTTATTTTTTTTAGTTCTCTAGTCAAATCCTCCAAGGCTTTGGATTCTCCACGACTAGGACTTTGCTACTAGGAATGCCAGCGGGTGCTGTCATGTTGGTTGCGGTTATCCTATCGTAAGTGTGTCCTCCATACGAATAACAACTACTAATTGATAAATAGATGTCTCGCGTCTTCCAAATTCAAAAACAGCCGCTGCGTAATAATGGCCGTGGTGAACTGCATCAGGTAAGCATCCCATCCCCATCTAATATACCCTCTCACAATTCAGCATCATCGGCTGCGCCCTCATATACGCCACCAGCTCAATGGCCTCCCGATACGCCGGTCTCCTCCTTATGGGTGTCTTCTCCGCCGGTCTACCCCTCGCCTTCGCCATGATCAGCTCCAACGTCGGCGGTTTCACCAAGAGAGCTACAGTCGGTGCTGTCATCTTCATAGCATACTGTGCGGGTAACATCATCGGGCCTCAGATATTCTTTGAGCGCGAAGCTCCGAAGTATGAGGTATGTAGGAGATGACTTTGAGTGAGGTTGTGATTTGTTCTAATGTGAAGATAGAGTGGCTTTCTAGGGACTATTATTTGCTTCGTTTTTACGATTGTCGATAGTGTTTTACTCGGGTTCTTACTTCGAAGGGAGAATCGGAGGAGAGATCGGGTTGCTGTGTCTGCGTCTGGGTTGGAGAATGAGGGCTTGGAGTTGGTTGATATTACTGATTTTCAGAATATGCAGTTTCGGTATGCGTATTGACTCGATTTTCTTATGATACTTGGTGGTTTATTATCTGGGTTTTCTATATAGTAAACTCCTTAGTTTACTGGAGCTCAATAACTCCCATCAATCCACCCCTGATAATCACCCCCAAGCACCGTCTCCCTCGTAACAGGCGCATCAATGGTCGACTCATACTCCCTCTTCGACGTATCCGCTCCATCCCCAGAATTATCAATCTCATAATACGACGGCGTAGCCCCATCCGCCATCGTAGTCCAGCCCTTTTCATTGATAATATCACTCAGCACGCTGTTCTGATAGATGACGCGAGCGAGGACTCGCCACGGACGACCGAGATACACCTCCCCAGTCAGATCTTTGCCGGACGCGGCTTTGATGTTGCACGAGTCAAAGGCGTACCAGGCTGTGTCGGTTTCTTCCTCGCGAGACATGGCGGTTATATACCCCTTTCCGTTGGATACGATGTCGCAGTTGTTGAACCAGGCGGAGGATGCGCCGAAGATGTAGTCCACGGCGCCTGGGGGTTATGGTTAGTATGGTGATGGTGTGATGAAAGGTGTCTGGGGTGTTTGGTGCTTACCCTTTACCAAAGAGTTGGAGTAGTACTGGGTACCCCCTTTGGCGTAGAGCGTGTCCTGGTATCCCAGAAACTGGCATGCATAGTAGCCCTGTCTATCTCCATTTGCGACAAGCCTTGATAAAACTGTTAGATGTGGCGATACTATACAATAAGAATTTGTTCTGGACAATTCAACTCACGCAACAGCCTGATGACCCTCCCCGAATCCATTCTCAATATTGATATTGTACATCGTAAGTCCATCCGACTCCGCATCAACAGTAGCGCTTGCAACCAGCGATCCTGCCTCAGGCGAGGAAATGGTATGCGTGATGTTGACTGTGTTCTGCTTGTATGTGCTGGTGTCTGTTGTTTCGCCGTAGAGGGTCAGGTTGCCCGGGTACTGGATCGTCAATTGTTCCTCGTATGTCCCGCTGGCAATGTAGATGCATGCTGAGGCTGTCGAGGATCCGAGGGCGTCGAGGGCATCGCCGATCTTGGAATAATTACCACTCGACCCGACAGTTAGACAGCCGGATGGGGCGCTTGTTCTCCCGGTTGTGGGGGCGCAAGAAGCAGTCGCACTCAGGCCGATGAGGCCGATGAGGAGAGATACTGGCTGCATCTTGACTGAGAGTCGAATTAGTGGACGATGGCTTGGATAGCTGGGGACAGAAGCTCAGTCGACTTTTTAAAGAAAAAGACGGGGGAGTTATCCAATTTCTCCGAAGCCAATTTCCGTCGTGCATTTTCAATCTATCCCATCCTTTCATTTCATTATAGGGATTATATTACTCCGTCAGCCCTGCATCAGCTTTAATCTCGAAACACTGGGAAAAGACCAAGTGGGGATGGAGGGGACGGCATCAACCGTCGCGCATCACACCACCAAGGATTGGCCGTGATTTTGAGGCCATCATCTATCTCGATATTGCCGGAAGATATCAGGATAGGCTTTCATCTATTCTACAAGACAAGATCGGCACGTTTAATCGACCAATTCCTCTCGTTACTGATAAGATTGTCCAAGCTCGAATGCTTAGCGTCGACGATCGCCGTGGCAGCGTTTCATCTTGTCCGGATCAAGACTCAGCCGGCGGTTGGCGGAAGGAAATGCAACTCTGGAGTCAATGGGATTCTTTGAAATATATTAACAATTTTGGGGGGTTTGTGATACTGCATGGTTGCACTCTTTGCCCCTGAAGTGAATAGCCTCAGGTTCTTCCCGCGCGTGTTTCAAGCAGAGTCGCAGAGCTGGGCTTATTTAAATCTTCTTTAACCCAGTTCGTCTTCAGTATGCTTCTCTTCTATCTGACAATTCACTTACACCCACCATGTCCCTGAAGACAATCGCCCTCCTCTCCACGGTAGCCCTGGGCTATGCTCTCCCATCAACGCCAGTCCTAGTTCCTCGTTCTGCCTGCACTCCAACTGCAGGCGGATCCGCATCGAAAGATGATATCCCAGCCATCAAGGAAGCCATCTCGTCGTGCGGTAAAGGAGGAACCATTGTCATCCCCAAGGACACGACCTATTATCTCAACAGTGTCCTCGAGTTTGATGGCTGTTCCGGCTGTGACTTTCAAATTGAAGGTCTGCTCAAGTTCGCCAGCAACACGGACTATTGGGAGGGAAAGACAGCTATGATCGGTGTCTCTGACATTGATGGTCTGAAGATCAGGTCACTCACCGGCGAGGGAGTGATTGATGGAAATGGACAAGATGCGTATGAATATGAACATCCAAAAAGTGTGATAAAACTAACACCCATCAAATTAGCTGGGACAAATTCGCCAAAGACAGCGACTACGCCCGTCCAACCCTCCTCTACATCGACGGCGGAAATAACCTCGAAATCTCCAACTTCCACATCCAGAATCCCCCAAACGTATTCATCTCCGTCAAAGGCGACGCCGCAAACATTGCCTTCTCCAACCTCAACCTCTCCGCGACCTCCAACTCCGACAACGAGCCCAAGAACACCGACGGCTTCGACATCGGCGCCAGCTCCTACGTGACCATCACCAACACCACCATCGTCAACGACGATGACTGCGTCGCTTTCAAGCCCGGCTCGAACTACGTCACCGTCAGAGATGTCAGCTGCACAGGCTCCCATGGCATCTCCGTGGGATCGATGGGGAAGAGCAACGACGACACGATCAAAAACATCTACGTGCAAGGCGCTACCATGATCAATTCCACCAAAGCAGCCGGTATCAAGACCTACCCAACCGGTAACGGGCATGGCCTGTCCACCGTGTCCAACGTTACCTTCACCGATTTCACCGTCCAGGGCTGCGACTACGCCATTCAGATCCAGAGCTGCTACGGCGAGGACGAAGACTACTGCGAGAAGAACCCTGGAAATTCCAAACTAACTGGGGTCCTATTTGAGAAGTTCAGCGGCACGACAAGTGACAAGAATGACCCCGTCACTGGCAATCTCAACTGTGGCGCTGATGGTACCTGTGATGTGAAGGTTAGCGATTACACCGTGAAGGCTCCCTCAGGTGATGGAAAGGTACTGTGTGGGAATACGCCCTCTGATATTGGGACTTCTTGTTCGTCTGGTGCTTCTGGTTAGAAAACATAATTGGTTATTTTATGTCATCTGTGCAGCAACCATGGATCGTAGATGAATCTGTGGTACGATATATATATATATAGTTTCTGCAATGTTGCCGAAATATATTGCGAGTACCTATCGAGCACAACAAGCGAAATAACCATCAATAGTGATATCTAAAGAAGCAGAAGATGAAATAAAGGATAGAAAAGTATTTTTATCCTCTTATAGACCAAAAATTCAACGAAACACTTCGATATCTAGAATTTACTACTAGAATAAAAACTTGCTGGCTCATAAATTAGATATCGGCGAGCGATCTTCAACAAGGTTCTGTAGTGTAATGGTCATCACAGTGGATTCTGATTCCACTAATCCCGGTTCGATCCCGGGCAGGACCTGATCAATTTTTTTTCTTTTGTCTTTTTGCAAACTTTTTGATTTTTAAAATTTAATTTCTTTTTTTCTTCTACCCGACTATTTTTACAGCACTTTCATTCAATTAATTATATTGTGTCACTGAATGAGATATCGCTCATAATTTATAACATGATGAAATCAATACAATCTAATATTGTCTTGCATCAAACCCTTAGGAAGAAGCGACCAACTTGTCCTTGACATACAAGTCAACATACTTGTCCACCTCGGTGTTCTCGAGAGCGGTTCTGTCCAAGCCCAGGTTGTACAGTTCATCAATGCGGGCCTGGTCAAAGTGGGCTTGCAAGTGACGCTTGTACTTGTCCAAGATCTCGGGCTTGGCCTCCTCACGTCTCAGACGGTGGCCAAGAGGAGCCTCAACAACCACCTCGTCGAGGACTGTGCCATCGTTCAGGGTGACGGTGAGAGCGTTGGGGATGGTACGCTTGGATGGGTCGTGGTAGTCCTTGGTGAATGCCTCGTCCTCAACGCAGCGGATGCGCTTACGGAGGTCCTCCAGGAGCGGCGAAGTGGCAGCCTCCGAGCCATCGGCATAGTCGCTGGCAGTGAGGCGGTTGAAGACCAACATGGTTCCAACCATGTACTAAAATATCATCAGCATATGCTCATCATCTGATGACTTCCCCAATGCAGCTTACCTGGACACAGTGGTCACGGTCGGCAAAGTTGTCCATAGCCTTGAACTGCTTGTCAATGATACGGACACAAGCCTCGTGAGTGCGGTTGGTGATCTCCTTGATGTCCTTGGCGGTCTTGCCCAGCGCCGCGAGCTTCTTGTTAACGATCTGAGCGGCCTCGATGGCAGTCTGGGAGTGGAACTCGGCTGTAATCAAAAGCGGTTAGAAAAATACCTCAAAAGGAACGTGTTGAAACTCACCAGGGTAGGAAACCTTGAAGAGAACATTCTCCATGACGTAGCTTCCATATGGGCGCTGGAACTGGAACTTCTTGCCCTTGAACAGGACGTCATAGAAACCCCAGCCAGGAGCAGACAGCACAGTGTGCAATCCACCCTCGCCCTTCTGCACCTTCAGGACGAGGTTGACAGCACGCTGGCAAGCATCACCAGCAGCCCACGACTTTCTCGACATGGTGTTAGGAGAGTGTCTGTAGGTTCGGAGACTCTGACCGTCCACCCAGGCCTGGGTGATCGCATCCGCGGTCTGCTTCTCATTGAGTCCGAGCATCTTGGAGACCACAGCAGTTGTAGCCACCTTAACCAGCACAACGTGGTCCAATCCGACCTTGTTGTACGAGTTCTCCAGAGCCAGAACACCCTGGATTTCGTGGGCCTTGATCATGGCCTCGAGAACGTCCTTGACGGTCAAGATCTTGCCATTGCCCAAGTTTCCACCAGCACGGTTGGTACGAGAGATCCAGTCAGCAACAGCAAGGATACCGCCCAAGTTGTCCGAGGGGTGGCCCCATTCAGCGGCCAACCAGCAGTCGTTGTAGTCTAACCAGCGAATCATAGCACCGATGTTAAACGCACCGTTGACGGGGTCAAGCTGGTAAGGAGTACCAGGCACGCGAGTACCATTGGGGACCACAGTTCCGTCGACCACAGGGCCAAGAAGTTTCGCACACTCCTTGAATTTCAAGGCTTCCAGTCCACATCCCAGAGTATCGAGGAACACCAGACGAGCGGTGTCGTACTAGAGGAAACCAAACCTATTAGCATACCGAATTGCAACGCCAACAAAAAATGCGAACAGATGTCCAGAAAAATAAGCACAACCAAAAGGGACCCATACCGCCAAGTCAGACTTCACATCGTAGTTGTGGATGTAGTCAGCCATGTCCTTGATCTCAGGATCATAGGACTTGTCTGCCGGAGCAGGGGGAGCAGCACTTTGAAGGGAAGACATGGTTGAGAAGCGTGATACACGAGGGACAACAGAAGTCACTGTCTTGCAAGTGTTGAGAGCGATGAAAGACGAAGGTCTGGAGACGGAGGCAATGCGGGACTGGAAAGTGCGGGGAGACCTGTGGGTCAGCCGTCTCAACGCCGAACAAGAGGCAGACATTATGAAAACAAAAGGAAGAAGCTGCAATACCCAGGAACAAAGATGAACAGGAATTGAGGAGTAGGGAGAGGGAGAAGATGTCGCCTGGCCAGAGGTGAGCGGAGGAAAAAAGAAAAGAAGGAGAGAAAAGGGAGGAGAAGAACTGCGAGTTCTGACTTCATACCGCCGTCACGCTGGACCGAGGCCGTTTTTGTTGTTGGCCTGCGGTTATTGCCGGGTATCCGAATCAACTGATGCACTCAATGTGGTCAGAATTGCGATACTTTGATTGATATTGTTCAGATCTTCAGCTATCTTCGATGCGATCAATGGCTATCTACATTGACTACCCTGGGGATTCATTGATGCTGTGCTGACCCTTGAATCCTCGGTCGGAGAGACATGCCACGGAAACTGATACCGCCGAACACAACGCGTTTATTATTTCGACAAAATGATTCCCAAGAAGACTCATTATGGATATCTATTCAATTGATACATCCCAAATTCATTCCCTGTCCATTCTCTGATACAACTGCATGTGCTGGTGGGATCTTTGAAGCTGTTTCGTTGACCGATTTTGTTGGGCGGGCGGAAATGGCATCCTTGTTCCGCGGCTATCAAAGGGGATGATGCATGTGGATGTCGATCGATCTGGATTCACAATTCGCAGTTCGCAATATGGACGGATTGGACATGCTTGATGGGAATTGCTGCGCTTTTTGAGTCGAGTCGAATCGAAGAAAATTTGAGACTCAGTGCTCTGCTGCATTTGTCCCGATTTCCAGCAGCTTCACAGAAAGACAGGAGTAATCTCATTCAACCTCGATAATACTCGGTCCAACGGGACGGGCAGGATGTTCCTCCGCATCTGTTTTCTGCAACGACTTAATGATCTCGCCATAAACGGCTTTAGCAAGGGCAGGTGGAACGGCATTGCCAATTTGCTTCCGGACTTCCCTTGGTCCAAATCGATGTTCCAATGGAAATGTCTGGAGACAAGCGAATTCTCGGTTTGTGAACCCTCGCTGACCTGATGGATGATAGTTATTCTCCCCTCCCCCGCAGGTGATTGTCCTGGCCGGTTGATTGGGATCAAAGGGGGCCCTGGGACCACCGCGTAAACCTCGATCCAAAGCCCCTTGAACATCGTGGTCGGCGGCATTGAGAGGAATTGATGAAATTATCGAGTTAATGGTGGTAGGTCGTTTTAAACCTAATTCTGGAGGCCCATGTGTAGGCTTCGGGAATGGTGGAAGAGCTTCCCCAGGACTATAACGTATCAATTACCAGTCATAAACATTGAGATGACAAAGGGGGGGATAAATACCCAGAAGCTATGATAACTAATCTCCTCCGGATTTGGGGGACACCATACTCTGCGCAGTGAAGCACCGCCCATCTAACAGAGTACCCAATCTCAATAAAGTCTTGGATGACACGGTGGAATGTGTCCTTGTGCCTTTCAAACAAACCAGAAGTTTCCTCCATAGTGTGAACTCGAGGTTTGGCCTTTTTAATGAGATTTGAAGATGAGAAGATGCAGGCCGAATTTGCATCATCTCTATCACAGTTAATAGTATGTGCAGGGGAGAATGTTTGACAGGGAGGAGAACCATGGCTGATGTCAACTCGTAAAAATTTCTCTTCATTCGTTAAGAAATGGAAAATATCACTTTGCTCGCAAATAGCCGATTCGAAATTTCGACGGTACGTATCAGTTGCATACGGTGAGCTATCAAAAGCCCATTTGATATGCAGACCTGCTTTATGGGCACCAGATGATACTCCGCCGGCACCACAGAAGCCATCGCCAAAGGTATAATTTTGATGGTTCTCCCTAGCATCCGTAAGGTCAATCACCGACGAAGAACTAACTGTTCTGGGGGAGCGCAGTTCTGCATCACCGAAAGGACGAGTTTCGCCCCTCCATGCATGTCGCAATGCTTGGGTGGGAATTTTCAAGCCCTGGTCAGCGTCGTCGTAAGAAAGGTACTGAACAGAAGCTTCCGCTTGCTCTGAAGTCTCTTTGATGCGGCACGTAAATCCGTTTCTCACAGAATCACCAGTGCAGTTGGTGAAATTTATAGTGGCAAAGCGCTTTACTATCTCCAAGGGAACGTCTTCCTTATTGTTGACCATCCAAACAAGCTCATTGCGCCGCGAAGGAATGTAGGTCCCGGTGTGCTCGACGTTGCTAATTAATCGACGGCCACGAAGGAACACAGAACCAGTCGACTCAGAAAGAACTGTGACAATGCGCAGAAAAGTACCATCATAAAGCTCAACAGACTGGCCAGGCTTATAAAGGATCCCGTCTATGCACGCTTCAGGGATAATAAACTTTTGGGGCTGAGGTGGTTCCCTTGGAGTATCCGAAGGTCTTGGTCTCCCCCTTTCACTCCAATCCCGAATGAGTCTCTCGAAACACTCATCAGTGAGATAGTCTCCCTCGTTAAGAGAGGGCTGGGACCCAGAAGCAAGGTCCACGATCTCATTCGAGATCGATTGGTGTCTTGAACGAGGGATGCTGGGTGCTCGGGGGTTTGGGAAGAAGCCTGGCCCTGAATCATCGCCTGTAAGATCGATCTGCTCAATGAAGTAGGATCTGTCCGGGTCATTTTCAACTGTAGCACTACAGTCGCTACTGGCATCGTCGCTATGGGTACTGTTGGAGATTAAGTCAATCTCCCTGGGTTGGTCCATTTCGAAGGGTCAAACTGATGCTTCTTGGTGGAGAAAAGAATAGTGAGGTAGTAATTCGAGAGCCAAAAACCAAGCAGAATTAGGGATGGGGATACTAGACAGTAGAAAGACACATAGATGATCAAAATCCCATCAAATGGTATAGAATAGTGACAGAGTCAAGGGTGAGGCTTTATAGAAGGCGGAGGATGGAAGAAGGAGAGAAAGAGAGAAAAGGGGTAGGTTGAGGTTAAAGAAGAGAAAGAAGAGAAAGAAGAAGAAGTAAGCAACACAGAAAAAGGACCAATTAGTTACAGCCATGTTGAGGCATTCACTGACAGTCAAACAGTGAAGGTTGGTCCAAAGAAAGCAAAAGTGAGGGCGAAATGTGTGTAAAATAAATTGAAAGGCCAAAGATACAACCAAAGATATGATGACTAATTTCTTATATATACACATAGAGACAATAATAAAATATCACTCATCCATCCAGTCCTGAAGATAAATGCATCCTACTACTCTTCATTGTTGATGCTATCCCGTAGATGCCATATATACAAGGCATTAACTATACTAATGATTATTCAGCCGGAACCATATTACGCCGTTCCGTCCCTTCCGCCGACATTTTCTGGAACCCGAAATTTTCGTTGGTTGAGCGGCGCCCGCAAAAATTCTGATCTCCAGTGGGGAAGAGCAAAAAAAAAGAATTTCTTATGAGGGAAACGGTTTCTTTCGTGGGAAGAAATTCTTCCCCTCTACTCCCCCTCACCATGTCATCTGCTCTTTTGATTCCTCTGTGAGCTGAGCTTGAAACAGCAGCTACACTTAGTCATTTAATGCCATGATCATTGTTATGTCTCAATAGAGCCTCACGCATACTCAAATTGGACTGACATTTTCATTTTACCCTCCTTTTTTATTCTGGTGAGTCAAAAGCTGGGTTTCCTGAGACCCATCCCCCATCTCCAATTGCTTTCTATGATGAATTTCGGTTTTTTTATATAGATGTTAGACTTCCTAAGCATTCTTGCGGAGAATTTTCCGATCTGACTTGTCAATTTCAACTGCCTTCTGTTGCTGCATCCATCTCAAATGTGGACGATGTGCTGATGATTTGTACCCCAAGAACTTCTAGATATAGACACGATGTGTGGTATTATCGCTTTGATACAAGCGGACCCATCGTCTGCCGCCGCCGTTGATCTCCACGAGGCCCTTTACCTGCTTCAACGTGAGTTCCGGTCCTTCCATACCCCTCCGTACCCCTCCATACCCTTTGGTTTGACTCCGGAAAACTAACAAGAACTTTGAAACAATTAGATCGAGGTCAAGATGCTGCAGGTATCGCTACTTGTGCACACGGCGGTCGGATCTATCAGTTGAAGTCGAACGGCATGGCGGCCAGGGTTTTCCAGGATGGCTCTAGAGTGGCAGACCTCCCTGGCCCTATGGGCATCGGTCACTTGAGATACCCCACTGCTGGCAGCAGTGCAAACGCCGAGGCTCAGCCATTCTACGTGAACAGTCCTTATGGTATCTGTCTCGCCCACAACGGAAACCTGATCAACGCCCCTGAGTTGAAGAAACACTTGGACCTCGAGGCTCACCGTCACATCAACACGGATAGTGACAGCGAGTTGATGCTGAACATCTTTGCGGATGAGCTGAGTGAGACCAAGAAGGCACGTGTGAACAGGGAGGACTTGTTCAGCAGTCTCAGCAGGATGTACAAGCGATGCCAAGGTGGATGGGCTTGTACTGCTATGCTGGCAGGTAAGCAAATCAAATATCCCAGTCTTTGAGTAAATCATTAACGATTGCAGGCTTTGGTGTCTTGGGTTTCCGTGACTCCTATGGTATCCGTCCTTTGGTTCTTGGTTCCCGACCTTCCCTTACCGGTGAGGGTACGGACTACATGATGGCTTCTGAGTCTGTCGCTTTGCACCAACTTGGGTTCAGAAACATGCGCGATATCCAGCCTGGTGAAGCGGTCATTATCGAAAAGGGTGGTGAGCCGGTTTTCCGCCAGGTGGCACCTAAGATGGATTACGCCCCTGATATCTTTGAATATGTTTACTTTGCACGACCCGATTCCGTTATGGACGGTATTAGCGTGTACCGTAGCCGTCAACGGATGGGTGACCGCCTTGGTGCAAGAGTTCTCGATGTTCTTGGGCCAGACGTTGTCAAGGACATTGACGTTGTCATCCCCATCCCTGAGACCTCAAACACTTCCGCTACATCTCTCGCTCAATACTTGAACAAACCCTATTGCCAGGGCTTCGTCAAGAATCGATACGTTTTCCGGACATTCATCATGCCCGAGCAGAAGACCCGCCAAAAGGGTGTTCGCCGGAAGTTGAATGCCATGGAAGCCGAGTTCAAGGACCGAAATGTCCTTCTGGTGGACGACAGTATCGTGCGAGGAACCACCAGCAGGGAGATTGTTTCTATGGCAAGGGAGGCCGGTGCCAAGAAGGTTTACTTGGCCAGTTGCTCTCCAGAGATCACGTAAGTTGATCCTCGATCATCATGAAAATGAATTTGATTACTGACAAGACCAATAGATATGCTCACATTTACGGAATTGACTTGGCCTCGCCGCAGGAGCTGGTTGCTTACAACCGAGACACCGAGAGTATCGCAAGACACATCGGCGCCGAAAGCGTCATCTACCAGACTCTGGATGACTTGAAGGGTGCCTGCGCTGAGGTTGCACAGGAGAATGGGCAGTCCGAACCCCAGAACTTCGAAGTTGGAGTTTTCTGTGGCAACTACGTCACCCCCGTTTCGGAAGGCTACCTCGATCATTTGGAGAAGATCAGAGGTGAAGGCCGCAAGATCAAGGCGTTGGACAAGGCCAAGGAAGCTGTTACACATGGCTTCGCTAGCGAGAGGGATTTCCAGATTGCCGCCAATGGTGTCAAGTTGGACGAGAGCGGCAAGATCGTTCCTGCCGGGACTCCCCGGGAATCTGAGGTGCCCCAAGTGAGTCTGAACAGTACTCGCAAGGAGGCGCCCCAAGAGCACCCCACCGTGAAGGACCGCATGGATATTAGTATCCACAACATTGCTGATCACGCATAATTATGATATTATGGCTCTCCTTATACTAACGAAGATTTGTGACTTGGAGTCTGGGAGTTTGTCTGTGGTAGAAAATACATAGAAGAGGGATGATTTTGACGATATTTCATGCATGTCAAGGATACCTACGATACTAGAGTGGATTGGAATACCCCACTGCATCAACCAATCAATATATCCCATGAATCAAATATTACCACAATTTACTACTGCAAGTGAATAATAATAAATTCAAATTGCTTGATAAATCTGATTGAACCTGCACGTTGTATCTCTAGTCAGCCCATTCCCTGTCTTGAACATCGTAGATGCAGCCCTACCGATGATCGACTGCCAAGCAATTCCTTCTTTGTCTCTTCCAGCCTGCTTCTTCAATTTTCCATCACTCAAACAACTTCTATCGCAGTTTTTCATCTCTTCAATCTTAGACCCATCAATTAATAAAAGAGAATCAGCTTTTCCTGCGTCTACTACGCCGATAAACGAGCAGGAGGCGGCCTTTTCTAGATGACCTGATGTCCGATGGATTCTGATGTCATTTGCGGATACTGTTTCCAACCATTTCTTTCTTTCTTCAAACCCAGTCACATTCCCATTCATCCATTTTATCTGTAAATCTTTCTAGATTTACATGAAAGAGATGGAAGGTCGCATCACTCGCTCTGCAGCTGCCCGGCAGGCGGCCTTGCTGGCTGTCGAGACCAAGCCTGTCACTGTCAGTGCGGATAATCAACGCACTCAGAAGAGAGCAAAGGCTAGCCAATCTCGTTCGAAGACAAATTCCCAGAAAAATGGAAAGAAAAGAGTATCGGATAGCACTCCCAACGGTGAGGCTACTTCCAAGAAGAGAAAGGAAAATGCAAAGCCCAGTGTCAACCCTGACGAATTACCCCATAATATGGGACCTGCCACTGTTGTGCCCAAGACATCAGATAATAGTCTCGACAATGTATCTGAGAAGAAGAGCCCCGATGTAAAGAAAGAAGACTTGAACGCTCTTGCAAACGAATTACAGGACACCGTCGACAAAGCCACTGAAACATTGAATGAACCTGCGGAGAAGCGAAAGAGAAGCGGGAAAAAGTACCCATACGGTCTGACTCCAGGATTCAGTCCCTTTTCCGAATGGGGCCATCCAACCCCCAAAGAATGCGAAGAGGTCAATCGGCTTTTGTCGAGTGTGCATGGGGAAATCACACCGCCGACTACCATCCCCGAGCCATCCCTGACAGTCACTGGTTGTGGAGAAGTTCCATCTGTCCTCGATGCTCTTATCAGGACCCTACTGAGTGGTGCTACTACGGGTAACAACTCTGCCATGGCCTTTAATGGATTAGTGCAGAATTTTGGTATTCTCGAGGAAGGAATCGGCAAGGGAAGTGTGAACTGGGATGCTGTTCGTCAAGCATCATTGAAGGATGTCTTCGAAGCCATCAAAAGCGGCGGACTGGCGGATATCAAAAGCAAGAACCTAAAGGCTATACTGGATATGGTCCACAAGGAGAACCAGGAACGCAGAGACATCCTGGTCCAAGGCGATCAAAGCGTATCATCAGAATTGAAGAACAAGCCTGAAATGGACAAGCAGTATGAGATTGCCTGTGCAGACCAAAACTTCCTATCCCTCAATCATCTTCACAGTCTGGGTACAGAACAGGTTATGGTGGAGCTGGTGAAATATCCTGGTATAGGGCCCAAGACGGCCGCCTGTGTCATTCTATTCTGCCTACAACGGCCATGTTTCGCCGTGGACACCCATATCTTCCGCATTTGCAAATGGCTTGGCTGGGTGCCACCAGACAGGGCCACCGAGATCACTGCTTTTAGCCATCTCGAAGTGCGCATTCCTGATCATTTCAAATACTCCCTCCACCAGCTTTTCATTCGTCATGGCAAGTCTTGTCCCCGATGTAGGGCGATTACCGGACAGTCTTCTGCGGGGTGGGAGGATGGCTGTGTGATTGACCATCTTGTGACGAGGACTGGGAAGAGGAAAGGAGATGTGAAGTCACCTGTAGAAAAGAAGACTGGTCGTCAGGCACGTACTGGGGGAAAAAAAAGATGCATGATAGATAGTTAGACAAATACTTCTCGGGTTGCTTGTTTGTATGCTATATATCTCATTGCTATATAATTATTCTCGAGGAATGTTGATCTGCCATTGATCATGTATCACCGACGAATAACCTCATCATCCATCCATCCATCCATCCAAAAAGAAGCAAAAAGCTCACCCGATCAACAGTCTTGGTAAACGTGAGGACCTGCTGCGGGATACGAAACCCCTATAGGGGGGGGGTTTGCAGCCGAGCCCATCCTGGGTGGTCCAAATTGGACCGTCCCAAGCTGGATTCGAACCCAGGACTTCTACGTTACGCCAAATGGGCAGGAGGCTGGCATTTTCAGCCAAAGGAAGCCTCCTGACCACTCGGCCACAGTCACCCTGGGTTTTGTGAGGAGAAATAATAGAAGTGAATGGTATGGGTTGTTTGATTACCAGATTAGGAAAGGTAGGGTGTATATCACGTGATCTGTATACAAGGTGTGGGGCCGCATATCGGAGCTCCTGATAAAAAGATGGAGCCACTTCTCCGGACTCAAACAGCGTCAACAACAGCAACACCAGAGAGGGTATACATATCTAGGGAATCGGAATTTCTGTGGGGTTTAATTGTCCCACGCGGATCTTTCAAGATGGAGTTTCTGGCTGCTTATATTCCCCCGCAGCTCCAATCTGCCATGGAGCCCCTGGAGCCCCATGCCCCATTGCTTGGTGTCGCGCTCGTCTCAATTGGCGCGGTCTATCTGGGTTGCATCTACGTCCTGAGCAGCAGAGAAGCTGCTGTGCCATTTAATGTCCCGATTCCATCAGAAGTGAAAGTTAAGGGGGGAAGTAAAAAGTGGGAGGATGCCCAAGGCGAGGAGAAGCGGGTGTTGGAGGGACAGGCTAGAGGGGTATGTCTTGTTTATCATATGACCGATATCAAGTCAATTAACTGACATTTACCTTTTTTTTTTTTTTTTTTAATTCTAGCAATGGAACGATAAATTGATTATGAGCTACTGCCCCGCCGATGGAAGAGTGCTAGGAAATGGAACAAAGCCGGCTACCATTGAAGATGTCAACCAAAAGATCGCAGCGGCAAAGAAAGCGCAGACTGAATGGGCCAATACTACATTTGCCGAAAGAAGGAAGGTCCTCAAGACCTTGCTGAAGTACGTTCTGGACCATCAAGATGAGATCGTCACCGCTTGCTGCTTGGATTCGGGCAAAACAAAAGTCGATGCTTCCTTTGGAGAAATTCTTGTGACGGCAGAGAAGCTGAAATGGACCATCGATCACGGCGAAAAGGCATTGACAGCGGAACGTCGACCCACGAATTTCCTCATGATGTATAAGAAGAACATGGTCACCTATGAACCCCTGGGGGTTATTTCGGCCTGTGTCTCGTGGAACTATCCGTTCCATAACTTCATTGGACCGGTAATCAGTGGTATCTTTGCGGGCAATGGTGTCGTGGTGAAACCTTCTGAGCAGACAGCTTGGTGCACGTCATACTTCCTGGAAGTGGTCAGAGGCGCTCTCTCAAGCTGCGGCCACTCTCGTGATCTTGTCCAGACTGTCGTGTGCCTTCCAGAAGTTGCTGATGTTCTTACCTCCCACCCGGATATTGCCCAGCTGACATTTATCGGTTCCCGGCCTGTGGCGCACAAAGTGTGTGAATCTGCTGCCAAATCATTGACCTCGGTGACCGTTGAATTGGGTGGAAAGGATCCCGCTGTCATTCTTGATGATTCGAGAACAGCAGGTGAGGTGGCAGATATTGCTTCTATTCTCATGCGTGGTGTTTTCCAATCTGCCGGTCAAAACTGTATCGGTGTTGAACGTGTCATTGCTCTTCCTGGTGTCTACGAAAAGCTCCTGGACATCATCACCCCTCGCATCAAAGCGCTTCGTCTTGGCTCAATCCTTCTGGATTCAAACACCCCAGATGTTGGTGCCATGATCTCCCCGGCTTCTTTTGACCGTTTGGAATCTCTCATCGAGGATGCTGTGAAACAAGGTGCACGCCTCATCTGCGGTGGAAAGCGTTTCAACCACCCAAACCACCCCCACGGCCATTACTTCACACCAACCCTGATTGCCGACGTGACACCTTCCATGCGAATTGCTCAAACCGAATGCTTTGCTCCAGTCTTTGTAGTGATGCGCGCTTCGTCTGTACCCCACGCCATCACCATCGCAAACTCAACCGAGTTCGCCCTTGGCGCTAGCGTCTTCGGATACAACCAACGTGACGTCGCAGCCTGTGTGTCTGGAATCAAAGCAGGCATGGTTTCTGTGAACGACTTTGGCAGCTACTATGCCGTCCAGCTGCCCTTTGGCGGTACCAAGGGATCGGGATATGGTAGATTTGCCGGTGAAGAGGGACTGCGTGGCGTGTGCAACCTCAAGTCAGTCTGTGTTGATCGCTTCCCCAAATTGGCGGCCACCAGAATCCCGCCCAGAGTGGACTACCCGATCCAGAAGGGGGATGATGCTAAGCAGAACGGCACTGGAGCTTGGGAGATGTGCAAGGGTGTTGTTGAGACCGGATATCAGTTGACGCTGGCCGGTAGGATCAGCGGAATACTGAGACTCTTGAAGAATATGTGATGGATGGATGGATATTATATGTACATTAAAAACAACCGATACTAATCTATATTCCCGAAATATTAAAAATAATCATGATCATGTACAAAGAAAGAATTCCTTGCTGATGCGGACTGCATATCATCGTAACGTATCAAGATACCAAATTCTTCATGTCATCTTACAATCACTCCATCGACTTGAAACATCAAAAGAAGTCTCCTCCATCCAACTTGGAAGTTCCTCCACGTTCAGAACATCATTCAAATAGCGCCTTGCCATCTCGACCTGCCCATTGGCCCTGCCGAGATAGAACATAGCGGCCTCGCGCGGATTGGCACGCGCCGCTTCGATTTGTGGTGGTAAATGTAACATGAGGTCCAAGAGCCAGCGACCAAATGCATTATTAAGATACATGGCCCATTCTGTAACCTCCGAGTCATCGGCAGGAAGAGACTCCGCACTTGTCCGAAGGAGAAGCTGGAGAAACTCTGGACGATTCCGTGCCACTCGGACGGCTGTGCGGAAGTGCTCGGCCGGTAGGGTGTAGGGGGGTGAGTTGTCGGAGGGTGAATGCTGGCTGCGGAAAACGTATTCGTCTATCTTGAGGAGACTTTCTAGGGCTTTGACATTGTTCTCTATAAGTGCCATGTGGATTCCCTGCTGTAGGGCTTCCCGGGAGAGTGTGACGTTTGTCTCCAAGTGGTCGGAACGGTTGAACCCGCTGGCGATTCGGAATGTTTCGATGTATGCGAGAAGGTCATCGTCGAAGCCCTCTTCGCCTCTGAGAAGCTTGTCAGGGAAATATTTGACGTTTAAGATGCGATGTGTTTCTTGCTGGTCCAGTTCTTGACGGGTGATGGTGATTGATACCAATGGATCAATGGATAGTGTACAGGGTTTATTATCCTTGTCGAATCCTTGAAAGGTACGGGTATATTTTTGCCGTGTCAGAAATCGCTCCAGAGCCTCCTGCTGGACATTTTCCATTCTGAATCCGGCATTGTTCCAGTGTCGTTGGATGGTCAGGTTGATCAAGTCTGGCAGTTGGTTCAACAAGCGGTGCACTGTGAACCATTTGCAGCGCAGGACCATATTCTGTAGGCTCCCGCGCTCCTCATCGTGTAGAGGGTGATAATCCAACGGTCTGAGAATTCTCGAAATCGCCCCTCTAGAGTCTCGGTTCTCCTCAGATGGAAGGTCATTCCAGAACGACAACAGTATTAAAGCCCGATAGACTCTTTCGCTCGAAACCGCAACCGCGAGAGAAAGCGAAGAACGGGGAAGATTGACATCCAAAGAATACAGAAAGATCTTCTCGAGCAGTTCGACAGGAAGCCTTTCCAGGTTTGACAACTTTCGAGAAGAAGACTCGGTGGGCTTGGCCAGCAGTACACGCGCTCTCTTCTCGAACTTGGACTGCGAGGAGGTCCATCTAGTTTTACGGGACATCAAGGGTCGACCGCCTTTTCGCCCACTGGGGACGCGCTTGAGGACTCGGCCATTGCTTTTCGTTTTCCTGCGGCCGCGAACCCGGATGGGGGTAAGCATGCCTGGCAAAGAAGCCGGTAAATGGTCGACTCTGATCACTGGCTTCTTATTCGTGGAGCCATATCAAATAGCACAGCATCGATGGTCCAGATAACGACCCCAACGGGATGAACTGGATGAATTTGGAATAGTGTTGATGGTCAGAAGCCCAGTGGAATGACGAAAGCGTACATTTGATATGGTGTCTGTAGATGTTTGGAGAAGCTTTCACCACTGATTGGCGGAATGGGAGACCGCCAGGAAAAATGTCTGGCCCGAAATGGATATTAGGGCAGAGCGTGTCAGCCCTACGGCTAGGCTTGTTTTGGCCTGTCCTACAAATGACGTCAAAAAACTTCATCGCCGCCACTGATCAACAAGCCACGATGCATGTTGCGATTTATCAAGGTGAAACTGGGGGGCTGGATGACGGGTTCCTATCTCAGATCCTTGGTTCTGACAGGATAAAAATCTTCCGCTCATATGAAGTCACACCATCTGGGGTTGATCATTTGCCCAATGTGGAATGCAGACTGTCTGGTAGAATCAAGAATTCATGCCGCAACGGCGTCGATATGACGGCATTCAGGGTTGCGTTGGCTCTCTACGTTAAATTTTAATATAGAAAGAACGATACCATTCGTCTTGTCGATCCCTCTTTCTGCTCTTGCTCTGCATAGTACGTACTTTAGATTAGCAGGCATTATATCATCTCTGTCGTGGCTTCTATATAAAATATCCTCGAGTACCTCCGAAAATGCTTCCCTTCAACGATACATCTACACACTCTCCTGCATCCTCCAGTTCAGAAAATACGAGCCCGCCAATCGATCCCTCCAATCCAAAACAATCTAAACAATCACAAAAAGGACAAAAGTTGAAATAAACTCTTAAATCGCCAGAATGGGTGCTGTTGTATCTTGTGTATGTTTTTCTTCCCCTACTTCTACTTGCGATCTCTTACTTACATTGAACAGATTACAAGTATCTTCCATGCCATCGGGGCCTGCCTTATGGGCATCGTCAATACCATCGGTTCGATCTGTCAGGCCATTATCAGCGGCGTGGTCACCCTCTTGGATGTCATCATCGCGTGCCTGACCTGCGGATACTGCGGCAATCGACGAAGAACGAGAACAAGAAGGTCGAGAATCTAAGGACGACTAGTTGATGGTTGACACGATAATGACTTGGGACGAACGTTATTGTATAACAAAAGCTGTTACGAGTCACGACGGACATGAGGTTGGAACTATTGGTTTGGTCTTTGTTTTCTGATATTATCTCTATTCAATACCCTCAAAGCGAGTCTTTACGTGGGTTTATGCCGTAATCTGTATTCTTAATGTTAATGTGACATGCACCAACTTTGTTATGCTTGTATAGTCCTGCCTTCCACCCATATTAAGTATCACCAATTCATAGACTATTCGTTCCTGCCTTTGTCATCAAGTCGTCCTTAAGTCGCAGATCGTGTGGTGGGATGTCCTCCCATCGCTCGTCCACTAAGAGCTTGACAAATGGATCACCACGTTCATTTGCATACCTCACTGCTATGTGAAAGTGACTCGGGAGTACCGGCCAGCGGATAGGATAGTTATAGTCCCTGACCCGAATGTGGAAGCCCAATAATCGCTCAAAAGTTCGAAAGTCGCGGCCACGGATCAACTGCCGCAATATCCGTTTCGACCGACCATAAGTGCTATCTTCGTCGATGTATGCATCCATTGATAACAGACTCAAAAATTCAAGCTTAGACTCTGTCCATGGTGGACAAAGCAGCTTTTCTGGAACACGAGCAGGTAAGTCGACCGTACAGCTCGGAAGGCGGAAGGTGTCTTGCTCCAAGTATACATCGTTATGTTCGCGGATTTGGAACGCTCCAAAATGGAACCAAATTGCAATCTTGCACTCCACATTGGATTGACGTGTCTTGGCCCTGAGAATCAAGTCGCCTTTCCCACGTCGACCAGTCCGATAATCATCTCTTGGTAATTCTGCGAATCTATCCTTGATCTTGCTTAAGGCATCGCTGTTTTCAGGAGAAAGGTCCAGATCAAGACACTTGCGACGAACCGCATGCTTGACATGTTCCCTTTGGCACTTCCGTATCAATGGTAATGTACTCCACCGGCATTCGAGAATGGTGGTTTGCAAATCTCTTCGTTCCTGCGTCGAGAGTGCGAAAAAGTCGAGCGGCGGAGGCAGATAATCCGGGGTAAAGAAGTCGTGCCTAGAGCTCTCGTTGGCGCTACTGAAGGCAAGCCGAATGAGCCATGTATATATGACTGAATCAGAGAGAGCTCTAGATATATGTAAGGAGGCTCGTGGGAGATTTATCTCGAGACAATGGAGGAAGATTGCCTGAATGATTTCCACTGGTAGACGTTCAAGTCGAGACCGGGGCTGGACCGGCGTCAAATCCCCGGACATTGGATTGGTCCTTTGGTGAATTCAGTCGATTTGAATGAAGGGAATTGTAATCTAACTGTAGTCTCATCCAGGAGCTATTACAGTACTGAGAAGGCTGCGAATTCATGCTTCCGTCACGACTACCACGCGTTCGAGCCCGCCTGATTATTCCAAAAGCAGCCGATTGCAGCACAAACAAGGTTATCTAGTCGAATGACCATCGCTCGAACTCGAGGAATCCTATGATCTGTTCTTCGTACAGATTAGGAGGTGGTGTGAGGCAAAGGAGTGGGCACCGGGTTCGACAGGTTGATAGCGACGAAGATGCGGGGAAGCTGTTATTTCCTTGCATGACATTAGTATTAATACGTAATTCAACAAAAAGACCGCAGACCTGATTAACACACCGAGAAACTGGACTTGGGAGATTCCCCAACCCTGGAAGTCTATGTAGGTTCCAGGGTTGATGGGTTGCTCTGCGATGACGCGGAGGTTGAAGGCGGACAAGATGTACTGCGGCAATTCCCTCACCCCTTGAGCAACGCCCGATGAGAACAACACACGGCATGACTTGAGAGGCAGACGATGTTTTGTATCTAAGCTACGGTCTAAAAAAAGATTTAATTTGTTTTATATCAATTTAGGATCAGCATAAGTAGTTCCTTGTACCCCATACTGTGTGCCTAATAATGACCTCGACTAACCCCCATGATGAAGACGGATCAAAATAAGCCTACCAAACTATAGGTCACTTAGAATCACTGATTACATGTGCGACAGAATGGATTCACGGCTCGACCAAGATGAGAAGTGTCTACAGCAGCCAGAATAGAACGTATGAATGCAGGAAACCATCTTCTAATTCAAACAACGTTTCTATACACATCCGGAAAACCAAGAACCACACTGCCAGACAGCAGGAACAGTACCCTAGCTGGCCCACATCCTTGACAATAAGGGGATTTATTCGTGTGATTACACTGGTCGAGGGATAAGGGAGGCGTAAAAGTAACAGAAAGATTCTGCCAATTTAAACGGCAGAAAGATCGCCGAAGCGCTCCTACAAAAGAAGGGATTATTAGCCATCTGATACTTTCTTCGACATAGTCAAATTAAGTAACGTACCTTGTATCCCGGGGGCATCCACTTGCCCTTGGAGACCAGGGAAGCGGTCTTCTCATCGATCTCAGGCTGGGCAGCGGCAACCTCGTCCTAAACAAAGCAATCAGTATGTATGACCAGATAAAACTCAAACGTCCGAGTTGATTTCCAAAACATACAACAGTGAGGTCCTCGAATGGCCGGGCAGTCTCGATGTTCTCCAGGGTCTTCTCCAAGTTGAGGATTTCAGACTCAACCTTGCCCTTGGTCTGCTCAGCGCTCTGGACGGCCTGGGCCTCGAAAGCGTCGATGGCCTTGATCTGACGGTTAACGTCGTAGGTGGCAGGCTTGAAGCTCTTGAAGTGGTTCTCGATCTCGTCGACGATGGCCTGGTTCTTCAGGACCTTGCGGTAGTGGGCGAAGTCGACGGTCTGGGGGAGTTCGGACTGGACCTGGACCTTGCGGCGGGCATCGTCGTTACGCTTCTTGAAGGACTGGAGAGAAGTAGCCGTCTGACCGCGGAGGCCGAGCGAGCTGGTCACCTTGACCCAGTCGATCTTAAGAGCGGCGCTGCGCTGTAACAAGGCAGTTAGCGGACCAAATTCCCATCGCGACTGATAGGATTAATTGAATAGAGCAAAATTCACATACAGTGGCCATTGTGGAGGTAGATTCGAGGGTGATTAGGTGGGAGGGGGGAGTTCAACGTGCAAAGCTGGACGTTCCGAGAGGTGAGGGTGAACTCGGCAAGGTTTGGATGGGGATGGCACCACGTGACCTGTCGCACCCGTGTTCCGAACGTCCGCCAGGCATGTTTACCTACAGTAGAAGAGCAGGGTTATCCAGAGCTATATAAACGTTGGATATAAATTCAAATTAAATTTATTCTGAATATTTCAACGTGTGTTACCGCGCAAAATTTACTACACAAGGGCCATGTTGTAAATATGTCCCACAAGCCAAAAGGTTTGAATTAGATCGTTCAATTCTGCTTTTTGACTAACTGATTTACACTATGGGGGCCTGGCAGAACTTGACCTTGCACCCAAAGTCCATCCTGCCAGCAGGGCTAGGGAAAATCAGCCACTGGCAGAGTGTGCTTCAAGTCGTGCAGGATTTCATATGCTGAGGGCCATGATGGAGTTCACGATATCGTTGTCGTTCTCCTTAAGGGCCTTGACGGCCTTCTTGCGAGAAACATTGGCCTGGGCCACGACCAGGTCAATGTCCTTAGCCTCGAGGCCGGTCTCGTCAACCTCCTCTCCATCATCCTCTTCCTCCTCCTTCTTAGCCTCAGTCTCGGGGGCCTTGGCCTTGCCGAGGGGCTCGTGCTCGTGGTCGTGACCGGCGTGGTCACCAGCGGCCTCAGCGGCAGCGAGCTGCTGGGCAGCGTTGGCCTGGGCCTGGGAGTTCAGGTCCTCGATCTTGGCCTCACCGAAGATGCTGTTATACTTTGTAAGCCAATTGATCAACCTTGGAATGGAAATTGGAGGGGCACAAACATCCAGGTGTTGCTGGAGGGGGAACGGTAGACGTCGGGCTGGTTGACAACGAAGAGAATCTGTAGGAGACATATTAGGCTCTGTTTTGAGATGTATCGGCTTGCTGGCAGCCCGCAAAATCACAAGGCGAGGCGTGATATCAGGACTGTGCGGGGCAAGGAACTCATACGTTCTTAGGTCTGCGGAGGGTGACACGAGTGATACCCGGGACGTGCTTCAGGCCGAGCTTGCCAATGGCCTTACGGGCCTTCTTCTCGTTACGGGAGTGGATGGTGACAGCGGCACCGCCGGGGATGGTGGGCTCCTCTCCAGCCTCAGACTCAGAGCTGCTGCCGGCATCTTCGACGTTGGTCTTGGGGACCTCCTCATCGGGGACTTCTTCAACACGAGGGTCAGCCATTTTTGCGATTCGGACGAGCCTAGAATAGTCGTAGAATCGATGGTCAGCGTCTCGCACTATGGGATCATCTGGTCGCTCGAATTCGAGACTGAGAGATGCCCACGAAAAAACGCCATAACTCCCGTAAACATCCAGGAATTAACGATTTTCGAGTGCATATTTCAATCCGGGGGCCGCAAATTCAATCCAGACATACCTGGTACGCGGAGAGAGGGCTTTGGTGGGTGATGTGGGTTTTTTTGTCTTGTTGAAGGTTGAAAGTCGTAAAGCTGTGTGAATGTCATCCTGCCGAAAATCGTTAGCGAGCTAACTGGGACCCTCCCCCCGGACTCACACAAGCAGCGCATCTACACCTCGAACTACAAGCACGACATGCATAATCTTGGTTTTTACTTTTTAATAAATAAATTAAGAGAAATTAGAGCATATGCTACATCTATATTTTTATTTTCCAACTCTGCATTAGAAAAGTTTCTAGGTGATATCAAAATAACCCAGACCCGTCTAGTAGTAATTGGAAGGTGTGCCATGTTTCATAACGTAGAAGGATAACCCCTGCCAGGATATCAAGGTCTTTGAATCATTTTTTTTGCTGCCAATAATGTTTACAGCTATTTGCTGAAATAAAAACCCTCAGCAATGGAAAACCGTCCCAAAGGCACCCCTCGCACTATTCACCGAGCCTCATAAACATCTATGCAGCCGCCCTGACCTTGGCGTGAGCCTTCTGGACCTCGAAGCGAGCCTATTAAATTCCCAATGTCAGCTTTCAGTTCCGTATATTCCAAACAGGCCAGCCCTGATCGTTGGCCATGGGAAGTGCCTGAACACTCCCAAACCTCCAATACCACTAGACCCGTATAATCCATGCAATCAACGTACCTGCTTCCTGAGTCTCAGGACCTTGAAGCGCTCGAAGTCGTTGAGGTTCTTCCTCCGCTCGTTCTGGAGAGTCTTCTGGGCGTAGTTGCTCTTGGCCCACTTGCCATCGATCTCGTTCTTCTCCCAGAGCTTGCGGACGGGTCCAGTACCGGCGGCACGGGGAAGCTTGGGGATAACGAAGTGGGTGAGGGTAGCGTGGGCGAGAGGAAGGACGTGACGGGGGACAGTCTTGTTCTCCTCGGTGGAGGGACCGTCAACGAGAACCTATTCGTTGCGACTTCTGTCAATATCACTCCGGCCAAAATCTCCACCTCTTTTTCCAAATTCCTGCATGCGAACGTACACGTCTGTGGTCGACAATCTCGACAATGGCGGCGAGCTTGCCGGTGAAGGGACCGCGGCGGATCAGCACCACACGTCCAACCTCAACGAGCTTCCATGAAGCAACCTTGACATCGATATCGGCCATGGCGAAGGCTTCCTAAAAAAAAACGAAAAATTGGTATCTCAGCAATATGTCACTTTCAAGACACTGGCGATCGAGACTCACGGTCGACTGACTCCGGGAGGGTGGTGATAATTAGTTGTCGAAGGGTCGGGGTTGTCGAAGTCGTCCGAAACGCACAAGTCTCGCTGGCTGCTGGATCGCGAATTTCGCTGTTGCGGTCTTCGCCCACAGAGGCTCGCTTAGCAGCCACTCACAGCCTGCCGATGGGGTTTGCGTGCGGCCTAGGGCTGTTTGTCCGCCTTAGCGCCGAAGATACTGCCGACAGGCTTTTTCCGCTCCGGTCGGAGGCCTTTTAAGCCTCAGCCGAAATATTTTGCCGTAAACTTTTTCTGATTCTGCAAAGTCTTGCAAGTGCTCTCACTTCATCAAAACAAATGGGTTTTGATGCCTGCTCTGCCGATCTTATGTTGCTAATCAAGTAACCAGCTTATGCGCTGTGATCTGGCTTCATACTGGTATGTATATACTTATTTCTTCTCTTATCCCATTTCGCATGATGCGGTAATTTGCGATTGACCCAGTGTCTGTGAACTCTCGCCGGAGTTCTTAAACAGCGCTGTAGCGTGATATTCATTTCTTACATATTCTGATGTCCTTTTATTTCTGATTCATTACATCATTGTCTTTCCGAATGACGATGCTAACTATCAAAGACTTCAAATAGGTTGCTATCCAGCTCTGATATCTACTTCAGCCAGAACCACCTCAATAGGTACGTTTAAAGCATTTTGCTTATTACTCCCCCGCTCCAATGATTAAAAACTTTATCACGCCTAGATAGTAATTGATGCCTTTGGCAATGATATTTACCTTATCACCAAGATCTCTGAGGACACTCAATCTTGTCATTTGTCACACTCATTTCTTGCTGAGAGTCAAGACTAACATTTGACATTACTAGGTTCCATTCAGCGCCGCTGGAAGTCTCCTTGCTCAGATCATTAGTTTAGTTTAATAAGAAAAATGATTTTTTTTTATACCATAAACAATTCTTTTTCATTAAATCCCGTACAACACTGTAGAATAAGAAGAATAGAAGTAAATGAGAGTCTATTGCCTGTCGGAGCTATATACAAATCGCGATGTGACGTGGCATGCGACATAATCATGATAATATTCAAGGCATTTTTGATATCAGAACAAAATTCATCCCATCCAAGCACCGGATCATAAAACGAGAAACGCGTTATGATATTTATCAAACATCCCCCATATATTGTGTTTGCGATAAGAGCAATATGCTAGAGTTGATACGCGAGGTGAAACTCCACATCTTTTGCTTCTGCTTTCATGAGTACCGTCTATATCGTCATGTATCCCGGACGGCCCCGTGAGACTATTATAGGGACCCAGATGCTTTCGAAGACGCTACCGAAGATGGTCCTTCACGACTAAGAACCCACATAAAGATGAACTGAATGATGTACGCGTAGACGAAGAGGAACTGGGTACGGCGATTGCGCTGCGAGCGAGCAACAGTGTGCATTGAGCCGGAGCGCATGGAAGCATCGCTAGTCGAATCAGGAAGCAGAACATACTTCAAAGAACGAAGCTATATACGTATGTTAGCCTAATTCAATGACCTGTACAATGCTTTGGTATTGACTCACCAGAAAGAAAGCATTGGCAAGGAAAGTGTAAGTAAATACAATCCAGCCAACCCAACCACCGGTTCCTCTTCCCGGGGTTAGAATCTCAGAGGACACAAGCGTTGCAATGATACCAACGAATTTGTAGCCAGAGTAGGCCACAAGATCCAAGAGCTGGGACTCATTGTTGATGGTGAGGATATACATGGCCGTCTTCAGACATAGCATCTCAAATACGATAACTGCAATGGCTGTGGTAGTGACCGACCCAAGAAGCTCCGGATGGAAGTGCCCGCGGAAACCTGCCAGCATCACTGACAAGAGAATGTATGTGAGGAGGGCCATGACTGGAATGTACATATCCGGCGAATTGAGGTCATCACGAGGCGGCAGGAACATAGATGAGTATTGCTGCTGCGATACCTGGCCATCAGGGCCAGTGGATGTAGACGTGAGTCGTGCTTGTTGGCGAGACCATGGCTTGTGCCGCCAGGGGAAGAGCACGAGGCCGAGTTTGTTCAAAACGTAGGAGTTGGAAACGTTGAAGTAGTGTTTAAGAGCAGGTATAGAGACATAGCGATTGATCTGTGACGATTAAAAAGGTCAATGAGATATTTCTTCGCCTGTATAAGCCGTTTTGTATCCAGTCCGCTTACGTTCTGTTCCATATATTCCTGTCCAGCAGCCATCGCAGTCTTGCCAACTTGGAATCCCATCTGTGCTGTGGGCTCATTCATAAACCCACCAAAGCCAGGAGCGTATGTCCCACTGCCCCCCTGCGCGGGAGCTGGTTGGTATGGATTGCCATAGCCGGATGTCTGAGGCTGCTGAGGAGCTGGTGGAGGTGGTGAGCGCATCATGGGGACCGTAGAAACATGCTGCGGTACAGGATGGTGAAGCGGAGGCGAGTGCGCGGGCGGCGGTGCGAAGGACTGGCGGTACATGATGGCTGTATAATCGAAAAAGGCGAATAAAGAGAGGGATGATTAAGAGAGATTGGTTCACCCTGGGTTGAGAGACGCTTGAAAAGCGAGTGAGCTAGGGATCGTGCAGTTGTGAAGTTGAAGGGTGTTTATACGTGGCTGAAGTCCTTCCGATCGCCGAGAGCTCAACTTGGGTTTCCGCAGTTCTTCCCCGTAAGGCCCCCGCCACGCGGATCATCTTTCTCTTTCTTCATTATTCAACAAATTTCACAGCGCAGTTGAAAAAGAGCAAGCAACCATGTTGGAAGCATTTGAAATTCTCACTACATCGGGGGTGGTGCTGTGGTCGAAATCATATGCACCGGTTGGAGCCCACATCGTCAACAGCCTTATCAACGACGTATTTATCGAGGAGAAAGTTCGAACCCCAGCGCCGGCCACGAGCGGTGCTTCCCCGATATACAAGAAGGAGAAATATACTTTGAAATGGAAGAGGGTCAAGGAATTCAATTTGATCTTTGTGGTATGTCTGTGCCATAGCCAGGTTCGCTTGTTACGGTGAAGTTAATGCCTCGAATCGCTTTAGGCTGTCTATCAATCTCTGCTTCATCTCGGTTGGATCGATAAGCTTTTGGACAACATTTCAACAGTGTTCATTGATCTGTATAAAGACCAACTACTCGGTACACGCGCTAGGATCATCGAGTATCCTTTTGACAAGTACTTCGACCAGCAAGTCCGGGAGCTCGAAGATAATACGGGGATCACTCCTTCTGAGGCTTTCAAGGCCGAGAGTGAGAGCAAAAAAGACCCGCTTGTCTCGTCTGATAATGGTGGCCCGCCACCGCCCCCAGTACCTGGCCTTATCAAAGGTATGTCCGCATTTATTGTCCCTCGGTGTGGCCTAGACATTCATACTGACAACCTAAAAGCGCAGCGTCAAGCTGCGCTAGGCGTGGTGACCTCAGACGAGGGAACGCCGCCCCAATCTCCAGATACTTCTAGATCATCAACACCCGTTGCGAGTCAAGTCCTTACCGCAAAGGTTGGGCCAGGTGGCCGTGTATCTCGCCGTGCGCGTAAAGCCGCCAACAGCGCAAACGTTTCATCTGGCGATGAAAATGTTCGAAAGGGCAAGACTCCTAAGGGTGGAAAGAAAATGCGCAGGTGGGATGCCGATGGACTTGCTGATGAGGACGATGGTGAAATCCTCGACTATTCCGCACCCAATGACGGCACAGAGGTGGCCGCCCCAGAAGTGGAGGCTGTTGCTCAAGACACCTGGGGACGTAAAACCGGGAAAGGTCAATTCGTCCTCAGGGATCTAGGCGATGAGGTTCACTCTATACTTGACAATGCAGACAAAGAAAAAGCGAAGTCGGGCGCCTCCACTGGAATGGTTGGTTCGGGATTTAGTGCTATCGGTGGCCTGCTTCGTAATATTGTTGGTGGGAAGGTTCTCACTGAAGCTGACTTGGAGAAACCTTTGAAGGCCATGGAAGACCATCTGCTGAAGAAGAATGTTGCTCGTGAAGCAGCAGTCCGGCTGTGTGAGGGGGTTCAACGTGAGCTTGTCGGAAAGAAGACTGCCAACTTCCAGAGCATTGATGCTGCGCTGCACCTGGCCATGGAATCGTCTTTGCGGAAAATCTTAACCCCTACATCATCTCTGGACTTGCTGCGTGAGATCGACGCCGTCACTTCTCCTACGAACAAACAGCAAGCGCCTCGCCCGTATGTCATATCGATTGTTGGTGTCAATGGTGTTGGGAAGTCTACGAACCTGGGCAAAATCTGCTACTTCTTGCTGCAAAACAACTACCGTGTTCTTATTGCAGCATGTGATACTTTCCGATCCGGGGCCGTGGAGCAGCTTCGTGTACATGCTCGGAATCTCAAAGAGCTCAGCTCCCGCGAGAATGTTGGCGAAATTGAACTCTATGAAAAGGGGTATGGAAAGGATGCTGCGAATGTTGCAAAGGATGCAGTGGAATACGGCGCGGCCAACAAGTTTGATGTGGTTTTGATCGATACCGCTGGTCGCCGGCACAACGACCAGCGCCTTATGTCTTCGCTGGAAAAATTCGCCAAATTTGCGAATCCAAACAAGATCTTCATGGTTGGAGAAGCTCTAGTTGGGACGGACAGTGTTATGCAGGCTCGCAACTTTAACTCAGCCTTTGGTACTGGCAGGAACCTTGACGGCTTCATCATTAGCAAGTGTGACACTGTTGGTGATATGGTGGGTACGCTTGTCAGCATGGTGCATGCAACGGGAATTCCTATTGTATTCCTGGGCATTGGCCAACACTATGGGGACCTGAGAGGTCTCAGTGTTCCTTGGGCTGTTAGTCTATTGATGAAGTGATCCGACTCGAGGGTTCATGGTTTATCGCCAAGGTTCCTCGCTACTTCTTTTTCTTTTCTAGGATGACCTGATCTGAGGGTCTTGTTTGCTATATTATATTGTCTTTCATTTCTTGATCTCAAATATTCATAAATAATTTGATAACTCACACATTCCACGCTGTAAAACCTCTCAGTTGATATGTCATTTAACAGCAAAGTACGGAGTATGCATGAAGTAATTATTTCTTGGATGGATTTAGCGAAGAACCAGAAAAAGCGAAGAAAGGAATAACAACAAATGATCTACAATCCGCAACCAGGGTTCTTGATTCGTAGTCGAGTGCCTTGCCATTAAGGCAGCCGGTCTTGTTGGGTAGTAGTAACCTGATTGTAGGCAACTTTCGGTGGGTCCTCCCCAACTCACTTGTATATATGCAAGTTACAAGAATTGGAGGATATTATGGTCTTGTTATATTTTCTCCTTAATTCATACGAAACTAAGTATGGAAGAACCGTAGACTGATTAAAAGCCATTCATGAACAATGCAGCTGTTGTATCCAAAGCTTTGACAATCTCATGCATGATGACGCATGGGCAAGCAACTGCCCCCTATGTCTTGCAGCCCTGGGATCACCACATCATAGCGAACACAACATAACCAGGACGATCACCTGCTTGCATCCCCTCAATTACCACTTCTCATTATTAATGTAAGCGCTGCTTCTGGACTTCAAGTCACGCATCAGGACTGATTACTCAGCACCCAACCCCGGATCGGCTTACATCATCCGGTCTTTAATTTCGCCCTCGAGGCTGGCTTTAGCGGGAGGATTTACTTCGACTCCTCCATCGCCTCCTCATCTCCTTTCTTGCAGCCGCTACTCCACGACATCCCTGACCTTCTGCGTGCGAATCGAACCTGTGACCGTCGACCGAGAACACTGCTTCTTGCCTACCTTGTATAGGGTAACAACCAACAACCAACGCAAACAGACGATCTTCTTCCGCATCAAATAACGGCAATTGAACCACGAGACCGCCACTGGCTCGGTTATAGTCAAGCGAATCCAGCTATATAATATCTCGGGTATCACGTGGTTTTGGAGTGTGCACTCTTTCTACTGATTTGCACGATTATTGCATCGTGCAAAGATGAGGGTGCCTGAGCGGGATGCGCTCAATCGGCGACGCTCCTCTACACAACACTATCAGACGTTCGATACACCACCACCGAAATCTCGTGGAAGACCAAACTCGGGCCAGTCTGGATCCTCGGGCGACGAGTCATATCGCCAAAATAATGAAGGCCATAGTCGACCAGAGCCAGAGCCTCTGCCAAAGAAGCAAATGGCTGTACTGGCAATGATTTCCCTTTGCGAGCAGACGGCTCTCAATTCTATCAGTCCCTACTTGCCTCAGATGGCATCTGCTTTCCCCGATGTGAATTCCAACGAGGTGGGCATGTATGTCGGGATAATTGCATCGGCGTTCGCCCTGGCGCAGCTCTTGACCAATTACTTCTGGGGTTGGCTGTCGGATCGAATTGGACGGAAGCCAGTTATACTGCTGGGTACTATTTTGACAGCGGCGTGTTTTATGGCTTTTGGGTTCTGTAAGACATTATGGCAGGCGATTATTGTGCAAGCAATCACAGGTGCCGTAAATGGCAATCAGGGCGTGGTATCGACCTGCCTCGGTGAAATAACTGATCGAAGCAACCAGTCAGCTGCATTCACTTACCTGCCAGTTCTTTACGGCATTGGTGGCATCACTGGGCCTCTCCTGGGAGGACTGTTAGTGCTTGATCGGAGTCCATTCGATAAGAGCAAGCCGAACCCGCTACCCTACCTCGCGCCAAACCTGGTGGCAGCAGCAATCCTTCTCGTGGATTTCGTCTTGACGAGCTTATTTTTAGAGGAGAGTCTCGAAGAACCGGACGGCCTACCAAAGTTCGAACAACGAGTTCGCGACCTATTTTCGTGGTTATGGCAGTTTACTAGCTTTGCAAAACGCGCGAGCCATCTACAACCCCCCAACGCCGGCGCGTATCGCCCGATACGTCGCGATACAATAGAGAGTTCGGATCATGATAGTGAGCTAGACTCGGCTTCGGAGACATCTGAAATCTTCCCAAGCCGCCATGAGCTTTCGAAGAGCGAAATCTGGAACCGTGACACAGTGCTGCTGCTTTTAACATACCTTATATTTGCGCTGTGTAACGTTTCATTCAATTCGCTTTTCCCAATCTTTGGGCAAGCTCCACCACCCACCGGCCGCTCGCTTACCCCGTCAGAGATTGGGCTTTCTCAAGGCTTTGCTGGACTAGTGACGATGGTCTTTCAAATCTGCATTTTCGGGAAAATGAGAGACAAAATGGGGAACCGATGGTCCTACCGAGCGGCATTTTTCGGCTTTGTGGCCTCGTTTATTTTCATGCCCTTTGTTGGATATAAGGGCCAAAATGACAATGGTAAACTGAGTGCCAAGTCTGCATTAATGGCCTTTGAATTGTGTTTTGTCCTTCTGATCAAGACCGTTGCTTCGGTTGGTGGGCTGACAAGTGCACTCTTATTGGTAAGTAATGTCTTTTCCGCGGTCAGGATAACCCGAAACTAATTTCTCCATTGTAGGTCACCAACTCTGCTCCTGATAATGCCGTCTTGGGTGCCCTCAACGGCCTTGCACAGACACTTTCTGCTGCTGGTCGAGCAGTGGGTCCGTTTTTTTCGGGTGGTTTGCTCTCACTGGCCACCGGAATCAAACATAACGGAGAAATAATGGCATTCGGTGTATTCGCTGCTGTGTCGTTTGTTGGCTTCATCCTCAGTTTTGGCATTCGAGGCCGATCTCTCGAAGCAGAAGGGTTTGAAAGCGACAGCGATGACAATTACAAATCCGACGACGAGGAACGCTCCAACTCGTGAACCAACATGGGATAGACCGACGGATAGAAGACATTTGATATTACGACTTGATGACAGCATTCTTTTGACACTATACTCTTTTATATCAGGTTATCTCCTGGAAAGAGTCCCCTTCCGCATTACCTTTTTACTCCCTTGTATGCTATGCCTATTGTGCTACATACCTTGCATCCATGTACATGACTTGGCATATTTCTTTGATGGTGGATGAAAAAGTTGTTCTACAAAAGCAACCAAATCTTTGATTTTTATCATTACTTGACACAGACCATAGACCTGTCACTAATTCTGGGTTTACTGTTGTATTCTTTTGCAAGTGAATGAATAGATGGATTGGGAGGGTAAAAAATAAAATTATAATCATTATACTCTTATGTACTCACGTTTTTATGTCTAGGGTGCTCGTATATTAATGTGGTTACATTCAATTCTTAGGCACAATTATGAAGACTTAACCTGCCGGCGTGTGGCTTCCCCGCGGTCAATGCTTGGGTGCCTCTAGAGCTAGAGTAATCCAGCTTCTGTTAAGTGACAAGAACCCAGGGCTCCAATAACCAAGACTGAACATCTTCCTTTATACCTGGACAGCGTTACTTCGACTTGAGCAGCACCCTGGGACTTGAGCCCGCTACCATGGCTTCTGGCTTTCTCAGACCTCTGGCGGTATTTTGTAGCCAGTCGCAGTCTCAGCGCTACATCAAAACCATCAAGAATCTGGGCGATGCCTGGCGTAGCCTTGCTGAAATTCCGCTTCCTGAGTGCGATAAAAACTCTGCTTTAATTGAGACCAACTTTGACTTTGTTCTGAAAATCACAAATGCCCTGGAAGAGCAACGCCAGCCGAACCCGACGATTGTCGAGATGTCAACCACAACATCTCCTCCACCCACCAGCCAACCCGCTCTAACAGAGCCCCCATGGCATTATCGGATCTTCGCTGATTACGGCGTGGATTTCATCTGGCGAGATCTAGGTGACTTTCGCCCTGAAGAGGGCGATGCCGTGGTAGAGCCAGAAGAGGTACTCTCTTCATTCCCTCCGTCGGTTTTGGAATCATACGATGCGTGGGTCGACACATACACTGCAAACTTCAAAGAAAGACGCGAAAAGACTGGAAAATTTCATGCCACTATTTTTCCCACCGCTTCCGAGGAGGTTGCTTGGAATGTGGCCGGGTTTTTGTTGGCATGGCGCATTGTAATGGCGCCCCAAGTCGGGAGAATCGAATACACGGCCGGTTGTTCTCAGTATTTTCTGGAAAAAGGGAAGGAGACGAGTGTCACTTTGGCTTTTTTGCAGGACCGGGTTGATATTCTAGCCAAGGGACCGTCGTAGCGAGACCTGCTGCTATGAAACGAAGTACATGTATGCATGTGGTAGCATCGCTGCAGTCTTTGGTATGATAAGATTAGATTCGGTGATTGTTCCTCGATCAAACACCGCCTCGATAATCGGTTCGCAAGCTTCAGGTAAAAGGCGCTGGCTTTGCTATTTGGATATATGAGCCTATTTATGTGTGATGAAATCTCAATTTAACTATGCTTTACACTCTTTCCAAACAACAAAATGCGTTGGAATGAATGTATTTGGCCAGATTCAATTTGTCCCAAAATCGTTCAAATGCCGAAGGGCAGCCCTGACCGATTTCAATCCCCGAACTACAACACAAGTGGCGAAAAAACGATGATGGTGGATGAAAACCACCTGGACAGGGCTTTTGATTGAAAATAGCCATGGTGCAAGACTTGGAGGGTGCCTAGACATGAGCGAAATCAATGATATTATTCAAACTGCATAATGGATATTGTGCAAATGGTGATACATCATACTCGGTGACTGGGTTAAGCTAATTGCTTCATATACTGTCACGACTTTTCTAGTGCAGTGTACACTACAATCCTGCCTTCAAGATCACTTTGAAAGTCTTCTAGAATGCCAATTAACTAATCATCGCTGGAATTAAAGCTGTTGGCATTGAAATGAGGCTTTTGACAATACCCCGATTGGGTTAGTCGTCAGATGACCCCACATGACATTCCCATCCTCTACGGTCGAGACTCTTCATGCATTCAAGACATTCTCATGTCAATCATTAAACCTGTCATGCGTTTGCTTCAATGAGGATACAAATATACCGAGATCCCTAGAATGTCGCCCGTCTTTACTCCACCCGTAAAAGCTGCCTGTCTAGCATGGTCTGTTACTGCCAAAGCCGAACCCCGAATTGCCAATACTGATGTTTAAAGTCGCACTTCCAAAACGCGCTGTGATGGACAGAATCCTTGCAACAGTGTAAGAGACCTACGGATGGTATAGGGTCTATTTATTCCCTAACAGATTCTTTAGTGTTCCAAGAGAGACAGGCAATGCATGTATCAACCAAGTCGGCGAGGCGGGCCCAGAAGAGGCATTCGATATACAAATGCGTATAAATCTTCCAATGCGAGTAAAGGCTCGGAGCCTTCATTGAAACCACCAGATTCACTTCCGCTCCCGGGTATGAACCTTTTGTAAGCATGCAAAAGTTGTTCCGTTACTGATGCATGGATAGAATTTTCCTTGGATGCTATCTTTGGTTTGATTTCTCCATTGAGTGGAATACGGAATCTAGATGTTTCGCCTGATGGGACTATGACATCTGATCAGACAACATCACTCTGGAATAGCGGTTCGAGTGATAATCAAAATATTCATGATATGAGTCATTTACATGGACTGGAATCTCCAATCATCCGAACCTATGAAAGTGAAGAAGACATGTATGTGTGATCTACATGAATTTATGAGCCAATTATACTTCTTGACTGACAGAAAGGCTGTCGGAACAGAATCAACGCTTATTATATCTTCGTCCACCCGTATCTCCCTCTATTACCGCCGCCAATTGCCCCGCAGTATGAAGATCGTTCAGTACCTATTACAATCACACACCAAGGACCCTTTCAGGCCCAAAAGTCGTTTCTGCCACATTGGCCTACCTCGCCACTAACTTTCGCACTGTCTGCGATTCTAGTGCTGATACCTCCGCCTCAGGGCCTGGGCTGGGCGAATGAAGCTACGGTGCGATGGAGGCGATCATACGCGGAACTTTACATGTCATCTGCGCTGGAAAGTGTAGAAAGAATCATTGATTCTTTAGGACCAGTTTCAGTTGGTAGTTACCCTAGTATGGAACTTGCGCAGCGGAATCCGATCCACTCCTGCGTGCCAGTGACTGTTGAACCGGTTTTGGCTCTTGTCGTTGCAAGCGTATATGAATATTGTCAGCGCGGCAATATAACGAAAATGCGTACCCGAGCTAACCATGCAGTAACTTTGGCTATGGATCTCGGACTTCATAATCTTGATTCACAGGCTTCGAGGTTTTCTGATGCTCAAAGACGGGCGTGGTGGGTGACGGTCAGGTTCTCATGAAATATTTGGCACAAGAACTTAGCACTGACAGGAAGATAGATGTTTATGGTGTATATATCTTCGTGTGTTCAAGTCTCGGTGAGTCGATTAATAAGTCATCTTCCCTATCAAATTAACATCAGTATATCAGGCGCCAGTAATTTCTATTAATGACCCTCGTATAACCACACCGTACCCTCAATTCGGGTTCTCATTGGAGGTAAATTCGCAGTTTTCCCAGATCAACGAAGATCAAGCTGATTTAATAAGCCCTGGCCTCTTATATTTAAAGCACAGGAAGCATTGTTTGCAAGCACCAAAGTTGCTAGTAAATTGACATCTGATCACAAGAGAGAAACGCCCTCACCGACGATTGGTGATCAAATCCGAGATCTAGACTCTGCAATAAAGAGTATGATCATCGAATCAGATCGTTCCCTGCGTCTGAACTGCCAACAGGGTGCCGACGCATCTGCAGCTCAGAATATGTGGCTGATTGCCCGTCTTTTTATTCATGCGTGAGTTATACCATCATTGATAAGGCACTATGGCTTTACTAATGCATTGAAGCTCTCGTCTGAAACTACATCGTTTCAGAGCATTCATGGACATTCCCATATTCCTAGAAAACCACTGCGATATTCCTTCCATCAATGTGGACAACCCGGAATTGATGCCCTCAACGAGTCGTATGACCGAACTTGAAGCAGTATTCCCGTTCACTGAACAAGAATCTTCAGTAATTTGTCTGAAATCCTCTCTCGCCACAGCTCGGATATTCCACAATCTACCGAACCCAGCACTTTGCAATCTCGCCCCGGAAACCACAATAGATAGACAGTCGCCAAATTCAGTCACCACGCTTTTCCCTCCCCCCATTCCCTATTTTGCCTGTAAGTCAATGCAGTGCTGCTATGCCTTGTTAATGCTGCTATACAAAGTTCGCGCATCGGCAGATTCTGGTCGTCTATGCACCTGCTACCATCTGCTCAGCCAGCCTGAACCAGGGACAGAAGTACAGGACGCGGAGAGACTGATGGATGAATTGCGGAATGGAGTTGAGTCGCTGGTGACATGTATGAAGCCCATCGTCATTTTCGAAGGCATGAGCGATATGGTTAGAGAGATTGAAAACGCCTGGCATGCTGCCTTTTCCGAACTTAGCCAACTAGAGAACCGGAACTTTTGATCGAATTGAACTGTTGAGATATAGGCCATCAAGATGTCAACAACAGTTGTACTGGACCAATACAAACACATCTCTCAACCTAGCCAAATATATCGATTCGCTCCAACCTCAGCAAGCTTCCTGCTTCTTCAACACAGACTCCAAAACACTCGTCACCCTGCGAATCTCATTCGCATATCGCCGAACTGCACTCTCAACATTCTCAGGATGGTGTCTCAAGAACCACCCCGCCTGGCTGTAGTACGGTCCTTGCCCGGAAACTTGGAAATGGAGCCACTGTTTCGTTTGGTACTTTTCGGGGAAGGAGTCGTAGCTGAGGTCGTGGTTGACGTCGTACTTTTCAATCAGGTACTCGACGATAGCACCGGATTCCCAGAGTTTGATGCCCGTGTTGGGATCCTCGATGGATGGGAGGCGCCCGTTGGGGTTGAGGTGTATGTATGGTTCTTTCTTGACGTTTTCAAAGCCCACGAACTCGGTCGTGTAAGGGATGTTCAGCTCTTCGTGGATGAAGGCTAGCTTCCAGGGTTGGGGCAGTAGGGGTGGGAGTACAAGTGGATTGGCTGCATTGTATGTAAATGAGGACTAGTGGATATCCAAGATACAAAGATGATAGGTTGCTAGAAACTCTTTTAAAGACCAAGAAGTTTTATATAAGAATAAAGGCGGATATTCGGTGATTACTTTGAAGTTCAAACGCCGAGATATACTACTTTCTATTGATATGATTTTAGGGTCACCGAGATATAGACCGAGTTGATTTCAAAGACCGAATGCTACTTGTCACATCCCAAGGTCCTCCTAGAAAGCCCGGCAATCTGAAGGATCGCCCAAGGGCTTTTATCTACATGCATTTATCAGCAGTGACGCCAAGTTTATATACTTCTTGGTCAGGTGAAGCTATTCAAGTTGAACCCCGAAGAGTCAATCAAACCCTAATTATCCGACCTGCGATGAAGGTCATCTCAGCATGATTAATATAAATCACATTCTTTTGATCAATGACGAAGTTCAGAAATTGTTTTATCTGTACATGGATAGCCAAATGAATGAAAGCTAACTCAACAGACATGTCCCTTGGGTATAACAAAAGAAAAGATGCATTGCCTGCGTTTAGCTGTAAAAAGAAAACCACACATTATAAATACCAGCACCATCATCCCAGTTTACTAGTCTCCCTCCTCTATCTCTTCCTCTTCCTCTATCTTTCCCTCTTCCTCTATCTCTCCCTCTCCCCAGGCCCACTCAATAACGTACATGAATACATCGTCGAGGTACCCAGAAAGTAGAATCCCCTGGGCATACTCGATGAGAGCTTTGTTTGGCATTTCAAGAGACTGGAATCGTTCTTTATCGCCCCCGCCACTCCGGAAACGGACACGCTTGTTGACGATTGATTTGTGCATGTTTTCGCCGGGGGCCACTAGAAGATATTTGGACTGCGATTCTTCCTGAGATGGGTTGTAATAAAGGAAATCCTCTTGTTCGGGTGTCAGCCACTCGAGCTGTTTTGGACTGGTCCCACTGGACTTAACAGAACCATCGACCTTGGCGGTAGTGCTTTCAATGGTGGTGTATCGAATATCCGAATCTGAAGCAAACAAGATGACGGTATTCACGGATGGGTTGAGCTTCATGCGGAGGGTCGTAAAGTTGCGTGGGTCAAGAGAGAAGGTGTATTGGGATAACACGTCCACAAATTTCTTTCTCTTAAAAGCTCCTATCTTGGAGAAAGCCTGGTCGCGGATCTCGGGTGGACATCTTGATCTCGCGGCGATAGATTTCGACTGTCGTAATGAAACCGATGGCACGCATGAAAAAATATGGGTTTCAAGTCCGGCTTGACGGCAGTTCTCACTGCAGAAATGGTGGATTTTACACGCTAAGCTTTTGGTCAGTGATTCTGTTGTAGTATAAATACTGGAAGAAAAACCCACCGTGGCAGAGGACAGAGGTGGTGGACCCGCAAGTTGCACACTGCCCAGGCTCAAGCAACCCCCATTCTTTCTTCTCAGTAGCAAGACGCTCTTGTCGACCGGTGAGCTCTGCAATTCTCTTCTCTGAGTATTTGATCTTCTTGGTCTTTGCTGGATGACCATCAGGGGTTTGACAAGCCATATTGATCATTTGCTTGTACGCGTGAATTGCCTTCTCGATCGAATCGAGATGCTCGTGACATACACAAAGCGCGCTCAAAGAAGCAAACGTTTCCAAAGCCTCTGGGCCCTTGACAGCTAGGAAACGTTCAACTAAAGTCTCAAACAAGTTAGCCGCGTCTTGGAAGAGTCCTGCCCTCATATACGCTTCGCCGAGTTGGTGAATGACCACTAGAGCCTCGGGATCTTGAGAGCGCTGGTAGTGGTCAAAAATGTCTTTGATCTCAAAAGGAAAGTCGAAATTTCTGGAAAGATGAATGTACCGGAGGACTACCTCTCGGGTCACTGCGCTGTTGATACCAAGGACAGTTTTATAGTGTGGAATTGTTCTCCCGCATATTGTTCGTGACTCCTTCTCCAAACGTAGCTTTTGGTACAAGATCGACAGCTTGTTCATCGCACCCAGTGTCGTTTCGCTCTGCATACCAAAGACCGTATCAAGAACTGGGACCGCCTTTTCTAGCAGAAAGAGTGCAGATTCAAACTCGCCCAGAAGTATTTTGACAGAAGCAAGGTCATACATGCTGACCAGCGTCTCCGGAGCATTTCGTCCTAGTATCTTGAGCCGGCCAGCATATGAACGTTCGTACAATGCCGCAGCGTCGATGGGATGTCCATCGTTCTCATAAAGAGCCCCAAGATCACTCAGAATCGCAAAGTTTTTGGCATTTTCACGCCCTAAAGTGCGTTTAACAAGACCCAAGGATTCTAGATAGCATGCCTCCGACTCGGCGATCTTCTGCATCCCGCGGTATGCTTGGCCCAATGAGTGTAGCATTGCTGCTCTCGATAGCTTGTCAATATCCAAAGCCGGGCAATCATTTAGCATCTTCAAAGCATCCTCATATTCCACCACTGCAGCCCTGAAATTACCCTTATTTGAGGCCGCCTCTGCTCTCAAGCGCGTTTTCAATGCCCTAGACCATATGGTAGCGGCGCAGAGCTGATCCTTCAGTTGTAAGAAAAGCTGAGCGACTTCCTCCATTCCGAGGATTCTCTGGCGACCAGACGCATCATGAATCATTGTACCTCCTGACAGATATTCCATGTGGATGAAAATATTCTGACTGCTTCGCAATAGTGCCACATATTCGGCCTCTGGAACGGTTGACTTGGTCTCGTTTCGCTTCGACTCGTTTGGCTCTGCATTGTCGTCCTCAGTCCGTCCTTCACTTGTGGGTCTGCCAGTTCCGGTTGTGTGTCTCGAACTCTTGGCCACAAAAGAAAACCGCACTGTGTTGACGCGTTTTATAAGTTTGTTGCCTGAATTGGATGCAGATTTAGCACGAGATAGGCCTGGGGATAATTAGCAGCTTGATCTTGCAGGGCGGAGCTGTAAACAAACGTTTTGGGACCTTCCCACAAAACAATCTCCGGAAGAAGGACTGCCTTCTTTTCGAGGGTGAAGGTGTCCGCAAAGTTGTATTTGCCCCCAAAAAATTACCCCCAGAGTCGACAGATCCAATTACAGAATGTTCATTCTCCTCGCATAGCGTCGCAGGCAGCTTCTTAGTTTCCATAACAGCCGTACCCACGGGGGCTAAAGAAATGGATTAGTTCAGTATTGCGTGCTTGAGACTCATTTAACACATACCACTTAAAGTGATACCGGAACCTGCCTGGGATTTAGGTGCTTCGAAAGTTCCATCAAATGGCTGGAAGAAGCCATTTGGAGCATGTACTGTGTGGGATGTCAGAAGGTTATCATAGCAGCAAGTCCTGTCGTCTCACCTCGCTCCAAATCGTACAGCCCTGCAAAGCTGATTGCGATCAACTCATCTTCTTCGCTTTGAGAAAATTCTGTAGCTGTTAATTTTATTTGCACAGAGAAGGAGATATGGCAGGTCCTACTTCTAAACGACCACGAATCCCGAATCTTTTTGGCCCTTTTTGCGAAATACTGCTCTCCACCCGATGTCGCTGTCGTAGGAAACATGGAGCTTGTGAAACTATTCTGCGCAATGCTTGGGCTTCTGGAACGGTCGTCAACCGCTATTTCTGGCTGGGAATCAATATAGGTTACATCGTCTCGAGGATCGTTCAAAATCGGCTCAAACCTACAAGGATCGGTTAGAGACTGTTGGCGAGGAATGAAAGGCTGAACATTGGACTGATACTCACGAGACATTGCACTTCTCCCCGCAATTCGTGCAGTCCACGAGGATGCGTGAATCTGCGAAATTTGTTAAAACACACGCGCAATATGTATGGTTGGTGTCATACTTCTCTGCCGGTCCACTTTGTCATCAGCGTCAATGGCGAATTGTTTGTCACATTTACTACAGTAAAAGCGAATCGGCTGGCAATTAAGAGGAACAAGCCGTTTCTCCATGCGATAACCCTTTTTAATGAGCCTTCAGATGACAGCAGGGTTAGCAGAACCATAGCCAGTCGCAGTACCACCCAATAACTGACCGATCCCGTGTCATCACATATACAGCGACGGCAGCCCCGGGGCAAAACCGCGTCAAATAATGCTGTCTCAACTCTTCCCTAACCCACTGGTAAGATACGAATCAAATCGTCGTAGAGGCTCAACCCACTGTGAGGAGAAGATGGCGTCGCAATCCGGACACTTGACATCCACCGCACCGAGTCTGGCTCCATCGTTGTCTCGAAAAGGCGGGAAAATGCGTAGGGTTTCTTTGAAGTTTTCGATACCAGCAAACGTTTCCGAAGTGTCTAGAAATGGAGAAAAATTGGTTAGTTTCCAAGGACCAAGCTCCAAGTTATAGACCGATGATTGGACTGTACCAGCCGTAGATTTCCCAGCCAGCGATAGCAGGACATCTGAAGCCCGCAAGATGCGTGTTCGCCCTTCGACTCTGTTGGAATTGGTGTGAGAAGAGTCGCTCAAGGTGAGTTCTCTCTCAAACTCACGCTGCACATCAGTCTGCACAGCATCTCTAATACTCAGTCAGCATTCCATCAGCGGGAAATTAATTAATAACCAGCCATCCCCAAGGCCTGATACTCAATGCTTACCCTTCAATGGCTCTGGGGCACTCCATTGTAACCTGCCTATCCATCTTTGTTTGGAGGGAAGGAAGGGGAGATGGCCGCAGAAAAGATGAGTTTCGAATGTCACAGTTTAAGTTTCAGAAAAGGAAAAAACAGCATGACAAAAGTCAGCAGGGTGAGGCATCATTTTCAATGAGCTGTAGGTCTTGCTGCAGTGCATATAATACCTGCAGGTCGTTTGCAGTGGAGAGTGGCCTTCAGTCTCCGTGGCGAGCACAGACGGAGAGTAAACGGCCTTCCCGCATATTTTCCCTGTTTCAAGGAGGACGAGGAGAGACTGCAGAGGCCATCTTAACCATCCCTCGCATCTCAGTGGGACGCGCGACAGGGGAGGTTGTTTGGAGGTGGAGCTGGGAGGGAGATTTTTGTTTGTTTGGGATCTTCCGCCGTCAACTCACCTTCTGCCTTCTGCCCTCCTCCACCTCTCACGCCCACGCTGACGCAACAATTCCAACAGGTTCAAATCCATCGAATCTAGTCTCCAGAAACAATACTTTCGTTGGCACCAGTCAATTTTCCATTTCCATCCCTGGCGAGGGTCAATAATAGCTAATCATCCCTTGCGTCATGGAAAAAGAAACATCACAAACAGTACGGATTATTCTCCCTTCCATGTCTTTCCACTCTTCTCACCGCATTCTTCGTTTCTTCTGATTGCTGAAGATAGGATAACTCGCATATCACCTGTCATATTCTTATTCCTGGCCTTGACGTGATCTAACGGACGCTATCACCGATGATCCCAGTCGGCGGGCTAATGAATTGATACAGCACATGTTTATTCTAGAGTTGGCGCAATAATTTCCAAACGAACAGCAACGCTCGAAACAATAGTAAAAAGCCCAAAATCCCAATATCTGTCGATCGAAAGCATATAATTTTTATTTTTTCGATATTGCGGGAAAGGGGAATAATAATAACCACCTCGCTTTGTCAGTTCGGGGTCGGATATTATGGAACGTTTGCAACACGATGAGAAGATGAAAAAAGCAACAGATGAAACACCAAGGAGATCTTAGAACACGATAAAGGGCAATTATTCACTCTGATGACGAAAATTGCCATTCAACGTCTGGCCATTCACTATTTTTGCTTTATTGACTAATCCTACTATAAAGGCGAGCAAGGAACTAACTATCAACGTCAACACCTTATCGCCAAGGGCAAGCAATAATGTCGATTTCGTGCATCTCCACCTCTTAAAAGCACAGGTGGTGGTTGCCCAGCCCTGGAAAGCTCAACTGTAACGCATCAGATGCATGGGCATCAATCAATTCCCACCATCGATGACACCATTGGTTTTATGCCACTTTATACCTAATAGTGCTGCATATCTGTTTGACTTCCAAGGAAACTATGAATCGAATCGAATTGACCTGCATAAAGTTCAATTGATTAAAGTTCTTGGCTGTCGTGAGGGTTCAGTCATTTTACTTTGGTTCCTGGATCGTTGTAATCCTCGTTGACTGACCCTGACATGCACCCGAGGAAGACGACAGCGTGCTCTACTTTGACATTCATCAGAATATCCTCATAGGTACCCAATTCTTATACATTGTCGAATGGGGGAAACATGTCAGGGTGACGTCCTGGACGTCATCTTGACGTGCGGACAATATAGAAACAACGAGCACTAGGGCATTTATACTCCGTACCCAGCAATTGAGTAGGAAATTTGTCAATCTCGTCGAATAATCCAAGAAAAGTTCAATAAATTTCATTACTACTGTCCCACATCGCTTTCACAGAATGGCTTCCGTTATCGCAGGGGGCCTACACAAAGCCCAAGAAGTGCTGCAGAACACCACCTCAACTAATAAGAAGATGGTAGATTTGGAGCGTGACACTGCCAATGTTCATACAAAACAGCCCTTGACAACTGATCATGGCACTCGAGTCAACAATACCGATCAATGGCTTCGGGTAGCCAGTGATCAGCGTACAGGGCCATCGTTACTTGAGGACCCCATCGCAAGAGAAAAAGTTAGATATTCGTACAATAGCGAACTGTATGAGAAATCTGACTAACGATATTTCAGATCCACCGCTTCGACCACGAGCGTATCCCTGAACGGGTGGTGCATGCGCGTGGTACCGGTGCCTTTGGGAACTTTCGACTACTCCAAAGCGCTGAAGATGTAACGCATGCTGGCATCTTGACCGATACATCTAGAAACACGCCGGTTTTCGTTCGCTTCTCCACAGTCCAAGGAAGTAGAGGGAGTGCAGATACGGTTCGTGATATTCGGGGATTCGCGACCAAGTTCTATACGGATGAGGGGATTTGGGACTTGGTTGGGAACAACCTTCCTGTATTTTTTATCCAGGATGCGGTTAAGTTCCCAGATTTTGGTATGTCTCACTCTGTATCGTACTTTAGGCAGTGATTTAACCGGTGTAGTCCATGCCGTGAAGCCAGAACCACACAACGAAATACCACAGGCTCAAACAGCCCACAACAACTTCTGGGACTTTGTGTATCTTCATCCGGAAGCGACGCACATGTTCATGTGGGCTATTTCTGACCGAGCCATCCCACGGTCATACCGCATGATGCAAGGATTCGGAGTCAACACTTTTGTGCTCGTCAACAAGCAAGGCCAACGACACTTTGTCAAGTTCCATTGGATCCCTCATCTGGGCGTGCACTCCCTAGCCTGGGACGAGTCGCTGAAACTCGCAGGACAGGATCCAGACTTTCACCGGAAAGAACTAATGGAGGCGATTGACAACAAGATGTTTCCCAAATGGGACTTTGCAATCCAAATCATCCCCGAGGAGAAACAAGATGATTTCGAATTCGATATTCTCGATGCCACAAAAATCTGGCCAGAAGATCTAGTCCCGCTTCGCATCATTGGTGAGCTGGAATTGAATCGGAATGTCGACGAGTTCTTCCCTCAAACTGAACAAATCGCCTTCTGCACCAGCCATATCGTCCCTGGTATCGAATTCTCAGACGACCCCCTCCTCCAGGGCCGAAACTTTTCCTACTTCGACACCCAAATCACCAGACTAGGTGTCAATTGGGAAGAACTCCCCATCAACCGCCCCGTATGCCCTGCCATGAACCACAACAGGGACGGCCAGATGCGTCACCGCATCACTCAGGGGACAGTCAACTACTGGCCAAACCGATTCGACGCAAACCCACCGGCAACCCAGTCTGAAGGCGGCTTCACCACCCATCCAGAAAAAGTCATCGGATTCAAGAAACGAACCCTAAGTACCAAATTCAGCGAACACCACAGCCAGGCTCAGCTTTTCTACAACTCCTTGTCCGCACATGAAAAGCTCCACGCCAAAAACGCCCTCTCCTTCGAACTAGACCACTGCGATGACCCCATTGTCTACCACCGTCTCGCCAGCCACCGTCTAGCAGAAATAGACCTCTCCCTCGCACAGCACGTCGCAGAAAGAGTCGGCGCCCCAGTCCCTTCATCCCCGCTTAAAGAAAACCACGGCCGGAAAGCACCCCACCTCTCACAGGTCGATTTCATGCCCCTCAATCAAACAATCGTGAGCAGGCGCGTGGCTATCATCATCGGGGACGGTTACGACCCCGCCGCATTCTGGGGTATGAAAACCGCCATCAAGACCGCCGGCGCCTTGCCCTTTGTCATTGGCATGAAGCGCTCGCCGCTCTACGCGGACGGTGAATCACCCACGACCTCCAAGGGCGTCATCCCAGACCACCAATTCGACGGCCAACGCTCAACCATGTTCGACACAACCTTCATCCCCGGCGGCTCGCACATACCCGCTCTCCAGCGCAATGGCCAAATCCGCCACTGGATCGCAGAAACATTCGGGCATCTCAAAGCCCTAGGCGCCACAGGCGAAGCCGCAGACTTGGTCAGACACACGTTGGTCAACAGTAGTGGTGGCTCGCTTGATGTGAAAGCTGCGAGTCCCGAGCATCCTGAGCCTATAGAGTGGTATGGCGTTGTCACTGTGGGAGGGAGACAGACAAGGGGGAGCTTCGGGGAGAGCTTTAAGATTGTTCGTGAGGCGACGGATTTTGTGGGTAGGTTCTTTTATCAGATTGCGCAGCATCGGAATTATGATCGGGAGTTGGAGGGGTTGAGTTTGGAGGTTGCTTTTTAATAATACTTATAGACTGTAATGAGTGGGACGTAGGATGGAATTATGGTTGGTTGGTTACTTTGGAATAGAATTTGAATGTTCAAAATGAATTAATATCATTATCAGTTTATCGCTATCGCTATCGCTTTCGTAAACCCCATCAAAACAAATGGTCCAGAAATCCATATGTAGTACTCCCTCCGTTATCTCTCAGCCATAACTCCAGTAACAATGATGCCAATAACAATGATGGATGGTAGATGAAGGAAAGACGCTTTTGTACACAACGATAGTACATAGGGGTATAGAACCAAAAGACAGCAATTGAAGGCAGCGCAGTCAGACGTCTATAATGACGAAGGAAAAATGCAATGACAGTCAGTCGTAGTGGAACAACACAAATATAGTCAAGGTAAGGTAGTGTGACGCTTTAACGAGATGCGGTATTATCGTAGTAATCAAAAGTAAAGAAAATATAAATGTCGTAAAGAAGGGGTTAGGTGTGGCTTAAGCCCATTTCCAGTTGGTAGAGGTGTTTTGAGCGGCAGCGGGTGTGAGGAGAGTGTCACGCCTTTGCTTTCGCGAGAAGCGCTGTTTGTGCTGACGTTTTCTGTATTCGGTGTAGAGCAGGGCGACGGCGGCGTTGACGTCGATGCCCTCTCCGGTGTCGGTGATCTTCAATGCCCACTTTGCGTCTTTCTCCTGGAAGCCGAGCTCGTGGACCATCATGTCGATGGCTCGGTCAACAGGGTCGAGGACTTGGGGTGGGCAGATAGGCATGACTGGGGGGGCGACAAAGTATGGGTTGTGCAAAGGTGCCTGGTAAATCGGGGTGAGGTGAGATCCCTGCATTCGAGGCGTGGGCAATGGAGGGTATTTTTGCTGATGCGAACGACCGTCGAGGTTGTTCATGATCACGCTGTAGTTAGAAATGGGACGTTCATCAGAAAATGAAGTCGGTCCCGGGGGGCGTAACTGCAACTGCTGGGGACGCTGGTTTCGAATTTCATCAGCAAGAGCATTTTGTCTCTGGCGAAGCTCCGAGTCGTAGGAACTGGCGCTTGATCGAGAGCCCTGACTGGAGGAGGAACGGGACCACGAGCCGTAGTCTGAAAAGGCCGTTTGCTGCTGCTGAGGCAGCACAACTGCGTCGCGTTCTCTATAAGCCTTGGATAAAGCCTCTTTGAGGAACGAGGAGCGGCTAGTGCCTGGCTCACAAGGCTCCCACTTGGTCATTCCGACGGCTTGGGCCTTTTGGAAGACCTCTGAGGCGTTGACAATCGGGCAAATGGAGCTAAGGCACAAGGCTGCCGAGAGTCCAAGAGTAAGTGCATATGCAGTCCACTCCTCTGTTAAAAGTTAGCTTAACATTCCAATTGTCGATAGGGGGTAAGGGCAACTGACCTAATACTGACTCTTCTCTAGGGCTGTCGCCTTGTCTAATGTCGAAACCATCAAAGATTCCGACTCGCCGTGCCTCGGCATGCTTTTCATGAACTGGCTGGAGCAAGACACTCAAGCAGGTCCAGATTTCAGTCATATCATACAGCTGCTGCTGGGATAGACCGCCCGAGTTTCCCTTTCCAAAACCAGCAGGGGGCTCAAACAAAACATTGTTCATACCAAACGTTTCAGCGACGGAGACGATCGTCGAGTTCTGCGGGTTCATGGCCAAGACACCACCGTTCAACCAGTCGACTTGACCCATAATGTCATTTTCTCTACCCTTGGCGCAACCAAAAATTCGGCAGAAAGTCCAGATTCGCCAGAAAGCATCGTCGATTTCTGCAGCACGGTCAATGTCAAGACCGGCGAGACCGCGAATTGTATCCTGGCGAAGGAATGTATTGCAACGAGCGAGAATGAGCGACTTGAGTTGGGCCAGTGTGTAGATATCCTGAGCATATCGTCGGAGGTAGAGGGTGGGTGTGTATTCGGGAACTTGAGCATCGGGATCCAGCAGAACCTGCCACTCGCTGTTCCACGGAGGACTCATCTCGCGCAGTTCCCACGCGGGAGGAGACATTTTGAAGACGGTTTGTTTGATAAGGTATAGTTCCTTTTGCTTGAAGACTTTATAAAATTGTCTGTTAACAACAGCAAGGTTAAAAAGGTCATCCAGGGAATTAGCGCTTTCCAGAATCATGAGAACGACCTTTTCTGGCACATTCTTAGGCAAATAGCCCAAAGAGACGGGCCTCGTGGCACGAGCAGCACCAGCACCAGCAGGCGCAGTCACTGGAGGGCCAGCATCGAGCTCATATATCATACCAGGCAATTGGATAGGACCCATCTGGTAGGGTAAAGCGTATCTAGTCGATGCCCGTCTCGACGGTCTGCTGGTGGAAATGAAGATCTTTTCTTCAAAGACATTCTCGTGGTCCTTGGGCAATTTTTTGGATTCCGTAGAATTGCGCTGGTCTTTTTTGATTGTTTGTTCAGTGAAACCGGGAGAAGTTGGTTGCTCCGTCTTCTTTGTTTGTAGGCGAGGTAGTTTCTGTCGCATTTCCCTTTCACTTCCCCAAGATGATGGCCTCGGCATTGTTTCAGAGCCAGGGAGCTCGGCGATGGTATCATCGGCCTCCATTTCGCGGGAAACTTCCATAATGTCTTGGGGTTTGGACGCCTCGACATCTGCCAATGTCGAGCTCATAGAGCGGACGTGCTTATGATGGCGATCCTGCTTACGGGAGAAAAACGAAAAAGGCATTTTGGATGATTTTGACTTCTTGAATTGCTTCATGTCGTCAGCGCCCGACAGAAATTTCGAGGACGGAGGGCTTTTTTGTGGTCGCTGAGAAACAGGAGGTCGGGGTGCGGGCCGGGTCGCGATCATGTCTCCATTTCCTCTGCTGATCTGCAGAGGGGCATCCAGAACTCGGAAAGGCTGCTGCACGGAGATTTGAGCAAGAACGTCCTCGAGATCGTCGGCGGCCTGGGAGAATGTCCGATTATGGCGCTGCTTATTTCCTGGCGAACGTCTTGGAATTGCAATTGGCATTGTGTCAGAATCTTCAGAAGTCGATGAAGAAGAACGTCCGCGCAGCTGCAGAGGGGGTGGAGTCTTCTTCGGCCGCACGGTCAAAGGTGTCAGTTGAATAGGGGGTTCCAACGGCAGAGGCTTGTTTTTGACCTGAGCGATCGAAGGTTTCTTTTTTATCGTTTTTGACCTGGTCGGAGCATGTCGCACAGATGCGGAGTCGTCAAATACACCCGCAGCAACGGGGTTCGAGATTGAGAAGGCGTCAGCCGATTTATAACAGCCAGAATATTCGGACCCCAGACTAGTTAGGGATGACCTGCGACTATAACAGGATGAGGCAGAGTCCAGGGAATCGTCAGAGAACGACGAGTTAGACTGCGCAGACGATCCGGTGTTCGGCAGTGTTGAGTGAGACGAGGCATTGCGTTTGTGGCCTTCGAAGGAACTGGGCCCAATGGGGAAAAGAGCGGCGGGTGAGTCTTTGATGGCGGTGCTGATCGGCGATGTAACAGAAAAGTGGGTGGAGAGGTCGGACAGGGGGGAGATGATCGAATCACTGCCATCACGGCAATGTGGAGATTCACGGTGATTAAATGTCTTCATCATTTCTGCAAGACTGGGCTGGGATTTGGAGTGCGAGATGATCGGAATACTGTCTGTGCTTGGATTTCTTTTGACAGCAGCTAGGTCTGGAGACGACCAGCTGTAGTAGGAATCTATGATGCTGCTTTCCAGCGAGTCCCAGCTGGACGAGGGGCCAGAGGCCGAAGACACACTCATGCTGCACGTTGTAACTAGTGATGCTAGCTGCAGTAGGGTTGTAGTCAGATGTAAGACAGGCAATTGGAATGCTCGAGGTTTTCTAGATAGTAGAAAAGAGCATGATCTGCGACTATTTCTGGAATGATGCTTTGTCTGTTGCACTCGAGTCTAGATTAATTTTTTTTTTTTCGCTCTCTTTTTCAATTCTCGAATGAATCTGCAACAAAAGACAAAGAGATCTGGGAATTGAGAACAAAGTGGCGTAGAGCGACTCGGTCGGCTTTGTTGACAGGGAATGTGAATCCAAGGGGCGTAAGACAAAGGCGGGCACTGTTAGTGTGCGTTAGCTCGATAATTAATTAAAGACTCGAGTCGTGGTAGTACAAGGCATGAACCAGTGACTTACCAGGTGACTGATAGAAAGATTGAAGTCAAGATGGACAAAGAAAAAAAGATGATTTAGGTGAAAGAAGAGACGGAGAGGTGGGCGTTCGTAATCATAAGTAGGCCAGCTCGTGTAGAGACACGAGAGCTTAGTGTGAGCCCGGGAGCCGGATGAGAAGGGAGGAATGGATGATGGATTAGGGAAATAACCAGATTGAGTTGGGAAGATAATTAGCACCAAGGCTGAGGCCAAGGATAACCCGAGTGGAGGAAGGCGAAGCCATTGTTTAGCAGTAGAACGTGGTTAGTAGAGAGGATCGTGGAGTCAGACGAGTTGAAGAATGCGAGGGGCCAAAAATTGCCCGATTGGGTTAGCCTGGAAGGTATACACAGTCATCTAACTACACAGTCATACAGACAATACATACTACGTTTCAACAATATAAACAATATAGAATATGTTGATATTGATATTCATATTGATTTTCACATTGATATTGACATCTAAATTTATTCTACATCGACATCGACATAAAATGTATACAGATTGTAGATGTGATGATATTTTTACACGATCGACAACTCCGCCACACACACATGTCTTGTTCTTCCTTCTGCAGCTTTTTGTCCCCCATTGTGGATTCGATACGAATTCTTCTTCGTCTTCCCCATATATCCCAAACCAGAACTTGCTTTTGATTCATCTCACTGCCTCGATCCACCCAAAGCTTATGCTTTTCTCCCGCTGATTCATCCCAATTCACCGTATAACTCAGATACTTGAAACAAAAACACAGTGTCCCAGAGTGTTCCAGAGTCCTGTTCCAGAGATCTCCATCGCAGCTAACCACTCACGCTAAAACAGCTATCTTCATCTTCCCTCACTGCCTTCAACTGCTTGGGGGCGGAATCATGCTTGGGGGCTGAACGTGCCGTTTCTTCTATCTATACTATGTACTATTGCTGTTTCCGTTGGCTCTAGATGATGTATACGATCGACAACTCTCCTTTTTTTACCTCTGTCGTGATTTGGGTCATGAGCCTTTCAGAGTGCCTTGACTTGTCCGTTTCTGGTAGTGAAGTACATCGCTTGTTGATCTTGTTGGTTCTGTTGGTTTGTATGCGTATACATAACCGGTTTGGGAATCACATCATGCTTCGTGTCCTATTGGCTTATTATGCTTAGGATTATGCAGAATCACAAATAATTTGTGTTTTATGTTGTAAATTAACACACAATATCCTAGCCGGGCAACTGTAGATCCTGCAATCCTCCATCCATCAATCAGGGATTCATGAAGTGATCCGAGTCATCCTACAGAGCATGAGATCATAACTAAAACAATAGCTGTCTCCAATGCCCAAGTCAGACGAGCTATCCACCTGCAATGCAGTCAGAATACTGTCAGCACTTAAAATCTCTATTCCGTCAAGTCAGAATCGTCAGATTCTCTGCTTATACGGAGCACGGAGTCCGGCCTAACTAATATATATATTTGCCTCCCTCGTCTGTGTAACAAACTGAGTCGAGAGCTTTACGCTCAATGGCCCCCATAGTATAGCTCGATATATATTCAACCCGACATCAACGACAGATAAACCGCCCAAACAACACCAAACAAACTATTCACCAACAATCGTTTATCAACGGGAATCACTGTAAAGTTCAACACCGACACAAATGGCCATAGCTTAAAACCCGCCATCATGATCGGCCAAAAATCCTATACAGTCAGATCAGCTCACTCTTCCTTTAATTTAAGGTGGCAAGTGGCAACTCTTGACAGGAGCTCTTGAAACAGGAGGAGCTTCTCATATAATATCGTAGGAGCCTGAAAGCTGAAACTCACATTCTGAATCTGCGACATAATCATCTCATAATCCAATCCTCGGAGCGTCCCGATGGTCATGATGAACAGGACGGTATTCCACGCGCCTCCGACCGTCTGATCAATCGCCACTTTGGCCACTGTATTGCTTACGTTCAGTTTCGGTTGCCCCTCATCTTTTTCTGTTTTGGTCTTTGTGCTGAAACCCGGGAATGATGATTCCAGGCCCTCCAGCCACAAAAAGCTCAAGGGTGACAGGATGAATGCACACGTGGTGAATTGGAATAATGTCTGAACGTCTAGCTCAAACGGAATCTATTTCTGTCAGCCTTCCTTCATTATGACATTCTCATGTGTAGATACCTCGTCCCGGTACGCTTTAATTCCTTGCGCCAAAACATTGGACCCCGCGTTGATCACCGCCGCCTGCAGAGTCGCTTTGGCAATGGGAGGGACAGACATGGCCACAATAATGGGTCTGAAGATATCCGTGGAGAACAATAATTGGTCCCAGGAAAGACAGATCGGATAGAGTATCGTCAAGCCTTCGTTAGGTTCTTCAAGGCTGAAACTGAAAAAGGCTGAGTCCAAAGTGTGAAGCTAGTTTGTTGACAGTTGGCTAAAAATACTCGTTTGTGGGTCTGCGGATACGAAGAGCGGAGCTTGACCTTGGGGGCCCAGAGTAAGGAGAGGAAGACGGGAGAGTTGTAGAACGATGAAGTTAAGAATAGATTTAGATTGAGTGATTGAGTTGATCATGGGATGGTCTGGAATGTATTGTGACAGTCTGAAGCAAGGGTTTGGATCGAATATCCTTGGAATTACCACGCAAGATTTTGATTCGCAGATTGACAATCGAGTTCCTTGCAGACTGACAAAATTAGCATCTCCTCTGATAAAGATAGAGTAGAATACGAACTCTGGTCGGCTTGCTGAAATATCCGGCTTTCTCTGGGCTGTACTTTGGCTGGATATATTTCTGTCCCTTGAATTCGTTCGAGTTTGGCGTGTGCTTTTATATGCTCGAGTAGACGATTCGAGATATCTGCCGGATCAACACTGCACCTAGTTGAATAGACGAAACATACCTCCATCGGTGCTAAATGATCCTCCTAGATCGAATCCTTCCAATTCCTGGATTTTCTTCTTTACCAAGTCGATCAGTGTTTCAGATATGAATCGAGCGTCAGGATGCTTGGTATCCCCACAAAACAAATCGTAGCGGACTGTCATGATTTTTTCAGACACTGGAACAAAACTCAGCGTAAACCTGTACTCGGTATCTTTAATCGTGTATATCACAGTATTCGGGAAAAGAAACATATTGTCTGAGACTTTTCCTTTGAATAGTCCCTTCAACTTGGTCGTCTAGGTATTCATCGCTTCGAGCTCCATCGTATCGAATCGGTTCATCACTATACCCTGTTAGACAATCCACGAGAACAGAGAAGAAGAATTCGCATCCCAGTTTCCAGTTAAAAGACCCTCCAGAATTTCTCCAGCAACCCAACCAGACTGAATGAGTCCATTCTTGTGTGTAAACAAATTCAGAAGCCAAACTCCAGGCCCTGCAACCGCAGACCTCGCATCCAGATTCACAAAAACCAATCCACATCTAGCCGTAAACGTATGAATCTCAAACAACCCGTTCTGAGTCTTATCAAATCTATAGAATCTATCAAAATGCGGGGCCTTAATCAGCTGCCCGTATGTGTTGTACCTCCATCTGTGATATCGACATCCGAGAACAGTCGACGGCCCGCGCTCTTTCGTGGTGATGGTGTATGCGCGATGACGACAGACGTTGTGAAATGCTCTGATTTTGTTGTCTTTGTCTAAAACGAGGAAGATGGGAAAGCCAGATATTGTGGTCGAGATGTAGTCGCCGGGTTTTGTGAATTGGGTGCGGTGGGAGAAGGGGAGCTAGGTCTGATGCTTGTGAGATGTTGCCTTTTCTCGAGGGGAAGGGCGGTCAATTATATACATTACTGAAGATGGATCGTTTTTCCAGGCGAAGATATTCTTCCCTGTGAACCAATCTGGGGGAAAGTCGGATTCTTTTGATACTGTCGATGATTCTGTCTTTTGGTTTGGTGGTGCAATATTTGTTGGTTTTTTCTTTAGTCCATTGTAGATCAGAGGATGTAACCAAACTCGAAGAAAACCATGCAAACCAGTAGCACAACGAGGGCTGGAATGAATGCTTCTGAGATGGTATTCAAGGACTCCATCTTGCAAGACTTTGGTCTCTAGACTTCCTTTCCAGATTGCCCAATGTCCAAGTTATAAGAAATGGTGTACGACATACGGAGTAGACAGATATGAATAACAGCAAGATGACAACCTAGCTGCAGATGAGCATCACACAGTCTTCAGACACCAGCAGTTGCGTTGCTTATGTTTACCGGATCTGGGTTTATTTTCCAGCATCCTAGCACTACATATGCAATTGACATACCCAATAGTAAACTGGTTTGTGACACAAGTAACAAATTTGAATTTCTGTGCATGTTGCAAAGTGTACAGACTAGGCCAGGCCGGTTATGTAGCAGCTTGAGCTTCTCTACATATCGTCTGGTCCTCCAATCCAGACGTCTTGCAGACTTTCTCCATCTTTTCTGCGCTGTACTGGTGACACACGAGTTCAAAGACTCAGCTCTGATAGACTGCTCGTTTATCAGTAGCTGAATAGATCCATATATTGTGACACTCACAGGAGACGCCGTTCTCTTTCTCTGGGTTCAAAATACCCTCACTATACACCCCCTTTACAAGATTCTCCTGAGCCTTCTCGCAAAGCTCATAATCCTCGATTGCAACCTGGCGGACAAATTTAAAGTAGACTTCGAATTTATCCCCAGCTTCAATATGGTAGTAATCGAATTCCATCCTGGTTACATTTGGATCTGCAGTCGGGCAGACTCGGAAAGATGACATGCCTCCTCCATATACGTTTAAAGTGCAGTTCGGGAAGAAGTAGAGAAATAGGCCATCGTCTCGTTTTGTAGGATCTGAGACGTGCTGTGATATGTTGGTGTAGTTGTAGACGGTGTGGAATGTTGGTGGATAGGGGAGGGAGAAGGAGGGGTGTGTGTATTGACAATGCAGGCATTCTTGATACCCATCCACCCTAGATATTCTAGATCAGAAAAACCACCAAAATAAACGAAAGACAGGCTTACATGGTCTTCCAGTTGAAGCGTCCTTCATATTTGATTGTCCGTCGATAGGGAAGCTTGGTGAAATCTACCCCCTGCACGAGGGCCTCGAGATTGGGGAATTACTCGTGGAAACTCGGGGCTTCCTTGAACAAGGTGGTGAAAACCAGTCCAGTGGTGACATGGCTGCGCAGTATCTCCTCCTACATGGATAAGCAGTTGTTTCTCTCTTGTGTCCATGTTGAGTTGGTGTACAGTCTCTGTGTCGACAACCTGGATATCCCCGGGACCAGGAAAAGGTGTATCGCCAGTCACTCGTGAGTCAGAAATTGTCTGCTGTGCGATTTAATATTCGACCTTTTCTCCAGTGACTTGGAATTTTTGTCACAGTGCCGAGGTAATACCAGGACTGTCAATGTGAGCGTCTGTCCTGTCTGGCCTGGCGTGGAAGAAAATGAGATACCTTGCGAAAGACGGCTCTTCGCCTGAGCTGGTAGAGAGGTAGACTTCAATACCACGATGCTGGAAGTGTACGGGCGAGTTCAGACATTTTGATCTGAGTCAGTTGAAGAGAAGAATGAAGAGCAAAAAGGATTCATTGTTTGTTTTATCTTTTGTGATGAATTGATGCATGCTAAGCTGTACCTAAGACAGGGCAGGATAGGTTGGACAGGTGCAACATTTCCTGAAGAGGACATCAAGTCCTGTATTCAAGCAGTGGTACCCAGTATTTATTTAATACTGATCAGAATATGTTTGTAGATATTTGATGAGCGGGTGGTTAAGTACGGAGTAGATATCCAGAAAATATGCTCTGCGTGCTATAAATAGTGAGAAAGACGATGCTTTCATCTTGGCCATATTGAAACAGAGAGCCTCTTTATACTATCCAATTCTAATAAAAAGCATTAATTCAAATGAAAATAAATTATAAAAAGACAAAGATAATATTGTTCTATATTCCAAATGATTCATCTTTTGCTGCTGCCTGGTCATCGTTCAGTGGCGATGTTATCCAAAACAACAAAAATTTCATTTCGAACCCTCACTTCTTTGCAAAACCCGCCAAAGAAAAAAAAAAAAAAGAACAACATCAAGAAGCATCGCAATCTTCCATCTTTGTTGCGTTGAATTAAAAGCGATCAGCAGGTAGAATCAGGCGCCCCACGATTACGTCGTGACGTCCTCGGCCTGTTCTTGCACCACCGACCGATCTTCTCTCTCCACATCGACTGTCGTTGGCAAAAACGCAACGACAAGGGAATCCGAAGCCAATAATAGAATCGCATTATGAAGAACTCTTCCTACTAACATAATTTTTAACCTCGTCTTCCATCACCAAGCATGGCTGGCTCTGGAGTCAAGTACACCCCTCCTCCCTCGCCGCCTTCGCCGACGGCGTCTTTCTACGACGTCAGTGACGACGAGGAGGACGAGTACAATACCATCGCCCATGCTGCTTCGGGCAGAGGGGTGAAGCTGCTGTTTTCAAAAAGCAAGGTTGTTACCTATCCCCGATTTGCTTATCTTCTGGATTGATGCTCATTCTATCGCTATTCTAGGTCTACGTTCATCCGACCCCCTCATCGAAAGATAACATCCCCGGTTTCATTGCCTTGATCCAGCAAAAGCCTTCCCCTCCCTCGAACAGCTATGCGGCGTCCATAAATCCTCCCAGAAATTCTGATGCTTCATCTTACCTCCTCGCCTGGGTTCCGGAATCCTCCCTTGGCGATGCCTTCAGCACTTACGTCAAAGTCGATCTTTCAGATGATTCTCATCTGCGCCAGCGATACCTGGTGCCACCCCTTCCCACCACTACCTCATATAAAGACCCGATAGGGCGCTATGCCTTTGCCGTACCCCTGTCGGAGGTCTATTCGTTGCTTGTGCGACCTCCAAGCCTGGGGTGGTGGTATGGAAGCTTGGTGATCAACACGCGATCGGGTGATAACTTCCCAGCTCTCTTTTTCCACGATAGTGAATGTGAATCGACCATACTTCAGAAGAAGAAGAGGACAAAGGAAAGCTTCGATCCGTTTAGCGACGATGGAAGCATGTTCTGGGGTGGCGACGAGGTGCTTAGGTGGCTTCGGAAATACACGGATGTGCAGCGCTCCGCTGTTGATAAAAGTGTATATCTCGTCAACGCATCCGAGGAAGACCGATTGGCATTTGGACGGCCTCTGAGTGCAGATGGCGCAGCGGTAGCTGAACCCCAGGAGGCCGAGTCCAGCGCAAATGGACAACGAGACGCTGGAATGGACCCCTTTACAAAAGCCATTAAAGAGACTCGGTGGAAGGTGCTTGAACAGCTTAGCAAGATAACGACCTTTACCAGACGGACCGCAAATGACATTGCCGATAACCCCCGGGTACCCCCACAAGTCCGTCGACTGATGAAGGTCCCGGAGATTCAGACGCTGCAGGACGAGTTTGATAGTGCTAGGTTGTACCTGGCACGGTGGGCTATGAGCATTGCCGAACAAAGCGAGCGAGAGAGAAATCAGCGGATATGGACTGCGCGGGATGTTCTTGAGATGGAGGATAGCTCCGTGGGAGAATTTGAAATTCTCGACTTGGAGACGGGAACCATGTCCATCCAAGACCGTCGCAATATCGTTACCCTAAAAGAGTGGGAGGGATTCTTTGATCCCACGAGTGGACGGTTACAACTCACTGTGGATGAAGTGAAAGAGCGGATATTCCATGGAGGTCTTGATCCAAATGATGGTGTCAGAAAAGAAGCGTGGCTCTTCTTGCTTGGGGTGTATCCCTGGGACAGTGGCCGTGATGAGCGACAAGCCTTGATGAATTCTAAACGCGATGAATATATCCGACTTAAAGGTGCTTGGTGGGAGAGAATGGTTGAAGGTAGTTCAACGGCCGAGGAGTTTGATTACTGGAAGGAGCAAAGAAACAGAATCGGTAGGTCTTCTATAGATTGTTTTGTCTCTGGTATTAACTACCTGGCTTGTAGAAAAGGATGTCCACCGGACAGATCGCACGATCCCTCTGTTTGCAGGGGAAGACATCCCTCATCCAGATCCAGACTCTCCATTCGTGGATGTAGGCACAAACGTTCATCTTGAACAGATGAAAGATATGCTCCTCACATACAACGAACACAACCCGGATTTGGGCTATGTCCAAGGAATGAGTGACCTTTTAGCACCTCTCTATGCAGTCATGCAGGATGACGCAGTCGCTTTCTGGGCTTTTGTCGGATTCATGAATAGAATGGTAAGATATCCTGAATCTCTCGCCCAACATCCCTTTCTAATATGTCAATAGGAGCCAAACTTCCTTCGTGACCAATCTGGAATGCGCAAACAGCTTCTCACCCTCGACCATCTCGTGCAGCTCATGGACCCTCAGCTCTATCTGCATCTTCAGTCTGCTGATAGTACCAACTTTTTCTTCTTTTTCCGAATGCTTCTAGTCTGGTACAAGCGTGAGTTCGAATGGGTCGATGTTTTGCGTCTTTGGGAAACACTCTGGACAGACTATCTGTCCAGCAGCTTCCATCTATTCATCGCTCTTGCAATCCTCGAAAAACACCGCGATGTAATAATGGATCATCTGAAAGCATTCGACGAAGTCTTGAAATATAGTGAGTGACTACGCCCATGGCACGCGTTATTGCTTATACTAATGAACCCAGTCAACGAACTCTCAAACACCATGGACCTCATCCCTATCCTAACCCGCGCAGAGTCCCTCTTCCGACGCTTCGAAAGAACCGTCCAAGCCATCGATAAAAAGAACAACTTCCCAGCACCTCCAACCCATCAACGAAAACCCACCCAGGATCCTTCTGGCGCAATCAAAGGTAAAACACCCCAAAAGCCACAATCCACCGGCTCTAGCAGCAGCGTCAGCGTCGGCAATCCCGCCTCTAATAACAATAACTCCGAGCCAAAGGTCATTTCCTCGGAACTTAGAGAACTCCTGTGCAAGAACATTGCCCAGAAACAGGAGTCAAGTAACGAATTGACATGAATTGATGGTGATAGATAAATCGTCTTTTTCTTAAATTTCAGCTGAGATTTGCTTGTTGTGTTCTTTCTTCTTTTTCCATTCGCTCATTTTATCGGATCTCTTATTGAGTCTCTCGCTACATTGGAAATATTGTCTCTGGTTCGGGTTGAAGGAGGGCCTGGTTGGCGTTTTTTGTTATTTCTCCTGGTAATCATTGCTTTTGATTCTTACGTGGATAACCCAATGCAATAAATGGAAATTTTTGATATTCAACTGTGCTTATACATTGTAAGCTTACTTGAAAACAACCCAAAATCTGACAACTCCTTGATTCAAGTACTTTTTTTCAAATACATTGACAATTGTGAGAAAAGACCAAGGAATGACACAGAACCAAAAACCTGCCCGCCCACCTGAAACCGAGGGTATCTGCAAAAGGTAATTGGAGAGAAAAAAGATGATGGGGAAAAATAGGGTACAACCATGGACCCATGCAAAATATGTTTCAATAAAAGAAGAAGAATGCCCGCTAAATGCACCTGGTATAAATGAAACAGAAAAAAGAAATGCCGGATGCGGTTCGCTTAAACCAAAGACAATCAGACAGATGACAAGACTCAAGACACATGCTCCCCATCCATATGCCAATAAATTTGAATATTCGCCTTGAATAAAAGCCAAGAGCTCCATGGCAACAACGCCAGTACTGCTAAAAACCAGGAAGGAGATGAAAAGGGAAAATTAAAAGGAAGGGATAGTAGGTTTGATGAGATTAGGTGATTCTATTGCCCAGTCCACGCAAAGCAACGCGCTTGCTGGTGCCAGCCGACCCCATGTCGCTGACACTTCTGGATTTGGGCAAAGATGAAATTTTGGGTAAGGGAGGAGCGGTGTCCCGCTCTGGGGGAGGAATGTGGAATTTGGATGTCTTCATAGAGGCACTTCTCCGTGCCTGGCCAAGAACGTCTTCGACCCAAGCCTCACTTTCGGGGCTAATAGCCACATGTCTTGACCGCGGCCCTGCTAAGCCAAGGGGAGCTGAGCGAGCGCTACCTGCAGCAATGGTTGTGGCGGGGGAATGCGCAGATGACCCATTATGGACCTCGCTCGCAAGTGATGTACCACCAAAGGAATTGTTAGAGGACATGGAAAGTCGTCGGGAGGAGGCGGACATTGACGAAAAAGATATGTTCAACATCTCACCAGCACTCGCCGCTCTCGTAGCTCTAAAGTCTGTAATGTCCGAAACGTTTGATGAACGCCTTGTCTTACGGACAGCAAGAGACGAAGAAGGCCGGTTACCAAGAACAGATTGGGGTCGAGACGGTGTGGTTCTTCCATTATTGGGAGTTGGTGCCAGCATGTTCCCGGGTGAGTACCCCGGAGAAACACGGGGCGAGAGGCCCTGAACCTCGACGCGAGGAGTTTCCGCCACACTGCGGCGCCCATGATGGATGGCATATTCTCTGAGATATTCACCCAAGTCTGCCCATCCGCCGCCAACTCGAACCATAACACGTTCCCCGTTTTCTCCCACAGTTCGAACAAAGAGCTTTGTGGCGGGAGCCTTCCCACCGCGATGTAAATGGTAAAGCTTCACAGAGCTTTCCTCAGGCGCATGGGAATGTCTCCGACGAGAAACAGCAGGTGTCAGAGTCATAGATGGGGCTGGTGTGCCGCAGCGTGACGGTGATCCCTGAGGGGATTCTGAACGGAATCTCTCGTGTGTCTTCTGCGGAACAGAAGCCACGGAGGCCCCATCAATGTCACGATTTGCGGACGACACTAGTTGAATCCGAGTCGGGAGCGTTGTAAGAATAGAGCTAATCTTCTCATCAAGGTGGTCTTTCGGCTTTCTGGGCTGTTTACTTGGCTGTTTGTTTGGCGTAGATGATCGAGACCCAGTTGGGGTTGGCGCAGCACTTGAACCGCGCAAAGACCCCTCCTTCTTATGTGAACCAGATTTAGATGATACTAGACTCTCAACGCTCGAGTTTGCCGCTAACTGCTTCCTCAAGCGAGTGGTAGCTGCGTGGGCGACAGGCCGTTCTTGACGAAGGGCTTGCTGAGGCAATTTCTGCGACAGGCGACTCTTGTTCTGCTCTCGAATTTTGGGAAGCTTCAAGCCAGGGCTGGGGGCCGATTTGCGACTTTCTTCATGGGAATGCTGAACGCGTTGGCCTGCGGGACGTCGGATACTACTGGTAGGCGTGGAGGATTTCCCTTTATGTGACAGCGGTGTGCCATGTTGCTCGCTATGGGACTGCAGATCGGCAGACACAACAGAAGCTCTCCTGCCGGTGGTCGAATTATCCAGACCAAGACCCGTCTCTCCTTCATAATTCAAGTCAAGCCTTTCGTTGATAAAGCGCTGCAGGGGCAGGCTGACTGTCCGGTTATGCTTGAGTAATGTGTTCGGGGAGGGCTTCTGATCATCAAGTCGAAGTAAGCGGTCTTCTCGCAGGGTGTGGTCGCCGTGGGAGGGGGTAAGACCGGAATGAGGGTACTCGGCGTGGAAATGCGGCGGTGTGTCGAACAGTAGAGGGGTTCCATTCGATGAGGCAGTCCTAGGCTCCCGCATCTCGGGACTAGACACGAGTGATGTATAGTCAGAGAGAGAATCTGCGGAATCGTTTGACTGACGTCGACGTCTCGACTTTTTGCTGTCTTTGTCCAAACTTAGGCGGCCTGGTCGAGCCTTGGAAAGTTTAATTGGACTCTCCAAAGGTTGTTTCGAGGGTGGAGACCCATTTGACACGTCCTCCTTTGAGGGCTCTTGAGTTGCTGGTTGCTGATTCGTAGATGGGATCGAGGGCTTCGAAGGTTCCGGTGACGCACTGCGAGATCTAGCAGATTGCGATGGCTCGCGGGTGACTGACACCATGGAGGCAGGCACTTCAGTAGTGGCAGCCTCACCGATTATGCTTGCAAGAGTTGCAGACTCGTCCTCAGCTGTGGGAATACGCTGCAATTCAGGGCCGTCAAAAACCGAGCCAGAATTGCCCTGAGGCAAGGAGATACCCGAGGGTTCAACCTTAACCAGGGGAGGCGCATTGTCCTTAGAACGAGGTAGATCGTCGACAGGATCAGGCACACTGGGAGATTGCGCTGTATCAACTAGGGTCCCTGTCTGCAAATTTGATTCGATCAAGGACTGCGAGACATCCTCAGACGACACACTGCCGAAGGGCTTGTCAGACTCAGATGGCTCTTCAGCGACAGAATCTTCATTTCGCAGAGTAGAAGGCAAGTCCAGACAAGGTTTGCCTTTAGCCTCAGAGTCAGTCAGGACTGGTGGTTTTTCTGACTGAGCATCTGTAGATGATGGAGCTGCAGTTTCTGTTTGCAAACCAGCGGAAGACAACTCCTTGTCTTGAGAGGCACAAGCAGGTTCTTCGACATCTGCCACTACAGGCACAAGGGCTTCCTGTGAAGAAGTCTTATCATTAAGAGTAGTCACGGCATCTGCTACAGTCGTGGTTGTGTTTCCCGGGATTTCGGCCACCTTTGGTGTAGTATGTGCTTCCTCTGGTCGCGCATTCGACGGCGTGTGGAGCGAGTTTTCCATCGCATGGTCGCCTTTAGTGGGGGTAGACGTAACCTGGGACTCGAGCGTTGGATGATCTGCTGTAGGAGCAATGGCTGCACTCGATTCATCTGTAGATTCTGCGTTAGAGGCGGACTCGGAAGCAACACTGGACTCTTCATTGATAGTCTCCATCAATGGTGAGCGTCCTTGATGTCTGACTGGATCAGGTGCGCTGACAACGGGCTCTTCTGTGCGGCGTGGTATGTCGGGTAGTCGGTTGGTTTCCTCAGGCTGAGGCGATGCTTTTTGGCGCATCCATTCGTTTTGAAATGCGCGGCGTTCAGCTTCTACCACCCATGTGCCAAAGTCAGATTCAATCGCTTCCAAATCGTCAATCCAGTTTTCGGGTAAAGAGTCCTCCCAGCCCTCCAACGCATCGAGAATATTGTCCATCCGCCTGCCGACAGAAACAACCATCGTCTGAAGTTCGACATGTTTGGCATGGAAATGAGATTTGGAATACAGAGCATCGTCTTTGTTCGGTGGACCGGCAGCCCGCAATGAGCTCATGGAGGAATCTAATGCAGATCTGGTCAACTGCAGGCCTCTTAACAGACCCGGTATTTGGCGAAGAACAAGTAACCGGACGTCCCAGGTAGAAAGAAGACTGTTCAATCGAGATAGGAAGGGAAGGGCTCGTAGGATAGTGGCAGTAATGACGGCGGTGAAATCGCTAAGCTGAACATAGCTGAGGGGAGGAGGCACGGACATGGTGCTGTTGGATGACGAAGGCCGAGACCGCGAAGGAATGTGGGCATTCAGAACGTGTTCTTTCAACTCCTCCACATCCAAGTTATCCATCCCATCCCTAATTTCCTCGATCCGCTTCTCATTTCGCATGACCACGTCCGCAGGAAGACTGCCATAATATTCCACGCTGGCGACATTGTTGGAAGGCGGGATGAAGCCTTTTCCCAGGTGAACATCCGTCCGCTTTGGCCAGGTCCATGACTGAACCTCCTTATACCACAAGCTTAATTTCTGCGCCGCGACAGCCGCTCGAATTGCAAGCGCCCGCTCTGCGGGGGAGACCTGAGAGATGCTTTTGCAGAGGATATCGTGGGCGGCCTTTTCGTTTTTCGGTACAGCATCTGTCGAGGAAAGGGCCTGGAGGGTGGACTCGGGGGATAAATTGCTTAATAAAGGGTCAATGTCTTGGTAGGAAGGTGGTGGGTTTCGAACTGGAGACCGGTCGGACCGGCCAGAGCGGGCAGCAGGACGAAGGGGGCTGATCCGATTACTCGCCATCTCGGAGGACAAAGAACGTGCTGAAACCTCCCGAGGACAAGATCAGAGAAAACCGGGTAGAAGATGAGGAGAATCAATCTTTTTCTGGTCGTTTAAGAGAGGTCGGGTTGTGATATCAGTAGGGAAAGAGGAGTGAATCTGAAGAGCGAGCATGCTGAGACGCGTTCGTCGATTAATGGCAGTTGGTCAAGTGAGGCCGGAGGATCTGAGAACAAAAGATACGGAAGGGTGAAAAATACAGAGGATGGCCTCGGGATGACGATGCGAGAAAGAAAAGAAAGAAATCCAGCGAGAAAAAAGTAAAAAGAGGGAAAAGAGCGAGAGAGAATGTGATGGATGATCGGTCACAGCTGAGCTGAGAGCTGAAAAAGGGCTGGGCCAGTTGGGTTGTGGCTGCAGCAGACAGACAGACAGGAAAACGAGTGTGGGATGAGACAAGAGGGGGAGAACCAGCTCTGGTCTTGTCAATCGGAGATCTGCCTGTCTTTGGTCGCCGGATTGAGGCGAATAAGCGATGAATATCTGCAAGGTTGAGTTGGTGATATGCAACCAGATGAATGGAGGAGATGTCGAGAGGAGAGAGACGCAAATCGGGGATCGACGGCAAAAGCGACGCGGTTTAGCAGTGGAGCATCGCGGCGCTTGCGTACATAAAGGGGCACACGTTGGTCCTCTTCTATTCATATGGAGTACTATTATTATAGTGATGATATTAATATCTACGGAATTATTTTATCTTAGGATCATCTCAGGGCATATCTCTTGTTGTTGACAGTGTCGGATGATGTATCCACTGTCCCACGTCTGGCTGGCAGGAAATCCTGTCCGACATGCAGCCCCAGCATATGATTTCCATCACAATCATTGCAATATCACCCCTTTTTGCTGCATCTTTGCTCGAATGTTTTACATGATAGGACAATTTTCCAATGCTGCCATGATGCTGTCATGATGGCATGATGGCGTTGGTCGATGCATTGCTCTCCACACTCAGCCCTCAGCTTCAGACCAGGTCATCATGATCTCAATCGAGGAGCTCTCACCAACAAATCTTCTGCAATTAATAATAATGTGGCGCGTTCTTCGATAGGGCTCGGTCTAGTCCATTTCCCTTGCATACAGATGCGATCAGTTGCGAAGATCAACTGCTGCGACTCCACCTTTGTGTTGTTACGGTATATCCACTTCTCTCTCTCAGCTACCATGGAAGACGGTCTACGATATCGACCAGACATTCTTCGCGATGTTCCTCCAGACCTTGTCACCACCTTGAAAGAACTCGATGATACTCTGGCGATCGATCGACCTCAGCTCAAGCGAATCACCGCCCATTTCGTGGATGAGCTCGCCAAAGGTCTCACGGTGGAGGGTGGTGATATTGTAGGCTTCACTCGACCCTACTTGGCAATGAATAGAAAATAACAAAAGCTAACCGGGCATGATTTACTGCTACTACTACTACTACTAGCCCATGAATGTGACCTGGGTTATGGGATACCCCACCGGCAACGAGCAAGGGCGCTTTTTGACTCTCGACATGGGAGGGACCAACCTACGCGTCTGCGAGGTGTGCCTCTCCAAAGAGGAACGCGAGTTCGAACTCACCCAGAGCAAATACAAACTACCGGCGCATATCAAGTCTGCTTCGCAGGAGGAACTGTGGGACTTTGTTGCAGAGTGTCTGCGACTCTTTCTCCACGAACATCATGGCGGAGATCAGTCGGCTAATCTTCCCCTGGCCTTCACCTTTTCTTACCCCGTCACGCAGTTGGGAATCAGAAGTGGCATCCTGCAGCGCTGGACCAAGGATTTCAATGTGCCTGGCGTAGAAGGCCATGATGTAATTCCCCAGCTGGAGGCTGCATTTAAACGGAAGGTTTGTTTGGCACCTGTCTTTCCTCTTTTTTTTTTTTTTTTTTTTTTCTTTTCTTTTTTTCCTGTGGCTTTTCTCATGGCTTCGTTTGGATAGCAACTGTCGGTCAAGGTCGTGGCACTGGCCAACGACACAACGGGAACCCTCATGTCAACCAAGTACCGGAACTCTCGGATCAAGATCGGCAGTATATTCAGCACGGGCTGCAATGCGGCCTATATGGAGGAGTGTCGCGCAGTTCCCAAAATCCAAGATAAGGGGCTCCCCCCTGACGCGCTGGTCGCGATCAACACTGAATACGGAGCCTTTGATAACAAGCGGCGAATTCTACCACGTACGCGTTTTGATGAAGATATTGACAGGATGTCCGCGCGCCCGAACCAGCAGCTGTACGAGAAGATGGTGGCTGGTCTATACATGGGCGAGCTCATCCGACTGATATTGCTCGAACTACATTATACAAACCGGCTCTTCGCGGGACAGGACATCACGCGGCTGCAGCAACGCAATGTCGTGGATTCGTCCTTCCTGTCGATCGTGGAAGAAGACACTTCCGAGTCACTGATAGACATCCGTAAACTGATCCGCGAGAAACTGGACCTGGAGCCTTTGCCTCATGAGCTGAGGGTCTGTCGATATCTGGTTGAATTGATCGGGACTCGTGCTGCCCGTCTCTATGTTTGTGGCATTGCTGCTATTTGCAAGAAACGAAAGATCCAGGACTGCCATGTTGGGGTTGATGGCACCGTGTTTAACCAATACACTCACTTCCGGAAACGTGCTGCACAGGCGCTTCGGGATATTCTTGACTGGCCTGAGGATCGCGAGGACCTGATTACGTTCTATTGTTCCGAGGATGGATCGGGGGTTGGGGCGGCATTGATCGCAGCGTTGGCTTTGGAAAGATCAGATAACACAGAATGAAAAAGACCAAGAATAATACAACTGGTAGAATCCCGATAGACGAGCCTGTATACATTTTGTTTTTTCCAAAATAAGAGGGCAAATCAACTCCATACACATCTCGTTGACGTAGAGGAGCGCCAGCAAAACAAAAGCAGCAGAGGTAGAGCGGCCCTTCTCCACTTCTGCCTTTGCTCGCCTCCTTGCAGATCCAGATCGACACCGACCGCAGCTCAGTTGATGATACCCTGATATTGGATTTTCCATCCAGGTTGACTATTGAACCTATATTTGTCATTGCTGAACGCAATATGCCATCGTCAAGATGCGTTTTCGCAGTCAATTAACCAACATTGTCACGTTTACCAGTAGGTGCTGCCTTACATTTCAGGTCATGTCTCCAACAGCGAGGAGTCAAAGACAGCCTGGAACAAACAGAGACATGACTATACAAGACTGATTAAACTAACCACAACCCCATGGATAGAACTCACAGCCTCCCTCTCATCCCTGGGAAAGGTCTGTTGGATGCGTCTTGAGGATGGCGTCGTCCGCTTTACCATCATCCCCGACCAGGGCACTCAAGTGTGGGCGCAATTACCAGTCGTATGTCTCAATCCATCATCAAAGCCCATCAAAAGCCATTTATATTAAACAAGAAAAAATAGGAATCCATCTTCGAGGAAACCTCATACACCCTTCAGTCCAACTCGGGCGTCATCAACCTTGAAGTCCCCGTCGGCGCTCTCCATCGCGCCCTCCGCTCCGCCATCGGCGCGTCCTCCGCCCATCTCCGTCTAACAAAGAAAGGCAACGTCCCTCTCCTAGCGCTAACCGTGCATTCATCGTCCTGGACGACGGGGAAAAATGCCATCGGCATCTCCCAGTCAGACCAGGCCCCCGCTATCCACGACGATGGCGATGATGATGACGCCGCCGTCTTACCTAGAACTGCTAACGGTCCGCGCGAACGCGAAACCATGATCACCCAGGAAGTCCCCGTAAAGGTGCTTCATGAGTCAGGTGTAGAGGGCCTCCACGAGCCACGCTGCCGTGACCCAGACGTGCATATAATCCTACCCAGTTTGATTCAGCTGAAGTGTATTTCGGAGCGGTTTACCAAGCTGGCCTCGGGTGAGAAAGCAGCTGGGGCTGCGGCGTCTGCGACGGGCCCGTCGCCCAAGTTGGAGTTGTCAGCTAATATGAAGGGATCGTTGAGGCTGGCTATTTCGACGGATGCGCTGCGTATCTCGAGTGTTTGGTCGGATTTGGTGAATCCGCCGTTGGATCCGGGACAGCTGTCGCAGAGTGAAATTGAGCAGTTGCCTAGTGAGCGGATGAGGGCTCTCGGCGATAGTGAAGAGGGATGGGCCAAGGTTAGGATTGATGGGAATGATTGGGGACGTGTCTTGAGCGTGGGGAGGTTGAGCCCGAAGGTTGTTGCTTGTGAGTACTCGGCTTATACTTCCTGGCAGATAGTCCTGTTTACTGACACTTGGCAAGGCTTCATCAATGAAACAGCACTGATCCTATATGTCTATCTACCGGGTAGCTGGAATGCAGAGGATTCCTGTCTGACAGTAAGTGACTCAAATTATATTATAACAGGATCTAACAACAGTAGTACTATATCAACTCTTTTGCAATCTAAGCAGAAACCCTCGAAGCTATTTAGAGTGTCAAGATTTACGAAATTCAATGGGATAATTGTACATCAATGGTTTGTATTGTTGCTGATATTCATGAACGTGATGAAACCAACAAGAATAGAATTAGTATAGTAATATCAAAGTCATGGTGGGTGAAGAGAAAAGCCCTCACAAATGCGTCAAGGCCTGGGAAGAATACACGAAAGAAATAATACAGATACTTGTCTCCAACCTTTGTAAGGGAGAGCCATGCACCAACAAGCAACATAAACGTATATGCAGACACACAAAGTATGTGGTTGATGAGTAGGTGTGCAAGAACGCCCTTGAAGAAAAAGACAAGGCTGTGCTTCTGGAAGACACAGCATGCAAGACTTTTGGCCAAGTCAGATCTATGATCAGGAAACAGTGCAACAGGGGGAAATGGACACATCAGAAAAGAAACAAAAGAAATCGTTAAAAAAGACAAAAAAGAAAAGAAAAAGGTATCACAAAACAATGCATCAACTGAACTGGAATAACTCCAGATCAATCATTCAATGCTTCATTTAGCCATAACATCAACGTATCTGCCTTTCTTCTTCCCTTTGCCAGCGGCACCTTTACGCGCCTGGGGCGCTCCAAGCAAGTCATCGATCGAGCTAGCATTACTCAAAGATGTTGATGGACGAGGCGGCGGCTGCAAGCCGGCCGAGCTGCCTGGTGGGGTTGGCACAGCTGCGCCAGTCGAGACAGACCGGGGACCAAGTGGAGGTGGGATTCCCAATGCAGAGGGTGCTGGGCTTCCGGGAATTGATGGAGGGGGAGCGCCGGCAGAAGATCCAGGGCGACTGCTGACACTCGGAGGCATTGCTGCTGGTGGTACACTGGCGGTACTTGGTGTGCGGCTGGGAGGAGCCGGACCGCGCGGCGGAGGTGGTGTGCCGCGAACCGGGGCGCTACTGTTGGGATCTTTCTTGTTGACCCATTTCTTTAAGTCTTGATCATAGTAGAATGAATTCTCCTCGCCAAGCTTGGCACGGATAGGACCTCCACCCAGATTGTTGTCGTTCTCTTTCTTGGCCCCGCCAAACCATCCACCAAACCATGACTTCTTCGGGGGTGCAGGTTTTTGAGCTGTGGATATAAGTTAGCTAAAATATTAAGGTGTGGGTGTAGAGCAGAGATCTTACCATCTGCCTCGGCTGCTTTTCGGAACGCCTCATCTGCTTCGCGATCCTTGCGTTCCCTTTCGGCTTTTTGGATAGCTGCTGCCTGGGCCGCTATCTCATCGTCATCGTCATCGTCCATAATGGATTTCTTCTTGGGCTCCTCGGCGACGGACTCATCATCAACTTCCACTGCAGGAGTTGTGCCAGTCGCACCTGGAGGCTCGTAACCGCCGGTAGCACTGGGAGGCATATAACCAAAACTATCTGGCTGAGACACAGCAGGGGAAGACTGCTCATGAAGAGGCTGTCCAAACGAATCAGAGCCATACATAGGCGGCTGGTAAGAAAACCCATTGGCGGAAGGTTCGGGCGCGAAAGCAGGCGTTTGTTCGGGTTGCGTTTGAGGTGCCAGGTCTTCTTCGACAGGGGCAAGCGGCATGTAAGATGATTGGGGCGGTGTCGATTGATAACCAACACCAGGCGGAGAATTGTAAAACGGCCCTCCTTGGTATGATCCAGTATCGACTGGTGTCGACGGTTCTTGAGAGCCTCGCCGTTGCCCAAAAGAAAATCCCCCAGAGAAAGACCTCTGGGAATCAAGAGACGATCTACCGCGCAATTGCTCGGGGGATGAGCTTGGGGCATATTGGGATGCCGGGTGGTACTTCGAAGCGCCACCAGCCGGAATAGGTTGTGCCCCGGGAGTAGGATACGAACCATACAAATCAGACACAGACGGAGAGCGGCTGACAGTGGGGGTTCCAGAAACCTTTGCAAAAGGGCCAATGTCCGCGTCGCCCTTTCCAGAGACTGTCGAAATTGCATCACTATCTTCCCCAGCGACGAAGCTGTTGAATCTAGCCCACATCGAGCCAGATACCTTCTCCATGCTCGGCTTGGAAATCCAAGATGAACCACCATCGGTAGTTGTCTGCCTCAGGCGCGCTGAGAGCTCATCGACTCCCGAGAATAAGTGCTGATGGTGATAAGCAGAAGGCCGTGTGGTCGCCTTCAAAGCAGCCGCAATGGCATCACAATATTGCTGAGCTTCTGATTTACGGCCACGATCGGCGATAGACGAAGCATAAAGCAGTTTGAATGCCAAGAGATGGGGCAAAGTAGCCGTGGCTGAGCCGGCAAGAACAGAAGTAGCATATTCGTATGCTTCGGTCAGAAGAATAGCATCTTCATCCTGCGGAAACAAGGAAGGGAACCGTTGGTGGTCAGCCCCAAGAAGCACAATGCTCGCCTGGGGATCATCTGCACCGCCGAATACCACAGCCCGGGAAAAGATAAAGCAAATATGAGCGGCCTCCGTACGACCATAGGATGAGAGTAGCCGGCCAAGGGCCAATAATGCCTGATGATCTTCTGGACTGCGGTTGCTCAAAACTAATCCCAGGGTGTCTCTCCAGCTTTCAAGGCCATCTAGGGCATTTTTCGTGGGACCATGCCCATCTGCTTTGCTGATCATTTGCAAACCAGCCCGAGCTGAGGGGGGTACAAGCTCGTCAATGCTTTCTTCAATGTTACCAGCGAAGATCTCATAGAGCGCGGCGATCGATTCCGTATTTCCAGTTGTGGACCGCACTTCTCGTCTCACAAACTCTTGAACAACCTGTTTCCAAACAGACTTGTCCAAAGTTGATGCAATTATCATAGCATGGCCCCATAAACGGCGATCGACTGCGCCCCATACTGCCTTCTCTCGATCCCCAATCAGAAGATTGTTGCGAAGATTCTCTATCGCCTGGGGATCGACAGCGTCAGGCCGTGAGGACACATCCATTGGCTGGAAAGTAGTTGACGATGAAAAGGAAGCACCGTAAGTTTGATCAACTTCGGAATTCTGGAGATGTGGAAAAATGACGTTGCGCAGAGATGTTTGGACCTCAGCGGAGCCTTCTAGGGAACCATCATTTTCCACCAAAAGCCGGACAATCTTCCAGAGTAAAATCTTCTCTCCGTGTCTCTTGTCAGATTCAGGGTGCAACTGAGCAGCCTCAGACAGACCTTCGTTCTCAAATGCTGCAATTTTACTTGACAGCCAGGCAAGGAGGTCCTTCTTTTTAGATTTGCTCTTGAGTGGACCCGGATGCTGAACAATACTTTCGCCGACAGGTATCCAATCATTATGTTGGCAGATTTTCACCTCTCCAGGAGTAGACTTGATCATGGGAGCAGCTTGCCCAGCAGAGTACCGAGGAATATGGCGGGGAAAGCAGGAAGTGATTGCTCCACCAAAGCCAAACTTAACTATTGGTGCTCCCTTCCATCGTTCAAGAGGGTCCAACTGTTGTCCGTCCGTGGGAGGAATAAACTGAAGGGATTGCGAAGCCGTACGGTTATGAACAGAAACCTGAGATGGCGCATAAGGACTGACGGTCTTCGTTGGAGAACTGGAGCCATGCACCGACGCAGGTCTTTGAAATGGATCAATTGACGGCACAGACAACCTAGGACCTTGCATTTGCTGACCAGGTGACTGTGTTTGCGAACGGCGAGGGGGAGCGAACTGTAAATCACTCGGAGGCGGGGCAGTTGGCATACCGATGACTGGAGGGGGGGCGTTGTTCACAGGTGCAACCCGTTTGGAAAATTCATCGACATAAGCCGAGGGAGCATATGGGTTCCTGGGAGGAGAGGCCTGCTGCTGGTTCGTGAGTCCTCCATGGGTCACAGACTTCAAAATACCGGCGTCAACGGCATCACCCGACAGTCCTGGGGCTTGAAAGGGGCCATGATCAATGCTTCGCCGCGGTTGAAAGTGACTGGGGGGAGAAAGACTCGCTGCCGGTTGCAAGGAACGCTGCTCCTCAGGCCCTTCAGGTTGGTACGAAGCCTTCTCATGATAGGCCAAAGGGCTTGATGTGCGAGGCTGAAACGGAAGAGGCGGTCCCTGGCCAGACACGTTGGGTGGCTGCGAAACATAAAGATTGCGGGCAGGAGCAGAGGCCTGAGGCGGCGGTGCAGGTGAATATCTCGGGGATGCAGGAGGTTTTGTTCCAGCTTGTAATCCTGGTGGCTTCGGCGAGTACCTCGACGCGATGCTCGGCACAGCTGGCGCACTTGGGGCCAACAATTGTGCATAGGGATCAACCGGTTCCGACTGCTGCAATGGTGGCTGGGGTTGCAAACTGCCAACCGGTGGTGCGGCCGGAGGAGGGATGTTGGTGTATGGGTTCACAGGGGGCGGTGGTACTGGTAATCCATGAGAGGGAACAGCGGGTCCTACATTGTTACTGGGAGTATATCGCCCTGAGCTTGCAGGCCGCGATTTAGACCTTGGCGGCGGCAAAGGAAGTTCTTCGTAGAAATTCTTAGGAGCAGCGGTGACTGGTGGAGCTGGCGGGGGAGCTGCTGCCGGCAGAGGTGGCATTGTAGAAGCCATTGGTGGAGGAATGCTGTTACTTCGCGGAGGCCCCCCCGGGAGAGGAGCCTGCGCAACAACCGGCTTTTGGCTAGGCACAGTTCTTCGAGGTCGGGTAAGATCTTCTGGAAGGTCATAAGGAGACTTGTAGCCATCCTTGGAACGTTCAGCAAAACTTTCTGATTTCGTCGCCTGTGGGGGGTTCGCATGAGGTTGAGATGAGAAATAGTTCGAAGGGGGAACAGTTTGCGGAACACCAGGCATCGGAACTCCTTGGAGAAGATCTGAAGTTGTTGGCTGATGGGGCGTGTAAGCCGTTGGCTGTGCTTGAAGCCTAGCATAACTTTGAGGATTTTCAAAGGGACTGTTAAGACCTGCAGCAGGTGCATTGGAAATTCCATTGGCAGTCTCAGGCTGCATTTGATCTCCTGCTTCGTCTTCCAATAGCAAGTCATCGTCATCCAGCTCTGCTTGCCATCTTGCAGCTAGATCATCCTCTGATGGCTCCTTCACGCGGTTATCTGAAAGTTCTGCTTGCCACTGTGCAGTCAGATCATCTTCCGATGGTTCGTTGTTCACTGGATCCTCCAAAAGCTCTGATTCCCACCGCGCTGCCAAATCCTCCTCAGAAGACGGCTTCTGCACCTCACTATCCGAAGAGGGTGCGCCTATGAGTTTGTTAAAATCCTGTGTGCTTGATGAGCCATCACTGGCTGGAGAATCCGGGGTAGGAGGGAAAGCATCCATCACTTGAGAGGTACTCTTGCGCGTGATATGGCCAAACTGCTGTTCCCTTGGTGGTGATTTCTGAACTTCCTTGAAAAACCCGTCATCTTCATCTTCATCGCCACCGAAAATTTGATCTATGCTACCCCCAGCTTCCCGGGTTGGCTCAATCGGCGATTGGATGGGTGTCTCATCTAGCAGTGGGACACCCTCCTCGTATCTGGACTCTGATTCTGGTACGTATATCGGTTTTGTCTGCGTCTTCAACTGGTCAAAAAAGTCGTCTTCTCCACCACCATGATTGTTGCTGTCATCGTTCCAGAAACCATGTCCCTCGCCGTCCACTTCTCCGTTGGTGGCCGCCGGATTCGTGTCGCTTCCCTCATCCATCCACGCAGTGCTACCAAAGGCAGATTCTGATTCCTGAGCTTGATCGTTTGTAATAGAAGCAAATGGATCCTGAGAGTGGGGTCCTGTGTTTTCTGTAACTCCAGCCCCCTGCTCAGCAACGTGTACACTGCCATTTGAGTTTTCGTTCGGCACGGGCTCTTCCACAGTCGCTTGCGCGATCTGATCTTCAGCGTCGCCTGTCGGTGGTGTCCATTCATCCCTCTCGCCTTGTTCTTCTAATGTTATGGAAGGAAATGCATCATCATCGGAATCCGGCGAGTTACCCCAATCGGTTACGGTCGACGTGGCTGGAGCGGCTGGTGCGACTGGTTCTTGTATCTCTGCCGGGGCTGCAATTTCCTGTGCAGTGGAGTCGCTAGGTGGTTCAACATGATCGGTCTTCGCAGGTTGTATATCATCCGGGTCAGCAGCCGGTGTCCCTATTGTTTGTTCGTGCTCCGTTGAATCTAGCGCCGTCAAAATATCCGGTTTCGTCGCGATTGGACATTCATGATCATCAGGTCTCAAGGCCGGATTCCATGATATCTCATCGGAAGGAGGAAGCGCCATGGTTGCTGGAAACAATAGCTCCGAGCAATCAACTTGACACGTCTCCGGCTTGGTGGAAGCAAACGAGGGAAAGTAATATTTCGGCGTTTGAATCACTTAGACATGGAAAGTGTAGAAAAAATAAACACTCAACATGAAAGAGCATCACAGTGAGATAGGAGATAGATAATTCATGACTGCATGACCCAAAAATCCAGAGACGAGGAATGGGATGGATGTTGATGCCAACTCCTCCCTGATGGACCGCAGCCGTGATGACAGCCGACCTGATGATGCTCAAAACGCGCCCGTCATCCGGGGCGGCGATATATTGCTCCGTGAGAGCCACCTATCCCTTTATGCAGTCACGTGAGTCTGCATAAACCAAGGAATATGTTGTGCAGCGAAGGATGAATAAAAACAAAACCACCAGTATGTCTAGTCTCTACATGGCAGCTAAAATTGGATTATTGTCTTGAAGTAATTGAACGCGTACCATAATAGTCAATATAACTGCAATGGCTATTTTTAATTTGCTCCAATCTTTCGTCAGCCTCCGCTGATGACATCGCCGTTTCACTAACGTTTATGCGCCACATACTACAATCATGTGATCTTATCCTCTACGTCTCTTAGGCTGCATGGTTATCCAGCAACTAAATTGGACAGCAAATTGCTCCAGGACCCAGGAGAGTTTTTCGATGGTCATTATCCTTCTCGGTTTCTCCTATATTATTCTTATTTGCTGATTTGAACTGACCCTGTATCACCCGTCCCGAGCAATAACAATGATCCCTCTGAGACACCCTGGCTGCCATTCGCCGTGAGATGACCTTACATTTCTTGTTGCAGGGGCTTCAAGATCGCTCCTGTTATATGAGAAGCATATTCTGAAATTATCTGCGATTAAACCACCATGCGTCCGTCCTCCGACTATCTAAACCCTCACGACCACGCCAGCATCGCCGGCGATTCTGGCTCGGACGACGACCTTGACTTGGAGGAGCTAGATCCAAGCACGACGACAGCCCATCGATCCCCACAAGCCTCCAGAGATGATGCTACGAGACAAAGAGGATACGGGCCAGGAATTGCACTGAGGAATTTGCGGGTGGGCGTGGGAAATAAGATGTGGAAACGGAGTGGCTCTGGCCTACACCGCAGCAACTCGGATGAAGACACAAATGGTCTGCTTGAAGATCAAGACGAAGATGGGCTGCGACAGTCACGACCGGACTCTGGGAACTTCGCCGATGATGATGCGCCTCTGCTTCACGACCGCAGACGCAGTTCGGCTAAGGACGCAGAGCCAGTGACAAAGAGGGGCTCTCGACTACGATTTCCTAGCTTCAAAGTCAACAATTTTTTTTCTGGCGCATCGAGTCGTCTGGCGAAAAATAACAATGAGACGAAGCCTCCGCGCGATGTGCTCGTGGGCCAATCCCAGCGATCTAAATATCCACCAAACATTGTTTCGAACGCGAAATATACACCTTGGAGTTTCCTCCCGCGAACGCTGTACAACGAATTTTCCTTTTTCTTCAACATTTATTTTCTTCTTGTCGCCCTTTCGCAAATCATTCCCGTTCTACGAATAGGTTACATGTCGTCTTATATAGCGCCTTTGGCGTTCGTCGTTTCGATTTCTCTAGGGAAAGAGGCTTTAGATGATATCGCCCGCCGGAGGAGGGATGCAGAAGCAAATGCGGAGGAGTATTCGGTCCTGTTTCTCGACAGACCCACGAATAGTGGGGCCTCGCCCGTTGATTCTAACTCCGGTGATGTTTTAGAAATGACCAAGAGGTCCCGGGATCTCAAGGTTGGTGATGTTTTGAAGGTTCGCAAGAACCAGCGTCTACCTGCAGATGTTATCATTCTGAAAAGTATCTCCAACGACTCGGTCACTCGCAAAGATTCTGTAGCAGCGGAGACTTCTGCAGATCTTATCGATTCGACCCAAGGATCCCCGTCCAACGCAGAGCCTAGTTCGAGTGCTACCCCAGAGCAAGACGCTTCCTCTGCTAGTGATACATTTATAAGAACTGATCAGTTGGACGGTGAAACTGATTGGAAATTACGCCTTCCTTCCGTCTTATCCCAAAATCTACCACTCAGCGAATTGACCAGGCTCAAGGTTTCCGCTAGTGCCCCAGATCAGAGGGTTAACGAGTTTGTCGGTGCTATCGAATTAGGGCGGCCTTCGGGGTACTACGACCCTCACCTTGACAAGTCTCGTACCGGGGATGTTGAAGATGATGACGATTCCGCCAACTCGGCGCCGTTGACGATTGACAATACTGCATGGGCCAACACTGTCCTCGCGTCGAACACTATCACATATGCCGTCATCATTTATACTGGTTCACAGACCCGCGCCGCTCTCTCGACATCGCCGTCAAGGTCAAAGGTGGGCCTGTTGGAGTACGAAATCAACAACCTTACCAAAATTTTATGTGCTTTGACCCTTACCTTGTCGGTTATCCTAGTGGCATTGGAAGGGTTTCAACCGACTAACGATAAGGTGTGGTATGTTGCAATTATGATATATCTCATCCTGTTCTCTACAATCATTCCTATGAGCCTGCGTGTCAATTTGGATATGGCAAAATCTGTATATGGTCGCTTCATCGAGCGGGACCAGGATATTCCTGGTACTGTGGTTCGGACAAGTACAATTCCTGAGGATCTTGGCAGAATTGAATACCTTCTTTCTGACAAGACAGGAACTCTAACTCAGAACGGTGAGTGCCTATATGATATAAATTCTATTACGGCGAACTAACATCAGCAGAAATGGAATTGAAAAAGATTCATGTTGGAACTGTTTCGTACGCCAATGACGCCATGGAAGAAGTGGCATCATATATTCGACAGAGTTTTGCTGGTACCTCACTGACAACACCGTCCGCCGTTTTTGGAGCTCAGTCAGGCCTTGCAACAGCGCCTCGTACACGACGAGAGATTGGTTCACGTGTTAGGGACATAATCTTAGCTCTTGCACTTTGCCACAACGTCACTCCGACAACAGATGAAGAAGATGGTCAGAAGGTAACAAGCTACCAAGCTTCATCGCCGGACGAAATTGCCATTGTTCGATACACTGAAGATGTCGGATTGAAACTGTCGTATCGCGATCGACAATCCATTGTTCTTGAATCTACCGACACAGGGAATGTGGTCGTACGTGTTCGCATCCTCGATATCTTTCCATTCACATCGGATAGCAAACGTATGGGCATCATTGTTCAGTTTGAACCTGGCGAAGATATGCTAGACTCATCGAAGGACGACAATGAAATTTGGTTCTACCAAAAGGGTGCAGACACCGTTATGTCTTCAATCGTTGCGGCGAATGACTGGCTCGATGAGGAGACTGCTAACATGGCTCGTGAGGGCCTGCGTACCCTGGTTGTGGGCAGAAAACGCCTTTCCCAGCAGCAATACCAGCAGTTCACTGCTAAGTATAAGCAGGCATCGCTTTCTCTTCAAGGACGAGATGTGGGCATGGCCAAGGTTGTCAGCGAATATCTTGAGCGTGACTTGGAATTACTCGGAGTGACTGGTGTTGAAGATCGCCTTCAGAGGGATGTCAAGCCATCACTTGAACTTCTCCGCAACGCTGGGGTAAAGATTTGGATGTTGACTGGAGACAAGGTCGAGACAGCCCGGTGTGTGGCCATTTCCGCAAAATTGGTTGCGAGAGGCCAGTATATCCATACAGTGGCCAAAGTCAACGACAAGTCCAGCGCCCAAGAGGCTCTAGATTTTCTGCGCAACAAAACCGACTGCTGTCTGCTCATTGATGGCGAGTCACTCTCGTTGATGCTCGGCCAGTTCCGGTCATCATTCATCTCAGTCGCCGTCCTTCTGCCTGCCGTTATTGCCTGCCGATGCTCCCCAACACAGAAAGCCGAGGTCGCAGATCTGATTCGTCAATACACCAAGAAACGAGTCTGTTGCATTGGTGATGGTGGTAATGATGTGTCCATGATCCAGGCAGCAGATGTTGGAATTGGTATCGTGGGCAAGGAAGGTCGACAGGCCTCATTGGCAGCCGATTTCAGTATCACCCAGTTCCACCATCTCACCAAGCTACTCGTCTGGCACGGCCGTAATTCATACAAGAGATCCGCCAAACTGGCACAGTTCATCATGCACCGTGGACTTATCATCAGTGCCTGTCAGACCATGTACAGCATTGCCAGCCACTTCGACCCCAAGGGTCTCTTCATCAACTGGCTCATGGTCGGCTACGCCACGGTCTACACCAACGCCCCAGTCTTCTCGCTCGTCTTCGACCGCGATGTCGACGAACACCTCGCCAACCTCTACCCCGAACTATACAAGGAGCTGAAATCCGGCCGCAGCCTAAGCTACCGGTCATTTTTCATCTGGGTCCTCATCTCAGTCTACCAAGGTGCCGTCATTCAAGGCCTTTCGCAGATCCTTCTAGATACCATCACAGGACCCCAACTCATCAGTGTCTCCTTCACCTCTCTCGTCCTCAACGAACTTCTCATGGTCGCCATCGCCATCACCACCTGGCACCCCATCATGATCTTCTGTCTCGTCGGCACGGCTCTCCTCTACGCCGCCAGCGTCCCTTTCCTGGCTAGTTACTTCGATCTATCATACGTCATCACCATTGACTGGTTGTGGCGTGTGGCCGCTGTCTGTGCCGTCTCCGTTATACCCGTTTGGGCTGGGAAATTGATCAACCAGTCCTGGAACCCACCTAGCTACCGCAAGGTTCGAGGCTGATCTTATTTCACCCTTTCCCCTCATCTCTTTCTCCCCCTATGTACTATGTACTTGTTTTTTTTTTTTTTTTTTTTTTTTTTTTTTAAGGTTTTATTCTCATCCCGGTCTCGTATTCATTTGGACAAGGGAGTTTTGAGCGCCCGTTTTTGTTTGGATTGGTTTGGTTGTGATTTTGTCCCTTCAATCATTGCCATAGCATTGTTTGCTACACTTTTGCCTTGTTAGTATATAGATGATCGACTCGAATGTCAAAAATTTCTGTTTTCCCTTGGGATATGTTTCGATTACTTGTAGTGGATTACATACTATGATTTTATATCCAATGGTCTTAGAGCTGCAAAATGAGGGTAGATGATATGAAACAATATATGAAATAGTATAGGCATACAAAATATATTTATTTATAAGCGTTTTATCGTTAATCAAACATCGTATAACTTTCAATCATAATCAAACCATTTTGTGTTGAAAGTGGGTATATATAAAATTCTCAAACTTCACCTCGACAACAATACATCACGCACTAGGAACAAACACCTTCTTCCAGCGGAAGCTCAACAAGTCACGAATGACTTCAGCGGTGTTCTTGACATTCTCCCGCACGATAACGGAAGTAGGCTTGGAGAAGATATCGTCAATCTCCTCGAGGGACTTGTTCTTAGTCTCGGGCATGAAGAGGATCTGGTAGAACCAGCCGAGGACGGCGATACCACCGTAGAAACCAAGGGTCAGACCGATACGGGTCATTGAGTTCATCATGGCAGTGAAGTTGTAGGTGACGATGAAGGAGGAGAGGAAAAGGTTGGCCTCGGAAACGGTCATACCGTAACTACGGAGGTAGGTGGGGAAGGACTCGGCGGGCAGAACGAAGGTGAGACAGGCGTATGAACCGAAGAAGCCCATGTACAAGATGATACCAGTCAAGTAGAGACCCTCGGCGGCAGCTGGATAGACATTGTAGTCGATAGTGTATCCGGCACCGACAAGAGCAAGACCGATGACAAAACCGGGCAGCATAGCGTTGGCCCAGTAGCGACGGCCAAATCTCTCCATGTACATGACGGCGGGGATGGTACCAAGCATGAGAGAGCCACCACCGACCAGAGACATGAAGACACTGGTCTTGTCGTCGAATCCAATGTTAGACATCAGAACACTCATGTAGTACATGACAGCGTTGACACCGGTGAATTGACCAAGGAAAACCATGATATTAGCATAGACCAAGGCGCGACGAGCACGGGGGTCCGTGAAGAAGTCCATCCAAGGCAGCTTCTTGGTGTTCTGTTGCTCTTGGTTCTCTGCCGAGACTGCCTGTCTCATTCCGAGGAACTCGTCCTTGGCCTCAATGGTATTAAATCCACGGATACGCTTCCAGACCCCATAGGCCTCGACCTCCTTGCCCTTGTGCATCAGGAAACGGGGACTCTCGGGAAGGAACAGCATTCCAACAAAAAGGATGGTGGAGAAGACCAGGGAGGATCCAAGAATATAACGCCAGTTGCCCTTGACATCGACGAAGATGGCAGCCACGGCGTATCCCAAGACTTCACCCAGCGCAATGTTCAATTGGTACAGCGAGACCATGTTACCACGCAGCTTGACGGGGACTAGAAATATGCATCAGCGATAGAGCTGTAAGGAAAGATAGGATTGATACATACCACACTCGGCCACATAGATGGGGACAGTGCCACCCTCCAAACCAACACCCATGCCCAGAATAAAACGACCAGCAAACATCATACCGAAGTTGACAGCACCAGCTTCCAGGCCAGCACCAATAGTGTACAGGATGCAAGAGACGATGATTGCCATGCGACGACCCAGGTATTCGTTGCAAGGAGAGAGTGTGAGAGCACCAGCGACAGCACCCAGAGGCATACCACCGTTAACCAGGCTGCTCTCGTTATCGGACAAGTGCAAGTCTTTAGGCAGGTAGAGGTTGGCTCCACTGATCAGAGACTGGTCAAGACCAGAAAGGAGACCACCCATCGAGGCAAATGCGACGAGAATGTAGGTGAAGGTGGCAGGGCTGGCCAAGCTGAACTCCCACCGGGACTTCTTCACGCCCTGCAGTTGCACCTCGAGCTGCTGGAGCTCTGCGTCCATGGCAGCCTCGTTGAATTCCATGGCGACTTTAGGGTCATCCATCACATTGTCCATCTCCACAGCCACCTCCTTGTGGAGGTCCGTAGATGCCTCGGGATCTTGAGTTTTGGCCATGATGAAGCAATGGCCTGAATGTATAGTATTTCTACCTCTGAATAAGGTGACCCAGTCAAAGATCAACCGTTCCAGACGGCGAAAAGAAGAGAAGAGAATAGAATAGAAGAGAGAAGAATAGAGAAAATGGATTGACAGCCGAGAAAAAAGCAGATGGGAAACAACAGCGCCAGAGGGGACCGGGTTCTTTTTGAACTACCCCATCGGCATCAATCAGCCATCTCCGCCATGAGAGCCAGAGTCAGACCATGGAGTGAAAGCGGGATCGGGATGTAACTTTTTTGGTTTCCTGGGCCGAAAGATAATGGAGGGGGTGGATGTGGGGAAGAGCGCGTGATGGTCAGAGAAGAGTCCGGAAGGCGAAGCACTGGAGTCGAAGCCGTCCGATGAGAGACAAGGCCGAAGGACGGTGGAGAAGACGGACAGCCATCGTCGAAGTTACCAGGGAAAAACGAAGAGGAGATTGGATGGCTGCATCAGGGTAAGTCAGGATGACAGCAGTTGATCTTGTTTTCCCTTGCTGCATGGATGCAACTCCACGTCGGACAGAAAGAGGAGAGAAGAGGAGAGGAAAAGGAGGAGAAGATGAGGCATTTGGTATTGGTATTACTGTATACTGGTATTTTACTCTCTACAGGTACCGACCTATCTCTTCATCTCTTCTTCGGCTTCCCGTGTGCTTTCAAGCATTAAGTAAAGAATACGTAAAGAAGAAAAGAGTCAAACAACATCCATACAAAACAGATATAAAATCTCCATTGATCTCGGCCAGATTCCGTCCCCAGTTGGAGTTGATCCCGATTTCTCCCACAAAAACCCACTTTTCTCTCCAACTTTGGCGCTACTGGGATTTCCCCGTGGAGATGAAAATGCCCTTTGCGTTTTGGGTAATTTGGGTAAAAGCATCTTCCTCCAGTCCTCAACTGGTGATGACCAGGCACCACATAGGCTTTCACTTCCAGCCTTGCCGACCTGTTCGGAGTCTCTTCGGGATATTCTGTCCATTCATCTTGTCTTGCTCAGTTGCCGACCCTGGCTCGGGCAAGGTATAAGGATAAAAGGGGACTCAAGTTTGTGGCGCTGAAAAGAGTTGATAGTCCTTGCATATACGAAATGACCTGATACTACCACACAACTGTCACTGCTATATTTATACTCAAATCTTGTATCTTCAAGAGTTACTCACTTTCATCTCACTCAGAACTCCGAAGACTCTTGTCAAGCGTCTCACCCCGTAAAATCGGCATCTGGACGGAAATTTGCTTATCCTTCGGCCCTAGTCACTATCATCATCCAACATCACCCGTGTCATTTTCAGGCCGTTTGCTTGGCCTTGATCCCGTTCTCGGACCCCATAAGCAGTCTCTGTACCCAAGGAATTGCTGAATTGGATATTGCCTCCGACCCCGTCTGGGCAGAAATGGGGCTGTCTCTCTCCAGCCGAGGATGCCATTCGTCCAAAGCGAAGGAGCAACTATATTAAAAAGCTTGGGAGACACGCCGGATGAACCAGCCAGAGTCGCATTCCGTGGTCTGCGCTATTTTAGTGTTTTCTAGCCTTGAATGGTGTTGCTTTTTTTTCGTTTCGACTTTGGTTCGTGGATGGGGGTGGAAAAGTCTGTCGCCGTCCCCGGAGTCTCAGTCTCCCCCAGGATTTTTTTCGAAGTCATGTGCTATCCTTTCCCCTCTTCTAAGACATTATACTTGCCATTTGCCACAAACAGAAACGCCTCAAACGGTTTTACTTTGGATGGCTGATGCTAACCGTGGGCGCTCACGAGCTTGTCACTGCATTGGATATCAGGTACAAGGTCAGAATAATGGAGTACTCTACGGAGTACGTGCAACTAGATACAATCAACCAACAAAGCGGCCGTGCTGATTCTGTCAATAAATTATTAATCTTGTTTGATCCACTGACTTCCATAGGATAGAATACAATCCGACTATCAAAATTATAAGGGCATCAACCAGCAATGCCCTCCCCACTACTTCAAGTCTTTTGTCTCCCCTACCTGTAAAAATTACCGCATCCTAGACCCAACTGGCTTCCGAGCTGCTGGGTCACCCCCATAAAACGGCGACCCTGCCCGACTGCTTCCTGGGCTCTGACTTTGACTTGGACTCGGCGACCGTCCCCCATGCAGTCTCTGCCGCAGCCGTTCCTGCGCCGACGTTGCCCGATTCAGAGACGGCGGCTGTGGTGCTGACTGCATCGATCCCGCTCGCTGACTGGGCAATGGCCGTGGTCCATCGGGATGCAACATCGGCGACGGTCCCGAAGATGAAGACATCTGCTGCTTTGTACTAGGCATGACGGGTGCACTGTGTGTGGCGGAGAGCGGTGCCCCCGCGGCTCGTCCCCGACGCAAACTGGCTGTCTGTGATGTAGGTGGTTGTGCGCTGCCCGAGTCGCCCCATAGATCACCAAGTCCGCCGCGTCCTCCGGTAGTCACGATGGCGGGCGTCTGACCCTGTGCGCTGGGTTGAATCTGGGTAGTCGCGACTATGCGAGACGGTGGCGGAGCGGGCGCCTTGGGGTCAGCTGGTAGCCATGCCGGGTATGGACGTCCTTTCTCGGTGTAATAGGCGCGGAGGACGTTGGAGATGTGGGAGCAGTCCTCGTGGTCAGGGTCGTCGGCCTCATCGCCCAACGTGATCGCACGGCGGAGTGAGGTGAGTCGCGTGCCCAGATTCGATATCGCCGAGGACGAGGTGATTGACGAGAAGTAAGAAGACATTGTGGTTCTATCTCAGGTGTCAGGTATGTCCCTGTCTGCTGAAAGCGGGAGGCGTCGAGCCGTGAGGGGCAAGCAATTCGGGTGATCGACCGGACAGTAGTTGACACAGCAGTGTAGATTACTGCAAATAAACGTTGTAGAACTTATTAAAGAAGAATAAGACGTTATGGACACGGTTTCCAGAGAAATTGACCGCCCTGAGGTGGAGAGAGGAGGTTGTTTGCATGGGATTAATTGAATCTGAAGGCCTGGGATGGCGGTGATCCACCAGCCGTTTCACCGCCGCACGTGAGACCACCGCCACCATTCCCTACATGTCATGGATTCTTACGATCGAATCAACTTCACAAACATATTACATTGAGTCTGGCAGGACGGACATATATGCAGACCGGCAGTGTATGTCAACTAGTAATATATGCAAGGACTGGGTATTAAATGCCCCATCGCAGCAGAAATCAAGTCACAACACATTCCCATAACGCCATGCGTGAAAAGATCAAAACACTTTTTTTTTCACTTTTTCCTGGCCAGGATATCACATAATCGTCCTTCTTAGGCCATGACATTCTCCTTGCCGGCTCCCTCAGTTTCGTATTCGATCTCAATCCGAGGTCCCTTCTTCTTGGGCCTGGATTGCGGGGGTCCACGCTTCCGCTTCTCTCCAGGTTTCTGCTTAGGCTGCTGTTCCTCCTCACTCTGCTCATCGCTGTCTTCATCATCATCGCTATCGTCGTCGCTCTCATCATCCTCGTCTGAGTAATCGCTCGAGTCTGCGGACTCGCCACCGATCCAATCTTCGAGATCCTCGAGGTCTTCCTCCTCTCCAAGATCGCTGACGTACTCAACGTCTCCGACACCCTCTTCCTCCTCCTCAACCTCCTCGCCGTCATCCATGTCCTCGTCTCTCTCACCCTCACCAGCACGCTCCAATCCACGGAGAACCCTCTTCCAGATACCCTCCTCCACATTGAGCGGCCGGTCACCGTACGCGCCACTGCGCAGACGCTCAATAAGCTCACGCTCAATAGCGCGCTCAACCTTGGCCGCCGACTCGGCCTTGCGCTCACGAGTCTCTTCTCTCCGCCGAATCTTAGGCGCCAATTTCGGCACAATCGTCTCACCTAAGCGCTCATCCTCCTTGGCCAGCTTCTTCATCCGGATGGCGACCTGCGTCAACCGCGTGAGACGCTGCTTGCACTTGTGAATCAGGAATTTCGGCCAGTAGATCAATCGGTCGTCAAGTTGGCCCAGTGCCTTGGCGTAGTTGGACGATAGTCGGACTCGCTCCCACAATTTGCTGGGCATGTGAGCCCGTTCCACCGTCTTCATGTAGAGATACATCACTCCCGTCTCGGGATCCGACCGCACCGTAGCGTATCGGGAATTTGCCAGGGGGCATGACTGGCGATTGCAAAGTCCGCTGACGTTGTATTCATTGCGACAGAAATTCTGGCCCTTGGTTGTTCTGTACGAAAAAGGCAAAATGTTAGCATCTTTTGCGTTGCAGGATTGCGGAGACCAGAAGATTTTGCGGAAGCAAAACTTTTTTTTTCCCCTTCTCTAGATAACTTACTTGAGCTTGTAAGAACAAAACTGCTGGTTAATAACCTGCCAGACAATTTCGTCGGAAGACATCTTGATTGAACTCGGCCGGCGATTTTACCGGAAAAGCCCGAATTTTAGCTGATGTTCTGGTACAGAAAAGGAATCCTTGAAGCTCAAGAAATGATTTGATTTTCCCTCCGCAGAAAAAAAAAAAGTTGCTGCGGTAATCCGTCACGTGACCTACCGCCTATCGATAGCTTCTTATCAACTCCTCGCTGATTCGTTCTCCGGCTCTATTGATCAATGATATTTGTTTCTATTAATTTCAGTATAGGATCTACATTCGAGTTTCCAGCGCAGGATATGGCTTTAGTTAATGTAATCTGTTAAGAATTGTAGATTTTACTCGATGGTGTATTGCCATTCTCTTGCTTGTGTCGTGGAAACTGGAAGTGGAAATATATTTCGCTCAACCTAAACCACCTAGTTCTTCCAAATACTAGATAGGGTATTTCATAATCATAAGACGTGACAAGATACTATCTATTGGCTTCAAAAACAAGACCCAAATATGCAATGATAATCTCTGGACTAATATGGAGCGGCCATTTCTGCGTCCTCACCGGCCGCACTGTACATTTCATCGGCAATGCCCCAGCCCATTGACTCCAGTTCACGCACGAAGAAATCCCGTTCCTCTTCCATAATCGATGTGTTTTCTTCTCCACCCATAACATCCTTGTAACGACGCAAGTGCCACCAGTGTGTTAGACCTCGAAGGGCTTGCTCAAGCGGCAACGCTTCCTCCACCTCCGCATCTACATCAGAGCCTGCGAGCCAGTCATCACGCAGTTCTGGCCGGCAGTACAGGTAGATCGCAGTGATCACCCGCATGTTGCTTTGACGCCACTTTCGTCCACAGTATGGAACTTGGGATTTGAAAAGCTTGAGGGTGTAAAAACGGAGATGCGGATCGGGGATCTTCAGCCCCTTTCGAAGTATAGTGCTTGACTTATACTGCACAAGCAACAGACACCGGTGAGCCTTGTCACGGGTGATTTTCTGCATGATGTGTAGATAGTTGATAGCGGAATAGAAGTTGCGGAATGAGAACACAGTGATAGGCTCTTTCGGCAGAGGTGCGGTAGGATATCCCAATTCGTCCACTTCTGGGCGATGGTGGCCCTCCAGGAATTCGGGGATAGCCTCTTCAGGAGATTGGGCCCGACCCGATGGCATTCCAGGACCCAGATCTTGCCGATGCCGAGCAATGGGAGGAGGGGCAGCCTCATCGTCACTAGGAGAAGATTCTTCGTCGGAGTGTTCAGCAGGCTCTGGTGGCTGGTCAGAATGGAGATGGCAGAAATGGAAGAAACTATTACAGGTCAGCAGATGTCACAAGTTTCGATTTTTTAGGAAATCACTTACCCTAATTCCTCTCGGTCGTGCTTTTGTGCCACTGCCTGATCAATGTCTTGATGGGCGAACATTTTGAGAATCAAAGGAAGGTAGTTCGAGTCCAGCAACAACTGCGTCATGTATTCAAACTTCAATATATCTGTGATCGATTAGCCGCTTGCGCAAAGACGAGTTTACAGGAATTAAACGCACGAGATCGCTTGAACCACTTCAACATTAGCAAAAGGGACCCAGAGATAGCCTTGCCCGTTATTTCCCGCAACCGAATGTTGTCAAGCTCGTCAATTGCAGCGTCAGTGTCAAATTCCCCAGGAAAATCACCAGAGAGCCCATTGACTGGACCAAAACCGTCACTAAATCACTGTTAGGAAAGAGATGAAATGCCCGCGTCTTTAGTGCTAGCATACCTTGTAGGTTGACCATTTTGGCTGTTTGCCTGATTGACCATGGCGCTGACATTCGTCAAAATTATCTTGAGGAAAACAATGGTGATTGACTGCAAATGGACCAGTGCTTGAGTCTGAAATAAATGTAAGCCAAGAGTCCCCGTATTTCCAGGTTACGAAGTCTTACATAAAAGGATTCGACAGCCGATAAGCGTCGTTGAATATCCTCATTGTCGGTCTCCTTTTCTGAAGGCTGCTCGGGCTTGATCTTTTGCTTTTCCAGAAGGGAAAAATTTTCCAAGTCTTCCGCTAGGTTGTCGGAGAGATCATACATCGGAATAGCAGAATCATCCATATTCCAACCTCTGTCATACTTCATAAATCGTTCCCGCTCCTCCCAGAGCTGGCGCATTGCCCTCGTCATTTTCACATGGGTAGAAAACAGTCTACCGGCCTCGATGATAGATGCTGGGACATCACTGCCCTCCCACTTTTTCCCGACTAGAGCGTCCTGGAGTTCCGTTGTACCTTTCCCGCCAATATCATTGCTGTTATCAGTGAGGGGTGGGTACATGAACGGAAAATTTTGATTAGTCTGGTAGTTTTGCTTTTTCCCCGTTTTACCACCAGGACCGATTGGTGAAGGTGGAGGAGATGGTGCCGGTGTGGCAATGTGAACAGATTGGTGGAGGATTGAACCGTTTCCGCCAGCAACGGATGGGCCAACACCGGAAAAGAGACCGCTGGAAGAAGGTGCCCTACTGGGATGTTGGTGAAGAGGGGGAAGAATGGAGTTGTTCTCTAATTCAAGAGGAACTACTGGCGGTGGCGGGTTGTAGGAGGGATACTTTGATGTAATCTCTTGCCGAAACACATGATAATCAAGAGGTGAAGCGGTGAGAAAAGGGGTCCTCCGAGATGGAGTATTCTCTTCCCTGTCAAGAGAAGGCTCCAGGTCTTCTTTGGCCTGTTTCAAGCTCATGCTTCCACCAAAGAAAAGAAGCAAGGACTTCCAGAACAAGAGTACAATCCTCGTGAGTGGAACGTTTGTAGATTCATCCCACCGGAGTCGGGCGATAATCTCAACAAGGAATACCAGCAGATTTGGCTTTAGGTCAGTAAGCGCGTCTCGTATGGGCGTGTGTCGAGGATTGGTTGCTTCTTGCCTCCGGCCAACCTCTACAACTAGATATAAGGTCGTGAGAGCTAGATTTGCCTCACGCTCTGAAGCAGCAAGATATGCGGGGTTGGTATCTTCAGGGTCAACGGCGTCTGAGTCAGGTTTGGGCGTACTGCAACTCTTTTCGAACACCCGACAGAGACATTCAAGCAGAATCCCTATTCCGGAGCATTCCTGGACCAAGTTGGCATTGTTTTCGATCCATTTGATTTGCAAGGACTTGGATCTTGGGGTTTCCGCGGCGAACTGAGGAGACACATCTTCTGGGTAGTCCTGTATCTCTTGTCCTGCGGTAGTTCCCCATATTCCGGTCAAAGCATAGCAAACAGTCTCCATAGCTTCGAGACGAACAAACATTTCTTGGTCTTGTAAGCCTTGGAGCGTTTGACTTATAAATGATTTGCGTAGATCATAAGAAGCATCAGTCCAGGATAACTGTTCAGGAGTCGAGGATTTATTTCCAGTGAAAGAATTCCATTTGTGCTCGAACGATGATTTCATACCGATGAGCATGACTCGATCGAATTCACTGTATTGAAACCATTCTTCAATCTCATCCGCGAAAGGCTCAGCATCAGCATATTCAAAAGCATAGGCAGGCTGATCGACCTTGGGCATTTCCTGAACCAATCTTTTCAGCTGAGCAAGGCTCAGAGAGTCAGATGGCCTGTCCAGGGTTTGCTGGACGGGAGCTGGTGGGGGAGGCTGCAAAGGAGGCGGCGGGGCAGAGTTATCACGACGGAGCTCTGGCCTCCTGGGAGCCTTTTCAGGCTGTTCCGGTGCTTCATCTGTCGCAGAAGCTGTAGGATGCGAGACCTGCTCCTGTCGCAGACCTTCAGCCACTTCTTCCATCAGCTGGTCGTCCGAGACGGTGCTGATATCGGTTCCCGTTTGGTCGACTTCATCTGCCTTGACAATGTGTTGCTCTTCAATAGCTGCATCGGTAGAGACAGGTGTACCATCCATAATTGAGCACCAAACACTGATTTCACTTGTTCAAAACGAGAGAAAGATACAGGTTTAAGGAACAACATCAAGGGTATCTCAAGAAAGGGGAGTGAAAATTCAAAACGAAGAACGCGCAAATCCTAAATTCGTAGCAAACAAGTCCTTCCGTTAGAGTCGTTCCAGATAAAGAGCCATGCTATTTATTGCGTTGTCGTCGTGAAGCAGTGCTTCTTGTCAGTCGAACATACGGAATGATGGCGGTGGGATTTGGGGAGACATCCGTATAAATCACGTGACCAAGCCACGCGTGTGGCAGCACGAGGGCAAAGGTCAAGCTATGGATCTACGCATCATTTTTTAAGAACCGGAGAATAGTATGCATATATCTATGGATTCATATATCAATTTTATGTGTGATAAATTCTAACGGCACGCTTTGTGTGATGTAACGCAGGGGTATCACTATGTCAAACTTCGAGAAACCTTCTTCTTTCCAATCATTAAGTAGTAGAAATTATCCATCATTTGGACTTGCGCGAGGTATTGTCACTGTTACTTCGCCGCTTCAATTTCTGCTTCGATTCCCATTGTTGCCATCCAGCCTCGGCAAGATCTTCACTTACCACCAAATCCCGGATCCTCACAACTTTAGCCACCGTGAAATCCAATGCCCAGTCGACCCAGCCATGCGTTCGTAGAAGTGATGTGATGAAGAACCAGGAGAAGGCGCAGATGATGCCGGCAGCGCATCCTGCCAGGACCTGTCTTGGTGTATGGTAGTTCAAATAAATGCGGCTGATGGCAACGCCAGCGGCACCAATGCACAGTGCCAGGGCCAGTACCACGCGTGCCAGTAAGCAAGACTCGAAACGGTTGGCTTGGATGGAAGGTTTGTGTCGGAAGATAAGGAACAGACTCATGTAGACGGCAAAGTAGGTCATGAATTGTGCATGGGAGGATGGCATGCCATAACCTTTACCAAACATCTCTGAATTTCCCAGCTCGTCAGCATCCTGATAAAGCCATCCACTTCACAGTACATACGCTTTGGTCGTTCCTCCTTGATGATGCGTTTGAGGACGAAGTTCAATGCTTCACAGCCCATTTGTCCTGCGAACATCAACAACACCTCTGCCTCCCTCGAAGCCCAGAGGAGCGTAACATATGCCACGCATAATGCTTGTGGAACGAGAGCGAGCCAGGCGGATAGGAAGGACAATGGGTCGTCTGGGTTCTAAGAGCATCGGTTGTTAGTTCACTTCAACGCTTAGATCTCGACTGATGAACTTGGAGACACTCACATAATGTACATGGGTTAAAGATAGAGATGCCAATGGTATTTCCTCCATTTTATATTATGTCCTTTGATAGAGGACCTGAGTAAATGATTTGCCTTGAGATAATTATTAAGCTCGGCGATCAAGGAATGATGCTAAGCATGCAGTAGACAGCGTCGGAGTAGATGCGGAGATATTAAACAGGAAAAAAAAAGCCTCAACAAAAAGACATAATGAGAATATAGAACTGCGCCCTGAATCCAATAGCTGCAATCTCAATGCTTAAAATGAATGTCCAGATGGTGATTAGTTCATATCGTGGAGGAATGAAGAATAAGCCCCGAGCAAATGGCCAGGTCGGTGTCCAGATAATCTCACGTCCGTGCGGAGCGGAGAGCCGCTTTAAGGGCCGCGATGCGTTGGCCGTAAAGCAGCGGCACAAAAGGAGGGGGAGGGGAAAAGACAGACGGAGCAGGAAATAATGTTCAGCTAAAAGCAAAGAAAAAGATGAAGAAAAGAAGCAATAAAATGCCATGAATATCTGACAGCTAAAACGATAGGCAATCCAGAAAGACACAAAGTTGACCCAACAGGCCGGGCAGCAAGTGTTTGATGCCCATCGCCTCGCAAAAAAACACCACAACTCTTGATCTTCGTCCCTCTTCTTATTCTCTCTCTTCTCTTCTCTCTTCTCTCTCTTTCTCTTCCGTCTTCTTCCTTTGACTGTTCCCCTCGGAGTTATTGATCCATCTGTTTCTGCAGCATCTCTTATCTCGCTCCCCCCCCCCTCTAATTGAATCATGACGCAGTTCTCTCCACACTTATCATCCAAATTCCTGTTCCATCTTTCCTCTATACTAGATCTTTCCACTCCGACTGCTGCCAACAACTCTCAAGTCCTGCAGCCCACGCGGCATCACGATCGCTGCTGCGATTGTCGTGTTTCTTCCCACATCTGCTGTGGGACGGCCTCATTACCTCCATGATCATCAGAGTGGCCACGACCCCCTCCAAAATACTTGAAGGTATTATCCATCCATCCCCACGGTTCCTCTTTCTCCGCCGCCACATAGTGACAAGTCATTTACTAATGCGTAATTTTTTTTTCCTTTTTTTTTTTCTTCAGCAGCATCACCAATATCTTCACCATCATCCCCTCATACACGATAATCATCTTTTTTCTCGCATTCCCTTCATATTATTTTCAACGTTATTTTTGGACAAAGCAATGTTATAGACGGCCCCGGAGTTTAAAACGACTTATCTACTACTATGCCGGAACTGTTGTATTAAGCAGTCACTGATGAACCTATCACCTTGCCACCCGACATTTTCCTATTTCTCGACAACCTACTATATAATTTCTTGTGCGACGTCCTGCTCGCTATCTACGCTGCAATAACCCGCTCCGTCATGACGGAACTCGACTTTATGTCTGAAGATGAACGCTCGATTGAGCTATCTTCCATCTCTGCTATCTATCCAGAAATCAAGATAGACCCCTCCTCTCCTTTCAAAGCATCTCTTGACCTGCCTGTCGTGCCTTCAACGCCTTTACATGTTTCTTTCCAGCAGCAACCGGATGTCGGGTTTCCAACCGTCCTGACCCCTCCTACGTCTCTTGATGCTAGTGAAGTTGGCCTTGGCTCTGGAATTAAGGTTGGATTGGATTCTCCGACTCTGGATTCAGAGAAAGATGTCCATGTCCTTTCTCACCTCCCCCCGCTCAGTCTCGAAATCGAACTCCCAGAAGGTTATCCGTCCGAGAGAGCACCTATTTTTGAGATCAGCACAAATCCTCCTTGGCTTCCCTCGTCAATCGTTTCAAAACTGGTAGATGACGGTACACGGCTATGGGAAGAATGCGGGAGAGACCTTGTGGTGTTCTCTTATATTGATCATCTTCAGCAACTGGCTGAGACGGTTTTTGGAATCGATGACATCCCTGACGGTGAAGTGCGTTTGCCTCGTGATCTAAAGATTGCACTGCTAGATTTTAGCAACAAGGCCGAGAGAGAAAAATTCGAACAAGAGACTTTTGAGTGCGGAGTTTGCCTGGAACCAAAGAAAGGGACCAACTGCTACCGCCTCTTGCTTTGCTCTCATGTCTTCTGTGTACCATGCCTCCAGGACTTTTACAACACTTGCATCACCGAGGGAGATGTCGACAGTGTCAAATGTCTAGCTCCTGACTGTGGCAAAGAATACCCCGCCGCAAAAACCCTTGAAACCCACGGAAAGAAGCGCAAAAAACACGACCGGACTCTCAGCCCGAGCGAATTGTTGCAAATCCCCCTTGAGCAAGAAACAGTTCAGCGCTATGTTTTTCTCAAAAGAAAGAAGAAACTCGAAGCTGATAAGACTACTGTGTATTGTCCTCGGAAGTGGTGTCAGGGTGCTGCCCGGTCGAAACGACACCCCAAACCCATCGATCCCATGACCGATGACTTGGATGCTTCTGATGAAGAAGATGATGGGCAAGTGTTCGATCCTCTAGGGGATGAGTCACAGTTGCCTCCCATGGCCGACCGTGTGGCAATTTGTGAGGATTGCAACTATGCCTTCTGCTGCGTTTGCAAAAAGGGCTGGCACGGTGAACTTACACGATGTTTCCCACGCCGAGAAGCAGAATTATCAGCAGAAGAGAAGGCAACGGAGGAGTATCTGAAGAAGTACACATCGCCTTGTCCAACATGCAATGCCCCGTGCCAAAAGCAGATGGGATGCAACCATATGAAATGCTTCAAATGCGACACCCACTTTTGCTATCTCTGCTCGAGCTGGCTGTGTGAGGACAACCCTTACCAGCATTTCAACTCTCTCGAGAGCCAGTGCTACAATCGCCTCTGGGACATGGAGGGTGGCGATGGCATCAACCCCGTGGGGGCCGAGGCTCTGCATCAAATACCTGATGAGCTGCTTGAATTTGATGATAATAGCGATGGTGAAGACAACCCTGTGTGGGATTTTGATGACAGTGATGATGATTTTGACCGACGAAGACGCCCACCACCTCCTGCTCCCATACCTCCACGAGTCAACCTAGTTGGCGGTGGCCCCGGAAATAATAACCGAGGACGCAATGGAAATGGCCTGGATGCCGCTGGTCGAGCGGCGGCCGCAGAGAGACAGGCACAGGCTCGGGCGATGGCGGAAGTACGAGCCCGGCAGAATGGAGAGCGAGATGCCAGAGCGCCGCCACCAAACCAGGAGCAAGAAAGACGAGCCGGTCTTCAGCGGTTCTTATACCTAGTTCAGAACGACCGGGAAGATGAATGGGACAGTGACGAACTGGATGATGACTTTTGAAAAATCTGAAACGACCCCGACACGCCATACTAAACGATAAATGCGAATCCACGAAAAGCATATGAGCAGTTTGCCCTTTTTTACCCTTTTTCGACTTCCTTTTCTCTTCATTATTTCAGTCACGGATTTGTACTCGTTCCGATCTCACGATTACATGATAAGTCTGCATTTAGCGAATGTCTTTGGATCCAGCATTGCACGGCCTCACTGGTTATATATGAATTTTGTTATTGTATCATTTGCGAATTAGTCCTCTATGTATAGAATCCATATCAGTATTCAATATTTTCATAATTTTCTTTCCTAAAATCTCTCTGTAAGGTTTTATCTCCCAGTATATGGGGCAAATCGATCAACCCTACAGCAAAGATCTTTTGTATGAGATTATGATGGGATATTTTCATGAAAACAGTATCAACTCGACTTATTCGACGTGAGATAGCGAAAACAGTCTACACACACTCACGAGTGACCTTGGTCGAGTGTATGTGGTATACACTAACGCAAATTACCGATTTGGGAAAATATTAAACTTCTTCCGTATCAAATAATGAGAGCAGAAGATCATAGATATCATAGAAAATCATTTTCAACCAATGTTGGGCGGAGGTTGGAATGGCCTGTTCCTAGGTTTTGCCTGAGGCCTTCTGCAATAGTCATGTGACTACATACACTCCAGGGGTGTGGCCTCAGCGAAAGTGTAGGGATGAAGATGACCGAAATTTCCCAATTTAGAAGTATCATAAACTTCAATCCATCTCTTGAGCTTTGATCTATCATGATGGAGATCAGCCATTATGTAAAATGCTCGTAGTTGAGTAGAAAGTTACTCTTTATGCCTGAGGCTTCAATATCTACTATGTAGTCATGTGACTGCAATTTACTCTACACACTTCAGCTTTGTATCCTCATCCAGTGTAGAGGGTGGGATATGATCAAAACTTCCCAATTTGAAAGTATCACCAGCTTCTATCCATTTTCTGAACCTGGCTTCTGGAGGATAGAATCCATGATCAGGTAAATTCCCGCGGATGAAGAATTCGAAGTTGCGGGTCATGTGACCTGGTTTCGCTCTATGTACATAATCTCCGGGAGGCCTCTCACCGAGTGTAGAAGGGTGGAGACCCTGGGAGTTACCTGTTTTGGAAATATCACCAGCCTCATCTCATCCTCTGTTCTCATGGCATGCCGATAATACCACCACCGCCAAGTAATTGGATTTTTTTTTCCCTTAAAAAATTAGGAAGTAGAAAAGTGGTCTTATTGCAGTATACTAATACGATCCAATGTAGACACAGGGAGCAAGACGGTCCGGACAATTCACAGACACCCATCTACTGGCAATACTCTCTATCTCAGGAATCATTTCGTAATGATCTCTTTATTTTGATGCTCTGATATTTTGATTGCTTTAATATCCCCTGTGTTTGCTGGTCAAAAGTCCCATCGAGTAGACATTCAATGCAGATTCTCAGATGAAGAGTGGCAATCACTCGAGATAATGGCAATCCCAGCATCATTTGTATGTGCAGGAATCCAAATGAACTTGGATTCTACTAGTATTTCCAAGAGCTTAACCTCCGAAACAGGTATGCGTCAATGATGTACAATACAAGACGCCTCCAAATGGGGCATCGACAAACTCGCTTTCCGTTATGCCAACACATATTTGCAGGTGATTTTTTTCCTCCTCCCTATACAACCAAATACTCCACTTCATCATTCTCCTCCCCAACATCAGTGCCTCCTGTGCTCCAATCATACCAAAACTCGTAGCTCATGACTGTATGGTCTGCGTACATGAGTATCAGGCGATACCGGCGAGATGGGTTCCATCCACGCCAGCTCTCATCCGGTTGATAGACGTGGGTGGCCCAGGCATGACATTCAGGTAATGTGAGCTGGGGTGATTGTCCCAGTTCTGGTGTAGATCCAGATCGACTATTAGATGAACGTGTACGTTTTCCTTTTGACTCGCCATCTTCATCAGACTTCATGGAATGCCCTATCCCGGTATGATCAGCAGGTATAGGCTGTGGAGTACCAGCCTCATCCTGGTTTGTATATTGATAATGGAATGTCAAATCTTTCTCGTGGTCTATCCCACGTGGGATGTAGGGTACGTCGGGGGGCATTTCGAAACCCTGGACAGGACTGACGCTCATGCCTAACAGAGGAATAAGAGGGCGATCACCATATTTTTCCTGGCTCTCGAAAGGAACGATCCAGTCGACTCTAAATGCAAGGCCAGTACTTTCAGATTCGGTAAGAGCGATTACTGCTGCACGCCCTTTCTGAGAAGCTGCAATCACAATACCATGTTCTGGGATGTATTTAACCATATTGAAGCGGTCACACGCTCGGACGGATACAATGGGATGGGTAAATGGCTGTCGAAGTGGAGCCCCGCAAACAACACTAGCATGTGGCGCAATCTGAGAAGGGATCAAACGGATATCGGTCTGGGAGAAGTGGAGGATGGGGAATTTAGGATAGTTGAGATTGGCAGTAGCTGGAGCCGGTGACAGAGCAGTTAGCCTGTCTGCCTGCTCATAGGAAGCAGGGTCACCAGGGAAGGCTCTGCGTAACATACGATCAAAGACTTGGTATGCAATAGCCCCCATTTCCGGCGCATCGCCGTTGCTCTGCTGGCCGTCATCTACATCGTCCATTTCTTGATCCTCAGGGCCATCATCCTCGTCAAGATCTGAATAATCGTCAATATTGTTGTTGAAGTATTCTTCGGCTCCAGGGATATCGCCACCTAGGGCTTCCAGAAGTGCAAACTGAAGAAACTCCGCCGTTGTCAAAGGGCCCTGTCCGGGATGATGAGGGATACCATTTGCGTTTGGGTTCGTGCCTTCTTGGACTGACAAACCGCCGTGTCCATTAGCATTTCCACCGTCCTGGTCAGTAGTATGCTGGAGGTCGTCATTCAAATCAACACTTGAACCCCTACTGTCCTGGCTCATGTTTTCTTCTTGTACAGAACCGTCGACGGCCCGGTGGCTAAAGGTGTCAGCAGAGTCTAGGAAACGGGCATTCCCAGTGAAAGTAGAACTCAAGTTGGCGCTTTCTGAGGGTAGATCAAGGCCTTGTGATGTACCAATGCGCGTGCTCTGATGAGGAAGCTCTGCAGCATCTTTGGCCTGGTGCTTGCTTGTCGAATGTACCGTCGACTGAGAAGCATTTCCTGGTCCACTAATACAGCAGTCGGGTTCAAATATATCCGGCAGCACGGGTTGTTCGGGCTCAGGCTTTACCGCAGGGGGGAAATAATTATACAATTGTGATGCATCTGGAATTCGAGAATTTAAGTTTGTCAGGTCAAGAACAGTTCGCCCACCCTTGAGTCGATGTTGTGGCTGACCACCACATGCGTCTCGGGTAGACTTGAGCGTGTGAAAAGTGCGAGGATCAAGGGCCAGAACAGCCCAGCCACGTTCACTACTGCGTCAATTAGCAAATCTTGGTTCTAAAGAAGGCCGTATCCACCTTACTCATTGTGGAGTGTCTCAGGGAAAGGTTTGAATGTGACGTCGTTGAAATGATAAACGTTGAATGGTCTCTCGAGACTCTCCCATATTTTCCATATAATGAGTTTGTTGTCGATATCTGTGCTGACCATCCATTTCCCGTTAGGATCCAGGTCACAGTTGAGAAATGAAACAGAAGGGATATTGGTGAAATGACCCGTGTATGATAGTTTTATATTGCGCGTGCGACGGTTCTCTGGCATAAGATGTTGCAGTTGCATGAACTGGGTGTTATTCTTGATATGCAGCCAGGTTTGTCCATAATCGGTGAGATCTTCCTCTTCTTCGAACGAGTCGCTATGTTTTTCAGAGACAGGGTTCACGAGCGCAAATGCAAAAACAGTGATGAGGCCCGTGTTGGCGCTCACCGCAATAAGACGAGCAAACTTGTGTATAGCCAGTCCCCATGCACTGGCGTCAACGTATTCAACGAAAAAGGGGTCAACATGAGAACCATCAAGAGGCCGCTTCTGATTGCCACCAGCAGCGCGTTCCAAGGCTGAGTAGATAGCCTCAACACGGTAGCCACAGATGTTTCCCGAATCAGTGGCAAGAAGCAGGACTTCATCACGACCTAAATCGTCCACGAGGATGTTATTGATTGCATGGGGAGCATGGGGCATTATGTAACCTCCGCTATGAGGGCTTCTCATGACGGGTGTTATTATCATTTCAGGCTTGGAGCCCAGGATTTGAAAAGACCCTGATGGCTCCCATACGTAGATCTGATGGCTGTACGCAACAAACAACAAGTTACGACGCTGGGAAAGTGCAATCTTCAAAACAAAGTAGTCAGAACTGCGATCTATGGTGGTACAAAATGTTAGAGTCCGGAATTACCAGATTGTTTCGCCATGTCGCAGTCTGAGGAGGAAATGAGTCCTCTGCCCTGCATCATCACTCAGTACTGCTAAAATTGCGGTCGGTATGGGACTCACGAAGAGTACTGATCAGCAATGTTAGCGGCGATGAATAACAAGATAAGATTGGTCTATTTCTTCCAAGACGGGGTTCACGCACTCTTTTCGCCCCCTTCTCAACATTCAGTGGCCTGAGATGCAGCCCTTCTCGGGGGCGGGTCTTGCGACCAGGCGGCCCTCCATTGGCATCGCCATTGAACGCCATGTTCAGCGGGCTACGGCTGCCTTATCCGGAGACTGGTTGTTGTAAGGATAATTAAAATATTTCAACAGATTGGTTGATGGAATGCTGAGGTTCACAATGAAGATAATGATTTAAAAAAGACGAGGAAGGTGGTGAGGTGATGTTGTCATGTCAAAAAGAGCACGAGGGGTATATGTATCAGAACTGACAAGACATCGACATTTATAGCTTGAGATCTATCGTTTTGGCCCATTTGCGGTGAACATAATCAAGCCCTGGTAGGACAGAGCAGAAAGGAATAATGTTCACCCCCATACATCTTGTAGTTCTGGATAATCGAAGCTGCCATTGCCTCTAAGCTTGCGATGAAGTCAGTCCAATGGTGTTTGTGGGTGCCTTAGGTTAGCTAGTAGCGCACGTGCCACATCTGGGATGACGCCGATTCACATTTCCGTTCAGCTTCGTCAAACAACAAAGAAGCAGACCAGCAAGAAAACTTCTGCGCAGTATGGACTTGGTTGCTGGTGTTCGTAAAGAAGGCAGCCGGTAAGAGAAATTTGCAAAACTTCCCCCTTTGTTTTAACTGCTCCCAAGCTTACATATTCTTTCTCATAGCGGCGGCCGCAGCGAATTCAAATGGTCTGATGTCAAAGACTCCACGCATCGCGAGAATTACCTCGGCCACTCTGTCATGGCCCCTGTTGGCCGGTGGCAACACGGGAAAGATCTAAACTGGTACGCAAGGGGCGATGAAGATGAAGAGGACAGGGCCAAAAGAGAACGCGATGAGATACAGCGCGTCAAGGAAGCAGAAGAGGAAGCAATGGCACGGGCATTAGGTCTTCCTGTACCACCGAAGAGCACAAATGCCAATTTAACGCCACTTGGTGGGAAGGAGGTTCAGAAGGCAATCCACGACACCACAGCCGATGAAGACCTGGCAGGCGACGGAGCTGAAGGAAGGGGAATTGGATTTGGTTCATATCGAGGTGGAGCGGGCCCTATGCAGGCACGAGGTGACAGCGACAAACTAGAGGCTGTTGGAGTAGCCCCGGATCAACGAGGAAGTCGAAGCAGGCGTGAGCGCAGTCGAAGCCCAAGAGACCGGAAGCGAGATCGTGCCGGCGACCGAGACAGGGACAGGGACAGGGATCGAAGACATCGCAGACACCGCGATGAGCGAGAGCGTGAGCGCCATCATAAAAGCCACCGACATAGGTCGAGATCTAGGTCGCGAGATCGTGAGCGCAGAAGACGATCCCGCTCGGGTTCCAGGAACAGGGATAGGAAGGCATACGACGACGAACGCCGGAGGCATCGGCATACAGACCGTGGTCACCGCTCACACCACAGAGAGAGGGATACAGACTACCATAGCCGACGTTGATTTTTATACCCAAGGAAGATTCCATCCCTACGCGTTGGTGTTGGACGTTTTGGTAAGCGAATAGTGTACAAGTATCTTGTGTTGTAATTCTCTAGTTTATACCATGTACTATACAAGTGTTTATCTTGTAGCCTTACAACTCGTCATGGCCCTTCTTTTCGTTGGCCAGGTCGGGCATAGACATCATCTTAACGACCATACTAGTCCAGCCAGTGAAGTGTTGCGTCCGCTGTCCCTTGCCAGTTTCAGGGTTGTACTGTTCCCAGGCAAAACCGGTTTCCTTCCATTCTTTGAAGACATTCTCAACCAAGTTCTTGCGCAGTCGAGAATAGATTTCACGGGCCTGGTCTTGGTGAGGGCCAGATGTGGTTGCGGTGTCCTGAATTTGGTCAGTGGGATTCACGAGTTGGGTTTCGTTAGTACTCACGTAGAGGTTTTTCACGACCATGTAGTTGATGTTGATCCACACAGGGCTTCTCCAATAGTTCTCAGCAGTGCCGTAGAACTCGTCTTTCTTGCTCAGGCTGCGAATACCGTAGTCGCTCCATAGCTCTTCTGGATCGCTGATCAAATCCAAGATAGGCTTAAGATGAGGGTGGTTAGGGCCCACCATGCCGGTGAGGAAGGGCATGATGGAAATGTATCCCTTATGGCAGACATGGACACTCTCTTCGTACTCATCAATGGTCGCATCGCAATATGTCTGCGCCTGCTCGTCCCAATGGAGATCGTCGATGTTTCGCTCAATCGCCGTTTCGTAAACCTTGAACTCTTCAACATCTTCAACTTCTCCAAGATTTTCAGCAATACGGCGAAGAGAACGAGTCATCATTCCCATCCAACTGATCAGATCCACGTGCAATTCACCGGGGTGAGGGGGCTGTGCTCGAGGGTAATCGTCCAAGCCAGATGTCAAGATATGCTGGACGGAGCGTCCACGCCAGCGGTAAGCTTCTCTGGTAGAGAATGCCTCCCGGTCATAAGACTTGATGTCACCTCCCTGGGTATTCCTGTACCAGAAGTAGTGTTTCTTGAGCAATGGGTAGAAGGAACGGATGAATGCATCGCCCAACTCTGGGTGTTGCACATAGATAGACCCAACGTTTTGGGCAATATCTTGATCAGAATATTGGTCCAACGAAGCCGCCTGGTTTGCCTTCACTTTATCCATAAAAGCTTCCAAGATCAGGAAAAGAGTTGGCGGATTGGCATAGTGAGGATACTGGATGGTGAACTCAGGTGGCACTTTGCTGCGGGCCTCTGAACCCAGGATTTGCTCACGAGCAATCCAACCATCTTCATCCATCAGATTAAACCAGCTTTTCACAATCTCGAGTCTTGAATATACAAGTTAGCAATTGAATCCACATAGCACCAAATGCAGGTGCAAAGAGAAAACGTACGCAAGATCGATATCCCAGTCCACGATGGGAATTAGGTGGAAACCTTCATCCCACAGGAATCCTCTGGGGAAGAATGGACGAGAGGGAACGGAAGTAAATAGGTCCTTTGGTCCTTCAAGAACAGGCTGGGCTCGGGCTCTTGCCTCTGCTGTCTCTTCCCAGAAACCTTCATTCTCCTCATCATACTCCGGTGCTGCAGAGCGATCGACGATGTCGTCGCCGTGGAAAAATCCAATACCACCGACCAGATTCGAAAGCATCGCCTTGGAAAACTTGGAGTACTCCGCATTGTTGAAAGGGGCCTTGGGAGCGAGAATGTTGTCAAAGCGGTTAGAGAATGACATGGAAGTGGTGGTAATCTCTTTGGTAAGGGTCTCGGCTGTAATATTATGTTAATAAGGCATATGAAATGGATATACTGGGCATATCCAAAGGAATGGGGTCTTACAAGTCAAGGGTTGTGGCGAGGATCCAGAAGAGAAGATGACATCAAACTAGTATTTGTTAGTCGTGAGCCGCTATGGGTCAATAGGTCACCACATACCTCAAAAGCGCCCTTGAAGACCTTTTGCACCATATGAATATTACCTTCACCTGGAATATGTTTGATGGTAAAAACCTGCGAAGGAGGTGGGGGGTTCTCAGCCCCGTACTTCTGGATGCACTCGCTGACTTCATTCTTCATTTGAGAGAAAAGGATGACTAGATGCACCGTTAGTATCGACCGCCGGCATTTTACTTGATTTGTGATATAAAGGCGACTGACCTTTTGTCTGCCAAAGGTGCTCCGCTGGAATAGTAGAACTGGAGACCAAAGTGCGGTGCAGTGGCTTATCCTGATAACTTGGGTGGTCATGCTCAGGATGCTCATTGCTCTCTGGACCAGCAGTCACATCAATTGAAAAGTCTCCAAGGTCTGGTGTGAAACCTGCCAGTTTCACATCACCATCGAAACCAAGAGCCTCGGATTCGGTGGTAACTTCCAGGTTACCCAACCCCTCTAGAGCAGTGTAAAAGACCAATGAAGTTGGCTGGTCCTCCGAGGCACCCTCGCGAGGAACACCCTTAATCCGAGCACCCCAGTTGCCTCCCTGCTGTCCACCAGGAACCTTGATAAAGTCGATTGTCAAATCCAGGGAGTTTTCGGCGTCGTGGATCGTCTGGCGACCACCCTTTCGAATATCGTATTCGTCCCAGCCATAACCGGCCATGCCCTCATTTTGTTCGCATGTGTGTCTGAAATCTTTAAGATGGTTAGTACAGATGAACCCGATACTCAATTCAATCAATTGAGATAATAAGCACTTCCGGGCACATACTCTGCTGGGCAGTAGCGAAATCATCCACTTTGGCCCAAAGCAATCCCGAAAACAAACTGTTGGCAATTCGAGGCCGGACCCCAAAATAGAGGTTAGGCTTATAGGGCCCCCATAGTAGAGACTCGTTGTTCGCTCTTGCGGCCTCTTTCGTCAGACCGGCGACATCAGCGGCGGAACCTTGGCTAGCAATAATCCCGACGGTATAAAGCAGTGATGCTAAAAGGATAGATATATTCAAACGATACATATTTGAAAGAAAACCATCCAGGCTGTAGCTGCAAGCCTCACAGATTGAGGATGGACATATGAAGTGAGTTGCAATGAAACTCTCCTGGTTAATAGATTATCTGTCATGAGCGGAGATGTCGCTCTCCGCTCCGCACAAATTACGTGGCCCAAGCTTCTCCTCATTCCTACGCAGTACGCAGTAGCTAGAACGTCTACAGAAAACAACAGTTAGAACGAGGGGGCTAATTGCAATCTACCAGAAATGGTGATTAATTGATCTTATATAATTACTTTACAGGAAGTTTCTCGGATCTAAAGACCCAATCTTCGCGCTCTTAGCGTTACCATCAAACACGAATTCACTGATGACCTTTCCAGTTCCAGGGGCATTCTGAACGCCCCAGCAAGTATGGCCAGCAGCAAGGTATAGTCCCTTGGTTCCGGTGTGTCCAACCAGTGGGCCTCCCCGGATGGCAGCCACGTTCGGCAAGTAGCAAGCCTGACGGGCGGTGATCTCTCCATCGCGTAGCTCATCAGAGATGCTGCCCACCTGATTAAAGATATCCCGGCATCGTTCTTGATCCACCTCTACATCTGCCGAGGTTTCTGGGAGAGGCACCTCATGGTCACCATCACCGCAGGCATAGACCGTGTCGTCGGGACGAGCGTAGATCTCGGGGGAAGCCACTGTTGCTCGCGACCGCTTTGATGGATCAAAGTTGGCTGGCATCTCGATGTTTGTGAAAAGAGTGTACGCGCTGACTGGTTTGGTGGGTCGGATGACGACGCTATGTGCGCGCATAGAGGATATGGGGGCTTCTGGTAAAATCGACCTCGTCCAAGGGCCTGCAGAGACGATCACGTCTGTTGCTGGAATAGTACGGGATTTTCCGGTTTCATTTTCCGTATAGGTGACCGACTCAACAGAATCGTTCGAGTAGCCAATCTTTTTAACAGATCCCAATGTGATCTTTGCGCCTTTTTCTTCCGCAAGCTTCGCAATCGAAGTAGTGAAGAGATAGGGATGAACCTGAGCTGTTTCGCCAGGGTCGCTCATGCTTTCGTATTCCCGCCAGAGTTCTGGCGCAATCCAGTCCAGATCCTGAGGAACTCCAGCAGACTTGAGTTTTGAAAGAGCAGCCGCACTTCGCTTTTGTAGAGAAACCGAGCTCCCACTTCTTGCTCCGCCGCCCTCTGCGTTTTCATCACTCAGCGGACGGCCCTTTGCGACGGCCTGACCACACCCGACCTCTCTGTATCCCCATCGCTCTTTACCATTGTGCTCTTTGGCCAATTCTGCATGCAGTTTGTAACTCAGCGGTACGATGTTGCTGGGGTATGCCCATAACGCCAAAAGTCCTCCCGCTTTGCCCGATGCCCCACCAGCGATTTCTGAGGCTTCGAGCAGAGTGACTGAGTGGCGTGAAGGATCAAAGGATGGGTGTCGTGTTAGGTAGTATGCTGAACAGCATCCGATAATACCACCGCCTGAGATATGTTAGTCTGTGTCAAATGTGGATGAATATTTGGTTGTGCGGGGTAGAGTTCAAGGCAAGTCGATTAAATCCATACCAACGATAACAATGTCGCGGCGTTCATTTGAGGCCGACATTTTGCAATACGGCGCAATTCTCGAACTTAAAGCTCTGATTGAAGCCACTATGGCAGAATAGTGTTTTGGACAGAGGCTGGAGTTTGGTGCCGATAAAACAGGATGGTTTACTGAGGCAAATACGTCACTTTTTGGGATAGAACCAGTCATGTGCCTAGCCGCTCAATATTATTAACCAACTGATAACTTCAGCAGCCATTGCTTTGATCTATCAATACGATGTAGCTCTAGGTATCTTTGCCGACCTTTTCATTTTCTGATCTCATTTGATACCTGAATGATCATTCTAGTAAGACTGTACAATCGCCATCAGAAAAAATACAGACGCAAAGAGAAGCAAACAAACAATAAACCCTGCTCCGAGAATGCATGTAATTGCCACAAATAAATAAGGATCAATTAAGTCCGACACAAGAGAAATGGGATAGGAAAAGAGAAGGAGAGGTATAGGGAATTAGATAATGCGAGACAGAATTTCTCATGTGTGATGTTATCAAGGACTGAGCGGCCGATTGAATCCTCCTAAGCGGTTCATGTACTGTCTGTATTCTGTCTTCTTCTCCTTGCGCACGCCATATATGTCGTTACCAGGTACCTTGGTATTTTTCGTGCTCCGGAAGCGTGCAAAGCCCATGCTTCTGCGCATCTGCTCTTCGATATCATCGTCGTCAACTGTATCATCTGCGTCCAAATCCATCTCATCTCTGGCCCGATTTGATCTCTGTATGTCTGACGCTCCGTTTGCCTGAGACCGAATATCCCTGCGATCGTTTCTGCGGTCCGGTCTAGGGCCTCGAGGTGGTGTCCTAGATCTATCCCGGGTACCATTGCGGACGGGCGAGCGAGAGCGGTCACGGAATCTATCGCCTTTCCCTGTATGATCGTCAGAAAAAGACAAGCCTTAAACTAGTACACCGATGTAGCATTCCACCTACCTCGTCTATCGTAGTATCTTTCGCGGCTGGCGCTCCTTTCTCGGTCTCTTGGTCCCCGTCCGTCCCTATCTCTGTCTCTCCTGTCGCGATCTCTAGATCTGCTCCTTTCTCGCCGTCGGTCTCTGCGATCCCTTGAGCGAGAGCGAAATCGTCGGTCATCGCGCGGGCCGCCACGTCGTCTATCGTCTTTAGAATACGGGTCACGCCTGGGACTTTTATCAAACTCCGAGCTTGGCTCAGGCGACCGGGTCTTCCTTTCATCCATGTCCCACATGGTTGAGCTGTCAACTCGCCGAGCACGCTTTGCAGGTGGTTCCGCCATCTTGATCAGTCGAAATGCGGGTGTTGCCCGGTGGTTTGAGTCTGGTAGTACAAATCGATAGCAAGGTTCGTTGCCTCTGTAAATCCGATTCAAGTATCAAAAGAGAGTAGATGAAGAAGTTTATCAGTTGATTAACTCATTACTTTTTTTTGGTCGCTAAAGGGGTATCAATTCATCAAGACAACGCTGATTTTTGGATTTCTTGGGGTTGCAGGAGCTCGGGTGAAATTGCGCGCGTGAAGTTTGTTACGGTCGTCCGCTTGGACCCACTGCGCCGTTATCCCCCAAAGAGGCTAGCCCGATAGTCATAAGAACAGAAATCCTGCATGGAATTCTTGGTTAGTCAATATTATCGATAAAGAGGGCTTTTGAAGCCGATGGGTTAGATGAACAGAAATGATGGGCTTCAGGCTAGGTCAACGTCTCATCAAATAAATATACCGCTGCACAAGAGCGAAGAAAGCCTCAAGGTGTTCAGAAACAATTGAGAATCGAGTTTTGGAAGAGCCAGTAGGCTTCATCCTATCTATACATACTTACTGCAATCTGAATATGTGGATACCATGGAATGCCTCTTGGAGAAGGTTGATATCCTGAGGCACATCCTTTGTCATGATAAATTGTTTTCTTCTCATGATAGAACTTACTATCACTCTCTTTGTAATTTTTCTTCATTTCTCTTTTACAGGCCAGACTTATATTGATGCACTTGCCCGTTGCCTAATAAGGATTGTGACTATTCAGTGCTGCGAAGGCAACTGGACACACTCTCTCAGCACTGGGATTTCTATTGAAGTTTCCAGTAGACTCTGCTACTCTGGTCCTAGTTCCTAAAATTTCAGGATGTGTCATGCTGGCTTTTAAAAGCTAGCAAATGTCTCATTATTCCAAACTTTTGTCGATTATGTTTCTAAATTATTGGCAGCATATGCAGAGTACACTGGGCCAAATTCATCTGACAGCAGGGTTGTTTGATACGGATGAAGAGTGTGTTGATAAAAATGCCGCAGTTCAATATTATATTATCAACAGCAATATCAATGCATTCAATATGATAGTGCTGATATTTTTTACGGGCCTGAGTGCAGAGACATGAAGAAGGAATCAATGGTGAATGAGGTATAGACATTGCCGGTTGCAATTGCTATAGGCCAGAGGATACTTCCAGATTCAAAATCACCGGCCCGTCCCGCCGAGCCTCAACTCTAAGTGCGAAACAGGAAAGGATCGCTCGTTGCGCAGAAATCTTTGCGCCCGATCTCTTCAACCCCTCCATCGCCAACAAAACCCCACTATTATTATACCCAGGGATAAGGGAACGCCAGCTCTTCTTACGATTGACTATATTTCGGCCTAAGAAAGGCCCAGACAGGGAATCATGGCCCCCACAAACCTTTCTCATCGACAGACGCATAATTTACTTTTGATTTCGAAGCTTCTCAGTCTAAGAGATACTGCGTCACCCCTCACTCTCCTCCTCGATTCCCTAGAACAACCAGCCACGCCATTGGTCAAGGAATATCTACGACGTGCGAAAGTGAGACAACCTTTTCTATCCAGGAACACCAGAGATAAAACCAATTTCTTTCGATTTAATTTGCAAGTCGCAGGGCTGTGCTGACTACATAATAGCTATCGAAAGCCCATGTCACATTTGTTGCTTTCGAGACATTGAAGCGACCAGAAGGCGTGGATATCTTCGTCTCAGCTCGACGAAAAAGCCCATTAGATATTGCCAAGGAAGTTGGTGCTGGTTACCAGGCAGTATCAAACAACCCCTCGCGTCGTAAGTCTATCGCCTATCTTGATATTAATCCTCAAACGTGCTAACTTGCAGTAGGACGAGTTGTTATCATCGACTCTATCAATCCTCTTTTGGGTTCCAAGAATATTGACCCGAACTTCCACCTGCCGACCTTCCTAAGCTCATTCCTTGTCCCCGCCAGTCCCTCAGCACCCAAGGTGGACTCATCACTCGTCGTGACCTACCACCAGGATGTTCCAAGCTTTCCGAGCCAGCAGCCATACACACCATCGTATTTTTCTCTACTCACTTATCTCGCTACGACAATCATTACACTCCACTCTTTCTCTCACATTCTCGCTCAAAAGGCCGCTCGCGATCGCAGTCTCGCTGCCCCCGTCTTCGGACTCGAGGAAGAACAGGATGGTGTGATTTTGGGGAGACTAGACTCAGTTGGGAACCAAGCAGCAGAAGGAATCGCCCTCGAGATGGAGCACCGAAGAAAGAGCGGCCGCGGGGTGTTGGAATGGTACTTTCTCCCACCCGCCTGGAAATATCCGCCTCAGCAAATGAAAGAGATTGTGACGCTATTGGACGACCACCCCTTGTATCGTCCACCCGAAGAACCGGATACTGGAGCCGGCGATGAGGAGCCAGAGTCGACATTTGAGCTACGCCTCACTGACAGGCAAAGGCGTGACAGAGAAGGTGTGGTCTTGCCATACTTTGATGCACAGAAGGGCGATGGTCCTGGTGAAGGTGGGCGAATTTTATATGACATGGGTGAGGAGGATGATTTCGACGAGGAAGAAGATGAGATATAAGGCCTGCAAACTGCGCACAAACTGTCACTGTGGTATAATCTAATGGGCAGATTCCACGTTGCCAATTATTCTTATTCCACAGTGGTCTCCATTTTTCGGTCTCTAGGATATCTGCTAGGATATTCAAGTCATACGAAGATTGAATCATGCAGACTACATAAACATACTATCTGTGCCTTTTATATTGTGCCAGGAATTCGATGAATCACAAGTCCAGCTTGCCATCATACCCTTTGATCAAAATGACTGAAGCGCTTGAAAATGGGCGGATGGGTCCCTGCATCCACCGGAGAAATTAATTATGCATACATTCATACATTTGATGTTTCATCCAGAGAGCGCCTCGTGTGGATAAATTAGAAGAATCGCCACCAGATGAGGACGAGCATGATAAATCCGACTCCCGCAAATGGTCCATACTATGAAATGTCAGACACAGACTGTTGCCTTTTGCCTTGAAGATGGAGGGGAGACTTACCTGTTTCACCAACAACTCCCAGTTGATGCGTACTGCGGCTTTCCTATACTTCTTACTGTCTTCTCGCAGACGGCCCGACAATTCACCCATCCGTTCCAAGCTGTCTCCTCGGTACAACAGATCCTCAATATTCTTGGTCATCACCTTCGTGACATCGCGGAGCTCGTCGTTCAACTTGTCAAGGTTTTGTGATGCGCGGCTGTCTTGATAAAGCTTCTTGGTGCGTTGGATAAAGGTGTCAAACTCTACGAAAGCGTATGGTCGCAGGTTAGGCGAGTGATACTGTGCAGGCGAGTAGGTAGTGGTAAATTCCGATGCGACATCGGCGAGATAGGTGAAGGCAAGTTTGCGCGGGTATGAACGATCGCAAATGCATAGAAAACAGAGATCGTCTTTGACGAGGTAGCTTTATATCATTGTTAATTCGCATTTGTAGCCGTTGTGCGAGTAGGCTTACTGAAGATTATATTGACCGGACTCGATACTAGCTTGGGGTGCTGAGCTGCGACTTAATCGACGGAATATCATCTTCGCCTGAGATTTGATTTCGGAAAGTTCCACTTCTGCCTGAATTCAGTGGCACGGAATGATAGTTAGTCACGAGATATTAAATACAGTGAATGAGAGCTGAAGACTCACCTGTTCATCATCAACCGACGCGGCCAGCATGAGGCCTTTCCCTAATCATCAGCAAATGCATGACATCAACCCACTGCACGCTGCCCTTACCGTCAAGCCTTGCGATCTGCGTTGATTTGACCATCTTGCGAGATATCTCAGTGGTCTCACTGGGTCTTATTTTGACAGAATATCTGACAAGTTGTAGTTGACCGTTGCGTTACAGGAACCTGAGTATCCCTCTTGTTGTCCATAACTTGGGGATAATGACCCCTAAGCGCAAGGCGGTGGACGGCGGCAGTACAGCCAAACGGCCAACCAGGTGAGAGAGTCGTCGGAGTGAAAGAGAGCTACTTCGTCTAGCTCTCCACAGTCACAAACTGCTTTGTTTTTTTCTTGGAGAGAGAAGCTCATGAAAGTTATGTTTTAGAAGCCGCAAGAACTGTTCTGCTGATGTAGCGGAACCTAGTGACGCTGGCAAGTCCGGCTCCGCAATGTCTACAAACTCCAGACCCAAGCGAAATCCTAGGAGGGCCGTTAAAGATCGATGGGAAGAGCAAAAGCTGATGACAAGCGCGGAATCGCAGTTGATAGACCTAGATCTTGTGGTATGCTTTCCAAAATCTCTTTAAATGACGAAAGCTGAGTCGAATGGAATTTATTAGAAATTACTCGCGAAACCCGAATCATGGAATTTACTAGACGAGGAAGAGAAAAAGGAGATCGTATCCCTTCTTCCAGATAACATAAAGGCCCAGCTTGAACCTTCTCCTGACGACCCTGATGCCAAAATGCCCCCTATCCCAGAATCGTTTTTGCGTTACTCGAATCCCTGGCGAGACAGCATCCGCCAATTTCAATTAGATCTACAGAATGGTCGTTACGACCCCAAATGGCTGCAGCAGGCCGATGAGGCTATGCGGGAGAGGAGCGCTGGTAAATTTGACAATTTCAAGGAAATAGAGTTTGAAGAGTTTTGGGGCCAGAAGCAAAAAATGGACACAACCATTGCTGCGGGAGAAAGCTCTCAAGTGAAGTTGGAAACACTGATTGAAAATGGTCTTGTCCGTCCAGGCGACGTTTGGAAGCTGTCGCGTGCTTTCACCATGGGCAAAGGTAGGCGGGAGAGAGTTTTTATTGAGAAAGAAGGAAAGGTACGTATTTGACCAGAACCACCTCGACTCTATTTTCCCCTTTTCTTCTAATATCGTGATAGATTTTGGAAATAAATGGGTCACGCCTTACATTTCTTGTTCCGCCTGGTCAGCGCGTTTTTCTATCCCATCCACAGAGTAAAGCTGCTCCAGAATCAACCTCCATAAATGAATCGTCAGTCGGCGAAGAAACCCTCGCCAAACCAGAAGCTAGTGACACTATTGAGACACCTGCGCAGCCACACCTGGATACAGATCAAAAGGAAAAGGCCGCATCTTCCAAAAAGCGCAAATCCAGCAATGCACGTGGAGGGCCCAGGAAACAACAACAAGTAACGGAACAGGGAGAGAACGGTTCTGGAAAGCCGATCCCATCCCCTGAGAACAATGAACAGACTCTCGGAAGCTCTGAGAACCCCCAAAAATTTGCAGTGAAGATTAACAATCCTCAGCAGACCATCGAATCTCAAACTCATTTGGTCGTGATGGGTAGCATGGCAGCACCTGCTGAAGAGGCAAAGAATGGTGACCAAATCCCCACAGACACTATAGAAACTGTCTCCGGTACGGCCAAAAAGGGGCATTCACAATTGAACTCTCCGGCGGGCTCAACAAAGCAATTTGAAGAGATTATACTCGAAAATATTAATGGACCTCATTCACTCGAGATGAAAATGATAGCAATCGATGGCCGTATTGGGCACATTCCAAATGGAAATGCTTGGAAAGAATTTCGGTGCTACAGAAACAATCAGGATATGGGTAGTCTTTGGGAAATCAGACAGGCCTGGTTTATTAGGAACTGTGCCAAATAGGCTAGATCGTGGGTATCACCCTGGTCATTTCATGTATGTAAATTATCGACACCCCCTGTGTCAATTTTAGGGATCAATTTGAAATAAAACCCAACCTGGGGCTCTCTCTTGTCTATACTGATATCCGGCGCAATCATTTGGTCTCTTTTAAATAAGAAACGTTTTTCTAAGTTCATTTATATAGTATTAAATATTGTCATTACCTATTCCCATAGCCATACTATCATCCTTTATCGGCCGGTACTCGTCGGCAGCGTAATCAATAGCAAAACTCGCCTGGATGAAGTCCTCCAGTTCTTCGCTGACTGTCTTGAGCTTCTCCTTTACACTCGCAACACCTTCTTGCCCCACTATATGGCGTGATGGTGGATTCTCATGCCCTCCGATTGCCGTGATGGCGTATACAGTTTCAGCCACGAGGACTTCCATATGTGCTGAACTGAGAGGGGGATACGTTGATCGAATTTCGGGGGCCGAAAATGGTCCATCTCCGGCAGAGCTAGCATTACTGCTACTCTGTTTTCCGTTGTTGCTGTCTGTGGCTGGGGAATCTTCATCACTTCTGGACTGTATGTCCGGCAGACGAGGTACGAGTCGATTTAGGATTCCGCGGAATAGAGGCGCATGGTTGGCAGCTGGTGAATAGGCGGGAACAATCGGAGGCACGCTTGTGATCAGATTTGTCAGAATAGGAATTTCAATGCTGCTCTGGAAAATTGTGAGTTTAACGTTGAATGGCGCTATTTCGTATGCAAGGCTCTAGAAAAACATTCCAATTAGTAGCTGCAAATTTTTTTGAATCAAGTTATAGGTATATACTTACATCGCAGAATCCTTCAAGGGCCCAGCCTGCTGCGCAATACATCCCAAGTCCGGGTGTTCCGATATGTGCAGCTGTTAATTGTCAGAACTGATATTGCCCTGTTCGTGAATAAGTTGGTTCTTACTGATTCCTGAAAGTATCATAATATGCCCCGACTTTTGCGACCTCATATGAGGCAATGCAGCCTTTATAATATTGAGAGGGCCGAAGTAATTCATTTCGAATTGTTCTCGAACAAGATTCTGGGTATGGTGGGAGGCCGCGAGCTCCTCTACAGACCCGATAAGGGCTAGACGATGATTAGAGACGGATTGAATTCGAGACATTGATTGGACTTCATACTTTGACTTGTACAACAAAGGAGAATATCTACCTTGCCAAATGCCGCAATTGCTTCCGCAAGGACCGCTTGACATTCGCCCATCAACCTGCAACAAAGTAAGTACATGCATTCTCTGCTGAGATATCTCAGCCCTCGTAGATTCCTGTACACACCTATAGTCTAAAGGAACTGACTTCATCCGCTGTCCCCATCCCTCATCTTTGTGACTCTCAACCTCGGCCAGGAAGGCATCAAATCCATTGCGACGGCACTCATCCCGGTCGAGGGTCGAGTGTACCAATCCAAGTAGAGCATAGTCTCCATGCGCAAGGACTTGTCGAGCAACTGAGATACCAATGGGCGAATCTCCAGCAGTAATCAGCCAGACTCGAGGCTCACTATGGGAGGGGAACTGTGGGCGGGAGTAGTCGGGGGAGGGATGATTGTCCGCCATTAGGTTATTCACACGCCGGACATGCCCATCGCGCAACTATCTCCTAGAAAGTTGCGAGTCAGTCGAGCACAGACCAATTATTTTGATCGCGCGCAAGTCAAAACGTCTTGGTTGCTCGTTTGCTGATTTTCTTCGTCGCGGAGATGGGGTGGAGTTGGAGGGGAACAACGATGTCATTTCCGACGGGGCGAGAACACGGGCCCGCCAAGATAACCGCTTCTCGACCATCAACGGGTGCGCTGGCCTTTGTTTTCTCCTTTGTTCTCCCCATCGACGATATTCTCTGTTGTCAAGCACCCAGAGAAAATATGCCTGAGCAAGTTCAGCGTAGGGAGGAGCAGGGGTCAAACGTGAGTTTGCGTGATACTGTCATTTGCGAAGGTCTCAGGCTGACTGACATTTATCGCTCTTCTAGTCCGGCTTCAAGGGTGCCCTTCAGGGACTGGGGTTTTTCTTGCTGGCCCAGTTTTTCGTCGGCCAATTCTTTGGAAAACAGCAAAATGCGACATCTGGCGCGCAGCCTGGTGGCATGCCTTCCTTTGCTGATCGTCCAGCTCTGAGCGAAATCACGAACTACAGTCCTGTCCCCGAAGTTGTTGCCCCAATATGGCCTGCTGACAGTGCCTTGGATATGAACATCTACGTTTCGCCATCTCTGATACTACCTACCTTCAAATCCCTCCCGCAAGGCTCTCTTGTGTTGGAGGAGAAGAATTTCACGATTGGCAATTACAGCGATAGTAGGGAGATTGACACTACCATCAAGATTCCTAAGGAAGTTCAGCAAAACGGAACACTCTGGGCACACTTTTACGTCGGGCTTACTGGCCATCAACTCGACCCCTCCGCGAAAGACTACAGCACTGATAATGCTATCCACTTTTTCCGTCCGCTCAACCAGTATCTTCCCAAGAAAAAGGTTAAGAAGTTGAAGAATCTCCTGGCTTCTGACGAGGCTGAGGAGGAAGCAGAGGATAACACACCCGATGTACAGGTTGTATCCTACTATCATCCGAACTTCACTGTTTCCGTTATTCCCGATTCTGGAACCCAGCAGTATCGCCAGGTTCACCCCGCCGTGCGACAGCATATGCTCCTGGAAGCGACTGGCGCCAGGGACCTGTCTGGCCAAAAGGGGTGGTACTATCCTATCGTTTTCTTGAACACCTTCTGGCAACTCAAGACCCATATGGTAGAGTTGAACTCGACAGTTGATACCATGCCACTGCGCATCACTCTTAATAACTTGCAGAACTGGAAGTTCAGCATGATGACTAGTGTTGATGAGGGTGCGAAGCAGAACGCTCGGCAAGCTGCTTACGGCGGCTCGACTCCCGGCGGCGGTGACGGCAGCGAGTTTGAGATGATCAAACAAGTCCTCTTGGATACAAATATCTGGCTATTAGGTACAACCGGGGTTGTTACTATTCTCCACATGGTGTTTGAAACGCTTGCCTTCAAGAACGACATTGTAAGTCCCCCATATCCATATATTCCTCAATCTGTGTTACATAAAGCTAATTATCACTCAAGTCCCACTGGCGCAAGAAGAAAGATGTCGTCGGAACTTCCGTCCGTACCATCTTGGCCAATGTCTTCATGCAGGCCGTTATCTTCCTGTATCTAATGGACAACAGTGAGAATACCTCCTGGATGATTCTTGCTAGTCAGGGATTCGGTATTCTTTTGGAAGCGTGGAAAATCACCAAGACCGTGGACGTGCGCCTGCGACCTCCACCCAATAACTCCTTCTTCTCTTTCCTTCCTTTCGTGGTGGTCTTTGAAGATAAGCATAAGCTCACCGAAACCGAGCAAAAGACCAAGGAGTATGACGAAATTGCTTTCCGCTGGCTCTATATCCTTGCTGTTCCTCTCCTCGGTGTGTATGCAGCCTACAGCTTGGTCTATGAGACACACAAGTCGTGGTACTCTTATATCATTGAGACTCTTGTCGGTAGTGTGTACGCTTATGGGTTCCTGATGATGGTCCCTAGCTTGTACATCAACTACCGCTTGAAGGTTTGTGCTCCCATGCCGATGGTCACGAATAAGCTAATAAAGGTTCCTTTAGTCTGTTGCCCACATGCCAGGCAAAGCATTGACGTACAAGTTCCTCAACACTTTCATTGACGACCTCTTTGCTTTTACTGTCAAGATGCCATGGCTCCACAGACTTTCCACTTTCCGTGATGACATTATCTTCTTTGTCTGGCTTTACCAAGGCTGGAAGTACAAGGTTGATTATAAGCGTGTTAACGAATTCGGTCAGGGAGGTGAAAGTGATGAAGAGGAAGAGGAAGAGAAGCCAGCTCCTGTCGAATCGGAGAAGAAGGCCGAGGAATCTCCTAAGGCTTCTGGAAAGGAGAGCTCTAAGTCCTCTAACAGCAGCCGCAAGAGGAAGTAGAATGGGTCTTTCACGGGAGTCGGGCGACATGCTAGCGCTTTCCCGTCGAATATCAATGCTTCTTGCATTTCAAAGCCCTGGAGTTGACGGTTATGGAAATTGCGAAATTGAGGGTTATTTCAGCTTCTAGTGGTATACATCGAGTAGTCGGTGCTATCATGTTGGGGCTTTCGCTCTCTGATCGCTTTGATATATTTTTCTCCGATCAACTTTCGGTGACGACTGTGTATTTTACATTAAATTATTAATATATTAAGGGATCATATCAAATACCATAGCTTTAATTTACAGACTCATTTGGAACTAAATACTGTCATTTGTAGCATCAATTATAACATCATTCTTGGATTCGTATGGTTGTTGGTGTTGGCCAAATTCGGTAAAGTTCAATTTTCCGTCCCCATCTCGTGATGGACTGCCGGCAGAAAGGCAGTTTGAACAGAGCAACTTTCGACTACAAGTAATAAAGTCTTTGGTACTCAACGTTCACTAATCAATTTACTCGAGCAATTCCATTACTGACATTATATTGGATTGGGAAATTCTTCGCCCTATCTATTGAAGACTCAAAACGCGACACGCTTTGGCGGCACGCGGAGACCGATGATACTAAACAGTTTTGGCTGTCGCAATATTGTCGCAAAATTGGAATAATACAAGAGACTTTCATTTCGAATAAGCTCAAATCCAAGAAATCATTATCGATGTCATCCGACGACGGAAGAGGTCTGTTTCAATTAAATCTCATCTTGATCAGTCGTTGACAGGCCCCCAGAAACAGAGACCCGGCCAACCGGCCTGCTAGATGCAGTCGAGCATCTGGAAGCAGGTAAGACTACCCTGCTGCCTCTTGAGCTGGATCAAATAGCAAAAAGATCGCCTGTCTAACGGCAGTCTGTAGTTGCATATGTTCCGCCCAAGCAAAGATACACAGATGCTGGCCAGTTGGCCAAAACAATCGCTTCAGACGCGTATGAGAGTGGAATTTCTCGAGATGTTCTGGAGCGTCTCCTGAAGATTCTCACAACAGAAAATAATCTTGACCAAGGGACCATGACTACGTTGATCAAGAACCTGTATCCACTGGAAAGAATATCTTCCAAAGTGGTTACGCAGGTGGTGTGTTGTCTTGGTCCTAGCAAGAACAAACCAAGTGCTGCAACCCAGACTTTACTCTTGCGATGGTTGATTCTCGTATATGACTTTCTGGAGGACAGATCCTACTTATCAAAGCTCTATGCAGTGCTTTTTAATTGCCTAGATATGCTAAGTCTGCGGAAATCCCTGTGCCATCTCCTTTCTCTCATCACTCGACGAAAGCACGTCAAGCCTTTTCGTATCCAAGCTCTCATGGAGATGCTTGCATCTGCAAGTGGTGAAGAGAAGGAACTCACGAGTCTACTAAAGGTTTTCAAGAACTATTATCCCGATATCGTCCTGGGAGACCTTGGTATGAGAAGAACGGGCCTGTTCTTTAAGCATCCGGACCCAGAGTGGCCTAGCCATGTGAGACATCTTCAGGATACCAACGCCGAGAAAGCACAAGCGAATCAACCCTCAACATTTCAGGTTGTTCACCGTGGCTTGGTGAAAAGGACTAAAATGGAAGTCATCGTTCCAGATGTGCAGACATCGCGAGTATCACAAAACCACACGTCATTGGAGGAACTGCGCAGCGTTAGCCATTTCGTCGAAAGGCTCGACAAGATCGAACTGCCTAATCAAATAATATCTACCCTGGGTGACAATCTGGCCCAGAAATATTTGTTTCTGGTTAAACCAGAAGCTGCGAATCGCCGACTAGACGATTGGCTAAAGGGTTTCCTTAATGATAAACTGGAGCAGATTCAAGATGGGCACGAAGATGAGCCAGAAACATTAACTTACATACTTACGCTTGCTGTGGAGTATGTTCGCTATGCTAAGGTACGAAGTCTCTGATCGATTGGAACCGATTGCTTATCAGGCTATAGGAAGTCCCTGCTGCAGTTATCTCATTCCTCAAGGCATACCTCCTTTCATGGAATGGTAGCGACAACCTTGAGCAAACTATGCATCTCCTCGAGTATCTTCCTGTGCAACCCTACGACTCTCTGCGCAGCGAGATTTTGGAACCCCTAGAAGTTGCAGTACTGGATGAAACACTTGCTTCGAGGACCATCATACTTGACTTTTATTCTTGCTTAGTTCGCCAATGGGGTGTCAAACTTAGGACACAACCGGCGAACTCCCCAGAATCAAAGCCTCTCAGCAGGCTTATTGTGCATGCAGAACTTTTGGCACTATCGATTCTCGAGAACTCACCCACTGCACCGTATGACGACGACATTGGAAAATATAAACCCGGTACATTGGCTGTTGTTGAATTCTATTGCACACTCGCCGAATTATTTTCTTACGCGTCTTCGAACGGAAATATCCGCCTCACAATCCCCCTGGCTCCAACAGTTTACACCCTACTGTTCACACCGATAGACTCAGTAATTTCAATTATAAGCTCCGTGCTCGCCAGCTACAAGTCGTCTTTTGAATCATCCCTGACTTCTGAAGTCCTTCAAATGCCAAACTCCTCGGAATCCCTCTATCCAACAGACTTGGTAGGCCAGTTCAATGGCTATGTGATGGACATTTGCAATCTATTGTGGCGAAACCGAGGACTCAACGGAGAAGATGCGAATGCCTTAGGCTGCTTGATGCCGCCTTCTACCATCGCTGCTCTTACACAATACATTAAGGATTCGAACGAAATCGCTAGGGAACGGAAACGCGATGTTGTCTTCCACTACAACCTTTCCTCGATATTCTCTCTTGGCCACCATGCAGCGCTGTGCAATATATCCGCAGCTTGCTTTTCTGATATAGAAGAGGAGAATAAAATCACAGAAGGACAGCCAAAACTTAGGAGACCTGTCACCCAAAAGGCGCTTAACGCTTTGGAGAAAGAGGGAGGGGTCAAGATGACTTGGCACGAGTATAGAGTGCGCATGTTGGATTGGTTGGAGGCGGCAGACAGTCGCGGGATTGGAGAATTGATGCGAAGTACGATGAAGGCCTTACGTAAAGAGTGATAGGCTTAATGATTTGGATGATATGATTATTTGTTTCAATACACTTTTTGGTTAGAAATCATGTATTTCGTGCTGTTGGGTACTATGTACCCTCATGTATAACTATTATACAACGTTTGCTTGTATAAATTTGAATGAATGCGCCCAAGTGAATCCAGGCAAAATTTTGCCAAACGCCAAAATGTATGCTATGGACCTTTGTCCTATCTCTATTGTACAAAATCGCGCGACTAAATATACATGTCATGATGCGTGAAGATCTTGATAGACATAATTGCCTAAAGCTTCTCAGCAGTATTCAGATAGATATCTCGGAGACTGGGATCTTCTCGGAGAGTGCCCAAGAGATCTTCCAGCTCCTTGATCTGTGTTTCATCCTTCAGCTCGACCATGGTATCCTGGTTTGGGTCCCAAATGATCTCGAGCTCCTCGACCACGAGCCCAGTGAGCTTTGAAAAGCTTTCACCAACGCTCTTTGTTTCTGTTGGTTCAGTAAATATCACGAGACGGCCTTCCTCATCTGCCGTGATATCGGTTGCACCAGCCTCGATGGCCTGGTCTAAGTAGTCATCTGAATTTGACCCATCCTTTTTCTCAAACACTATTTTCCCCTTCTTTTCGAAAAGGTAAGTGGTAGGAGTTACAGTACCACCAGCATCTTTTATGGCATAGCGAAGGTCTTGTAGGACACGAGCTTTCTGATCCGTTAGGCATTCAACAACCGCCGCAACCGAATAGGGCAGCATGGCCTCAATTGTCACTTGCTCGAGAGCTTGTCCAGTAACGCTTATCCCCTGACCCCGGGCAATTGCCGCCTCAATAACCGTTTTTGGGATTCCGGCTCGCTTTGCGTTCGAGAGTGCAAGTGTTAATCGAGGGTTGTATTTGGTATCGGCTCCCCACACTGAGCATATTAGCATCGCATAACACACGAGTCAATGGTAGACAACTCACTCTGCGTAGCACTGCTGATTTCCTTGCTGACCATTGCCCGCTCCTTGCTCTTTGCTTTGTCATTCTTTGCCTTGTCATGTCTGATCGTCGACCATCGGTTGTGTCCTGAAAACAGTGCAGAGTAGCTGGTGAAGCCGCGACAGGAATCGCATACTGGCTGAAAGCCTACGCGACCCCGCTGCTGCAACAGCCCTCTGCTCACAATTGTTGCCATTATGATTCCCGAAGCCCCTGCTTCACATTGCTCTTGTCGCAAATCGACTGCAGGCTGACTTCATACATGCGGATCCGGACCGACGGTTTCTCCGCTGCCCCCCGGCCGGAGTTGAGGACAAGTGCCCCCCGTACGAGACGGCGATGCGAGCGGACAATATTAGGAGAGCATTGTTCGATTCGACGTCAGGTTAACCAATTCCCTTTCCTTCTTTTCCTTTTATCTATCCTATTTTTTAATTCACTCTTTTCTTTACACGGCCTTATGATAACACCCTAATTGAAATTGCCAAATTCAATGTCTTCTGAAAACGCCGCCACATCTACATCCTCCGACAATGCGGGCCCCCGTGCGGAGCTGGATATCACGAAGCTCCATGCCCTCCCCTCCGAACAACAGGATCTTTACCTGCTTACATTCACATCGGACCTAGTGCAACACATCTCAGGATTGGATGGAGCGCAGGTGTCATCTCAGCAGAAGTTCTTGAAGAAGGAACTGTTCAAGATACTTACACTTCCGTCGCCGACGATCACACGAGTCCTCCGCAACAACCTAGGACGATGCTCTGGGGCTATACTTGGGAAGGGAGACCGGGGTATACTGTTCGAGACTATAACGGAGTTACTGGGCATTTTAAATGCGGGGAAGAGCGAGGCGGACATCAAGACGAAGTTCGCCGCGGCGCATTGTATAGGGGAGGTCTTTGCGGTCGCTGGAGAGAGTGCTTTTGCGCAGTCAGGGGCAGTGGTTTCCAGCTTACTCAAGCTGTTGAAGCCGTCCAGTAACCACACAGGTCTTCGTGGCTCAATCTTTGCCGTGCTGCGCAAGGTAGTTGTCGGCGTTGGACTCCCTGTTGATGAACCGACAGCTAGAGATGTTTGGAAACAGGCCCGCAATGCAGCAACCAGCGACAAGTCGACTTTCGTCCAGGTCCACGCCTGTCGCTGCCTTGAGCAGCTGGTGAAAACAACACCATTCTTTGACAACACGAGCGACCTGGAGAATCTGAAGACCGTGATCTGGAAGATCATCGATAGCCCCGTGGCTCCCGTCCGACATGCGGCTGCAGCTTGTTTAGCTCGAGCATTGGTGAAGCTCCATGCCATGGATAACCGAGTTGCGCCTGCCCCAAAGCCGAAGAAATCAAAGAGGCAGTCCAAGAAACCGGCGCCTAGACCCGGCGACGATGAAGAGGAGGCGGAAGTTTCTGAAGCTTCTACCCCTAAAAAGGATACGCGCTTATATTTCCTACTCCCTGATCTTCTCCGTCAGCTGTCTATTCAATATTTGAAGAGCACAACTTCCAATCGCGCACGGGCGGGTATTGCTGTGTGCTATAAGCATGTTTTGCGCAACCTCGGGGACAAGATCATTGAAGAGCGGTATGGTCAGATCGCGGGCCATCTTCTTTTTGATCTCTTGAACCACCCAACCGTCACATATAATCGATTTAGACATCTCATGACTAGGAAGTTTATTAAGAGCATTCTGGAGGATACCGTTGGCCGCGAGTCGCTGCGAGAGAACAGTCAACTCAATGCAGCCAAGTGGTTGATTAATGAGGTTCTCAAGGATTATCCTCAGGTCATTCAAGAGCGCCGCGAGCCTAGCAAATATACTCTCACGAGTGCCCTTAGTGCGCTGTCTTCTTTGATTTCATCGCTTGGATCGGCCTTCGGTACTCTTGCCGAAGCTTGTCGCGAGGCTTTACTTCAGGTTCTCCCCCATCCGAGCTACACTGTTCAGATCCACGCTGCACACTGTCTGCGTGAATTCGTCCTTGCATGCCCACACCAGCTTTTGTCATGCGTGACGATTTGTATGAATAGTCTGAACAGGGAGCTTGGACAGCTATCTACACCACGACAGTCCCCGCGGCGCTGTGTCGGGTATGCAAATGGGCTTTCGGCAATGCTGAGCACTTCTCGCCTTCAGCCACTTTACGGCTCCGTTGAGGTGTTCTCCCGTGTATTCAACCAGGCAACCGATCTGCTGAAAACAAGCAGCAGCTCTGAACTGCGAACTGCAAGCACACAGATTCAGGTTGCTTGGATTCTAATTGGAGGGCTGATGCCTCTGGGCCCTAGTTTTGTGAAAATTCATCTTTCTCAGTTGATGTTGCTTTGGAAAAACGCGCTTCCCAGGCATCTTGGTAAAGAGAATAGTGCTCAGCGGGGAAATTTAGAGATGAGCTTTCTGACACATGTCAGAGATTGTGCTTTAAGCTCCTTGTTGACTTTCATGGAGTTCAACAGTAAATTGATTACGGCAGATGGAGCGAAAAGAATAGCTACATTTCTGGAGAACACAGTCACCTACCTCGATGATTTGCCAAAGCAGAAAAAATCTGTTGAAGATATTTCGCAGCGGCTTCACCCTTCATTACAGCTAAGTGACCTTGCAACAATGGTCCGTCGACGTGTTCTCCAATGTTTTTCGAAGCTTGTCCATATCCATCACCTTAGTCATGGAGATATAATTTCCCAATCTAGCCTTTTGAGTCTTGCGATAGCTTCGTTTGCTGATCCGGATTCCGCTCAAACAAATCCAATGGAGAGCTCGATTGCGGCCTCCAGTGGCCAATTTGACAACCTGTGGGATCTCTGCGATAACTTTGGTTTCGGGGTGACGGGCCTGTCAAGGGAATACATTGCAATGACTCTATCTGGGAAACATGAGAATGAGAATGGGCCATCTTGGTCTGCTGTGGACTCGGCAGATCAGTCCATTGATGATGCTGTAAGTTAACCTCAAGTGAATAGGTGCTCAAGTAGACCCTAACCCCTACAGTTGACTTTTCCGATTTGCCAGGCGAGCGAACACGATTCAGTTCTTCTCTACTGCTCAAGAGATGGTGACAGCATTGTTGCAGACCCACCTACAACTGGGGTTGTCAATGCTGCTGTCGATCTATTTGCTGTTGCTATTCCCCTTCATGCCCCTAAAGTCCAGGAGAGCAGCGTTGAGCAAATTGCAACCTTTCTTTCATCCCCTAGCCTCCAGCGGAACCCTGGACGCAAAGCTGCCATGGTCGTCAACATAGGTGTGGCATTGCTTCATGCTCTCAAGGTTGCTGTTAAAGACCTAGCCCCCTCGGCTGGAAAGTTGAATCCAGCCACAGACAAAATATTGCAAGAGCTTTTACAGGTGAGTTTCGTATGTACTTTGTAAAAGAAAAAACCAGTAACTGATCAATTCAGAAATTTGTCACCGATGCTGATCCAATTGTCCGTACCATTGGAGTTGAGGCGCTCGGGCGACTTTGCGACAGTTCTGGAAACGCCTTCACAACCACGCAAATCAACTGGCTTGTAGATTCCATTGTGGAAAATCGGGAACCCAACACCCGTGCTGGCTGTGCTGCTGCTTTGGGCTGCATCCACTCCCAAGTTGGTGGTATGGCTGCTGGTTTGCATCTCAAAACCATTGTCGGCGTTTTGATGTCGTTGTGCAATGATCCTCATCCTGTGGTTCACTTCTGGGCTCTAGGAGGATTGGAAAGAGTTGCAAATTCTGCAGGCTTGACGTTTTCTCCCTTCGTCTCTAGCTCACTTGGAATGCTGGCCCAGCTCTACAACGCAGATACACATAACGAAGAGGCAGTAACGTTGGCAACCTCCAACATTGAAATGTCCTTCCTCACACCTGTGGTTATAAGTCGTTGCATCGATTCTCTCATCAACGTGCTCGGGCCCGACCTACAAGACATCGCTAAAACACGCAATCTTATCCTCACTCTTCTCCGACAATTCCAGCTGGAAGATAGCCCAGCTCTGGTGACTGAGAGCTCCAAATGCTTGGATCACCTGTTCTTATATGCACCAGGGTTTGTGGACTTCTCAGGATACGTCAAGCGCCTTCAACAGGAACTTTCTTCGGATAGCCCGCTGATGAGAGATGTGGCCGTTCGTGCACTGAGCAATCTTATGAAGCGGGATGCTGCCTTGGTTATCCGAAATGCTACACCCACACTTGAAGAAGATATCTGGTTCGCTTTCGACGATTCACCTGACAACAGTTTGCTCAGAAGCATGATACAAAATTGGCTTCAGCAGACCGCTTTGGTTGAAACTGAAATGTGGATACAGCGTTGCCAAACTATCTTGACCAAAACGCGCCATAAAGTGGAAGATGTGCCGCAGACCGCACCACCCAAGACTGCCAATCAAGACATTCCAGATGATGAAGTTGCAGGCTTCGCTTCTGCGGTTACTGGTACAGGACCGACTGAGGCCAATGACGGCGTTTCTGGGCAGGAATTATTGAAATGGCAGACTCGTAACTTCGTGATGAGCTGTCTCAGTGAGCTATTGGAAACAGTGCAAGCAGCCATTCTACCAGACCAAACAATCCCTGCCGAACTTGCTCTTCAGCAAAACGTTGGAGATGTTGTCAGGATGGCATTCTCGGCCTCTACTGCAAATGTCATAGAGCTGCGAGTGTGGGGTCTGAAAATCATTGACCAAGTTCTTAAGGTTCGCCCGTCTCCTGTTTTGACGCTTAATCTTCTCGCTAACAAAGTATCAGATGTTCGGCAAAACCCCAGACCCAGACTTCTCCGAGGCGTCTCTTTTGGAACAATACCAGGCCCAAATTGGATCAGCCCTCACTCCAGCGTTTGCGGCCGACTCGTCAGCGGAACTGGCATCAGAAGCAATTAATGTTTCTGCCACATTCATTGCAACGGGAATCGTCACAAATGTAGACCGGATGGGCAGGATTTTGAAGCTTTTGGTCCTTGGCCTGGAGAATTTTTCTAGTAAGCTGCATCGTGACAACTACATTGACACTAGTGCTAAACAATCATGCAGAAAACCCAGACACGACCGAAATTGGCGACCTGAAGGGACTGAACTCGAATGCCAGAGTTATGGTTAAGATGGCTCTCTTTTCAGCCTGGGCACGGTTGCAGATCGCGAGCATAGAACAAGATTATCTGACTCAGGTAGTCGAGCCCTATCTTATAAGACTTACTCCACTGTGGCTCTCTTCCCTCCAGGAATTCGCCCGTCTGCGATTTGAGCCAGATATCTCAGGAAGTCTAGGCACCGGCCCGCAAGGTAGCGATTTGGACGAGGTTTATGCTGCTTTGAATCGGGAAACATTGTTGAAGGTAATTCATGGCTATCCAGCCGTGCTTATTGCAAAAGCTAACTTGAATCCCCTTGTAGTTCTACCAAGACTCCTGGCTTAATTTTGTCGATGCCATCGCTGGTCTTGTCGAAAAGGACATTGATTTCGTTTTTGATGCCCTAGATGGAAAGTCGAAGCTGACGGAACCCACCGAGTCAGAAAAGAACGAAGAAAGCCCTGCTAAGGTCGAACCGGAGGGTAAAGGGCATGATATCAACTATCGCGATGAACCGGTTGCGTTTTTCTTTGTCCTTTTTGGACTGGCATTCGAGGCCCTTGTCGACCAATTGACTTCACCATCGCAGAGAATGGATATTCTCCAGGCCCTCAAGAGAATTCTACGGCCAGTGATCTCAGGAAATGCGATATACCAGGATGCTATCTTCTCCGAGACAATGGATAGCCTGGATCGTCTTGTTCTGACTGAGGGAATTCCTATTCAAAATGTCATCGTTGAGATAGCGCGCAACTTGTCGCTGGACCACCCCGCAGCAAAGGGAGGTCAAGGGCGAGTTGAGCATCTTTCAGACGATGTGGAGCAGCTGTTTGAGCTAACTAGAAGCATTATTTTGGTTCTTGCAACGCTGTTACCTAACCTCCGTGACTCTACACCAATTGCTCGATTCAACGTGACTTCTGACGACTCTCTGTCTCTTACTCGTCTTGCACTTTCATCTCTAGTCGATGTCGCTTCGATTTTCCCATCGATTATTCGCAATGATCTTCATGCATGCATTCTGCACATATTCACCACCATTCTTGCGACAGGATTATGCCAGCAGCAAGTCGTGCCTCAGGCTCTTCCGATATTCAAACAATTTGTTCAGGGAATAGCCAATTCAGACGATGACGATGGACCTGAACGGTCTGAGAATCTTAGTGTTGTGTCACACCAGCTTCGCGGTTGTTTAACACGCTTCCTCGCCACTCTCACCATTGCTCAGCGACGAGAGTCAGAATCTTCTCTGCCGTGTGCCAAGAACACCCTTCTGGCGATTACTATTTTATTGACAACAGGAGGCCACCTCATCCCACCTCAAGACCCACTTATTATTCGAGTCCTTGACGAGTGCCTCGATTGTCTCCATGATGTTGGTCTTGCCAATGTAGCAGCAGGCTGCCTCCGCTCGATTCTATTGGCCCCCAACCCTAGATCACCTACATACGAGGTCGTTGCCAGATACCTGACACCCAGATTGATCGGTTTCCTGGTTGGCTGCCCAATGGAAAACGGTGAAGTCCCGAGTGACCCAGAGAACTCGAGAGTTGTTGTTGCACGCACACTAGTTTCCTGTGTCACCCATGGAGCATTTTCTACCGGTGAAGTGCCAAAGGCCATTTCCCTCGTCATGTCGGCCCTCCTTGCCCGTGGAAAGCGTGAAGGGCAAGCAGTACATCAAGAAACCGCAGCACACTTGCTGGAACTTGCAAAGGCTGACCAAACCACATTCAGGCTCCTTGTAGCCAGCATGAAGCCAGAGCAGAAAGCGTTGCTCGAGGAAATCCTTCGAAGCGCGGGTGTTGGAGCCGGGGCAAACAGAAACCAAAGAGACAGTGCAGAAGACGAAGGCCAGCAGAATATGCCGAGTATTGCACTGAGATTTGATTTCTAGTTTGATACCCAGGGGAGTGTTTTTTTTTACTTTGTTTCTTTTTCTTTTTCCTTTTCTTTTCTCGTTTTCGACATGAGCAAAATTTTGATGATTGGACGGATTAACAACATGAATGTGGTCCAGCATACCTGAATTCTGCTTTGCATATATAGACTCGAAGATAAATCAGTGTAATTGGCTTTACTGAACTGAAAATAGAAATATACGCATATTCATTCTGAACTCTGGTCTTCATCCTCACCCACCACTCTCTTTCTCTTTCCTTTTTTCGTCTCCCCAACGACTTTGTTCCCTCTGACTTTTCCAAACAGAGCGTCCAACTTTTGCTGTCCCTTCTCCTCTTTCTCAACTTTGACTTTCTCTCCAGCCAACACAGGTGGCAGTCCCTGAATGCGTCGTTTGGCGTCCTCGAGAAGCTCAATTTCTCGTTCTCGTTGAGCCTTGACCGTCGGGATAGACCATGAACCAGAGGAAACATTCTTATGCGCCAGCTTATATTTGGATCCAGTAAGGGCTGTTTCGTAGGTATTGGCGTCAATTTTCTTAACGTGCTAGGCAGACAGTTAGTTCCATGTCAAACAAGAAACACGCCAACAACACCAGAAAGATGAACATACCTGATGCCCAACAATCAACCAGTGATACTCCGTTCCAACCGGCGCACCACTTCCCCTCGGCGCCTTCTGCGCTCTCCTCTTACTCGTTCTATACTCAACTCTCCATAAATCTGGTTCTTCTTTGGTCTCTTTCCAGACGCCTTCGTCGTAGTTCCAAGTGTGGGAGCCGCCGATTGCCATGCCGGAGTATATCTGCCCTTTGTGGGATTTGAGAGTGTTGTAGCCTCTTCCTGTGCTGGTGTGTTTAGGGCGGTTGTCTTGGGAGGAGGGTTCTGGGGATGCTTCGTAGGTTGTGTCTTGGTCCTCGTGGATGGGATCGGGGGTTTCGGGCGTGGGTATGTCGTTCATATTGGTGTTGGTATTGAATATTATGAGTGGGTGCTTAGTATGTTATCTACTTTTAGAATATTTTGAATTGATATTTTAGCTGAACAGTTGATGATGGAAGTAGGTGGTGAGGATGTTTACATATATGACGTCATAGCCATGGTGGCCGAATTACTGGACAGCTGAATAGGTTGAAATATAATAATTGACATCAGTTCTCTGGTAAAGATCCATGTTGAATATATCTGCCACAATCATAGAATGATATCCTAGGGTATCGATATGCTCTATTATACACTCGCATAGTATGCGGAAACACAAGACACAGTTTGTATATGATGACAAAGAATGCAAAGAAATGTTGATGTAGTAAAGACAGAAGAATAGAATGAAGAAGACTGGGCTCTAAATGATGGTGGTTCTTAGCCCAAAGACTCACTGACATGGATGCCTGGGACTGAGGTGTCGGAGGTTGGGACTATAGTATCTTTGACTGGGTGTATCTCCGTCTTTTTCTTGACGACGACTTCTTTCTTCTTGTCGTTACTGTCTTGCGACTTTTTGACGGAGTAGTATTTGAGGAAGATGATGATCATGACTGGAAGAGAAGTTAGCATCAGAATTCAAGCAAATTGAAACAGAGGCACGTCCTACAAGCACTGATCGCAACAGCCATAGCAGCCCTTCTTGTCAAAATCCATCGGAGTCCTTCAATTTCGCTTTTACCATCGCTGTTTAGCGAAACGGTGATTTTGTAATTGAGTTCCTGGACCGACGTATCTATACTTCGCTGCTGCTCCCGGGTGGTCATTTTGTGATCATTGAACATCCCCTTGATGTCATCCTTCAACCCCGCAAGCTCCTGATTCAATCGTTGAGACAGTATGTCAGATTCGTGCTGCAATTGTGTCCGGGAGGCACGCTGTCGCTGTATTTCGGCATTTCGGGCAGTCTGAAGGGACGATTGGAGCTCAGAACAAGCGGCCTTGAACAAGTAGGACTCATTCTCCTCATCGGATTTGGAGGTCAGGCTCTGTTTTGCGAAGTCGAGGTTGTTCTGGAGAATGCGTCGAACGGCTTTCATGATAGTGACGGATTGGTCATCGGTAAAGGCACCTTTCGAGAGGTCTCGGACCAGTGAGTAGGTATCGAAATGGTGTACGTAAGGGGCGGGAGCCATGTGCGGAGGTCTGTTGTCGGAGCCCGGAGACCCAGACGGCGTCAAAAAGGCAGATGGAGAGGGCATATGGAAAACACTATCCAGAGGCGCTTGATCTTGGGGAGGAGGAGGAGGAGGAGGAGGAGGGGCATTTCGTTCTTCGTTCACGCGTTCGGAGGGAGATGCCTCTTCGGCATCGGGTTTCGCTTGAGCTGGTGCGGGCTCCTCTTTTGGCTCTGGCTCGGCTGGAGTATCATGTTTGGCTGAACGAGTGGTGACTAGATCTTCTGCAGCAGAAGGAGACTTTTCGATAGTGTCTTTCTCAGGGCTTTCTTGAGGTTGTGGTTGTTCAGGGGGTGCGGTGTCCTGCTGATCACTAGAGCTATCCTTTTCCGACGGCGGCGGGTTGGCAGCTGGTTGATCGCTTGCTTCGCCCTTTGGCCGATGTGGCGGAGGTAGGTTTGCCTCAGCTGCTGGCCCGTATCGCCGATGATATGTTCCCTGCTCACGCCGTCGAGTAGTATGGAAAGCACGCCGTGATGTTGAGCTGGTCTTGGGGGGAATCCGAATGGAGAGGTGGGTAGTCGGTTCGCAGGACCGGACGGCCCGCATTAGATTGGGATAGAGAAACGGGAATCTAGGCACAGCCATGGCTGATGGGAGGAAATTAAGACGGAATTAACAAGCCAAGCATAAGTAAAAGGAGCGTATGAGATTGAATTGAGAGAAGTTGAAGGTTGGATGGATGAATGAATCACCCGCCTTTTTTTCCCGCGGCCAAGTGCAGCAGCCGGAAACGTGACGTGGGCGGTGACGATCCCCCGCGGGAACAGTATCCACGTTGGCTGCGAATGACGGTGAGGATATTACATCTCATTCTTGGGATGGCGATGCAGAGTAGTACTGAGTAGTACTTGAGGAGAATAAAATAGGAATATATATGCCCGTCATACCATGGATGATTGGGTAAATCCCGTTTGTTCCTGATTATTCGTATCCACGGCACTGTACCTGCATGGACACAGGGATCATCGACTAGGGACAAGACTGCTATCAGAATAATCTATTTGTTAATTCATTCAAGCCATCGAGCAAGCCTGTTGCCCACAATAACGATATATACAGTATAAAAGGCAATGAAACCCTCGGCATCTTACTCAACACCAACCGCCAGAAGTCCAAATAATAACCTCGTGCGTCCCCAGTATTCTTGAGCTGCCTTTTCCATGGTTTTGGCCATGACCGGCGCCTTCGACCCAAGACTGCCCCGGAGCCTTTCGACAACTTCATCCAGCTCCTTTTGCTCGAGGTCCTTGGCTACTAGTACATTTTTTAGGTAGATAGCATCGAAAAATAGCTGAATCTTCCAGTCCTGGATATAATCTGCGTTCGCCTCTGGTTGTTCTCCGGTCGTCTTTGATTGTTCTGCGCTGGCCTCTGATTGCTCTGTGCTGTCATCGGCATCATCCTCGCTTGCCTTCGTTTCTTCCGTTTGCTTATCCTTCTGTTCTGATTTGATGGATGACTCCAGCCTGTCATGAGCAGATGCGAAGGACGTTGACATTGCTTTCTGGAGCAATTTCTTCAAAACCTGAACGGTAGATGGATCCCAAAGATCTGCACCAGATTTTTCCATGGACGACACAAGTCGGCGTATGTACTTGAATGTTGATGCTGAAGGCTGAACTGGTAATTCTGGAATGCCTTCCCATAGGGTCCGACCTTGCACCTTGTTTTGCGAGTTCGTTAACAAGCGCAATGGAGTCGTGGGAGCGACAACTTCTGTAGCAATCATTTCCTGTAGTTTAGGAACAATGCCGCCCGAGAAGGTAAAGTCATCCGAGATGAACTCAGCAGGGAGATTTCTCCGAACGAGTCTAATGAGCCGAAGCAGGAATGCAGCCTTTGCATTTTGGTTCGAGTTCCCAAAAGCTTCAAAAGTAACGCTGAATGACGATTGAAGATCATCAAATGCTTGTCTGGTAGCTACTTGAAGTGCTTCTCGTAATAAATGAGGATCATCTTCACTCAGTGTGGCGGTAATATCCACATCAGGGTCCTCATCTTCGCCATCATCAATTATGTCAACCCATCTTGCTCGTTTCAAGTCCTCGATAGACTCCCTGGCCCCTTGGATAGCTGAAGCCCAGATTCGATATTTCTTCAGCACTGTAGAGATATCCTCATCCTGACCAAGTAGTCTGTCCACAATAGCTTGTTTGAAAGTTGCAGCACCATTTGAGTAATCCAAGGAGATGAGGCCAGGATCCCATAGTGACTCGGTATCAGCATGCTCTTTACTATCCCAGCTAGAGATAATGGACGAGATGTCTTTTCCGAAGACCTCCAGTTTCTTGGCTTCTTCGGATAACACTCTCGTGAGCTGCCCATTGAAGATAGACCGAATTCCTTCCAGTACACTCAAAGATGAATGTGTTGGCGTGGAGCTCCACGAGCTGAGCCAGATCTCTAATGTCTTCTTTCGAAGTGATAGGAGATCGTAAAAGTCATGCCAGCTCGCCAAGCTCTTCTGGCAACTTTTGACTAGACTTTGGAATGCTTGATTTGACCATTGCTTGATTATCTTCTCAGCATCTGATTTAGTCAATTCACTTAGCTTGATCCAAGGGGTGAAGTTATTGACAGCCGGGGCAACCCAACGCCCCAACACGTCAATGCCCAAATCATCCACATTCCGAATTTCAGGGTCTGTCAATAATGGCCGTGCCTTCAATTTGCCAAGAGCATCGGATAACCGGCGGGACAGTAGAACCTTGGAAGTCTGGAGTGTGCGAATGTATAGTCGTAAGGTCTTTAGGACATTTCCCCCCGACAAATCGGTAAGTTCTAGCTGGTTTCCGATGACATCTAAACGAACTTGGTGGAAATGACGAATGGCATCATCTGAGGACGAACTGGTCGCTAAGCAATATGCTGCCAGAGCTTCGATGATATCATCTGCGGTAGAATTCATAGATGCGAGGCGTTTATTGATCCTTTTCGAAAGCGTTTGCCGAAGATGGGCTAATTGGTTGCGCAGACTTTCCAGGAATGGCGGTACAGTCTCCTGCTGCGTAAGAGTTTTATGTAGAAGCCGAGAGATGACCAGAATCTTTGCTATCAGCAACAGGGAGCTCCGTTTCCTCAGGAGTTTCGAGATAGAGGCCGTGCACCGATGAAGTAGAGAGAGTTGAGCTCCGAACGCTCGCTTGTCCGCATCTGAGACCCAATTAGACATTCAACATGACAATGTATAGGATCCATCCACCATACCTTTCTCGGCCTCATCCCGTTTTATCTGGTTGTAGTGTGCGTGCTTCCTCTCTACCAGTCGTGGGTTGCATCTCCGTCCAACATCGGTTAGGTTTGATTCCGTCTCCTGGATCTCATGGTTCATAGAAACAATGGTCTCGGCAGTTCCGACGAGCTCGCGATATCTCGTTCTATATAGAATCTGAATGTTAGCTATGGGCTAGAATAAACAGTAGTTCCTCTGCGACCTACCCGACCAAAGCCCGGAGCCTCTCCTTATTGCTTGCGATGTCTCGGCGAAGCTCCTGTTCGACACGCCGCACGGTGGGAATTGGATATTGAAATGAGTCCTGCCATGATTTCAAGCTCTGGGGCTCTGGAGCCTCCGACGCCATGGTGGTGGATGGCATGGAAGAAGTTGGAAGAAGAGCCCAGCAACGGAGATGCGAACAGTTTACAGGAACGATGATCGTGAGTGCCTGAGGCAGAGAGTGTTCTGGCCTTGTTACAGTTCATTACGAATTACAATACTGCTAGTCCGTATTGGGAATGCTATGAGTCGATCGATCGAGTCATCCCCGCCAATTCAACTTTGCGATGATTTTCAGCCCCTCACTGGCAGCTTGTCTTGATTTTTTCTGCTATCAACAGTAGCTCTTGTGAGTTCAACATTGTTGGCAATCAGGAAGAAGTCAATCTGCCACCATGCCGCATATTGAGCCTGAGGAACAACCTCCTGCTGAGTCTTCAGCAGATCAGCAGCTGGAGAGACTGCCTTTTCCACCAGTTACATACTCTCACATCTTGAATTGCTCTTTTCATTCCTGGCAACCTCGGTATGGTTCTATTTTCATTTATCCATAGCAGCTATATGTCTAACAACCATCTTTCGCAGTTACCGTACAATCACCCCCAAATCTCGCGTAATTCCCTTGACGGCGCCGTTCGTTTCCTATCTCAATGCCGATGGCATCGTACTGCCACCAGAGGATGCCCCCCCGACGGACGAGGATAATGTCGATGATACATTCTCGGATGACGAAGATGTTGAGGAACACTCTGACCCATCGACGGAGTGGCAGGATGTACACTCCCGGGTCAAGGCCACTATCACTGACTTTGGAGGCAACGTGACGCCGAAGCTGAACTGGAGTGCACCCAAAGATGCAGCCTGGATGTCCGCAACAAATGACCTTCAGTGTCGCACGCCCAACGATGTCTATTTACTCCTGAAAAGCAGTGACTTTATCACACATGACCTGGAGCTGCCATTCGATGGATGCGTCCCCGACGATGAATCTACACCACAACCCGAAATCCCCTACCACTTGGTCCTTCGGAAATACGTTAACTTCAACCCATCCCTCGAGTTTCGGTGCTTCGTTCGCAATCGCGTTCTTCTTTGTATGTGTCAGCGTGATCAGAATCATTTCGACTTTCTCTTCCCCATGCGCGATTCCCTTCGGTCCCGGATCCAGGCATTCTTCGACGAAAAGCTCAAGGATACATTCCCTGACCCGAACTTTGTTTTCGACGTTTACGTCCCTCCACCACACCAGCGGGTGTGGCTGGTGGACGTGAACCCATGGGCAGAGAGAACAGACCCGTTGTTGTTCAGCTGGTTGGAGATCCTGCAGATGAAAGACCCCATCGGGATCCAGGAGGAGGAAGACGACCCAAATGTGCCAGAGCAATTCGTCAGACTTTCGCTGAATGATAACAACACATTTACAGTGGAATCCCCACCGGATGAAGCTTCAGAGTCGGAATCGGAGGAAGACTTGGAGGATGGCGATGATGGCGATGATGGCGACAACCCATTCCTTCCTGAATTCCGTCTAGTGAAGCGAGATGACCCAGAAGCATATGCATTTGCAAGCACGCAGTACTCGGCACACAAGCTTCCGAAGGAGGTTGTCGATGCCTCACTTTCCGGACCTGGTGGTATGAGCCAGTTCCTCGGTCAGTGGCAAGATATCATGGCTAAACAGGTACAAGAGGACGAGGAGGAAGGAAGCGACGAATAAAATACGATAAAATTGTGTTCTTCATTGATAGGGTGTTTGGTTTAGATGGCGTTTGTATTAGGGCAAAATAGAAGGGTCAGGATATGCAGTTTTGCTTATGTACGAATTGGCTAGAAGTCACATTAGTAGTGACTTGACTCGTCTCACCTTGCTGAAACTGTATTTAGTATATACAAACATGAATCCGCGAAGCACGATCTTCTATAAAAGGAAGAATCTATACTCTCAACAGAAACCCATCTAGAGCTTATGCCTCTTCTCACCAGACGCAAGCTTTCTAAACTCCTCCTGCGGAACACCACTCATGAATCTCTCCAGCCCCATAAACGCCTCTAGACCATTCTGACGATCAAGCAGCTCCCTCTCGGGTCTCCGAATAAGCTCCTTAATCTTAATCATACTACTCTGGTTAAGGTGCGCCCCCATCCGATCCTCAACCTCCTCGAGAACCTTCTTCAAGAACCCGTCCGAATCATCCGACTTTCCAGACGGGGCCTGGATGACCCTGTTCACGAAACCGGTCGCCACGAGTTCGTCACAGGTGATACGCTTGCTCATGATAAGGGCTTCGTTGGCCTTGGCGATGCCGAGACGCTCGACAAAGGCGCGCGATGCACCACCCTCCGCGACTAAGCCGAGAGAAGCGAATGGGGTGAGGAGGAAAGTGTGCGGGGCGGCGTAGATGAAGTCGGCGTGGGCGACGAGTGCGGCGGACAGGCCGACTGCTGGGCCGTTCAGCGCCACGACGAGGATCTTGGGGTGGTTGTAGAAGGTGCGGGTGATGTCGACATTGTTGGTGACGAAGCCGCGGGTGAGCTCGCGGCGGACTTTGTTTCCTAGGTCTCCATCTGGTCGGGAGCTTCGTACGTCTGCGCCACTGTGGAGAAGGTTAGAATGGATCTTTGCTTTAGGGTAATCAGGTAGGCAGGTCTTACGCTGAGAAAAAGCGTCCTTTGCCGGTTATGACGGTGATGGTGATGTCGTCGCGTGTTTCAACTTCCCGCAAGCGCTCGCCCAGGAGATAGTAGAGATCTTGGTTTAGGGCATTCAGCTTCTCAGGACGGTTTAAAGTGATCACCGCGATGCGGTCGACATAGGTAAGAGTAATGATGTTCTCTTCTGCCATTGCGATTGTGGTGTGTTTTGTATTCCTGACGGTATCACTGAAGTAGACTATGATATCATTAATGAAATTGCTGTCTTGAAATGCCGTTTATCAAACAGTGATTGACGAATATCAAAAGTAGTGAATGATGCAATTCGAAATATATAAAAACAAATCAACCCAGATGCTAGGACATCTCACATCTTGTCTACCCCATTCTCCATCCGGTCCTTACTCCGTCTTCCTAGGCATTCAGGCATTTCCCTGCGGGGAGACCGACTAAGCCGAGGCCCGTCGGCAGGTCACGGGATCAAATATCAGGTGACACCACGTGGCAGGCTTTGCTCAGTTTGCACCATTTGCAGAAGCTCGGTGATGGGCAATCCAGAAATGCACATTGGGAGGCTGCGATCAAGCCTAGTGGTGTCGCATCGCGAATGATTGATTCTCCATTTTGATTTTTATATATTTTGGTATTGTCGATATTTTTGACGATTATCTGGTAATTGGATGCTGTGAATAACTTGGTCAATTAAGGAGTTCAGACAAATCGCGAGACTGGGAAAAATTAAAGCAATCACCGAACACATCCCGCATCCTCCGCAAAACAACCAAAGCCACCAGGGGCCTAAATAACTACACTTACCTACACATACTCACACTCACACTCACACTCACAACAATGTCTTTCATCCTCCGCAGACTGCAAGGTGGCAACCTTGAAATCGCCAAAGTATGTCCATGTCCATCTCATTCATACCATCATTAAATTAACATCACCCAGTTTGGCATGTACGTCCTCTTCCCCATTGGATGGATGTACTACTTCGGCACAAACCTCGACGACCGCTTTAGCGTTTCTGGCTTCTGGCCTTCCGCAGAACAATCACATAAGATTCCATTGGAGAAGGAGGAGATCGACGCTGAGCTGAAGCGGATGCGGATGGTGGATGCTGTTCGGCGGGAGCGGAGACAACAAAGGGAGGCTTTGGAGACGCAGACACAGGTGCAAGCAGAAGCACAAGCTCAGACACAGGTACAATCGGCGCAGAACGAACAATGAGGAGGGGATCTCTCGGAATGATGGGCATAGATGGGATGGGATGTTTATGCGGGGGATGCTATAAAAGTCACCTTTCGGCCTTCGGCTTTGGCGGTCGAATCGATATCGATATCAATGTCAATGGTATTTGTTACGTCCGGAATATTTCGACAAGCGTGCGATGAAGAAGAGGGGCAGCGACAATACTGCAGTTTGGAACTCACATGTGATATTTATGAATATGCGTTTTGTACAACACTCTACTCTGGGGCATTGCGGGAGTTAATTTGTTCATCTGGGATGGGTATTACTGTATCACCAATGAGACTGGAAATATGATACCAGCCTATAGTTCGTTTGTACAAATGTACGGGTCTTGAACATGTGATGCTGCGCTCTAAGTTTACTAGTCCGACTAGCTCAGTCCATCGTCTCATCATCAAAATTATTATCCAAACCTCATCAGGTGTTAAAACTGAAATAATAAAGGGGTATCAAGTTGAAAATATGAGGAAATAACAAAGAAAGCAATTTTGAATCACTCGCTGCCAAGAGTATTCTATTAGGAAAAGTCTTGATGCGAGTTGGATAATTAATAAAACCATCAGGTTTAAAGATAAAGTAGCCAGAGACCAACCGACACGAACGCCTTTGATGCGCCAGCCTGCTCCCAAACAAAACCAATCACGCGAAACTCCGTGGACAAAACGACTTATTTAACACAGACCAGCCAATTATCAAACAGGGACAGCAAGCAGCGCTGTCAAGGATGTGCAGGTGTATTGGTTGTGTGAAGATGGACGATGCAGGACGTGAGGGGGTGCGACAGAATCGGGAGCGGAATCCGAGCAAAAACGAAAAGCGAAAAAGCCCCGAAGGAACTGCCTGGGGGTTGGGCGCGACCTTGATCCATCTCAAAACACAGGTAGGACCAATACAGACCCTGGCTTTGTATCACAGTTCGGCAATTGGCTTCGTGGCCGTTGCGGCCGCATTTTTGGCCGTCTCGTACATCATCTCAAGGTTCTGTGTTCCACTTTCACGAAATACTGAGCTAATCGATGGAAGGCCGGTGGTGATGATGGGACGCTCGCCGACGCAGTAATAATACATATGGCTGTATATGGTTCTCAGGTGGTCGGGGAGGTAAATGTAGGCGGCGGTAAAGACCATTGTGAGGAGGCTAATAATGAGAGAGTCTGTAACGAATTGCCTATGGTCAGCATTGATCTTTTGTCGCTAGCAGAAGCAGCTCGAGATAGTGTGCGGGAAAACGTACTGAAGATGAATTTTTCGGTGGGGGTAAGCATATATACAGCAAAAGTCACCTCATACTGATAAATCTTCAAACGGATCCAGCGCATGAAGGCGCTGATGAAGTGGAAAGCAGTCATTATGGATAGTGGACTGAGGTTGAAGCTGTAGGAAATAAAGATGCAGCTGAGAGTGCTCCGTATATAAGAATGTTGTTATCTGGGCCCCTGTTGAGGTGATGACGCCAGCTGCAAACTGTCCGGAAGGAAGCTGGACTAGTGTTTGACGTTGAACAAAGAAGTCAAGGCCAGACGTTGCAAGGAGCAGAGGAAAGAATAGAATATGTAGGAAGAAAAAGACTGCAGATTCTAGGCATTCATGGTAGAAGAAAAGAAGACGAAGAGAAGGGAAATTGGACGAGGGGCGCAAGATGAAAGATGTCTCACGAGCGACAGGATAAAATTAGGATAGCGGGAGGCAAAAAGAAGGTTCAGAGAGAAAGAGAGAAAGGAGAGGAAAAAGAATGGAACCTAGGCTTGTTTGATCGACGGTGAAATTGGATTGGATTCAATTGAATCCTGCAGGAGAGCAGTACTGCGGGGTGGAAGGCAGAGAGGAAGAATAAATGATGAAGATAGGAGAGAAAAAGGAAAAAAATGAAGTTAATCGAATGCGATCAACGAAGGGGAAGAGACGGGCGGCCGATGGAATCACGATGATTCCACACCAGTTTCAGTAACTTCTTGTTATTCTTATTCTTCTCTATCTCTCTCTTTTCTTCTTCAATTCATTCCTTTTCGATTATTCTCTATTGATTCTATACAGGGTCTAAGGGTCCACGGACACTAACTTAGGCCTGGATCGCATCCATCACGATGATTCTACCACTACACAGGGATCCGTAGACTGTCATCATGATGATCTCTATGCATGCCGACTGGGAATATTGTTCCATCTGTCTAAACAATCCATATTCATGGATCAGTCTATCCCGATCAACATCGCTTTGTTCCAGTCGTGTCAATGCGTCAATGCGTACGTCACCTGGCGGGTCTCAACTGGCCAACAGAATCAACATTAAGATATCAGATTCTTTCAAGATCACTGTGATTGTCTGAAGTCTGGCAATCTATTCATATTTAATTTTGACATGATACAGACTACTAACTATACTGGAATGGTATCAACTGTATGAATATAAAATCTACAGACTACAGAGTATGGATGAATGAAGTATCTCAACGCTCGTATTCGTATATCCAACAAAATCCCCGTTGAGCTGCCCGATGCAACTGAAACCTCACCAACCAAACCACCACACCAGGATCAAATCCTTAAAGCAGTTCAGAATCAAATCCAAGAATAACTAACTCTATCTACCTAAGCATTTCATCGACAGTGGATTCGTTCAGATTCGAATCTTCCGAGACTTCCGTAGCCGTCAAGATCCGTACACGACCTACATTAGCACTGCACAAAATGCACAGCTTGACATAGTCAATTGCATATTGAGAAGAATAAGAATAATAATGAATATCATAAATGTTTGGTTCAGTTTTGTCTCATAAATTTATATAAGATATCGCATTCATGTCGAATAGCATCACCGAATACCGCATACGTAGACCGCCTCCATAGCCTTCACCCAACAGAATCACCTCCAATAACATCTCCGTCCCTCAATAGTTCCATCCCAACAATGCTCCGTTGCATCCACCACGCCCATCCTAGGCTATCATCATCATCATCATCATCATCATTCCTATCCCACTTTTTCTCTCCGTCTCCGGCTCCGAGATGCTTCTCCCTCTCACCGCCCATCGGAGCAAAACAGTTGCCGCCCCGGCTCAAAATCAATGATGCCGATTTGACCATCTCCTATCTCAAGGGCACCGGGCCCGGAGGTCAGAAAATAGTACGCTCTATCATCACGCAATTCCCACTGCCGGCCTTGCATAATGCTCTTACTTTATAGTATTCTAACAATTACAGAATAAAACTAATTCTGCCGTCCAATTAATACATAAACCTACCGGTCTTGTGGTCAAGTCCCAAGCTACTCGTTCTCGGTCTCAGAATGAGAAGATCGCCCGTCAGCTTCTGGCTGATAGGGTCGAGCATTTGCAAAATGGGGACCAGAGTCGGACTTCGATCAAGGCGGATCGGGCCAGGAAGAAGAAGGCTAGTAAGGTGAAGAAGAGCCGGCGCAAGTATCGCGAGCTGGAGGAAGGGAAAGACCCAGAGGGGGGGGAAGAAGGAGAAGCAGAAGCAGAAGAGGAACCATCAGAAATACCAGAGTCCAAATCAGAGGCTACTCCAGAGCCACAGGAACACAGGCAGGATCGATGATTGAGTGCATATCGCTGCTCGGTGTTACGATTAAGAATGTACGATATCTGTATTCGATTCTATGTAAATAAATACCTCATGTGTAATATTTTTGATATTATCTAATAAATAATGGTGGCTCATAAAAGGCATGTTTGATCTTAATCTAGACTTTTTTTCTTTCTTTCTTAATTGCGGTCAACGTCTACGCTGGATGATATACACCCAAACGTTAGCCCGACATCACTGGTAGTATTTATGCGGAGATATAGCTGCCCAGCGTCGCCTTGGCCTTATCGCCTAAGCGCTCCTGCACAAATCCAGAAACCCGTCCACCGTGCTCCTGGTCCATTTGCTTCAGATATTTGCCAACCCAGACCTTAAGATCAGCACCAGTCTCTGGCCATGGGTCCTTGGTCTGTGGTCGCACAGTGTTCAACGCTGTGAAGCCAACTCCGAACGCCATGTCCTCAATGTCGTGGTCATCAATGATGTCATCCTTGCTGGCGGGAAGAGGAGGAAGCTCCAAAAGGTTGAGCAGTGCTTCGCACGTGAATCCCCATCCCTTCTTGTATCGGTTGGCAAAGGCCTCCGAGTTGGCAAGGGTCTTGGTAAAAGACAGCACGGCGGTCTTACGGTCCAAGGGACGAGCGAGCTTCTGGGTTTCGGGGAGGATGATGTTGAGGTAGATAGGAGTGAATAGTCTAGAAACCGTTAGTATGATTGTAAAGGTGAAGAGAGACTCAGATTCGCGTATGCATACCCTTCCTGCACCTTGTCCGTAACTTGAATAACGAAGTCGGCACTGTAGCCCTTCTCATCATGGGCAGAGATAAAGTGGAAAAAGCGGACGAATCGCATAGTAAGATTCTCGGTCTTGGAGTTCTGCAGACGAGTGAGAATGATCTGCATGATCGACACAAAGTATTGCTCCAGGGCGGTTCTATAGAAAAAAGATTAGCGGGCCAAGGGTCGCCCCGTACTGTGGATGGTCTTGGACTCACGGTGGGAAGTTCGCAACAACGCTCTCCAAAAGATCAAATCCAAAGCTTTCGTTGGTCTTGGTAGAAAGGAGCTTCTGGAAAATACCAAGAATAGGCTCGATCTGGTTGCTTTCCAAAACAAACTGCGACCCACGGATGAGGATGGAGGACAAAAGCCGAACAAGGGCGGGGATGTTTCCTTTAGACTCCCACATCACAGGCATGAGAATTGGCGCAACCAAGTTTTGGTAGTAGCTTGGCAGTGTTCCGGAAGGGTTGGCCTCTAGAAGTGCCGCGAAAAGCTGGAAGATATATGGCATAAATTCTGTAGAGGCGTCAGTTCTCATGAAAAAACACTGATATAATTAGAAATCAGCTTACCTTGCACGTCTCCTTGAAGAATTCCGGCAAAAGGAGGATACAGGGCTTGTTCAAGCTTATCAGGGTTGCTGGGCGCGGCGAATCTGTGGCCTGTCAGTAACCATTTATAGCAGGATGCTCCTGGAAGAGTGCATACCGGATGAAAGCGCCCAAAGATTCAAAGTGGAAATAGTAAAATCTTGGGTTACTTGGGTTGGTGCTGATGATTTGAGTTATGTTGATCAGATGCTGAAGAACAATATCTGTGTGCGGCACCACGCCGTCCTTGATGACAATAAGGACTCTCATCACGCATCGCATCAAGAATTCGTTCTCCTGCACCTTTTGGGGAGCAGGGTCCTTCTGAATCAAAGAGAAGATGTGCTGCAGCAAATCCTTGGCCAAAGGAGTAATTGAATCAGGGGCGATGATTGGCTGTCCCTGAGCATCGGAGAGGTAGAGTACTCTTTCGACCGCAATAGCCGCATAAGTATAGACAACATAGTTGGATGAAGCAAGGTGCTTAACCAGCAAAGGAAGCACGACTTGCCACTGTTCCTTGGTGATGATACTCCGGAAAAGGTACAGATACTTGATGGCATCCACCTTCAGAATAGGATGAGAACCATCTTCGGACAGCAAATCTGCAGAAAGGTGATTTTGGAAGTAATCGGCAATGCTGACATTGGGGTTGGTTGCAGTGACTCCAAGGTTGGCTGTAGCCACTCCTTTAGCTGCAATTGCCGAGTATAGATAAGTCGCAGTGTCCTTGGCTTTCCAGTTCGATGTAGGGTCCTTGGCATATTCAGCCAAGTAGTGCTCGATGTATTGGAGAACAACCTTGGTGACTGACGCTTCAAACTTTTCGGCCAGTTTTCGCACAAAGTCCGTAGCCGCGCGCCGCCTGGTATCACTGTCCGATCCTTCAAGATCCCGTCGGATGAACTCAATCGGTTCATCTTCAAACAGTTCCTCGTCCGATTCCCGTAGGCTGACGTTGGGCAGAATAACCTTTTCAATAATTTGACCTTGTGTGCCCTCATCTTGGAAGACTGCGGCATGATCGGGCATGCCGGCAATCGAAGTCAAAAACTGCAAAGCCCGACTGACCAAGATATCATATTTAGTTTCCTGGCCAATCGTAGTCAGGAAGCTCCAAGAACTTTCCACAAACTGCCCAACGTGAGGCTTAAACACATCCATGTACTTCTGTACGTAGAGGGTCAACACTTCGAAAATCCCAGCCCGAGCATATTCAAGTTGACCAGACTCGGTATCATCATCAGTGTGGAGCAATTGGTTGTCGTAAGTGAGGTACTTGAGTAAGAGCGAAGCTATCCCTGAAATATTTTCTTCGAACATCGGTGGAAGGTCGTGGCAAGAGAGGTCGAACAGCAACTTGATCATCAAGTTGAACTGTGTAAATCCCTGAGTTAAGTTCTCTTTGTTGGATTTGTTTTGCTCGAGGTAGCTGTCCAATCCCTTGAATGTGAATTAGCACACAATGGACATCGAATGGGATTGAAGAGGAGCGAAATTACCTCGAAAAGGGCCAAGAATGGATTTCCGAATTTTCCAAGCACATGGTTGATCTCTGTGTACAACTCGTTCGATTGGAACAAGGGTCTCCATCTCTTGAAGATCGAATGCGCAACTTGCAGAACGCCAATGTTGGCCGGAGGATTTGTTGGTTGAAGTCTTGAAACGAGATCCTAAAATGTGTCACTAAAAGAGAAAAAAGTGCATTCACGGTAACGCTGTAGCTTACATCTACAAGAGTATCCCATCGCTCCCAGAAATCACTATCAGCAATAACACTGATAGCCTCTCCCAGTTGAGTCTGAATGCCTGCGGGCACCGAAATCATCAGGCTGATCAGTTCCCGCTTGAGCGTGGCAACCTCCTCAAGCTGGAGCTTGTAGTTTCCATCCTCGTCTGTCCAGTTTCGCTTGATAAAGTTCTTAAAGGCGAGGGCACTGGCGAGGCGGGTATTGTAGGGCTGGGAAGCGGACGCCGTGATCTGAAGGAGCTGCAAAGAAAAACCTGGCTTGCTCTCTTCTTGACGAAGAGCAACCTCGGCTAAAAGTCGTTAAATCAAGTAGCTAAACAGAAATCAGATTCAAAATACTCACCTTGCTTGTTCTGTCTAGGATCCAAACTTGCCTCAAGGAGCTGGGCAACAGCTCCAAGACCTTCAGCCATTTTGCAAGTGGGGTATATGTCAAGATTGGAAGGAAATATAAATAATATTCAGCAGAAAAGGGGAAATAGAAAGGTATCAGGCGCTGCTGATGACCAGATGCGATTTGTCTCTAGGAGTTGAGCAGAATGCCTTGACACTGTGTGCAAAAAGGCCCTGGTATGTAAAAGCCGGAAGAGCTCAATTATTCCCGGTCAGGCAGTTTGTTTGGCGGGTTGCTTGGAAATATTCCAGGCGGTGAGCAGCCGTCCGCGGGGTGGTTCTGCCTGTCAGGTGACCGGCCGGATCAACCTTTTTCAGGCCTCCGCCAGATCATCATCGACCCTTTTTGGGGGGTAAAATGTCTTGGCACACTGCGGCCTTGGGGAGATAACGAGAGATCATTGACTCTTCGTCGGGTTACAGATGACTAAAATCTTTCACGGCCTATCTCTTTAGCTTCAGAGCTGAAGCTTTTCGTTTCAAGCTGTCATATCCTTCTTCCATGTTATTATTCTAGGGTTGTTGTTGATTTTGAAATATCGGCCGTTACAACTCCACAGAATCCATTTTCCTCCCTGATGCTGTGAGGAAAGAGTTTCACGCACTTTGCTTTTCAATGGTATGCAATATATGCTTGCATTCCGGGCGTCTCTTGTTCCCATCTGGAATTGCAGATCATAAACGATTGCTGTGGACTCTCTTTACAAGCAGGATCCTGCTAACGCTTGGTCTCCGTTACAGATATAATCCCTCGAATTCAACCTTGTATATATCACCCGTCCATTAGGACGCATGTCTTCTGACGATGCTCCATCACCACCCCATTATAAACACTCCACATCGACTTTCGCAGACGTTTTTAAGACACTAGGTGTTGTCCGCCCCAAATCGCAATCACCTGTTTCCCTACAAGACAGCAGCAGTGATTCTTTATCGCAAGCAACGGATGGACGGAGAACCAGTCGTATAGTGTTCGGATTTGAATCAATGCATCGTGCCAGCGTCGTGTCCAGCTCCTCGGACACTCCTAGTGCTCCGGACTTCGAGGCGTCCCGCAAGAGTGTGGCGCAGAGTCAGAACTTGTCGCATGCTATCGAGGAGGCAGAACATGTGTCGAGGTCAATTCAGTGGTTCACGTCGGATCAATCGGTTGCTTTGTTGGAAACTGGGGCATACTTGTTCCACCATCCAAGCTCCCCAGACGCTCGAAGGAGTGGCTCCAGATTGCTGGAAGCCACCGCGGCCCGCCAGGATTTGTCCCCCGCAGCAAGGCGGTACATATTTGAACTGATATCATGTCCATCAGAGACTGATGTTATACCTGCTCGGGTCCAATCATTGATCTCGCTTTCAGACCATGGCAGGAAATTGGAATTCGCCACTTCGTCTATCCTTCCCATAGTATCATCCTGCATCGTGCCACTTTATGATATTATCGCATCAGCTCGATTGAAAGCACGGAAATCAAAAGTCACCAAATCCAACGGCAACGGCCATGACGACGCTAGCTTGGACGATCTGTTGCAGTTTGCTGTCGATTTGATCACATTGCAACGAAAACCCCCAAGCAGTGAAGAAGTTGAGTCGCTTCTTGCCCAGATTTTCACTATATGCAAGAAAACCAGCGTCGCAGCCGACATCAAGAACTCTTTGCTTGTGTTTGATGCCATCATTCTTTATGCAGATGTGCCAGACGCAAGTTTCGTCCCTATGCTCGAGGTCCTATGCAGTATACATGCTTCTGTCAAGTCTCTGTCCGGCCCCACATCGAGGGCGGTCCGAAATCTGGCAAAATCACGCAGACAGGTGGAGATGGTGAATACACTCCATTCATTCTTGCTAGAGTCCTCTGAAGAACAGAGCCGGAATTTGAATGTCCTTCGAGGCACAATATATGTCTTCACAGATCTTGTTCGGGCCCATGGTCAGGATGGAATACCGCGGCTCCATTTCGACAAGTTAATGGAATGTCTTCGCGTTGTTCTAAAAAAAGATGATGCCCGTGTTGAAGCCGACATTCTGGATCTGTGTCTGAATATTCTTGAAGGGGAACTCACACTTATGGACCATGAACAGAGTTGGTCGGAGTTTGTCGAGATTCTTATGTTTTGTTCTCGCAGAGCTGTTGATGAGCCTGAGCAGTGTCCCACATCACCCACGTCACCCTCTAGCCCCCATCCGCCCCACCTTAAAGGCACTACACCTGACGACACAAAGTCCAACATCCTGGCAAATGTCATCCGGGTTGCCTCTCTGATAGAATCACTCTGGGATCAGTTGAACCAACACCAAAGATTAGACGCCGGACGTTTCCTGATGAATGCTTGTCAACATATTGAGCCTTCGCAGGCCGATTTGATCGTCAATGAAATGAGGGCAGAAAAGCTTTGCTTCCCCGGAAATCCTGACTGGGAGCGTCATTGTCAGAAACTTATTAGCTGCTTTGTTCGATCCCGTACCAAGCCCTCCGACATTCGCATCTTAGCTTTGGATACTTTGAAGGAGGCCTTTTCTAGCTACGATTCTTTGGTTGTCTTTCAAGCTCAAGGTTTTTTAAATCTCATGCTTCACGCATTCTCTGACGAAGATGACATTCTATTCCTCGAGTCTCTTGTTTCTTTCATTGTCGACATCTCTATTCTTGCCAGCGACTATGAAACATTCAAACTCCTCGTGGATACTATAAGCTCGCCCATGAGTGGAGATTTGAATAGAGACGAATCGCACGAATCTGAGACTTCTCCATCATCTCCCCAACGTCGTTCATCTGCCGGTGCATTGGAGCTATCCTTGGCCAATGTTTGCTCTGTTGGGCTTGTCAGGATCTTCCTTCGCTCTTTGAATTTGGCAGCAAACAAAGTGGTGTTGGTTTTCGAGACACTTCTAGGCATCGCAAAATCTCCAGATCGGCCCCCGGATGCCCGCTTGACTGTGCTCAAGCTGTTGTTCAGGCTCCGATGTGATGACTCGGGATCAATTACAGTGACTTCGATATCTGAAAACGACTTTCTGATGAACGTATTAGGCCGGTCCGTCGAAGTTGGGTCGAAACTACAAAACAGCTTTGAAGATCCTTTGGCGGACCATGTTGCCGATCACGAAAATATCCAGTCCACGCCGGTCAGGAAACCTTCAATTATAGAGCAACCTGGTAGTCTCTTATCCAAGTCTGCGGGGCGTGGCATAGGATTTAATCCTCGCGCGTCAAAACTTACACCTCCAGTTTGGACGTATGCTTCGCCCCAAGTTCTTCCTGAGAAACCACCGGACGAATCCAGTCCTTTTGTCTACGCTTACGCAACACCAGACATATCTCAACACATAGAATCAGAACCCACACAAAGGATTGCTTTGAAAGCCAATATGTGGCTAGAGGCCGTTATCTCGTTGTTGCAACGCGAGACTAACTGGGACATTTACAGTTATGTTCTCACTCACCTTGGGCCTCAGCTTAGCAACAAGGATTTCTTCAGTAGTGCAATCCCTCAAATCAAGTTGCTCCGCAGTGTTTTGTGTGATCAAGTCAAGAACGAAACATTTCGTGAGCCCCCAGCATCAACTGGTGTGAAAAAGACCGATGTTGCTGGTTGCATATTTGATTCTCTCTCCATGCTAGTCGGTTACCATGAGCATTTTGCCAAGAGTGAAGAGGATGAGCTTGTTCGTGCCTTCATGATGGGCATCATTGGGTCCTGGGGAGGTACTTCTCGTGGATGTATCCATGCGCTCTCTGTCTGTTGCTATGAGATTCCACTCTCGGTGACAAAGTCGCTGAATGGGATTCTCGACAAGATGTCAAAAGTGATTACCATGCCTAGTCTTGCGGTTCACATTCTTGAATTTCTCGCATTGCTTGCACGATTGCCTGACGTCTATATCAATTTGCGCGAGGAAGAGATCCGCACCTTATTTGGTATATGTATTCGATTCCTGCAAACATCCAGAGAGAACCGGTATCGGGCTTCCGAATCACCTTCCGTGCGAGGCTCCCAGACTCCCTCACGTCTAGGCGGTAGTGTTGAACCGTCGGATCCGTCTCAGCAAGATGGAATGTCGAAATATATCTACACCCTCACGCATCATGTCATGGTCTTCTGGTTTTTGTCTTTGAAACTGCAGGACCGTGCAAAGCATGTCAACTGGATAACTAGCAGACTTATCTTCAAGGATGAATTCGGAAAAGAAATGGTCGAGGAGCAAAGCCAGGTCTTCATCGATCTGATGCAGAGGGTTGCCTTCTCTGATTTGGGGGAAACTATTCCATACGATACCTTCCCACCATCTCCTGAGGACGGACCAGTGGTAAAGAAATCCTGGGTCGTTGGAACCAGCATTATCAGTGTTGAAACTGCTGGTGTTTCAGGGCTGACTCAAATCACGAAACGTCAAGCATCTGGAACGACATATGCAATGTATCAGCAGCGAACAGCTCCCGTCCTTCCGCATCAGGTGCCTCAAATGCATGATACTCATTTGCAATTTGATGCCATGCGAACGGCCATTCTCCCGAGCCACGTGATGCTCCAGTTGACGACCACGGCTTTCCCTACGCCTACAGTGATGCAGCCAATCCTTCTTCCCGACGATGACATGACACGTCGAGCAATCAGCACTTTTGACCGAAATGACATTGTGGATGGGCACAAGATTGGTGTGGTTTACATCGATAATGGGCAAACAACCGAGGCCGAAATTCTTTCCAATACCGGTGGAAGTTCAGACTATGAGTACTTCTTGTCAGGTCTTGGTACCAAGGTTCCTCTGAGGGGTGCGCAATTCAATACTCAAGGATTATATCCTGATATCGACGGAGAAAATGCATACGCATGGCGAGACCGAGTGACGGAAATTGTATACCATGTTGCGACGATAATGCCCACTGATTTTGATCGCGACCCTTCATGCATCAACAAAAAACGCCATATCGGCAACGACTATGTCAACATTATTTTCAACCACTCAAATACGCCATTCAATTTCCACACCATCCCGTCTCAGTTTAACTTTGTCAATATTGTCATTAGTCCAGTGTGTCGCATCGCTACTGGCGAGAGTCAGATTGAGAAGCGGGATAATTTGGATCCTGCGAAACTATATTATAGTGTCAAGGTCATGAGCAAGCCTGGCTTCCCTGAAATCTCGTGCGCCGCAACACCCAAAGTGATCTCAGGCCAGAATCTCGCAGCGTTTGTTCGTATCCTTGCCCTGAACGCTTCGGTGTTTTCACTTGTTTGGAACAGTCAGGGAGGCGAGCACATTTCATCCTGGCGCAACCGACTGCGCGAGATCAAAAGGGTTCGAGAGCGGGCGCTGGCGTCGCAGTCTCAGAATTCAGACACTCTCGAAGGCGCTTACCCGGGCCAGCGGCGCAACACCAAGGCCAACATCTTTTCCGAAGAAGTGCCAACACGCAGTCCCGTCGTGAGGACAGACTTTGCCAGTGATTGGGATGCCGCAGCAGATGACAGTATTCTCCAGAATTTGGACTTCTCCCGGTGGAGTCGTTGAGATTGATCTTGCTTCGCCATTTAGCGCAGTGTCGCCTTAAAAAAAAAACTTTCAACCTTTTCTCTTACGATTGCTCTTCTTTGAAAGATTAATGTACATCAATTGCTTCTTTCCCCTGCGCTTTGCGACATGTGTCAATACCCCACTTTCTATCAAAAAAGTTTTTATGAGTTTTCTCAATCTTCTCTCTATCTTCTCTTTTTTATGCTTCTATCTGTCAATACTGGTATTGAAAAAGCCCATATATATCAATGTATGAGCAAGGATCGATGGCAGAGGATGCCAGGCTTCTAGGAAGTAGACTTGTGGTGCTATTTGCTTTGTGATTTGATTTCTTTCTGCCCAAGTTCATCATCATACATTCTAGCATATGCAAGAAAGGGAGTTGGATTCAATCTCAAAAAAGGGGCATGTGGAAGAAAGAAGATATTGTAACGACTCGATGATATTTGAAACTAAAAAAACAAGTTCTTTTTCTTATCTTAATTATGACTACTATTCTTTTTAAGCAGCACTCTATAATCTGCTATATATATATATCTTCAACTGATTTTCCGAGACAACATCGACAAGTCAGAAAACGTCTTCAGTCTCTCTTTCCCAGGATTTCCTTGCGTGGTTCTTCTGCGCTTGTCCAGTGCGCAATGGATGACGTCACTTCCATACGGAAGCGTACTTGCCTTCATCTTCTGATCCATCTATACCACCAACTCCTTATACCACTGACTACTAAACTTCAGAAAACTTGATAACACTTGTTTTTATTTTAATTCTTTTTTGGGGTATATTATTTTAACTAATTATAAATAAGACAAAGCATCGGAGTAAATAGGTATGTAAATCACAAAATCCCCATAGGAAGACAGCCACTCTGCCTTCCTTCAGGTACATAACGTAACCACTTTTTCATGTCACGTCCACATGGATATACTCCAATTTTTGGTGTTCTTTTTTCGTTTATTCGACAGATATATCGGGATTTTGGTTAGATAGATGGTGTTTGTGGGAGATCGGGGAGGTAGATGATCGAACAATCTCCAGTAGTGAAAGGTATCCAAGAATTTATATTTTTTCTTAAATTACCATCCGAAGATTTCACCAACGCTCAGTGTGCTCCATCGCACACCGGCGACTGCAAAGAGCATCAAGACAACATCTACGACACCCAGTACAGCAGCGCCCATCATGAATCGCGGGCTGAAGATTCGATACAGCATGAGATGGCGGCGGAGGTGGCCTGCCCACATTGTGGTAGCAAGATTGATCGTGGCGAGGTAGAGTAGGTGAGTGCATGCTGCTTGGATCACATCTGAGAGGATTCTAGTCGATGGGTTTGCCGGTTTTGCGGATGCAGATCCCTGTGCGCGGTCGTTGGTCTCGAGCGGTCGTTTCCACAAGACAGTAAGGGGGACGGCAATTGCAACCAAGATTTGCGCACCAAAGGTGTTGAGAATCACGAGAAGGGGAGACCAGGGGTATTTCACCGTCGACAGAGGGATGAATGCGGTTTCCCATTGGATGCTGCTCAGGGTAGCCTGGTGGCCTGTTTTGAAGTAGTAGAAAGAACCAAGAAGTCCCAACACAATAGGTCCGATGGCTGAATTGCTCCGGACCAGTGCGTTGGTGTCGAGGATTTCCAGCAACGAGAGAATCTGCCACAGTAGCAGACCGACGGCACCTTGGCCCATAGGCTTCTGCATGAGAATGATAGCCAGGCAGAAATTGATAACAAGGAAAAAGAATCGCGTGCCGTAGATGTTACCAAATCCAAGAATGGTGACCGTTGTTCTTCCTGGCTGCTGGGTGGGAGCTGTGGGCTCAGAATCACCCTGGCTGAGGCTGATGCTAACACATGGCTTTGAGTAGACGAACGCAGTTGTACCCGCAGCAAAAGCCAAGGCGAGGACAAGCTGGGCAAGGAATACACGAGTCGACTTGAGGGTTTCCTTGCTCAAAGAGAGCCATTCACCATCGTCAGCACCCTCAAGCGTCCAAAAGACAGATGAGATAAACAGCCCAAGACGGAAGGCAACTCCGATCCATAGATTAGAGGCTCCTTCGTATGACTTGGATCCAAGGTAGAATGACCGTACAACCGCGGGAAGAATAAGAGCAACAAGGAAAGGGATCGCGAGCTGCCATGGGGCGGAGGTGGAAGAGGTAGCTGACGCATAGTAGGTGGAACGGCAGAATGGCATCTGCTCCTCACGGCAGAGACGAGAAAATGATGCTACTCTTCCAATCATGACGAAAAGAATAGAATGGTACACTCCCAGAACTCGGTCAGCAGTCGACTTTTGCCGCATCGAGGACACCCCAGCGACAACACCGAAGGTGGAAAGGAAGAAAAGAAGAATCTCATCTTCCCATATGGTGTACGAGTTCGACGCAAATCCAATAGACTGAGAAACGGTAAAGATCACAGCAAGCCAACCCCACAAAGAGTTGGGAACAGGAAGCGATAAGCCTCCCTTGCCAGCGAATACCGCCCGCGAGGCTCCGATTATACTCCCTGCAGCAGCCAGTAGAGCACAGGACTCAATTACAGGCATTTGCACGATGCTGCACAACGACAGGAAAGCCCCAGAGACGGCCCCAATTCCAGAGCCTATTCCAGCAAGCGAGAGCAAAGATTCAGTGAGCTCCGTCCTGTCTGCTTTAAGGCCTCGTGCATAGAACACCAACAGAGCAATAGCTCCAAAAAGGATTGCAACTCCCTGGATCATACTGGCCACGTCAAACTTGGCCCACAGCTCACGGCAGACCTGAAGTGTGTGTCGCTCATATCTCCTGTACGAATCATATGCCGAGCGCAATGCATCTGTGTTTGATTTAAGGCCCTTTGGTAGTTTCTGCCAGTCGCTTTCTGCTTCTTCCCAGATCGGCAGCGACTTGGAGGATCGGCCATCGTCTTCTCCTCGTGCGACAGCATACTCATGCTGGTATCTCTTGATTTGCGCAGAGGTCAACCGGTTAACTGTCAACAAATTCTTCCAATCCTTTCCATTAGCCCCAGCGAAGGCCTCTTCGATCGGAGATCCTAGGTTGTTAAATGGAATTGGCATGCCCAGAAGCAGTGACAAAGTAGGTACAAGATCGATCTGAGGGACGAATCGTTCTCTTGCAAAATTTGGTGGCATGACAGTCTCCGGGCTGGTACGACCGAAAATTCCCTTCTTCGAGTACATCCACAGGGCTGCATCGACTTCATCGTTTGATTCGCCTCCATGGTCACCCTTCGAGTCCATCCCGTGGTCACCCATCACAACCAATAGAGTGTTGTCATCCACCTTGGCAATAAGATCCCGAATGACCTGGTCCATCTGTCTGAGTTTCGCGGCCATGGCCACGTGGTTAGGTCCATATCGATGGCCAGCATGATCAACACCGAGATAGTGGCCGAAAATCACATCCCATTTGGTGGCATTTTCCGATTGAAGGAGCGGGAATATGTTCTCAGTCACGCCATTGTCGACGGTGTGCAAGTCCCACACATTAAATGAATCATATGCCCGGGTGAGATTGGCATCAAAGTAGTCCGGGAATAAGGCGTGCCAAGTGTCGTCCCCAAGGTGGACCAAGTTCTTTCCCGCTGCGCGCAACTGAGCAACCAAGTTATCTTCATCGATGGCTGTGCCAGCGAAATTGGAGCCGGCGTCGATGAAAGTGGGCAAAGTTCCAGTGGTCAAACCCTTGAGTCGCTGCAGGGTTGTTGTTGGCGGGTCCGCGATGAAAGGCAGCAAGAAAGCCTTTTCCGGAGACTTGACGGCAGTTTCGTACAGAACGGGAATATTATCATGGAACAAGTGTGCGGATTCGGTCTCCGCGCCTGGTAGGAACGGGACTGTAAAATCGTATCGCAAAGCATCTATGATGATCACAATCGCCTTGTCAAAGGATTTCTGGTGCCAACATCCTTTATCACTTTTCTTGGCCGTCGATACCGTGTTGTCGCTGTAGGGAAGAACATCGCAAGATGATTTGTTCTCTAATACCATCCGAGTAAGCAGGAATCCTTTTGTAAAGAAGAATATCCCAACAACGTGCAAGAATCTATAGGTTCGAGGTATTAGCCTTCATCTCCCAGAGAGACACGGGAAGTCTCGGCTAAAGCTCACAGGATCCACGCAAGCACACCCAGTAAACCAAGGTGCTTGGTCTTGAAGTCTGATTCCAAATTCTTTATCCTAGCCTCCTTTGCACCGGCCGCAACCGCTTTGCTTTTTTGAGACGGCATCCCGGACGGCGCCTGCCACTTGGACGTCTGCACTTTCAAGTCGTTATCCGCGGAGCGGGGTGACGAGCTTCGGGAGGACGTGGAAGCCGTATTTCGCGGAGGGTTGAGGTTACTGGAACTATCTTGAGGTAGCCCCGAGGGCTTCGAAGAGACCATTACAGGCTGTAGCGTATCGAATCTATGTCTGTTCGCACAAAGGGAACAGGGGGGTCGAGCTGAGAGCGAACCCCTGCGCGAAGGACAACCGTGTGGCGCTCAGAGGGAGTTGGTAAGGAAGAAAAGAATGGCGCGATTGACGAGCTTCAGAGAAAACTCATTGAAAGAGCGAGTGGACAGCAAAAGAACGAATCGGGTTGTGCGATGTTTTCCTCCTCTTTTTGTGTCTGGCGAACGACCTCCCTGATGAAATGGTGTTTAAAGCAGACGCATGATTGCCGCGACGGCTCAATCCCACACGACTGCACGACAGGGACTCGGGGGAAGAGGCCGCTCAGATAGGATTGCAGAAGATAAAAACCAGACAGGAGCAGGGCCAGGTTAATATTCGAAATTCGAAGCCGCTGGCAGTCCCAAATTTCTCCCGTGACGTCGGGGAATCGGCGTTTTCGGCAGCTTTGGCGGCTGGGGCGGATTAGACGGGCGCTGATTGGCCCGCCCGGGCCGGAACAGCAAGCGGTTTCCTAATCAGGGCAACTGTTTACTCGACTCGGACACTACAGGGGGTGCGGAAAGCCTCTTTGGGACTCCTGAGGGACCTTAACACCTGGCCTTTGACGATCGACGCCATGATCGACCGTCTGCAGGTCTATTTATACAAGTAATCCAATCGATTGAGACACTCGCCAAAATGGCGCTCAAGGATAAGTGGACTAGGTACATACATTATCCAGCTGCTAGACACCCTAAAGGCAAACCGAGAATTGTAAGGGGTGAGAAGAATAATAAAAGACAGAGAAAAAAGGAATCTGAGAAAGAGGTACCGATGGAGACATCAGTGAAGAAGAGAAAGGGGCAAAAAAGCAAAAAGCCAAGTCAAAAGGAAAAAAAAAATTCAAAAGAAACCGCGTGTACAATGTCTTTTCGACCCTAGTAACGTGGCAGGGTGGAATGAAAAGACCATAAGTGACCAAGCACGAGAAATGAACGCCGAAAAAGATATCAAATCAAAATAGCCAGCAACCCTTTGCTATACACAATTCGGCTTTAGGATGCCTTTAGTCAAGTCAATCCTCGGTTCAAGGAAAAAGAATATGATCGTCAGAAATCAGGAGGTCCCGGCAAATCCGAGGGATCTCGCTGGCCGTGGTGACTAAACAGAACGGATTAATCTGCGTATGTGCAAGTCGATCAAGTAAGAACGAAAAAAAGAAAGTAGCGTAGGTATAAGAAATTTAAGACGGGACAGATCTTCGCCGGGATATCGTCATGATTTTGGGTCGTCGAAGAGGGAGTGTGAATGGAATAATAAGAGGTCGGTGGGTATCAGCTAAGCAGAAGAAGAAGAGAAAAAAGTGTTTAAATGGTCGCTGATGTGTCGACTGGCCATCTAAGACCAGCTTTTCAAATCTTCCTTCTCCTTGAGTCCACCCATGCGCTCGATATCCAAAGAATGGAAACGGTCCGCATCGCTGGACTGATACGGAGGAAGCTCATCTTGGCAGGGTTCCAAGCCCACCCCGCCAGCGTCGCTGATTCGGACTACCACCACTCGGCCGGACTTGCGCTTTCCAGCCTCGTCTTCCTCTTCAGGGAATGTGATGCGGATCTCGGGAACGGGGCTAGGCGGGGGGCTCGAGGAGTTTTCCATAAGGCTGCGCTTCTCATCCATGACCAGAACCGACTCTGTCTTTCCATTTGGCGCGGAGGCCGAAATCGTGTAACGGCGATGATTGGGCTGGCACTGCCCGTTGTGTATAGGGAGCTCGGACTGTTTACGGCTCTGGCGCTTGCGACGCAAGAAGAGAAGCGCTCCAACCAGAACAAGACCGAGAAAAACGAGGACCAAAAGAGAGATCAAGAGATCAACCATGGCGGGAGAAAGCCCATCATCGCTGTTGTCGCGAGCGGCGATCTTGGAAAACGTGCTCTTCATGATGTCGACTATCGTCGGGTATTCGTCTAGTCCTCGAATGCGGCTACTTCAAATAATGTATACGACAATTGGTGTACGTATTGACAAAGAGCGGCAAAAAATATGATGCAAGAATTGAAGTCGTACTATACGAGACCATTTTGTCAACAGCCGATCAACCGGGGCCAGTAATATATAGACCACTTACTCCACGTTCCAAACAAGTGTTACTCAGACGTATTCTAAGAAACAGATAGGAACAGGCTGGGGTTTATTCAAAAGAGAGAATGTATAAAGGTCGGTAGGTCGTCGGCTGGGTAAGATAATATTTCTTAATTTTTTTTTATTCAAAAAGGATCGACTCGGTCGGTCGGATCGATCGGGGGCAATACAAGAAATCGACGAGGCCGGTAGAGAAAGAACGGACAGCAAGGTGAACAGCTGAAAGAGTGAAGCTGACACCTGCTTAGAATAGAGAACGTGACGGGGGGGAGGAAGGAGGAAGAATGAGGGGAGGTCGGTTGGTATGGATGATGTTGGATGAGAAGGAGGAGAATCGACGGCGGCAGAGGAAAACGAGAGAAATGGGGGGGGAGACACTAACAAAGCGGCACGACAGGAACGAAGCGCAAGGGCGCCCTCAGCGGCCAGAACCTCGAGCGACCAGCAAGGGCGCCGTGCCTCAGGCTCTCAATTCCTCTGCCAACTAGCACCGGCCACTAAAAGGCGTCTGGCCACTGGCAATGGCCAACGTCGCTGCTTGTTGTGCTGTTTGTTTGCTGGCTTCCCCATGGTGCTTCTTGGCGGTTCGCCGGCGTGGCCGCTAAGAACAAGTTGCAATTTCCCCCCCGCTCCCATCTGACCAATCAGGATGTGGCGGTGCCTGAGACTAACCGCGTACAAAAACCCCCGAGCGAGTTGATTCGCCGTGGTGGGGCTGTGGGGTTCGCGATAAATCCACCGATCCAAATTTGGTATGCATGACTCCACTCACTTTCCCTGTTTGTTGCTAGCTTCTTCCCCCTGAAAAGGAGAGCACAACCCTACCTACAGAAAGCACAATGTCAGGATATAAATAAAATGAAATTTCTGAGCTACTCTGTACTCCGTACTCTGTACTCTGTAGCTACTGTAGAATGTACAGAGTAGATAGAAAGACAATTGATATTTATTCATATTGGGCATCGAGCGGAGCATTCTATACTCCTACCTTACCAACTCAACAGCATCACAATGACGCCGAAAATGCTGCTCTGCCAAAAACCAGGCAGGGTCTTGCAAGTGGGTCTCCAGGGTTTTGTTGTGTCGGTCTGCCATCAGTCAGCACATCAACACGAGAGGGTCTGTGAAAGTCAGCTGATGAGATGGCAGACAGTTGTCTTACAGATGAATGATGTCTGAGACTCCCTTCAAGGATCATCTGCTACAAAGCCGTACTTGGCGGATGACTTCAGCCCAGTGAAACTGTTTCAAGTTCAATCAAAGATTAGCTTCAGGAGTGTAAACAAAGAGCTAACTTAGTGCTTATGTTGATATGTTAATGTTTACATCATGGACTACACCAAACAACATCAGTCATCGTGACTGTGTATATGGATATCTTGAGCTGAATATGATAAATCAGTACATCACACAAGCATACAATTTGATATCATTAATTCTAGGCCGGCATGGACCTATCATAACTCGGCAGTAATGCTATACAAATATAGAAAAACGTGGTTCATTCAGTCCAAGTATTCAGTGAGGAATGCTCTCCTAGCGTGATACTTATAGTACCCATTGACTTTAGCGAGGATATATTTACTCAGAGTCCACTATACATCTATACCAGTCTGTCGGCTTATCATTTAACCTAGCATACATAATGCATCGATATTATCGGGAACTTGGGGGCCATTTGACCATTGAAACGAACCTGTATTGCATCAGATAACTCTATACAGATAGTCAATATACATGAAACAATGCCTATATATAAGGTAAGAGCCAAACATAAATTAACCATACTGCTTATATATGCTTATAGTCAATTTGTTGGGGATTGACAGCACATCACACATATGCTGTGTAAGCCTGCACCTCAACCCCAGCATTCATCCAAGCATATGAGCCAACGATTACCCAGTGGAAAAGTTAGCACTCCCAGTCTGAACCTTTTTTTCGCTGCACTCTGCTCACCGCTTCAACGGGTGTAATTTCTGAGTGTTGGATGGGATTATGTGGTATATGTGTTTGGGGTGTTCTTGGGGCTTACTACATCTATATAAGCCGTTTGGACACACGGCGGGGTATTGGGGCCAGTTCTATATATATTGATCTTTGATTATACATCATTCTTATGTCGCGAACATATAGATAAAAACATTATTTCTAAGTTCAATTTCATTGAAATATTTGTATGTTGAAAAAAAAAAAAAAGTATAGAGTCTGGGAAATCAACTTGGTTGGTGACCAGAGATATACTAACCGTCCCCTAGTAAACCACCATGACCCATCCGTGGTATCTGCATAACCTCCACACAAAGAAGCCTGCGTATTATTAAAAAGGGCTTTCATAAATTCAGTGTTGCTACTATTATATCGTAAGTGCCTAGGCAGTATGTTCAGATTATTGCTAATACTAGGATTGTCAGCCTAGATATATATCCATTCTATCTTGAGTCGGATACAGCAGCAAAACATATATTATTGGATAGTGTTTGAACCTAAACTTCCGATTTCCAACATTTCAAGCTTTCTATTAACCGAATAACTAATTAGCACATTGTATATGATGTCCTGGACATCTAAATAGTTCGTCGGTGAAGTGCAATATGTTGATCGGTGAGTCGTGCAGGTTGTGATTTTAATATATTTCGTGGCCATCGTCTATATCATTCTTCATATATTCATCGCTATATTGGCTGGGTATATTAATCTCATCCAGTATTACCTAAGGACTATGAATCAGGGCAATGTTGTTGTTATCGGGTAGGAAAATACTATAACTGCCATACAGACCACCACCAACTATACTCCTAGAGCCGGAGTTCTCGGACTCAGCTGCGCAATCCAACTATTTCGACAAAGCCCCACAGTCACCGTGATTGCACGCGAACTCCCCGGCGACTTTGGCATCGACTACGCATCTCCATGGGCCGGTGCCCACTTCCGACCAGTTCCCTCCACCGCGGGACACCTACAAAGAGCTCCAGGATCTAGCAGCCAAGCACCCCGAAACAAGTGCTTAGTTTATACCCGGGATGGAATACTTTGGTACAGTTGATCCGGCTTACTTTGACGAGAAGCTTGTCGGGGAGAATGGGTACGCCGACTGGCCCAGTTTTCGGATTCTTGGGGATAAGGAACTTGCACCTCAGTATGGCTCGATCAAGTTGGGGATACTTATACCAGTTGGGTGTTGAATTCGCCTGTGTACCTGAAGTGGTTACAGGGATGGGCGGAACAGCAGGGCGTCAAATTCATCCGGGCGCAGGTTGCATCGATAGAGAATTCCATCTCGATCTACCGTGAAGCTAGACTTCGAGAGGGTGGGGATGGCCATGTTGACACTGTCGTCAACGCAAGTGGTTGGGGTTTCGAGGATCCCGACTCCTTTCCACCAAGGGGATAGTTTGTCATCGTCTCCAACGCCTGCGAGAAAACAATCAGTCACCACTGGGCTGATGGGTCGACGACGGTGATTATCCCCCGCCCTCTTGGTGGAGGGACAATCATCGGTGGAACAAAGGAGCCGAATAACTGGTAGGTCTCAAGAACTCAGCATTTTATATACGGACGGGCTGACTTTTAAGGGATGAATTTGTGTCTGATAATGCAACGGCCACCACTCTTGAAAGAGCCACAAAACTCTGTTCACAGATGGTCAATCCAAATGCATTTGACATCCGGCAAGTCCACGTAGCTCGGCGTCCTATGCGCCGTGGGGGAATGCGATTGGAAAAGGAAGACATGATCATTCAAGGCAGTGAGAAATCCATCCCAGTGATCCATTGTTATGGAGCCGGACAGAGTAGATACAAGATCAGCTGGGGGGTAGCAAGGCGAGTTGGGCAACTTGTTTCTGTTAGACAATGAAGAGGATGGAGGGCTTTATCATGCTAGCCACACCGTAGACATGTCCCCTCGCACATGATGCAATTAGCGTAAATGTGGGTCGGTGGTGATAGGCACGAGACGAGAGGCTATTCAGAGCAAGGGGAGCTGTATCGATGGACAAATATCTACACCGTACACTTCACCGCACTATTAGGTATACTGCAGTCTGACTGCGCCTTGAATCTCAGTTGTTCAGGTGATGAGTATCTGTGGGAGAAACTCTACCAGATGAAAGCCCTGTAACCACACAGCAACACATCGCTCATGTAGGGTAGTAAGGAGGGAGTACATATACACTACTCTACCTACAACACGTCTACTACCATCTCATGTCTGATCTGCAGAGGGATTAAAACAAAGTTTCCAGGATTCAAGCAGGGAGAAGGGAAAGAATTGAATTTAATGTCCGCAGATAATCAGACAGAATTCTCCATCTTGACTTGAACCTCATGAATGATAGACCCGCCCAGTGGGTCGACTAGTTTGTCGCTTCGGAACCAATGCAAGGTGAATCTGGGGTTCTTTGTTATGGATTATGATAGATGGAGGAGTTGGTGGCGTATATGAAGCAAACAGTGGACATATCCTAAGAGTACCTAATGTGAGTAATACAGTATATTTTATACACCTACAGTATGACGCCATAACAATGATAATAATATTATGATAGTAGAGAGATTGAATACTACATCAAAGACAATCCCTTGAAACAATGCTACTGTCGAAGCAAGGAGGCTAGACAGAGCAGAGCAACTAACAGACATCCTTGATTCTCCATGTTTGTTTATCCATGTTTATCCATGTTTATCCATGTTTATCCATGCTTGTTTCTACTGGAAATAATTAATTCATTATTTATTATTGAACGGTGGTCAGACACGCTATCAAGCAGCCTGTCCCGAGTATGTGATTATCAAGGGATAACCTGGTCTACATTTCCGTAGTAGACAGATTATTGATGGATTCTGCATAATGCTGGTTAAGGGACAATAATATACATAATTATCTATTGTCTACTCTACTATCTAGAATAATAACATCCTTTATTACCTAGTATTATATGACACTGTACAACAAACATGATCAACCTGTCAGCCTGGATTGAGGTGCAGCATAACCAGCCAACCAGAGTTATTGTCGGATACTCCTCAAGGGCCAGCTAGCTACAGCTATATCATTCCGAAATGTTTCACCCGAAGAACAGGCGATGATATAATAGATCGCATCAACTGCTCATAACCAGTCGGACCAAGACTCCTGGAAGTAAAGTACAAGTCGGTAAATAAACGGAACAGACTAGTTGTGTGGATCCGATCGGACCGCTGCTTAACCTGGGCCCGCCAGACGAAATGATCGCTTAGTTTAGCTGGACGTAGACGATGATCACGAACGGGTTCGTTCATCAACAGATCAACGGATGATTTGAATTCAACATGGCATGCAGCGGATGATGTCTTCCATGGGACGCTACACAGACATGCCAGAGGGTCGTGGGTGGAGGTGGAATTGAATGGCTAGGAAAATACGTTGCGGCTTGACCCAAGGGCTGAGGATCGACGTCGAATGATGATACATCGGAGGATGCTAGGTATGATGGTATGATGCCTATGATGATAGTGATGTTGATGACGATTAGCTGCCTTGTATGTACGATGTGATAATTATCCTTTGACTGATTGAGGAGAAGAGAGATTTACGCAACTACATTGCCATTGTGGAAGACCATGGCTGCAACTGGCGGTCAACCAAATGACAGCCATACAGATGTACACTCCAATACAATATTTAAGATACAATCCATAATCCAGACATGCAAATATACAAATACTAATAATTATATTGTAGTTTTATGTTGCATCTATTGTAGTTAGATATCGATCAATCTAAAGACGGCCCCAGATCGAGCGGCGGCTTGGGTCTGTAACGGTACGATACGGTATGGAACGGGGCACATGCGATCCCCGTCACAGAGGGCTGAACCTAGGCGGTACCTCGCCCGACTATGTAGCCCTCATACTGAAGTCAAGTGCTTGTTGGGCCCACCCCGATCGACAGACCCGTCATGTTTGCCTGTCCTGTCACTGCCGGTACCGTACCGCCCTGTATCGCTTGCTCTTTTGCCCCCCATGGAAACACGCAGCATCTTTTTTCCCCAAGAGTGCCAGCTTATCTATCATCTTGACTCTGTTGCTAAAGGACTTCATATTTCTTTTCTTTTTTACTGGTCTTTTTCTCCCTTTCTCGTTTCTTTTCTTTCCTTTTTTTGCGTGATCCTTTTTTTTCACCTCGTTGGGATTTTTTACTATCTCACCATTCCTTCTCTGAATTATCTGAATTATTTTTTTCTGCCGTCCTATTTTTTCGCCTTTGGGCTGTCTTTCTCACCTCCCCGCCGGTGCAAGACGAGATCAAAAAAGATCGATCCGCCCCGACGAAATTTCTGTGTCATGCTGGCTGCGCTTGTGTGACAGCTGGATTACATTGATGCCGTGCTTGGTCTTTCGTCTACATTCCCATCCTTCGACGCTCCACTAATCACCGTCGACTTCATCCTCCCTCCATCTTGCGCAACGACCACATTCCTCCCCAGACCTACCTATCCTATCCTACCTATCCTACCGACGCTGCAACAATTTCACCCCCCCCTCCCCCTTGCTGCTGCGAATCATCCAAGCTCCTCACGCTTGTCTGATTACCCTCCTCGGCCGTCCTCTTTTTTGTTTCCCCACAGGGCACATGAGGGCGATCTGCGAGATTCGAGGTTCCTGGAGCATGCACGGAGCGTAGTAACGTCGTGATACACTCTGGCAATTCTGATCCACGGCTACTTGCTGTGAATTGCGCTGGCAAACGAAGGGAGATTATCCAATTCTTGTCACCTTGCATTTCGCTCCAACGGTTTTTTTTGCTCCCTCCCCTCAGCATTTCTCGTCTCGAGCCTGCCACGCCTCCCTTTCCTCGCCCCTTCTTTACCAGTCCCTTGTATAATTTGTACATGTCCTGACCTTGCTGCTTGGTGACGGGGAAAAAAAAGTATCCATATTCTTTTTTTTTTTCTTTTTTCCTTCTCGACTCTCTTTTCTTTTTTTTTTGTTCATTTCTTTTTTCTCTTTCCTTGTTTGCCCTTTTCTTGTCCTCTCCCTTGGTAAGTCCTGGTCATCTTCAACCCCTCCTAATGCCACCGATCATCGTGGCCTTTTCTTTTTCCCGGGCGAACAGCTGGCTAATGGTGTGACGGTTACCTCGTGCAGTTTTATATTTTTCGTGTACGCCTCTTCGGGTGCCTGGTGCCCTCTGCAAATACCGGTCGACATATCGCTCGCCCCATTCCGCTCCGATCTGTGACTTATTATACACGATAATCCTCGCGAGCTATCTGCAAATATCTCGGTCGCTGTTCGAGTACATATTTGGTGTTTTTTCTCCGTGGAATGGCGTCTGCTATGGCAGCTAACGCGACTACCGTACATAACGTAAGTCGCATATCCGGTGGGACTGTTGGACAGCATGGTGACAACTCGACACAGGTACGATCAAACCGGGCGGCAAACATGGGTCCTTCTGGCATCAACGGCGAGCGATCTCGTTCTTCTCATCACTCTAGTATGACTAAGAGTTTCGGCGGTGGCAAAGCGAGCTGGAACGCCAACATTTGGGGAGACAGCAACCTAGGAGGTGGTTTCGACGGTACGATATTGGGCGCGGCTCCGTTGACTGGAGGAAGAGGATCATGCTCACAGTTTCTAGATCAACCTATTACCGAGTCTGCTTTCGAAGGGAAATCAGGTTCGGGCTCACTATTATCGACTTCAGAGTCGGATGGTTGGACAACCCGCCCTAACCTTCCATGGAGTACGGTTAATACGACGTCATCTCTCTCTCGAGCGCAGACCAGTGGTATGTCTACTTCCCCAGTTCAAGCCCGTGCTGGTGATAGGAGTGGCCCGGCCTTGACAGAATCGGCCGATGCGTCTTCGTATTTCACACTGCCTCGCTCCAATGGACTGGCAACCTCGGCTGGAGGAACGAGCCACAAGAATTATCTTAACACTTCGAATGATGGTATTTCGCCCTCTGGCGATGGCATGTCTTTCGGTACCTTTGGGTTTAGGAACGGCGAGAACAGACGTCATGTCAGCACATCGGCTTTTGGAACAAGCCCCGTGAACTCAGGTTTTCCTATGAAGGGTGGTTTCTCTGGCGCTCTCGATACCACGAGATCGGATGAAATGGCTAGCTCTATGGCCATGTCTGGTCTGCCCCAAGGTATCCCGGAGAATATGACCCAGCCTCTGGGTCGAAACCCTTACGCCCACGTCCCTCACAACTCCGCTTCGTTCGCTCAGCGCCCTACACATTCAGCCCACCCATCTTTCCATTCCGAGAGCCAAGGATTTGAGGGTCGATATGTAAATGGGTCGGTGGACATCAATGCTGGTTTTAACAAGTTGCAGCTAAACGATGGCGGTTTCTCTACGCAACCCGGGGTTCAACGTCCACCTTACCTCTCCCAAGGGTCTTATGATGCTACCTTCCAACGGTTGAAGTATCAAAACGGAGGCGAAGAGCCCAACTACCAGGCTGTTGCAGGCTACACAGCCGACGGCCCCGCAGACCTCCCCCTGGGCTATGCCCCCAGATCTCGCGTTGAAGGTGACTCAATCTCGCCGACAGAGTACCCCCGAATGGGTAGCCCCTTCTATCCTGGTATCGAGAATGCAGCTGGCGCTGTACCTCACTATAGAAATCCATCTGGAAGTCGCCTATCTGACGGCCAGGCGGCTGCACTCGAGCGCAAGCTGCGGGGCATGCAACAAGAGCAGGAATTTGTGCAGCAGGCTGGCAACCCGTTGCAGAGAGCCCAGTTCCCGGGGTCCTATGACTTCGCAGGGTACCAAGCGGCGCGACTGAATGCTCTGTCTGGATTCTACCCCGTCGCTCATCTGGGTAGCCTCGGTGCCGCCGCCATGGTTTCCCGGTCTCCCCGTGACCATGATCCCACACAGGTTGTCCGTAGCCCGCTTTTGGAGGAATTCCGAGCCAATAGCAAAGGTAACAAGCGATATGAGCTCAAGGTAAGCTTCCAATTTTTTGTGATGCCTCTGTATTAAATGGAACTAACGTATCCTAGGACATTTACAACCACGTTGTCGAATTTAGCGGTGACCAGCACGGATCTCGATTTATCCAGCAAAAATTGGAGACCGCCAACAGCGATGAGAAGGAGCAAGTGTTCCGCGAGATTCAGCCTAACTGCCTCCAGTTAATGACGGATGTTTTTGGAAACTATGTTGTACAGAAGCTGTTTGAGCACGGTAACCAAACTCAGAAGAAGATTCTGGCAAACCAAATGAAGGGACACGTTCTGGCTTTGTCCACTCAAATGTATGGTTGCCGAGTGGTGCAGAAGGTAACATTCATTCGATTCGGTCTGGAGAGTAATGGTGCTAACGTTGATTCAGGCATTGGAACATATCCTTACAGACCAGCAAGCATTCATGGTAAAGGAACTTGAAAACCATGTGCTGAAATGTGTTCGTGATCAGAACGGAAACCATGTGATTCAAAAGGCCATTGAGAGGGTCCCCTCTCATTACGTGCAGTTTATTATTAACGCCTTCAAGGGCCAGGTCAACCGACTTGCTGCTCATCCTTATGGCTGCCGTGTTATCCAGCGGATGCTGGAACATTGCGAAGAGGTGGACCGTGAATCGATTCTTGGTGAACTTCACGCCTGCACGGCTACCCTCATTCCCGACCAGTTTGGAAACTACGTGATTCAACATGTCATTGAGAATGGGGAAGAAAAAGACCGATCCAGGATGATCACCATCGTCGTTTCACAACTGCTGATGTACTCGAAACACAAGTTCGCCAGCAATGTGGTCGAGAAGAGTATTGAGTTCGGTGAAGAGTCGCAGCGTCGCCACATCATTAGTACCTTGACATCTCCTAATGAGAGAGGCGAGAGCCCTCTGCTAGGGTTAATGCGCGACCAATATGGAAACTATGTCATCCGTAAGTCTACTGATTTTCCAACAAACTGTCTCATTCCACTGACCCCGTTATAGAGAAAGTTCTTGGTCAATTGAAGGGCGCAGAAAAAGAAGCCCTTATCGAGGCAATCAAGCCTCTGCTCAGCCAGCTGAAAAAGTTCAGCTACGGCAAGCAAATCGTTGCCATTGAGAAGCTCATCTTTGATCCGAACTCTCCTACAAGCGCGGTCCTACCCCACTCCGCGACTTCCACAACACCTCCCAACTCTCACAAATCGTCTCCCCAGCCGTCCAAGCGCTCAGTAAACGACACCTGCCGAGCCCCTGTTGTTGGAGCAGCACCGCCGACTCCTCCGCCTACGGACAACCAAAGCAACTCTGATGGGGCTGGTGAGACCAAGGGTCTCGCCAAAAGCACGGTGACCTCTGTACCTGCGACTGAAGGAACTGTGACCGACTCTACTGCTCCCACAGAAGTCACCGGAGCAACCTGAGTTCCTGCACACTTGCTGACTATTCTTCTACTAACATAATCTTCTTATCATTATGTTGAGTTTCCCCAACTCTTTTTTCTCTTTTTCTTAATTCGGGCGTATACATACTGGGAATTCCGAGGGATATATGAGTTAACATTGTGATTCTCCCGCCTTACTTCCATGGCATGATGGTGGCGTAAAAATTAAGGGTATTGGCGGTGCTAAATGCTGTTTTATTCTTACAACCTTTCTTCTTCTCTTTAATGCCCTTTCCTCGCTACCTTTATTTCCTTCAACTTTCTAATCTGTTTATTTGTTTTGAGTTTTCTTTATACTCTGTTGTACTGTGTCATCGATGTGATGAAAATGAAGACACGTCTCCATACCTGTCAATGGTTCTATCTACTTTTTTTCTTCTCCGTGTTCAACAATCAGGAATCGGCGTCTTAATTTGGTGAGCAAGGGGAAATAACTAACTGGGATAACTGATTTATCACGCTAGCTTTGAAGAAGCACACGTTACGGTACAAATGAGACCTTGGACATAGCGGAGGGAACCGAAAACAACAATCTGAAGACAAGGGGACGAAGCTTTATGGGGGCCTTTCTTTTTTCCTTCTTCTTTTGCTTTCTCAGACTCTCGGTATACAGTCAATTCCAAATACCCAAAAAAAGAAGTGGTCTTGCTCGTGTGTCTTCTTTTGTCTACCGTGACGGCTGAATCGAGCCGAAATGAACTGTTGATATGGGGTTTCTTTCTGATATGTGTTACTGAATAACTTTGATGTCTTTAGTTTAGATCTGACTGAGAATGAATAATATGGAGTAATTGGCTTAATTTGAACACTTTTACTAATTTTATTTGTCATACTCATGGCACCAAAGGCAGACCAGTACTAGACACTATGAGCAGATATTAAATGATAGTAAAAACAATTCCTTAGGAATCTTAGAAAGCTGGCAGTCATGGATGTCGATGTCTGCCGCTATATGCTTATCGATAAGTCACGTGACCAATTGTATCTGCGATCTGCGGTATTCGCGGTACGTCAAGAACTGCAGCAAACCGTCAACTCGCCACTACGGAATCAACTATCTAACGGACTGGGGTTTCTTGAAATATATATCTACAAACGACAGAAAATAAACTTCCCCACTTTCATCAAGTCCATATCTAAATAATCCATCTCTCATCCTCGACGGACAGATATCCACCCGAACATCGTACACCTCACCAAAACAAATACCTACACAGCGAGATGTCCTCCAATGTCGGCCTCTCTACCCCCCGCGGCAGTGGCACATCGGGCTACGTCCAGCGCAACCACGCGTTCATGAAACCGCGCAATGCAGGCTACGGCGCGCCCTACCCACCTTTATCCGGCGGCAACAACTTCGACGCGGGCACATCATTCAAGCAGCGCCAGCCCGACAAGCAGATCCTCGAGCATGACCGACAACGCGCGATCGAGGTAAAGGTCATGGAGGAGAGGGAGAGACTGGAGGAAGAGAACGAGCGGATCGAAGAGGCGATGGAGAAAGGGAATAAGAGGAAGGGGAAGAAGAGCGAGAAGAAATTAGAGGAGGGCGAGGAGGATGAAGAAGAAGGAGAGAAGGGGGAGAAGGGGGAGAAGGTTCTGTCCGAGGAGGAGATTGATGAGCGGTGTGAGGCTTTTCGGCAGAGGTTGCTCAAGGAGTTGGAGGAAGAGCAGGAGGGTGAGGCGGCTGGTCGTGGGGGCAAGGATGGTCGGAGACGGCCTGCTAGGGATTTGCCGCCTAAGGAGAGGAGGCAGTTCAAGTCGTACCAGGTTCACGAGCTGGCTGAGGCTAAGATCGAGGAGAGTGAGCGGCTTCGAAAAGCCTTGGGCATTAAAGAGGATAAGGAGACTGGGGAAATTAAGGGGAGGGAGCCGTTTGAGAGCAAAAGACGGGATTAATCGGTCTATCAAAGGTCGATGAATAGGGAACTTTTGGCGTCATGGTGTTATCTTGATTCTTCGCATCGGAAGCGAAACTGTATGCATACTTTTATATGATCTGAAAACAAATCTCCAAATGGAATACAAAAAATGATTCCTTCATTCAGTACTTCTATACCTATTCAATTCGATAGATATCATCACGAGATATCATCACTTTTTTGTAAATCATAAACATGTAACGCCATTATATACAATCAAGAGGTGAATTTTTCAATAACCCAGCCCTCTTTCGGGTCCTTCCTTTGCACCACCTTTTTGGCGGGCATTGGCCAGCCTGTGCTTCCGGCCTCTCCAATCAGGGACGGAATCACCCAGCATGCGCGGCGCGCGGGGATTCCATCCAGGTTCTCTGTTTTGCCAATTGGCTTTCCATACTCGAGCAGCGGTGTGCCGTGCGCAATTGCAGAGAGTTGCAATCCGCTTGGCGTAACCAGAGGGTACATCCGGATCTTTGGTACTTGATCTGAGACCAAAGATGGCGAAGATTGTTGCAAATGAGAATAGATGACGTATTGTGGCATCTCCTTGGGCGTCAGTCGCGCAAGGAGCGATGTCGGATGAACGTAAACTGCTTTCTCCTGAAATTCATTTGCCGGTCCCTCACGAGACCGGAAAAGTGTAAGATAGGGAACATCAATTGCCCTCTTGGGGGTACGATGCATCTCTGGGGGAACAGGAGCCAGGTCAGCGCGGATCGCAACGTTGTCAATGAAACCGGCAGTGACAATCTGCTTCAATGCCTTGATTTGCTTCTCCGATGGCTCTGGCAGGCGAGCCTGGTATGCCGGAACGAGGCCAGGGTTATTGTTGCGTACGATATCCGTCAATTGGCGTCGAAGCTGAGTAGCTTCCTTGAATGCCTTGGCGCGCAGGAACATCTGCTCACAGAATGAATCCACATCAGAGGCGTAGCCGTAAGCGCAGATTGAGGAAAGAGACTTCAAGGCGTCGGAAGTATCATCGTGTTTGCTGAACAGACGCTGAGCCCTAGCATAGTCCTTGTGACGCTGCTCTCGAGCCGTGTCTTCGAGACGATCCGAGTTTGTATACACCCCTCCCTCGTTATCTTTAGAAGACACAGGGTCGATCTGGTTTTCCGGAACGAACAAGTCTCCCACCGCCAAAGCAGACACAAGCGCGATGATGTAAGGCATGCAGCCATGCTGGTGACCGATATACAACATCTTACCAAACCGAGGAGATAGCGGGTATGTTGACAGACGGTGACCGATTTGTGTTACCTGACCTGCAGACGTTAGGGCCCCCAGGTTCTTCAGTAATTTTTCGGCCTTCGCCAAACCCTGACGACTGGGCGGTGTTGGGAATGGAAAGTTGATAACATTATGGAGGCCCATGCTCTTCATCTGCAGTACAACACCTTCGATAGGTGTTCGTAATATTTCTGGGTCGGTGTATTCGGCAAACTGTTCATACACCGCCGACGAGAAGAGTCGATAGCAATGACCGGGACCAGTTCGACCAGCTCGCCCCGCTCGTTGGTTCGCACTGGCCTTACTGATCCAGTCAATCTGGAAGTTTTGCACACCAGTAAACAAGTCGTACTGCTTTTCCTTGGCTCGTCCGCAATCGAAAACGTACTTGATGCCAGGAATCGTCAAACTTGTTTCGGCAACATTGGTCGCCAGCACGATAAGTCGTGAACCCTCCGGTGGCGTCTCAAAAACCTTAAGCTGCTCCTTTGTGGGAAGCTGAGAGTACAGTGGCAGTACATGAACGCGAGTAGAGGAATCCATTGCTTCTTCGCCCAAATCAAATTCATCATCTTCTTCAGGATCGTCAAGACCAGTAATCTCCAGATCGCTGTCGTCATCGTCGTCGCCCCCAATAGCAGTATTGGATATATCTGCGCCACCCAATTCCATGTCTTCTGCTTCCAGCGGTGCATCGTTTGCTGACAGTTGGACCTTGGCCTGTGTTGCCTCGGCTCGTTGTGTAGGCTTAAATGTTTGCTTAAGCCGTTTAGATAGTTGTTTGATCTCGTTTTGTCCGGTCAAAAATACAAGCATGGCTCCAGGCGGAAGCTTGCGGTGGCCTCTAGAGACTTTCCGGAATGCCTCTTCAACATAATCACGATGCGTTCGTCTGGCAAAGTGCACAGTAACTGGATACTGACGGCCCTCCGCCTGAACTAAAGGTGGTGATCCATGTCGGAAAAGGCTTGCATTTTGCGTAAAATCAGAAATTCGCAGCGTCGCGGACATGACCACAAGTTTCAAAGGCTTGACAGTTGGGTCTTCTTCGCTCATGGCCTTTCGCAAATCCACGATACGGCTGGCCATTCCTATGAGGATATCGGTGTTGACGCTTCGTTCGTGTGCTTCATCAATCACAATAATGGAGTACTTGCTGAGAGAAAAGTCTTCTGCAATTTCTCGCAGAAGGATACCGTCGGTCATGAACTTGATAGCAGTCTTGCTAGAAGCTGAACCTTCAAATCGAATCTGGTAGGCGACCTTGTCGGAGAACTGTCCAAGCTCATCCCCAACACGCTTTGCCATACTGACAGCCGCAACTCTGCGTGGCTGGGTCACTGCGATCATGCCTGGGTTGGGGCTATCAGGGTTGCCATAACCAGCCTCAAATAGAAACTGCGGAAGTTGGGTTGTTTTACCACTTCCAGTAGCTCCCCAGATTACTATAGAAGAGTTGTTGTGGATAGCTTCCATGATTTTTTGTTCTTCGCCAACGACCGGCAACCCTAAGCGCGCATTTTGTATTTCCTCTGGGCGGTCGACCTGAACACTAAAAGCCTTTCGATAAGGATTTCCCTGAGTAACTTGAAGCTCAGGAGGCAGCGGTTCCTCCTCGAAGACAGTATTTCTTACTGGCCTTTTTTCGGGATCAAACGCTTGTACCTCCTCTGTGACTGGTACAGTGTTAGGGTTGAAGCCGATTGCATCGTTTATTTGTTGCTTTGCCCAGGATTTGAAAGCGGACTGGCGGGGCTTAATCTTAGTAGTCGATTCCTCTTCATCATCTTCATCCGAGGATGTATCCTCGGATGACTCTTCTGAAGAATCCTCGCTTCCTTCGTCAGACGTACTCTCCTCTTCGTCATCGCTTTCGGAGTTATCTGAGACATCGTCCTCGTCACTATCATCATCGGACTCATCATCTGAGCCGAATCCCTCCCATGGAATTTCTGCTACTGGTGCCGGCGCCGGCTTTGCCTTTTTCGTTTGCTTTCGCTTTTTGATGACCGGGAAACCGTCTGAGCCGACATCGAGTGGGCGCTTCAAACCACTTCCAACCCCTGGCAAGTCCACTGGCTTTTTGACTATGTCTTCGACTTTGTTTTCCTTCGCGGCCGCTTTCAGTTTCAGATCCAAGTCGTCCAAATCATCGTCGGAAATCTCTGCGTCGGGGGCAGTCGCATTCGTTGCGCCGGCAGTTGCAGATGTCGCTGGTTTTTCAGTTTGGTCGTTCTTGCCTCTTCCGAGATCTCTGGAGCTTTGTAAACCGGATGTGTCGACATTTGCCTGTGCGAGTTTCTTCAGTAGTTCGAGGTTTTCTTCCTTCTTCAGTTTGTTTTCCTGCAGAGATTGTTAGAAAATGACCTGATGGATAATTTCCTGTTGCGTAGTTATCAACTTACAATATATTTATCCAGACGCTTCTGTTTCTTGGAAGAAATTTTTTCATGTTGCGATCTCAATTCCTCTCTGAGATCCTGTCTTTTCGCTTCCTTTTCGCTTTTGGCGACGGGCAATATCTCGGTGACGTTGGTATCGACCGGAGCATTCGTAGCTTCCCTTTGCCGGTGCTTCTGCTTTCGTTGGCGAGGCTTAAACTTGGGCATTATGTAAAAAATTACAGGCCTCTGCCTCTACCCAAAGACAAAAGAATTCAATATAATGAAATTGCAGAATGAGCGAATCTTGTTGATGTTGGATGAGAAAGAAAAAAATTCAGGCAAGTGCGGGGCGGTGAGATTCTGCCTCAAAGCGGTGAGAATAAATTCACCGCCTTCAATGCGGCACAAAGAGAGACAGAGGGGTCAGGACAAGACAACAAACATCTGTTATCTAAAGAGAGTAAGGGTTGAAGCTGGATTCATTTCAATACATTTCAGAGAAGAGGAGATATTGATTGAAACTAAGAATATCTGCATAAAACTCAGAATATCCCAACCATGGCTGATCCATTCGACCTCAACCAACTCCAGGAACCATTGAACCTGCCCTTCCCCGCCGCAACGAAGCAAGTGGCTGGAATGGTTAATGGAGTCCAAACAGATGTTATGACCATGAACTTCAGTGACAGAATTCTGATTACAATATCTCAAAAAGGACGACTTGCGCATTGGGTACGCTGGCAATATCCTCCTCCAAGATCCACCAACTGACTGTTGTACAGCTCCATGTCCCGCTGGCAAATGAAAATCCAGGAACAGAGGGATCCCATATCGTCTCAGATGCTACCGACGACAGTCTTCTTCCGATCAGTAACCTGACGGCTACATCGCTGCTAGGCGGTCGGGTTCCTGGGCACGAAACCGTTGGTCAGCTATATGCCCGTCAAATAGCAAGTGCCATCGTCATGAAAACGCCAGGGGAAAAGAGATTGCTCGTTGTCGGGCTGGGGCTGGAGACGGCTGATGCCGATCGGGATGTGTTCTTTTCCATCATTGATCTCGTCCTTCAGTGTATTTGAAGGAACTTGCCGTGATGGCTGAAAAAAATAGGGACCGTAAAACGAACAAGATAAAGAAAAAGAAAGAAAAAAACCTTACAGATCCAAAGTGAAAATCCAGGCCCCTGTATCCTTTTCTTCTCCCGTTCAATTTTCAGCGAGGGAATGTTGCGGGCGTGGATGAGCTGACAGAGGCGGTCCCTTTCCTTGTTGCTGAAGCCACGGAAAGTGAGTTTTCCAAGGTACATGATGGCGCCACTGAACAAAGCCTGGACCAAATCATTTTCGTCGAATCCCGGCATTTTCCAGTTTTGGGCGGCAACGACGGTCAAAGAATAGATACGCATATGGTCGCCCATTCTTAGCGTCGTGATGAACTCTGAAAACGCCCAGCGCCGCTTCAAAGCCATCATGAAGTCAAGTGCTCCGATCAAAAAGACCACAGAATGAATCGATCTTTTCCACGAAAGCTCTCGTACGACGCAAGGGTATTCAAGCCACTTCTGATAAGACATATTACGGCAACACTGCAATGGCGAAGGGCGGCGGTTGAGCACATCCGCAGAAAAGGAACCATAGGTCCGGAAGAAAAGCTTGCGGTGGCTCATGGAGTGATAAAGGGCAATCGATGCTTCATGATAGATTGCGTGGCACACTCTGAGGATGGAGGTATTTCCCATTGGAGTGTGACTCTGTCTTCCGATTTCGATTGCACTGCCGTCGTGGATGAACAGGTATTCATAGATCTTGAACCGAAGTTCGATCGGCAGGCGAAAAAGAAGGTTACGAACGTATGGATTGCCCGAGACCATAACACCTCGCACGACCTTACTGGCTTCCGTGACAATAAGATCATGGTACGACTTGGGCTTTTCCTGCTCTTCGAGACAGTGAACTTGATTGCCTTTATGGGCTTGGTAAGGCTCGAGAAAGGAAACACAGATTCTAGAGCTTTCTTGTTAGCAGATATGAAGAAACACCGGAAGCGAATGATCCTTGAAAGACTGACCCTGAGTTGGTACGGTTGATAAAGGTCTTGGGAAGCTTCACTTTGGACGACGCGCTTGCGGCCACGTCTTGGACCTGGACCGGAGTCAACTGTGTCTCAGGCGTAGGATCCATGTTTCCGGCTTGGTTAGAAGGCTGAAGGCCGTCTGAGTTAAAGGACATGGATGAAGTTTACTGAGAAGCTTGGTGGAGGGCCAAGGTAGAGAGGTAGAGTGTTGTTTTCAGGAACTCAGAGAAGAAGTGAAGTGAAGTCCACGCCGAGATCAGGAGACCTGCTGAACATTGTGCTGGGTGGGCTGTGACTTTTTGGATATCTCGGCACAGCAGTCAGGGAATGCCTGAAAGGAAGGATTTCATCATTATACAGCTCTATTTTCGTGGCATGATTTGATGATCCTTTATTATATACCAAATAACAGATATACAATGGTCTGTATGGGATATTATTAGACTTCTTAAGAAACAAGACTTTATTTCAGATAGAAAGGCTTGTTTGGCTGATGAAGACGTAGATTCTTTGATAGTCCCATTGACGTACTGCGGTAGATGCCTTGTAGCCACTCGCATAGCAAGCCTCTGCAATAACCATTCAAAATGACTGAGGCTAAATTAATCTATATGAGCTATATCAGAAATCAATAAATTCTCCCTATTTTTCTCTTTCGTGGCCATCGATAGCTCAAAAGTTGATACAGACGCAAGGTCACGTGCCTGCGGCGAGACGACAGGGGCTTCTTTCCATCAACTGAAGCACTTGTGTAACTTCACTTCCATTATCTTTTATCTTTTGGTCACTCGCTGAATTCATCAGGCTACCACCTAATTCTGGATAGTGGATTCGACCCGAAAAAGAAGACCTCACGTGGGTTTGCTGAGTCGCGTTGACGTCCGCCCGCAGTGACGTTGTTCTATCAATCGTAAACAAGACTCGACTGAGATTGATTCCTGTCGTCTTTCTCTGCAACGCAACGACGCTCCACACAGCAGATGACAGGCGCTGCAAAATCCTATAAACGCTTATGACTTTTGAGGATTCCAGGATTCCAAATACCTGGTATCACCTACAAACCTTGCCTGTCTAACCGTCTTTGGAACACCTCCAGCCTCAGTCTCAGTCGTAGTTTCTTCTCTCGGGCTCGCGCCTGCATGGGAGTCCACGACAGAAGCTACAGACTAGCCACTATGGACCCCGTGGATGCCGACGACCATGAGCTCAGAGAAGCCATTGCACTCTCGCTAAGAGAACTCTATGACACTGGAGATAACCCTGAGCCTGTTTCCAATGGACAGCAACAACCCGTTGTCGATTTAACTGGCGATTCCGATGATGATGAGCCAGTGCAAATTTATCCAAAGTCAAATTCAGTTGTTGGGTCGGAAACAGATCAAGATGAGGACGAAGGAGACAAAGAAGCAGATGAAGAACTCAGGAGAGCCATCCAGTTGTCGTTACAGAGCGCGGGTGAAGATGTGAACGATGCTGCTGAAGCTCCCAAGCCTTCTGAGAAAACGCAGATTTTGGACACGAAGCCATCTTCAGAAGTAGAGCCACCCACAAAAAACAACAAACCCTCCCAACCTATGGGGATATTAGGCTTGGATCGAAGGCAGATGGAGCAAGAACGCTTGGCACGCATGGGGAAAAGGAAGGCTGAAGACACTGCGTCAATCGAACAGCCTGAGTCGAAACTCTTGAGAACTGGATCCGTCCCAAAAGATATTTTATCCACTGGGGGTGCTGCCGCAACGACCTCTGCTGGCTCAATATCCTCCAGTTCCGGCATTCCTGCTGTTAAACAGGCAGGAAACGGGCAGGTCACGATGCCGTCCAGTACACCATCGGTACAATTCCCTACCGGTGTTGTAAAAAAGACGTGGGCATTTCTCCAAGAACGCTCAGGTGATGATATCAAAATCGAAGAGGTGTTTCAAAAGTCAGATCTAGAGCTTGCTGTCTTGAGCTCCTTTATGTGGGACATGGAGTGGCTTTTCTCAAAGGCGGACACAAGAAAGACCCGGTTTCTTTTGCTCATGCAAGCCAAAGAAGAATCCACGGTGAGTGCTTATCTGCCTGTCACATTTTATCCTATATCCATAAGCTAATATTGTTTATGGGGCTTAGAAACGGCAATACGAATCAGAAACAGCATCAATGAAAAACCTACGGCTATGCTTCCCACCCATGGATGGACAAGTGAATTGCATGCACTCGAAGTTGATGCTGCTCTTTCATCCTGAATATGTTCGGATTGCGGTTCCAACAGCCAACTTGACTTCATTTGACTGGGGTGAGCAAGGGGGACTCATGGAAAATGTACTTCCCACTATATCTGCACATCTCCCATTTGCTAATGACAATCTAGAGTGTCTTTATTATTGATCTTCCCAAGAAACCCGAGCAAGTAACCAGTGGGTCTTCAAAAACGGCATTCTACGAGGAATTGGTCTATTTCCTAAAAGCCAGCACACTACACGAAAATATCATTGCAAAGCTTAATAGTTTTGACTTTGGTAAGACTGCCGATATAGCATTTGTTCACACCATGTGAGTCACTTCCCTTCCGTTTCATTAAGCGATTCTAATATTACAAGTGGTGGGTCGCATACAGGAGATTCATGGAAACGTACAGGATACTGCGGTCTTGGCCGGGCAGTAAATTCTTTAGGATTACAAGTTTCCAAACCCATAAATATCGACTACGTGGTAAGTTCGCATCTGCCGCAAAGCATATCATTCGCTAACCATCTCATTAGACATCTTCCATCGGCTCCTTAACCGACGAGTTTATGAGATCCATATACCTCGCAGCACAGGGTAATTTCTATCCAAACCTACACCCATCCCACCAGTACTAATTGACAAAACTAGGCGACGACGGCCTAACAGAATACACCCTCCGAACAAACAAATCCTTCCCTGCGCGAAGTCGTACAAATCCCACCCAGCTAATCCAAAAAGCCACCGCCTCAGAATGGAAAGATGACAGATTCCGAGTCTACTTCCCCTCAGAACGCACAGTCAGTGATACGAAAGGTGGGCCGCGCAATGCGGGTACAATATGCTTTCAGTCAAAGTGGTATGAGGGCGCCAAGTTTCCGCGCCATGTGCTGCGGGACTGTGAGACGAGGAGGGATCGTTTGCTGATGCACAATAAGGTGGGATATAAGTCTTGTGTAAATGTACACTCTCGCTGATATTGTTAGATTCTATACGTGAGACCTGACGAGCCGATAATAATGCAAGATAATTCGAAATGTCGAGGTTGGGCTTACGTGGGAAGTGCGAATCTATCAGAAAGTGCCTGGTAAGTCTCATTCCATCGATGGATATCAACATCTAATACTGAACATGACAGGGGCCGTCTCGTCCAGGATCGAACAACCAAAGAACCAAAACTCAACTGCCGGAATTGGGAATGTGGAGTGCTTATTCCAGTTGTCGACAAGACTCAGAACTCACAAGCCCCCGAAACGAAGCAATCTACCCCCGAGTCCCCAGATATGTTGAATCTCTTCCAGGGCACGATCCCAATCCCGATGCAGCTTCCAGGCAAAGAATTTGGGGGCAATCGTAGACCGTGGTATTATTCGAGTACATTTATGTGAGGAATCAGATGCTGTCTAGCATGTATGTATAATATCAATTATGTATGAGAAAGTAATCTCGTCTATCTAAAATCCGCTCCAAAAGACAAAAAGAAAGCTTTTATCTCTTCATCCACATGAATCAATAAATCAATCAGTAATAGTATGTACCTTCAACACCACAAACCCCTTTCTCAACAAACAATCAACCAATCATTGCTGCTCCTTCTTCGAGCGGGTAAAGATCCTCTTCACACCATCAATCATAGCCCCAATAAGACCAAAAACATAACCCATTCCAAACGACCACCCCTTAACACGAACAGTGAAGATGAAGAAGTAAACCAGCGCCCAGTTGATAATCACAAAGGCAAGAAAGATACCGAAACAGCGCCACTTGTCGCCGTCGTGCACGTTGAGGTTCTGCATGTACTCCGTGCCGTTGCTGTACGGACAGTACTGGCAGTCCGACATGGCGTTGGGGTCGAGGAGGTAGCCAGCGCCGGCATTTTTGACAAAGTCGCCTGCGTAGTCTTGACAGGTCTGTCCGGGGGGTGCTTTGAAGCTGGTTGCTTCGGAGGGGTCGCAGGTGATTTGCACAGAGGGGAAGGTGCTGGAGAGGACACCGCGGAGCCACCAGGTTACGGGGTTGACATAGTACATCCAGTATTTCCAGAAGACGGGGTATGCGTCGTATGGACGGACGATACCGTTGAACAAGTTGCACATGACGAAGAAGAAGGGGAGGACCTGGTTTTTTCTGTTAGATTTTGTCTGAAAAGGTGAAAATGGGGGTGGGGATAACTCACGTTGGCGATGACAGTGAAAGACGGCGCGAATGCACAGATCCATTGTCCCCAGCTAGATTGGAACAGATAGAACAGCATCGACATGAGGAAGACGTATCCGGCCGTGCTCGAGTCAGTGGGGAAGCCCACGGGGTAGTACCAAAGAACCCAGTATACGATACTGGAGACGATGGCGATGGGGATTTCGCAGACAATACTGGCAGTGCAGAAGGCTACCCATCCGTAGATACGACTAGGGTATTCACGGGCCTCCCAGAGAGCACGGTTGATGTAGAACTTGGGGACGACACTGTTCATGATGATGGGGGGGATAAGAATGATCAAGAAGCACGAGAACATACGGTCCTGCATGCTGGCGATCGAGTTGCCAAGCTTCCAGAAAGTAAATCCGTTGAAGATACCCATGATGACCGAGACGAAGAGTTTTCCGTAGTAGTACGACGGATCTCTCCAGTACTGGACGAAAAGTCTCTTGGTGAGCAACATGGTCTGGAGGGAGGTAGGCGCGGCGAATTCGTACTGAGGTCCGCTGTCCTCGGAAACCGGGATCTTGCTTCGCTCTTCGTTGATCTTCTGAATCTCCTGTAGGATTTCACGGTTCTGATCGGAGTTCTTCCATTCCTCGTTCCAGTCAATGCGTTTGCCGTTCCTCGAGGTTGCCTTGGCTGCCGTTTCCAAGATGAATTCGGCAACGTTCTTCGAAGGGGGGCACACAAAGCCGCGGTCAGCAAAGTACTTGATAACTGCAGAGCCATCTTGGCCGACAGGTCCAAAATAGAAAGTGTTTCCACCAGGGTTCAGGGCCAAAATCATGTCGAACTGTTGGATCAGCATGGACGAGGGCTGGTGAATGGTGCACAGAATAGCCTGTCCAGCCTGAGAGAGCTTCTTCAAGAATCTCACAATCGAAAACGCGGCCTGACTGTCCAATCCACTAGTAGGTTCGTCCAGGAAGAGCAACAAGCTAGGCTTAGCAGCCAGCTCAACACCGATAGTCACTCGCTTCTTCTGTTCAACGTTAAGGGAGCCAATGATAGCATCTTGGATTTCCTCGAGTTCCAGCAATTCAATAATCTGGTCAACGTAGTCGATCTTCTCCTGACGGGGAATGTGCCGGTCCTGTCGAAGAAGGGCAGAGAACTCCAAAGCCTCCCGGATGGTAGATGTGTTGTCGTGAAGATCCATCTGTTCACAGAAACCAGTACCTCTTTGGAAATCGGCTCCCAGAGGACGTCCATCAACGAGCATGTCACCGCCGACAACACCCATCTTCTGACGCTGAGCCAGGGTGTTGAGCAGGGTGGTCTTACCAGCTCCAGAAGCACCCATCAAGGCGATCATGAGTCCAGGCTTAGCATATCCGTTGACACCGTTCAGTAGTTTTCTTGTTCCGTTACCGTAGGGCACCGTGTACTCGACGTTAGACCAGGTGAAGATGCGTTCGCTGGATGAAATGCGGTTAAACGTCTCGGGGCTTCCCGACGGCGAGTCTCCACGCGACACAGCAGCATTGTCACCTGTGCTTTGGACCTTCTCCTCATCGTTGCCCTTGTTCTGGGTCGCAATCTGCTTAGAGCGCTTGGACTTCTTGAAGACCAAGGCACCACCGCCGCCACCGACGAAGGAGAGGAACTCGGCAGCCCAAATAGTCACCAGGAGATACAAAACCGTGAAAGCAATGACAACACCAAAGTTGCGCCACATGTGGCTTCGAGTAAACTGGAAGGTTGTGTCCAAGTAGCTGTCACCAGACACGTTAGTGCTACCTGCCGTAGATCCAGTAAGAGCACAGCCCTGGTACTGGGGATCATCATAGCCAGGACCCGAGGGTACGACCTGAGATGCGGCACACTCCATGACACGACCAGAGAACTCGTTCGAAAGTACCGCTTCGTAACTGTATGAGATTGGATTGACGTAGAAGAGCCAACCAAACCAAATCGAACCATGGATCAAAGCCTGTTTGGGAATCACATAACCGACGAACAAGATAAGAACGTTCAATGCAATACCACTGAATCGAACGGCATCGTCAATAGTCGGCGATAGTGCGGCAAACATACGGTACAGCGAGGTGATACAGAACGTAGTCGTGTAGACAAACAAGAAGTAGATGAAGAATTTGGAGACATCCACATCCAGTCCGGTCATAAAGTAGACGATAATCGTAAAGGGCACGACCATGCAGAAGATGGCAGGAAAATCGACGACAACACGAGCAATCGACACGGCAGATGGGCGGTAGAAGGCGTAGTCCTTGTGACGCGAGACAATTCCTCGTCCGGTAACTGCGGGCATCAATTCTGTCAATTGAAGCCAGCCAAGGAACAGAATCGAGAAGAACAGGGCACCACCACGAGAGAAGGCACCGCTAGTGTCGAGGGCCTCGCCGTAGAACAGAGAAGAGACAATAAGACCGTTGGAAACAATGATGAAATACTTGGTGTAGAGAGACGTCTTGTCACCCCACAGCAGCCAGAACTCACGCTGCACACAGGCGGCAACCTGTCTGGCGAGAGAAACAGTGTAGCTAGACTTCGTCGAGACAGTCTTACTCTTGGACTGAGCGACTGTCTTTTGGAAGCGGCGGGTATCCTCTTGGTTGGTTTCCTGGAGTTGGGTCTCATAGCCGGAGATGTCATTTGCGATACGCTTGTATTGTTCGCTGCTTCTGAAGACTTCCTCGAGTTCCTCGGGAGTCTTGGGGGTAGAGGCTTCTCGGCCTGGTTGGAAGAGGCGGGCATTCGGGTCACAGAGGGAGGTCAAAAAGTCGGCAGTAGTTCTGGGACATGTTAGAATAGCTTGGAAGGAATAGGGTGGAGGGGAACATACGATTGCTCAGGGCAGTAGAAGCCAAGGTTGACAAAGTACTGCCTGGCTTCGTTGGCAGGACCTTGGTAGAGCATACGACCAGAATCAATGACCAGCACCTTATCCATCAGCTCATAGATACTCTCACCAGCCTGGTAGAGAGTGACAAAGGTGGTACGCTTGCTGACATCCGTCATGATGCGGAGAGACTTGGCGTAGTCGAGCGCAGTGCTTGCATCCAAACCTCTGGTGGAGTTATCCCAGCAGACGACAGAGGACTTGGTGGTCAAGGTCTCGGCGATACTGACACGCTTTCTCTCACCACCAGAGACACCACGGACAAACTCGTTACCAACCTGGGTGTTCTTGGTATGGGTGATGCCAAACATCTTCAGCATGGCGTCGATGATGATGGGAATACTGGCGCGATCGTGTTTCTTGGTCTTGTTGATGAGGGAGAACTTGAGTGTCTGCCAGACGGTGAGAGTAGGGAAGTGCTGGTCATCTTCAGGGTTGTAGTTGACTTCACCGCGGAAGTGCTTGTGTTGATCTTCGGCAGACATGCCACCGTAGCTCACATCGCCCAGAAAACCAGCAAAGCCCTCACGGTTGTTGGAAATAGCCTTGAGGAAGGTGGTACATCCAGCACCTGGTCTACCAAGCACCATCATCATTTCACCCTCACGGACCGCTCCACTGAAGTCATGGAGCAGGTCTCTCACGGGGGGAGATCTTCCAAAACTAAGCTGGGGGACGAATCGGCAAACGAGGTTGTAGAGATCGGGACCAAAGGTACCCACGACGGCATGGGGCAGGGTTCGCACAAAGGAGGCACCAGTCTGAACACCCTTCACGGTCATGTTCTTGAACACGATGCCCACCTTCTTCGCCGGTTCACCCGCCGTCGTCCGTCGTTCCAAATTGCCACCCATGAGAAACTCGTTGAGGTCAAAGTCGCCAGAAACATCGTCGTCCGCTTCGTCCTCGTCCATCGCCTTCTCCTCATCCTTGGCCTGGCTTGTTCGACGGGAAGTGAGCGAGCGCAATCGGCGACCATCCTTGGTGGTAGAACGGGTTCGTGTGAGACTGAGTCGAGTCAATTCCCTCTTCATCCCTTCAAAGTCCTCCATGGCGCCCCGGCGGGAGACGGGCTCCCCCTGGTCCTGTTCTCCCCATCGGCCATCGAGACTGAGCTGAGACGAAGAGGTGGAAGTCGAGGTGGAGGTGGGGTCTTGGTCGGATGCTTGGGCATGGCTGGTGGCCTGGTGGTTGTCCTGGTCTGTCGCAACAGGGTCGTGCGGACGAGAATCTTCGGCCATTGTCGAAAGGCGTCCTTCACGGACGGGGTCGATCGCAAATTAGATACTATCAGTTAGGGTATTTGAAGAAGTAATAGATAAACGGTACTAGATAAGAATTAATAGGAGAAAGATAAGTATGTACAGTCCGACAGAAGGACACCAAGCACCGAGCAAAGGGATAAGGAACAGACAGCCCGGGGGGGGGAAGACGAGAAGAAATAGGGTCCCAGCATGAAGTACTATTATATATCGGATACGAGCGTCTGTAAGCAGACCCTCTTTTTTTTTTCTTCCAATTTCTTTTTTTTCCATTACCTCCATTATTAAGTCCGGTGGATTTGTAAGAGACGATAGAAAGCTTGAACAGGGATCCGCCCAGTCAATCCGAAAAAGGGAGAGAACGAATCATGGCGGGCCGCGGAGTCAGGCAGAAAGCAGCAAGCAGCAGCCGGCAAGAGTCAGGAAGAGTCAGAATTACTCACGCCCAGCTCGGGTGGAGCCCCACGAGTCAGTCGCGCCTGCTGCAACCGACGCGAAAGCGGTTAAACCCGATGCTGGATGACCTCAACTGGGCCGGTGATTGGCCGGCCAGAGATTTCAGCCCCGCTTCTCGGAGATAGCGGCGTTTACCTGCAGCAAAGATTGTAGCGTGGATGACTAGATGTAGTACAATTAGATATAGAATTAGATAGATATAGATACCTGTCGCGTAGAATATAGTCAACAGTATGGTGGTAGATATATGGTAGGCTGGTAGGATATGGAGTAATACGAGTAGTACTGGTGTAAGTAAGCAGGGAATACCCTCGGAGCAACCGCCATCCTATTCATTCATAACCTTCATTAGAATCCCTTATGATTCTGTTATTCCTCTGGTTCGGATGTCCAGATTACCAATCACCCCGATATCCATTCATGCCCTCCAGTTTGTCTCCGATGTCAGCATTTTTTAGTCGCCGAAGATCTCCCTTCGGCTTCAACGTTATCCGTCCAGCGCTTCTCATAGGATCCCTCATGTTCGCCATCTGATTCATGGCCATCTATCTATCAAGGTAGTTAGTCCTTCACCGCTTACCCTCCAGTCAGCATGATTCATGTTGCATCATGGTGATATGTATTTGCTTTTTTCTGTCTACCCCTCTTAACGACTTTCGGCCTAATCATGCCAATCATGCCAATAATCTGTGCTATCACATATAATGCATGGGGCCCCAGAGCACGGCATCCAGGCTCACCGCAGTTTCTTCTAGTCTGGCCATCCTAGTCCAGTATATGATCAGGCGGAATATATCTTCCGGATTAATTTACACCAACGAACTGCCGAGACCCCCACATGAAAAGAAGAAAAAGAGAAAAAAAAAAAAAAAAAAAGGAAAAAGGAAAAATGGAGGTCCGACTAAAGTGGACGCTCGGATCCAACCGTCTTGCAAGATGGATGCATTCCAGCCCCACCGACTCGTGTTTCAGCTGAGTCTGCTGCATCTGGATCATTATTATTCATGTGGTCTGCGTCAGGGCTTTCGCTTTCCATTTCCTATTATTGCATCCTCTGCATAGGAGGTTTGTCACCTGACTTGTGTCGTGTTTATGATATCTTATGGATCGGATTGGTTTGGCCATGTATCCAATCTGCACGATAAGCATTTGATATGTCTCATCTTGCTGCCCAATCAGATATCCGTGCTTTTGTCTAATTGACTTTGGATGATTATCAATCAGATCTATCCTACAGCCATGCCAACTCATTCTCATTTTGAATACTCTGTAGACCGCTACTATTCATATGATAAGATCGGATTGGTCTGTTTCTTTGTTACCTGCAGCTCTGCTAGTAGATCGGTATGCTCTTTGTTAGGCATACCTCCACAGTCGAATCTTCCTATGCTGTGCTGTCTTATACTGACTTTATCATCATAAAGCCAACACTACATTCTAGATATAGTATAGCAGACGAGTAATATGAATCTACGAATAATATATCAGATTCAACCATTATGATTAATAAATCGTTGGGCTTCTATGCAGTGGTCTCATTTAGCACTGTTCTTTGTTGTCGCTGTGGACATTCTAGACAGTTCTTTGTTCGACGTGTGCTACTCTAGACCACAACAGCGTTCCTACTATTGACAACTGTACTACACAAGTCTATCTATCTGCTTCTTTCATTTCCACTCTAGCCATTTCTTAAGAGCCATACCGGCTGTCGCTATCCTTATTAAACAAACGGATAACAGACAAACAGATCGTACCATTTGTCTCACTTATATTCGTCTTGTCTTATTTCGATTGCATTCAATTCCCTAGAAACGAGATGAACGACTTTTGTTGGACTATAGAACTCTTTCTCTTTATTCTGCGGGCATCCTTGTGGTTCATTTATACTGGCTATTATTCATAGGAGTTTGAAATTTGCAGTATCTGCATTATATCTAAAAGTACAATGTCCGATATCTGCAATGCCTCCACCGGCCCTACTCAAACGGCGAAAAATGGCCATCTAATTTAGCATCTACTTGGATAGCAAACAGGTTCAACGCTCGAGATGATTTAATTCCGACGGTTCTCGAGTCGATTTGAACCTGCCCAGACAACTCGACACGTAAAATGTGACTGTCTACTAAGCTTATATAGTGCGAGCGGTTCTAGGACAGGCGTCCTAGAATACTAGTCTTTGGCCGATAGTGCAGCGATATAACGCCAGAACGCTCCTTGGTAGTGGCCGTGACATAAAAATAAGAGATTCCGATTATATCGAATAGTACACCTTTTAGTTAGTACAATTCATACAAATCCATGCCGTCTCATAACATACTGGGTTTGTTGCTGTTGCAGGCCCTCAATTCAGGTCAATAGTACACACCTATAAAGCCTTCTTTATTATTTGCGCCTCTTAGCAGATAGACAGATGAGTATATATAGCACCATCGCATCTAGCATCTAAAATCAGTTTACACCCATTGTTTTATTTTTGGTTTATATAGGCAAAAGTAATGGGTATGACCGCTCCAATTTCTCAATAGGGTGCTTCTTCCACTCTTATCATTCCGCTGTTTATCTCAGAGGAAAGGGAAGGACTATTCTGAGTAGACATCTAATGACCTGTTGCTTTCCCTGATACTATACCGTACGGACGCATTCATGATTTAGAAGAATTTACAACTCTAGCGCCTAGTCTAGGTCATCTTGATATTTAACTTGACACACGGGACTATATTATATTGCGTGTCATATGTAAACTCACTTCTTGTGTGAACTTATCAATTAAGAAAAGATCGTTCGTATTGAGTTAATATGCAGGGCCAGCAGGCCATTCATCCCACTCCATGGTTTTCCGATAAACCCTAGAAAGGGATAGAGCCATCGCTTAACTTGAAGATATCATTGTCATGTATAGTATCAAGATCAACAGCCCATCTTGCATTCATCTTCCAGAATTATCTCCAAACATACTCCTCATACTCATTATTCTCATCCAGACAGAATCCCAACACTTACTGCCCAACACTTACTGCCCAATATCCACAACCATCCCACTGAATCTACCATCCAATCCAGGTCTACATTCCAATACAGGACAAAGTAAAGACAAAGCATACGCACTAACCCAATCCAGTATCAGTGGATACATTGAACACAGCATGTTCTTGTACTACACATCACTCGTCCATTATCAAGATCCATATGCAGCATCCAGATCCGAGCTATGTTTGTGAAACATACAACTCAACTTTATCCCGTCCTCTCCACTATCTTGTGCAGGGTAAGATGGATGATCTGCGCTATTGAATCATATCTTACATCAACTGTAGGCTAGCGTTACATTCGGGTTGGAAAAAGTCAAGTTAGATAAAGTTTGAGTTTGAGAATCCGTGGTTCGCGTCTTGCAAGTTTAGTTTTTTTTCCAGTGCGTAGCCCATAACTTTGATTTCCACTCTATCTATCATGAAGAAGATGGAGATGTTTCAAATCTAATTCAGTTTCCCTTTTTTTTTGTGTGAAGATAGATATAAGCAAAAACTGGCGGGGGGTATTCGATAAACTCAAGCTTCGTATGAAGCGCCAATCCAACCGATCCAACCGTTTATTAAACACCGCACCAATCCAAATATGAATGAGAAGGAAAAAAATAAATAAAATGAAGGAAAGAAAAGAAAAGAAAAGAAAGAGAAAGAAAGAAGGAAAAAAACCCCCTCTTGTTCAATTAGGCCTTCTTCAGGCTTATATTGATCTGGTCACGATAATGATACAAGAGAAGGGTTGGACTTTCATACATGTCTCATGCACCGTCTCTTGTTTCCACGACCTGTCTGCGACAGGGTGACTGGAGGAGTAGAGGAGGTAGAAATAAAAGTAGAATGCACTATCACCAGCTCCTCGCTGAAAACGCATGAGACAAGAAGAAAAAGAAAAGAAGATGATGAAGAAAAAAAAGTCGGAAGACACTTAATCCAAGCACCATTCCTTTGCTTCCCATATACAACCAGTAAGAATAGCGACAGTAAAACAAATTATAATAACGAAGACAGATGACCGCCCCAGACCGAACCGCCCGAACCAAACCATTGCTCATAATCACGTCAAAGACAATAAACAAGCATTGGAAAAAAAAAAAAAAAAAAAGAGTAACAGAAATGACGGGGAAAACGAGAAAAACACCACGGCCACCAACAAAAGCAAAGAGCACACGGGGAATGTAGAATAAGTAAGAAAATTGGGGTGCATCGTATCATCATAGAAGAAAAGAAAAGAGAAAAAGAGATAAAGCCCATTAAACCACTCAGGGTATGCGGGGTCCTGGCGGAAAAGCTGGATTACCCCCTGATTAAGTGGTCATTCAACAGAAACACAAAAATGCCATCACCATCTTGTCTAAGAGCATTTTCAACCCGGCAATCATGGATAGCACAGGTTCAAAGTCTATTCCCCAAATTGCCGCCCTTTCGAGTATGAAAAATGAACATAAGAAACGAGGTTGTTTATATTTGTGGCTGAGCCGGAGCGGCCGTTGTCCATGTCGACAGAGGCTGAGCTCCTGGGTAGGTGACATGGGCTCCTGGGGCCGTGGCTCCCATGTAGTACGGGTGTCTGTCGTTCCCGGTGTAGTAGGAGGCGGGAATCGGGTTGGATTCTCGGCGAGAGATGCTGGGATCAAAGGCGGCTGGAACACCACGCTGCTCCAACGGTGGGTGCGGCGTTCCATCCAATGGTGTGGCCAGACTGAAACTGCCTCGCGAGAATGTAGCCGGAGTGGACGGGTCCATGGGGGATGTGGCATCGGTTGCAACGCTGCGCGAGGAAATCGACGAGTTGCGGTAAGCCGACGGGCTGTGATCCGAGTGGGACCGGTTACGGTCACTGAGCGAGCTGGGGATGGCGGTGTTGATGGCGGGAGGGATCGACGAGGACAAAGAGTGGTGGCTGAGGGAATCGAAGCTTCCGTACGGCGCTCTGAAGTGCGGGGGCTCGTCCGGCTTCTGAGGAATCTGTGTCGGAGCAGCAGGGGCTGGGAGATAGGGATTGGGAGCTTGCTGGCCTGGAATCGAAGCTGCCATGGAGTATCCGGGAATCGCCGCAGACTGCGGGGGGTGGGTTGCAGCGTATGGCGAAGCGTGGAGGTAAAACTCCGGGTGAGGGTTGGGCATCGCATATCCTGGGGGAGCCACCAACTGCGGGCGATATCCGTAGATCGCATGCGCCGGATCATTGGGGTTCTCCATACCTGCCGTCTCTAGATCGTCGATCGGAGCGCGGAAGCTTTGCTTCTGGGTCAGTTCGGCACGGGGTCTGATGTAGCGCAACGACTCGACCATCGAAGGCGGATTCAACGCGCCTCGCATCACATCCTCAACGCTGTAATACGACACCAGGTGGTGAGTCACACCAGACACCGTCACACTCATAGTCTTCTTCACCAGCCCCGAATCCTTGAAACCGTACGAATCCACCAAGGAACCGACCAGCGCCCTCTCCACCTCCGACTGGTGTGATCTGTCTCCATACGGACCCGATGCGGTCGAAGACGGCGAATAAGCCGAAGGAGTGGCTTCCTGTCGCGGATAAGGCTCCCCGGGTCTCGTCGAAGGCACAGGTCGTCGATTCGCCTTCTTCATCGCTCGTTTCTTCTCACCGGGTGGGAACGGCTTCTCCAGCTCACGGTAGACCAGAAAGTTGCCCAGAATGCGACTCGGACTCCATGTCACTCCGTCCGTCCACCGCTTGATTCCTGACGAGTTTTCTTCGTAGATGAACACGCTGCCGCTGCGGACCAAATGGCTTCGTTCTCGGTCGTGCGGTCGACGGGGCACATGGTGCAAAACACCCGTGAGGCACGCTTCAAAGAGGATCAAGGCATCTTGTGTCGTCGCGACGTATCCCGTAAACGTGGGCTCCAACACTGCTGCGGCGCCGTTGACCATTTTTCTTGTTGATGATGGTTGTAGTTGGTAAGAGGTGGTAAGGTGAGTTGTATGTAGGTTCAATCGAACCTAGTTATGGAAAGGGTCCAGAGAGGTAAAATAAGATTCAAAGTTAGGCCACTGCAGATCAAGGTTTCACGCAACGCGGGCTAAGGCTGTCAGGTAACAGAGGAAGCAAGCCAGGACTGAATAAGCGAACGCGAAGCCAGGTTGATAGCTTTTTTTTCGGAGAATCACGTCGGATAAAAAAAAAGATAAAAAAGCAGCTTCACCTCGAGAGGGAGGAATTTAACGAGGATATTTGAAGGAGGGGCAAGGTCGAGAGAAAAAGCCGGGGGAGGAGGAGGGAGGAAGATGGACCAAAGGAGGGGCAAAGGGAAAGACCCTCGAGATAAAGTGAGGAAGAGAGAATGACAAAGTCGAGGTGAACCGCAGGACCAGGTCGGCGGTGCAAGTTTAACCCCTCGGTTCAGCGTTCACGACTTGACCAGAGTTGAGAGTTGATTGACCACCCGGATCGACAACCAGCACGGACCCAAAGGAAAGGAGGAGAGGAAGAGGAGGAGAAGAAGAAGAATGGATTTGGTTCAGATGAGGGAAAAAAGAGTGGGAAAAAAAAGGTTGGACGGACGGATCTGGAGAGAAGCGCCTGGCCCTATAAAAGCTGGGTCGACTGGAGCTTCTGGATCCAGTGGTTGAGATGGACAGGATGGAGGAGTCTTGGACACAACCCACCCAACTACTAGTACAGGACTACTGTAGCTGTCTTTTCTCGTAATTTGTGTTGTTGTTGTTTTGTTTTTTGTTTTTTAATTTAGTAATTTCCCGTGTTTCTGACTGGCCAAACCAGATATCAATCCCCCCGGTAGACCCTTTTTCGTTCGAGGCTAAAGAAGGATTATTTCTTCAGTCCAGTCTGTACTGGGGAAGATGTTCGCCTGTTTCGGAGAGAAGAGAGTAAGCCGATGTTATCCACTCTGGGACGTGCAACAGCCACGATTGCCATACGAGGATGAAGGAAGAGAGCGGTTTCAAACACGAAGTAATATAATCAAAATAGGGAAGAAGTTGAGATGAGGTTGAAGTGGGACAGGGGGATAATCAAGGTTAAAAAAAAAAACAGGAAGGGAAATAAAAGAAAAGGATGGAAATAAAATAAAATAAAAATTAAAATAAAATAAAAAAGACAGGAAAAAGAAAATAATGAAATAAAAAAAAAAAGAGGGAAGGGAAAAAAAAAGAAATAATAAAAAAGAAAAAGAAAAAGGAAAAAAAAAAAAAAAAAAAAAAACAGCAGGATGTATGTAGCTGAGAGTAGTAGTAAAATTTCACACGCGACACACTAGTTGCTGGAGGGTAAGGTATTGTAAGCTTCTTTTTCGCTCACGCTGATACAAGAGTTATTTATTATTATTATTATTATTATTTTATTCATTTAAAAAAATAATAAAAATAATAAAATACCTGGGACGATCAGAAAAAAAAAAAGAGGGCTGTGAGTGGACAAGCAGGAGCAAAAAACGAGACTAGGACAGAGCCGGAGAAGAAGAAGAAGAAGAGCAGAGTGAGAGCATAACTAATCATGATGGAGCAGCGACAGGCCTGAGCAACAGAACAGAACTAGTGATCCCAAGGAGCAGGCAAAGGAGAACCGGCCGACGGGTGTGGATCGCCCGTCCAGAGGCCATCGTGGATCCATGGGGAACAAGTCTGGTACTGGGAAATCATCGGAGGAGCGGAGAAATAGAGATGGAACATAGAGATGATGCAGACTTGCAGAGAATGGAGAGATTGAATTAAACGGAAATGAACTTACGGGGACAGAGCGGGGATGGCAGAAGCAGGTACAGTTGATGAAGATTCAGAAAGAGGGAGAGAGAGAGGTGGTGACGTCGAGCATCACACAGTAGCAAAATAAGCAGGATAATAAATATCAGGTAATAGGAGGAGCTAACGATAACACGGGAAGAGAGAGAGTGCAAGAATCATCCAGTTGAAAGATGACCGCATAGGCAATAATAGACTCGGGGCAATCGACGGGAGAGACGGCGGGGAGAGGAGGTGGTCAGTCCAGCAGTGGTGAACCCCGTGCCATGGATGCTGGTGGAGCTGCGGTACACTGTCCAGTCCGTACTGTCCACTCTGTAGTCTGCAGTCTGTAGTAGTACAAAACCAGATGTACCTACACAGTGATAGCAGTAGCCTACATATGAGTTATTCTTCTTCTTAACATCATTTGTAGACACTGAGTATTCATAATTCATCCCACAGAGTACCTGTAGTCCTGGACAGATGAGGGGTGCCTGCGGTGGGCCTTTGCGGCTTGACCAACCACGGCTCCGCCCCTGACGAAGAGTTGAGGCCGACATGATGTGCACTGGTCATGGCTTTGGCACGATCCACCACTCATTCCAGCCGTGTTTCAGTGACAGCCAACAGATACAATTCAACAGACAGCATCAATTACAGATATAGAATGCAGATTACACAACAGGAATGTACATAGGTAGGAGGTAGAGTGCTGAGTATTCCGGAGCTGATCCGACTCAATCTCAGTGGTGAGTGGTATCTGACTGATGCTGCCAATATCAACTATTCCAATGGTTTCACAAATAATAATGGAATAGTAAAATAATAATAATAATAAAGAGGGTCTGGAGAAATTAGGTATTCTCTACGGCTGGACACTGCCCAGCGTCTAGTCGGTGGACTCCGCATGGGAGTTGATTTGTCCCACTAGTACGTAGACGCGGTCAAGGCGTCTACTGTCTGTCTCGTATCCTCATTCCTCCCTCCTCCATAGTGGCATCGCCAGTCAGTCCACTCTTCCTCCAGACCTGGTTCGTTCACCCTCCATCTGGGTGACACCGCAAATGGTGGTCTGTGATGAGTAGGCGGGAACTTGGTCGTATTACGATCAGGTGCCCAATGGCTGTCCCAGCGACGTCAGAAAGAGCAGCCAACCCAAGGGGACTGTGCGCCGGTCAACAAGCCCTGCATCTGGTCGGCCGTGGGTGCAGATCAGAATCTTGTCAAGGGAGTAATCTAATAAGTGGTGGAGGTCGTCCCTCTGGTCTGCTCAGAATCGAATGACGTCTTGTTCGCTCTTCTCGTCCTGCTGCAGTGCAGTGAACATGTTAGGGGCTCTCAAGCGGTATGATCATAAGATCCCAGTTTGAATAAACAATCTACGAAGAAAAAGAAAAGAAATAAAAAAAAAAAAGAAAGAAAGAAAGGAAAAAAAACCCTCCGCCTGCCAACAGACAGAAAACGTTTGGCGGTTCCAGACAATGGGAATTCACCTAATTCCTTCCTCTGGGTAACTTTGACAATTCCCATTTCAGGGGGGCCCGTTCCTTGAGCTTATATTGGATGCCTGCAAAAACCTTCGCGGGAGATCCTCTGTAGATCCAGATGGGACAGTCTGGATGGAAGGAGGAAGGATGTGCCGTCTTCCAGTCAGCATCAGTAGGTCAGCATATTGTCTCATCTCATCCCCAACCAAAAATCGACAGGTCGAATCCGGCAACACCATGGGTGCAGGGCATGGATCCTGTGCAGAGTCGTACAAAACAATCCCGTCCATTCAAGAGCCGACTTAGCCAGTCCCGACAAAGTGGGCGAACAAGACGATCACAGTTGGCGCGTGCTGCCTGAACTCAATTTTGCATTTTATTTTTTTCCAGAGACAGAGACAGAATGTATGACAAAATAGACTGGAGATGGTGGCAGTAGACGAGATAGTTATTGATCTTGATGGAACAAGCGCCAAAGTTTGAACTCTGAAGCGAACAAGCAGTGTCCTTAGACGCGATGCTTGGCGGCTAAGATAGATCCCAGATCTTCATTATGATCTTCAGATCAACATGTGGACCATATCACATCTGTTGAGAATATCCTGTCCAGTATCATGAGTTTCCAGACTCTTGATGAATCGAGTCTGTGCCATTGTTGGGATCGACAATATGTTGGTCGCTTGGAGGGAAGAGAAAGCCGGATATTACGGAGAAAGTCGGCTCTAACTGGCAAGGAATCCCACCCGTCCATGGATTCGGATTGCTTTGCCGGCATTGATACACTAGATCGGACCAGTCACTGTACTACATACAAGGTGAAGGATGACTGATGAGAGAGCATCACATCAGAGAAACACCCCTTGAAGTCCATTTAAGAGTAAGGAGAATTTCGGCATCAACCGACTTCCCAAGGGGGGAAGGAGTCCAGCAAAAGAGCAAGTTGCAACACTCTCCTCACAAAGAAAGATAGGCTATGCAGGAGACGTGTACGATGGATCGCAAATGCAGCCTCGAGTTTGGTTCGGGTTCAGCACCAACGCATCATATTTCTTGTCGGGACAGACTATCGACCAAGAGTCCAAGACCTTCAGGATGACTGCTCCCCCGCGTTGAAGATCCATCCCGATTTTTGACACACGAGCATACGCGTTACTGTTTAGGGAACGCCTTCGATAATTGCTTTTCCCGTGTCTTTTTTTTCCCAAGGTGAAGGCAACCATGCTTATGCAATAATCAGCATCCTAACTAAACAGTCAGCAAAGGTGGCGCTGAGCGACTGTCAGCCGTCATGGGCTTTACGCCACGACCGACTTGAGTATCTTTTGTCGGCGATCCTTCCAGCCTGCCAGTCAGCACTTGCCGTGCTATTTAATATTGTCTGGTTCGTCTTCCTCCAATCCGCTGTAAGCCTGTAATTATTTAAAATCCACTTCATCGTAAACGAATAGGCGAGCTGCAGGTATCTTGGAAGTGAGCGAGAGTCTGAGCGGATCGACTGGAAGAGGGGGGTGGGCAATGAATCCCAAAAAGATGTGGCGTTTTTGTTCTGACATCTTGAGCAGGACGACCCCAGCAGAAGAAATGCCGCACAAGTGAATGACAAGGACAGTCCGATCTAATACAGGCGATCATCGGCGGTGCAGCCAAGGAAGGCCCAAAGGCCAGAACACTAGAACAGAGAGGGTGGGGGAGACGACGACGAAAGCGGACACGAGTTCACTTGCGCCAGACTAGTATTCTAGTATTACTAGTGTATCATACTTACGATACCGAGTGACAGAGTTGACAATAATGATGATGATATTGATGATAAATAATAACGACAATGATATAATAAGGTAGAGTAGAATAACATTAGAAAGTATTCAGCATAGATAAATCGTATTCTCAATTGTTAGATTAAGATAGCTGGATAGTATCATATATTATTTGTATCATTGTGTCATGTATCATGTATCATGTATCAGTGAGTACGATTACCGGAGAACTACGGCTACAGTGTAGGACTTGGCACATTGCAGATATTCAGATATTCAAAATGGATACCTATGAATATTCACATATTATTACTCATGATATAATTCATCGACGGAGTACAGAGCACCTACAGACTACAGACTACGTCGACAGATATCGCGGAGTACATCGGAGTACTGACTATGTAGACTGATCGGTCGGGCGCTCCCACGCTATGGGACCTAACAAGACCCACGGATGGCAATAGTTTGAAGTAGCGCCGTCCAGCTGTTAGACTTGCGATCATCCCAGGGTCAAGCCTTGATGCGGAGAACTGGTCGGAGGTTGGGTGGACTGGGATTACATAGTATTGGCAGGCGATGATCCTGCTGGTGCTGATAGTTTCAACGGCTGTGGTCGATTATCCCACTTCACTAACACGAATTAGTAGCAGGTTCGCCATGTGTTGGAGAGTCTTAGTCCACTCCAATTATTGCGACTCGGTGGGATCCACGAGGAGGAGGATGTGTGAGTGGTTGGCATGTATGCATTGCCTCCCCCCACACTGATCTTTCTTGTGTGTGAGTACGAGCAGTCTGACTACCCCTTTCCTGTATGTCCAATGAGATAGGAGATATAAAATTTATTATCCACGTGTGGCTGGATTGTCTGCCGACTGACTGGCCAGGTTCTACTCTTTTTTTTCCTGCCCAAGACAAAGAGATAATTCCACTGTCGACCATCATCAATTGTCCGACTTTCATCATGTGTGACCATCTCATGCCATATCAAGAAAACCGCTTTATCTCTCATCTGGATACTTGACCGCAACATCTATCTTCGTGTCTACTCATTGTACAGTACTCCTACGGATACTTATATGTATGCACTGATGATCAACCCTCAACTAGTGCTCTTTTGGCCCCTCAACCAACAGATCCTTTGTTATTAATGCAAATGCCGTATCATCCAGCTGTCCAGGTTTATTCAACTTTCCCAACTTTGAGCATCTTCTAGATTCATTCTCTTTGCATCTCCCCCTTGCTTAGCCATGCACGGCCTTAGTAGCTCCTCCGTCGTTCCTGCTATGGTCCCTATACGTAGTGGCTAGTAGTACCGGCATTTCCTATTCCGTCCCTCCAGGATATCTTCCCTGTCAATAATAGCAATCCGTCCGTTTTTTTATTTTTTCTTTTCTTTTCTTTTTTTTTAATTGCTTTTTCCAGTCACTTGGGTTAGTTCACCGGTGGGTTTCAAACCAACCGTCAACGTGGCTTTGGCGGCTGCGCGTGTCTCGAATATAATCATCATCCTCTTGGCTTGGTTTGCATCTTACCCTTGACGGTAATATCTTTTATTTGCTTTCTTTTTGCGGGATATTTATCTCCACCGAGAGCCGATGAGAGTATAAATATGATGAAATTGGGTTGCCTACTGGCGTAACTACGGAGTATATACGGTGTATTATCCTGGTTCGCCTGGTGAAATTTCTCTAGGCAGTGGAATTTGTTTCCACACCGTGTTTGGTTGATTCCACGGGGTGGCTTGGTCGATGGTACCTATGTTGGATGTAGCTAGTAGCTAGCTAGCTGGTAGAGATACATACATAGCATACACAGGATGGCATAGGCAGTACGCCACTTGTTTTTCAGTCTCACCGTATGTGTCACTTGTGTATGTACAGTCCACTGCCACATATGATCTACACGTACTCCATAAGTGAGGGGAGAGAGCATAGCATGCAGAGCATGCCAGAAAAGGGGGGGGGGAGAGACGAGATAAGACAAGAGTCAAGAGAGAAAAAAACGAGGCTAAGATGGAATGGATGGTCTGTTCGAATTCCGTTTCAGTCTCGCCGTACCTTAGCTTGTCAGTGCTAAATGCTGATCTGCAGTGCTACAAGCTGGATTCCATGACAACATACGACCTTGGACGAGGACGAAAAAGGTCACACTGACAAGAAAATACGATGATGGAATTAGTGGGCCTCGCATCCGTAGGCAGCCTGTTACCAGACTACCCAGTGCTAGGCCAAGTAGGGGGATTTCGTTTAGTCTGTAAACAGCTAAGAGGAGATGGATTGTGTGTCGTGTCTGTCTTTCATGTGATGCCATTAGTCCGGGAAGAACAGAGAGAAAGGGTGAAACGAAGACAAGATGATGATGATCAGATAACCTCATTATTGACCGTCCTTGCTGAACAAGAGCAAGGGAGAAACTCTCCAGCTGGGCTTTACCAGGAAATTAACTAGGAAGTTAATACAAACTCCTTGATCACCCGTCGCTGTCAGTGTCAGACTGACTTTCTACCCCATATTCGCCTGTCGAAGCTTAATGATCTCCAAACTCTGATATTATTACTATTATTTTTATGATGATGACGGTGATGATAATTATTGTCTCTGGATGTACGTAAGAACAGAACTCTGTTTGGTGGGACTCGTTGCTTAAGATTCTGTGCAGGGGATGTGTGACTATTTGTATTTTCCGAGCGATTGAAAAGTTTATATGAGATGGAGAAAACTATTGAATTGCGCGTGTTTATTTTGACTTTTCACCTTTTTTTCCTTTTCCTTTTTTTTCTTTCTTTTATTTGCTTTTCTTTTGTTGGGGAATGACAACTGTTGACATGCATATCTGTCTATCTTCTTGCTCAATTATGGGGTTGACATCCAGGTGGTGTTGATACGCTTGTTGTTTGGTCTAGTTGATAGATCTCATCTTTCACTTTTTTAATCCCCGGATACTAGATCTAATATTGTGAATCTGTTCCATAGCTGATACATGCTATATTTTAGATAGTCATATAATTGAGCTAACATCAATTCTAGCGTACTATACAATTGCAGGCTGGGTATCATACTAGCCACCAAAGCAAATAAAAAACAAAACAAGTCTGTCTATGATAATGAATACGTCCGACTCACATCACACCCCGTGCTCAACTCCTGCAATGTCCCATTCTGATACACCGCGACCGATTCCCGAGATCGTGCCCGGCGAAGTGACCTTCTGCGTCCGGAAAGGAGAGCTTGGTTTTTCGGCGGTGGTTTTCCCTGTACCTGCTTTTCTTTTCCTGTTTGTGTTGGCACTGTGCTTGGTTGGATTGTAGAGTTTGCTCGGGGGCGTTGGATGGGTGGCTTTTGACGTGGTGGCATCATCCCTGTTGTTGTCGTTGTGGTGCTGTCCAGGAGGACGTGCACGTTCAGGGCATTGATGTTAGGGACTTGGGGCTGGTTGGGGGGTTTATTTTGGGCTTGTACTTGGGCTGGTTTTGTTCTGTTGGTCGACGAGGAGGTTGCATTTGAGTTGGGATTAAACGTGAAGTTGGGATTAAAGGCCGAATTAGGGCTAAAGGTAAAGTTGGGGTTGAAGCTTGGATTGGCATTGTCCGGTATTGGCTCCACGTTGGTAAAATCTCGAGGTATCCCCCGGTTGGATCCATCCAAGTCATCTCGAGGGATGCCCCCGTCCGGAGGGATCTATGCACATGGTTAGACGGTTCATGTCTCTGATAGACTGACCTACACTAGCAGCATGTTTTCTCCCAGGCATATGAACATAGTCATCAAAACAACTCTCCAAAGAAGCAAAATTAAACCCCCTTTCCGACGACACAGGCTTGAACCGTTGACCAACCTGACGTCGAAAATCCACCGGTCTCCTCCGCGCAGGCTGATATGCCGGGAGTGAAAGCCACCAGGTTGGATAATTGCCATACCACGATTGCACAACCGGGTCAATATCGAGGTTGAAGATGATCCGGCTCTCCGCGCGTGGCTTCTGAATCAACATGGGAAACGAAAATTCCCTGGGTAGTCCCGATCTCTGTAAGCTGTTTTCCTCGAGCGACCAAACCACCTCCCCGGCTTCGACGTCGAACTTGGGTCCCCGCGGACTTTTCCACGTCCGTGCCGACCCTTGGATTCTCATCATCTCGTACCGCTTGTATCGTCCGTTCATGCCCCCAGATGGATTGATGCTCGCGCTCAGCGGCATATCCGCGATCCCCAGCGACCCGGCCAGGCTGAAATTCCATTGTAGCGTTTCTGGGGATACGGCGCCGTAGATGAGATGCGGCGCATGCATGAGGAATCGCGGATTTCGCGGCGGGTATGCTTCTCGGTTGGTACCCTGGACTGAGGCTCGGATAGTGGCAGCCTTGAACCGATGATCTAGGGTGTTTGGCGAGTGAAAGACAAAGTGCACGGCGAAAAAATCGACAAAGTCAAAGTCGCGATCGGACACGGCAGGACTGGAGTAGAATCCATGCTGGAGTCGCTGGACGTGGGCGGTGATATAGGCGTTTCCAGGGAGTCGACGCTCGTAGATGCATGGTCTGTTGACGAGAAGACGAGGGTTGGCGATGTTTGGGTCTGGAGGGAGATCGGGCGGTGCATTGGTGTTTTTTTGGGAAGTGGTGGTGTTGTTTGTCGCTGTTTTGGTGAGACTTGGGAACGGTGCTGCTGGTGCTGCTGCTGGGCCTGGGATGTTCATGGCCACCATGGCCATGTTGGTCGTATCCTCCTCCTCTTCGGTGGGATCCATTCCATCGCCATTATCGCCACTCATGCTGGAAAGCACTCCTGCAGGCGAGTTTCATCGAAGCTGGTTTAAAATATTAATGAGCTCTTCCATCTGTGTATATTCAGACTGCGCTGTTTGCTAGATCACTTACTTGTACGGAAGATGGTTGATGACGACAGTCATCAACAGAGGTCATTTTGGTATCAGGTGAGGGATTTCGGGATAGTCAGATGAGGGCAGCGTGACTGAGTCCATGGCCGCCAAGAGTGAGAGGATGATGAAGTGACAAAAGTGAGTGAATGAGGCGGATGGATATCACGATGATCTTGGTCAAGTCAGGTGGATCGTCGATGATTGACAGTACGTGGTGTTTGCTGTAGTCATCGGGAAGATCTGGGAAATGACTCGCATCAAAATCAAGTGGTACAGATTGTCCTTGTTTTATTATTATTCTGTATTTATTTATATCTCAATCTATCAAATAATAATATAGTATATGGCACTTAGTGATAAAGATATTTTACTATAGGTCATGTAATATGTAGGATGCCTGAGTATGTAGGCATTGATCTAATTATATATTAATAGTCTGTTGCCTGCCATGCAGGTACAGGACATAACAGTGATTATATATAAAAGAAGGGATAAAAGGATAATCTAGTACTTTCTCTTGTCCTTTATTTTCTTTCTTCGTTATTAATTCCTTCTGTACATATAGTTAACATTTGGTTGGCTTAATCTAATTGTTTCCCAAGAACGTATGCATCATAATGTATTGTTAAATGACCCGAAATGATAACCTAACGGCAGAGAAGAAAGGACCAAGCTGCTAGATGTGGATATCGTCACAAGAGGGAGAAGAAACATAGATATTCCATGGAATCTTGCAGGTTACGTAAAAATGTTCAAATATCGATTCTAAGAGAAGAAACAGAATAAAAACAGCATTTAGCGGCTCGTTCAAAGCCAGCGAGTTCATAAGGTTCATAAGTGAGGTTCGTCCAACATATGCAAAGAATCCCACCAAGAAAAAGAGAGAGGAAAAAAAAAAAAAAAAAGACAAACAAATCGCAAGAGCAAACTGAATAAAACCAACTCTGCAACCGGAGAAATTTCGAAGTGCAGCCTGTATTCATCCTTCTTCCCTATCCAGGAATTGAATATCTGAAAGCCGAGTACCTAGGTATGTCCTGACGAATTCAAAAACGGACCCACTGTCCCCTGGGAGTGGTGTTGTTGACAGGGCCATGTCTGACTGCTTCATTCAGCAGGTACCAGAAACATTCTCTCAAGGTGACTCTCCCAACTTGCGGGTTACTGATTTCGCCATGTTCAATAAGCTCAGACATATAACGTCTATTGGCCGTTTAGCAACTCTTGTTTTAGGAAAATGGTTTCATTGTAATTTGTGAAGAAGCCAAATTTGACCTGCCCTTCCTGCATATAAGATGCTATTTGACCTAGAGTAGGGCTTGGATGAGAATCTAAATTCTTTGTGCGTAAATATGGCATTATCTCCTGAGACTTACCGAGCATCTTCATGTAGTTTTTGTTTGCGAAGTGTTGAGCTCTTTGCAGACCGTGCTCCTCCACCCAGGGAGTTTTTATTTCCCCCACAACTTTTAGTTGCCCTGTGGTAGTTGACAAGCAGACAATGTCAGGCTTCCTTGATGGAATCACTTGTGGGACACACGCCGTATAGTCACCAAAAGCTATCTGCAGATTTGCAGCATGACAAACCGAAGTCATCACTTGGGCCAAGGTTTGGGTGAAACGTCTCTGAACTCCGTCTTCATCGCCACAAACATAACGCTCCTGGTATATTGTAGATTGGGCCGAGGAAGAAGGCTTGTGTGTGACGAGCCTTTTGTAACCGGACCAGTAAGTGGCCTGGGAGTACTGTAGAACTTGATTTCTGAAGCGCCAATTCACTAGATTTCCAACAAACACCTCCTGGTGTAAAGCAGAGCTTTTAGTCTCGTGCTGTCCTCGCTGTAGATCGGGCAAAGGAGATTTGACGACATCACCGGCTCTTTGAGCAGTCGTCGTCATAGCAGCGAAATTGACCAAATTCGAGTTTAGAGAGTCGTAGAAGGGAGGGTGCAGGAGAGCAGCGTAGAATGCAATGTGTATGAAACCGCAAGAGTACAACGTAGGGTAAATCAAAGACAATGAGGTGATTGCCGAGATAATGGTAGTCAGAAAAGGAATACAAATGTCGATAGACGAGAGGTATGGCTCGTAAGGTCTGCCTTGAGAGGATATTGGGGGGGGGGCGAGGAGAAAGGAATTCCCTTAACATAGGCATGGAAGTCTCTTCAAGAGTAATACATAGAGATGCCATTATTCACTACGCGGCTTCACTACTATGTTTCCTACCCAGTGAATAAAGATTTGGAATAAACAAAAAGTCGAGGTACATTGACTCCTGTATACGTACCAACATCATTCAGGTGCCAGGAAGGTGATCAAAAGAAACAAAGCAAATTAAATAAAAAATACAGGCGCTTATTGATATCTAAGAAAGCGTAGTATGGTGTTGAAAGTAGAAACCAGAAACCATCCTTCCATGCAAAAGCATCTGTAGGTATTCGATCAATCCACGGCCCGGGAAAAAGATTGGATCTACATCTCCCAGTCAGTCTTATCTGGATGTGCTCTGGTCTCCCTCGACCATTGATACCCTCGGGGAGGCTTCGCCAGGCCCCAAGCCATCCATTCGATGTCTTTCCAGGTGTCGGTTGGTCTTCTCGGGCGCCACATTTGGAACTCAGTAATGTAACTATGAGAGGAACCTTATCAGTAAATCACGGAATTGAAGCTGAGAAACAGCAAGAGAACTTACACTTTGTTTAAGCTGGCATCCCACATCAAATGTCCAATTTTGCCCCCCTGTGGATAAATTCCCTTTTTGACACAGTCCCTATTTCAACGAAAAGACATGTGTTAGTCATAGATAGTCAGGATTATAGGATAGAGAAAGACATACAACCACGCAACTCTGAAAGCGTTTCGAATCGCCTGCCTCTCCATGGCACCCAAGGCCCAATACAGAGACTTCAAACATCGACCTGGCGGTGGTCTGATCAAAAGATACGCCACAAAGCCATCCGGGACCAGTTCGTCTTCCCCCTGCTTCTCAATCTTACAGCTGCGCAGAGTTGGTGTGTGCTCGGCGCCATTGTCAACAAGCTGTCGAAGCGCTTTGAGTTCGTCCATCGCATCTTCCGTGAGTTCGGTGGAAGCCTGGGATTTTCTCCTCTCCGGAGGTTCAAAATCAGAGCCGGCGTAAGGGACCCTAAAGCAATATTGATTCTTCCCTTCCATTTGAAAGATTCTCATCTGGGACTGGGTGCTCACTGTTTGAAAATCTTCATGATTCCTGTTTGGTCGGGGTTGTTAACATTTCTGCAAGAGAAAGTTCCGTACGCAGCAGAGGGTCTTTCGTATGCGTCGAACTCCCATGAGCTCAGCTGGTCATGTTGTTCGCTGACTTTGGCTTCCAATCTCCAGGTCCAGTGTCGTGGTTGGTCGAAATGCACGATCATTCCAATAAAGCTTGGACCAAAGGAAACTTTCTCCGACATCTGCAAGGTGATAACGTCCTGGATCGAGAACCCTGGAGGCTTTGGCAGTGGGCACCAATAGGGAAGGAAAATAGAAAGGTTGAGGAACTCGAAGTGGATATCCAAGCTGGTAATAATGACATGCAGTCACATGCCTCCAACTTAAAATGGCTTACTGATTTCTGCCTATTATATTCAATGATAGTATTGTTATAAACCAGCCATTGCTTCTCTTACTCTAGTACTATATTCACTAGGCTCTGCCTTTGAAACATACTATCAAGTGAATTGAGTGTTCCTATTATACTGTCGCCTGTTCCTGACCAGCTGTGACAATAAACAAAAGAGATCTATTAATAAAAGGCTACAAGGAGAGATATGTACAACCAAGCAATTAATCCTCTAGTGTGGACAACTCTTATCACCAATACCGCCTACCTTCCTGGCCTTTTGACTCTCGAGTTTTCTCTCAGGCGATCAGGATCCAAATATCCTCTTCTTGTTCTCTACACAGACACTTTCCCTGAAGAAGGCCACGCTGCTCTCGATGCGCGACGTATCATGAAGAGGCGTGTCCCCTATCTCCTCCCCTCTGTACCAAAGGACTTTACCAACGATCCTCGCTTCTACGACTGCTGGAGCAAACTCACCTCGTTCTCGCTCGTGGAATATGAGCGTGTCGTACAGCTCGATAGTGATATGCTAGTCCTTTGCAACATGGACGAGCTAATGGATATTGAATTGGATTCGCCTGACATGGCCGGAACTGGTAACCGTGTTTTCGCTGCCAGTCATGCTTGTGTTTGCAATCCGCTGAAAAAGTCTCACTATCCAAAAGACTGGTATGCATGGTGACATGAGTCGAGGGAAGAGTGCAAGGAATTAGTATTGACCTGACCATTCGAAAGGATTCCATCCAACTGCGCATTCACATCTCAGCATCCCACTCCCGAAATCGCCCAAACAGTTGGCGCTTCATCTACGACAGGCCTAGGCATACCCAACGGAGGTCTCCAAGTCCTCAACCCGTCTCTGGAAACCTTCAACAAAATCGTCAGCCAACTCGCCACATCTGCAACATCCAGCTACGACTTTGCAGACCAGTCCCTCCTCCAAGACGTCTTCTACGGCCGTTGGGTTACGCTGCCGTACGTGTACAACGCTCTTAAACCGATGCGCTGGGAGGGTGTTCATGACGCTATCTGGCGAGATGACAACCTTAAGAATGTACACTATATACTCAGCCCTAAGCCTTGGGAGGAGACTGAAGATGTCTGGAAAGCACGCGAAGAGGCGAGCCAGAGCCCGGATCCATCGCGATGGTGGTGGGACATTACAAAGGAAAGGTTGAAGGAGGAAAAAAGCAGAGGTGTGGATGATGGATTTTAGACCATGTCACCTGAATATATGTACACTAACTTGATTTCCAAGATTATGAGATGCCAGCAATTACCATTTTATTCTTTTAATTGAAGTAGTTGACTTGCTAAGAGTTCGAATAACCTCATCTATACAGACATCATCACGTGGACGGAATAATAGATCCTCCGCACCGGATTTTCCTCCGCCGAATTCAAGTCACGAGCGCCTCGATTTGTATAAACTCATCTTCGACCGTTGCGTCTGCCCGAGTTTCTGCTGCAATTGTCGTTACTCGGTGGATAGCAATTGTCCTGATTTTCGTTCTTTCATAAACCGACTGACTCCGGACTGTCAGCGGGCTCGTTCTGTGATATCAATTGCCCCGATACCTCGGCTTTATGGACTCCTGACAAGGCACTTATATCGCATCAGCTGTTTTCTGCTTTCCTGTATTGTGATTTCCTTAATTTATTCGCCATTTAGCTTGATCTGGCTGGCAGCATCAAACCACCTTTTACTATCCCGATTTGGCTGAATTTCTTTGTTTATTGTGTTTGTGTTGCTTTATACAACTCATCAATCCGAGTCTTTCTTACTACTCGAGATATTGCTCCGTGATGCTATAACAGCTTCCAGTGCAATTGAGTGTGTTTGGGTTGTAACGCCCTTGAATCGACTGTTTACCCTTTATCTTATCTTCTATCGCCAAACGTCAGCAACCCGTCATCATGATAGTCACAGGTGCACTGTCTATGTCGGTGCCAGTCCGTGCATCCAGACAATTGTTACGTGGAAGCACACTGCTTAGAGCTAATAGTACCACGGCGGGGTGCTCCCGAAACAATTTGTTCCGTAGCCAGTCAATTACAACCTTGACAGGCTGCTTGAAGACGAGGTATGAATTGGCTGATTGAGTGTTGTGGATGAACGCGATTTGACATGTTTTCAGACAGCTTCAGATGGGAAGTTGTACCACCAGTGTCATGAACACACGCCTGGCACAAGTATACGGGCAACAGAGGAGATGGACTGCGACGCAAAAGCCGTCTGATCAGAAAGATAGTACCCCTAAAGAGTAGGTTCTGTTCCATGATATTTCCGGTTTATAATACTAACCTGGCAGGCCTCAAAATGACTCCAAAACATCTCAAGTTCTCTCCAAACTGCCCCTTAAGACTCATGAAAATATTTACACCATCCCCAACATCCTCACCTTTTCTCGTTTGGTTGCCGCTCCTCTGGTAGGGTATTTTCTGGTCCATGACCATCACGCGGCCGCATTGTCGCTATTTGCGTATGCTGGAATTACGGATCTCGTCGATGGCTGGATTGCAAGGCGGTATAACTTGCAGACCGTTGTTGGAACTATCATCGACCCAATGGCCGACAAGTTGCTGATGACTATTGGCGTTGCTTGTTTGGCAGTAAACGGATCGATTCCAGGTGAGTCTATCTGATGACTTCCAAAATTTGTGTCACCCTCAAACCCGGGTGACAAACTTTCTGTCCGACCATAGCTAACCAATCTAGTCTGGCTTGCGGTCATCATCCTCGGTCGGGATATTGGTCTCGCCATCTCTGCGATCTACTACCGATGGATCTCTCTTCCGCCACCAAAGACCATGGCCCGTTACTGGGACTTTTCTCTTCCCTCTGCAGAGGTGAAGCCAACCGCAGTCTCCAAGGCCAACACAGCCCTGCAACTTGTGCTCGTGGGCTCTGCAATCGCCATGCCAGTGGTTCCAGAAGCAATCCTTGATGCCTGGCATCTAAAAGAAGCAATGACTGGATTCCAGTAAGTAACCATCTTCGTTTACACCACCTTTTTTTCCCCAGTTTTCATTTTTGTTGGAAACCATAAGCGTGTTTGCTGCCGATATAAAGCTGTGTCGGGTATCTCCTAGTACATACGACCACAGGGTGTGGAGAACAGGGCTTCCCGTCCGCTCAGCCGTACTTAAGCCACACGCCGGCAGGTTAGTAGTTGGGTGGGTGACCACCAGCGAATCCCTGCTGTTGTATGTTTTTCTTTTCTTTTCTTTTTTTTTTTTTTTCCCTGATATTCCCATCATCTTTTATTCATTTTTATTTTGAGCTGAACACTAATCAATATCTCCAGATACCTCGTCGCAGCCACTACCCTCTGGTCCGGCCTCAGCTACGTCTTCTCCAAAGACGCAGTCAAAATCCTGTCCAACGAAGAGGTCCAAAAACGCATTGCTAGAGCCAGCGCCGCGAAGAAGAACTCTTCGTGATCTAGTTTCGTTGCTTCTCGGGCAAATTTCCCCATTATTTATGTACAGTATACGCATTTTTGAGACAGGCATTTGCGCATTTGACTCGAGCATAACTAGCACATTTGCATATTTTGAACACGCATTTTTATTTTTTATTTTCTTCTTTAAGAACAGGGCTTTTGGATTGAGCTGAGTTGAAATGCATAAAAATAGTTGGAATATTCTGCTATATCCTGGATAATATACAAATGGGGTGAAAGTATTCCGACCAAAAGGCGGATGTGGTATAATATACATGCTGTTGGATATGAAAATAAAGACTCCAATGTCCCTGTGCTTCCCATGCGCCATTGTTCCGTTCAATGCCCAAAAGTTAAAGTAATAATAGGTAATATGTCAATGGGAATACTCAAGGCGATGAACGCAAAACCTCTTCCGAAGATTCGTCGACATTATTCGATGGAAGAGACGCCCGGCTGCCTCCGACATTCTTTCGCACATGCATAAGTAATCTCAATGCACCTGCTGGGGTCACGCCCTCAATGCGCCTCGCCATACCAACGCTGACGGGCCGGACCCGCTCAAGTGCCTGTACCTCTTCGTAACTGATACCCTGAATCTTTGCGTAATCCAGATCAGCCGGGAGTAGCAGACTCTCATCTTGCTGGAACTTCTTCGCCATTGTATCCTGGCGTTTAACGTACGGCGCGTACCGGCCTTCAATCCCAACACGTGTTCGTATTTCGGGTGCAAAAGAGGACGCAGTGTATGCGGATCCTGGCGCAGCTTCAATATGAGGGATCAAAGAATCGATGTTGACCCCGTCGAGACAGAGTAGGTCAAGGGCTGAACGAACAGAAGTATCTGTGCGCGTTTTGAACCCTTTACGTGACCAGGCGCTTGAAGATAGTCTGGTGTTTGCGAGAAGGGTCTGCAGTTTCTGAATTTGTTCTTCTGTATCAGTGAAGTGACGCCATCTCTTGTCTGTGACGACGCCTGCATCGCGGGCCATGCGTGTGAGACGCAAGTCCGCGTTGTCTGATCGGGTGGAGATGCGGTATTCGCTGCGTGTCGTAAACATACGGTACGGCTCAGACACACCCTTGGTGAGGAGGTCGTCAATCATGATGCCGATAAATCCGTCTGAGCGAGTGAGGGTGAGTGGTGGCCGACTCTGCGCGGCCAACCCGGCGTTGGCACCCGCGATGATACCTTGTCCTGCCGCTTCTTCGTACCCGGTAGTACCGTTGATTTGCCCGGCAAGGTAAAGACCGCTGATCAATTTGGTTTCCAACGTTGGTCTGAGATTTCGAGGATCGATATAGTCATACTCCACTCCATAGCCTGGTTGAAGCATGGTTACATTTTCAAGACCCTGAACAGTCCGCAACATGGCATATTGCGCATCAGCAGGGACAGTCATAGAAATGCCATTGGGATAGACGACTTCGTTGGGTGCAAATCCCTCCGGTTCCAACCAAATTTGGTGCCGTTGCTTATCTGTGAAACGGATGATCTTTGATTCCAGAGAGGGACAGTATCTGGGTCCCCTGACTGTTTCGCGAATATGAACCGACTTGTCCAGGTTGGCACGGATGATTTCATGGGACGACTCATTAGTGTGGGTCATCCAGCATGTGAGTTGGCCTTCGTCGCCCACCTGAACTGTGGTGTTGAGGTAGGAGAACGGCTGGGGAGGAGAGTCACCCTTCTGGACTTCCAGAGCCTTGAAGTCGATCGTCTTCATATCCAAGCGAGGAGGGGTACCTGTCTTCAGGCGACCAAGCTGGAAGCCAGCCTCACGCAGGGACTTGCTCAGTCCAAATGTAGCAGCCTCACCCATACGACCTGAAGGGAAAACATCAAGACCAATGTGGATCTCACCGCCCAAAAATGTTCCTGTCGTAATCACAACTCGGCCAGTGGGTATGACCTCCCCTGATTCTAGTCTGACACCAACAATCTTGCCTTGAGCCCCTGGGATATCCTCCACGCCCTCTTTGGAAACCACGATATCCGCAACCTTGCCCTCCACGATATTCAACCCTTCCGTCCCGAGCAGTTCATCTTGCATATAATTTTTATATAAATCGCGATCGATTTGGGCGCGAGGTCCCCAAACGGCGGGACCTTTGGACCGGTTGAGCATCCGGAACATGATACCGGCCTTGTCGATAATTCGGCCTGCGACTCCATCCATTGCATCAACTTCACGAATCATTGTGCCCTTTCCAATTCCTCCAAAACTTGGATTGCAGGAGCAAACTCCAATGTTAGAAAGCGAAGGCGTGACCAATGCGGTTCGAGCTCCGGAGCGAGCGGCTGCGGCACAGGCTTCGGAGCCAGCATGACCACCTCCAATAACGACGACATCGTAAGGTCTAGATTGAAGCAGTCAGTATAATGTAAGATGCGCGATGAAGCATGACAAGAATGGAGACACCGACCGAGCGCCATCAGAGACAGTAGCTAAACCACGTGTATTGCACAGCACCCTCGAGCGAGAACCATGGCCCCAGCGAAATAGAGCCAGTGACCGTGCCCGGAAAGCCATGGCAAAGATGGGTTGATGGGCAAAATATTCACAGTTCAATCTGGAGCAAAAAAGTGTCGCTGGCCTCCCGATAACCAAAAGAGAAAAACATTATCAGAGATCACGTGCCAGTGTCTTATTGCCGATTATGTCCGGGGGCGGTAGAAGCGCAAGAGAGGCTGACGTAATTTTCTTTTGCGCCATCACGAACCAATTGCGGGGCAGCGTTTTCACACCCCGCATGCGATTGGATTTTTGTGAAGAAGTAAAGAGTTGGAAACATCTTGCTCAATACTTGGATTCTCTCATTTTTGCAAACTTCCCATCAAGTACATCTCATAACACATAAACTACACGATGAAGGCATACTGGTACGATAACTTGCCGGTATGTTCACTCTATTCCTGCAGCTCATGTTGATCGAAGTCCTAAGCTGACCATTAATAATAGGGTGACCAGCGCGAGCCCCATGACTCTGGTCGTGAGGTCTCTGAGGCTCAACTCGAGTCTCTCGGCGTCTTTTACCGTCACTGCCCGAAAATCGAATCTGTCGATGTTTTGGCTGCGGAACGCGGATACAAGAACCGTGATGAGGTCGTTGTCTCGCCGCAGACCATGGGTGCCGTGTATGAGGAGAAGGTGAAGACTTTCTTCAGTGAACACCTCCACGAGGACGAAGAGATCCGCTACATCCGGGATGGTGAGGGCTACTTCGATGTTCGTGGCCAGGAGGACGAATGGATCCGTATCAGACTCAGCAAGGATGACTTGATCATCCTTCCTGCCGGCATCTATCATCGCTTCACAACTGATGACAAGAACGTAAGGCTTTTTTCCTTCTGACTTCTTTGGGCGATTTGAGCTGTTCTGACATTTTGTTTCTCGACATTTTACAGTACGTCAAGGCCATGCGTCTCTTCCAGGAGGAGCCAAAATGGACCCCTCTGAACCGTGGCCCTGAGGTCGATGTCAACCAGCACCGGAAGACATATCTTGAGACTCTTGGACCCGCCGTGGCCGCAAACTAATCATACCACTGTTTAAGAGCTAGATGCTGCTATGGTTCGCTTTCTCAAAGGGAACGCAACACGCATTCAGATTTGATGACCTTCTTGTATAGCAATTATTTTCAATGATTATTATGACATAGATTTTACAATTCATTTTTCCTCAGGACAGCTCTGCAGGAGGTCCTTTAAAATATATTTGTGGCAATATGTAGAGGACATATTTGATTATCCTCAAACCTTCAGCCCAAAGTGTATATGAATGAAAATACGCATGGGGATTTCAGGTAGCGGCCACACGGTCAGGTAAAGAACCAGGAATATTAAACTGGTCACTTGCACCGCCGGTGCTATCATCCCGAACCATAGCATGACCGCGGAAGCTGCCTGGCTCAACGTTGAAACTGCTGCTTCGTGATTCAGTATCAAATGCTGGTCTCCCACTTAGTCCCCCACGAAACCTCAACCCTTCCGGTTCTCGATCAACCTCATCGCCGTGAAGAGGACCATTCATATCAGTAGACCCAGCTGTTCGGGATGCTGCATTAGATCCAGTTTCGGACTCATCGCTGGTCCTCACGCCTGTCCTACCCATACGGGGCCAGAGATCCGGAAGTCCCACCACTTGGACTCGAGGCTCGACAACCCGTTCCTCAAACCATGCATGAACACGAGCTTCAACCAATTGAGCAACCTTGGGCACATCCTGAAGCCTACTGCGTGAGCCCATGAGTGATCTCACGGAAAGATCCAACCGGTAGTCTGGGAGGAACGAAAATGCCACGTTGCTCTTCGGGGTACCGGCTTTCGGGGGCGCACCAGCTTCAGTTTCTTCGGTTGAGTTTGCAGAGCGCGCGTTTGCTTCGGCATTCGCATTGGGAGGAGATGGTGACGGGGATGGAGTGTCGAGGGGAGGCGTGGGTGCTGGGACAAGAGAGATGCAGAGTGTTCCCGAGAAGCGGACGACTGACACGGATAAAGCGACCGGGAGGATTGCAGAGAAAGGCTTGGGATAGTTCAATATTAAAGATGTCTCAATGGCAATAGAGAGGTTGTCATCGCTCAGATCAACGTCCAACAATGCTTGAAGTCTCCCACCATCCGAATTAGGATCATCGACATTAATGATGCGACAATTGCTGAAGATCGGGAATTCCTCTCCCAGTGATATATCCGTTACCTTGATTTTGTCTATAAATGATGGTTTCTTTTCTGGATTGTTCATTACAGCATTTAGTGAGCTGAGAATCGATGACGTAGGGGAGTCTTTCAGAAGGTAGGCTGTTTGTCTGTATTGAGCAATAGTCTGCGCGATAAGCACATTAAACCAGTCCAACGATTCGGGTTGATGTGAAGAGTGGTGCATCTTGTGGCGACCATGTTTGGGAGTAGTGGTAGGGATAGCGCTATAGTATGTCTTTCGAAGGATAGACCGGGTATTAGTCGAGGATGCTGGTACTGGACGCAGGACGTTTGATGTCGATGGTTTTTCTCTCAATGACCTGCTATCCTCATGAGGGGGGATGTTGTAGATCGAATTCGAACGTCGAGCTGCCGTGGAGCGCTGGGAAAGACCGCGGGACGGTGGAGGTGGTGCTTCGCCAAAGATGAAAAACTTGATGAAAGCACCAATCAGTAGCACGACGGAGAGTTGTCCCAGCAGAAATCCCTGTGTAAACGACAGGCTGAATGAAGCTGTTAGCCATAACGTATAGCGACGGAAAGATAACTGGGGTTGGCGTACGATGACTGAGCTGGGACTTGGACTGGGACGGGTTCATCTGCCCATTGTCAGTGAATGGATCTAAATCACAGGTTCAAGAGATCGTACTTAGCTGAGAAGCCATTGTCAGCCACTGTAAAGCTCAGATATTTTCCCACAGCCCATGGCCACTGGCGTTGAATGATCGAGTGCTGCGGTTGGAATCCAGAAGAGCAATGATGAGGTTTTGTTCGCCGCCGACGATCGCCGCCGCTAGGCGATCGGTTATCCGTGTTCTTCTTGCTTTCGATCCGTCAAACAGCATCTCATCGAACATTCGACACAGCTATCGGCCGGGATCCTTTTCATCGAAAGGACACGCTAGGTTCATTCAATTCCCTCAGAGATTGGCCAGGCAGCAGCTATCTTCCAGCTCAACCTACAGAATTTCTCTTGCTACTCGATATGTCTACAAACTAACCCACATACATAACTGCATCATCACCTTTATCGTCATTTCTATTTATTATTACATCAAGTCTAGTTCTTTTTCCCAGCACATGCCAGTCATGAAGTCCACTACCCTGTCGCTCTTACTCTCCCTCCTACTACTGAGCTCGCCCGTATATTCGTTTGGAAGAAATTCTCAACACCCCCCCGGCCAAAATGCCATCCTCCTTTCCCGAGTGCAAGCCCTGACCCTCCGTGGTAATCGCCTCACAACCTCCCGCCGTCTTTCCCCGATCCCTCAACTTACATGTGTTGGGCCCTCGGAACGCATTTGCAACATGTATACGATTGACACGATGCGTTGTACCAATCAAGGGTTTGGCTATGACGAGGAGGATGTCCACTGGACCTGCACCGCATCCCTGCCCCAGGAATTCAAACTTGGTTCTACAGATGTAGTGTGTGAGGGATTCCGGGATTCCGGCGATAAATGGGTAGTAAAAGGTAGCTGTGGGGTCGAGTATCGGCTGCTGCTAACGGAGCTTGGTGAAAGGAGATTTGGCGGTCTTCGTGAGGATCGATGGCCTGTGAAGGGACTGGGTCGCAAAACCATGGGTGTACTGGGTGACTTGATATTCTTTGGGTTCATGGTCGCTTGTTTCGTCTTCATCTTGATACCAATGTTTGCGAATTGCTTTGGCTTGCGAAGAAACCGCAGAGATCCAAACGCCGGTCATGGAGGGTTCTGGGGAGGTGGTGGAGGAGGTGGTGGAGATGGGTATGATGGCCCGCCTCCGCCATATAGCAGTGATCCATTTGCATCACGAACGTCCCAGCAAGGCTGGAGACCAGGTTTTTGGACGGGCGCATTCAGTGGTGCCGCAGCCGGGTATGGAATGGGTAGAAGAAATCAGGGGTATGGGTCACCATTAACAGGCAGACGGGCGTATGCAGGATATGGCGCTGGGGAAGGCAGTTCACGGTCTCGCTCTACGCCTCGATTTTCATCTACCTCCGAAAGCACAGGATTTGGTTCAACCAGACGGAGATAATAGTTGGAGCTGGATCAGATTTCAGATTCTCAATGAACCAGCCCATGTACTGGACAGAATAGATATAAGCATGGAAGAGCGCGATCGGAAAAGAATAAACATGATATATTTCGAACCGAACTCCTGGAAACCGCCGACACATTGGTTATACCCGTCTAAAACACCGTAAACGCCCGTCACACCAAACTGTGCATTATATTCATACTGCCTAAACCACCCTGGTATCAGGTGCTCAGGGGAAGTCGTCAATAGATCCCAAAACCTCTTCCGTCCCACTGTTCATCTGTTTCATGGTTTGTTTCTTGCTGCGCGACTTGCCCTTGGCGACAGCGGCATTGCCCTTGTCGCCGGCGGCGGCATTAGCATCCTTTCCACCATCGGGGTTGCGAAGCAATTCCTCTTGAGCCTCCTTCTCTTTAGCATGTTGGTCTTCAATCTGTTTCTTCTCCTCATCAAGTTCCCGTTGGATGGCTCTAGGATCATCATAAACCGTGTTGGTCATCTCCGAGTAGGTAGCAATATCAATCGTTTCTCGTGGACCCATGAGGGTTTCTTTTATCCTTTGCGGATCCTTTCGCTCTTCATTATTGAACTTCAACTTTATTTGACGTCTCGACCTGCCCGGAAACATTTTACTGATCACCATAAAATCAGTACCGAACATGCGCAGCCCTCGGTAGAATAGGTCGGTCATTTCCTCATCCCATGATTCTGTTTTCGAGCGTTTTCCGTAGGTCGACTGGTTGATCTTCCGGGTGAGAGAGTTTTCCACCACATCCTCCAGTTCTCCCACGTTCCGTGCAGCATCTGCGTGACGATCCACTTGAAGGGATGCGGTATCTAGCACAATTTCTCCATTCACGATTCGCATAACTGGCCCAGCCTGTTGCTTTTTGTCCAATGATCCATCTTCTTCTGCCGCTGCTGCCGACGGCGATGCTGCATCTCCATTCTGCTTGATTGGGGTTTGCTGCTCCCCAGCTTCTCCCTCCTGCTGCGCTTTCTCTTTGCGCTCTTGCTCGGCAATTTCCATGTTCCGTAATTCAGTTTCTCTCTTGGATAGCTTTCCTGTCCTTAAGTCTTTGCATAGATCCGACATTTTCATCATTGCTGGAGCAATTTCCACTGTTTCCGCACCCTCGGGAGTTGGTTCACGGGGCTTACGTGCTGCCCGTGGACGTCTTTGCCTCCCAGTACCTCTTGCATTCTCATTAGAACCGCTTCTAGTTGACCGCTTGGACCTTGGCTTTGTCGTTTTACGACCCTGCTCAGTCGCCGACTGCGAAGTAGCACGGGATTCAACCTGATCAGGACCATCCGCAATCCCCTCAGCTTCCGATGTCTGTGTAGCCGGGGGTGTTAAAATCTGGGGTGGTGTTGGCTGTGTCTCTCCAGCTACTGCACTAGTTTCCGTAGTCGTCTTGAGACGTTTGGACGGACGGATTTCAGTTGCAGGTTCGGCAGGCCCACGCGATACAGATGGAACTGGAGATACCCTGGATCGATCACGCGGCTTTGGCACTTGCACTTTATTGGTGGTAGCAGGCTCTTTTCTTCTATTATCGGGTTCATTTTCTATAGATTGGATAGGTGTGGGTTCGGCGGTTGGTGCGTTCTGTGTGGGCGGGGTAGGTTGAGGGGTCGTAGATACAGACTTGGTAACGGTGGGAGAGAGCGCCGATATAGGAGCTTTTTGCTTCGGACGGGGTACTGGAATCGCTGTCACGGGCTGTGGTGCTTTCAGCTCTTGGGCTGAAGATTCAGCGACCGGTGTTTCGGTAAAAGCGGGTGGCTCCGCGGCTGGCACTGGTGTTGGAGCTGGAGCTAGAGTAGAGGACTCAGGCTCGGGAATTGGTGTCTCTTTCACGGGTTGACTAGGCTGAGATGGAGTTTGCTGTTGTTGCGCAAAACTAGGTCTTCTAGGAGGAGCTGAGGATGAGGCAGCCGGGGCGCGTCGAATTGGCGCCTTTGGGGCAAACTTCTTGCCCGACTTATCTGGAAAAAAACAAAACGGTTAGATAATAAAAGAATATAAAAGAGCCAAGGACTTACTGATGGCAGAACTTGAAAAGGATTTCATTGTCACGGCAGCATGGTTGGGAGAAACCAGCCATCAATGAGGAGCATAAGCAGTTTTGCATGCAAAAAGTCTAGATGCTGGCGGTTCGTCTGAACTCTGGGGGGAAAGTGGGCGCGATCACGTGTGAGGCGCTAGGGCGGCGCTAACTCCCAAGTCGAAAATCCTCCTGGCTTCCCAAGTCTTGCTTATCTCGACCACCTTCATCCCATCGGCACCCTGAATTCACTTGTCACCCTCACGGTCGGACACTGCAGCGGTCTCTGCTTCCGGCTCGTTGCTGCTCAGTGGTGGCCATCCATTCTATGTTCTTCTAGCCACTGATGCCGGCCGCCGAAGCATCCCCCGTCGCATCTTCCGAGTCCGGTCTTGTCAAGATGGAAGACCGGAAGAGAGCTGCTACTTATGATCAAAATGATTCTGCTCCACCATTGAAGAAGCACGCCAGTGCTGTCAATGGTGGTAGCAAACCTCACCCAGACGCTGATATGCCTTGGAAAGATGATTTAGAGGTGAGTTCGATGCAAGCCAAGACCCCTTAGATGATGGGGTAAACATGTTTCTATGATCCTATGACCTGTTTGCAATGAATACTGATTGAATTTATAATTTCAGCGATTCCAGAAAGACGCGATATGGCGCCAGATGCAGGAGTACAAACGGGAGAAGATCTCCCTGGAGACAAAATTGAAGGAGATGTCAAAAGCCACCACCTATCATAATGATCATCTCCATATCATCGATGCCTGGTACAATCAATTGATTGATGAAGTGAAAATACTCATAGCTTCACCCGAGGAAGAAAGTAAAGGTGGGTGCAACTTTGATATCAACCACTAATCATTATGTTAGCAAGACATTGATGTGATTTTAGGACGCCCGTCCTTCCGAAGCTCCTTGGCATTTGATGACGTTGAGAATTTTGAGAAGCATTTGAAAGCCCGATCAGATGATATACGTGATGTGATTTCTCGCCTTCTATCACAATCGCCAAAGGTTTCGCCCGAGGTATCGGAACTGCAAAACCAGCTGTCAAAGAAATTGGCCGAGGAGAAAGTAACTATCACCGAACTGGAAAAAGCCTTAGCTGAAAAGCAGCAGTTGGAGGAAAGCCTAGAGGCTGCATCTTTGCGTTATATGGTGGCGGAAAAGAAGCTGGATCGTGCGCGGAGCGTAACTGTCGCCAAATTGGAAAAGCAATATATTTTTGGAGCACAACGGCCTGGTGGTGATAGTGCATCTGGCAATCGAGAAGAACCCTCTGCAGCAAACGGTGTGGTCTCCGGCGGTGAACGCACCCCGGATCTGGACGAAGCGCACAAGCAGCTTGTTGCTGTATCTGAGAAGCAAAAGGAACAGTTAAAAAAACTGGAGACCGAAAATGCCAGTTTGATCAGCCAAGCGACTGAGTTGAATATCAAGGTAACAATGATGCAAAATTCTAACTCCATTATATGTTGTCTGACTTGGTATAGCGCTCAAAACCTACCGACGACGAATATGCGCATACGGATTTGTTCAAACAGTTGAGATCTCAATATGACGATGTAGTTAAACGAATTAATCATTTGGAAGCGACGAATGTGCAACTACGAGAAGAGGCCGAGAGACTACGATCAGAACGAACTGCGTATCGCAACCTGGTCGATGAAGAAACGCAAAATACGATTGCTGAGAAGGAAGCGCAACTGGTGCGGGCGGAGACCGATTTGGCGCGGATACGAAACGCTCGGGACGAGCTCTTGGCGGATCAACAGATGAGAAAGGCCGCGCAAGAACAGGAAAAGACATCTATCACCAAAATACAAGAACTGGCAGATGCTGGGGAGGCTCGGATCGCTTCTTTGACGTCGGAAGTGGAACGGTTGCGTTCGCAGCTTGAAGACTCCAAGGATGCGCCTACAAATATTGAAGAGACCCCAGTGGAAGAGCTTCGCGCTAAGTACCAGAATTTGGAACGGCAGTACGCCATGCTTAACACCGAACTCACTTCAATGCAAACAGCCTGCAAGAAGTATTCGACACTGGCATCACAGAAAGTTACAGACCTCACTGCTTTGGAAGAGAAGGTTTCACGCTTTATGGCCGAGAAATCCAAGGCCGATCAAAAATATTTTGCAGCAATGAAAAGCAAGGAAGCGCGAGAGCTGGAAGTTCGCACACTCAGAATGCAAAACTCGAAGAGCTCCGACATTGTCTCACAATTGAAGGAATCAGAACTAGCCACCCGTTCCTTGCTGGCAAATATGGAGAAGCAGGTCAGCGAGACCAAAGAGGCATTGAACTCGGTAATCAGCAAACACAACGCCGCACAGCAACAAATCATAGAGAACAACATCGTCATGGACGGCTTCAGGTCGCAGATTTCCGAACTCAAAGCATTGTCAGTGTCCAAAGACACGTCCTTGGCGAACACTTCTACCGCCTGCCGCCAAGCAGAGACAGAAATTGAGAGCTTAAAAGTATCGCTTGCAGATACCAAGAAGAGTCTTGACAACTGGAAAAACAAGAGTCTTGGGAATTCATCATCCGAGTATGAAATGTTGAGGGTAAGCTAAACTCTCCTGATCTATCAATATCATAACATCCAGCTGACACCATTTATAGACCCTTGCTCTATGTACAGTCTGCCGCAGGAATTTCAAGAACACTGCCATCAAGACATGTGGCCATGTCTTCTGTAAGGAATGTGTGGAAGAACGTTTGACCTCTCGATCACGAAAGTGCCCGAATTGCAACAAGTCTTTCGGAAACAATGATCATATGCACATCACCCTCTGATTTGGAATCTTTTACCGATTTCCCTTCTATTTAACTTCATGTAACATAGTTTCTTCCTCCTTTACCCCCCGTTCTTCCATCCCTTTTCGTCCTAACTTTTTTTTTTATTACCCGTTCCTCTTTTCTTTTTTATCTTGTCTTTTTTAAATGGAAGGGTTCATGGTGCGGTGTTTTTTTGTTGTGTGGATTAGCAGGATAGGGTCTCAGAGGGGCCGGCGTTTTGATTCTCTGCTTCTGAGCACTTGTTTTCTTTGCATACTGACCAGACGAATGGTGGGATTTTTTTTTCCTGGTCTCTGGATTGTCTTTTGTCTATCTCTTTCTTTTTTTCCTGTCGGGATTTCTTGGATACCCACGTCAGTGTTCGAGGACACCTAGGTGGGATAAATGGTGCACATTTGCTATTGTTAGATGTAGGATTAACTAGGGAGCTCTGGATGAGAAAAGGATGAGAAATGCAGCGACATTCATGGTGTTATGCCGCAATCATAATTACTTTGGCCAATAAAAAGAAATTGTCAACGCATTCTCAATGTCATGAATTGAATATTCTGCTGTATAGTAGCTCATGTCTCCCGACCCACAAGTCAAGCGGGGGAACCACCTGGCCTGCATCCTCTACGGCGGTCTCCCACTCCCAATCTATTCGAGCCACGATCATATCCTGCAAAGACTTGCTGGCAAGAACATTCTGGGCCTGGTAAGGGCCCATCACCGATGCGCGGACAGCAGCGCTGAGAACCGCCTTTGCATGGTTCAACATAAAAATATAGGTCGCTTGGTGCAGATCCACTCCCATGGCCCGACATACAACACCCCACAGTGGCGCAAAGTGACCTTTTGGTCCTAAATGGTCTGCATTGTCAAAACAGGATTTGAGGGCGTCCGAGAAGGTTTCGATGGTCTTGGCTGCTGTTGCAGCACCGTCATCACCTGACAAGTAAAGGTTGGGGGAAGCGTATGTGCCCCGAAAGGCTCGCTCCCAGACCCCCAGCAGCGCTCTTCCTTGGGCAACGCTCGCTCTCTGGGCAACTACACATGGTGTCGACGCATCCAAATCGTTATCTAACGTTTCCAGTGTTTCCGGGTGTCGATAAGCCGCCAGAAGGTAGGGTATGGAGGTGCTAGCGATCGATGTAATTGATAGTTTCAAGAAACGGTGGAACGATGCTATTGGGGTGATCGATTTGGGGAGGGGTTTATTATGCGCGAGGTAGGATTCCAGGCCGCTGGAGTAGGCAAAGGAACCTAATGGGAGGGCGGAATCCGACAGAAGAAGTAGGGCATGGATAGAGCTCAATTGGAGTGTGTCTGTCAATTTAGGTCAACAATCACATACATTTTTTGACTGAAAGAAATTTGGAATCCAATTTGGGGGGCACAGCGTGGTTGACATACTATTAGAAAATTGCGACCAGGATGTCTTCTTCTCTTTACTCCGCGGGGCGGAGACCGATGCTAAACTTGATTTGGCATTGTGCAAGCGAGACTCGAGATCTAGGATCTCTTTTTCCAAGTCCTTTGCATGGGTGTTTTCGCAAATTTGAGGCATTATCCCAATTTGAATCCAAAAAGCAATTGACAATTCCCACGGGAGAGAAGTGGAAGAAAGGGGTCTTCTCTTCTTATCTATCGCCCCCCGTTCCGCGCGGCGCTTTCCGATGGGCGGTGGATTGTGGCAAAAGCACGGATATCGGAAGTCTCGGAGGGCTGTAAACTGTTCCCGTCCTGCTCCATACTCCCCACTAGTGACACGCGAGATTTCATGATGCAATCACGGTAGTTGACACTCGGTACTGACAATTTAGGACCATGTCAGGCAAGCGTCTGCTGGACGCGATCCAATTCCTCAATGTCGCCCAGTCGGTTGCGACCAAACACCTTGCGGTGCGGCAGCGTCAACTAGATCTCTTTACGCGGACCTCGTCTCTCACCAAGGGAATCCAGAGCCAGACCGAAGGTCTGATCCTTACAGCTCAGGCAGCTGCTGCATTGGCAAGACGATTCAACGAACCAGTTCCTCCCAGTTCTGTCGCATCTACCCCAACGAACGCACAAAGCCGTCCGAGCGATCAAACCTCTCAACGACAAGAGTTTCAAGTTCCTTCGTCTGCGGCAGGACATGATGGAAAAGAAGGATTGAGCAAGTTGAATGTCAGCCAACAACAGGATGTCTTCTACAAGTCTTCCCAGGAGTTGGCTAGAGAATCTTCCACTCTTCCCAAGGTGAAGGTGCCAAAGACCACGGGTGTGACACAAGCTGGCGGCGATAAAAATATCAATGCCGATGTTTTCCACTCTCCTGTTGATGCTAAGAAGCCCGAGTCAGAAGAGGTTTCGGAAGAAATGATGCAGCAGATTTTTCACAGCCCGAGGGTCGCAAGGGCTATTTCCAAAGGACCAGGCCCAGAGCTGAAGACACCACCACGGTCTATTGGACAAGATGCAGCATCAATTTCCGGCGCGGAAGCTAGCAAGGAGCCTGTTAAGGAAGCTATGGAAAAACTTGGAACGAGTGTCGCAGAAGATGTTGGGAAACGAGAGACCTACAAGATGGTCGAGTCTCGCGTTCCGTCCTCTCGCCTGGGAAGAATATGGCAATATAGCGGATTGGCTACTTCCATGGCGTTTGGTGCCGTCGGAGAGGGCCTGCGTAGGGTTACTGGGGGTCCAGACACTGGATCAATCATGTTCAGCCCGGGAAATACGGAACGCCTTGTTGCTAAACTTTCCAAGATGCGAGGAGCTGCTCTCAAATTAGGGCAGATGCTCAGTATTCAAGGTTCGTACAGAAGCAATTTTTAGTTCTGTTTTTTTATATACAAAGCTAATTGATGTAGATTCGAAGATGCTCCCAGAGCCGATCCACCAAGTCCTTCAACGAGTTCAAGACCGGGCAGACTATATGCCAGCCTCCCAGCGCGACAAGGTTCTAGCTGATAACCTGGGTCCCGACTGGCGAGATCTATTTTCCAGCTTCGACGAAGTGCCAATGGCCGCGGCATCGATAGGTCAAGTTCACGGAGCTGTCCTGAAAAAGACAGGCCAGCCAGTCGCCGTCAAAGTACAATACCCCGGAGTGGCCGATTCGATCGACTCCGACCTAAACAACCTGTCCATCCTACTCACAGCATCTCGTTTGCTGCCCCGAGGACTGTACCTGGACAAAACTATTGCAAACGCCCGAGTAGAACTCGGCTGGGAATGCGACTATCTTCGCGAAGCCGAGTGCGGCAACCGCTTTAGACAGCTCCTGAAAGATGACCCAGTCTTCCTAGTCCCAGAGATCATCCCCGAGGCTTCGGGCAAACAGGTCCTCACCATGGAACGGCTGAATGGCGTCGCCGTCACCAAGATCCAGAACTTCACTCAGGAACAACGCGACTGGATCGGCACCCAGATCATGCGTCTTTGTCTACGTGAGATTGCCGAGTTCAAATACATGCAGACAGACCCCAACTGGACCAACTTCCTGTACAATGCTCAAACCGACCGTCTGGAACTCCTCGACTTTGGCGCTTCGCGTGAATACCCCATCGAGTTCATCACCAAATACGTCCACACTCTCCAGGCAGCATCTCGAAACGATCGCGAGAGCTGCCACAAGCTCTCCATCGAGCTGGGCTACCTCACCGGCCACGAGTCCCAGGCCATGGTGAACGCCCACGTCTCCTCCATCTGCACCATCGCTGAACCTTTCATGGCATCCTCCCCGGACGTCTACGATTTCAATGACCAGACCATTACCGACCGTGTCCGGGATCTAATCCCCATTATGATCCGGGAGCGACTCTCACCTCCGCCCGAGGAGACGTACAGTCTCCATCGGAAGCTGAGCGGGGCGTTCCTACTCTGCGCACGACTGGGAAGTCGGGTGCCGTGCAAGCAACTGTTCATCGATGCCATTAACGGGGCCGAGGCGTCTGGGCTTGAGGTTGCTCCTCGGAATTAACGAAGTTCAATCTTAATCGATTCGGATGTTTTCTAGCGGTGAAACAAGTCAACTCCTTGTAAATTAGACTATGTATGAGTACCAATATATCACAAAAATAATGGTAAATTTTCTACACGAATCATCAAGATCCAATCAACCATATTGATAATAATCCACTGAAAGAAAAGAAAATAGCAATGGCCAGCATGCTTCGTAAGACATGCGCGAAGCACTGGCCAGCACAGCTCAGCTCGGCTGCAGTTGCGCTGCACGCACACATCAGGGAACCTGGCATCCAGGCCAGGTAAGCTCTCCGAATCGACGCCACATACGGAGTGGCTTTCACATGTATGTTGTTGTTTTCTCGTTGGAGCCTGATGGATTGTAAGCACCGGGGAAGGAAATGGTGCATTCCGGCCGATGCAATGCATCAAGGTACAATGTGTCGGTGTGACAAGATGTATGTATGTAGTCAACCTTGATTCCGATCCACTCGATGGCGGGATAGGAAGATATTTAACTTTTCCCGTCGTCGAACTACATGGCCGCCATGGTGGTTAGTTTATGACGATGGGCGGCCAAATAGCATCAGATCCCATACTCCGTGTCTCCGCTCATGGGTTATCCTTGTAGATGCGGGGACGGGCCGGACGGGACGAACTCAAGTTCACAGCCCAAGCGCTTAGGATGGGATGAATTCCTGGTTGAGGTTGCTTTCTTGCTTTCTTGCTTTTTTTTCTTCTCTTTTTGCTTTTTTTTACTTTGCTGTCTTGTCGGGTTGGGCCATTCAAAGAATCAATCCTTATCCTTGGAGGCTTTCTGACCCACAAAAATAGCATCCCAGTATTTTTGGACCCCCGCACAGATGCCCTTTTGACCTTTCCAACTTCTGAACTTATCTTCGAGTTCACAGGCAGTCCAGAGGATCTCTTTCCAAAACTGTCGCTCGACGTCGGTGGGGAATTCTCGAATTACTTCTTGCGGAATTGTCCACGCCCGTGTGTAGGTGACCCCATCGTCTTCCAAGGCCGGATTGACCGCCTGCGGTGAGAAAACAGTGGCTGGGTTGAACTTTGGAAAGTTGGCGTGAATGAAAAATGCCCGAGGTGCAGCAGCGGTTGAGCCGTTGACGCGGAACTCGCCCTTTTGCGTCAGAGCATAATCTTGCGTTGGGTCGAATTGTACCATTGCAGAGCCAGCCAGCCCACCTTCTGTACGGTGGCCAATGGCGCAGATGGGCTCGCTGACTTGATAGAAGGGCTCACCGACTGCCATGGCAGCTGCTATGAACGTTTCCTTGTCGCCCTCCCCTGATGCACCCTGCGAGAGCAGGGGGTAGTAGTGGCTAGGGCCCCAGAAGTTATAGTAGGTACAGAGAAGAAGGGTCCTCAGGTGGGTCTTCTTTGATATCAACACCTCACCGGATTCGGTCGACTGTTGGAGATTCATTGAGGGGGCAGTTTGAGATGCGATCTCATAGTACATCGGCGAGGCCGTGGAGAACCAGAAGTCCGGCCAGGTAACCATGTTCTTGGACTTGAAGGGCTCATTAACAAAGAGAGATTCTGGTTTCTCAAGCGGAAATGCATCAGCATCCAAAAACAGAATTTCCTCAAATGAAGAAAACAGCATGGCGAAAGGCTTGAACTGGTATTTCTCAATCTCCTTAACCCCAGGAACCGCATCTAGGATTTCTGAAAGGACAACGCATTTGGCATTCAAAGAAGGTAGAACCACGCCACAGGTATACTCTTCATATTCGTCCGAATCAGCGAGGAAGATCTCGACGGGCAGCGTCGAACCCGTTTTCCGAAGCATTCGCAGCGAAATAACCAAGACTGGCAAATACGAACCACCCGCGGTGGATACCAGGCCCCTCGTGTTGGGGGTATACTGCAACTGGGGCGGATTCTTCTTGATATGGTCGACAAAGCCGCCATGCGCAGACTTCATATTGTCCACATCTTCCATCATCATGTCCAACAGCTCCGGCCGGCGCTCCGGATCCTGCATGCTAAACCGGTTCGAGGCTGCGGTTCCCAGTCTATCAGGTGGCGGGCATTGCGGTTCGTAACCGGTCAGGAGCGGCTTGAATTGGCGCCAGAAGGCAATATGAGCCGCAGTGCTATGGGCGACATTGGATTCTGAGTTGGGGGGGAAAGCAGTGACGTCGTTCGAATACGCTGTGTTGGGGTTCCGCGAGCGCGACAAGGACCAAATGAAGACGCATGCGAGGATTAAGGCAAGGAGTAGCATTCGCACCCGGGAGAACATCCTGGGTATGGCCATTATTCGATAATTGTTTAAAGGAACAGGTGGTTGTGGTTGATGGCGGATGGTGATGAAGCGGTCGCGGGCCGTCTGTGCGACCAGTCGATTTGGACGTTGTGCTACAAATCACCGGGTCTCCAAGAGGCAAACTCCTACATTCATAATGAGGTTAATAAAACTGCCAAAGAAATATTTGTTTGACGTTATGAGATAGCGAACAGGATACGTACGAGGAGAGTTGTCGTCGAATGACGCGAAGGTTCCGGGGAAATGAAGTTCAAGGCGGAAAGGGGAAAGAAAGTTACGATAAACGATAAGAACGTGATATCATATCACTGCTATATTCTGCGTGAATTTATGATGCTGTTATTCTATATTCATTTCCATACATCTCTATTGTTATTGTTTAGATACTCTCTATCGAAACGAAACGACTCTTATCGATAATGACATATTCCACACTACTAATGCACGAGGTTGATTGCTACTCTGCTACATTACTTCTACAGTGCTGAGCGCATAACTTCTTTTCGATTAATCACATTCATCCTATCCATCTCTAACAATTCCCAGACTATCAAGACTATCTCAAACTATCAGAATACGGCATACCCCGTCCTCACATATCATAATCCACATCAGTCATAATGCCCTGCCACCGCATCTTAAACCCACACTCTCCACCATGACAAAAGTACCAGACCGGGATCATGTCCCTGGATCCAAACCTGCAAAACGTGTCCTCGGCGATCCGATCGCAGTAAACTTTCCAAGTTGCAGCAGTTCGCGAGGGTGTTCGTCTTCCCGATTGACGGGAACATATATCCATCTCTTCCTTTTCAATGGTGTCTGATCCTTTCAACCATTTGTCACAGTGCAGCGGATGCTCTTCCGCGAGATATCTCCGCGTCCCCGTGCGAGGCAGTTTCCTGGGAGTCGGAATCTTGAAAAAGAAAAAAAAAAATTTACAGGGAAAGGCGCTCTAGCTCGGGTCCTTGGTGTTCTTTCTCCTCCTACCATCTGTCTAATTACAGGAATCCAGGCGCCTGGACTCTGGAATCGCCTCTGGCCAGTGCTTCATGTCCCGTGGTGGTGGCCATTGTGAGCCGCTAGCCATGGTCTATTATTTCTCGGATGCGAGATGAAAGTGTCGTTTGGGGGGTTTAGTACATATTATTGGCATGATCTTGCATGGATTCGTATGCGTATGAATTCTCAAACACTCAAAGAGGCTGTACTTTGAGCGTATGTCGATATGGTTGTTGCGAGTTCCGTATACTTGATATCAAACAATAGTAGAATAGCAGACAATCCCATTATTGTCCAGGGGTAGGAAGGGAGTTTCCATCTGTGTTCTATTCGATTCCTATTATTAATTTAGTCAGTCAGTCAATCCCAGTCGATCCACCATGTGTGCCTGATTATGGGGCCATGGAAATGGAGAACCGCGTACTTTTGTCGTGAAGAATCGCCGAGTCCCACCGAGCTGCCAGCGGTTCATCCAGCGGCTCCAACAATCTCCAAGCCCGTGGATATCTGGTCTGATCTAGAAAATCCTGACATTTGGTCCGTGGGGGAGGCCTGGGGCGGCCTATGCTCCATCCATGGAGTAGACTATCGGGCGACCAAAGTACCAAAGGCACGATTTCCCGGGAACTGACGACAAGAAAAAAGCAATGAAACAGAAAAAAAAAGCAACCCAAACACAAATAATAATAATAAAACAGCATCCTGGCCCGCTGATTGGATGCCCTGCCAAAATGTGAGCTATCGAGTATGAAATACAACCCCCAATAGACCCAACGGAATGGATCCCCTCCAAGGGCAGGTGTGAAATCCGGAACTCGGGACCAGCAAAAGCAACCTCCAAATGAGGCTTTTGCGATCCCTCAATCAGAAGCCGAGATCCTCGATACCCATGACTCCATCTTGAGATCGAGTCAGAATCCGGGAAATCGGCAGTCCCGTATACCTCTTTGGGCCATGGTATGGGTGGTAAAACCACTGGGAGGGGACGCCAGGATGAATTGATGTCCGTGTACGACGGGCTGACCGGTCCTTTGCTGTATTCAGTGGATGACTCGAAGCGAGTTGCAGACTTTTTGAAGTCATAAGGGGTTATATCTTCATTCCAGTCAACGTTCTTTCTTAAAGCGGTCGTTTTTGTTATACATGAACAACCTCACGACTATACGTATCGTTGCACAGGATTCTTTCTGCCTCTCAGATGCAACCGTGGCAGCTGTTTGAACAAGAAATGTCAACCAGTGGATAAGGTTGACCGTGCAAGGGGGATTGTTGATGATTCATTGATGTACGATATCCCGATCTAGAGTTATCGCGATGTGGCGGCGATAGAGTGCATCTTCCGTAAATCCATACCTTAGTACTACTACAACTCGTGCCACACATAGTGACGGCCCAGCGGATGTATACGTCACATCTAGGCTCCCTCCGAGGTCACTAGCAAATAGCTTCACACCATTATTCTCCTTAGTCTCGGTGCTGGCGTGGGAAAAAAAAAAAAAAATCATCAGCCCCGGAATTGTATTGTCAATACCAGGATGATCCCTGATCTGCTGTCGCTGCTTTTGCCGCCTCTTGCAAGGATATTGAAGGTTGTAGTACATGCATACATACGTACTTATGTCATGGGTACTTCCAACTGCCACGAATGTGCAGTAATATTGCTGTCGTAAACACTGATGGAATATTAAACTTTATTCGAAACGATCCTCAACACAAATCATCGGGCTCGATCGAATATCATTCTCGATTGGGACTGTGGGATCCCTGAAAGCGTTATCCTGAGAAGGGGTGGAGGTATCTTGGGCATGTAGTCGCCCCCGAGCTGTACTTAGTTCGCCTCCGATCAATATTTAGTTGACCCATTCCCCTGCTTTTGATCCATCTTCATCCAGAGCAATTAGTTTCTTTCCCTCTTCCACAATAATACCCCAAGTTCATCTATCATAATGAATCATATTCGCGAAACATTCATTCGCTGTAAGAGCGAAGGTCGCCCGGCCTTGGTGACTTTTGTAACAGCCGGATACCCCACGATGGAGGAGACTCCAGATGTTATGCTAGCCATGCAAGCTGGCGGTTCTGGTGAGTCCATCAATGAATGAAGAAGTGTGTAACCTCACTGACATCCATAACAGACATAATCGAGCTCGGCATCCCTTTCACAGACCCATCTGCGGATGGCAGCACAATTCAAAAATCAAACCGTCAAGCATTAGAGAATAATGTCACGATCCCTTCCATGTTGAGAATGGTTCGTGAATCACGACAAAGGGGGTTATATATTCCTGTGGTGTTCATGGGATACTATAACCCCGTCATGCACTATGGCGAAGAAAGAATGTTGCAACACTGCAAGGCTAGTGGAGTTAATGGCTTCATCATGGTCGACCTGCCGCCTGAAGAGTCGTTACGGTTTCGAAGCCTTTGTAAAAAGGCTGGGTAAGTCTTTGTCCTCCTCCAACTTGGTACTAAGTCCTAACCATTGCAGACTTTCATACATTCCATTAATCGCCCCTTGTACCACAGACAGCCGCATGAAGTTTCTGTGTTCAATCGCCGATTCTTTCATATACGTTGTCTCCAAGATGGGCGTCACTGGTGCAAGTGGAACCTTGAGTGCGGGACTCCCTGGCTTCCTCGATCGTGTTCACAGATACACCGACAGATACCAAGTCCCTGCTGCAGTAGGGTTTGGAATCAACACTCGTGAACAATTTGTATCCGTGTCCCGGCTTGCAGAGGGTGTGGTGATTGGTAGCAAAATTATCTCTGTCTTAGGCGATGCTCCTGCTGGTCAGGGGTCCCAGAAAGTCAAGGAATACTGCACCTACATCACCGACAGAAATGTTCCCCAAAGCTATTTCCAATCCTTAATATCAGCAAATGGAAGCATGTCCGACGATGACTCTGATAGCATGTCCGATGACGACACCGATATCTTAGAGGGCTCCAGTCGATCCAATTGTTTCGGAGGCCAATACATCCCCGAAGTACTGATAGAGTGTCTGATGAAATTGGAAGAGGGTTTCAATAACGCAACAAATGACCCCTCTTTCTGGGAAGAATACAGGTCATTCTACCCATATATGAACCGTCCCTCCTGTCTTCATGTCGCAACGCAACTGAGCAAATACGTCGGTGGAGCCAATATCTGGCTGAAGCGCGAAGACCTCAACTACACTGGCAGCCACAGCATCAACAATGCACTTGGTCAGGTTCTGCTAGCCCGTCGATTAGGAAAGACACAAATCGTTGCTGAGACAGGCGATGGCCAGCATGGTGTGGCCACTGCCACGGTCTGCGCTAAATTTGGTATGAAGTGCACGGTTTTCATGGGAGCAAAAGATGCTCGCCGACAGGACTTTAATGTCTCGCAAATGAAAATCCTCGGTGCTACTGTGATTACCGTGGATTCGGGATCAGGGACCCTCCGTGACGCTACCAACCAAGCAATGCAATCCTTGGTCGGCGATTTGGAAAACACATACTATGCCACTGGTGCTGCAATCGGACCTCATCCGCTTCCAGCCATCGTCCGAACTTTCCAGTCCGTTATTGGAAATGAGACCAAGGATGAATTTCGCGCACAAAACGGCCGATTACCCGATGCAGTGGTGGCATGCGTCGGATCAGATGCGACAGGCATGTTCCATCCGTTCATTAGCAACAACGATCCAGTCAAGATGATTGGAGTTGAGGCCGCAGGAGAGGGTCTGGATACTGAACGCCATTCGGCAGTTTTGAGCAAGGGGTCAATTGGTGTCCTTAATGGATCTTGCACATATGTCCTGCAGGACTCGGAAGGCCAGATTCAAGATACCCATTCTATCGCCGCCGGTCTTGATTATCCGGCAGTAGGCCCTGAACTGGCAAGCTGGCACGAGAATGGGCAGGCCACATTCACAACAGCCACGGATAAGGAGGCATTATATGGTTTTATGCTGTTGAGCCAATTAGAAGGGATCACACCAGCCTTGGAGACTGCACATGCTGTCGCTGGTGTGATTCGAGCAGCTAAGAAATTAGGGAAAGGGAAGGATGTGGTTCTTTGCTTAAGTGGGCGTGGGGATAAAGATATTGAAACAGTAACGGCGCATATGGGTGCGGAAATTGGGTGGTTTTAGTCTGAGATACCATTATTATACCTATGTTTGTTATGATATTAAAATATAATTTTAATGCTTCCTTCAAGATAACTCTCACCTGTACCCTAGCTTGATATTTCCAGACTTGAATTATCCTTGGATAAACGGATGTAACTCTCCTTGTTGCACTGAATAATCACGCGCCAGATTCCTGACTTTGGCTGTATTCGTCCTCCTCCAGAATAGTAGAGGAGAACAAAGGTTCACCATCACGGAGTGGTTTCATCTCCTTGCCACCGTTCCAGCCTTCAAAATAGTCATTGAACGAGTTATCATCGCCGAGTGAAGGTTCTTTCTTCAGTTCTTTGGCTGAATAATGCAGTTGACCCTTGGCTCTTGGCTGGTGGTCTATTTGGTGTGGACCACTACTGAATCCCAAGGAATATAGCAAAAAATCCACGAGGGAAGTGCAAATGACATATAGCACGAGCCCCAGCGTTGCGCCGATCAGTAGAGCGACTGCCAGGAATATAAAGAGAGCCTGTCGAAAGATGAGCTTGCAATCACCATACGTCATTGGTTGGGAGGTAGAGAGGTGTCCATTGGCAACGTGAATTGGAATCGTACCTCAAATTTAGCAAGTATTTTGAAGGGGAAAAGAGTTGTGTGAAATATAACAAGTCCCAGCTTCACAAATGGCGTAATCAGTAGATGAAGCAGGTCAAAACCCCAGGATATCACGTAGATGAAAGGAGAAAGGATGATGTACAGCAGAGCTGCTGCTGCTGGAAGCCAAGCCATCGGCCACACTCCCCGCTGGTATTTCCTATGGAACTGAGACAATCCAGCAACCGATGGCTGATTACTGGATAAATGGAGATAAACAAAGACAGGCAAGATGACTGGATGGTGAAGCTGGAGATACGTCGTAGAGTTACTCCGTCCTCCGTACTCAGGTCTTGGACGCGAATTACTAGAAGCGGTATAGCGTTCCTATCCTGGATTAGCGTCCCCTTGCTCTATGATGCCTTCCATCGCTGCTTCCACTTCGACCAATCTCCTGTTGTTTTCCTTTCACTTTATTTCCCCTCTCCCCAGGTGGCTTTAAGGTAGTGAGGCCTTTTTACTATTACTGGTTGCTGTATATAAATGATTGTCTTCCTAGCTATCACATTCTATCATACATCACTTAGCTTCATGTCCTACCTAGTCTTCATTGGTATGGGAACAGGGATTAATTAGTACAGAGGGACTAATGAAAGATACTAATAACACCAACTTCACCTGCTGACTGTGACAAACTACCACATATATAGTGATGTCCTAGAATGTACTAGTCTTCTACCTTCAACACAGGGGGTATATCACTAGAACACTCCTTGGTGAGATGATTGTGACAGTAGGTAAGGATCCTGTTCTTATAGATCAGCTGCTGGAAGTATTGGATGTTCTTCACCTAAGATTATTACAGCACTAATGTCTTTCATTAACTATACAACTATCAAAGAGAGATATATAAATATAATGGATGGATAGATCCTTCTCTCCCCTTAGGGGATACATATGCAGCTTAACATACTTTTCACAGCCTCAAAGCTTTTGTATCCCTGTATTAGTGAAAGATTCTATGTACAGCCACGCTAACTTGCTCTAATCAAGTCTTGTTAATATTAGACAAATCATCATCACAGCAAGTCTACCTAGGTCAGGTTTTCTGTGTCTCTGTCTTGGTATTCTGTGAGTGCCAGTAGGCTTATTCCACCGCCCCCTCCCTTCAAATCTCACAAACTAAAGAGAAATTTGACTCTTAGGTTTTGCAGACATCTGTCTTATAAGGTATCATGCAATGCAAAAATGTCGTCCCAGTTGTAAGTACTGGCTTATTGAATTCCATGTGAGACTACTAATTCGACTAACAGAGACGACGAGGTTACTTATGTGTTTAAGAATGCCATCAACAATTTCTGAGACTCTCTCAGTTTTAATGAGAAAATGATTTTCAAAGAGTTCTAAAACTCAAAGAAAATGCTTCAGGACCTGCATACCAAATGTAAAGATGTGCGAGATAAACGAAAACTGTCAAAACTATATCAGAAAATAGAACGCTTTGCGTCTGCATGGGAGCCATTCTTCGAAGTCACTTCGATCTTTGTGCAGGCACATTCTGAGTTCGCGGGCATCGCCTGGGGTGCCATCTGTCTCATGTTCCTGGTAAGACTATCCAATCTTTATGTGTGATATGCTGAGTCGCAACTAGCTTGGAACGAATTATACCGTGCATTTGGAGAAGCTCGTCACGCAAAGACGGGGGACATGTGCAGTATGGGTGGCTTAACTGTGACGGACTGAGAACAACTACAACTCTTCCTTCGTCATCAGACTGGGGGCAGGAATCTGGCTTGAACAGCATAATAGTGGAAACTCGGGCGGATCACTTGAGCTTAGAGCTCGAGCATCATTCAAAATCCGCGCTGATGAAACAGCAAATTAAACCAACGAGGATTGCCTCTGAGGGAACAGTTGTCAAGGGGCCATCGGTGCTTTTTCATCTCCTTCATCTCATACAAGGAGAGAAAACGAATGTATCACTCCTGCCTCTCGGAGATAACGATGAATGGATTCGTATGGTGTGGAATAAAGATACCCAGAAATCGTACAGTATCTACGACTACCAGTCACGACGCTTGCCTTCAATCATATACCGTCGCCAGGAAGGTTTACAAGGTAATGATGGGGATTTGAAAGAGGTGAAGAGGCGGCGCTTGAAGTGAGAGAGGAACCTCATGCTGGAATTCATGTTGTTATTAGTATCTTAGAGCTATATCAGAATATAATTTTTTAGATGAAGAACGGCAAATTCTACAGAGCCTACCTCTCTTCCCGAAGAAGCCATGATGGAAGCGCTCGCTGATAATAGAATATAGAAAAGATCATTAGCTGGAGATAGCTACTCCGGACTCCGTATCCAAAACAGAAAGCCTAGGCACCTCGGACCGACCTCCGACCCGTGCACCCAGCCCTAAACCCTAAACGGACATTCCTGGCCGGGACCCCGGTTTCGACGACATCATCAGCTTTCATGGCAAGCATACATACCTCTTGCGTTGGCAACCTTTGATTGTTGGGCTCCTCTTTCCTGCCTATCTCCATCTTGCCCGCTTTTTTATCTTGTTATCTCCTAAAAAAAAAAAAAAAATTCCAACTTACCTACCTGTCAAGGCTGGCGCTCTGATGCTGGCATCGTGACCTGCCTTCTCTTCCCTCTCTACTCTTCTCCCCCGCTATTTCCGCCCGGTTTCTTCTCCCTCCCCGCCTCAGATGGGCAATAATCCTTCCAAAACCCCCGGAGACGCCCCGCCAGATTCGGGCTACCCGACCCATGCGGCCTCTACGAACGAGCGAAAAGTGAATCGACGACCATCCGTCAATGCGCTGTCGGGCACGGCTAAGGCTACTGCGGCCGATCCGTCTGCCTCTAGGGAGACCGCAACGGGGCATTCGGCGTCACAAAGCATAGCACCCGTTCAGCAACGCCTACAATCTCGCAGCGCTGCAGATTCGCCGACGCGGAGCTTAGACCGCCCCGACCGGCTCGATGCTAAGAAGACAGAACCCCGTTCCAGAGACATTCCTCCATCCTCTCCCGACCCATCCAATCCCGTCCAGGTCCCAGCTGCTCGGACTGCTGCCAGGCGCGAGCCCTATCCGTCTGTGGCACCATCTGGACCTCCTCATGGCTCTTACTACAATGCATCTACCCATCTACAACGTCCACCTCGGATGCCACTGCCAATTGGCGACGCAACAGTGACCCCAGGTTCTCCGGTCATCGGACCCGAGGATTCGCATATAGGGCCCCTCCCGCATGATAGGACTTTGGACGACCAGGTAGATCAGGTGGCTTCCACGTTCGACAGTACTGCGATTGATGAGGAGGAACTTCTGGACGAACTTCAACCGTATACTGTCAGCGGTGTAGGCAGAGCGATTCCGACCAACATTGAGTGGACTGCTGCGGGAGAAAAGGTTTATGTGACTGGAACATTCGTGAACTGGGAGAAGAAGTTTCGCCTGCACAGGAAGTATGCAATGCCCCGCTATGTCTCAGGTCTTTCTGGCTGCCGCCCATACTAATGTCTCGTCGAGCAGTGAAAATGGCGTTATGTCTACTACGTTGAATCTTCGTGCTGGAACACACCATATGAAATTTATTGTCGATGGAGAGATGCGTGCTTCGGACAACCTGCCTACTGCGGTGGATTTTACGAACCACCTGGTTAACTACGTGGAAATCAGCTCGGAGGATGTTAATCGTGCGCACAGAGAGGGGGACAACAAAAGCGCTACTTCTGATGGAGCCCACCCTCCGCAAGTTATTCCTGAGCCAGTTAGTGGTAACGATCAGACCGGGGCCTCCAACGACGAAAATCAGCCAGAAAAGGAAGAGCCAGAAGAGATTCCCCTTGGTGATTTCCGCAATATAATCCCCCAGTTCCTTGCCGATCTAGACAAGGAAGAAGAAAGCCCGGCTTACCAGCAAGCTGCTAATGTCATTGGCGACACACCTACGCCACCAAGTCTTCCTCTGTTTTTGGGCAAATCCATATTGAACGGCACTACACCAATGAAAGATGACAGCAGCGTTCTTAATTACCCCAACCACACGGTTCTAAATCATTTAGCAACGAGCAGCATAAAGAACGGTGTTCTTGCTACGAGTGTAACGACTAGGTACAAGCGGAAGGTATGTTTCACTTGGCATTTCCCTTTGCGAGTGCTTTACTAACATTGCAACCCAGTACGTTACAACAATATTGTATAAGCCGACAGGCGATATCACGGAATAATTATATGCATTAAAAAGAGAAGACAAATATTACACAGCACTTACTACCCCTCACATGTTAAATGGCTGCCATGCTTGCTAGCTCGCTGCATGGCCTAGTACGGGAAAAGAAGAGCCATTGGGTAGCACGCCGCAATCCACGTCAACATTGCTTCCGTGCCTCCCGATGTTTTCCGAATCCAATTTACTTCTAAGACCTCCATGGCCATTGCGAACGGATCATCTGGGGACGACTTGATTATCATGGAATCCATGTTTGGCAAATGAATACACATATGCCAGGGTGTTGCCAGACTTGAGCACATACTATTTACGCTTATGATGACGACTCGAGAATCCGAAAATTATTTTGGTTCGTCCTTGAAAGAAAGCCACCTTACTCTTGTGGCGCCAAATGCTCATTTTGGGTGTAGGAATCAAAATACTATCATGGAGCAGGCTCTTTTCTCCCCTCGTCTTCTCTTCTTTCATTCCTTTTCATTTGGCCATTTGGGTTTTCTGAACGTGCGTTATCACTTCCTGATCGTCCATGAGTGAACGCACCCGTTCATAACCAAGTTCATTTTTCGGTACTGAAAACTTGGACATCTATCTATGATTTACAAATAATGAAATATGCTTTCTATCTCCTCTTGTCCGTACTAATTACCTATCTTTCTATCCCGTGGATAGAGATGAAGAGCGCCAGTTTCAAGTATCGTGATTCAGAATTGCCAATTGGCAGGGGAGGGGGAACATGCGTAAATTCCTCTATTATTCGTAAAACTTGATTGGATGGGCATCAGAGACATTCGTATATTAATTGTTCGAACGGGGCGAAATTAATCCCTCCATTTGACAAGCACATCGTCCGTCCGGAACCGCTGGGTACAGGTCGATTCCTTGAGCGGGGTTCGAAATCCGGTCTTGTATGCGAGCAAGCCAGCCTGCGCGATCATAATACCATTGTCAATACAGAACCGTTCATCTGTCGCATGTACGCTGCCACCGCGGTCGCGAGCCATAATCCCCATCATCTCTTGTAAACGTTCGTTGCAACCAACACCTCCGACAATCAGAACTTCCTTGGACCCTACATGGGCCATCGCACGCTCTGTAGTCTCAACAAGCATGGAGAATATGGTCTCCTGAAGGGAGAAGCACAGGTCTGCGCGAGTAGCAGGTGAGTCGTTATCAATCTGTTCTTCCTTTTCCTCCCCGCTCAGACCGTATGTGGCAGCCAGTCCATCGATTGCAGCTAGAATCCCCGAAAAGGAGCAATCCATGCCTTTGACAGTGTATGGCAGATCGACCAGTTGCTTGCCTTTTTTAGCTAATTGTTCGATGTTGTACCCCGGCGCGGGATCATTGGAGATGTGTAATGTACGGGCAAATCGGTCCAGGCAGTTGCCCACTGCCATATCAAGGGTTTCGCCGAAGATCCGATACCGTTGTGCACTGTATGCGATTACTTGTGTGTTTCCTCCAGAGACATAGAGGACGACAGGGTTGGTAGAGCCAGTGATTAATCTTCCCATTTCAATGTCTTGAATTTGAATGTTAGCACGAAACTACAACCTCAATGGTAACACAAGGAAACCAAGGGAGACATACGTCCAACACAATGATTTACCCCGACTAATTCCTTCCCCCATAACAGGCTCATCATTCTAGCCGCAACGGCAACACTCTGGAGCGGTGCCCCCATTCCGGGGCCTTTGGTATAACAGATGCAATCCACATCATCGACTGACAGGCGAGCCTGCTTGAGAGCTTTCTTGACTAACTTGACCACCCAGTATCGGTGATGTCGTGCTGTATCCTTGGGGAGGAACCCCTCACCAGGAGGGGCGACATAGGTGTGTCGAATATTAGCCAGGACCTGCGGGGTGCTGCCATCATCGGGATGCGACATGATGCCCACGCCAATCTTGTTGGCGGAGCCTTCAAGGCCGATAGCAATCATTGTAAATAGTATCCAGGGGGGATTTGATTTTCTAAAGAATATACTGTGGAAATCGGTATGATAGATAGTATTTGGCCGTGTTATGAGACGGTGATATGGCTGCCAATATAGTGGCCGAGGGGCAATATTATTTTTTTTTTATCTACGGCGTTATCGATTGGTGCGAGCCGGCGAGGGGAACAGTTAGTTAATAATGGACGGATGGAATTGGCCTGGAACGGCAGTTCCGCCGCAGGGTTTATCCGACGGTATACTAAGAAGTAGTTAGTAGCATGAGTAGCCAAGCCCACTTCTCCTCGCCCACCACAAGTAGTATTTACTACTCCTCTGCTTTTTAACCTTTCCTCCCACCTTCGTTTTTGCTCGTCTCTTCTGCGGTGGCTGGCTCGTCGGACCTAGGTCTTATCATTATTGTGATCTGACTTGCATTCTTGCTCGTCCACACCCAACCATGTCTTCTACAACCCACTTCCCTGACCCTGACAGCTTCCAGCGTCAATCGGATGAGTTTATCACCTGGCTGGCTGGCAGACCAGGCGTCAGAATCAACCCCAAGATCCGTCTCGCGGACCTGAGATCTCAGGCTGCAGGCAGAGGTGTCGGTATGTCTCTATTCCTGCCACGAATTAATTTCGGTTGCCTTTGCGGTTCAGAAAAAATTCATGTTTTTCGTTGTGGAAGTACCCCTCTGATAGGTTTCCTCCCACCCTTCCAGTGGCCCAATCCGATATTCCAGAGGGCGAAGAACTCTTTTCAATTCCCCGCGGGCTCATTCTGACACCTCAGAATTCGAAGCTGAACGATGTGCTGTCCCAACAGTTGGAGGAGCTCGGCCCGTGGATGTCCCTGATTCTGGTGATGATCTATGAGTACCTTTCAGGAGACCAGTCCACCTGGTCCCCGTACTTTAAAGTTCTCCCCAGGAACTTTGACACCTTGATGTTCTGGTGTCCATCTGAGCTTCAGGAGCTCCAGGGTAGCTCAATCGTCGATAAGATCGGGAAGGAGGGTGCCGAGGAATCCATTCTCGAGATGATCGCCCCCGTCGTCCGTGCGAATCCTTCCCTCTTCCCTCCCATTGATAACCTCCCCTCATACGACGGAGATGCCGGTGCTCAGACTATCTTGAACCTTGCTCATGGCATGGGTTCCCTCATAATGGCCTATGCGTTCGACATCGAAAAAGCCGAGAATGACGACGAGGAGGGTGAAGATGAAAGTGGCTACATGACCGATGAGGAGGAACAGCTGTCTAAAGGCATGGTTCCTCTCGCAGATCTCCTGAACGCAGATGCGGATCGGAATAATGTAAGAATGCTCTTCGTTACTCTTTATAACCGACAAACTTTGCTGACTGACATTACTAGGCCCGTCTTTTCCAAGAGGAGGATGCTTTGGTCATGAAGGCAATCAAGCCCATTGCAGCAGGGCATGAAATTTTTAACGACTATGGAGAAATCCCCAGAGCTGATCTCCTGAGACGATACGGCTATGTCACCGACAACTACGCCCCTTTTGATGTCATCGAAGTCTCTCTGGAGCAAATTTGCCAGGCTGCGGGCCTTGGAAATGCTGATATCGAGTCTCAGCCTCCGGTATTTCACGTCTGCTCCAACTGCTTGGTTTTCATGCTAACGCCCCATCTAGCTCCAATTTCTTGAAGACCTCGAGCTCCTTGATGACGGATACGCCATTCCCAGGCCCTCGCCTGAGGATTCGCTGACGGATATTCTTCAAGATGAGCTTCTTGTGCTACTCAAAACGCTGACCCTGTCACCACAGCAATTGGAGCACCTAAAGTCAAAGGACAAGCCCCCGAAGCCTACCTTTGATCAGGCAGAAGCAGCCATTCTCCAAAAAACGATCCAGCTCAAGGCGGCGCAATACGGAACCACTCTCGCGCAAGATGAAGAACTGCTGGCACGATTGAACCAGTCCGATGCCTCCAGTCCTTTGGAGGGATCATCCCGGCGACAGAAGATGGCCATCCAGGTCCGAGTCGGTGAGAAAGAGATCCTGCAGCATCTATCCGCCATGCTCAGTGGAGGTTCTGCCATGAAACGAAACGCAGACGGCGATGATGAGTCGAGGAAAGCAAAGACTCAGAGAACATGATTCTCCATACAGGCGCTATCACGAATTAGAGCAAGAAAAGTGATTTTCGTTTTGTTATACTTGATATTAATTTTTGGTTTTCTTCGTTGCTGACCTCATAGCTTCACTATCCATACATGAGTCTATCGACTGATCGGTTTCAAAAAAGAGAAAAAAGAAAAAGGGGGTCACTATGTACACTAACTTTCGCATAATCCAGGTCATGTCATGAAAAAAAAGAATGCCCATCTGCGACATTAACTTGACTTTTTTGAATCCTTCACGGCTTTTGAAAAAGAGCAAGGGGGTGTTAAGAGGGCTGAGCGTGAAAATGAAAAGAAAAGCTCCAATGATTAAAAAGAAGAGATGAGAAAAAGATATCACAGCTCGCGCATCAAGGTGTGGGGGGGAATAAAACTACAAGTTTTGGATAGATCGGGTAAAGGTGGGAGAACAAACAGAACGCCCGCCAAATGCAAGATGAGTGGGAAGGGAAAGGGAAAAGAAAAAACGAAGAGAAAAAGCTCAGCTCAAGTCTCCGCTGTAGGGGTGGCAACGGCTCCAGGCCCAGGATTCGATCCCATTGTCTGCCCCATGTTTGGTGGTCCATTATTGGCGGCGGCTTGGTCGGCCTGCAACCGTCGCTGCGCCTGAGCCTGGGCTTGCGCTTGCGCATGTGCCTGGGCTGCTGCAGCTTGGTCGCGGGCCTTGGCCGCCATGATGGCCCGATGCTGCATGATCTGGATATCATATTGGTCTCGTTCATAGTCCGACTCGTCATCCGAATCTTCCCGGTCATATTTGAATCGGTCAGCTTTGAACGGGTCCATTTCCACTCTACAGCGCGAGGCAAGATTGCGGCGATCAATCATCATCCGACCACCACGCCCAATACGTCTCCGGAATGAGGGTATCTTGCTGGTATCCTCGTGCATCTCCATTGTACTAGGAGCTAGTTTATCTCGGAAAGATAGGGCACTGGTGGTATCTAAAGCCGTATCCATCATGTTTTCGGACGATTCCGATGATGGTGGAGTGGGCAACTGCGCGGTGATTGCCGGGCGGAAAGCAGCATCGAATGTTCTTTCGGGAGACGGTGACAGTGGTGCTCTTGTCAAGTCCACGTAACCCTCGTTCCACTTGATGTGCTTGGCGATATTTTGCTTGATATCGCGCAAGATTTCGTTTTCCTTCTCCGCCTGGACATCTTCCAGCAACTGCAGGTCTTCTGCTGTCTGGGTACCAGGCTTTTGCGGCATCCGAAGCTGAGGTGCTGCCGGTCGTTGTACCGCGGGCGCCTCTGTCGGCTTCTTCTTTGGCTACGAGTTGGGTCAGTGTCTTGTTTTGAGTATAGCGATCACAGATTGGTCTGCTTACCTTCTGGTTGATGAGGTCCTCGTCGTCATCCTTGATGTTGAGTTTCCTCTTCATCTCCTTGACTTCGGACCGCTGCAGGAACACATGCCGTTCAATCGCAAGCATCTCCTTCCTTGCTAGCTCGCGCTGCCGCACCAATGCGATCAACTGCCGAGCATCTTCCAGTTCCTTTCTGAGCCTTCTCAATTTGTCGGCACTTTGAGCATCTCTGCCGCGGGTCTTGCGAATCTGGCGGACCTCGCGCCTACGGAAGCAAACATATGGATCGGTATCATCGGTATCTTGACCAGTTTCGAACTGCGCACTGAGGTCAGCGCGAAACATTACCATGCGACGTTGGTTGGTTACGCGACTTACCTTGAGGCCCGACAATAGTGACTGGTTCTCCGTCTCCGTCCTTCTCGTCTTCCAGTGCTCATAGATATCCTTGGCGAATCGCTTTACACTGTCCTCTACGGCACTGTCCATCGCCTCCTGCATCTCCGAAAAAGACAACACTGGCGGACTATCTACAGCCGCGAATGGTTGCTTAGTTTGAGTCGTCTCTTCGAAGAAATTCATCACTTCCTCGAACTGGTCCTCGGTACATTGGGCGGAGGCATCCCGTTTCTGGTTCATGATCTTGAGGAAGACATCATCCTCTTCGGTCATGTTATACGGACAGGCGCAGCAATCCTCGACAGTCGAGGAGAAGCGAATATACGTCGCCGGCTGCGAGAAGAGAGGGGGGTAGAGCTCGTCATATCGAAGATTACTGAGAATGGTCTCTGGGGTAGGGATATGCGCCTCGTTTACTTTTCCCCGTGCAGTTGCATTTATTGCAGCTTGAAGATGGAATTCCTATCAAATTCAGCGTTAGCAGGCGCTGGTTTGGGGCCTTGATGCCCGGCTGCGAAATTTTCGCGATGGGGTGAGGTCGCGATGCGATCACGTGATGCCGTGCAGGGATAGGCTAAAATTAGATGGGGGGACAACGACTCACCGATTCCTCCGCCTTTTCAACGCCAGTCTCGATCTGTTGTAGGGTATTCTGGACCTCATCATCGATTATATCAATATCCTCTTCCCGGACTATAGGGATAGAGGCCTTGGAGGTGAGCTTTTTAGGGCGCGTCCTCCCCATTCCCCCGTACCTAGTCATGCGAACTTTCGGGCGCGAATAGGGCAATGACCATGGGCGAGGGGTCCCGAAAATAGTATCAGCGGAAAGGTCTGGTCATGCGAAAACGCGTAGATGTATTTTCGTGATGAAAACTGATGGTGGTTGGGAGATATCGACGGCAGAAATCTCGTAGCAACAGCGCTGGCGGTTGGGTTGACGTTGCAATGTCACCCAGCCGTGGCCTGTTTTGGCCCAGCGCACGGCCTCAGGGGTTCGCTTGCCTGTCTGTTTCGGGTTAGTGCGGGGCTGGCCGATATCAAATTGCCGGACCCTTGGCATGTTATGAGAGATGATAACCTTCCCCGACCGCGTCCCCATCACATGTTGCCATCATAGTTTATCTGGACGTACCATTGATTATCTTTTGCCTCCTTTTCTCCTTTCGCCTCACCACGTACAAGACCCCATCGCCACCGTGATCGCTGCCAGCTATGGAAGGTGAACCCAACAGTGCCGCTCTCCATGATGCGCGGAGACGAAGAGGCTCCGTTGGTACATCGCAGCTTTTCGACAACATTGTCTCGGCTTCCAACTGTGCGTTCCAACAGTCCATCTCCAATTCTTTTATCGGATATCCAGGTTGACCAAGTTCGGGGTAATAGTCGACAGAGATGAGGTGGACCGACTCCGCAAGCGGTTTATGAAATTAGACAAGGTCCGCAACCACGTTTGATGCAGAAAGCTGTGTGACACAAGCCACAATTACTCAACCCCTTTGCAGGACAGTTCCGGAACGATCGACCGCGAAGAATTCCTTTCCCTTCCTCAGGTTTCCTCCAACCCGTTGGCAACGAGGTACGTTTCTTGACGCAGACGCCATTAGAAGCGACCCTTCCCCTGGACAACGTACTCACATGGTGATAACTTTTAACAGAATGATCGCAATCTTCGACGAAGACGGTGGCGGCGACGTCGACTTCCAGGAATTCGTGTCTGGATTGTCAGCATTCAGCTCCAAGGGAAACAAGGAGGAGAAGTTGCGGTTCGCGTTCAAGGTGTACGACATTGACCGAGACGGGTACATTTCCAACGGAGAGCTGTTTATCGTGCTGAAGATGATGGTCGGAAACAACCTCAAGGACATCCAGCTGCAGCAGATCGTGGATAAGACTATCATGGAGGCGGATAAGGATCAAGATGGCAAGATCAGCTTCGAGGAGTTTACGGAGATGGTGGAGAACACGGACGTCAGTCTCAGCATGACACTGAGTATGTTCTGAGCGAGTCGAACGATCAGCGAAAGGATCATACTCCGCACCATTCCACCAAGTCGGATTTCCCTGTCGCCATGAGGTGTTTAGCACGACACCTCGTTCCTTATTCCTTATTCTGCTGTTTTCACTGTCGTTGTTTTTTCTTTCTTTGCTCGCTTGCCTTCTTACTTTCTTTCTGCACCTTGACATGACTATATGATCAGTGATGACACCCCTGTAGTTTAAATGATGAAATGGGTTCAATGGACCCCAAATGATACGCAGACACTACTTCTTGGTATGATTGATATACTACTTAAACATGGGTTTTCTGGAATAGGGTTGTTAGGAATGCATAGTATGAAATGGTTGCAGTAAACTATTCATTAATATAGAGGGCTATAATTACCAGGTACTCATATTTACTATTTGGCCCTGGCATAAGATGATATATATATTCCAGATCCAGAAATATACTTTTCAAAATACGATAAATTCCAAAGGTAATCGGTCTCTCAGACAATGTTATTTATGGGATTCACCAAAAAGAATGGTACCTATCTATCGATCTATACCGAGGTATACATGGGTTGGTATACTCTGTATTAGATAGCAGTACTCAACCAACAAACCACATTTACTGACCACCCAGCGGGTAGGAAATGGCACAAATCACCAATAAAGTACTATAACTAATATATTCAGGAGGAATATTTATACTTCTCATTAAATGATATAAACCGACATCTCATAAGATAGACTAAATGGCTGAATCCAACAAGGCAGGGGCAAATACATCTCCAATTCCAAATGTCCATCAACAATTCAATAGTAGGAACTTATAATTTTCATGGTATAATCAGGGTATCATTTATTTGACCCGAGGGGATTGTAGCCTCAGGATCAAAGTCTAGCTAGGGTAATATATCATACATACTTCGTCCATACAGGACAGAGTATACGGAGGATCGTACTCCATGAAATCAACAAAGGAGAAGAAAGGGAAAAATGCACATCATCCATCGCTAAGAAAAGAACAAAAGAAATAAAGCAAAAACAAAAGAAAGACAAGACAAGAAAAGAAGAGAAAACACAAATCAGAGAAAATCCCACGCACGCACCATAGCCTCGCATTGCAGACTAGATGTTCCAATCATCGTCGGGTCCCTTCTCTTGGGAGGTGATAGTTAGTACCGCTACCATAGCATGGGCATCGAGCACAGACGACGAACCCCGTCGATCGGTGGCACCGCCTCTTCGGCGTCGCCCGTGGCTCGGAACCTGGAAGTTGGGAAATTTGACCGACGAGCCATGACGAAGTTGGAATCTCTAGTGTTGGGCACTAGGAGAGGTTGTTGTTGGTGATAGTTGCGGTGATGATTTTTTTTTCGTCGAGACAGTCAGTCGAGAGTGGCTCCCCCGCATTCGTTCGCAATATTCCATCAGTTCAGTCAACACCATCAAAACAGAAGACAAAACCAGGGACATCTATATCGTGCAAAATATGTAACCAAAAATGCGCCATGCTCCAAATCCTCCTTGCACCTAGATGCGAAACAAGGGTATCTATCTACATGATCCAGGAAGCGTCTCAGACGCTGGTTAGGGATAAAACAAAATGGCAGGGACTCGGGGAGATTACGACCCTTTTTTGCTTTTTTTGCTTTTTTCCTTTTTCTTTTTTTCTTTCGTATCTCCTCAAATCCCGGGAAATACCGTCTGGGGTTCTTTGTCTCATGAGGTGGGGCGATGAGAAGGGATATTGTGAATAATGAAGAGCAAGGCGAACAAGACGAGATGCTAATCGCGTTAGCAGTCAATAGTAGCCTTTCCAGCAGCTAAATTCGGCCCTGCGCTAGGTCGGGGACAGTGCCGAGGGTGGATTGCTGCCAAAAGTACCGGCTTCCGTTTGGGCCCCAGCGACCCCAGTTTATTGGGTTGGGAAATCAGGATCGCGATGTTGCAGTGGCGGTTGCACCGCTGCTCAGGGCGTGGGCGCCCCCGTCCGGCCGGCTCTCGATCAGATCGAGGCATTGTCCTAGGACTAAGCGAAGTTAATTTCCTGGTTTTGTGCTTTGGTGGTTTATTTGTTTCACTCTGTCGGAACTTACCACATAGGATTTCCTCTTCCCAAATCCCCATCTGGTAATCCACCAGGCCGTGCTGTTCGATCTTATCGCAGAGTTGAATCAAGTCCTTGCCCATGTTCTCCATCAAATCGCTACTGAGAAGAGAAGTATTGGGAGGCCTGTGTCCGGTCTGCAGCATATCCTGAGTCAGGTCCTTTTGTCGTTGGCACAAAGCCAACCAACAAATGTTGAAGTCATTCCAGAGTTGCAGTCGATCGGAATAATTCAGCTGATCGTCACGAAGGATACCTAGCCACCATCAAACATGATTATTAGCCTCAAGTCAGAAGTCAGAAATTCCAGGAAATGAAGAAACTAGTGACAGAACTAGTAACCGATGGTGCATACGGCGCCGTCATACATCATGTATGTATGTGCTTTAGGGGGGGGGACTTTTGTGAACAAACGCTAAGGCAAAAAAACATACCGAGTTCCCGCGCATTAGTCACAAGCCACTCGGAGATTTCCAAGAGTGATCGACTAGCCTCTACCAATCGCGCGGCGCGAGTATCATCGAATATCCCTCGCAAGGCTCGTTGAAGCTGCCCATATGTCTCGCTCACATTTGTCGACTCTGAAGTTGCTGCCACTTGTTCAACTTGCTGCTGCTGCTGTGACGGTGCTGGCGGCTGTTGCTGCTCCAAGCGTCCTGTCGCCCCCACCGGGGTAAAATCGGCCATGTTTGCGGGAAAGGGCTGCGCTGCGCTTGAGCGGCCAATGGGACCGGGTTGGTTATAAGCAGCAGAAGACAGTTGCGGAGTCAAGTACGGCGAGACGACGTCGGAAACCCCGGACCCAGTTGGACCGCCGGCTGGAAAATACTGTGGAACAGCAAATTGGTTCGACAGGGCGTCAATGGCTGCAGACTGCCGTGACGGATACTGTGAAACCACCTCGTACGGGCCTTGTGCTGGTCCTTGCTGGTTGAGACTATATACCATCTCCGACTCGTACGGGGCGAATGGCTGCTGCGGTTGCCGTTGCTGTTCGCGCAACGGTTGTTGCGGCCGCGCGAAGTCTGGGGGATATGGTTGCATCTCGTCCCCCTGCAGCGAAGCACCCTGGAAGGGAGTGGTGTCTGTGTATCCATAGTCCATGTAGTTGTGGATTCGGGGCCTCCCTGCTGCTTCTTGCGACAGACCGGTAGAATCACCACCACGTGTCGACTGTTGTAGCCCTGCTCTGGGTGCTCTGGGAGCGCGACTCATGCCCAACCTCGTCGCGAAGCTGGAAAGGTCATGTTGCTTCATGCGCCGGTTGTCGCCATCCATTCCACTCAGCCGGTCCCACGAGGACTCCCGACACTCCGGATCGAAGTCAACGGACCAATTCGCGGGAGGAGAAAGCGGAGGGCTTGCGTAGGATTCCAGCTTGTCGGTTCAGAGGACAGGTTGTCTTTGTGGTCTGAATGGGATATTGATCCGAACCAATCAGTGGCGCACGCTGGTGGATCGAAGATACGAATGACGAAGAGGATACCCTCTGCGCGCAATCTGAATGGTCAGCATTGAAAGACAGGAGAAGGGGAAGATGAATGCGCAGGGGGAAATCCGATGCTTAACAACTGCGAACCTTTTAGGAAATCAGATGCGCCGGGAGAGAGAAAAGATGCAACAACGCCTATTAAAAAGAGGCGAGAAAGGAGATGTAAAAAATAAATTAAAAAAAGAAGCAGTATAAAATAAAAAAAAAAAAAATCTAGAAATTGAGACAAGTAATTTTGGCCTGAATTGCAACCCGACGACTGTTTAAGGAAGATAATCTCACTCGAAGGGGGGCAGACAGTGTGTGTGGGGAAGAGGGGAGGTGGGATAGAAGATAGAGAGAACCAGACAGTTGGGAATGAGGGAATACTTTATATTGAAGAGGAAACAGAATCCGAATGACCCAAAAGGGATGGCAAATATAATAGGTAAATCGAATAATATTTTGGGCAGATCAGATCGAATTTGGTTCGATCATCAGGCCAGGAACAATGGGGAAAGGAGATTGAAGTATCATATTTGCACCCTTTTCGCGTTTACAACCGCAGGGTTGGCGAAAAAGAAAAGAGGGCACGAAAAAAAGAGAATGAAAAAGAAAAGAGAAAAACAATTACAAAGAGGCCAATCAGAAAAAGGAACAAGAAGAAAAAAAAGAAGAGCAGGGGAAAAAAAGCGCATTTGCATTGTGCCCCTCAATTCATCTCATCTTGTGTTGATATTTTGCTTTTTTTGGGACCACACAGCTGGTGCTCACGATGGAGACACCTGAATCAATAAACGAATTGGTGGGGGGGCTAGTGTTATTTTTTTTTTTCCTGCCTGACTGTTTGATACTATCGCGAATGGTGATTTGGAGACAGACAGGCTTTGTTCGGGGATGAGAAGAAGAAGAAGAAGAAGAAGAAGAAGAAGAAGAAGAAGAAGAAGAAGAAGAAGAAGAAGAAGAGAGAGGGAGACTAGGACTGATTGACAGATGGAGATGGAGACATACTATAGAGACTAACAGGAAGCCGGGAACCCGAAGGAGTGGTCTGTGGTGTTCCCGAAAGTTAATGTATAGATTATTAGAATAAGACAGTATATAAGATAGGATATGAAGATAGTATAATAGATAGTAATATAGTAATATAGATATAATATGAAGATAGAAGAAGAAGAAGAGAAGAAAAGAGAAGAGAATAGGAGACTCGGCCGGGAAGAAGCAAACAGAGAAAAAAGAAATATAGAAGAAGTCGATTATCTATCGAATATTATATGGATACATCACTATCAAACATACTGTATATACCTAATAGTAAATAGTACAGTAGTAATAGTATTGTGGTAATATTATAAAACATGAAATATAAAAATCAAATATAAATATTATTTTATAGAAAATAAAACAATACAGATCTTCACGCAATTAAACTACCCACCCTGCTGGACCCGGAAATAATGAGGCTGTCCAACGATTGGAACTCGAATTTTGACGATCTGCATTCTCCATCCTGATGCTAATCCATCATCATCCATTCCCATGGTAAGGCGTGGGATCACCGATGAGGCGGTTTAGGCTGTTGACTATCAGTTAGACTGTTTCTTTAGCATGGGTCCCAGCGTCAGATCGATCGAGTATTTGTAACGATACATACCAGAAGTACCTACATAATAATTCAATAATTACGTACATAATTATAATAATATTATAATAATATGATAATAATAATAATAATAATAATAATAATAATAATAATAATAATAATAATACCACGTTGCCACGATCCTGGAAATGTCGCATGTAGGTTGATCTCGGGATCGTCCGGGTCCCTTCATCTGGCAATATTATCCTCGACTCTCTACCATGTTATATATATCATCACGAGGCAGATGACTATTAGACAGCTGACTATTCCTCCGACGTATACATGGGTCTATTCCAAATCCACCCATGATGACGACCTCTCGGAATCACGTCTCTCTATAACTGAACCTCACTATACAAGACATGGCGGAATCCTATCTATCTGGTTTGTCATGCCCCCAATACAAATACACACTTAGCTATATATGCACGAAATCCTGGTCGATCAGTCGGATGACATTCATTTTCCCACTCAGCTTTCCTGAGCTTTGTGTAACCGTCAGCAAACCTCATCCAATAGTCCCCTCTGTTTTGTCAAATCCGAAGAGGGGTTCCCGATTTGTGTTATTACATCAGGTGGCTGTTCAATTATATTTTAGGTATTTATCGATGGATGGTAGGCTATCCGTACAATATATTGAGATCGCTAATACACGGTTCAACACGTGATGACTTGTGGAATACAGGATATACTTCGTCGAAAATCGCAATGACAGGTGGAATAATACAAGTGGGAAATAAACAATACCATACTCCCAATCCTCTTTATCGCTTGACCCAGGTGGGCATCTTGCGCGCCTTGATGTGTCCTGGCTTCTTTCTCTCCACCCGACGGGCATCCACCGTAATGACACCGGCTGTAGAATAATTAGCTTCCGTATAGCTTCATCATCGCCTTTCAACTTACCTTGACGCAGAATTGGCTTCAGTGCCGGCTCATGCACCAGCAATGCGCGGGCCATGGCCAATGTCGTAGCTTCCGCCTGGCCTGTCACTCCTCCGCCCTGGACACTCACCCAGGCATTATACTTGTCCAACCGCGATGTACACCGCAATGCCCATGTTGCACTCTCCCGGTCATGCAGACGCGGGAAAAACTCCGACAGTGTCTTTCCATTCACCATCACCTCGCCCTCTCCTTCAACCAGGTGGACCACCGACGAAGATGTCTTTCGCTTTCCTCGTCCCCGGGCCCGACCCTGTTCATCCACCGTCGGGGGTTCTGGCTGATTTCCATACGGGTTACCGGGACGAAGGAAACTGCCCAGCGTTTTACGCACTTCCCCGGGGAGAAGTGCCGGTTCGATTCGGTTGAGTCGCTGCAGGAGCTTCACAAGGTTTCTGTATTTCTTGGTCGGGACCGGCTCGCCAACAAAGTCACGGAACTGGGTGAGCTTGAACCACGCCATTCGGGGTGCATCGGCCGGGGCCACTATCGGTAGAGAGGCATATTTGGCCAGAATTCTCTCCAGGTTCAGCAAGTGATCAATGAATTTGGGGCTGCCAGAGAAGTAGGATGGTGATGCGGGGATAACTCGGGCAGGGTTGGTTTGGAAGTTGTCAAAGTCAATCTCGGGGGCTGCCCGAGCCGGAGTAGCAGCAGCAGCAGCTTCCACCGCAGCGGTCACTTCGGCATTCTCATTGCCTTCCACCTTCCCTTCTATCTCAGTTGCATAGCCTCGAGTCTGTATCCGTTGTCGTGGAAGAAAGTGTGTAGGAATCGAAGAAAGAGGAGCTGCGGAGGACTGGAGAAAAGGCCGCACGGGAGTCGCCTGACGGACAGACTGCTGCACCGCACGAACAATGCAATTAGGCCTCTGCCAGGCCATAGCGGAATCAATTGACTGACAGGAACCTGACGGGGTGATTGAGATAAAAAAGGACGCAGATGATACGGAAGGGGGAGCACCACACCGTAGGTCTGTGGAACCGCTGCGGTGCGCTGAGATCCTGAGGTTTTTCGAGCCTCCAGGTCACGTGCGCGGCAAAGCGTTCCTCCGACGCCGGCGCCGTCTGATTGCACGAAATTTCTCTTTTAACCCCTCGATGGCCTCTCCTTTTTTTCTTTTCTCCCCTCCATCCCACTCCTCACATATCCTCAAAAATGTCGTTCGGAAAGCTCTACGGTCTTCCTGTATGTTTATCCCCAGTCTCATCCATCTCTAATGCACTGGATATCTTTCTTTTGAAAGACTATTTATTTGCTATCCTCAAAAACACATACTAATCAGCTTGTTCTATAGGAAAACGGTCGCACCATCTCTGCCCTCGTCGCTGCTAAGAGCAACGACTTGGAGTTGGAGCTGGTCAACACCGAGGCCAACTCGGCTGCTGCTTTCAACCAGTCTGCTGAGTACACCAAGCTCAGCCCCCTCGGCAAGGTTCCCGCCTTCGAGGGTGCCAATGGCTTCGCCCTCTCTGAGGCTATCGCCATTGCCGTCTACGGTACGTTCGATTTTGTTAAATGAATACGCCCCTGATTTCCTTGCCATGCCATTTTGATATGATGAGCAATTTTTATTACTAGTTATCCCTGGCAGAACTACACTGTTGATAACACAACTCTGAAACTTTTTGGCTACCCCGCTTTTGAGCAAAAAATTTTTTTTATTTTTCTCTGGGAACACCTTGCTTTTTCATGCCTACACATGTTTGATTTTGGACGTCTTCATACTGACTGATCCAAAGTGACCTCCCAGAACGAGAAGACCACCCTCTTGGGTAAGACCAAGCAGGACTATGCTTCCATCCTCCGCTGGTTGTCTTTCGCCAACTCGGAGCTCCTCCCCCGCTTCGGTGCTTGGTACCGCCCTCTGATGGGTCTCGACGGCTACAACAAGAAGAACGTCGACGAGGCCTCCAAGGCCGCCCTCAAGAACACCGCTGTTCTTGAGTCCCACCTCACTGCCAACACCTACCTGGTTGGTGAGCGTATCACCCTGGCTGATTTCTTCACTGCCTCTCTCCTCACCCGTGCCTTCGCCACCGTCTTGGACAAGACCTTCCGCTCCGAGAACCCCTCTGTCACCAGATGGTACAACACCATCGTCAACCAGCCCGCCTTCAAGGCTGTTGTCCCCAACCCTGTCTTCGCTGAGGAGTGCATCAAGTACACCCCCCCCAAGAAGGAGGAGAAGCCCAAGAAGGAGGCTGCTGCTGCCCCTGCCCCTGCCGCTGAGCCCGAGAAGCCCAAGCCCAAGCACCCTCTTGAGGCCCTTGGCAAGTCCAACTTCAACCTCGAGGAGTGGAAGCGTTTCTACTCTAACGAGAAGACTCGTGAAGTTTCTATGCCCTGGTTCTGGCAGAACTTCCCCGCCGACGAGTACACCTTGTGGCGTGTTACCTTCAAGTACAACGATGAGCTCACCCTCACTTTCATGGCCAACAACCTGATCGGTATGTGAAACCCTTGGCTCTACTAGTCATACCTTCTGAATCTTTACTGATGATTTTCCACAGGTGGTCTCCACGCTCGTCTTGAGGGTTCCCGCAAGTACCTCTTCGGTGCTCAGTCCGTCTTCGGTGCTAACAACGCCTGCTTCGTTGACGGTGCCTTCCTTGCCCGTGGCACTGAGGCTGCCCCCGCCTTCAGCGTCGCCCCCGACTGGGAGAGCTACGAGTTCACCAAGCTCGACCCCTCCAACGAGGCTGACCGCAAGTTCGTTGAGGACGTCTGGGCCTTCGACTCTGGTCTCACCCTCAAGGGCGAGAACCGCCCCTGGGTTGACGGCCACGAGTTCAAATAAGCAGGTGCATTAGATGCTAAAAAAATCACCTGTCTTCTCGTCTGGTCTTAGTCTCTAGATGAACAACTCCATTATACCCACCTGAGGACGTTGTCGGACAGCCTTGCCATGCCGGGACATGTAGTCTAGGAACCTTGCTACATACCCCCGCCTGTTATCTGCACAGTCCTCCTGTTTAATGTCCACGCTGCCCATGACGGAACGTTTTTCATTGTGTTATCGTTTGACAGCACACAAAAATTCTTACGCGTTGATGTCCAGTCATGTCACGCTTACGATATTGAGATGTTGAATGAATACTCCAGCTCGCTTTTCAAAAGCACGGCTAAACCTTGTTATGTCATTTTGCTATATTGTAAACCAGTAGTTTATTCCCTAGACTTTAGTGGCATCTTAGAAGACAACAGTTCGTCGTTGCCTTGGGCATTGCAATGTCTAATGGTCTCGAGTCCGAAGTTTATCCTATCGTATACAGCCCATTCTACGCAGCAAATTGGTGGCATTCGTCCGGTAGACATTCACACCAACCCACAAAATTCAAGATACAAATGATGTCTAGTATACAAACATGTCGGGCCTTATATCAAAACCCATTCACAGTATTCCCAAAACCTTATCAATCATCAATCATCAACCATTCCATTGATATTTTTTATGTCCGAGTCACAATCAAAACCAAGACAGAAAATGGCATCCATGAAAAATAAAGGTATCTAAAACAACGGCCTCGGAGTCTCAGACTCGTGAGTCCTTTATGCGAAACAAATGTTGTAATTATGGACATAGAAAGAAAAAAAAATGCCAAAGAAAATCAAAGCTAGTATAATGAAGATAAATCAACGCTTTTGAGCATCCAATGACTCCTCTAATCGGTCCAAAAGGAAATTCTCGGATTGCGTGTCCGAGACGGGGGATGGAGATCTGGCGGTGGTGGTGATGGTTTGTTCCTGTTCCTGTAGGACACCCACAGGTGGTTGATCGGACTCAGTGGTATTTGTTTGAGTCTCTGTATTGACAGCAGCGCTGGCTTTTCGGGCAACTTTCTTCTCCTGCTTGCGGAGTTTTCGTCGCTGGGTGCGAGCTTGGGCTACTGTGAGAGTAGTTGGGGTATCGCCTGATGGAAAGTCTCCCAGATCGAGAATACTGTTGTTTCCCTGAATTCCGTTCCAGACTCTGAGAATCTTACTGACATCATCGTGGTTGGATAATGCTTCGAGGCGTTGGAGTACTTTAGGGAAAATCATGGACTCGTCGATGCCAGGGGCGTTGGTGAATTCCGGGATCTCAAGGATGTTGTATGGTTCGCTGAGGGCCTTGAGTTTGCTGTCGTCTATCAGGATCGTGTTGGTCTGATCCCATCTTCGCTGCGCTTTACGCTTTTTGCCATTCTGGGTTGTTGGTGGGTTGGGTTCCTGTGCAAGCGGATGGCTCGCTTGAACATCCTTATCGGCCCAGACAATCTCCAGCTTCTTATAGACCTGAACTTTAGACCGATACTGGGACATGTTGAGACCAAATTTATCACGGCCCCATTCCGCAACCAACTGAGACCTTTGCTCGGCTGGGAAGACTTTTTCACAAACTCCTCGGACGGTTTCGGGCTTGGAGCTGGACCAAATCATGACCTTGTATTTATTTATCAATGTCTCTATGAATTCGTCGAGTCCTGCTCGTCTGGCAAACACCGGAGGAAACCGGCGGTGCTTTCGATATATAAGCGTGCCGTTCAAGTCTAGGATGACTAGTAGAGGTTGAGGAGAAGACAATTTTGTCGGTTCCAAAGACGCCTGCGTCATGTAATCCTGTGAAACTTGTGGTGGATCAGGTGATTTAGACTCTCTGCCATACTGCCTCTTGGAAGAGTCGAATCTTTTCCGTGTTTTGTCCTGTGCATTCCCAGCCGCTGGATCGGCCGCGCCAGCCATTGTTGGATCAAAAGGAAAGAAAGGGAACCCATTCGGCATAGGCCCCGACATTGCTGGACTCGGAAAGAAGTTCATCATGGGAGGAATAAACGGCATAAGCCCGGCAGGATTGTTCACACCATTCCACGGGGGGACATTGAATGCGCCAAACGAGTGTTGACCGGAACCCGGGTTTTGAGGCGGGAATGGTAACTGTGAAAATGGCTGTTGTAAAACACCACTGAAGTCTGGGAGCCCTGGAAGGACATTCATTGCATTATACTGATTCATACCACCCATATCATTCTGTACAGGAAACGACTGCTGCGATGACCCAGGCGCAGGGCGCAGGGGATATGAACCCGAATACGACCCATGATTCGGGGCATTTCGATGATTCTCCAATTTTTTCGAGTTCTGTTTTGCATGATTCTTCCGTTTATTCTTTGCATTTTTCTTCGGCGCTGTTGGTATCTTGGCAATGGTTGCCTCGCGATCTGGATGAACAGCCTGCGTTGGATTCGAACCAACGTATCGCCCAGGAGGATTGGAGGCTAAATTGCCGCCCTGAGGATTTCTGGCTTGGTCATCGGAATTGCAAACCGTGTTCTTCCCGGGATTCTTAGGCTTCATCGTCGAATCGCTGAAAGGTGCGTTGGCACCGGTGGGGGCGTGTTTGCGCCGTTTCTTCGGGGGAAGCGAATGCGGGGGTACGGATGAGGTAAATTGAGACGCCACGGTGGATGTTGAGAGAAGCTGAATAATTGAGTCGGTTATAAATGTGCTCATTCACTCAGAAAAGCGTAAGTTTTGGATCTACCTTGTAGGACGCCCCGCCCTGAAACATGCGACCATAGGAAATGTTCCGACGGAGGGACAAATTGGGAGATGAAGAAAAGAAAGAAAAAAGCGAATGATAGCGGCGTCCCGCGGACATAAAGTGTAGATGGGTGAGAGGGAGAAGGGGAAGGAGTGTTCGAATTATGGATAGGAAGGGAGAGGGACGTTGAAGACGAGAGAAAAGACAAGACGGATTGAAGGCGAATCTCGAATTGCGACGATCAGCAATTGAAGAAAACAGATCTCAGCCAGTAAGCGATGGGAATGTGGATTCACCGCTTTTGATTGCGGCAGTATTTCTCGCTTTTTTCAACTTTCAACTTCACCGCCGCAAAGACAAAAATGAGCTTCACATATTCATCTTTTCATTCTCTTTCTTAATATCGAGAATGGCGATTTCAGATCTGCTCAATCGCCGTGTGCGAGCGCGCCCTGAAGAGGATGAGGACGCCTACTCGGAGGCTTCAGACTCCGTTGAAGAACGCAACGATGAAATTTCAGATGATTCCGAGGACGAACAAGACAAGGACGATGCCAGTGATGGCTCTTTGGAAGAGACCGACGATGAGGTATGGCTTTCAACATCCATGGAAATATGAGTTCCAATTCTAACATACCAAAGTCAAATGACGACCCCGAAGGCTCAGAGGAAGAAGACGAAGAAGACCAAAGCGAAGACGACGAAGATGAAGAGGAGGGAGAAGAGGACAACGGAAAAGAAGACCTCCAAGCCTCCCTAAACAACATCTCCTTCGGAGCTCTCGCCAAAGCCCAAGCTTCCATGGGACCAAAGGGCAAGAAGAACCGCACGAGCACCAAATCCACCGACCCCTCAACAACAGCCTCCCCACTAGATGACATCCGCGCCCGAATCCGCGAAGCCCGCGAACAAAAACGCCAAATTAATCCCCAATCCAAAGACGGGGAAAAGAAACTATCCCGCTCCTCAAAACATGCGCCTACGGTGCAATCCTCTAAACATGCCGTCAGTCGCAAGCGCACCGTTATCGAACCCCCCGCCGTGCCTAAATCGCGGGATCCACGTTTCGACCCCACCATCCGTGACAGTAACAGGGGGCAAAATCCCGCTGCGGCGAGCAAGGCTTATGCTTTCCTGGACGAGTACCGCGCTTCGGAACTGAAGGACTTGAAGGAGCAGATGGCCAAGACTAAGGACCCGGCAAAGAAAGAGGAATTGAAGCGTGCTATCCGATCAAGCTCGGACCGAATGCGGACGAGTGCAAATCGAAAGCGAGAGCAAGAGATCATGGCGGAGCATAAGAAGAATGAGAAGAAGCTGCTGCGTGAGGGCAAGAAGAGCAACCCGTACTTCCTGAAGAAGTCAGACCTCAAGAAACAGGTGATGGTGAAGAAATATGAGCAGATGGGATCCCGGGACAGGACCAAGGCTCTGGAGAGGAGACGCAAGAAGGTTGCTTCCAAGGAAAGAAAGGAAATGCCTTGGGAACGGAGAGGAATGGAAGGAGATGGTGAAGGCAGGAAACGGAGAAGACTGGAATAGAGGTGATGATATCCAAAAAATGGGGTTTCTGTTTTTGTATATAGTGATGCGAAGCTTTTATCCAATTTTCTATGAATCTGGGCCAAGTGAATTCTGTCAGATATTACTTCAATTAATAGCCCAACGTGGGACCAGCGTATTATCGCATGCGACTAAAGCATGGTGATTAACCAAATATCCCTGAACCATTTACCACCAACTAATCAAACTCTTTACTAACCCGAATAAGGGCGCTTGGTGTGCATCAGGTTCGAAGATCAAAAATTGAAAGAAAAAGAGATAATTCGACCGCGAGTCATCCAATGGTACTATACCAAAATAGAAAGAAAAAAAGAGAAAACAATAGATCAATGGTATATCGCAAGACATCAAATCAATCAATCAACAAGAACGCCCAAAATCAACTGGATATGAATATGAAAAGATGAACATGGTTATGAAAGAGGGGGGGATGTAAGATAGAAGAGAAAGCTCAATCTTGAAAGGGTTGAGAAACCCAGACATGAGACCAAATGCCTTGAAGTCCCATAGAACAAAAGACTCAAGCAACAATTAGCCTCGGTCTTGTGTGGTATAAAAATGTAGCAATGAAGTGGATCAGGTATAAAAATAAAAAATAATGAAAGAAACAAAATGAAAGAATGAAAGAATGAAAATGAAATGAAGGGGAAAAACATCAGGAACGAATTCAACCCTCCTTCTGTTCAGGTATTCGTGCTGTTCATGTAAATGGTCGTAGTTTTGCCATGTTCATCATATGATCAAACCAAAATGTGCTCTCCATATAGATAACAAAAATCATACCCCCCTGTTATTTTTCCAACCAAACCGTAGTTTTCAATAAATGCAAATAACCCGGCCAATTTGCTGCTTCTATGCTTAGAGCGAGGCTCGGGCTGTCTGGCTCATCCCTGAAAACCGCAAGATGAAGCCAATTTCTAGAATGTGAAAAGAGAGAAAGAAAAAGGCAAGAGATTGGTTATGGCCATATTAAGAGTGGAACAAATCCCATGCTCTTGCGCAAAGACCTAAAAACTCCTCCTTCTTTCTCCTCTGGGTCTCCGGGGAATCCCTTCCAGCCCCGAAGGGACCATACGTAGCGTGAGGACCGGACCCTAGGGCTGGATTTTGCCGATATTGAGGTTCTGGGCCATGGCCCAATGGGGGGGTCCCATTGTCTTTTTCATACTCGTTTCGAGAGCGGCGACGAGCAGTACCCTCGGTGTGGTGTGACAGCTGAGGCGGAGGGATATATGCGCTTGCCGGGGCTGCCCCTTCAGGGCGAAGAGTGGCCGACTTGGGCGGGCCATTAGCCAAGCGCGGAGAGGGTGGAGTTGGTGGTTGGTGACCACCATAATGAACGATGCGGGGCAAAAGCTCTTCTCGCCCGCCGGATAGCTCATGAACGGCTTCTTCTGCCGAACGGTACTCACGAGGCCGAGTTGGAGCCTGGGTGGTAGAACCAGGCATACCGGGAGACGGCAAAGGGGGCAAATTGTTGGATTGCGATGAATTCGAACCAGAACCACCTTGGTAATAGGGGGCGCGGTTAACGTCCCGGTCACGAGATCCCAATGTATCCGATCCAAAGACATCAGAAAGCGGTGGAAGTCGGTTGTTGGTTTGGGTGGCAGGGGCAGGATGAAGGTGAGAAGACGAGCCTAGGGTGGGACTCTGGTTTGCGACATGGCGCGTCAAAGGCTGTGGTTGGAATCGGCCGCCTGTGAAGGTTTGGTGCAGTGGCGCGGATTGGACCACACGTTCGTTAGAAAAGTGAGATGCGGACGGGGGAACGATGGACAAGCCCGGCGGAGGCCTCCTCTTCGAAGAGCCAGACTTGGGGAGACCGAATGGGCTCGACTCTGACATCTTCACCCCATCTGGGCCCTGGTCCTTGGCGGATGTTTGTAGTCTGGATTCAATGATAGATCTTTGCTGGTCACGCACCGAGAGGCTGCGCTGAAGCTGCTCTCTCATGATTGGGTCATGGGTTTGGAAGCCGGGAGACAAGCAGGCGATGCCGACTGATTGCATGGTTACTCCCTCTCTGGCTGTCATAGGTCCACCGGGGGGTCGAGCCGAGAGGCCAGAGGAGTTTGGGAGGCTGGTGGAGAGGTCTAGTTTACGAGGACGAGGGCGGGTGTGAGACTGTGTTTGGACACCGGGCGATGATGGCGGTTCTTTCTTGACGATGACCTTTGGAGCATGGCTTCCATTCTGCGATCTGGTAGGTATTAGTATATCAATTGAGACGAATTCCCACGGTGCGGTACTCACGACGGCGATGCGTTCTTTCTCTCTGAAGGCGAACCTTTTGATGCGGAGCCATGTTGGGAGGTAACAGACACCCGGGGCGGGGTGGTGGAGGAGATGGTGGATGAGGCCGACGGAGCCATTGTCGGACAGTTCTTAGGACTTAGGTCACGATTTCTATGGGGAGAAGCTATCGGAGCCGCACTGGCAGATGCAACCGCGGTGGACATGATTCTCAAGGAAAGAAAAATGCCAAAAAGATCGAAGGAAACGTTTTGAAAGTCTAAAGGTAGACAAAATTCAAAACGAGGCAGTGCGAGCTAGAGTGTACTGCCCGGGAGGCTGAGTGATGATTATAGAAAGTTGTGTTTCGAAACCACGTCCCCTCAGACAACAACCGTTCTTTGTTCTCGCAAAATTGGTATACAGCGACCTATCGTTGGGTTGGATTGGGCTGGACTGTTGGGGGGATGTCTCGGGAGATTTCCCGGACGCCAGATCGTCAGACGGTCTGGAACGAGCTGCGGAGGAAGAATGGTTCTTTCTGAATCTTCTGCTTTTTTTGACGATCGAATTTCCGTTGTGAGAACGTCCTCCTATCGTATGGTTCAAGGCGAAATCGACTCGAAGCGCGCGCGGTTCATCAATAGGTTCGGAGAGGGAGTGGTGTGGGCGGCGGCGGCTATGTCAGAGGATGCGAGAGAGCTATACGGTGGAGAGCTGGGAACCAACGCAGCGCACTAGGAAGAGGATGAAAGAAAGGCCGTTAGGAGGGAGGATCACCAAGGATCCAAGGATGATGGGATCGAGAGGAGTGGACAGAAGGAAGGATATTCGTGGTGTCTGGGGCCGGGCGGTTAAAGTAGTTAAGGCTGGCGGCAATGTGACAGCGTCGAGAGGCTCGGTCAGACCCGAAAGGAAAAAGACGTAAGCGAGTGTGATGAAATAATATAGTGATAATATAAGATAATGATAATGGTGATGATGATAATAATAATAATAATAATCACAATAGTGATAATAGAAGAAAGGAAGGACAGATGGGAGGAAGATGGGATAGTTGAATGGCAACAGGAGGAGAGATGGGATTGGGGTTTTGGGGCCGGATGTAAGAAGAATTAATTAGTCACGATAGTGGAATTTACAAAAGAGAAGAAAAAAAAAAAAAAAAAGTAAGCAAAGGCAAAAAAGAGGGGAAAAAGGTGGACACTGCAAATAAGAAACGAGGTGGGAAAGACACGAGGAAAGGAAAAGCAGAGGCGACGAGAAGCAGAAACGAGGACTTTGGATGCGTCTCAGGGAGGAGAAGGCGAGAACTAGTGCTGGCTAGCAGTTCCACGATGCGCAGCAGAAGGTGGGGAGGAAACAGACAGTCGGAGATGAGGGTTTGGAATCTGAGACACTTTTTTTTTTTTTACATTATTATTTACCTTTATATATTTATATCTATTTTATTATTATTTATTATCATTATTATACTCTATATTATTATATCTCTATTTATTATATTCTCATGTTTATTCTATTCTCTCTTTATCTAGAGTAGTTATTTATGTTGATGTTGATTGTTGAGTCTGATGAGTTCCCCTGTGGCGACATCTGTGACACCCGCGTCCCTCACCATCCAGATGGAACATCTCTCGATCCCTTGGATCAGCACGCGGGATCGTCTCAGTCACATTGTCACATATTCTCTGTTACAGAACAGATTAAATTAAATATTCATCTCTGAATATTTATTCAAGAAGAATTGAGACTCACCTCTTCACGACTAAATACTCACTCTATCAGTCTATCTACTGAAAGTCAATGCACCCAGGTTAAGATATGATGATCATCCAAAACATCCGTGAGACGAGGTCTGAGCATTTGAATAAGAATTTTCTTCGCCAATGCTGATGATCTGACTCCAGCCTCATCCAGGGATATCTTCTCACCTCCCTTGATTCGTGTTGAGTGTTGTGTTGGGTTGATCTGGTTTACTTAAACATCGCCTCTCTGCCCCCCCTCTATCACCCCCTCCATCCGTACAACAGAATCCTCTACAGAATTCTACAGAACATAATGAACAACTATCCCTGCTCCAGCTGCAGCAATCCAGGCCGAGTTTGCCGGTTCAGTCGACTGGTTCTTGAACCCTCCAGCACTGACTCGATGACAGTTGACAGGTCACAAGCCGCATCACGGGGCGTGTGCCTGTTGATGGATAATTCTTACGGGCCCACGTGTGTTGCGAATGGGAACGATAAGATGTTGTCATTGTCAAACCAAGGAGGATCGCTAGTTTCTGGGTCGCTCTTTCGCGTGTCAGTGCTGAGTTGACGAATTTCTTCATATGAAATTCATGCTAATAATATCTGCTATCCGTTGCATGGGAATTCAATATTCTGGTCGATCGCAATGTCCACCTATGCAGGTGTATGGTTCTATTGATCTCCGGTAGTCATTTCCGCGTGGCATCAATTATTTATTTATTTGATTTATTAATATCTGGAGAGTATCAGTGTTATTATTTCTGGAGGATAATATGGACGATATCAAACAAGCCCATTCTTCAGCTGTTTCGTACTTTGTGCCAACCACCAATAATCATCCTAACCTCTAATGCATCGTCGCACAACTCACAAATACCCAAATAGTCAAGGCAACTATCTGCCTTGACTGCCTTATGTTTCATCGTCATTCTAGAGTCTAGACCAGATGGAAAGTCGCATGTTGTACAGCCTGTACTCTGAATAATCACCTTCAAACTAACCAGGGTCTCATCGTGACAGCCTGTAAGGGGGGCTAAGGCACGGAGTACTGCTGCAAGGACACACCCTTAACTGTTGTAGATTAGGTATTTCCCGACGTTGGATCGTATAACAACCTAATTAGCAGGAAAATGATATCAAGTGCACTAGATGAATCGTATTGCAAAGTAGAAACTAGACAATAGATGGTGTCTCGTGGTGTATCTCCGTCTCCCATTGTATAACGCCAAGACCCCAAGGCGGTCTGCGCCAGCTCTATCGATAACCGTTTTTTCCACGCCTCGAAGCAAAATTTACCGCGCCATTCAATCACCGCAACAGATTGACTATCAAGTCAAGAAACAGTATACGAATATCACCTACGTCTATCCTACACAATTGGTTGATTTCGAAAGGAAACACCCCATATACCACCGACTACCCCGCCGCAAGTCAATCGCAACACGTACAGCCCACTTCGCAGTATCCATCGCAATGCCTTCCTCCGTCCACGAAGATCAGGACCAGTCCATGATGGACGTTGCGCCCCAAGAACAAGAGCAGCAGGAGGTCCAAGAAGATGAGGTCGAGTTGGAGGCGAAGCGTATCGTTGTGGTTAGTTACTTCTACTACTAAGCTATTTCTTTTTTTTTCACCCGCATGCATGCTGATGACTGGTCTTAGTTACCCGGTGCCACCGAGACAGCTGCTTCGTTCCAGTTCGAGGGAGAGGGCCATACATTGGGTAATTCGTTGCGGTATTCGATTATGAAGAAGTGAGTGAGCCTTACATACATGACATACTGTTGTGATTCTTGTCGGTATTACTGTGCAGCCAGTGCCTTTGCTAATGTCTACTAGCCCCCAAGTGGAATTCTGCGGATACACAATTCCCCACCCATCAGAGACCAAGATGAACCTGCGTATTCAGACAACTGGTAAGCCGATCCGAATAACATAGTGTGGATATGCATATGCTAACTGCATCCAGACGAAACCACCGCCGTTCAAGCGCTCGAAGAAGGTCTGCAAGCCCTCATGGACCTTTGCGATGTCGTTACGGACAAGTTCACCTCTGCCCGTGACTCTTTCAATGCCGCCGAGGCAGATAAGATGTCTGCATAGGCTGTTTTCTTTCTACTTTCTTTGTCTCTTGTGTCTTTGGCGTTTTGCATGAAAAAGTTTTGAGAGCTTTCTTATATCTATCCGTTTGGGTGGCATGGTTAGGGAGTCGAGCCGTTTTTTTAATGGAGTACATATCCGGACTTCACCTATTCTCGAGGTCGACAAATCATAGATGTCTGTTCAAATATATCAAACATTTACACATTTACCTCGCATCTTGCAGATTTGAAGGAAAAAAAAGCTTGAACTAGTCGGACAATATTTACATAACATTCTCTATTGGTGAAATGTTTCCCCCAATCTCTTATAGAGAGTGCACCAGTGCCATTCCCGCACGGAAACAAAGAATAAGAATCCCCATGAACAAAAACAACTCAATTGCGGCCCTCCAAGAAGCCGGACATGAAGTTGGGGGGTAACCGGGCACCTGGCTCTTCTTCGGGGCGGAAGTACTTCATCACATGCGAAAGCTGCTTCCAGTAGTTGAGGGTTTCCTAGACGTAGTTAGTATGGTTAAACTGATATCGATAAATGATGCAAGGAAAGCATATCTCATGCCCTTGACCTGCAGATGTCGACTAACCTGGAACTCGGCGTGGCTCTGGAACAAAAGCATGTCAACAGCATTGAGCTGCTTCACGTAGCGGTGCTTCTCAAACTCCTGGCGAACCTTTGTCCGGATGGCAGAAACGGGAATGTTCAGAGAGTACATGGTTTGGATCTCGGGAGACTGTACAGCAATTCCATCAACGTTAGTCCGTCTGGCATCGAAATCGAATAGTGCATGTTCCCAGATGATATCGCTCCATATAGTCACTCAATGGCAGGATCCGATCGAGCAAGGGCACGGCCGAGTAAAGAGCGATATAGAACCACGATAAACCTCAATGGAAAGAGAAAATTAAACTGACCGCTCTAAGCCATTCTCTGTACGACTTGAGGACGCGGAACTTGGCCACGTTCCAGTTGCCGGCTGTGTCGAGGTGAATTAACATGTTAGCTCGTGATCTCGTCCACTGACGTTGAGGCAATTTCTAAGGTGACCACTTCCGAGCACACCCTTTCGCCCTGGGGGAATCCGACTGAACGTACAGGAGCGCGTGCGCTGCGCGAGGTAGGTAGGGTTGATGGTCATCGTGAATGATCGGCGGAGAGTTCGAGTCTCGACGTTGACGCTCGGGGAGAAGAAAGGTGGGATAGGGCGACTGCTGGGGGATGAGACGTGATGCTGGGAATGGGTGGTGGAGGTCTTTCGTTCGTCGGCCGGCGGGCAGCGCTCGTTGCTATTCTCACCGCCTACCGGATTTAAAAAAATTTCTTTTTTGCTGCTTGGAGCGCATCGAGATGCGGGATTTTGGAGAAGAAGACCATCTTTGTTCGTTTTGATACTTTTCTTTTCTGATTGCTTTACATCCGTTTTGTGGAGGGTAAAGCCAAGTGTCTGGCTAATTCTTTTTTACGCCCCCCTCAACCCCTATACACGGCATTACACCTCAGAGATTTCGCTACGATTGTTTTCGAGTCGAGAAGCAACTCCAAATAAACCATGGCACCAACAAAAGGCTCAACAAAGGGAAAACCCTCAGGAGGCGACTCGAAGAGCAAACCCCTCTCCTCCGCATCCCGCGTGAGCAAGAAGAACGCTCCCAAGCGTCCACCCCCGCAGGAGGTCAAGGCCAAGGCCCGTACTGAGAAGTCACTATTGAAGAAGAACAAGAAGAGACAATATACCGAGGAGGAATTGGATTTGCCCAAGTTGAATGCGATCACCCCGGTCGGGGTGGTGAAGCCCAAGGGAAAGAAGAAGGGAAAGACTTTTGTTGATGATCAGGTATTTTTTTTTTCTTCATTCGTATCAATGGCATTGTTGCTGATGTCTATATAGGAGGGAATGATGACCATTATGGCCATGGTGAATGCGGACCAAGAGGGTCAGATTGAATCCAAGATGATGAAGGCCCGTCAATTGGAGGAGATCCGAGAAGCCAGGAAAAAGGAAGCCGAGGCCAGGCAGGCAGAGAAGAAGTCCAAATTGGTACGTTTTGAGAGCAGATTGTCATGCTGAATAGTTTGCTAATAATGATGCTATCAACAGGACAAGGTTAAAGACTCGCTCCGTAACAAGAAGCGCAAGACCGATAGCAAAGAAAAAGATACCAAGGTCGACTCCGCGACTGATAAACCTAAAGATTCGAAGTCCAAGGGAAAGAGGAAAAGCGTTTCGTTTGCTTAAAGGATTATGTATAAAAGTGTTTATTTCTGTCTATACCAAGTCTATGTATTTAGATGGGGTTTCTGGCGTTTCTACCGGTCTATATCTTTATCCCGAACAGTGCTATTGAATGACACTCACGACGAGGACTCTTTCCATCAAAACACAAGCCAACCAAAAAAAAAGAAATATGATCACCGAAAGAAAAAATATAACCGAATAATAATGTAACCGAGACATAATTCCTCCATACCGTTTAAAGTAGTTGGCCCTAATCATGGCATGGCCAGCCTGCGTCGCACAGGGTTGAACTCGGGTTTGGGCGCTGTATCGAAATCTTTTCCGGGCCCAAAGTGGTTGGCAATGTTACCGGGGAGCTTCTCCGGGTGATCAACAATGACAGGCGCATTGATATCGACTTCCTTGGCCATCTTATTCAAAAAGTTGAGAACCTAATTGGGTTAGTGAATGTCCAATTGCCACATGAATCATCTCACATACCGGCTTTACAAACCATCTTCCTCCTCCATATTCAAACCAGCCAAGGTGACCACCCCACGATGTGGTCATCATCACTCCGTAAGGATTCTGAGTAATTTCTTGGAAAGGAACAGCCTTGGGCGAAACAATCTACTACGTATTAGTATGCGAACAACGCAGTAAATGATTTAGACTAACAGGGTCATCTTCGGATTGCACGACGAAGAAAGGAATCCTAATGCCCAGCATAGGATCGGTCGAAGATGCATCGCGATAGTAGGCGCCTTCTGTCGGGTATCCCCAGCATGCACACTGCAAAGCTCTATTGTGGCAGAGTTAGTGATGTTTTACAGATTACCTAAAGGCAATAACTTACCGGTCAAACTCATGCAAGTATGTAATACTCCTCACGGTCTTAACATCTACCCGTGGGTTCTTTGAAACTTCGTCGACGTGACTAATGCAAAATGTTAGCAAATATACAAGAACATATGAGAAGAAACTTACTTTTCAAAAAGCCTCTTCATGCTCCTTCCCATTGTCTTGCTATATACTTCTCGGCCCATCCAAGTCCGTAGCATTTCGACAGAGCTGATCTCCAGGTTCCAAGGACTTCCAACGAGGACTGCGGCTTTCAATTGGCATGCTTCACCTTCTTCACCCAGGTACTGCACGTAAAAGTTAACCGAATGATTCGCCAATCTGGCACAATGATCGAGAGCACTTACATTGGTTAGGATATTTGCTCCAAGGGAGAATCCGATTCCAAAGAGAGGTCGATTTGGGAAATTCTTCCGCAACCACTTCACTGTCTGACGCGTATCCCACGTGGCACGAGCATTATAGAGCACACCGGTACTGATCTTAGTCTGGGCACAACCTCTGGAGTTCACAACGCATGCTTCCCAGGTTCCGTCTGCCACGAGGGGCGCAACTACATGTCGCAGGTAAATTTCATGAGAGCCACCGCTCAAGCCGTGCAGGAGCACTAGCATGGGCTTCGTATCGTCCGAGGGTAGAGCAGTGAGTTCATCTTGGGTGAAGAATGATGTTCTTTCTGGGAGCCCTGACGGTTGTGTATGTTTCCTTGCTTTATCGGTCACTTCATCATCATTAGGAGTCTCGTAAGGCGGAACCACGAAATCGAGCGCAAAATGTCCACTGTATGCCGGACTGTCCGCCTCAAACATTTTCCGCTTGTAGTAGACGGGGATATCATAAGATTTCACCGCTGTCCAGGCGGTCTGGAGATGACCATTAAAGAGAAAAGGGTTAAGATTGCATTTTTCTGGTGTTGCAGCACGGCAGATATCCGCCAGCGTAGTCTGTTCCTTGGTATCGGATTTGGATTTCTTTGTCAGAAGAAGTCGATTATCCTTTGCATGAAAGAAGGAAATCCGTCCACTAGGCCGGAGCCATGAAAACATTCCTATTGCGAGCAATCCTGAGAGGAGGATTGATACCGGCAATGGACTTAGAAGGGAAGAAAACTCTGCTGTAGTATTCATGAGATTGGACAGTATGTAGATGCAATGATGCAAAAAAAAAAAAAAGACAGAGAAAGAAGGAAGGGAAAAAAAGAAGAAAAGAAAAGAAAACGTCAACAGAAGAATGCCCTGCAAGATCAATTGATTCTAAGACATTGATCATAAAAAGAGAGGGAAGAGAGGGTAGATATGGGAGAGAATTGAAGCCAGGAAGGGCCTTCGCAAGTTCCACAGCGTAGAATCTGCCTCGGCATGATTGCCAGATGTGGCCATTTGATAGCCTGGACCAAGTAGCACAGTCCAGGCAGCCAGAAGAACCCAAATGGTCGCCATGCTTACTAATCTGACTTATCCAATAGAAGCAGTCAATTAGACTGATTATCGACGATAACTGGCCAGACAATATTTGTCACCAGAAAGTGATTCCATTTTTTACACCTGGCGGTCGTACTGTGTAACTGGTCTTATCGTCTTATCTTATCGCCTCACCAGCCACAGCAGATACTGACTCAGCAGCTTAGCCACAATGGCTACGATCATGTGATAAAAGCACATGCTCCTCCGTCATGGGAACGCTGCAAGACGTCAATCTTGAATCTGAGACTGTCAGTTGACAAATTAATCAGGATAGCTGCATTAGGTCAGAGGTGGATCCTGTCAGGCTGCAAGCACCGCAGAAGGAATCCAGCTGGGAACATCCAATGAGCGCATCATTCATGTTCTGGTGATTGCAACGCTCGATGCGCCCGCTGGATTTCCGCATGCGGCCAGAAGAGGTAGAAACCGGCCATGTCAACATCATTGAAGAAGTCTCGTCTGTTCTAGATCTGGAATCTAGTTTCTAAAAATGTCCCCCTCTGAAGGGATGGAGCTTATTTACTCTTCTTCTCGAATGGCTGGGAAGGAAATCCAATACATTTCAAGGTCAGACAAAGAAACCACGGCTGGAGTGGCCTATGTAATACTGATAGCATTTACTACGCCGTGACCCGGCCGCGTGCTCCGTTTGCGTGCGACTTGATAGTCTCCTGCTTGGTTTACTTCAAGGTCAAAAGGTCCTCCTTCTCGCCCCTCCTTTACGGAGGTCTTTTCGTCACTTGATGGTTTTTGCTTTCCTTTATTACTCTCTGTTCACCATGGAGGCCCCGGGCCAGCGTGCACCCAGCTGGTTCCTCTTCCTTCAATGAACTGTTTCATATTTCTACCAAGTATTCAGCACTTAAAGGCCTCAACAAGCCGGAAACAAAGAACCAACAAGAGACTATAGAGTTGAAAATTCGCCGTTACCCGGTGTGTTTTATTATTATCAACAAGGAAAGTCCCCGAACAACATGATATATAACGTTCGCCGTGCCGGATCAAAGTTGAAGAACATGACGAAAATGAATCGCTGGTTAAAGAGCCAGATTATAGAGAAGCCGGGGAGTGGTGACAGCCGTTGCTACCTCCTCGAGCTGCCAACAGAACTGCTGCTGGAGATCATCTCCCATCTGTCCGTGTTGCCAGAGGCATGTCTGGCGTTGACCTGCAAAAGCCTGTTCGTTATATGTGGGTCGATCCTGGATTCGAAATCACTCCATTTTAGTCGAGACTTCGCACCGCTCTTCCACCACTATCGAAATGGACACAATTTTGTCACCTCTCGCTGGCAGTTCGTCGGCATGCTTGAAGACAGCCGATGGCAAGCGTGCTCGAAATGTCTCAAACTCCACCCACGAAGCGCATTCCCCTCTCGGGAATTGAAACGAGGTTCTGACAGTCGAGCCTGCTCTTTGGGCGAATCTGCAGGCATCGTCGACTTGTGTCCGTGCAAGAAGCTGACCTACCGCGACAAGATGGACCTCGTGGATCTCCTCAAGATTCGCAAGAAGACCATCTCAGCGCTGGCTTCGCAGTTTGGAAGCACTGTGCGGGAGCGCTTCTGCTGGCATTCCTGTTTCGAGAAGTACGGGAATACAGACTTGAAGATCGAGCTTTACCCCGAACTCGATGACGAGGACAAGCTCATCATCCGGACAGAGTATCAACTCACCATCGAAGCAGGCCAGCTGGGGAAAGAAGAACACATGACACCTCGGTTTGGATGCGCACATCGCTCTGTGGATTTGTGGCTCGCCAGCGTCTGTCAAACCACCATCTGCCGACTATACGACAGTTTCTGTCAGTCATGCCAACGAATATCCATCTGCAATACCTGCAATGCAACACTAGTATGCCCGCGAAAACAGCCCAGCCATTCAAAGGACTCGGACCGGGCGACCTACTTCTTCCATACCCTACGAGGTCTGGGTGGCTCATCATCCCACCCGGATTCTGAATGGGCGGCACAGAGGATCCACCCCGCTGAGCCATCAGTGAACGTGGATAACTGCAGTGAGCTATGTCCATGGACGGTCCGCGAGCACCCTCCTCCCACTGGACCACCCACCATTGGCATGGATATCATTAATCCCGGTATGAATGATCAGTCACTGAACCAGTTGTATTCCTCTATCCACATGATCTAATGCTATGAACGTGACGGAGTTTAACAGAATGACGATTGGAGTTTTCTGAAGGCGTCTATTGTTTCGGAACTTGTTTTGGGTGAATATATTTGCCCGCCATGTATATACCCTTGCAGCCAATGTTAGGTATATGAGACCTTGATCTTCCAAGTATTCCAAACTGATTTTTTATAGTGACCGGTTTTAGCCTCGTTTTCCATAATTCTCGACCCAAGCCTTGATAATATCAATACATTCAATAGACACCAAGAGTAATACGTCAAATATATCTACCTGCCTAATATATACCACTGAATCTTACATCGTCCAAATTCACACTAAGCCAAGCAGAAAAAACGAGGATACTATCCAATTGATTTGCTGCTAAACCGAGGAAGGAGAGAAATTCCTCATAGACTATAGAATGATTGGCCCAGATTGGTGGAGAAACACCCGAACCTCTTCACAGCCTCGTTGGGGCCAAATATAGACGAAACTAATCCAGGGCTCGTGTTTTTTTCTTGTCAACAACCAACATCATGGATAGGCTTCCATCCCCAGTCCTGCATTCCATCTGCAGCTATGTGAGTCGTTTATACATCATCAAGACTCATTTGATGATCTGACAATGTCTAGATTTGGGATACTTCACCTCCAAGCTTAAAAGCCCTCTTGCTGGTCAACATCAAGTGTTATCATGCTGCAGCACCATTTTTCCATCGCAAATTGACGCTGCGGATTTCCAGCCGAGAGGATCTAAAGCAGACAGTCACTGAACTGATCGATCATCCTCTTCGACAGCAATATCTTACTTATACACGACAATTAAACATTACAGGAAAACTGTTCCGTCAAGCCATTAGTCCTGAAGATGAACAGCAGATTCGCGAACGCAAAAAGCGCGCGATCCGCGACGCAGAAGACAAACAGAAAAGATACAGCAATATCTGCAGCGCAGCAGAGCTGGAACCCTGTTTTAATTCCACCTTCACCTCCGACCGTCAAGATTTAGAGGACGCAGAGACTGACGAAAAGTCGTCTGCATGGTCACCCCTTGTGTCTCTGATTGAAAAGCTTCAATATCTGGTAGAGTTGAATTATTCCTGTGTCAATCGATTTCCGCCTTGTCTACTCGAAGCACTGCATCAATTTCATCCGTCTTGCAGACTCAACCTGGACCGATTTCGCTTTCTTAGTCTCAATAGTCCAGAAACAGACCCGTACGAACTTGAATTGATCCGTTCGCCTTGTCTACATAGCCTTACAGTTCCACACGTTCGCCGAGATTCTGATTCTATCGAGGATTACAATGAAGAGGCTACATGGGAAACGGCCAAAATCGCGCCAAATCTCAAGCAGATTCGACTGCAGCGGTGTATAGCCAGGACACCTGTTGGTGGGTTTCGTGGCGGTCGATTTGGCATCAAGCCTGCACCATGGAAGGGGTTCATTCCCCCTCCAGCCCCGGAAGAAATTCGCAGAGGAAACCTCACGTGTCTCGCATTATCGTCTCCAATGGCCATGTCAGAGAAACAGCTCAATCAATGGAGTCGTTCAACGGACTTCTCCAAGATCCGGTCCTTATGCATGGGTGCTCCCAGAAAACCAAGTGACTTGATCTTGGCCAGTAACATGGAGTTTCTATCCCTGGAGAAACTAGCCATTGACCTGCAGGTGTCATGCAGGGATGAGAACTACCAGGTTGCAACTAAAATGTTTTTCGACAGCCTTCCACCCCTAAAGACTTTGCGACTCCGCGGTATGATGAATATGACTTTGATACAGCATATCCTAGAAAAACACGGCCCATCTCTACAGGAGCTCTATCTCCACCAGCATTCGGTATTAATGGGAATTGGCGCCGGAGTGCCAATCACCGGTGCAGAAATATCCCACATTGCGAGTTACTGTCCCCGAGTTGAAGAGCTTGATCTATACCTTAAACGGACCAAAAGTGATCGCAATGAAACGGGTTGCTACAGAGCAATAGGCAAATTCCCGTCATTAAGGAAGGTTTCTCTAAAACTTGACTGCTCTATGCCATTTTACAATCTACCCAGGGTAGACGAGATGGATGGGCCGTTGGACGAGTTCGACAAAGAGATAAGCAGCAGAATTAATGGAGTGGATTTATACAATGTCCACATCCGCGACGTATTCATCAACGGCGCAGTGGACGAGAAACTGGCCCGGTCAATATGGAATACCATCACCTCCTGTCAGATACAAAAAGACGGCCTTGTATCACTGAGGATCGACCCATACATGGCCGGTTCTATCGGATCTGTCATTCCATCACGCGACAGATCGCTCCACATGGCACGGCACTATATCGTGACCCGAGGCGAGTGGTATAGCCATGACTATATTGATATTGTCGAAGTCGGCAGACGAAAAAGAGAAGAGCGTGATGAGAAAGAGAGACAGTTTGACGCAAAGATGTTTGAGAAATGGGGTTCTTCCTACGATAGTGTGAATCGGAAAATCATGCAGAGGGCTTGGCCTCTATCTGATAATCTGGATTGGCGACTCGGTTGGAGTAGCTGGCCTTTGGAGTCTTAGATTCAGCCCAGCTTTAATGAACATTGTCTATCTTTAGTTGCATCATCTCGAATATGCGATCTTGTATAAATTTGGCTATCTTACTTTATACACTGTAGTTCTGCGTAATAACCACCTGATAGCCTACTATGTAGGACACTCAACCTTTTTAGGAAAGTTCTACCTGATTCGGACGCAGCAGGTGGCTAAATAAACAACGATTATTGGATGACAGAAGCTAAACTGTTCCTGAAATAGACATGTGTTGATAACGCTAGTCTCTTTAGGTCTATCGAATACCCCGCCAATATAAAGCAATGCAACGTGAAGCCCCAGAAACACCGTGTCATTATTGGGATTCATTCAAGTCAATTGACTGAGTATCTATCGTCTACAACACAATATTGACCATCAACAATGGCATCTCTGTCCCTCCACCTCAAAGGTCTGAAAGACACCGATCCCTGGATCGGGGAGCAAAAGGTCTTTGAGATTCTCAATGAATACCTCCGGCCATCCAGCACCACCACACCAGCCATTGTAGCACAGAGAATCGACCAACTAACTCCCATGAAACGAAACGAGCTGGGCACTCGTAAAGAAATGGAAAGCCCAGAGAGTTTCATGTGGGGGATCTGGAGCTATTTTATTACTCTGGCCAAACAGATTCCGTACGATCATCCGTCGCAGGATCGTTTGGTTGCTGTGGTTTATGCGCTCAGTGAATTGCCTTCGACTACGGTGGATATCTGGGAGGTAGGATCACCATCTGCATGGCTACTTTGTGTGGAGATCATGAAATGCTAACTGTAGCAGAGTGACGTGCGTATCTGGACAGATCTGCCTATTCTAGGACCGTGCATGAGAGAAGCCTGGAATTGTAAGTTTGACCCTATCTAGTAGACTCTTTTCAGACAGCTAATATATCCAAGCACCCACATCCCCAAACCTCAATCCAAGCAAAGAAAAAGCGACTGAATGGATAAATCTCAACTCCTTTGCTGCTCGTCTCCTACGCCATCCCGCAGTGAGCTGGACGATATTTGCTGTCTGGGGACTGTTCCCCGCCCTGGAAATACCCTCAGAAGGCCCCAAGCTTGACTGCGATGTCATCGCGGCCGCTGAATGGATCATCCATAGTGGTGATGTTTTATTGAAACAAATCAACCAAGACAGGGGAGTAAGATCATATTTCGAGAAAGTAGGAGCAGGATCTCTATACCAGAGAGAGGATACGCTTAACACTGGGCGTTGGCAATTCTGGAAACGGCGTTTCGGCGAGATCAAGGAGCAAGTGAGCGAGGATGGAAAGATAGCGGCTCAACGAGCGATAGACAGGATGGAGGAATTGGATACATAGATTTTACTGTTTTTAAAACTTGAATTATATCGATACGAGTAGAGATCGTGGACGGGATGTAGCAATTATGTCCGAAAAGGGAAGGTGGAGAAATATAGATAAGATTAGATCTAAAGTGGATACGTATGATTACAAAGCATTTTCCTGTCGCTTTTATACTTGAGTCTTCAATAAAGGACAAATTAAGACGATAGAAAGTCTAGATTCTCTGATGAGTATAACTGCTTTATTCATACTCTCCAGAATGTATTGTCACGTAATTCAAGCATCTTCCCAAGAGCGAAAGCTGTCGCGACGATCAACCTCAGGGCCCTGAAGTCTCTTGGTCAAGTGACAACCGGCCGAATTTATCCCGGAATATCCAGAATTATCTGTATTCTAGTGTAATAGCTGTAATTTTTGAACACAAGGGGATTTAACTGCTGATATTCAACAATTCTCTAATCGCTTAGGAGCCATCTGGTTGCAGGACGATACCGATTGCAGTCATTATTGTTATATTACTCCCTATGAAGAACAATCTCAGCTACACATGCTATCAGCAATTCTTTCAACTGTAGTTTTCGTCTCTGAGGACGGGATCTCAGATGGATGAGGAGTGGGTAAGGGCACGTCATCACACGACAATATGCCAACGATCGTCGAAACTGCTGCGTTTCATCGTGGATTTGAAGATATCCTAGGTAGGGATGTTCAGGCATATTTGACTCTTATTATGGTTTACTTGGACTGGATTATCAATTGCGACTCTATTATGCTGAGATGATCATGATCCCTGCTCTATCGAATATATAGATGTGCACCGACGAGTTGCTGATGTCCTAGAAACCACATACTCTGGAACACTTTCATCTACCACAATCCTCGAGCATATTCAGCAGATGAAGCCATAACACCCAGCAATACTGACCATATCAAGTGTTCTAAAGACTGTCCAGTTGGCCTTCCTCGGCCACCGCCTTCGAGTTTCTCCGAACCGAAGCGGAACGAAAACGCCGCAACTTCAAGATCCAAGAAAGTCAGCCAGCCAAACAGACAGAAAGAAAAGCATCATCCTTCTCTTGTTCATCATTAAAGCGCTGCGAGATCCCATGAGTATCATCTGTCTCCTGGGGCGATGAACTACCCACCGTCTCATAACGGTCAGTTTCCTCCGCCGTATCTCCAACAAACTCCACCTCAGCAACAGCAGCAACACGTCCAGCCGCAGCAGTTGCTTTACAACAATGTCAACCCCAACCAATCGCCATACCAATATGGCAAACCGATCATGTACCCCCAGGTCATGATTCCCACCTACCCTTCTTATCCGCAGACATATAACCCTCCTCAACCTCAACCTCAACCACCACCGCAGCAAACGCGACCACCACCCCCTCCACAGCAGCAGCCTCCGCCGCCGCAACAACAGCCGCAACAGCAGTTTGTGAATCCATCTGAGCTGTTCCATCAGTCGCCTCTTCCTCCTGCGCCTCCATCTCGATTCACTCAGGTTTCCCCGAAATACAGCGCGCCACCTGCCGTCCCCATTGCACCCAACACCCAATCTCCCGTGCTCCCAACTATACCTGCCGCGACACAGTCACCATATTATACTGCCCCGAGTCCTAGCCAGACACCTAACCAGACGAACAAACAACACAGCAAAATAACACCAAATGCTCCGACCCCCACTCCGACTTTGGCACCGGCACCGGCACCGGCACCAGCACCAGCACCAGCGCCAGTTCAAGCCAAGGCTCCCCCAGCTCCTTCACCGCGACCTCTTCCTCAAGTTTTGATACCAGCTCCATCCCCGGAATTGCAGCAGAAAATACAGCGGCAGGCTCCCAAGAAGCAGACGCAACGGAAAACTAACCAGCAGTCGCCGCAGAAACCTACGAAGCCTCCTATAGATTACCAGGTGTTACTGCTATCGTTGGCAGACGAGTATCTTGATGCTGCACATAGCAAGGGGACAATGACTGCGTTGCTTCGGCAGGAGATTGAAATAGAGGAGTATCATAAACTGGTGGCGACTGGTCTTGGCTGCCTGGAGGCTGTATTGAAGGTCAGTGGATATTTTGTTAGTGGGGTCTATTGAGTGTCGTCCGAACTGACTTTGGTCTAGAATTGGAGATTACAGCCTCGTGTAGAGGCGCTTGTTCGCTTACGATATGCGCGCATCTTGTTTGAGGAGACGGACAATGACCTCGAGGCGGAGACGGCATTGAGTAAAGGGGTATGTGTTCGTGCATGTCGATTCGGGTTATGTGCTGACAATGCTGGCTTCTAATAGATTGACTTGTGTGAACGGGTAAGTTCTCTATATGATCTCTTGCATTTCGTAGGTTCGAATGCTCACCATCTCACAGAACCGCATGCTAGACCTCAAGTATAGTATGCAACATCTCCTGGCACGAATGCTACACAAAACAAATCCCAAAGCCTCCCTGAAAGCTGTCGATGGGATGATTCAAGATGTAGAAGCGTACGTGGTCGCTTAATACACCCCAAAAGGCATACGGCTCTAACTTGCGTAGGTACCGTCATTCTGCCTGGGAGTATGCATTCCGGTTCCTAAGGGTGACACTTTCATTGTCGTCGCCCGGCAATCAGGACTCCGTATCAGCATTGCAGCATCTTCACAAGATCGCTCACATGGCAAATCGCAACGGTGACAAGGGCGTTTCTGCCATGTCGGCTGTGATTGAGGCACTTGGATATCTACAGCAGGGAACAAGCTTCGATTCCATTGAACAGGCTCAGCGTGCAGTGGCAGTCGCGCGGAGCCATCAACTGAACGATGAACTCCGTCATATTCCTCAGTTGATCACATTGGTGCAGATGGTCGACATTTGCTGCAGCCTTCTCGAGTATGACATGAACCAATCATCTCAAAAACTGAAGGTCATGCAGGATCTAATGGATGAAAAACTGAACGATCCAAACTGGCGTCCTGATGGATCATTTTCCATCCCGCTTAATGGTAAATCCGCTGGGCCTTCATCCATAGATACGGGAGATATCCTCCAGGTCCAGAGTGGAACTCTGCTTTTGAGCTTTAACTGGCTGCCCCAGCACGATCTATATGCACTGTGCTATTTCCTCAGCTCTATCACCCTCAGTGCCAAGAACTCCTATGATGGGAGGAAAGCCGAGAAGTTTCTCCAAGAGGGGCTGCGCATGATTAAGGGTGAGACTACCAGATTGATTTATGTTTTTTAGGGCCCTTCTAACCATAATTCTCTTTAGGAAGCTTCAAGGCGCCCCAAGAAATTACGGAGTCGATGGTAAATGCAAATAAGCGTGTGGAGTGGCGAAGAAGCCTATATTGCAATCTACTACTTCAACAGGTCTTTCTCGCCTGCGCTCGCACCGACTGGGACCTGGCTACTCAGACCCTACATGAAGTTCGCCAAATATCCCAGGAACTTGGCGATGGTATTTCCGAGCCTATTCAATGTCTCATGGAATACGCTGCTGGAACCATTGCGCAAGCCACAGGAGATCTAAAAACTGCTCTTGCGGCTTTCCAATCCCCACTTCTTCTACTATCCCCATCTGTCAGTAAGACAACACGAAATGATCCGTGTCGTGATATTGCTATACTGGCAGCTCTCAACACCGTCCTCATCCTCCGCGATCCCCAACACCCTTCGCATTCTCAACTTCCCAATATCTTGTCAATCGTTGAGTCGTTTTGCAAGGGGACCCCCAACAAGTATATACAGGCAGCATATTACCTTGCAAGCGCCACTGTACAGACCGAATCGACCATTCAAACGAAACAATTCCTCCAACAAGCCCTTCAATCTGCCACGGCCATTAGCAATAGCCAAATCACCTGCATGACTTTGACCTTTATGAGCTGGAAATATTTCCGTGGTGTGGTCGGGGAACAGGCTGAAAAAAGTGCAAGAGCCGGCCGTGCAATGGCCAAGAAGGCCAACGACCGTCTTTGGGTCAGCGTCACCGATGAAATGCTGGCAGAAACTCTAGAGAGACAGGGAAAAGACGAGGAAGCAGGGGGAGTTCGCGACGAGGGACACCGGGTGATGGTCGGATTACCACCTGCGTTGAAAAGGCCTGCTTAAACTGATCGTTTCCTTTTCATTTTTTCTTCTTTCGTTCCCGCTAATTCGGGGACTCCAAATTCTATGATACCATATTATGGGCAATTACGATGACTTTTGCGGTGTATGGATGACTGGCGCTTTTGAGAGATATCTTTTTTTTTTTCCTTTCATGGGGATGGGGAATATGCATGCCATGGTTTTCTTAGCTTCTGCGTGTTCTTCATGTTGTTTTCTCACGGGATCCTGGCGTTCATGATGCTTTGTAGAGTTTCAGCTTAGAAAAGCTTCCCTCATAACTGGGCACCAGACTACCAGTTGTGTTGCAAATGACTTTTATTATTAGACGTTGCTTTTTTGGCTCCAAAGGCGACTTCAAAGATATCAATTCCAATTGCATTATTTTTCCATAACAACGCAGTCACGAATCATACATCTTGAAAATATGAGTAGGTCACCATACATGTAATATACACGCGACATATCAAGTCGCCGAAGGTTGTGAGCATAGCACAAGAAAAGAAATCAAAGAGCAAGAAAAGGGGTAAAATCAAAGAAACATGACAAAAACCGCTCCGAATGACTCCACACTTGCCCATACGCCTGCAACCGAAAACCCAGCCAGATATAGGTAGCTTTAATCGCTCCGTGGTTGGATATGTAGTGGAAGAAGTGATAAAATGAGATTTAACGAGCCAAAAAAAAAAAAAAAAAAAAGAGGACCAGGAATTGTTGTATTCAGATTAACCCAATCCACCCCAGGCACCGCGGATTCTTCGGGCAAGCTGAATATCCTTCTGCATGATGGTAACACGCTTAGCGTGTAGAGCGCACAGGTTTGTATCCTCGAAGAGATGGACAAGGAAAGCCTCTGCAGCTTCCTGCAGGGCCTGGATCGCATGTGACTGCCATCGCAGCTCTGCTCCCACGTCGGCGGGGAGAAGCTCCAACGCAACCTCACGCACGAGTCGCGCAAAGGGAAGCTTCTGGATCAGCAGATCATAGGAGCGCTGGTATTTACGGATCTCTTTCAGGGCAACGGTTCCTGGCTTGTATCGATGACGACGACCTTGAGGGGTAGGGTCTCCGGCTGTGTTATATTAGCGACATGATCGATTCCATGTGCGCGATGATCGCCAAGGAGAAAAGGACGGAAGGTGGTAGTACGGGCAACATACGCTGGACATCTGTTTGTTTTGATGGTTTTGCTTTGGGTTTCGATACTCCAGCGGGTTTCTTTCCTCCTCTGCTTGCACCAGCGGACTTGCGTCGGCCTCGGGTTGCTGGCGACGCGGTCGCAGGGCTTGCTCTTGATGGACCTGCCTCCGCCTCTTCCTTTGCAGCCTTTGCTCTGGGAGCAGCGATAATCTTATTGCCTCGACCGGTCTTTGGTGGCATGATGTCTGATTCGCGCGCTTAACGATGGATGGATTGACGACTCGTTTAATCGAATGAGGGGTATTTCTTTTTTAATTTAGACACAATTTCCCCTATGACAGATTACTCCAAAAAAGAAAAAAAAAAAATGATTTGCGCAAGGAGAAAGCACCTCGAATTGGTGCTTTTGGTCGGATGTGAAACCTTGGATGAAGGAGGGGGAGCACTCGAGCTTTGTTTTGATTGCAATACGGACCACACCGGGATGATATCAGCTGTCCACCCCTCGATATCTGTCTGGCAGGATATGTTCTATATCGAAACAGCTCTGTCTTATGCCAGAAAGAGAAGTTGAGGGGAATTGAGGTGGCTGGGGACCTGCAATGGCTCTCTCTCTCGTCTCTTCGGCCGGCCTTTGTTTAGTCTGTTTTGCGCTTCCCCCAGCTGTTTTCTCAAGTTTGACGCGTGGCGCGTGGCGCGATTCTCCGCCGAAGCGCGCGGCTACCGCACACGTGATGATACGGGCGGATGACATCGTTGCGGCAGTGATGCGAAAGGCCACCTTAACTTACTCTCCATCTCTTCTCCAACAATAGAAGAGTCTGCTTCTGCTTTCTTTTCTTTGATAGTGTATTATGCCTCGGTAGTCTCGATTGGCAATAGTTAAATCAGTTTCATCCATTTGAACAGCTTCTCCCCGCATATATACTCGTTTGCTATCGTTTCACGGCCCGCTCCTCTAAACTCCGACGCAATGGCCGCCATTTGGGGTAATGGTGGGCAAGCAGGCCAACTTCCCCTCGAGCAATGGTTCTATGAAATGCCTCCCGTGACTCGATGGTGGACTGCTGCTACTGTGGCTACGTCAGTCTTGGTTCAGTGCCATGTTTTGACGCCGTTCCAGCTGTTCTACAGCTTTCGTGCTGTCTATGTCAAGTCACAGGTGCGTCTTGCAGTCTTTCGCAGTGGCCATCGATCAAAGCTGACAATCGAATAGTACTGGCGACTTGTGACAACTTTTCTATACTTCGGACCACTCAATCTAGATTTGTTGTTCCATGTCTTTTTCCTGCAGCGCTACTCGCGCCTCCTCGAGGAATCGTCCGGTCGATCCCCAGCCCACTTTTCATGGCTGCTATTCTACGCGATGACCTCTCTTTTGATCATTTCGCCGTTTCTGTCGCTGCCATTTTTAGGTACTGCGCTGTCGTCCAGTCTGGTTTACATTTGGAGTCGTCGCAACCCTGAAACGCGCCTCAGCTTCCTTGGCATGCTGGTTTTCACCGCCCCTTATCTCCCCTGGGTGTTGATGGCATTTAGCCTTGTTGTCCATGGGATTGTGCCCAAGGATGAGATTTGCGGTGTTGTTGTCGGTCATGTGTGGTACTTCTTCAATGACGTCTATCCGTCTCTCCATGGTGGCCATCGCCCCTTGGACCCGCCGCTGTGGTGGAGGCGTTTATTTGACTCTAGGGCCGGTGCCGGTGATGGACGAGGTACGGATACAACAAACATCAATGGCGACTTTGCTGCGGCGGTGGCGCCTGAAGTTCGATGAGTGTCTTGAGTGCGCCACAGTGCCCGATCACCTCTGGTGTTGGAATTGCACCCGGCGTGGGAACCATTACGGCTGAGTGAATGGTGACATGGCGGGTGCTTGAATGTATAGCAGTATACAAACCTGGGCCGAAGAAATGAAATAAGTTCCAGGAAGTTCGACGCTGGGTTTATTTTGGCCTCAACCCTCTCTGCGTCTTGGCAGTCTGACGCCTCCGGCGAGGCGTTGCTATCCCTTGTATCTCACTTGTATCATGTGAGGCAGACCGACATACTACCGTGCTGAAATTAGGGTCTTTCCTAAAGCGAGGTCTTATCAACAAAGGATGATTAAGACCAGGACGAACATATGAACTGCGTACTAGCTTTGTTACGGGGCGTCAGCAGATCTGTTGGGGGCAATTTGTTTCGATCCGATGACCTCGGTATACTGCATCATTTGGGACTTTCATCTGGAACAAACATTCTTGTTGGGTAGGATGCAGAAAGCCGGTAGGAAGGGTGAGACTGCAGAGCAACACCCATGATCATCGAGATGTATCTTCACAGCCTTATGGACTCGGCCAAGAGATGGATGGGAAGGCATATAAGCAGTTAACGGTCCTTGCATCATCTATATTTAGCAAATACGATGAAACATGAGAGTAGATTACGGAATCATATCCCTGTCCCACCTTATGTCAACAACCTACATCGTACATAGTACATACTACAGACATAGAAACAAAGAAGGCTCCATTTACAAGGCTGTCTTTTAACTCGGAATAGTATTGATCATCAGTCAAAGGATTGATGGGCATTTATAATTTACATGGATTGCAGTGTATGTAATCAATTCCCACCCCTCTATCACCTCCAGATTCACGCCCCGCACAGCCACCCACACTTTTGCTGACCGCTCTGATCAACAGCTCGGCATTACTAGGAGCTGGTGGTTGGAGTCGTTTCAGGATAAACTGACATGTGTGACTGAGGAATATTCCAGACTACATAGTACTGAATGGAAGGATTTGAAAGTGGATTGTCAGTTTTATGATTTGCATTTTTGTATTTTGTATTTTGTAATATTTATTGATAGGTGGATGGTGGCATTGGCATATATCATCGGGCGAGGATATCATGATAATACCTCATCTTTTATTATGATTATTTTTATTATCTTGTGATTATATTAAATGCGTAGGCCAAGTCAGCAACGACAATCCCTGGGTATATCATGAAGTCATTGCACATTGGGGCGGGGTGTTTTTGGCCATGCAAGCAAAGCAGCAAACCAGTTACCTTGAAATGCTATAATTATAACTGCCTCTCGTAAGTTCCTATCTATCCGTGCTTTTTCCCTCGTGGGCTCATCTGCAGGTGTTGCATGGAGTATGTGCGTATGTCGGCTATGTTTGGCGTGAAAATGTATGGCTTCTGACGTAGGAGGGCCAATCTGCCTTGGATATCTTGCCGACCGGCGGGTTGGAGTGGTTGGAGTGGGGTTGGATGGCTGGGGTTGTTGTTGTTGCGAGGTGCGAGGTGCGTCTTTGCGGTCAATCAATCAGGCTGGGAGGCTTATCACAGATGATCAATCTGAAGTCTGATCAGTAAGACTGAAAGGCTGAAGCCTTGCACTTGTTTGATGGTGATTGCGAAATCACAGTACATAGTTAGCCACCAACTCGACAAAGCCTCAGCCTCGTCTGAAGGCACCAACAATCCCAGTTTAACAAAGAAAAGCCGTCCACGCGTCTGACAGGCAGGAATAACGCTCACTGGCGAACGGGGATCTGGGACAAGCTGGCGACCGTGGGACGAGAAGCCGCTAAAGGAAGTGGTGGGACTAGGTGCATTTTATGATTGGCTGGCGTAAATGCGCTACCAGCAGAGTGGGGAGCCATGTGGGGGGCGCTTTCTTCCTCCGTTGAAGATTTCGGCCGGGGAATTCAAAAAGAACATGTTGGAGTATCAAAGCACAGGGAGGATTGGCTATTGGGTGCTGACTGTTGAGCCAGAGTGAGAAGTTTAAGGCGGATAGTGAAATAGATGCAGGATGACATATCGAGGAGGGATTTGATTCTATCTTTCGTCATATTCAACATGGATGCTCAGGCTGTGAGCTGTGATATGGGGGAGTGAGGAGACTGCCATCCCCACAAATCATTAGATCTAATATCTGATCCAAACACCAGGCTCATGTCCATAGTCCACTGGTCAGGGTTCGACAATGAGAAAAAGAGGTAGTTTAGTGATTAAACGAACAGAATCCCACTATTAAGATATTGTCTCGTAGTACGAGGTACGAGGTACGAGTACGGACGGTGGACTGCACCAAGTCCTACGGAGACTCCGCAGTCCGCAGGACCGACCGACCGTCTGTAAGCAGCTGCATCACATCCTTGGCCGCTGGAGGTGTCGAAAGCCCCAAGAATACCAAGATGATATTCTCTCTTGGCCACTTGAAACGTGGAAAAAAGTGTTTGAAAGACAAAGACGGGGCGGACTCCATTGTGACGCAAACCGCGCATGTGTTATCAGAGGGTCCACGGAAATAATTATCGCTGTACCTGTCAACCTTAACCCTCCAGTCAGTTGCCTAAAACAGAATCTTTAAAGCCTGAGGCCATGAGTTAGAGGCACCAAACGGGCAAGAAAACACGTAGTGAACTCTGTTGCTGTGGAGTTGACCCAAACAAAGCGAGGCGAACTTTGACTCCATATTCTTTCCATGGATGCGGTGTTCTTGGTATTAGATTTTTACTTCTTTCATTCTTTCTTGCGAGAGATTGACGGCTAAATCATCTTCAATCGAATAATCGATTGTATGCAATACTGTAATTTAAGCATGATTTGTGTGGCGGGAACAGGGATCGGGGTAATCAATACAGGGGGGTTTCACAATACGATTACGAACAATGATGAGGATGAAACCAAGTGCCTCGGACTAGGCGTCCCAACAATATTTACTGCCCAGATTACCCTCTAGCCCAGTTGAATGGATCGAAAAAAGATCCATCTATGGATATCACTGTAGACGTACTGCGTGCAAAGTACTATTCTTGTCAGATGGCAAATTGCACAGGCAACAAAATAACTATCCCACACTCAAGGTTGTGGTATCCAGCAATCCATGTCTCATCTGGTCAGATTCTTTGGTTCTACATCTAAACCGCGTCATTCTGCTGCACTCTGGACGAGAGTTGGTACGAATTAGTACAGCTAGTCCACGGTCTACCATGTCCATCCTCTGCCTATCCTGCCTATCAACCCCCCCCTAAAAAAACACAAGCGGTAGGCTTATTAACGGCGCTCGAGGAGTGGCTCAGAACCACCTGGCAAAGTGGCTAAGCCTCCCGACCAGACCCCCTGCGGCAAAGCGTCAAAGACTAAACAGTGGCTCCCCTTGCAAAGGCACCCTTCCCTGGTGGGGGCCTGGATCCGCCTCGATTAATATTATTCGTGGATACATTATTAGGATCATTACCCACTAAGCCATTAGTGGCTTTAGTGGCGGAGGCTTAGCCTTGGCTCCAACCTAAACCGTTCCCCCTTCCAGCCGATAGTTATTCAGGACCCACTTCCGCCCCCCAATCCGAACCGCCCTCCTTGGACCTTTTTTCCCTTTTTTCTTTTTTCCCCCTGCTGCTGTGGGTGATGGTGCTGTGTTGCCGCCACTACTGCTGTTAGTGATGCCACTGAGCCACGGCTAGCTGGGCGTTGTCGTCGCTGTCGTGTATCTGAGCCTCTTTCTTTCGTCTCGCTTCTCCTCCTTCCACCACTCAGTCTGTCCTTCTCTGTGCCTGCTGTTTTGTCTCTCACTTTCCTTTTCCAAGCCTTGTTTAAAAAATCCCTCGACGCTCCTTTTTTGCCAATCCCTCTCTCTCTCTCTTTTTTTATTTATTATTTTTCATCTTATTATTTGCTTTTCGAATCTATTGTTTTTTTCAAAATATTATCCTTAATTGCCTCTAAACTATCCACGCCACCCCCAAATCCCCGCCCTCTCTTTGTCTCCCCTTTCTTGCTCTCACTCTTATTTGATTCCTACTCTTACTCTGACTGCGACTCCTTCGCCTTTTTTAATATCTACTATTCTCTCCTAGTGCCTCTCGTGGTCCGAACCTTCTCCCGCCAGTCCTTTCCCGGTCTGATCGCTGCTATCTCTAGCCTCTCCCCCTAGGCCATTTAGCACTCAACCAAAATTAAAAAAGGAGGGCGACAGAAAGAAAAAGAAAAAAAAAAAAGGCAGAGAAAAAGAAAAGAAGAAAAAAACAAAAGAGGAATTTCTGCAAGACCAATTCTTCTACTATTCATTCCTTCATCCATCTTCAATTCCTCTTTTCGAGTTGTTGCCTGGTGTTGCGCTTCCTTACCGAGGCACTAATTATTATTTTGTTGATATTCATGACTTTGGGATCCTGTCGATAGCGCTTCTTCTTTTCGATCCGAGTATCTCAGTTTTAATAGCCTCCTGGCCGATTCAAAGCACACACCACCCTTGGGGTTGTCGGATTCCCACGGCCTCCCCTGGCTCATCGCATCCGTTGACACGAAGTTACGACCGCGATTCCTTCAATTGGCTTTGGTTTTCTAGATTGTACCTTTATACCGTCCTCGATATACACCGTTCACAATGAGGCGGGGCGTCTTAATCTTCCTCGTCGTCAACCTTGTCCTCCTATCCTTCCTGGTTCGCAGCGTCTTCACACTCTTAACACTCCTGGTGGAAGATGCCTCGGCCGACGCTATCCACCGCGCGGAGCTTCCTTCGCCCAACTCCAGTTTGATCGAGCAACGACCGCAGGTGATCCCTAAGATCATTCACCAGACCTACAAGAATGAGACTATCCCGGAGGTGTGGTTGGATGCTCAGCAGAGCTGCATCGACTTGCACCCTGACTACGAATACATTGTATGTGCCCCTGTCTCCAGTTTTTGATACGAACAGTCACACTAACGCATGCTTATAGCTGTGGACAAACGAAAAATCCCGCGACTTCATCTCCAAGGAGTATCCTTGGTTCCTTGACACTTTCGATGGTTATAAATACCCCATTCAGCGGGCTGACTCCATTCGTTACTTCGTCCTGGCGCATTATGGAGGAACTTATATCGATCTCGATGATGTACGTATCAGATGGAATCCTTTTACACAACACCGTTCTAATTGTTATGGCAGGGCTGCAACCGTCGCCTGGACCCTCTTCTCGCATACCCCGCGTGGGTGCGCCGTACCGCTCCAACTGGTATCTCCAACGACGCAATGGGCTCAGTCCCTCAGCACCCATTCTTCTTGCGTGTGATCGAACTTTTGCAGTCCTACGACCGCCACTGGCTGCTCCCTTATATCACAGTCATGTACTCGACCGGCCCATTGTTCTTGTCAGTTCTCTGGAAGGAGTACATGCTGGACAAGCCCAACGAAGCAGCTCGTGTTCGCATTCTCATGCAGGATGAGTACAACAAGTACTCGTGGAGTTTCTTCACCCACCACGTTGGAAACAGCTGGCACGGAAAAGATGCCAGATTAATATTCTGGGTAAGAGCCTACAGTTTCACCCCACGTACTGAATTGATTAAGCTAACTGTATCACTAGATGGGACAACACTGGATGTTCCTTACCATGTGTGGATTTGTCCTCGCCGGAGTTGTTGGCTGTACCCTTTGGTGGGCTTATGGCCGAGTGATGCTCCTGAGCTCCAAGTACCGCTACCGGTACACCAAACTTCCCAACTTTGTCGGCTCGCCCCGCCTGTCGTCACCATCGCGCCGGAGTCGGCTCACAGTGCCCACTCTTCTCCGTCGGGTTAGCCTGAAGGACGAAGAAGTTGGAGTCTCAGAAACCTCATACGAACTTTATAGTCGACGTGATTAAAGCCCGTCTGCTTTTTTGTCATTTGTTTGTTATAAATTCTGTGTCGATACGGCCCTTCGCATGAGCTCTGCATTCAGCATTCGATTGAGCTTTCTTTTTTTTTTTTTTTTTTCCTTTTATTATCTTTGATTCAATACGGCGCGCATGTATGGAGTTTTGGACCAGCCGTTGTTCTACAGCAAACGGCTGCTTGTACATGTTTTGGTAACATGACTTTTGGATCTGCTCGCGAGGTGATCTGCTAGACGGCGCACCCGCATGGTATCTGGCTCTGTTCTGATGTTTGCATTTAAACCCTTGTGTTTCTTTTTTTTCCCTTCTTCCCTGTGTCTTTTTTATTTGTCATATTGCTTTTTAACACATAGACTTCGATTCGGATCTGGCAGGTGGTTATCGCCTGCTTTGCAGCTACAGACGCCTGGGGCTAGTTGGGTTTGCAGACCTGAAAATAATACAATGTGCAACAATGATGATAATATGGTTTCAAATTGTGTTTGTAGTGATAGGAGTCAGTAATCTGTAGTAATATTCTTTCTATCTGAGACCTCGAGACATTTGAGACAGTTGAGTGAGCAACGCCACTCGTCGAGCGATTGGCGGACTCGAGCGGTCTTTGTTGCAGGCGCTGGGCGACGAGGTCAGCGTCAACAACCATCGCTTGTTTCAGGCGTTTGAGAATGCAATTCGCCGCTGAGAACTGTGATCAGCACTAAAATCGCCAATCAACGGCGTCGCCAGCAGAATAAAAGCAGCGTCGGTTGTGACCAACAAGCCCAAGCTTCGCGACGAGCGTTTCAGCGTGGGCGGGCAACACCAATGGCAGTACCGCGTGGCTCCCCGTCAGCAGTGATCAGCCCAACCCGCTGATGATAGCTTCAATCAAGCCTTTGCCCAATGCTCGAAACGAGCGGGATTTTCAGGAGAGAACTGCAGTCTTCTTTGTCGCTCCCTTGTCAGTCGTCGGTGAGAATGACACTATCGATCTCGTATCTTGCTTTTTTTTCTTTTTTGCCTCTTTGAGGGGTTGGTGGTGTGTTTTGTGTGTCCATTCCAGGTCCACTCCCAGCTATGTGAGGGAGTATAAAGAATGCGAGATCGCCCGGCTGAATTGTCGAAATCATCACTCTCATTCATCATTCCTTTTCTTGAGAACAATCTCTCTTCTTTTCTAGGTGCTGGTTCACTTGATTCAATTGCCTTGACGGTCCTTTTTTATCTACATCTAATTTGTCTTATACCCATCTTTACCAACCCCCAACCCGACCACCAAAACAAACCGCAAAAATGAAGACCACCTTCTTGACCAACGCCCTCATTGCCCTCTCTCTCCCCTTCATGGTATCTTCGGCTCCCACTGTCGTCCCCCGAAGCACCGAAATCACCGCTAAACAAATCACCACCATCGCTCCTCAATCTTCGTCTTGCGCCAACGCCCCCGCCCAGGGCCAATGTGCTACCGCTGCTCAGGCAGCCAAGCACATTAACAACTCATTCAAGACCTACAAGGTTACCAATGCTGCTGAGCAAGCCGCTCTCATTAGTTTGATGGCGCTCGAGAGTGGCCAATTCAAGTATAACAAGAACCAGGGTGGAAATCCCGGCCAAGGAAGTATGTTTTACATATCTCACCTCATCCCCTGCCCTATACCATATCTTACCCCCAACCCCCACCTTTTATCCTAGTTGGTGATCATAGTGTTAATGAACATGTTCCAGCTCGAAACATGCAATCAGCAGCCTTCAATACCAAATACGCCTCCTCCCTCTCCGGTCTCTCCAGTAAGCTGAGTGGCGTTTCTTCGGATCCCAACCAGGTGCTGGAGCTGTTGCTCAGTAATGAGGATTATGACTTTGGGTCTGCTGCTTGGTTCCTCACCACGCAGTGTTCTAAGAGTGTGCGGTCCTCGTTGCAGGCTGGAACTGAAGCTGGATGGGAGCAGTATATTACCGGCTGTGTGGGCACGACTGTTACTTCTGATCGCAAGCAGTTCTGGCAGCGGGCCATGAAAGCGCTGGGAGTTAACTAGAGTTCGTGATTGGTTTGGATATTATTGAGTGCATAGTTTAGTGGTTGACCGGCTTATTAGTCGAAATTTTGATTCATCTGCATAACTTCGTCTCTTGCATCAATTAAAAAAAATAAATAGCAATTCTTCATCTATAACACTCCCTTGGTGCTGACCACATCGCCCGCTCCGATTTCTCCAGCAATCCGGCGGGTGCAAGCGGCCCGGATGGCCACTGCCAATGCCTTGAAGGCACTCTCCGCGCGGTGATGGTCATTATCTCCGTAAGTGCAGCCCACGTGGAGAGTCACTCCGGCGTTCTGGGCAAAACTCTGCAATCCGTGCGTAATCATCTCTGTGCTCAAGTCGCCAATCTTCTCCCGGCGGAAACCAATGTTGATCACGGCCCAGGGACGACTGGAAAGATCGATCACGGCCCATGAGAGGGCCTCGTCGAGAGGAGCATCACCCCGACCGAAGCGGGCGAGAGACTGGCGGGCGCCCAGGGCTTCAGTGAAAGCGGATCCAAGGGCGAGGAAGGTATCTTCGGTGGTGTGGTGGTCGTCGACTAATTTTCGTCAGTACATGTAAAAACCAAAGGTACTCTGGATGTCGTAGACACAGATTAACAAGAAAACGTACTGAACAGATCTCCCTTGGCTCTAATAGCCAAACTCCAACCCGAGTGCTTCGCCAAAGCATGCAACATGTGATCCAAGAAACCAATTCCTGTGCTTATCGTGATCTGCTGCGTGGGAGTGAACTGCGTCGCATGGCCGGCATCTTTGATGGGCAGAATGCCGTGTTTAGCAGCCTCTGCTTCATTGGGGTCCTCGGGGGCAGGGAAATGCTGCGATGCCTCAAACGGAGGAAGAACACCACCGTCGAGAGACAAAGAAACCTGGATCTTGGTCTCGTTGGTGTTTCGGGAAATGGAGACTGTTCGGGGAGGGAGGGGCATTTTGGCGGTTTGGCGGGGTTTGGTCGTGATGCACTGGGGTGGTGAACTTGATATTGGTGCTGTGTGTTCAATTGATTGAACGGAAGTCCAATGGAAAGGGATGATCGCTACCCCTGATATAATAACCAAATTAAAAAAAAAAAAAATCGTGATGGAGTAATCACTATTGCGTCTCTTGTGATTTGGTGTTGCGGTTTTTCATCCCCTCTGCCTTTTTCCATCGGAGCAAAGCCCGCGATACCGGAGAGGAGGAACGGTTGATCCGGGAAAAGTGCGTCATCTTTCGTGGATGAAGATTCCATGTCTCCTTCATTCTCCTCATTGTTGAAATATTGAGCTTTCCTGGCGGGTCCAGGCTATACATCTAATACCAGGTGGATCAAGTATATCCTTGATTCATTGCCCGCCCTTTGTCTTTCTATCAGTTCTTCCGCCGACTCCCGCTTCGGACTTGATCGCAATAAACCTCGTTACGGAAACTGGAGACAGGAGGGTATATTGAGACGGAAGGGATATCTGGAAGCCAGCAAGCAGCATTACAGCCATGTTGTCGCCAACTAGCCAAAAAGGAGACATTGAGCCCCCAGATGAGATCACTTCGGAAGCTGTCAAAGGATTTCTCGCGGGAGCTTTTCGGGTACGTTGGATCGAAACATCGGCTTTTCTTTTCTCATAATACATCTCATCTGGACATATCACTGACTGTTATTAGTTCGGCTCAGTCTCCATCTTAGCACACATGATACTCATTATGCCTCACCCTTTTACCTTCTCTACCCCCGCCCCGCCTGCGACGTCGCAAGCGCAGCCCCGCCCACGCCCCTCTCTTTTGTCCAAGGAATACCTTCGATCGCGCTTCTTCTATCGACCTCTTGAGGGGTTCTCCGAGTGGATATCGCCGACCGCCCGTATCTACCGGCCTCTGACCCCGCAATTCAAGGTCTTCCTCCAAATCGCAGCCATGACACTCGGTGGATGTATCTGGGCCGAGAGCAGGGTGAACGAATACATTAATTTTGTGAGAAAGGCGAAGCGGGCACAACGGAAACAAGCTGAAATGGGTGCTCGATTGGCGGAGTAGGTTACTGGGTAGGTTGTGGGGGCTGATTTGCGATTTGCAGGCGTGGGAATGAGGATGATTTGCCGTAATGGGGAAGAAAGAAAGCACTGAACTCTTGAAGCAATCAGTTTAGCTCTGGAGAGTATACCTGAGCACAGCTACGAGGCAATCATCAGTCATAAATATGGGCCTGGTTGACGCATACCTATGGGGGCATGGATGATCTGTCCGTATTGAAGCTGTCTTCACTCCACACATTCCGCATCCGGTCTCAACACGACTCAGGAGCTTTCATCATTATTAATATTGACAATTATCTTGACACGCCTTCAATTGGGATTGGATCTAGGAGATTTCGATCGACAAATGCATCAAGCCATTGACGTTGCAGCATGATACATAATATTTTCCGTGACTGTCCCCCTACTGCAGTTGTGGGGGGTAGGACAACGTCTGTTCTTTTGTAGCTATCATCATTCATCACAGCCCTTCACAGGGATATTCGATACTAACTGTGAAGGTAGATATGTTATCCGAGTTTCCATCTGATGGATCAGGAATAAAAAGGCAACTATCGACGGGGCATCACGACTCATCCTGGCTGGGGTGGCCCAGCACCGCCAAGGCACATGCTCGTCAGCCCTTCCATCACCAAACTCGGGGGATCAGGGAGCAACGGAGGACGATATAGGACGGACGGAAGTCGATCCGCGGGAGAATCTTTATCGTCTCTCATAGCTAGTCGATGACCATCCGCCGTATAGCTCGTGGTGGTGGCCAGCTTTAACAAATAACGCTGCCCTTGAGACCCTCAAGGCGATGCATGTACTAGCTGGGGCGAGTGGAGCAAGCCTCCCAGGGCCGGGTTACGCGGCTGGAGATCGGCCTGGTTTTGTTTTCTCGAACAAGTCGAACGCGTTAGTGGATGATTGTTTCAAGTACTGTCCGATCGCCTCGATTACTCCATCTGGTGGTGAAACAGGGGAGAGGAGGACCACAAATAGAATGCAAAATCATTCCATCTGTGCATTATTTTTTCTGTACGTACGGACAACGGAGACTACGGAGACTACTACGGAGTTGTTGACAGACAGAAGCACGGGTGAGGCGGCCAGACAGGGCGATGCAGAAGCCAGCAGAAACAGAGATAAATATGCCGGCGGAGAGGAATTATTTATGATTATTAGGAGATAGATATTTTAGGCTGTATTTATTGTTGTTATTAACAGTTCCTACGAGGCGTTCGTTCGCCATAGTGTATAAGTGTGTGCTGCATTCGGCGCAAATAACCCTCATCTTCGCCCCCTTTTTGCCTCGTCCTCTTTGGGGGGTTTTTTTTTCGTGATCATCTTCATCATCACTGTTTTCGTCTTTTGTTTTTTTCTCTCTAATCATCCTTTCGTTTGCAGTCGAGCTGGCCCTGACATCACCTCTTTTTCTTCGCTTGGGTTGTCCTGATCTGCACTTCTGATCTCATTTCTCCGGATTTGCCGCCAGGAACCTCCAAATCATAACACAATCCAATTCCTTGCTCCATACAAGTTAATCTCCTTTTTCGTTCCTCTCGTCGTTTCTCCCCGCCGTTTTGGGTCCATCGGTTTGTGCTGCGTTCATCGCCATTTGGCCTTCATTTTCGTCTGTTGTTTGTCCATATTGTAACCCTCCACGTACTCCTTCGTATTCGTTGCCTTTTTCTTCTCTTTTGTCTCTCGCTTTCGCTTTCTTATTTTTTTTTTTTTTCCCGCTTCTCAATTCACTGTAAAACTGTCACTGTCACGGTGACACTGGAGAAGGTTTCTTTCTCTTCTCTTCTCTTCGCTTCTTATCAATATTACCTTCTCTATCCTTGATTTTTTCTTTTCTTCTTTTTCTTCTTCATAACCACTGGTGGTTTGTTTCTCTCGTCAGGCATCGAGATCGTCTTCTTTTGCTTTTCTTTTTTCTTCATTTGAAACACCCCTCTAGAATCGCTTCTCATGGCGCCTTGACGGACTGCTGTATGTTTCCACCCCCAACTCCAAGCTGACTCTCTCCTCCCCTCTTCTGCCTCTCTTCCTTTCTTCCCCATTCGTTATCCTGCATCCTTTCTCCACAGTTCTAGCTAGCTAGCTAGTCAAAAGATCCAAACTACTGCTCCTGCTGCTGCTCCTGCGACGGGGATGTCTTGATCCAAAAAAACAACCTCACACATTATGTCTGTCCTCTTGTCAATTCCGAATTAAAACTAATCTTCTTCTTTCCCCCTCCTCTAGTGTGAGAATGACATCGGAGTCGTTGATGTGATCAGCCTCCTCCTCACTACTACTACTCTTTTTCTATCTTCCTCTCCCTCTCCCTCCCTCCCCACCGCTTATCCTTGTGTTATTCGTTCTCGATTTCCTTCGCCAACCCCGTCATGGCCGACAATTTTGGGAAGAAAGAACGCAGAAAAAGTCTGAGCGTGTTCGGTTCGTCGACGACGACCTCAATCCTCTCCGGGCCTACGGCCCATGATCGATCCCCTTCCGATGATGTCCACACCTTGAAGAAGAAGACCCGTCGCAACTCTGGGTTTTTCACGGGTCGGAGTGACAGTCCAGCCAGAACCCCAGCCGTGCAGGGCCTCCGTCGACCCAATACCCCGGATTCCGAAACAGCTGCCTGGGCGGCTTCCGTTTCCACCGCCACGGCCCCCGACCTTTCTCGTTCCCGTCGGAAATCGTTGCAGAAGAAGCGTACGTCAGTGTTCGGCTCCCTGCGATCCCTCCATTCGCTGGACGACGATGAGAAATCGCTAGGGCGCTCCAAGGGTTCGTCCGGTGACGATGATGATGTATCCGATCCCCGGCCCGGTGTCGGTTCGATGATTCTGCACCATGGAGAAATGCAGACCACGGGTGGAATGTGGAGGAAGAAAAGCCAGTACCTGGTCCTGACCGATACACATCTCATTCGATTCAAAAGCCAGGGGAAAGCGGCCGACGTGTTTTCATCGATTCCTCCATCGTTTGCACGCTCCACGGCCGCAAACCGTCAGTCGGTCGCATCCATCAGTTCGCTTCAAGAAACTCAGCTGCCGGCCTCTAGTGATTCTTTTGCGGGTATTCATCTGAATAGTATCATTGCTGTTTACATGTTAGATGATGGAAGACCTTCCTCGACGGTCGAGGTGGCTTACTTGGATGAGCGGTCACATAAGGCTGCATTCATGCAGATGCAGACGTCAGATTATCAGGAACTAAACCTGTGGATGGTGGGAATTCGCTCAGCAGCCGAACTGGTCCGCGCAGCCGATCCGATGTATTTTGATCAAAGGTCCGTCGAACATGTTGCCAGAATGTTGGAGTATGAAAGAGATTATGATCCAGAGAACTTTCGCATGTTTCGTGTGATCCAAATGGCCTCTAGCAAGTCCGCTGCGCGGACGTCATCCGACGATCTTACCAAATTATCTCCCACTGGCTGCTATCTGGCTCTTGGGTTACACAAACTTCATCTAATTCCCTTCCAGAAGACTTCCAGTCGGGCTTCGGTTGTTTCATTGGCGGATATGGAAACGGTGACATCATTCGGGCTCATGAACCTGACTTGCCTATCGATGGAATGGGGGGATGATAGCCTGCATCTAACGTTTCGGTACATATTTCCTTCCGCTTTGTTTGGCTTGTTCCTGTTTTCTGACTGACAATGACATCAGCGTTCCACTTCGTAAACAGTTCTCGGTTTTCCTCGCATCTGTGCATTCGCTCGAGATTGCCTTCTGGATAAGGCAACACACCGAATACCTACGGCCCCTTTGGATTAAACAGCCATATGACTTTATCGTGCCCCGCGACCTCGATAACGATAGTAATTTCCTCCCCGTGTCGCTGGACGAGGACTACGGTTGTTTCGACCGGACACTGGTCGCCTACTCCGCTAGTTATGATATCGATACCTCCAATATTCGTTATACAATCGACGTACAATGCGACGATGCTCCGTGCTTTAGACTCCTACCACCAGCTTCCCCGCGGCGCCAGAAATACACACCCCTAGAGCTAATTGCGGTTATGCGAGCTCTTCGGTATAACGAATCCTTTCGGTCAATATCGTTTAGTGGTGTCAGCTTAGACCCACTCCAAGCTATCCGCGATCTTCATGGGCTTGACAAGGATGCGCGGCTGAGTCGTGCATGTGCTGTCATTCAGATTCCTGGGCAAGAAAACCTGTCTGTTCTATCCCAGGAAGTTCGTGCATTGACTTTGAAAAGTAAATGGCTCCGGCGTCTTGATTTCTCCTACTGTTTAAGCCGCACACCCAAGACCGATATCGAAAGCCACGATCCTGGCTGTGGTATTCCGGAAGCTATTTTCCCCATCTGTCGACGAGAATTAACAAGCGTTGATTGGGTTGTGCTTAACGGTATCAAACTTGGTGACTCGGACCTTGACTATCTGGTGGATGCTGCCTCCCAGAGAAGTAGCCATCTGCGAGCTCTAGAGGTTGGAAACTGCGGTTTGTCTGTTCATGATATCGACTTGTTGCTTTCGACAATCGTCGCTCAGGATTCGACTTTGGAAGCGATCAACATCTCTGGTGTTCAAGGCCGTTTGAATCCCGATGTACTACAACGCTACATTGGCTTCTTTAGCCAAATCAAAAAAGTCGACCTAACACGCCTTTCGAGAACTTCGGGCCCGGAGCCACTTATCACTGCGGAGACCCTGTTCAATTGGCGATTGGAGGAACTTTCCTTGAGCCGGACTGCTGTCAATAGGGAAACTGTTGATGCGATCGCCACATATTTGGCCAGTGATAGGTCTCATAACTTGCGTGTACTTCGACTTGACCAGTGTGGCCTAACCGGCGAGGATGTAGCCACGTTCTTGCATTCGATGGCTGTCAGCGGAAGCTCGCGCCCCCTGCACTTGCATGTTAATGAGAACCGACTCGATAGTGGCTGTTCGTACTTGTTCAAGGCAATCGCCCAGAACAAGACCCCATCCCACTTATCGATGAGGATGATTGACTTCAAAAAGGAAGAACAGTTCCGCGATCTAGTCGAAGCTCTAAGAAAGAACAAAACGCTGAAGTACTTGGATATTTCAAAAGCATCTCTTCCGTATGACGCAGGTCCCGAGACGTGCAAGTCGTTGCAGATGATGTTCGAAGAAAACGAAACTCTGGAAGATTTGGACATCGGCGGAGAAAGCGCACACTTGGATGTCGCCCGGTTTGGGATTGGTCTCAATTTGGCATTGACTGGTTTGAAAAAGAACAAGTCTTTGAAGGTTTTGCGAATCGAGCACCAAAAACTTGGTCTCCAGGGTGCAAACACATTGGCGTCTGTGCTACTCGACAACGACTGTCTTCGTGAGGTCTACTGCGAAAACAATGATATCAACCTGCAATCATTCACGGTTTTGGTCAATGGCTTGCAAGGAAACAGATCCCTGCTGGTTCTATCCTGTATGGATCGGGACAGAATTAATTCGCTTGACAAAGTACGCCGAGAGATTGAAAGTGTGAGGCGTGATAATAGCCATACACAGCACTCTACCTCGAGCTCAATCCGACGATCTATCCATGCAGCGAGACATGTCAAGAATGCGGCAGTCGGAAACAAGTTGACCAAACATCAATCGACGGCGAGCCTACAACGCGCTGGCGCTTCTACACCAATCAATCCCTCCTCGTCTGTAGAAGCCCCTAATGTCGTGAGCTATGACGTCGAGTTCGTCTTGAGCTCTTTGGGTCGGAAATGGGACGCCGAGGTGGCTCGTCTGCGTCGGTATTTGTTTCGAAACTACAACTTGGTCAATGGGATTGACGAGGCGTCTGGCAGTATTCCTGATGACGCTGCCAGCGATGGCCGGCCAACCACCGCTATGAGCATTGGGACTATGCTGGACAGTCTCAAGTTTGAACTGACTGTATCTGAGAACGAAGTTCACGGTGTCACGCAGGGTCATAGCGCCCAGCCGTCTCTGGATTCCATTGATCAAGGCCAGTCCAATCATTTACAGATCTTCAACAGCCTTGACTCTGAAGGCAATCCGAATACCCTAATGAAGCAGCGTCCTCAAACTGCTCCATTTTCATTTCCTGAACATTGCCCTCGGATTCTACCAGCTGAATACACTTCTGGGCAAGGCTCTTCCGCGCGCCTGGCTGTTCCGGTTCCTGCTATGCCTTCAACCGTCCACAAAACAGGCAGCGTACGAAGCGCCCGCAGCTCCAGCACCGTCTCCACCAGTACCGGGACCGCTGCGAGCTCGCGAAGTACATACGGCTCAGCTTCCTCGACGTTGCGAGGTTTTCTTAGTGGAAGCGCGTCAAAGGAGCGCAGGAAAATAGAGAAAATGCGACCCGGGTCTGTCTGTGTGTCGAATGAAAAAGCACCAAAGCTGGACTGGTCACCACCTCACCTTGATTTACGGGACTTTCGGTAGTGCGTCTGAAAAAAACTGGGCTGTTGTACAGTGTGGTGTTTACGAGTAACACCTGATTTCCCGGCAGGACTTTTCCGGACTACCTACACTTTCATGTTCCGAAAATGAATAATGCATCGATCAACATGTTCGAACCATGATGAGTACTGAAAATCGACATTCGCTAGTCGAAAGAAGCCTTTGATTGAGGCTATTGTCCATCTTCACTTCGCCTTTTCCCCTTGATACCTCAAACGATCCGTTATTTCACGAGATCACTGTCCATATTCTTTACGTCGACCTCCCTCGATTCTTTTCTCCATGAAAACAAAACTGGCTTTTTCGCAAGACTTTCCTCATCTCTCAGGTCTTTTTATTTTATTTTGTTTTTATTTTTTTGTCTGAGAACGTTGTCATTATGAGGGCATACCCTCCTGCATTCGTCGTTTGTGTTTCTGTTTTCTCTTATCATATCTTTCCCCTCTCTTGCGGTGTTCTATTACTGGCCAGCTGGCGTTTCATATTTGGTGCATATACCACTTCACATTTCCATCGTTTCCAATTTTCTTTTTTCAGGAGGATATCTGTTAACCTTGCCAAAGGATTCTTGTTTGGCATTTTGTTTGCGTGTTTGGCGGCGGGCGTTTCCATATATCGATTTGAAACAAATACTCTTCTTCGGGCGCATTAGAAAACCCTGTCGGATGTTCTTTCTCTCTGTTTTTATCATTTCTTTACTTCTCTTTTTGCGGTTTGCAGCGTGGGCGGGTGGACTCTTAATCGTTAATGCCATCATCATCGAGAAATATTGGTCTTGCAAAAAAGGAAAAGATCAGTCATTTTATATGTTTCGTTCTGAGCAGTGTTATATATATACTATACCTTTTGAGGGATGTCATTATGTAGTCTGATTACCAACTCTGGGGATTTCTTTATTGTCATTCTGTTGTTTGTTGGTTGTATGTATATATACTGTGAGCAGATCGATTCATCATTTCACATGTCTTATTTGGTTTAACTACTGAAGTAGGATGAGATTCAGAAGTAAACAGTGATATTAAGAACTATATTCAAGTAAAGATTTAAAATCTATTATTGTACAATACATCTACATACCTATATCATATATCTGGGCCCAACCATCAGGCTTCATATAGCTGAAAACACCACCTGGAGGATGACATGTCCTTGGAAACGATGTCTAGACATATATACTTTCAAACCATTGCGAAAAGCCACCCAGTATTCAAAAATTTCATCAAGTTGGAGATTTCGAAACAACGCCCGGGAGATGATGAATGATGACCAAACACCCAAAATGCAAAACGCTCCATCCCAGAATAAACGGCAGTCCAGATAAAACAACAGAATAAACAACGTCGGACGCGTGCTCGATAGAGTAGTATACAAGAGAAGGGGTTCGGTTATTCGATGACTTTGGAAAAAAGGCGAGTGTGCGCATAGCTAAAAGGACTTTCAGTTGATGGGATTGTTCAACACAACAATGCCTTTCTCCTTGTCAATCCTATCTTCTTCCTGGCGAAACAGTCGGCCTTTCTGACTGATTGCTCGAAGTGTTCGAATATAAACATTGGCTGCGGCGTCGGCATCGTCCTCCCCTCTACCTGCAAGGGCTTTCTGGCGGCGCTTCTGGCATGACGCATACAGTGATCTTGCTTTCTTGTCCTGTATTTCGCTCAGCTCGTAGTCAACAGTCCAGTTGTCAGATGAGCTCAAATTGGCAGGTCGGTCAACAAGTTGGTCGTTGACTTTGTTTCGCACAATGAGGGTCATCGCAAGAAGCTCTCGCTTATCTTCGGATTGGGATTGTTCTTCTGCTTCAATTTCTGACAGGAAAGCTTCATCCGGGGGCGCTGAAGAATCGTAAACTTCATTAGAGGCTGTCAAATCCTCTTTGGGATTGCCACTCGTTTCCAGAGCCGGCTGGCTCGACTGGTCATTGTTGTCAGGACTCGGTGCCTCTTTGTTACCATCGACTTCGGACGAATCGTCACTGCCATTTTTGGGCTTCAAATTCAGAATTCGATTTTGGTAGGCCTCGACCTCGGCCTTGTTCTTGTTCTGAATGGCATGGATCTCTTCCTCAGTCACGGGTTCCGCAAATATGTACATAAACGGAGTATGGGAGTCGCGTGTCTCAAAATGAAAGCGTAGGGATCTTTCGGGAAACCTGGCAGTAGCTTTATCAAGGATCTTGTTCCACATTGTCACACTGAGCTCAAATTCTGCATCTCCCAGTGCGGTGTCGGATTGGCCATGCAAGGCTAGATCCATTTCTGGCAAGCTGACATACTGAAAGCCGAAAATGCGCTCGACATTGTGAAAGGCCACGAAAATCCCATCCATACGGCCGATTCGCACCTGCAAAGAGTACTTCAAGAAGGCAGCCCGGATCATGTCAAAATATTCACGCTCGTAAGACTCGTAAGCGCCGAAACGGTCTTTAATTTCATAACCCAGGCCATGTTCGAAGTTCCGTGCATCCATACGGATAGGCAAGACTGCTCGTGTCTTCAAATCAAACATCCCTGTACCGGGTAGTCTCGGATCATAGGCATCAAGCTGAGATCTCATGACGAAATCCCCGAGCGTTGAATAATGGTAGGCTTCGGGAATCGCTTGTTCTTCCTCTGCCGATATTTTGTTGTCACTGGACCTCCTGTAGCGCTCAAATTCCTCTTTTGGCAATGTCAACAGCTTCTCCATTGACTTTCCAAGATTCATAAGAATATTGGCGCTGTCAAACTCCTTATCTGCATCGATGGCGTAAACGCCGTCTTGATACCGGAGAAACATTGCAGAGGGAGATCGTAAAAGGCGAGTGAAGGTGCGCAGCTTATCCGGAAATCCTTGGGACACACTCCGCGTATCTATTCCCCTCCATGCAGAAAGGAGATAGTGGAAATGCGAGAGAACTGATGTCATACTTGACGACGAGCCCACATACTTCTTCTTTTCTTTGACAGCAATATTGCGGAGTGTTTCATCTCGAGACGATGTAATGTACTCCTTCAGGGCATCGAAATCGAATTCAGTAACGGGCATGATAGAGCCCAGATACGGGTCAAAGTTGAAAACACGAGATCGAGGGTCACGAAGATGGTAGACACCTGGGCTGAAAAAAGAAGCTGTTAGCTATTTCAAATATGAGTCAGCTTATAAGAAGCTTACTTGAACAAAACCCTTTCAAGACCAAAAGAAAGCTGCGGAACTTCTGGGGTTTCGATATCCAATGCTTTGCGAGATCAGTACGATATTCACGAAGTGCATCAGTCCGAGATACTCACGGGTGAGTTTTAGCTTGTCTAAACTGATCGACCCTGTCGTTTTATTTTCCATGTGGCTCATTAAGGATGATAAATGTACCGGAGCATCAGAGTCCTTGGGATCGACTTTTGTGTTTATGGCAGTTTTCAGCTTCTCGAAGACTGATTGCGTAGACGCCATATCAGCATGTCCCGGGATTTGTCCAGTTGATCCATCTTGAGACTCCTTCGTGTTGGGTATGTTGTCCGGGGTCTCCTTTGCGCTCCTCTTTGAATACTTTTCGACCGACACATTTGCCTTTTGAGACTTTGAGATAACTTTTCTGATTTTCTTCCGAGATTTTCGGTCGGCAGTAATCTTATTTTGAGCAGAATCTTTGCCCTTTTCTGCAGCGGATTCGGCATTGTTTTGCGGTCGAGAAGCGTCCTGATCATGGGCATTCAAACTCGACTTTTTCGCAGAGGGCTTCTTGGAATTTTGCTTCGGACGGATGTCAGAAATGTGATTCTTTTTAATTCCGTGGGTCTATGGTCAGAACAAAAGCAAATTAGCGACTTGTTCCTATCACCAACTTGAACAAACGGGTTATTCCCGAGAATATAAGAATACCTTCTTTGAGGCCGAAGCATATTTCGAGGAACTATTGTCCTGAAGAGGCACATCTCCAGCTGGATCACCACCAGAGCTAACGCGAATCGATGGAGTGCTATAGAACTGGCGTAACCGGGCACAGCCTCCGGATCTTCGAGCTAAACAGGAGACGCAGACATGCTCGCGAAGAGGGCCTGTAACAGACCGCAACGAGGTCCGGAACATTCAGTCCAGAGATATTTGAACAGTGCTGCGACGTGGATTTTCACAACGAGACCCAATTGATCTTGAAAGAAACGAGTGATGATGATGAAGATGAAAAGAGACAAAAGCTTCAGTTCCTGTCCTGTTCGCCGCAAGTTGTTTTTTTCTGCCGTTTGATTTACATGATTGGTCTATGAATTCACCGCCTTTACTGTGTCGCAGTCGCTTAACAGATATAGAGAGAGCATGATTGTCAAGGAATTCGAGCAGAATTAGAATGGAAGATAGTTTTTCTGATAGTATAGAACAGTCTGAAGTACTGATATGAAGAATTGAGTGTTGTGGTGTTCGAATGAACAGGGTCTCGTCTCTGTGCAGTGTATATAGACCTCCGTAGTCGGCGATATTATGTGCATGCCAATTTGATACAAACAATTTGTGATTATATCTGCGTATCTATCTTATTAGAATAATATGGTATATAATACATACCAATTAATTTAAATTATATATACTCAATCACTCGCAACGTTTCATCTTGAAATCCCGCAAATCATCCAAATCCGGGGTCGGAGAAAAGCCGCCCCGCCGTCCCGCCAGAGAAAAAAAGTGCGGTGACTTTTTGGGTCTTTTTGATGGTCTTCTAACAGCCCCTCGATCTGTTATCGCAGTCTGATCTCAAGTTGATTCTCAGCTGAGGTGAGTACATTTTTTTCCATATGATCTGTTTCTCTCATGCTCCTGTTTGTCTCCGTGTTGTGTGTGAAATTGTGTTCTTGTGCTGCAATGGACTGAGGGGCAAGAAATAGTTGCCCCTCCTAGAGGTCATGAAGAGGGGTTTCTCAATTGATGGGCTACTACCATGTCTTAAGGCTCTATGGTCGTTACCTTGATGTTTTCCGGTGCTTTTTTTAATATCGATGCATACAAAATTTGCTTTATTTTCTTCTTTTATCGATCCAGTCTGTTGCGATCTCCCAACTGATGCCATTATAACCAGGCTCGCTCGGGAACGCTGTGTCAAAGATGGCCCAAGAACAATTGCGCATCCTCATCGTCGGTAACGGCGGACGAGAGCATGCTTTCGCCTGGAAGCTGAGCCAATCTCCTCTGGTCGATATTGTCTACGTCGCCCCGGGCAATGGTGGAACCGGTCTGGGTGCTTCTAGCAAGATTTCCAACGTCAACATCAAAGGAAATGATTACCCGGGCCTGGTGGCCTTTTCTCAGAAGAATGGCGTGAACCTGGTTGTTCCTGGGCCTGAGGCGCCTTTGGTGGATGGTATCCAAGGATACTTCCAAGCAGGTGAGTGATTTTGAGTAGTTGTCGACGCAAGGACTACGTTGACACTTGCTTCAAGTTGGAATCAGATGCTTTGGCCCATCCAAGGCTGCCGCTCGCATGGAAGGCTCCAAGACCTTCTCGAAGGATTTCATGAAGCGCCACAGCATCCCCACCGCCGTCTACGAGAATTTCAACGAGTACGAACCGGCTCGCAAGTACCTTGACTCTGTGTCCCACAATGTTGTCATCAAAGCCGACGGACTTGCCGGCGGTAAGGGTGTTATTATCCCCGCATCAAAGGAGGAGGGTCACCAAGCACTCCGGGAGATGATGCTCGATCATCAGTTCGGCGAGGCTGGCAATGAGGTAGTCATTGAGGAGTACCTCGAGGGTGATGAGCTTAGTGTTCTCACCTTCAGCGATGGCTACACGATTAGCTCTCTCCCTCCCGCACAAGACCACAAACGCATCTTCGATGGTGACCAAGGTCCGAACACTGGTGGAATGGGCTGCTATGCCCCTACCCCGATTTCCTCGAAAGAGGTTCTGGAGGAGATTGACCGGACCATTGTGCAGCCCTCGATTGACGGAATGAGGAGAGATGGTTCGTCACTCAATACGCACTTATTATGCTGGGCCGTTTGCTAATTATATTCTTCAAGGTTTCCCCTTGGTGGGTATTCTCTTCACTGGACTCATGATGACCAAGAACGGACCCAAGGTTCTCGAATACAACGTCCGCGGTGGAGACCCAGAGACACAGACCCTCCTTCCTCTGCTTAGCGATGACACCGACTTGGCCCAGATTATGGTCGCCTGTACAGAGCACTGGCTCGACGGTGTTTCCATCAAGGTCAAGCCCGACTTTTCCACCACCGTCATTGCCGTGGCAGGCGGCTATCCCAACTCATACGCCAAGGGCAAGGCTATCACTCTGGACCCCGCCCCTGAAGATACACTGATTTTCCACGCGGGAACTAACCTCGCTGGCAATGAACTGCAAACTGCCGGTGGTCGAGTTATTGCTGCTACCGCCACTGCCTCGAGCCTCGAGGAGGCCGTCCGTAAGAGCTACGTCGGCATCTCAACCATCCACTTCGAGGATATGTTCTACCGCAAGGACATTGCGCACCGGGCATTCAGACAGAGAGATGCCGTTGCATCCCAGCAATCCCTCACCTACGCCTCCGCTGGTGTCTCCATCGACGCTGGCAACGACCTTGTCAACGAGATTAAGAGCTCTGTGGCCCGTACCAAGCGTCCTGGAACTGACGCCGTGATCGGTGGCTTTGGAGGTCTCTTCTCCCTTGCTGCAGCCAACTCTGCTTACCACCCACAATCACCCACCTTGATCGGTGCCATTGACGGTGTTGGCACGAAGCTCAAGATTGCCCACACCGTGGGAGTCCACAACACTGTGGGAGTTGACCTGGTTGCTATGAACGTCAACGACCTGGTCGTTCAGGGCGCCGAGCCTTTGTTTTTCCTCGACTGCTATTCTTGTGGTAAGCTGGATGTCCCCACCGCCTCGGCATTCGTGAACGGTGTCGCGGAGGGCTGTGTTCAGGCTGGCTGTGCTCTCATCGGTGGTGAGACTGCAGAGATGCCTGGTCTCTTTGTGGAAGACACCTACGATGCTGTTGGTGCTGCTGTCGGTGCCATCAACACAACCGGTGACAATGCCCGCACCATTCTTCCGGATACCTCTGCCATGAAGGACGGAGATGTCTTGCTGGCCTTGGGCTCTTCTGGTCCCCACTCCAACGGATACTCGCTCGTCCGAAAGATCGTTGAGAGATCTGGTCTGAACTACGAGGACGCGGCTCCCTTCCCCATGCCCTTCAACTCTGAGCCCTCCACTCTCGGACGCGCCCTCCTCACTCCTACCCGCATCTATGTCAAGCCCATCCTCAAGGCTCTGGACGTCAAGACCAGTGCCTCCTCGCCCGCCATCAAGGGTCTTGCCCACATCACCGGTGGTGGTCTCGTGGAGAACGTGCCTCGCATGCTCCCATCAACCCTGTCGGCCCACATCAAGGCTTCGGGATGGCAACTCCCCCCTGTTTTCTCTTGGCTCAAGAAGAACGGCAACGTCACCGCCACCGAAATGGCACGTGCATTCAACTGCGGTGTCGGTATGGTTGTGGTGGTCGATAAGGGCTCCGAGGCTGCCGTCAAGGAATTGTTCGAGAAGGAAGGCGAGACTGTCTACGAGATCGGACAGCTCAAGACCAAGAAGGATGGCGAGGAAGCTTGCGTCCTGGAGGGACTGGAGACATGGGATGCTTAAACAAGTTTCCTTTAACCATACATAACCAGTCAACCAGAAAAGTACAAAAAGCAAAAAAGGCTTCTTTCTTTCTTTTCCTTTGCTTTCACTTGATGACTTATATCTATATCTATCTGATGTTGATGCCTTATTTTCCTGATCCGATTTTGCCTTGGTTTTAGACGTGCGACGATGGATGAATTGACACGAAAGAAAAGTTAAACAGACATATAGTACCCCTTGGAATTTATATTTGTTTTTGAATATATGTCTATACACAGAAGCCCAATGGATTTGTGATTTATTCAATTTGCCTTTCCATAGTACCTACAATAGGTTCTATCCAGATAGTTGCAGGAAACACTAGGGACGACACTATCTAACCAACATAAAGTACTCAAGACAACAGTAACAAGTACCATTAATTATACTGGAAATTCTATCAAATAAATCCATGAAATCAAATTGACTCCGTATCCAACGATAGTACACGCCAAAACATGCAACGCACCAACAATAATGTCATGGATATGATTGGACGACTACTTCCCTGGCAATCTAAGAACCAGTGGAGTAACTCCAGACTCCAGATGAAGCCACCAGGGTCTGACACTGAGGCTCTGTGGGTGCAAAGGCCGAGTGACATCATGGTTTGTGATCTAGATTCTACTGGTGATTCAACGAGTGACAAACTAAAAGGCTTTTATATGTCAAATCCGCAAGGCGCGGATATGTTCACGGAAAGTAACAGCGGGATGCAAAGGGGTCAAATGGTGGAAAGAACATGACAAGAAACAAGAGCTGTCTGAAATCGGTCCACAGGATATCAACATTCTCGGCAACATTTAAGAACTCGAATTTAAGAGACAAAGATAGAAAGAAGAAAGAGACTAACATCGTAACAGAAGGATTCAAACATGAGCGCAGAACTATATGAAAGAGGACTTTCACCGCACTATCCACGAAACCCATGTACAACCTTCTCCTACACCGTGTCCTTTTAACTTCTTTTCAAGTATCCTTTCTCAAGACGGATCTTGCTACCGTCAGAGGTGTCCCTGTGTTGGAGTGACAGGCGTCAAAAAAAAATAAACCATCTCTATTCCACAACTAAAATAAAAGTTCCTTTTTCAGGCGATCTTCCTCATAGCGCGAGTCAGAGAGGGCTCGCAAGCCACCACTTGCCTCCGTCCAGCATTTTGATACACCAGGAAAGTACGAAAGAACGAAACGAGCAAAACGCAAAAGCTATACCATCCCCAGTCAGTCTCATCCTATCAAACCAGGAATGCAGTGAATATCATACCTTAGAAGCACTTGCGGTGCACGATCGAAGGACCGCTCTCGTCGTACTCCTGCTTCGAGATCCACATCTGCTGGAAAGTAGACAGAGAAGCCAAGATGGAACCACCGATCCACACGGAGTATTTACGCTCAGGAGGAGCAATGATCTTGACCTTCATAGACGAGGGAGCAAGAGCAGTGATCTCCTTTTGCATACGGTCGGAAATACCAGGGTACATAGTGGTACCACCGGACTAATCGAGGGGGAAAAACATGTCAGTGATTGCGTTCAATGTTGAACGGATTGGAAGATACGTACCATGACGATGTTGCCGTAGAGGTCCTTACGGACGTCAACATCACACTTCATGATGGAGTTGAAGGTGGTGACGTGGATACCACCGCTCTCAAGACCCAGGACGCTAGGCTGGAAGAGAGCCTCAGGAGCACGGAAACGCTCGTTACCAATGGTGATGACCTGGCCGTCAGGAAGCTCGTAGGACTTCTCGAGGGTGGAGCTCTGGGAAGCGGTCTGGATCTCCTGCTCAAAGTCGAGAGCGACGTAGCAGAGCTTCTCCTTGATGTCACGGACAATTTCACGCTCAGCGGTGGTGGAGAAGGTGTAACCGCGCTCGGCCAAGATCTTCATCAGGTAGTCAGTCAGGTCACGACCGGCCATGTCGACACGCGAGATAGCGTGGGGCAGGGCGAAACCCTCGTAGATGGGGACGACGTGAGTAACACCGTCACCAGAGTCGAGCACGATACCGGTGGTACGACCGGAGGCGTACAGGGACAGCACGGCCTGAATGGAAACGTAGAAGGCGGGGGCGTTGAAGGTTTCGAAGACAATCTGGGTCATCTTCTCACGGTTTGACTTGGGGTTAATGGGGGCTTCGGTCAAGAGGACGGGGTGCTCCTCGGGAGCGACACGGAGCTCGTTGTAGAATGTGTGGTGCCAAATCTTCTCCATGTCATCCCAGTTGGTGACAACACCGTGCTCGATGGGATATCTCAAAGTGAGGATACCACGCTTCGACTGTGCCTCATCACCGACGTAGGAGTCCTTCTGGCCCATACCAATCATGATACTGCGAAAGGCGTCAGTGGGACAAGCATCCCTCGACTAGCTAGGGAAGAGAATATTTACCCATGGTGGCGAGGACGACCGACAATGGAGGCTATTCTCAAATGTCAGTCATCATTCGTTTTTAATTTTTTTTGACATGCACGAGTAGGCCATCCCAGGTATGCCGCCCCGACGCAAGGGTGACTGACATTGGGGGAGACCTAACAGGTGACAGGAGGGGTTTGTGGGGGTTTGACTTACGGAAAACAGCTCGGGGAGCATCGTCACCGGCGAAACCGGCCTTGCACATACCCGAACTACAAGGGAATTTCTGTCAGTATATATAATAAACCTCATAATGATTGATTCTTCACGGGACGAAGATTCAAAACGAGTGGTATGGTCGATAGTCGACAGCAGCGACCGATGGCGGCACGGTTGAACGACGGATAGATAGGAGGTGATCGGAACACAACACAAACAGGGAACCATGGAAAGCAGAACAAGACATACCCATTGTCGATAACGAGAGCAGCGACTTCCTCTGTAATGGAGATTAAGCGTTAGTGATGTGAATTAGGATGATGGACGAGGACGAGATAGAATGGAGGGACAGGGAGTTGGGGTTTGGGGGGGGAAGAGCAAAGCCGCTGAGGTGTCACAAAGCTTACCTTCCATGGTGGCTGAGAGATGAGATTAAGAAGCGAACTACAAAGAAAGAGAATAAAAGAGGAAAAGAAGAAACCTCGACGGGATAGGAGGGGAGGTTAGGAGGATGAGGAGAGATGGGTTTGGTGGTGGTGGTGGTTGTGTGGTGGTGGTGTATAAGGGAAGAAGAGGAAAGGGGAGAAGAGGGGAGGAAGAGAAGAAGGACGAGGAGGTTGGATTAAGGAGGATAGCAGAGAGAGAGAGATGGGATTGGGGGATTGTTGGTTAGTGCCGTTCTGGCCACTTGGTTTGCTAGGTTGAGTGGTTAACCTGTCACCGCCACGCTGGAAGGAGAGCAACTATTTTAATCCAGAACCCACTTGGGAGAGCTGGCGATGGTATTTATTTATTAAATAGTACCGAGTCCTAGCTGTTTCTCTCTCCTGATGAATTATCTATTCTTCTTCAAGGCAGAATCGTTCCATTTCTCCTGGAGGGGGATGGCAAAAACACTTGCGCATCCTCCGTGGGGCGGGCTTATTCCAGGGCCGTGATGGTTCAACCGGTCGAAGCAGAATCATTCCTATCCAAGGGTTCAGGCTGTCGCATTCGCATTGTCATTGGATTATTGTTGGCTAGATAGGTGACACTGTCAGGCTCCCATTTTGCATGGCTTTCTGGCTGATTATTATCAGGTTGCCTCTATACCAGTTTCTCCCCGTATCCCCGTATCCTCCTTCTGACGCGTCCATATTCCCGCATGTGTGCCTAATTGATCTTCTACCATGCAACAATCATTCTCATCACCATTTTTATTTCATCCCAGATCATAGTTGTCTTCTTATTTTTCAAGGGGCTGGGCAGGCAAAGAAGGCCAGCAGGGCTTCTGCGTTTTTACCGCCATTTGGACGGGAATCACCAAACCCACACCCACTTTGGACTTGTTGATCAGTCTGATAGCATTCGACTATCGCTGTCGTAGTTAAGGGGGTGACATGCCATCTCAATTCGACCCCCCGAATTAGATCCTCCCTTTTTAAGTATTGATATTGTCAGCATTCAAACCATTCCCATCCTGGATGATCCCTTAAATGCTCGTTTAACTCTGGACGCGGGGTTTTGAGTCGATGGCGGGGCAGCTTGCAGGACGAAGATCTTGTCATCATAACATAAAATCTCTATGAATATATAGTTTTGAACATAATTAAATACTACAATTGGCACACTATTAACCATTCTATACTTGTTGTTTCTATCACTTCTGTTTTTCCTGTCTGGTGTGCTGCTGTGTTGCTGTGGAAGAAGGTGGAAAGTCATCGCTGCCGCACGAATCATCTGGATTCATCCATCGTTCAGAATCCGATCCTCCACTGTCGCTTCTACAACTTTTTTTTTTTATCGCAGTCATTCCTGTCACTGCTATCTATTTCAATTTACTCTCTCCATAGACTACCTCCACTGATAATCTCAGGCGATTTATCATTTGTTTTTTTGAACACATTCTTACTTCACCTCCAACAAATTCTTCAACGTCAAATATCTGCCCCTCATGGCTGCAGACCCAAACTTGAACGGTCTCCTTAAATGGAGTATCCAAAACTCTTCCGCAAGCCAGGAATCCGCTGATCCCAATGCGCCCGCCCCTGAGCCCTCTCGTGGCATCAAGCCCGAGATGCTCTCTGCTCTCTTTGGTGGTCCCTCTGACGCCGACCTGATGAAGGCTGCCATGGCCGCTCTTCACTCGGATGAGGTGGACCTGGAGAATAAGCTGGTTGCCTTTGACAACTTTGAGCAACTTGTTGAAGGTATCGACAATGCCAACAACATGGAGCCCTTGGGCTTGTGGACCCCGCTGGTCCAGCTGCTCAAGCATGAGGAGACCGACATGAGACGCATGGCCGCATGGTGCATCGGAACAGCCGTGCAGAACAATGAAAAGGCTCAAGATAGGGTTAGTATTCCTGCATTGCTCCTGAATATCCAACACTAACATCTGCCGTCTTATCAGCTCCTCGTTTTGAATACCTTCCCAGCCCTTGTATCCATAGCCACCTCGGATTCCGCCCCCGCCACCCGCAAGAAGGCCATCTACGCCATCTCGTCGGCAGTCCGCAACTACCAACCTGCCATGGATGACCTTGTCAAGAACCTCCCAGAGGGCTACCCTACTGATAAGGTCGACGCAGGTGACATGGACGCTGTGGATGTGATCCTCAACAAGCTCAAGGCCCACCCATCGGCGTGAAGCAGGAGTTTTCCCCATTCCGTTCAGCTCTTATGAGAATTTGGATCGTTTCTCCATATACGTCCCATTGACACTGCATTGGCATTCATAAAAGCCCACGCCTTCGGCTCCTATGCGGCTTAGGCGGCGTCGTTTCATAAGGCAGGCAGATATTTTTCTGCAGATCACTCATCCGTCATCATTTATCGAATGGTGACTGCCTTGGTGAAACAGTACCGCATCAGGAATTGCGTGGTGGTTGCATTGTTGGCCGTAACAGGATCACCATTGTCAAACGTCATGTTGAGGGTTCTGTGTCCTGCAAGGAGCCCGTCCTAGGACACGAGATAGATTATCATGATCTACAGAGAAATCTTAGATTATCTTGCATTGAGGATACTCTGATTATAAATACCTGAAATATATGCAGTGAAATGATAGACTCAAACAGACAAATCAACTTCTATTGGTGTTTTCCTAAATTCTGTACAGGGATGAAAGGTTACTCTAATAGCACCAACATTCCCTTGCTGCCTAGCCCCTGTCTATGTCATGGACTTGGAATAGTTGTCAACGATTTGTATTTAATAACGCCTCCAAAAAAAGCAAAAAATAACCAGTACATACAATTAACAAAAAGACAAGCATTTTTCATGTATAACCATAACCCGCTAACACTACATGCTAGAAAATACAACATGAATTCATTGCAACCGCGCGCCGTTTCTAACAAAACGTGATATAACCAAATAAAGGTACCAAACTAGAACAGTAAGAGGGGGACAGAGCCAGAGCAGAGCCACTAGAGCGCAAGGTTGTAGGTATAGTCATCCTCTATGTTCTGCGAGATCCATAAAACGACAGAACTACGATATAATCAGTAATAGCCCCAAGGAAGGAAATGTGAATAAGCAAACCTCAGCATGACAAGACTGTTGGCGACAACATTGGCAATTCCAAAGTAGAGCGTCTGTAGGGGGTATTGCTTGATGAGATACTTGAGAGTCATGACCGTCTGCAATCACGTTAGCATCCAACATTAAACTAACATAAGGTATGCTGGAAAATGCCCCCCAAGGCACGAGTCGATTGTAGATAGAAATACTAACCACACTACCAGCCAACCCTCCAGCGAGAAGCGCAAATCCCAAGAAGAGCACAAAGCGCGCCTTCCAAGCAACCCCACTTCCACTGTAGCTGAAGCTATCCGCATGTAACCGCGACTTCTCGATCGAGTTGATAACAAGCATTCCAAGCGATGAGCAGATACCGGGGATCCAGTCCACGAACTTCACATGGACGGTCGAGCCATTGCGGGAGCTATGGGAGAATGCGGCGGCATCGATCAGGAAGAAGAAACCAAGGGAGAACTGCAGATAGTATGTCTTGTCAGCTCTGCTGCTAAATGAAGTTCAAGCGATGTATAGGGAAGGGTCGATTGGGGCTTACCAGTGCCCCCGAGGTGTAGACGCCCGCACTGCGAACGGTGGAGTTATTGAGCCATTCCGGCTTCGAGAACCGAAAGAGACGGTTGTTTGAGACGTCCATTTGGTGTTTTTGTTGGTGAAACGGTGAATATCGGAAAAGTGACACAAGATTATAGGCCCCGAGAGATTGCTTGTTCTGTTCTGCTGGATGGTTCAGGTTGTCTATATGCTCTCCGCTCTTCGCAAGGTTAGCGATGATGCAGTCGCCGGAATTCGGAAAATCGGGGGGGCCGGCCTGAAGTATTCAAAGCATACCAGCCCTAAGCTGTCTATATTATTCACTTTGTTGATTTCTACAGCATTGATGAAGATTATTGTCATAGTTTGCTCTGTTTATATTTTATTCCCATTTGTCTTAGATTACAACTTCACAAGAGTCGTCGTGCTGCCATGTACTATTGCAGTTAGCTTCAACAATAGCAATGACAGGATTTATGGATCCTGTGCTCCGGACTGCAGAGTGAAATGAATTATATAGTTCGTAACGTCATAAGTTGTAAAGACCTAGTCTGCAAGACCTGTTCCAGACAGATCTCAGTTCTCCTCGCAGAAAAGCCTCAAAAACTCATCAATATATGTCATTGCCTTGCCTTTTTCCAACAAAGGGGGTAAAACTCTTTCGCCCTCTCCATTCTGGGGTGCCTCTTTTAAGTATTTCCGTAATGCAAATGTTGATGCACGATATGTCGCATGATACATTGCCTTGAATTCATCTTCATTCGTGGAGACCGCGGGAGCAGCGTCCGTTACCGGGATGCGTGTATCCTCTAGGTCGTGGTTAACAGTAGTAGTACTCTTGTTCGTAGATCCTGGCCGTGTAGACGTGCGGTTGAAGCCATACAGGCGCATGCATGTCAATATTGTGCGAGTAATTATGTTCTTGTTTTCCAGAATGATCGTGTCGGGATCTTTTGGTCCGGATGACAAGTCAGTCTTTCCTTCAGAGGATGACAAAGCTGGTGATGGCTCCATCCGCGTAGGGTATTCCAAAAATGGCGTCGGTGTGTTCCTCTTGGATGTTATACCGCGCCCGTGGCTCCGAGCAGTGCTTGGCCTGGAGTTGTCGGTGCGAATCTCCAAAGGTTTGTTTAAATTTGCCCCAAGAGAGAGAGACCTAAAACGCTGTGAAGCAATCCTGTCCAAGGCGGGAATGCTAGGTTCCTCAGATTCTCGTTTGATCCTGAGAGTCTGCAACTGCTGGGATGGCTGAGACAAAGAGGGTGCCATCAACTGTGAGACTGCCTCCCCTCCTTTTTGCCGTACTCTCCTATGATGCTGTGCAACTGATTCGAAGAGGCTAGCCACTCGCTTCCTCTTCGGACTGGGCGACCGGAGGTCTGGGAGGAATTCAGCAAATTGGACAACATTGGCAAAACTATCTGGATTTTGCGGGGGTGATGGGAGGGACAGGGCCTTTGCGATAAGAGAGGCGGAGATTGGCGTGGCATATATTCTCAGTTCTTGCTTAGTTACAAGAGATGCATTCTCAGGGTAATCGGGCGAAGATGACACGGGAGGAGTTGGAGGTCGTTCAAATGAGGTTGCGCTCGACAGAACACCATAGATCAAGAGATCCGATGTGAATGGCCCGGAAATCTTTGCCCGTGAAGTGTTATCGACACTTATGAGAAGACCAACAGGGCATTGAAATAATGGACACCGATCTAGATCCTCCCCTTCTAGCCAGATATTGCCAAGCAACTTGCTCTTTAGCCATTGCGATGTTCCGCCATCAGTAGTATGTAGTTCGAGATTCGGGCCAGCTCTCGCATAGAGTGGGATTAAAGCAGGATTGACAAAACAGCGGAAACTAAGGCTCGAGTCTTTGGTAATATCAGATTGCCAGTGGGACGTTGGATCAATTAATTGTAGGCCTATGAGATGAAGTCACCGTGGTTAGCAGGCGAGTGATAACAGGATTGTCGCGTCTTCACCTTCAAGTTGAGATTCTTCATTTAGCAAAATGGGCCCCGACCAGATGTTCATGGTGACAATCAGATTGCTACTAGTAGCTCACATAATTTGAGTATGTTGTTTCAGGTGATCTCAGACGAATGAACTTTCTGGGGGTGCTTGATCTCATTCCATCAACACGAAACGCGCTGGAAACGGTACGTACTCACGTGATCCAATATATGCAAATTGGGATGAGTGGTGTTTATTCAATCAACACGCCACCATCCAAGAGGAATCAAACTCATGTATCAATTACGAGGGACAAAAAAAAAATCGTGAATCTTTAACGTTGTGAACACTCTATATAATCATAGCATATAGTACTTATAGTACACCCAAGAATATCGCATACAAAGAAACGCTTCAATCAATAGACCCGACTCCCGCAGTGGAAAGTTCAATAGAAAGTAAATAGTCTTGGAATACGTCAGAGCAAATAACTGATATCATGCAAACAATACGTAGGGCCATAACAAGCGATGGTGGGCTGGAGGCATTTCAAAATGCAAGGCATCCAATATGGTTTTCTGCCTGCTTTATGAAGTTGGTGCCACCACTGCATCTTAGAATTCTTCTTGCTCCTGGAAGAACATCGAGAAGCTAATAATGGTTCCGTAGATAAGGAGACCTCCAAGAATCGACATGATCATCGCTGGAACTTCGATCGCACCGCTGTGTGCAAGGACGGCCGGGAGCGCTGGATTTCATACATGTCAGTTTCATCAACTAAAGAGGGCACTCCCATTTATGTGGAAAGTTCGCATGGATCAAAGAGAGAATGCGATCGGTGTGGTTTCATGGCCAACGGTCGATGCGACTTACCGATACCCATGAGCACAAGAAATCCCGTCAAGAATCGACCAAAGTCCACCGCCGCATTTCCAGAATTGTCCATAAAGTCATCTGGGTTGGCACATCGAGAACATATCCAGTTCGGCAGGGGAGCGACAACGTAAGTCGCAACAACAACCAACGGCAGGAAGTTGTGCCAGAGGGCAGACGAAAGAATCACGAGAAGAAACCCAATCGCAAGTACCTAGTAAGAGAAATATGTTAGCTGATGCGTCGCCAATTAGAAGTCTCTAGGGAGATATGATACGTACAAACGAAAGGGCGATGATGGTCTTTAGGCCTGCCGCCATGACTGCGGAGACAAGAGGACCAACTAGGGTCCAAGAACAGCGATAAAGCTGGAGTTGAAATCGCACGAGCAGAAACGAGGCAAGCCTAGCCTCAGATAGAATTCAAGGGTCAGATAAAGAGGCAAAGCTCTGTCTATATCAAGACATTGACAGATACCTCGACGGTCAAGCAGCTCGGTTGGCTGGTAGCCCCAGGTGACGTTGGCAGAACCAGGGCGGCGGCAACCGGGCGGGCTGGTATTGCTAAGGCACCAAGGCACCAAAGGCACCCAGCCCAGCCCAATCGTCAAGCAAGCGGGAGCTTTGGAAGTCACCGCGTCAGTTGCTCACTGCCTGCTCTTCTTGCTATCCCCCTCAGCAAAGCCGTCTCTTTCTTATCTTCTGCTGTTGCTCCCGTTAATTAATCCCCTTGACGAATACCTCTGCATCTGATTTTCACCTGATTTTCATCTCCTTTCCTCCCAGATCAAGCTCCCATCATGTTCAGAAACAACTACGACAACGATGCGGTCACCTTGTATGAACCCACCTAGCTCCCTTATCTATCTGGATGAGATATCTTCAGTAACTAACTATGGGATAGCTCCCCGCAAGGCCGGATATTTCAGGTTGAATATGCACAAGAAGCCGTCAAACAAGGATCGGTCGTGGTGGGGCTTGTCAACAAGACGCATACCGTTCTGGTCGGCTTAAAGGTTCGAATTGTCATCAAGGGAGATGGTTGGTAAGATGACGGCCACGATGCTAACTTATGGACTGTCGTTTGTGTAGCGAAATGCCGAAGAGCTGTCCTCGTATCAGAAGAAGATCATCGAAATCGACTCGCACATGGGCATTGCCATCGCCGGTTTGGCATCAGACGCTCGTGTCCTCTCCAACTTCATGAAGCAGCAGTGCCTCGGTTCCCGGATGACTTATGGACGTGCCATCCCTGTGGACCGCATTGTCTCCCAAATCGCTGACCGCGCCCAGACCAACACCCAGCACTACGGTAAGCGGCCATATGGTGTGGGATTGCTTGTTGCTGGTGTTGATGAAGCTGGGCCTCATTTGTTCGAGTTCCAGCCTTCGGGTATGACACATGAGATGGTTGCTTGTGCTATCGGAGCCCGCTCTCAAATGGCAAGAACATACTTGGAGCGACATCTGGATGAGTTCGCCAACTGCACCCGGGATGAGCTGGTCACCCACGGTCTCCGGGCTCTCAAGGAGACCTTGTCTCAGGACAAAGAGCTGACCGTTGAGAACACATCCGTGGGAGTGGTGGGCCTGGCCGGAGAGGGCGCCAAGGGCAAATTCGAGAGCTTCAAGCTATACGATGGCCAAACAATCGCACCGCTGCTGGAGACTCTGGAACAGTCGGAGGCGGAGGAGGGTAAAGAGACGATGGAAGTCGACTCATAGTTTCTGATTTTATGCCCATAGACATGAAAACGCTTGTCTCTTGATCCTGGAGATTTACGACAGTCTTATTCCCTATCATACTACTCAGACCATCTTGGTAATGTGATTTCCTTCATCTCTTGTATCATGCAATCAATGTCATCATTTCGTAACGAGTCTACGGTATTTCTTTCTATCAGCAGACTTTAAAAACTGCTGTTTATCGTAATGGTGTATAGGAAGACCAATGCAGCCAAAGCCACAAGCCTATATCAGCCACCAACACTGAGTCCCAGAAGAATAATTATTCCTCGCCCCAGTTCAGCTGCATCCGGCTGGTGCTGACCTTGTATTCCACCAACTTAGGCCAAACCTCGCTAACACTCTTGGCCTCGACCAGAATGCCGCCATTTTCGGCACCAATATATCCCTCTTTGACGGCGTTCTTAACCCAAGCCAACAATCCGTCCCAGTACCCATCAATATTCAACAAAATAACTCCAACCTTGTGAATACCCAACTGATTCCAAGTCGTCATCTCCATAACCTCTTCGATGGTGCCAAATCCACCCGCCAGCGAGACAAATCCAGACCCAGGACCACCCTCCAAAACCTTGGTGGCCATGAGTCGCTTGCGCGTGTGCATATCCGCCACAATAGTCGTGACACCGTATTCAGTCTGCTGAAACATGGCGGTTTTGTTGAGCGGTTCGCGAACGACTCGCTCCGCGTCCTTTCCTTCGGTCATCACCGATCCCGACTTTTCTTCTTTTGCATTATCGTACCCGGGCTCGGTCTTGACGAGAGCACGAGGGATGACTCCGTGCACTGCTTCTGGTCCTGACAAGGAGACCAGGGTGCGGGCAACCTCGCCCATCAGGCCGGCTGTGCCGCCGCCGTAGACGAGCTGGACGTTATTCTTGTGGAATTCATGGGCGAGAGCGCGCGCGGCTTCCATATGTTTAGGATTTCTGCCTTCGACGGAGCCGCAGCTGAAAATAGGGGATCTTGTTAGCTTTTATCGCATCCTATCCCCCTTAAAAGCTCCCGAGCCTGGCGGGAGAAGAGAGGGGTTGGAACTCACAACACGCAGACGACTGCTGGTTTGTTTTCTTGGGTCGAAGCCATGGCTGCTGCTGTTTATTCCAATTGGGAAATATTCTCTGTGGGCGTGATATCAAAGTAAAGACAGTAGAGCAGTCTGATGTCAACGGGGCCTGCAGTGGTTGTTATGGATCTTGGTTCCACAGACAGACAGCAGTCAATTGAAGCGGGGAACTCTTCCACTGTACGCCGTAGCGACCACGATATTTATACCATTCTAGAGTAGTATTCAAATTACATTATCGCTTTACCTTATGTTTTCAATTTTTTAACTTTTTTTTTCATAAAAAATTGCATAGGCAACCAAATATTTATGTGTCTATGAGTCATTCATAGTTCTCATTGTTGGCGGAGCTATGACATAGTAAAGTCAATGCCGTTGATCATGTCGATGGATCCCAGATCTACAGGCAGGTTAAATTAAGAAAGAAAGAGACAAAATAATATTTCTCATAGGGTATCTTAAGCAAGAATTCAGTTTCCAATCCTACTCTTCTTTTTCCGTAACTTATTCTCATCAGGGGTAGGCGGCGCACTCCCCTTCTCAGATGCTTTCCCAGGTGTCTCTACCCTGACCTGGGGTGTCCCAACCTTTGCTGGCACAGCTACAGCAGTACTTGCACCTGGTGGTTGTTTAGCTGCTGCTGTTCTATCTTTATCGCCTGATTTGGACAGGATGAAAGAACCAGGCTCCCCAACCAACGGGTTATCATCCATGTATTCCTCGCCATATCTCGTAAGGAGGCCGAATGATTCTGCCAAGGTTCTGGTGTCCTGAAGAACAGAGCCGGTGTTATTGGCTTGCGATCCTACTAGTGGCGCTTGGTTCTTGGTTTGGCTATCTGCGTCGGGCATGGGCGTACTTTCCTTGCTTTGCTGAGATTCCTGTATTCCAGACTGGCTCGAGTCCGCTTGCTTCGAAGTAGGGGGCATATAGGTATGTCCGTAGGATGGGGTAAATGTTGGCAGGGTTGATGCTGTCTTCAAAAGACTTGTGAGAGATGTAACGGCAGAAAGCTGTACAATGTCACTTCGCGTTAGCCCTTCCGCAACTGGGGCGATAGAAATCCTTCTCAAAAGAGACACATACAATGCGATTTCCCACGACACTTGCAACAGATGGTGCCATATAGATGCAATCACCAACCACAAAAAATGTCGACAGGACCGTCACCTCATCGTCGAAGCCAGAGCGCTTTCGTCTCGACTGCTTCCGAATCAGCCAGACGTTGGATGGCTCATGTGCAAAAGTATTGTTATCCAACTTGGCCGCTGCCTGCAGCGGATCATACGCAACAACGAACTCCAGTCCCTGCATTGTTTCCAATCGGGCCTCGAAGGCTTCCCGAGTCTCGACGAAATGGCGAAAAGTTTCATTATAGCTGGCCTGAATGGCAAGAGAGGCGTTGTTCGAGGTGGAGTCGAAAAAGGGGGATTCCGCGAAGTAGAAGAGAACTAGCCAATTAAATCATCGTGTTAGCCAAAGAAAGCTGCTATTCAAACCGATTTCGCTGTTAGGAAGCACAAGTAGAGGGCTTCATACTGTTGTTTGAATGAAGAAAGCCGCCCATCATCTGGACATGCGGGGGAGACCGCCAGAGAATTTCCTCCAGGGAAGTATCTTGAGAGGACGCCATTCAGAATTGCTTTTCTTGATATGTATGTCCTGCTCTGTGATCCCAGAAATAGCTGGAAATGAAAAGAAGACGTAGTATTCGAGTATGTTGGACTGGAGATTATGTCGTTTGCGATGCTCTCCGTGGAGGATAAAAGCTGTGTTTGATCTGTTTGCACCGGAGCTTCGATTGCTGTTTCTGACTTCGATGCATCAAACTGGAATTAGTAGATTTATACATCAAATCAGGCTTATGAAGCAATTATATGGTTCAATATATCAGGAAATGATGGATAGTGGCTTGCGCAATAAATGAAGCACAAATACGCTGATCCAATTGAATCTATATTTCACCACGGAGTAGATATATCATCAAACTTCAACGATGATTCGTTCAAAAATCATAATACCCGCGTAAGATGCACTGAAAGATAGTATCCAAATAATAATAAATAAAAACCGGACCAGAACCCCGACGCTGAATGTTGAATCTGATCTCTATCATCTATGCCCAACGCAAACGCGATGCAAATGTTGAAAGCCGTTCCCAAAAACAAAATGCAAAAGCCAAAAGAAAAAGAAATTGTAGAAAGCCTATGGCTTGCTAAAGCTGGTTGAACTCTGTTCTGGGTTCAATGGCGTGAAGATGTTGTAGACAGTTCGCAGTTTGGTCAACATCTCGTCCCATTCACCCTCAGCAGTGCTTAGGGTAGTAACAGCTCCCCCAGCACCAATTCGCCATACGTGCTGATCGTCATGGTCATTTGAAGAAGTAAAAGCAGTGCGGATCATGACCGAGAAACTTCCCCCGCCACCGAGGTCAAGATAGCCCATGGCCCCGGAATAAATCCCACGGTTTCGACCCTCGATCGAACGGAGGTGCATGCACGAACGTTCTTTGGGTGCACCGGTCATTGAACCTGGTGGAAGACATCTCTGGAGAGCAGTGAGCCCATGGACGGACATATTCGATGTCTTGAGTTGTGACATGTCTCGCACCGCAAAACCGGGTCGATGTTGATCTACTTCTCCTTTAACATGGGTGATCATCTGGAAAACTCGCCCATGATCCTCCACCTCCAGGAGCTTCTCAACGCGAACACCACCAGAGCCACAAATACCGTAAAGATCATGTCGAATTAGGTCTGCGATCATGAGGTTCTCCGCCATTTCCTTTGTGGAGCCAAGGATCTCTTTGGCTTTCTCCATGGTCATATCGCCTGACTTCCTCACCGTGCCTTTCATAGGCTTCATTTCGAGCATGGAATGTCGGTCCCAATTGAGAAAGCATTCAGGACTGCTGCTCACGATTTTGACATTGCCTAATTTCGCATAGGCACTAAATGCAGCGGGGTTGTACTTCTTGAGACGCCGGTACAACTTCCAAGGAAAGCTGGCACGACCGTTCTCCGTGTTAGGTGACGGTAGGGAAATGGTTGTTTCGCAGCTGAGACACAATTCATATGATTCACCGGCCTCAAGCTCAGCTTTGCAAGCTTCCAACTGGTCATAGTAAGTTTGCTGGTCCGGTAAGCGGATGATGCTGTCCTTGAGAACGGAATCCAGGAATTTTCCATCCTCAACGCTGTTCTCATCCTTGACCGGCGCACTGGAATTGCAAATTCCTTCCAATAATTGCAAAGTCTGATCAAGCCATTCAGCTGGCAAATCATCTGACTCTCGCGTTGACTGTACGGTAACTTTCCCTGTTTGATTGTCGACAACGACACTTCTCTCGGTCCATAGCAAACTCACGTCCGCTGGATCTTCGATCGAGAGACCAGTCTGAGTAGAAGATCCCCGAGAGCCATTGCCTCGAGGAGGAACCTCAGCCGTGGATTTTCCATGGGGAAGGCAAGCAAGGCTCATTTCATATGAGAAATAACCCAAAAAGCCACCCCAGAAAGGCACATTAAGGTCCCCTGAGTCGACCTTTTTCATTTCCATCAAATACCTGAGGACGTCCCAAAATTGAGAAACCGAAAGGTAATTTTCGACAATTCTCTCCGCATCTGCATTGCAATCGTCCCCCAGGCTTTCTAGCAACAACTTCTCAAACTGGGCGTAGTACTCTAATCTCCAGGAACCAGGGCTAGGAACTGATATGATGCTATATCTTCCATTGGATCGAAACAGGACAGTTGGCGAATCTGGACCATTCAGTTCTGCACAAATTGCTTCCGCGGTCAAGCTTTTGGCTGAGAAGGTTCGGTGGGCTGAATATCCTGAAGTAGAAGTACTCCATTTTAACATGGCAAATGCAGCATCCGGAAGAGAAGTCATATCATATGAACGCTTGATGATATCCTCAGGTAGGTTGCCATAACCTCCACGCCCAACCTTTTTGTTGAAATTGAGTGATGCTTCCCACCACCCCCTGAGCAATTCATCACATGCATTCCTATCCGACTTGCATGATTCCGGATGAAACTGAACGCCCCATAATGGCTTATACTTGTGGCGTACAGACATGGGAATCTGGGTTACTGAAGAATCATCGCGTTCAATAAATAGCCAAGCCAATAGATCAAGTTCATTGGACGCGCAAACATAATCGTTGGAATCGTCTTGCGCTGAGTTTATTGACAAGTCGAGTTCAGCGTATAGCGAATGGTAAAGAGTCACTTCCACGTCCTGTAGATTCCGGAAGATATCTTTTCGAGCCGTTGAAATCCGACGAACCTGGCCATGAAGCGGATATGGCAGTCGTTCTATAGAGACACCGTGATGGAGGCATAAACCCTGAAACCCTAGACAGATCCCAAGGACGGGTATCAAGTCGGCATCGTTAAGATTCCAGATGTCTTTCATGATGCCAACATCCTTTGCAACCTTCGGATCTCCAGGGCCAGGCCCAAGAACGACAGCCTCATAGTGTTGGAGGAATTCAATCATGTTGCCGTCTGGCCACTCGGAGTCGATGGTCATGACGGTTACCTTGACACCCAAGATCTCTTCCAGCATAGCAACCACATTATAAGAAAACGAGTCATATGCATCAATATAAAGGATATTCTTTTGAGGGGAAGTCTGACTCTTCGAACAAGAGGCCTGGTCGACCCCAAGGAGTGGTGCCATAATGAGTAATTCGCGGGCTTTGACAAGCTGCGCGGGGTATCAAGGAGAAAAAGAAGAAAAAGAAAGAAGGATTGTGATCAAGGGAGGATACGAAGAAGAAAACAAAATATTGAATCAAAAAGAAATTAGTATCCAAGGCAGGGAGGTTCCCTGCGTTGCACCACGCCGTCAAGGTACAGAAGAACCAGAGGGTTTCATAGCAAAAGCTGCAACCCCGAGAGTGGCGACGTCGGCTCAATGATAGAGGGAAACACAACAGACTGGGCGCTGATGATGAACTTCGAGTTTTTATCGAGAGAGTAAAATCCACAGGGATCGGTCAATAACCAAATAATCAATTCGAGGAAAAATAAAAGCAATGATGACCAGGGTCTGGCGAAAGATAGACTGCGGAGAAACAAAATTTGCGATGAAGTTTTAGATGAAAGCGAAGCGGCAATCAACGGAACAGCAGCAGATGGGTTCCCTGGGCCGTCGATAACCTTTTTTTTTTTTTTTTTTCTCCTCTGGAACCACCACAATTGAAAGAACAAAAAGATTGTGGCGATAGTGAGGATAATGGATTGTTTGCGTCTATTATAGTGGTATTTCTGAGTGGTAAATGAATGAGAGTACGACATTGGGGAAAACGACATGAATAAGTGCCATTGTTTCGCATGAGTCTCGGATTAATTTAGGATATATAGTATTCGTCAAGTTATATACGTGTACATAATACCATTGCGAGCTCATCATATGCGCTCATCATATGCAGACTGCGCCTGGAATCTAAACGCTGTATATCTTTGAACATTTGAGAATTCATCACGTTAAGAAAACCGAAATAAGTAATCAAGTCGTCAAACTCATTAGAGCATTATTAAATCAGAGAATTGGATTCTGGTGATTGCCTGCCTGCCGCAACAAGCTTCGCCGTAATCTTGGGGAAATATTGGGCCACGAAACCCTCACTAGAAGACAGTTAGCACGGAGAATCGACACAGCATGGAAAGGCTGATCATTGACATACGTATAGTAGCTGTGGGCTGAGCTATGGTCTCCCACAAGGTTATGAGCCAATTCATGGCACAAGATGACCCACCAATATACCAGTGCATCCGTCTTGTCGGGGCTCTGGCTCTGGAGAAGCTCTTTCTCGTGTAATTGTTGAAAGTAAAAGTAGTTGCAGAAGATGCTACCGGCTCGATTGAATGCTATCGTTTTACTTCCAGGGTCGTAGAACACGCCGAGTGCATCAACACGGAGTGAAAAGACACCAGCACAATCAATTAGCATCGTGGCGAATAGGTTGATGGCTGTGCTGTTCTTCGCAAGGAAGGCAGATCGATCTGTTAAAGTTTTCACGAAGAGAACGTTGATGCCACAAGGAAGGGTGGCCACAAAGTCCAAGTCGTGACTCGGTTTCTCATCGCAGTAGGACTTTGTCTCGGTGACCTGACTTGTTTCCGGTCGACTGTAGAGGCCAGACGATCCATGAGGTCGACAGGCTGAGACTGCTGAAATCAGCTCGTTCTGTAGCCGATGTGGAGGGTTGACAGATGGCTCGGATTGCTGCGAGCGAGTTTTCTGAGGATCTTCAGCAGAATAAGGTGGCGCAGGAGGAGGAGGAGTGGTGTTCTCCGAAGGGCCAGGAGATTGAGAAGATTCTCCGCCAAGGGGATTCCAATTTGACCGTGCACCCTCCAATCCGAGACGTTTCGTCAAATTGGAGAAGAGCCCGCGTGGACGTCGGTCCTGGCTAGGTTCAGACTCTTCAGGCTGTAGACTAAGGGGGTCAGATTTCTTGCCAGTAGGTGAATCTGGGAAATCTCCCGGCATCAAGGACCTCTCCTCTTCTTGTTGTGTGTTCGCCCGTGTTTGAGCTTGTTCCTTTGCCCATGCAGCTTCTCTCTCCTGAAGCTGCCTCCTTTCCTCTTCTAACTGCTTCTGACGCCTGTCCTCAGCCATTCTTGCTTCATTGGCTTTTTGCTTGAGGATACGTTCCACGTTGTATCCTCGGGCCTTGAGCTCCAACAAGTCAGTCTTCAACAGCATCTCCAGCGTGAGCGTGGAATGCAGCTTTGGTCGGACAAGGATAAGGTGGACAAGTGCTTGGCTAATCTCATAAAGATCATTTTTGCCTGGACAGATCCACAATACCCATGCCCGCGACTGTTTCTGGGTAATAATGGCACTTCGCTTTTGGGTATGGGATATACGGCGGCCTTTCAGAGACCGTGTAAGAGATATCGAATTGACCACTTGTACGGCAAGGTTTTTCTCTAGCCATCTGACATCATGCCGGATCGAATCTGGGGATTGATCATGAAGGAAGAGCCTTGAACGTTCGTTGACCAACTTTTGCAGTTTCGCTCCGGTACGCTGATCCGCGCACAAGTTTCCCCATTGAGCGCGTTCCTCCACAATCGTGCTCAATGGAATAGCCCCCAGAGCAAGGTAGAAGTTCTCTAAAAGCTCCTCTTGGGGTGCAGCGAGGATATGTTCTTTGAAAAGATTGAAACTTTGGAAGTCATCCACCACAATCGCATCTCGTGCCGCCGTTAAAGTCCACTCTTTAATGCTTTGGCCCTCGTCCTCTTCATCATCTGATCCAGCCAGTTTCTCTTTACTGGGGATTGCCTGGGCCAGAGAGGAAATATCTCGACTAGCAAGAAGGAACGGGGCTCTTTTCATTTCATTAAAAAGTTCCCTGTCCCTTTTGAGGGCAGACAGGTGCTCTGAAAGAGTCCTGAGAAGTTTGAGGTATTTTTCTGCGCTTTGGAAAGTAGAGGATATCCTTGCAGGCTCTTTCACTAGCATATGTGCCAGCTCAGTTTTGGTCGGTTCCCTTTTTGAACCGACGGCCATGAGAAAGAAATTTGCTTCTTGGCCAAAGTCAACAAAGTCGAATATGTCTTTGTAGTCTTCACCTTCCCCTAAGTAGCAAAGTTTGGGTGCCACACGACGAGTAGACTGGCCCGTCTCAGCCGTGTCCTTTGTTTCAACAGGCACAATTTTCGCGCTACCGACACGGTCTATATCTCGTGCACTGAGCTCCGATACCCTTCCAGCGAGGTACTTGAAAAGAACCCCGGCGTCTCGCTTTGTAGCGGGTGGTTGGCGAATCAAGTATTCGAGACAATCTGTTAGAGCGGGATGCTGCCTTACCCCCAACTTGGAAGAGTGAGGATGAAGGTCCCGTCGAAGAATCTGGAAACCAAACAAAGTAGCATTTTCGTCCGTGAAGCACTTGCCCGGAACACTGAAAACATCAGACCCTTCTATAGGCAGGAATGGGATATTCATTGCACTGCAATCAAACGCAGCATAGCCGTTGGTATGGTATTCACCAATATAATATAACATAGCTCTTGTATGGAAGACCCGGTTTTTTTCCGTTGTGATATTTGCCATAATTTGTATGAGCTCTGGCGCTGATGGGTAGCTCCTCAGACCTAACATGGCGAGGAACTTACCCTCATTACTGCTGGATTGGTATTTTCCAGGCCACTCAATAATAGGAAGCCCAAGGTTTCTTAGAGAATCTTTCGGTTCAAATAGTTCGGATATTCTGTAGCGTCTCCTCTGAGCTGATTTTGAGTCGCTATTCATTTCAGCTGTACATATACTGGCCCCTTTGAGCCTTTTGATATCATTTGCAGGAATATCATCTCGAACGGAGGCGAGGTAACGGATCAAGTCCACATGGCTCCATCTTTTCTGGTCATTACCGCTACCTTCAGCGGCGGTAGGCTGAGTGGTCTCCAAAAGACGTTCAAAGATGACCCCGAGCTCCACTGTTTTACGGACACCAAGGGCCATTAAAAACTTCTCTTTGACACTATTGAGACCATGTACCACGGGAAGATCTTTAAACAAGCGCACAGAGGCAAAGTATGTATCCGCAGGCTTTTTCATTCCAAGCTTGGTAGGAATAACCGTCTGTGGTTGTAGCAAGCTGACCAAGGTTTGTTTCGAAGGCTGACTGAAGCTTTCCCATTGCTTTGATAAAACTGGCAATACTTGGGCGGAAAATGATGGTGTTTTTGTTATATCTTGTTCTTCTGGAAGAGTGTTTCGGTTACCGGCGTTGTTTATGAGCCAGCGTATCCAGGGTACAATCTGTATTTCTGCCCATCCCAGGGCTTCGAGCTCATGTTTCCCCATGGTCTTGGTGAATTTAAAGGGCAAAACAGATAAGGGTAGCGGCAAGTCAGCAGGTATCCGTTGGGGATTCAGAAAGGTAGTTATGTCGGCAAACACAATTAATCGAGTTGGATTACCGTCCTTATCTTCATCGTTTGCCACGGCGACACTCAGAATACTTTGAACCGAAAACGCATCAAGTTGGCTCGAAGCAGCTCTTCTACTCAACCAGGAGATGAATTCGACAACCTGATTGGAACGAAGGGTGCTAGCTTCGAGCTCCCGTTTGATATCCGAAACAGTTATGTCGGTCACCAACCCAAAGTCTATGAGCCTTTTGACGAAATCCTTTGCACCCGACACGAATTCATCGGGTAGGACCGGAATTGAATCCATGAAGCTTAGATCCTTGGGAGCTATCCGGGCCTGATGGCTCTGGATAATGCCACATGTGGATAGCACTTCAATAGACGCATTCTTATTGCACATCCAGAATGCATCTTCGATTGTTTGCCCCAGAATTGAAGAAGGTGTAGATTCGCAAAACACGAATTGATTTGCAGTGTGAATCGCCTCAGGAAGCACCCCCACTATATTATCCTTTCGGATCTTAGACGAGCGTGATGTCTCTCCCCGAGGCAATATCCTGGACTTTATCGACGCCATCTCCGCCGACCAAGCAACTCGACAAATGATTCCTGCTGCTCTCAGCATCTCAATGTTCCATTTACTTATGTACCGAGTGTTGAGATCAATGCTTTCTCTTTCAACCGTGGGAATGACGGAGGGCGCGGATATATGGGCATTCAGACCCGTAGTTTGCTGCGTAGGAAATCCAATGAAAATTCTCCCAGCTTTGGAAGGCAGAATAGAGGCGAGTATCTCGGATTTCGCTGCCGAGTCTCCTGATATTATACTCGTGTCGTAAGAAGGCGTCAGTATAGCGATAGTCGTTTTTTTCGGTGGCGGTTTGCGTGTAGCTCTTTCAAGTTCCTTACTCAAGGACTGGCTGATCGAGGACTGGATAGATGCAGTGTTTATATGTAGGAAAACCGATGCCGTTGAAACCTTGGCCATGTCTTCGGAATCACTGGAATTATCCTGTTTCTCGGGATTTTCTTGTTTTTCTGAACTACCCTGGCCCGTAAGTCTTGAAAAGAACGAACGTAAGGAGCCCGTTGTATCCCTGAACCCATCCAAGCGAAATATGCTTGCCTGTGGATTCCACTCAACAGCGCGCATCCAAGCCGCATCAACTTGTGCGACTTCTCGGGTGATGCTCAAGATTTTCATAAGGCTATCAGCTGTTCTTGTCTCGATGTCTCGAGGGATTGAAAGATTGACACTTGGAGCTGTCTTTTTCGTAAGTCGCAAGAGGTTCCAGTCATCTAACCAAAGTTCTATATTTTCAAGACTGACAAAAGTAAGGCTGCTCGATAAGAACTGACAGAGTTGCATCAATGACGGAACTGGTGATGAATCATTGCGATAATCCAGGACAAATGTTGTTTCTGGATTTGCAGCTTCATTCAACTGCAACCGGCGGGTAAAAAGCGCATTCCCTTTCCAATAGAAAGCCATGGCCTCTTTCCCAGAAGACACAAACGGTTCCTCACAGTCGTCAAAGACACTGTAGAAGCCAACACCAAATGCTCCGATTTTTGTCTCATCAGGGTTGCCATCCGCAATGCGCTTGAGCCTAGCCCAGTCCTTCTCGCTAAATGGAGTACCATTATTGGATATCAACAGACGTTTGAGGGTATGATGTGAGATGGTGTGCTTGATTAATGTTGTTTGGTCGGCGGCCGATGGCAAAGGCACAGTCGTAGATGGCATCGTTTCAAATTTGATGGTAACTTTCGTGGCATTGGCGTCAGCGGCATTTTGAATCATCTCCCGCAAAACAGTCCTGTTTATATCTGGTAAGCAATATCCCATGAAATAGCACAGAGAACATTTATAATACGAACCATTTCCCTGAATAACGAGCAAGAACCTTGGATATTAAACCTCGGGTGTCAACTGTGACGGCTTCTTCGTCGTTGCCTGATCCCATCGTTTGCGCTCTCAGCGCGTTGAAATCAATGTTTCGTGCCATCGTGCAATCGTTATGTGCTTTGTAAATAATTAAAGCATTCGAGTCATAGATATTTCAAAATATATCGTTGCCCAAACCCAGGCAGATATCCACGGTCAAAATGTGCTGGCTTGAATGCAGCAACAGACAGGCTTATGTTGTTGATAAACACCGTAACCAAGACAACGGAGGATATCTATTCTAGATAGGCATATTCAAACAGACTGAAAACGCTATAATCCGAAAAGAACAAAATGAACAAGCAGCCCAAACAATATAAGGAGCTAGAATGAAAGCCGGACAAAGAGATATGGAGCAGATGTCACGATGGCGAATGTACCCACCGAGATTCCCCTCGGAGACAGCGGAGTTAAACTTATCGCTTATCAGGCATGTGCCTGGATCACGTGAGTCACATACTGGCAGGTACCCGCTGGCTACGGCAGACCAAAGACACCAACAACGTCGGCCTGTGGATCGGCTCGATGTTGACGGTTGTTCTGATTGCCAGTGCTGTGGTTTAGTCGGACGGTGGCCACGGGTCATTTGTTAGTTTTATCATTTTTGTGTTTTCCTCTGTGTCTTTGCACCGACCTCTTGATTTTACAAATGCTGCCTTCTTTATAATTATAATTGCTCTTTCGCATGACGTCTAGAAGCTTGCCCACCCTTTTGGAAGCAGTATCGCCGACTGCCTCCTCCGCTCCGCCTCCTTTCAGATGACATGATGGGGGTCGACCCTCTTTCTCCGATTGCGCCCGCGCGACTCAGGGCGCTCTTACTTCCTGTTGGAAAAATCAGACGGTCGAGATTTCTGAGCTTTGCTGCGAGACTCCAAGCGGAAAATGTAGTTCGCCTGGGAGACATCAGTCCTGATGCGCGGCCTAATCGAAGTATGCATTGATTTACCCTCGTTTTTCTTTTTGCCCATTGCTATAGACGGCTGCTTTATCGGGAGATGTATACTTGCGCAGGGCACTGACTATTCTTTGTTCGGTAGATATGTTCTCGCCGCTGGCGTTTCCTACAGGAATGATTCTTTACGACCTTGCCTTCTCCGTGCCCCCCATCTCACACCTCGACTTGTTTCCCTTTGAGATATTCAGAGAACCGCTGGTGGTTATTGCGATAGCCGATGGATCTGAGCTTACTGAGAGTGCCGGACAAGACGATGCAGGATCAGCTAAGAGATCCGACAAGGAGGGGCATCCTACTCCGAATGAGCTGTGTCAGCTCAGAAAGGAATTGGATATACTTAGGGAGACCAATCCAAGGGCATTGGTCCACCAGCTTCTGATATTCGACTTTGAGGGACTTGATAGACTTTCAAACGGCCCAGACGACGTTTTATGGGTTCCACGGCCACAAGTGTCCAAAGCAACTACCATGAAGACGGTGTTGTGTGACATTACATCACTTCTTCTTTCCGAGCTAGATGAATTTGCGAAGACTGTGCAGAGCATCCCTTCTATTGAATCTCCCAAAGCGTCGTCCTGGGGCCCACATCGAGGTCCTGATCTACGACCCCGGCCGACGGACAAGCTATACCATCGGATGACCCTGCCATCGCATGCACCACCTAGTCCAACTGGTACTCCGGAGCCCTCTCAATCCTCCAATCTCAGCTCGCCAGCTCCCAGCGACCATGAAACTCCGACTACATTTGATGAAATTACTCGATCCATCCAAGTAGCAAACCGTGCTACCGCAGCCAAGCCTAACTCGCTGCAGTCATCGAAAGAGCATAGCCGTGATCGAATGTCTGTCAGCAGCATGAGCGCCACTGATCGAACGAAGAACCGCATTAAAGGGCGCATGGGTGTCGTAGTCGGTACTCTTTTCCTCCAGGCGGGAAGATGGCCGGATGCACTGAAAGAACTCGTCGAAGCTGCGTCAAATGCTAGGGCGAGCAGTGATTACCTGTGGCATGCCAAAGCGCTTGAATCGATTCTTACTTGTCTGTTGATGTTTGGATGGGCGGGAATGGACTTTCAGGTGAGACTTCCCCCATAAGGTTTACCTTCATCGCTAATGCCTGGCAGATCCCTCCCATCTGCTATCCAGTCGCTGATAAATCCTCGAAATCATTTTATAGCAGTGGTTTTGATTCGAGCTCCACGCAGGCGACACCTGGGAACCGCATCATTTCTCTCCAAAACTTAGCAAATCTCCTACCTGATCTTTCCAACAATATTTTGAACCTATACAACCGCGCAGCAAACATTACAGATGAGCCACTTCCCCAACTTGTCTTTTCAGAGACAGTGATACGTCTGGCAAGGGTGCTGGTGGCTGCGCGGGTCCGTGATGGGGCACTGGATGACAATGCTCTGAAGCATATCGTCGTGAATGAACCTTTGTTGCCTTTGCACCTGCCAGAAAGACCTCGCGGTAATGTCATTCTTCGAAAGTCTGATATTGGAAATTTTCTGTTCCGGGCTCTTCCACTTTCACCTAGTTCAGACTTGCCTGCCACAGATGCTGTACCTATCATCATCGGGGTGGTCTCTGTCTTGAATACTTTGGATTTACCAAGAAAGAAAGCTTTCATTCTAAGGGAGCTGCTGTCGATAATGGTACCAACGCTTGTTCAAGCTCGTAAGATCGGTGCTGCGGAAGCTGGTATTCATCCTGCTGCCGGGTTAGTTTCCCTGAGCGACACAGCATTCGATATCAACGCCCTTGATGTCGGACCAGGAAACATGGAACAAAGTATGCGGATGCTTCTTGCTACGATAGGGGAGATATATGGTGTCCAACCTTCTGGCTTCTATGAAAAGGAAACAACGCGATTTTCGACATCCAGTGAAATCCAACGTTCCCCAGAATACGACTCGCTCGACGCTATTGTTGAAAGGTCATTTCGACATGCCATTCTAGATGGATACGGTGACTTGAATTTGAAAATCGATGTCCTCAAAGCGTGCATCAATTGCTGTGAAGCTCTTCCTGACTTTGATGGTGTTCTTCGTTTTACAGTTGAACTCCTCCAGACTGTTAGAGGGGATCTGATGCTCACAGAAAACCAAGCACCTCCATATTTAGCGCCAGATGAACAAATTCGTCTTTTGAACAATATCAAACGAACAGTCGGGGCAGCAAACAAGCTAGGCGCTTCGAACTTGGAGGCAGAGTACTGGGATGACTTCTTAGTCCGCGGTGTTCAGTTGCTTTCTCTTCCAGACCCCAGGAGGCCTGTTCGTCGGTCAAAGACGGAAATTGATGCTGTGGCCGTAAGCAGTGAGAAGTCCAAAAAGGATCCATTTCTGTATAACCCTTTCTCGAAAACGAACAGTAAGGCTGCTGAGCTGCTCATGGTCGCTGGTGAACATGCGTCGTTCCAAGTTACCCTTCAAAACCCATATGAATTCGAAATAGAGATTGAGCGGCTCCGTATCGATAGCGAAGGTGTGCAATTCGATGCTGTATCAGAGTGGATTCTTCTTCCCCCGTTGTCTTTACAGGATATTACGGTTTTTGGAATGGCCCATGAAGAGGGGGCTCTTAATATCACCGGCTGTATTGTGAAGGTCCGACACTGCAGAGAGCGAAAATTCCCAATTTTCACGGACTTTTGGAAACCTGAACCTGAAATAAAATTCAAACGGACTGGACTGGCGGCCAGAAAACCTTCGACGGAGCGTCCGTTGTCCTGGAGCTCGACAACTTCGAGGGATGGGAAACAACTCCCCAGAAAGGGGCCTACAACGACTTCTTGCGATGTGAAAGTGATTGGTCATCAGCCTTCTCTCGTCATAGAGTCAATGTCTCTGTCACAGTCTGCAATGATGGTTTTGGAAGGCGAGACTAGGTCGTTCAAAATCACATTACGAAACATATCCTCATGTGCTCTTGACTTCATCCTGTTTAACTTCCATGATTCCACCACGAGGCAACTTCAATCTGCCTTGAGTAATAGGGATTTGTTGCCCGCCGAGGTCTATGAGCTGGAGCTCAAGTTGTCAACAAAACCCGCTTTACGCTGGCGCCGGGAAGGCTTTCCCCAGGGTGATCTTTCTATACCTGCAGGCCAAAGTGCTACCTTTACTGTCGATATTCTTGGTAAACCTGGTCTACAAGACACGACCGTGCAGATAGATTATTCCCGCGTCGGGCTTTCACAGGGTGAACTACCTGATGTATTTTACACCAGGCAGCTATTCGTTCCGCTCACCGTCACAGTGAATGCTAGCATAGAGGTAGCCCGTTGTGACATATTGCCACTCAGCGGTGACTTTGCCTGGTGGAACAGTCGGAATACATTGACAAAGCCAGATTCTACTGAAAATGGCGCTGATGTATTCCTTCCATCCACTGACAATGATCCCTTTTCGACGGTACTCTCGCACCTTGGTCTCGGCTCGTATGGATCCGATCACTGCATCTTGCTTCTTGACCTTCGAAATGCTTGGCCAAGCCCTTTGTCAGTGACAATGCAGGTGAGCGAGCAACCAGTGGAGTCATTAGCGACAGAGAAACTACCGACAGACGCTGTGGAGGGACGCTATTCTGTTCAGGGGGGCCTTCAACCGGGCCAAATATCGCGCTTCGTGCTTGTTCTTCCACGTGTCTATCTGGATAACCCTCATGCTCCGATCCCACTTCTCAATACTGGGAGCAAAAGACAGTTTGTTGTCAGTGCCAACAAACTCACGTTTGAGGCCGAAGCAGCGTCGAGAGAGGCATTTTGGTACCGAGAAGAACTCCTTAAGAGGGTATGCGGAATCTGGAAGGAATCCCCCGCTGGACGTGATGGAATAATCGACATGAGAAACCTGCGCTTAAACACGCGGATGGTTGATGCTATGCGACTTGAGGATGTGGATATGACTTTCTCTCTGGCTCCTTCCTTTCTTGACGAAACCAAGAATAACCAAGCCAGTACCGTTCAAACTGGGCGGTCTAAGTACAAGGTCCAAACGGACGAAATGCTCGATCTGACCGTGACGATTCGCAACCGATCCTCAAGGCCTATTCACCCTCTGCTCAGGCTTCAGCCAAGCCTGCGCAATCAGCCCAATAGCATTGCTCTAGATCTATCAAGGCGCCTCGCATGGACCGGTATGCTGCAACAAGTGCTCCCTATCCTACATGGTGGCCAAAGCATACAAACCACCATTGGAGTAACCGTCCTCTGTCGAGGAGAATACGAATTCGGGGCAACCGTCGAGGAGGTTCGGGTTTTGAAGTCTTCTTCGGGCTCCGAGGACAATGTGGACGCAGACCATCAAACACCACACCAACTATCAATTTACGATGACGAAGGAGCGATTAAGGATACCTTCGGTGCGGGAGTTACTAAAAAAAGGCGGATATGGCACGCAAAAGAAACCTGCATTATGAATGCTCATGCGTAAGACGAGGATGAAAGGATAATATTTATAACCTTAATCTCTTCCTACCGAAGATTGATTCTTCAACAGTCCAATGCTTGCAGCATCATCCAGTGGATGGAATTTTGTATAGTTCTTGTGATGATACGTTATGAATGATGCTGTGCCATCCGAAGACTTGTGTTTTAAAGAATTTAATCCATACGAGAAGAAAATGTCATGTTATGGCTTATGAGTGTGATGTTGTGGCGAGAAGAGTTGGTGAGGATTTGCATTGACTGTACATGTACACGAACCGAGTTCAATCTATAGATAAATTATATTGCACTGCAATGAAGATTTGTATATACACCTATCTATCCAAATTCTTGGTAAACAAAGCTGATATATGGTAGGCCATGACAAACCACGAAGAAAGCATCGAGTTCCCCAGTATTAACAAATCAGCGCAATTATCAGGATACATCCAATCCCTGGTTTGAGGGTAGTGGTGTTGAGTTGTGGGTTCACAGTATCAACACCAACCGATTGTATCCCATCTGCCATGGTTATGTATGTCTTTTACATCCCATGGCACGAAACCCCAAGACCAGGGGTTTCCAGGGACCAGGAACAAAGAAACTCTCGACAAGATAGAAGATATTGTAGGCGTTTCCTTATTTGCAAGGAGCGTGAAGGAGAACCTCGTATAGGTATTCACTTTCTCCAACCTTTCGTGGCTTTGGCGATAGGACATAAGTACTTAGAATAAAGTAATTGGGCCGAAGGATACTCTTTTTGGTTATCTTGAATTCATCCCGCTGCTGAGCCACCCTCTTTATCGTCCCGGTTCGCAGTCGAGGCTTTGTCTTTTGCAGCCGCCGAAGAGCCCTGTTGGTCCCCAGTGGGAAAACTGAGGTACTTCCAGTCCTCGATCTCTTCGATAATACATTTAAGTCGGTCTCGGATACTCTCAACTGCGTAGGTTCCCAGAATGAGCCGGAGTGGTGGGTAAGAACAATGGCCAAGCTGCCAGACCAGATGCGCTGCTTTGACAGCACTCGCGGGCTGCTTGTCGCCTAACCACATCAACATCCTTTTCGCATGAGCAGCAGGTGCAGTAGTAGTGTTGTATGGTTCACTGGGAGGTTTGACGAAAAAATGGCCGTATAGCGGCAGCGGTGATGCGAGGTTGTGATCGGTGGCCAGCGCGGCGGGATCAGACAACAAGTTCCCAATATCGTCACGTCGCATGTGTCCGGGCTCCACGAGAGTCCCCTTGATGTTGAAGCTGTCCACTTCATAGAGCATACTTTCCATTAAACCCTCAACTGCGTACTTGGATGCACAGTAGGGACCCAGTCCGGGCACTCCGAGCGCACCCGAAGTCGAACTGAAGATCAGGTAACGACCAGCTCGTCTCTCGCGAAAATGTGGTAACGACAGCTGTATCATGTTCAGGGTACCAGTGAAATTGGTCTCGAATTGGTTACGGATGTCATACTCATCCTGGTCCTCGCAGGCTCCGATCACACCGTACCCGGAGCAGTTGGCGATGACGTCGATGCGACCAAACCGCTCGATAGTCCGATCGATGACTCGTTTTACTGTTTCGCGAGCTCGCACATCGCAAAGTAGACCGATGCAGTTTTCATATTCATCTTCGAGCTTCTTCATCGACTCCGGGCTGTTCTCGAAGGTGCGGCCGACGGCAGCTACAAGATCATTGCGCACTAAAGCCGTCTTGACAAGGGAACGGCCCATATGACCGGTAGCTCCGAATATCTAATAGTATGATATGTATTAGCCAGCTTCCATGCAGATACAGGTATATATTCTCCGAGTGCCGCGTACCAGCCATACGAGGGGTTTCGGAGGATTCTGCGGGCCCGGTGGATCAGTGGTGGAGGGGAGATGAAGTCTGGGTTCTCGAGATGCAGACGCAGGCGATAACGCACTGGCAGTTTTGAACGAAGGTGAAGTGTGCGACGCCATGAGGAGAGGATGTTGCCTGTACTCTCTGGCGGGGTGAAGAGGGGAATTGTGCGAAATGCGAAAGGGCGGTGGAAATCGATGAAGTCGCCGAGTTCTCCGCATTGGGGAAATCCGGGGTCGCTCGGCAGAAGTCAGCCAGCATATGTAGTCCATAGTATAGCGACGCTATATCGACGACTCTAGAGAATAGAGAATATCCATGTATTTGATGGTTCGATATGTATTCAATTCATAGTCGGTTCTAAAACATCAAGGGATATACAATACTAGAATAGCAACGCCAACGTCAGATCGAAGACGATCATGATAAACGAAAAATTATAGTATTTTTTTTTTATCGTCCCATCTCCCTTCGTAGCCGTCCAGCAGCTGTTGAAGGGCCAGGTTCCGGCCAGCTGCTTACAACATCATCAACCTCTTCCAAGAATGTGGTGCTGTTATGGATAGAGGTGCTGCCCAAAACCACCCGCACTCCAGGAGAGCTCGCGTTGACCTGTGCCACCATCTTGGCCTCTTCGTAGGTCACTCCGCCGACCATAAAGATGATGATGTCCTGGGGCTTATCCCTAATGTGGCCGCCGCCTTCTAGGAATGGATATTGTAGTTCCTTCAACTTCCCCTTGATCAAATTTTGCAGAGTCACTTCCAATCGTGGTGAGTGTTGGGTATAGACATTCTCAACTCCCTTCAAACCCTTGAAGCGGTCCCGCGCGCCAGAAAAGAAAGAGGTTGATTCGAACAGGTCAGAGAAACCCCCTGCGACCGGAGGGGCTTGGAGAGAATGGTGGTAGGCGAGAAGTTTGGGGATGGTATTAACCCGGTGAGAGGGAATATTACCCGCAGTTACCAATAAATCAAGCAAGATCGGAAGGGCATTTGAAGGTTGTTTCTCGTATCGGATAGCGTACAGGGTTACCAAGCGTATTTTGTTGTCTGCAGGAACTGTAGGTAGTTGGATGAGTCTTTGCAAATTCTAGGCATGGAGTTAGTGATACGAGATTTCAGGTTCTCGATGCTGAAGCAAGAACTTACCTTGAGATCGTTTGCATGGTTCTCACTACAGGCCAAGCTCTGCTCCAGCTCGCTCACGTCGAGTAGATTATCCTCCCCAACTCTGCGACTGAGCTCACTCACCAGCGTGACGTGCTTGCTGACATTACCGGAGAGCTTGCGGAACTCGGGGTAGTCTTCCACGAAGCGTTTCATATCCGCAATCGACTCAATGTTCATGTTGCTCTGAGTCTTGACCTGATACTGCTCTACATACTCCTTGATGTTCTGACCTAGATCACCAAAGTTCTGGTACATGTTCTTCTTGAAGAACGGGTCTTGGTCCTGCGAGAGGATGATCTCTCGAAGCTCAGGCCGGATTTCGGGGACTTCGCTAAGGTCCACCCTCCCGTTGTTAATACCCATCAATTCATGAACCATTGCCTGGTATGTCCACTGAGTGAGTAACGGGGTGATGGGATCATCCCGGCGGTCCAGTATCAACAGAATTGGCGGCGTGTCTGTTTTTCGGAAATTGAACAGCTGTTCCTCCTGGGTCACCTGGTAACGGACCTCTGACGCCAGCTTCTTGGCCAACAGACTGTTCTTTTCGTATCGAATAAGCGGACTTTTCTTCAAGGCAAGCAGCATCGCAATCACTCCTTCAGTCGCTCTCTGCAACGCATCGGGATTCCACAAGTCGGGCGAGTGGCTCCATAGCCGCTGCAAGGGAAATCCAAGGTTCAGCGAGCATAGGTCGGGGTTGATGACTAGGAAGTCGGCAAAATGCTCCTGAACCGCGCGCACCACCTCATTGCTATCTGCTTCTGCAAGTCGTTCCAGAGATGATTTACGGATAATATTGCTAAGGTAGATATGATAATCGCCATATTTGGGCTCGCGGAGCTCATCGATGAGGAACTGAATGGATCCCGGGGACGGGCGCACAAAACACAAGCAGCGGAGATGTCGCATCTTCTCCCGGGCTGCATTATCGAGTCGATCGATCAGGTAGACTTCATGATTGAGTAGGGCAGATTGGGTGATGGCAGTCGACACAATGGGGACCTGTCGAAAGGGGAATTAGCCCAACTGGCGCATGTCGTATTATTCGAATGCTTCTCCCACTGTCTCACTATCAAGGAGCAAGATCTTCATCTTGGTCGATGATGACGATCCTGGTGTCGACGACGAATCCCCCGCCGTGACCATCTTGGAGATGTAGCCCGAAACCGCCGCGACAACATCCATGATGGTTGGAACAAGGAGAAGGGGGGTGGCGGGGGAGGGATAGAGAGGTCTGGAAAGTAACAAAGTATGGGGCAATAATAATCAATCAGAGTGTGATAAGGGAGTGAGTGGAATATTCCAGGCTTGGAATAAAGTTGAAACGAGGGATGGTGTATAGGGTGGTGTTGGGAAATCTTAAGACCAGAAGCGATGATCAGGCGAGGGAGTTAGCGTCACCCGATCAAATCAATATAAGATGACGATGTTTTTCTCGGGATCCGGGATACCTTCATGTTCTCGCCGCACCACTTTCCCTCCCCGCCCGCCTCAATGTGTACCTCTTCGGCCTGGTAATTCTCTCTAGATTCTAGAGGTTTTTTTCTTATCTTTTCTATTGTTACTGTGGCTTAATCCGCCCATCATGCTGCCATATGTTGACGCAGGTTCGTTGACTCTCTTCTCCACCGCCAGTTTCAGAGACAAGACAAGTCCGAGCTAACTTGATATCTTTGTGTCGCTTTAGTTTTCGATTATCCTGCAAGGCTCACAGGTGCCTCTGTCGATGAGTGTACATATTCCGCTTGCCTCAGGTTCGCAATTACAATACTAACACATATGCATCTCAATAGTAAAGCTCATCGCGTCGTTCCTCCTCTCCTATCCTCTGGCCGGGTTATTGAAAAGAGTCCCCGACGGTCAGCCATGGAAGAAAAATGCCTTCATTATCACCGTCTCGTTGTTTTACATAGTGGGCTTGTTTGATCTCTGGGATGGCCTGCGGACGTTGCTGTATAGCTCTGCCGGAGTCTATGCTATCGCCTACTATGTGGATGGATCATTGATGCCCTGGATCGGGTTCATCTTCCTTATGGGCCACATGTCTATCAGTCACATTTACCGACAAATCCTGAATGATAACCAGGTAGTTGATATCACTGGTGCTCAGATGGTGCTGGTCATGAAGCTCTCCTCGTTCTGCTGGAACGTCCACGATGGCCGTCTACCGCAGGACCAGCTCTCGGACTCGCAAAAGTACGCCGCCATCAGACACTTCCCCAGTATCCTCGACTACACCGGATACATTCTTTTCTTCCCCTCTCTCTTTGCCGGTCCTTCCTTTGAGTATGTGGATTACCGCCGATGGATCGACACCACCCTTTTTGAAATTCCCCCGGGCACCGACCCAAGCAAAGTGCCCCCAACCCGAAAGAAGCGCAAGATCCCTCGGAGTGGAACACCGGCTACCAAGAAGGCTATTATGGGGCTGGGCTGGATTTTGGCGTTTTTGCAGCTTGGTTCGCTCTATAACCAGGACGTCGTGCTCAGTGAAGGGTTCATGGATTATTCCTTCATCCGACGGGTCTGGATATTGCACATGCTTGGCTTCTCCACACGACTCAAGTATTACGGTGTGTGGTCGTTGACCGAAGGTGCCTGTATTCTGTCTGGAATGGGCTACAATGGATTCGATACTACCACTGGCAAGGTTTTCTGGAACCGACTGGAGAATGTCGATCCGTGGGCCCTCGAGACAGCACAGAATTCGTACGGCTATCTAGGAGGCTGGAACAAGAACACAAACCACTGGTTGCGCAACTACGTATATCTGCGCGTGACCCCCAAGGGCAAGAAGCCCGGCTTTCGCGCCAGCCTGGCGACTTTCGCGACAAGTGCATTCTGGCATGGCTTCTACCCCGGCTACTACTTGACTTTTATTTTGGGGTCTTTCATCCAAACTGTGGCCAAGAGTATGCAGATATCTAAAACTCCAGTTTTCTTATGATCTTTTTGCTAACTATGAATCCATAGACTTCCGACGATACATCCGTCCCTTCTTCCTCTCGCCGGACGGTACCAAGTTCACCCCCTACAAGCAATACTACGACATTTTCAGCTGGCTCGTCACGCAGCTGACCATGTCCTTTGCCGTTCTTCCCTTCATCCTGCTTTCCTTTAATACTTCCATGGGCGTCTGGTCCGGTGTATACTTCTACGGCATCATCGGCAATCTCCTTTCGATTGTATTCTTCGCCAGTCCAGCCAAGGCCTACCTCACCAAGAAGCTCAAGGCCCGCAACAGGCCTCATCCCACCCGCACCGTCAGTGCAGACAGGCCACCAACCCTGGGTCTCCCGAATGACCCTGCTCGTGAATTCGATGAAGCCGTGCAGGAAATCAAGGCTGAGATTGATGCTAGAACCAGACGCGGCAGCGTCGTCAGCATGCCTACTGGTGAGGAATTGAAGGCTGCCGTGGAACAGAAGATCGGTCATAAGCTGTGAGAACTTGACTGTGGCTCTTCCTCACTGGCTTTCCCCCTCTGGCTCCAAAAAGTCTCTTGCAAAAGGGCTGGGTCAATTATCATTAAGACCACGCATTGCTATTGCTGGTATCGTTATTGCACTTTGTAATGGGTATTTGCGACGACTGGGTCATTTCATGTTTTCTGCTTCTTGTCTCTAGTTTTGATCCACTCATGTTCGATAATCCTTGAAGAGGTAAACTGATACACGACAGAAATATAATGATAGAAGTAATATATAATTTTTTTTCTGGTCTAGTTTCCTTACATGAAAACAATTGTGTACATGCCCAAGTAGATCTAGTACAAACAATAAAACTCCCCTGTAAAAGACAAACCCAATTACAAAGCCCAAGTGCAATCAATGTCAAAAATGAATTCAAGCCGAACTCAAAACAAAAAAATGTTTCCACAAGTACAACATGGGTATGAAGAGGTAAGAGGGGGAATAGTAATAAAAGATAATATAAAAGATAATATAAAAGACATATATCCATGAAGGTGCCATAGACCTTATTAATACATCGCCCAAGTCTCGAGTATTAGCTTCCCATTTCCAAATAGGTTCAGGAATGGGCGATAACCAAAGGATCAATTAATAAAGGTATGCCAAGGCAAGAAAGATAAAAAGAAGAGAACGTTATGTGCATTCAATCATATCGTGTCGTCGTATCGTTGTAAAATCAAAAGCAGCCCGCTTGAAGGAAGGGTATTTTTGGAAGGAAAAAAGGGATTCGGAAAGAAGAAAGAAGTATGGTCTCAGGCGAAGAAGAAATGATAGGCGGGAGAAAATCAACTCCGGGGTGAAAGAGAGTCAACTCCAAAGAAAAGGTCGATCCAATCGAGGAGTAAAGATCGAGCACGACCTGCTTGAGGCGGCAAAAGGAGCCTGAGACCATGGTGCGAAAAGAAAGGTAGGTTGGCAAAGGGAAGATTGCAGCCAAGGGAGATATCAACTCCAGGCGAATAGCGAGCTTGCCGCGCTTAAAATCCCAGCTTGGTGCCAACAACAGCCAGTGTAATCTGTAAATTGAACGTAAGTATTTGTGGACGAAGCACAATCTGGTTAGAAACTTACAATAATGGTGATAATCACCAATCCCAAGGGAGTCATCCAGCGATTGAGGTTCCTCCACCATCTTGCATTTTGGTAGCGTCTTCGCTCAAGATCAAGAAGTCGCAGACGAAGGGCCATTTCGAGTTCCGGCCCATCTTCAAGCGAGATGGTTTCAGGTTTCGGAGGCAAGGGCAAGAACGCGGCGATAAACCAAGCTGAATATTCTGTAAGCAAGGGATTGTGCAACGTAGGTGAAACAATCAAAACTTACTCAGCGGGAAGACGAAACCGAAACAAAACGACCAAACTTGAATATTCCTCCGTCCAAGCAAGGGCTCAGTCCTTGAGTCCAGAGATGGAGCCCCCCAAGCACTACCCCTCTGTCGAGCAACGCGTTGATCGGGGTAAAGGTGGGGGGACCAGCTGTTGCGCAATGGATAACGAGGTGTCTGGGCTCTCTCCGGCTCAGGGCCCTTGACCCAGTGAGCCCGAGGATCCCTTGGGTCAGCGGCAGCCGTCTCGAATGTCACACCGTCTGTAATCTCGCCATGTCGAGTCTTGGGTCTGGTCATAGCGGTCGGTATTCTTTGCAGTATGTTGGAATTGGCCGTGGCAGGACGCGCCGAAGAAGGACGGCTCCCATCGACGAGGGACAATGCAGAAGGGGCGGTTTTCTCATCGCCTTGATAGTACATCCGGACCCAGGTGGGGAGGGCATTGAAGAGAACACTGGACGCGGTGCCTGGTCGCTTGATGCTCCGCAAGCTACTTCTTCGGGATGATGAGGACATGCTGGGATATCTGGCATGGGTTCCACGAACTGGGAGGCTGGAGATGTTGTCTAGGTGTTCGTCACTATCGGAATGTGTCACCAACCACATGGACGAAGAGCCAGTCCTGTAGTTTCCAAGTGCTGCAGTTGGTCTAGGCGGTTCAACAAAGCTGTTGTCGGAAGGCTGATCAGCCGTACCAGCGAAACTATTATCATACTCTGCTGACCACTGGGACGGAACGGTTGAAAGGTGAGAATGGACGCGGCTCGAAGAGGCGGGCTCCAACGTGGGTTCTTCTGGCAAACGATCCGAGACTGAACGTGACGTATCGACCCACGAACTGGAAGACGATGGCTCACGGATGATAGGGTATTGGATGAAAAGACCACCGTGAACATTGGCGTGAGGATCGGCAGAAGAGGGAGCGCTACGAGAAGACGACGAGCCGGAGCCATTCTGGCTCCGTTGGTGGGAAGGGTGAGTTGAACCCGATCGGAATGAGCCAACAACGGACTGGAAAGGGGGGCTGGAGTGGAAAGAATGAACGCCACTCGATTGCTCAGAAGACGAGCCATGCGTCCACTGAGCGGCACCGACATGTCTCACGACGGTTCCCAGTGAGTTCATAGAGGACAGCGAGTTGGACCGCGTTTCGGCGGAACCAGGGTTGGAAGAACCAATGCGAACAAAGTTCAGGCTCGAACTGTCATAAGCCACGAAATTGGGGCTGGATGGTGGACCAAGAGGGACCACGTTTGGACTGGAATTGGCGGAAACGACAGTGGCCGGGGCAGACGTTCCCGCATTAGAGGGATGCCGGGATGGAGGCTCGGAGACGACTGTCTTGATTGTCGGGGCGGCGGTGGGCAGTTCCATATCATCGTCTGAAAAGGCGACTTCCGATGCCTCATCGGAGTGGTGGTTGTCAGGCTTCTCGCCAGGAAGAACAGGCTCTGGCAGCGATGACTTGCTCGAGGCGGGATCCTCCTCCCAAACCTGCGACGGGGTGTTGCCAGCATCGACGGTAGAAGAGTCCCAGCCCACCGACTGCTCGAGCAGACTGCTGTCCGCAAGATGGCTGTAGTCAGTCAACAGTGTGCCGGTCGACTGGCTCGGGCCTTCCTCGGTGTGAGAGTCAGAGTGAGATTCGGAAGCATATTCTTGACCTTTGCCCGGTCGAGGCAAGAGAATCTGCTCTGGTTTTGTCGGATAGGGAGTGGCCGAGTACATATCCTGCTCTTCCTGGTCTCTGTCCCAGCTCTTGACCATTCGCAAAGATGGAGTGGGCGAGGTTTCATTCGTCTGAGAAGGCGTTCGCTCATGAAGAGCTCTCCGCTTGGGAGGGTAGTTTGAGCGCATGTTGTTGGTTGATGACGATGTTGTTGTTGCTGTTGATGATGCTGCAGAGGGCTCTTATCTCATTATCAAGTGGGGATCAAACACCGGCAGAAAAATTAGTGGATTAGAAAGAATGAAGAATTGGCAGTCTATAACACGGGCGTATTAAGACTGGCAAAAATCCAAAAGTACCGAAATCATCCAAAATAAGGCTGTTTGATCAAACGACAATAAACGACAACAATTATGATGAACGAGGGGCAGAAATGTAAAAATGGGTTCTTTTCGTGGTGTTTTTGCTGCTGGTGCTGCTGTTTTGGTCTAGAAAGGGCAAAAAAAGAAGGTCTCGAAATCAACAGAGAGCAACAGGATAATAGCAAGACTAATCAATCAATACTGCCAAGCAGTAGGTCAAGTCAAAAGAGTGTGGGATCAGACGATAAAACGTCGATGATCAAAAGAAAAAAAAAACAACAATAAAGAATGATTAGCAGTCCATGCCTAAGACAAAAATCCAACTGCACGCAGTGTAAAGAACGCGAAGCAGGGGAAAAAAAGAGTGTGAGAAACAATCAACGTTTCCAAAAGAGCGACAATAGGCAAAACGACTGGACGCAAATCAACCGCGCAACAAAAAGCAGCCCGAGCAGCCCACGAAAAGAAGAAGAAAGCGAAAGACCTGAGACGACGGGACAAAAGGCATGCACGAAGGGGTGGGAAAGCGTGGAATTTTGTTGCCGGGCGGCGGTGTGAAGCTAAGAATTAGTGTGGAGAGGCTATCCAGGGGAAGAAAAGTGCGAGATGCAGTCATCGTGCAGTGCGCACGCTCTAAAAAAACAGGTCGTTCTCCATCTTGATGGTTATTATTATTATGTTTCCATTAATATTGTCTCGAAGCGATCCTCAAATTAATTTATCGGGGCCCTCTTCATCAGCTCATCTCAATCTCTGGTCGAACTCAATGGCTGGAGGGAGTTCGTTCGTCATCCCAGAGGAACGGGTACGCCGGATCATGGACGGCTCTTGATCAGCCGGGGCTAATAATAAGGTCCAATTTCCCTTCTTTTTCTTTTCCCCAACGGTGATTCTTGTTTGTTTCAGGTTTCGATAGTCGGTGGTGTCTTGGAACTCTGACCACTTTGTGCTTCTAGCCCCAGGCCGTGAGGGAATAGGAGAGTGTATGGTGGTCGATAGTCTCCAGTAGGACGGTAGGGAGGGTGCCAGTGTGGCTGCAAGGTAGTGTACCTGGCATGATGCTCAGCAGGTAATGGGCGAGGTTTCTGCATCTCACAGGAGGTTAGCCCAGAGTCATACAGCATCATCACATTTTCTCGAGTCGCAGTCCATCAATGACAGTTGTACCAGTGGAGCTGAGAGGGAAGAACTGACGATCGGTCCGCGTACCTTTTTCAATCTTGAGCCAGTCGAGGCGCCTGGAAATGAGGCATCGTCGCCCGATTGGCGGTGGAGAGTGGGATTCCACCAGGATTCGGCCCATCTTGGCCCATTTTGGTGTCGTCTTTCGACGGACAAAGCCCAATGAGCGATTCGGCTCAGGGGACAAAGATTCAGCCTAAGAATAGCTCAATAGCCACACGAGGGGTTCTGGGTTCTCGAACGGCCAACACACTCGGTGGAGTAGGAGCTAAAAAGTAGTTACCACGATGGATGAGAGCTGTCAAGCCCGGCTGTGTCAGCTAGAGTCGGATTGGGTGATGATGTTCAGGATGTGAAGTCGAGATTGAGTCGACGTGAGTGGTGTTTTGAATGGTTCGAGTGGAGAGAAGAACCACGGGTCTTTCCATGGCACATGGCGATGGGGATATATATGATGTATCTTATATCTCTCCCAGATGCATTTTAATATTACAAGATGCAGAGAATGATTTGGTCACTTCCTGCCCATGTGTTGAGACCATTCACTGTCGCTATCTCCTCTTCACCCTGATCCTCGATCGCAATGAAAATCCCAATCCCCAGTTTCATTACTTCCCAAGAACTGCTCTGGTGGAGTGTTGGATCTTCTTCTATATTTATTACTGTCAGATCAGTCACAATTATTCTGACACGTTAATTTCCCTGATATAGTGATGTTCATTGCACAGAGTGCTCTTGCTGGTTGGTATATATTCATAGGTGACAGCCTGATCGATATTCCATCAACAATTCCATGAGGCCATACAAGGCCAGACGTGATATAAATACTCCCAGTCAAGATAATTGACTTGCAAGGATCATAATCGAATATAATTGGATCAAATACTCCTTCGACTCGATTCTGTTGACTTCACTTGCCATAATCATGCCGTTTCTGCCTGAAAGTACAGGCACCAACCCCATCATCACGCGTATATCAAGTCACGTCAGACAAAGAAGATCTTCATCGGCGTCAACAACAATCAAAGCCATAGCCATAGCCTCAATACGATTTCCTATTGTCCTCCATGTCTCTTATTATCTAACCAGTCGCCTCCTCTCTTCTCCTCAATTTTCCCCGGTCGGATCATTTTGTTCTCTTTCTGACTCGGCATCCGTAACAACCTCACTTCCATCATGGCCCCGGTCACCCAGCCCGTCAGTCTTCTGGCCCGTCTCAAAAGTCTGTACGCCAAAGAACGCGGTATGTTTTGTGATATTCGAGTAGTTGAATAACCAGCTAATATTCTCAGATGAGCCAGTAATTTCTGTACGGACGGCCGCTGTTTTCTCGGTATGTCCAGCTACACGCGAGTGACAGTAAAGACCACAACTAACCCTTAAATAGGTCCTTTTGACTTTGGTCTATGTCATTCCATTTTACATCTCCTCGGCCACTCGGCCATCGCCTACTCTCAGTCGAGACGCACCATCTGTGATTCGCGCCCGTATCAGGGCCGTGACGCTGTCGTGTATCATCTGCACAGCTGCAGTGCTCTGTCTGATTCTCCAAGAAGCCGATGCTTCCTTGGTCGATGCTCTCAAATTTATGGGCTGGTGGCCGATCGGGTTTGTAGAGATTCTCCAAAGTCTCCTCCTGACTGCCATCCTCTTCACCGGTCCGCTTTTTGAACGAGGCGTGGCTGAAGGCGAATGGCGTGAATGGATCCGTGGGGGCAGAATATCTGAATCCCTTCGTGGCTGGATTGGCTGGAGAAATTACGTTGCTGTGAGTTCTTACGCATACATTTTAATGACTTGTCATGCTTATACAAACCAGGGCCCTGTCACCGAGGAAATCATGTTTCGATCAGCCATTATTCCCCTCCATCTACTGGCTAAAGTGAGCCCAGGGCACATTGTATTCATCGCCCCGCTCTATTTTGGAATTGCCCATGTGCATCATTTCTACGAATTCCGCCTCACGCACCCTGACACCCCCGTGGCCGCGGCGCTCCTGCGATCTGTCTTCCAGTTCGGCTACACCACCGTCTTCGGCTGGTATGCTACTTTTGTCTATTTACGTACTGGATCGCTGCTGGCTGTCATTCTCGCTCATACTTTTTGCAACTGGTGCGGTCTTCCCCGGTTATGGGGCCGAGTGGAAGCCGCTGTACCTATTGCACCGACTAAGGGTAAAAATGACGATTCTGGTCGACCGACGTTTGTGGTTCCGGGGGAGCTGGGAATCGGCTGGTCGGTTGCGTACTACATGCTTCTCTTTGCTGGGGCCATTGGGTTTCGGTACGCTTTGTGGCCTTTGACTGAGTCGACGCATGCTCTGGCGGGTTTCACAAAGTAGATATCCAGCTTCTTGCGGCTTCGGTCATGACTCCGTATAAATATAACGGGCGATGAAACGTCTTTATGTGAAGTATTAATGATAATTTGTATAATCCAGAGGGTACTCTACTCGTCCACCCTACGCTTCTTATGCGGCCTTTCATCAACCCCAAATTCGTTCTTCCACGTCCCATCCATCACCTCTGCATCATCTCCATGCAACCCAATCCCATACGCCTTCTTCATCCCATCCATACAAGTCTGTCTCCGTTCATCAAAATCAAACATCGGCTTCGGATAGACCCCTTCTCCATCCTCTTCCCCAGAACCTGTCACCCGACACCCCCACTTTTTCTGATCGGATATAGGAGCTCGCCAGGGCTCGTAGATGTATTTTTTGTTGAAATTTCGTAGCTCGGGACAGTATTGTCTGATGAGTTCACCGTTGGCATCCCATTTTTTGCCAAAAGTGATGGGCGAATAGCATCGGTGGTACTGGGAGAAGAAAGCCGTGCATGAAAGCCATTGCCAGTTGCCAATGTTGCAGGCTGTTTCGTCTATAATCGTTCAGATGCATGCACTGTATTGGGGCAAAGAAAAGATCGGGGGGAGGGGGGGATACTCACGATCAATCAACCATTCTTCGAATACTTCTGCTCCTCTTTCCCAGTGAACATAACATCCTCCTCTCGTAAGGAAACAGGCGACACTATGTCTGCCCAGGTGATGCATCCATCCCTCGATTCGGAGTTGTCGCATCAACGCATCGATCCATGGGAAACCTGTCTTACCGTCTTTCCAACGCTTATACCAAGTTTCAGCCTCGGGAAAGTCCACTGTATACCCTCCATCTTCATCCGACTGGAGATGCCAGTCGATGAACCGGGCTACCTTGTTGCCGTGGATTTGAGCAAACGATGCCCCCAACGCAGACTGCGCGGCAAAGTACATGTCACGGAAGAGCAACTGACCCGGCAGATTGACGGGGACGTCTGATGTGTGTTTCTTCTGCCGTTTACGCTTGTCGAGGACAGACTGGACATCCCACCAGAATCGGCGGACGGAGAGAGAGCCAAAGTGAAGGTGTGGAGAGAGGAGAGTAGTAGACTGAGGATTAAAATCTGCCGGCGACGTTTTGGGCTTTTCAAATGTGCCCACATATTCTTCGTTTTGGATGTGGCCGGTCAGTGTCTGTAGAGCAATGGATTCGCCGCCGTGATGCGGTGTCGTGGCCTGGGAGGAATCAATTCCAATCTCTGCTAGTGTTGGAACGGAAAAATCCTGGTTGGGGCCCATGATATCGCTATACTGCTTCTTGTCGAGGTTGTTGATATCTGACTTTGCATCGGGGATATCCCGGTCCAGGTCACCCAGGTCCATCTTATCCTCGTCCCATGGATCTGGGATTTGCTTTGGAGGATCCAACGGCTTCTCCGGATGACCGTTGCCAATCTTCTCCGCAGCCTTTTCCACCTGAGACATGCTCATCGTCGGCTTCCCGTCATTCTTGCTCACCAACTCGTCCGGGTCAAACAACGTCCGGCCCATCTTGATGATGACCTCTACACCTGCTTTTTCCGCCATCTGAATGACAGTCTGATCTCGATCCCGAGCATAAGCATCTGTGTCTTTCTCCCACACGATATGAGTCACCTTCCATTGTTTCCAAAGCTTTGGAAGAACGGTTTGGGGTGCCTCACGAACAACCCAGAGCTTCTGTTTGCAATTCAACTTGGTATAGGATGATGACAGGTCCTTCTGGCATTCGAGCAGGAATTGCCAGCGATTGGGACCTACTCGGGATCGATAGACATAATGGGGATCCCAGGTCCAGATAGGGATGAAAATTGATGGCTTCAGGCTCAAGGCGTGGTGGAGAGCGGGAGAGTCGTGAAGTCGGAGATCGGTGCGATGCCAGTAGAGAACGACTGGTTTATTTGGCATTGTGGCCACCTATATTCTGGATGAGCTGTGTAAATTTGTTGAATATTAGCATATTGTTGATATATTCAACTTTTCGTAAACCAGATGGACGTTCGAGTTATTTATTGCCAGGTTACCATCGACCATGACATCACCACGCTGGATGCTTCCGATCGATCTCGATTCGTTCAAGTATTCCATATAGACGCCAGTAATCTTAGATCTTAGGATATTTTGTGTCTAAATTTTGATGGTTCGCAAGCTTGAAGCTAGTATAAGATAAAACCTGGATGGATCAAGGCTGCCCAAGGGACAAGCAGGACAATTGCCGTGGTTCTGCTGTTTCTAAGGCTGAGGCCAAACATGGTGACAGGATTTTGATAGACAAAATAAATCTACTTCATCTCGGATACTGTCCACTGTATACGCAGTTCTCGGATCCATAAAGCATCAATATATCCTCATCTCCAGATGCCGTGATTGATAATCCGTGCAATTCCCGCTATCTCCGAATCCGCGTCGGAGATGTCGGGTTTTTCGCTTATTATTGATTTCATTTGAATGTCGCTGCACTTCCATCTTCCCAGCTTCAAACATCTTTCTTTTGTGAATAGACATTTGATTGGCTCGTTTCATTATACGCCATGAGGGCGCGACCGACTGCCTGCTGGCCCATCACCGGGTGCTGCAAATCAACCATCCAGAGAGTGCGACCTTTCTCCTTCACGACAAACCGCCCCTCACGCCTTCGTGCTCGTCTCGATATTCCTCCTCCATTCCCTGTGGCCCAAACATGTCCCGAGCCCAGCTGCGCATGTCCTCCTACACCGTCGATGCCTGAAGGGCTCCCGATCGACTATGCGCAACCGCTGAATGGAACAATGGCTGCCTATGCGCAGCAGCTCTTGATTTGCACCGGGCAGCGAGATTGGACAAGTCGCATTGAGAACGACGGAGAGAATGAAGGCTGGGGAGGGCTTGCTCGAGGCCTCAAGCGTTTAATGGGTCGTGGAGGACGTTACGCTGATGTACGTTTTTTGTTCTGGACGATGCTATGGGTATAGAATCAATGACTGACGAGCGTTCTTTACAGCCCTTCAACAATATCCTCGTCACAAACTCTTCCTTTCCTCCTGCCGCAAATACTTCGTCCTCTACCGCTTCTGCCTTTCTATTTCCTAGCTTCAAATATCTTCCCTCCATCCCCGTGGATACAGAGTCACAGACCAACGAAACCGATCTTTCGACCTTTGTACGGGGCTTCCTTCTACCCAAAAAGTTGAACTCGATGCAACAATCCCTTCCCGAATCTAAACAAGCAGAATTGACCCGCGTCCCGGAGCTTGCGTCTGAGTTTACAGGTGCCATCGATATTCAACATTCCCCGATAGTTCTTATCTGTGGTCACGGTGGTCGCGACATGCGCTGCGGTGTCATGGCACCTGCTTTGGAGACCGAATTCTCCCGTGTCCTGCAAGCGCGAGGGTTTTCGTCAGCAGGCAGCGATGTAAGCAAATTCGATAGCCCAGAGCATGCCCATATCGGGCTGATCAGCCATATCGGAGGACATAAATACGCAGGGAATGTGATCATCTATATCCCACCGCGAATGATGATGGGACCTTCCACCCCGAACCCGCTGGCGGGCAAAGGTATTTGGTACGGACGGATCGAGCCTAAGAATGTGGAGGGGATTGTGAATGAGACTATTCTAGGTGGAAAGGTCGTGGCAGACCATTTCCGTGGTGGAATTGATCTAGATGGTGGTATTTTACGGCTATAGTGGACGTATATATTTGGCGAATATAAATGTACTATAGATCAAAGATCCCGATATACCCAATCTATCCCATTAAGTCTGATAGAATACTGTTAAATCAGCACCCTTACTCCTAGATGTGAATTCATAACAATAATATTTAAGCACCTCTTGCTTGTTTCTTATTTCATCACTGTTGATATCATATGGACCGGCTAATCCGGATCGGGCGTAAACCTTCCCGGCGGAGTTTCGGCGAGAAATAATAACGATATGATCATGACTTGACCAACATTCAAGCTTCGCTGGAGGAAGACGATTTCTGGTCCCTCGGTTGACGGCCTAATATTCTAATTCTACACGGCATGATGATTATACAGCTATAATGCAATCTCTTTTACGTCTACGATTGAATCCGACCATCCTCGCCCAAGGGCGGAGGTGCGGTTCTTATCCCCATACTCTGCGAGCTTATCCCTTTACCTCCCAGCCTTCAATTCGCCTCGCAAGCACACAATCGATCTCGAAGAAACTCGATCTTCTCGCAATTGACAAGAAGTGGCAGTCGAAATGGCAATTAAACGGATCCCGACCTCCCCCGTCCACCGGCAACCAGACGGACAAGCCTAAATCGTACATTCTATCGATGTTCCCCTACCCTTCTGGTACGCTGCATATGGGCCATTTGCGAGTTTACACCATTTCAGATGTACTGGCGAGATTCTACCGGATGCGTGGTCATGATGTTCTTCATCCCATGGGGTGGGACGCGTTCGGGTTGCCGGCGGAGAATGCGGCAATCGAACGAGGCATTGACCCGGCTGATTGGACCAAGGATAATATCGCAAGGATGAAGGATCAGCTGCGGAGCATATCGGCTTCGTTTGACTGGGATCGTGTAGGTTCTGTTCAAATGGGGTGGCTAGTCAGACTCGGTAGTGTTGAGCTATAGCTAATGATTTTTTTGCTATGGTTGTTTTAGGAACTCGCGACCTGCGCTCCCGAATTCTACGAGCATACACAACGTATTTTCTTGAAGCTATATGAAAAAGGACTCGCATACCAGGATGAGGCATTGGTCAATTATGATCCGATCGACAAGACAGTGCTGGCGAATGAGCAGGTGGGAGCTACACAATCTACATAATTTACCAAGGCTGACTCTTTGCCTGTTCCAGGTGGATGCAAATGGGTTTTCCTGGCGCTCTGGAGCAAAGGTCGAGCAGCTAAATCTGAAGCAGTGGTTTTTCCGCATCACGGCATTCAAAGAGTCACTCTTGAAAGATTTGGATTCTTTGGCGGGTGGCTGGCCGGAGCGCGTGCTTTCTATGCAGCGCAATTGGTTGGGAAAGTCTTACGGCGCAAAGATCAAGTTCTCCGTAGCACTGAACGGTTCCGATGGTATCAAGCTTGATATCAACGTCTTTACTACCCGACCGGATACACTCTACGGAGTCGAGTACCTCGCTCTCTCTTTGAACCATCCCATCGTCCTGAAGGCCGCGGAGAAGGATGAAGAACTGCAAAAGTTCTTGGTTGAGGCTGCATCGCTGCCCCCAGACTCAAAAGCAGGTTACAAGCTGTCAAATGTCAGCGCATCCCATCCATTGCGCATCATCGACAAGGAAAGTTCCCATATCGCCCGGGAACTTCCTGTGTTTGTTGCCCCCTACGTTCTCAGTGATTATGGCGAGGGTGCCGTGATGGGTGTTCCTGGCCATGACTCTCGGGATATAATGTTTTTCAAGGAGAATGTCAATCCTGAATTCATCCCCGTGGTCATTAAGCCCGAACAGTCGACCGAGGGCAGCGACGGAACCGGGGATAGCGTCGTCTCTGCAAGTGATGCCAAAGCTTTTACTTCAGATGGCTTCTTAACCTCTAGGTGCTGGAAATACCAAGGCCTTCACTCTCGCGAAGCCAGCAAACAGATCGTCAACGATCTTAAGCAAGTTGGCCATGGTGAAGCTGTTGAGCAGTGGAGATTGAGAGATTGGTTGATTAGTAGACAGCGCTACTGGGGCGCGCCAATTCCGATCATCCACTGTGGTGACTGTGGTCCTGTCCCTGTTCCAGCGGACCAGCTGCCAGTTAAACTGCCCAAAATCGAAGGAGATTGGCTCAAGGGCAAGAAGGGCAATCCCCTCGAGTCATCGGAAGAATGGGCGCATACTGAATGCCCAAGTTGCGGAGGTCCCGCGAAACGGGATACAGACACTATGGACACATTCGTCGACTCCTCATGGTACTACCTCAGGTTCTTGGACTCTGCGAATAAGGAACTTCCGTTCTCTCCTGCGTTAGCGCGACCCGTCGACGTCTATATTGGCGGTATAGAGCACGCTATCCTGCATCTCCTTTACGCACGATTCATCTACAAATTTCTGGCTGAGTCCGACTTGTTCCCTGAGATTGCCCGGGCAGGCAACCTTGCAGCACCGTGGGAACCCTTCAAAACCCTTCTTTCCCAGGGAATGGTCCACGGTAAAACATTTTCGGAGCCGTCGACTGGCCGGTTCCTTCACCCTTCGGAAGTCGACCTCACGAGTCCGGACAAGCCACTCGTCAAGGGTACTAAAGTTACACCCAATGTATCCTTTGAGAAGATGTCGAAGAGCAAACACAACGGTGTGGACCCGACCGCCTGTGCACTGAGATACGGCGCGGATGCTACTCGGGCGCACGTTCTTTTCTCCGCCCCAGTAAGCGAGGTTCTTGAATGGGACGAGACCAAGATCGTAGGAATTGAACGTTGGTTTGGCCGAGTTTGGAAGCTTGTGCTGGATGCCAGAAATAGTCTGACTTCGGCGTCGTTTACTCTGTCGCAAGCGGATTTGAACTCCTTGTCCGGTCACGCCGCATCGCTTCCCTCGTCCTTGCAGGAACTGAGCGATAGTGACGCTGACGCTGTTCTTTCCACCCACCGGACCATCTCGTCGGTCACTAACTGTGTCGAAAGCAACCCCTACGGGCTGAACACCGTCATTTCTGACCTGACCAAATTGACAAATTCCCTACTATCGTCTCCTCCGACATCCCCCCTGGTGCTTTATCTTTGTGTATCCTCTCTCCTCCGTCTTTTGGCTCCTGTCGCCCCGGCACTTTCTTCTGAGTGCTGGGAGGTCCTCAATGGCTCGGTTCTGCGCGGGGCTGACCCAGAAATTCCGGCGATCTTAAACTCCGCCTGGCCAACCCCGCTTCTAACCCTGGAGCAAACTGATGTGTTGTCGGCCCGCGGCGGTCAGACCATTGCCGTTCAAATAAATGGCAAGCTGCGATTCAGTGTGACGATCCCACGAATGCTCTCTCCAACAACGCCGACCGAGTCTAGCGGCGCTTCTGGTTCCGCGACGGATGAACAGGACTGGATTATCAGTCGGGTTTTGAAGACGGATGAGGGTCGAACGTGGTTGCGAGAGAAAAATGATTGGGAGAAGAGACGACGGGTGGTTGTGGTCAAGGGCAAATTGGTGAATGTTGTGTTTTAACCAAAACCGGCGGGAATTGCTCTGTACAATGTAAATATAACACATGAATGTATATTAGACTGCGTATCGCTGCCAAGAACCTGGATAAAATTCGGGTGACTGTTCCATTGGGCATAACTGAAGGTATTGTAACTCCAACTGCGCTACCCCATTGAGGGTCTGGAAATCAGGATGAGTTGCGTAGGAGGGGGGAATAATTGAAGAGGGTGGAGGACTGAGGGGTCAAATTATCTGACTGCATCGCAGTCATTGCCTCCATTCATCACCCTACAACGGGACAATTTTCCCAGACAGCAACGGGAGTATCCCGGAGATGACTCGGTCCTCCAAAGCCAACATTTTATTTCCATCTTTGGCCGCGGAACTCCACGATGGGAATCTATGTATAGCAGAAAGTTGGAGGAGGGGGAAAAAGCTACCCCTCATTAGGTCAGCATATTTTTACCCCTCACGGGTGGGGACAGCTTGATTCGGGACAGCATCCGCCACAGTCTGGATCCATCCGAGAACTTAAGGTCATTCTTTGCTTGTTCCCAGGGATCTTTTAAACGATTAGGTTAATCTGTTCCAGAGCCTCCTCCTCCTACTCCTCATCCGATATCTCCTCACCTAGAGACCGAGGGAGAGCCGAGAAAGGACCGGCAGTGATAATTGAGGATGGAAGTTGCTGACTGATGAGGTTCACGATTGGGCGATCCACTGAGCAGAATTAAGCATCCTGGCCGATTGTCAGTTAGACGGAGTCTATTTGTTGGCCGTACGTAATTGGAGTATTTGTTACAGTATTACCCCGCACTGCCCTCACTGTAGATTGAATATTACAGTAATCATACTTACCGTCAGAGGGAGTGGAATTCTAGCAGGTAGACAGACAGTTCGACTAGAACTTGAGAATCAAGATATCCTTTCAGATAGTCATGGTACTATTCTTGCCCGAGATACTAATATAATATCCATAAGGTTGGTGCTATCAAAATAGTTGAACATCTGTACTCCGTACACCGGAGCAACTACTCCTATGGTCAGGAGTGTCCCGCGTGCGGAGAGAACTGGTGGATACTGTAGATAGACAATTGTCCTCCATCCTGCTCCGGTCCGACCATCCCTTTTGGTGCCCTCCACTTGGTCACCACTAGATTGGCTCGAGGCCTGGCTCGCTGCACTCGCAACATGTGCTCATCCTCACCTCCCGCTAGTGGGGCAAATCATATCATCCCACCAGGGTGGAGGGGGAAAGGATGGATCTGAGGAGGTGTCACCATCTCGGATGGTGGGAAGGCCCTTTGCTCCGGTGGTTTGACAGGACGAGAGGAGCGAAATGGGTAAGATGTTGAGTCGGGTGAGGATCCGGGAACTGCTCTATATATTGGAGGTGCTTTTCCAACTCTGTTCCTCTTTTCTTCTCTCCTCATCATCATCACTCCCACTTCCTTCTCCTGCATCTGCATCTTCTGCCTGAGAAATTCCATCTCCGCAAACGGTAAGTTGTCACTCTTCCAAGTAACTCTCTCCTTCTTCCCTCTCCAACGCTTCGGTACTTGTCAACTGGTTTCCCCCACACCCCTTCATCCCCGCTCTGCCTGTCTGCTCCTCCAGGTTTCTCCAACTTACATCGTTGTACCATCATCGATATGTATTCCTGTTGCATTTTAAATAGTGGCTGACTTCCTGCTGTAGGACGATATCTTTCACTATCATCCATCACTTACATCTTGATCTTCAATTGATCCTACAAAACATTCATCAAAATGGTATTTATTCGCTCTTTCTCCCGTCAACTTAGACGGCCTGCCTCCTCTCTCCTGTCGGCCACAGGCTCTTTGAAGCCTACCGCTAGCCCTTTTCGAGCCTCTCCTCTGGCAGGGACTGTTTCCGGTGCACGTACGCTAACTGCTTCTGCGAGCCTACAGGGTAAAGTTCTTATGGTTCTCTATGATGTAAGTACCCGAAGACTCTTGCCACCGTGCCGGTATACAGTTACTGATCGGTGATTTTGTTTCTATAGGGCGGTGAGCATGCCAAGCAGCAGCCTGGTCTTCTGGGTACCACCGAGAACGAGCTCGGTTTGAGAAAGTGGCTCGAGGAACAGGGCCACACTCTGGTCACTACCTCCGACAAGGAGGGCGAGAACTCCACATTTGACAAGGAATTGGTCGACGCCGAAGTCATCATCACCACTCCGTTCGTTTCCCTCTACGTGTCGTGCTCTCAGGACACCGACTGATGCAATTGATATAGTTTCCACCCTGGTTACCTCACTGCTGAGCGTCTGGCCAAGGCCAAGAACCTGAAGATTGCCGTCACCGCTGGTGTTGGCTCCGACCATGTTGACTTGAACGCTGCCAACACCACCAACGGTGGTATCACTGTTGCTGAAGTCACTGGCTGCAACGTCGTTTCCGTCGCTGAGCACGTCGTCATGACCATCCTGACTCTGGTCCGCAACTTCGTCCCCGCCCACGAGCAGATTGCCCGCGGTGAGTGGGATGTTGCCGCCGTCGCAAAGAACGAGTACGACTTGGAGAACAAGGTTGTCGGTACCGTCGCCGTTGGCCGTATTGGTGAGCGTGTGCTCCGCCGTCTCAAGCCCTTCGACTGCAAGGAGCTGCTCTACTACGACTACCAGCCTTTGAGCCCCGAGGTTGAGAAGGAGATTGGCTGCCGCCGTGTCGAGAACCTCGAGGAGATGCTCGCTCAGTGTGATGTTGTTACCATCAACTGCCCTCTCCACGAGAAGACCCGTGGTCTCTTCAACAAGGACCTGATCGCTAAGATGAAGAAGGGTATGTTTGCATCCTTTTGCCAAATACTGGTCAAACGTGTACTAATTTGATATCCAGGCTCTTGGTTGATCAACACCGCCCGTGGTGCCATCGTTGTCAAGGAGGATGTTGCCGATGCCATCAAGTCCGGCCACCTGCGCGGATACGGTGGTGATGTCTGGTTCCCCCAGCCCGCTCCCCAGGATCACCCTCTCCGCTACGTCACCGGCCCCATGGGCGGCGGCAACGCCATGGTTCCTCACATGTCCGGTACTTCAATCGATGCCCAGATCCGCTACGCCCAGGGTACCAAGGCTATCCTCGAGAGCTACTTCACTGGTCGCAACGACTACAGACTCGAGGACCTTATTGTCAAGGATGGTGACTATGTCACCAAGGCTTACGGCCAGAGAAAGTAAAGGACGGCGACTTGAATTTCTTGATCACGTTATGAGACGAATGACCAACCAATTCTGTATTCTGGAGGCCGCTTTCTCAGGTAGAAAGTGGCTACCGATTATTTAGCATTTTCATTTAGGATACCTAAAATATATTCCATTTTAACTTCAATAATCCAACAGTGATGGGGTGCCTTACGGATAGAAGTTTTGGGTAAATAGAAAACAATCAGAGGCCCTCCTGTGCATCGTCCTATCTTCAAGCCTAAGAAAGCCTAACACAACGCAACATTGGGCCGGAATGGGACGTGGATGCATATACTACTAGCTTGTGGATACTTAGAATAGCTCGAAGCTTAGCAAGTTGGTATGATCAGATTAGGGTTTAATAGATGCAGATATATAATGTCTAGTATTCTCATATTGCAAAAAATCATTACAAAAGTTATCATGTAAAGCCATTGCTGTCTCATAAAATAGTGAGTAATTCTGCGTTGGTCTGTGCTGTGCGGAGTATTAGTGTAGCTTAAAAATGAGTCCATAACTATGCAATACATTTGCCTATTTCTGCGTACGGATTAACGTACTATGATCTCAAATCTAAGTGATAGCAGAAGATTGAATCGAAGGATCAATTGTTATTATTGAGCCCATTTATTGATGAAAACCCACGGCTTGGCATGCAAGTATTCAATCTGATTAGATCGACAGCTGCAATCCTCGATATAGCAAGAGTACTCCGTACCTACATATATAGATGCAGGGTATGGAGTAGATCACCTGCAATTTATATGTATAAAATTTCCGATTGAAGATTCTACATGAACACAATGGGATACTGGTTTATCGTACTCTGTGTCTAGTATGTCTAGGTTGTATTGCCGTTGGTATGGATCGACTGGTCATAGTTACCGTAGCCCCAATTCTTTGGTTTTCAGGGGTTTATTTTTGGAACTTGATCAGAGTATCAGATATAGTAGATATGGTGGTTCAAACTACTGATTACAACTACATCCTACTTTGACATTTCTCACTACAATGATGTCTCCATCTCAAGGATATAAATAACAGCTAAATATCTATTTACTCAACGATGTAATCTGGAATGTTCCCGACCATCTTCATTGTCACTATCATCCATGAATCCCTCCTCCAAGTCCCGACTGAGCCGTCCTTCCACCTCACCAGCCGTCGCGCGTCGCCGTTCTAATTCCTCTCTCCGCGTTGGATCCATGTGCATGCCCATCATGATCTCTCCCTCTTCGTCCAAGATACTAACGTTGTCATTCGCATCATCGGCTAGCCGAGCGTCCTGCCGCCAGGAAGATGGGAGAAAAAAACGCATCATGGCGTCGGCTATGCGATCCTTGACGGAGGTTGTATGTGCGGAAATAGCGTGGAGAGGGAGGTATTGCGAGTATCGTTGATGGTAGCGACGGAAGAACGGGATGATCAGGAAGGAAAAGAGGAGATAGAGGGTCAGGGAGATGATAGCGGGAATGATAATGGTCTGGTCATAGCAATTAGCATTGTATATCAGTCGAGGAGACATGCCGGATTGATGGGAAACATACCTTAGCAAAGCTCGCGGAGGACCCCATTTTCGTAAGCCTCTTTGAAGATATAAGCCGGTGCCTGGAGGAGGCGTGGTGTCGCGATACATCAATTGCTTACGACCACCGCGGCAGACGTTGGTACAGACAACAAAAAAGGGGAGAATCTTGGTTTCTTCAGCCTCCCCGCCCTTATTCTGCACCGTAGATGTATATACTCTGTTCAACATCTTACCCCGTACTCTCGTTGCCCGAGGCTGACGCAGACCCAGATCACGTGTTACCATCGACAGACCAAAGTCACGTGGCACAGGCCCCTAGCGCGTTCTAGAGCCGCCCCGGTCGGACTCCCCCCTAATTATTATGCCCGTGCTTCAGCGGCGGTAGACAGACAGTCAGACAGACAGACACCAGTGTCTGGATTTGGCAGCCAAAGACGCCGATTATTGACGGTATTGGGGGCTCCTAGGGATCGTTATCCGGCCCTTTGTCTATATTCCCTCTGTGTTTGTGTCTCTGGCGCTGCAGGGAGAGGATCGCTTGGGTTTATTTGGACAACCCCCCTCCCACCTCGTTGTACCGCTGCTCCGCAGCGGGTATTAACTGCTACTAGTCAGGAGTGAAAGGGACGACCTGTCCGATCTGTGTTGGATGTCATCGTGCCCTCCATTCCACATATAGGTTGTTAGCGACCCGTTTACCAATCCGAATTGGGAAATTTTGGTTTCGTTCCATCTTGGGCACCGTGTGTGGACAACGCTCATGCTGCGCCCTGCATCTCCCCAGCGACGCCCGTCAAGATGCCAACCACCACATCCGCACCTGACAAATCGAGACAAACCTCGGGCGGCAAGTCGTTCTTCGGGAGGAAGCTGCATAAAGAGAAGCCGGTAGAGGATCGGTATGAGGGCAATGGAGGGGTTGAGAATCTCGCGCCACCAGGCAGTTCGGCCGGCTCTCGTTCATCACGGCATTCGAAGCGTGCTTCCGTCCAATCTGTCGACATGACCCACGATTTTGATCCCAGTGGCCTTTCCACGAGTGCAGGTGTCATCACGTCGATCCCCTACGAGAGTCTGCCCGCGGACAACCGAACGCCTATCCCCGTGGACTATCTATCAAAGGCTGAGACGTCGCCGCGCAAAGAGCCTTCGCCAAATCATCTTGCCAAGGGTGCTTCGGATTTTCACCAATATCCGACATGGAATCCATCCGCAATGCAGAATAACAATTATTACTCCCATCCTACTGGTCCTCGCCCACCACCGCATGCCTCGAATGTAACTATGACTGGAAGCTCTTCGGGGGATAAAGGTCCTAGGTATCAGCAATGGGGGAGACCGGGAAGCTCGGCCACAAATGCAGGATTTAGCCATAATTCCTCTTCTACCTTTGATTCGTCATCGAACTCGCGAATGTCTCTCGACCAGGCCAGTGTTCATTCTTCTCTCTCCTCTAACACCCGGGGTTCCAGCTACTTCTCCTCGGATGGCTCTGCGCGCACACTTACAACCTCGCATTCGGCCGACAGGAATACACTTTTCCCTAGTGGAGGTTCAAATCGTCTTTCGACTGCGACAACAGCCTGGTCGGCGCACCAGGCAAGCCAGCCAACTGTTGCTCCGGCACCTCCCGAGCAATATCTTAGTCGACCAAGGGATGATCGTATAGTTGATCAGCTGTTCCTGGAGCTGATGCAGAAGCGAGGTTGGCAAAATCTTCCAGAGCAGGCAAAGCGGCAGATGGTTGCGTATCCGGCCTCCAAGAAATGGACACTGGTCCATCAAGATCGATTGACAGAACTACAGGGGGAACAGAAGCGGAGGCAAAACGCACGTCAGACTCATGGCCATGATGCGCCATCTGGCATTTTGGAGCGGGCCGATGAAGAAGGAAGCCCCGAGTGGTATGTCAAAAAAGTCATGGACGACACCATCACATCAAAACAACTAGCCAGTTTAAGTGTTAGTCTACGGACACAGCCTATTAGGTAAGTTTTACACTGTCAACTCTGCCATCTATCGAGTATACTGATACAGATGTAGCTGGGTCAAAGCATTTGTTGAGGCACAAGGTCAAGTTGCCTTGACGAACGTTCTTGCAAAGATTAATCGCCGAAAGGCCTCAGGGCCTGTCCCTGCACCTCCGACTGGAGACAAAGATCTGGACCGTGAATACGATATCGTGAAGTGCTTAAAGGCATTGATGAACAATAAATATGGTGCAGATGATGCCCTGGCGCACCAACAAGTCATTATAGCTCTCGTTAGCTCGTTGCTTTCCCCTCGGCTAAACACTAGGAAGCTTGTCAGTGAAGTCCTGACCTTCCTATGCCACTGGGGCGAAGGCCAGGGCCATCAGAAGGTCCTCCAGGGCATGGATCATGTCAAGAACCACCATGGCGAAACTGGACGCTTCGATGCCTGGATGCGTATCGTCGAGGTAACAGTTGATGGCCGTGGGAAAATGGGTAGTTTGGTGGGTGCCAGTGAGGAGTATCGCAGCGGAGGAATTGGCATGGAAAACCTTCTTATGGAATATGCTGTTTCCACCATGCTGCTCATCAACATGTTAGTGGATGCAGCGGAGGGTGACCTGCAGCTACGATGTCACATTCGGGCCCAGTTTACCTCTTGTGGAATAAAGCGTCTTCTTACGAAGATGGAGGGTTTCCAGTACGAGGTCATTGACAAGCAAATCGAACGGTTCCGAGAAAACGAGGCTATCGACTACGAGGATCTTCTCCAGCGGGAGGGTAGCAGCATGAAGGACAGTATCGAGGGCGATGTGAAAGATATGAGTGACCCTCTGCAGATTACTGATGCTATCACATCAAAAATCATGGGAAGCCGCTCCCACGATTACTTCCTTTCTGCTATGCAACACATGCTTTTGATCCGCGAGAACTCGGGAGAGGATGGTCTTCGAATGTTTCAGCTCGTGGATGCCATGCTCAGTTACGTTGCTATGGACCGAAGACTGCCCGATCTTGACCTTCGGCAAGGGCTGAATTTCACGGTACAGAATTTACTTGACAAGTTACATACCGATGCGGAGGCAAGACAAGTTTATGATGAGTCTCTAGAAGCACGCCAAATCGCGGAGGCAGCAATTGCCGAGCGTGATGAAATGAAGGCGCAAGTAGAGCTGGGTGCGGATGGGTTGGTGAAGAAACTGCAAAAACAGATTGATGAACAAACAGGCATTATCGAACTTCAGTCTAGGCAGAATGAGATGGTCAAAGCTGAGCTCGCTGATGTACAGAGGCTTCGTGCCCAAGAATTGCAGAGGAATGAGTTGGAGACCCGAGAACTTTATCTCATGCTCCGAGACGCCCAGGATATAGCCGCATCTAATGCCAAGAAGAATAATGTGGCCGAGACAGATCCCTCACAGATGAGAGGAATCCTGGACCGTGAAAGGCTCCTAGAGCGGTTGGAGATGCAATTAGAGCGAACGAAAACGCAGTTTCAGCTGGAAGGCAAGGTTTGGGGCCAACACGGCCCCTCCGACCGGCTCCGTGAGTTGCGGGAGAAGATGGACGGTGAAGGAGAATCAAGCGATGATTTCGAAGAGCAAGCTCGCCAGAACCTCGATAGCAACGCTCTGGGTTCCGTCCAGCGCAAGAAAAGTTATATACCTGGACTTGGAAACGATGCCACCGAAGGTCAGGAGTTGTATGAGAATGGGGAAGTGGTTTATGGACAGGCACGCCTTGCTGATCTATACCGGCCTCGTTTGAATCCCGCTCAAGCCACTGGTCTCCTTGGCGAGATTGCTCTCAAGGTTCCGAAAATCGATGGTCAAGAGACCGAGGCCGGCGACGAGACTGCGAAGCCATCTCCAGTTGACGGGTCCGAACAGAACAAGCCCAGCCAAGGTCTTGAGGTTGGAACACAAGACGAAAAGGTTGAAGGAAAGAAACCCTTGCCAGCTGTTGCACCCCCACCACCTCCACCACCTCCACCACCGCCGCCCCCTCCGCCTCCGCCGCCACCGCCGCCGCCAGGAGCTGCTGGGGTTCCTCCACCCCCTCCACCACCCCCGCCCCCTCCAGGAGCGAAAGGCATACCTCCTCCTCCCCCACCTCCTCCGCCACCAGGTTTTGGTGGTGGTATGCCTCCGCCCCCTCCGCCTCCACCTGGTGGAAAGATTGGAGCTCCTCCACCGCCCCCTCCACCTGGTGGCTTCGGGGGAGGCTGGAGAAGAAACTATATGGCTTCACAAGGTGCTCCCTCTCACCCACTCAGTGTTATGTCTTCGATCCGACCTAAGAAGAAGCTTAAGGCTCTTCACTGGGACAAAGTTGATGCGCCTCAGGTGACGGTGTGGGCCTCACACGCCCCAACCGCGGAGGCGAAAGAAGAAAAGTATTCTGAACTGGCCAAGAAGGGTGTACTTGATGAAGTCGAGCGGCTATTTATGGCCAAAGAAACCAAGATCTTTGGGGCCAGTACAGCTGCCAAGCAGCGGAAGGAGAAGAAACAAATTATCACCAACGAGCTGTCCAAGAACTTCCAGATCGCAATGGCTAAGTTCTCCCAATACCCTGCTGAAGATGTTGTGCGAAGGATCATCCACTGTGATCCGGATATTTTGGACAACATGGTCGTCATGGATTTCCTGCAGAGGGATGAGATGTGCACGATACCCGAAAACGTTTCCAAGTCGATGGCGCCTTACAGCAAGGATTGGACAGGGCCCGATGCTGCAAGTACTGAGCGAGAACAAGATCCTAACGAGCTCACTCGTGAAGACCAGATCTATCTTTACACTGCTTTTGAGCTAAACCACTATTGGAAGGCCAGAATGCGAGCTCTTGCCTTGACACGCTCCTTCGAATTGGATTACGAGCACATATCCGAAAAGCTTCAGCAAGTGGTGCAAGTTAGTGAGGCATTGAGGGATTCGGTTTCCTTAATGAATGTCCTTGGTCTAATCTTGGACATTGGTAACTTCATGAACGACGCCAACAAGCAGGCCCAAGGGTTTAAACTGGGCTCGCTGGCTCGTCTTGGTATGGTCAAAGACGACAAAAATGAATCGACTTTTGCAGACCTTGTGGAGCGTATTGTTCGTAACCAATACCCAGAATGGGAAGGTTTCTTTGATGAAATCAATGGGGTCATTGCCCTACAGAAGCTCAACGTTGACCAGTTGCGGACGGACGCTAAGAAGTACATTGACAACATAAAGAACGTTCAGGCTAGCTTGGATGCTGGCAATCTGAGTGACTCCAAGAAATTCCACCCTCAGGACCGTGTCAGCCAAATTGTTCAACGGAGCATGAAGGATGCAAGGCGGAAAGCGGAGCAAATGCAACTTTACCTGGAGGAAATGGCCAAGTCGTACGATGATATCATGGTTTTCTATGGAGAAGATAGCTCGGATGATGGTGCTCGACGAGATTTCTTTGCCAAGTTGGCAGCGTTCTTGCTAGAGTGGAAGGTTAGTAGCTTTTACAATCTTTTGTTTCTAGGTTACTTGTGGAATGATTGCTAACTGGTCGCTGCAGAAATCGAAAGAAAAGAACATTGCCTTGGAGGGAGCCAGGAAACGTACCGAAGCTTCTTTGGCTCGTAAGCGCATCAACCCTGCTCTTGCGAACGGCAATGGTTCCGGCAATGAGACACCACAGTCTCCAGCCACAAGCGGAGCCATGGACTCGCTACTGGAGAAGCTTCGTGCAGCAGCTCCTCAGGCCAGAGACCAACGCGATCGTCGCCGCCGCGCGAGACTCAAGGAGCGACACCAGATTCGTGTTACATCGGGGCAGCATATGCCTGATGCACCGGGGTCTGACGATGCTGAGGCTGGAAACGACAACGAGGAGGAAAGCAGCAACGGTTACAATGACTCGAATACTGTTGAGACTGGGCTGCTGAGTCCTCCTGGCCAAGAACCCGAAGCAGGCACCACCAAAGATTTGCAAGTATCCGAGAGCGAGGATGTGGCAGACCGGGCGGCTAGCATGCTGCAGGGCCTGAGAGATAACACAGGCGATGGCGAGCGCTCTAGAAGAAGAAGAGAGAGTGCAGAAGAAGAACGACGCAAACGCCGAATGCGACGACGCAATGGCGCGGGATCCGGAAGCAAAGACAGTGGTGATGGATCTGCCTTGTCACCCGTGAAGGAGCCTCTTTCCCCTCCTCGAACGGATTCAATGGAACCGGATGACGACGATACTGCATCGCAGCCATCGCAACCGCCGGCAATCATCGTATCACCCACCGGAGACCAGCATCACCGCCAATTGTCGGACGACGGCGAGCTGATAGGTGGCTCCCCTCCAAGTTAGCCTACTGAATCATCACGTTGATGAGTAGGCTATTTTCTCTCTTTTCTTTTTCCTTTCGATTTCAAAATTTCTTTTCATCTCCCCAAGTCTTTTCTAATATAATGTTTGATAGACTAACGGATGTCGTCTCGGAATCATTCTACTATGTCGTTAAGTGTATAATACTTCTCCGAACGTCTCTTGCCTTGGCCCTTTCCCTTTTTTCCTGTTTCGAAGACATTGTTTGCCAGCGTGATGGATCAAGTCCGGTGTCACGATAATTCTTTCCTTCCCCCAGTTTTCCTTTTCCATTACTTTGACTGTTTTCCTTTCGAGAGTACATTGTTATACTTTACCTGTCTTACACCCCCCATTTTCCTTATCGGCTTTCTCTTTTTCTACATACCAGCATTGATTCCGTGCCCATTTCTCTCCTTGTACATAGTTTCGTTTCCCTTTCTGATCTTGTTTTTCGGCCATGGTACAACCCATGTGCCCATTCCTTATATCCGCATGTTCTCAGCAATTCTTGCATCCTGTTGTGGTGGGTTCTTGAGCGGCGACTCCATGGCGTAAATATGGCCATGCGTCTATTCCAAGCGCAGGCGTGACGAAGTGAGACGCTATATTTTTGACATCATGGGTATACTATCTTCCATGTATCTATGGGTGTCTGGGCTTTTGCTTTACTACTTGCGGCTTTCTGTCTGGTCTGTAGTGTTTGACATCAATAGATCTCCTATTGGCCTGGTTTAATAATGGATTTTATAAGACTTTACAATGTTTCTCCTCGCAATGATGTAGTCAAACGACGTCCCATCTTTAATTGTGCATGCACTGTTCCATCCAATATAGAATCACGTGACCACATACCCGGTTCATCGTTCATCGCCATCTCAACTCTCCATTTCCATCTTCACCCGCTATTTTGCTGCCGTCTTGCGCATGCGAGCATTCTCACCCCCAAATCTGCGGCGGGTTATTCCCTTTTGCCCGTCATGGAACAGATATGCCACCGCAGGGCTTCTGAATAGAGCTCGCCCATTTCCCCGGCATCTCGCCCTCCCAGCTTCGCGGGAGCTGCGGAGAAGCCCCAATGGATCCCGGTGCTTTTCATCTACTCCTCGCAACCCGTCTGTGTTGGATGCAGATTCAACAATTTATGCCTTATCTACTGCACCAGGTAGAGCTGCCATTGCGGTTGTGCGAATTTCAGGCCCTGCATGTGTTCAAGTATGTTGCGTTGCGCCTTTCTCCGAGGTAAAAACCGAACAGCTATTAATCCTCACTAACCTACCTTAGATATACCAAGCTCTATGCCCCAAAGCTTTGCTTCCGAAACCACGCGTCGCAGCCGTACGCACTATCTACGATCCAGCCCGAGAACCCTCGAACAACAGTGTGCTAGACGCCGGCGCCTTGGTGTTATATTTCCCAGGACCCAAGACAGTGACTGGCGAGGATGTGCTTGAACTACAGCTTCACGGTGGACCAGCCATTGTGAAATCTGTCCTGGCGGCCATCGCTCACACGAATCGATCAGATGGCTTTGTTCGATATGCGGAACCAGGCGAGTTCACACGTCGCGCGTTCATGAACAACCGATTAGACCTTCCGCAGATTGAGGCGCTAGGTGATACTCTATCAGCCGATACCGAGCAGCAGCGTCGACTTGCCGTGCGGGGTGCCAGTGATGCGCTCTCTAAGCGGTACGAATTGTGGCGTTATCAGTTACTATACGCACGGGGAGAATTAGAAGCCTTAATTGACTTCTCGGAGGATCAGCATTTTGACGAGTCCACTGATGAGCTTGTATCCTCGGTTGCATCCCAGGTGCGGGCGCTGCAGGCACAGATCAGGTTCCATGTTCAGAATGCGTCTAAAGGGGAGCTATTGCGGAACGGAATCAAGATCGCCCTCCTTGGGGCGCCCAATGCGGGAAAGAGCTCCCTCCTGAATCGAATTGTCGGTAAGGAAGCGGCCATCGTCAGTACTGAAGAAGGGACCACCCGGGATATCGTGGATGTCGGGGTGGATCTTGGCGGGTGGTACTGTAAACTCGGCGATATGGCCGGGATTCGATCGGAGTCGGGAGGTCCTGCAAAAGGCGACACTGTGGTGATCGGGGCGGTGGAAAAGGAAGGTATCCGACGTGCTAGGGCTCGAGCTTTGGAATCCGATGTGGTCGTCGTGGTTGTCTCATTGGAAGAAGGAACAGACGGTATCACGCCTTATCGACTGCCAGTAGAGCCAGAAGTGGTCGACGCGGTCAATGATTGTGTACAAGCGGGCAAGTGCATCATCGTGGCTATCAACAAATGTGACCGATTACCGAACGGCAAATCTCCGTCAGACCTAACTGCGGCTGTTGGCGGGCTCTTCCCGGCGGTTCCTGAAACTCGGGTTTTTGGCATCTCGTGCCACGAGGCGCTGCAGGGGTTATCGCCGGGAGGGCAACTAGATCCGGGGAACGTACAAGGCTTTCTTCGAGGACTCATCTCTACATTCGAGCAAATTGCCTCTCCCATGGGGATTGAAGGGGACGAAAATGGACAATATGATATTTCATATTGGGAAGATTCTCTAGGAGTGACCCATCGCCAAAGCTCTAATTTACAAAGATGCTTGCACCATCTAGATGATTTTCTAAACCAAACCTCTATAACCAAAACGCCTGAAACCGCTGACCATGCTGACTATGGAAAAATTGAAACCGACGTGGATATCGTAACAGCCGCTGAACATCTGCGATTTGCCGCGGATACGCTTGCGAAGATCACCGGCAAAGGAGAAAGTGGGGATGTCGAAGATGTGTTGGGGGTCGTTTTTGAGAAGTACGTCTCATCATAGATGTGATCTGTTTGTATTTTGTGACTGACCATGTGCTGTTTGAATCTAGGTTCTGCGTGGGGAAATAGGATTCCGAGGCTGCCTTTGTGATGTATATCATCTCATGCCGGGAAGTCGAGCCCATCCAACAGCCCATCTTGAGTAATGTGCACAAGCCCTTTGGATGCTCGTCCGTCCCCCGATTGATCGTCATCGTCGTGTATGTCGTTATATCCTCCACGGCCCTGCATGCGGAGCAGGACAGGCGGGGGAGTGATGGATGAGAAAGATGAGACAGGATGCGAGGGTTCAGTTGACTGGGCAGGAGCGTTGTAACCACCTCGACCCATTGACGATGGAGAAGTTATAATGGTTTGGTTATGGTTCAAGGTTCGGTGTTGACCGTCCGGCTTGATGAAGTCTTCAATCACCACGATAATAGTTAATGATAATAAGAGACTCGGATTCCTTGATCCTGTTTTTGTTGATGGAGAAGAAAGAGGATGGAAGGAATTGAATTCTTCGATGGTATATATGCCAAAACATGTGAAAAATCATGTCTGCCTTACCCTTCAACAGGCACCCGCAGACAGTGACTAACAAGAGCTATGCCCCTGGTGGATGCCTGGGGGTTGATTCTCTTGTGTTTCTATTTTACGATGTCGCGATGATTGTCTTGCTTGAACAGGGCAATGCCTCTGAGTCAGGACTAAGAATACCTCCTCGTTGGCTGAATATACGATGTGGTTCATCTTATTATTATTATTATTATTATGATTTAAAAAAAATTTTTTTTTCGTGATTTCGTGATGCTACCTGGACCTTGAACCGATGATACGCATGGTTCTAAATTTGCTATTTCTGTATAGCTGAAACATGTCGAGATGGAGGCTGTCGATTCGTCACGAACGATGAAGATTATCTCTTAGTCACAAGATTATCTCTTAGTCACAGGCCCGATCGATGCTTGTCAATCTCGCGATGGATGCGATTCCTGTAGAATGTAAGCTTAATCCTTCGCAGTCTCAGCCGCAATCTAGATTATTCGACAGGTTTAGGAACATAATAAGAGCAAAACAAAAGTACCATGTTATTATGCATGGTTCGTGACAATTATGGAGTCGAGAGTCGCTGAATGTGCGACAATCCCCTGTCAGCTGATGTGATGCAGTCAGGGTTGATGGCAGGGCCTGAATGCGCCTGATGCTTGGTATGTTTATATATGGGTTTGAGACAGGAGATAATGGGCCTTGCAGGATATTATTAATCCTGGATATTGCATACAGCCTATGTCTTATGTCCATCCGGCCAAGATGGATATAGGAATGTTCGAGATTGATATGTGCTCAGTCAGTCAGTCAGTACTTTGTATAGAAAAAAACAGATGACTCATTCATGCATCGCCATCACAGCCACGTGATTCCATTTTGAATGCGGCTTGTTTCATGAATAAATGCGAGGCGGACTCATCGAATTAAATTTTTTTTTTTTTTTTAAAGTCTTCGTCTTGCAGATGGTGGCTGCGCATACGACTCCACCACCTGCAGCATGGTTAGGGACACTTGATCGACCATACATAGGCGTGCACAAGCAAAACTGACTAATTGCTATGAATCATTGGGGAGCCTTGATTATATCAGAGGCATTGCAAATTCCAGACAGCTTCATAGTTAGTCATCTAAAAATAAACCCGTAGGAATAATCGCTTTTTACACTCGACGTTTTATCCTCATATAACCATTTCGATTATACCTCGGAATACAACATCACACACGCTTGGAGATAAACCGCCGCAGTTACCTAGTGGGTTGGGCATCTCCAACTGCGCCTCGCATTCTGGAGTCGTCTGTACGTGCTGATAGAGCCCTGAAAGGAACCGGTACTGGCGGGCTCAGTGCGGGCAGAAATAAGGGTAAAAATCGTCCCGGTCAGTAGTATATTTCCGAGCCTGGTAGCACAAAAAAGCAAGGTCGTTGACATTTCCGAGCTAGATGCCAGATGGGCAGTTCCCGGCTTCCAGATGGATCAGCATTGCCGAGAAGGAGGCAAAGGTTCGGTAGCACCCGTGGCATTCTTGATCGCGCGCGTCATGGCAGCGTTGGTGCTCTTTGCGTGTAGCTTGCTATCGAGTGGGTCGATTGCAAAATGTTCGTACCATAGATCGCATAGATGAGATTTGTCTGTGCGAAACCAAGACGATTGTTCTCAGATACCCTGACATCAAAGGGGCTAATTGCCGAAGAAGTTGTCAGGAAGGATGTTATTGTTGACGCTCTCGACACCATGGGAGCAACTGCGATCTACATGCGAATCCGTACCGATCCATACATGGTTCATGGACTCGGGGCCCCCACGTTGGCCGTCATTTGTTAGTCTAGATTATTCAAGATGATGAATACATATTCATAAAACACATTGCGTGGCTTTGTATTCATTATTGTCATGATAATAAAATTTGTGAGATAAATGGCATCCCAGCATATAAGCCAGAAACAACCAGGATATAGAATATAGAATAGCCCCAAGATTTTATACTCACGAAGCAGCTAATTCATGAACATTGTCATGTGTGGCTGACTCTTCTAGGGCAGTATATACAGTTGTAATGGACTCTGAATCAGAGAGCCCGGGCTCTTCATCCAAAGGGTCAAAGACGAATGTAGACCGCGAGGGGGTATGTCCATATTGAGTAGATTCAAATTCTGGTGACATAATTGTTGCGAAATTTTCCCTCGTAGAGCTTGAAGCCACGTTATGTTGGGGCATCGAAATGGCTGGATATTGAAAACCATGGTTGGGATCAGGGGGTTTGAAGGATAAATGGGATCTGGGATCGTCAGTGGTTTCAGGCCTTCTTTCTGGACCAATCTCTTCGGGGGGATCGTTCGTTCTGTCTAACAATCGGGATGCTGAGGCTGGGAGGGCTTGGGGTTGCGCGACAGAAGTAGTCTCGGTTGGTCCATTATCCCACGATAAAACCTGTTCATTCATGCTCATAATCGGCTGCACATTTCCAAGAGAGTTGGGGTCAACATGAGGATTTCGAGGGTCTCCATGCATTTGTTCCGGAGTATGAGACCTGCTACTCGGAAGTCCGTGTTCCAAAGTAGATGGCAACTCTTGAGGAATTACCTTACTCGCAGGACCCTGGTCAGACACATATTCAAAAGGTGAACCCTGCAAGGGGCGTGGCAAGGGTGTAGACATTGAAGCGCCATTGAACAAGGACGGTGGCAAGTTCTGGGGTTCCGTCCGGGCACGTTGTCTATAGGCCTGGTTCAGTAGGTTTGATACTGCCTTTTTGCGTTCCTCGGAGATATGTACGTGGAGAGCAAATCCAATACTGTCTGCGGTGAGACTGAAGTCTGGACCGTCTTCAACCAATTCCGGACTGACAGACAGTAAAAGCCGAAGGACTTCAGGGTGTCCATAATAGGCTGCATAACGGAAGGGCTGCCATCCCATTTCATCCCGTCTGAGAACAGATGCACCATGTTGCAATAGAAGGGTTACCACCGCAAGATGACCGCCCATTGCTGCCAGACATAGTGGAGAGTCTTCGTGCAGAGCGGTCCCAAATCTTTGGTATAAGGGTGATCCCCGTTCGAGCAGTTTTTGAACCGCAGCAGCGTGCCCATGCCGGCATGCTACACACAGAGCTCGGTCTCCCACCGCATCCCGTGCATCCAAGGAAGCACCTTTGTCGCAAAGGAGGCTAAGCAACCCCATTGAGCCACGAGCAGCAGCGATATGCACCGGTCTTCGCTGATCCCCATCGGCTTGAGCCTCGATGTCAGAGCCACTAATCAGTAGTAATCTCGCAATTTCAAGACTATCTGTCATACAAGCGTAGTGAAGAGGATCAAGTCCAGATTGACATCGAGTTCGCAAAGAAACTTTCTTACGGAGCAGCAGCTCCACTACCGCAAACTGTGCGTTCATAACAGCTAGGTGTAAAGCCGTACGCCCCGCCACGTTTGCCATGGCTAATGAGCCCTTCTTTTGACAAAGAAGATCCACAATTTCCGTGTGACCGTTGAATGCAGCCCAGTGTAGAGCTGTCATAGCAGAGTCGTCAGAGCTTCGGGAAGAGGCTTTTCTCTTCAGTAGAAGTTGAACTACCAATAACTTGCCCGTCGCTGCGGCGCAAATCAATGGAGTCCTTCGATCATTTCCAGGAACCTCGATGCTTGCCTTATTATTGAGAAGAAGCTCAATGACACTAAGACTCCCTTCCTCACATGCGTAATGCAAGGCTGTTTTCATAGCAGCATCCTTAGCTTCCAGGTCCGCACCATGTAAGATCAAAAGTTGTACAATTTCCACATCTCCCCGTTTTGCTGCAGCATGAAGAGCTGTCATCTGGTTATCCGCTCTGGCATTAACCTTCGCATGATTTGATATCAGCACCCGGGTGGTCTTACGCTGGCCTCTAGCAGCTGAAATCCAGAGAGCGGTTTGACCGTGAGAGTTTCTAGCCTCCAAATCTAGATTCTCAAGGAGAAGCAAAGCGAGAACTCCACAATGACCACGTGAGGCAGCAAGGTGAAGGGCTGTACATCCCCATCCATCAACAACATTGAGCCGAGCGTTGTTACGAACTAGGAGATTGACGATATGCTCATTACCACAGTGAGCTGCTACTAGGAGAGCGTTTCTGCGAGAATGAATATGTCGTGCTTCAACGTCATGACCACTTTCAATAAGTTTTTCAATGTCAAATGGGGTTCCTGTCTGAGCTGTTTTGACAATTTGCGGCGCAGAGGCACCCTCGGGTGAAGTAAAGTCAATACTAGCGCCCGTATCACTTTCGCGGTCTCGTATAGGGCTAACTGCCATATCTCGCGTGTCTATCACTTTCAGTTCGGCTCCAATGGGAGTGCTTAGCCGACGAAGGACTGAGCGGAGCCTTTCACGCTTGGATCCTGACGACTGGGGTGTTCGTGAATAGTACGTTGAGTCTGACTGCCATCGCCCGACATTCCCCTTCCCCGATTGTAGTGGGTTGGTATTGTATGATGCACTCTTGCTGCGGCTATGTTCCGGAGACACTGGGTCGTAGGGACGTATAGGCAACGATATACTCCCCATTTGCTGTATTGGAGAAACACCTGGCGATAAGGACCCATTTGGAGTGACTACCATGCCGCTAGCATAGCCTTCATCAGTAGTCCTGCTTCGAGTGTCATGACCGATGGGAGTTTGTTGTTCTGATTTCGACCGCGAATGCTGAAGTGCGCGCCTATAGGCCATAGATGTAACTACGGTATCATCGAAATCGAACACGGTATCGCCAACGGAGGGTTGATTTTGACCCAGACTGTCAGCATGAGAGGCTGCGTAATTGCTCCGAGTTCGAAGGGTAGCAGTATCGTCGGCGACCTTCTGGATAATTTGGCGGCTTTCTACTCTTCGTAGGAGTTCTATCTGCTCTGAGGAAGTCCGACTTTGGTAATTTAGTATTTACTGGCACCTATCACTGTGTTGGAACTCACCATTGACATGCCTGCAGCAGCAGTTGGAGAGCTAGGACTTGTGCACGAAGTCTCTCCTGGTGTCCTTGCATAATTTCTTCATTCCATACTACCTTGACTTTAGTTCGGAAACCAATTGAAGTACCATTGCCTGTGGTGTTTTGAGTCAGGAAAGAGACTTCCTCGGAGAGAACGTCCATGGCTGCTCGACAGCCCTCCAAGGCCACGTCCAGTCCTTCATCATAATCATTGTGTTCGGCGGAATCGCGAGCATTATACTTAGCCCAATCATCTAATTGAGTGACCGCAGACTTGATGGTTGTGAGTTCTCCTATGAGTGAGCGAATCGTGAGGTCTGCATTGTTGAATTTCCCACGGAGCGTCGCCAACCCCGCAACTGTCTGGCTTATGGCCTGAACAATCTGGACAGCTCCAGAAATCAAACCAAAAGCAGAAATAGGATCCATTAAGAGTATCTGTCCGCTTGAGTCGATCGAGTATTATCACTTATTGGCGATAAAAACCAAACCCGCTGTTACCACCATGATTTTTCTTATATTGCACCAGGTAGCGTGCGGTGCTATCAAGCATATGGCGATAAAATTTGTGAACAGAAGGAGAAGGAATATATGAAGGACAATGATTTTGACAACCCAGACAGTCGCATTCTTCTTCGCGAGCAGGCGTGAGGGATGTTGTCAATCCATCAGGCGCCGCGTTTCATATCCATAGATTAAAGAGGCGCAGCCTTGCGGTGCTAGTTATCTACGAGTAGTTTAGTCACTCCTTTCAGCTGAGGAGTTGGACCTTTGCGGGCGCAGATTCAGGTGAGGGATGCGAGGCTGTGAGGGGCTTGCAGTGTTGATCATCTTAGGCTCAGCACTGCCACTTTGGATAGCGTTGAGATTGAAATTGTGTCAAAACTGGAAGCGTTCATCGGTTCCCCGAGAATAGTCGCTAAACATTGAGCAGTGCAAAGAAAAGAACGCCCAAGGGAAAAAGTTGCATTGATGAAGAATTAAAGAAGCAGGTTTGGGGGGGGGCTATTGCAGAGCGTCGTCCGTCAGAGCGTCGTCCGTCACTTAGCTTGAGGATTGCAAAAAGAACATCACGGAACGAATTATTTTCATCTGCCTAACAACTTTTTATTCCGAAAATGAAATCTAAATAGATCTAGATCCAAACGAAATCGCTCTTTTATACATATTCATCCCAAACAATCGTATAATGCCCGGCAACAGGAAACCAGAACGAGGTTTATTGAGACTGAAGAAAAGAAAGAAAAACCACCCAACACAACAACACGAAGAGATTAGAAACCCCGAAGGATACTGGGGGAAAGCTCGGGTATATAATATAAACGCCAAGTTTCAACGAAGCTCGTTGAGTTCAATCGTAAAGGAGAGCAAACATACTGATTATTGTAATAACCAGCGTCTACGCTCCAATGGCATTCTTGACCCATTTCTCCAAACCGCCCTTGGCAATTATCTCCTGCACGTTTGGTGGGAGTTCACCCACCTTGTGTGTCCACTTGGGGCCATTCTGGCCTTCCTGGATCTCAATGCGGCTTCTTCGAACATCCCAGGTCAAGGTCCAGCCAGTCCGGCGGGTGAGGGCCTTGTCTGACCCAAAGCTCTCACGCAAACGGCTAATAAGACGGGGGACCTCAAGACCCATCAAAGCGTTGTTGATACTGTTTCGGGAGAAGATGTTTCCAAAACTGCCAGACACAACAAGCGGGATCTTCTTAGCGAGCAGGGCAGTAGCTGCCTGCTCTCTAGAACTTCCGCAGCCAAAGTTGAATCCAGTAACCAGGATGTCACCCTCCTTGGCGAGCGAGGAGAATTCTGCGTCGTAGTTGGACATACAAACCTGGGCCATGGTCTCAACGGGGACATTGTCCTGGTAGGTGTACTTGCCAGGGTAGATACCATCGGTGTTAATGTTGTCCGCATCACAGAAAACAATCTCACCAGAAACTCGTTCGGGGAACCCGGGGTACACCTCCGTAAGAGCGTCATCAGATTCGTTTTCAGGTTCGGCATTGTCTTCAGGGGCAAACTTCTTCTCCGCATCAGCAACGATGTCATCGAGCTGGCCAATCATCTTCTCCAGAGCTTGCTCGGCGGTAAGCATCCGGTGTTCCTCGCGAATGCCATCACCCTCGCCTCGCACGACTCCGGTCCAACCCTCGGGCTGTTGGTACCAGCCAGGTCCACTAAGCTTTCCGCTCAAAGCGCTGGCAGCAACAACCTCAGGGCTACCAAGGTAGGCCTTAGCATCGGTGCTGCCCATGCGTCCCTTGAAGTTACGGTTCGACGCACTGATGCCAACCTCACCAGGCTCGAGTAAGCCGGTTCCCAGTCCGATACAAGGACCACATCCGGCAGGGAGCGGTGTAGCGCCAGCTTCCAACAATGTCTGCCAGTCACCGGCACCTTCAGCAGCCAGCTGCTCGGGAATAGATGCGGCAGCAATATAGAACTTGACACCATCCGCAATCTTGGGCACCTTTCCGCCGTTCTTCTCCGCGGCTTCCTTGAATACCCTTGCGGCAGCACCGATGTCGGAGGCTCTCGAGTTTGTACACGAAACAAGGTAAGCCTTGTTAACTGGAATGTTTTGAGCCTCGAGGTCCTTGAGGGCGGTGGCAACCTTGACTGAGTTGGGGCCAGACACATAAGGAGAAAGGGTAGAAAGATCCAAGAAGAGCTCCTTGGCGTACTTGGCCCCCTTGTCAGCAGTTACGGGGTTCTCAAACAGTTGCTCGAGAATAGGGTGAGTGAAGCGCTGAGGAGCCAAGGTCTTGAAGGGACCGTCAGCGAGTCCCATAGCAGCGGTAGTTGCCTTGCCTTTGAGCCATCCCTTGAGCACATTGTCGATAGGGAACAGTCCAGACAGAGCTCCCCATTCAGTTGTCATGTTGGCAATGGTCAACCGGTCATCCACAGGCAGACTTCTCATAGTTTCCTCGGATCCCGTAAATTCAATGGCATGGTTCAAAACATCGTCCTTATCGAACAAACCGCAAAGAGCAACGATGACGTCCTTTCCGGTCACACCAGGGGCCAAGAGACCAGTCAAAGTGACCTTTGCAACTGGAGGGATTTGCCACCAGGTTTTACCCGTGGCCCAGATGCTGGCACCGTCGGTTCTCACAATAGGGGTACCCAAACAACCAACGCCACCGTACATGTTGCTGTGACTGTCCGACGCAACCACAAGAGTACCAGGCCAAGCAAACCCTTCCTCAACCATGATCTGATGACCAATACCTCGCTCAGCAGGGTAAAATTCGACACCATGCTGCTTGGCGAATTCCTCAATCTGCCGGTATTTCTGGAGGTTCTTTTCTGACTTGTTCTGGACGTCGTGATCGAGGGTCATCACGATCTGGTTGGAATCATGCAGCTTAGAGGCACCGATGGACAGAAACTTGAGCGCGACAGGCCATGAATTGTCGTGTGTCATGCAGCGATGAGGTGAAATTGTGACATAGTCGCCAGACTGCACAAACTTGTCCTTGGCCAGGCCGACGGAGTATCTCTGGACGATTTTCTCGGTGAGCGTCTGGGGAACGGCTCTAGAGGTCTGGAGAGACGAGTAGACGGCAGCGGAGGAGGGGTCTTCCAGCTGGGAATGAAAGACCTCTTGGTAGTAGAGTCTGGTCGAGGCGAATGCACGGCGTTGGAAGTTATTCGGCACCGGACATCGCAATACCCAGCGTCTGCCGCCGGACGGCATCAATCGCGACTACATGGTTAAAAAACATTAGTTATGGGGAATTTCATAATTTTCGAAAATATGTCTTCACAGCAGGCAAACCTACAGTCATTCTGTCAGCCGTACGTGAGGGCGTTGAATATGAACTCCGAGCGGACGGAGGGAAATCCAGTGAATTCGGAGGGCGAAAAGACGCTGGCAAATTAGAACACTTACATTATTCGTCATTGGGAAGCGCGCGGTAAACACGGCAACCGCGCCAAGACGCTCCGATAGCGGAGGACTTTTCTAAACTGCTATTTTTGCTCATGTGAAGTAGAACGATATGAGAGGATTTGGCCAATTCAGATATACAACAGTTTATATGCAATTGTTTTCATGATTCATAAGTACTTGAGAGCGAACAATCATATGATTGCATACCATTACAGTTTGAAGTATGGAGGAAGCACCTAAACGTCAATCACGCACAGTTATGTGACAACCCCGCCTTTGAGTGCTACAAGGAAACTGTAACACAGTATTATATGCAGCGCAATTGTATAAATCTATCAGATATATCAAGTAGAAGTATTTCAACGCTGAATTCCAAACATGCAAGGGATTGTTCAACTCGAATCGATTACCGTTGTAGCAATTGGCGCGATGGACCTGACTCATACCCCGCCATCTCGTGATGCTTTTCAGCTGCGTTCCGTGTAAAGTTTTTCTTTGCTTTTCCTCCCTCGTTTTTCTTTTTCTCGAACCCCTCTTTCCTGGCCATTGAAGGTTAAATTTCTAATATATCCTTGGGAATTAACCCATCCTCATATATATGTAAGACTATTTCCTTTCCCCCATACGACAGTAGCTTTTGCCTGTACCAAGACTTCCGAAAGTCCCCGCCGCGAGTTTTCACATATATACCTTTCTTCCCCTGTTCTTCTCACAGGTGCTAACTCGAATTCAGCGAAGCAAACAAAATGCCTAGCAGACAAGAAGTTTCTTACTTTGGAGCTGGCCCTGCCCCCCTTCCCACCTCTGTCGTCGAGGCTGGCGCAAAGGCCTTTGTCAACTACAACGACTGCGGACTCGGACTCGGAGAGATCTCTCACCGTTCTTCTACCGCGAACAAGATTCTCGAGGACACCAAGGCTAGTCTGACCACCTTGCTTGACATCCCCAACAACTATGAGATCCTGTTCATGCAGGGTGGTGGCAGTGGAGGATTCAGCGCAGTGGTGCAGAATCTTGTCGGTGTTTGGATCGAGCGCAGACGTCGAAGAGCAGAGGCCGAAGTTGTCAAGGCCAATCCAAACGCAGACAATACACAGCTGGACGAATTAGTCTTCCAAACACTGCAGAAGGAGGTCAGCGAGGAGCTGAAGCTGGATTACCTGGTTACGGGCTCTTGGTCGCTGAAGGCATACCAGGAGGCCAGCCGGCTGGTGGGATCCAAGTACGTCAATCTCGCCGTGGATGCGAGAAAGGCCAATGATGGAAAGTTCGGCAAGATCCCGGATGAGGAGACTTGGTCACTCACACCAACCAAGAAGGAGGGTGGAAAGGGCTCCGCATTTGTCTACTACTGTGACAATGAGACCGTGGACGGAGTTGAGTTCCCAGACTTCCCTAAATCTCTGGAGCCTCAAGGTGTGGATGAGGAAGATGAGAGAATTGTGGTGGCCGACATGAGCTCCAACTTCATCAGCAGAAAGATCGACGTCAGCAAGTACTCGGTTATCTTTGTAAGTTCGGGCTATTTTTATGTAGCATTTGAGACCACCAAACTAACAGACGTACAGGGCGGCGCCCAGAAGAACATTGGTGTCACTGGTATCACCATCGTCATTATAAAAAAGTCCCTCCTTCCCCCACAGACAGCGACTCCCCCGGCACCACTCCTTCAGCGGTTGAACATCGGTGGTCTCCCCGGTGCAGTCGTTCTCGACTACGCTACCATTGCCAAGAACAACTCTCTCTACAACACCCTGCCCATCTTCAACCTTTGGGTTGCCGGCCAGGTCATGGCCGACCTTGTCAGCGCATACGGGGCCCAGAAGATCAGTGGCCAAGAAGAAATTTCAAACCGCAAAGCAAATATCATTTATTCAGTCTTGGATAAATACCCACAGGTTTACCGCGTTGTCCCGGACAAGAGTGTCCGAAGCAGAATGAACATCTGTTTCCGTGTTCACGGCGGAGATGCTGAGAAAGAGAAGGAGTTCCTGGCTGGGGGTGAGAAGCTGTTGCTCCAGGGTTTGAAGGGCCACCGCAGTGTTGGAGGCATGCGGGCCAGCAACTACAATGCTGTGCCGCTGGAGAATGTCCAAAAATTGGCCAAGTACCTGGAGGATTACGCCACTGGACAGTAGACGTCATTCTTCTATACAGATGATAGGGGACGCGGTAGGTGAAGCAACCGAAATAATCAACAACAGATAGTTGTGAGGTTTATTCAACATAGCGCCTGAGATATGGTACAGAGAAGGAAAAAGTCATTTATGATACACGGGACAGAGCGGGTCCTGGAGGCTGTCAAAGCTTCCAGACGATCCAACCCTTCAGATCGAGCTCTTGAATGATCCCTTGAAGCGGGCCTTGGAGTTCTACTCCTTGCGCCCAAAGCTTTGGTCCTGCCATATAGCTGATGAATCCTTCCGGTCCTGAAAGAAGGATCATTTTACTTTTGCAAGAGCTCTCCGAAGCACGTGTAGAATCAGTGAAGTCCAAAATAGCCTTCTTTCCGATAGCTTTGTTTTCTTCATCCACAAAATAATCCACAGTAACTTGACCTGGGTATTGGGATTTGAGAGCTTCCAGCTCTCGGACCATTAGAGATGTAGAGGTGTCCTTTTGCAGTTCTGCCGGGGCAGGGCTAGCTTCTGGGGATTTGAAACCCCAAAAGAACCACGACTTTCGAGGTGCATCCGCTTTGGTATCATCCAATCCTCCGGCACAGTCATCGCGTCGTCTGTTTGCCCAGAGGATATGTATCCGAGGTTTGGTCGTATCGTTGGTGCGCCGAAGAAGAGTATGGCCAGCCTGCAGGGCTGGAGCAATCCCTGTGCCACCAGCAATAAACAGAATCTCTTGGGTTTCGGTAGGAATTTCGCGTTCGATTCGTGGCCCGCGTACTTCAATCGTGCTCCCTAGATCAAGCCCATGCAAATATCGGGAAACCTCCCCAAACGAGTCTTTACGAATGAAGAACCGCAAGAGACCTTCCTCCTCCGGACTCCATGGTGTTGCAGGTAGGGGCGTATAATCTCTCCCGATCTGCAGCTGAGGCTGTTTAAACATCACACTCCATACGCCAGCTTGCCATGCCTCTTCATAGACATCACTGTTTCCATCGGGCTTGGGTGGTTTGAGAGTAAAGATACTTCCAGTCGACGATACTGGTTCCCGGGATACCAATGAGTACTTGGTAAATTTGACCGGGTTCAAAATAGAAGGCCCAGAATCCTGTTGCGACCAGATATAAATACCAATCCCCCCAGCTGCTGCTGCTGCTGCACTCACGACCGCCCGTCGAGTCCAGGGTCGCTGTTTCGGCGCAGATGAAGACGGAGCGGAAGACGAAGACGCATGGCGAAGACTTGAACACCTCCAGCAGACCGTGGAGGAGGAGGGATTGGACAGACGCAAACCCTGGCCAAGGATTCTGGAGTTCATGGGACCTGTATCGAGCCGTTCTCTTCGACAATAATAATCGATGCCTCTATCACACAGGCAATTAATGAAGGCGAACAAAAATAGCGCGGGGGCGCTAGGCCCGATTCGACGGGCCAGGACGATCCCCATATGATGGGCTTCTTGTGCTTTTAATTTCTGCCACCCCTTGGCGACGATCATCGCTTTTTCTTCTTTTCTCGTTTTCTCTCCTTCTCTTCCTCTTGGTTCGGATGACCATTGTCTCTTGTAATCCGTGTTCTGGAGATAGATACTGCTTAGGACCGTGGATTTGACATCACCCCTGCGCTGGCATGGAGAACCCCGTCATTGTCTACTGATCAGCCACTTCAATCCTCCGTGTTCATTGACCGACTTGTACGCTTTACAACATGTCTCCTGCGACTTTTTCACGAGAAGGCAGGTCCGAGAATCATCATGCCCCTCGAGATTCTCTAGAGCTCGCCTCTCTTGCGTCCTCTTCGCCCGACTCCGCAGGTAGATCTTCCCGCTCCTCGTCACCCTCCGGCATCTCCTCGTCGCGCAAGCTCTCTCTTGAGGGTCAAGACCCTCTTTCCGAGTCCCATTTCGACGCAAACCTCGAATCAGGACGATCGAGGTCAGGCCGATCATACTCCATATCCTCCGCGTTTGATTTCGGGAGAACGCTATTTCCCTTGTCGCAGACGGCAGGGGGTTACGCTCCCTTAGGTGCCCCGTCGGCGCTTGACCGACAAGGTGGAATCATTGATGGATCGTTGGAAAGGAACAAGACCCTAACATATCTGAATGGGCTGTCACTCATCATTGGTTTGATTATTGGCTCGGGGATATTCTCCTCTCCGAGCCAGGTCAATGCCAATGCGGGGTCCCCCGGTGCGTCGCTCATTGTGTGGGCCGTTGCCGGGTTGCTTGCATGGACGGGTGCTGCCAGCTATGCAGAGCTCGGAGGCGCGATCCCTCTAAATGGTGGATCTCAGGTATATCTTGCGAAAATCTTCGGGGAGTGGGCGGGCTTTCTTTTCACCTGGTGTGCCGTCCTGGTGCTGAAGCCTGGAAGCGCTGCCATCATCGCCATCATATTCGGTGAATATGTGGTTCGCGCGGTAGTGGGTGCAGATGCTGAAATGGTTAACCCGTGGATCAACAAGGGTGTTGCTTTCGCTGGGCTTTTTGTCATAGGCCTGATGAACTGCATCTCCACCAAGGTTGTCACTCGCATTGGTGACATTTTCATGTTCTTCAAGTTCATCGCTCTAATTGGAGTCACCGTCACCGGAATCGTGGTAGCCATAACAGGGCTTTCTTCGAATGGCAGTGCGAACAAGGAATGGAAAACAGGTTGGTTTGAAGGCACCAACACAGACATCTCCGGCTTTGCTGTGGCACTGTACGGGGGTCTGTGGGCGTTTGACGGTTGGGACAACGTATGTGTGATCTATATTCAGGCTACACCTTCTACTTTTGCTAACGAAGATACAAGACAAACTATGTGACGGGCGAATTCAAAAACCCGAATCGCGATCTCCCGCGTGTGATTCACACGGCCATGCCTTTGGTCATTCTCTGTTATCTACTCGCAAATGTTTCTTACTTTTTGGTTCTGCCTCACTCCACGATTGAAGCAAGCAACACGATTGCCGTCCAGTTTGGAGATAAAGTGTTTGGGTCGGTTGGCGCTCTGATACTCGCCCTGGTGGTTTCTGCGAGCTGTCTAGGCAGTCTGAATGCCACCATTTTCACCAGCGGAAGACTGGTCTACGCTGCTGGTAAAGAAGGCTATTTGCCCGAGATATTTGGAAACCTCGGAATTGGTGGCTCCTCTAACCCAGCAAGCAATCGATTGCAGCGTCGATCTTGGGCCAATAAATCTATATCTCTCTTGTTTGGGGATGAAAGCCAAATCGGATACACACCCATCAACGCCATGGCCCTGAACGGTGTGCTTATCGTGACATATGTCATCCTCGGCGAATTCAAGACCCTTGTCACTTTCTACGGTGTTGCCGGGTATACATTCTACTTCCTAACTGTGCTCGGTCTGATTGTGTTGCGGATCCGGGAACCACATCTAGAACGACCCTACCGAACCTGGATCACGACACCTATTATCTTCTGCTGCGTCAGCCTTTTCTTGCTCAGTCGCGCCATCATCGCAGAACCGTTGCAGACGCTGATCGTTGTGGCTTTCATTGTCGCTGGTGTGCCCGTTTACTTCTGGCGTATACATCAACGGGATGGCAGACTCACGTTCCCTGGCTGGAAGTTTTGGCAATTCCGCTGGTCTAGATGATTTCAGCGATGATCGCCATTCCCCCTTTTCCTTCTTATTAAACTATTATTAAAATCTTGAATGTCGCACATGAATCGATACCCATGCATATAATCCGGGTGTATGATGAAAACGGAGCTTACAGCGTTGCTTTTTTTTGTTTGCCTTTGCGTCATTGGCATATGATGATCCGGGCAATTGGTTGACGTTGTTTTCCATGAGAGGTGACATCTTCGTCTATATATGTCTTACCGGAAAGTAATATAAGATTCAGTCCAGTTCAATAATAATAATTAATCATTAATATCTGTTAAAAGTGCTTTTATATTGTGTATTCTGCGAATTATACACTCTCATTCCCCAGGCCATCCCACACATTCGCATGTACAAGAACCGCAGCAGGGTTGTGACCTTGTGAATCTGCATGGCTACTGTTCGATTCCGCAAAAAACCTCAGCCCAGCGCAAGAATCTTCTGGTGAATAAACCCGAGTCGAGATGACTGTTCGTTCGTTCACAAATACCTCCAGTACGCTCTTGTCAAAGTATGCCTGGACTCGTAGTGTTTCTTCTTTTTCTTCCCCACAATCATCAAAGGTAAAGAGAGTATGGGGGGCCACTTCAGGGCTATGGTTAATTCCCGATTCGAGAACCTGTGGTCTTTTGATTGTGAAAGTCTCCCCGGATGGATTCCACGAAAGGAGGGTACGACAGGAGAATTCTGATGGTATGCATGTTAGCTTAGGCGAGATAGTGCAGAGATGTTACCAAAAGCATGACTTACCAGGGTTATGACCAATTTCAATACCAACAAGTGCACACTGCTCATTGACGACGAATTCTGTATTCATTTCCCATCTCGGCGTCTTCAGGGGTATGGTGTTCTCGAGACGAGCGTGGTGAGATGCAGACTGTAATTGTAAGCTCGCAAGCTGAGTTTTCCGCGCCAGGGCTCGGAGTTTCCCAAGTCTTTGGTCTGGCTGCACTCCCAAGGTCCGGACAGTATAGGTGCCATGCGAATTTACTTCTGTTTCAATGGACGTGATTTTTTTCAGCTCTGAACGACGTGCCTTTTTGACATTATGCAACGTCATCAGTTTTATCGCTCTTGGAAGGGATATTAAACCACTCCAACCTTGCCGATGGCGGAGGCTATCTGGCAAATCTTCCTCAGTGATCCAGCCATAAACGATCTGCTGGGATGTAACTGGGTCCCAAAAGGAATTTGCAGCGTAGAAACAGCCATGGTCAAATATACCACCAAATGCGTATGTTGTGAGAGGTTCAAATCCACAATGTTTCCCAAGTTCAGACCGCGGCTTCACACACATCCATAATTGCGAGCGAGGCACCCTTTTTTGCGGGTTACCTATCTCTAAACATCCCTCTGCCCCCGTTATAATGAAATCCCTTGAAGCAAGTTCACTGTCGGTTAGCGTTGTCAAGGTTGAAACTTCCCAGTTAACGCCAAAGTCACCGGACCACCGAGATGGTCGAAAGTTCAGCCCAACATCGATTAAAGGCCCGATGTACTTCCATTCCTTCAGGTTTTTGGGATTGACTGTGTAAACGAAGACCGTCGGCGTCTCCGAAACGATGCCTCCAGATATGAAGCCGTAGAGGTTCGAGGATGGTATATTCGGATGGCGCTGCATCGATGGCCACGCACCGATATAAGGGTCCCTCCAGCCGGTAACATTGACACCTGGAGGTGACCCTGGCAGGATCGGGTTGCAATTCTGCCGCTGCCATGTTGTACCACCATCGTGCGAGACCGCTAAGCTAAGGGATTCGCTTCCAGCCACATACGGCAGGGTGTAATGGATCGGAAGATGCCCCACTGATGTGTATATGTACGTGAGAGCACCTGGCTCACCATTGATATTGCTTGATTGGAGGCAACCGGTAAATACGCCACAATTATCGTAATCAGCGGAAGGTGTGAGACATGGATGCGGTGATGTCTTCCAAAGAACAAGGTCGGAAGAAACAGAATGACCCCACGAGATATTGCCCCAATCATTCCCGATCGGATTCCACTGAAAGGCCAAATGATAAAGTCCGGTTGCGGGGTCATATCCAAGGCCACAGGGATCGTTTAGCCACCCATGAGGAGCTGTTAAATGAAAAGATGGTCGCCATCGCAAGGCCTCTCGAGAGACTGCTGTCTGGTGCTCGACGGGTTGAGACTCCTGGTCCCTTTCATGATTCGGAACTTGAGGAGAACTTTCGCTAATTGGAAGCACCTCCACACCCTTGCGTCTTGCGATGATGGACATGTTGGCGTGGGTTTCAGCTGACAGATCACAAGTCAGACAGCAAACGTGCACTGGGTACTCTGGGTCTGAGGCAACAAGTTTCTGAGATTGATGGCAAGGAAGACGCGCCCTCTAGTATAAGTTTATTATCAGACCGATTGTCATCACATCATCATTTGACTTCCAAAGAAGATACGCGTGGCATCAGGCGCTCGGGGAAACCAGATGGCATTGGCCACCATCTAAGATGACTCTGTCGGAGACTATCCTGAGAAGAAAGTAGCCCCGAGATAAAAAAAACCATGTCGAGTATGATTACTGCACTGTATAATTTTCCGGCAGTTGTTCGGAAGTACTGCGTAAAAGGATAAAGGACCACAACGGGAGATTGTCGGGGAAATTCTGAGACGGCAAACCGACTGAAGAACGCAAACGGAAGGCGGATCCAATTTCCTGGACAATTCCATCGGAAGAGCTAGAGGGGATATCGGATATCAAGTGTTAAAGCTATAGAATATGAAGGCGCTGCCTCTGACATCTTTGGTAAATAATAAGGCCCAATGTCGTCTCGGGAGATAAAACATCTGCAATGAGCTTAGTTATGGCATTCACACACGCCTTTTCCATCCAAGACTGTACTCACTCTTGAACTGGCACTCTCCGCGGCCATTTAGAATGCCAAAAGGGCACTCCACGAGGGTTTATGAAGTCACTGCCCAGCGATGGATGCAGTGTCACACTGTCACTGTCTGACAGTCATACTAAGCGAAAGTCTATTCTCGTCCTTCGGTGAACCAGACAACCGTCTTCTGGGGAACAATCTGGGGAATCAATTGCGCCCCTCGCCGTTCTGAATTGAGTGCACATGGCTTTTTAAAGCTCCACTACCAGAGCTACTATTCCCTTAGCTTTCCAATAATGCGTGGCAGGGATCGTGCCGAGCACAGGTGCCGTCACACTCACATCGATCGAATGGGGACTTGACGTCGTGGAGGAGGCTGCCCCCTGCTCCTTATTAATCTGACGCCGTCGACTTCGCCTCGTCGCGGTCGACAGGTCGTCGAAATTATGGCCTTGGATCTAGTCCAAGAAGATGGGTTGATCTCCAGAACCGACAAGGGCAAAACTAGGCAGATTCAGCATGTGGATGCCCCTTGTCATGGCCCAACTGTCAATGCGTTCTTGGTCCTAGCTTGCACGGTTTTTGGCGCAGCTTCGTTCCTGTTTGGCTTCGACGACAAAATCATCTCGCCCGTGGCCGCACTGAAGCCCTTTGTGAGTCGGGGTGTGGGTGGATGATGGAATCGAGTTCACTGACCAGATTGCCAGGTGGAAAAGTATCAGGGTCCCAACCCAGTCACGGGTCAATACGCATTCACCGCTCGCAACCAGAACATACTATTCTCTGTTCCCTTGGTGGGATCAGTTCTCGGGGGACTGGTGGCATCGCCCTTAAACTTTCGTCTGGGTCGGAAATGGCCTCTCATAGGAGCATATATCGTTTCTCTTAGTGGTGGGCTGCTTCAAGTTTTCGCTCCTAACCTGGCAGCGTTTGTGTGTGGGCGTTTCTTGAGTGCAATTTCTATTGGCATTTCCAATGCAACTGCGCCTTTGTATCTTTCCGAGGTAAGACAATCGACCTTCTGATACCCACATGGATGCTCATATGCAACAGGTTGTCCCCGCTTCCATGAGAGGTCGAAGTGTTTCGTTGACCAACATTCTGAATGTGACGGCTGGCGTGGTGGGCACTATTGTGGTATTTGGGACAGAAAAACTAGGGGGCCGAGAAACATATGTTATTCCGCTGGCTATACAATGTGCTTTGCCCGTTATCCTCTTTCTCCTGACACTACCACTTCCTGAAAGCCCCCAGTGGCTGATCGCCAAAGGACGAACGGAGCAAGCCCATTGCAACCTCCGCAAATTACGTGGTTTCAGCGATTCACAAGTCGAAGATGAACTCCGGCTCATGGAGCGATGTGAAAACAATAGACGCGAAGAGAATTCAGACGTCCAGTTTTGGGATATATTCCAGCGCAAGAACCTCAAACGAACTCTCACTGCTAGCTCCTTCTACTCTCTCAACCAAGTGTCCGGTATCATTCTCTCCACGACCTACACTGCCGTGTTTCTAACCGAGCTTGGGATCGGTGGCCCTTTCTCTCTGACCGTCATTGCATCCTGCTGCACCCTTGCTGGAACCATAGCGGCCCCATTCGTCATCGACCGCGTCGGACGTCGCCCCACGGCGCTCGTGGGGATGAGCGCCCTTTTCATCATCGACGCTGTAGCCGGCGGGCTAGCATTCAGCGCGGACAAAAGCTCCACTATGACGATTGCCGCCTTGTCCTTCGTCTTCAATTTCTTCTGGGCCTCTTCTTTTTTCTCCATGTCCAACCTAATACCCTCGGAGATAGCCACGCCGAAGCTCCGTAACCACACCATGGCATATACGGTTGCCTGTGCCCAAACAACCGCGGTGATTACCACCTTAGCGGTTCCCCAACTCACTTCTGCTGACGCTGCAAATCTCGGGGCAAAGACGTACCTGGTTTTTGCGGGTTGTATGGTCTGTATCCTCATATTTGTATACTTTTTTATTCCTGAAACGCGAGGCCGGACCTTTGCGGAGATTGACGAGATGTATGATGCTAAAATTCCCGTGTGGAAGTGGCGGAGATGCGAGACTTCACTCGCAGCCAAAACGGGTGAGAGTCGATTAGAACCGTCAAAGAGAGTTTGAATCATGGCCACGGCCGCAGCATGTATCTTATACTATAGACACCTGAATGGTATTTACCATGTACCTTTACATACTGTCTACTAAAAGTTTCCATTCCAAATCGTATTCACATTCCAAACGAAGGTATTATCCAACATAGATTCTATCCGTAGTCGAAGGGGTATAGGGTATAAATCTTCACGGTCGTTCCTTTAGCACAGCTGCGTTTCTTATATGCTACTGCGGCTTTCTGCTTTTTTTTTTTTTTTTTCATTTTTCCTTCATTTTTTTCTTTGGGGAATATGGACGTTGCCTATCGTCTAGCTTAGCCTGAATCACGGTCTCAACTGTTGAATGACTTTTGATAACATGGCAAGTCTTTACAGCCCGGTTTTTGAGAAACCGACTCGAGTCGATTAGAACAAAGGCATATTGACTTTAGTCGAATAATCAACGTTGCTCTCTGCAGACTCGATGCGTTCAGTGCAGGTGCCAAAGACGCGGTCCCAGAGGCGAGTCTGCTTGCCATAGTTGTGGCTCTTTCTCCAGCCTTTGCGGTGGTGGAGGTCATGGTCCTCGATAACAATCTCACAGTCGAAATACTGCAACAGCCAGCTCAGGGTTGATGGGACTGTCATGTGAGCGCGGAGGCCACTGTGCCCAAAGACCTCAGCAAAGGCAACATATTCATGGCAGATCCACCACTCATAGAATCCCATGGGCACTCCTATCAATTTAAGGCTGAAGTATGTCATCATCGGTACGCCAACCATATCAAAGAACTCTTGCTCATGGTCTGCATAGGCGGCGAGTAGGGGGTTCGGATGCTTGGTGAGATGGTGGGTGCGGTGGTACTTCCAGAGGATACCAACATCGTGCATCAGGCGGTGGTACCAGTAGAACCAGAAGTCAAGCACAATACCATAGAGACCGATTTCAAGAGGAAGCCATGCCCAGTTCATTTCCATTGGCAGCTGGCTTCTGTGGTAGGAGAAGTATGTCGACAGGACCAGACGAGATCCGGTCGTCTTGTAGAGCGAGGTCACAACCTTTGCTACGCCAACATCAGGCACACCATCCCGTTCATGCTTGTCGCCATCCAAGAAACCGAGGGTATGACCGAGGCGGCGGAGAATTTGCACTTGCCAGAGGACAGTCGCATTAAAGGCAAAGAAATAGAGATTGAAAACGGCGATCGGGCCCAGGTTGCGGCCTGTATATGACGCATAGGCTTGGTGAAAGAGGAGCGGAAGAGAGGAGTAGAAGATCACCCATAGGTTCAGTGACCACTGTGGCATGTAGGGAACCTTTTCATCTTTCGTGTGAACAGGCACTTCTTGATCAAGGGTAATGGGATGAGCGTTGAGGATCTCTAGAAGCCAGTGGTAGACGCTCCATTGGTCTCGGGACTGGTGACGCCAGGTTGACTTCATTGAATCCTTCGGATTGGGCTTGGTGTTGGTATCCATGACAGGCAGGCAATCGATAGGTATAATATCTGATCTGGATATGTTTCCATCTTGAGAGGTTCCCGCACCCTTGGTTTATATATTATTATTCTTGACATCTTAGTAAAAGTGTCGCCAGTGGACTCGGCGGTTCAGGAGGATGTGCCTGAACATGTGAAAGCCTTTCGACCCATGACAAAAAACCATCCATGAGTGGATCGTGTCTCTCAACAAAGTGTCCACACTAATAGCACTTGGAGATGGAGAAGATCCATATCGAATCCCCAACAGAAACGAACCAGAAGAATGGTATTAAATCAGCATGTGAAGGAAGCCAACCCCGCGTAGTCTACCTCGGGGTACCGGATCACCAGCAAGCCTCTCTTCTAGCGAGTTGTCTCTGGTGGATTTGATATTCATACGACTGTTCATCTGCGTCATGAATCTCAAGTGCGGGAAAGGAGAAGAGATGGTGTCGATCGCACTTGATGTACTGATAGACGTTGCTGGATGCCCGGTTAGAGAATCCCAACTCAATATCAGCGATTGGCCAATCACGCAACTTTTTCCCAATTAGGAATAGCTTCGACAGGCATATGATCTCGCTTTATCACAACTTCATACATAGCAGTGGCGTCAATAATGCCATTATTATGACTCGATGAGGGTGAGTAGTCCAGCATCGTATTTGGACAGTCGGTCTTCTCTAGCCCAGGCTGCAAGATTGATCATTTTGGATACTAATGAAAGTGGAAAGTACAACGAGAAAATTCAGTAGTTAGTTATCTTCATATGAATACTGATTCATGGCCTACACTTAGCCAGGTTGATTTATATATAGTCGCGTTTAATGTTCACTTCTTCCACTATTGGGCAGATACATGACCGTCTAGAAAGATAGAACGCCCCCCTTAAACCCAGATTTAAAGCCCTTTAGACGAGAAAGAAAAGAAGAAGGAGAAAAAAAGATCTAGCGTGATGCAGTCGCAGATCGAAGCGCCGGTATCCAAGAAGCGAAAAGATAGAACGGATGGTGGTAGAGCAAATGGGTGGTATAGTCGGTTCAAATTATTGCGGGACCCAATGTGAGTATTCGTTTTTAATGCCATGCGGTGAGGCTAGAAACGCTTTGAACCTTTCAAGGAAAGGGTGATTCCCACCCCTCAGACTGGTTAACAATAGCATGAAGTCCTCGGCTAGGTTCTGAGGGGACGAAACAGCGGATGCTGTACCACCATGCGGGGATATATTGTCAGAGGGGGCTAAAGCGTAATCACTTCCAGGTGGCGGGGGAATATTGGAAGAAACATTGATGGCGCTTGTGGCAATGTCATACAACTTCTCGGCCTAATACAATGAGTAAGGAACAGAAAAAACCCGATTGGCAAATGGAACCAACTTACCAAACCTATCCCGTGAGCTTCCATAGAGCTCAGGCGTAGTGATTGACATATAGCCAATGTTTCCTTTGCGATGGAGATGGCGTAGTTGAAACTAAGTTCATGGCGGTCGGATATTGGTCTGAGAAGACCATGTGTAGAACAGAGAACCCAGATTCGGTTTTGAAGCCATTTCTGTGTAATAAATATATCGGCACTCTGCGTCTCTCGCAGACCCATACTTAACAGCGCACTTTGGGTTTCACCCGGAACTGACTTGGCGCGTTCAAACCAGTCATAGCCCTTGAATCGCTCAGAAGGACTGATTCGGCCAAGATTTTGATGGATCGCCAACGCTTTTTCCTGTGTGAGCTTTTCGCAGTAACCATTGTTTATTGTGCATCGCCGATTCCAGCAATCGATGACATCCTCGTCGATCGCGTCGAACAACTCCATCAGACGAGCCAATCCCATCATGCCTTCGGCGTCCTTTTCGTTGTGAACAATGATCCCGGATACAAGACTGTGAGTGGCATTGTGGATGAAATCATTGACGGAGCGCAGTGTAAACCCAGGCTTGCCCCAGAATGTTATTGGATGTCGTCGTTGAAGTGCATAGGCCCTGTGAGTTTATCAGCTATATTCAAAGTGGTATGGCAAGCAGTCGTCGTGGCACACCTCTCTGTTATAGATAGTACAAGATAGGTTCGCAACCTTTGGCCTTTTTCTTCGCTGGATAAATCGTGATATAGATCGGGATTATTCAATCCGAGGGTTGCGGCGAGGTCTAAAGCCTCTCGCAAGCGAAGCCATGCAGCGTTGTGCTGATTGCTCCCGAAAAGACAGCCAAAGAGGAAAAAGCTCGTGAGCACCGCCTCAATTGTTGGATTTTCCCCGAAATCCGAACAGCTACGCATTCTGGTAGCTTCGTTCATCATAGATCTGGCTTGGTTTGCGCGAGATGATGACGTTGGTCGTTCATCAATCTCAATAGGTTGGGTGAGTGAAAATGCGCACAAGGACAAAAGCATGGAACCGAATTGAGGGTTTTTCCGGTGCTCTTGGGACAGCATTCGGATGAACAAAGATGATCGATTCAGAAGTGGTAATGTTGGATGTAACCGGTCGAAATATACCTCAATCCACGGAATCATATTCGCCTCGATGATCGAAGGTGGCCATACGGACCTCGTATTCCCCCCTTCTGATTGCAAAGCCCCCATGTTTTGCAGAGGCATACTTGGGGGCTCTACGGGATGCGATTCTAACCCAGGAGCATCTGCCTCTGACTGAATGATAGACGGAAGGGAAGTTTTTAGGTAGATGTTGGTTCCTGGGAAATCAAACATGGGGACCTGGGCTTCCAGATTGTCTGGAAGCCAGTATTCGACATCATTCCGGTCGTTCCAGCTGACGGCACTGTTGCTGTGAGAATCTATCGATGAAACATCGGCGCCCCATCCGGGCCCTACAGGCGCCGCAGAGGTAGACGGTGGTGGTGCAAGTCCAGTTCCATCAACAGGCACAGGGACTTCGCCCTGGACAGGCCAGTGTGCGTTCTCTGGCATCGGGATTGTCTCATTTTGACCCATCTCCTGAGACGGAGCTCCTCCTTGGTATGGAAAGGCGGCATCTTGGATAGGATTCGAGCTGGCTTGGTCCTGGGGGCTTTTCCTTAACAAGCGGGTTTGCTGCTGTCGGATTTGTGATACACGACTTTGAAGATCATGGTTAGGTCAGACGATCGGCGACGGAATTGCGTTTGACATCGCAAAACAAAATCAAACAAGATCAAACTCACTGTCCAGTCGGGCCGCGTTTCTTCTGGGGCTGGAAAAACGTGCAATCAAAGCCCATCGAAACACAAGCTCTGCATGGTTGCGACAGACTGCACTGTATGAAGCTTAGAATGTTAGCAGGGCTTTCCCGCCACAGAAGCAATGAAGAATTGCAAAAGAAAGGATGGTTAGAAATTAATTGCCTTTATTTTTCGAAACTTGCACTGGTCACAGGCCCGTTTCGCGATAGAGCCGGACGTTTTACTCCGGGCGTGCGTGCGGATGGCACCGGTCGGCGGCACAGCATCATCAACAGTCGAGCTTGGGTTCATGATGGCATATTCTTGGGCGAGGGGAATGGGCCTGGTGGGATCTCATCCCACTGAAGAATCCACCTTTCAGCCAGCAAAGACAAACGAAACAAAAAAGAAGGGGCCGAGAAGAAGCGGCCGGCCGTCTGGAACACAATAATGTTCCTGCATCTGAAGCCCCCGACGGGATGTTGGAGGAGGATTGGATGCTGGACCTCGTCTTGTTGGAAATCTGGAGGAGGGAAAAAAAGTCCCGCTAATCCGCAACCGCTCAGGCCCCGCGCTTTTAAGTTATGTTTGTGACTGTTGATCTTCATCTTCACTTTTTTATTTTGTTTTTTATTTTTGCTTTGTCTCGTGGCGTTGAAAGTCTTATTATTTCTTATACTTAGTGTTCAAATGGTTTGATGCTTTTATCGAAATCAGATCCATCTCGAGTCTCTCTTCCAAGTCAGCCATCTGATGACACTACGGAGCACTCCATCGTCACAGTCCTAAAAGGCAGCAAAGACTCTTCGAACCAACTGGATTTTGTCTCATCAGACTTGACTAAAAAAACTAACCATGGATGTCATCCTCCTATTCTTTGTCCCTAGCTAATGAGGTTGCCATAGTTTGATCCCATCTGTAAGTCAAGTTGCTCTCTCCGCACTCAATCCGCACTTCCCGTCGTCTCCACATGGAATCCCCAGCTAACATTCTAGCTCTAATAGTCGTAGTGAACTATCTCCAAAACTCCAACTCCCCATCACGTAACTAATAACTGCTGTTTTGGCAATTGCGCTCAGGCATCTGACAAATATCGACAATCTCGCAGAACATGGTCGAGATAATGATCGGAGAGTTTTCCGACTTGGCCTTTCCGAGATAACAATGCTCAATACCATGATAGATAGGCAGTTGTGGTGGCTGCAGCTAATGATTTAAAGTCTGATTGCTCCGCATCTTGGTTTCATCAACATAGAAATTCATCAAGACACATACATCCCTCATCAATACAAAATGGGTAACACTCAGACATGGGAACAGACCGTATCACAAAAGCGGCTTTTGAGAGATCAGGCTTTGAACCCGTACCTCATTGATGATATAAACCAACGCCCTCCCCGAGTCCAGGATGTCGAAAACCGTTCTCGACTGGACCACGATCCAATCGTCCAAGAAATAACAGATGTTGACAGCATCACGATCCTCCTTGACCACCTGAGACAGGGCAAATTCACTGCTGAGCAGGTCGCACTAGCCTATATCAGAAGGTACGACTATAGATTTAAAAAGATCACTAAGGATCCTCTAACATTTCTCTAGAGCTGTCATAGCCCATCAAATCGTGAGTCATGCTTGAATAACTGAATCACATTGAAGTTCAGTCCTACTGATGACGACGATTTCCAGACCAATTGCATCACAGAAGTTGTTTTCAAAGATGCACTCCACCAGGCCAGAGACCTAGATCGTGAGTTCAAGGAGACCGGAAACCTCAAAGGACCTCTGCACGGTATCCCCATTACCGTGAAGGATCAATTCAATATCAAAGGGGTAGATACGACATTGGGCTATGTGGGCCGTTCATTTTCCCCGGCGACAGAAGATGCAGTTTTGGTCCAGATACTGAAGAGCATGGGTGCTATTGTGATTGCGAAGACAAATCTGCCACAAAGCATCATGGTTTGTACACCCCCACTCCTGGCTCCAAAAGTGTGCTATGAGCTGATGAGCGTTTAAAGTGGGCCGAGACCGAAAATCCTCTTTGGGGCCTGACAGTGAACCCGAGAAACCCTAAATTTACCCCAGGCGGCTCTACGGGTGGTGAAGGAGCTCTGTTGGCATTGCATGGCTCTATATTCGGTCTGGGAACAGACATTGGGGGGAGCAGTAGAATTCCTCAGGCAGTGATGGGATTGTATGGGTTCAAACCAAGCGTATGTATTCATCCTTGCAGCCACGGTTTATGACCAAAAGAGGCATTGGGTTTGACTCTGGATTAGAGTAGTAGACTACCATACCAAGGAGTCCCTGTGTCGACTGAAGGGCAAGAACACGTTCCCTCCGCCGTTGGGCCAATGGCTCGCGATCTGTCGTCCATTTATTATGTGAGTCGCTTGATTGCGAATAGCAAGCCCTGGGATTTGGATCCGAAATGCCCGCCTCTTCCTTGGAACGACAATGCCTTCGAGGAAATACAGACACGTCCAATGGTGATCGGGTTAGTTCTCGACGACGGAGTTGTGAAAGTCCACCCTCCCATTGAAAGGACGTTAATGGAACTCACCAAGAAATTGAAAGCAAATGGCCATGAGATTGTCCTCTGGGATACTTCGGACTATTTACAATACATTCAACTCATGGATACCTATTACGCTGCTGACGGTTGCGAGGATATCCGTCGCGATGTCAGTGTGGCCGGAGAGCCCTATATTCCTCATGTCGAGAGCCTGATCAACAAGAGTAAAGCCATATCCGTTTACGAATATTGGCAGCTCAACAAGCGTAAAGTGGCCCTCCAGAAACAGTATCTCGATAAATGGAACGCCGTGCGTTCTTCTTCTGGGGAACCTGTCGATGTTATTCTGAGTCCTACACTGCCACATACTGGTGTTCCTCATCGGACACTGCGGTGGGTTGGGTACACTAAGATTTGGAATATACTCGACTATCCTGCATTGACTTTTCCCGTTGGCAAGGTGCAGGCAGATAAGGATGCCTTGCCATCTGAGCCTTATCACCCGAGGAATGATCGGGATGCGTGGAATTGGAATGTTTACGATTTGAAGGAAATGAAAGACCATCCGGTTAACCTGCAGATTGTTGGGAAGAAACTTGAAGAGGAAAAGGTATTAGGAGCTGCAGCTGCTATTGAGAAGATTTGGAGGGCTGAAAATTAGTAGTGGTAGAATTGCTTACTATACTTTATAATGATGAATATAATTATTTTTGCTTGATATCTGAATAGCATCTAGATGTAACATGTTTTCCCATGCGGTAAGCAAATACTTTAGAGATGGTTTTCCAAGTGCAAGCCGCAGATTCAATCAACGCTGGAAAGGCTTCATGTACCCCCCACCTTCCCCTCTTTATCTATCATATCATCCTGGACTTCCCCTCGGCACGATCCACGATGGAGCTCGCATTACCCCTCATATCAAATGAAATCAACCAAAAATGGGGGTAGCGACAAGAGTGGGCTTCCAACGTCTTATCCCAGCTTTTCCTGTCGTAAAACGGGTGGTTTTTCTGGTTCATCCGCTCCCATATAAGGCAGCAAACCCAGGATAATTAGCTCATCGGCCATATTCAATTATTTCAATCTAAAAAAAAAAAAAAAAAAAAAACAGTCACTAAATACAGAATCAGAATGGGCAAAAAAAGGGTGCTTGTTAGCTATGGCGTTGACATTGACGCCGTATCAGGCTGGCTGGGCTCATACGGCGGGGAAGACAGCATCAATGATATCAGTCGCGGTAAGGGAAAGAACATGACTAGAGGACTAGTTTTTTCCTTTTTTGACAATCTGCCAGGTCTTTTTGCCGGTCACATCGGCACTATGCGTGTGTTGAAACTGTTCCACAAACACAATATCAAAGCAACCTGGTTCATCCCGGGCCATTCCCTCGAGACCTTCCCCCAGGAATGTGCAGCTGTCAGGGACGCAGGACATGAGATTGGGTTACACGGGTATAGCCATGAGAACCCTTCGGATATGACCATCGAGCAGCAAAGGGATATCCTAGACAAGACATACCGCATGCTGACCGAGTTCTGCGGGAAGCCGCCGCGGGGCACCGTGGCACCGTGGTGGGAGACGAGCCGAGAGATGACGGATCTGCTTCTCTCTTATGGTGTGGAATATGACCATTCGATGTCCCATCATGATTGTCAGATGTATTGGTTGCGCACGGGTGATTCATGGACAAAAATCGACTACAGTCAAAAGGCGGAAACTTGGATGAAGCCTTTAGTAAAAGGGCAAGAGACGGGCTTGGTGGAAATTCCCGGGAACTGGTATATCGATGACTTACCACCAATGATGTTTATCAAGAACTCGCCGAATAGTCATGGCTGGGTAAACCCAAGAGATGTTGAAGATATTTGGAAAGTCGGTGCTCCCCTCCCTCGTGGCCAAGGAATAAGCAGTTCTAACCATCATTGCGATATATGTAGGACCATTTTGACTACTTCTACCGCGAGTATGACGAGTTCATCTTCCCGATGACCATACATCCTGATGTTTCAGGCCGTCCGCATGTCATTCTCATGCATGAGAGGTGAGTGTAACCTGCTTGCTAGTCAATTTCTTTCGTTGGTCCATATTGAAATATCCTGATAATCCTTATGCAGAATCATCGAGCACATCAACAAACACGAGGGAGTAGAATGGGTCACTATGGAGCAAATGTGCGATGAATTCAAGAGCAAAAACAAGCCACCCGAGGGAGCCAAGATGCCAGTTACCCTGGTCCGGAAACTAAATGAAGAGATTATATGATACCTCACAATATGGTCGCCGGACTGTAGTTAGTGGTACGCCTCGAAGTTATCCAAACGAAAGCAAAGTTGAACAGTGGCAAGTTTATAAAAAAAATCTTGATAATTAATTGATCACGAACATACGATACACATGCCATGAATTCATAAGTAGGCCAAATTGAAAATTCAAGGCCTCAGTATATCCCCAACCTTTATAAACGCCGGTAAACACCATGAGAATATGCCATATAGTAGGGTTTTGTTTTGCTTTCAAGCCTTTGGGGCCTCAAAAAGCTGGGGCTTCATGTTGACCTTGCAAAGCTTGGCGACACAACCACTCAATTGAAGTAGTGATTGTACACCATCCAGGATGCGCATGTGTGTGAAACCAATCTCCTTAATAAACTCAAGCTTGGAGTGTTCCGACAGCGTGGGGACCGCCTTCGTGACTCGAAACATGGTACTGATAATATCGTGAGAGGAATAGCCAAGGGTCCTAGAGAATATAATTAGAGCACTTTTAACATGACTGAGAAAGAACCAATGTTTAACATACCACAGCTCATTCAGCGTCTCCAAAGCTGCGTCAATTTTTCCTTCCCAACAGGCCTTGATCATAGCCTGGACCTTAATGGGATGGGGACTATCGACAACACGGAAGACATTATCTCCACTGACAAAACCGAATCCAGACCATGTACTTTGCAGGTTGTTAATCGCTTGACGCATATCTCCCTCCGCACTGAACACTAAGGCCGCAATTCCGTCCTCGGAGTGTTCCACCTTTTCGGCCTCGCATACTTGTGAGAGTCGCTTCACAACTTGGGCGTCTGTCAATCTGGCATAGCGAAGGATAGCACATCGAGACTGGATAGGTTCAATGATCTTGTTCGACTGGTTACAGGCGAAGGCAAATCGAGTTGTCGAAGAATAGATTTCCATCGTTCGTCGCAAGGCTTGTTGTGCGCCGGCAGTCATACTATAATATATAAGCTGGGTGAAAATGCAACCGATCCCATCACCACATACCTGTCTGCTTCATCCAGGATGACAAGCTTGTGCCGCCCTGGGGGAAGGGTGACTTTTTTCTGAGCAAAGCCTTTTATCCGGTTCCGCACAACATCGATACCTGAAACCCCCATCAGCCTTTGTTCCTCGTGCCAAAACACTGAGGGATGGTATACCTCGCTCATCACTAGCATTCAGTTCCAGAACAGCTTCCTTATACGCATCTCCCAGCAACTGTCTCGCCAGACACAAGACCGAGGTTGTCTTTCCAATACCAGGCATACCCGAGATGATAACATGCGGCATGTTTCCATCTTTGGCGATAATCTTCAACCGTTCGATTGTCTCGGTATTGCCGACAATATCATCGAGGAAGACTGGCCGGTACTTTTCGACCCTATAATATCACTCGTTTTAGCCATGAGTTCATATGCGGACTGTTCACAGACGGCCTACCAGGGCAATTCGTAGTCCTGAGGGGCACCAACAGTAACAGCCTTCAGGCCATTGCGAGCGGCACTTTTGGAGGATTCTGCTTGCACCATCGTGTTGATACTATCGATGTGATGCTTGAAAAGGTGGTAATCGGCAAAAACCGTCGTGTTCGGGGAGACGCGAAAGTCCGACGCGTCGAGAATTCAACTCGATCCGCGCGAACGGCCCGTGCATTGATTTACTTTGAAGCTCTCCAGTCGACGCTTGTGCCTTCCCTGGTCCTGGTCGTTTATGACATGAGATTGTGGAGCACAGCGTAGATTTACTATGGGTGATATACACCTAGCTTTGCTTCTTCACTTATACTACTGTTAGTTCTGGCAAATACTACTTACAGACTAAGTGCAAGAAAAGGTACCACAAGACAAAGAAGAGGAACCGAAGAATCATGTAGAAAATAAAGATAGAATATTATTACCTACATACTACAGAGTAGACTGAATCATAAAATTCCTTATTGTCAGCTCCTTACAAAAAAGGAAAAGGAAAAAGAAAAAGAAAAAGAAAAAGAAAAGAGCAAGGGCGGCAGTTTAGCTCACTTCATAAAATCGCCTCCAAGTGATCTCCGGGTCAATTCCGCATTGTTTGTTCATCTTTACATCCACCCACCATTCCCAGCGTTCTTCTTTCACCAATGCATCTATTGTTATGGCTCAATACCTAGCTACAGTTTATGTTATAAGAGTCGAAACTCTGCAACTTCTTTCTTCATTTTATCCTTACTGACCATCGTTTTTTGTTTTTTTCTGCAAAAACCGTTGGAGAAACGGAGTACAATTTGCTTGACGCTATCTCCGATCGCCACTGCGAACGATTTCATCAAACACCTACAAGCTACAAGCTACAATACAAAATCCCCAAAGGAGAATCTTTTACTCAATCACGTTTGGCTCTATTTGGAAATCGACGAATACCAAGTCCACAATGGGAACGACCTCCGTCCGCCGCAATCTCTTCCACCATAATCTCAGCAGAAATTCAGTATCAACCGCCCCTCATAATGCCCACATGCAAAGTGGAGGCCATGGCCCATCAGGTCTCCAATCTCAGATAATTCAATCCGGATCATTTGAAGCAACGACGTCGTCACTGAGTAATGGGCCGATCGATAATGGCGAAATCGTGGTGAAGGATAAAAATGGCAGCTACAAGTTGGATATCCCGATGCTTCCACCGGTTGCTGGGAGTGAGGATGGGGATGAGATGGAAGGAGTAGACGGGAATAGTGGAGGGTCTGGTACTACAGGTGCCGACTCTGCCGGCGAAACAGAGGTCAGCGGACGAGAGAAAGAGAGTACGTTGCAGAGAATGCTGGGTAGAATTTCGCTAACTTTTCTCCAAGAGATTGAGGCAAGCCTGGTGGAAATGATGCGAAATCGAAACAGGCAAGTTAGCAGTGAACCAGCCGGTAAGTCCCCTACTATACCTTGGTTCTTTATTCCTATGTAGGCGCGCTTCGGTTGACTGATTTTAGATTTAGAAGTCCTTAATTTTATCCAGCAAAGTCTTCAAAGCAAGGTAGCAACATTGGATGAAGACAATTGGATGTACGAAGCGGAGATTGATCCACAGGTCTAATGCAAGCTTAATGAAGAGACTGCCTGATAGTCCTTTTCATTATTCGGGCGTTCTATAATACAGGAACCACCTTCACCCCGTCTAATCAAGCTCCATGTTCGCTGGCGCCGCTTCGACCTTCTTCGACGAACCTCTACCCTGCGGCGCCCTCCTTCCACCCTCTTGGCCTCCCCCAAACAGCATACTACCCATCATATCCAGCAATGGGTTCCCCTGTCTTGGGGCCTGGATAGCAAAATAATGCTCACCAATTTGTGTCAACACGTCGTCCCAGATTCCCACCGCCTGTATTTGTGACGCATAGTGCGTTGTCAACTGTCGGAAAAGATCCGCGCTCCCACGTTGGATGGCCAGGAGCAACATGCTAATGAAGTTCACCAAAGGCAGCGCCGGGAAGACGCGCATGTCGGCGCTGGCGCTGCTAACATCCTGTACACCGAGAGAAGGATTCGAGGAAGAAAGCCGGGAGGTAAATATCAAGAAGGCTTTGTTGGCACTGCGGAGGTTTCCAGTCAGAATGTATGGGAAGACTGCGCGCGATGCATAAATTGCCGCTGTATGCGGTTCGTCATTTGTGTACCACTCGTACTCGAGCTTAGCGAGTGTTTCAGCAGACTCAGATGTTCCGAGGATGAGGTGTTTCTCAGCATCATATGGCTCGTTATCTGGGTATTTTGGTCAGAAACACTTATCTATGGTCGTATCATCAGTGCAAACCAACGAACCTTCAGCATACACTGATCCAGCCGCATGATGTAACTCCGGGTCTCCTCTTTCTAGAGGACCGAATCGTCCACTCCAGGTGATCATCTCCTGGATGAACCTTTTTCTTGTAGGCTCCTCGGGTGGGAACTCACGCAGCAGTTCCATCAGGCGCTCTGCCGAAACATTATTGTTAGCAAGTTTTGTCATAAATAAATAATACGCATGACGGGTCTTGGTATCCCCTGATTTTCTGAATAGAGCAACCGTATACAGATATGGAATGGTGATGCTCTGACTCAGGGGAGACAGGTAAGGGTTGAAACTCACTCTTCCGTGCCCGCCCCTCCGCATCGCCGTCTCCTCCAGCAATCTCCCATTCCGCCTTGTTGTAGACCTCAACCACCAGCATAATAGCCAAATCACCACCACTAGCAGAAGCACCCTGCTGAGAGCCTGCTCTCAAGAGCTCGGCAGCACCACCGGCCAATAAATCCGCAGCTGCCTCATAGTTGGACTGTTTGATATATCGCACAGCAATGACACGCAGTTGCTGGTGAGCTTCGTAATAGGCACCGGAGGCGATCCTATAAGGACAGAATACCATTAGCTTTCTATTCGTCTTGCCATAACTCGAAAGTAGTATCACCCATGCGCAGGATTGACAACCTACTTTTCTCTTTGCCGGGCAACAGTCTTCTCGATCCGTGAAGTCATCCTGTATTTGTTTAACGTGGGGGGCTGGTAAGAAAGAAAGTTAAATATCACAACTGCAAATCAAAAGCAATATGGACTCAAAATACACTAAATGTGTGGTGGGCAAGAGAGGTGTTGCTGTAATTTGGTGACAGTCAAGGTGGGTGGGTTGGTGATGATGATGGAATTACCTGGAGCGGATGACTTTCTTGGTGGGGACACAACAGCAGCTCCGGCTCTTCTTCTAGAACTCACGACTCCTGGCTGTACTACTACTTCTCCACAACTCATAAACTGTCATCGCTGTCGCTGTCGCGTTTCGTCGTGATTTTTAGTCAATTCAAAAAAGAAAAAAAAGGATTGGCTGTCAATCCAATTTTGTATAATCTATCTTATGTCCAGTTGGGATAGGTGACAAACGCGTACGACGGTCTTGCTTGAAATACATCGAAGCTATTGTTTAAGCACCTGGCTTGATGTGCATCATTTGGACGGCCATCGGAAGTGTTAGCTATTAATCGTCATTTTTACCATCCAAGAAACGAAAGAGAGTCAATGGATAGGTGCGCTTTTGAGATTCAGCCGGCTCATCGGTTTGGGGGTTCCAATACAGCCATTCGACGTCCAAAGGTAAGTTTGACATTTATTGATGTAGATGATTGTGATTACGGTATATTATATTATTATTATTATAAAGGGAACTAATTTAATCATCAGGAAATTGCTTGCTTTTCATACGATGACAATCATCAATTTCATCTCGGGGAGTCATCCCTGCGGTACTACTATCAACCACGTCTTCCTGCAGATCTAAATCGTGGCTTCGATACTTTTCAGAAGCTTGATGACACTGGAGATGAGCATCTCGATGCTCTGTTAGAAACAATCATAGCTCTGGAGAAAGACACAGGGAAGAAATGTGAAGCAGATATCATCACTTGGAGGGGCATGGTGACCAAAGTGAGAAAACCCCCATCTGATAATTGTCTAACCAATCTAGCTAATCGAGCATACACATCAAGATCCTGACAGCCCCATTTGATAATATGAATGGGTATGTATGCCTGACGGTCAAGTTAGTTCTTCTCATTGATTTATTCGCATAGGTTTGAGATGAATGCGACATGTTTTCAGGTGAGAAACCACTCGAATCCGCAATAACTCTGGTCGATTCTTTTTGAGCTGATTTTTATGTCTACAGGGAACCATGTTAGTATACTCGAGTCACCTTTGACAAAAGAAGTCCTAGAGCTAATATGTTATAGATTCATTGAAGAAAACAACGCCTATAAGAACGAGCAAAAGAAAATACAACGCAATCAGAGGATGCCACCGGGAATGGCTTCTCAAGATCTAATGGCATACTGGGGTACTACATATCCTAATCCGGTCTTTTGAAATGAAAATAATATTGACGATCCCAGGTTACAAATTCGAAACTTTGTCTGTGCTTCCACACAGCTGGGATCAGACGCCTCGCCACGAGATTGAAGGCCGCGAGGAGGAAATAGTCAATAATAACGCACAATATTGCTCCGTTGTCCGCACTGGAATAGGTGGTGTTCGGCTAGTCATCGGTGGGGAGGTTGATGCTGGTAAGTCAAATCAAATCAAGTTAATGCCTATATTCCATTTTTGAGACAATGCTACGAGTTCCTGCTGATAATGGTTTCTAGTTTGGGACTGCAAACCTGACCGAAAAGAGGATCCTATTAACTGGGTAGAGCTGAAGACCTCTGCTGAGATCAGGAACGATCGTGATATGATGAAATACGAGCGGAAGCTCTTGAAATTCTGGGCTCAATCGTTCCTGTTAGGTGTTCCCAAGATCATCGTTGGGTTCCGTGACCAACAAGGCACTTTACGCCATCTCGAAGAGCTCGAGACCTCTAGCATACCAGGAAAGGTTCAAAAAGTTGGAAAAAGAACCTGGGATGGAAACATCTGCATCAATTTTGCCGCATCATTTCTCGAGTGTATGATAACCCAAGAAGAACTTTTGAGAATTCCAGGCTGATTAAACCTTTTTTAGGGCTGAAAACTGTCATTCGTGAAGGTGGGACGTGGAGGATCCGCAAAATTGAAAAATCGCCTGTTATTGAAGTTTTCAAAGTGGAGGAGAGTGGACATGGTGATATACTCTCTCAAGACTTTTCAACCTGGCGGTTGGCAACGTGAGTTACCTACTACTTGCTCGTGTCCAATACATGAAATTCCGTGCCTCAGTCCTCCAATTTACATCACTGAGCTCGGATCTATCGGGCCCAAGGCTCATTTGCACCAGATCAATGATATTCTCAAAGGCATAGATTGGTGTTTTCATCGCCTATCTATTTCTATTTCGCCTTTGGTATCACTGCATCTGGTTGTCGAGGGAGGGAATGCAAATACAGATGATCCGGTTGCGCTTTGAAGGTCACAGCCATAATGGTGATTCTGAAAGGCAGCTTGCGAATAACATTGCCTTGTTGAAAAGCTCAGTAAAATCCTTCGAACATGAAACCAGTCATTGCACAAGACATACCAAATCATCCTGACATACTGTTGTGCGTCTCCTTTTCAGTTCAGCTATGAATGCGCTGGCTTTCTGTCTTCTATTTGGACGATGCTACTCGACCTCAAGTCTTGTGTAGTTTTGCAACGAAAGTATTCTCATCGTTCGCTAGTATGTATATAAGTCGGTCAGGGATTTCGTTTAGTGGTCCTAACACATGTGTCTATAGCTTCACTTTTATCAAGAAGAGTATAATGCTTTAATTTATCCGGAATGGATGTTGTATATGTGATGGCGTAGCGTATCCTGTATAGCTTCAGAATGATCATTCAAAACAATTCGCTCTGAACGACTTGATATTTGCTGCGTATTATTCAGTGGCAACTTCCTGGGTATTTTTTAAAGCCTCTCGTTTTCGAAGAAATTCTTGGCGCTCCAGCTTTCTCGCAGCCGCTTTGAGAGCACGCTTATGGGCATATCCATTCATATGGACATTCCACTGCTCTTCATTTGTCATTGTTTTGCGGCATACATCACAGGTGATACACTTCGCTATGTTATTGGTATTATTTTGTGACTGTGCTTCCTTGGCACCAAGAGTTGTTCTCGCAAGCCCTGACAGTGACTTTGGGTCAGGCATAGCCTCCTTGTTGAGCAATGAATGAACGAGGCGTTCAGATGGTTCAGTGATAGATTCCACCCAGTCTTCAACTTTAGTGCTATCAAGTAGGTAGAGACGGTTTGTCATATTAGTCTCTGAAAGGGCCCTCCATAGCTTGTTCCGAATCCATTTGATTTGCGAGACAGCATACTGGCGCGTCGCGGTTTTTACAGACTCGATGCCAGTTCGCTTGAGAGCTTCAAGTTCCTCCTCATTGGATGAGCCTGCATATAACGCTTCAAAGTAAGGTGCTAGCTCTTTGAACCCAATGGAGACCCAGACTCCTCTAGTTTGATCGACAATGACGCCTTGGGACTGCTTCTCCCGGAGATATTCCGACATCTTCTTCGCCTCAGACATTAAACCTTGCTCGAGCATGGTATCCACCCGTTTCTCGAGTCGAGAATTTAAGACTTCTTTCTCTGAGTGAACCCAGAAAATGATAGTATCGAAACGTAGCTGATTAGCGTCATCAGTAGTTGCGGCCGCTTGCTTGAGACGCTTTTGTTCTTTATATATCTCGGAGGCTGGTGTGCCGGTTTGAAAGTATATCTCCAAGGAACGTCTAATCTTGCGCGTCTCGTTCGGGTGCCATCGAGCAGCCATAACTGGATCGACCTCTTTCAGTTTCTCCAAGACCACCTCTGTCGGTGCGTCGAGGATTGGCCATTTTGTAGACGTAGACTCGATTTCATCGCTAGAGAATCCATCCTCAGATTCGCCAGTATCTGCACCCTCGCCCACTAACTGCTCCTTGAAGAGGACTGCCTGGGTATAGTAGTGTGTTCCTCCGACGAGAACAGGGAGTTTCCCTCGAGAGCGTATATCCTTGATGAGTCGAAGACTTTCCCTCTTGAATCTTCCAATACGCCAGGCCTCTTGCTCCAAATCAACACAGCTAATTAAATGGTGCGGGATGCCATTTTGTTCTTCGACGGGTATTTGGTTCGTTATGATGGGGAGGCCGCGATACATTTGCATTGCATCGCCATTAATAATTTCACCGTTGAAGCGAGATGCCAAGTCCACTGCAAGCTATCTGCAGCTATTAGAAATTTGGTTACAATATGAATTATTGTAAGAGGTGCCATCGTGGAAACTCACCTTCGACTTCCCAGTGCCTGTAGCACCGACGACTGCTATGAGGGGGAGTTGTGCCATGATCGAAGGACGTCCAGCAAGTAGGGATCGGAAGAACTTGAACATAGAGGAGCTAAAACGCTGAGCATTTTATCTTACAGCATCACCCGCTGCTATAAGAGTGTTTTGGAAACAGTGCGTCCAGGTCGTATCGATTGACTGGGGGGGTCATTTTCAGTGGGAAAAGATCTCCCCATTACCTCATCCGTCCAACGCCAAAGCGGAGCAAAGAAACACCATTCTGATGAGCTAGTTTCTTGCATCATTTGCTCTTTTAATTCTCTGGTAGTTCATCTCATAATAATTTTCTTTTTCACCTTTTCATCCTTCTGTTTCTCAATCTCTCACATAAAAGGAAAAGTATACCCCCCAATCTAAAAATGGCGGAGAGTGCATTACCGTCGATCAGTGTGCAGGGCCTCTCTTATAAGTTCCAGGATGGATCTTCTGGCTTGACAGATGTAAATCTCGACGTTCCTTCAGGAAGTCGAACACTTCTTATAGGCGGTAAGGGCGTCTTTTATATTAGGAGTACATTCATTTGCTAACATTATGAGATAGCCAACGGTGCTGGAAAGACCACTCTGCTGCGTCTATTGGCGGGGAAACGTCTGGCCCCAACAAACACAATAACTGTGTCTGGCAGTGATCCTTTCAAAGACACTCTGGAGGGTGTGACCTATCTGGGTGTCGAATGGGTTCTCAATAATATTGTCCGGACGGACATTGACGTCCCAACGCTCCTCGCATCAGTTGGCGGCAACGCCTATCCAGGCCGAAGAGACGAGCTGGTCGAAATTCTCGACATCGACTTGCGCTGGCGTATGCATGCTGTTTCTGATGGTGAGCGACGCCGTGTGCAGCTGGCTATGGGTCTCCTCCGGCCCTGGCGAGTGCTTCTTCTCGATGAAATTACTGTCGATCTGGACTTGCTGTCCAGAAGCAATTTCCTTTATTATCTTAAGCGGGAGACGGAAACAAGGCCCTGCACCATCGTGTATGCCACGCATATCCTTGATAATCTGTCCCAATGGCCCACGCATCTGGTTCACATGCACCTAGGTAACGTCAAACAATGGGGACCGATAGAAAAGTTCCAAAAAGAGGTTCCTCAGACGGCTGAAAACAGCCAACTGGGTGAGCTCGTCCTCAAGTGGCTCAAGGAGGATATGCAATCCAGGGGACCCAGGAATGGACGCCATGGCCAGGGCAAAACCTACGAGTCTTTGGAAGGCAAAGGGGGGTATGGGTTCGAAAAGAGAAATTAGATTTGGACAATCTTTTCTTCATGTGTTACGCGTTTCAACAACGATTCAATTCGAGCGCAAATGGCATTGTCGGAGTTCATGAACTTGTTCTTTAGATCTTAGAGAAAAGGGGCGGGTATATTCAACATTTCAGGAGTCATTTCACATTTATGGATAAAAGAGATAACTTTTATTATATCCTTTTCGTTTTGTATGTACATTTCTTTTTGTCCCTTCTACGAAATGATGTTAGAGATGGTATATATACGCGCCGAAGTGTCCTCGCTTGCAACAGCAAGCTCGAATTTACACTCTTGTTGTGGATCTTTCGAAGCAGCAGGTCGCCATGAAAGTTGCGTAATTCCCTTTGACGGAGATACCAGTCTGTCAACAGTGACGATGGGAGTTGTTTCTGAACCGTCGACTGCAATTTGGTGGATTGATACTTCTCCGTTATCCAGACCCACTGCTATAAGGAACGAGTTCTTCAGCACGGTGGGAAGGAAGGAAATTGCTGTGACTGAGCTTGTCAGAGAGATTGTTGACTTGCAAGCAAACGACCCTGCTACCATTTGCCAAAGTTTCACCGACTTATCACGTCCAGCCGTAGCAAAGACGTGATTTGCTGACACTGGAGCCCACGCGGCTCCCAGAATCATTCTCGAATGGCCCTTAGGATTCGATGCAAGGAGCGATAATGTAGTAGGGCTTTGTTCATCCCGCTGGAAAACAGCCCACTGACGATCTCGCCCAACACTGAGAAGATAACGATCATCATTGGAGAAACAAAGGCTCGTTATAGTCAAAGAATGTGCTGTGAGAGGAGGCCGGATTTCGTGCCAGTCAGATGTGTCAAATAGACGTATCACTGCATGGTCTATGGAGCTTGCTTTGCAGGCTGTGGCAATGAGGGTGCGGTCATGGCTGACAGCTACGGCAGAGATCTCGTAGCCGTGTCCATATAGCTTCTCATGCTCTGGCCACAACGTATAACGGGCAAGCTGGTCTTCAAGAGGAGGTTGGTTCGAATTAGATAAGGCTTCCTGGTTTGTTGGCGGTTTCGCAGCTCCATTCTCGCCCTCCTCTTCTACCGTAATTTCCTCACCGGGGGCTTGGTTTGACAGACCAAGAACCGGGATTTCTGCGGTGTCCGGAAGATCTTCCCCTCCTGACTGTTTGAAACCGGCAAGATTCTCCAGGAGATGGGCGATAGGTTTAGGCTCATTGAAAACTCGCAAAAGTTTCTCATCTGCACCAGAAACAAAACGCGCGGGTCCCAACGTATCAACACAGTTCAAATCGTACCCATGGATTTGGGGCCTCGAAAATTCATGCCACGTTCTCAAGTCATTACGAAGCCACTGTGCATGGAGTCGAGTTGTTTGGTCTGCACTAGTCGAAATAAGATATCCCCCAGTAGGCTCCCACCGAATACCATTAACAGAACGCACATGGCCAGAGATACCCAGTTTCTGCACCCAAATGTCGGAGTCCTCATCATAGCTCCAAGACCTCCAGCTACCTGTTCGGCCTAGACTCACAACTTGCTTTCCATCTGGGGACCAGAGTCCGATCCAGAAGCCACCCGTACTGCCAGTTGCTGTAGTAGATCCCTTCTGCACGCTGATCTCTCCCATCCTCTCGGCTGAGAGCCAAACCCCAGACACCGAGTCCTGCTCCCAAATAGTCAGAGTATTGTCTGCGGACGCAGACAGAAGCTGCTGACGCTCTGAATTGGGATTCCATGCGGTGGTGTAGATCCAGTCCTCATTTCCGAAAAGAAGGGCTTCGAAAGTAACAGAATACTTAGATCCTGCTGCTTCGAACTCATGGGCCTTGTTGGACAATGTCGGCTCAATACCACCAAGCATAGTACCTTCATCATCGGTCGGTTCTGGCTGAGCTGCCTCGCCCTGTTGTAATCGCCAAAGTCGGATATATTTGTCCTGACTAGCTGATGCGAGTAGAAGATCGCCAGTCTGACTTTGCTTGTCACGGGTGAAAGAAAGCGACCTCACCCAAGCTTCATGTCCCGAGAGCACAGCAGCAAGTCTGAATTCTGGATCAATTGAACTGTTGGCAACATATAGTTGCACGATACTCATGGTACCTGCCACAGCCAATACCAGGGATCGGTCTTTTTCGTTTGTTTCGAGCTGACACAATGATAGAGCCAGTGGGAAAAATCGTGGTTTCATATATATCGTTTTTAGAATAGATCCATGTCCACCTTCATGAACATTCAGTCTCCAGATTCTCACGCTTCCATCTGCCGCACCCGAAGCTATAATATCCGATCCATTGGCTATGGCAATCGCATTGACCGAACCAGTATGGCCCTCCAGGGTATGCGCATGTACGTATTGACGCGACTCCGTTGAATCAGTTCGCCATAGTCGGAGTGTATGATCGACGGACCCGGTAAGAAGGAACTTCGCACCCGTGGTGGGACATGTGTAAAACTTGACAACGCTGACTTTGTCAGTATGGCCCACGAGGAGGGAATAGACTCCATGCTGCGAGGTATCCTATAAATGGCATCAGAATCCGAATCTGAATATAAAACAACGCATAAAATCGAAACAAGCATACCCTCGGATCCCACAGAGCCACGTTATTGTCTGCACCGAAGGCGAGCACGCCCGACTGGACATCCCAGTCAGCAGCGGCTGGATGCCTATTCCCCCCAACACTAATGTAGTCGGTTGTAATGGACACCATGAATGCTGGTATACAGTATGGCTATCAAAATATCCTGAATGCCCTTCGATGTCGTGGTTTGGGTGGAGAACCGAATTCAAAGACGATGTGGCCTAGTTATCGCAATTCATGTCACTTTTTGTGTCGGAACAAGTTAAGCTTATCGATAAGGGCGGCGAACAGTTCTGAGACGAACCCCTCATTTCAATTCCTTTCTTGTCCCACAGCAGTCTACCAAAAAAAAAGGCAGGGTTATTATATTACTTCAGGATATTATGCTTCTCATTTTAACTCAGATATTAACTCTGCAATCATGGCTAGCTCCCCTTCCAAGGATGGTATCTCCATCACTGTCGAATTTACGTTAGTCAATCCTTTGTCGTTGAATAACTCTGTTCGAAGCATTTAGAGGTGCTGACTTCATCCATAACAGAGGCGGTTTAGAGATGCTGTTCTCGAACGAGCGCAAACACAATATCACTTTACCATCCCAATTAAGCGATGGGAGTCGACCAAATATCACATATCTACTGCAACACCTGGTTGAACATGTCATGAAGGACCAAAGGAAGGAATTATTTATATTGGAAGACAATGTGTATGTTATGGAATACTAAATAGTACATTCCGGTACTGATTGTGAATGCAGGCGGCCTGGTATCCTTGTTCTCATCAACGACGCCGATTGGGAGCTTGAAGGCGAAGAGAAATATGAGCTTCAACCTAGGGATAATATTGCATTCGTTTCTACGCTTCATGGAGGCTAAAGGTCTTGGAAGAGAGTTCGATTCACTTCGATTTACGATCAAATCATCTATTTCATGAATTCGAAGTCACGGAGCAGTAACAATAATCCTATTCTCAGAACGATACATTGTCATGACGAATTATGCGTCTAGACAACATCTTCAACGTGTTGCTGCGTGATCCTTTCAGGCTCACGAGGGGTTCGAAGTCCACTTTGTGGTGTTGAGAGTCCTTCTTGTGGACTACCAAGTCCTTGAATCGGACTCATAACCCCACTGGGAGGTACCGGGATCTTGATATCTTCGGGTGAGTCAGGGACGATATCTTCTGGGAGATCAGGAATGTGAATTCGTTTAGACTCGTTCTGGTAACTCTCGGGAATTATCTGGGGCGGAAGTAGTCAGCGACAAATCTCGTTTGTAAATGAATCCTTCTAATCTCACCTCGATAATCTCGTTTCGAGGAAATTCTAAGAATGGGATGTCTGCAGCATTGCATGCCATGAGATAGCCATACAAAACCCTTAGCACACTCTCATGGGCAATGATGAGTAGATCGTTTTGCTCCCGCTCAAGCTCCAAAATTATGGGCTCTAGACGCACAGCGAGGTCATGGTATGACTATTGATTGTTGTCTCGTCAACAATTATTCTAACGATGTTTAAAAGAATAACCTTACCTCTGCGCGGGGATACCGGTGGTGGTAGGGGTCAAGTTCGTGCTTAGCCACCTCTTCTGGGTACTCCAGTCGAATGTTGTTTTCAGACATCTTCTCGCAGACACCGGGGTTCAGCTGGCTCATTTGCGACCTTTGTCGAACTTTGTAACCATTTTCAAAAAGGTAGTGAGAGGTCTCGACGGTTCGTCGCCTTGTCGAAGTCCACACAGTCAATGGTTTTAACTCATAGCCTGTTTCCCCTTGTTCGGCCATTGCCTTCTTTTCAGACTCTCTGTGTTGCAACAAGCACTCGGTCATTTTCTTTGCATAGTCCTCACCTTGCTCCGACAAGGAGGCATCTGATTTGTAAGAGTCAGAGTCCAATGAGACACCAGCCTAATATTTCACAACATTTGTTAGATAAATGCTCCTTGTTAGGTCTCAGGGCGTCCCAATATAGGGAACCCGCCTTGTGGTTTTCTTACCCGTGCAAAGTATGTATGTCTAGACTTGGTATGCAAGTTGAGAAGATAAAACACAATTCGGTGAGATAGATAGCCAAAGCTGCAGTCGTTGATTATCAATCTCTCCCCTGCATTTATCATCTGCATTATGGTTAGAAATTTATTTGATGAAGGATGATGGGTCAGGGGCATGCCTTGATGTAATTCAAATCCTTCTCCTCCATCGTTTGGAATTGGGGAATTCGGGAGGAGATGCGATTCAGGTAATGCTTTACTGCATCTTCTGATGTCCATCCAACATACTAGTGGCAGTTAACACGCCTGTCCAATAACCTTCAACATGGCAGAGATTGAGAACCCACATCTGGAGAAGATATCTTTACCCTGCGGACATTCTCCTCGATAATGCGTTCATCATCACACCATGACTCTATGAAAAGCGTCTTCAGTGATAATAAAGTTAGGTCTGGTTTTAATGTTCGAGATGACCCAGATAATGACATACCTCGATATCATGCTTTGCAAACTCCTTTGCAAGCGACCGCCGCCCACTAGGCAGAGGGTTGACAGCATCGTAGATTGCGATCTGACCATTTTCATGGTTCAGGAAGTTGTATATGTCCTCTCGGCATTTTTTCACAATCTTCTGCCTCAGAAGGACTGAAGATGCGGATGCTATGTTCGGTTAGTATAACAGCAACAAGTTTATGTGCAAATTAACAAAATCAACTTGCCATTGACGAAGAAGTAATCATCCGGTATATCTTCACCATGAGGAATCGTCGCACGTCTGTAGTCTCCCAAGTGGAAGATCCTGGTTTTAACACCAAGCCTAGAACCCGGGATCAGTACAAATCAAAATAAAATGTTACATAATTACAGACCATCGGAGATACCGTGCCAGAGCTACAGATATATGCCTGATGAATGACGGTAGATGTTAGCCTTGACGCCAAACCACATGAGTTAATATGGCCGAACAAACGTTTTACCCCTCGCCGGTAGGCCTACGGTGATAATGACAATTCGACCTGAGTGGAAAAGTCGACCGGATTCCGTGCTGTACAACTGAGCTGGTGCAAGCTCAGCTTTTTCAGGTAAGTCATGGATGGCGTCCACAAAGGTCGACGACTTTCGCCGAAATCGCGGGGAATTGGCAATGATTTCTGCCGTCCTGGCACATGTCAGTACCATCTGTTATCTCCCGGACTTCTATCACTTGACTATCAGAGACAATCACAATACATCATTGCTCTAGTCTTTGCATGGGTAGCATGATAAAGGTATGCCCAGGAGGCTCAAGGATCCAGAGCAGCCTTACAAAAGAGTATCCATAGTTTGATAGAGGTGTAATCAAAGCAAAGTCAGGATCGCAAATCCGAGGTCACAGCAATCTGATAAAAAGTATTAAAGTGAAGGAAAATATGCTCAGGCTCGGGTTAAAAGGAGAAAGAGAAAGTAAATGTGCGTTGACCCAACTAGGCGGCTGACCGACTTGGGCTGAATGAGGCGTTTCGTCAACTTAAAGAGTCAAGAACCATACGTGATCATCACTGAAGAATTAACATTGAAGAGATACAGAAAAGTCAACCTCCTTAAAAAGTAAAAAATTCTAAATTTATCAAACTGGAAATCTCGCAAAAGAAAAAAGAAAAAAGGCAAATCTATCCACGACAATCACCCCAAAAAGCTGCGATTATATCATTGCGATAAACCTGCTGCTCAAAAGATCCTATCCCGGTAAGGCCCGAAGCGGCTAGCGTGTTATTCTTGCCTCTGGCAGTTCGTAGCGACCACAAACGCAACCGCCAAGCCCGGGCGGAAAAGCAAAAGACCAAAGGTGACTTTTTTCAAAGTTGTTTGGAAAGACTTCAGTCACCTAGCATCTTCCCCGTCGTTTCTACCCCCATCATCATCCCTAAGAACAGGCCCAGACCTCAGCCCGTTCAAGGTCTCTGATTGCGATTAGCGAAATTGCTCCTGTTTCATCCCGAGTTCAATTTCTAGGGCTGGTCTCAAAATCTTTTCTGTCCTTTCTCTCCTACTCCAAGGCCACTTCTCGACCCCGACGTGACGACTCCGTTCCCTCCGTGTTCTTGAATAAATATCTAAATCTAATCTTCATAATAAGCCACAATGGCCGACTCATCGCCTCTTTCCTTCCTTGCGGACAATTCCGTCGCCGCAGCTATTAAGGATGCATACACCTCGTTCTCAGAGCGAAGGGAGGCTCTTGGCCTTTCCAACCCAGGAACCGTGGATAACATCGGAAGAGAAGTCCAGAAGGATGTCTTGCTTTCCAACTTCATGTTCACAGGTCTCCGAGCAGACTTGACAAAGGCCTTTGGCATGTCGCCTCTGTTCCGTGTGTCGCATGCTTTCTCCATGGGTGGTTCAGGCAACCTGCCTCCGTACAACTTCTCGGCCATGTACGGAAGTCAAAATGTAGGTCACATCAATGTTATCTACGATTCGTTATGACAGCTAGTTTGGATGGTTACTAAATCTAAGGCTTTCAAAAGGTTTTCATGCAAGGCAACCTCGGAAGCGACGGTGGACTCGCTGCGGTCGGTAACTACCGTTGGACCGACAAGTTTGTCACAAAGACCAACGCCCAGGTCATGTCGGGAGCAGGCCAGGCACTGATGCAGATCGACAATGACTACACTGGTGATGACTTCTCGGCATCCATCAAGGGTTTCAACCCATCCATCTTGGAGGGTGGCCTTACCGGAATCTTCGTCGGAAGTTACTTGCAGTCCATTACTCCCAGCCTGGCTCTCGGTTTCGAAGCCATCTGGCAGCGACAGGGTATGAGCACTCGTCCGGAGACTGCCCTTTCTTACTGTGCCAAGTACAAGACCCCCGAATGGATCGCTAGTGCTCAATTGCAGGCCCAGGGTGTCCTGTCTGCCTCGTACTGGAGGAAGCTTTCGGAGCGTGTCGAGGCTGGTGTTGATATGAACCTTCAGTTCGCCCCCAACGCTGCTGCTGCTATGATGGGTGGTCCCAGCCGCGACGGCACAACCTCCATCGGAGCCAAGTATGACTTCCGTGCTTCCACATTCCGTGCCCAGGTCGACAGCGCTGGAAAGGTTAGCTGCCTTTTGGAGAAGCGGATAGCCATGCCCATCGCCCTTACTTTTGCTGGTGAGATTGACCAGGCCAAGGTGAGTTTTTTATCACACTGTTTTCCTTAGTGCAATGAGACTTTTGAGGCTGACCACGTTTGTTCTCCATGTAGCAAACGGCTAAGCTCGGTCTTGCTGTATCCCTTGAGATCGCTGGCGAAGAATTGATGGAGCAGCAGGAGAAGATCGAGGCCCAGGGCATGGTCACTCCTCCTTTCTAAGCATCCCTGATTCATCCATAGCTGGAGCTAGTCATGGGAGAACTTGAACCACCACGAATTCTCCGCCGTCCAGCCTATACTCTTTCACCCTTTGTTTTAGTAGCTCTTCACTCTCCACGTGTATCTTTGGAACATGGTGTCACTTCCTCGGGTTATTACCTTGAATGCGGTTTGTTGGTGCAGGGAAGCGGTGATTTGGCGCCATGGAACCGACTTTTGTATAGAACCATCTTCCTATTTCTTTGATTATCACCTTTTCCCCTTTCGTTTATTTCCTTTTATTTTTATGGCTTCATCTATGATTTTTGGCCTGTTCGTTGTGTCCCCTTGACCCTATCTATTCTGATGGCGCCCTCGGCTGGTCAGCAGGACTACTGGGAATGAGATGCATGGAAACTCTTATGGGAAGCTCGTGTTTGTTTGTTTTTTTTTTTTTTTTTTTCTTTCTTTTTCAGTATGCATAGATGGGGCAATGTAAAACAATATCTGATTCTCACACTGGAAAGGAAGTGGTCAGCGAACATGTTATTCACATTGACCGGGGAGGAAAAGTGATTGATCAATGGGTGGCTTGTCTAATCAGACAAGAGACTTGTATTCTAGAATATGAACATTGATTAATATATATGCGATTCTCCACGAGTCATGCTTGAAATATGGAACCAGGATGATCTGGCCTTATAAGGCGTAAGGTCTCAGGTCTGCCATGACCCAAGTAGAAGCAGAAGGTGGATGCATTGTTTGACAGTCAAATATCGAAGGCGAAAATCGCATCTGGACAACTGGTAAGTAAGATCAAAACCATCATGAGGTTTTGGAATCAAGATACGACTGATGTAACCATCTTTATATCAATGGCTCTCAAGCCAAGATGGTCTACCTCGATACTGTATAATACAGTAATACATTAAATATGGATAGGTAACCTCTCCATACTAGGTATGGATAAAACGGCTGTTCGTTAACCGAATTGATTGCATATTTTAGGTCGCAAATGAACTAGTTGCGTGGATCCGACCAAGAGAACCACCAAAATCCACCGGAGCAGTTGGAGCTTCAACGATGCAAAGCCGACCATCCAATGCTAGACATCCAACACCCCCCACCGACTGCGAGGTTCAAAGCTTTTTTCTCGGCGACTCCTCGTTGATTTCGGTTACTGGCCATTCATCCCTCCATCCATCCCATTCGCATTTCGAACCTGGCCGATGAGGTCTTATTTACATGCGCTGGGATCCACTCAGACCTCTGTCTTGTAGGCTGCAATTGGCCTTGTGTAGTGGCGACTGTTGGGTCTGAATACGGAGTTATGCGAGGGATTATCGACCTATGCCATGTACAGTATTTCTGTCGCCTCTTCTTGCTCTCTCTCTCTGTCTGTCTCTATTTTCTCTTCTACCTTTTTTTTTTTTTTTTTCTCGCTAGCCGTACGGAAGTTTGCGATTATCAGGCCCACTCCACCCATGACATCATTGGGTCCAACTAGCCCCTGGTCTTTCTTCCCCCAACCCTTTTTCAGTTTGACGGGAATAATTAATCCCTTAAGTCCGTTTTCTGGTGTCTTTCATGGAGTACGAAGGAGCATCGTGATTGGTGCTATGGCTTCGGGAAACGGTTGAGCTTGCCGGCCTCTGAATAAAGCATCCAATTTACTTGACAAACCATAGGAAGATATCATGATATGGTGTCGACTGGGAACTGGGAACTGTGGCCAAGGAGTTTCAGAATCGACTGCCCGTTGTGCAGCCCAACACGGTTTCATGTACTACATTCTGAATCCTGCAGATGACATGGTATCGGGTCAGCTCGAAAAGTTGAGCGACGCCCCTTAATAAGTGCAGGCAAAGTTTATACTACGGCATATTGTATATCCACTTCTTTATTGATAACAAGCATGAAGGCTGAAGCTGTGCAGATAGTGAGCAGACACAGCCTTGTCTTGATTCTCATCAGATTCAGTTGGTGCAATTTATTATCTGCAATGACTCACGTGCCTGACAGAATACCAGCAGATGATATAGTTGGATATGAAGGGTCATCTTCGACCCTCTGCTAACTATCGTGTTTATTTTAAAGCATGCGTGCATCTCCGGTAGTTAAAGAGTAACTATCCACTATTGGTTCGGTATATGGCCATTAAGATCCATTTAAACCCATCATTGCCTGCAGAGCAAGTCTGACTTGACCTGTATGCATGTCTTTGTTGGCATAGGAATCAAGGGATATCCATACTATACTAGAATTGACACAAGCTCAGCTCATCATTGTGTATATCAGCTTTGCCCAAGCTGTGCACCTCCAGACCTGTCATGGATTTTAGTATCAACCGCTCAACAAGACATCTTCCAGCGGGAAGCTTTTCCAGTGTTTCACAAAAAGAGGACGACAGTCAATAATCAAGGGTGGTGGCGCTCCTTAAAATGTCGACAATTGAATTCCAGACTCAACCAGCTCGAGGATACCTATCATAAGCAAGCAGCGGGCGGGTTTGGCCGCTGCGGACGACAATCTGCAGCAGATAAATGGCCGGATGGACACACACTCGAGATATGCTGTACAGGTCATTCATACCGACCGGTTCCAAGGCTCACGGGTTTGAAAATGACGAAATTGAAGCACCCGAGAGCCAGGGAACAGTAAATTATACGGACAAAGTTACTAACCAGGCCAAGCAAATGTCAGTCCTACTATTCGCTTGTGCCTAGTGGGAAGGAGTTGCTCCATAAAATGGTTCCTCATACTAGTACGGAGTAGTCTCCTCAATTCCCCAGAGATAACTGTTGGATAGTGGGACTCTTTGAGGGCTGGATGGAGTAGGCATTTGGTTCGAGAATTTTCAGAACCAGCAATTTTGTTTTTATTAAGGAATCGAAATGGGGAAAAAAAAAGAATTAAGTCAAAAAAAAAAAAAAAAAAGGGTATGTACGTACTTTACAGAAAACAAATGACTAACGCTTTCCTTGGATATGCCTCGGAACTAGCCACACAAGTGGGACGCTTGTAATTACTGGTAATTCAACGACACTAACCTGGAAACTCCATGTATTCAAATTACTATTGCGAACCTTTTGTTTTTGGCTTATAGACAGACAACACATTCTCATCTGCATTATTGTCGCAAGGATGGCTTCAGATAAGTTTGCAGCTCTCATGTACACTCGATAAAGCACGAGCTCTACGGAAAAGAAACAAAGAAATCGTGGATGCATGGGCTTTTTTTTTTTTTTGGGCGAGTCATCTGACTTGTGTCTGAGACCTGACAGCTGCTGATCACTTTGGTCTAGTAGGAAATAGTCCAGGAACAACCTTAGTTGACTCGAAGAAAATAGCCAATATCTTTACCGCTTCCTACTATTTGATCGGACAATGGCCCATGCCCCGTGGATCATTGGTTTCGGACGTCAATGGTGCATTGCTGGACCAGCTCTCTGGTACCAATATGCATGGGCGACGACGATGAGACTTAGGTATGCAGCTGGGATTCATTCCATCCTTACCACTCCAGAGGTGGTGACGCAGATGACAACATCAAGGGAATCCTTGCTAGCACGACCTCAGCATTCTCCTTGGGATCTGTGGCGATTCATCCTTGTCTTCAGAGAAAGGATTGGGATATACTGTCTCAAGCCATAACATACCTCTCTGTAACATGCAGCCTGTTGACCGACATTGTACGGATTTATGTATGCATCATTTGTTATATTGATGCATAGCATTTCCGAATTTTGCTCCAGGAATGTTCCTTACCTGACCTTTATCTTGTTGGATGGCATTATCGCTCCACTGTTGAATGTTGAATAGAGATCGTTGATGATTATCAATCTTCATTCCGCAGTTCGATAGTTAGAGAGATAAGACGTCTATAAATTAAAGGAAATTAATTGTTGGACAATGCTGGTTTGAAACACATATTGTTTTGGCTAGTGATCTGAGAAAAAGTTTACTACCAGTGTATACATGCCACATGATGCATGATGCCTGCTATCTGTAATCATATGAAGCTGGCATGAGTACTTACAGGTCGAGGAGTTTGCCTCCCCTCCCCGGCGAAGAGGCAAAGAATTTAAAGTTATGATGCTAGTCAACAGGTCATATGGGCCCATGGGGCCATTTTTGTGTATGTGTGTATGAGTCTTTTGTAGTTCGTATACTAGCAATAGTAGCATATACAGTATTTGACTAGCTACCTTTTTTTTTTTTTTTTTGCTTTTTGTTTCCACGATATTAATAATTATTTGCATTATTTTATATGTATTTTTAGATAACCTTGCACACAGTAAACAGAGGGGGGGGCTACTATCTGCAATTCCTCCCTGCCAAAGTGGGGTGAAGCAGAATTACATAGTGTCTTTAGTCTGTACAGAGTACGAGGCCAAGAATAGAACAATCAACAGTTTGTGGGTTGCTCTACGACGTCCAGAGTAAATTAAACACTATACCATCAAAGTCACCTGTCAATGATTAACAAAGACTGCACATCTAGACCTACATATGATACATCGGATTTTGACGATGATTATCAGATCTTGGTTGGGTAAGGCACCCGACGAACCGCACCGTTCAGACATTGCCCCAAGCTCCCAAGCACCTGATCTTACTGCCAGTCATACCATAGCTAGATATGGAAGTAAGTCTGCCTGTGTATGACAGAGTGGCAAGCTCTAGACTTCAATTACCCTGACTAGTATTTCTTGAACCACATCACGGTCGTTTCTTATTAGTATTAACAGCAGACGTCGGACTGGAGGTGATGATTTGATCCCATGGTAAGCACAAGAATCGCATACAACCGCCAAACCATGCAATTACGTCAACATCGAGATCCTGGGCAGAAATGCTGTATGTTTACACTAATACGGTATTTATCATACACTAGCCACAGCAGATATGACCAATCAGATCAGTTCCAGTGAAAATCACAATTGGTCACCCGACACTGGCAGACCAACCACATGGCCAGATGGTTTCCCCATCATTGGAACTCTTGGTACATCTGTATGGTAGGTACAGAGAAATACCTCTTGAGCAACTGGAGCCAGCTTTGGGTTTCATCAGGTAAGATAGGCCCGAGGTGGTGACTTCATGGGGCTGTGAAGAGGTCTGAAATCAGCCTGAACTTGTGCGTGATATATCAGGGTACTCTTGGAATGATGCCTGTGCTGTAAGGATCATGCAAAGTATGGGCAGACATTGTAATCTTGTTTCGAACAGATTCTTACCGAACCTGAAGTATATTTTTCTTCCGCCGAGACTGTAATTATTATTCAATAACCCCTCTTTTTTTTTTTTTTTTTTTTCCTATACTGCCCAAATCCAATGGCAATTCCCTCATTATTGCATGTCAGTCAGTAAAGATTGGACCAATGCATGCCCTTTGGATCTATCCATCAAACGTTCCCAAATTCTCGGAAGAAATGAGATGAAAAGTACTCGAACTCTTCTTGTTGGGAAGAACAAACAAACAATTGCTTCAGAATGAACTTCGGTCAGAACCCGCTACTGGTCTCAACCCGAGCGCTTGGGGTAGAGGTCATCTGGCCTGTGAATGGGTGTTGCAGTAACTGGCGCCCAATCTCAGCGGTTCCACCCCAGCCGCCGTCATCAGTGATCTGCCAGGCCTATTATTACCTAGTAGTTATGGTTGTTCTCCATCTTCGAATCCGAGAAAACACCAGCATGAATAAACGACTTTTTGAACTACACAGCTTTGTACCTACAGATTATGTTGGATGAATGTTTGTCTGTCGATGTAGAGACACCTTGCTTCATGGTGTAAGGGTGAGGTATGGTACGGTATCCAAAATAACCAATATGACATGGTACGGTACGGTAACAATACATATACCTACCTACCTATCGGTACCCCTCTTTTTATTACCCATTGCAAAATAAGTACCTACCTAGTAGTAGCAACTGCTTGCTTCAGTAGACTGTTACTACCTAGGTAGATGCCATCTTAAAAACCAGGAAACAAATGACAAGCTCTGTAGGTAAATTAGTTAGACATCTTCATGCCGGAGGCCGTAAACAGCAACCTTTTTTGCTCCCAGTCCCCAGCCATTATCCACAACTCACATCATATTTTACATACCTCTCCACACACTGCCACAAGCAGCTCTGTGCGCTGGACCACCTACTTACATACTTACTCTTACTCTTACTCTTACTCTTACCTATCTACTTACCTTTTACCTTACCTGACTAGGTATTAACCACTATTACTCCCGCCCGCCCGCCTCCTCCCCCTCCCCTCCCCAAACGTTGCCTCTGACTCGCCCACCACCACCTGCTACTACTGCTGCTACCTACCTACTCCCAGATATTGGAACAGGCTCATTTTCGCACCTACTCTCTTTTGCACCCTCTCCATTTTATTTCCTTTTTGTGCCTCCTCCCCAAAAGTTTTCTTTTTTTTTTTCTTTTTTTTTTTCTTCCGTCATTGGAATCTCTCCCTCAATCGGAGTTGGCTTGTGTGTTCCTTGCTTTCTTCCTCTCCTCTCCTGGTGCTTTATTCCCGCGTTCCTGCAGCCCTCGCGTGTTCGGGCTTCCTCGCTCCATCAACGTCACCTGCTCCCTCTCTTCTCTCTCTCTTCCCTCTTCCTCTCCCTCTCCTCCGAACCCCCATCCCTCCTACGGAGACTTATGCTCTAACCCGCCCCAAACCACCACCCTCACCTCAAGGACCATCTTCTCCTGTACTGGCGAGGTGTGAATAACTTTTCGGCCTTTTTTTTTTTTTTAATTCTTTTTTTTTTAAACCCACCCCTACCCTTCTTGCTTCCTTTTTTCTTATTTTCCGAATCGGTTGCGGTCCATCAGGCTCCACGATCTCTTGCTTTGCATCGTGAGGTTTCACTTGCTGTGGTCTTGTGTCTGTACTCTTGGCACCCTACCCAAGTCGATTTGGTCCTTGGTTTGAGCCTTCCATTCTACGATTCGCCCGCCTGCAAGTCCGCTTCTCAACCTTTCATCTCACGCGCACCTCCACCCAACATCATCCGTTCGGACATTCCGCCCATCTAGAGTGCTTCCCCCCTCCCAACATAGTGCTCCACCGATTACAGTCTGCCCAAGACGGACCTCACCACTTACTTTTACGCCCTTTTCCGCCATCCGCTATTGAAGTGCAGTCCTCCATTTTCTCGATAGCACTGCCCGATTTGTCGCCGTCGTCATTCCCTCAGCACCCTCGTGATGTCACAGAATAAACCTGGGGTGTTTTCAAGCTTGCGCATGGGTGGTAAGAAATCATCGTTATGGATCGAATTGTCGTATGGGAATAGACCGCAATACTGACGTTGTCGTTCTACTGATCAAGCAGAAGTTGTTCGTGAGAAGGTCCAAGATGGGCTAACCGGGGAGACCAAAGAGATTTCTTATACACAGTGCAAGATCGTCGGCAATGGGTCGTTTGGTGTTGTTTTCCAAACAAGAATGATGCCCAGCGGCGAGGATGCTGCCATCAAACGAGTCCTCCAAGACAAGCGCTTCAAAGTATGTGTGGATGTTGCCGTTGGCTATATTGCCCACAAAGGCTTTTTGCTGACAGACCCTGTAGAACCGTGAGTTGCAGATCATGCGAATCGTCCGCCATCCCAATATTGTAGAACTCAAAGCCTTCTACTACTCGAATGGCGAAAGGGTATGTGAAGTCAACATGCCGATTCCCCACGCATTGGCCTTTTGGCTGATCACACTAACCCAATTTGTAGAAAGATGAAGTGTACCTGAATCTCGTTCTCGAATATGTACCGGAGACGGTGTACCGGGCATCCCGGTATTTCAACAAGTTGAAAACTACTATGCCAATGCTGGAGGTCAAGCTTTACATCTATCAACTTTTCCGCTCCCTGGCCTACATTCACTCTCAAGGTATCTGCCATCGAGATATCAAGCCCCAAAACCTTTTGCTTGACCCTACCACCGGCATCTTGAAACTCTGCGACTTCGGTTCGGCCAAGATACTAGTCGAGAACGAGCCCAATGTTTCCTACATCTGCTCCCGCTACTACCGTGCACCAGAGTTGATCTTTGGCGCGACCAACTACACAACTAAAATTGGTACTTGATCCGATCCCAACTAACCCATACCAAAAGTCACTAACAGATATCAGATGTCTGGTCCACCGGTTGTGTAATGGCCGAGCTGATGCTCGGGCAACCGCTCTTCCCTGGTGAATCGGGAATTGACCAGCTTGTGGAAATCATTAAGGTTCTAGGTACTCCTACTCGGGAGCAGATTCGTACCATGAATCCCAATTACATGGAACACAAATTCCCTCAGATTAAGCCACACCCCTTCAATAAGGTAATCTCCCCCGTCATGGTGCCCTGTTGAATGTGACGCTGAGTGGACGTTCCCAGGTTTTCCGGAAAGCACCCCCTGAGGCTATCGATCTTATCTCGGCCCTCCTGGAATACACGCCAACACAACGTCTATCGGCTATTGAGGCGATGTGCCACCCCTTCTTCGATGAACTGCGGGATCCTAACACACGACTGCCCGATTCACGGCACCCTAATGGCGCGCCAAGAGAACTCCCTAATCTTTTTGATTTCTCGCGACATGGTATGTTACCATCAAACTGAAGATTTTTTTGAAAGATCTGTTTACTGATATTCATTAAAGAACTCTCTATTGCACCCGCCATGAACAGCCGGTTGATTCCTCCCCACGCACGTCCCGCACTCGAGGCTCGCGGTCTCAATATCGAAAACTTCACACCTCTTACGAAGGACGAAATGATAGCACGCCTTGACTGAGTCAAAGTGTGACACGCTTACGAAGTACACGCCTGTCTGTAGTGCTGTATCTGCACGTGTGCGCTAGAATTTGATGTCATGCCGTGTGAGCCGCCCCTTCATCTCCGGGGCGGTTTTGGAAGTGGGAAAGGTTTCGCCAAATCTGTAGACCTTATCCATTGGCGAGGCGTCTAGGAGCTGGTTTCTCTGTGAGAGGCGATCAGGGGAGAAAAAAAAAACGAAGAAAAAAAAGTGCCATCCATGTCATGATCGGAGAGATGAAAAAAATTTTTTTTTTTCCAAGTGGGGATATGGATCATGACAGTTTTACGCAAAGGGGATGGAATGTCATAGCCTGGAGTTATCGAGGTGTCTGAGACAGTTCTTGGGAGGAAAAAGTGATACCCTTTCTGCGTGAGTCTGCCTTCCGGGATTTAAGTCTGCCTAGCTTCATATCTCGATTGAAAGGGTCATGGAACCAGGATGCAGCAAGTCATGTTGAGAAGTGCGGAGGTTTAACCATCCCACAAATACATCAGATATCAAAGGATTTTTATTTTGCTTGGATGCACAAGCATGTGCTTTGAATATAGGTATTGGTGGTTATATCCGCGACTTGCAGCCTTAGAGACGTCCCCCTTTTTGTCTTCTCTTGTCCTTTTTTTTTTCTTTGTTACTATTTCCCTCTTTTTTTTTTCCTTTTTTTTTTTCCCCCTCGATTTCCTTTCTGGACTATTCATTGTTGTCATCCATCCTCGTTCGTTTGGCTCGACTGGTCATAGTTATACTTGACTTGGCCAACGATGAAGCTACATGTCTTTTAATTCCGAAAGCAGACTACTTGTTTTTTATTTTTATTTTTTTTTTTATCTCTTTCTTCTCTTCTCTTCTCTTTTTTCAAATCTAGACTCCCAAGACGTATTCCTGGAGACCTTCATTCGCTGATGTGTATAATCACAGTCTTGTAATTTTCTTTTTCTTTTTCTCTTCCTCTTTCTTTTTTCCTTTGCTTCTTTTTTCATGTCCAGTTTCTATGCTGTATTCTGCAATTCCTGTCCCATAGTTGGTGGGCATCTCGTTTATGTCAAGATGTGATGCTAGTTGTTCTGAAAACTCCAAATTTGCTTAAAAGTTATTCGCCTCTCCTCAGTTCTTCGAGAACAGATATCAAAGAGGGCAGGAGAAAAGAAAATGTTCGGTTTTTGTAAAACCATTGACATCAATATCATTTGACTTTTCAACTTTCCTATTCCAATATCTCTATCCCGGGTTAAATGGAGACACAATTTGGAAATGAAATGGGCTTCTTGTCCCATTCTTCGAAACAGTCCCATCGCTGACATTATCAGATTGATGAGATATGAACCCCGTACTCGGTGATGATGATAGAAAATGATAGTCATTGTTTAAAGCAACAAAGTCCTGGAAATCGGCTCCAGCAATTTGCAATACGAACCATCTAAACCATCCCTGCAATACTCCGTACAGCCCCATTACTAGGCGTCTGCAGTGTATTCTCCCGTGCAATGTGAATGAAGTCAGTCGCCAGGCGTTTAGATAATCAATTAGCGGAACGGAGGATCAAGGTCCCGATGTCCTCAGCCATTGGCGGTGTTTGGCTTCTTCCATGGACGAGGTCTAACTCCGATTCCAGTAGTAGCAGAAGAGCTTCAAGCTCTATTCTCAAAGGCCATTACATCTTGCGAACCATACAGGACTGTTTATAATAAAACCAGGCAGCTTGAGTGGGAAATACTTGGGCGTTTCCCCTTCGCAAATATGGCTGACTACGAACGTCGACACCACGGCCCTAGGGGCGGGCGCAAGAGGCGCTACAGAGGTCAGCGATATCCTCAATTGACATTATTGTTATGAATTGTTTTTCTTTTACTTTTCATCTGTATCTGCTAACATCTTTCGAAACTTAGATGATGACGACTTTGATCGCCGCCCCCAGAGGCGCAGATATGAAGAGCCTCTTGTTGTTAAGGTCCGGAGACAGCTGCTCACGATTGCGGAATCGGTACGAACGCCTCCTAATGGCATAATTACTAGGAAGTTAGCTCCCTGATACTGACTCTTTTGGGCATTGAAATAGGCTGCCAGGAGAGCAGAGGACGATGTGGTGAGCATCGCGAAGACCGTCGCCGAGAATTACGAGGACGAGGAAATCAGAAACAGCTATATTGAAATCGTCCTTGACCTGTACGTTTCTATTGCCATCATTGCTTCCATACATATCCCATGCACTTTTTAAATAACTAACGTTATAACTCTTGACAGTGTTATTGAGCAACCGTTGAAAATCCCCTTCGCCGCAGCGACAGTCCTTGTTGTCAACAGCCAGAGATCGGAGATTGTAGCTGAGGTGCTCAAGAGAGCCAGTGAATTAGCACAAAAGCACATCAACACTGGAGCTTGGCGTGAGGTCAAACTTGTCTTGCGCTTCTTGGGCTGCCTTCAGTTCATTTTTGAGGGCGATGGTATCTTTCCACTGCTTGAGGAGCTGTTTGCGCGCGCAGTTGATCTTCAGACAGCATCTTCGGAAGACGTGAGTGACTTATCCCCAGTCTAGGGTATACCCAAGTTGACATTGCAAAATTAGTTGCTAGGTCTCGAGCTCGTCAAGATCATCCTTTTTACTATTCCATACGTGATGGCGTCCCCGGCCACTGGCTTTGAGTCTCAAGCGGTTGCCCTCCTGGAGAAGACAGATGTCATTGCATCTACCCCACATACTTTGGTTGACTTGGTAAACCCGTTTGTCTCCGAGGGCGGCAAGCCGACTGCTGCTCACAGTGTCATCGGGTTGATGCAGACTCAACTGCAGACCGAAGCCAGCCGAGGCTGGGAGCTCGTATGTCTCCCTAGGCCATGGAAGCCACTTCCAGAAGGAGAGGGAGAAGAACCCAGGACATTGGAACCAGGGACAAAACATACTTTCCCTCAAATAACTGTTCCTAACCCTGTGCAAAATGGAGCCAGGGCGATTTTCCCGGAGATCTACTTATCTGTGTATGCGAACCAAGAGATGGAGACAGTACCGCCAACGTCGGACATCACATCCTCCTTGTTGCGCGATGCTCTTGTCGATACAATCAATATCCTCGACTTCAATCGGATCGCGACTGCCAAGTTTCTGATTGATGTCGACTGCTATTTCACACCGAACACTTTTGTGAAGCGCGCAACCCCCTTTGACCGACTGCGTGATATCTCGGGGGATCGACCAGTGTGGAAACCCGAAGATGTTGCCGTTGATGCTGTATTTTCTCAATTGTTCCAACTCCCCGCCCCGGAACATAAGCTCGTCTATTACCACTCAGTCCTCACTGAGTGTTGCAAGATTGGGCCTGCCGCTATCGCTCCGAGTTTAGGGCGTGCGATTCGATTCTTGTACGGAAGCTTGGAAACGATTGACCTCGACTTGAGCCATCGATTTTTGGATTGGTTTTCTCACCATCTAAGCAACTTTGGTTTTACATGGAAGTGGAGTGAATGGTTCGTGCACTACAAGCACAAACAGTTTTGGACAAGAATGCTGATTTTGGCAATAGGATCGACGACCTTGAACTTCCTCTTATTCATCCTAAAATGGCATTCATTACGGGTTCACTCGACAAAGAGATTCGACTGAGTTTCGCACAGCGCATTCGAGGAACTCTTCCAGACCCTTATCAGGACTTAATCACCGAAGGCAAGGAGAAAGACACGCCTGACTTTAAGTATTCATTGGATAGTAAGTTCCCTGGTTATGAACCTTTGAACACCTTACTTACGCAATCTCAGCTACACCTTACGCCAATGAAGGAAAAGAACTTATGCAGCTCATCCGCAAGAAAGCTGCTGATGAAGAAATTCAGCCAATCATTGCTATAATCGAAGAGCAGGCGAAATCACAACGAGTCGAGGACCCCATGCTAGCCTCGACCGATGTCTTTGTCACAGCCATATGCTTTGTTGGCTCAAAGTCACTTTCCCACGTTCTTTCCTGCATCGAACGGAACAAGGAGCGGTTACTAGCCATCGGGCCACAGTCTCCCAAGGCTCGCTTGCAGATTATCACCTCCGTCATGGAGTACTGGGTCGATCAACCGGGCATCGCTATTAATATTATAGACAAACTACTGAATTACACGATTCTGTCGCCTATTTCGGTCATTGAGTGGGCTCTGGTCGAGAATCTGAGTGCAGGAACCATTCTCTCAAAGACGCACGTTTTCGAGATGATCTCTGCCACCGTTGGTAAAGTCACCAACCGCATGCGACAGATTGTTGCTGCGCGTGTCCAGCCGGCTCTGTACGAGCCCCAGCTGAGTGTGCTGGATGAGACCTTGAACCGCGAGAGAGGCGATATGCAGGCTCTATTCAAGGTGATTGAAGACTCAGTCGTATCCGTCGCCGGCGGTAGTAATGACGAGCTGATGGAGAGAGGAGACGGAAGCGGGGACTTGCCAGAGGACGAAATCATCCGCCAATGGGGCCGTAGATGGCTCAGGGTGTTCAGACGAAAGGCTGGTGTTGAGGAATCGTTCATCTCCGAGAGCCTGACCAATGCCACCCCACTGGGTACAACTGCACCACCTGTGGTTCAGGAGGCTTCTACCACTGCAGACGGAGACCTTGATGTCGCTGACGCAGATGGCGCTGCTTATATCTCGTAAGGTTTGACCGTCAAGTTGTATACATTGTGCTCCTTCCACTTGGTACGTGATATCACTTGGTCAGGCTAATTTACCCCTGTGTACCCTCAATATCTGTCATGTATTATTCACAAATGTCTTGAAAAAGCAAACATTCTCAAAATTTTCGTATCAAACAACTGTTTGGTTTATCCTGGAGCTACATTCAAACTGCTATAAATCAATTTAGAAAATGTTAATAATATGTTCAAGAATGTAAATATTATGGAATATAGCGAGGTATAGAATATAAGACGCAATTCAAGAATAGATAATTCTGGCACTGTATTCATGTTCCTGCCCTTTCAACCACTGACATATATACAAGAGAAAACCTTCAAAGGCTAAGCGCGCAAGTCAAGGAGATAAGCATTATCCTTTCAACTGCCCAGGCCAACGATCCTCAGCTGATTAAAACATATAAAACGAGAAACAATGGTGATTAATATACTTAGTAATGGTATTGGTACAGGCTTCGATCAAGAGAGGAAGCCGCAAAATGAAACAGCATGAAACTCGTAACTCACTTCAAAGGGTAAACCAACTCTCTGAAGATTCAAGAAGCATCAACAAAAGTCTCTTCCACGAGAAACCCGCCTGAAAGCACATGCCTCTCTTTCTGTGCAATTTTGCTTAATTTTTTTTTTCTGCTTTTTTCTTTCTTTTCTTCTTTTTCTTGGTCTGTGGTTTCAAGATTTCAGAAGCGAATCTATGAGGTCAAGTGATCCTCGATGATGGTTATTACCTGAGCACATCGTATGATAATCAGGTCCATCGGCTGGCCTCGCCCCGGTTATCGCTGGGGACTCCGGGGAAATATTCGAAGGCTAACTTCCTCCATATTCACCTCACAGATCTTTCTTGGTCTCATCTTGTGAGAGGTATTTGCGATCATCATCGCCCTCCACATCTTTGAGAATAGTTTCCATCTCCTTGGTCTGTCTGTTCCACTCTTCCTTGTCCATCTTGGTTTCACGGCGGAACAACTCTTCGTTTGGCTGTCTGTAGCTTCCACCAAGGCGATCCCACAGAGTAGTGAATTGGCCATAGTTGTAGTTGAAGTACAAGTGGTGCATGGTATGGCAGGCAGCACCGTTGATGACAGGGCTGTTGGCGACATATTCACCGTCGTGAATCAACACGGTCCACAGGTTGATGAATCCGAAGAGAAACACGTAGGCAAGCTTCTGAAGAGGAAAGATGAACGGGAACAGGTGGTAAGGGACACTTTGGGACCAGCCATCCAGGGGGTGAAACGCATGCGAAGCGAAGGGGCTGGGCATGATCCACTTGTGGTGAGGCTTGTGCAGGGTCTTGTAGATGCGCGGGTGGTGCAGACCCCGGTGAATCCAGTAGATGCAAAGATCGGTGAACGCAATGAAGAGAGGGAACTGCAAGATACTGTAATAGGAGAAGGGCTCTTCGGAGAATGTATCGTATAGTTTGGCATATCCCCGAACTTCGGCAACCAAGAAAGGGGCAGTCAAAAAGGACATGACGGGCATCGATTCCATTGTCTGTCTAATCTCCATAGGGATTTGGTTCTTGAGAAATTTCGGATGCTGGACAGTCGTCTTGTCCCAGATGAAGATGTAGGACAGGGAGGCGGAAATGAAATAGGTGATAATGCCGAAAATCCTGCAGTCGCAAGAAAAGCCATGTCAGCGACCGGTTCTCGAACGTTTTGCGAGGAGGGCTCATCTTGCATACCAAACAATCAGGAAGAAACTCAAGAACTGCCGATAGATGTTGTTTCGAGGCCAAGCGCTCATGTATGCATACTTTGACGGCTCCAGGTAAATCAATTGTGTGGCAGGTTCGTAGACAAACGGTTTGGATGCGCCAAACAAGGAATAGGTGCTGTTGGCAGCATTGGCGAAGCCAGGCAGCGAAACGGAAGATGAAACTGATGCTGGAAGCAAAGCAGAGTAGAAGCGATCACCAATGAAGGTGTCCCAAAGTTCAAGGGCGATATCCATTGTGTGTTGACAACGGGGCGCCTTTGTACAGGGGAAGAAAATCGAGGAAGAAGAAAGAGACGATGGCGATGGAGAAATTTAGGGAATCCAGAAAGTTTAGATGTGACCAGACATGGACTGGTAGAAAAAGGATGGGAGGGAAATAAGGATAGTGCGGAGGGGAGGGGGGGAAATAACTAGAAAGGAGAGTGAGAGGAAAATAATTAAGATTATTAAAGTAGGAGTGATTCCTGTATCACACCAGGGCGGAACGAGGAGAGCCGTTCCACTGGCAATCTCCATACGATTTGCCCCCTTTGTTGTTCGGATCGGCTGTTTTTGACTGATGGGGAGAGAAATATATACCCCGTGCTACTAATAATAAGGAGATCCGTTTGGGTCCGTCCAGATCAGATAGGATGATGTTCTGATGTTCTAGAATACCCGGTATTTTGTTTTCTTTTTCTAGTGATTGTGGTGGTTGGTAGTTCTTGTTCTGGGTGGCTATCTTTGTTGTATGCAAGGTACCGTACGAGAACTACTACACAGTCCATCGTGATTGGCCACGTGGGGCTTCTAAGTCCATCGATTGGAATGTTTCGATGGATGTTGATGTAAAACGTTATGATCTAAGCCTGTTCGTATGACGGGTTCAGATGAGGATTTCGTCTCATGGAATATCCGGAATATCCGTCCGATTATATCAGAACATACAATGTGGTTGTTGACTCGGCTTGCTACAGACCACAACAGTCTTTGACGTTATTCTAGAACATAGGTACCTATCGAGGTCATACGATATACGATAGTTTATCCTGGCACTGTCGATAGAGCTCACCAGGTACATAGTGACAACCCAGACCACCCCAGACTATCTGATATTGAGTACATTCGGCTTGTTCCTTTGTTGCATTTTACCGTGGTAAGATACTCGGATTGAGTAACTTGAAGAGTCATGAAATGTTGTTACAGATCATTCAACTATCAATCAATGTATATTTATCAGTTGCAACCATAACACAATACACGACATGACGGCTTAAATATTAACCCTAGCTCAAGAGCATGGCAGAATGGACGAAATCATATATTATACTGATCAATAGTATATGATATCAAATGAAACCAACTGTAAATCTGATCTGTTATCCACAGTCGAAAAGTGTCTATGGACTACCTAAGGTATCTGATGATAATACAATACCATACCAATGCACGGACGGTTATACACTATCCTGCAGGAGAAAAGCGGAGACAGCGGCTATGACCCCGTATTGTACGGTAATATATTGCCTCGACGTCGTTATTGACTACTGTGGGACAGAAGCTCTTTTCCCCTTCCATCTCACCTCGTCTTTTCTCCATCATCTCCCCATTTCGCATTCTGCTCCATTTGATCTTTCGTCCTATTCTCCCATCACTGCAAACGGTCGTCCTTCGGGAGTCCCACTAAAGCTTCCCGAGTGGACTGCCTGCCTAGTCCAGTAAGTTCGCCCGGCGCTTCTCGCCTATCGTCTCGCCTCTCGCGCCAAAAACTGCTCCAGGAGCCGCCTAAAGCCCAGCCCTGGCCTCCGTCCGCCTCTTGTGCTGGAACTGTCACCACCAGGCTCAATCAATCTCCAGCCTCTTTACCTCCCCCCCTTCTCTCCCTGACCTCTCCATACTATCCACCGCCAGTCCTTCCCCATCAATTGTTCATCGTCGCAGCAGCTTGTCCTTGCGCGCTGTTATGCGGCAGCACTGACGTCTGATCAGTCTGTGTCGTGTCCCTTTTCGTCTACGTCGGGATCCAACCCGATTGATTTCTCGTCGCGAACAGTCGCAGATTCGATCCGGCTCGCGGTCATCTTGTCCGCCACCTTCTTTTGTTTGATATTTTCAGAGCGACAGAAACAAAGTGCCACGCGCGATGTATAACGCACATCGCGGAATGGTTCCCGCTCCTAACTCCCGTTTGACGGAGTTGCTGGATCAGTTGCGTCAGGAGTTTGAGAACCAGTCGAGGAGCACCGGCGAGTTTGAGCACCAATGTATGTGTGTGTATACACTTTTCCTTTATATTTCTATTTGATCACATGTATCACGTTCGATGTGCTTCATAACGACCCGCACCTACAAACGAGCTTCGACAATCTTTGGTTGCGCGCGCATGGGTCGCAAACCATGGCCGAAACCCTTTATTTCTATAATCCCCCCCCACCCACCTGCACTGTTTCTTGCTGACAATATCTCAGTAACTGGTCAGCTCCAGGAAATGGAGATGATCCGACAGAAGGTCTACCAGCTGGAACAAACTCAGATGAAGATGAGACAAGAGTTAGTGCCATTGTCACGGGAAACATTGCGCTGCAAGTTGCTAACATATGGGTCTTCTCATATTAGTTATGAAGCAGAGATCCGAATGCTGCGGCACGAGCTCGAGTCGCGAGGCGTTCAAACTGCTTCAACCCATGTTGCAGGCCCGGCACAGCATGCGGGCCCTACCCAGGCCCCTCCGCCAGCATTGGGTCATGGCCCTAGTAACTTGTTTGGTGGCATTATGGCCAACCAAGGAGGTAGTGCTCCCGGTCTTGCCCCTCCCCAGGAACAGCAGCCACCCCAGCATACCCTTCAACAGCCTGCTGCCGCGGCCCAGCCTGGAGCACCGCAACCACCGCAGAGCTCCTTTGCAGGATATCAGGCCGGTGCAGCTGTGAACGGTATGTTGTGATTATGTTTTTGACTAGATTTTTGGTCTGACACGGATCTTGTTCCCGTTGCAGGCTACGGACCTCCGCCTCCACCAACAGCATCTCCAGGACCCGGCAAAAGGCCTCGCGTCCCACCTGGCCCTGCAACCCCTCAACAGACTCACCAGCTTGCCTACCCCGATCCTCGTGCCTCCCCCCAAATTGCCCGCCCAACTCCCCCTAGCCAAGCGCTTATCCGAGAGCGCCCGGGAAACATGCTCGCCAACTGGAACCCCGATGATCTGCCAGGCTCGCAAAAGCGGGAGGGTGCCGATTGGTATGCAGTTTTCAACCCCGAGGTTCAGCGTGTGCTTGATGTCGAGCTTGTCCATCACCTTGTCCATGACAGCGTTGTTTGCTGCGTTCGTTTCAGCCGGGACGGCAAGTACCTGGCCACTGGTTGCAACCGCTCTGCACAGATTTTCGACGTGACCACTGGACAAAATGTTGCTACCCTGCAGGATGAGAGCGTTGACAAGGACGGAGATCTTTACATTCGCAGCGTCTGTTTCAGCCCGGACGGAAAGTACCTTGCGACCGGTGCGGAGGACAAGCAGATTAGGGTAAGATTAATGCTGTCATATCAAGTTTTATCAATTCCAGCCGGCACCGCATGGAGTTATCCATCTTTCCTTTTACCTTATGGTTGCTAACTGCCGATATCTCTAGGTTTGGGACATTGCTGCTCGGAGCATCAAACACATCTTCACTGGACACGAGCAAGATATTTACTCGCTTGACTTTGCTGGAAACGGACGGTACATTGCCTCTGGCAGTGGTGACAAGACCGTTCGCCTCTGGGATATCCTCGACGGTAAGCTTGTCTACACACTCAGCATCGAAGACGGCGTGACCACGGTCGCGATGTCTCCTGATGGCCACTATGTCGCCGCGGGTTCGCTGGACAAGAGCGTGCGCGTGTGGGATACCACTACTGGATACCTCGTGGAGCGCCTTGAGAGCCCTGATGGCCACAAGGACAGCGTTTACTCGGTCGCTTTTGCACCCAATGGTCGCGACCTTGTCAGCGGTAGTCTCGACAAGACGATCAAGCTGTGGGAGCTCACCGTACCCCGGGGAGGATTCCCCGGAAGCGGTGTCAAGGGAGGTAAATGTGTGCGGACGTTTGAGGGACACAAAGTAAGTGTACTCCTACAGGTTGTAGGTTGGCTAGTTTGTCTGGGATGCTAACGGTATGACAGGACTTTGTGCTCAGTGTTTGCTTGACCCCTGATGGACAATGGGTCATGAGTGGTTCGAAGGACCGGGGTGTTCAGTTCTGGGACCCGATCACCGGTAACGCCCAGATGATGCTTCAAGGCCACAAGAACTCTGGTGAGTAGAATTGAATCAAGGATGGGGAAGAAGCATGGTATGCTGACATGATGAACAGTGATTTCGGTTGCACCCAGCCCCACGAACAACCTGTTTGCCACTGGCAGTGGTGACATGCGTGCAAGAATCTGGAGGTGAGTTGAGCCCGATAAGAAAGTGAACGGGGAGTTTGCTAACTGGGAATTTAGATACTCGCCGTTCCCTGGACGGTGAAGGATGATTATGGGAAGCTTGGGCGCAAGAGTATGACTGTTATTTGATTAGTCTGTCGCAGCTGGTTTGATTTGGCTCTGGGATTATGCGTTGGATTTTGACAGGCCTCTACCGTTCCATCACAAGTCATGTTTGAGTGATATTGTTTTAAAGTGTTCTAAAACCATATTGTTTGTAACTTGCTTATGGTATTGGATTTACTGCTGAAGCAGAATGACTTTGCGATATAGTTTTATCTCACTTAGCAGAAGGAATAAGGTAAATAAGCAATGGTTCAAGCAGCGGACTCGAGGTGTTGTATGTGTTGGGGGAATTGTCAACTGGCAGTCTGCACAGACCCTTTGCATTTTTTTCTTCCCCTTTCTTTTCTTTTCTGGTGATTAGAATCATTCAGCTCATTTCGATGAAATTCTTTCTTTCTTTTTCTTTTCAGCTCTGCAAACAATGGATCGGGTGTGCAAAAAGAAATACATAGAGGGAAATGTGGCCTGCATTAGCTGATCTACCCAGGGAGCTGTCGGGACTCGGGAAAAAGAAAAAAAAGCGACCGAAAGAGGGGGCGGCAAGAGGGAAAAAAGAAAAGAAAAGGGCTTGAATCTGGTTCCCGAGACAAAAGAGCGACGATGACTGGGTGGGTACTCCGTAGAGACGAGAGAAAGAGAGAGAGAGAGAGAGAGAGAGCGCGCCATCTGGGATCGACATGAAGCATTATGGATTACCTAGACTAACCAACTACTGATTTTAGTATGTCTCCGTAGGCCGTACCAGACAACAGGGCTTAAAACTCCATCGGACTCCATTTAATCTGCGGCTGAAGGGTTGTACAACGCCGGACAGATTACACGGACAGAGGTAACTATTGAAATTCATGATGTCAGGTCATGTCTCGATTTTGATGATAGTGGCTGAGAGAAAAAATGGATATGTAGAAGGATGGATCATGGAACTCAAGACCGGGATCCAAGTCGAGCATGCATGATTCCTATGAAACCATGACTATCCATGAAATCCATGAAATCCATCCCCTGATCAACACACCATGTCAGAAAGGGTTTAAGTTGATATGTGACAGGGCGTGTACATTGTACAGCCCTGTAGGCATGATAGGTAGCCTGAGTGGCAGAGTAGTTATCTCTGTAGTATTAGTTTGTTTAGGTGTGTGTGTGTGTGTGTGTGTGTGTGTGTTTTATGTTTTTGTGTTTTTGAGCTACTAGTATTTCGGGTTTAGGTATGGTCTGGATAGCTTCATGTAGAAAATTCATAGACGGATGCTGACGTGTGTCGGTCAGCCTCACTTGATCAAGACCTCCCAAGGACAACTCCGAAAGGGAAGCAAGACGTCGAACGAAAAGTACGGGAATGAATCAGTTTGAACGGTGAGTGAGATGAGACAGGCTGGGGGGTGTGTCAGCAAGAGCAAATCATCCCACGATGATTGGCACGCAAGAGGTTGCGGTCAACCAGGATGCGCAATCCTTTTCTGGGTAGGAACCAAGTCAAGAGGGACGATCTCATCATGAATTCATCATCATCCTAGTAGTCGGAATAGTAGTAGCTAACTAGCCGGCGGAGTGGGAGAGAGTGATGGACACTGCATAAATAATCAAACCAGGGCCACCTGTTTTGTATCTATCGATTCTATCCATCCAATTTCCCAAGAATTCCCACGCGTTTCGGCGATGCTGACTCGTCCAGCCCTGAAGATCACGAGGCAGCCGGCGTGCAACCAGTCGCAGTTGGCGCTGGCGTGGATTTCCGGGCCATTGGCGGCTAGCATTATTTTTGTTAGTCTGACTTGTTGGGATCTGCTGTCCCAACCCAAAGACCCCCATTTTAGCCCGTTTTAGCCCATCTAGGTTGGGGATCCGGTGATTCCCAAAGCTTGACTGTGTGGAGTGGTGTTGTATGTATTTGTATTTCCAGGTTTATCATGAGGAGGTGTTTCTGCTGAGTACCTGATTGTCGGAGTGACCGGGCCTGACTTGGTATTCAAAAAGGCCAATGGTGAAACGAACTCCGATCCCTCATCCAGGAACTATTTTGAATACAGATGGATAGTGCGAGATGGTGAGATGTAATTAATAGTCCTCCTAACAAGGTCCGGCCCGCCGTCAGGGCGTCAATGAACTGGAGGCACGAGTGTTTTTTTGCTTTTATTCATTTATTTATTTCTATGTTTTATTATGATTATTATTGTTATTATCTTAATATCTTTCTTTTCTTTTCTTTTCTTTTCTTTTTCGAAAAGAAGAAATCATAACTCGGTAGATGACAGACTGACAGTTGACAGATTGACAGTCACTGACAGCGGAGAAAACCCTGCCCGGAAAGGGGGATGACCTGTATTCGAATTAATTTCAGATTCTAATATTGATTTATCATCGAGATCCATTCATATTTCAGATCTGGTCTCAGGGGGCAGCGAGCGGATGTGTATTCGATACTGTATCATCGCCAGTCGCGGCTGTCTGGCATCTTCGGTACTGTCACACTCCCAGGGCCTCATTTCCAACCCGCCAAGCCTCGTATGTGCAGCCATTTTTTAGATTGCCGCACTATTGATCGCCTGCGGCGGTCCGTAACTTTGCTGTTGTTTTCTGTGATTCTGTCAGAGAGTCTATGTGTATTATCCTATATCGAGATGCAGGCTCAAGTCAAACTCAGCAGAACTCGGCAAGCTCAGCTAGCCATCATAATGATCTCCCCTTCCAATCTGCAGGAGAATTGTGCAAGTCACACACTGGTTGAGGTAGTACAGATGAACAGATCTACCTTACCTGCTCGGTACGTCGATACATGACATGGCTCCCGTACACCGAGAGAGATGATCGGGTCGCCCCGTCTTGGTGTGCCTGCGTGGATGACGGGGGGATCCTGGTTGTCGGCCAAGATATTCAGTCAGATGATGATGTTTGATTTGATTTATTTCAGAATCAATCACCTAATTCTTATCTACTGGTATACACATACAAGACACACATACACAGCCCGGATATACCACCTTTGCCGCGATTGGGCTAAGTGGCACATCCTGCAATAATCCTCGGGGCGGGTCAGTTGGGATGGATAAAAGTACGTCTTCTTGGGCATTATCTCGATGCTTTATGTCACTCAGTGGGGGTGTTCTTTCCCCCCCCCTTTTGAGCATTATTATTTTTAATACTAAATAGTTACTCTTCAGCTTGACGGGACTAGCCAGTGATCCCTGTCAATTGTCCACCCCCGCTGCTTCCACTGCTCTGGGACCGTCTGGTAATCATTCTAGTTCGGTTACGGTATGTATCGATTGCTCCAGCATCTATATCTAGTTCTAGATCTCTCGAGCGCCTCGTTGGATCATAATACATAATTCATTAAAAAAAAAAGGATCTCCTGGTGATATTCCTGTCTTCATTGTCCATCTCTAATCTTAATCCTTTTCTTTTTTTTTACGATTCATTCTTGGATTCTTCATTCCTTTACAACTGATCTATCTACATATACCCATCTACCCATATCCATACCCCAAAAAGCATTGTTGCATCCCGGCGGTTTTTCTTTTTCTTCCAATTTTTGCTTTTTTGCCATCTGAATACAATCGATCGAGCTTTTTTTTTTTTTTTTACTTCTTTTTGATATATTTTCTTTTTTTGTCTTTTCTTTTCTTTTCCCCCCCCTCCCCTCTTTGCTTCTTTCTTCAGCAGGAACAGGTGTTTGCGCAGGGTCCAAAAAGCCACCCGTTTCCCAGGTACAAAACCCTCCTGTATATGCGTGTCAGTGTGAGACGTCCACCACGATTTCATTCCTTATTTGAGTTCTGAAAAAGAACGAGGAGGAAGAAGAAGAAGAAGAAGAAGAAGAAGAAGAAGAGGAAAAAGAAAACAATCAAGATGGAAACTGCAGAGCCTGTTTCATACGAATTCCCCGGCCATGCTGTCGGCGCTGTGGCTCCTCGTCGGGTCATCAACTCCAACCTGGGCCACAACTTTTTCTATCCTAATCCGACTGCTTCATTCCCACTGCCGTTTCAGTCGTCATCATCTTCTGGTCCTTATAACTTTGGACATGCCCTCAATCACCACCATCATCACCAAGCGCAACCGCAGCCACCACCACAGCAACATCAGCAGCACCATCACCATCACCAGCAGGCTCAGCCTCACCATCACCAACATCCTCAGCATCCTGGCTCCTATCAGCATTTCTTCGTCTCTGGTCAACCTCAGCTCAACTCTCAGCCAGTGCGTCTGTCTTCGGAACCACCACCGCTGCAATCAATTCCCGATATTCGACCGGCGAAGAATGCTGTCAACCGAGTTCCCAGAGATCCGCTGGCAAAGATCGACCAGGGCTCCGGAACCCAACCGTCTGTGCAGCATTTGACTAACGGAGCCCCTGCACGGGGCAAGAGTCCAACAGCTGCCGAGGTCGATTTCTCCACCGAGGTGGATGTTCTGATGAAAGCCATCCAAGCCAAGGTGACCTCGCCGCAGAGTCAAGCCGCAACGATCCCGTCCTTGCCATCTCTTCAGCAATTGACGACCCATCCGAGCAGTAATGCTTTCCCTCCGGCCTATTCCATGGGACCGTCTACTAGCCCTCGCTGTGCCTTAGTGGTTGATGAGCCTCCATCCCAGTCTAGGAAGAAGCGCAAGTATACATGTACCCTTCCGCATTGCGGGAAGAGCTTTGCCCAAAAGACTCACTTGGACATTCATACTCGGGCACATACGGGTGATAAGCCCTTTGTAAGTAGATACCCAGCATCTTCTTACATTATGAAATGACCTATTAACATGTCCAAAGATTTGCAAGGAGCCATCATGTGGGCAGCGCTTTTCACAGCTAGGCAATCTTAAGGTGAGTTAAAACTACGGGGATTCTGTGCTTGCATAGAACTCACAAGACATAGACCCATCAACGACGCCATACTGGAGAGAAGCCGTTTTCGTGTGATATCTGCCAGAAGAGATTCGCCCAACGGGGCAATGTCCGCGCTCACAAGATCACTCATCAACACGCCAAACCGTTCACCTGTCTGTTAGATGATTGTGGGAAACAATTTACTCAGCTGGGTAATCTCAAGGTGTGTCGCGGCAGTGACCCTATGTATAGCTTATACTAACCCTGTTATAGTCCCACCAAAACAAATTCCACTCCTCGACTCTCCGAAACCTAACTTTGAGATTCTCCCAAATGACCGAAGCAGATCTCATGAACACCAAAGACCGAGAACTGCTAGAGTACTTCGCCACACTCTACAAGAACAGCAACAAAGGCATCAAGGGTCGAGGAAAAGATCGGCGGATTTCCCCATCCACCAAGTCCGGCCCTGGACGACGTTTTCAATCCCTAGGGAGTGACGATGATAAGATACGACGGGGAAGCTACGAGGACTCGTCGACGTATACCGGCGTTTCCAGTGATGATGAGGATGCGGAGAACTACAATTACTGGACCAGACGAGCTCACTAAGTTGGTTCTAAATCTACGGTGTATGACTTCGGAGTTCTACTTGCATTTTTGTCTTTCATTTCATTTCCTTTTTTTTTTTTTTTTTTGTATTGTTTCTTATTGTACTAAATGTTCCCACGATACCAAATTTTGTTTGTGTTATATATTGGACGGGCTTTGGGGTTCTGTTGTCAATACTACTTTGGTGGTGATTCGGGCCTTATATAGTAGATAGCTTATGTGAGGATTGAAATGATCATATTGACCCTTTTGATATAAAGTACAAGCCACAACAGCTAATATAAGATGGGGTTACTTCACATTCGAAGCCAAACTAGGTAAATAAGCCTTAATATTTTCATATACCAAGAAGGTCACCCAAGTACTGGGCAGAACCCGAAAGATATTTGGTCCCAGACCCTTGTAGAAGCCCGCAAGACCTTCTTTGGCCCAAATCTGTGCCATGGCATCCCATGCCCCCCGGTACACCAGATGGGCATCATAGACCTGCAAACGCGACCGCAGAACTTGATACGGATAAGTGACACACCCGGCAAAGATCTTTGACAAACTGGAGACGAGGAAAAAGTCAAGATTGCCCAGTTTTCGCCGGGCGTTACTGACATCATGATTATCGTCATGACCAGAGGCAGCAAACAGAACGGCAGGCCTCGAGCTTCGGTAAACCTTTAACTTTTCGTATGCCATGAATTGAAGCGCACCATGGCTGACCCCGAAGAGAGCTGGTAGGAGACCGCGATAGAAGCCCACCACACCCTCTGATCGAAGGATCTGCATTGCCCCCGTAGTGAAAGATGCATATGCCCCCGGTGTCTGCGAGCCAGTGGACAACATGCGGGTTTTGATTACCCAGATGGGATTGGTTAGAATAGAGGTGGCCATACCTGAGTTGTCTGTCAGCTTGACCAAGTTCCCTTTTTGCCTCTTTCACGTTACAAGCGGCGGGACACCCTTACCTGCGCTCCCCGATGCCAGGAAATAATCCGCCGAAGTCAGTTCCCATCCTTCCGAACCGCGGAATGTCCGTATCGCGTCTTTGATATTACCATAGCACAAGAAATAGAGACCCCAGCTAGTCGAGTTCCCAATGAGATTAGGCGTCAACCCCCGATAGAATGCAGTGATTCCGCCTTCATGATGAGAGATGTCGCGAATAACCCGGAGAGATCCGCCAAATCGGGAGGAGGGCGAGGATCGATCGACTGATAATCATCCGGAGAAGTCAGCTTATTTTCATGTGAGGGAGAAGAAATACAAATATTGTCTCGCTTGCGTACCTTGAAGTCGGGTCTTTATCAAATCTAGCGGATGCAGGCAGAGGGTAGAGACGATTCCTGCCGTGAATCCCGCTACGGTCTCCACAAAGGATGGCGATAAGCCATCCTTACCAGTCATGAACCTTTCAATCCTCCAAGGATGCCGAAGTACAGGATGGGTGAGGTGTTGTCAAGGTCTCAAGTACGAAGTTTGGCAAGAAAATCATCTAGGAAGAGGTTCCGGCTATTCTTGGCGGGTCGGATGGAGCGCCTTAAGTTAGCCTACTTTATAAATGCTGGAAAAGCGGATTACTTTGACGATATTCTATCGTATTGTTTTCAAAAAGAAATTGATAGGGGTGGAAAGTGCCAATTGATCTCCATCCCATAGATGATAGATCAAAAAGGGTAAAATATCGAATATCGACTATTTGAGTCACATGTGTTATACACTCCATACGCAGGTAGACTCAAGGAAATATAGATTTATTAGCCCATGCAAACCATGACTGAAACAAAACACCCTTTAAAAATACACGTGTCTATAAATCTCCCGATATCCATATAACAATAAAGACAAGGCAAGCCTTAGCTTCCGTATCCTCCAGGAGAAATCATAGGCAGAATAGATAAATTTGCTTGTCAGCCTCCGAGAATCATATTCATTACCCGAAGTCCTATTCATCCCCATATTCCATGTTATTTTCCTAAGCAAGCGGCGAGAACAACCTATCACGGCGTTAGCTGGCTAAAAATCGAGTAGGGAGCATCGTCATATGTACTTGAAGAGCGAGGGCCTGGGCTCGCTGTATGTGTAACCTAATTATTCTTTGTCAGTAATGCTTGGTGTTCATGAACGACAGGTCGATAGGAAATGTATACCGAGGTAGACAATCAAAGGTAGATATCCGCTGTTTAGAAATAAGCCGTGAGTTCCATTCATTGTTAAGCACCTGACGTTGGACATGTCTCACTAGTGGATGGCGACTTTCGAGACATCAATGACCTTGGAGATGCGCTCCTAATGAAAGAGGGCCGTTAGCCAATGTATGATTGCATGAAGATAGAAGGGTCTTCAAACCTTGGTTTCCTCAGAGAACTGAACCATCTTGGGGATATATCTGGCGCTTAAGCGTGCTAAAGAGTTTGGGGGCAGGATCTGGGAGATAAAAATAATATGAGACCAGAATGTTGAAAAAGGACAGAGATTTGTCAATGATGTTGCGGAAGGAGGGCGGAGTAGAAAGACGCCGTTGAGCTCAAAAAGTTTTCCGGGGCTAGGCAAAAAGCTGCCGCCGCCGCGGCGATAGACGCAGTTCGAGCTTCGCAGGACCTGCGATCACGTTGTTATCTCCGACTACTTCCACAACTTTAACGCGCATTAATCGGTTGACATTCATCAAAGATCATATCCTTTGCACTAGTTCAGTTCAATCGTATCAAGGGTGCATATTCTCTATTAGCCTACTGACCGTCGGTGTCATGTCCGGCGCAAGACACTGGTGAGGTCTCATCCCAAACCCCATGAACTGGAAGACAGGACTGATAAGCTACAGGGAGCAAGATAAAGAGGCTACCGTATACATTGGCAACCTCGATGAGCGGGTGGCAGATAGTTTGGTATGGGAGTTGATGCTGCAGGCCGGGCGCATCGTTAACGTTCACTTGCCAAAAGATCGGGTCACTCAATCACACCAAGGTTATGGATTCGTGGAATTTATTAGCGAGGAGGATGCCGAGTACGCATCTCGAATAATGAATGGCATCCGTATATACGGAAAGCCAATCCGTGTGAACAAAGCATCTGCCGATAAGCAGAAATCGGTGGAGATTGGAGCAGAACTCTTTGTTGGAAACCTCGACCCCATGGTCACGGAGCAGGTCCTTTACGATACTTTCAGTCGATTTGGAAACTTGGTTAATATCCCAAAGGTAATTTTCGCTGCCGCTTTGGACTTTAGCTCACTACGTGACATGCTAACGGGCTGCAGATTGCACGAGATGATAACAATCTATCCAAGGGTTATGGATTTGTATCATTTGGCGATTTTGAGTCTTCAGATGCGGCTATAACCAACATGAATGGTCAGTACCTCATGAATAAGCAAGTATCAGTGCAGTACGCGTACAAGAAGGACGGCAAAGGCGAGAGGCATGGCGATGAAGCAGAACGAATGCTCGCAGCACAGGCTCGCAAGCACAATGTTCGCCCGCCCACCCAACAAATACCTCCACAGTTTGCAGGCCCCGGAGCACCAACTATGGTACCAACAGGAATGGCCACCGGTGATGGCTCTCGTCCCTTGAGCACTGCTCCTCCACCAGATCTAGGTATGGGCAGGGGCATGGTGCCGCCAAACGTCGGTTATCAAACTATGCCTCCGTCACAACCGAATAGAGCTGCTCCCCCCACAACATCGCTGGCGAACCCTCCGCCGGGACTGCCGGCACGTCCCCCGCCGTCTCAGGCTGGCTATGGAGGCCCGCAAGGTTTCCTACCACCTGGCTTTAACAACGCTGGATCCCAGCAACCCACATTCCCGCCACCAGGAGCAGGTGCACCACCAGGATTCGGGCCTTCTGGCTTTGTTCCTCCGGCAGGAGCGTCTGGGCCTCCTCCATTGCCACCGGGGTTCCAGCAATCGGGATTTGGTAGGGGACGATGAAGCACCGTGTACTTTTGGCGTAACCGGTTCATAAGTGGCTACTTTCGATATGATATGACGATTCAAAATAAGGTGCTTAACTGCTGAATATCACAGAATATGCTCGGAACCAGCCAGTTGGTTGGGTTGCGCAGGACACCTGCCAGTCATTTACTGGAACGTCCGCAGTGCTAAACAGCTTATCTGATAGGAAAAGGACTTGTACAATTAGATTTATGTTACAGACTCCAATTTTTCTTTATTTATATTTGAATTCGATGCTTTTTGAGGAAACACCGGTTTCACCAGATGAGTGGTAATGTATTGCACTCTCGCATAATATCGAGCTTTAAACATGACAATGAACGCAATTTGGACTGCTTCTTGAATAGCAATTAGGCTAAATAGAAGGGGTAAAGAGCACTGCGAGTCACTTTGTTTGGCATCTAGATAATGGAATAATCACAGGACCTCGAAAGCATTCCAGTGGTAAAAAAAGAACGAAAGAAGCAAAGAACGAAGGAGGGAAGGCAGAATAAAAAGCACGCTAGTCGCGAGAGCCTCGAGTTAACAGCCAACGAATTGAATAGGGATGACTAAAGCCAAAAGATAGCCTACGATTGGGGGGAGGGAGAGCTGAGACGCAGTAAATGAATGAACGAACGCAGCTGCAAAGAATCATGAGAACGAAACAAACTTGGGATCCCGCGGCCGGCCGTCAAGCCCGATATTGTTTTTGGCAAACCGTTGCTCAGTATAAATCCGACGGGCTTCGTCAAATGTGACCCCTTGGTTCCTCATGATCTTCTTGATCTCGCCTTTGGCCTTGTTATCCAAACCCCCTCTAATGTCACCATCTGCAACATTAGCCGCGATATCGAAATGTGAGGACGACAGACCAGCTTCCAGATCTCCACTGAAGCTAGACGGAAGGCGATGATATATATATTTGGGGACTGGGAGTAAAGGCAACCATCGAGACCGACTGAGGTAAAGCGCTGTAACGGAGTCGTCAGATTATAGTCCCTAAATTCAGGTGTCAGAACATACCTGTTCCACAGAGTACAACGGAAAATGTAAGAAAATAAAGAAGGTAGTAGGCCATGGCGACTGAACCAGTGTAATGCAGAAGAATGTGAAGGGCAGAAATAAAGTTGATCAGGATGTCAGCGTGACTGTGTCGCGGAAGCTGGCGGCTGTAGCCTAGAGAAAATGTTGAACAGCTCTTTTAAAAAACCATTCTGTAGTAGATAGAGAATGAGTGGCAATACTGAACTGGCAGGAAGCTGCCATAACCAGCTACATAAACAGCATGGGGTATGGATAGAAGGTTGGGCGTTGAGGACTGGAAAGATATTAAGCCTATTTCGTAGGTGCAAGCACCTATACACGTTCATTGCCTTATTAATAAGGCAATAGCATTACTTGGACTTGATCTATTCCCAAAGCGGTCCGCTTAGCGAGGCCTGCGATGTTCGGCCGTCGTTTCTTGGCGTTTGGAACACACAATTCTCCAGAGCTATTAAGAGTATACCAGACAGACTCGCGCCGAATTCGACCTGTTCTCATCCCCCAGCTTGAAAGACCCTTCACAATGGCCGCCGAAAGATCGAACGTTTCCAGCGACCTCGTCTGGCAAATCACCCGTATGTTTATATTCTACGCAACCCCGCAAATGCCCATTCAAATCCAGTCAACCCAGCAATCCAGCTTTCCAAAATTATTTTTTTTTTGATTCACTATGTCGCTTCGCTCAAAAAAGCTGAACCTCAACTAATTTGAGGGATTTTGAATAGGCAACCAGAACTCGTTTCTGGTCAAGCGCAACACCGGTGGTGGTTCCCAGTTCTCCCGTGACACTCTGAACTTGCAGAACAAGCACTCTTTCAAGGTATGAGGGTATACTTAAATCTATACCAAAAGGCTATATATAGTACAGGCCTGGATTCTGGAAATTCATAACTAATTTTTTCTTAGTATGCCGGATACGCCAACACCAAGGTATTTTGCACATGATTGTATTCATGGATACTGGCATATTAATGGTTAACAACTATGATAGGCCATTGGCGTGCAGCCCACTGAGAACGGTGGTGTTGTCGTTATCACCAAGAAGCCTGGCAACCCTCAGCAGCCTGCTAAGAACACCGTCCGTGTGAACTATGGCCCCAATGCCTCCAGCCGCAAGTAAGGAAACCCCATTTCCTAGCTATGATTGCATTCATGGACATTTAGGAGGGTCTGGGGTTGAAGTATGTTATGTTAAACTTTACTGACTGGGAGACTGTCTTTTGCACAGGATCTACAAGGGTGTCGCCGACTTGACCGCCAAGAACGGTTACCGTGCTGACCTTCGTGAGGATGCTGTCGCCCGTGTTAGCGCCATCCGCCGCACCCAGAAGGCCAAGAAGGAGACTCCTGCTCGGAAGCCCAGAGGAGCTCAGGCCAAGAAGGCCGCTGAGAAGGAGTCGGAATAAATCAGGATACCAGTATTCAGAGACTGGGGATCGTAAGGAATGGGCGCGCGGAACAATAATAGCGCCATGCTGGGCAAGGGCGGAAGCGTCCATGTAATTTAGCAGTATTGGTACCGGGCATTTGTCCCGCCAGGCCATCCAGAAACAAAAAGGAAAATATGAATGTCCTGTGGAACCAAACCTGACTATCTCTTCCAAGTTAGCCAACCCGGCTCACGGAAAAATAATCAGCCTTTGACGAGACGAAATGCCTTCCCAACCCTCTCCTTTGCCTACGTTGATGGCAATGTGGCACGTGTTCCCGAGATATAGACGCCCACAGCCGTCTGTCGGGCCGAATCGAGTTGTAAAACATGGTGTTCTCACCATGAAGCTGCCGTCATTTTGCCGTAGGTCTTGGAGTCTCCCGCCTTTTTCCGAAATGTCGATGGGTCAGTGGACATATTCGGCATGTTCATCGGGGGGATATCTAGGAACAGACGAGAATTACCGGAATCTGGGGAACAATTATCTTGGAGGCAAACTAGGTAGGCCTTTCAATGCTGATGTACGGTTATCCGGGCACATGGGTATGCGTATGTAGTGGACATACAGTCTAGGTATAACCGACGGTGTAAGCTGTAAGGAACGTCCGACTCTAAACCCCGTAATATCGATCAAAGCTTCCCAAACCCCACATGTGATCTTCCATCATCATCATCGTCGTCATCTGACAGTAGAGTTAGCTATAATAACTAGCAGTTTGCCCACATTGTTGTGGTAACATCTTTTTGATTTTTTTACCCCTGTTGCCCAGGATTTGCTTTTCCGAATCGCTTATTGCTCATGTACGTTTGGACTGCCTTTACCTTACCGGCTCACCGTGGCACTCCCTCTTTTCTGGCCCATCCCCTCCTTCCCGTTTTGCCCCTCCCTCGTCCCTCCATCTATCTACCCCTCCTTTTACCTCAATTCTCCCCTTTCCCACCAATTTTCCCATCTCCGTCTCCACCATTCTATTTCATACATCTTCAACTGCTCGTTGTCTTTACTAACTTGTCCCTTTTTCAAAGAAGATTTAGTATACACATCTATTATCCACAATGGTCAAAGCAGGTTAGCATCTCTCAAACCGAAAATGCTTTGATTGCTTGCCAATGGGATTTTTTTCTTTTTATTTTGGCTGACCATGTTGAGCAGCTGTTCTTGGAGCTTCCGGTGGCATTGGCCAGGTCTGGTTCCCTCATACCTACCAAACACCTGAATTGTTCAAATTACAAATCTGACCATCTTTCTGTGCAGCCGTTGTCTCTCCTGCTCAAGGCATCCCCCCTCATTGATGAGCTTGCTCTCTACGATGTTGCCAACACCCCTGGTGTTACTGCCGACCTTTCTCATGTCTCCTCGGTCGCTGTACGTGATGATAACACATGCATAATGCGCCATTAATTGGTTGACTTGTATTCTGACCAATACATAGAATATCTCCGGCTATTTGCCTGCTGATGACGGATTGAAGCATGCTCTAACTGGTGCTGACATTGTCATCATCCCTGCTGGCATTCCTCGTTTGTCAATCCTTTCCCGTAAATAAATTACTCATCAATGTCTAACAAAACTGTCGAGTATAGGCAAGCCTGGTATGACTCGTGATGATCTTTTCAAGATCAACGCCGGCATTGTGCGAGACTTGGTCAAAGGCATTGCCAGTTTCTCTCCCAAGGCATTCATCTGTATCATTTCCAACCCCGTCAACTCGACTGTCCCAATTGCCGCAGAGGTGCTCAAAGCCGCTGGCGTCTTTGATCCCAAGCGTCTTTTTGGTGTTACTACCTTGGATGTTGTTCGTGCAGAGACCTTCACCAAGAAGTTCTCTGGTGTGAATGACCCCTCCAAAGTTCAAATCCCGGTAGTGGGCGGTCATTCCGGCGAGACCATTGTTCCTCTCTTCAGCAAAGCCACGCCGGCTTTCAAGGTCCCCGACAACGAATATGACGCACTAGTCAATCGTAAGGATTTCCTTCTAAATGATGAAATGGTTTTCTGGTAGTAACTAATAGCTTGCAGGTGTTCAGTTCGGTGGTGATGAGGTTGTCAAAGCCAAGGATGGTGCTGGTTCCGCCACGCTGTCTATGGCTTTTGCGGGCTTTAGGTATGACTCTTTGTGTTACAAACAAGGTTATTATTGTGGCTAATTCCTTTTCAGATTTGCTCAGAGTGTTATCAAGGCCATCAAGGGTGAGAAAAACATCGTGGAGCCTACTTTCGTCTATTTGCCCGGTATTGCCGGTGGTGATGAAATCGCCAAGGCCACTGGTGTTGAATTCTTCTCTACCCTCGTCTCCTTTGGAGTAAGTCGATTCTCTTGCAGAACTATTTCATTCCCCAGCAGAGCACGCTGACTCTTATGTTCAGCCCAATGGTGCTGAGAATGCCATTAATGTACTTGGTGGTATAACAGAGAAGGAGAAGACTCTTCTTGAGGCTTGCAAAACGGGCCTCAAGGGAAACATCGAAAAGGGCGTGGAATTTGCCCAAAGCCCATCAAAGTAAACGCCCATCCCCGTCCATCATCCACAGAAGCCCCACTTTATGTTGGTGATTTATCTTATGCTGCACCCTTGTGTCCATCGAAGGACACATCTTAGTGGTCTTGCTAAACCCACGGATATGGAAGGAGCCTCGCTAATCAATTGGTATCCCCGAAAGATAGGCTTTGAATGAGTTTTCTTAATGAGGCAAACATGGCGATGTGACATTGCGATTAGGGACTGTGGACGCGGGTCATTATGAGATACGTATGCAGAAAATAATAGATAAATCCCTGTCCATGTGTGCACTCGTTTCGTAAGGTAGAATATGGCGGGTTGGCGGGCTCGTAACCATGTTGTAGAGCCACTCTGTCGGATTATTCCAGTATTTGTCCTGCGGCAATGCATTGCTGTGGCTCTGCTCTCCCTGATAAAAAATCGAATAATTTCTCGTGCACTTCAGTGTTCCATTGTTCAGGGCTTAGGTTGGATGGTCTTGATCTGGAATGTAGCACCTGGAAGCTCTGAAGTTTCCGCTTGTACGGAAGTGTTGATCCCCATATTAGCTAAAGCGCCACGGATTACACCACAAGGAAACCATAGATACTTCTCTAGTTATCAGATATTGAACTCAGTGGTGTCTTGTGGGTTTCAAATGCGCTTACCGCTTGCGCCATCGATACGGCCTCACTTCGAACAGACATGCTCATCCTTGCGAATGGTCGAAAAGAGTTATCATTCAAGACATAAACCCCCTATGCAAAAGAATATGTTAGCTCAATCTGACAATGTTGAGACAATGTTCGTCCGTAAGGCGGTTCCTGAAGACATGTCACCTACTCGATGGTTTGTCTTCAAATTATCAATTTGCTTCCTGAAAAGAATTGTCCATAGATCCTTGCACAAGAATTTTATTACATCGAGATTATCGGTAAATCGAGGACGATCTCGAGAAAACCTGCCCAACAAGGTTTATTGAATCCATGTTAGCCATGACAACATTCTATACTGTATATAATAAGACATCCTTCCTGGGTCTCCTATGAACCTTGCGATTGCAATGAAATCTAGAAGTAGGGTAGAGAAGAAGAAATTCCAAGAAGATTGGTAGTTCACCGGCCTACCTTTCCGCAAGACCCTGACCGACTCTGTAACCGAGAGACTCAAGGCGAAAGAAGGTTGTTTCCTTAACTTCTTCGTCATCTGGTTGTTGATTACCATCTGAAAGTTCTCGTGCTATGCGCTCAGCCATAGGAACCAGCTCTATCAAAAGGAAGTCGAGGCATGAGGCGCTGAGGAGGCGAGCCTGAGGATCGGAGGAATTGAGGGGTGAAGCAGCTGCATCAAACGACATCATGAAGGGTCTAAGGTCCAAGGAAAAGCGGCTCAGGATAAAGTAGTTTGAGGCGCGGGATCCAATTGATGCGGAGTGAAAAAAATGTCGGTTGGAGGTTGGTTATTTCTTGGATTGAGGTCCTGATAAAAGTATGGACATAAGAGGCGGAGTGCGATTGGATGTCTCAACCTCTGGGAATCATCAGTCTGGGGGCAGATCCAAGCCGCGGCCAAAAGCACCCGACGGAGTAATTATTACTGTGAACAAAAATTGTGATTTAGTGTACAAAGAATTTATTTGAGTATCTGTAAAGATATGGAAGGAAGAAAGAGAAGATGAAAAAAAAAAAAAAAAAAAAAAAAAAAAAAAAAAAAAAGGAAAAGAAATAGAAAAGAAAAGAAAAAGAAAAAAGAAAGATACGGGATAATATGGATGACTTATTAAGGTATACTATATTCACCATTGAAGATAACTAATGTGGCTAATTTTTGTCCAAACATATATGTATTAGGACAGATAAATGAAATAAAGTTAAATAACAAGAAATTGCCTCTATGGTGTAGTTGGTTATCACGCAGGTCTCATATACCTATGACATTTCTGATCAAACAGAATTGAAATCCTGAGGTCTCCAGTTCGATCCTGGATGGGGGCATTTTACTTATTCCCTTTTATTTATATATTATATATATATATTTTTCGCTTTTTTTTTTTTTTAATAATTTTTCAATTAGGCAGAATCGAAAAAGCTGCACCCCCGGTTCATACCTAATAATAGGTACCTAATAATTATTATCTCTTCCTTCGCTTTTCTATGTAATTACTTCCTCATCAAATGGGTTTCGGTTAGGCAGTGTCTGTGGCAGCTCTTAGCGGCATAGGTGCATGTAGAAAGTACTTACCTGGGCGGAGCCTGTGTTTTCCTAAATACTACATCGTACTGTTTCCATAGCATCAGATTCGTATTGGATCTCAGCTGGCATACAAGTATGATTTGTTATCTTTCGAAATTCATATCAAATGTTAAATTTTAATTTAAAACACTTATGGATTGGGATAGCACTGTGTTGATTGATATGTTATGATTATACGGGGTGCTTCAGCTTTGATCGTCTTGAAGGCCATACACAGAATTTAAACAAGTGCTGGATACTTCGTTCTAATAGAACCCCCACTGTACTCTTGGATGGATTTAACCCCAGAAAAGATCCCCCGAGATATGCCAATAGATAATGAAGTGGGGACACGAAGAGAATGTAATAGTTCGCTATTGTAAAATGTTGGATATTGAAAGCCCCTCTCCCTCCCCAAAAAATTCGCAAGATTGCCAGCTGACTCCGGACGCCGCATTTTGTTTCGGTAAGGCAAATTCTTTTCAACTCGAAGAGCGCTTTACTTGCGTTTCGAGCCCTTCTTGGATTTTGATGGATGTTGTTTGAAGACAATGGATGAACGACTCTTTTTGTTGCGCTTTTGAATACGTCCTGGTTGATTTGTGCGACTTGTGGTCGGTTTAGCAGAAATTCTATCAACATCCATGTCTGTGAAGTAATTAGCATAGTGATTGAGTGATTAGAAATCCATTTGGGGAAGGGTTAGTGGATTAAGTGGAAGAAGGGAGGTGCTAACCTTCATTTAAATCTGAGTCCTTCATCTTTATATTCTCATTCAGGCCGTCTAAGTGTGATCACAGGTTATTAAATACTTAACTTCTTCAATAATTTAGGAATGTATATCCTATGGATATGAAACACGTACCTGCGCCAGCAGCATCTAATTCCACGCCCTTTTTTTGTCCTTGGGGTTTTGGTTGGGAAGCGAGCTCTTGTAGCTTTGCAGAAAGTCTTTCTGTTCGCGCATCAACAGCAGGCCCAAAGACTGTTGCTCGAAGCTTTGCTTTGTTGCGCTTTGAAACACTGGCTCTAACACTCTTTGCCATTTTGTCTGGAGAGAAAACTGCCCTAGGTTGAAAATGTAATAGACAATAAGAATAAGAATGATGAAGAGTGAATGATATTGATGTGATATGTAGGTTCTGATGATAAGTCCACTCTTCAAAACGGGAATTCTTATTTTTTTTTCTTTTTCTTTTTTTTTCCCCTTCGTTAGTCCTTCTTCCGCGGCGGGCTGTCTTATGTCATCATATCGGAGACCACCTTCTCACCTCCGAGATCATCGCCAACCTTGAGTCGCATACATCGCGCGCAATCGGGACAAATCAAATTAACGGGTCTATATAGTGAGACCAAATCAACCCATATCAAAGCGAGACGGATACGCAAGACTGAGATGTCTTTTAACGCTGCCAGAGAAGCTAGCGCGCCTGTCTCGAATTACGCTTCTTGAGATCTATTGGGGGCTTTCTAGATTGCTTACTGGTCTTCATTCCTTCAATTTAACAATGGCCTCCGTTGGCCAACCTCCTGAGATCCAAAGCGTTGTTGCTTTGGTGAAGACATTGACAAATGCGCAGCTCAAGGACATATTAAGAAGTGAGGGGCTCGCCGTCTCGGGGCTGAAGGCCTCGTTACAGCTCCGTATTATCGACTGTTCGTTATATCCCGTTTCGCTCCCCCTATTCGTGTTTGCTATCTACATACCTTTAAGAGAACCTCAAACAAGGGGGACTAAACAATAATGTATTGACAATTTCTAAAATGTGTCAGATATTGAAAGACTCCACCAAGGAGGACTTACTGAGCGTTTTGATCACCTAAGGAAGACCATCTATGCTACAGCGCATCGCGCGATGCCTGGGCCTTCAACAACACAAGCATTGTCTAGTCACAATTACCAGCCACTACCCGTCACCCCACCTATCTTGACGCAGCCAAGACCCTCGCCATTGAACGCACCAATGCCTTCACATCCATACACACCCGGTATACATTAGATTCACATTCACCCGCCTTATCTGACGATGTTTGCTTACAATGCCCTAGGCCGTTTGGATTTTAAAGACAGCCCGTTTTACACTATATTGGAATCTCTCACGCCCACTAAGGAGTGCAAAGGTGGGTTCTGATCTCCTTGGGAAAACACTACTATTGTACATCTAACAATTTTGAAGTACGCGAACAAACAAGAGACAGTGTAGATCTCAAAGTTGATCTCAGCCCAAATGTAGCTTCTAGGTTGCAGGCCGATCCAAACCTCCGGGTTATGGTTTACTGTGCAGCAGATACTGGTCTTAACCAGTACACAAAGTCGGACATTGCCTTCCCTCACCAAGTCGAGCTCAAGGCAAACCTTGATGAAGTGAAGGCCAACCTGAGGGGGCTCAAAAACAAGCCTGGTACAACCAGACCTGCAGACGTGACAAACTATATTCGCAAAAAACCAGGGTATTCAAACAACATCGTTATAACTTATGCTCTTACGCAAAAGGCAAGCTTCCCCTTGTCTTTGCTTGCTTCGAGGATACATTCCCCGCCCCTCGGAATTTTCGACTGTCATACTGACTGACGCCTAGAGGTTTTTCGTTACCGTTAATCTTGTGCAGCGGCATCCCGTTGAAGAGCTTGTGGCCGAACTGAAGGCTAGGAAGACGATCTCAAATGAGCAGGTGTTACGAGAAAGTACGGTGCCTCCAGCCTCCAAAATATACAACCGCCCCTAACACTTAATAGTGAAAAACAAAGCCGATGATTCCGAAATTGTAGCCACATCGAGTGTCATGTCATTGAAATGCCCTTTATCAACACTTCGAATCGAGGTCCCATGCCGCTCCGTGATATGTACACATAATCAATGCTTCGATGCGTCCTCATTTCTGCAGCTGCAGGAGCAGGCGCCGACATGGACGTGCCCCGTGTGTTCAAAAGCGACTAGTTTCGAATCACTTCAGATCGACCAGTGAGTTACCCCTTGCAAACTTTTCGTTAGTCGTCACTCACAAGGCAGATATGTGGATAATATACTACATTCAACTTCCACAGATGTGGACCAAGTAACTATCGAACCGGACGGCAAATGGTCGAGCCCAAAGGCTGATGACTCTTCAGCCGTTGGCGGCGTAACACCCGCGACAGATGATGACGACGAGCTGATAGAGATCAAGGAGCCGGGCATCACACCTGTGAAACAAGAGTCCATTCCATTGAACTTATCTTTGCAGCGGACACCAGCTCAATCGCGGGAGCCCTCGACCTCATCCGCAGCTCATCGATCAACCAACAAAAGGCTTGCATCTCAGGTGATCGACCTCACAGGCAGCGATGAGGACGACGACAATTCCCCTGTGAGGCCAGCAAAGAGACCAGCTTTGAATGCACTAAATCGAACAATCCCACGGCAAGAACTTCGTGCCTCTGTTGGAAGTAGTCTTGTGAATGAAAGGGCTCTCCCAATCTCGAGTCAGGATAGTTCTAAATCACCAAGCCAAGGTGGTAATTATGATACATGACTATGTTTAAAAATGCTTATTGGCACGGCGTTACGGCGTATTTGGTACTCGGTGTTGGCAATGGCATATGTTAGTTATGCCGCGGGGGAGAAATACTGCAAGAAATTTAGACTCATTCATTGCTTACCATTTTTTGATGGTGTTGTTGGAAATGAATGGCATTTCTTTCTTGATCCGGTTTACTTCATCCATCATAGTTGAAAGACTATCAGTTATTATTATTATAGAAAGCTCTTCTATTTTTTCCCCTTTTTTCTTTCTTTTCCTGCTCTTTTCTCTTTCTATTATCGGCTGGAGATAAGAGGAGGAAAAAAAATTGCCCCCATCCAGGATCGAACTGGAGACCTCAGGATTTCAATTCTGTTGATCAGAAATGTCATAGATATATGAGACCTGCGTGATAACCAACTACACCATAGAGGCAACTGTTTGAATGCGGTTGGAAGAAGCTATTTCCAAAGCTGAAACTATGCGTGGCATGCAAACCTAACCGAAATAAGTACCCCTGTTGCTCCAGTACCTGGCTAGTCCACTCTGGGACATTTTGATAAAGCGGCGACGCCTGGACGGAACAGATAATTAGTTCCCAAGCTAGGAGTTGCCACTACATATCTAACTACTCCTCACAATCCCGCTTCTAAATAGCATGGGAATCTCATAAATCTTAAAATACCACTGGTTGGTGCACTGTTGGCCTAATTTAAATTGACAGGCTCGGTCTGTTCTCTGTACCTGTCTGGCCTTACTGCTTCAGATAAGGATTTCAGAACAATGGCCGTCCTGCGGTACAATTGGGTGACCTGGATCGCCAATTCACTGATCCCAGTGGCGATTCTTGTATTTTCTTCTGGCTTCTTCCCATACAAACCGCTGATTCCTGGACTGGCAACCGTCGAGGACACTGGCAGTGCCTCTCCGCCACCAGTCTTTGACAAAGTCATCTTCATGGTAGTAGATGCCTTGCGGAGGTATGATTATATTCATGGCTCGAACTCATATACCTCTCCAGCTGATTACTATTGCTAGCGATTTCGTCTATTCGTCAAGTTCGGGGTTTTCATTTACTCAAAGGTAAACATGAATCTTACAAAATCATTCAAGCAATTCTCTAACGGTTGACACAATCATCAGTCTAATTCGATCTGGCGCTGCGCTTCCGTTCACCGCCCATGCCAGCTCTCCAACTGTCACGATGCCTCGACTTAAGGCTATGACAACAGGATCGGTTCCATCATTTCTAGATGTGATTCTCAATATCGCTGAGTCTGATACATCGTCGACTCTTGCGTACCAAGACACCTGGTTAGCGCAGTTAAAGGCAAAAGGAGGTCGGCTGGTCATGTATGGTGATGATACTTGGCTTAAGCTCTTCCCTGGCATGTTTGACCGGGCTGACGGGACCACAAGTTTTTTTGTATCGGTTAGTTGTACTTTAGATGCTATTTTGAATACAAATCATATGGACAAAACTAAGTCTCGTACAGGATTTTATTGAAGTAGATAACAATGTCACACGCCATGTTTCTAATGAGCTTCTCAATAATGACTGGACGGGATTCATTATGCACTATCTAGGCCTCGACCATATTGGACACAAAGCTGGGCCCCAAAGGTATGCCATGGCTAATCTTTCGGCTTTCTAGAGTTTTCTTAACGCATTCTAGTCCTTACATGATGTCTAAACAACAGGAAATGGATTCTGTTGTAACCCAGGTCTACACAACCATGGAACGAGAGGATCATCTTCAATCGACCCTTTTTGTTTTGTGTGGAGACCATGGAATGAATGATGCTGGGAATCACGGTGGTTCTTCGGCAGGTGAGACTTCGCCAGCTTTACTTTTTATTTCACCGAAGTTCCAGGCCAAGGGGGTGCATGGAGAAAGTCCTGTCGAGGCATCAAACGATTTACAATACTATCGCACCATCGAACAAACAGATATAACACCGACGTTAGCCGGGCTTCTCGGGTTACCCATTCCCCTGAATAGCCTGGGCGTGTTCATCCCAGAGCTTCTGGTAATGTGGGATCATGGTAAGTTCACCCTTTCCTACTCTCGAAGGGGGAGGAAGTGGGGAAATGATTTGGGGCCTCCAGCTTATCTTACAATTATTTTCTATTGTATGCAGGGATTCACAGGGTTAATATCCTGTTGAAAAACAGCAAACAGCTTTTGAAAACATTCAAGGAAACATTTCCAAGTTATACTTTTGACCCTGGTTCCACTTCCTTGGACTGTGAGTCTGAAGTTCCGAGTGGTGTTGAGAAAGTCCAATGTGCCTGGTTCCAAATTCTTGAGCTCTTTCACAAATTCGAGAATGTCAACCATGTTGACTCTGAGATCGAAACTGCACTTTTGCATTTCTTGAGAACCGCCCAAAATGTGATGAGTGGTACTTCGAGTAACTACAACGTCAACAGACTCCATCTGGGTCTATTGATCACCGGTGTTGCTGCTATGCTATCTTTCCCAGCAACCTACAGGCTACTCTCGAGATTCAAATATCCTGGGGCGTTCCTGATGTTCAGCACCCTGAGTTATGGTGGAATGATGTTCGCTAGCAGTTATGTAGAGGAAGAGCAACATTTTTGGTATTGGGTCTTTACAGGGTGGACTTTTTACCTACATGTCAAGTCAAGTGGACGGCCATCTAGGTTTTCGTTCCTAGGTAAGCTTCCATTCACTAGAGTTGGCATGGTTGGATTAGCAATCTCGCATCGGATCTTGAGACGTTGGAATCAAACAGGCCAGAAGTTTGCAGCCGAGCCAGATATTGCGCGGACTTTCCTCCCTTCTCATCAAAACACTCTTTGGGCCCTGATCATTCTAACATACATTGGCACATGCTGGCATCTTCTCGGCGCCCTTCCTTCTTCTTTATCATGGCGCCTAGTTGGTATCTTACTCACCGTCGCAGCCTTCAATTTTAAACTTGTATTCGTTGCATCTGATTCACCTGAACTTCTCGGCGACTCTTTCTTGGTGTCATTTGGGAATATATTTGGCAGCATACCTCTTGTTTCACAAGCAAGGGTCATTTTCTGTGCAATCGCTTTGCTCGTTCTGTTCTCCGTATACGATAAGACGAGGACCTTAAGGCTACCACATGATCAAAGAGGCAAGTCTGAAAAAAACCCACTTTTGTTGCAAAAAGATTACTAACAGAGCGAAATAGTACCAAGTACGCTCTTCCATGAAGCTCTTACTCTTTTCCTAATCACGCAATCAAGAGCAACAAACGTTCCGCTCTTTCTGGTATTCAGGATTCAATTTTATATCCTTGCCTCGGCCAAATTGACAGATATGGAAGTGACTATAACATCCCTGCTTTCACAGTATATGACCTTCTTTGCTTTTGGTGGCTCAAACGCGATCTCCTCTGTCGATCTTTCAAGTGCATATAACGGCATCGGCAGCTACAGTGTTGTCTTAGTGGGGATCTTAACATTCGTGAGTAACTGGGCTGGCCCAATATGGTGGGTGTCAGCGGCTCGCCTTCTTCGGTCGAATCAGATCTGGACAGAAAAGCAGAACCACATCATGCTTTTGACCTTCCATAACACAACAAGTCTGATGTCCGTCATGGCTGCATGTACAGCATTGAGGACGCATCTCTTCATTTGGACGGTATTCTCGCCCAAGTTCCTTTACACCATGGCATGGACCACGATAAACCATTTTGCCGTGAATGTGTTAGGAGAGATAGATCTCCCCAATTTTATAGATAGGCCTTGATCAATGAGAACATAACACATTTCCGCTAGAGCTTCCACAGGCTCGATTAAAACGGCAGGGTATAATGTACCGTACATTGCGGCAACTATAATAGACCAGCAAAAAGATCATCAATCGCGTTTTGCCTCTTTTTCTTCTTCTTATGCGCCTTGAATCCCCAGTCCAGCGTGCTCTTTGACTCTTTCGTGACCTTTTTTTGAGTACGTAATCCAGCTGGACCATGTGCTGCGGAAGAACCCGAGGGCACTGGAGCACTTTCGGATCGACAAATGAGTTCTCCTACATCCTCCTGGGGGGCTCTGGGGTTGGGTGAAAGCTCGCTAGCAACCTTTATCCGAGACAGCATTTTTAGATCCCGATCAATTCCTGTAGCTTTTGCGAGACGAGCCAGCGCAGCTAGCAGTACGGTGCCAAGTGTAGAAAACTGCCCATCTGCTATAACGGTCGAAAATGCCCTGCAGTCAATGGTTAACCAACAGTCTTAGGTTTTCACTGGAACTCTGGCTGAGCGCATGAGCACATCGCATAATCGAAGATGTCAAACATCCAATTGGGATAGGACTTTTATGATGGCACATCCATGGCTCAACTCACAGGTAACATTTTGGCATGATATACACCGCGAGGTACTGTTTGTGTACATCCAGAGAAGACTTAGCTTCGGTATATAGCGATGGTTCAATTTCAAGAGACTTCGCAAGGTTGAATGTAGTGCGTTTCAGGATAGATAGCCATTTCCACCATTTTGAGGTTCCATGTTGGTTTTTGTTGCGGTGAAAAATCAAATGGAGCATAGCATGTACAGCAAAGATTTTCTCAGTATCCATTTTTGATGCTTCAAGAGTCATTGTGGCAGTACCACATAAATGCAGCTCTTAGATGATGTGGCAGAATCCCAGAAAGTTCCCAATACTGGCTTCTTTCACTGGTTCTTATGTTTCAATGCAAAAGGAAACATAGTAATAAGTATTACAGACTTAGGTTGTATTGTATGTATAGGCAGTATGATTAACGCAGGTTGGAGGTACTAAGGTAATCTGCTATTAGGCGGTGGGAAACACTAGTACTAAAAGGGAACTCTTTATTCCACACCTGTAGCTCATATGTGGTGCGTATCCAGGATTTTGCCGGCCTTTACAGTAATTATGATTGATTATACAAAAATTTATTGCACAAGAAAAATCTTATTGAATAAATATCATTACTAGATACTTATCCTTAGAAATACACTGATTTATCATTTACTTTCTTTAATGAAACATAGGTATTGTAGTACGTATGTAGTACAATCTAGGAACATAGCTAAATAAAGAATAACCTCGTTACGTAGCCAATATTTGAGCTAACGGAATATTTTTCATCCACTTAAATGGACCAAAAGAGTTTCATACCACAAATGTAGATTTATTTATTTTTTATCAAGAGATAGGACGGAAGAAGACACCTGAATCTCACAGAGATGGGCTTCCAACTGGAGATAAACCCAACATTAAGACACAAACCGAGACACCACCCCCAGGCCAACCAGGGCATAGAATGGGTCTCTCCCGTGGGTCAAAAATGCTGGTTGTCTCTCCAAGTAGACAGAGTACTTAAGACAAGAGTTAAAGAAGAAAAAAAGGGGGAAGAAAGAAAAAAAAAAAAAGACAAGCAAATGAAGACAATATCCCCTCGCATCGCAAATCATGCGTGTTGGAGATGCCACACCTCGTATCTCGTATGCTTCGCCCCCGATGTTGGTTTTCTCCTCTTTTTTAAACATGCAGCCCCATGGGGAGTGCGAGGGGGAGAGATATGCTTGGACTTGAAAATGTTTCACATAGCTACAGGAATCAAGATGTCCTAGGACCGCGATCTGTGATTGTTGAACCATACCACATCTTCATGCCCGGGTAGGTGCACGGAGCGCTCCTGAGACCGTTGTTGACACCAGAGGGGCGCCTCGGAGCGAGCGTTTGAACATAGAATACCTCACGTTCTGCGGCAGTGGTTCCACGATCAAACTGTGAATGACGGCGACGTTGCTCGTCACGGTATTGCTGACCAACTCGGGGGGCAAACAGGCCTGATAAAAGCTCATATTCAGTGATGTTTCCCATAAATACATTGTTAAATACCTTACGTACCAACATGCTCTGCATTCTCAATGCTGCGGCGCATCTTCGATGGATTGTCCGGTCCCGGAAAACGATCCTCAGTTCCCACAAGAGGCCCAGCACCCGTGTGGAATATCTGCACTTGATGAGTATTCCTTCTGATATAAGAAAGCGAAAGAAAAACCAGAGCGCACCTTGGGACGAAAGGAAGGGTGCTCCAGCATCACAGAACTGTTTCGGAATTTTTGTACTAGGCAATCCTTTCCTTGTATTGCTACCCCGAGCTTCAGAGCATGACAGAAATTAGCGGTATTTAGAAACTTACTTGCATATGACACCTCGGCAACTTTGTCACTATTAAAGCAATTCCTTTGAAGCCTTGTTAGTATAAGATTGCACGGATCCCATGGAACATTTCATACCAGGTGCGTCCAGAGCGCACATTGATAAACTGTACAGTGTTAGTAGATATTTATTATGCGGTATGAAGACCTACATCAATGATATCAATCGGCTTTTAACGAGTTAACCAAATTCAAAGGAGAAAGCTGGGCTGTGGCTTACATCTTCAAAATTTATGAAAGCATAACCGACGCTGGGATGAAGTTGTAAGCATAATGGTTTGGAAGCATGTAATCAAGAACAACGAACTTGCAATTATTCGCAAAATCTATGACCAGTATTGTTAGTTTTTAATGAATAGCATGGCTTATCATCGCCCTTACCAATGCGCAAATACATGAAGTCGTACTTCCCGTGACTCGTTTCATCAACAATGGTTTTGAGCATGGCCTTTTCAGTGCTAAATCAGTACAAATATCGCCATATATCCAAAACACAACTCATACCTGGTCGATTTTATTTGGAATATTACGAAGCATGATCTGTAATCAATTCAGTCGCTAAGTAGTAATAACTAGCAGATGCACGACACATACCGTAGTTCGAACATCCAACCCAAGACGGATCCGCTCAATATCAACAGCATTTTGGTTATTAGAGCGCAAGTCGGGGTAACGACTGATTTCACGGTGGGGCGAAGGCAGGATTCTCTCCCCAGCCCTAGACATCCAGTCCATAAGGCCAGCATGCTCACCTGAAGGCACCGTAGAGCGACCAGTAGGGCTTAGCTCCATATAGGGAGTGTGGTTTGTTCGACTCGAGGCCCAGGAATCATGGTTGCGGTACGCAGTTTCGTATCGAGAGAATCCCCCCTTAACAGGTGTCGATGGGCTCGGGAGAGGAAGGTATGATTTGTCCTCCACATCCGGTTTGAAAAGTGAAACTTCGAGCACGCAATCCTTCGATACTCAGTCAGCTTTGTTTTCTTTTTGTCAGACATAAAATAAGCCATGAGAGGACTCAAAGGCGATTGACTCACATCGACTGAGGTTCCGTTGAGTGTGGTCATTGCATTTTCCGCGTCACGAGTATTGAAGAATTCAAGATGAAACTCGCTGACATGATCTTGCTTAGAGGGTAAGGGGCTAAAGATTTTCATGTCCCCAAACGTCATTGCCAGAGTCTCGAGCGAGCGAGCGACTCTGTGATGATTCATATTGGAATTTCGGCTATCATAGTAGACTGACACAAACAACTGACCCTCGAAATCAGATGTCTGTGCCAACCGAGACGGTTCAGAGTGTTGTATGTATTCTCTAGACGTAAGAGCGAAAATACGCCACTCAGGTCGAAGAAGATGAACCTTCTCCATCGCATTCTTTGCTTCACGACTATCAGTGAATGCAACATACACTTTGCCCATCGAACTGAGCTCAGTAAGCACAGGTCCCTTGAGTGTCCCAAATTCGCGGCGCTTCCTTAGGGTTAGCAATCATATATTTCCCAGACTAAGTACTAGGTCCTACTTACATTGAAGAACCCGGCTAGGGACATGTAAGACAGGTTCGTCGGGACGTTTTCAATAACAAATGCGCGACTACGTCTCTCGGTGTCAAACTTCTCAATAGATGCACTGGGCAGAATGCTGTTCATGGCAAGTTGAGTGTTTCCAATAGGACCATAATCAGACGTGCCCCGCTCAACAGATTTCATGGTTCCAGGTATAGGTCCACGGGTTCCAAGGTCAGCATTGGGAGTTAGGTAGCTAACACCACAGCATTCACGGGACAAGGACTGGATTTGGCTGCCAGCGACCACTCTTCCAGTCATGCCAATAGGCGTGAAGCTTGCTGCAGTTGGAGAAAGCTGTGCTCGGTTAGAAGTGCTTGCTGAAACTAGAAAGGGGTCTGAAGAAGGTCTGAGCATGGTTAGTTGATATATACACCCCCATGTATCAGGTATCCGTGCTTACATCGAGTAGAACTTGCGGAAGTCAGTCTCTTTCATGGCAGCACCGACACTAGAATCAGAGCGATCCTTAGATCGCATATCCTCGGGGGAGAACGCCGTAAGTTTGGTATCTGGAGATCCATGAGGCGAGATTGCTCCGTTTGTAGAACAGGGACTACTCAAGATATGGGAGGAATCGTTTCCTCTCATCTTGCACGGCTGTAAGTGTGGGTATCCCAGTATTTCGCCTTTTGACATAAGCCAGTCAATGCAGTATTGATTCAGTATAAATGGTTTTATGTGAAAAAAGAAACTTTTCGGAAGATGTCAGGGTGGGCAGAGTGTTGAAATGAAAGTCAAGAGTAACACTGGACAAGAGAAGACCTAACCTGAAGGGAAGAACACAACACATATCCTGTCTCTGGGAGGCAAAAAGTGGGGGAAAGATCCAAGACATCCAAGAACACATTTCAAATGATACTAGAGTGAGAAGATTAAGAGCAAATCCCACAACAGCAAATCAGAGTATGATGTGTTTGAGGGCTGTTATTACACAGGCTGCGACACAGCCATGTCCACCAGCCCAGTCCGGGCACCAAATGTGGAGAAGAGTAATAGTAGAGAGATGTTCAAAGGTAATTCTGGTAAACAGAATATTGTCTGGCTCAGTAAAATGAAATAGGCACCGCAATTCCTGAGACTGGCCTTTTAGGAAATATAAGGTTGGATCATGCACATCCAGTGCATAGAAAGCTTTCAAGTTTCTGCAAATCTTAAAAAGTGCATATATATATCTTGGAGCCCTTTATTTCTGCTGGTAGTTTCTGTAAATCACGCTCTTGAATTGAGGGTGTCGGGGGATTGCCCAGTCCCTTATCCAAACTTGCATCAAAAGAAAGAATTTGAAGTAGTGTCTTGATATTAGCTCGAAACCCTGGAAGGCATGAGAAATTCCCTTGTCAGGGTTTATGAGAAGCATCGATGAGAAGGAGAAAAATGTGTCTTGCGATCTTCTGTGCCTTGATCTCCAACTCCAAGGCTCAATGAGGAAATGGAAGTCATAATGTATGTTAGTGTCACGATGCATAGCTCGCCAGATATCAAATAAGGTAGAGTAGTAAATAGAACATTCTCCCCTTCCAATTCCCGTCACTCTTTCTATTAGGTGTCCAAGCTCTCCCCTTCTTTCACTTTATCTTAGTCATTGGAGGCTGGGCATAATGTTAAGGAAACCTCACCCTTCGCCCCCCTCTTTTGAAGGTAATTAGGGCAGTGTTAAATATCCGGTCCAAGATGTGTCTATCAATTTGAATTAATATTAATTTTATTATCCAACACAAATATCAAATTGTATTTGTGGGGTTGACAACCACGATCCTATCAAAGCAGCTTCAGGTGGGTCACAAGCACTAGAGCAGAATACTTACTAGTTAACAGTTTCGCCCTAGGCCTGCAGGATAAGGTGGGCGGAGGGAATAAAGTAAAATTTCAATGTGCCTAGGCAATCAAGAACTAAGAATAGAGACATGGCATCCCATGCACAGAGCATGTATGTTATATACTGATAGAGAGTGAGCAGATTGAAGTTGGGGTTGTTCATACTATAGTATGTACATCAAAGCGCAGGACTAGTGGACATCTTGGCCAATCATCGTTGGTGAATACATGGCAGCGGCCTCGGTAGAATTCCCGTCCCGCCCAGAGAAATGTACCTAACGCAACGACATCATATCATGCATACTGGCTTTTGCTCTATCGTTTCACCGTGGTCAAACCTCCAGCGGGAGATTGGTTATTTTACAAGAAGGCACTACATTGATTTTCATATAACATATTCGTGTATGAACACGCTCCCAATCTGGACCACCACAGCCGAGTATTAATCCTTCCGCCGAGCGTCGACAATAGGGTAGAAGTCCCATAGCACCAGCTAATTACGCACACCTAGCTATTCAAATATTACACAAGTTCTTCCTTGCTATTGGAGAACAAGGCCAGCCACCATGCCTTCCATGGCCCCTGCCCGCAATGAATCATCGTATGTCCTGAATCAAGTGAGTATCAAAGAAAAACACGGGATTGACACTGTCATGAAACTACGGGCTGATTCCCTTGTACACATAGATCATCATCTCTCCTTCTGACACGGATTATCTTGATCAATTGATTCCTTCGATACGGGAATACAGTGTTGGAAACAGGACATCCCAGCTTCTACAGTCTTTATCTAGGTTTGCTGGGGACAAAGAAGCAGAGATAGAAAGTATTTGCAACACAAATCACCAAGAGTTTGTTACATCGGTAAACCAACTTCTCCGTATAAGAGAAGGTACTGTGAGCTTAACAGCTGAGATACTGGATCTCAACCAATCCATCCAAGCTAGCACCGAACGGTTGGCGGAACAGAAAAAGGCGTTGGTTGAGTCACGAAGCCACCGGCAGAACATTGATGAGACTTCTCGTGCAATCCAGGATTGTCTGGAGGTTCTGCGCCTTGCAAACCAGGTTCATGATCTATTGGCGAAAAAAAACCATTATGCTGCCCTGCGTGCGCTCGAAGAACTCCAGAATGTCCACTTGAAGGGTGTGACTCAATACAAGATTGCTGAGATGATCCAGCGCTCAGTACCTGCAACACAAAGGGCCATAGCTGAGGCGGTCATGTCCGACTTGAATACCTGGTTGTACCGAATACGTGAGATGTCGCAGTACCTGGGAGAGATTGCACTGTATCACACGGATCTTCGGAAAACAAGGCAGAAAGAAAGGGCCGAGAAGATGCCGTATCTCGGGCACTTCAAGCTGAATTCTGCCATTGAATTGGTTTCAGATGAACATGAAGAATATGATTTATTGCAGAATGATGAACTGCAAGTCGATTTCACTCCACTCTTTGAGTGTCTACATATCCATCAATCCCTGGGACATATGGACAAATTTAGAATCGAATATGCAAACACACGGCGGCGACAAAAGGAACTTTTGATACCAACTTCGATCACTCTCATTGACGAAGATGGAGCTCGTCTGCACAATCTTCTCGAGGAAATGGCGGGATTTGCTATTGTAGAGCGATCTACAATGAAAAGGGTTCCGGACCTGAGATCACCTGTTGATGTAATGCCCCGATCATTTGTATTTATGCTTTAACGACTCTAATCTGTATAAATAGGTTGATGAGCTTTGGGATTCGATGTGTCAAACTGCCGCTAACTTGATTCTCAAGGCACTCCACGAAGTGGACAATGCCGAAAGCTTGCTGAAAATAAAGAATCTCATAGCACTCTTTATGCAGACCATGAATGTCCGTCCCCCCTTCCCTTTAGACTCATTTATCAAAAACACAACTACAACTACTGACTTGTGAATTTCATAGACTTGGGACTTTCCTGTTGGAGTTTTTGATAGCTTTTTGTTGACTCTTTTCGAGAAATATGCTGAACTACTCAAAAAGAGATTCAGCGATGACTTCCAGGAAGTAGGTTATATTTGTCTAAATCCCTTTCCCAGTACTGATCATTTCTTGAGATTGTGTCCACGGATGATTATATGCCTATGCCAATACAAACTTTGGAAGAATTTGACAAGGTCCTTAATGTTAGCTGGTACAGCCCTGATAAACCACGAGAAGAACAAGTGTATGTTGCTGTGCAATACTCCTGATTTTACCCCAGTTACTAATTTGTTGGGTCCAGTTTTCCATGTGTTTTGCCATTCTCACAAATGTATCCTCTATGCTGTATCGATATTCGGAATTTCCTGAATCAATTCTACTTTTTCGCCAATGATGACTTCTCAAACCCGAATGTCATCGATGACACACTGAAAGATGTAGGCGTTGCTGTGATCAGTGTGTATAGCTTTGGGCGCTGACTTTCCCAGGCTTTGGATGAGCTCCTTTCAAACAAAGTATGCGATACGCTCGTCGAGCGTCTTGCTTCGCAATATCTGGGCCAGATCGTTCAAATTCTCATAAATCTTGAGCATTTTGAGTTAGCTTGTCGTGAGCTTGAACTGCTTCTCGTCGCAGCGAGATCCCAGAGTTCGACGGGTGGTTCAATCGCCCTTAAGGCCACAGAAAAGTTTAGAAGCAACAAGAAAGCAGCAGAGAAGCGCATATTTGAAGTGGTTAATTCAAAAATTGATGATCTTATTGAAACTGCTGAATATGACTGGATGGCGCCTATTCCACCCACAGAACCCAGCAACTATATGCAAACACTGACTCGGTTCCTTTCAAACATAATGAACTCGACACTGCTTGGTCTTCCAACAGAGATCAAAGAGCTGATTTATTTCGATGCCCTTAGTCACGCTGCAAATATGATACTGGTATATTCGTTCGGTGTTCCGTATGGTCAAATTACTGATTCCTTATTCTAGGCACAACCCCTTTCTGCGGAAGTGAAAAGAATTAACCCAAACGGTGTTATGGCTCTTTCCAAGGATGTCGAATACCTGGCTCAATTTGTCGACAGTCTCGGTGTTCCTATTCTTAGGGAAAATCTTGACGAATTGCAGCAAACGGTGCAATTGATGCAAGCGGATAACACAGATGAATTCTATGATATTTCTACGAGAAACAAAAAGTATGGTCGCGTAGACGCCATTCACGGTCCGGTTCTATTAGAAAAGTATGTTTTTTTTTTTTTTTTGAAGAAATTTGAAGAAATTTGCTGCATTAAACATGCTAATTATGGCCAGGCTTACACGCACTGTTCAAAGCCCTGTCAAAACGGACAAGTTCGCAACGCTTTCATCGAGATTTAAGAAGTCCTAAGCGAACCATGGCATAGAAGTTTAGTGCACTCTAGTACTATAATGATATGGTCATTTTCTTCCATCTGTTTAACTGGAAGGCCGGTAGTCGAGTTTCTCACAAGGATCGGGTATGACTAGTACACAATATCATCCAGAGCAAAGAAACGCATAAAAAACCAAACCGATTAGAGCAAAACATTGCATACATACATTCATTGAAAGACAAAACGTGGCAACCTTGTCATTGGCACATAACCTGTTTCGCGGCAATCCTGATCGCGATAGAACAAGTTTCTATGCTCTTATAACACTCACTTCGACAAGAAACATCAATTGTTAGCAACAAACAAACCAAAAAAGAAAAAAGAAAGAAGAAAGAAAAGAAAAGAAAAGAAAAAAAGAAAAAAAGGGAGAAGGAAGGGTTCAATTGATTTTTGCTACCTATGGGGTAATACAAAATGGGGAGGGAAGACTTTTGGGGGGGGCATACCTGCTGTGGTGGTATATGGGGGTATGGAGCATACATCCCTTCAAACATTTGAGACTGAGGCTGGCCATATGCCGCTGTCGGATCTGTTTGCACGGCGCCCGCATACATGGTGGGCTGGGGGCGATATTCTGAGTCTTGGGGAAGATGCTGCCCCAACGTGCTGTAGTCCGGAGGAGCCATGTGATGCTGAGGGTGTTGGACCCCGTGTTGAGATGGTGGTAACTGACCGGGAGCACTCGGAGCTGCAGAAGAACTTGCAGGAGCACCACCTGTCTGACTAGATCTCTTGGCATGGGAGGTAGCTTCTTCACGAGGTACTATATCGATAAGAAAATCAAACATGTCAGATTTCGAGAGAGCTGCAGCAATGTCTGATCGCTGCAGAGTTCGTCGTTTGTTATCCTCTGCGTGGATCCATGCCCGCATGGTCAGCTCAGTAATGAAGACATCACAACCCTTTGCAAAAAGGATAGGCGCCTCTGCGGAAATCATTTTCACCTCTGGGTCTGCCTTCATGACTTTCTTTATACGCGCCAGTGGTAACTGATGGATTTTATAATCATGATTGTCCGTTTCAAGGTGATTGATTATGTGTTGCCAGTATGTTGTCAAAATATCGCGAGCCGTTCCTTGTAGGCCTTGGTTGACCTGAACCAATCAACGCTATGCTCTACTATCATATTGCCTGGTGAACGGTATAATAAACTTACATTTGCCCAGGTTCCTGTGTAAAGCTCGGCAACGGGGGCATATCCTTGTGCTGAAAGCTAATCCACGTCAAGTCAGCTATGCCCAAATGTATACCTAAACAGAAAAACAATAGATATCATACTGCTGCGCTGGCACCTGGGCACAATAAAAGTTAGTTGAATGCTTATTTAGATATGACGGATTACGTGACATTGTAATCTGCTAAGAGACTGGGTTGTGGTGGATTACCATAATGCCCGCCGTTTCTGATATCATAAACAGGCTGCTGCCTGCCCTGCTGCCCGGTGCCTTGTGAAGATGGTTCCATGACAGAAATACTCTTGCAAAGATGTATATGTTGTGATACTGCCGACTCGGTCACCTTTTAGGCGTGGAGGGGCTTTTTCTTTTTCGGGGTGATAAAAGGAAAACCTTGGAAGATGCGACGCGAAGGGAAAGCGGGATCTGGGGCCTCGAGCTGTGGACATGCGGCATTAGATGAAGTAGAGATGGGGAAGAGATAGAGTTTTACTGTGACTATAGCAGAGCTTCGGTTAATAGTGTGGGCAGTTTGTTGGCGGCCCAGATATGTGATGATTGTGTTTGAAGGCAGGTCGTGGTTGTCACTTGTTAGGTAGCGCGCCAACATGCCAAGCCTTTCCCAGCTCCAAGCCTTCAACCTTACGCACTGCTTGCTGGATGCACAGTTGAATGCGGGGAACCATCCTTACAGTCTACACAGGTACCTAGGTATGTACCTATCTCGTGGTCAACAGCCAACCATGCTTTAATTATTTATATTTTGATTACTTATTCATTTATTTTATTATATTTTTTAATTCATGCTTCCAGTGTAAATTAAAGCAAGCTATCTACCTAGGTAAGTGGTGAGATTGGGTGGACCTAGAGGTATCTAAAACCTTTTAGGTATCTATTACAGGGACTAATCTAAACGCCAGAATGAGTATTACATTACAGTGTACTCTGTATAGTATCTAGATACCTACCTAACTGCCACATAAATCATGTAGCTGTACTCTGTACCCACTGTATTTAAGTGTCATACCTGGTATCTCGCAATGGTACCAAACCTGTAATCTATGAGTCAAGCCTGGGAAGTACTAACCTATGATCCTAATCTAAGGATACTAACAGTAATTAGGTTGCTTCTATAAGCTAATGGTACTTAATAATATAGCTAGGTAGTTAAGGAGAGAAGTAGGACTAAGAAGTATATATACTCCTTATTTAAGTAAGAGATATATAAATAAGTAGAATAATTAGGTAAGTATAAAGGTAACTATAGAATTATAGACTATATTAGTTACAAAGAATCATCTAAGTATATAAAATAAGTATCTTTATATATCCTTTATTAAGTATACTATCCTATATATTACTTATAGTATTCTATTAGGTGCCTATATACTATATTATATACTATCTAGGTACTACCGACCTGACCTACATACATACCTTACGAAAACCAGACCTAATTAGGTTGTTCAACTTTAAGTAATAACTACATATAATTGTTATCAGCCACCCAATGTTTTGACCTAGTATAGCAAAATAATCCATGCAGTGGGAGGTACACATAAATATAATATAGAAATAGAAATCATTTTGCACTCATCAACTCTGTACGGAGTACGGTAAGTAATACCTAGGACTTGGGCGTTTTATGCCTGAGGCATAAATAGCAGACGGGCAAATCACAGCGTCCCCGCCCCACAAACCAAAAATTTTTCCTCGGGCCGCTCTGGCTTCCCCCAAAAAAATAGCTTCCCTTTCCACTATAAAGAGTCAGATTTTCTTTTCAGGGTTCGCAACTTCACTATCTTCCTTGCCACAACCCCCTGTCCATAGGATATGACGGAAAAGACATGTGATAGAAGTCGCGCTATTCAGCCTCAAACTGAGGTTGACTTGACAGACGATCAGATTCAGCAATTACTTGTTGAAGCTGAGAGCCGACTGCGAGCTCCTTTAGAGCCATCTATCGACAAGCAATCAAACCAATCATTGCTAAAGTGAGCATATACTTTCCTCCATTCCATGCGGACAGAAGAAAAAAAAAAATGAACAAAAAATGAAGGCTAACTTCACATCAGTATCCCAAATTTGTCGTCGGGGCATCAGCTACTACCATACGTTCGTCAGCAAGATGGTCTTGCTACTGTGGATTCTGCGCGTGTCATCCATCCTTCACAAAAGGATACGCCTAATGCAATCTGCTCTTTAGGAGCCAAGAATTTAAAGGATTCAATTTCGAATAAAGTAACCCCCCCCCCCAACCCTTCTCCTTCCCTTCTATTGTTGCTATGAGGAAAAATACCCCAGTGCTTTAGCGCTTGATACAGCTTCACCAGCCCGTCTTGGGCTGCGCTGTGCCAATGAGAGCTTTCTTATTTTCATAGTTACTCTGAGCATCAGTATCAACCCAGATTGATTCGCTTAAATTTACATCTCTTTGTGGTCATTTGCTAATATATTTTCCTTTAAGGATAAACCCACAGCAGGAAAAGACTGGTTCAACCTCCCCCAAACAGAATTGACAACAGAATTTAAAAGGGACCTACAGCTCCTTCGGATGCGGTCTGTCCTTGACCCTAAGAGACATTACAAAAAGGAGAATGGAAAGGCACAACCTCCAGAGTTTTCACATGTGGGTACTGTTATCGAGGGCCCAACAGAATTTTTCAGTTCCCGCATTGCAAAGAAAGATCGCAAGAAGACCTTTGTGGAGGAGACTCTGGTCTTGGAGCAAGAAACACGACGTTTCGAGTCTAAATACTTTGACATTCAAACCGCAAAGCAAAGCGGAAAGAAGTCATTTTACAATAATCTACGTGCAAAGAGAAGCCGCAGAGGAAAGTAAACTAAGATTACCTTTTTTTTTTTTCTCTCTTTGAAGGAGGCCGGATCTGAAATATTGGCAAGCGGGTCTTCATTGGAAGGTTGCTATCAATCCTACCACAATGGTGGTCTGGATTGCAAAGACTAAGTGACTGTTTGCACTTCACCATCCTAGGTTTACCGTCTCAACACGGCCGACCGAGGACTTGGCACCGCTCCTTCCGTGGCAGCCGCCCGCAAGTGAAAACGACATACTCTAATCATGTCTAAAAATATCTGCAAGGGCCTGTCCAACAAGCCTCTTTTTCTCGCTGTCATTACCAATGCAGGTGAATTTGGATTGCTTTCTGTGGATCCTTACCTGCATATCAATTGCTGCAGAGCGACCAGCTTCAAGAACTTCCTCGTGGTTTGCCTTGCCTTCTTGCAGGATAGCGTCTAATTCACTGGAGCCTTTGCCTTGGAGGAGATGATCATCTCCGCGGGGGACGGGAGAAAGAACCGCACTGTTTGTCACCAGGCTGAGAGCTAGAACTTTGATGCCACAGTGTCTAGCGACGACTATTTCCGGCACAGTTGACATACCAACCACGTCTGCGCCAAGCTGACGAAGCATACGACATTCAGCTCTGGTCTCATAGCTGCTCATGATCAGCAAGTGAAGTTGTACATATATGAGCGCCACTCACCTTGGGCCTCCGACAAATGCATACACGCCCTCGTGAAGTCTACGTCTGCTTTCCCGATGCATCACTGTTTGCCAGGATTTATGCACATAGCGACGAAGTTCGAGGTCATAGGCATCTGATAAAGGAGGGAACCGGGGGCCAAATTCTTCCACATTTGGTCCTCGTAGTGGATGGGTGCCTGACAAACCAGCTAGAAAAAGATGCTATTTGGTGAAATTAGAATAAATCATGAAAAAAGATGAACATGGGCGTACATCATTCAATAAGACAATATCACCAACCGCGTATTCAGGATTAAGACCTCCAGCAGCGTTAGTCACTACAGTTAGTAGGACATCAGTAGGTTTCTTTTCTTTTTTCTTTTTTTTTTTTTTTTTTGAAGTATGCCTTTTGGGTGAACAAGCTCACAGACTACAGTATCAACACCTAATCGCTTAAAAACCCGAATAGGAAATGTAATTTGGTGAATGGAATGGCCTTCATAGTAACTATCAGGTCACATTAGTGAGCAAGGGGTGGTCAGTTAAGATAATAAATGTGTGATTCAGCTTACTGCGCACGACCAACCATCAAAACAACTGGCAATTGTTGATTGAGTAGTCCGAAAACCAGCTTTCCCGCATGCCCCGCCACTATGTGAGTGAGTATACAAATCTCCCTTCACTTCTATCAACAGAGCCTCATCTGGCGATACTTACCTGTAAGGTGAGGAAAGTGAGGTATAGAAGAGTAATCATATTCTGATCTTGGTGCATCATGAATGGTATCGGCGAGTCCTCCTAATCCAGAGCCGCAGACAATTGCGACACGAGGTTTTTTCAGATGGACAGGCAATCGCTCCTGCAAGAACGAAGCAGCCTCGCTACTCTGCTCGAATGAGGACAAGTCTTTTGGTATTCCAGTCATTTCTTAATGAAGTGATAGGTAGTCAATTGTAAATGGTGATGTGGGTGGCACAGTATGGCATTGATTTTAGCCAAAAATGCAAGGGAGGAAACATCTGACTGATTCACAAGTATTCCGTATGATATGAAATAAATGTCCTTCTACCAGGGGTACCTAGGTATTATTAATATTAATGCATACCCTGTAAAACCTTAGCAATCTTCCGAGCAGGTCTAGGTAGTTAAGATGTCGAAACTGCATAAAATTGCTACTGCAACTGGAAATCTGCCGGACTGAGAGCACTATTTAGAGTACCTAGGTATGTATCATCATAATGGCCTAGCAGGTCGTGAATATGAACCTGGAATGGTTTTCTTGGGCTCCTAAAGTTATTGATTTAGACATGTAATTACAGCAACTCAAAGCAATAGTAAGCAATCATTAGCTATGTACTAGGTACCTAACTACCTAGGTAGATAACTAGATAACGTACTGCGTACCTTAGTACATTTTTACTACCTACCTAGGTATCATGAATACCTGGCCCATAGTTGGCGATTTATTGGTTTGGCTCCAAAGGCGGTCAACGGATCTGCCAACCATGGTCCTACCTACACTGAATGCAGAAAAGGCCTCCGCTGAAAATCACTCCGAACAGAAAAGACTCTAGCTTCAACATCTAACAACCATCGGTTCCTAGGTTTGCTTGGTTTAATGCTCTAGGGATGTTTTCTTATCCCAATTCGCGCTTCCTATTCGGAGCAGCAAAGCGATTAAAGGTATATTCCACCAAATCTCCTTGGCCGTCAATATGGCATTCTCGCTAATAGGTTCCCGAAAAGTTCCCCATACCATCCCGTGCTCTTTCATCAAGTAGGCCAGAAACCGTTCCTAATTCCAAGTCGGAAGGTTCTCCCGGATCGGACGTATCGCGCACGTCAAACCCATCTGCCACATCGTCCCTGTTAGAATCTCCAACCTGTTTCAGTGATCAGAAAATACAGATTGGAGGCTAACTAAAAGGTGTATAGTTCAATTGAGACAGAGAGACCCTCGAAATCACATGTCGGGGAATGGTGCGTTTGCCAGAATATTTTCTTGGGAATTGAATGATAGCTCACTATCACCACAGGGCAGAACGGTTGGACAGCATTGGGCAAAACGCTCGATTGCCTAGAAGCGTACAAGCGGTCTACTTGCGACCACTGCGGAGGAAGGCCGAGTATGGTCTTCCAGTTTGCGATCTCCAGCTAAGATCCTACAGCGTGCGAAACGTCGAATTTTTCGCCGACTTCGCTGTACGAGCTGCCTATTATTTGAAGCTCCCCGTTTCGGGTCCCGTGCCGTTACCACGCTTTGTCGAACGCTGGACAGTTCCTCGAAGCAACTTTGTTCACAAAAAAAGCCAGGAGAATTTCGAGCGGATAACACTCCGTCGGTTGATCCAGATCAAAGATGGCCATCCGCAGGTCGTACAAGCATGGCTAGCATTTCTACGAAAACATGCCTTCTATGGGGTCGGTATGAAGGCGAATGTTTGGGAACATGAAAGCCTTGGTACAGTTATCTTGATTGTCGCCATGTCTCCAAGCTGAAAATTGCTAACGAATATTTCAAATCTAGGTGTTGCCCAATCAATGGATGCTGCTCTTCCTGAAATTGAGAAGTCTCTCGAGTCGGACCTCGCCCAATTTGGTCAGCGGGCGGATGCAAGGGTCGGCAGTTCCATGTTTGATCGCTTAGACCGCGAGCGATTTTGTGAGAACAAAAGCCCTTTAACCGAAGTCCGCCGGGGCTAAATGTTGATTGGTTTTTTTTTGGGAAGTTGCTATCAAGGCACTTGCGTGTTTGTTAGGTTGTATCTACTTCAACTACTTGTATTCTACTACATCACACTATATCTCAACATTCGACACATGTTGTAGATATGGGATTCAGCATTATTATTTTTAGATTCTACAACTTACCTGCGTTTTTGGCTTCATCTACCATTCATAGGACTATCGAAATTGACAATAAAATCGATGGCCTCTACTTGTGCTAAATATTTATCCAATGCCTTTCTATTCTACCATTATGACCAGATCTCGGTCAGAATACCGAGTCATGTGATTTCACATGACTAGATAATATTTAATCAATATCTTGACAAGAGTCTAGTAAAAATGAATATCCATAACAGCGGCTTCTTTCGGGGATGGTTGGCTAGAGATGCATATAAAAATCAATCGCTATGGCCAATGCTTTAGAAACTGGCATAAACGAAGTAGCGTTCGCATTCAATCAGAGCTGAATCAGGTCAAATCTCGAAGATGGAATAGCTCATACAATACGCAACCCTCGGAAAGCGAACAGATTATATTTTCCGGCATCCAGCCCACGGGTGTTCCACATTTGGGAAATTATTTGGGAGCTCTGCGCGAATGGGTTCGACTGCAGAATGATGCAGCTGAGGGGACCAGGCTATTCTTCTCCATTGTCGACCTACATGCGTTAACGGTACCTCAAGAACCTTCGCAATTGAGGAAATGGAGGAGAGAGGCATTTGCGACGCTCATTGCGTTAGGTTTAGATCCAAGTCGATCAACTATATTCCATCAATCTACAGTACGTCATCTTTCTCAGTCTGGAATCTCATCCTGGTTTTCCTATGCCAACCATTACCAGGTTCCAGCGCACACTGAATTATTTTGGATATTGAGTACAGTAGCTTCAATGGGGTATCTATCGCGAATGACTCAGTGGAAGGTGAGTAACCATGTTGACGATTCCAAAGGCGATGGGAGACACCCTGCGCCGGGGGGAAGGGGGTTCAAAAATTAATGTCACCTAGAGCAAACTGCAATTGCCTGAAGACACGAGCCTGGAGCATTCGGAAGCACGATCAAAGTTGCGACTTGGTCTTTTCTCATACCCTGTTCTTCAAGCAGCAGACATACTTGTTCACAGGTATTGCGTCAAGCCGCGATCGAATTAAGCAAAGCTCCTTCTGATATGTGTTAGAGCCACTCACGTTCCTGTTGGGGAAGATCAAAGACAACATCTTGAGTTTTCTAGGTACACTGCGAATAGCTTCAATCATCTTTACGGAACCATCTTTCCGTCTCCCGAGGCACTTATATGTGAGACAGGCATTCTTTTCTCGTTTGATGCCCAATTTGTACTAACCATGAATCCCCATTAGCGCCTGCAAAGCGAGTCATGTCTCTTAAGGAACCGACATTGAAAATGTCTAAGTCTCATGCAGATGAGCGGTCAAGAATCATTCTCACGGATTCCCCTGAAATCATTCACAAGAAAATCAAGGTTGCTCTCACGGATTCGGAATCAAAAATTACATACGACCCAATCCGCCGCCCAGGTGTGTCTAACTTGATTGAAATACTTAGTCATTTTGAACGAAGGTCCTGCAATGAAGTGGTCAATGAGCATCACTCGGAAAGCCTTCGGGCTTTAAAAGAACATGTTTCGACCACCATTTCCAGCCATCTAAAACCAATCAGAGAAAAGTATTTCTCATTGATAGGTGATAGGAATGCGGACTATCTTGATGCTATTGCGGATCAAGGCGCCCAGGCTGCTCGTGCCAATGCTGAGCTGACCATGCGTCGAGTCAGGGAAGCGTTGGGTCTGTGAAGCCTTTATCCCCATGGATTATTCACTCATTGGTTTCTGGTTATCAATCCATTTCAAACCTCTATCCATTCATGGTTTTACATATTTCCAGGGAACGGTCTCAGTACATGCCTCCATGCTATACAAATGGATGATGCTACCTACTCCATAAGCAAGAGTAACAGACATGCATAGGTATAGTATACAGATACAATACATGTATGAATTTCTTCACTAGGCACAGTCTGACCTAGCAAACTTACTGCGCCATTTAATCGTAGGCCTTCCTTAGCTACGCAGTACAACACCATGCTTGCTCACCTCCCCTATCACACTGCATACCTGGGTACCTAGGTCATCCCACCGTAATAATCATTCAGATTGGGGTCATGAGGGCACGTCTTTTCAGCATTTCTTGTTCACTCAGAGTTCATATATTAGTAGCGATTATAAGATACCTACAAATGTAGGGGATAAGAACCAATAAACTAAATTAACTGCGACATCACTGTTACACCAGTGAGAACCAATGACAATGTACCTTAATATTGTGAGAATCTTGCAGCCTTGAACTAAAATGAAGATAGAGGAACTCTCATAGAACAGCCCAAGCCGCTCAGTAGTGTCTGTATGTACGCAATTTAGCACTATACATTCTGCACACTTCCATCTGGTTACCGCTTACTTCCTCTATCTAACACTCAACCCGGGTTATAATAGGCCCGGGAGCATTGGGGTTTACAATGAGGTGTACTGAGTTTGTACCCCCCTTTCTGCCTGCGGGAGCCGCTTTTGATTAACAAATGATATTTTACTATTCTGCTGGTTAAAACCTCTGAAATTTGCTATTATACTAATATTTTATATACTAGCTATCTGCCTTAATAATTACTTATATATATAATAAGGTATTATCTCTGCTAAATATCTTAAAATTAGTAATTAAATAATATACTAGGCTTCCTTAGCTACTTTAACTAACCTTTAGTATATTTCCTCTATATTTAATATATTCTCTAGGTTAGGATATAGCTTATAGATCTCCTACTTTATAATTATCTATAGATTCTTAATTAGATTTAAATCTAGTAAATAAGGTGGCTAAACTATAACTTTAATACCTAAGTTTTAAAGAAGGGCTTTAATAATATTAGCTTAATAGATATTAGCACTATTATATATAAAAAATATTACTAGGCTAGAGATAATCTAGAAGAAAAGTATAGTAAAGCTTATAAACAATAAAGCCTAATATATTACTATTCTTAGCTAAAGGATCCCTATCTAGAGGTACTAGACCTATTGTAAAGCACTGGGAGCTGGAGGTGCTTGGATTGGTAATTTTTGTGTTACGGCACCTTTATCAGTGACTGCATCAGGCAGAATCAGGCGGTTAAGGGAAATGGATATTCTTATGGCAGAGAATTATAATTTGCTATTATTATACTCTTTACAGTCACTATCTAGCAGATATTACTACACTCACATGATTAACTACCATCTACTAATGCTAAGATATAATATATAGTATATAACTACTATCAGGACTACTATTAAGATAGTATATAGAATAGTATACTAGTAAAGGATATATAAGGACACTTATTTTATATACTTAGATAGTTCTTTATAATTAATATAAGTTATTATCTTATAGTTACTATTATACTACTACTCTAATTATTCTACCTACTTATTTATATATCTCTAAGCTTAATTAAGAGGTATATATACTTCTTAGCCTTACTTCTCTCTCTAACTACCTTACTATATTCTTAAGTACCCTAGCTTATTAGAAGCACCCCAGTTACTATTAATATCCTTAGATTAGGGTTATAGGTTAGTATTCTATAGGCTTAACTTATAGTTTATAGGTTAGGTACTATTATAAGATCCTAGGGTATAATATATTAATTACCTATCTATATAAGTATATAAATAATACCTAATATTAATACTAGTCTATCTTAAGTAATTAACTTAAAAGTATTATAACTAATAATACCCTAATAAGTAGTACTAACCCTAATAAAACTTAGAGTAATAAGGAGCTCTTAGGAATAATTAAGTAGCTTTAAGAAACTATTACTATAATAAAAAGTTACTTTACTACTAAGGTAGTTAAAGTATAACTACCTAAGCTATTTACTAGAAAAAGGTTATATCTCTAGATATTTCTTATATAAATAGATACCTATCTTAATATTAATAAAGAAAAACTCTAATATAAAGCTAATAAGGTAGTTTTTATATTAACTTACTTATTAGGTAATATATTTAATTAGTTTAAGCTATTTCTTTAAGACTTCTAAGAAAACTTATCATACCACTAAGATAATAATATTAAGGAAATTTTTACTTCTTATACTAAGTTTAAAGAATACCTTAAGGGAACTTTTAGTAATATTAATACTACCTAATAAGTAGAATAGAAATTATAATAACTTAGATAGATAGGATTAGTATAGTAAATAGCTTCTAAATTCTAGTAGATTATCTCCTATTTAGATTAGGATAAAGATATATATATATTATAATTTAAAGAAATATTAAAACTAAAAGTATAAGAAAAGCTTATCTAGTAGGAGTAACTAAACTCCCTAGCTAAATTTATTAAATTAGCTATTAAAATAGATAATAAACTTTATAAATTTAAAAATTAATATACTAACTACTAATTTAGAGGAAATTAGTATATAACTAATTATTAATTAAATAATAGCTAAAGAGTATAGCTAGTAAGCTAAGAATATATAAATCCTTTTAGGCTATAACTAATAGAACTTAATATAATAGGTATAAGATAGAAAGGTATAATACTAGAAGAATAGGAATAATAATATAAAGAAAAGCTTTACTTCTTTTATAGAAAACCTAGATATATAATAAAAGACTACTAAGTAAGGTAATAATATAACTAAAGAAATTAGAACTAAGGAAAGTAACTTTAAGCTATAAAGAAGCTCTAAGTAATATATAAAGATCTATAACTTTAGAAATTATACTACTAATATACTATATTAAGTAAGGATAAAATTAATTAAGAACTTAGCTAGTAGGAAGAAGGCCTAAATAATATATAGGATAATTATACTAAGGAAGAACTATAACTAAAATAGTAGATATTAGTAGAATACTACCTAGATAACTTAGTATTAGATAATAGCTATATACTATATAATTAATTAAGACTAGATAGTAAGGATCTGGCCCCACTTAAACTAATATAGATAAATAAATTAAATAAAGATAACTAGAACTATATAAGATATCTTAATATTAAAGATATATTTAATAGTATAAGACTAGAACCTAGAATTCTAGTATTATTATAGAATAAATAATAGATCTACTATAAACCTTATAGTATATAAAATATACTAAGAAAGAATTATAAAGAGCTAGCTCCTATAGATAAGGTAGTTAACTAAGTTTAACTAGTTATTAATCCTTTAGATAAAGAGTATAGTACTTAGTAGAAAGGCCTAGTATCTTATTAAAAGGAACTCTATAAGTTACTTAAGTAATCTTAAAGAATCCTATAAGATAATTTTAAATTAAATAAATATATTATAAAATTACTAAAAAGAAGATACTACTTTACCTAATATAGGGTAGGATAATAGAATTAAGATAGAGTATATAAATAAATTAATAAGATTTTAAATAGAGCCTAGAAAGAACTAGAGGAGCTTAAAAGAGAAAAGTTACTATTAATAAATAAAATATAATAAAGCTTCTACCTTAGACTTATTACTAAGGTACTTAGATAATTAGTAAAAATAATAATTAACTTAAGTATAATAGGAAATTATATAGATCTAAGATATAAGTAGTAACTAAGTATACTTAAGATTAAGAAGGCTTAACTAGAACTACTTATAGATCTAAATAGAGAAGACTTAGGAGGTTATCTTATAGATAAATTAGAATCTATACCCTTAATTATAATAGGTTATAAGGAGTAACTTAACTTTAATATAATACTATTAGGATAGTATAATATAGTATTAGAGATTCCTTAACTTAGGAATTATAACCTAGAAATTAATTAGAAAGCTAATATAATATAGCTAGTAAATTATAAATACCCTAGATTAATAGGTATAGGGGATAATACTATTAAATCTTAATAATATACTTATAAAGGAGAACTTAAGGGTAGAGTTAAGTAATTAAATAAGGTAATTAATATTATAATTAGTAATAAAATAACTAAAATCTTAGTAACTAGTAAAGCTTTAGACTAAGTATAGTTAATATAACTACCTAGATAGGCACTAGTAATAGTAACTAAATATTATAAATAAACTATTATTAAAGATATTACTAATAATTCTTAAGATAAGGGATATTACTTTAATATACTAATAGAGTAATCCTTAGAATAAGATAATAGCTTATAAAAGTATAGATATATTAAAGAACTAGTAATAGACTCTTAAGAACTACTATAGTTACCCTAGGAGTATATTATATTTTAGAAATTATTTAAATAACTATAAGAACTATAACTACTAGAGTATAGACTCTATAACTATAAAATCCCTTTAGAAAAAGGGAAGTAACTAATCTATAAAAAGATCTACTATATATTAGATAAAGAAACTAAAGCACTTAAAGAATATATTAATAAATAATTAATAAAAGGTACTATTTAAATATTATAATTACTAGTAGGATATAGTATCTTATTTATATCTAAAAAAGATAATAGCCTATAACTTTATATAGACTATAGACTACTAAATAATATTACTATTAAAGATTAATACCTACTACCTCTTATCTTAGAGATCTAGGATAGGATTAGAGGAGTAAAATAGGTTATAAAACTTAATATTATAGATATCTATAACTAAATCAGAATTATTAAAGGAGAAGAATAGAAAATAGTATTTTAAATAAAATATAGAGATTATAAATACTTAGTAATACTATTTAGGCTAACTAATATACCTATATTATTTTAATAATTTATTAATAAGGTATTAAGGGAATATCTTAATATCTTTATTATT